CTTTTCTTTGTGTGTGCGTGTGTGATCCTCTTACACTTGTTTTCATACATCGCTGGATGCTCACCCATTTTTTTTGTTGGTGTTGGTGGTGTTTGAATGTGCTGTGTGCTAAGTGCGGGTGGCTACGAATGAGAGCAGCGATGGCAACAACAACAACAACAACAACAACAACAACAACAACAACAACAACAGCGACACAAAGGGGTGGCGAGAAAAGAAACAAAAAAAGGGCTACGCGTCACCATCGTGATCAAGTTCTGATGACACCCTGTCCCTCCTTCCTCTCTCTCCCACCCGCCTGCTCCAAAGAGTACAGTTCCATATGGAGCAACACAAAATGAAAAGAAGCACCGAACAGGCGCAGGCGCAGGAGGAAGAAGAACATAAACAAACTAAAGTTGTTGCTTGCATTTTTTTTTGGTCACCTCTCCCTCTCTCTCTTATTTTTTCGCGCATTGCCTGAGCACATGCACATGCACCAATCCCTTTCGTCCTCCTTGTCACCGCTTCCTTTCCTTTGCTTCTCCTTTTTGTTGTGTAGTCCTTTGCATGTAGCATAATTGACTTGAGGTTTCCTTAGCAGGTTTTTTTTACCTTGAATATATTAAAATAAAACGTGAGGGTTAATACAAAAGAGGCAAGTCAACGACCGCTGGACGCTCTGTCGGTTTGGCATGTCTACACAGTGGGGATTTCGTTTGCTGCTCTCAAAGCGAAGTGCAAACAACGGGGGAACCAATCGTGAGCGTGCAAAACGGAACTTCGAAATGTTCCGAGTCGTCTTTTTTTTTTATTTTATTGTTGCTCAAACCCGAAGTGTTCCTTGATTGGTGAAGGGAAGGACAAGCTTCCATCTTTTTTTTTTGTGTGTGTGTGGCGAACAATGCAACATCGGGATCCATTTTTTCATTTTTGGATAAAGTGGTAAAGTAACAGGTAGCAGATGAGTGGGAGTCGTGAGTGTGTGCGCCATGACCCTTGACAGGAAGCCCAATTCATGCCAACGTTTCCTCTGGTGCTGTCTTGCGCACCCACATTGATTTTTCGTTTTCTGTTCCCGGGGACGGTGAAAGAGAGGATGGGGGTGGCATGACCTCCTCTTCTTTCAAAGGGCCTTCTTTTTTTTTTTTGTCTCTGTCTGTCGTTCGCTTCCCATCTCCTAAAAGTCACCACCACCGTGATTTGTTCGCTTGTTGGGTAGGGGCAGTAAAAAAAAAGAGAAGGTGAAAAAAAAAGAGAGATCCCGTCGCAGATCTCTAATTCTATTCTTGAATGTTCATGCCAAAAGAAAAAAGGAGGGAGGGGAGAAGGGTTGACAGTAAAAGAGACAGCGATGAGCAATGTTATCACCCAAAAGTGTACAAATGACAAGGCAGACGTAAACAACAATGACACTGCCTCACTTTTGTGTGTTTACGAGTACGTGTGCGTATGTCGATGTCTATTTGCATCCCTCCCTCCTTTCCTCTCCCTCTGTTCATTGCCACTTTTTTTTTTTGTTAGGGTTCTCTGTTGATTGAAACGAGCAAGTTATTGTCCCAAAGATCCAATTCTCCTGTTTGCTGCGGTCTCCTTGGAGTTCCAATGAAAAAGTTGCATGACCTGGCCGAAAAAATAGCCTATCTGGTTTAGTGGCCCGATCTTGAACTCTCTTTCTTTCTGCTTAGGTACAGCATTTCCCGCTTGTTCTTCTCCATCCTGACTCCTAATCCCTCCTCGCTGAGCACCCCTTTTCCTCTGGGCATATTTTCTCCCCGGATGGAAAGGGTGTGATACTTTTCGTCTGTCCATTTTCAACAACAGCAGCAGCAACCCCTCTCTCCTTGTTTTTTTTTTTTTTTTTTTTTTGCTCCTCACTCGTTGCTACTCCTCTTTTTTTTGCGCTCTCCTTTGTTTTTGGTACCGACAGGATGAAATAAACCTCAACGGTTTTACCATTTTTCCAACCTTGAACACTTCTCTTTCGTGTTTTCATGTTAAGAGTGAAAAAGGGAGAGAGTTAGGGAGTGTATATGGGTGTACGGGTGTGCGGGTTCGGCCATCAAGGCGGCAAACCCCTGTTCTCCTGTCTTGCTTTTCTTTTTTTGGATCGAAGGAAGGGGGGCGTATGCAGCAAAAAAAGTAAGGGCGGACGAAAACCCAATTGCAATCCAGGACCGTTGTGGTCCTTGTGTGTATGGCTGTTGGTGTAGTGTTTGTGTGGGCGTGCGTGCGTGCGTGCGTGCGTGTGTTCGTAGTGAGTTATGAAAGGGGGAGGAGGGGAGGGTGTTTGTTGTTGTGTCGATGCGGGAATTGACCGTCATCATCATCATCATTGTCCAAACAACCAAACATAAACATAGAAGGGGAGCATAGATGCGGGGGGAAGGGAGGGAAGGACAAGTGAGAGACTCCGAGGAGGAATGAAAGTTTGTTGTGGCGGCGAGCAACGACTACAACAATAAAGATGATCATGTCTCTCCTCTCCAGAGGAATTTCACAGACAGCGTGTAACCTCAACTCGCGTTGCGACGGGCCTACTTTCATTTTTGACCGTTCCTTTTTTTTTTTTTTTTTTTTTTTTTTTTTGGCATCCATCTGCATCTGGTTTGAACTGAATGTATTCACGAGTAAAAGCATAGAGACGGGAAAGAGAGTGATTTAAAAGAGAAAATAAAAGACAACAACCCGGAGGATTGGGAGGACCTGGTTGGTGCTCTTTCACTTCTTTTATTTTTTTTTCTTTTCTTGGAGGAACTAGGGGGGTATGCAGAGAGATAGGGAACGAGAAAGAGGAAAAGGTCAGTTTAACACGCCATCTTCAGAGCTAGGACAGGGACAGGGATAGGGTACGATGTGCTTGTGAGTGAATCGAGTCGAAGGGACAGGGGATAGGAGAGAAGGGGATGAGCGTGTAAGAAGTGTCAAATGAGCAATTGGAGAAGACGAAGACGAAGGGTTGAGAGGTAAGTGAGTGGCCCATCGTCCATCTCTTCTTTTTCGTTCGTTTGTTTGTTGGCTCTTTTTTGTCTCTTTTTTTTGTTTGCTACTGCTCGCAACGTTCGTGTTCATATCATCGTTGGGGTGAGAGTTTTCTCTCAATAAGTGATGAATGGACAGTCATTAACAAGGGAACTGATCAGTTGGAAGTTTATCGGTCTGACTGATGGGTCGTTGATTCAATAAGGAGTAAGTAGTTGGCTTGTTCGACGATTTAAATCTGCCTAATGTGCCCACTTTCGCCCTCGGAGGGTGCAGCTTGCTGTCTGATCCCTGCCACCTTGCCCAACCGTTATGTTATGGTTTTTTTTGTCTGTCGATTCATTTTCATTCAAGTCTGTCAACTACTGTGACAGTTTGCATTAAACAACATGTCCGCCTGTTTCCTAAGAACGTTTATTATTTTCTGCTGCCGTTTTATTCAGTCGATTCAATCGCTGCTTTTTTCTTCCTTCATTTCCGCTCTTCCTTTCATCTCCCTCCTCCTCCTCCTCCTCCTCCTCCTCTTGGTCGCTCTTATTCTTTGTTCTTCTCTCTTCCTTTCTCTTTTCTTCTTCTCTTTGCACTCCTCCTCAGCCAACTGCTATATCTACTCCTCCCTTTCCCTTCTTTTTTCTCGTTTCTCTTTTCGTCTTTTTACGTTATTCATCGTTAGCTTCTTCTTCTTTGGTACTATCTCTTTCCACTTCCTCCATCTCCTTCTTCCTCCTTTCCTTCCCTCCCTTTCTTTCCTCTCTGTTTCCCTCCCAACCAATCAATCGCAATAATTCATCTTATCCACTCGTTGTACCTCTCTTTTATTTTTTTTCTCGTTCGTCTCTCTTTTTTTCACCTCTCCTCCTTCCTCCCTCCTCCTCCTCCTACTTCCTCGTCTTCCTCATCACACACTCTCTCATTCTCTCTCTCTCTCTCTCTCTCTCTCTCTCTCTCTCTCTCTCTCCCAACCCTCTTTCTCATTCACACTCTTGTTCAACCGTCTCTTCTTCACCCCCTTCTCGATCCACAGATCCCTCTTACAAACAAAACTCTAGAAAAAAAAGGTGTGCCATCGTTCCTCTCTGACCTCTTCCGTTATATGTGTTGCCTCCAACACCCACCCCACTTTTTCCCATTCATGAGCTTAACTAAGTCAGATCCTGACACCACCACCACCACCACCCTACCCGATCAGACCAGCCCTTATTTTTGACACCTGGAAACACACCTGAACACCAACAACAACCCGGGCACCAGGGACTCGTTCGTCTCCCCTCTGCCTGAAACGGATCCAGTGTCCTACCACCGCATACTCTTTATGACTTTTCCCTTCTTATTGTGTATGCGTGTAAAAGCCATTGCTGAATACATATATTTTTTTATGCTATCCAACGAGAAACTGGTCCTGCTGCACTCGTGCTCCTCTCTCTCCTCTTTCTTCCTAACCACTTCATAACCAAACCATTGGCTATTGGTGTGTCCTCTCATATTATTTTTTGCTTTATTCCTCGCTCCTTGAGCTCACTTTCGCATGACAGCACGCTTGCTCAACTGTCCTTGTTCCCTATCTACAATATATCTTGCCCTACTCGGAAAACGAGGGGGACACCCTGTCTCGTTTTTTTCTTTCTTGTACGACGCCAAGACAGAGCAACACCCCTCACTTCTATCTCTCCCTCTGTCTCTTGCAACGCTCTCTTACAAACAAAACAAACAAACAAAGAAATACCCACACCCATAAACCCCACCAACTATCTTAACATGTCTCCCTCTTCCTTCATTCATATTCTACCTTTCCCACAACAATAGCTCGTCTCCAGCTCTCAAGCATCCTTCACTCTCTTTCACCTCCAATCCTTCACCCCACAACCCAGTGTCACTTCTATCGACAATCTTTTTTTTAGTACACTTCTCCCACATCGCACCCAAAGAACCGCTCGCCCACCCTGAGTTCAATCGACCAAAAGAAAAGGACCAAGAAGCGTCCTACGGTTGCCTCAAGTCTTCTGGAACCCATTTCGTCCCCAACCGACCAGGATATCACAATGTCCACGGCCGATGCTCTCGATCCCTTCAATGATTTGGCCACAACCGGCGCCACCAGCAGCGGTGTCCCCGACTTTGTCAAAAAACTCTACAGGCAAGTTATCCCTACCAAAAAAAAAATGAGGCCCTGGCACAGCCACAGCCACGCGAGCTAACGTTATTTTGTCATGCGGGCGCACATAGTGAGACTAACTCGTCTATCGATTTGTTTTGTGTGGATAACATAGAATGCTTGAGGAGAAGGAACACGACCTGACTGTCTGCTGGGGCAAGAACGGCGAGTCGTTTGTGGTCAAAGAGCCAAGCGAGTTCGCCAAGGCCATCCTTCCCAAGCATTTTAAACACAACAACTTTGCCAGTTTTGTCCGTCAGCTCAACAAATACGACTTTCACAAGGTCAAGATCACCGAAAACGCTAACAATCCCTATGGCGACCAGGTACGTGCATGCGTCACTATTGCTTCAACATTGGCAAAGGTACCTCCCCATGCATGGTCGGATCTTAACCTTCTTTTTTTTCTTTCTTTTTCTTTCATTTAATTAGGCATGGGAATTTCAGCACCCAAAGTTCCAAATTGACAAGCGGGACCAGTTGGAGGAGATCAAGGTACTTTCAGGGACCCGCTGGATACCAAACACATAATGTACTAACCAATATCCATCTTTGACAACACGACTCATACCTCTGCTTCGTTCGCTATTGCATTCATAGCGCAAGACACCAAGCAACAAGAAACCAGCGGGTGCTACGGCATCAACCCTCCTGTCCGATGGCACGTCTCCCCTGCCCGAGGAGTATCTGGCTCAGATCGAGCTCATGTCCAAAACTCAGACAGAGATGCAGGATCAACTGACCCAATGCAGGAGTAAAATCTCGGCTCAGGAAAACCTCCTGCAGAGTCTTATGAAGGCACTCGGTTACAAGAGCACTGGTTAGTAGACCCGCCGCTGCTCTTTTTCTTTCTTTGCTTATCTACGAGTCAACAGTCATTGGTGGGCGGCCGCATTTTGTCCACATGGTTTTCTAAATTCAACGTCTTGCTCTCATTTCCCCAATAGACGACGGTACCGTTATGCAAGTGCATGGCGCGGCACCACATCTGAATAAGGAAAAGTCAAAGTCCAAGAGCCAGACAGGCTCTCGGTCACGAGTCCCAAGTCAATCGAAACCCGACCTTCAGCAACCATTTACTCCGTCAGCCATCCCCGCCTCATCATCAACATCATCCGCAATGCACTCCAACTTCTCTGCCATGACATCAGCGGCGACAATGTCCACGATACCAGCCTCTTCGACCTTCCAGCCTGCCTCCTCCGCGCCAGTGTCAACGTCACAGTTTCTCCCAAGGACATCCGTGCCACCCATGTGCCAGGACCCTAGTCTTGGACCTCCATATCCCACCTTCGGTCATATCACGGCGAAAAAGGAAGACTGGGAAAAACCTATGCGGAATCCTCCAAAGGCAGCTTCTAGACCAGCGCCACCACAACAACAGCCCCAGCCCATCTCTCACAACATCCCCAGACAGCCCCAAGATACTCAACAACCGCAATATCAGCAACCACCGCAGGAGTATGCAGCGACGTCAACTTCGGCTCCTCCCAACTATCGGGCTATGAGTGTGCGTCCCAACATGATGGTCCCCAACTGGTCGATGCCACCCAAGGTTCTTCTTGTGGAAGACGACGACACGTGTAGACGTCTCAGCTCCCGACTCTTGCAGATTTTCGGCTGCCCGTTCGATGTGGCCGAGGATGGTGTGGCTGCTGTTGGAAAAATGAGCCATCAGAAATATGACATTGTCTTGATGGTATGTTAGCATTCTCTTGGTGTGCCCTTTTTATTTTAATTCAAACTATCCTGCATGGCCTCTAACCTCCGAATTTGTTTTATATTCTAATTTTGCTGTAAATAGGATATCATGATGCCCAAACTGGATGGAGTGTCTGCCACGACGCAGATTCGTCAGTTTGATGCCATGACGCCCATCATCAGTATGACCTCCAACACCACCGCCAACGATATTATGACTTACTTCGCCAATGGCATGAACGACATTCTTCCCAAGCCCTTCTCCAAGGACAGTCTACTCAGCATGCTCGAGAAGCACTGCCAGCATTTGCGGTACCTCAAGCTCGGAACAAGTCTGTTGGAACTGTCCAACTCTGGATCGGGATCGAACCTCAACGGCCAGGCCAACCGTCTCATGCTGCGTCAGGGGGATTCCACCGATGTCGAGTCAATGGGCTTCTCGCTTTCGGGTTTCCAGGGTCAGGATGGTCTGCAGTTGGTGCAGCCAGGCAAAGACAACAACAATATTGACCAGCAAGGCGGCCAGAACGGCGACCAGCAACAGCGCGAGGGGATGGATTCGTTGGGGATGGGCATGCAGCTCAACATGGGTGGGATGATGATTCTCAACAGTGTCGACTCTAATCTTGACGGACAGATCGACACGTACCCCCGTCAGAACCAGAACAGTCTCAAGCACGGAATGAACCCCAATGAGAACGACAACAACTCGAACAATAACTCAAACAACTATGGCATGAACAACATAAGCTACGGCGAGCTGTTGGATCCAATTGGCCACCACGACGACAGCTCAGGCTCCTCCCTCTCCCCCGACCAGGCCCACAGCCATCTCTCTGCCAAACCCGCTCACCATCAACAGCATGCGCACCACTCTCACCAACAGCAGCAGCAGCAGTTGCAGCAGGGTCACCAGGGGATGATGACGAACCCTCACTCAAACCACACCGGATATGCCACCACGATGGGCAACAATATCTCCTTTGCCAACTCGAGCTCTTCCATAATGAGCGCCTACCAAAGTGAGCTCGACAATGCCTATGGTGGTCACCCTCAACCCCAACAACAGCAGCAACATCAACAGCAACAACATCACCAGCAACAGCAACAACATCACCAGCAGCAGCAGCAGCAACAACAGCAGCCACAGCACCTACAGAGCATCACATTACTCTCAATCAGGCCTGACGGTGGAATGGCCCACACGCTTGGGTTGACGAACCGAGGAGGCGGATTCGGTATGGATCAGGGTGATACCATTGATACCCAAGGACGGCTGAAGCGCGCCAAGATTGAAGTCATTGAATAGAGAAAACAAAAAAAAGCAACAACCAGCAGAACTCCCCCCTCCCAAAAAAAAAAAAAAAAAAACGAAGTTTAGTTTTTCATGTACCATAGCCTACCCCATCCTTTCTCAAAAAACATCAATAACACTCGTTTGTTCTTTTTTTTTTCCAGTGCATACATTATCTTTGTCTGTTTGAATGTAGCTCTGATTTTTCGCTCGCTCTCTTGCCGAGGGAAAGTTGGATTCTGAGTTGGGGCGTATGCAATTACTACATGGTCAGATTTAATGATGGCGGTTACATTAGCAGGATGTCGTTTTCGGGTGGTGGTTGGATGACAATCCCCACCCTTGACTCTCAAACGCTGATCGTCGTTTCGTCCTTTGACCATCCCATCTAAAGGCGCAAAAGGTGTGTGGAAGGGAATATATACACGTGATACCGCGTTCGTGGACGCGTCGAAAATCGCGCCATTCTCTTCCCTTTGGACAATGCAAGGGTGCCGTAGATGTATCGAACACGCCTCTCTCAAATGGGTAAGATACAGTTGGTTGTCTGTTACATCCAGAGATAGAAAAAAAATTACGAGCAAAACAACAACTGTCAGTTGTGGAAGGTGGGGGCGTCGATCTCACTAATTTTCCTTCTACTCAACCCCACCCCTCCTATTTCTACATTGTAGCCTATCACCTTAGCTTGTGTTTGCCGATGAGTATTCAACAATCACAACGTATTTCCATATGCAGGAAAAAGAGGTGGTATAAAGAATGGTGAAATCCTCACGTATCGCTCTGCGTATTTCCCCCCTTTAGTGTGCGCGTTTGGTCAACCGCGACCGTGTTTGACGCGGACAGTATTATGTATAGCTACCCAGGAGTGGACCGACACCTGGACTCGGCCCTTGGCTCTCTAGTTATCCCCTCATCTACAACAATATCAGCACACACCAGACGGACGAACAATGAACATGAAAACAGAAACATTGTCATGCTTGTCAGAAAAAAAAATGAGAGATAGTTGAAAGGTTAGATGGTGTTTAAAGATTGAATGGCAATGAGAAAGAACGGTATAAATATCAGTACTACCAGCTTTTCCGCGTAGACATGCATCCTTGACCTCTCGTCACAGTCGTGCACAAAAAATATATATATATGTGGGTGTTGGTTTGCTTGATCAATACGATGGGCGAAGCACTGATAGAGCGAGCTAAAATTTGGTCACACGAGTCTCAACCAAACAAGAGACCTGGAGGCAGAGACTGTCCCCTTACTTCCGATGTTTTTGCCAGAGCATAGCCCTCAACTCATCAAAAACACACTGGCGCATATAAAAAGGGTTTATCTACTTGGCAAACTTGGGTTGTTCGTTTTTTATTTGACAACCCTCACTGTGTGTATTGTGCCAAGTCCATGCAACTTAACAGTATATCTTCACATCGATAGCGCCTTGATGGCGACACCAAAATACAAAGAAGGGCATTCTTTTCGTTTTTGTCAGAACGATGTGTGAGACACTGCAGAGAAATACCTGCCTCTACGATGAAGGTAGGGTTTCAGGAAACAATCGGTTCCAATGGAGCATGGAAAGATAGCTGACATAGACCGGTTGGGAGGCGTTGACTTCTGATTCATTTCGGGAAGTTTAATGAAAAATATGTTGCATGGACTTGGCACAATACATACAGAGAGGGTTGTCAAATAAAAAATGAACAACCTAGGTTGCCAAGTATAAAAAAGCATTCGCCCATCATCACCCCCTGCAAAAAAAGTTCGGCACGGGTTGCGGGACCTCAACTGGCAAAAGGTTTGACCCTTTTTTTTTTCAGTCGGAGACAACTTAAGCAAAAAGATCCTTGAGGATGTGCTGGTACCTGGAATCGAACCAGGATCGTCTCGGCCACAACGAGATATACTAACCATTATACTATGCCAGCTTGTGGAGTTGCGATTTTGTCAGTATTTTTGTATACACTGCTTTACTCTCGGTACAGTTGGTGGCGTCAGAGCCGGCCTTCAAAAAAAATAATTGCAAAAAATTGCCCGCTCTAACGCCGTGTTTGTGAAGCAATTGGGTCGTTCCTAGCTTTCTGTATAATCTAGAAACCATTGAGGTGGTAGAAAAAACTTTTTTCTTTCATATTGATCAATTTGAGTGGTTCCTCAAGCTTGACAAATGTCCATTGTCATATCAAGGAAGAGACTGCTTGAAAAATCTTGGTCGCGATGCTGAAATTTTTCTATCTGATTAGAGGATATTTTTTTTTTTTGGACATAATTTATTTCTCTGACAAACAGCATAGAAAAGGCATTTGGAAGTAAAAAGGGACTACAGACCAAACTCTCCAGTGCGCTATTCACCAGTTGCAGTCCGGTCCGGAACTTGGCTCTGCACAACAATTGTCGCTGCTCTTCACAGCCTGAACGGAAGACAAAATAAAAGTATATACGAATGAAGGGGATTCTTCCCATCCTCCCCATCATTGACAACCTCCTCCACCCCAACAAACTCTCCAACAAACGCTCGTCAGCAGCGCGTGGATCATTGGTCGCTCCAGGGCAGGTCCCATCCTCACGTATGGCTAGCGATGCGCCAATATGGGGCAGAAGCCATCACGGGCGATGAAACCGTATACTTGACTCTGGTCACCTCGAGGGCCTGTGTATTTGGATATCTTGTCCTTGGGCAGAGATGCCTTGGGTCTGCTCCCACACGATCGTCGCGGGGTACTAGGGTTCTAGATCAGCTCCAAGGCCTGCGTCACCAGGTAGCCAAAAAACTTGTTGCAGGACCGGCACTTGACGACCTTTTGTCAACCGCGCGTTTGTGTTCTCGTTTCCTGGCTGCATTGTAGCTGTTTGTCGCCTGCACACCCCACTCCTCAATCTCGCCCATGGTCTCCTTCCAGATTGCAGTGGTAGTCTCAGCTGCCAAGGAACAGTTCCAGATATGTTCGTTATCCTTCTTCTTGAGCTCCTATCGTCGGCACAGGCATGTTAGGTACAGGTTGAGCTTGCGAGCCTGCATGGAGTTCAGAGTGATCTGATTAAAGGAAACAAGAGCATCGATCAATTAATCAATCAAACAAAGGTCACGATGGAAAGATCTTGATGTCTAGAGTAGTCGAGAATTGGTTCAAGTTGTTGGATATTTCATTTCGCCCACTGTTACTGTTAGCAGGCTGAATGCGTCGATAGCACTTTGGCTGTGGTATCAAATTGTCGTTTGTTCAGCCAATTCAATCATGGTGCTGACACTTCAATGGCTCACACGCCAAGTAATTAAATGATGGCTGTGCGTCAATTAACAAAGGAACTCAAGGCCGAACGCTTTGCGCCTTCAAGAGTGTGGAATGGAAAGCGGATAGAAAGGAGATATGCAGTTTATTATTAAATATATAGAGTAGTGGCGAAGAGCGAAGGGCGGATAGATTAGATGAATTCGTCGTCGTCTTCGTTGCGGAGGACTGTGTGTTTTCCGCGATCCTGTCCGATCCTGGGGAGGAACATCATGGGTGTCGAGTCGGATCCCGAATTCATAGCGCCACCGACCATATTGGAAGGAAGATCGTACCGGTGAATCAGCGAGTATGAATACGACCACACCACCAACGCAAAATACAACTAGATGTTGTATAAAAAATAGAGGGCAGAGATGGATTAGATAAGAGTATCGATAGAAAAGAAGAGCAAAAGGTCCATGAAGCTGTAAGGGAGACAAAAGACGTACGTGAAGGCACCAGAGGGCGAGGAGGATGAGGATGGAGATGCCGCCCTCGAATTGAAAGTCCTGTCGCACGTCGTCGGTGATGGGTGTGGTTGTTGGATCCCCTGCTTGGTCCGGTTGAGGTTTGCCCAAAAGGTCGTTCCTGGTCATGAACCAGGTCACTGCCAAAATGATTGTTTGAACGGCGTTGATAACCAAGTCGATTACATATGCCAATGCATACCGTCCCACAATCTTTGTGTTGTCCTATTGTCAAAGAAGAAAGTGAAAGGTTGAGTTGGACGAACGAATGAGAAGAAACAAGGTTGAGTAGCCGGTGTCCCGGTTATTTTTTCTTCAATTGTTTTGTGCCAAGGGACCGTTTGTCCGGAAGAATATTACAACGGGGGGGGGGGGTAGTGAAAAAAACAACTTACAATCAAGACACCATAGAGGCCCCAGGCAAAGGCAAAGGTCGCAAAGACAGAGTAGAGGTACATTATGGCCTTAGCTAGGCCTCCATTAGCGAATATTCCAAAGAATCCTGATACTTTATTGAGCTATGTGGTTTACAGGGATGAGATACCTATCGTGTCAGTATGTTTGTCATCATTGCCCCCTTTCATACTTCACACTGCGCAGGAAAAAAGAGAAAAAAGAAAAAAAAAAGCAAAACCCGCAGGACCGCAAAGTGAAAAAGCGACTTACAATGGCAAAGACAGTGATAATGGTCACTCCTGTAAAAAGCAAAAGTCCAAGACAGGCGAGAGAAAACAGTTGACAGCATTGCGATCAAGCAATGAGTGGCCAGGAAAAAAAGTGAGCGGTAGGTCAGTTTAACCGGACCAATTCAAGCCAGAAACTTGTTTACTCAAGCGAGGATGTGTCGTGGACAGTTGCAGAAGAGAGCGAGAGTGAACTTGCCTGTCTTGAGCTCCAAGATTCCTAGACACTTGCGCAGGCGAAGCATGTTGATGAAAAGGAGTGTTAGGTGAGTAGGAGGGTATGAAGTGGTTTGGGTGCAAGTCGAGGTCGTGTGGTGGCGAAGGTGTGAGGGAAAGAGTGCGAGTCGAGTGTGAGGGCTTTAGTGGAGTAAGTCGAGGGTGCTGTAGAGGTAAGGGAGTTCAAAGTGAGGGCAGTTGTGAATGAGAGTGGTGAGTGTTGGTTATCTAGTGGGTTTCTATGAAGGGATGAAGGGGTGAGTGGGGTGAATTGAAGAGAAAAGTAAAGAGGTGAAGGAGGGAGAGAGAGGCAGGAGATAAGTAATGAACAAGGGAGCAGATGACGACAGAGGGAGTAGGGGAAATATCCACGGCCAGTTGGATTCTCCCTTTCTCCGCTCTCGCTCACCGTTCGCACATCCGCACATCCAGTTCACACATGGAGGTGGAAGAGAGAGCAAGAAAGAAAGGCTAGTCACTACGACGAGGGAGGGTGGGTCTAGTTCTCCGGCGGGAAAAGATTTTCGCCGGCACTTGAAATAAATATAAAAAAAACTCGTTTTGTGCCTGGTAAATAGGCTTGCCTTGTTGACCATACTGGCAATGGGGCAACGTCCCTTTTCCGGTCTTCCGTCTTTACTACACACATGAGCTCATTCTAAAGCAGCCACCCTCTTCTTGCCCTAATTTCAATTTATCTCACTCCTACAGGGTTGCTATGGCCATCATTTTGGACCTTATCTGATCAATGACGGCAACAAGGTGATCTTGTCGCGCCTGTGTATGTGTCCCAGGGGCAAGCAAAGAATAAAGAAAAAAAAGGACGCAACGCGATCGGAGCTGGTTCATCGCCAGATCAGCACTGAGACCGTGAGTATCCTACATGGCTACAACACTAGGAAATACAGCAGCTGAGCATGGCTGGCGGCATGTGATAGACTCGGAAAACTCGTCACCGTCATCTCCCATTGCCGGGACCCATAGCCATGGCTAAGTATAACGAGCAATTGCGCTGAAATGAAATAAAGGATGAGCAACAACACACAAGACAATAGGGCATGGGGCAGCTCTGCCCCTTCAGCTACAACAGTCAATTGAACTCTCTTAGCATGCGGGTCAAAATAGACACATTTTTCACACCTGCTGACATCAACACCTGGCGCGTGCTTACTCGATCTCTTCTATTTCTCTATTTCTTGCTTCTTCTGCATCACCCGCTGTCGCACTTGTCGCATCCTTCTTTTTCTCTACTACTACTCCTACTTCTCCTTCCTTCGTTCGTCTTTTCTTTGTTTAGAACGCGTCGTACAATTGTTCATGAGCATGGTTGTTTTTCTCCTATCCATTCATCGCCCCTTTCTGCCCCTTTTTCTCAATTTTTTTCCTTCTCTCCTTCCCACTTACTTGGTGTGTCAATTGACCACACCCATCCTACAGCCTGTATGGTTTTGCATTTGGGAGAGAACTAAATATGCATCGAACCATGGCCGGGCAGTAGCATTGCCGCTCCCTCTTCCTAGTCCTGCATAATGGTCCCGCTCTGTTCTCTGTCCGATCGCCTGGATTCATCTGGATATTGCTTGCGACCTTGCGCGCGTCGTGTCTTGTCTCTTTGTCGAGCATGTCCGGCGTGTGTTCGCAACGTTGCATAGACTCGCTCGGTCGGTCGGTCGTCAGCAAAATTATGTTTGATCGGGTATTTTTTTCCCTTTTTTTCTGGCTAGTGCGAGCTTGAGCTTGCTTTTTGGCTTTCAATTTTGACATGGTTGTCTCGCCGTCTTTGCTGTCGTCGTTGTTGACATGGCTGTCTTTATCTTTGTCTTTGTTGCTGTTGTTGACATGGTTGTTGTCTGTCGTTATTGTTGACATGGTCGATGGTGTTATTGTTGTTGCTTTTGTTGTTGTTGATGTTCATCTGACCCATTGTCGTTTACCTTCTGAACATGTCGCGTCTTCTTTCACTCCCTCTCGCCTCTCTCTCTCTCTCTCTCTCTCTCTCTCTCTGGGACACATCATCCGTGCATCCGTGATAATGATGAAAACAAGGGATGCTCTGCACGCTCCCTCTTCCACCTCCTCGTCCTGCTGCTGCTCTCCCCCTCTTTTCGCTCGACCCCTTATTTTTTTTTACCATTGGCCTATTTTCCTGCTGCTGTTTCTGATTCTTCTGCTGGGACATTCCTCCGTGCTGATTCATTTTTGCATTGTTTGATCATCTCGACTGATCTCTCTCGTCCCTTCTTTTTTATTCTTTCTTCTCTCACCTCTACGTTTTTTTTGTTCTCTTCTTTCAACAACTCCAATCTTTTGAATCTCTCCCTTCGTCATTTTTTTTCTTCCTTCATCCCTAATACTTCATTCTCTACACCTCCTTTCTCTTCTCCTCTGCCCCTCACCTTCCACCTTCCACCCTCCACCATTGACCCTTCAGCCTTTTCCTTGTTGTTATATTTCCAATTGTCCAACAAAACAAGAGAACGTTTCGATCGCTATTGTCCATTGTAAAACGAGGGTCGTCCTATTGTTACACGTTCACTGCTCACTGCTCCCTGCAACACCCTTGCACGACCAAACTGACACATCCAGACAGACGTATAAGTGGCATACAGAGAGAGCAAAGCCAAAAAAGCCAAAGACATTTTGCAACGCACGGAAGCAAGCTCCCTTTCCTGTCTCAAATCAATTCCCTTTGTTTCCATCCCTTTCCCCTCGCTGCTGCACCCTCCCTCTCCGCGTCCTCTGCCTTCTGCCTTTTTGCATTTTGCCTTTTGCCCTTTCCTCTGTGATCCCTGATCATCCCTGATCCCCATCTCTCCCCTCCTTCCCATTGGACACAGAAAAAAAAAAATGTCTCTGAATCAGCCTCTCTTTAAAATATTTCGCCGAATGCTTCTTCTCGACCAACAACCCTTTCTCTCTCTCTCTTGCTCTTTGTATATAACTTCATCGTCACCCACACTTTTTTCTTCTTCTTCTTCTTCGTTTCTTCACTACTCATCGCCCAGCTGCTTACATTATACCCCCGATACCCACCTCAGCAACAACAGCAATATCATTAACAACAACAACATGAACATCCTTGATATGAGCGATTACCACTTCCGCTTAAAGTCCGGTCAGACCCTTCCCGCCTCGCCCTCCTTGTCCTCCTCCACCTTGTCCTCATCCCTGCCGTCTAAGCCCAAAGGAAAGGACTCCTCCTCAGCTTCAGAGCTGATCAACTCCCTCAAGAAAAAGTCGTCTGCCTCCACCCTCTTCTCGCCCCTCTCTCCCGCCCTCTTCTCCACCGGGCCATCAACAACCTTTACCTCATCCCTGACGCGATCCAAACGCAGCAGCAGTCGTCGCCCTCTCTGTTCCGCATCCTGTTTCTCCCCTCTCGATCTCCCTTCCGACATCTTTGTATGCCTCCTCGAGTTTCTCACCCCGGCAGAACTGTGGAAACTCTCGATGGCGTCGCGAGAGATGTACAGACAGGTCAATGGGTTCATGTCCAAGATCCAACGGTTCAAGTACAGTGCGGTCAGGATCCTTCACCAGGAGAACTCTGGAATTATGTATGTCTCGCCCAGCGGTGTAAACGGAGGATTCCCTTCGCCCGTGCAGACCATCTTGGCCAGGATTAAGGGCGCGTCCAACCCACGGAGCCGTCAGTCGTATTGGGAGGCCCAGGGTGAGCTCATGGTCATGATCATCATGGAGGGAACTCCGTATGAGCCCAAACCAGGGAGTCGACCCGCCAAGGAGACAATCACCAAATCTTCAGTAAGGGCGCATTCCCCTCAGATTCATGCCAATAGCACCGACACCAGCCTCACCATTGCACCCTTGCTCGACAATGGAACAACAACAACACCACCTTCATCAATAATGACTACAACCTCTACAGTAATAACGACAACAACCATGCCAACATCCCCTTCGACCTCAACACTTGTATCATCTTACGCATCCGCATCCTCATCACAACTGAGCCTCGGATCCACTGCAGACGACACTGTCCAAGTCCTTGGCCCTCTCCCCATAGACAGATTCCAAGCCATGGTAGACCTTCTGTTCGACCCCAACATTGTATACCTCAACCACCGTCGAGCCATCATCAATTGTGCACGATATGTCTCAGCAAGCATCGCCGAACATTTCAAGGAGGCTCTCAGCACAAAGGACCCCTTGGACCCAGTGTTTCATACACTCTTCCTCAAGCAATACACCGTGAGGACGGGGCCTTATCTCGCCCTCATTCTCTACGACACCGGCGCCGAGGACAATGGCAACGATGAGGAGGACGAACTGCCCCAGGAACCTTCCACGCAGCCCAAGCCCTCGCAACGATCGACCCTGGTTGCCCCTCCCTCCCGCCTGCAAAAGTACTTTCAGGCCATGCTGTGGCATCGCTGCACATCTGATCTGATTGCGCTCTACAATCGCATCCAGCGTTTGCATGTGGATATCACTCCCTCCCCCTCCTCCAAGAAGACATGTACAGAGCCGCTCGAGCCCATGCCAGAGTCAAACAGGGCTGTCTGCTGTCAGGACATGCCGACCAGCACTCCCTCGCCCATAGCTTCTCCCGTGATGCAAGAGTCATACCCTTTTTGCTGCAATGCACACTCGCTTGTCTTCACGACACATTATCCCGCCAGTGTTCCCCTCCCCTACCCCATCCGCCAAAAGTTCCGTCGCATGGCCCAGAAGCTCCAGACCAAGAATTTTTGGGCGACCGTCCTCCAAGGTCATGGCGTCAACGCTGCTCAGTGGGAGGAGTGTTCTATCGGTGGACACATTCAGTACACAGGATCGACAGAGAAGCTCCAGTTCTGCAACGGAGTTGCTCGCCCTATCTCTCCAGCGACAATGGCGGCAGTGGTGGCATCGGGATCAGCGACATCACCATCCTCTTCTATCCACAAGCAAAGGAGGGAGATGGACGATGAGGAGCTGGTGCTGAGACGTCATCGGATCGAGGAGCGCATCAGACAGGATACGCTCATGAAGCAGGAGTTGCTCTCGCTATGTCTGATGGCCTGCGGTCTCTTTATGGTCGACAATCGCTCTCGTCATATCCCTCCGACCCTCATGTCGCTCCTGAGACGCTACGGACCTTGGGGCAAGGGTGTCTGGCGCGAAGGAGAATGGAGACGGTCGGCGATCGACCTTTCCTCTGGAACTGGATTTGAGGAAGGGGCTGGAGGATCTCACAAGAAGAAGAAGAGTATGTCGCCATCGTCGTCGTCGAACTTTTCTTCGCTCCGAGGAGGAGCAGCAACAGTGGATGGAGTGCAGGCGGAGGGTGCAGCCAAAGAGGATAACAAGAACGAGCGGGGACCATGGCAGAACCTTTGTATTGCTGCCATTCAGTTCATGGCCCACGAGGACTTGACCTGGGGCGGTGCGACCGGCAATGAGGAGCTCAGCCGACTCCGAGTCACCATCAACTCTTCTCAGTGGATCTACCACGAGTAATCACTAGTAATGAATAAAAATAATCATGTGACACTATTTTTTTTTTTTTTTTCACGCGCGTTTTTTGTTGGTGTGTGCACTGCACCGCAAGATCGCAACTCCGCCCTGGCGATGTGGGATTACAAACAACGCGAAAGGTGCCTATGGTCAACCTCGAGGGGTCTTTTTTTGTTTGCAGCCATAGCGTCTCCAGTGAAGGGTGTTTAGTTCCAAGGAAAATCGCCGAGGGCACCACGGCAACCACGGCGACGCGACGAGAGGGACAGCATAAGAGTAGGACTCTAGACAAGGGAGAACTGCCAAGACAACCATTGTTGGATGGTGATAGGATGGCGATGGCTTGATAATACCTCCGCTGATCATCAGTCTGAGCGCAGACGAGATATGCAGCGCACACAACGAGGCTCTTCTCCCCGCATAAGGATAAAAAGATACGGACACACTCATTCACACATACTCACACACTGATGAAAGTGATGAGAACCGATGAGCAAGTGACCTTTGTGATGCCTTTTAGTCAGCCTTTCTACGTCTTTCTCCTTCTCAATTCCTTTTCTTTACACGCACTTCTCTCTCCCATATATTTTCAGATACTGATATCTCCTCCTCTCTCTTTCTTCCCTTTGGCATTTCTCCTCTCTTTCTCTCCTCTACACACAAACATCGCCCTTCTACAAACAAAACCGATACATACATCTCAAACACATACCTCCGTAAGTAACGTTTGAACAAATCTGTTAATGTTGGACCCTGCATGCTTTAAGGAACAGTATCTGTGCGCACAACAAAAAAGATGGATGGAGGCTTTTTGCATCAAGATCCTGATTCTCGCTCTCTGCATCTCACTCTCTCCCTCTTTCTTGTCAAATCACAAACAGACAATCATCAGCTCGATGGATCCCGCACATCCTTCACATCCAAAGTTATCACCTGCATCCTCTTCCTCCTCCTCGCGCCCAGGTCCTGACCCAGACCCCAAAGGTGGTCCATCACAGCAACCGCAACCTGTGGCAGACTCTGGGGACTCGCCTTTCAAGGAGACAGGTCAAGCGAGTGCCGCCGTCAATATCAAGCCCCCAGTCAGACCAAAACAACAGCAGCAGACGAGGAAGCGTACGCAACAAAATACTGGCCACCAAGACCCGTCTCCCGAGCCTGTCAAGAAGCGCCAAGTCTCTCGGTCGGCAACGCACACTCCACCCGGTGATCAACTCTCGTCCCAAGTCACGCTTGGGTTTGTGCCCTGTCCGCAAGAGGATCCGGTGGATGTGAGTAATACAGACTTTTTGATCAGTCAGGGCATTCATGAATTGCCGACCCACCATACATCATCCATGATGATGCCTTTCTCGGGGCCTGTTGGGCGGCAAGAGCTTTACCGAAGAAGGCACAGTCTTGATGAGCATGACTTTGCAGGAGGAGGAGAGAGTGAACCCACGCAGCAGCGGCCTGGTCTTGATGATGGCACCTATAGTCACGTGGCGACCATAGGCGAGTCGGCTGGGTCTTCAGACACCATGGCCCATGCGTCGTCGTCCAGTCACACATACCCGTCCATGGTTCTACTGGACGATGACGAGAACGCACCCTCGCCACATATCTCCAATCAGCAGCCATTGTTATTTTCTCCGCCCGTCGGTCAGGTCAAGATCGAGGAGGATTCCGAAACCAACATCTCTGGCCAAGCATCGCAAGGTCTGACCCTCATCTCCAACGAGGATTTCAACCAGAGCAGCCAAGCTGAACGTGAAGAGCAAGCGTACGTGAACGTATCTCCTTCGTCGACCGAAGCACATGGTGGCGTCCTTTCAAACGAGACCTGGACCCAACCTGGACAAGCAAACACTTCCTCAGGCGGTTTGGTTCCCTACACCCCTGCCCAGTACCAGTATCAAGCTCAACAACAACAGACATCCTTTGGCACCTTAATCCAGCAACACCAACAGTCACACACGACCCAAGCGCCATTGCCAGGTGTCAAAGAGATCGCTGGTTTCTATCAGAGTGTTCCTTTGCCCGAGTCACCGATGCTCGATCGCAGCCAGTATGCTCTCGGACCCCAAGGCGCTCACCACGCACATGTACAGTACATGGGACTCTACAACGCCGCCCACTACACGGCCGCTCCTGGAATGGGACCTCTGCCCTTGCCGCATTCTTACCCTGTCCCCATGGGATTCCAAGAGATTCCCCTGACGAGACGACGACGCGATCGGCACCACCATCAGGCGCCATACGGAACCTCTAGTTGCCACGATCCTTCGCGGCAACAGCAGTCTGGAGCCAAGGCTCAAGACCCTTCTGGTGCGAATGGGTTGCTGGAATCACTGAGCATGGCTGTCCGATCAGAGTCATTCAAACAAGAAAACGATGCCGCCGGCTCTGAAGGTCCACAGTCGCAACGCCATCATGAAGTTCAAGATCGAGATCCCGACCCCAAGGCATGCAATAACTGTCAGACGACGACGACCCCCAGCTGGAGGCGATGCCCAAAGGGGCGAATCCTGCTCTGCAACGCCTGTGGGTTATACCAGAAGCTACATGGCAAGTCACGGCCACACTACCTAGCCAAGGATGGAACTATCAAGGTGCAGCGCATCGTCCCTGAGCACGCACCTTGTGTTCAATGTCACACGCGCACCAGTCCAACTTGGAAGAAAGGTCCGAAGGGCGAGGCAATCTGCCATACTTGCAGTACGACCATGAAGCTTGGTCGATCGCAGAGCAAGAGCAAGGTCCCCAGGATGATCGAGTACCCGAGTCCTGCTGATATGATGTCTGTCGTTTCGGAGGGCATGTACTCTGGTGACCCTTCGGGTGCAGAGTATTCTGAGGCGATGGTGATGAGGGGCTTCCACCCACATGGACTCAGCGTTGGAGCTGGCGACTTGACGCCGGGCTCGTCGTCCTATGGTGATGTTGAAGGTGGTCAGCGTCGGCCACACTCTTCCATGACGCGACATTCTACCAGGGCGGCACAACAACACGGCTACCTCGTCGACCATCCCTCAAGATCGGGTGTCAACCAGTACCAAGGCAACCGGCCTGTAGTCTACGGGTTTGGGCAAGTTGGACCAGCATACGGGTTGGCACAGTACGGTAGTTACGACACGAGTGGATACAGTCTTGCGAGCTTGCACGCTACCTACCCGACGAGCCCTAGTGTATGGCAGCCAGATGTTTCTTCTTACAGTTCTGGAGCCTACAGTCATGGTGCAGGGCCATTCACACTCGAGTCGTCGACGCCCCAGCAAGGCCAGTTCCAGCAACAGCGCGAAGCAACGAGCTTGCTGCGAATGGACTCCTCGTCTGCTCTCCCAACATCAACTCAGTCATCGCCTGAGGGACATCAGCTCCTGGTCCCTTTAAATCGGCCAACTCAGCCCAGCTATTTCACTTGGGGACAAACGCAACAGACACGTCTGCCACAGCCTTTGTTGCACTCTGCTGCCTGGGGCGCCGGTGGCAATGGAGGAGGCACTGGTCAAGCTATGAACGTGTCATCGGAAGTCGGATTCTCACCAGAACAGCAACAGCAGCACCGGATATTTTTGATCAACCAGCGCTCAGGTTCGGCTAACTCCCGTCAAGACATCTTGAGCCAAGGTCTCCCTCATTTCGCTAGTTCTGCAACATCGAACGAGTCCGCAGCTCTTCAAGACCGTCATCAAGTTCATCAGGCACAGCATCAAGCGCACAACACCTTGATGCACCACCAACTGCGTCATCTCCAGCAACAACATGCGCTGCAGCATGCCTACCGCTCTGTTTACGGCCAACAGCAGCAGCATCACCAAGCCTCGCATTCATACTCTTCTTATCCGGCTTCAATTCCAGTCCGCAGCCACAGTCCAAGTCAAGACCAGAAGAACCGAGACTACGAGGCAGCTCTTCAATCCTATGTCCAAGCAGGAGGTTCTGACGATGCGGGCATGCCAGCGCACTCTTCCACAATGGGTGTTCCAACCGTCGATGCCACTGTCGAACAGGCTGCAGGAGCGAAGCCAGCAGCATCAGACTCAAGTCTGAACAAGGACCCCTCCTCCTCTTCTGACCACGAGAGTCCTATCGGTGGCCCACACAGCAACGACAATGGAGGCGAGATTGCAAAGAGCGAGAGCAACCTGGAGGCCATGGCGGCCGAGACTCTTGCCAACACATTCTTCGACCGACAGAACCCTGCCGCCACTGCGTTTTCGCCCGTTCCAGAGTCTGGCCCGAATTCACGATTAGACGCAGCATTTCCAATTGCAGCAGCAACGACGCCGACGACGACGGCGCACACGCCGGTTGTTGTGACTGAGGTCAAGAAACAGAAGAAGAGTACTGGATCGGGTACTATAGACGTTGAAGGCAAGGCGTCGTCAACATCTTTGTCGTCGTTGTTGTCGCACAAATCGTCGCAGCAGCAGCAGCAGCATGGAGGGTCTACTGCACCCTCCACATCAGTGTCAGGATCAGAATCACGACAGAGCGCGTCAACGTCAGCGGTCTCGGCGATCCCTGAGGAGGCTGGGGGCAGTGAAGGGGGTTCGGATGGTCATCGTCCTCGACGAAGCGAGCGGAATCGTTCCGCTCCTAACAGCGCAGGCTCCGCATCTGTTACCGATGCTACCACTCCTGCTGTAGCTCCCAAGTCGGCCAAGAAGCAGGAGGGTCTGATGAACCAGCACCTGAACCGACGCTATTGAGGAGACCGGGGATTTTCCTCTTGCAGATTGACTGGCAGCATTCACTCCTTCTACTTCTTTCAACTGCATACCATACATTCACACTTTGTACATATTACTCTCCCCCCTTCTTTCATTTCTCTTTCTAGCACAGTTCTCATTACTTTTACACACACTCCATACACATCCTTACACATCCACTCACTCTGTACACCATGGCTCTCTTGCTGCCTTTTTACACTATACAAGAAATAAAAAAAATCGCAATAGAAAATAAAAGCAAGTGGGATGATTTGAAAGAAAAAAAAATGGACTACTTTTAATATGGATGAAAGGTTCAATGGGGGGGGGGGGATGGTATATGCATGCCATGTGAAGGTGACATTGACGCGAAAAAAAAGAACGATGGTGATATGTTTTAGTTTCTTCCAAGGATATGGTAGATCAACTTTGTGACAAAAGGCGACAGAACTTGCTCCTCTTGCTGGTAGAACGACTATTAAAGAACAAAATGCGATATAAATTTGGTGGCGTTAGTTTTTATCGCCATATTTCAATCGAGTACAAAAAATTTCAAACCAAAAAAAAAAAGCAAAAGGGGAAGGAGGACACATACCATGATGAGCGACATGGCAAAGGAGAACATCATGACCTCCCAGTGCTTGACACCCTTGATCCAGTTCTTCTGATACAGAATCTTGTATAACGACTCGGCCGCCTTGGGGAGGACATACATTGCCAATTCGGCTCTCCGGCTCTCCTGTTCCACCATAATGGCAGATCCTGAGCAAGTGACACCGAAAAGCCAGTAAATGTACTTGTTGTTGGATTGGATCCACCCGTTCTTGAACAGGTTGCGGTGTCCACAAATCTGGGATTGGTACAGAACCACAAAGACTGCGAGGAAGACTGAGGACCGGAGGGTGTTGAACGAAGTCCTTGAGAACACATTCACAGGGCTAAGCAAAAAGAGGAAGCGAGAAAAAAAGAAAAAAAAAAAGGAAAAGTCAGTATCCATCTCCAAAGTTACATTTAAAATACGTGAACAAAAAAAAAAAAAAAAAAAAAAAGAACTATGAAACTTACTCAGCCATGAGTCGCTTCATGCGGAGGACAAGGAGGGGCACAAAGTTGAGGGTCGCATAGACGGGGAGAATGTTCTTGGTGACTTGGACAAAACGCTCAGCATTGTTGACTTTGCAGGAGTCATACGAGGGGTGAAGCACCGCACAGGGGATCAGGTCAGTGTACTCGGTCAATTTAGAGACCGTCTCGATCGATTTGGCCGTGGGCTTCAATCGTTGAACCAATGCCTGGACCTGGCTCACGTCAACTGGGAATCCACGCACACGAGCACGGTTGAATGCCAGAGCCTCAGCAGGGACACGTGCAGTGTTGATCATGAACTTGAAGTACTCTGGTGGAATCGACTCGGGTTGCATCTAGTAACAATCGTGTGTGAGCCAATAAAATCGGGTTCAAATAACATTGGTCAGATAAACATCCTGGTACGCAGTGATGTACGAAAATTGGTAATCGGCTATCTGCTTTTTTTCTTGTCGCGTCTCCGGACTTACAGTGTAGGCATACATGACCTGACCGCATGCGAGGGCAAAGAGTGCAGCGTCACCATGACGGAACGAGAACAACCCACGGTGCTTTCCTGCATTGTAAACTCCCTGTCCCGCGCTTTTGTTGTTTGTTGTTTGTTGGTTTGTTGATTGTTGGTTGATAAACGCAGTCGAGGATGAAGTTATATCGAGATGGAGAGAAAGAAAAAGTAGGAGGGTTAGCATATTTGGAAATCCACAATTCACGATTTGTCATCGAAATTGACCAAAAATGCCGAGAGAGTGATAGCCGGACCATGTCAGTGGAGCATGGACCAGTCAAGTCACAGTCCGTGGGCTAGAAACACGGGAAGGAAAGGATTTCTGTTATCATACCGAATAAGCATTTGCTGTGCGAAGCTGACTCTGCGTTCATGACTCTCAATCAAGATGGCAAGACCAGCAATGGCACCTATGGCAATGTAGCAGAGGAGATAGTAGGAGAGTCCATTGTTAGTTTCTCTGAGATAAAGAAGCCCGATGGCTGTAGATGGTTGTGGATTGAGAGAGTGAGTCATGGCTGGGCGAAGTGCTTCAAGAGAAAGTGAAGAAGGTTGGACAAACGAAAAATTACCAGCAACGGCTCCGTTAATACGGTCATCCTTGCCACGGTAGAGCTTCAGTCCATTGTTGACAAACTTCCAAAGGAACGAAAAGACACCAAAGAACGATCCGAAACGGATGGCATCAATGCCAAAGAAAGAATCCTTGAATATTTCTCCAAACGATGCTCTACGAAGAAGTGGACGGAGAGACAAGTGCGTAACGAGCAAGGTTTTTTGTTAGCAAATTAGGACCGCCACAAACCAAAAGTCCGCTAAATGTGTTCAATTGTGTTGGTCGATCGATGTTGCAGGTTCATTCTTGTGCATGGGAAGTGAATCCGTTTCTGTGACACATACTTTCCCTTCATCAACTTGAGCATGCCCAAACAGAGGTTGACCATGGCCTTCAATCCATAGCTGACTCCACCGGATCCTACAAGGATTGGAAGGAGGGAACAAGAAAGAGTTAGAATCGGTTATGCTCCTTCTTTCGACAACAACATTATTCGATCGGTTTGAGCTAAAGCCGCTCATCAATTGAGCGTCCGGACTCTTTTCGACCCGACAGATAAAGCTACACTTACGGATCGCTCCAAGGATAGAGTGCTTTAAGACTCCCTCAAAGGTGTTGCAGCGAGCAGAAAGATGGGGGATTGAGACACCCGACTTGTAGTTTTTACTCTTCTCGGCAGCCTCCTTGCCCTCCTTTGTACGGAAGCCGCGAGGACGCTTGCCATTGGGCCATCCGTGTTTGTGGGTCGATCCGGACTTTTCATCTGAGAAAGTCGAGGCCGCGGTCGAGCCATGGTTGTTGTTGCTCTTGTTGGTAGTGTTGTTGTCGCTGTTAGATGTGGATTTGCGAGGGAAGGAAGCCTTGGTCATGATGGGACTATCGACGTCAGAGGCGCTGTAGGTTGAAGAGGCGACTGACGAGGGAGAGTCGGCGTCGTCGTTGTTCACGGATACATAGGAGGACGTGAGGGAGGCGTCTTGAGGGATTGGGGCAGAGGTTGTATTGATCTGTTCTGGTGTGGAGGAAGGTTGTTCACTCGTGTCGGAGGGTGAAGAGGAGCCGTTGTGGTCGGGATGGGACATGATGGGTCGAATGTGGTGTGACAGGAGGGAATGAGAGTGAGGAGGGAGGGGTTGTGTACTGAAGAGGGGAGAATGCGCGATGGAGAAAGAAGGGAGGGGAGGAAGAGAAACAAAAGAGTAATGAAGACGAAGAAGAAAGAATGAATGGGGCAAAGAGAAGAAGAGACTTTCTTGGCGAATGACCGAGCCGGAATCCCAGCTGTTTGTGAATCACTTTTCCTTGTTTTTCTTTTTTTTCTTTCTTTCTTGTTGCCTACTCAGTGCTTGTCTTTGAGACAAAAGAAAAGAACAGATCCAGTCCAGTCAGCCCCTCGGCCTCTTCTCCCTTGCCGACCCACGGACTCACTGACGGAGAACACAAAGACATGGCAGGGCTGGGGCGGGGCACTTTAAGACCGATCAACAATCAAGGACAGACGGACAATACAACAGTCATTCATCGCGTCCCACCGACCATCTGCACTCTCCACATGTGCTTCTCCTCCATCCAAACCTGTGGAGATTTTTTCATCCAGGGATGAGTTCGAACCTTCTCATCCTCCTATTCCCATATCTTCCATTAGCCAACGGTCGTCGCTGCTTCTTTTTTTCACTTTATGCAGCAGAGTCAAGTATGAACGCTTTTAAAAAGCCAAGATGTCCACTCCAAAGTGAAAGGATGTGTGCTTGGCAATCAGGTATTTCGCCAATTGTCCCTGCAAAGCAAACAAACAAAAACGAGTTGACGACATTTCTTTCCAGTCCAGTCTAACCTGTCGAAGAAGAGAAGCCGTTTGAGCCTTACAGTTCAATGTGAATGAAGCAGCAAGGGGGTCAACGGCCATGATCTTACATGTGGTACTGTAGATTGTAGAATACGTTTTCTCTCTCTCCGATCCGCATGATGGTTTGTGGAGAAGCAAACCACGAAAACCGGCTCTCGACCTGAATGGCCCAAACCTTGTTTGCAATTCCTATTCCTCTCCTCACCCCCAACATTTTTTCAAACGCGTCTCTTCCTGAGCCACACACACACGCCTATGCAGCAAAAATTCATTTTTGAGTTCTTGCCCATGTAAAAATTGTCTGTGCAGCTTCTTTTTCTTGTCGTCGGCTTTAATCGTTGTAAGCGACTTTCCGGCTAACACTACTATAGCTACACAACCGTTTATTGTCGTCGTATTCTCCATGTTCATCCCTCTTTTCGTTAAAGAGTAAAAACAAAAACAAAAACAAAAAGAGATAGCAACATCGCTCTTAGGTGACATAGACGTATCTGTCCAAACTGTTCTCCGCACGCTCAATATACTGCTTGTCCAACAGCTGCTCGATGCACTTCTTGATCATAGGCACATTCGGCGCAAACCGCGTCTTGCACTGCTCAATCACCTCCTGAACCAGCTGCATGTGTGAAAGCACCCGACGCGACTTCATAATCCTGACAATCGACGCCTGGATACACAGTCGCCGGTCCTCATCCACCGCTTTGATCGTCGCCGTCGTCTCCTGAGGTGTGTCCGCTTGGAGGCCTCCGCTGATCTTGAGTTTCGTCCGCTTGTTCGAAAATGCCATATTGAGTCGCAATACCGATGACAGCTCCAAGTTGGAATCTGCGTTACTCTGGATCAACAAACTTGCTTCCACCAGTGACTTGACTACACGGAGTAGCTCAAACTCTATCAGCTTTGTCTGCTCCCGAATCTCTGTCACCGTAAATGAATCGCCTGCATTGAATACTGCCAAAACCGCAAATTGATAGAGCGAAAGAGACAGTTCGTACCGTTTGTCAAGGTAATTGACTCTCACATCCGCTATGAGCACATAAAGAAGGACAAAGTAAAGGTGTTAGTGGCGTAACTTACACATCTGATACAGACCGATAGTACTGGAAGGGACAACTTACCTCTGCACCAATGCCAGAACCAGCTCAGCTTCCGTCCACTGTGCCGGTTATCGTAAAATGTCGTAAAGTTGGTAATACTCTTCTCCAGCTCTGCAGGGCACTGAAATTCCAAGGGTTGAGTCGAGTTGACTGGCCAAGAGCCCGCAGTGAGCACCAAAATGCTAAAGTCGACTAAAGGCGTCAAAAAAAGACAATCGAAGAAGCACAGTTAGTCCTCATACCATCGCAAATGAGCAATGGTTAATATTTGCTACCGAAATAGGAGTCTTCGCCTGTAGAAGAGGCTAGTATACGTACGTCCGTTACTGTAATCGTTCCCTTGAAGCCACTCCTTGAATCCTGTGTTCAAGTCCGTGCTAATGGTCATATCCGTGAACATCCTCTGAAGTTTTGAGGTGTACTCCACACCACAAGCACTCTAATGAGCATAGCAATGAAAACAGTTAGTGTTAAGTACCTGAGTTTGTTCTAAATGAAAATGCCTTGGCAGCCCGAAGCTTATTCTCACCTTGAGGCGTGAGATCATGCTGGCCTCTGCTTCCGCTGAAAGGGACGAGTCAAAGATCAGACGCTTGGCAAGCACACGAGAATAAAACTTTTGGAAGAGATCCTTGTCATCGATGTACTTGAACAAAATCACCTAGTAAGCCGCAAGAGAAGAGTAGAGTCAGAGCAGTAGTCAAAGTTCTTCTCATTTGTCGTGCGCTAAAAGTAAGAAACATCAGATATCCCGGAAAGCTGGACATACCACTCGAGATAGTCTGTCTTCAATCTCCGATTCCGAGAGTCCAGTCTTTTGCTTCTTCCTGAGCATGGTATCAGTGTATCGTGCAATAACCTCTGGTGAACGGGCGGCAGTGTTGGTCGCAGTGTCGTTCACAATAGTCCTGAATGCCTTGTCCAATGCCGCAACAAACGCCGCATCGTTCTTGAAGACCTTGGAGCAGATCTCGGTGTACTTTGTATGTAAGTCAATCAACCTCTCAACATATTCGCGTGGATCCTATGTAATACGAGTATGTACCAGTAAGTTCGTGTAGTGTATCCTCGATCATTCCTAGTTTAGACTGTGAATAATGAAAGTACCTTAGTGATGCTGGTGCCTAGGTTGAGAATAATTTCCTTTCCAACTGTCGTAATGTACTTTTCAAAGGACCATAGCAAAGGGGTGATGCCGTCCTCTATCCTGGACAGTAACGAGTACGCCATGTTGCAGTCTAATCCGTCGATAGTGGTTAGATATCAAGTCGTCATAGCAAAGTAAAGTTCTGTATGATCAGGTATGTCCTTTGTATCGCCTACCTTCAGTTTTATGATTGGCAATCATCTTCTCAAACTCTGTCTGAATGCTTGTCTTATGGTTGGAGATGTACTGAGTCTCGCATTCTTGAATAATCTATAAAGCAAACAAAAAGCGATGACGGAAATTGTCATTAGACATAGGTTGGAAGAGTTGATCCGGAACCTGGAAAGAAGTTGTTTTGGTGTGCATACCCGTGCGTGCGATGTTGGATGGCAGTAGCGGCTGTTGCGGATGCCTTCCTGGGCGAGTCTCTCGATAGCCGACCTCATGTACTGAGATATAGAACAGTTGGACAGTTTGATGCTGCTCTCCTGTCCGTAGTATGCCTTGATCTGGGCAATGTATGGTGTTTCGAACTCCTCGATATACAGTTCCAGGGGTTGATCCGTCCTTGAGTTCAGAGCGACTAAATGTTTGCAGGAGATGAAGAAAGAGGGGTATAAGCAATTTGCAATTTCTAGCAGGCATGCTGATCCAATGGCTCAATGGTCTCGTATTTTTTTTGCAATGGTGCTCTTTACCAAGGGAAAGAATTGCCTCCTGAACAACCGAATAGTTGACTGGCTGGCCCTCACGATCCTGACGAATCGTTTCAAAAATCTGATAGAGGATCCTGTTGTGTTTGCGATGCTTGATTTCCAGAATGACATGGTCTCTCCAGATTTGGTTGGCGAGCTATGAAAAAGAAACAAACAAGAGAGAGCCTGTGAGGTTGAAGTTGCCGGCACAGCGGGGGCAAGCGAGCGTTGTGTCCTTTTGTGATATGAATTGCTTGCAGTCACAGAATGGTCAAAAAGGTATCGTGTCGTGAGAGCACTTACAGCCTGCACGTCCTGGCGAGGATAGTTGGTGGTGCCGACAAACAGCCGCCTCTCGCTCACACCTGGAACCCGGCGCTGGTTGACGATCCGCCCGTTCAAGTATTCACAGATGGAATTGAGATAGCCGGTGGCGATAGAGTACTTTTTCCAGTAGACGGCATAAATGGGTACAATCTCGTCGTGACTCAAAATGGCCTTGTTTTGTTGGGAAGAGAGACAACAGTTAGTGAACAGACTGTGATATACAATGGAAACCATTCTCAAGGACGAAAATAAACACAAGGGGTCAGCATGGGGCCTCCGTTCTTACCATTCGCACTCCTGCAGCATATTCACACAGAAATTCAGCGATTGCGCAATACAATTTCTCGAAAAATGGTCGGGGCACAGCAGTACAGATATCGTATACAAGCCTATGAATGGGTTTAGAGTGAACGGGGGGTGAGTGAGTGGGAACCCATTTCAACCAAAGCTACAGCCATCGTCGAAAATGGTAGCAAAGAGGTATCTAGACACATAGCTTCAAGTTGAGAAAGAGAACAGAAGTAACACCTACTGGTACATGCCCATGCCAGAGACAGAGCCAGTTCCTGAAAAGTCAAACATCTTGACCAGGTCCCGCTTGAATTCATCGAATGCGGTGTCAAAGTCGATCCTCTTTCGACGCAGGGACATTGTTTGTAGTAGTTGCTTTTAGTCGGGTGTAGTTCGGTTGGGTGTTGTTGATTTGAGTGTTGATCTTGCGAGTAGTGGACTGAAATAAGACGGCGAAGCAGTTGTACAAGGAGTGAATGGGAATGTGCAAGAAATGTTCACTGTGGAAAACGCGTTGTTGAGCAGTTTTTGCTGAGGTCACAGTCCACGTGATGTGAAGAAGAGTGATTTGGACTTTTGGGATCAGCAAGGCTTTTTAATTGGCTGGAGGGTGGACGCGGCTTCTAGCATCAGGTCGGACTGAACCAAAGAAAGGAAAAGGAGCAAAGCAAACTCTTTTTTCTTATTTTTCTTATTTTTCTTATTTTTCTGCAATGGTTGACGGGTGTTGTATGTGCGATGATATCATAGTCCAGCATGACATGATAGAGAGAGAGACAGAGAGAGAGAAATGGATCGATCCAGCCTGGATGTCAGTCGCGGCAGGAGGCTTGATTTTGGTTGGTCAGTCGAGGTGGTTGGTCCTCTTCTCGTTCTTCTTCAGTCAATGCAACCATTTTTTACCTTCTTCCCACTCTTCTTTTTTTTCTTTTTCATCTTTCATTTCCCACTTTTCTTCTTCTCCTTCTCCTTCTCCTTCTCCTTCTCCTTCTCCTTCTTCTTCTTCTTCTTCTCTCTCTCTCTTCTGTTCACCATTACCATCAACATCATCATACATACATACATACGCCTCTCCCCTCCCCTCTTACCCCCTCTGCACCTTCTCTTCTCCACCTCCTTCCCTCTTCAACGAACTCTGGTCCTCTCGACTCTTCTTTATATTCTGTTTCGAACTCATTGCTTACAGCAACTTCTCTGACCTTGCAGCTCCACCTGCCGACTCACCTCACCTCACCCCACCCACTCCATCTCTCACTTTCTCATTCATTCGCTCATTCACGCCTCAACCCACCCACACACACACGCACACACATTCCTGCATGGACATTCTAGAAGGACCGATCTTGCTAGCCTGTTCTGCAGTCACTGGCCTCTATGCGCTCTGGCAACAAAAGTACCAGCAAGGTAACGCACAACTACTACAACAACTTTTTTTACCATTCCTTGGCAATGGTCTGATTCGGATCGCAATTGCAATGAGCATAAGGTTCCGCCTCCCTTTTGACTTCTCTGTCCCCTTTATTTTAACGAGTCTGAAAAAAAAAAATTGAAGCTTGAAGTTGAAACGGTTTGGGGAGCTGCTTCCATCCCAGGCCACTTGGTACCAGTCTGCTTCTCTTGCATCTTCTCGTTCGTCTTCTTGGGTTGGTCCATTACCCCTCTTTTCCCTTCCTCCCCTTTCCCCTTTACCTGCCCCACCTTTATTTTCCCGAAAGGATTGTTCCATGCATCCCTGCATAGATATCTATGCTTTTGTTTTCTTGTTCTTGTTGTTTGTTTGTTTGTTTGTTTGGTAATAGTGGATTGGGTTGTATTCTCCCCTTTTCGACTCTCTCCCTGTTGTCTTTCCCACCGTCCCCTCTCGTCATCTACCCCTCTTGGCAACAAGTCCGAAACAACAATTTTATGACAATGCGCTAATATCGATATACTCAATTTTTTTTTTGTACTATCGTACTGATCCACTGATCCATCGGATATTTTAATATGGTTCATGATGTGACCGATAGGGAGGATACGACTGCCGGATCAGAGACCATGGAGTGAGCAGCCCCTCGGAGCCATTGTCCGGACGACACACCTGGTCCTGATCACGCTCGGCCTTGCCCTCCTGATCTCAATCTCAAACCTGGTTGCCGTCGTGGTCTTGCTGATCAAGCAAGAGAGTAAGTTTTCTGTTTGCATACACACAGGTCGACTACACATGGTCGTCGGAGACTGAAAAATAAGAACGGGGTGAAAAAAAAAAAAAGAAGTCCATAAAAGAAAATGCTCATTTGAGGTCCTATGCGATGACGCACAACCGTGCCCCTCCTTTTCTCTTCCCTTCCTGTGGGACAAGAAAAAAGTATTAAAAGACTCATTTGAGTATCCAATGCAAAGAGGCATGGTGGAGTTTTAATCCTCTCGGCCTTCATGGCTGCCGCTTTCTCTTTCTTTCCCTCCATGCTCTATCGCTCCTTAGGTAATCTGTCATTCCAATCGCGCGGACTGGGCTGGACCCTGGTCTCGTCCATTTGCTGCTGTCTGGCATGGGCCGGACAGACCTGGCTGGGATTTCAGGAACGAAGACGCCCTCGATTCTCAAATCCTCTACGACTCTTCTGGATCTGTTCGTTCATCCTCTCAACCGTCTCGTTCTCACTCTGGATTTGTCACCGATCAGAAACGGACCTTTACCTCGGCAAATCCTTCGCTACCCTCAATCGCATCACCACCATTGCACGATTTGCTCAGAGTGTCGGGCTCATCCTTCTGGGACTCGCTCAAGAAATCCAATTGCGGGCTTCACGGTCTCAGGACCTGACTCAGGATCGCGCACCATCTTCGCAATCAAGTCACGCCACGCTGATTCAGGACAGCCAAGTTGGGGCAAGTACAACAACACCCAACAAGAAGGATAAGAACAAGTCTGGAACAAGACTAGGAGGTGCACAGCCAGCATCTGCGCAAAAGGACTACAAGCGGCCCACAACCTTCAAGGAATTTTACGGGCATTGCAAGAGCCTCCGTCCATATATCTGGCCCTCCAAGTCACGCAAACTGCAGATCCACATTCTCCTTTGTCTGGCTCTACTGGTGATCGGACGCGTTGTCAACGTGCTTGTGCCCCAGCAACTTGCAAAGGTTGTCAACGCGCTGAGACAGGTTTCAGACGGAGCCACAGACGAGAATGGAAACCCTCGATTCATCTGGATGGAGATCATGGTCTTTATCGGTCTGAGGGGGCTCCAAGGAAGCATTGGTGCCGTCGATACACTTCAGGGCTTGCTCTGGATTCCTGTGGGTCAGTTCAACACTCGGGAGCTGGCCGTCAAGATGTTTGAGCATCTTTTGAACCTTTCCTTGAGATTCCATCTCAACCGCAAGACTGGAGAAATGCTTCGTGTCCAAGGTAGCAGATCATCCCGTTGTCTTGATTCTCTACATGTATCCTCTCAGTTTACTAATATTGTGTTTTGCTTGACGTCTTTCCTTTGGTAGATCGCGGTGTGTCGTCGATTGTCACATTGCTCTCCTCGTTGCTCTTCAACATTTTGCCTTGCCTTGTTGATATCGCAGTCGCATGTATCTTCTTAACACGGGCTTTCGACATTTACTTTGGAATCATTGTCTTTATTACAATGATGTGTTACATCTACGCGACCATTCTCATGACGGACTGGAGGACACGGTATCGCCGCGAGTCTAATGCGCTCGACAATGCAGTGGAGGCGCGAGCAGTCGACTCTTTGCTCAACTACGAAACCATCAAGCTGTTCGCCACTGAGGAGTACGAAGTCGGGAAGTACACCGATGCCATCCATGCCTATCAGAAGGCTGACCAGAAATCGCAGTACACCCTCGGTATTCTCAACACCACCCTGAACGTTGTTATTCAAGGAGGCCTAGCTCTGGGCTGTTTGCTTTGCGCCAAGCGCATTGCACAAAAGGAGATGGAGGTGGATGACTTTGTGATGTACTACGCCTACATTACCCAACTGTACGGCCCACTCAATCTCTTCGGAACGTCTTATCGATCTCTCCAGGTAAACACACATGAAACGATACTATATTTGTTACTGCTGAACGAGCCTCGGTAATGTACTGATCTGTTTTAATATTTCACTGCATTGTACATCTGACTTCTATAGAAAAACTTTATCGACATGGAAAAGATGCTTGATCTCTTTCAGGAGCCTGTCGAGATTCAGGATCTCCCCGAGGCAAAGCCGCTTACAATGACTGGTGGCGAAGTCGTCTTTGGTAAGAGCTTGATCGTGTTGTCATACACTGTGCTGATGTAGTGTTAGGCGAGTCAATGTATACCATAATTAACACGTCCATACAATTTAACAACATATAGAAAACGTGTCGTTCGGTTATAGCCCACAGAATCCAAACCTCAAGACTGTGTCGTTCAAGATCCCGCATGGCAAAAAGCTGGCGCTCGTTGGTCCCTCTGGAGGCGGCAAGTCTACGATTCTCCGTCTACTGTTCCGGTTTTATGACCCGACTCAAGGCAGGATCTTGATCGATGGACAGGACATCCGAATGGTTACCCAATCCAGTCTGCGGCGGAAGATCGGTATCGTGCCTCAGGACACCGCCCTCTTCAACGAGTCGATCGGATACAACATTGGATATGGAAAAATCGGACAGGATCAGGCGCAGGTGTTCGATCCTTCACGCTCAGCTATGCAGAGGCGACGCATCCAGTCTGGCGAAAGTTCCGGCGCCGAGTCAAGTCGTCGTGTGCTGTTAAGCGGCAAGCCTACAAAGCCAGCTGGTCGCGGACTAAAGAGTAAGAATGCATCGCCTCACTCCTCACCCGAGACTGCTGGCATTACCGAGGGCGACGAGGACGCAGATGTCGAGGGCGACGGAGGAGAGTATGAGGACGACGAGGATTGGGAGGATGATGGCCGCATCCAAGCGGCGGCAGAGGCAGCACAGATCCACGAGATTATCTCGCGGTTCCCAGAAGCCTACGCAACGCGAGTTGGTGAGAGAGGCATGCGACTCTCGGGCGGTGAGAAGCAGCGAGTGGCCATTGCACGAACAATCCTCAAGAACCCGCCGATTCTTCTATTGGATGAGGCAACCAGCGCCTTGGATACACAGACAGAGCGGGATATCCAAAACTCGATTGAGTCGATTTCAAAGGACCGGACAACGCTGATGATTGCGCATCGACTGTCGACGATTGTGGATGCGGACGAAATTCTGGTGATCCAGAAGGGTGAGATTGCAGAACAGGGCAGCCATGAGGAACTCATGCAGGCAGGAGGAATCTATGCTGCCATGTGGATGCAACAACTCCGGGAGGATCGGACGCCGGCTGCAAGTAGCCATTCGAGTCAAAAGGATTCGTCCAAGGGCGAGGAGGAATCGGAATCGGACGATTCGTCAAACGACGACGACAATGCTCGAGTCGGCAAGATCCGTATCCGTAGGGGTCACCACCACCACCACAACAGCCGACACCCGCATGGAACTGGAGCTGGAACCGGGCACGTTGGAGATCAGCGCGCGGTGATGTCATTCTCGCTTCCAGCGTACGGATCCAACTTTGGATCAGAAATAGGGTCCAGCTCGGGTTTCAGTAGTGGTGTTGGACCTTCGTCTTCATCAAGACGTGGTTTCATGCAGGGGGGACTTGACTGGCCAAGGATCAATATGACGATGCAGCGGCCCAACCAACTGACGGTTCTTCCGGAGTCGGATAGTATCCAGGAGGTCTCTGACGAAGCCAGTTATCAGGACGACGCTGCTGATGACCACTTGTCTGATTCAGGAGAGACCAAGACACCGGGAGGGTCAGGGCCACCCAAACACACAGACGGTGATCTTGTCTAGTCCTATCCGACCGTGGCCTGGCAGTTTACTATGACTCTGTGATGACACACAAGCACACACATAACAAACACATACAAACAGCAATAAACGTTTCCCACGGTCCAAAACAAGGATGAAAAAATGTGAATGGGGGGGGGGGCGAAAGTTTATTTCTTCTGGTGCACCATGACCTTGAGCTGTTCGAGGACAATAAAGGTCACGATGGTGTGAGGACCCAGACGCAAGAAGGCAGGGAGCCAGCCCTTGAACAGGGCTGTTGGGCCTTCGTTCTTGACAATGTGGAAAAACATTTGTGTCGACGAGGTCTATTAGAAGGAAAATAAAATAAAATATGAGGGATATTGTCAATGGAGGCTCTTCTTTTTTGTGTTGTGCCGAATCTATTTTGCGGGGAGGGTAAGACCTTTATTTGTGCGATGGGTGCATATGGGCGTTTTTTTTTTTTTTTTCTTTTTTTTTCCTTTTCTTGTTTTGCTTTGCATGCATGCAATGTGTATGTGTCTTGCGAATATTGCAAAATGACACAGCATACACACAAATGAAGCAAAAAAATATCAAAAAGAAGTGAGAAGATTCCCGTAGACTTACATTTGATCCAGAAGAGTTCATGATTCTTGTCTTGAGCACATCCAATGGGGCACACACTGTCGTCGCAACGAGACCCTGTGAAGGCAGAAAAAAAAAAAAAAAAAAAAAAAGAAGGTATTGTGTGAGATGTATGTTCCTTTCCTCCAGTGAAAGTCTGTCTGTCCTGCGGTTTTTGCGTTTTTGTTGAGTTGGTTGGACCTAAAAACAATGAGTCGAATGACACATTCGGAAAAAATGAAAACTACAAACTTACAGCAAGGAGCGAAGAAGCAAAATGAGTGGCCAAGTTGTCCTTGAACCAAGGGGTGGCCAACAACTGACGCTTGAATCCATCGTACGAGACCAATTGAGAACTGGTCATCAAGATGGCTCTGTTCATGTTAGGTCCCAAACCACGCATCAGCTGGGCGGGTCCTTCCTCCTTGACAATCCTGAAGAGTCCATCAAAGGCATGCTTGTAATGTCTCTGCTGTTCCTTGGGCAGCTTGCCGTCGTTGACCATCCGGATATTGACCACGTCTGCTGGGTTTCCGAATCCGCCACCGATGCATCCTGCCAAAACACCGCACAGTAGCATTGTGCTCACAGGGATTCTGCCTATAAGGAGTAAAGTAGATACGAAGAAGCATATCGGTTTTGAGGTTAGTAAGTGAGGTAAGTGAGTACCAAAGTGAAATGCTCAGGGCGTCAGTTGAATCTGAATCCCACCAACTCCGACCGCCATTTGTCTTTGGAAAGAACAGGTACGGTTGTACGGTTAAGCCGTTTTTTTTTTTTTTTTTTTTTTTTTGTTCTTTTGAGATTGACACCAGCAGTAAATGAATGAATGAATAAAACAAAACGAAAGAGTGATCCTTGAACAGCCTCAGATGGGATCTGACCGGTTTTGAGGTATTAATCACTAGCCTTGAAAGACAAACGACGCAAAGAGCGAGAGACTTACTTCCATCTTTGGGTCCGAACTTTTCCTTCAAGAGGTCGTAGGTTCCAAATCGGACGGTCGAATATGTTCCTTGACGGAGCAAGCTGGCCGAGAGACCGGTGTAGAGAGCAAAGAATCCTTCATGACGTGCGACGTTGAACATGGTTCCAATCATGCCCTGTTTGTTGATTCCCTGTGTCGTCTGAAGTCTGACCTTGGCCAGATCGAAAGGGTGGGAGACGAATGCAGCAGCGCAGGAGGCTGCACCTATTTTAAAAAAAAGGTACGTACGTAGGAAAAGCAAAAAAAAAAAAGAGGGGATGAGTCAATTTTGTTGTGTTCTTTCTAAAAAAAAAAGCGGTTGAGGGGTGCGAGCGTGGTTCGGCTCCGGCATGTTTGTTGTTGTTGGGTTATGTTCAACGGGTCAGGGTCGGTTTTGCGGTTTTCTTCGTCCTTATTCTCGTCATTTTCCTCGTAGGTAGTGAAAATGTCCATGTCCTCTGTCCTGTTTCCAGTGTCTCCTTGAAGAGACTCTCTATCAGCTGGGCAAGGCAAGAAGTCTTGCATTTGATAGTTCATACCTCCGAGCCAGAAGGGGTCTCTTGGCTTGATGGCAGCGACAGTGGTGGCCTGTTGGACCTGCTTTACTGCCTGGAGCGGCTCATGTTGTTGTACTTGTGTTGTTGCGGCGGCCATTATAATGTTGTAAGGTGGAATGTAATGCAATAAATAGTGAAAGAGTGTCGTTAACGAGGGAATGAATGAGTGAATGAGAAAGGGGAGGAAAAGGAAGAGTAGGGGTGAAGTCTATGGTGTAGTGTGATGATGTGATTCGAACAAGAAAGTGAGAAGAGAAGAGAAAAGTGGGTAAAAGCTAAGGGCAGCTTTATGTTTGTTGATACCTAAAAAACGAACAAACAGTCATCATTTGCAGCCCCGATCTGCGCTGGATTCATTGCAGCTGCTTCACAACCATCAATATGTCACCCTTTTACCATACAAAACCTCTCACCTTCAGCCCTGTATTACTTCTCCACTCCCCCATGTACAAAAAACATGGCTCATGTTTTATCCGAACAATCCAAAGCACCATCAACAGTCGATCTCCATAAGGAAGGTTGTGGAGAACAACAACATTCAGGGCAAAAACAGAAAAAAAAAAAAAAAAACTTTGTTCTCCAGGAGGAGCAGCCACGTTTAGAACGGGCAACTCACAGCCCGCTCTTACTCCATGACCCATTCTGTACCTCATAGGTGGATAGGTGGATCGAGCGTCCCAGTCTCGGATACTGCCGGGAAGAACATTAACGCTCCACTTTCCAACCATTCAAAATGCTGCCTCTCATCTCCCCAGTCAAACTTATCAAACCCAATGCTCTCACCTATGCTCTTTTACTTTCGGGCGAAAGAGGGAACAACGGCCTACAATGTATGATATCACGGAAGGAAAGAGCGTCTACGGGATCCGAGCACTATTTACAAAAATAGGGAAAAAAGGATAACAAATCTCCCCCTCGAATTGCCATAAACTGACAAAAGAAGACCAGCTCGTCTTGACACCAACAGTCTTCTCCTGCCTCTAATGGTAGAAGCTGGGGGAGAAGTCTCATGGGAAGGAGGGAAATGGCAAAAATCGTAAGGGCAATGACCCTTGAGAGGAAGGAAAGAATGTGAGAGTAAGCGCTCAAAGTGAGGTCCACGAGGGGATTCGGAGGGAGGCTGTGCGAGCAGGCGTACCTGTGCCGTGCGGAAAATGAGGTTTGCAGCCAATTAAAAGGGACATGTGTATGTACCGATAAGTGACACTTTAGCGGTCTTTGAAGGCACTCGAAAGACGACATACATACTGGTTTTCAGACAATGCAGGTAGATAACAACGCGGGCATCTCATTTGTTATTAGGATTCTGACATGACAATATGTTCTACTTACTGCCAACGCCTTCTATATACGTTTTCTACATACGCGAGACGCCATACAGGTTGCCGCCCTGGATCTCGGTGTTGTAGCAGACCGAGAGACAAAAGCCGAGGATGGTGCGAGTCTCTCGAGGATCAATAACACCATCGTCAATGCAGCGGGAACTGGTCCAGTAAACATCCGATTCGCTCTCGACCATCGCCTGGAACATCCCCATCGAAGCCTTGGCCATCTCCTCGTCAATCACCTTGCCAGATTTCTTGGCCGAGTCGCGCATCACAATGTCGAGCACTCCCGTCAATTGCTCGGCACCCATCACCGAACACTTGCTATTGGGCCACGAGAAAAGGAACCGAGGGTTGTAGGCGCGTCCTGCCATGGCATAGTTTCCGGCTCCGTAACTGGCGCCCATCACAATGGTGATGCAAGGGACCTGAGAGTTCGAGACGGCGTTGATGAAGCGTGAGCCGGCCTTGATGATACCTTCCTCCTCGTACTTCTTGCCGACCATGAAACCGGTGATGTTGTGGAGGTACAGGATGGGTGTGTTGCGCATGTTGCAGAGCTGGATGAACTGGGTCGCTTTGTTAGCCTCGGGAGGGAAAATAACGTTGTTGTTGGCAAGGATGCCGACGGGGATACCGTGGATGGTCGCCCAACCACAGATCAAATTGGGTCCGTACAGTGGCTTGAACTGCGTGAACCGAGATCCGTCGACCAAACGAATAATGACCTCGACGGCGTCGAAGGGGATGCGGATGTTGGCGCTGACAATGCCCAAGATCTCATCGGGATCGTACAGCGGCTGGTCAAACTGACCCCTGAGATGACGGATCGGGAGCTGGCCTCGCTTGGTCCAGTTAAGACCCGAGATGAACTCACGGGCCATGGCAATGGCATGGTACTCGTCCATTGCCAATTGATCTGCAAGACCTGATTTACGACTGTGCATATCAGCGCCTCCAAGCGACTCTGCGTCGGTGATCTCTCCGGTAGCCATCTTCACCAGGGGAGGTCCGCCCAAGAACACTTGAGCTTTGCCCTATATATGTTGGATGTAACAGAACCACCATTAGTTTGTTTCTTTTCGTCTCCGACAGTTACCTTGAAGTGTTCCTCTTCAATCGCAAGGTGTGTAGTTTCTTACCTTGACCATGACGACGTAGTCACTCATGGCAGGAATGTATGCACCACCAGCGGTTGAGTTTCCAAAGACAACAGCTGCCGAGGGAAGCCCTGCCTTGGATCTAAATGTACATTGAACATGACATTGGTGAGAAAAATGGCTCATGGTATGGAGTAATCCTACAAGGCGCAACAAGTGCCTAGTTTCGAATCGCTAGTTTACCTCTCTGCCAAGTGACGGAATCCAGCCCCACCAGGGTGGAATACGCGACTCTGTTGAGCAAGATTCGCGCCGGCCTACATATTATTCCAGAACCACGGAAGAAGAGCGTCAGTTAATCATTACTACCAAGGTATAAGTCGCTGCTCTGCTCGGGGGTAAATGTTGCAGGCATACTGATTGAACAAGCTGGATATGGGGCAGACGATTGATCCATGCAATCTCACTGATTCTTGAGCCTCGGGCCATGGTCGAAGCATTCCAAGCACCACCTGCAAGAGTCGGGATATTGGCAGTAATCATGCACTCGACACCGCTTTGAACACGAGATGGAAAGGAGAACTGTGTGTCAGCACTGTATCTGGTAAAATGCCTTTGCACCGTTTTCAGCATCGAATAGATCGGGTAACGTACCAAATAAGACCGATTCCTGCGACCTGGGATCCTCCAACGGTCATGTCTTCCTGGCCATATCCAGCGAGAGGACAGAGCTCCATGAAAGGAGAATCATCGTCCAGGAGCAATTCGATGCGATCTCGGGCTACAAAAGGTGCAAGAAATAATATATAGCTGAGTAGGTATTGAGAGAATTGAAAGGCCGATTTCATTTCCAACGTGTGAATCAGTTCGGGTCAAGGTCAAAGCACTCTCTATACCAAGGAGCGATCCGCGTTTGTGGTGCAAGGCCAAGAGTCTGTCCGAGCCCTGGAAGGTAGCCTCCTGAAGCCTTTCCTGGAGCTGGTCGACCAGAGCGAGCATCTCGGTGTAGTTTGCAAGGTACTCCGACGACTTTGTGTTCACTTTGGACTTTGTCGGCTTGGTTTGGTGGCCAAGATGGGTCGCCATGGTTTTTTCTTTCTTTTCTTTTGAGAAGGAGGGAATCAGAATGCAGAACGGTGGGAAGGATGAGAGAAAGGTAAGAGAAGAGAGAGTGGAAGTCAGGTTCGTTGTTTTTGATGAAGTGATGAAGGAAGAGTGACAAGAGGAAGGAATGGAAACTGAATGTGAAGTGAACAATCACCCAAGGACCACGCGTTACTGTGTGCCTGAATGCACGGCTAAAGTGAATGTGTAGTTATGGAATGTAATAGCAATAGTTCTTTATTTGCATGTAAGTCTCTTTCTCTTTGAGCACAATCCTCTAAATGCAATATATTTGTTCTTCGTTCTTCGTTCGTCACTTTTGTTTTCCTTCACTTCTTTTTCCTTCACAACTAGAAACAACCCTCCCTTCTTCGACAACAAATCGCACTTCATTGGAACAGGACACCACACTTCACCGTTTTCAACACTCACATCGAAGACTGACAGGAGCCTGCTACCGCGCAACGCCATCGCCACGTTCACGATGGAAGAAGAAGAAGGTGCGGAATCCACCTTTTCAGTCATTTGTCATTGTCCAACGCCACCCACCCACCCACCCTTTTTGAGCCACAACCGCCCCCACGAATCTGCGGAAACAAAGAACGAACGACAGCCCACTGACCTCCAGAAAACATCATGTCTCCACAACCATAGAGATTTGCAGGGTCTGCCGATCTGAAGGCTCCCCTGAACAGCCACTGTACCACCCTTGCAAGTGCTCAGGAAGCATCCGCTTTGTGCATCAGGACTGGTAGGGTGCCACCATCCACTTTGCCGCAGCGTTGTCGCACCAGTCTGCTTGATCGGTCGTCTCCTTTTAAACCAATCTCTCACACCATTGTCTTTTTCTCTGTTCTATTCATTCAACATAGCTTACAACAATGGCTGGAGCACAGCAACAAAAGGTACCGCACACTCAGGACAACGGCCATCTCTGTACTACTGGAAAACATGATTGCCAACGAACGATGGCAGACAAAGAGGACGATGACATATTAACAGGAACGAAACAACTGAAACAATTGACGATCATAGATACTGCGAACTGTGCAAGCACCCCTTCGTTTTCTCACCAAGTAAGTCGTCATGGACATCAGGATAACATCACTGTTATCAAACGCCATACGGAAAATCCTTCACGATCTAAATTAACGCAAACGTCTCTCTCTTCTATTGTTGCACTGTAACCAAAAAAAAAGTCTATTCACCCGACATGCCAGACACCATCCCACTCTGGATTCTCACCAAACGACTCATCGATACTCTTGCCAAGGGAATCAAACTGATACTCAGGGCGATCCTTGTGGCCAGTATATGGCTCGCCATTCTCCCATACTTCACCATCTGGATCTGGCGGCTCTACTTTTGGGTGGGAGATTGGTTCGCATTCAGTGCCAACGGATTGGGCGTGCCAAACATGTATATTCAAAATGGCACAGCAGCAGCAGCGACCAATGCGTCAGAAAAACTGGCAGGAAGTGAAAATGCGGCGGAGGAATTGGGAAGCTTCACTCGACTTGTCCAGCAAACCATCCCTCCCGAGCACAAATGGCTCAGGTATGTATACAGCAAAAAAAGGCTTGTCATGCAGAAAACTGAAGAGGGGCAAAAAATATATTTTGGCGCATTGTTGTCGATCGATATTCGGCTCAGTTGGGCACGTGGCACAGGAGAAAGTTCTAACGCATTACGTTGGCGGATCTCAACCATAGCACACTTATCCTCGATTGCTTTGAAGGACAAGTTGTCAGCGCAGTGGTCGTGGTCGTGTTTGTTGCCATTTTCCTCCTTCGCGAGTGGGTCCTCCAGAACCAGGATATTGACGATCAATTTGCAGAGGTGCAGGAGCGCGCGGCGGAGAGAGTTCAACAGTTGGATCAGGCAGAAATCGAAGGCGCACTGGGATTGCTTGTGGCCGCTCAATTACAACGACAACAGCAGGATGCAGCTGCTGCAGGGGGAGTTCCAGCAGTGGCGGAGCATAGGCCGCAACAGGGTCGCGCCGCTGGTCGCCTCGATCCTCCACCTTTTGCGCCAACTCTGGGTCGACGCAACCTTACGAACCTTGGTCAAAATCGGGACAACATCTGGGCGGACGACTTTGACGTTTTTGACGACGAGACCGATCCATTTCGGGACACTCCAGAGCTCAACCCCGGAGATGCCTTCCTCGCACCAGCAGAGTCATCGTCATCCGCAAACAGACCAGGATATGTGTATGACCCTCTCAACCAGACGTATCACCCGTAAGGTTACATCTCAGTTTTCATTACGTTACGTATATTCTATGCGAGTTTGCCTCTGCGTGTTAATAACTCTCAATTTTCCTTCGTAAAAATTCTTTTAGGGATTCCCGCTGGGTTCAGGAGTCATCATCGCCTTTCAACAACCCCGATATTCATCGCCGTATCGAGTCATTGATGAACGACAACGGAGAAGGATCTTCAGCATCAAGAACCGGCGCCTCGGCTTTGCTCGGAGGCGACAGCATCATTCGCAGAAAGGATAACAGACCCCTGTACTGGAAGGCTGGCATTCCCTTGACGCTCGATAATGTATTCTTGAAGTTGGATGGCACTGAGATGACACTGGACGAGAAAATTGACCGATACGACACTCTGACCGATACGAACCAGCTTTCATTCAAAGACTCGGTGAAGCTCCTGGAATGGAGAAACGAACAAATTGAGGCTCTCTTCGACCAGTCTCAGGTTCGCCAGCCAGGAATGACAGTTGAAGAGAGACTGGAGGCACTTCAGCGATTGGAGGATAGAGCTCATCGCATGGTTCATCAGCGAGAGGCACTTGTGCGACAGGCTGAAGAGCACTTCCAGGTTCCACCTCAAGACGCAGCTGAATTCCTTGATTTTCGAGCATTCGACCCTCCAGAGCCCGCCCCAGCCCCAGTTCCGGCCCCCCGACCCGCAGTTGCTGCAGCACCAGCGCCACCGCCAATTTTGCAACAGGATCTTCGGGATTTCGCCGCCGTACAGGAGGCTGCCAGAGCTGCTGTGGCGAATGGGGGAGCAGGAGACCTGCCTATAGACGAATTGGACGACATGAACGTGGAGGAGTGGGACGGTATTCTCGAGGTGATCGGAATGCGCGGAACGTACTGGCTGCTTCTCCAGAATTCACTCCTCATGTCAGCGCTTATCTGCGCCAGTTTGGGACTTGGTGTTTGGGTTCCGTATATGCTCGGCAAAACGACGGTCCTAATGAACCCCCTTAACGTTTTGCGGATGCCTTTGCGGATTCTGAGCAGCTTGACCGACCCTATCACCGATTTCGTGATCGACCGCTTGGTGCCATTCTCTGTCGCCGTGGTATCCAAGCCCATTGTCGCAGTATTGTCTCGCATCTCGCCCTATGTCAGTCCAGTCGCTAGATCGTATCTTGGAAGCAAGATGCTAAAGCCTCTCGTGGAGTTTGGTCAGGAGCACATTGTCCCAGTCTGGAGCGCAGTGGTGGGCGAGGCAGGAGCGTTAACGCCTACTCAAGCCCAGGAGAACATCCAGGAATCTGTGGTGTTGATGCTCCCCAATACCACTCAGATACCCTTGTCCGCTGGAGGAAAGCTGTATCAGGAAACTATTACAAAGTGGGCCGAGGTCGCCTACGGTTCATCTCTTGACAACAAGGTTGTGCCAATTGTTATTGGGTACGCCCTCCTTTGCTCAGTGGCAGCATGGTACATGAAGCGTCCACATCGAGTTCATGACCATACCATCGGGAGGTATGTCCGGGACATCATCCAGCAGCTGAGTCTCATTATCAAGGTAAGCGAACGAACCTACGGTTATGCGCTCAGTGCTACCAATGGGACGTTCCTTTCGAAACAAATTCTTTGAATGTGCTGACTGACTTTGGTGCCTTCATTTCATTATTACAATTCTAGATTGCGTTCTTTGTTTCAATGGAGATGGTCGTCTTCCCACTATTCTGTGGAACTGTCCTAGGTCTCACCACGTTACCCCTTCTCCCAGGCGCCACCTTGGCTTCACGATGGGCGTTCTATCAACAGTCGCCTAACTGGTGCATCGTTATGCACTGGCTTGCCGGCACGACATTCATGTTCAACTTTTCCATGTTTGTGAGCATTTGCCGAGGCGTCGTCCGCCCCGGAGTGATGTGGTTTATCCGCGACCCCAACGACGAGGGATTTCATCCAGTACGCGAGATTCTCGAGCGCCCGGTCTTCTTGCAGCTCCGCAAGCTTGGTACAGGAGCCTTGATGTATCTCACCTTGATCGTGCTCGGTGTCACTCTGACTACTCAAAGTATCTATTGGATCATGAATGGCGTCCTTCCGCTCCGTTGGCCTGTAGAGTAAGTTTTGTTGGCATTAGTGTGTGTTCGCTATCAGTACTTTTGCTTTTGAACCTTGAAATATTGTACTCATCAATAGCTGACATTGTTGACCTACTAGTGAGCCACTCTCAGATATTCCCATCGACATGCTGCTCTTCCATCTCGCTGTGCCTTTGACCATTCGATGGATGAACCCTGCGGACCGATTTAAGATTTTGTTTATCGGATGGTGGAAAAAGCTGGCGGAGACAATGCGATTGAGCTCGTTCATGTATGGTAACGATGGTAAGCGGTATCCGGAGGAGGAGGGCCACATTGTCTACCGTACATGGAAGGCGTGGCTCTTGCGATACCGTCCCCCCATTCCTAATGTGGAGACGAACGGCAACGGTACAGTCGGCAGCGGTGAAGAGCTTGATGTCGATGCACCTGTTATCTTTGTGCCCGATGGCGGCCTCTACCGCGTTCCTAGCACAGATCGTGTTGTCCACTTGAAAAACAGGAGAGTTCTTGTCCCAGTTGATGCCGAAGGACGAGCATTGGATCCCAAGGAAGATATGCCTGCCGAGATCGACCCCTTGATGGAAATTCTACCTCGAGGACGTGAACCAAGACAGCAAATTAACCCCAAGGACCATACCGTTATTGTGTACACGCCACCCAACTTCAAGCGACGATTGATCTCGTTTATCGTCATCATGTGGACCTCGACTATGTTCTTCCTCGCGCTCTCCATCGTTGTTCCAAGTAAGTGTTTTCGAACAACTCGTCTATACTTCAATCCGTTTTGAGTACTTGTACAGAGTTCCATAATTAATTGTCCATTTTAATTTCGTCATTAGTGGTTCTTGGAAGGTTCTTGATCACATTCATGACAGAGCGTGCTGTCCACGACGTTTACTCGTTTGTTGTTGGCGTCTACGTTGTTGGCATCGTTTGGCACATTCAAGAGTGGCTGGCCACTGGCTATGGGACTCTGAAGGCAGCAGAAGCTCCTCGTGTCGACATCCGTGCACAATTGACGACCGTCCTGGAGACTGGAACGATCGTTGCCAAGACGACCTTCTTTGGATTGGCATTCGGAGTTCTACTTCCTTTCCTCCTCGGATTCATGGTGGAGCTGTTCATGATTCTGCCTTTGCGAACCGCCCTTGGCGACGACGTCAAGATGATCTTTACTATGGTAAGAGGCGCATTTGCATTACTTTGAGCAAGATGACCGAAAGTACTCTAGGAAACAATCAATTGACCTAACATATATTGATTTTTCGTTCTGCTTCCATAATAGACTTGGGCCTTGGGTCTGCTCTATATGAGAATTGTTCATCAAGTCCTCGTGTCGTTCCCTACGAACCGCTTTGCCGTCGACATGAACGCGGTCTTTGTTGGAGCAGATATTGAGGGATGGTCCGTTGAATTGGCAATCCGTCGCCTTGTCCTTCCTGCCTTGGGTATCTTTGTCGCTGCAATTGGCTGTCCTTTTGGTTTGGCCTGGACTGTAGCCAAGTCTCTCAACCTGGAGGGGGCTGCCAGAACCAACTTGTTCCGTACGTCGTATCCGGTGATGATGGTGGTTTACCTGATTGTGTTTGGTATCAAGGAGGGACACGTAGTTCTGAGCGGATGGAGCCAGAGTCAGTATATCCGCGACCAAGAATACCTAATTGGCCGCCAGCTCCACAACTTGACGGAGGAGGAAGAGAATGCCGCAGCTGCTGAGGCAGCTCAAGAGCAGGAGCAGCAACAACGCCACGAGCTTGGAGCTGAAGCCGAACAAGCCGATGACACTCAGGATGAGCCAGCTGCGCCACCGCCACTTTATCGGTCTGGACGACGGATATACGGCCGGTTTGAGCAAATCGATGGGATGCCAGCGCTGGAATCTATATTGAGCGATGACGATGATGATGGCGATGTCACAGAGTATCGGACGGCGGGTCGACGACTCGGAAAGGAGCCAGTATCCTACGGCCGTTTGTTTGAGCGAATCGATCAGTCGTCCAGCATAGAGGACGATGATATGTACACATACGGAGAGGGATCGATGGAGGGCGCGCTGGACGAGTTCTCGAACGAACAGGGCTCGAGTAGTAGTAGTGCGAGCCAGATTCGACGGAGTCAGCGGCTTCAAGCCATCCGGGACAACCAAGACGATCGATAGGTCGATATCTTTTTTTCCCCTTTCTCTTTTCTCTTTCTCTTTTTTCTTTTTTCTTTTTTTTTCTTTGCATGAATATAAATTAGCTTACAAGGGGGTTAGTAGCAGTGGGGGGTAGTGGGAGTAGGGGAATACAGGGACGATGACATCAAACAAGGCAACGCAATCAAAATATTAAATTGAATGAAATATTGTAAATTTACAAATGATTAATATATTTTGTTTATTGTGGGCGTTTTGGAGTAATAAGGCATGCGTGCTATGGACAGATTGACCTTTTTTTTTTTTTTTTTTAAGGTGGGGAGGCTTGTTTTGGATGGATCGAGAAACGTGTACAAGAGAGTGGAGAACGTTTAATAGAATGGATATGGGAGAAGGCCAGGTTACAAACAAAAAAATATCGAGTCAAGAATAAGATGAGAAGTAGGCATTATAGTTTAGTATTTGCCGTTCATGTTATCGTTAATCTCCTTGCGGTTGGGGCCTGTGGAAGAGCGGTGCTTGGTACCATCGCCAGCGGCAGTAACGCGCATGCGGTGGGGCTTGAAATCGACAATCTGAATCGACTTTGAAGGGCGACGACCGTTCTTGACACCGGTGAGACGGATGTCGGCGCAGTTCATGTACCACTGGGGAAGAATGTTTGCGGTCCAGGTCCAGACAAAGAGGCATTTGTTCTTCTCTGTGCAGGAGGGGACGTTGTTGGGGATCTTGACTGGCCACTGGTAGTAAGCTGGAGGTGGGGAAGGAGGGAGGAGGAGGAGGGCGTTGTTATGATTAGAGTCTGGATATTCGAGAAGGAATGGAGGTGCCTGAATGCAATAATAGTATCAACAGAGCAAGCAAAAATAACATATATAGGTTATGGGTGGGTTGATAGGGGTATCAGAGCAAGATTGCAAAAGGCTTACCATCAGGGCAGGTGCGCGTGTAGCGGCCAATCAAATGGAAGGTCTTGCCATTGTCATACGAGAGGGAGAACTCGCACTGTTTTAAGGAACAGGGGAACAGAACAAGAAAGGTGGTTAATTTTAAATGCCCGAGGCTTGGCCATCATGTCTAAGGTTACAAAGGGAGGTATGAGCAGCTAGAGCAGGGCGCAAAAAAAACAACTAGTGTGTCCATTTACATCGCCTTTTGTGCTATGTAACGGTCAGTTGGCACGCTTTCCCTCTTTTGTCCTGTCCAGAATATCTTCCCTTTCCGCCACAAACAATAAAGCAAGAAAAGCAAGAAAAGCAAACAGGAAGGGAAAGAGAGGGAGAGCGAGAGGGAGGGAGGGAGGGGAAAAAATAGCTGCTCTCATCTTTTTTTATCTCACACTTTCCTCGGTAACCACTCATGGACGCCTCTCTCTCACCCTCATATCGAGCTTTAAACTCGTGCAACGTGAAACGATAAACCCTGATTTCTTCTAACGCCTCCGTTGTTGCTGGTGCCTGGTGGTGTTCTGTGCTGTTGGTTTTTCTGAACGCTCAATTTCTAGACTCTACACAATCCATTCCTCGGTCGCACAAAACAAAAGAAGCACCAAAAATGGAACCCAGAAGTAGAAAATCAACAATACACAACAATAGAGGACACAGGGGTTGAATCTTACCATACCACCGCCGTGGCGGGCCTGGCTGAACTGGCGGTTAGGGCTGGTGGGCTTGGGCTGGGAGCGGATTTGGTCGGCCTTCATGCTAGAGGCATAAAAGCGGACGTTGATAGTCTGGCCGGCGCGCATGTTGGTGACCGGACCGGGGGCGTAGCCTCCACAGGGGAAGCGCATGCTCCATTTGCTGTCCTTAAATCCGATAAAGGCCTATAGTTGGGACGGAGGAGTTTCGATCATTTGAAGCAAGGAGGTGGGCAGGAGTTAGAATTAATGAGGGTATTATTTAGTGTCTGTTTTCAAACAGGCATTGGTTCGCAGGTGGCATCATCGAGTGGATCAGAGGTAAGCGAAAAAAGAGATTGGAAAGGGAAATCTGAAAAAAAGGGACAAGGGGTGACGATGATGTTTGGTGGATGAGGGGAGAAGGAAGGAAGGAAGGGTGTTGATTTACATGGACACGGCCGTTGTATTGCTTGGTGCCGACACCACCGCGGGGTACAGGGGACAACATGGCCATATGGGCCGAAGCCATGGTGATGTAGGAGATGATCAAAAGGAGGGCGGCTGCGAACTTCATTTTTGTGGGTTGGGGTTTGGGGATTAGGGTGAAAGAGTTGAAGTTTTTGTTGCTGTTGTGAAAGGAAGTGAGGCGTCGTTAAGATGAAGGGGGAAGAAGATGGGTCGTCAAAGAGCGATGTTGGTCTGGTATCGATTAAGAGGAAACGTGAAGGGTGAGGAAGTAGAGGGAGGTAGAGAAGAGTGCTGTAGTAAATGCCGTGGGATATGGGGGTAAAAGGAAAGGAAGGTATAGGAGGAATGAGAAGAAGGGTGTCACAAAAATGAGGGAGAGGCGAGTAAAGAAAAGAAAAGGAATAAAAAAAAAGAGCGAAAAGAGTGAAGAGGGCGCCGCTTTTATGTAGGGCTCTCGCCTGTGTCGACTGTCCAAACGAAGACTTACGAAGAAGAGGGGAGAGGAAGAGGCAGTTGACAGTCAACGCTATCAATTTCGCAAAGTTAATTTAACATGGCCGATTTTTTTTTCCCGCCTGCCTCGACCCCCCTTGATTACGCCAATATCAAACGAGTGAACTCATGTGGAAGGGAAGAGAGTAATTGCGTCTGTGTACTTGTGACTGTCCCCTTGCGTCTGTGTGTCTGTGTGACTTCAGCGGGCAACTGCTGCGAGAAGTACAATAAGATAGGCTACCTACATATAATCTTATGACATAACGGAAGGCAGAGAATGTTTCCATAATTAAAGGTCGTTAATTGCAAGCAAAGGTCTGTTCTCAATCGCCCTCGGTAAGGGAAATTTCAGCAAGGATAAAAGTAGCACGAGAAGACACGAAAGTAAAGTAAACCAGATGCCATTATTTTTTTGTTCCTTGATTCCATCTCACGTTCAATTCACCTCGATCACAGTCCGTTGCGGCCACAGAGCAAAGAATGGGCGTGCCTCGATCGCGTCAAAATTTCATATTATATCCACTTTCAGATTTTTCTCGATAGTTCACTTTATTGCTGTTTGTGTTACCTCGCAACCAGCATTGCATATGCAAGTAAACAGAGCGAATCGAGAGATTTTTAGGGAAGGAAAAAAAGAGGAAGCCGAGGAAGGGAGATTTCATTATTGACCATGAGATTACATGGTCAGATGTTACAAGAGTCTCGGAAAGAGCAAAAATAATAATAGATGGAGGCCACTATGCCGGCGCTTTCGTTTGCGGCTCAATCCCCGGTGCATTATCTACCCGCCCGACTTCTCACTGCTCGTCTAGGGGGGCGCAACAAGCCTTTTCCCTTCCCTGTTCAGCTTTTGATCCTATATTACATCTCCTTCTCCGACCAGAGTAGCCCTAGCCTGTTAGTAATACCATTGAGAGCCCATTTGGGCCAAGTTTCGCGAACAGCGAGGTGAGACTGGAAGCTGAAGGTTAGTCATTTATTTCATCAATGGGTGTCATTAATGAGGTCCATGAGAATATAGAAAGTTGCAAGATAGGAGCTGGAGAAAGATCATGAGAGTGTGTGAGTTATAAGTGACGGCGGTACCCAGGGTACAGCTCTGTGGCGTATATCTTTGCGTGGGTATGTAGTCGGTAGGCGTGGACGGCCTAGATCATTGTTAGCGGTGAGATGGGGAAATATGAAAGGAAAAAAGAAACCTCTGTATTCCAGTTGTGTCAGTCAAGTCAAGCCGGCTAATAAAAGCTCCTCACTTTTTGTATAATGAAAGTGCGATTGGAAACTTGACGATGGTGGTGATAATGCGTGTTGTTGTTGAAGACAGAAGAGGAAAGAGGAAAAGATAGGTTTCACTGGAGAGCACTGAAAACAACAAGAAGAAGAGAAGTGAACAAATCTGTGCTTCGATGTGGAAGCATTATCGGATAATGTGTAAACAGTGTTGCTCCTGTTTCGCTTCTCACCATTGCGGACATGTTTGATGCGCTGCCATGCTTCATTACATGATGTTGTATGTATGTCATTCCCATGCAACTGCATGTTCGATCCCGTGGCCCTTTGTCTCTTTCTCCTCCAATGGGTTGTTATGATTTTTTTTACCCCTGTGTCCCTGTGGCGTGGAAACAAGGAACATCATGTTTATTTATCGTTCAGGAACAAGGAACGCAGCATCATCATCGCTCAGGGATGACTATCATAGGCCATGTTCCATCCACCCGGGTCGTTGGAAGAAATTTTAGATCCGTTTTTATTTTTGAGTTGGAGAGGAAGGTAGGTCATTCTTGACATGGGTCAAGCAAACTCAGAGATTGTGTGTGGGAGAGAGGTATGAGAGGTGGAGGAGGGATGGGAATGGGAGAAGAGAGCGAGGAGGAATGAAAGGAGAGCAGAAAAGAAGAGAGACGGCTGATCCAAGCTGGTGCCTGAAAGATAGAGGAGTGGCTTTCGATTTGCACTCAACCTTTTGCTTTTTATTACTTTCTCAGGCACAGCACAGTCCACTCTCACCTACTTCCACTCTACTCTACTCAACTCCACCCATACCCTAGTCCCACTCCACTCCTATCCTCATTCACTTGACGACTACTACCACTGTCACCGCTACTACCGTTCCTGACTTGGCATACCCTTCCACTCACTCATTCACTCACTCACTCTTCCTCTCATTCATCATTCAATCTCTCACCATCTAATCGCTCATTCCACTCGTATTCATCCTACCATTACCACTCCTTCTTTCCTTCTTTCGGTCACCAGACGAATTAATTTTTTTCAGTCCTTTAACTGATCTTGCATGACCCATTGACCATCAACCAAACTCTCTCCCATTCCGAATCTCAACTTTACATTCACACAACACCTCTTTTCCTCCCTCCCCCTTTACGATACCCAACAGAGCAACCATGAGGGACACGATAATTTCATCACTAGCGGCCTCAACAACACTACATCGCCCACTACTCCTCACATTCCTCATTCTCTTCTCTCTACTCCGTGCGATCAATGCACAAGAACCAACCTCGAGCATAGGGTTGGTACCAGCTCCAGCGGTGCCAACCTATCCTCCCTCTATCGATCCAGGGTTCAGTAATACAACCAGGGACTCATACCAATGGCCCAACTGCACCGATGCCCGCAAAGGCAATCTCCGGATAGCCCTCGTCACACATTGTAAGAGGCTTTACTCTCCCCTTCAATTTTTTTTACAGACGCGACTTTGGGCTCTCGGATCACCCTTTTTTAGGACAAACAACTAACCATGCTGGGCACACACGCACATTTGTATATACACATCCTTCTGTTACAATTATACAGCCTCAGTTATCCTTCCACAGGGCACAAAACTAGACGCAAAGGCAATATTACCCCTCACCGTCTCCATCACAGACGATCTCGCCGACACAGAATACGACCCTCAACGGATGAGCAACGCCATCTATAGCGCCATCAACAACCCCGTCGATGCCCTGATTGTCTCCATACCTGACTACGAGGCCCTACGGGAACCTATCCTCAAGGCTAAGGAGCTTGGCATCCCTGTCATCGCCGTTTACACTGGACTAGAAGCTGCAAAGAAATTGGATATTCTTGCCGTCATGTCCGACGAGGTACGTTGACAACAACAACTTTCGCAAATTCACAATTAAAATTGATAATTGATAAAAGAAGGATTCATGTTAACCGCGTCTTCTTTGTTTTCTCGCATACTTTTTTTAGTTGGAAGGAGGAAGAATTCTGGGTCAACAACTGATCCGCAAGGGTGCCAGGGACTTTGTATGCATCGGCCCGAGCCTCAAGATACCAACAATGGCAGATCGTTGTGGCGGTGTTCTGCAGGCATTTCTAGACGCTGGGATTAGCCTTTCAAGCGATGTTTCGACACGAATGCTTCACGTGGACAAGACTCGCAACACGACTCTGGGGAGCTCTATCCAAACCCTCAGGGATACTATTTTGGATATGAAGAGCGTAACGGGAGTCGTGTACCTCACATCACCAGTCTTCACCGAGACTAGCTTCAATCTGGCCGCGGCATTGAACGGGACACGCGAGTTTGTGTATACATCGTTTGACTTTAGCCCGGCGATGATGCCAGCTTTTACTACTGGTGCACTTCATTACTCCGTCTCAACCATGCTCTACATGCAGACCCTCATTCCTATTCTCTTGCTCTACGTCCAGGTAAGATAGGAACTACACGCGCATACAAGCAAACAAGTAATTCGCATCTCGGATAGGATACAAGCTCACCTTTTTTTTTTTACTTGCTTCACTTCATCAATCTGTATAGCTCAATTCTGGCGAGATGGTGAACCAGGACAGGATCTTGACAGGACCCAAGTTGGTCACCCTTAGCAATGCCAAGACTATGCTGATTCAGGAACAATGGACCGCCGCAACCTTCAAGGAATACGCCCTTAATTTCAGTGTCATGACTGGAAGGTATGATACTCTCGCCTATACATAATGATCCAAGCCATCGATTGCTTTTTTAGGCAACAGAGCCTAACGATCCTTTTCACTTTACAATTGAGTAGCCCGGTATCGGATGATCACTGGAACACACTTTCGACAGGAGCCAGAGATGCTGCACAGGCCCTTGGTTGGGAAATGACAGAATACCGATACGGCAGTCCGATCCGGACTGAGGTTGTTGACTATAGTATTGACACGGCTTTGAGTTACCGTCACACGCAGGGTTTGATTGTTAGCAACAGTCATTTCAGCAACCTCGACTACGCTGTCATGAAGTCTCTCGACCAAGTGCCCTCTCGGACATCGAACGCCAACAAGACCGAACAACTCGGCTGCAACAATAACAACAATGTCAATACACCTGGCACGATCGACTGTAAGGCATTGATTCCTTGGAATTACACCACCAACAAAGCCCTGCCGGTCCCTATTGTCGGCATCGGCTCGCCTGTGGCTAACCTCACCTCATTCCAACACCTGTCGTGGGTTGGCGAGACCGGATACTTGGCAGGAAACGAGTATGCCGATGCGATCCTGGCCAACGGAGGCAGACGACCCATCTGTGTCGTGTCCCTAGACGAGCCTGAGCAGCAGATGTTGATGTGCCAGGGTTTGTACGACCGTATGCTGACTATTCTGGGTCCAAACAGTCTACCTGCCTTCAACACCTTTTGCGTGCGCCTCGACATGGCCGAGTTCTTGCAATCAGAGCAAAAGTTTTCCGAGCTGTCCAAGGTGTACCCATATGACAGTCTTCACACCACCTCGACAAGTCTGTATGGATATGTCCGGAGGTACAGCTCGGCCATCAACAACATTTCGATCACAACTACTGGACGATCGGCCTATGCGCTCTCAGACTTTGTGGAGGGCAAGGTTGCCAGCTTATGGTCCCAGCAGTCATATCTCATTGGATTCATATCCGTCTTCCAGCTTGCATTTTCGACAGTGGTTCAGGACAGCACCTGGAGCTTTATCGAGACCGGACCGGCGCGCGTCAACTATGTCTGCGCTAAGGGGCAGATGTTTTCTTTGGAAAGCGACACTACGTCGCTCTTCTGTCGTCTGCAAAATGGAGCACACGTGAGCCGTTCTTATTGCCATCCTTGTCCCGCCCAACAATTCAGCGACTCCTACAACAGTCAAAACTGCACAGCGTGCCCGGACGGAACCTTCACCAACCATACAGGATCGACATTTTGTTGGAGCTGCGACGAGGAGGGTCAATCAGCGCGCGCCTGCCAGAAGTACTTCTTGTCGACACAACAGCAGCAACAGAGTCACGACAATATGCTGGCAATATTCTTGCCAATCGGTCTGGTTATATTTGCCATCGCCGCGACCGCTATCTTCATGTACTGCTTCCAGAAGCGCGACAGGAACAGGAAGATCCTTGATGATTCGTGGCAACTCTCGTACAGCAAGCTCATGGGCCATGATCCGGATCCTGACCAGGACGACGACAACGACTCGTATGGCAACGGCAGTGATGGAGGCAACACAGAGTCGAACATGGAGAAGGGACTCTTTTCTAGCACCAAGAAGAAGCCGGCATATGGCGCACGTCCCACTAGTCGATTCTACCGAAGTCGCTCCACATTCGCCGTCGGTGTGAATGGCATCCAACCGATGGATGCTTCCGGGAATGCGATCGGTGTCTATCGCAACCTGCCTGTCTTTATTCGCCGCATCGGAGGATCTAAGGTTAACCTGACAAGGAAGCTGAGGATCGAGATCATGGATGTGATGCAACTGCGACACCCAAAGTTGGTCGAGCTGGTCGGTGTCTGTCTTCAACCTCCGGACATTTGTATTGTCTATGAGCATTGTTCCAAGGGAACGCTGACTGAAGTTCTGGCCAACCCTGACCTGAACTTCAACTGGCTCTTCAAGTTGTCGTTCATGAGCGATATTTCTCGCGGGATGGATTTTCTCCAAAACTCCAAGATCCAGTGTCACGGAGATCTGCGATCGTCGAACTGTCTGGTCACGAGTCGGTGGGAGGTCAAAGTCGGAGGATATGGCCTCTCGGAGCTCATGGAGACTCAGCGGACAGGATACGGGCGATCGGCAACCACAGTCAGCACACCTGCCGTTACAGTGACCGTGGCGCAAGGAGAGAATGGCGCAATTGCAGCTGATGGTACAGGAGGACAGAGAAACTCGGTCATGCGAGCGAGCACCGACAGTCGTGCTTTGAGTATCGGATCTGTCGTGCCACCGCGCTCTCTTTCGGCGATCGAGGAGGATGAGAACGAGAGGGATGGATGCCCTTACTTGATTGCGAGCACTGCAGCTGAGATCCAGGCCGGTCTTTGGGTTGCTCCCGAGAACATGATCCACAGGGGTCACGTCTATCATAGAGTGGCCACCAAGTCTGGCGACGTCTTCAGCGCGGGTATTGTCTTTAACGAGATCATGACGCGGGCCTCGCCCTATGGTAGACAGCTCCAGGACATGGATCCAGTCGATGGTCCATCGCAGCTTTTGGATCTCATCAAGTACGGTGGTCTGAGACCTGACCCCTTTGTCGACGACGAGAGGGATGAGGGTGTCACTCACTTGAATAATTTGATCCGCAACTGTCTTCAGTCCGAACCTCTGATGCGTCCCTCGTTCACCCACATTCAACATCGACTGCGACTCATCAGTCCTGACGGCGACATGATCGGAGGGATGGCGGCCTTGCTCGAGAAGTATGCCAACGACATGGAGGAGTTAGTTAGGACGAGAACGACGCATCTGCAGACACGGACGGCTGAGCTGGAGGAGGAACGCCTTCGCACGGACGCGCTTCTGATTGATCTTGAACAGTCCAAGAACCAGGCCGAGGCTGCTGCCAATGCAAAGTCCAACTTTTTGGCGAACATGTCTCACGAGATCAGGTAAAACGTTGTTGGCTTGCTCACAAAAATTCGTCTATTTTGTGTAACATGCTGTTAACACTTTATTAACCACGCAACCATTTGTTTCTTTTTACATATGGAATTAGAACACCAATGAACGCGGTTATCGGTATGTCAAGGATCCTACTCGAATCAGACCTCTCCCCAGACTTGATGGATTGCGCTGAGACGATCGAGTCGAGTGGCAACCAGTTGATGGCCGTCATCGACGACATTCTCGATTTCAGCAAGATCGAATCTGGAAACCTTAAGTTGGCTCCTGAGAAGCTGGACCTGCCTCGTTTGTTGGAATCCGTATGCAACTTGGTCCTCATGCAGGCTGCCACCAAGGGGTTAGGTCTGACTTTTGTCATCCACCCTGATACACCGATTGATGTGCTGGGAGACTTGGTCCGTATTCGACAGATTTTGCTGAATCTGTTGAGTAACGCGATCAAGTTTACTGAGAAGGGAAATATTGTTGTGAAGCTGGAGCCCAAGCCCAGGATGTCGAGGTCGTTTCACAAGGCACACTACGAGACGGATACCTCGGAGTCTGCGTCGTCGTCGTCGCCGGACCAGGCAGCAGCAACAGGAACTCATGAAACGTCGGGGCTGCTGCTTAATGTCGAGCACGCTTGTTCTGATTCGAGCCTGCACTTGACGGATCATAGAGCGCGATTGGGGACTGGTTCTGGAAGTGATACAGGGTATGGTACGTCGTCACCATCACCTGCACCAGCGCTTGCACCAGCGACAGATAATTGGAACTCGAGTCATAGTCAGGAAAATCTTGGCGACAGCCATTCGTCGTCGTCCTCGTTTCCGGACGAGAACCATGTCGATCTGTTGTGGTCTGTCGCTGATCAAGGCGTGGGTATTCCTGCGCAACGGATGCACAAGTTGTTCAAGTCGTTCAGTCAGGCCGACGACTCTGTGACCAGGAACTTTGGTGGCACTGGACTTGGACTTGCTATTTCCAAGAAACTTGTTGAGTTTATGGATGGTGAAATGGTGAGCGGTCTTTGCTTTTTTTTTTTTTGTTGATTTTTTTGGTCGTTACACAACTATGCATGGGTACACTAACGAGATTTATTATTTCATGCTTATTTCTTAGTGGGCTGAGTCTGAAGAGGGAGTGGGATCGACGTTCTACTTCACGACCCTTCTCAGCTCTCCAAAGTCCAGCCAGACAGTGTCGCAGCAGCTGAACCTGGCCTTTTTCAAGGACAGAACCCTCTTGATCATCGACGACCGCAAGGTCACCAGAACCTCGTGGATCCACCAGTCATCTACCTGGGGGTTCCAAAAGACCCTTGTCTTCAACATCCAGAAGGCTCTTGACTACTTGAAGCAGCATCGTAATGAGGTTGATGTGGTTCTAATCGATGTCGATCGGCCGCAGGCGAAAGTTAACCCTGGTCTGGCGATCCTTCAACAGATCCGCAATATGCCCGCGCAGGAACAGGAGAGTGACACCGGGTCTGCAGGTCTCTCGCCTCCTCTGCCGGCTCCGTCGTTGTTGGTGCCCGGCAAGCCCATACCCTGTGTCTTGGTGTCATACCATCGCCGTAACCACCCCGATCTCAGCCACTATTCCTCCAGTTCACCGCCCTCCAAGATCGCCACCCACGGTTCCCCCTCGCCCATCAGCCCGATATCGCCTAGGTCCATGGCGCCCAACTCCCCCGTTCCAGGAGGAGGGCCAATGAAGGATAGGAAGTTCTCCAAGGGTTCTGGGTCGAGTGACAACCTCTTTTCCGCGACCGACTCTCTAGATCCTTTTGGTAGCCATCCCCATTCTCATGCGGGATGTATGCCAAATACCATGAACAGTGGGATGTTGGTCACCAAGCCTTGGAACTCTCGCAAGGACCGGTCCTCTTGCTTCAACACCAGCCCTACCATCGGCAGTAGTATCGGCACCAATGGTAGCAGCAAGAGCGGTGCCAATGGCGCTGGCACCTTCCCAAAATGCAGCTCCCCAACCTCGCCACACCACCCAATCCTTCCTGGCGACCTTACAGCTGCCACCCATCCACCACCCTCACTCGATTTCCAGGATCAGGAAGACGCGTCGGTCGGACATCTCATCAAACCCGTGAAGCAGTCAAAACTCCTCCCAATGTTCCATGGACTCATGACAGGGTCTTGGCCCCTCGCCTGCGCTGCGGCGCCCGACAACGATGTTCGGAGTGACCAGCGCAAGAAGCAGATGGAGAAGTTGGAGTGTTTGCTGGTCGATGATAACCCTGTGAATCAAAAGGTCATTTCCAAGATGTTGAGTCGGATTGGGATTGTGCCGGAGCTTGCGGCGAATGGGCTCGAGGCTGTCGAAAAGTGTCGGGCGCGTGCTGAAGCTGTCGCTGCTGCTGCTGCCGCTACTACCGCTGAGGGAGGCGAGGATGGGTCGAGTTTGACGTCCACCACGACTGCAGGAGGAGGAGGAGGAGCCATGAAGGCGAAGAAGGTCAAACAGTACGACATTGTCTTTATGGATATCTGGATGCCCATCATGAGCGGCCATGAAGCGACCAAGGAGATCCGAGCCACCGTCCCAGGCGTCACAGCCACCTCGCCATTGATTATCGCCATGACGGCCTGTGTTATGCCAGGGGACCAACAGAAATGTATCGACAGTGGGATGAACCGGTACCTTTCCAAGCCTATCCGTAAGGAGGAACTCTCCAAGACTGTAGAGGATTGGTTGGATGAACGGGCCATGGCCGAGGAGGAGTTGAAGCTTTTGAATCAGAGGAAATTGATCCAGAAGAAGAAGCGGGAGATTTTACAGAAGCGTAGTTTGGCGGTGCTGACGACGGGTGTGGATGAGTTTGGGCAGCAGGTGGAGGCCGGGTTACCGTCAGTAACTGTTGTTAATGTCGAGGATGACGATGAGGACGACGAGGACGAAGACGATAGTGGTAGTGATCAGTTGGGACAAAGCGACGAGGGGTTGGGTGGAGAGCACGAGGAGGAGCTGGTCGACTCGAACGACGGAGAAGTCTTACCCTGTGGCGTTCATGCCAACAATATCAACGACAAGATCCAGTTACACTCGCTCGAGAACAATCGTATCGCCGCTGCACGTCAGAAGAGACGTCATCAACGGACCCGAATGAGCACCGACCCGATGCTGATGAGCGACTCTGAGGGTGTCCTTGGCTGCTGTGATGGTGGTGGAGGTGGACTCAAGATCATTAGTGTCGGCGAGGATGAGGTTCGGGCGGCTACGCGAGAGCGCAAGCAGCGTGGGTCGCGAAATCGTGGAGGATCAGGGTCGATTCTGGATCCCTTAACTGGTAGTGTTGTCCAGGGTAATCGGTCTTCGGGCGGCGACGAGTATGAAGACGATGAGTTTGAGGACGACGAGAGTGATATGGACCTCGATGATGATCCCCAACAGCCACAAACTGTCTTTGCGGAGGGCGCTTCGGTTGAGCGACCCCTTTCCCACACGACGATGGACTCTCTCCACACCGCCAACACGCACAACACGCACACCGCAGATGGAGCTTCGAGTCAGCGAAGCAGTCTGTTGCCCAACTCTTCCAGTCTTCGCACCATCCGCGGAATCTAGACGAAGGATACTTTCCTTTACATGTAATGTTCACTCGAGCTATCCTTCACAATACCAACCAGCAAAACCAAAACGCAAAAAAAGATTCTCTATTTTATTTTGAGTTGGAAATGGAGGTGGGTTGTTTTATGCGGCCTTGGGCTTTGGTGGCTCGACGCCGACACCGACAATGCTTTCACCCGACCGAATGTTCCCCAGGGCCTGGATCACAGACACGGCTGGACATCCTGCGGGGGCAAAGTGGACAATGAAGTCTCCCTGCTCGTAGAAAGATGGGAAGGTGTTCATGGTATGAACGTCCCTGTCAAAGAGGTACACCTAATCATTCCAACATTGGCACACAATATATTAGTACATTGATAATATTACACGAAACGAAATATATGCATATACAAAAGATAAAAGACAAAGCTTACCCCAGAGGTCCAGAGAGGATCCTGCATGACCTCCCAGATGGCGCCCTGCTCATAACTAGGCCTTTGATTATACCAAGTCTTGCGCCTCTGAACTTCATTCAAGAACTTCCTGCTCCAATCCGTATTCTTGATCAACATGACTCCCGCATTCAACATCACATCCTTCAACGGCCGGGAGACAATAATGCTAACCTCATTCTGCTTGTTCACATTCAACGCCTCCGCCTTGCGAATAATCTCTCTCACATCCTGGTCCAGATTCGCAACAATCGCATCCATATCCATCCAAAGCAACCACTCATAATGCGGAAGCGTCTTCTGGATGGCCCCAATCTTGCCCCAGACCCGTTGACGATGTCGGAATTCCTCCTGGGCAAACTCGGCGGCGCGAGCGACAAAGTAGTAGCCGTGTTTCTCGGCATAGATGCGCTTGTTGTCGGCCGAGGGCAGGGCGGCTTCGGCCATACACATGTCGGCGTAGATGTAGGACGATGTCAGAACCGCAATGCTCTTGTTTCGGAGCGGGTCGACGGCGCAGGGCGAGATGGGTTGGACGGCGATCCGTTGGGCGAGTGGGTTCCAGTCCTCCAACTGGTGTACCAATCCGATAACTGCAGCCGATGTTGGGACCTGATCGATATCCCCCTGCCAGAGTGGGGCCTCCCCCTGGAGGACCTTAACAGTCTCGACGATCTGACTGTTATAGTAAATCGACGCAGCGGTGATCAAGTCCATGAACGTCCCGTCCTTCTCAATGCTGACCCGGTTCTTCAAGATCTGGGTTGCGGCAGGGAAGGAAACCAGGGCTGCAAAGGGGTTGGTGGGCGTCTCGCCCCATGTCATGAGCAATCCCGCAGTCCCTGCGGTGGCCTCTCTGGCAAGGGATTCCAGCTTTTGAACATTGACGATCGAAGTCGAGTCAAAGAGGATGACCTTGTCCACCGTGATCTTTTCCTGTGGCACAAACGTGTTCACCTGTTTGTTATGACAAAGGGGGGGGGTAATAAGAAGGCATAAATTAGCGCACCATCCTGATCTGCCCCATGATTCGTCGTAGTCTTCTCCCTGCGTCTGTCTGTCCTTGGTCATAATAGAAATATTGCAGCTTCGCTAGACCCTCAACAATCCTCAACAATCCTCAACTGTTCCAACAAACCAACTAGAGAACAACAGATGGCAACTTACGGCCCAGTTCAGAGCTTCGCCCCAGACAGCATGCCGGCTCTTAACCGTCCGGTTCGTGAAATGCCAATCGTCAAACTCCATAAACTCTCCATGCAGACTCCGGACTTGCGCCTGCATGTACTGAGCCGTATAAATCCCCTGCTTGAGCCAGGTCGACTGTCCATAGATATAAAACTTGTAAATAACATTGCCATCGTATCGGGCACAGGGCTCGAGGTTGTTTTTGATTCCAAAGAGCGTCTCGCGGACCCAAACACGGTTCTGGAGTTGGGTCCAGCTGGTGGGGATGATGATTAGGCTGTCGTAGTGGTTGGATGTGTTTGGGACCGTCAAGGGTTTGAATGATGTTGTTGAGGGGTTGTTGGAGCTGTGGTCGAGGACGGCGGGGTCGCGGATGTAGGGCTTTTCGAGGACTGGGGGCCCAGGTGGCGGTTTCTTGCGTGAGTCTTCGCTGCCACCCCCTGGTGGCGGTTTTTGATGCTGTTGTGAGCGTTCGGGCGGGAAGCTGTTATCATCGTCGTTGGTATAGTTGCTCCTGCGGTGGGAGATGACCAAGAGCATGAAGAAGACTAGGCCGATGGCCCAGTAGGTTCTTCTGATGGGCATGTCTGGTGTCCTTTTGGGTGTGTCGATGGATGTGTGTTCCTGTCCAGTTGGTGGTAAGCTTGTGCTGGGCTGGGCTGGGCTGGGCTGGGGATGAATGAGCGAATGAGGACGAAGAAGAATGAGAGAAGAAAATGAACGAAGGAAAGTAGGAAAGAGAGAATGAAGGAAGAAGGAGAGAGATAGGAAAGGGTCTAGGTCGGTGCGTCCACTCACTGCGAGGGTAAAAAGTGTGACAATTAGGATAAGGAGCGAGAAATTCTATTTTGAGCGGGGCGCATTGACGACTACCTGTGATGTACGTCTGTCTTGCTGACGATGTAAATAGGTGTCTGGGTTGAATCATCTGGATCAGGCTGGATGGCTAGCTAGGGACAAGGTGGCGTGGAATGGCTATCTACCTATCCGTGTCCAATGCACGCGTTAAAGGGCGTCTACATAGGCTGTGACATCATCCTCTAGCTCAAGTACGATCAGTCCAGGTACGATCAGTCCAGGCACAGTGCATCGTAAAAGAAGCGAACCGTGATGAGCCAACAGACGTATCCATCTTATCAAGCACCCTTTTCCCTTAGCTGCGCTTATTTTTATACCCCTGAAAGACGTCGTAACCTGTCCGCACGCCTCTTTTTCCTAACTCAGCATTCATTCCCTTCCTCATTACCCTTTTGCATTCATTCTCCACTTTCTTCGACATCACTTCTTCACCACGTTTAACAACAGCATTCTTCAACTCATTGCAACCATGGGCATCCTTCCTACCTCCGACAAGTTCCCCGTCCTCGTCGTCCTCAACCCACACTCTGGACGCAAACAAGGCCTCGAAGCCTGGGAGAACACCGTCAAGCCGGCCCTCAACGCCGCCAACAAACCCTTCCGTCTTATCGAAAGCAACTCCCAGGGACATGTCATCTCCTACTTTGCGGATAACATCAAACCCATCATCACCGACCTCGCCCAGTCCCTCAGCACCGTCACCCCAGGAGCTGGCGACGATGAAACGATCGTATACCCAACATCTGCCAAGCTGCAGATCATTGTCTTGGGTGGCGACGGGACCGTTCACGAGATCGTCAATGGCATCCTGAAGGGCGTTGAGGGCACCGGCTTTGTGACGGATGCCTTCCGCCCGGAGGTCGAGTTCTCAGTTATCCCCACGGGTACAGGAAACGCCATCTCGACCAGCCTTGGCGTGACGAGCGTGCAGGACGCGGTCGATCGCTTTATTACAGGAAAGACAGTCCCACTGCGTTTGATGTCCGTGGTCACACAAACATTGCAACTCTACACGGTCGTCGTCAACAGCTATGGCCTTCATTGCGCAACCGTCTATGACTCGGAAGAGTTCCGCCACTTGGGCAACGATCGCTTCCGCCAAGCGGCCATGAAGAACGTTGAGAACCTGAAGCAGTACGAGGGCAAGCTGTCGTTCTATGGCCCCACCCAACGATATAACCGCGCCTCGGCATCCCTTGTCGATACTAGGGCCGAAAACGACATTGCGCAGGCCGACAACAAAAGTGCCGCCGCCACACTTACTTTGTCAGGACCATTCACCTACCTCCTCATCAGCAAACAGGCATCCCTCGAGCCAGGATTCACTCCAACACCCTTTGCAAAGACATCTGACGACTGGATGGACGTCTTGGCAGTCCAAAATGTGGGCCAGGCCGAGATCATGCAGATGTTTGGATCCACAGCCACCGGAACCCATGTGAACCAGGACCACGTCGAGTACATCAAGGCAAGGACCATTGAACTGGAGACCCCCACCCAAGGACGGCTCTGCATCGACGGAGAGTTCTTGACTATCGAGGCCGGATCAGAGGGCAAGGTCCGTTTCGAGGTCACCTCTGATCCCAACATCCAAATCTTTCACATTTTTGCGTAGTTTTTGTCCTTCCGTCCCGCAAACATGCGGTGGAATAGAGTGTTATCTATCCCTTTTCATCATAAATATATGCATGTCATTTGGATAGGCATCCTGGCCATTCTTTTTTATTTTGTTTACTTCTCTCGCCCATTGACGATGTAAGTACAGTCCATGTTTTAAAATGGACGGTTATCAATGGTCATTGGAGTCCCTTATTTTTTCAAGAGTGCCTTTTAACCCTGTATGAGCAATGGGTTACCTGAAGTGGCGGTTGATAGGGTTCCGGAAACTGGAGTACCGCTGTGTTTTACGGTTAGAGAGAAAGAAAGAAAAAGAAGAAAAAAAAAAGGACGGAAAAAAAAACATGTGAGCCTTTTCCGTGTTTGTTTTGACAGCGGATATTGGGGCGTATTCAAGTGCATTGCCAATGCAAGAGAAGCACTTTTGTAATCCCGCATGGCAAAATAGGTTAGATCTTTGGATGGAACAGGGCAGGGCAAACCATGATTGAGGCAGTGCAACATTGCAAATCACAATCCCAACGGAAAAAGCGGAATACGAAGAACATAAAAAGTTGAATCTGGTTACTCTACCTCCATCCAGAATGGGCGGATTATTTGTCTCCCGTTGTGATTGTTCGTCAGATGGTGAGCCGTCGTTTTTTTTTGTGAAAAGGAAGAGCGGCTCGTTGCCTTGTGGTTGTTTCGTGTTTGTCGTGTTTTTTTCAGGGCATTCTTTGAAGTTGAGAAGTGAACGTGTGAGCGAGTAGAAGACGAAGAGGAGAAAATGGTGTTTTCTTGGTCAGCATTAAGGTTTACTTTCTCATAACGTCCGCTGTTTTTTGTTGCTTCCATTTAGATCCACGACATCACCATCATTCTCACTCAAGAGAAACATAACAAACCGACAAGGGGAGCCGGTTCTTTTGAGCATACAAGTTGATAGATATGTTGGATAAGGTATTATTATTGGTACAATGAAAATGAGATGAGTGTCGATGGTGTTACTTAGGCGGTCTATTCCTCGGTCTCCTTCTCGTCAGCGCCGGTGGTCTGGCCGGTGATGGGGCACTTGAGGACCGAGGGGCTGTTCTTGAGCATCTCGTTGAAGAGAGCAGCGGGATCGTAAAAGGTCTCCAAGCTCTCGATCTGGAACTTGTCATTGACGTGGGCAATGGTAACGCCAAAGATCTCGACGGTCTCGTTGGTGGGGTCGGCGACGAGCTTCTCGGTGTCCGAAACGGGGCAACGGAGCTTTCCGGTGAACTTGCCCCAGTGGCGCCACTTGAAGGCGACGACTGGGGGGCCAGAGTAGACATTGAGGCACTCCCAGGCGAAGCCACCTCGGAGAGACTGCTTGAAGGTCAAGTGGGACTCTTCGAATCCAGAGTTCTTGGAGGAGTAGTACTGGGTCTCGCCGAGGAGGGCGTTGTAGGTTCCAACGCGGAGCATGTCCTCGACCGACTGCCAGCCGCCGCCGTTGGTCGAGAACTTGTAGACCTTGTGGTCGATCGTGCGCCAGTCGACGGCCTCGGTCTTGAAGGAGGCTTCCTTCTCCCAGTTCTTGACGAGGTTTTCGACAAGGAACTCAAGCGAGTCGGAGGGGTGAACCTGGGTGCGCTCTGCCTCGAAGAGGGCGTTGGGCTTGGTGTAGTTGGGGGCCTTGCCTCCGCGCCAGTTGACGCCCTGGTCGTTCAGGACGGCGTTGCGGTCGGTCATGTAGTCGGGAAGAGACATTTTGTAGGTGTTGTGGTGAGTGGGGAGGTGGGAATGGGATGAAGAGAGAAAGAAAGAAGAAAGGAAGAGAAGAGAAAAGAAGTAAATACAAAAAAGCCGAGCAATATACTTTCTTCCAAAAAGTCCGAGACTAAAAGACGCAATTGATAGTACATTGCATATGGGCAATGAGTCTCGGGAAAGGGCGCCCGTTATTGAGAGCATTGGGCGACAAGGACAACAGGATTGCACGGGAACCTTCCTACCATTCGACTTTCTGATGGCTCGCTCCTGATTCACATTACAGGGGTATGCTATCCAGATACCCAGGCCCACCTCGTTATTCTGAACAGCCCTGCATCCTCCTCCAACAAGGTTCATATCAAAGAACCAAATAAACACACTCACAAATCAATGCTTTATGATGATGCTCTTATTTATTTATCCCTCGTCAACAACCAACCAGAACAACCATAGACGCCATCCCATCTATTTCATGGGGAGAGACAGCGGCTGTGCATATGTATCTATTCTAATCCTCCTTGCTCATGACTTCCACACCATCTGCACATGTCTCCATCTCGTTGTCGCCAACAGTCGAGTTGCTGTCGCCAAAGAACCTCCCCGTCTGGATCCTCCACATCTTGTAGTACTCGCCCTGTCCGCCGTTATCAATCGCTGCCTGAACCAGCTCCTCATGCGTGCCCCTTTCAACAATCTCCCCTTCCTTGATGTAGAGGATCAGATCGGCATGCATGATCGTGCTCAGTCGATGTGCAACAGCGATGGTCGTCCGGTTCTCTGTTAACTTGGTCAATGCCTGTTGGATATCACTCTCGGTCATGCTGTCGAGCGCCGAGGTAGCCTCATCCATGACAATAATGGGCGGGTTCTTGAGGACTGTCCTTGCAATCGAAATACGTTGTCGTTCTCCTCCAGAAAGCTTGGCTCCTCGATTTCCGACCGTGGTCTCGTAACCTTTCTCAAACTTCATGATGGTGTCGTGGATTTGGGCGACCTTGGCAGCTTCCTCAAGCTCTTCCTTGGATGCTGTTGTACGACCATAGTTGATGTTGTATCCGATAGTATCGCCAAATAGAACAGGATCCTGTGGCACGGCTCCAATATTCTCTCGCACACTCAGCTGGGCCACCTTGGAAATGTCCTGTCCGTCAATCAGAATCCTGCCAGAGGATGGGTCCCAAAACCGGATCAGGAGACGCAGAATCGTCGACTTTCCACTTCCGGTGGGCCCAACAATGCCAACGGTTTGACCCTTCTGAACCTTGAACGAGATGTTGGAAAGACCTCTCTTGTCTGGGCTGTACTGGAAGCTGACGTTCTCAAACTCGATCTCTCCGCCTGAAACGACCAATGGTGGCGCATCCGGGACGTCGTTAACAGTGGGTTCCAACTTCAAGACCGCCATCATCTCGTCCACGCTGGCAAGGGTACTCCGCAAGTGATCAGTCACCCACGCCAAAGACTGGATAGGTCCCTCGAGCTGCTGTGAGTAGAGGACGAAGGTCATAAAACTGGCAGGGTCTCGCTTTCCACTCGAAATCTCGTGGGCACACAGCAAGCATCCTGCGAGGAGGTTCCACGTCCAGATGAGGGTTTGGATAATGGACAAAGACCGTTGCTTAAAATTCATGTTAGCATTCGACGCCCGAGACCTTCTTTCGATGCTCTCTTCGTACCGCCCCACTTCGTATGCCTCGTTGGTGAAGTACTTGACCGTCTCTGCGTTCATCAACGTTTCTTCTGGGTGACTCCTTCTTGTGCCACCAGTCTGGATCATATCCCGGTGCATCTTTCTCATCATTTGTCCATGCAGCTTGCTTGCGATAGTGATGAAGATTGAGTTGGAGATGATCAAGAGGCCATACTTCCATCCCCAGACAATGGAAAAGTAGAGGAGAGTCACCGATACGTCGCATACCGTCGGGAAGAGACTGAAGAGGATGATGCTGGAGACTTGGGTGACGGATTGAACTCCATCCTGCATGATGTGAATGAGTTCATGAGGCTGCTTGTCCTGGTGGAACTGCATCGAGAGAGAGTGGACATGCTCGAAGAACCGAATTTGGAGCGTGTCGCAGACAAAAGAATCCAGAGGCTTCTGGGCGGTACTGTGCAGGAGAGACAGGATGCTTGAGTGCCGCTGCAGGTAGCTGTAAAAGACATAGAGCAGGACCGAGCCGACGTCAAACTTGGACAGGGCGACAGAACCATTGGTCTTGCCATCAGGAGAAAAGACCCGGAGGAGGCGCTCAGTTTGAAGAGGGACCAGGATACGAATGACTCTCTCAAGTACCATGAGGGTAAATCGTAACAGAAGGAGAAGCTGAAGTTTCTTGTTGCCGACGGGGTACATCATACGGATGGACATCAGGACCTTGGGTACGACGGACTTGAGGGCGTCAGCTCGATACTGCTCGGCGGTGTCGTGCTTCTCGAGCTGCTCCTTCTTGTCGGCCGACTCGGCTGCCAGCTTGGCTTTTTGCGCCTTCCTGGTCGATGGGTCCTTCAACAGAGGGGTAGGCAGGGGCAGCGGGTTGATGTCCAACCCTCCGAACAACTGAATCACCGAGAGGGTACTAATGGCTGATAGGAGACCAAGTCTGAGAGCAAATATGCAGATCATGACTCTCTCACAGATATCCTCAGTTACCGATGGAAGGAGTATTCGACGGCTCAACACGATGTTGGATTGGAAGAGGTCACCGCTGAGGAGAGATTGGCAGCCGTGGGCAATGTGAGGAGACACCGAAACAAGGGCGCCGACAAAGCCAGTCCATGCAAGGAGGTGGTGGAGCAAGTGGGATGTACGGGACCTTAGCATATTGGTATCGGCGGCGAGGAACATCCAGTTCAAGGTGAATGCGATCCATGCGGCAAGTTTGGCGGAGGCTGATGACAGTGTGGATGAATCCATATGCTGGGCTTGACTGACACGATATCCAATGACGGCCAGATCGAGGAGGTATGTTGCAGACACCACTTGGTAGAAGCGAAGAAGAATCTGATCCATGAACGTATGCTGTCTGTGCTCACCGACGACACTGTCCTCTAGGTTCTTCTTTATCTTGTCGTCGTTGTCATCACTGTAATCGCTGTCGCCTTGAATGCCGTCTTTGGTGCTTATTGCTGTTGTTGCTGTAGAGTTGGATCTGCGTAGGGAGAATCTATTGACAAGACAAGTTGTTAGCCGATAGGCCCCAGGAGCTGTTTGATTTGGCTCGTGCGTCGGAGGAGTTGTGGTGGAAGGGGAGGAAGGGACATACTTTAGGAGGGAGAATGCGATGGCGAGAGCGAACAGTAAGAAGGGCAGGCTGCCTTCTAATGGAGCCTTGTCGATGTGGAAAACTGCAGAATGAGCCATCCTTGAATGTGTGTGTGTCTTGGTCGGGCGAGCTATGCAAGGGTTGATCGATTGGTGAAGGGAAAAGGGCGATGATAAATTGGCAAAGGGGCAAGTCCGTCCTTTTAAACGTTTTTAGGTGCCTTTGCCAAGAAATCTAAGAGGTTGCGGCGCATGCTACGATTTGGCGCAGACGATAGGGGCCGTCCATGGTCCAAACTCCAAAGTAGACACGTAAAAAATTGCAGTAAAAGGAAAAAAATATCCCTCTCTGTCAGCAAAGGGGAAGGAGAAGATGTTCATCATGTCATCGAGCATGGTAAGCGGCTAGCTCGCTTTTCACTTCCCACGCAACAGCTCGGCCACCAGTACCCTTTGCTATTTAATATGTGTTCTACTGCGGAGGTCTCCCTGACGGTGTGATAGTTCTTTCCTAACCCATGACCATGTCATTTTTTTTGTTTGAAACGCGATTGGATGTCTGAGCAAAGGTTTCCCAGGATAAATACACGTGACCTAGACACACATCATGCCTTTTTCCGGACCTCCCTCCCTGCTCTCTTCTCCTTCAAAGATCATCTCCACCGTCACCACCCCATGCTTCGCGTGCTCTTCTCTAAATCTGCCGGTCGTGCTGTGCGCCAGGCTGGAGGTAAAATAGCAACAACTCACTGCTAGTAACTGAAGCGTAGACACCTTTACCAGGGGAGGCTTTGACCTTGTCACACAATACCTGATCCGTGACTCGGTGAATGAAAACCTTCGGACCAGCAGAACCTCTCGGATTCATGGTCATGTCCGAGCCAGGATTCATGCGCGTTGAATCACTCCAGGACACAACACCCTCAACAACTCAGTCGTAATTATTTTGGGTTCACACTAGCCAGGATGGAAGGCACACTCTTGCTACAAAAGGATCATAACAGCAACAAAGACACTGTCCAGCATGCTAATAGCAAAGCATATTGATCATTGGTCGGATATCTAGCCCCCCGTCACTTTCGTACTTCAGCCGTTGCCAGGAATGAGGTCGAGGTCTTTGTCGACGGCAAACCCGTTAAGGTTGAGGCTGGCTCCGCTGTCATTCAAGCTTGTGAGAAGGCCGGCGTCCATATCCCCCGTTTCTGTTACCACGAACGCCTCTCGGTCGCAGGAAACTGCAGAATGTGTCTGGTCGAGGTCGAAAAGACACCCAAGCCCGTCGCCTCCTGTGCCTTCCCCGTCATGCCCGGAATGAAAATTAAGACCGACACTACATTGGTTAAAAAGGCTCGTGAGGGCGTCATGGAGTTCCTGTTGGCAAATCATCCCCTGGACTGCCCTATTTGCGACCAAGGAGGAGAGTGTGATCTTCAGGACCAGTCTGTTCGGTATGGATCTGATCGCGGTCGTTTCTCGGAAGTTGTTGGCAAGCGTGCTGTTGAGGACAAGGAGCTCGGACCTTTGATCAAGACCACCATGACTCGTTGTATTCACTGTACTCGCTGTGTGCGTTTCGCCAACGAGGTTGCTGGTTTCCAGGATCTCGGAACCACTGGACGCGGCAATGACATGCAGATTGGAACATACATCGAGAAGACCATGAACTCTGAAGTAACGTATCCGATATTAAGCGACACATCGTTCACTTCTTCCAGACGGGGGAAACCTTATAGGACATTAATTAACCAACTGTCGTCTCTTTTTACTTATTTCACCACGTGGCGCATCCATGGATATTTGGACGATATTTATTCACCATCACCACGGATAACAGATGTCAGGAAACTTGGCAGATGTCTGCCCTGTTGGAGCCCTTCTCTCTAAACCCTACACATTCAACGCCCGTCCTTGGGAGCTGAAGAACACTGAGTCGATCGATGTTCTTGATGCTCTCGGATCCAACATTCGCGTCGACTCTCGCGGTGTCGAGGTCATGCGCATCCTTCCTCGCCTCAACGAAGACATCAACGAGGAGTGGATCTCGGATAGGACTCGCTCTGCATACGATGGTCTCAAGACCCAGCGTCTGACAACCCCCATGATCCGCAAGGGCGATATCTTTGTCAACGTCAACTGGGCTGATGCCCTGCAGAAGGTCGCATCTGAGATGAAGATTGCTGGTCCCGGCATCAAGGCCATTGCTGGTCAGTTGGCCGACGCTGAATCGCTCATCTCCCTCAAGGACCTTGTCAACACACTTGGATCAGAAAACGTCACTGTGGATAACCGTCGCCAGGATACCCCCGCTCACGGCGCCGACTTCCGCTCTAACTATTTGCTGAACTCGACGATTGCCGGCATTGAGCAGGCCGACGCTCTCCTTTTGATCGGAACCAACCCTCGTCACGAAGCTTCCGTCATGAACGCTCGTATCCGCAAGGCTTTCGTCTACAACGGCCTCAACGTCGGCCTTGTTGGTGCCCCTGTCGACTTGACCTACGACTATGAGCACATTGGTGCTGACACCGCCTCCCTCGAGGCCCTTGTTTCTGGCAAGCATGCCTTCTCTGCCCAGCTTTCTGAGGCCAAGAACCCCATGATCATTATCGGAAGCGGCGTCAACGATTTGCCCGATAGTGAATACGTGTTTTCGTCGGTATCCAAGATTGTCAACCAGCACAAGGACAAGTTCTTCCAGGCGAACTGGAACGGCTTCAACGTACTCCAGCGCGTAAGTACTGGGTTAATCGAGCACGGTTTAATTAATATGATTAATGACAATGGTGTCTTGGTTCAAGGGTCACCTTCGCTAATAATTCCATGTACATTTATTTTTGTACGGTACGGGACCCCTAGGCTGCCAGCAGAGCTGCTGCTTATGATATCGGTTTTGTTCCCCAGGCCAAGGAGACTGAAAAGACGTCGTTTGTTTACTTGCTCGAGGCTGATGAGATTTCTGCCTCTGATATTCCTAAAGACGCGTTTGTTGTCTACCAGGGTCACCACGGTGACGTCGGAGCCCAGTATGCGGATGTGATCTTACCTGGAGCCACATACACGGAAAAGAGCGCGACATATATTAACACCGAGGGTCGCCCCCAGCAGACACGCGCTGCTGTACCACCACCTGGTGCTGCCCGTGAGGACTGGAAAATTATCCGTGCCATCTCTGAGGTTGCTGGAGCCACTTTGCCATACGACGACATTCACCAGGTTCGGGACCGTCTCCGTGACATTGCCCCTTCGTTTGCCCACTATAACGTTGTTGAACCCAGCTCAGTGGCAGTAGCATCATTGGGTCTCTCAACATTGAACAAGTCGGGAGCCAATTCGAGCAGGTCGGTGTTTACCCCTGTTATTTCAGATTACTACATGACGGATTCAATCACCCGTGCATCGTCGACGATGGCCAAGTGCTCAGTAGCATTCTCGAAAGGCAGCCACCGCCCTGACGAATCCGAGTTTAAGATCGAGGCACATGCTTGAGAGTAAAGAAAAGAGAAACATAATAAAACGCTAGAAATCCATTCAAAAAAAACTAGGGTATGTTTTTTGCTGGCTGATAAGGGAATGATGGGTCAAGGTGAAGGAGAGTCGATGAAAGCCGATCCTATCTATTTTTTTTTTCTTTTTGTTTTTAGTGGAATTGAAACGCGAAAAGTCTCGAATAACCGAATAACCGAATAACCGAAAAAAAATGAACCTGTTTCACCTTGGGGCGTTGTGATGTGTGGATCGCTGTACTTGTTGTGGGGCTTGACAAACAAGCTAACTAAATAAAAACACCGCTGTCACCATTGAACAGCCGCCTCTTTTACTTGTTGTCGTTGTTGTCGTTGTTGTTGTCGTCGTCGTCGTCATCGTTGCTGTGGTTTTGTTCTTTCCATTCTCTCATTCATTCTTTTCACTCATTCACCTCATTTCCTCTCTCCTCTTTTCCATTTTTTTCCTTTCTGTACGACATCGTATCACAATATCCCTCCAGCTTCGCCCAAACAATCAAGCACGCGCTCTTAACTCTGCAATCTTACCCGCCACTGCCCACCCTCCCTCCCTCCCTCGCTTCCCTCCAGCCTCACCATCTCTCCTTCCTACTTTAGAACACGCACCAATATCAACAGTAGCTACCCGACGCTAATACTGAAAGAGAGACTTGAAAGGAAAACAATCGTACAGCCATGGCCAGTCGCATCGACACCGACGAGCGGCCGTCGGAACAGGAGCCCATCGACAAAGAGTTCAAGGAAGTCAAGGTCGACCCCTTTTCAGAAGATGCTCCATCTCAACCACTACCAACAACAGCAACAACAAGAGTCAAACGAGTCTCGACACCAAAGAAAAAGCCTTTTATCTTGGGAGACCGATTCTTCCTACTCAATTGGTTCTATCTCTGGGTCTTTGAGCTGATCCATCGCTGTCGTAAACAAACGAATATCAAGAAGATCCTTCTCAAACTGGCGAATATGCTCACGGCCAAGAAGAATGGAGAGGATCTGGACGTCAAGTGGTCGCAGGAAAAGGCCAGTGCTGCAGCAGCCTCTCGGTAAGGAACATGCCAAACAAAAATTAAAGGCGAGGCACGGCGAATAGACATTTTTTTTTCTTGGACTTGCTAACACTGTGTTACACACGGCCTTCCGCTCCCCCTTTTTTTTCTTTTTCAACTCAACTGTGTGTAGGCAACCCAAGCTTATCAGGGCACTGTACGAGCTTTACGGCACAAAGTACATCCTCATCGGAGTGTGGAAGCTTATCTGGGCTGCATGCACCTGGGCAGGCGCGTACTACTTTCTTCGTGTCTCGATCGAGTTTTTGGAAAAGGCCATGCCGACAAGGACGGGTCACCTCTACGCGATGGGTCTACTATTGACCTCTCTTGGAAGCTCGATTTCCATCCATCAACTGTACGGCCAATGCGCCGCTCTCGGAATCCAGGTATGCTACAACAAATCGATTGTTTCGATTGTTTTTCTCACAATCCAAGCCAACACAGCTCATTTGCACACGGACAGTCGGACAAAAGGACAGAAAAAAAAACCAAGAGGGGTTCCAAGCATCTAGTTGATAACCCGACAATTTATTATTGTCCGCATTGTCGATTTGAAACCTCCTCTCTTTTTCATACCCGTCCATTCAACATCAGGTCAAGGCTTCGATCTCCGTCCTGATCTACCGCAAAGCCCTTGTCCTGGCCCGCATTCGTGGAGGGGCCGGAGAAATCATCAACATCATCTCGACCGACGTCGCACGCATCGTCGAGGCGGTCACCAACTTTCATTTCCTGTGGTCAGCCATGGTCGAGACCATCCTCATCCTCGCATTGGCATTCCCCACAGTCGGATGGGCCGCAGCCCTGACAGCCGTGATTCTTGTCTTGGCGGTCCTCCCTGTCCAAATCTACCTCGGTCGAATTACCTCCAACATCCAGATCGAGCAGACTGCAGTGACGACGGAGCGTGTCCACTTGATGAGTGAGATTCTGACAGCTATCAAGCTCATCAAGTTCTATGCCTGGGAGGTACCCTTTCAGGAGCAGGTCAACCAAGTCCGTGCCAGGGAGTTGGCGCTTTTCAAGAAGAACTTGCAGGTCAAGGCTATCAATATGGCTGTTGTCTTTGCGCTTCCCGTTATTGTTGCCGTCTCTTCCCTTGCTGTGTACAACAGCAAACGGTCTGGACCCATCGACAGCAGTGTTGTTTTCACTGCCCTCAGTATCTTTAACACACTCCGATACCCCTTCCTGATGTTGCCCATTGCCGTCAAGAGTACCTCTGGTGAGATTCCCTCCGCATTCCGTGCAATCGTCTCGTTTAAGGAAACGAGTTTCAATTTGTGTATTAAACCTCCACATTGTATTTTTTACCGCATAGGCGCCAGATTGGCACTGCGTCGACTGGACGACTTTTTGACACAGCCTGAAGTGGAGCCTCTGAAAGAGTACTCGGTCTCAGAGGGAGGAGACACAGCAATCGAGCTGATCGATGGAGAGTTCACTTGGGATGGCGATGACAGCGGACCAGCCTTGAAGGACATCAACCTTAAGGTTAAGCGAGGCGAGGTCGTCGCAATTGTGGGAGATGTTGGTTCAGGAAAGAGTTCGTTCGTCGCAGCGCTTCTCGGTCAGATTCGCCAAACAGGCTCAGGACCCAAACTGAGGTTGTACGGTAAATCGTCGTATGTCCCACAAGAAGCCTGGTTGAACAACTTGACCCTTCGCGAAAATATCGTCTTTGGAAAGGATTTCGAGGAGGAGCGATACAATACCACGGTCAAGGTCTGTGCGCTCGAGCGTGATTTGACGCTTTTGGCTCATGGAGATCAAACAGAAGTCGCTGAGCGAGGATCCAACCTGTAAGTTACTCTTTCCAAGGATGGAGTTATTGCTACCCGTGCAATTACTACCTTCTCATAGTGGATACTAACAGGGTATTTCATTGTATTGACTATATGAAATAGGTCTGGTGGTCAGAAGCAGCGTGTCTCGTTGGCAAGGGCTGTTTACCACAAGTCTGACATTGTGCTCATGGATGACCCCCTCTCGGCAGTCGACCAGAACGTCGGCAAGCACATTTTCGACCAGTGCATCCGTGGCTACTTGGCCGGTCGCACAGTCATCATTGTCACCCATCAGCTGCAGTACCTCCACCGCTGCGACAAGATTGTCATGCTCCAGTCTGGAAAGATCGCATACCAGGGCACGTATCAGGAACTCATGGCCAATGAACCAACCTTCAACACCTTGATCAACACCCATGTCTCGAGCGAGGAAGCCGATGGAGATGGTGATGGGCTTTGCAATGGCACTGGTGTCGAGGACATGGGGGAGGATGAAGAACCCGAGTTTACGTTGGAAGAGCAGCTCATTGCCAACGAGAACAACAACCAAGTCACTGCTTCTGGATCTGCTGCATTGGTCAATATGATGCGCAAGCATTTGGGTGCCGGACCTCGACGACACACCTTGCCTCCCGGCACCAAAGTCGGGGATGCGCCCGGAACTACCACTATTGTCAACCAGAACTACGCCACAATCACACCTCAGGAACGCCTTCGTCTCTTGCAGCGCCATCTTCCTCATATCAACAAGAACAGTATCCTCGCCAGTACACTCGAAGAACATGTCAACATCAACTTTATCAACCGTGCTGGAGGAGGTGGTGGGTATTACTCGCCCATGAGCAATGACTTCAGTCGCGCGATTTACCGCAATGAGTTGACCATCCACTCTATCCCCGAGGGTGGTATCTATGGAAACCGATCTAACAAGGACCGAAAGCGCAAGCAGAAGCAGCAGCACCGCAAGTCTGTTTCTGGAGCGACACTTCGCCGCCATGCTACCCGGGCCAGTGAGAAGGACAGCTTTGATTACAGGAAAGGCGAGGGCAACAGCTTCCATCACCATCATCATACCGCTTTGCCAGTGGGGGTGATCGAAGTTGAGGAGGATTCGGACAGTGACTCGGACGATGATGAGGTGAACCCTGCGGCGTTGGTTGGAGAGGACAAGAGTATGGACGATCTTGGATTTGCGGACTATGTCAAGTACTTCCGCGCGGGTTCTGGTGTACTGGTGACTCTGATGTTGATTGCGCTGTTCTTTGTCGCGCACGGTATCCGTATCGGATCGGATTACTGGTTGCGTCTGTGGGTCCCAAACACGCTTAATACCACAGATCAGACCTATTTGGGTGTCTATGGTGCCTTCATCGCTGCCTTTGCCATTGGTGTCCTTCTGAGAGGTCTGTGGTTTGCCCATGAAGCCACCCTCAAGTCCAAGGAACTACACGATCGTGCCTTCAAGGTATGCTTCTACAAGTGTGCTAATGTTGGTATGGTTAGCAGAAATGAAAAGTATGTTATACTGACCATATCCCGTCTTCTTTTTCTTGAAACAGTCCGTGATGCGAGCGCCAATGTCCTTCTTTGAGACGACATCTCTTGGACGCATTCTTTCTGCGTTCTCAAAGTGCATGTTCACCGTTGATGACACGCTGCCCGATGCAGCTCTGCTGTTACTGCAGTACTTCCCTCTGGCTCTAGGTGCTTTCCTGCTGATTGCCTGTGTGGTTCACTGGCAGAATGCTGTCACTGTCATTGTTCTCTTGCTCATCGCCCTCCTGGTCATCTGGTACGGAAGCCCTGCGGACACCAGGCTCAAGCAACTCGAAGGTAACGACTTTAAACCCTGGCAGTTGCAAATCGAATCGGTGTGATGGCTTCCTTAATTGTACGCCACTAATTAATCTCATTCATTCTTTCCTTTATTTTAGCTTTGAGCAAACCCCCTGTCTTCCAACACATTACTACCACTCTTGAGGGTCTCTTCTCGATTCGCGCTTACAACGTCCAAAAGAGATTCGATGGCATGAACATGGACGTCCTCGACAAGAACCACGAGAGCCTCTATGCTATGATGACCAGTGAGTCTTCTTTCACTCCCTTTCTCTTGTATTGTAATCCACAGACTGACTTTCATTTCACTCACAAATACAATTGCACTTTCTTATAATAGCCAAAACATGGACGGCATTCTACCTCGATGTCATCTCATCCTTCATGGTCTACAGTACTGCCTTCTTCTTGGTCATCCACAGGGACTCGATCCACCAAGCCCCCTCAGTCGCCGGTCTGGCCCTTTCGAACGCTCTCCAGATGCTTGTCTTCCTCCAGTGGACAGTTCGCCAGATGGGTGAAGTCCAGGCTCAGATCTCTACAGTCGGTCAGCTGGACTACTATGGTCGCAAGATCGAGCCTGAAGCCCCTGCGGAGAACCCTGCCACCAAACCCGACGCCTCTTGGCCCCAAGAAGGCCGCATCGATTTCGACCACCTAATTCTCAGCTACCGCAAGAACACCCCACCCGTCCTGAAGGATGTCTCCTTCACCATCAACCCCAGGGAGAAGGTTGGAATCGTGGGACGAACAGGTTCTGGCAAGTCGACACTGTTGGTTGGTCTGTTGCGTATTGTCGAGGCCTCGGGTGGTGCGATTCTGATTGATGGTGTCGACATTTCCAAGATTGGACTCAAGGACCTACGTACCAAAGTCGGTATTATCCCTCAAGAGCCCGTCCTGTTTGTCGGAACTATTCGAAGCAATTTGGATCCTTTCGGGCAGTATGAGGATAATGCGATCTGGAGAGCCCTGGATGCGGTTCACTTGGGCGATAAGGTCAAGGATATGCCGCTCAAGCTGGACTCACCCGTCATCGAGCACGGCAAGAACTTTTCCTTGGGTCAACGACAGCTCATCTGTATTGCGCGGTCGCTGGTCATTGGGTCCAAGATCATTGTGTTGGATGAGGCAACGGCTTCGATCGATATGGTAACGGACCGTTTGTTGCAGGAAACGATCAAGAAGAGTTTTGCGGATTGTACCGTTTTGACGATTGCCCATCGATTGAACACGATCATCGAGTCGGACAAGGTCTTGGTTATGGATGGAGGAGTAATTGCCGAGTTCGGAGAGCCCCACAAGTTGTTGCAGAATCCTAATGGTATCTTTGCGGAGCTGGTGAGCCATGCTGGTGAGTCTGCGGCTAAGAAGCTAGCCATGATTGCGGAGGATGCCCACAAGGACCGTAATAATGGGTTGGATCTGATGATAGAGGAGGCCGAGAACGAGGGATCATCACCAGAAGCCACACCTCAAGTCGAGTCATATTCTTTCCCACCATCCGTCCCTGCAGTAGCGGCAGGCGTATCAACATCACCACCGGCTACTGTGGCCCTATCGACGTTACAAGTACGCGGTGGAAGCCCTACTGATCGCCCTGCAAAGGCCGAGACCGAGGGTCTTGCCAAAGCCAAGGCGCATCTACGCCAATTGAACTCGACCAGTGCGTCTGACACGGGCGTGATTTATGAGCCAACATCAATCAACACCGCTGCAGCCGCTGAAGGTTCGGCTTCACCAGAGTCGCAGTCCAAGGGTGAGGCTGCAGTTGAAAGGCAGTTCCAAAGGTTGTTCCGGGACCCTGCGAGGGGAGGAGATACACCCGATGGTAGCCCCGAGTCGAAGCCTCAGATGACCACGACGACAGCGCCCCTTACTGAACCAACTGACGATATCAAACTCTCACGACCTTAGTGCCGTATTCTTTTTGTCTTAATACATATTCTTAATTTTCGTGCCCTTGTCCCCCGCTATTGCGCCGTGTTACCGAGAAACCCAACAAACACGCAACTGGAGAGAGAGAGAGGGAACAAGGAGAGGGACAGTGAGAAGAACAAACAAATATGCAACGCACTTCAGGTTGAGAGTCTATCTAGAAGACTTGTGAATCGTCGGTAAAGAGAAACAGTACTCGTTTGACCAATCGTGTGCGCATGCGGGGCATGGGCCTGTGCCCACGCCGTATAAATTATCCGTTTTTTGCGCTTTAATTTTTTCTACTCCCTTCTCTCCTCTGTTCACACCACTCTCCCTCCCTCACACCACCACACCACCACACCACCATTACCCGTTTCTTCCCTGTATCTATTTCATATTCGTTCTTTGTCACATTTACATACACGCATACCTTTCCTTCCTTCCTCGCGATGGCAAGAGCAATCACCGAAAAGTACCCAGCCCCTCTGGCTGTGGGCCACCCACAACAGCAACAACAGCAACAACAACCATACCCCTTCCAAGAGACTCTCCCCACAGAAATCTGGCGCCTCGTCCTCACTCACGTCCAAACTCTCGACCTTTTCAGTCTCTATAACACCTCCCGCTACCTCCGCTCCCTCTCAGCCCCCTCCCTCGTCCAAGCCATGGCCTCCAAATCCCTCCGTCTCTACTTCTATCAAGAGTACGTCCGTCGGGTGGGCGTCAAGTTTGTTTTCGAGTCCTTTGATTTGGAGAGGGACCGGGTTGTTTTTCGGCCGTTGGTGAGGGATAATCAGTATCGGTTCCGGACGGGGATGGCGTTGCAGTGTCCGCAGCTGGAGGAGGTTGCGGTCAAGTCGGGGGGAGAGATTGATATGCGGAGGGTGCAGTGTGATCGAGGGAGGTACTTTACCATCAAGCCTGCTGAGCGAGCAACATCAGCACCAGCAGCAGCAGCAGTACAGGACGTCTCGCATCATTCGCAGGAGGAAGGCGTGGAATTGGAGGTAGATGGAGACATGGAGGCAGATGTGGACCTGGAAGCGGATGGTCTAGAGACACCAGAGACAACGGCTGTCGCAGCAATGACGGAGGCAACAACAACAACAGCCAATACCGTAACGACCCCAGCAATAACGACAACACCAGCACCATCACAAGTGATACAAACAACATCGGCGACAAGGAAACCAACAGCGGACGAAAAGAGCTACCAGGGGACCAAGAACTTTCTGGACAGGTCATGCCCGGTCCAGGTGCGGAAGACAGGTGTCCGCAAGACGGATGGGGCCCGGTACTCGTTCCTGCAGACTTATCCGTGGACGCTGGAGTACCAGGTCGAGAGCGAGATTATGGGACCTCATGATGATTTGCAGGGCGAGCGTCGATCGGGAAGTGACAGCACCAGCAGGAGCAGCAACGGGAAGGGCAAAGCCGTTGACTATGAGAGGAAGGACCATATCGGCAACACCGGGAGTAGCAGTGGCCGAACTAAGGGAAGGGATCAATTGGCGACCGATAGCCAAAACCAACACCAATTTCACCACCGACTTCAGGATGAGCGCATGGACAGTGATAACAGTAACAGCAGCAGGGGAAGCGGAAGTGGGAACATTTCATCACGCGATAACGTCCATTCGAGCGCAACGCCGTCCCGTCGCCGGGCCAATTCTCCCGAGATGGCTGACAAAATTGCCGATAAATCTGCTCATGGGGGGAGCGCAAGGACAAATCATCGTCAAGGCTCCGCAGGCAACAACAGCAACAACGGCAATGGACCACGTTTTCTGAGGACACTCCGGTTCGAATGCAGCATGAACTTTCTGGATCCTAAACGTGCGACTCGGAGTGTGCTTGGACGGTGGCTAGAGGGCAAAGTGTATCAGTGGAGCAAGGTTTTGGGCGGGAAGAAGGCGTTGGGCAACGGTCAGTCGCATACCATCCAGTGGCAGTCCACCCTCAAGCAACATTCTCAACCTCAGCCTCACCTTCGACAGCAGCAGAAGCAGCAGCAGAAGCAGCAGAAGCAGAAGGAGAAGCAGAAGGAAAAGCAGAAGGGCAAAGAGATTGACAACAAGCAGAAACAACCATTATCAACTTCAGCATTGTATCGCAGGCTGCATCAGGATCAGCAGATACGACGATCCGACAGCACAGAGTCTGGAGGATCCGGCACCACCACTCTTCCTCCTCCTGCACCAGCTGCTGCAGCTCACCCGAGAAGACGCGGCCGTGTCATTCGCGTGATCGATATCCTTCTTGGCCCGACGGACGGCGACGGCAGCAGTATTAACCACGAGAGGGCGCACCAACATAGCATGAACAGCTCGATTCATTCCCTCTCTTCGAGCCGTAATGGGTCCAGCACGAGTTTGAGTCTGAGCCTTCCTCACCAAGGCGATGCTTCGATTGCTGGAGGACGTTGTATGAACCCTGCCATTGACCTGAACAAGATGGGCTCGTCGTCTACCTCTGCCGCCTTTTGACCTCTCTTCCCTCTCTTCACAGTAATAAACTATTGAGAGAATCACAGCCTTGATTTCGTTTTTGTTTGTTTTGCCAGCGACCAATGCATTCCTTTCTTGCTCGCCTGCCCCTCTGTTTTTTCGTCAAGCGCGACTACCTTTTTTTCTACAAACACACGACGAGGATTCTCTACTTTATCGACTTGCTCCCATATCCTCTCCCCTATGAGAGCGTGTCGATAGTGATGATGCCAAGGTGTGTGTGGCATAGTTGCTGACAACTCTGACACTCTTCTTTATTTTTCACTCTTGGCATCAACACGTGGTGATTTCGCTAGTGTCCAACAAGGACTGGTTCTGTTGTGCAGTGCTGTCATCTCAGCATCGAGCTGCCTATCTATCGTATCCACCAATTGACGTCCAAGTCTCTTTACCTTGCACTTTTTTTGTTCCTTTTCTTCTTTACTCTTCTTTCCTTCTCTCCTCCTTTTGTCATTCCTTTCTTTCTCTCTTCATCACTTTTCCCTTCTCACTTCTCATCACCACACCCCTCACACTCGACTCGACCCCTCCATGCTTTCAGTGTTCCAAAAGCAGCCAAAACCCGACCCTGATCCCGTAGAAACTCCTCCTTCACCTCCTCCACATCCCATGGCAGAGTCAACCCCTGCTACTCTTACTCCTCCTTCTCCTTCCTCGACCGAAGTTGCCCTTGCTACTACCACTGACGAACCTGTCCAAGAACATGAAGATAACACCCCTGCCCCTCCCGAACCCGTACGTACTTTCCACCCCACAACGGCAACTCCTTCATTCCCTCGTTTGTTTAAAAGACAGTGCGAGAATGGTACCACAGCAACTTACATCTTGTCATGGCCAAAAGAAAGTACACTCATTCACAATTGCCTCAAATGCCTGGGCACATAATAGATTCGATGGTTCCATGCCGTAGACTCGCCTTTGACAAAACCGAACGAGCCCAAGAAGAACCCAAAGATCCCTGCACCCCCAAGGAAGCCTGCCACCACCTGGGTGCCCTTTAGTATCCGGGACTCCAACGCACTCGATCGTGCCTACGCACTGACCCAACCAATTCGCGAAGAAAAGACACAACAGCCTGGTCAGGATGGCAAACGTATTTCAGAAGACCTACTACCACTCCCACAGCAACAGCATCAACACAGCAGACAGGACCCTCCTTCGAAAATTCAGGTTCCCGATGCCAATGGACAATTCCAGGCTTCGTCAATAGCAGCAACGACGACAGGAGCAGGAGGAGGAGAGTCGATTCTGGTGAATGAGGATTATCTATTCGAGGTCAACATTCATAAGATGGAAATCAAGCCTGTAAGTCGTGCCTCTCCCCCTTTTTTTTGTCAGAAACGCCATCGTGCTGACATCAAGCAAAAAAAGCCAGCATGAGGACACACTATTCGAACAGAAAAAACTGACAACTGTGGCCGGTCTCTCTTTACGCAATATAGGTTTACTGGGTTGGTCCTACTTATGAAGTCAGGCGTGCAGTGTGGTTCTTGCAGATAGATGGCAAGTTTGTCCCCTGTGAGGTCAACCTCTCTCAGCAGATTGAATACGGATACAGGTATGAGAAAGTCATGGCCTGATAGAGAGAGACTGGGAATGGCACATCGGGAACGGGATGCATTGAAGCAGAAGGAATTGTCAACAAACCAAACAAAAACATGTTGCACACCTGACTAACTGATGAGATATGTACCTGCATGTGTTCAATATTTTTTGTTGTTATTCTACTCACTAGCAAGCATCGCCCTTGGATCGCACCGCCCCCACCTGCATTGGATGCCACTGGCAAGGAGATCATTGAGGAGAAACCGGAGAAGAGCTGGGCACTCCTCGGCAAATACATCTCTCAATACGTCGTCTTTACAGACGCTCACCATGCCTGGTTGCTGAGGTATCTATCTCCCAATTGACTATTTCATGATCATGCAGGGATTATGTACCCTACTTGGAGAGAACCCTAATCCTAACTGGGCTACTTTGGTTTCTTTGAATGCTGTAGTGACGATATCACAAGCAAAGTGGCTAAAACCATCTTCACAAAGGTCACCTGGAATGCAAACCTGGGCGGCGCACGTCTCATTCGCGGTTGGGATGAGGTCGAGAAGTTCCAATCCAAAAAGGCATCTGAGGAAGCAGCACAGAAGAAAAAGGAGGGGACTGACACCAAGAAGAAGGAAACGTCCGAGATTCAAAAGAAGAAGGAAGTCGCGGCGACACTCAAACAAAAGACAAAGCGCCTGACCGAGGAAGAGAAGGATAGCATCCAGGAATCACACGAGATTGGCGACTACGAGGAAGAGAACGAAGAGCGAACCATTGACCATTTGGTTCTCGTCATTCATGGAATCGGTCAAAAGTTGGGAGACAGGATGGAGGGTATCAACTTTATCCACGACGTCAATGTCATGCGCAGAACCATCAAGGACACTGCTGAAACATTCATTCCACCAGCACCAGGCACATTAACACCCACATCAGGGACTGATAGCAATGGCCGCGACACGCCCACAAGGAGGAGAGGATCGACTGCTTCCAAGAATCCCTACGCAATGCCCTCAGGATCAGGAGTTCAAGTCCTGCCTGTGGAGTGGCGTCACCAGATTGTCTTTGGGATTGCCAGCGACGATGACGAAAATTTGCAACGCGACTTGAGCACACCTGAGGTGGAGGAAGGCTGCCCGACCATGGATGATATCATGCTAGATGGAGTTCCCACCATCCGCATGCTTGTCTCTGATGTTCTCATGGATGGTACGTACTCTGACTTCATGGGCTTTATTACTGGTTTAGAGGGCTCATTGGCCAAGGCTTTTTTTAATCCCTTTTAGTTTGTAAAAACATATAGTGCTGTTGTACATGACACCCAACTACAAGCGTAAGATGATGGAGGTTGTCACTGCCGAGCTCAACAATGTCTACCAAAAGTTCATTTTCCACAACCCAGACTTTATTCGACGAGGAGGCAAGGTTTCGATTTTGGGACACTCACTGGGGTCGTTGCTTGCACTGGACATTCTCAACCACCAACCCTTCAGCCCCAACCACTACCAGCCCATCCCATCATCGCCTGTCTTTGAGAAGTTTATCTCGTTCGACCACGGATCTTACAACCCGGTCTCGCTAGACTTCCCTGTCACAAACTTTTTTGCGCTTGGAAGTCCAATAGGCTTGTTCTTGTTGCTCAAGGGCTGCAAGTTGGGCGCGAGATTGTCAGACTCAACCACTACGGGCGAATCTGCCGCGATACCTTGCTTCCGGCCTGCGGTCGAAAATCTTTACAACGTCTTCCATCGTTCAGATCCGGTAGCGCATCGTGTCGAGGTAAGGCCCTTTTCAAGACTCCTGTTACTGCACGGTGGACAATGGAATCATCAATCAATACGATGGATACTAACGCGTATGCCTTCTTTACTATAGCCTCTTATCTCGCGCTCATTTGGATCGATGAATCGACCTGCATTGGTTCCTTACCACAAAGGAGGTTTGAAGGGTCTTCACCTTGGAATTCAGGACTTTGGAAACGGTCTGGCCAACCGCGCCAACACAATGATCGAATCTGTGAAACTTGGAATCACCACATCGATGTTTACGCGTGCTCTTGGCTTCAAGACCAATCCTGTGGGTAACGCTACTCTGATTCACAACAACAAGCTGCAGGAAACTGGTGGAGGGTCAGCCTCGACAAGCGACACGGAGATGACCACTGTTGGCGATGGATCTGAGCAGGTTGACGGTGCGACCAACGGAACTGCGTCTCCGCGTTTGAACGCCGAGACTAACAACATTATCAGCAAGGCCAAGGTCAGGGCATTGAACAAGACTGGGCGCGTCGACTGGTGTCTGCAAGAGGGAGTCTTTGAGAACGCCTACATCTCTGCCCTTTCAGGTACGCATGTCACTTTGTGCAATGCGTTATGCCATGTAGAGGTGGGTTATTGACAGAATATTAACAGCATCATTTCTTTTTCTTACTTTGCTCAATAGTGCACATGCAATACTGGTCCGATAGCGATGTTGCTGCGTTCATCATCCGCCAAACCTACGACATAGATACGAAGTAATAAAGCGATTACGTGAGGCGGAGCTAAGCCGCTCTAACTATTAAGAAATTTTCGTTGCTTTTGTTTCTTTTGAATTCCTCTCTCTCAACCACACTCTTTTCTCCATTCATACCCTCACTCTCTCATGGCGTCTGTTCCTAAACCCCCCTGTGTCGTGTGCAAGACACCCTCGGTGACCCGCTGCTCCCGATGCAAAGTGGTTCATTACTGTTCGGAAGCCTGCCAGCGCAAGGATTGGCCCTCTCACAAGATCGCATGCACCCCTTCGACCGTGTCTTCCTCCCCCAGCGCAAAGGGAGCGCCACCAACTTCTTCTTCCACTTCCACAAACAAAAAACAACCCACACTCCCGGACCCCAGCAAAGTGTTAAACGTGACTGAACCAGCACCCAACAAGAGCGGAAAGCCCTCCCTTCAGAAACCCGCCCCGCAAAAGTCAAGCACGCGTCTCAAGTTCAAGTACATCCCGTCGATCGACAATGTGGACGAGAACCTTGTGATTTTCTTTCACGGCTTGGGCGACAAGATCGAGCCAAATTTCACAAAGCTCGCCAGGAGTTTGCAGTTGCCCCAGACGGCTGCTGTTTGTATCCAGGCTCCCACGCCGGTTCCTTATTTGGAGGAGGAAGGGTACCAGTGGTTCCCGTCGTTCAACAACCTTACCGGTGATTGTACGTATAATTCACCATGGCATTAAGCCTGCACGAGTTTGAAACGTGTTGATTAGTTATTGTATGAACGCGCTTTTCTTACATGATTTTATTCGTTCAATTTTATATAGTACTGGGACCAGAGGCGCCGGAGAGGATTCTGCAGGTCAAGAACCTTGTCCGCCCAGAGCTCGTCAAGTTCCTGAAGCACTGCGTCGACCATTGCGGTTTCAACCATCGCCAAATCGTTTTATTCGGATTCTCACAGGGAGCCGAGATTGCATTGGACCTGGCGGCGTTTGGAGGGATGAACCTGCGGGCGGTGGTCAGTATTGCAGGGTATTTGATGGAAGAATCTGCGAATGGAACGGCGGCAGTGAGTCCGTTGACGACAAAGATTATGGTTGTTCAGGGCGATAAGGATGCGACTCGGACGGTGAAGGAAGCCAAGGAGCGGATTAAGCCTGTGCAGCGGATCTTTGGGAAGGGAAATGTCGAGCAGCGGATCGTCCCTGGAATGGGCCACGGTATGCCCCATGACGAGGTAAGCAACGATAAGAAAGGGGTGTTAAAAACAAGGGTATATATTTGCTTGTGGTGCTTTTTATTTGTGTAAGAACTTTTTGTTGTTAACTTTTCGTCTTTCCGGTTGTCAATTGTTTCTGTGTAGCCGGGATGGAGACCGTTGATGGAGTTTTTCGCAAACAACTTGGAGCACCGGTCTGTCGCGCTAGAGAACATGTCAGATGTCTACGAAGTTCGAGGATAAGTCTCGTATAAAAATGAGACCAAATATGAGTAAAAAGATTGCAGTGCGGTTTTATTTCGCCTGGGTTGTATGTACTAGGGTGAAATGAAAGAATCAAACAAATAAAGAAAAAGCTTCTTATTGATAGTTCTGATCATAGAGATTTGCAGCTGCCTGCTTAGCCTGCATAGTCGCTCGCTCACGGTCCAAGAAATCCAATCCTCTGGTCTCAAACAACTTGTCGGCCTCGGCGCCCGCCATGGCCGCAAAAACTTCTTTCGTCAGCTTGTGTTTATCCTCGGGACGGCCGCTTTCGACGGACTTCATGGCTTCAAAAGCAGCGGCACTAGCGATCAGTTCGTGGGACCATTCGGAGTGGTGTGTTTGGCCTCCGTAGACCTGGTTGTGAGCGTCTTCGTGGTTGCCAAATCCGAACATTTTTTTTTATTTTGGTTTTGGTAGGTGTTGGTTACGAGTTTCGTGAGGGATGAATGGGTGTTTTGTGTTTGGTTGTTGAACGAAAGAGTGAAGAGAAGAACTAGGTTGTTGAGGCACGTCTTTATGTAGCGTTTTTGGGCTTGGGGGCGGATAAACTATATCGATTGAGGACCTCCATAGTTGTGGCGCCAAGAAGGAGCGTGCACCAATCCCTTGATTGAGAACATTGCAATTGGCCCAGGACTACAAAAAAATTGCTCGCGCGAAACGGACTAATGACAATGCTTCGTTTTCAAGTGGCCTGGCCATGATAACATGCCTTACGCACGACTTTCGTCAAGTCGCCTTGAGAGGTCTTTTTTCTTTTTCTTTTTTGCATGACGTTCCGGAATCTAGTTCGGGTTAAGTATCGGACGACAGAGTTCTCGAAGGTTGGAACATACACAACATCTTTCGCGATCTGCGGCAATACAATAGTCGCGCTCATCACGTGCACCCTCAAATCGTTTGACTGGCCTTTTGGGCCTTGGGCAAAGTGCAGACGCAAGCCTCGCCACGCAACGCATAAAAAAGGTTGTGCATGCACGTCAGTTTTCTCACACTCTCGACAAACACATAATCATCACATTCAACTCAACGACTAACCAACAAACAGGACAAACATGATGATCAAGGAATCTATTGGCGCAGAGTCAGAACCCCTCCCAACCTTCGAGTCAACCCTCGTGGTGGCATTTCCCGATGTGCTCATGGCAGGACCCAAGATTCTCTTGTCTGCAGCTCCTCACGCCGACTCTATCCCTGCCTGGTCCCACTTCTGCACAACACCTGAACCAACACACAAGCGAAGCTCAGCGACATCAACGTCATTGGCTAGTCAGAAGAAGAAAAAGGCGCTTGAGGCGAGTGCGATTCGGTATTCGACGGTACCAGGAGGAGGAATTGGACTGTTGACGATTGCGGTCGCACCACCCACGAACGAGCAGAGCTCGTATTTGTGCGAGGCGATTGTGAAGCAGGCTAGAGCTTCGGGTACGGGGCGGATTGTATTGGTTGCTGCTTCTAATTTCGCGAGCAAGGTTCAGGATACCCACATCGTGCAACTTCATCAAGGTAACGCCGGTTTTCTCTTGTTGATTCAACGTGTCCTCGCTCGATTTCTTTTCCACACGACGTAATTAACTCGTACTGTAATTGCCATCACAACTTAAATAGAGGGACAGTTGGGACTTGCAGCGGTACCCAAGGACGTATCACTGGGCGACCATATCTTGAGCACGTTCTTGACGCTTTTGACATACATCGACATCCCGACTACTGCTCTTATGCACCCGGCCAAGAAGGGTACCAACCTTCGGGAAACAAGGGTAGGAATTATTGATCGCTTTTTTTTTTGTCTTGGACGGGGGTGACGATTAAATACGAACTTAAAAATGGTGAACTAAATATTCTTTCTTATACATTAATCACCCGATGATAGGCGATTATCGAGAACTTGACGCGTGCGTTAGGAGTGGTGGTTGGAGATCAGGCATCGAAGGTGTTCTCGGCAGACAAGGCGTTCGACTACAACACCTCTACGGCCGAAGAGGAGGCGAGCACCGAGAGTATGATGTATTTGTAGGAAGTTTTCCTTTTTTTTGTACTAGTAAAAAAATACTGACGCTAACGGGTCTAGCCATGACGAAGTATGTGATGTGCAGAAAGGAGCGTTAATGAGAAGTTGCGAAGGCAGCGACAGGAGACAGCGCATGTTTTTATTACCCTTTCAGGGAGAAACTCAAAGCATGAAAACGCAAGGAGAATAAGGCAGGGCAGGAGGAGCGCGGGAGCGGTTAACCCTTTGCCTTTTGGCCACTAAAAACGAACGCAACAACTTGTAAGAAGGGAAATGGAGATAGGTACGATAAGGGAGGTTGAAAGCGGGGGTTGTCGCCCCTTGCCTTCCTTGGCCGCTAAAAAACGAATCTGACATCTTCAAATCCGAGTCGCAACGCGCGATAGCTTTTGAACAGGCAATGTCGCTCTCCGCAAACAAAAAAAAGAAAACTTATATATGGGAATCATGTGGACACCAAAAACTAATTGATGACCGAGCCTGACATACCACTCATACGTTTTTCCCTTTTCTTCTACTTCTGGTGTTATTAAACGTGCGATAGAGATGCCATGCGATACGATCTCATGCGATGTGCAGTGTGCGATATGCCGATGACATACAAAATCGGTAAAGGTGACAACATCCCCACCCTCTTCCCCCCTATTGAGTGGTGGTGGTGGAAGTGACGATGATGCCAATGAGGATGGGGAGTAGTGTTTGGATATGTCTGCGTATTCTTTGACCCTGATTTATATTCGCTCTTTCTGCTCCTCTCCACGCTCCACTCTCCAGTCCTTCCAGTCCTTCCCATCCTTCCCCTGTTCTTTAGATGAAAAGGACCCGCTCCAGTCGCAACTATTTTATTACTTTTTAATTGTATTGAATAATAACAATGCCTCCAACAAAAGAAAGAAGGACAATGGGAGTCCTCTTGTTTCGAATGAAGGATACGATGAAGAGCTGTTTGCTTGCTTGCTTCGCCTATTCAGCCGTCTGTAGAGAGCGATCCCTTCATGCCATAGCTGTTCTTGTTGTTCCTACCCTCTTCTTTCCTATTCTCCTTGAAGCTACCATGAAGACCTGTGCAACTCAAGTAGCCTTCACCTAGGTGACTGCAACAGCAAGCGATGCATTGACAAATCGCCTCAATCTCTCCTTCTTGCTTCCTCTGTGTACCTAGCCTCCATTGCTGATGTTGTTGATGTTGTTGATGATATGCTGCGCCCCTGGCTGCTCTTCTCTCTCTCTCTCTCTCTCTCTCTCTCTCTCTCTCTCTCTCTCTCTCTCACCTTTTTTTCCCTTTTTCTCTGTCTCTTTCTGCCTACCATGCTGCCGTGCTTTGTTGCACTGCATACCTGCAAACAGACAGAAAACGGAAGATGTGATCTTCCCTGTCTCATAGGTAGATCAAGTCGAGCCCATTGCCCGGTATCTATCGTACCATTGTAACAATAACAACAACTCCTTCATCTTCCTCATCTTCCTCACCTTCGTCATTTCCGCGTTTTGTGTCCTTTCCTCTCCTCAGTTCCTTTCACCTTCCTTCTGCCGCTTCTTGCTTTTAGTTTCCCAGCTAGTCCCTAAACGCTTTTATGTCTTTTTTTTTGAATCACAACTTCGTGTTGGCGACATATCCCGCCTCCTTTTCTTCGTTTGTGTCGCTCTTCTCCTTACTTGCAGATTATTTTTTTATCTTTTTGCCTATTCCCACTCCATCGCTTACACCCAAAACACACCCAACTCCATCGTAAACAAACATAACCAACATCACTGGCGCTTCTCTTTTCTTTTGCCATGATCTCCCACCCGCACTCCATCTCGCCGAACACCGTCCTGGCTATTTTTTCTACCCCTACTTCAACCCCCTCCCCTTCTGCTCCTTCTACTTCGACGTCTACTCCTTCTCCTTCTCCTTCTCACCCTATCCTCGTTGCACTCTCGCTCACTGACCAGCCTATCATCGGACATAACCCTCACCTGCAGTACTTTCACCTCTACCCACAACAGCAACAACAGCAACAGCAGCATCAGCAACAACTCACCCGAGAACATCAGCAACAACTTCAGCTCCAGCAACGTCTCCTCCTTCAACAGCAACAACAGCAACAACTGCTGCAGCTTCAAAATATCCAGATCCGTCAAAGGAAGCAACTCATCGCAGAACAGCAGCAGCATTTCCAGCAGCAACGGTCCTTGCGCTACAAAAACAAGAACTCTCTCTAAAACCGCCTGGCGCCACCATCACCGCCACGACGACGCCTACCAACCCATCTTACCCTTCGTTTGCTCACCCATACTTCAACGCAGCCCTAACGACCGCTACGACTGGCACAACGGCTACTGTCCATATCACCAGCATCCGATCCAATTCTCTTAATCTCCTTCGTGCCTCTGTGCCAACAACTGTATCAATGGATATCATGGCCATGGCACCCTTCCCCCTTCATGCACATTCGTCTACTTCCTCTAACATGTTTGCTCTCCAGCACCCCGTAGAACAAATTGTCATGGTGTTGTGGTGATGTAGATGGGGATCTGCCTTTTGAGTAATATTTTGGTGGTGTTCTTGTGACCATCATTTCGTAGTGTAGAAAATGATAATAAATAATTCGGAACCGAGCTGTTGGCTCGGGGCGCAACAGCTGCGCTTTCTTTTATCCACAATTTTTTCCAATCTTGATCCATACTTTTGATGATGACTTCTGATAATCGTCATTGAAAGCGAGGGTTCACTACTACATCGACACACTCTCGACCTCCTTTGCACCCCAATCGACTATATGACTTAGATCTATTGCTCGCCTCGAGTCGTAGTTCCGCTGGTCCACCCGTCTCGTCTAGAAACGATTCCGTGCCCAGCCAACATATCGACAACGGCGTGAAACAAGGTGCACGGGCGACCGAGCAATCGAGACAACAAAGCGCGCACTCAGAGGTCTACTTTACTGTTAGCACTCCTTCCCTTCATTCTCCCCCCTCTTTTTATTTTGGTTTGATTATTCTATCGATCTCACATATGCGAACTCCTTGGTCCTCTCCCAGTTCATCCTTACAGATATAGTCCTAGCTCCACTGCCCATTTGTTTAGATTAGATCCCCCACAGATAATCTTGTTTACTTCATCGCACTGTCAATACAGGCGCAATAGCAACAAATGCATGCCCTAGGCCCTATGAACACATACTACCATATAGAGTACGAGTCCAGTCAGGGACAGCCCCCGATGCCAATGAACCGCTCAGGCCCTGCATACTCGAGCCAAGGCTGGATGTACCCCGGCAACACGATGCTGAACTCCAACGTGCCTGTTCTTAGCCCAGGATCTCGTTAGTCTTTCTTTTTTATTGGTGTCCAATTTTATCGTTCGTCTGCCGATGAAAAGATCAGAGCGAGATCCCCAATCTGGGCTAATGGTTTTAATTTTCTCCTTCCTTTTTTGTTAATCGATTTTTCACACAGAGCTGCTCCAGGGAATGACACCATCCCGCACTGGCGCAAGCAGAAGCTCAAGCGACGCATTGACCATGCGACCAGGAGCTGGTCTCCAGCAGGAGGTATGGCTATCTTGCGTCTTTTCATTGTTCATATGGTCACCGATGCAATGCACCGTTAATACTCTGGCGCACGAAATTAACGCTAACGATGGTTACAAACATCACAGCTGAACGGCTATTCAATCGACGCAAGGATCATTCAAAAGAAGGACCAGATGGAAGACAGTTCGGCAGGCGGCGCATCAAATATGGTCGAAAAGGTCCGGACAGGTCAACAGTTCTTGACCAAACTGCAGCTGACAAGTCAGGCTGGCATACCACCTGGCAACCCCAAATACCCCACCATGCGTGTTGATCGTCGCGAGGCCATTAACACCGCAGGGGAACCTCATGCCGATGCCAAACCACTTACCCTGCAGGTCATTGTCCACCTTGCACGAAGCGGTCAGATCAGGAAAGGTGCTTGTGCCAAGTGCTGTCACAAGGTTAGTACCATCCGACGCACTTTTTACTGAACGTTGGCTTTCATTCCTGATTTGCCACTGACCGACTTCGTCTTTACATGATCTACGGAACATTTATAGTATGATCCATCTTCTCCTATCTTGGTTTTGCTTGACCCCCTTTCACCATCATCAACGAACATATCTCCTTACTCTCATGTGAACTCGTCTACGGGATCCGTCACTGTCCTTACCAAGGTTATCTGCTCCTCCACCGATCATGGCGAGCGCGGCAACTAGGACCGATACCTCTTTGAATTCAAGCTCAAGCGCACCAAATCCATGCTTGCAAGGAAGAACGCTGCTGACATGAGGGAGTGCGACGCCGATACAATCGCCACCTGCTTCACTTCTCCTATAATGTGCTCTGGATATCACAAGGCCAGGCGAGTTTACCCCAGCCAGCGCCCCGCCAAGGTGACAACGGAGGGTCCTACTCCCAAGACCAAGACTATTAAGCGCCAAGGAGTGTTCCCAATGTCACCACGAACCCCAACAACGGCTCCAATATCTCCAGCTACTCGTCGCCACTCTCTTTGATGCACGACGATATCACTAAATCTTCTATATTTTTATACTTTGGAGTCGACCGGTCGAACGCCTTTGACTCGGGCAGCAACACGATGTCCAGCCAGAGGCCGCCCATTGCCACGAGCGAGGGCTTAGAGCCTCAGTCTCAGGCTCCAAAGATCTTCGAGGTCAGACCTGACAGTGGCCCGGTCCACAAAACGACTGGCGTGGCGTTTCGTGGACTCTTCTTCCAGGAGGGCATGGTGACTTATTTTGGATGCTTTCCAGCACAAGACATCGTCGTCGAGACATCCAATCTCATCCTCTGCAAGGTTCCTGAGAGCCCTCTTCCAGGAACGGTCCCGATCACCCTCTACGACAGCGTGGGCAACGGATTTGCTGATCTGAACCAGTTCACCTACACGGACGGCGCGGAGACAGAGATTTTGATCTTGCAGCTTCAGCTTCGACTCGCCCGCCGTGCTCTCGAGTACCTCCATACCCAGGCGACTGGCCGCAAGGGAGATGTGAACGATATTCTGAAGGAGATTCCAGGATTGGACTCTTCCGATATGGGTGGAGGATATTCCAGTGGCGGAAACATAATGTCCGACTCGGCTCCGACAGATGAGGCAGAGTTGGTTATTCTGGCGCGCGAGCGGATCGAGGAGAGTCTGTTGACGACTCTGGACCAGCTCCCCTCCGGCATGGACATATCGTTCCAATTAGTGGATCAGGGCAACTTGCTTCATTTGAATGTCCTTATGGGTCTTGACCTTCTGACGATGCGCTTGATTGAGGAGGGGTGTGAACTTGAAACCCTCGATACCTGGGCCATGACACCTTTGATGTACGCGGTTGTGAAAGGAAACGAGACCATCATCCGTTCCCTTGTCATCGGCAAGTCCTCTACCTTAGCATGTTTATCTGTGCTACGATCTTTAATACTTTGGAGTTTCGAAAAGATCATTGTGAGTTAATTGTACCTTTGTCCTGTTATAACTGGAGCCTCGTCTTTGGGAGCCAGAACTTCTTACGAGTCCTACTCGTTCTTGCCTCGTCCTGTGGCTTCTACTGCAGCTGTGGCTGGATTTCCTAGCTGTCAGCCGCACTCGTCACTCGACGACATCTCGCACCTTGATCTCAAGCCGCTCTCGTGGCCAACCCGATATGGTCGAGATCGAGATTGACGAAGGATCTATCTCGATTGACAATACCTCGGACGCCGAGGATTCTAATGTCTACCGGCCTCAGGATCCGTTGCCTACTATCGTCGAGAGTCAGGCCACGAATGATCAAGATGGTCCGTCTCTGGCTCGTCTTGCGCAACGTATTCTTGGCGTTCACATCAACCACGACATGCCTCCACTGGACCAGCAGGATTTGCCCCCTATGCAAGTGGTTGGCTTAGATGATTCGATTACAATAAAGAATATCTTGAAGGGTGACGAGATCCCTCGAGGCGTTGTTCCCGGCGGCACCATCATGACCGATAATGAGAAGTCAGGATACCACAGCGGCGTCTATTCTGAGGTCCAGGGTCGTTTCCGTCTCTCGCACGAGTCCTCGCTTCCTTCGAAAGTTGTTGAGATGTCAGTTGCTTCCAGCAAGCTGGTGCCTTCTTCGTCATTTCCTGCTGTTCTTCCTTCGGGTCCTGAAAACTTGTTCAGGACAGGCGACTTGTTTGGCATTGAGATTTGATTGGCGACAGTTCCCATTCCTGACTCTATTCAGCCTCAGCCCTCGCTACCCAAAGAACTCCTGGGTATCCGATTCCCTCACGAGATGGTCAAGCGAGTGGGTGGTCGATCAGCCTCCATCTTGAGCGAGATGACCTGCATTCTCGGAACCAGCATTGAGCTCGGTCAGTCGTCGATCTCGACCTCCTCTCCTTTACCAGAGCACACTCACCACGATCATGCTGGAGACGGTATCGAGCTCAATGGATCTTGCAACTCATGCTCAAAATTCCTCCATGAGGACTGCCGACTCTCGCCTTCGCGCGTTTCGAAGGAGAACCCATCGGCATACCCCATCCTCCAGTTCAGCATTCTGGCTCCTCCTACCGAGATGATTCAAACTGCCAAGGGCGAGGTTGCACAGGAAGCCTCGACTTACAGCACAGGCGCAATGGAGCTACGACAGGGACAAGTCGATGTTCGGGCCCGCGTCAATTGCTCGATTCTGCACTATTTTGATCCAGTGCAAGAAGGCAAAGACGTGTTGCAGAGGTTTCGTCGTCATCTGCCCCAGCCGTGAACTTGGAGGATCTGGAAGATCCAGGCTATGTCTTCCACTTCCGGTTGATCCACCCTACCCTTCACACTGTCGTTGCTCGCTATTCGACAGGTCCCATCTTGTTCCAGAACTACTCTCGCGGGGCGCTCCTAGATGGGTCTTTGTCCTCTTTGACACTTCATTTTTTGCTATGCTTCTTTTTTTTTTTCCTTTCGTGATCCCTCTTCTTCACGTCTAAAATAATTGTATTATTCTTTCCGTGTTTCATTAGCCCTCCCTCCTTTATAAAAAATTTCCGATGCTGATGTCGATACAGGTTTGATTCTTGATTCTAATTGGTCCATGGTTTGGGTGCATCGATGCAGATTCAGTTGCAGGAAAAAAATGGATATCTAATCCGTCGCGTCGAATAAACTTTTTCTCATTTCATCACAAGCAATATGCCCCGAGCCTTCGACATGAGGGAGTTACGGTAAGTCGATGCGAAATCAATTTATTACAAAATTATGCTGATTTTTTTGAATGTGAGAGGAGGGAGGGAAAGAAAATGATGATTTACTGGAGGTAAGGCGCCAGGGCGGAGGCACCAATGTTCAAGGCAGGGAACTGCTGGTTCAAGGCCTTGATGAGCTCAACCATCTCGTGGCGGGTGTGGGGCTTGAGCTCGTCCTCCTTGGAAAGGACGTTGGCAAAGATCTCGAGCAACTGAGGCATGTTGTTGAAGCACCAGGCGTTCTGGCCCTGGATCAACTGGAACAACAACTTGTAGACGGGCTCGTTCTCCTCGTAATCGCGCTTCAAAGGCAAAGCAGCGACAAAGACGGGCAAGACCTGGTCGACGGGGACAGCCTCGGGGTGACGCATGATCATACGAGCAACAGCTCCACAAGCATTGTCGGTCACATTGTCCAAGTTCTGGCCCTGGAACAAGGGGTATAAGGCCGTCAAGAGGGCGGGGTATTGCGACGAAATGTCCATGGTCGTGTTCTGGCAGAGGGCTCCAACAGTGTAGGCAGCGTTGCTGCGAACCTCGGGCTCCTCATCCGAGAGACCCTTGAGGGCAATGGGGAAGATGGTCTCAGTGAAACCAGTGACGCCCGCGAGCATACCGGCAGCGATCTCACCCAAGCATCCGATAGCCATCGAGCGCTCGCTGGTGGGCTTGGACTTCTTGTAGTACTTGGCAATGTGAGGAATAAAGATCTTGGCGTACTCGACAAAGTTCTCGCCCAAGACGGCGGCGAGGGCACCGACCAAGTCAGAGGCAGACGAGATCAACAAGGCATCAAACTCGGCCTGCTCATCCTCGTCCAAAAGACCCTCATCGTCAGCAAGCTCCTGCTGGCAGAAAGCCTTCTTCTCAAAAATCAAGTTCAAGTGCTCAGCAATCGTGTTGATGTCTAAAAGTTATTCAAAAACAGGTGCGCAAATGGTAGTCAGTGTCATGTTCATTGATAATATCTAGTGCCATGGACGATGGGATGAGCTCTGCTATTGTCAGAAAGTGACACTTACGCTCAGCAACAATGCCGGGTCCGCAGAGCTTGAGGGTCTCGACCATCTCCTGGCAAAGTTGGACAACGACCATCCTATTAGACAAGAAACCACAAGTTGGCAATGGTTAGCTTATGGCTCCTCAACAGCTGCTTCGAACGAAATTATTCCTTATGGTTCATAAAGAAATAGCAATAAGGTCTTTTGCTTCAGTGTTATATCAATTCATCTCATGGGATATCGAATTGAGCTGGGTTTAAAGTAGCTGATTTGGGATCATCATTGAAAAAGACGCATGCTCGGCGGGGAGAACCAAAAGATAAAAACAAACTTGAAAAACGAAACTTACTTGTCATCCTCATCCTCCCAGATGGAAAGAATGGAGGGCATAACCAAGGTGTTCAACTGGGCAACGTTGTCATGGAGAGGAACGGCGACGGGGAGACCAGCCTTCCACTCGGCAGGGCTGGAGATCTTGTAAAAGGTGCGGAGGAAGTTGAAGAGGGCACCGCACGAGGCCTTGCGGACACCATCAGACATATGGGTGGTCAAGTTAACCAACTCCTTGACACTCGACTCGACATAGGGCAAGAAAGCGGTGCGAGTGTGCTGGAAGAACTCGCCGATAGTATCGGCAGCAACCTCCTTCTCATCAGCAATGGCAGAACGGAAGACGTAGTTCAAGTCCTCAGCAGTGTCCTCGCCATCAACGTCGTCCTGATCACCAGTCTCGTTGTCAAAGCGGGTGGTGTTCTCATCCAGTTGGCACGAAGCAATCAACTGGGGAACAATGCCGGCCAAGTAGGGCGAGAACTCGTCCTCAAAGACCTGAGCGATTCCGGCAAAGAAGTAGTATCCGCACTCACGGAGACGAGTGTTGTCCAAGAGCAATCCCTGCATGGCCAAGTTCATCAAGTCGTTCAAGTGGGGTCTAAAGGCATCCTTTCCGACGGCGGCAGCAATGGCACCGAGAGCATCGGTTGAGACGGCACGGAGCATGAGCTCGTCCTCATTGGAGTGAAGAGTCATCAAGTGCTGGAGACGCTTGATCACCTCGGGGAAGTAAGGGGTGAACTCGGAGCCAGAGGCATGGGCAGCGCTTCCGATAGCGGCAACAACGATAGCACGAGTCTCGCCCTGGGCGTTGTCGAGCATGATAAGCAACTTCTGCATCAACTCGGCGAGGTACTGGAGAATGTTCTCACCCAAGCCCTCCAAAATGGCATCCAAGGCATTGCAGGCCTGCTTGGTGATCTCGGGGGTAGGCTCGTTCATCAAGTTAAAGACAAGGGGCAAGAGGGTGGCGTGGTTCTCGGCGACCTCGTCAAACTCCTCGGCAAAGGAGCTCAAGGCCATGCAGGCTGCGCGACGAACGTTGGCCTCGGGATCCTGGAGACCAGCGCAGACAATGAGGAGGAGCTCGTTGAACTTGGGGCGGATAAAGTCGACAGAGCCCTCGACCAAGACAGCAAGGGTGACCATGGCAGCCTTGCGGAAGAGAGGGTCAGCGTTGGCCATGTAGGCGAGAATACCCTCCAAGGCGACGGGGAAGACCTGCTGGGGAGGGAGGTTGGTGGCGAGGGTGTTGATAACCTTGAAGGCGAGACGAGCAGGTGAATCCTCATCGGAATCCTCGGGCTCCTCCTCAGCGGCGATGGGCATCAATTGCTGGATCATGGGTCCGACCAACTTGAGACGCTGGATCTTGGTCTTCTTGTAAACGATGGCCCACATGATGAAAGAAAGAGCCTGGACACGCATGACGGGCTCGAAGGTGATGTTGGCTCCAATGCTCAAGAAGAACTGGATCAAGTTCTGGACATGCTTGGAGAGAATTGGGATCTCGAGCAACAAGAGGGTATCAAAGACATCGAAGCACTTGGCAGCAGACTCCTCGTCGCTGTCGTTGAGGCACTGCTGAAGGACGTTGACCATGTGGAGGACGAGCTCGGAGAACATAGCAATCTCGTCCTTTTGATCTTCCTCGATAAAATCGGCCATCTTGCCCAAAGCCTGGACGGTGGTGATGCGGACGACCTGGGACTCGGGGTCCTGGATGGTGCGGCTGAACAATTCCAAGAGTTGACGCAAGTTGTCGGCAAAGGCGTCGGTGACCTCGAAGATGGCGTAGATGACATAGACACCAACCTCACGGTGTCCAGCGTTGGCGCCGTTGGAGCATTGGAACAAGAAGGCAAGGAGCTCGTTCCAGGTGTTGGCGGGAATCTCAATTCTTCCGACAGTGGCAATAACACGGGCGGTTGAGTGGCGGGGGAGAGGCCTAAAAGAATTGATAACAAAGATGTTGAGAACGATTAGTTTCTTTTGAATGTTACTTTTCCTGCGAGCCCTTCGCTGTCGTTCCTCCAGTTTTCTTTTCTCGTTCTGAGAAACATTTGAATGTCACTTTTTCTTGAGTCATCTCTCAGTCGCCTCCAGTGTTTTTTCTCCTTCACACCGGCCTCCTCTTCTTTTCGCCGTCTCTTCCTCCTCTCCTTTGTCTTTTTTTCTCTTGGCTTTCTCTTCACTTTCCTATTTTCAAACGCCAACAGGTTGAACCATTCCCTGAGAGACAACACGCGTAACCAGCAACAAAATAAAACCTACTCCTGCTCGTTCAAGATGATCTCCAAGAGTTTGGCCTTGGTGTTGGTGCGGACCTCGAGGTCCAGCTTTGCCCACCAGTTGGTGATCTGCTTGCGGAGCTCGACAGCAGCAAGTTGACGGATCTAGATAAGTGGCAACGAGCAAACGAAAAACAATAACAAAGAAAAAAGGTTTGCGAGCGTAAGTCAGTGCTCTCAAATCTCCACTATTTTTCCCTTTTGTTTTTACGCTTTCACTGAAAGAGTTTTTTCCCTGATCGGTCCTGCTTGCCAGTATCGTTCGAGGTTTCTAGAACTGGCGGGGCTTCATTCCTGCTGTTGTTGTTCCTGCTGTTGTTGTTCCTGCTGCTGTTGCTGTTGTTATCGTTGTTGTTCTTCCTTAGATAGTAGAAGACCACTCCTCCTCTTCGTCCTGTTGCCGAAGGCCGTCGCTGTCGAACATTTCCTCCGCGCTCGATTGTCCTTTAAGGCACACACTTGTACACACTACGCGTCGGCACTGTCGTGTTATGGTCTTGCATATAGCATGAATGCAAGATAGCGCACAGGCAAGGCAACGCCGGAGTGGGGCTTCTTATTCTTACCTCCTTCTGGGTCGAGGTCTGGATGATATGGACGAGGGCAGGGACACAGTTGGCATCAGCGAAGAACTGGGTGCTCAATGCCTTGGTAGCCTATTTGCCGTTGTAATAGAAAGGAGAAAGTCCTTTGTGTCAGATTCGGATCTTGTTGTCTTGTTGAGATTCAGGGACAGAATTAAGGAACGAGTGAAGTGTGATGCTGTCGTTTGAAAGTTGATGGATTACCTCCTTGATCTGGTCATTGTTGTTCGAGAAGAGGACCTGCTGCAGGGTCTGCTCGAGACCGGCCACGTATTGCTCCATGGTGTATGTGTGTGCGAGGAGGAGGAGGGAGGGAGGGTGAGGAAGAAGGAAAAAAAAAGAAGAAAAAACAAACAACAGACTCCTTCAAAAGTAAAGCCAACGAGAAAAAAAAAACAAAGTCCGTCCGTCCCGCCACCTTTTTCTTTCTTGTGTTTTTTAGGTACATTCGTGCCACGTGATAGATAACGTACGGACCTCGTCTCAGCCATCTCGTCAGAAAAAAAAGAGAGGCAAAAAACAGCTCAAATGAACGATTCTGGACCGTCTTTGTATTTTAATTCACCGTTGTTTTTGGTGCTGGTAACGTTGGCGGTTGAGGCGATGCTCTGCCTGCAAGCTTTGTGATAGGGCCACTTCGCTGTGGTTTTATTTGTTGTTGTCCAGGTTGCCTTTGTCTTGTCTTGTCTTGTCTTGTTCCGTGTACTGTTGCCAGGCTGTGTGTGGGGTTGTGCTCTTCCTCCACCTACATCATCCCTTAATCATCATCATCATCGCCAAGGGGGGTTGGTTCAATAGAAAAACGACGCTAACGCTTGAAGGACACCTTATCACACCTTCTTGCGCCTTCTTTCGCTCCGTTCCTTCTTCTTCCCTTCTTTCTTCCCTTCTTCCTTCTTCCTTTTCTCCTCTTCTCCTCCCTGCACCCCTCCCACCATTTTCTTCCAAGAGCTCTCCTCTTATCGCTCACACCCTACAATTTCATTCTTTGCTTTTCATTTTTTTCACACCCTTTTTACCGAGCACATTCAAACACTGCACAAACACCCACTCAAACATAACACTGATATGACCACAGCCTTCACATTCTCACACTCCTACGCAGAGTTTAACAAAAAGAATCCCCTCCCTGCTCGACCAAGACTTCATCTCGAACTCTCCGTCGACACTGCCAACCACGACGCCGCACTCGAAGATATGATGACTATGACCGATTCGGTCACCGCTGTCACACCTCCTCTCGATCTTACCTCAGACTCGGACGACGAGTACTCTGTCATCATGCGGTCCCCGCTTTCACCAACCACGCCCCAGCCCGTTTCCATCTTGCTTCACCGCAAGCGCAAGGATTCTCAAGAAGAGCACGTCTCTGCCCTCAACCTCTTTGATCGCCAGCGAGGTCAGCACGATACCGAATATGCAGCCTTTCCTGCCCCTCAGGGTTATGGAAAGGGCGCAAGGGGTCGCAGGCCGACTGTGACCTTTGACCTTGACGATGAGCCCTCATCCCAGCGGCAGCACACAGGCCCTCTGTCGGTTCTTCACCACGATCGTCATGATGATGCCGCGGCCCGTAAAGCTGTCGACTTTATCCTTGATGATGATGATGAAGCTACTCCCTGTCCAGAGGTGCCTGATGGTGTTCTTGCAGCTGAGCGCGCTCTCCGTAGAGTGTCGATCACACATCCAGCCGAGACCTCGTCCATCACCGCTGCTCCTCAAGGTTCCGACTCGACCAACGACGACACCACCATGCCTTCAATAATACCCATAACGACAACAGCTGCAACGACGAAAACAGAAAACACAACAACGACGACAGCAATTGCAGAAGAACCGATAACTACTAGCGTGGTCGAAAATAGGGCACCCCAAGAAATCATCATCAACCACATCACGGCAGAGGATGCGCCCCAAGACTTGCTCGTGGCCCTTTTTGACCGCTCCTCTGAGCTCGAAGCGCTGACCGCCAAACACTCAGACTTTTTCAACCTCATCTACAGTAGCCTCTCTCAACCCAGTCGCGAACCCTTCAAGACCCTCCTCTTCACTCCCCGCACCTCCCTTGGTGACCGAGACTGGATGGAGGCCATTGACAAACAGCTCTCGGCCCTCCCACCTTGCATCCTCGAAAAGTTCAAGGGCATTGTTGGTTGGATTGGACCTGAAGACGATGAAGACGAGCGCGACTTCTGGGGTGAGGACGAATACGGTTACCGCGACTCGTCCTTCGAACAAGTCCAGATCAAGTGGCTCCGCGATGTTCCCGATTTCCCTCTCGAGACCTTTGAACAGTGCTACCCACAGTTCTTTGTCAATGCTCGAGACCGACTCCAGGGCCATCGCATGTCATACGGTGGAGACCAGCGCGACCATTATGTGATCTTTTGTGAGATCCTGCAACTGAGTCGAGACGACTTGCCCTGCGACAATGCGTGGGCCCGTCGAATGAACGGCTGTCTTGAGAAGCACCCCGAGCTGTTACTGCAGTTGAAGGAGATTATCGCCTACGAGACGGGATACGACGACTGAGTTCAGTCCCGTTTTACTGTCCCCTTTGCGTAGCTTCTCTCTCTCTCCTATCCATAATGCTTGCTTTGTTGACATTGGTAAAATAGCAAAAATATAAAAACAAGAAAAGAAGACGCTTTATCTAAGGTCCGCATCTCCCAACGCTCTTTGTCAGTGCTTTGCCCAAAGCGTAAATGCAATCTACTCAATCTGCCAGAAAACATCATCGCCTGATTAAGGGTTGGAGATATCTTTCTCTCGCCATCATCCACCCTGTTGCTCGCGTCCCTCATCTTCTACTTGCGTTTTCACGCCCCTATTAAATTGCTATCGGTGAAAGCTGCACAAGGTGGACGGGCAAGGAGGATGCAATTATAAATGAACAGGCCCTTTCCTCAATAAACAAGCTTTTTAGCCTAACGAAATGAATAATAAATATCTTGCTAAATGCTGGTATGAGGCACATGCTCAGGTACGACGAAGACCGTATCAACAACTATGACAGCAAACATGAAAATAGGAGACGATTCAGGAACAGCAGGGAGAAGGGACGAGCGACAGAGAACGACGAGGCACGTTGTCGCCTCGGAAAGGGGCTAGGTATCTGGCATCAAAACGAATGTCTACAGTGCATGTCGAAAATCTTATGAGTATGATGAATCAAATCGGTTCATTGACAAGCAAAGGAAGAATGTCTGATGGCTTTTCCAGCGTGGAAGTTGTGGTTTCAATTTGATTACAGTGTGAGTGCCGAAGGCGATAGACGATAGATCTCAGAACTCATAGTCAACCGACAACAAGGAATCGAGCAGTCAAGAAACAAGGATAGAGGAGAAGACGAGAGGAAAAGAAAAAAGGGTCGAAACGGAGGCAATTCCCTTGTCTCCTTGGTGTTTTTTAATTGTCTTTGGGCCTAATATCATTGACAGGTTTGAATCCTGTGTCGGATATAGAAACGGGTGATTATTGTTATCGCTTATTAACTTTCAAGGCTGCATTGCAACTTTGCAAGGTGCATGTGTAATTTGCTGTCCAAGTTCAACGCCTTCTTCTCTTCTCTTCTCTCCGTTCTCTCGTTGCATTTATGTTCGTTGTCAGTCCTTCAGTTGCTACTACTGGTTGATGCTGTTACTTGTATAGTACAGTAGAGGAAGTGTCTTTTGTTGACGAGAATTGTATTCTCCCGATGTTGACACCCTCAGAGGACCATCACCTGGGCGATTTGTTTATCACAGCGAACAAGTACATGCAAAGACCACCCGCCCCCTTCTCTCTTCTTTTCTGAATTGTCTATCTTAAGATTGGTCTTGTCGCTTGTCTTGTTCGCATTGATGCGGTGGTGGTGGTGGTCCATTTGAGCCCAAACCAATCCTCTCCGTTTTCACCTCTTTCTTTCTCTTTTTCTCCTCTCCTTCCCGAGACAAAGTGGACAGGGCACAAACCGTCCGCTGTCCTTCTTTCCTTCACCCTCCACTTCCCACCTTTTCTTTCTCGTCCCTTCCTCCCAAAAGCTCATACACACCCTTGCCTCACTTCCTTCTTTGCCCTTACTCTCACCTTTCCTTATTCTGAACGACCTTCTACCATGTCTCGCTCCTATACTCCCTCCATCGATCACAACTCTCATAGTTCAATAATGCATACCTCAAGTACAATCGAGTATGTAACTCCATGCTCGGTGTTCACCTTTTTCTTCAACCCTTTTTCTCCACGCTTAATTTTTGTCACTCACTCTTTTGGAATTCTATCTGTCCACTATGGATTCATAGAACCCAGCTTGATACGGAGCGTGACTACCCCCACACCGCACAGCAAAAGCAACACAAGCACCAGGAACAGGAGCGGGAACAAGTAGGACTCTTACAAACAACGAACCAACGTCTTCTGACACGACAACAACGGATAGCTGAAGTCCGGGAGAAAAGACTCTCCATGTCGTCCATCATGACTGTCGATACGTCTTCTCTTTCCCAAGGCGGTTTCTTTACCTGCTCTTCTCCGACGACTGCAGCGTCTTCGTCGTGTACGTCTCCGATGTCCGTGCTTGTACCCATCTCGCCCTCGTCAGTCTCGTTTCAGGATAGTTATCCGACCAATAGCAACAACAATTATCGCCATAGCAGGAGGACGTCGTCGTCAGTGTCGTCGTCGCTGTCAGAATGGCATCAGCTTGCACACAGCAACAACCTTCTTCCATCGAATCCTGCGCTCCCTGTACCTGAACCTGTTGCATATTTCGCCCCTATACCTGCCCCTGTTCCTGCAATTCGACAGCAACAACAAAAGAACAAGCACAAGTCTCAGACATCGGAAATGGACGGACAAATACTCCCGTTTCCTTCACGACCTAACTCCTTTGCTTCTTCGTACCAACCCGTCATGCTTTCCAGGAAGAACAGCCAACATTCGCAGCAACAGCGCCAACTCGATCCAGGGACAGTGGCGACGACGACCTTGACCTTGACGAACCATGACGGCGGCAACAACCAGTATGAGGAGTCTAATGCGGCCTTTGAGCGGATCTGTTCGCTGCTGAACCATTTGATTACGGACGCATCGACTGCCGTTAGTACTGCAGATGACAAAGATTCTTCTAGAGCTGCTGTTGCTCCCTCAATTATTATCCCTCGCTACTTGCCTATGGTCAACAGCGAGTCCGAGAACTCGGACGAGGAAGCTGGAGGAGTGTCATGTCTGGAAGGAGGGGAGGCGATGACGACCACCATCGGGGATGATGGTATCGATGGAGGAGAGTCTATGTTCATTGGCGAGCCAGAGTCACCACGGAACCAGATCCGCCGGCGGATAGATGACTCGAGGAAGAAACGATTGGCACGGAACAGGACTGGGAGCTATACGGCCGACCCTTCGAAGCGGACTAGTCTTTTCCTGGAGCTTCAAAACTTGCAAGTAGAACCGGAGGACACCCAACATCTGACATCACCAGTTCTTGGCAAGCCGGGTGCCGACACTGAAGGCAGTAAGCGTCATCGAACATGCAGTAGCATCCACTCTCCTGGTATTGGCATTGGCGCTGGACGGACTTCTCTGGACGCAGCAATAACAGCCACGCTATTCTCGCCGACCACCCCGAGCAGCAGATCCTTGGACTTTGAGCTCTTTGACAGCGAGTTGGGGTCCCCCGTAACTCTGACGACCCCTCGGCGTCGGGCCTCCTTTCCGCCCAGACGAAGCGACCAAATACAGATCCAGCGTGCAGAGGAACTCCAACGGGTAATTCAGCACGTGGATGCCGAATTGGACAGGACGGTCGAGACGATTGACGATCTGACAAGGGATTTGATGGCGGTATCTACGCATCAGAACTGGATGAAGACCCATTTGGAGCGGACACTTGGGATCCAGAGTCCGCTGTCGTTGGCTGATTTTCTTCAAAAGGATGACGACGACAACGCGACTTTTACTATACCAGGGGTGACAGGAACAAGTCCAATGAGTCCTACTAGTTCGACGAGTCCCCGGGGACGGCTTGAGCAGATGGAGGATATTATCGGTGCCACCAAGGCCCTGCTGTCGTCCAGGGAGTTTGCTAAATACTACCAAGTGCTCGAGAGGGTCCGGATCATGGAGGAGCAGGAGGACCGTGAGGAACACAACGAGCGAGGTGGCGGTGAAGAAAGTGACCTGTTTGGAGGGCGTGTGCATATCGGCAGTAATAAGCAGCAGCGTCTATCAGGGTCGTCATTCACTCTCACCAACAGCTCCTTCCGACATTCGGCTTCATCGACACTTTCCCTGGAGACGCAGTTCGGATCGTACGCCGATTTCAAGGATGGGGCGCCTTTGAGCAGCGGCAGTCGACCCTCGATCGAATGGAGTGACCGTGTTGGAATCCATTACAGTAGCCATGGTCATGGCCTGATCCAGGAAAATGTCCATCCTCTTACCGCAGCACCTTCCCTTGTTCATCAACAACAACAGCAAGGACCAGGATCTCTTTTGGAGCTATCGTCGAGTCGAGGACAAAAACCCATGGCCGAGCAATCGGGGAAGCGGGAGCAGGAGCAGCAAAATGTCACGGATGTCAGTACTCTTCTTCAAGCAAAAGACAGAGAAGTCTCCGTATCACCGGACGATGCGACTCTGGCTATCGACAAGCTGATCTTGGCATGCACACATCTCATCCTGCTCCTATTCTGGACAGTGGCGCTCATCCTGGGAGTCGTCATCACAGACGGGTTTATACTCGACAATGCTGGACGGCATCTTATCACCTCGGTTGAGATCCTTCAGAGCCACTTTACTATCCGCGATAAGGACCCTTTGCTCGCGGAACAAGTACGGGATGGAGATGCAACTCTGGAACAGGACCAAGAACAGGAACAAGAACAAGAGGCAGCGGTACCTGGATCTGCTCCAAAGTCCATTCGCCCCTGCACCGCCCGCCGACGCACAAGACCTTCGCAGCGCTACCACTCCCACACTCATCACCACCACAAACACCTCCACCGTCGCGGTCTATCGTCCATCTTCCCACAAATCAACGCACCATCCGTCTTTGGAGGCAGTATCGGTGGCCAGTTCTACAACTCGCCGTTCCTTGCCAGTTCGCGCTATGGAGTCGATATCTCGCAAAAGGAACCACGCACCATCCAGTTAGGTCCCTTGTCTGTCGCCCCTGGCTCCGCATCTGTCTCTGGCAACGGCAACGGCACAAAGACGACAATGGCTACGATGCTGGCCCCAATCCTGGCAGTATCATTCTCGTCGTCCTGCTCATCTACGGTCGGACTTCTCGAGGACTCGGAGTTGTCCATCTCAACGACTTCCTCGTCTGCCACATTGTTGGACTGGCTCGACTCTACTGCGGCCCCTACAGATAAGGAAGAGGTCCAAGCATTTGCTGAAAGTACATAACAATATCGATACCACTTCCCCTCTATCCTCCAGAACTACAACCTGTCCTTCAACACTAATTAAAAATTGGAGGCTATCAATTTGCTTGTGCAAGTATATGTGTGATTTGGTGGCGTTTTTTTTTGTATGCGCCGCCGTATTGCCCATGCTATTTTCTGAACACAAGAACGTACAGCGGAGGCGATCATACGACTCTGTCATGTACTCTTGGTGGCACAAAGTCCGCGGAGGAGTGAGGAAGAGGAGGAACCTCCCTGGATGACGTTTGTACCCTCTCCTATCACTTCTCTTTGACCCTGAGCATGATCATGATGGTGGCAATAGTGGTACCAGGGACCAAAGCACAGGACATGCATCTAGCACGAAAGGACGCAGATTTAAAGTGATGACGTTGATTCTCTTTTTTTTTAATGTACAATAATATGGAGGCACAAGGGTAGGATATGTCCTTTGCTCAGGTCTCCGACTGTGTGTGGTGTGTGTGTGTGTGCGTTTTTGTTGTTGTTGTCATAGCTTAGCGGCTTCTGCTGCTTCCTATACGATCGGTAGGGTTGTCCATGCCTTTGATTGCTTCCCGAGTGCATTATAACGCAGTTGTTTTGTGTTTTGCTAGCCTCCACTGGTATCATCCTGAATTGCGCTTTCTCAATGTTGCCTTCACCGTTCGAGTTATGTTTCGTGTTGTGGCGAACAGACGGGATTTTACTCAGACTTGAGGTGGACCCGAGACGCGGCAGCATGATGATACCACGTTTCGGGGACAACATCCAATTGGCGTCCAATGCTCCCAAAACAGACCGACGATGAGTAAAGAATACAAGGGATCCATGATCCTACGCCAAAAAAGTCTGCCCTCGTAAAGCTACAACCAGAGAACCAAAAAAGAAGAAAAAAAAAGAGTTGCGATGGTTAATAACAATATTTCCATGGTGATGATGGTCAGGAGGGGTCTTTTTTTTTTTTTTTTTTTTTTTTTTGGGGGGGGGGGTGACATTTTAATTCGCCTTTCTAATCGGTATGGAGTGCAAAGAGAACTTTTTTGTTTTCCTTCCTTCCATCCTTCTTTCTTTCACTTTTCGCCATTGTTGTAAGCACCTTGAACATGAAAAGGATTACACAAAACTCTCAGGAACAAACAACACCAAACCAACCAAAACAAAAAGAAAGGATGAACGAGTGAAAATGGCATATGAAACTCTCAAACCTTCCGGCTAGGAAAAAGAGGGTTGCGGACGAGTGGTAAGACAAAGGCAAGGACAGAAAGCAAGACCAATTCCAACAATAACAACCTCCGGATGGTCCGTGTGAACAGTTTGTGTCTGCATGTTGTGGAAAAGAGGGGTACAAGAGTAAAACAAATAGAAAGAAAAGGAAGGACCGGAAGGAGGACGGAATGAATGATACATGGGACAAACATACCTATACCATCCATTGAGGACTAAAAAGTAGGCAACCGTCGTTCCCATCGAGGCCACGGTCAACGAAATCATGAATCCGTGGAAGGTACGGTCAAACAAGAACCAGAGCGCAGCCGAGATCAGGGCCAGTGTGCAAGAGACCTGCACGCTACTTGTCCACGGCAGCTTGGACGCTGCATAATTAACCCCAATGAACCCACCCATGCACCTAAGATAAATGTCGAAGAAGAATCATAAAAAAAGAAAAAGAAGGAGGGGCTCTTTGTCAATAAAAGAAAATACGCATCTCATCAATTCTTTGCCAAGGAATAGCGCACATCTTCAACATCATGCCATTTCTCAAGAAATAAAAAAAGGGTACCTCATAACGCTGGACCAGTCTCGGCCGTTGGGCTGGACGCGCTTGCCCCACCAGAGATAATCGCCGAGCGGATAAATGGTGCCGATGAGCACGGCTGAGGCTCCGCAGGTCGGAGGCAGCCACGAGGCAGTGTCCCAGAGCTGGGACATGTTGCTGGGATACTGCACGAGCTTGTGCTGAGTCTGGAGGTGGTCAATGACCAACGAGAACACAAAGCCGAGTACAAACAGAATCAACGCCCGAATCGGGTAGTAGAGCGACAGCGCCACGTCGAACACAAACAAGTAAGGTCCGTCCACAACCAGACCGAACGAGGGAGACGACGTTGTCGTTGTTGATGTTGTCGTTGTTGTTGACAACGACGACTCCACCACTGCTCCTGCTGCTGTTGTTGCTGTTGTTGGGCCTTGACTTGAGCGTATCGTGGATGCTGGTGACGATGATGATGTTGATGATCCCCCTGCAGAGGAAGTTGCTGCCTTTGGTGCCATATATCCTGCTGCCGCTGCTGTCGTTGTGGTAGTGGTTGTAGTGGTAGTGGTAGTGGTAGTGGTTGTAGTGGTTGTCAACAGAGTTGGTTCTGTTCCTTCTGAACTTGAGTCGTCACTGCTGGCTGTTGTGGACGGGTGGTGGAGTGATTTGTAGCTCAGGGTGGGAGAGAGATCAGACAAGTCCTGGGGAATAATGTCGTCCTTGTCACTGCCACTGTCGGAATGAGATGCTCTTGTTGATGCTTGGGTGAGTGAGGTATTGTTGTTGTTATTGTTGACCTGCTTGAGCATGTGCCTTTGCCTTTTGGAGTAATAGTTCTTTGGCCGGAGGTTGGATGTTGTGGCAGAATGTAATGACAATTGCAAGCTCTCTTTAGAGAGGTCCAGTCGCGGGCCGGAGGCAGAAGAGGAGGACGGCGTTGAGCAGCAGTAGGAGAGACAGGTCCTTGTGGAACAAGATGCGCGTGGGTTGCCTGTTGTTATTGTTAAGGCAGAGGACGAAGAGGAAGAGGGGTATTCGGAGGATCGGCTGGTAAAAAAGGAGAGGAATGGAAGATAATGCTGGAGGGTGGAGGATGCTGAGGGTGGAAGGGATGCTGGTGAGAAGGATGGGGAGGGGGGGGCGGAGGTAGAGGGCGTGGAGGACAGGGAGGGGGAGCGAGAAGAAGGACGAGAGGAGGAAGAAGGACAAGAGGAAGAAGAAGATGAAGGAGAAGGGACTGAGGTTGGCGAGACCATGGCCGCGAATGCTCTGGCTTCCGTCATATGAAAATAAGTGCAGGGCAGATCAAAGTTGGTTGGCTGGTTGGTTGGTTGGATGTTCCTTGTCTGTTGTTCAAAGGGGCGACAAGGTGGGTAAAAAAGGAGTGCTAGACTATGAACAAAAGGAAACCCCTTCTTCCGGATTGTACGATTGTACAATAAAAGGGGAGAGAGAGAATGAGAAAGGAGAGAAAGGAGGGAGGGTAAAGGGAGGAGGTAGTGGTGTGTAGAGACAGTTGAAAAAAAGGTCCTTGCTGTTTGTTGTTTGCGAAGAGTGTCGTGTTAAGTCGTGTTTTGTTTATGGTTAAAGTGGCAGTCAGCGATCAGTTTAATAAGTGATCGTTCCAGGTTCCTGAATGTCGGAGGAGGGTGATGGATGAGAGGAAATATCAATGCTTCGCCCGAATGGAAAGGAAAGGGGGGAAGAGGGGGCAGAGGGTGGAGTTCGTTGTTGAGTGTCAAGGAAGGGAAAGGGTGCAAGGTGTCAAAAAATAGAGGGAGGGGTCAGGGTCAATATATATAACGATGGTGAAGGGAAGAAGAAAGAAAGAACGAGAGTAAAAAGCCAAAATAAAAACAAACGCAGAAGACGACAACGATGGGCGATGCGACCGATGGCTTCAATCAAAGGAGTCGTGGGGCAAGAAAGAAAAGACGCACCACTCCACTCCCGCGCAAAAAAAAAAAAAAAAAAAAAAGTATCATAACAACAATAAATGACTTGTGTGGGCGTCGAAATGCACTTGTAACATAAGAAGTGTTTAATTTTTTTATGTAGTAAATCCATCTCAGCTGCCTCAGCTCGCAAAAATGACCATGGCCTGACATTTTCCGAGCAAATGATTTCGTGTGGCCTGATCTAACAGCAAAGCCAGGAACGGACAATGTCAAGCCATCTCACACATCTCAAAAAATAATTAAAAGGAAAAAAAATTGGCTTTGCTCGCTCCCGCACCACCCGATCTTTTTATTTTGTTGCTGTTTACCCACTCACTTCTGTTGCTGCTGCTGGACACACGGACACGGACGCACACTGTGTCTTTTTCTTTCCCTTCTCCTCCTCCTATTCTTCATATCGCATATCCTGTGCCATCTCTATTTTCTCTCTCCATCGTTCATTCACGCTATGACTCCTTTTGCTTTTCTTGTCCATTCATGCATTGCTCATAGTCTTGGCCACTGGGGGTACCTGGAATGAACTGTACCCCCTTCCGTCCACCACCCTGTGTCTGCAGGAGGAATCAGTCAGCCCACTGACCATCTCCTCTTCCCTGTTGTACAGTTGCATTGCAAAAAGGTATGTATAACTACAAACTATAGGGGTTCGATCATTCACCCCCTCTCTCATCGCCAAAAACAATCAACAAACAAACAAAGTGCGCATGCAGCAGCCAAGCATCGCCCTTCCCCTCCACCTTCCGCCCTCTCCCACCCGCCTTTGCTACTCCACAAAACACAGCGCAGGAACAGTACTACCACAGGTGGAGCAGGAGAACGACGAGAATAAGGGAATCTCATTAACATCTTGTGTTTGTGGCTCATGGTTGTAGTCCCTCCAACTCCATTCCATGCTAATTTTTTAGGCTCCTTCGAATTAAGTCACCAAATGTCCTCGTCGACCCTTCAACATCAGACGTTCTTCTTTTCATCTTGCATGTTCTTGCTAGAGCGAAAAGAGAAGAGAAAGAGGAAGGGGAGGATACAAACTCATTATTACCTTTCGGCTGAGAAGAAATGCGAACATCAGAACCATGTTCCCTCTTTTCTACAATAGAGAACACACCCTCCCCAACCTGACGCGGGGAGCCGGACACGAGATTGGAGGGAAGATGGGTATGACATGTTGACAGAACAAAGTCAGACAAGAAAAAAACAAAACATAAACACGCAACCACAACTTTGTTCGTGTTAAGAACGAGCCCAAAGAAAATGCTAAAAAATATCTGAGCACTTCGCTACGATGTATCCATTTACCGTCGTAGGTCACCATTATTGACGACTACAGAAATGGTGAGTAGTTATAGTTGGTTCACATGCCAATGGCGAGAAAAAGACGCGTCGGATAGAAAGATCATAGATCGTACGATCATTGGTTTCTCGCAGATATCATTCAGGGTCGTGCTTAGGCTGCACGGGATACGTTCTACAACCTTAGATAGCCAGAGAGATAGGCATCTGTGGGGGGGAAGGGGAAGAGGGGGAGAGAGTTTGGTTGCAGGGGCCCAAAAATTGTAAAGTTGTGGGATTTTGGATGACTCGACCTTATCCGAAACAACAAGTTGTAAGGAAGAGAAGGGACCAATAGTCGTTGTTTAACATCCAACCACAGAACGGGCCAACTAACGGGTGGGATTGGGGTGCTAATCGGTTTGGGGTTCAGATCGTGACCCCTTCTATATGGTTACTAGTTGTGACCCCACTTCCGCCTGGGTCTGTAACTGTAAGTGAGAAATAAAGGTCAACGGTACACGACAGTAACATGAATCCAAGAAGGATAGTGACAACACACCGGGCATGAGGCTTTGAGTAGGTACGAAAGTGGATCAGCAGGACAGTTCATTGCGCATGTGGGGCCATTGTACCAAAATAAGAAAGACGACAAGCTCTGCCGATAGACAGTTGGTGTCCGAGGACCACCACACAGAGGCCATAGGGTATTGAAGGTGTCTCTTTTTTTCGCATTCGTTAGACACATCCTGGACGGACCCAGACGATCTGCGACCGGGTGTGGGGTGGACTGTTCATTTTTGAACGACGAACGATCAAAGGACGGGGATTGGCCAGATGAGCCGTCATTCGAGATCTGTGGCAGATAGATTCAAGGCCCGGTGGGTGAACGTACCAATTGCGGCGGCTTCCATTTGTTTATGTTCTCGACGACAGAGATAACCCATCCTTAACTCTCTCACTCCCACGGAGCAAAAATGCACACGCTCAAACACAAACGAAACGTCGTAAATTAATGGACGCTCCAGCTCCACACAAACAAACGGGAGAGTTTGATCCACAGATAGAGCAGTGTTGTGTATTCTCACTACATGTCTGCACTCCTCAATTGCTCTTTGAACCATCGTATCTGCCACCAATGCAGTAACACATGCATCAAACGGCCTTCAACCCCATTCGGCGCACTCTCCTCTATCCTCTTGCATGGTAAAACCCCGGTTGGAGGGATGGGTTAAGCTATCTGGTCGTTCCTTTTCCTTCTCCCCCTGGAATCCATCTGGCTGGGTCTTGTGGAATTGAGGTTCAAGTGTATCGAAAAGGAATATCAATCTGTGCCATCAAGGTACCAAGTGGCCCTCACACACACTTCATCCCAGGTTAGTTCCCCTTCTCTCCTTCATTGGCTACGCCTCGTTTCGACCAACACCCGACATGCTTCAAGCCAACACCCGGCATGCTTCAAAAGGAAGAAAAATGGAGTGTCTAACCGTCCTCACCACACACACAAACACATATACACTCATATACGCTCAAAATCGTTCAATCAACCAGCTCAATTCACGAAATATCTGCAATACTCGATTTCACTTTGTTTAAGGAAAGCAAAAGTTCCTCATGGGCAAAAAAGTCCCTGAAAGCCATGGAATACCTGGCTGTTGGAAAAAACAAAAATAGTCCAAGTTGTTTGACAGTGGTCAAACAGGTACAGTCGTCAACAGGCAGGCCGGCGGGGTTACGAACAGTGACCCCGACATGAAAGACACGGACAAAAAGATATCAAGTTGGCAATACATTGCAGTTTTTGGGATGCCGCCTTTCTCTTGCGCTCGTTTCCCATATTTTCCCCCTCATCTCACAAAAGATGATGATAGTCCACTGCAGAAAGGAGGGGTTGAGTGGAGGTAGTCTACAAGGTACTGGTAGTACAAACGGAGTGTGACCCCAGTTTGCAGAGTGACGCACGATAATAAAAGATGGAGAAAGCCAATTGGGCCAAATGATGTGAGAATAGAAAAGAGCGAAGGAGGGGAAAGATAGAGATAGGGACAAAGACTAGATTTGGGCCTTTCTCCTGTGAGTGCCCATTTGCCGGAACTGTAGCTGGCTTCATCTTAGGTTTCAGGTACGAGTGGAGTATTCAATCGACTTCTTATTGAACATGAATGACCAGCACAGACCCAAGGTTCACGCTAATGACGAATGATCCATGGGATAGGAACACCAAATTCATCGCTTGTACAGCGAACAGTTTGTTTGTTTTTTTTTGATTGTTGGGTGTTGAGTATCAAGCAAATGGTAGGCAACAGGCAGTCAGTCAGCAAGCCAACAACCCAGATCGGATGGCTTCAGAATCGACCGACAGGTCATTTCACTGGTGTCTCTCAAATACGAGGTCGGACGGGTGGCCCTTTTCTGGCCCTCTCATGTCTTGTGCTTTCTGCTCCTACCTGTCGTATGCGCCGTGGAGAAGTTCGAGCGAAAGAAATTGTAACTCAACAAACGGCCTTGTATCACTCACTCCTCACTACCCTCTTCCAATGGTCATACATATAAAAGGCTACTGAGATTTGCTTTTTTTTTCTTTTCTTTCTCCTCATCAATCGATCATTATTCCACTTTCATCTCCACCTTTTTAACATTTTACTCCACACATCCTCCTCCTCCTCCTCATCCTCCTCCATCCCATCCCTTAATTCCTCTTCCTCATATTAATACCAGTTATTCTGAACGCGACCACCCCAATCTCTCCACATCTCAATCGCATTCATTCCTCTCTCTCACACCTCACTCTTCTTCTCCCACATTTACACTTAAAATCAACCATCCTCAACTCATTATGGACTCTCGAGAAGTCGGATTTCCAGGCTACATGGTCTACTGTGGTCTCATGGCCTCATTGACCTCATTATCCATTGGTTATGTTATCGGTTCGCCCAACGTCCCCGAAACCGCCATCCGTGGCACAGATGGCTATTGCGACCCCAATGCTGACTTCAGTGGGTTCCCTGGATGCTTCCAATTTGCCGATCTTCTTTGGGTAAGTCTCTTTGATTTCTTGTTAGTTTGTGCAGCGAATGGGAGAAAAAAGACAACGGGTGTGCATTGTTATTTTTTTTCCACGTATCAACAATGAGGCATGAAAAACGAAGATGATGAAAAGGTTTCCCCACCCCACAACCACAAGGGCAAACAACAATACCTTTGTTTACGTTCGTTGGCCGTTTATCGCTCTCCACTCCATCCCCCGAGACATAGTGTGCGCATTGTTTATCATGTTAATGTTTGCATTGGTTATCATGTTACACAAAAAAAGTGTTGGGAGGGATAAGAGCTGTGTAATCCATTTCCATGATACACAGAACACAACCCACGGACGACTGTTTGGGTTCCCTGGTCGTCCTATCTTGATTGCCAATATTAACGTTAACGTTTTCCGTGTACACTTGTCTTAACAGGGTTTCGCTGTCGGCTCCTTCTGTCTTGGTGCCTTAGCTGGTGGTCTCATTGGAGGAAATGTCCAGAACATCTTTGGTCGCAAGAAGACCATGTTCATCAGTAACATCTTCTTCATTGTCGGCTCCATTCTCCTCGGCTTGACCTACCACCAGGCCCAGTTCATTGTCGGTCGTATCATCATCGGTTTTGCCTGCGGTCTTGGAGGCGTCGTTGCCCCCACCTACCTCGGAGAGATCTCATCGATCAAGGGCCGTGGTACCATGGGAACCATGTACCAGCTCCTCATTGTCGTCGGTATCTTGATCTCCAACTTGATCGGTCTTGGCCTCTCCACTGCCCCCAAGTGGCGCATCCTCCTCGCCATCAACGGTATCCCCGCCTTGATCCAGATGTTCTTGCTCCCCTCCCTTGTCGAGTCGCCCCGTTACCTCGTCTCCCAGAACCGCCTCGAGGAGGCTCGCGTTTCCCTCCAGAAGCTCCGTGGTGCCAACTCTGATATTGAGCAAGAGTTTGCCGATATTGTCCAGTTGATTTTGGGACGTGGTTCGTCCGCCGTTGCTCGCCCCAACCAAGACTCTGCCTTTGACGAGTACAAGGCCGACCCCGAGACCGCCGTCACCGCCACCAACACTGGTACCTCCAAGAACTACTCGATCATCCGTCTCTTCACCTCCGAATGCAGGGGTCTCGCACTCATCGGAATCGCCATTCATTTCCTTCAGCAGGCCTCTGGTATTAACGGTTTAATCTACTACTCGACCACTTTCTTGGGCGACGTCTTTGGTCCCGGTAACGCCAAATACATCACTGTCGGCGTTTCCTGCTGCAACTTGCTCTCCACCCTCGCCTCCGTCGCCCTGATCGATAAAACCGGTCGTCGCACTCTCCTCTTGATCTCCTTTGCCGGTGTCTCGCTCTCCTCAATCCTCTTGGTCATTGGTGCCTACGCCGAAGTTGGTGTCCTGGTCGTCGTCGCCGTCTTCTTGTACACCGCCTTCTTCGCCATTGGTCTCGGTCCCATCCCTTGGTTGTTGCTGTCCGAGTTGTTGCCCACCTACTCCCTTTCCGCCGCCTCAGCCGTCGCCACTAGTGTTAACTGGGGTACCAACTTTGTCATTGGCCTTATCTTCCCCTCGCTCAACAAAGCTCTCGGTGACGGCACCTTCATCCTCTTTGCTGCCATCACCGCCTTTGGCTTCTTCTACACCTGGTTCTTTGTCCCCGAGACTAGAGCTCGTTCCATTGAGGAAGTTATGGCCGAGAAGGGTGTTGCCCCTCGCTCCGATTACATGTAAAACACAATTAGCGCTACTGTAGTCCATTACCCCACACACAAGTCTGTAAATACAAGTTTATTATTACTACTACACACTGCGCTGTCTGAATGTACTTGAAAAGTGAACGATCGAACGAAGAAGGGAAGCATTGCGGATGTAGGACATGGTTCGGTGTTTTTTTGTCCTTTTTCAAGACCAATCGACATATGGATATGGATCTAAAACAGTTAGGTAATCTTTTCACAACAAGCACTAGCAATGGCAACATTAGAGGCAAAAGAAGCACACGAGTTGATTGTATCGAAGCAAACGACTAGACTACTCCCCCCCCTTTTTTTTTAGAAATTAGCCCACTCTTCATCGTTCGGTCCGCATCTCCGGATACAAAACGGCCATGATAAGTGGCATGGCATGGAATCACAGCGAGTGGTTGAAGGAAGTGTGGGGTAACAGGGACAAGGGAAGGGGAGAGGGGGCATGAAGAGATAGTCTACAACGATAAGCAACTTGCATCAGCCAGAGTCAACGCATTGCACCAAACATACACACTCCAAGCGCACAAAAAGTATCACAGTCAGGTAACTTTTTACAGCAAGCTCATTCATGCCATGAGGCAAAAATGGTCTAACAAAACAAACCAATACTCGCTTGACAATCTAGAAAAAAAATGAGGGTAAGACAACGACGACGAGGGGGTTGGTTGGTTGAGTGAGAAAAGGTACTTCTTCCTTGAAGCTCGTTGTTGGTTTGTCGCATATTTTTTTTTGGTTATCCGCTTAAGGTGAGAGGGGAGATAACGAGTCGGGGATAAGATAGGTACTCTTCCGAACGACTGATAATGAAAAAAAATATGCGAATTTGCATGTCCGTTCGAAAAGAGGGGAAATGGCGACCGGCCGACATTTATGCGGGGTCGAAGGAAGGAAGGGAAAGAGGAGCTGAGGTTTGTCAGAAAGGAAGCTAATTATCCTGTGGATGGAAGGGAGGCAAGAAAGGGAAGAAGTAAAGGTAAAGGAAGTAAGGAAAGAATGGGTTCATCCATGTGTATCGTATCGTTTGAACATTTTAATCAACCCTGCGTCTAATACAACGCGGACACTGAATGATTGAACACGGATACTATATTCACGGAAAACACGAATCGCCAATCGCATATAAATACCTCGAGTGCAAACTGAGGCTGCTTCATAATCGTTCATCGTCAGTGTCGGGTATCATAAGTACCATCATCATAAGCGATCAACACGCACGGATTGACCAATCGCGAATAAAATCTCGAGCCTCACTAGCAGGTGGGGGGCACAGTAAGCTGTTGCCTAATCGAATCAATAAACAACGCAAAACGAATCCCTCATCCCCTTTTCTTTGTGATGAGCTCTTCTCGTCGGGGGTTGATCGCAACCTAAGCGGCACGAACAACTAGAGTGATGAGGAGTAACGGAATGGTAAACATGAATCAAAGGCTACTCGGAAAGGGATGTAAGAGGGTATGCGCTAAAACAACTTCAATAAGCCTCCTGTGCGTTGCGCGTTCCTTTGTAACCACCGCCTCTCCCTGTTGCCCCTCATTCATGTTTCGCCTCTCCTTCCCTTGGTAAACAAAGCATAGTTGCTATTTTTGCGGTTTTTGTTTCAAGGAACAACAACAAGGTACGGGAACAACATTTTCACCTTTTTGGTGTCAGCGTTCTTTCAGCTTGCTTTGCTTGTTTGGTGACACGATAAGAACAAGAAAAAGTAATAATAAAATGAAGTACAATAGCTCCTCGGATGGCACTAAAAAACATTAGACTCTAGGGTATGACAATAGTTCGTTCGCGACACTGGTGGGACAAAATAACCAGAAATAGCTATTAAACGATCACGTGTCCATGGTCGTTCTTTATCCCAAACGCGCATCATGTCCCTCCATCTCTCAAAAAGACCAAAAGTAAGGCTCGAAGAAGTATTGCTGTTTTTGAAGTTTTTTTATTGTTTCTAATGTACTTCAATGCTTCATTTTCGAAGCTTGGATTGAGTTGGATATTAATGTGTGTGGAAGGGTGTCTATGTTGACGAAAAACGGGCAGGTACAGGAAGATGGTTTTTTTTTGCTAAAGAGCGTTGGGTATCATACAGTGGATACCACTACCAACGGCTTGAAAGCTCTTTCGCATCATGAATCTCTATGGGTGGGGGAGTCGGATATTGTTGCAAGGAGGAAGGGATGATAATGATGCTGGTGTTTTGTTGTTGGTGAGAAAGTCACTGTGGAAAATCCTGCACTAAACAAGTATTGTTCGTTTAAAGGAACATGAGGGCACCGGCGGCGGCGACGGCAGCGGCACCAGCGAGGACGGGGGCAACGATGGAGGCACCGGATCCCTTGGTGGTGGCGGAAGGGCTGGCAGCGCTGCCGGAGGGAGTGGCGGGCTTAGATGCGGCCTCCTTGGACTTGATGAGGAACTTGCCAGAGTAGACATCCTTAGTACCGAGGACCAAACGAAGAGAGTAGATGTGTCCGCTGTCGGCCTCAGAGGTAGGAGGGACCCAGTTGTCGTGGCCAGAGGCACCGGAGCAGTCCATTGTGCCGAGGGTGGCGACGAGAGAGGCAGTATTGGGGTTGTCAGCCTTGACGAGTTGGACCTCGACGGCGGTAGGGTTGGGGGCGATGACCTCTCCGGAGGCGCAGGAGGTGCTCCAAGAGAAGGTGTAGTTCCCGCCAGCCACAAAGACAGTGCTGAGGTCACCGTCGGCAGAGACGGGGTCGTTGAAGTGGGTGTGATTGGGGACGACGGCCTGGACGGTGGCGGCGAGGGCCAAAGTGGCAACGATGATGGTTTTGGCGAGCATTATGGATATATGTGTGTGAAGGAGAGAGGGTTGGTTGATGGTGTAGAAGATACGGGGAAAACGAAGTGAAGAGAATAGAAAAAAAGAGAAGAAAAAGAGTTGGGGGATCAGAGTATTTTTAAAGGGAATCTGTCGGAGAGGAAGAGGCTGGCGCTGGGTGTGGATGGATGGATGGAGATCTCTAGGCCAGACAACAACAATAGCACAGGGGCCACAGGAGCAATGCAAATGTGTAGGACAAGGTAAACCCAGGTAAATAGGAAATAGAAAGAGAGAGCCTGAGACTGAGAAAGAATAAGAAGAAGAAAAAGATAGCTCTGTGAGAGCCTTTCTCTGCACCTATGCAGACCATGTAAATTGTCTTCTGCAATAATGACCAACCCTAACCTATGGTTGATTAGGGGTTTCCGCCTCTTTGCTATTTCTGTTCTGGCCTTCCTTTTCCTCTTTTTCCTCCCTCAACCCAACAACATAACAGTCAATTGTTGTTAGGCTATTATTGTTGGATGTTAGTTGTCTTTGCTGTTGCTTAGTCTCCTTGTCCATGGTTGTTGATGTTACTTTTTTCATGCGTGCGTCAACAGTAGTTTTAGATGATATCGATCGCAGAGTAAAAAATGAACAGATGACCCAGGGGCATCGTCTTTTAATAATTGATTCTTTCATGTTATGAGACATGCAGATGGAGGCAGAGACATAGATAGGACATGTCTTCCTTGGACCAGGACACAGGACACCCCTCGTCTTGATTGCTTACCTTCAACAAAAAATCATCAAGAAACCACAACCAATCCCGGGGAATAGGGATGTGGCCTTTGTTGATTGTTGTCTGAGTTGTTTGTGGGACAAATAAAAAAAGGAAATGGAGCCAACCAATAAAAATACCAGTAACCGAAAAAACAGAGTTGAGAAAACAGAACCCGAAATGATGGCTTTATTAACCGAGATTTTTATGAGCACTTAACTTCACTAGTGCCAGTGACAGAAATTGCTCTTTCAGTCTCATAGTCCATCTTCTCTTCCCTGGCCTCCATCGCGCAATGAAGGTTACTACCAAGAAAGCTCGCACATCGCAGATATCAGCAACGCCAAACCGTCATTCTGGCATCACTCAATGAATACTGCGGGGGAGGCCCACTAGTGCATTCATAGATGCAGAGATATCGCCGTCGGATTTTCTTCTTGAGTATCAACAACAGCAATGAACAAGAGTGAGACGAGAAAAGCTTGTCGTTCTTGACTCTTTTAGCGCCTGATACAGGTACGCCAATTGTACTCTGAGCGAGAGTAGGGTTCATGTCCATCACGGATGCAAGAATTTTTCCATGTCTCAGTCAAGGAGAATTCCTCTTCTTTGAGGCCTCAGAAGAAGGAGAGGAAAAAGCCCCCAGGGAATTACAACGCCATAGGCTGTTTTCTACACCGCTTGCTGTCTTTTGTGTCGTGAGCAACTGTGTTTTGTCTAGAAGTAGAATCCATATCTTTCTCCACAGCGGCTTTTTAACGGAGAGTGGTGTGGTGTCGCAGAGTCTATTGTTGTCGTCGGACACAAAGAACACCATGTTGTCATCAATCCAAGTGTTTTAAAAGGTACGATCTCTTTAGCGCGTGGGCCTGCGCTCATAAAAATAGATTAAGGGTTCCATCCACTGTATCCAAAGTGTACATTGACACACATCCGTTTGAGAGCCATCGTCCTCATAGATATCGTCGACCAAACAATAACCTTGTTTGCACCATCTGGTTTATTCTTAGTGGGCCAAAGAACCATAGGAATCCATTCATCGATCTCTTTGATGTAACTGGGTAAAGGGGCTCCAGAGTGGCACAACGTTCTTTCATTGTTGGTAATGAACCCGTAGACTCCACTTTCATTCTCGGCGCGAACCACCCCACGTCGAATACATTCCACTCTTCTTCCCATGGCCCAGTACTAACGTTTTGAGTATGTTAAGAATCTTTTAAAGTGTCTGGCACAAGCCATGCGCCGGCTGGTTTTCGGACATTTCTTTTTTCACATCGGCGTCCTCATTTCTTTTTTCCTTTTCTCCTCCTTTTCGTCGATTCAAGTTTACACAGTCTGTATGTTGGAAAATGGTGGCGTCAATTTTCTGTTCCATCGCGTCTTCTTGGATCTCTAATTTCGACTTTGGGATGTGTAGCAAACAACAGCTCACTCCTAAGAACGTGCAGTTAGCCCGTTTATGCTCCATCGCTTCAACCCCATCTTCACACTAGGTTCGCTCACAATCGGCCGTTTCCCTTCGTATTTTTACCATCACGACAATATATCGTGCTTCTTTATCATTCCACGCTTCGGCTAGTGTCCAAAAAAAGGGATAATGAGCAGAAGGAGCGCGAAGGGTAGCAACAACAAACAGAGAAAGAATGATAGAAGTAAGAAAACATGGTTCTAACCACACTGCTGGCTTTACGGGACCAGTTGCCTTTCTTCTGTAAGCCTTCTAGCCGTCGTTGTACTCGTGTTTGCCTTCTGTATCCTCACCTGTGTCTGTGTATGTGTATGTGTGTGCTTTTTTTTTTTTTTTTTTTTTTTTTTTTTGGTTTTGCTCTCTCCATGATTGCAATAAACCTTGTCGCCAGTTTTATCCGCGATTCTCGTTGTCTGTTTACATAATTTCGAGTGCAGCTCTCACTCAACATTCTGAACGCTCCATCCCATCCAAGCTTGTTCCTTTTTTTCGGCATATACATCTGGCCTCTCTTACACACACCTGCAATTGCACATCTGACGAAAGCAACATTCTTTATGTTGAGGCTGTTGCTGATGCTCTATCCGCTGTTGCGAAAGGAACGCCAACGCCACTTTTGTTTGGTGTTATTTCGTTTGGGCTGAACACAAGGAATGGAGTGTGAAAAGTAAAATGGCTTGCATGTTGCTTCATGGCCGAAAAATAACTCGCCACAGCAAAAATAATGTAATTAATCGTCCTTGATGCCTTTCTTTCCCGAGGAACCATTACCACCCAGCCGTTATATTATGTCGCGGGTATGCAGTACCGCGGAGACATGATCTATAGACGGGAGGAGCGGGGCAGGTTTAAGGATGAGGAGAAGGAAGAGGAGTCTCCTTTCCTTGACTCTTTCAGGCAGTTCGTTGTCGGACTGCCCTACCTGTTTATTTTTGTCATTGAGAGTGTCTGGCAACCAGAAATAGGGTTGTCATCATTGGTGGTGAAAGGGTGCTCAAGGTCCACAATATGCATATGCTCAAAACAGAAAAGTTAAGAAAAGACGAGAGAAGGTGGAGTTGGTGGAGGGAAAAAAAGATGGCGAGCAACCAGATGCTCTTCAAGAAAACAAAGTTGACCTGACCTTTTGGCCGTTGATCCAGTTTCTCCTCCTTTGTTACTTCCGAAAGGTATGGAGGAAGACGCAGAAGAAGAGTGAAAGTGAGAAAGGATTGGTTGGTTTGGCAGGTTATTTTGTTAGTAGCAAAAACATCGAGCGATGGTTGGTTAGGTTGAGGGACGAGGCTATTTATTCGATCGCAAAGAAAAAAAGTGCTCTCAGCTTTTTTTATTTTGCACACGAAGTACAATAAACGAAGCAAGGGAGCAAGCGACAACAAAGAAGACAGCAAGCAGGGCAAGCAAACCATGTCTCTCTTCTCCCCCCTATGGTCTCTCACAGCGAGAGAGAGAGAGAGAGAGAGAAGGAAAGGCAAGTGCTCTCCTTGTCAGTTCGTACCCTTTCTTGGTCTAGGTGAGGTTTGTGCTTTTGGACTGGTCGACTGGACACGACAGGAATAATATTGCACCTGTAGTTCTCATTGCCCCATTCCGACCCGTCAGATAAAGGATGTTTCTAGGCAGGAGTGATGGTTCCTGAATAGCTGATGAATGATATTGATGATGACGACGATACTGACGGTGCCTGAATGATGCCTTAATGGATCCTATTCATATCACAGCCTGACTGATTGAGCCAATAGAGCCAGCTGTCAGTTCATTAGAGCTCTTTACTTTCTTATTCACCCGCCTATCTGTGTACCCCTGACCGTGTCCCCTTTGACCCTTTCCTGTCTGCCCCCACTTTTCATTTCCCTTTTCTCTCTTCTTCTCTCCTCTTTTCCCTTCTTTTCTTTTTTCTTCTCCATCTTTGATCCCCTTCCGCTCATCATCCCTCCATCTCCCTCCTCTCTTCGTCACCTCACACCCCCCGTGGCATCCTTTATTCGCCATCCCTCCCTTGCCCAATCCCCGGCCAATCCCCCTCATTACCAACTCCCTTCACATACCCTCCTTCTACCTCACCCCTCTTTCTAACACTACTCATCACTTGACTTCATACCCTACCTTTGCTTCGTCCAGTCTCACTCTCTCGCCCTATCCTTTCTTCACGAAACATCCCTCCCCTTTCTTCGTTTCTTCGCATACCCTCCACTCATACATACCTCTCTGGCACCCTATCATACAGCTGGCCTGACTGATTTGTACTTTTTGCTATCCTCTCCTATTCTTCCGTGCTAAAAAAAAGGTACTGGCAGAACATGGCTTGCATATCTTCCTCGCTCGAACAGGGCATTGGCGCTAAGACTGAGAGCAACACTCTTCCTCCAAGTCTCGACTATACAATGGACCGACTGTCGACTGTCGCAATGATACAGCGACCTGGTGAAGGAACATTCTGCTGAATGCCCCTCAGTGCCATAGACTAACCCCCTTTTTTCCACAACCGCTCTTTCCCTCCGATTGCTCGCTCGCTCTTAATTACATATGTAGACAACATGAAGTCAATTTCTCCAAAGGGAGCCATTGTGGCTGTTGCCGTGTTGCTCGCCGTTATCGGCACCGCTTCAATGCCCACCATCGAAGCTGCACCTGTCGCCAATGTGGCCGATATTCAGCATCGGGCCGTCGACTTAAGTGCAAAGGCCCAGGACGACCATGAACACAAAGCCATCATTATCGACTATCTTCAGAAACGCCCCGATCCCAATGAAACAACTTCAGGCGCCACCAAACCCACTGCTCCCGCTGGTGGTGGTGGCAGCACGACCCCTACTCACACAACTGCCAAGCCACCGGCACCAACAACCGCTAAACCACCAGCACCAACAACATCTCGTGCTGCTGCAACCACCACCGCCGCTCGCGAGTCCTCTACCCACGCTTCGTCAACGACTTCTGGCTCTAGCGTGCCTGTGGTGACTAGCACCGCAACCTCGTCTGCGGCCGGTCCCGAAACCACGGCTCCTAACGACTCCAATGTTCCTACTGGCGTCTCCAAGAGTGTGTTGATTGGATTGGGCACAGTTGGTGGATTAATTGTTTTTGCCCTTGGAGGATTGGCCTTCTGCCGTCACCGCAAGAAGAAGAACTTGGCGACTGCTTTGCTTCAGCAAACAGCTCAGTTCAACAACAACAACCCCTACGCGAAATTGCCAGAGCCCGCTGCCACCCCCAAGGAGAGCCTTCCCATGACCCCGACCAAGCCTCTTGGGACGTACAACGTTGTCGCGACCTACACACCCGCGCTTGCTGACGAGATTGAGATTGGATTGAGCGACTCTGTGACGATTCTTCAGGAATATGACGATGGCTGGTGCATGGGAGTCAACAACTCGAGAGGAGGCATCAAGGGAGTGTTCCCCCGTCACTGTGTAGAGATGGGCCCCTATGAAGGATCACAGCACGGAGCACCTGGTGGGCCTCACTACCCACCCAGTCCAAGCTTCAAGGCCACGGCCAACAAGCGAATGAGCTCGATTGCACCTGCCTCTCAGGGTTGGAATGATGGTTACCACAACGGAGGCAACTACCCTCCTCAGCCCAACCCCCAATACCCCGGTCCTAACTCTCCTCACCAGGGCGGTGGCGGAGGTGGATACTTCAATGGAGGAGGTGGTGGTGGATACTAAGATACGCATTTTCATATCTTTATTATATATTTTTTTGCATCTTTACTCCTCATCTCACCCCCGACATTGTTTTTTTTTCTGTGTCCTCTTCCTCCGCGCTCATATTCACCACCTAAAAATAAACAAGAAACAAAATTCAAGTCCTGGTTCTCCAACAAGAGAGGAAAATGAAAAAAGAAGGTTGCTCGAGTTCGTGACCTCCTGAGCGAGGGAGTGAGTAGCTACCTATCTCGTACACGTTCAGGGTGAAAAGAAGGAGAGTCGAGATTGTTTATATCGTTTTTGTTTCTTCTTCTGCAGACAAGTCGAAACCTTTGGACATTCGAGTCGCGTCCAAGATAGAAAGACATTCTTCCGCCATTAACGCCATCTCTTCAGCGATAGTACCTGGTAGTTATGATTTGTAGGTCTGAGCATTGCCGCTCAAATTTTTCCTCCTCCGGCGCTCAGGAAGACCAGAATTGGAGCGGCTGTAGTTTGCGGGCTAGAATGTTTGTAGACTGGTCATAAGGATTCGTTGAATGCAAGTGGTGGATGGCTTTTTATGTGTTTGATTCATTGATTCATTGATTGATTGTTTGTATGTTTGTTTGATGGAGCTGAGGTGGAATGGGGAAACACCTTCTTACGCCCCCTTCCCTTTCCGTGGCGGGTTCTCCATGTGGACAAGGATCACCGCTTTGGTTCTCCAGGTGCTATTGCAATTGCATTTACTGTTCCCGTTACCGTTACCGTTGTTGTTATCTTTGTTTTCATTTCGTCTTTGTTTTCTACCTTTGTGCTTCTTTAATTTTCCCCCTTTGTCCTTCCAACTGTCCCTCCTCCTCCTTCTTATCCGTTGCTCACACTAGTGACAACAACGACTTTTTTTTTATTTCCGTCATTCATTGCCACACAACAAAACGCAATGACACATTCTTCTGCCAGGACAGTTTCGGCCAACCAACAACCGTCCCATCCCCATGCCCTTCATCCGAACCATACTTCTTCCCCCTTCGCCATTCAACCTCCACTCGTGTACCCCGGCTCCTTTTCTGCCCCTCTTCCTCAGTTGTCGTCAGGGCACTTGGCCCACCAGCCAGAATGGGCCACATCGTCAGTGCCGACTTTTTGGCCGCCACAACAGGATTCTCGGGCATGGGCGTCCGCCACCCCTCCTCCCCCAGTTCGGGTGCAGCATCGGAAACGACACAAAGTTGCTACCTCCTGTAACCGTTGTCGTTCAAACAAGGTACCACACGAAAAGATTGCACCAATTGCCACCAAGTCGGTTTCATTCTGTCAACTGACTTTTTATTTTTCTTGTCACTTAGAGGAAATGCGATGGTGGTGTCCCTTGTGTCAGCTGTCTCAAAAAGAACGTCGACTGTCGGTATACGGATGCACAACTCTCTCGTGCCACCTGGGGCGACTCACTCTTCAGCGACGAAAAAGTCATTGGCGTCGTCGCCGACAAGCCCAAGACCCAACTCTTCTACACAGGCGTCAACCCTCTCCAATCACAAGACCCTCGCTCGGAAGCAATTCGTTCCCAGTCCAAGCATCATTCAAGACTCATCCGTGTTGCACATCCCGGTCCTCAATTCCATTTACTGGCAACATCAGCGACCGGTCCGGGGCAAGGCAGGACGCCACCGCACCAGCAACCTTCACCAGCCGGTGCTCGTTCAGGTCCGTTGACAGCGGCAACCAACACTTCATCGATACCTTCCTCTTTATCGTCGATCTCTTCCACAGATAACGATCGTCTCGGTCTCTCCACCCAGCAGCAGCAAGCTGTCCAGTCATGCGCGAAGGACGGATTTCAGGAATTCTTGTCTGGAGCGACCGTTAGCCAATCACAGCCGTCGTCGGTCAACAATCCACCTCTGGAACAGTACGCCACCAAAGGGTCACATGCGCTACAGCAGGATGATCCCGGTCACCACCACGACGATCACCACCAAATCATGGACGAGGAATACATCAAGGCCAGGAGGGTGCGAAAGATGGCCAAGGACCTCATCGACATCAAGAGGAACGAGTACGCTCTACTCATACCCCGACATATCCTCCACGAGGATGACGAACTCTTTGTGATCCGAAATCCTCAAGCCAATCCTAAACCCCAACGTATCCCGCCCCGTCTCATGATTGTCCCACGCGATGCCAACTACCTCGTGGAAGTCTTTTTCGAGGTAACTCAGAGATAAAAAAAAAATCACCGGTGGAAGGATGAACTTACTTTGTATTGTGTGTCACCTACATACTCATCGTTCATACCACCTATGCCGCTGGATGTGAGGGCTGACTAATCGGAAGCAATCTCCGCTTTCTTTATTCATTTCGTTTCTGCATAGAATGCCCACTTCTACTACCCCATCGTGAATCGAGCTGTCGTCGAACTCTGTTTGATGGAGTCCCACACTCCCAACTCGATGCTATTGCTCAACACTGTTTTCATGGTTGCATGCAAGCACCTGCCAAGGGTCGAGGATACAATGCGCGCTATTGAGTTCCGCGAACGTGTTCGAGGTACGGCAGCACTTTCGCGAAATCGGTAGTTTAAATTGCTTGGTTTGAATGAAGGATGGTTACGATAACCAATCGTAGGCTAACGCTACCGGCGCATGTAATTGCATCCATTTCTTGGATCATATAGAGTTGCGTTGGTGCATCGAGGACCGGACACAGCTAACCTTTATGTTGGCTGAGATGATGGGGTTCATGGCCGTCTACGGACTCTTTGGTATGACCACCGGAAAGATGGAGTACTGTGGGACCCATCGGACGTTTGCGAGCAAGAATTCGGGAGCCCAAGTCAGTCACCCCGAGACCGAGCTCGCGGAGGAAGGGTTTCCAAAGGGCTCACTTCTCGAGGTCAACCACCAGTACAAGCTTTGGCTGTTTTGGGCGCATTATTTACGCGACAGTATTGCCATGCTGTACTTTGGTTCCTATTTCGGAATAGACACTAAGCCCATGACCGCAGAGCTGCCCAAGATCACGAACTTTGTGGGTCTTGGCGGGAGGGCAGCGCCCTCAGTCAACGCGACACCGATAGCGACGGCGGCGGCAGCAGCCGCTGTGGCGACGAAAAGGCGAAGGGAGGTGTTTTCTGGGCCTCGAACTGTGCTTCCGGACAAGCGACGATTACTACCGGGTCCGAAGGCGCGTGTAGACGGAGACTCGGGTGACCGGACACAGTTTCGCAGCATGCAGGGTAACTCTACCGAAACGGATGACAGTGGAGACGATGAGGGAGGTACCTCGCCAAAGGCAGGATCAGACAGGGGCTCCGATGTGGCTATGAACCCTAGTCCATCGAATGGAGTGGAGAGACCGTCAGGAGCATACGGAGCAGGCGGAGCAAATTTGTCAGGACGGAAACTCGCGACACTTTCCAAGGAGGTGCTCGAAGCACAGAGTCGAGGCAACTCGATTCTTCACGGGATGTCAGAGATCGCTGAAACGTTGGATCCTGAGGTACTGGTGACCCACATGGAAAGGATGGAGATGTTGTTGAGATCTCAAGACGACCCAACGGATGGCGGATCGTATGCTCGGGCACTGTTCCTGGAGGAGGTTCGTTTGTGGATCATTGGCCGCCGTATCTCTGTGTATCTGGCGAGTCGGACAACCGGTGATACACCTTATCACCCTGTTGGCCTGCCAAGCCAGGCCGCCAACGATTCCACGGGCACCTCATCGTCTACTGCTCGAAGAGGGCTAGGTTGTTGGTCGGAGCAAGCATGGAAAGAGGATATGGAGCTGCAAAGTCTACAGGCGGACTTGATCGCATGGGAGACGACTGTGCCTGACCATCTGAAGTTTCGGTTGGACGTGGATCACCCCGATGTCAACCAAAAGATCAACGGGAAAATGGGTATGTGCGAGGAAACTTCATTTCGAGTATATGCCCTTACATGAGTTGCTTTAAATCGCGTGAAGATATCTGATCTTATCTGCATTATTTAATACCTTTCCATGAAATAGCCATAATCATGATGGCCTACTACACTATCACCATTCTCCTCCAGACGTCCTATCTTCCCGCGCTTCCAGATCCATCGCATCCAAAGCCCTCGTCAAAGAAGCCCAGTCCTCAAGCATCTAACTACGATGGCTCCAACAAGGACGCCGATTCTTGTCACGATGCCGTTGCAAGCCAGAGACTCGGCTCCAGGTCTCGGTCCACCTCCGATGTCTCCAAGGAATCCCCTCGATCACTCAACGCGCCTCCAACTTCGTCTACCTCATCCACTAGGAGTACACCTCCTTTAAGCACAGCCGGAGATGGGTACTACAACACACCTCACCGAATCTGCACCGAACTGGCAAACGTCCTCTTCCACCATGTTGAGATCACGCTTGACCGATACACAGAATGGTGCTCGATCCAGGCCAAGATCAACCACGCCATCATTGCTGCACAACGAGTCGTCTGCCTCAACGTCCGCCTTGAATGGGTTTCTTGCGCGATGCGAAACGAAGCCAAGGCGGCGTTTAAGATGGGTTCGGCCCTGTACAAGAAATTGGCAATGCTCCCAGCGCCTTTGGTGATTCATGACCGACCGCCTGAGGAGGATCTCAATTACATGAACGATCTCGATAAGGCGTTCCATCAGATGGTTGTCACTCAGAACGAGGAGCGGGAGAACAAGCGGCTGAGCAATGAGCGAGAGCAGGAGAGACAAGAACAGCAAGAAGAACCTGAGAAGGAAAATAGTCACGGACCGACTACCGTTTTGAACTCGTTTGTGCTAGACGCGGACGACCAGGACGGTGTTCCGACAACAGATGAGATCCATTCTCAGGAGTTCGAGATCTTTGGAGGCGAGGTAATTGAAGGGTACGCGTTTGAGTTTGAGGAGACGTCGATATCGATGAAGGGCTCGTTTTCTTTCCTCCTGGACCCCCACTCCATCACCGAATAAACTCTTATGGTTCCTTTTCTCAAGTTTCGCGTTTCTTTTTCCAATATGCATTTTTGCCCACAGAAGTGACGCGATTAACGCGTATTTTATTACTCTTTTTCTTCCACAACAAAAAAACGCCCAAAGAAGACCTTAGGAGGGGTTGGTTTTATTGGCTGATTGGAAGAATTGTGGCTCTGAAAGTGATACAGGGAGAGAAATGGTATTCGCACACACATACACAGATCAGATATTTAGAAGGTAAGAGCCTGGCCCTTCTGCTTCTTGTCACCACCGAGCTCGAAGTGCTTGCAGCGCTTCAAGGCGATCTGGTGCTTGTACTTGCAGACCTGGCACTCCAAACGAAGGACAACCTTCTTGGTGGTCTTGGCCTTCTTGTGGAAGACGGGCTTGGTCTGACCACCATAACCGGACTGCTTTCTATCGTAACGACGCTTTCCTGTTTGTGTTGAATTGATTGTGGGTGGGTGAGTTGTTGAGAGTTGGGGTAGTGGTTGGAAGGAGAGGTAAGTGGTTGGGGTTGATTGTCGTGTTTTCCGTGGCAAAGCAATGCAAATTGAGAGGTGATATCCAGAGGTGTCCATGCGAGATAGAGGTTGGCGTAAAAAGAAAAAAAATCCAGCCAAGTGTCAAGTCCAGAGCGATGACGAGAAGAGCATATAATTGAAAGATAGAAAGAACAATAACAGTTAGAACTCATATTCAACACAGAATACGTGTCTGGTTCCTGAAAAAATACAAGCGAAAAGGCATGCTTACCCTGAGCGAAGAGCGAAGCCTTGCCGGTCTTGTACTGGGAGACCTTGTGGGCAGTGTGCTTCCTGCAGGTCTTGCCCTTGCAGTAGGTGTTTCTGGTCTTAGGAACGTTAACCTGAGAAGCGAAAGAGGTGGTGGTGGAGAAACGAGGAGATAGGTGGTAAGTGGTCGTGCTTCTTCTAGGGGAGGTTTGCGGTATGTAGAGTGGAAGTGTGTGTGGTGCTGGATAGGCGGTGTGAAGCGAGAGTTGCGCAAAGGAAGCTTCCGGTTGAAGGAACCTGAAAGGTATTGCTTCCCGTTTCCTGTACAAGGTCGAGTCCGAACCATCATAGGTTCTAGATGACTTTTGTGTTGTTGCTCGCTCCTTGATGGGTTTAGGAGTTCTGATGGAACTACAGTAGTCATCGTTTGTTCCGGTAGTGGCTAGAACCAGAGGTTCATCCTTCCTTGATGGATTTGTTGTTGCCTGATCTTTCCTCCGACCTCTGTAGTCACCACCCCTTTGGTCGCCTGTTCGTCGAATAACGGAGATGTTCCCTCCTGGTTGATGGGTTCATCCTGACCACAAGTGGAAGAGGTTTCCCTCTCAAAAGTGCCGCCATTCGCCCGACAAGTGCACCATCATCTCCTTCCAAGAAAGATTCAGCCATCGTTCCCTCCACCTCACAAAAAGTCGATAAGTCGTCCGATCCCAATCCCGAAAAATAGCTGCATGGTTGATGATGCGCTCCATGCTGGGAATGACGGTAATCAATGGTTCGATGGTATCGATGGATCAATCGATGGATATTATAACGTCCATGGGTTTTGGATGCGTGGTTGCCAACAATTTTTCCCTCTCACAGGGCACACACCATTCTGATGAAGATTTGAGAAGAGACGGAACTTGAAGCCAACCCAGCTGTCCATTTTGACAGCCTCTGGTCCTAATGTTTGTGACTGATTTTTTTTTTAATTCTTTGGCGCCTTTGCCCTTTCCCCTACTGCACACTGCCTGCGAGACACGACGTCTATGATACAGCGCTAGACCTTCAACCACCGGAAGGGAGGGGGGTATTGAGGAGGACGAGGAGAGCGACATCGACTATATTTACACTCTTGCTTAGCTTAATTTCCTTGATAAAGTGCTTGGCTTGTTGAGGTTGACGCCGTATCGAGATAGCCTCCGGTCAAGTGCCGCTGAAATGGTCAGGTACGAAAAAAGATGTCTGTCAGAAAAAAAGCACTCAAAATATCAAGCAAACATGTTTAGCAACATGTCCTAGTAGTCTTATGTGTGTTTTTTACCTGAGGTCTTTGCTGCTTCTGCCATGACAACGGCCAGCCGATTCTTCGATAGATCGCTGGTCATCTTTTCCATCTGCAAGAACACACACGTCGCCTCAGTCAATCCCCGTGTCCGCAGTATCTCATCCAGGTTCGCATCTATATAACCAACGCAACAAAAGTCGCATCAGACCAGACTCATGAACATCGCTATATCACAAGTAACTGAGAAACCAAACTAGTACATAAAAGAAACTGTAGTCTTACCAGAGCCCCACATCGTGACAAGGATGTCAATGATGTACTCCTTGGCCGGTAGGATCTCTGTCGCTGTCTTCAGCGGTTTCCGGGACATTATCAAGAGTCCAATGTTGATGACTTGGGCAAACGCTCTCGACTCGATGAATTGGTGGCGCCACTGGGGATGTTGAATAAACTCATGTGCTACACTAAGCGCCCAATACTTGACTTCGTCGTCCTTGGATGCGAGACACTTTGGCAGCCGCAAACCGATGCCCACATTTAACGCCTGAAGCTGAAACGCAGCTATGATGTTAAGTAGAAGATAGACGAGGGTAACCAAGAAGTTAAAAAGTGCCAATGTCGACTGTCTGAGAGAATGATACGACTCCCAAGTGTGAACTCAAATGCTCAAAGGAAGACTTACTATCTTGGAGAATCATAAACTTGAGAGTCCGTAATACTAGCCTCGAGATATATATTTCGTCCGCTGCCAGCAGCACATTCATTGATCGACAAAGCCCACGCATCTCCTTAAAATGATCCAGTGCAACACCTAGATATCAAAACAGTATGAGTTTTTTTTTCTGTGTTCAAATCATACAGCTTGAGACGGAGACAACCAAGGTGACGCAGGATCATACCTTTGATAGCATATTCGTGCATAAGGCCAATTGTCCAGTACACCAGCTCAAGGTCGTCTATCATATTGGCAGATATCGTTAGTCCAATCAATCAAAAGAGTATCAGTCCACTAAGTAATGCGCCAGATCAGCAGTCCTGCATTCTTGCACTAACCACTGCGAATGTATGTGGCGATAAGAGGCACGATGTCAAAGTCGAGGAGCTCGGTCAGGTACCACCGGACATCGTCGTCGTCGTCCATGATAACGATCAATCGAACCAGCGACTGAAGACAGATCTTGGGCATGTTCGCATTCCCGAACGAAAGTCGTGACATCTCGGCCAATGTCCTGACTAGGCCGAAACGAATCAGCTCCGCATGTAGTCCCTCTATCACAAAATGACAAGAAGGATAGTCAGTTCAATATCATCCTTGATTTCCATGTAGATATTCTCCCAGCATTTGAACGAGTCCTTACCACACGCCGTTAGTTGGTGGACTACCATCAACGACCAGTACTGGAGTTCATTGGCAGGCTCGACCTTGACGAGAAACCGTGTGAGCGGCTCCAAGATTCCGTACTGTACAACTTGCCTCCGCCTTGTATCTACGAAACGATAACATCCGGTTAGTCCAGGTCCATTGAACTATTGCTTGTTTTCGATATAACCATGCACAATCACCCTCATCGCACGCACCTGATCCTGAAATGAGCTCGCATATTGACACTGCGGCATATCGGTGTGATTTCTCCCTATTCGTGGGGTCCTTCAGCACACCCACGAGGACCTCCAGCGCACCAGACTCGACCAGCGTGGTCCGGTTGCTTTCTATTCCATGTGGATCGATAAAAAAAAACGTTATGAAGCATTAGCTGACATGCTATTGTGTAATTGTGCATATGGTTGGGCCATTGTGTATATCAAAGGTCATTTACCACTTCTTGTAAGCAATTGAAGAGTTGTAACGCCCTTCCATCGCTCCTCTTCGAGGTCAGACTCTGCGACAGTGTCGAGGATATATCGGAGGTTTGCATCTGTGGTTTGATAAGAAGGCCAAGGTTAGCAAAAAAGCGCCTGCATAATGCCAAGTGCTCGGTTCAGCATCTTTTCCCGGATACATACCATGCATTGCCCGGCTTAGAAGGATGCGGACAGAACTATTGATGCCAAGCTCAGTACAATTAGAACAGGAACACGATAGACGATATACTCTACAATGTCTGCATTGTTCAAGTACGAAGACTCACCTTCCTTGCAGGACGATACTATCCGATCGGGCCAATTTGGCCAATGCATCTATGCTAATCTCTACGTGTACCAACCATTGAATAACGCAGATAGTACAGGACGTTTAGTATCGCCACCAAGAGATAGGTAGCAGTCCTTCACGTTGGAGGAAGTCTCACGTACTGTCTTCGACCATGCCGAGAATGTTGCGCGACTCTTGAGGCTCGCTGTCAAAGAGTGCAGTAGCGTGGCGGACGACGGAGTACATCATAAACACCAGCGACACGCCTGCGGTGAAGTAGATGAGCCTGTCGGCACCCAGGTTGGATGCCATGGTGTGTACTAGGAGTGTGTGTAATAAGTAATGGGAATGAGACTAAAATTTCATGACCGTCTCGTCTCTCTAAACCTGAACAAAGCCTGTGCCCAAAAGCCACCCACATATGTTTTTTCTGGTGTAAAAACTAGCAATGCAATCTTGCTTGTCTCCACTTCTCAGCAACTCCCCCACGAAACCACACTCACTCCCTGACCAGCCGAGCGGGAACAGCAGGACAATCGGATCGACCGGATCGACTACTCTTATTCTCAACTCTGACATCAACAAGAAGAACGAGTGATTTACCAGCAACGAGGAAATCACAACTCGTCTTCACACATAATGGCTTCACTGGAGATCGCGCGGAGGAAACGCGATCAACAGCCCCTTCACTCTCTCACATACAGACTCGCCTCGCGCAGGGTGCTGCATGAAAGAAGCATCGGAAGTCTCGTTCCCGTCGCAGGATTCTCGTTCCTTGCTGCCGTGTCGTCACAGTTCTTTCAACTGGGCGTCTTCGGTACGCTTTGTTTTATTTTGCAGCTTGGTCGGATCAATGTGGCGAGAGGATTGGCGTGAACAGGACAACAAACTTACCCTACCACCTTCAACTTTGCTCATTGGCGGGTTTAGGCTTGCTCAAGGGTGCATTTTCGTTATACACATTCATCCTGGTAACGACATACTTTGTCTTTGGATCGCTCCTTCTGGGCCTCAGGAATGCTCGCGTGAAAGGTAATGAAGCCAACGCCCGATTCATCTCTTATGCTCTTAACGGCGATATCCAAACCGTGCACCTTGGTCTAACACTGATTCATGCTTTCTGCTCCCATCAATAGTCAACCCAAGACTGTCGCCTACATATTTCCACGATCTCCTGGCAATCTCTTCGGATCCCCTCTCGTGGGTGCTGGTCAGCTTCTATGTTATCTCGACAAGCGTCCTTCACGCCCTCATTCTCGCGCCCTCCAGCAATTCGTTCGCGAACTTTAGCGAACTCGTCGTCTTCATCAAGTAAGAACTATTGACCACGGATCTACTCCACTGTACTGTTGCTTCATATAACCAATGTGAGGTCATTTAACTCATCGACGTATTTATGCCTTTGCATAGTGAGAAGGGCATTCCACAGATCAACGAACGCTACATCTTGACAAGGACTTTCTCGATCATCTTTGGAGTCGCCTACGGAGTGCGCCATTTGATCTACCAGAAGGACTGGTTGGCATTCCCCGAAATTCAGGTACAACGCGTGAACGACAACCTCGGCATTTTGATCTTTTCGACCTGACGCGTATAATACCACCCTTTATCTGACCTCCGTGTTTGGTTTCCTTCATTAGCTGAGCACTGTGGACTATATTTTTAACAACTACTGGAAGCAGGTCGTCTCTAGCGCTGGAGCTTTCTCCTTGCGGATAACAGGAGCTTTCTGGATTGTTTACAACATTCTTCTCAGCCGGCTCCTTGTGAATTCGGCCATGCGCTTTGTCGCGGATGACATTCTCTACCACGCACCACAGTATGGTCCTCGTTGGTACAGTCTTGGACTGGCGATTAGGCTGTTCTTCACATCGTTTTCGATCTCGATCTTCTTGGAGTCAGTCCATCTTGTCTGCGATCATTTCCTCTCCAAGGTAACAACAAGGCTCTGTCATATCGATTTACTCGCATCTGGCACAATGACCGCTTGACTTACTGACGCGATATATTTTGATGCAATAGAATATGAACGTGTCAGGAAGTTCAATTGACCCCAACGCGTGTCTGATTTCGGGATTGAAAGTCGACGGATCCAACACTACACCCGAGACTCTATTGACCTACCATGCATTCCAGGAACTGGCTCATTTGGCAGGACACTCTCCAGCACGGCGCAGGGATATTTTCAATGATGCCGGCAGTTCGCCTTCGAGCTGGACTCAGATCTCATCTCACTGTATTGTGCTGTTGAACAAAGCAGCCACCCGCATTAACACTGTCCCTGCTAAGCCCTCTAGCGCTTCTGCAGGTAAACCGACCACAGCAGCTCTTGGATCAACGGTTCGTAGAAGACTCCCTCCAGGCCAAGGCGGTGCGTTCGAAACCAACATTTTCCGTCCCAGCAAGCACGACCATTTCTTTGACAGCCTAAAGGGGCTCAGCACTGAGGAGATCTTGGCTAAGTCAAGAGCGGAGGCTGCGAAGGATGCAACAAAGGCGTCCTCGACTGCAACACCCAAGGATCGTTTGGAGTTGATTGCCTTCCGTTGGATCAGCAATAAGGTCAAAGAGCTGGCACTCAAGTACCCAGACCTCCAGAGACACCTTAGCGTTATTCCAGAGAAGGAGATTCTGAGGTCAACCGATGACTTCCGTTTGATCCTTTGGGCTTTTCAAAGTAAGTTTATGCGTTGTACTATTGTGATTACGACAGTCTTTCATATCGGACATTGCATATTCACCTCGGTGTTGTCGTTTATCGATTATTAGGCTTGGCACGATTGGTTGCTGCTTCTTACGACGAAGACAGCTATGGCGTGGTTCAAAAGGATATCCCTAAAGTTCTGGAGTCTATGCTTGAGCTGCTCATGACACTGGAGTCATTCCTGTTGGCCGAGGCAGGCTCTGCCAAGTTCCGGTCGAACCCTTATTCGGCTCACATCAATGCGCAAAGGCTTACCATCACTCGATCCTATGCCATGCTCCAAGGTATGAAACGTCCTTTTGTCTCTTTTCTCTTTTTGAGGACGGTGTTCTCTGTGTCCTTGAAACTGACAAAGGTTGGTTTTATGTCTTCATTGCTCAAACAATAGCTCTCAAGACGGCCATCTACCAGATTGTCGTCGCTTTCAGGGATCAATTGGGCGAGTTTACTCTGGCCTCAGCGTACGCTAGCCGGTTGAAGCACTTTGTAGACTTTGACGAGTAGGCCTCCTACTCTTTGATGGCGAAAGAGGTCTCCCACCACCCACTCTTCTACCCACGAACATCTTCAGCACATTTAACCATTACACAATCACACTACAAGATAAAAATAAACACAGTGCTACAATCGAAGGTCGAACCAAAAAAAATTTACCACAATCCGTCTGATGCCAGGCTGGTAGATATTGTTTAGGCAAATGACGAGTAAAGCCAAAGCAAACTTGCAAACCGGAGTTGTTTGTGGCTGTAGTCAACGAACAAGCGTGGGTGCGAATCAAAAGAAGGTTCGACTAGAGAGTGGGCTTGCCCTGAAGTCTTGGCGCTCTGCTCTCAATCTTTGTCTCTTTTTCATTTCAGTTTGCCTCTTGCTATTCTTCCGCTTCCTCTTCCACGTCTTTTCTTTTCTTTTCTTTTTCACCCACTTCGTTTCTTCTCTCTTCTCTCTTTCTTCTCTTTCTTCTTTCTTTCTTTCTCTCTTTCTTCCTTTTCCCTCTCACTCACCTCTCCCCCTTTCTCTGCCCTCCGCTCCTCTCCTTATTTCCAGGAATCACTGCAACCAAGGCCTCAAGTCTCAGCCTCCCCTGACACACAAACACAGACTCTCCTAAACGAACGTTTCACAAACCAATTCAACCGCATTTATCATTCTCCAGTGACAATTCAACACAAGCAACATGGGCTACCCAGACGAAAAGAAGAGAGGATCTCAATCCTCCTCAAAGGACGGCAACGAACACCCCTTCCAGGACCACTATGACGACTCAAAACAGCTGCCTTCGCCACCTTCTGTCGGCACCTCCGCCTCCGCTCAACCACCACCACCCTTGCCATCCAGACAACCCTCGATCATCCACAGATCCGCAACATCGAGTACACCCCGGAATAGCGTCGGTCGCAGCACGTATTCTCCTGCTCGGGATGACTACAGGGAAGTCTACCGGGACCTCACTCAGATCTACAAGCGCAAGATCCGACCTCTCGAGACAACATATAACTTTGAGGGCTTCCATTCGGCGCCGTTGACAGACAGTGATATCCTTGCTAAACCCATGGTTCTATTGTTGGGCCAGTACAGTACTGTATGTCACTGTGTTTGCGTCATGATGTTGTTGTGGTCTTCCGTGTTCTTCATCATGCATGGATGTCGAACAAGGGGAGTTAGGAGAACAAGACTACTGATACTCTTTACTTTTCTTTTTTTATCTTTACAGGGAAAAACAACATTCATTAAGCACCTCATCGAAAGTGATTATCCAGGATCCCACATCGGAGTTGAGCCAACTGTAAGTTCAAATGCAAGCTAGGGTAGCTCTCAAAAGGGAAGCGCCGAATATCTCGTTCTTTCTGACCCGACACTGCATCTCACGCCATCGATTAATGCTTGATGTTCTTCCTCTCTGAATAGACCGACAGGTTCGTGGCAGTGATGAATGGCTCTGAACCCCGAGTGATTCCAGGAAACGCCGCCGCAGTCTCTGCAGATTTACCCTTCAGGGGTTTGGATCGATTTGGACAGGCGTTCCTGACCAGGTTCCAGGTGTCTCAGTGTCCCAACCCTTTGCTGGAGAACCTGACCTTGATCGACACCCCCGGTATTCTTGCAGGGGACAAGCAGCGAGTCGAGCGCGGATACGACTTTACAAAGACCATCGAGTGGTTTGCTCAGCGGTCGGATCTGATTCTCCTCTTCTTCGACTCTCACAAGCTGGACATTTCGGACGAATTCAAGAGCTCAATCTTTGCTCTCAAGGGACACGAGGAGAAGGTGCGAGTGATCTTGAACAAGAGCGACATGGTGGACCAACAGCAGTTGATGAGAGTGTATGGCGCACTGATGTGGTCGCTCGGCAAGGTGATCCAGACACCAGAGGTCATGAGGGTCTACCTGGCGTCGTTCTGGCTGCACAAGCCATCAAATGCTTTCGAGGACTGTCGAGCACTGCTGGAGAAGGAGCAAGCGGATTTACTCAAGGACCTACGAGATTTACCGAGGAATGCCGCCATCCGCAAAGTCAATGAGATTGTCAAGCGAGCGCGATTGGCGAGAGTGCATGCATACATCATTGGACACTTGCGCAAGGAGATGCCGGCTGTTTTTGGCAAGAAATCACGCCAGCGCGAGCTGATCAGCAACATGCAAACAGAGTTCCTTAAGGTACAGCAGCTCTACAGTGTCCCTGAAGGCGACTTTCCCAACGTCGCGGCCTTTAGGCAGTCGCTCGAGGCCTACCGGTTCGAGAACTTCGCCAGGATTAGTCAGCCCATCCTGTCGGTCGCCGAAGAGGCTTTATCACACGACCTCCCAAAAATCATGCGCCGGTTCCCGCAGTACAACCCCCTTCTGGAACTGAGCCAGAAGAACCCATTCCTCGGGCCACCAGAAGTCTTCAACGCCTTGAACTCGAACTCTAGAGGAGGGGATATCCCTCCAAGCTACTGGCACTTTTCCTCGGTGGACAAGTCTGTGTCGCAACCCATCTTTTTATCCCTAAACCCGATCGAGGGCAAGATTAATGGGTCGACTGCGAAACCGTATCTGATGGGCACCGGTCTGTCGGTTGAGCTGTTGGCCAAGATCTGGACGCTGGCGGACTGGACGTGCGATGGCTATCTGAGTGAGGACGAGTTTGCGGTAGCCATGCATTTGATCCGCGCAGTTGAGAGCGGGGGAGAGCAGGCCCTCCCTGAGACGCTGCCCCAGTCGATGTTGCCATGAGGCACCAGAGTGTTTGTAACGATATGTAATAAAGAAAGCATATGTAAGGCCCATGCGAGATGGGCAAGTGCCAAATCTGCGCCACCCATGTTCAAAGTGTAGAAAGAAAGACCAGGGAAAAGAAAAAAATGCCAGTCCACTTACCCACACACCCAGTCCACTTTATTTTAGACCGTGGCCGTCGCGTTCTTACTTTTGTGCCTTTTTCCTTTCTTCTTTTTTATTCCATCAACGCACACCCTACCACTTTTTTTTCTCTCCTTTACTCTCATTCACATCAACCAATCCTTATTACCCCGACAGCAGATGAACTCCGTACAGAATATCTTCTTTGGCATTCGCGAGTACCTGAGTCCTGTCCTCAAAAACTCAAAATTCAAAGAGACCGGATGCATCACTCCCGAGGAGGCAAGTCTCTCTCTTCATTCTTTCTCTCTTCCACACACAGAGTGCCCTGGGTACTGCAAAGTAGACCTAAACGACGGCTTCTACGTCCACTCGAACGAACACTCAACGCCTCTTCACATGCAGCAGTACTTGTCACATACTCCTTTCAGCAACTTACGTCATTCACCCTTGGGCTCCTGAAATGCTTTACTCGATGGCAACACCGAAAGCTAACCGCGGTAGTCTGTGTTCCTTACTGAACCTCATAGTTTGAGGCTGCCGGAGACTTTTTGGTCTACAAATGCCCTACATGGAGCTGGTAAATACCTGCGCAACGTCGTCTTTTTTCTTCGGTCGTCGTGAACGTACGAACGTCCCAGTCGACACTTTACTCGGAGAGACCACGATGTTGACCAGTCTTTCTGAACTCTTATTTTTCTCTCTTATGAACGTAGGGAGGGCGGTGAACCCAGCAAACGCCGTGACTATTTGCTTCCCGACAAGCAATTCTTGATCACTCGCAACGGTATGTTGCCATCTTATGCATCTTTGTTGCTGCTATTGTTGGTGTTGTCGTTACCGTAGAGGAGGCCATGGCTCATAACCCACAGGTTCCCCATCTCATCTCTATCCCCTTCTTCGTGGGAGGAAGGTGGCCTGATAAGAGGGCCTTGGACCCGTGACCTATTTTATTTTCCGCAGGGAGACAGAATTTCAAGGAGCCTTTTGACTAATCGTTTGGCCACCTCCCTTGCCCTACCACCTTGCATAGTGCCTTGCTTGCGTCGTGTCAAGCAGATGGAGTACACGGACGAGGATGCAGAGACTCACATCGAGGCTGACGGCGGAGATTCCTGGGTCATGTCCCACAGCTCTCGTGGCGCAGGCGGACCAATTGAGGAGATTGCAGGAAGCATGGACGAGGACGAGGACGAGGAAGCAGAGGCCGAGGCCGAGGCCCAAGCCGCCATCAAGGCCATGGAGCGCTTGAAGCTGCAGGATCAGTTGCAGGCTGCCGCAGAAGAAGACGAGGACGACGAGGATATTCCTGATATGGATGATATCCCTGACATGGACGACTATGATGACATGGAGGAGGAGGCTGATCCTGTAAGTCACCAGGGCTGACTGACAGATCGCAAGACCACCGACTTGCAACTTTATTTGTGCACTGCGCTGACAGGTGTGTGTTTTCTCTTTTGCGTGTCCTTCGTTCACTTGATGATACTTTAGGCGACTCTTGCACCTGCAGCACCTACTGCTGTCGACCCTGGGTAAGTTGATTCGCCGATTTTGTCAGAGTAAAGCCCAATGCGCCAAAAGATAGTATGCGGATGCAATTAACACTGGAACTAACTTGCCTTGACCACATATTCAAACTCATAGTGACAAGATCTTGAGCGTGCGCACCTACGATGTGTTTATTACCTACGACAAGTATTACCAAACCCCGAGAATGTGGCTCTTTGGCTATGACGAGGTACGACCTAGCCTAGGCGGGGTCATCGATCATTCAAGTGTGTTTCTGAGCTGCAGCGTGTATGTGTGGATTTATTCATCTGACACTCTATTTCTCCACCTTTTTGGCTTTCCCTTTAGCACCGACGACCCCTCGTGTCGTCCCAAATTTTTGAGGATGTCTCGCAGGACTATGCCAAGAAGACTGTCACCATCGAGAGCCACCCACATCTCAACATGTCCCTTGCCAGCATCCACCCTTGCCGGCACGGAGCCGTCATGAAGAAGATCATCGAGAAGGTGGCGAACGATGAGGGCAAGGAAGAGCCCGTCAGAGTCGATCAGTACGTTTTTCATCCCTGTTTTTTTGTTATGTCGTCATCTACACTATTCAGGGGAGAAATGCTAACCACGGGGCACACATGCCCACTTTACTTTTTCATAGGTATCTCATCATTTTCTTGAAGTTCATGTCCTCGGTGGTGCCCACTATCGACTACGACAATACCATCTCTGCCTAACGTACTCGCCTGGTTGGGATCAGGAGTATCCAGTGTATCTTCTCTTGCATTTCTATCGTTTCCTTCACAGCAAATAAATCTGCCTTTTTCCAAACCTTTGGAATGCCAAGATGTTGGAGCAGTCACTTGGTCTTCGTGCCTGTAAGAGTCGACCTCTTTTTCTTTTCTCTTCTTTCTTTATTCATCACGTCAACTCACAGGGGAAAAAAGAACCCATCAACCATGCATCGACTTTTCGGCTCCAACAAGAAGACACCAAAACCGACTCTCACAGATGCCATCACGGCTGTAAGTGCTTTTGCCCATTGCCACACAAGCGACGGATTACCAAGGAGACTTGGCATGCAGGATGGCAAAACACATCCCCGCTGGAACCCATGGACGATATAGCCTTTTGTTACAAAACAACACCATTCCCGCCTGTTTCTGGCTCCCTGTTGGGAGACTACAGAAAGGCTCAGAGTGGAAATAACTCACTCCAACTAAGAAATATATGCGCGCAGAGAGCTTTCGCATGTATTCGCACACTGACCTGGTTTTTATGTGTCGCCTTTGACGATATTGGTGTTCAATAGACCGATATGCGAGTCGACGCCGTCGAGGTCAAGATCCGCAAACTGGACGCAGAGCTAATCAAATACAAGGACCAAATGAAGAAGATGCGCGACGGACCAGCAAAGGTAAGACGAAAAAGATATCACTTTCAGTCGTCATCTGCGCCGTGCTTCATAGTGATGAGACCATAAGTGCCATTGACAACAAGGAATGCTGACGCTTTTAGTACCTACCCTTCTGTTCTAGAACTCGGTGAAGACAAAGGCGATGAGGATCTTGAAGGAGAGAAAGCTGTACGAGAGTCAACGGGAGCAGCTGCAACAGCAGTCATTCAACATGGAGCAGGCAGCGTTTACGACAGAGAACCTGAAGAACGTCATGACAACTGTCGATGCCATGAAGACGGCCAACCAGACGATGAAGCAGCAATACAAGAAAGTCAACCTCGACAAGATTGAGGTATGGGCAGGAAGCCTTTTGTTTCCTCGCAGTGCGTTGTTGTCGCAGCAGGTGATTTTTATAGTTCAATTACGTGGCCCACTCATCCTCGTGTCCTTTAATTTCTCTACAATAGCAAATGCAAGACGAGATGGAGGATATCATGGACCAGGCAAACGAGATTCAGGAGACGCTAGGCCGGTCGTATGGAGTACCTGACGATATCGACGAGGACGAACTTGAGGCAGAATTGGACGCTCTGGGTGACGAAATGTTTGATGAGGAGGAGCCTTCGTACTTGGAGGACGAGACCCTCGACCTTCCCACTGCAGAGACAACGGAACCCCAGGCTGAGGTAACAACTCTTGCACTTCCCTTGCTGTATTGAGAGTCGGAACTTGATCAATTGCTCGTTATCCTTGAGTGTAACCTAACATGTTATCGTTGTTTCTTTTTATTTCTTAGCGCTTGGACGAGTTTGGACTGCCAGAGGGTCCTCTCAAGGCGTAGTGAGTTTGCATGTTGCTACACACGGAATCGAGGGCAAATAATAAACAAGAAAATGCGACCCACTTCTCCCTTTTTTCCCTTTTTCCATTCTTCTTTACTCCCTGCTTCACTCTCCCACCTCAACCTCTTTTAAACACTCTTCACATTCTTCCGCCGCTATCGTCTCCTCCTCGACCAACAACACAACGTCAACCACTTTGTAAACCATACACAACTCCGTTTCCTCTACAGCTCCCTCTCCTCCTGCCGCCATTCCCTCTTAAGCGCAAAGAGATTCGCGATCAAATATTTTACTCCTTCAAAATCCTTTACACCTCCATTCTTTGCAGCCATTTACACTCATACTAACTACCAGGAGAAAAAAAAAAGAATATCGTGCCCAATTGCACTCTATTACCTTCGACACACCCACAGCACCCCAAGCATTCAAGGGCGACAAAAAAAATTATGGAAGCAGTGGGATTTGAACCCACGAGTTCGAAGGAACACCGCATCTTAAGGGCGGCGCGTTAGACCAACTCCGCCATACTTCCCGCGTCGCACAGTGTTGGTTTTTTAGATCTTTTTGAATAAGCAAGATTTGGCAACCTCGGTAATTGGTAATAGTGAAAAGATTGACCTTCGTAAAGTGAAAGGTAGTGGTTTTGCGAACAAAAAAATATGTGAAGAGGTCGGTTCTTGAACATGTCTTTGCATGCACGTTAAGGTGAGTGAGTGACAGCAAGGAACTTGATAGTGTTGTCGCTATATATTGATAATAAAAATTGTTTGAATCCGTTATCGAAGGTTTGTAGTTGTGGGTCTAATCATTGGTTCCAGGCGTACAATGAAAGTAAAAGCCATCGCGTCGCGACGCGCTTGAATGAAAAAATTCTTGGTATTGATGCAACAAAGAAAAGAGCGGGTCTGGTCAGTGGCAAAAAAATGAAGAAAGCGATAGGTGTGTTGAGGAGGAATGGCCTTACAAGTTTCGGTATCAAGGTGTGGTTATGGTTCATGTCGTGGAGAGGCTGGCAACATGTAGAAGAGGAATATTTTTTCTACTTTGTGACAGGCCCCCGAGGTGACTGGAGTCAAGGATACGGTTACATCACGCACGATGGTTTCTGTCCGTGTGGCGCTTCGCTAGCCACACATTGTGAAGGAAGGTGCCCTGGGGGGACCAAGGACCCACGCGCTGCTGACGAGCGGTTATTGGAGAGTTTGTTAGGAAGGAGGAGGTTGTCAATGATGGAGAGGATGGGAAGAATCCCCTTCATTCGTATCTAGTTTTATTTTCTTCCGTTTAAGCTGTAAAGAGCAGCGACAATTGTTGCGCAGAGCCAGGTTCTGAACCGGACTGCGACTGGTGGACGGTGCACTGAAGAGTTTGGTCTGTAGTCCCTTTTTTACTTCCAAATGACTTCTCTATGCTGTTTGTCAGAGAAATAAAATTGTGTACGAAAAAAAAAAAAAAATTTACTTTGTGATCAGTCCTCATTCTCGATCAACTTTTTATTTTGTGTGGTTCAGGCTTTAAGGCAGGGCTCCTTTTTGCCTCTTGAATGCCCTGACTTTTAGCCAGGGAGCATGGCCAGGTGAAAGTGGTCTGTTTGTTCGCAAGTCAGAAGAGATAAGGGGTCGCTCATTCCTTATTCCTATTTTCACCAGGCGATTGTTGTTTAAGAAAAAGGAGGTTCGCCTGGTCAATGAAGATTCTAATCCAACCCCATTTCACATTGGCTTTTCGTTCTTCGTCGGATCTTTATTGTTTGTTTCTTCTCAATCTTTGCCACATCCTTAGCCACTCCTTCTTTCATCTTCTATTTTTCCTTCGTCTTCCTCCTTTTCAACCGTCCTTATGTGTTTTGTTAATTTTTCGGACATACAGAGCTGACACAAAGCCCTCGGGCCCATAATCAATCCTTTCTTCCTCTTATATTTTTCTTCTCTTCTTTATCTCCACCCTCACAAAAAAATCCCCGATGAGAGCCACGTATTCAAAGATGATGACCATGCTGGCGATGGTCTATCTCGTCTTGTGCAACACCCTTGTGACCATCGTCCGTGCTCAAGACCCACCTGCAGTTGTCTCTCCTCCCAGACCTCAAGACACTGCAGTGGCATCGCCCCCGTTGGTGCAATCATTGCCACAGACACCAGCTCAGGCACCGGCAGCAGGGGATGAAACAGGATCTGGATCAAAACCTAAACCAACAGAAGCAAAACCGCGAACGCCACCAAACTCTAGCTCAGGAACGCCTTCTCAACAATCTCCTTCTCCTCCTCATCCTGCAACAAATACGACAGGAAATCCAACACCCTCCATCCAACCCGGCACCAATACAACAACAACACCTGCCCCCGCGCACACTCCAGGCCCAGCGACCAATCCACTACCACCCGGAACCAATAACTGTCTCATTGAACCCTTCTGCGACTCAGGAGAGGAATGCTTTGTCCTTACAGACGGACTCGTCTGTTTACCCAGAGCTCAAAACTGGGGTTACATCTTGACCAGAAACGCAAGCGGGATCCCTTCTGTACCAGGATGGTCCGGCCCCCTTTCTCAACTGAATGAAAGCTGTACACGGTTCCAGATGCCTGCCAGTGCTGATAAGCCAGGGTTGGCTCTTTTAGTGTACGATCTGATCCGGGATACGTTGCCCAAGGACTTGTTACTTTCTCGGTTTGACAAGTCGACAACCAATTGGTACACCCACTTCTCCAACTGTGAGCCCAACCTCGCCTGCACTCTTGGAATCTGTCAGCCACGGCCAGTCCTGGGCGAGAGCTGTACAACGTCGTGGCAGTGTAACGCCCTAGCTTTAGGACTGGACGACCTCAACCAGCCCATCCCGACGGCGAACACGACTGAGATGCGATGCGAGTACCTAGATGGCAACAAGAGTGTAAACACGACCTGTCAATTGCTTCATCGGGACAAGGATGCTGTTCATGGGTTTATGGAAGACGATAGTGGGGGGTTTTCGGCGTGGCATGTTATTGTGCCTGTGGTTGTAATTTTGATTTTGGTTTATTTCGGGACGGTGGCTTACAAGCGCAGGATGCGGCAGCAGAAGCGGCGGAAATGGACCCACACCATTGAAGGTATGTTTTTTTTTCTTGTTCGTTTTTTGGATGTGTGTTTACTGACTTGTCAGAAGAGGAAGGAAAAATTGAATGAACATGCTCTTGGTCGCTAATGACGCTAAAAGACGCTTGATTGACTATGGAAAAGGATAAACAAGGATAAGAAGACTATGTGTATAACGTGAAAAAAGAGCATGAACGAAAAGAAGGAGAAAGAAAAAGGGGTGCAATGCTAGTTGTGTTTTATTGCTATCTCACGCGATGAAAGTGAAGATGGTAGTGTGGAAAAGCATACAGGCATTAACGACGACGATCCTACATTTTTTCCTTTCGCCTTTCCTGAATGAAATGAAATTACTTTTAGACAACAGGGACGACGTTCGTATGGAGTCCTACGACGAGATCCATTGAGAGCCAAAAGAGCAATAGGTTGGTTCCATTTCCACAATTGAAACGTGATATTAGAACTAGCTAAAAAAAAAAAAAAACTTAACCGAAAACACCGCTGGACAAAGAACGACCGACCATGGGATGGGTCTTCGCTTTGACGTCATGGTTGCCGTAGTTGTGCAACTGTGCAAGCGCGTCATTGGCCAGTTTGAACTGGGCTAGCTCGGTTCGTTTGGTCTGTCTGCCTAACTGCCCGGCAGAATTTATTCTCTTTTCTCCTCCCTCCCTCCTCCGCCCACAATATGTCCCATTGCACGCAAATGGATGTCGCCCCTTTTGTTGCATGCTTGATATTTTTATAGCAAAAAAAAAGACTTGTGCTAATGCAACTGAGCCCGAACAGCACCATCCTCTCTCATCCGCTATGCGGCCGCTCTCTCTTTTCCTCCCTTTTCTTTATCTATCTCGTTGGCTTTTGGCAAATGCCCGTGCCATGCAATGGCTCCAGGAATAAATGCAAGGAAAAAAATGCAATGCCAAAGAGGATATCCATCTGTTTGCCTGCTTGCCTGCCTGCCTGCTTGCCTGATTGCCTATCGGCTCCTCCTTTTCCTTGCTTGAATACTATCGCGCCATAGTCGTATTTTTCGCCAATGGCAATATGTGTAATGGCAAATGGCAAAGGGTAAGAGAGAGAGTGGAGGATGCGCGCCTTGTTGCTGCCCTCTGTGCGGCCACGCATACATCCCACAAAATACCACGGATCCACAGACAACAGAAAAAAATATGGGGAGGAGGACACTGGTGGGGGAGGGGGGAACAAATGGGACAGACAGGGGTGGTGACACAGATGAGGCATAACAAAAAAGGGTAGCACCGACCGACCTCGGTTGCTTTGTTAGTTCCTTCCTCCTTTGCCTCATCTTTCCCAATGACGATATGTTGTTTCTACTTTGTCCAATCCCCCCCAGCTCGTTCCTTCGTTTAGCAAGAGTGTGGACAGTAAATAAAGTGCCTGAAAACCAGCAACAAATAAAAAGGCTTTCAGCTGGCTGAATAAGGTTTCTGGATGAAAGAATAATAATGACCTCGTCTTTTTTATTTGGTCGCTCAAAGTGGGAAAAGAGGACTGAGAGGTCATCTCGTTGAAATGAGATGAGCATGAGAAATGAGGGATGAGGGATTTGAGGATGAGGGGATTTTTTTTTGAATGAGGGGAATATGAAGGCGACGAAGTTAGTAAGTGGGCGAGCAGGTGAAAGGTAGGGAAAGGCAGAGAGAAAGATGGAGGTGCAGCAGAGGTGGACGCTTAGTGCGCTTGAAGGTTTGAACTGTGTCCTTCTGGTCTCAGTCACCTTCTTGGTCGCACAATTTTGGTGCCATTGGTTTTCTCCTTCTCGTTCTCTCATATCTCTTGTTCTCTCCTCCTCTCTTTTCTTTCTTTTCTCTTTGTTCTCCCTCTTTCTCCCTCTCCACCTCCCTCTATCAACAGTTACACAACCCACATACACATACACACACATACACACACACACACACACACAAACAACCTCGACCCTTCCTTCTTCCTCCTCTCTTCATCCTTCTCTCCTCCTCTCCTCCCTTCTTCACCTCTCGCACGCTGCCTCGCCTGCCTTCTTACTTCTCACACTCCTCGAACAACCCCATACACATACTTCCCTTCCATACATCCTCTCCCCTTCTTTACTTTTACTTTGCACCTTCCAGGAACAGCTCTTCCCTTTCCCCTCTTTCTCTCACTCTCTCACTCCCATCGGCAGACACTCACATTCATTCATACAAACTGCTCTGTCCCTGACTCTCATCACTCCTAATTGCCAATATGATCGTCGACATCCTCCCCTTCCGCCTCAAGCTTGCCTCCATGGACAAGGCGGACATTCCCCGGTGCACCCATCAACTCATGAAACTCGTCCTCTTTCCTTCTGGGTAACGTGTTGCACTCAGTCTTTTCTCCTTTTTTTTTTCTCTTCCTTTCTCTTTTCTCTCTTTCTTTTCGTTCCTTGGACTGTCGTAGTTCGAGCTGACTAGTGCTTCTTAGACTGTACAAAAGGCGTGCTTTTGGGCACGACACTTCTCACTCAGCCAGGTGGTGTCATCTCCATTATTGTCCATTCTCGTACACTCTCGCGTTTTTTTTTCTTTTACTATCGACCCGCGCTGAATTTTGCGTTCTTTGTTCTTTGTTCTTCTCGTCATTTCGTTCAATGAGTGCCTTCTATTTATCGTGTCGAACTTTAGAAGCAGCCTGGATCAATATGCTATCTCCACTAACGTCTTACAACCGTTTTTTTTGTTGGTATTTGTTCTCTACAGACCCCAGCACTTCTTCTCATACTCGGAGACGGACAGAGAGGTGTCCCTCATCCTCGACGAGACGCATATCCCTGCGTTCCCTAAGGATACGCTGGACGTTTGCAATGTCATCTGGAGAGCCGTTCAAATCGAGGCAGGAGAGTCGGGTCTCGGTAAGATCTTCCTTCTATCCCCCCCCCCCCCCCCCATCTCCTTTCGGGATACTCTATTAACGTGGTTAGGAGGAGGCAAGGGAAAAAGTCAAAAGGGAGTTGGACAAAGCAACAACAACAACGACCAACGACTTCCGTCACATACAAACAGACACGTACAGATGACGCATATGGCCCCTTCGCCCTCCCAACGGACACTGGGCCCGGACAAGATACATCTGGCAAAAAGATCATGGAGCCGCTTATTTTTGGTGTTCCAGGCTAATTATTGACTTATACTCTTGCACCTCCCCTTCTCTTCTTCTCCTCTCTGTCCTTCGTGTCCTCCCATCCCTAAAATAGGCGCCATGGATGTGGTCTCCCAGGTCTCGAGGCCATTGGCAGACATCAACGTTTCCATCATGTAAGACTTGTTTTCTTTTCCCCTTTTGTTGCACACAACGAATTGCTCCGCATTTCTTTTCTTCTCTTTTCTTTCTTTTTTTCAACCTATGAAAACACAGAAGCACGGAAGCATACCAGTACCAGGAAAGCGAGTACAATATGTGGTTTCGGTTGACAGGTCAGTAGGGAAAGGAAATAAGGAAGGCAAGAAGGAAGGAGAACAAAGCGAAACGAAAGGGAGAGAGAGTAACATGGTAAGAAGGGTCGTTTGGATATGAGAGGAGCCTTAATAAGAGGGTGTTGACAACAAAGTCCAATAATGCCATCGAAGAGTTGAAGGACTTGTAGGTTCCCTTCCTTAGTGCCATTTTCCGTCTGTTTTGATCGATTTGCCGAGGCAAACAAGAGAGCAAACTAAGAGCGAGAGAGAGAGTGAGTGAGTGTGAGAGTTTTGTTTATGCTTAAAGGGGCGAGCAATTCGACGCGATTGTGCTTTGATTTCTTGCTCCACACAACCAATGAAGTCATCACCCAACCTTAAATCCTGAATGTTGATGTCCAAGCATATGTGTGCTGTTTGAGCAAAGATCGTAAACCATATCGTGCGAGTACTGAGTACGAGTGGAAAACTAGAGGGGGAAAGACCCCCGATATATCTCATGATCCCAACCACTTGCACCGTCTGCATTACTGCATTTCACTCTCTCTCCTCCCTCTTTTTCTCTCTCCCGCTGCCATCACTATTACCCTCTGTTTTTATTATTATTGTTGTTGCAGATAGTATCACACGCTGTCAATTGTGTAAGCACACAGCACAATTGACCTCCATGACCTTTCAAAAGAGCCCATGACCAAACACTGACCTTGTTTTTCTTTGTCAAACCACCATGTGCGGAAAATTAGGCAAATATCGACATATGATGCCGACTTCACGCTCTTGCCAGAATGCGACCTCACCCGCGCACTCGACTGTCTCTCCAAAGTATTCGACATCAGCAACAACCCACTTCAGGACGTCGGCCTTCAACCCACAGACCTGCAGTCATGGGAGGAGACTTTCCCGATGAGCCCCACAGAGGTCAATTCGCTCCAGGACGCCCTTGCACTCAACGCTTCAACACTGCGTAGACGCCAGTCAAGTCTGCTGAGCATGCTTGAAACCAGTGGTCTCCGTCGCAATGAAGGAGCAGCAGCGGGAGGAGCAGGACAAAGCAGCTCAGAGGACAGCGGCATTGGAAGTGAAGCAACCAGTGGGCCCAACAGTGGAGTGGCTAGTGGCCATGGAAGCCACGTTCTCGACACAACTTTGCAGGGTCTGGATCCGGCTTTGATCGAATCATTGTCACTGGATGATACAGCAATCGAGGCAAGCCAGGCAAGGCATCATCCCTTCCAAGTCAACTTCCCACATCGCCTTCACATCACCAGCATGGAGCATGGACTTATGGACCAGCTCGCCATCCGACTTTTGGAGTCCATCTTCTTTGACAACAGGCAAGTTTATTTTTTCATCTCAGTTATTACTTCAAATCTGTAAATTATCACGACATGCTAATACTCTACGTTTTTACTTTTGTGGATACAGAGTGGACAGGTTCTTCTCGTTTACGCAGACGGACACGACGCTCAGTATTATTATGGATGACGCGACGATGAGCCTATTCCCGGACCACACTCTCAACACCCAGGAGGGCGACTGGCGTCTGATTGCGATTGGTGATGGACCTCTTGGATTCGACGAATGCGGAATCGTCAGTGAGTTCTCGCGGCCACTGAGCGAGAGTGGCATCGGTCTGTTCTACCTGAGCACGTTCAGCTCGGACTATATCATGGTCAACGATCACGACTTTGAGCAGGCTGTGGCCTGCCTTGAGGAAACTTCGCGGTCGATCCTCCCCAAAGACGAGGAGCTGGAATCTCCCGAGGGTGAGGGCGAGAATGAACGCAGGACTCGCTTCCTTCGCGGGCAACGGTTGGCAAGGAAGGGAGGATCGATGCATTCTATTGACACAGGGTCGCTCTCGGGTGTCTCGTCTGATGCTGACCCTGCAGAGCTTTCACCCGTCTCGACCAATGCTGATTCACCCGAAGACAACAAGGCTGAAGTGAACAGCAACTCGGATGAGGTCCTCACCAACTAGTTTTCTTTTGGACCCTGTATTTCTCATGTCCCCTTCCATTCACCACTGTCGCCACCATTTGCCAACTGTCGCCAACCGCCGACCAGACATCAACTATCGCCTAACAACGCGGGTTGCACACCGTCACTTGTATCATAGCACTTTTGTTCTTCTTTCATATTTGCCGTTATTCCCCTTTCATGTTTCCTTCATATACACTCCTCATATTCTCATACAAAAACATCCAAAAAAAACACATTATGTCATTCAAATAAATTGTACTGTTAGCTCGTTCAAGCTTTTATTATGGTAAATGGTGATGACATGAAAAAAGAGTGAGGAATGGCATGAGAATCGTGAAAAAAAAACGGAAAGGATGGAAGGAGAAAAGTCATTTCTGTGGAGTCATGAAAAAAAAAAAAAAAAAAAAAAAAGATGTGGGGATGGGACGTGAAGTGGCCATATCGTGAACAATGGGAGGTGCGCATGTACGAGAAGGGAAGGAGGGATATGCTAAATGCGAAAAGGGAGAGAGAGAGAGAGAGAGAGGGAGAGTGCAGACAAGGTGTGAAGTTGAACGTGTAAATGGAAGAGGGAGATGGGAGGGAAGGCGGCAACCAGCGCTGGGCAGTAGAAAAGAAGGAATGGGATGAAAAGTCGAACCAATCGCACAAGGGGTTCCTGGGTGGAGACTTGCCGTCACGAAGAGGCGACGACCTTTGAGAACATAAGGAAACCGCTTGATGCGTCAGTGCATAGGAGCAATCGAAGAGTTGGCTAGCTTTACTCTCGCAACTCCCGCAGGAAGTGGTCGTTCCGGGTATAATCCTCCGATCCATAGCCATGGATATTGTGCCCCACGGCAGGGACACCTCCAATCACATTCGGGTTCGGGATTGACGTAACAGAGGCCCTCATTGCCGAAGCTTCCGACATTGCTGGAACAGCTCCCGAGTTGTATCCGTACTGGTAGGATTGGTAGTTGGCGTCTCCACCCATAGTTTGTTGCTGTTGCATTTGTTCATAGTGCGCATAACCGTATTCGTATTCCGAGCCGGCAACAGCAACAGGATATGCAGGTGCGGCCATCGTCACAGAGGTCATGGGAGATGGGGGTACGGTATCGTAAGCTTCGGGACGCATGATCTCGTCGTAGCTGTTGTACTCTGAATGGTCGTCGTGGCCTTTGCCGGAGCCGTAGACGACTGCTGGCGCTGCTGCTCCTCCTTTTGTAGATACTCCTGTGATCTTGTTCTTGAAGTGCCGTGATGGCTAGATGGAGTAAGTAAGCAGGTATATCGTATTTGGATTACGAGGTGTCAGTTATTTTTGTGGAGATGGCGAGTGTCGTATCTAGAACACAAAAAAAAAAAAGAATCATAGCATGGTGACAAAAAGGCAGGATGCTCCAACTTACAGAGAGCTTCCACTTGCGGAAAATCCAGACACCAATGACAGAGGCAATGACGACCGCCGCAACAATGGCTCCGACTGTCAGAGCCGCTGTGTTGCTGTGAGTCTCCTCCTTGTGTCCAGGGAGCGTCGTCGGTCCGCCTTCCTCGTCCTTTGAGCCCTTGGTCACTGTAGAATTCGTCTGTCCTGATGGGCGGTTCTGAGAAGCGATGGTGGTTGTCGAGGTGGAGGTGATGGCGACAACGGGGTCGGTGGGGTCCAGGGCCGAATCAGTTGTTGTTGCTTCTGAGGCATTTGTTGAAGTTGTGGCCTCTGGTTCTTCAGTAGTGGTGGTTGCGGCGTCATCGGGAGTAGCAGCAGGAATAAGCTCTCCCTCAAGTCCGCTCTCAACCTTGTCCCCGCCTTTATCTTCTTCATCAGAAGGCGTGGGGGCAGGCTCTGATTCACCTGCAATGGTTGTTGGCGTAGGTTCTTGGTCAGATCCAGAATCTGTAGGTTCGACAATTGAAGATGGAGAGGGGTCTATTGTCAGAGTGTTTTGAAGGTAGAACTGTGGTTAGCTGTCCACGTTTTGGTTTAACAGGGCATTCGATATCTGTTTGCTCGGTTGGTTTTCTGAGTGAACTTACTAGTAATTTCTTCAGGTACAGGTTCTATTGGGTCCTGACCTCCAGATGTGTGCTCCTCGTCCTCCTTGTCTCCTTCCTTCGCAATGACTTCTTGCTCCTGCTCTGGCTCTCTTGCCTCCGTCTCTTGATCAGGTGTGTCGTCGTCGTCTCTTTTCGCGATGATGGTCTCGCCTAAAGCATTTGTTGCAGAAGGTTTGATAGGATAGGATTGAGAGAACAGTAGCGAGAAAAAGAAAACGAAGAACGAGAGCGTGTGAGTCAATAAAGATCAGAGCACACGCGTTTTTTAAAATACGAAATTATTGAGTGGTCGTTTGTGCTGTGCTTTGGGCTAGACGCTTTTTTTTGTCGTTGGTTGTTGTTGATTGACCCCACACTTTTGTCGCTCGGGGATAATTGGTGTTGCGCATGAGAGAAGGAGTTTATCTGGCAATGACTTACAAGTCGCGTCCAAGTCATCAGTCCACAGTCGGTCAGTCAGCATGTCCAAGTGTGTCGATTGTTCCACGTTTCCAACGTTCAGTGCCAGTCAGTCCAACATAAACAGTCCGCTTGTTGTCTTGGTTCCATAATCGTCTTGGTCCATGTCGTCCTCCCTCTGTGTTTCGTTTCTTGTTTTTCTCTTCCTTCATTTCCAAACGGTTCATGTAACTCTGTCTCCCTGTCAGTTTGTCGGTCAACCATCCAGTCCGCCAAGCCAGTCAGCCAGCAAAGAGGAGACAACGGAGGAGGAGGAGGAACACACCCACAATCAAGAGGTCCAGGAAGGCGAAAAGACTCTCATTTCTTGTCATCATTTGAGCGAGACACACACACACACACACACAAAAGAAAGCAAGACAGAGTGCAGAATAGAAGCCATATATAAAACCGTACTAACCCCAACCAAGAGGTATATTTAAAGTAATAACAGAAAAGGGGGAGCACGGAGACAGTACAAGCGAGGAGTGAACAAAAGAGCATGGAGGAAGAGATTCATGGACATCAGAAGGAAAAAAAAGGAAGAGGAAAGGATAAACGGAGCCCTTCCAATTTTTGGTCTCTCGTCTAATGTTCCCCGCTCTCATTATTTTTTTGTTGTCTCCTTCTCTTCTCTCCTCCTCCGTGCGAGGTTCCCTCATTTTGAAGGGGATAGGATAAAAAAAAGGCGGGTATTGAAAGCCCACCAGCCCTGGGACACATTTCCAAAATATAATAACTCAATAAGAGATGAGAATGGTTTGAGCGCGGGCTGCAGGAGCGCATGTAGAGAGGGGTATTGTATATGTAATGAAGGGAGGGATCGCACAAGTAACAATGTGTAATGTGTAACAATAGCCAGAGTCAAGAACGAGGTGTCAGTTGGTGTATGGCCTTACCATTAGGACTAGATTCATCGGTTGGAGGTTTAGGAGGGGCGATGTATCCGACGAGGTTATCCAACGGATCGTCAGTGCCTCGTTTGTCGCCCGCGAGTCGACGAGGTTTTTGACGTTTGTTGATCATCCTGGCACTGCCAGAGGAGGAGGAAGAAGGGGATTGGAGGAATTGTGAGGAAGGGGTGGAGTTGTCGATGGTTGCGTCTGTCAATTGAGAATTAGCGGCGTCGCGCTGGTAGAGGTGTCGTTGCGAAAGGAGAATGTCATTATTGTTGGTGTTGGTAATGGGGGATGCTAGGGTGGATGTGACCGAGAAGGTTGTTGAGAGGGCGAGCACCAGGGATAGTGTTGAAAACCGCATTTTGAAATAAATTTTAAGGTCGTGCTGTTGCAAATGCGATCCGCATCAGGTGGAATGAAATGGAGGAAGAAAAGGGAATGGAGTGGCGGCAATGAGGGAGAGAGAGGGAGAAGAGAATGAGGAGAGTGAGAGGAGAAGAGGGTAAGAATAAAAGAGAGTAATAGAAGAAAGGAGGAAGGGGAAAAGAAAGTGAAGGAAAGTAGTTAATACACATCCTTGGAGACGGTATCCAGGCACACAGGTGAGCAAAACCGACAGAACTGGGAGGCTTTGTTCTTGTTTCGTTTCCATGATAATGTTTCAATTGTTTTTTGATGCACATGGAATGCAAGGTCTAGGAAACTTGTTCCTGTGCTTTGTATGTGGCCCCCAAGCAAAAAGCTCTATGTACATGTCAGCAGCAGCTATGAGGATTTGGTTTGTATTCTGTATTGTTTGCAATCATCGTTGACTGTGCTAAAGGAGGTGTGGGATTGTTATTTCAGTAAAGTGATGTGAGTCAATGCAGTCCCCAGTTCGCCTTCCTAACCCATCCTCTCTCTCGCAGCCATTCTCACTCTACTCGTCATCGCTTGATCCGCCATCGTTGTCCGCGCTCGCCTCCAAATGGACGTAACCAAATGTGTATGTGATGACCATAGATCGACGCTTCGCTGTCAAACTTTTGGCGGCATGAGGGGACCGGGCACTTCACTCCACGATGGGAGTTCTGGTGAGCCTCGTGGGCTTCCTTGCCGAATATGACACGACTACAGTCCAAGCACTTCCCAACGATGAGTCGATGTTGGCTTTTGAGGTGGAGCTTGAGGTCTGTCCACCCATGACTCTCTTGCCACAGTCATGGCACGTCCAAGGGGCACGCTTGTAGAGTCTCTCCATAAGTTCGTTCAACCTCTCTTCCTCGTCCTGACGAGACAAAACCGACTTGGCTCAAAGTTCTCGAACACGTCTTCGCGTATTGACACGGCCATGGTCTCGGCGCATGTGGTTGTATAAAGAGCTGTTTCTGGTGAATGTTCTGGTGCAGCCAGTCTCCTGACAGCGGATACGGTGGTGTGTCTTGAAATGCCGTCGATGTGCTGGATTTTCCAAGGTAACTTTGAGCAACTCCAACAGCGTCCGGCATTAAGGCAGTGCTGGTTTTTGAGATGCCGGCGTAGGTCGTGCTAATCTCGACAGGGAACTTGGCAAACATGACAGTGCCAAAGGTTGTTCACATACTGGCCCCCATCGTCCAGCTCACCCTGTACCAATCCTTCAGAATCCACCTCATTATCCGACGGGCAGTTGGAATTCTCCTCATCATCAGCCTCGTCGTGTGTTGTCCCGCTCTTATCATCATCGCTCTGCATATCCACATATGCATCAGAGTCATCAGTCTCGACAACAGGCATTTCATCCTCGACACTCTCGGAGGCCATCTCTTCATCCTCAAAAGTCTCGACAACATTCTCCTCATCCTCAGCGCCATCAGTGGCCATTTGTTCTTTCTCAGACTACTTGACCGTCATGTCGTCTCCAGAGACACTGTTGTGTTCCGAGTCCTGTATATCGTATCCTGCCTTTGACCGGACGTCATCGTTCGTGCCCGAGCTGAGGTATCTCTAATAGTCGACCGTCCTCTTGCCTTGGTTCCTTGTTCTACTTGGTATCTTGGAAGGTGGCAAAAAGCTGATATACCGAGGTCTATTGTGGTGTGAGTTGCTAATGGGTTGTGAGAGGGAAAGAAAAAAGGAGAGAGAGCCAAATGAGGAAATGATATTGTGCGGTCGCTGAAGTGAACAAAAAATTGTCAACAAACAAAACGCCTTGTCGACATTATTCATTGCACAGGCTGGTGCTCGATGAACTCCTTTTAATCGAATGAAGTGACGCATCAGCTATCATTCAAAAAGATTTTTTTTCTCATTCACTTGTATGTCGACACAGAATCCGAACAGTACAGAAAATCACGCGTCTCGACGCGTCAAAACAATAGAGAAGTGTGCTACCTTAAAAGATATAGAGTCCACCGCCAACGAAACAGGATAAGTGTCATTTGGGTTTTCGCAAGCGCGTAGACGTTAAGTTTTTTTGTTTTAGAATTATCAGTAAAAGCCGCCAGGCATTGTCCCATTTTCATGGATACGAGGTCAGCCTTTTTTTTCTATTGTTTTTGGATTATTGTAATTGTCAGCTGTGGCGTCTGCTATGGTTGGGTCATAACGTTTTGTTGACGTTTGACTGTTCAGTCGTCCATACCCATGTAGTCATCATCGTCGCCGTCAAAAGCCATCCTTGTCGGTCTCAAGTTCCTCCTCATTTTCCGCGCCCTCACTCTCGTCAACCAGGCTCGACATCTCATCAGAATCCTCCTCATCAGAATCCTCCTCCTCCAGATTGTGGTACTTTTTTTGCCACATCATTGGGGTTTTCCGCATCGCCTTTATCAAGGGTGGTACCTAAAAAAAAAGCGGACGGTTAGATTTCTGCGTTTCTTTCCAAACAATAAAATATCATGAAGTCACACCAACAAATGACGACTTACAGTTTCCAGCAAGGACGAGTTTTCTTCACAAGAGCCTTGAGCTTGTTTCGCATTATTCCTGCACCGTAGAGGGCGATCAAACAACACAGAAGATTGGAACTCTTCTTGGCAAAATTAAGACTTGCCTCAATGTACACGCAGTTCGTCAGAGAGTACGAGTCGCCTCGGGATATCAGTTCATCAAAGCCAAAAAGGCGACAAAGGCGCCATGGTATGAGGAGAACTTAATACCTCCTTCCCGTCAGTGATAGTCCTTGTGAAATGAATCAAATACTCCAAGAAAACAAGCGAATGGCCTTTTCTTTATTGTGAATCATAAGAGGTAGTGCATCTGCAAGGTGCCTGAGACTCCGTTAGTCCCATTTTTAAGAATCACGATTCAAACGGGCGCATCGCACCTTTGAATCTCGTTCAATGAAGGCCCTAGCATAGCAGATACTAGACCGATGATCGTTCCTGCTTTCAAAATTTCAGTACATCTAACGGTAGAGGTTGGCAATGAAGCCCGATCACAGAGCCTTGCTGACTGAGGATAAAGAGTCTCGACAAAAGGAGGAGGTGTATTCGAAAAAGTAACAAAAAGATACAAAGGAGTTCTCGCGCAGATCCAATTGACAACAGCCATTAACTTTATTTTTTGTGTGCGACATCCGAGTCGTCAATTCTTCGTTGATTCTTGCTTGCGGTACTTTCAGCTGTTACCACTGCGACTAGTACCGACCGAAGATGGCGCTGAAGATGATGATCTACAAAAATGATGGAAGAAAAAATGGTCAATGATTGCAAAACACGGAAAAAGTGAATTGCTTGGACGTAATGTACAGTTCATACCAGACTGACGAATAGCGCAGCCACAGAGCATGCCCTTGCCCAAAAGCGCTCTCTGGGGTCCGGTGAACTGAGAAAACACATTCCAAAGAGGTATCCGAACCAAGTGCAAATACTAATTGTTCATGAAAAAAGCAGAAAAGCAAGCCCGTTAGCCCTCCTGAGCCTCATATAACCTATTCCCATGTATTCTCATAGCATGAACGTGTTTCCGGCGCATTTACCCAAAGATAAAGCAGATCATAGCGACAGGGACACCTTGAGAGCTCACTTGATCACCAGTGGTTGGGTCGTTGCCGTCAACCACGTAGACAACCGTGGTTGGGTTTGCGCCACCTAACGGACCATATCAACCAGCAGATGAATGTGTAAGAAGCATCATACGGAACAAACATGAGGGTATAAAAAAGAGTTGAAGAATTGATAAAATACCAGGGTTTCCAGCGGGAGGAGCATATCCGCTACTGGATGAAGGGGGCATGTACGCGCCTTCAGGAGGAGTATAAGTTTGTTGACCGACAGGTTGGGCTTGGTAGAAAGAGGTTGGAGGTGGGCCTGCTGGTGGTTGGTAGGGCTTGCTGGTGGCGCTGTTTGTTGTATAGGATGGTGGAGGGGGCTGAACCATGCCGTCCTGGTTTGGATCGACAACGTTTCCGGCGTCGCTGTCTTTACTCATGATTGTATTATGGCGGTATTAGTGTTGGGAGCGAAGAAAAAAAAGGGGGAGTTGGTTGGTTGGTCTGTTGTGAAGAGGGGAAAGAAGGTGGAAAGAGTGAGAAAGAAAGAGTGCATGAAAGGCAAGAGAAGCAAGAGATTCAAGAGACAAGGTGACCACGAAAAAGATGAATGATCAGAGTTCCGAATCAATGTGGGTCGAAACACGTCGGTTTCACATAATTTTTATTTTTTTTTATTTTTTTATTTTTTTATTTTTTTATTTTTTTATTTTTGGCGTTTACAGTCAAGACGAGATGCAAATTCATGCGCGACAGTTTACTCGAGGCCCATGTACTGCAGTTGCATGTACTGAGCGTATTGATCAGCGTACTCATCGTCGCTGGAAAAGTCAATGGGACCGTAGTGATCATAGGTCGCAAAGTCATCCATGTCATAGCCATCGTCCTCATAGTCTGACTGTTCCGTCCACGCATCCCCGTCATAATAGTCGACATCGTCGTCATCGTCGTAATCCAGCCCCGGCGAGAAAAACGCGCTAAACGTGACACCATGATCCCTCAGCAGATCCATCGCATCGGGCTTAGTCGTGTTGCCGTCATCCCCAATGTCCCCCCTAACCCCAGCGAGTGTTGACGCCTCAAACGTCTCCAGCCTCTTCCAATGCTCTACCATCCACTCCACAACTTTGAACCCCTCGCTAGGATCATCGCTGTTCAGCAGCGTCTTGCAGCTAAAAAATGTCAGCTTCCTCAGAGTCGCCAACTCGTCAAAGCCAGCCTCCAACGAGACCTTGATCGGATCCCGGCTATCCGTGTCCGCCTGATTCTCGCTGCAGATGGAAAGGTAGTTGAGGTCTGTGAGTTGGCCAAGGCGCTGGTAGACTTCTTTGAAGTGGGACATTGGAGGATCGTCATCGCCAGTCTCATCAACGACATCAATCCCGACGTCAAACATCTGGAGATTCCTGCACGCCCACGGATGCTGAATAATGTCGCTGTGAGCCAAGGATTCGGCGCTGATGCTTTGGAGGTTGGCGCAGGAACGGAGAATCTCTTGGACCATCGGGCTGGTGACCTTGGAGCAAAACTGAAGGTTGATATCCCGCAAGGTTGGAAAGTGTCTGCGCAAGGCGTTCATCGACAGTACTCCGAATTCCGTCCTTGGCAATGATAGCTTCTCGATCATTGGTGCAGCTTCCAGAATCTGTGCAATATCGTCGTCCGCCACAGTCACAAGCAGATGCAGTGCCGTCAAGTTGGGACAGGTTCCTCCCGAGAGAATAGTACAGAGCTTGGCGACATCGACATAACCGTTCCCAGGTTCCCAGCGAAAAGAGATCAAGTTGGGGCAGCGGCTGAGCCATGTGAGCTGCTTGTCCATGGAGATCCCGTTGGCGTGACAAATATCGAGGTAGCGCATCTCCTGAAAGATAAGGTCTTCAGGAAACTCGGGGTGATCATAGTCGTCATCCCACGTCGAAAGTCTCCTGAGGTTCTTGGAGCAGAGGCGAAGGTAGAGCTGGGTCGCGGCAACATCTAGTTCGGCCATCTTGGTCTCGAGGACAATTAGCTTTGGGCACCTCTCCATCGTCTCCAGGACTTTGTTGGTCATCGGCCACGGGACAGAATTGATCACAATCTTGCGAAGACGGCCGTGGTTGTCTATCATATCCGAGAATCGATTCCAAATGTCACCATCGTCGACCTCCTGCACGTCAAACTTGACCTCGTCCAGCTGCTTGCACTGCGTAAAGAAATCTTGAAGGGTGGGGTCCATGTGCTCGATGACCAGGCTGCGGATATGGTATGCGTTCTTTTGGAGGAGGGCGAGATTTGGTTGAACGCCCATGTCATCGGGCCCAAGCTGTTTGAGGGTGAATGATCGCCAGAGACGAGGTTCGAATTCGGTTCTCCATGCATTACAAACCTGCATGCAAGAAATGATGTTGTTGTTGTCGAGCATATTGCTGATACAGGCGAGGATCTCTGGCAGCGCGAGAGCCTTGTCCATGGTGCCTTGCTTGAGAAAGGGATTCTGTGGGAAAGGAAAAGGTGAAGGCGTGTTTTTGTGGACTGTGGGGTCCTTTTATTGATTTGCATCACGTGCAGGATTAGAAACAAGCTTCACCACTGCACAGAGATTTAGGTACACAGCTGCATAGAGCACTCACTGATAGACATGATGCGCAGGGTGAAGAGTGAAGCTGACTTATGCCTCAATGTGGGCATTCAACACCACACCCGGTTGAAACTCAAGCTCATTTTGCGCGAGTGTTTCAAGTGTGATCAATACAATGTAGCAAGTATTTTTACATTTTCACAAACAAAAAAAAGAGAAAACTCAATCCGTTACATCCATTCTCTTTATCTTTTCCTTTCCTTCGTTATCCTCAACCCGCCATGGCACATGATGACCTGTCTGTTCATAAGGACCGCCACATCGTCGACCATATTCAGGATCCTTGTTTACAACAAGAACATATCAACATGAACAAGCCAGTCCTACCACCAACAACAACACTCAATCTATCGATGCTCCCCCCAGAAATCATCTTCTGTGTAATGGGAATGCTCGGACCTCGGGAGATCCTGACTCTGGCTCTTGTCAATTCCAGGATCCGGCTCCTCTCAGCAGTACAGCTCTCTTACGCCTACGACATGAGGATACGCTCAAAACACAATCATGTTGTCGACATCAACAGCGGCAGCAAAGGATTGCCACTTCCTCGACCAATGTCAGAGTACGAGCTCTATGTGAGACTGGTCCTCTCTGAACTCTACTCGCAGGAATCAAAGGACCTCGAGTCAACCTCCGGCAGGGACGAGGTCAAGCTTGCACTGACCTGCTGCAAAAGAATCCTTCGGCGACTCTACCTCATCGACAAGCACGAAAACTTTTCTCCCTGCCCCTATGGATACATCGCTAATCATAAATCGCATCCAATGAACGGTCTCGACTCGCCACCGACTTTGCCCAAACCAACTCCATTCATTTCGTCGACGGTGAACCTTCACATCGTCACCAGAGTTCTTGCGGACCAGGTCTGCCGAGGCATCTGTTTACCAGAGACAGCGGTTCTTGTGTTGCAATCGCTCACCAGCCTCTGGGATCAAGACCAGTTCCAATACCTTATCAACTCTCCCGAGAAGCATGCCCCCATAAGAGCGCCACCGATCGCGAACCGACTGTCGATAGGCCAGCTGTGCTTCCAGTACTTGATCCCCAACGTCCTCGGATTGCTCAAACCCGTGCTCCAGTTATCGCCGTCATCCTGTAGATCCTTGGAAGGGAGGCAACATGGAGAACAATTATCAAAGGTTCAACCGCTACACCCACCACAACAGCAGATCCATGATCAGATTATACCACCACCTCATCCGACGACACCACAAGACAGCAGCTCCAGCAACAGCATTCAATCCTATTTCGAGAGGACAAAGTCTCTCACCAGCGGCGTGCTACCATCCCAGCAAGAGTTGCTGCAGCCACCCAGGATTCGCTCAATCGCCCAATTGACTCGAGTGCTCGTGTTCCTACCTCTCCTTGGGCGCCACTTCAATACGCTGCCCACAAGCACCTTTATCGAGACGTTTCTGGACCGGTCCAAAGGCGATCTCCCGATTGACCGAGCTGCGGTGATGGTGTACGGATTTATGTGTGTTCTGGACCTGGAGGCAGGCAAGATCAACCTTGCCTCGGACAGCTACAAGATCTTTGAGCGATCAATGCCGACACAGGGCGTGGTCCAGGCGCAGGAGATGGTCCGCATTGTGAGTCGATATCGTCTGTTGATGAGGAGCTTCTTACTCTCGAGTCCTACTTTTTCGTCCACGCGCATGTTTGGCCAGAATACCTCCTCATAGGTCCTCGTAGATGGCAATTTAAATGCAGTTTTTTTTATTTGCGATTGCCTCAAGTCAGAACCCATGCGAGAGGAGGTATATCAATTGCATCTTTTTGATGTAAGAGCTGTCATTATGCATTGTGTTCATAATAGTTTTTTTCATCAAGGTTGCTTTTCGCTTTCGTTCATGCTTCCTGCTGTTGTAAGTTTGATATGTTCTCTTCCCATTCGGGGCATGAACAACGTAGAAAAGAGAAGAGTCCTGCAGTGCGTTTTCAGCTCGTTGTTCGTGTGAAAATTTGCTCCAATCGTTTCCCTCCAAATTTGTTACCCTACAAAGCACAAACAAACCCACCCATCCACCTGTTCAAATACCGGCTTGATCGACACCGCCTCCTTATCTTTTTCCTTCCCTGCTTTCTTTTCCTTCTTCCTTCTTCACTCCCGCTCTTGCATCCTGCCTGCCTGCTCCTCCCCGTTCCTCCTCTTCCTCTCCTCACCGCGCCTTTGAGTCACTCCCTCTTCGTCTCATCCTTCCCCCTCTTCCCCTTCAACACCAAGTACACTCTCTCAGGACCTTACTTGCACACGCGACCTGGCTGCTGTTTAATGGTCAACACCCCTTCTCATGACCCACTCTCCTCCCGGCTCTTCGACCAAAATGGCGACTCTATAAGCCAGGCCCAAGGGACACAGAGACGTGCATCCCTGCTCCCATCTAGTCAACAGGGCTCTCAACCATACCCCCCTCTGGCACTCACCGACAGCAACCACCACAACGATGGCTCACTCTACACTGGTCGTGAAGCTTCCTCCTTTTCTCAAGCTCCGACCATCCGTCCACTTTCGTCCAGGTTTCAGCTGCACCAAGTCGACAACGACGACATCAGCAACAGCAACATCAGCAACAACAACCTCGACGACGATGACAACAACGAGGACGAGGACGACTATGGGGACGAGGATGGGGATGATACCACTAGTGTAATGCAACCAATCCTTCAGACAAAGACCGCAGGTCGACCTCGTCCTGTCAAGAGATCCTCGACTAAGGGTATGTCCTTGTGTGTGTTCTCCATTTCTACTTGCAGGAGATCCTTTTTGTTTTTTCGAGTCCCGAGTAAAAAACATAAAAAAAAAAATACTGAGAAGATAAAAAACAAAGGCACATGAGCCCAAGGGTGCTGCGTACGGCAATCCGTAACAACGTGGATAAGGCACAATTAGTGAACGTGGTTGGACTGACGCATTCCGTTGATGCTTGTTTTATCACTCGTTGTGCTTCAATTACTATTTTGCTTAGGCCGGGGACCAGATCGATGCGTGCAGCACGTCTATCTCGAGGAGGAGGATATCGAGCTGATATTCACAGGATACAGGTTCCTCCAGACTCGACTCTACATCCACTACCTCGCCTGTGTCCTAAGTGCAGGAATCCTCTTCTTGCTTGGACGATGGATGCCGCAGCGATACTTGGCCTTTGTAGCCGAAAAGTGCGAAATGAGCCAGGCCGAATCCGTTGTTGTCGAGGTAAGAACCCTTTCACCATATCAACGACGAACGCTCCTCCTCCCCTCTTGATCCAATCGAATTCGAACGACAGGTTATACTTCATATCTCCTTTCGTCTCTTGTGACCTTCCCTGTCGACCCTCTATTGTTTGTTGGCTAACAGATGTTTGCAAGACGAACAGAACTCACTTCGAGACCATGGTAGTATCCTTTAGGATCTCTATTTATTTCCAGTCGCCAATTAATTGTTTTCTGTATCCAATGAACGACCTTCTATAGGATGCTTATGGTCAATTGGTCACGGAGGTTGTCTTTACGAAGTACTATGGAGGACCTATCAACTCGGTCTTCAGTCCCGAACAGATGGAGAAGCAGGAAGACGACGAAGATTTCGACGAAGCCTTGGTAGGCGATTGATGACAACCAGTGCACTTGACTTGAATGATCTAATGTGAATTGACAACTAACACAGCGTCCTTCTCACTTTTCCATACATGGCGATGTAGTCTTCGGGAATGCTGCACGATATGAGATACTTCGACTACCAGTACATCCGATTCATCTACAACCCAGTGACGTATAGCTTTATGCAGAACTCGAAGTGGAAGGATCCCGAGTGGTTGAGCGTCGTCAACTGTGATCGCGGAATTGGGCGTGAGACTCAGCAGGAGCGCACGATGGTTTTTGGTCAGAACGTGATCGATGTCAAGGAAAAGACAGTGGGACAGCTGCTGGTCGGAGAGGTCCTTCATCCGTTCTACATCTTCCAGGTGTTCTCGATGGCTCTTTGGTTGGCGGACGACTACATCTACTACGCCGGCTGCATCTTTGTCATATCTACCGTCTCGGTGCTGACAGAGTTGATCGAGACCAAGAAGACCATGAGACGCATGCGCAACATGTCCAAGTTTGTCTGCAACGTCAAGGTTTACCGTTCTGGCAGATGTATGTTGAACACCCTTTTCCGGGACGCATCTTTTTCACCTTGTTCAGCAATATGACAAGTAGGGAATGTGCGCTAATCAGACATTAAACTCTCTCGTTTTAGGGCGCTATTTAGGATCAGAGGAGCTTGTGCCTGGCGATGTCTTTGAGGTGACCGACTCGGACCTGTCTGTTTTCCCATGCGACGCCGTACTGTTGTCAGGTGATTGCATTGTGAACGAGAGCATGTTGACAGGAGAATCAGTTCCAGTCTCCAAGATCCCTGTGACGGACAAGGTGCTGCGACAACTCGATCTTTCTCTGGCCAACATTCCTTCGGACCTTGCCCGCCATTTTTTGTTTTCAGGAACCAAAATCATCCGTGCACGACCAGGAGCGGCGAGTTCAAAAAAGCAGATTCGCACGGACGATGTCGACTATGACGTCAACCGAACACCTCGTGGACTGGCACTTGTGGTTCGAATAGGATTCAACACGACCAAAGGAAGTCTGATCCGTTCGATGTTGTTCCCCAAGCCAAACGACTTTCAGTTTTACCGCGACTCTTTCCGTTTTATCGGCATTCTAGCAGGAATCGCGTTCTGTGGCTTCTTGGTCTCGACAGTCAACTTTATCCGCATGGATGTGCCCTTTAGGCTGATGATCATCAAGGCTTTGGACCTAATCACCATTGTCGTCCCGCCCGCGCTTCCAGCAACCATGTCCATCGGAACCAGCTTTGCTATCGCTCGCCTGAAGCGCTCCAACATCTTTTGCATCAGCCCTACCCGTGTCAACATTGGAGGAAAAATCAACTGCATGTGCTTCGACAAAACTGGGACCTTGACGGAGGATGGACTGGATGTGCTCGGAGTTCAATGCACGGATGTCGAGACTGGACGGTTCGGGACTCTTTTGAATCGGGTCGAGGATCTGAAAGCGGTTCCGGACTCAATGCATGAGAAGGGGACATCACTCCTGTTTGCCATGGCAACCTGCCATTCTGTCAAGTCGTTGAACGGAGAGCTCATCGGTGACCCGTTGGATCTCAAGATGTTCGACTTTACCCAATGGATTTTGGAGGAAGGCGGTCTTGGTGCTAGGACGTCGAGTGTCAGTGAGGCTGCTCACAATCAGTCAAAGGGCGTTGCGGGGGGTGTCGTATCGACCGTTGTCAGGCCACCAGGTGCGAAGCGGTTCAACCTCAATGACGTTCTTACTCACCACCCCACTGAGATGAGCGAATCGGTAAGGACCTGTATTGACAGAGCTTGTATTGAGTCTTGCGGTTTTGATGTGTTCTGACCAATGGGTATTGTTCGCATGAAATAGGAAACGTTCTTGGAGTTGGGTATTATTCGCTGCTTCGAATTTGTGTCGTCTCTTCGACGGATGAGTGTCGTTGTCAAGAAGCTGCACAGTCCCGGCATGGATATCTATGTCAAGGGCGCGCCAGAAGTCATGACCGACATTTGTCTCAAGGAGTCATTACCATCGGACTATGCGGACCGTCTGTCGTATTATACCCAGCATGGATACCGAGTGATTGCCTGCGCCACCAAATCGTTGCCCAATCTTAACTTCATTCGCGCACAGCGTGTCAAGCGGGAGCAGGTCGAGAGCGATCTTACGTTCTTGGGTCTGATTGTCTTTGAGAACAAGCTCAAGCCCACGACTGCACCAGTTATCGCCACTCTCAGCAACGCTCAGATCCGACAAGTGATGTGCACCGGTGACAATGCCCTTACCGCCATCAGCGTCTCCAAGGAGTGTGGATTGATTCAGAGTTCGAGAGAGGTGTACGCGCCCCGGTTCATCATGGGAAACTCGACCACCGAAAACTCGAGAATCGTCTGGGAGAACATTGACGATGGACGCAAGACTCTGGACCCTATATCCCTTATGGTGCGATACGGCTATTTAAGAAGTGGTATATGGAATCATATCTGATCGATGGAAACGCCACTAACTTTGATTATTGTTTGCATTGATCCTTAGCCTATGACATCAAGCTTCGAGACTATGAGTAGAGGACAGGACTTTCCACGATACACCTATCTGAACGAGTATGTCCTTGCGGTCACTGGTGATTGTTTCCGATGGATGGTGGACTTTGCACCTAAGGCGACTCTGCACAGGATGCTGGTGAAGGGTCAAATTTTCGCTCGCATGTCGCCAGATGAGAAGCACGAGCTGGTTGAGAACCTGCAGGCTATCGGATACTGTGTAGGATTCTGCGGTGATGGAGCCAACGATTGCGGAGCTCTCAAAGCCGCCGATGTCGGTATCAGTTTGAGCGAGGCGGAGGCATCAGTCGCCGCACCTTTCACAAGTCGCTCGAATGACATTGAATGTGTCGTCAAAGTCATCCAGTAAGTGTCTCGGTTACTGTCGATGTTAAACAATGCGACGACTGTTTATTTATGAGCACATATGCTGACCTTGTTTATCTTTCTTCGTCGCATCACTTCCATAGGGAGGGTCGGGCTGCGTTGGTCACGAGCTTTAGTTGCTTCAAGTACATGGCTCTGTACAGCATCATCCAGTTCACGACCGTCAGTTTGCTGTATGCCTTTGCATCCAACCTCGGCGACTTCCAGTTCTTGTATATCGACTTGGCGCTCATTTTGCCGATCGCAGTGTTCATGGGTCGAACGGAAGCCTTTCCGGTGCTCAATCCGAAGCGACCTACCGCCAACCTTGTCTCGAAGAAGGTCCTCACCTCGCTCATCGGACATATTTTGATCCAAGGATGTTTCCAGGCGACCTTGTTTAGCATTGTCCGTCACCAGCCGTGGTACAAGCCTCCCAAATATGAGCGTGGCGAGAAGAACATTGAGGGGTACGAAAACACAAGTCTGTTCCTGCTGTCGATTTTCCAGTACCTGCTTGTCGCGATTGTCTTCAGTGTCGGACCTCCTTACCGCAAGCCGATGTCCTCCAACCGTAAGAGTTTGTGTCAGCCGTGTTCATCCGAAGTTTTCATTTTCATTTTTTTTTCACACGCGATGATGTTTGGTGAACTTGACTCTAGTTTTCATTGACATTGGTTTATTTGTTGTGAACTTAGGTCCTTTTATGTTTATTATTGCGGGATTGGTAGTGATGTCAGCGTCGATCGTTTTGTTCCCGTCGGGATGGCTCAAGAGTTTTTTGCAGCTGTTGGATATTCCATTCAGCTTCAAGTTGTTTATTCTGTTGATGGCAGGACTGCACCTATTAATTGCATTAGCGTCCGAACGCGTTGTGTTTCCGATCCTCGCCACAAAGATCGGACAAGTGATCCAGTCAATCCGCAAGCGGTCGTCGCCATCGTCGTCGTCTTGGTCCGTGACCACAACACCAGCAGCAACAGCCACGAACACAAGGGTATCGGGTTCACAACGGGGTCCTCATCGTCGTTCCGCGCAGTATGGGGATGAGGCACGGATAGATGTGGGTGAGGGGGACGAGGAGGACGAGCAAGGGTCACGTCCGAGCACCCCTCTCATTGGATCGCATCCCCATAATCCGTTTGACCGGATTGGTCGTGGCAGTGCCGATAATGAAAGATTGAGGAAGGGCAAGATCTACAAGGCTGTACAAGAGGAAATGAACATCATCTGATGACACAGAGCCGCGACCACCAACAACATCGACGAAACAAACAACAGCAAGCTTCGGTCAGGAACGGGAACGGGAACGGGCATAACCTTTCACCCTCCTTTTTCTTTTGAGTAACATGAATAAACAAACTATTCAAAATAATAACGTGAAAGGAGAAAGAAAAAAAAAAGTGGGACCAAATAATGGCCTGTGTGTTTGGTCGCGTGTTACTTCTTTGTGTTCACATCTTGTTCCGGAGAGTTCCTTCAGGCGCGCAAGTTGCGACAGTAGCATTTTGGTTCCTCCGGAGACCACTGATGCAGGGTCAAAGGATCGTGCAACGTCCAAGAACGAACCCTTTTCTTCCCGTTCCTATTCCTTCCTTTGGCAGCTCACAGGCTCAGAGTCTGATACACTCTATAAGGTCTAGGATCTTTTTCTTTTCTACCCTTTTTTTTTCAGATTAACTTTTTCATGTGTCTCTTCCCTGCATCAAAGAATGCTAGAAGAACAGGCAAGGCAACTGGTACCTGATGATACCAAGAGCGCTGTTCAAATGAAAACGTAAACATAAAGCAATGCGTACAGCATAGCATAGGACAAGGTATCCAGACTGGTCACACGAGCCTGATGGGCGTATGTAAAAAAAATTAGGGCTCGACAATTTCTCTCTTTGTTAACTTATTTTTGAAGCTCCTCCGTTATCATTTTTTCGGGATCCCAGTGAGTAGGGTAACCTCCGTCCTTTCGTCCTTACCCATAAAAAAAAAAAGGAAAGGTACTTCAGAAAAGGTACTACTTGTGCTTGGACTCTGGAAGGAAAGAAAACGCGGGGAATAACCATTTGAGGAAGGAAGATGGCGATAACAGTGAGGGGAAAGCGGAGGAGATTTTTGCTGGCTGTGAAAAAAAAAAAATTATAGTGAGAAAGAAGTCCGTTTCAGATAGGACAGATAGGCGGGTTATGTGGGTGTGTGTACGAAAATGGGCGCCATGATATGATGGTGATGGAAGACTTTGTGAACGTTTTATTTTCGAGGAAGAAGAACCTCCCATTATTGTGAAGGCTACTCGTACCGGAGACTGGAGACTGGAGACTGAATTCTCCAAATAACAGAAAGATTAATCCATATTATATTTACAGCGAGTAAAGTATCTAAATGATCGACATGATCACTTTTCTCGTTTTGTTTCTGGAGTTTCCAATAACACCACGGCCATTCGTTGTTGCACAAGAAATGGCAGAACTTTTTTCCTTCGGGAATCATAAGAAAGACACAAAAAGTTGTTTGTCACTCTCATCGCCTATGTACATAGTCTTTCCCATCCTTCATCTCACGTTTACCTTTCTTTTTTCTTGCTTCCAGTCGAACGACAGGTCGACGAGAGGACGGATGGAAGGAGGCGGACGATACATGCAGTACTCACATCGGAGTCTTTTCTACCCAAGAGAATATTTTGGAAGCATAGTTAGTTGCTCAAAAACTTGTTACTTTTTTATCCCGTTATCATTCAAGTCGGACAATGTTGTGGTGATCGGTCACTTACTCACGCTCGGTCTGTCCTGCACGCCTGCAGGGTTGATTATATTGATTATTTTTCGTTTCCCGTTCACTTCATGAAGGAACCAACCATCAAACGGTTGGGCGGCCATTCAAAACAAAGGTAAACAACATCAAAGAGATAACAAAGCTAGCTACTTTGCATTATTGTCCTTGGCTGCCGCTGTAGCTTCAGCTCCAGTGTTGTCTAGATATGAAAGCTGTAACCAAGAAAAAAGTCTGGACTTTGTCTTCTTTTGCTCATTCGATCGGTTTTTATTATCATGTTATACGCATGCGATCCACACTAGAAGAAAAAGGTACAAGGTACAAAACAATAACAAAAATAAAGTGAGAGACTAGCCTTGTTCCCATTACTTCCTTTGCTCTGTCCTCAGGACCCTTCTTCTCTTTTGCCGGTACATGCGAGAGGTTCACCGTTTCTTCTTTCCGATTCAAACAGGTTATGCGTCTCAGAAGTCCCATGCTTTCATTTACACTTTGTGTTCCTGAATGGTGTGCCTGAACAAAAAAATGCACTAAAGACAAAACATTTGTCTGGCACTCAACTGACGACATTGTACCACTTTCCTACATCACCCAGGCCAGAAGGACACAAAGCTACCCTGCTTTCTATACACCTGCCGTTTCTTTCTACAGCCATACGCCCATCTCCTTTCTTCGTCCCCCCATCTAAAACATCCCATCCTTCTCTCTGTTTTTCTACTCCATTTCCTGCTCGCATGGCAGAAAACGCATGCGTGTTGGCTCTTTTCCCCCCAATAAACAGTTCGGTTGGCCCAAAATATGGAGAAAAAGTTAAAAGGGCTGGGCGAAAAGGCAAACGGAAGAGATAGGGGAAAGGAGAGGATGAGCAGAGCAAAGAACGCCTATTCTCTTTGTTCTGTGCAACATTTATCGACCCTCCTTCACCCATCCACCCCGCAAAACAAACACACCAACAAACACTTCAGCACAAACGAAAAAGAGCGAGCCAAACACGACAATCGCCATCTTTGTCCTCGTCATCAGTGATAGAGGCGGACACAAGTGCACCTAAAAAAGTGGGGTGTCTGCTTTGCCACAAAAAAAGTGTGGAGAACGAAGGAGTGCGTGTGTGAGAGAGAGAGACGATAAGAATGAATGCGCGCGTCTGCTGCTGTCATTCTGCACATAACATATCATAGCTAAACTCCTCGGTTCAAAGCGAGTACCTTCCAGTACGATCGCGCTTGCTCCGATAAAGTATGTACTGTACCAAACACCCCCATCACGAATGAAATGCAGGTATGTACTGTACAGAAGCTGGTGGTACCTTTGCAGCCCAAAGTGTCGTCAACTCTTGTGAAAATGCTTACAAGAGGGTCGTTCTGGATCCAATGGAAAGAGAGGGCAGAAAGAAAAAAGAGCCAGCCAGGGCGACCGGCAAAGGGCGCAAAGTAAAGGCGCTGTGATCGACCTGTTAATGTTATTGTTGTTGTTATTGTTGTTGTTGTTGTTGTTGTTGTTGTTGGTGGGTGAGCATACTTTGGCGTAGTACTGTTCACAATGTATTCACCCAACTCTTCGTCTTACATTTTGTATCTTCCTTCCCCACTCATGCTTGTTGTTGGCTCTGTTGCGTCTCTCTCTCTCTGTCGTTGCAGTCGTAGGGCGAATGAGAATCGAGCTTTTGAAAAACGCGGATGCTAATTGGACATTCTAGGCTGAAATGGCAAGAGTACCTTTTTTTTACTTTTTTTTCTTTCTTTCTCTTTCCACTGTCGGTCTGTCGGTCTTAAGCTCAAGCGCATTATCAGTCATCCGCCTTTTTTTTTTCCAACGATCTCACGCTCGACCCTAACTTTTTGACTCGGCGGTGTGTGAGTGTGAAAAGATGAGAGAGAGAATGGAAGGGATTACGCGGACTCGGACGGAATACACATATTTCCGCATTTGGGTCAAGATCCGGGGTAAAAAGGCGAAAGAGCAATAGCAAGAATGGGGGGAGCAAGCGAGCGGGCGGAGGAAAGTCAAAGAAAGAGACATGGTCATGGCCAACATGCCATCACAAACACAAACACATGTACATACAAATGGTAGAAACGCTATATATCCGAGTTCAATTTCAAATTAACCTGTTAAAAACGAGCAATCCTTTCTCGTAGGTTACTGATATGCAGGGACAGACAACTAGCCATGGAGAATTACTAAAGTTGGCGCAGAGTAAGCTCGTAGAAAACAAAACAAAAAAACTCCACATCCATCCAAGACGTATCATTTATTGCATCCTTTTCTCATACCCAATCATTATCATCTGGCCACCCCCAGCCTGCGCCCTTGCCGTTACCCCCTACCTTTACTCACTCCCGCCTTTTTTCAAGACAGAACATGGTATGCAAAAAAGGGGGAGAAGACGGTGTCGAGTAAGATCGAATCTCGATGGTCGTTCCTAGTATGAACAATTTTTTTATTCAGGTAAATGTGAGGGGCGAACAATGGATTCATGGTTTATGCTTGATTAGTGGTGTGAAAGAGAAGAGCGAGGTTCAACCGACTTCTAGACCCGGCGACTCCGTCCTTTGGGGGGTTTTCAGTTTATTTCATTTCTCCTGATGGTCCATTTACCATCTCGGCCCCAGAAAGAGAATAGGGAAGGCACTTGTGAACAAATTAACGACAAAGACAAGGGTCTTTTATTTTTGAGATGGTTTTCATGACTTTGTCGAAAGAGTGATAAAGTTCAAACAATTCTCTCTCATAATCAACAAAAGTGATTATTGTCCATTTTCCAATCATTTCTGCCCTTTGTCCATTACCATCATTGGTAATCTATCTATGTTTGTTATCTGTTGCCGTTTCTCCTTTTGGATGCAAAAGCGACAGAAGTAACGTTTTGCAGATATTTACAGTTTCATTTCATGAACATGCAGCGAAATAAAGGCAGTCAAGATGGGAAGAGAACGTCGAGGTTGAAGCGGCCATGGGATGGATAGACAGACAGACAGACAGACAGACAGACAGACAGACAGACAGACAGACAACACCGTTCGGGTCTTTGAACCCAGTCTCTCTCTTCTGTTATTGTTTGCTTCCGCAGGACTGGGCAGGGCTAAGGAGAGAGACGGGGCAACCTTGCTGCATCTGATGTTCATTTTCGTTATTAGGAGTAATTTGACAAACGCCCGCATTGTCTTTTACCGCTTTCTTATCGGTTGCCGCTGACACCTTTAAGGTGTCTGTCTAATGGAGTCATGGGAGGGTTGATGTTATGAAAGAACTTGTGTGGTCGCGAGTGAGGGGTGTTTTGTTTTTGAGCTTTTTGGTCTTGTTGTAGTTGATAGTGTATTTCTTCGCATTGCTCGCCCGCCCTCATTCATACATTTTTTTCATGTCTTTGCAAATAGCTGCTGGTATCCTTCCTGAAGTACTCTCTCCTTTCTCTTCCCTTCAGTCTCCTTGGGTCAAGTCGGGCTGGACTGGGCTGGATTGGGCTACTTGAAAAAGAAGGTAGGGCACGACCGTTTTCACACTTGTTTTCATGCTAAAACGATAAGCTCTCTTGTGGAAAAGATACCCAACGAATACATAGTTTTCATACTTTATCGATTGTTCTACGATAATACAAGGCATAAAGCCCTTACTGAAAGTCCAACGCAAAGACGCTGGCTTTGCCAGGCCTTCGCGGCCGTCTTATTATCATCCCCTATCCAGCCCAGAATCGCAATGCAATAGGGGCTGGCGGATATGATGAGGAACAGGAAAAAAAGATACAATGTGCTATTTGTTGTCTCCTTGATATCTCCTTCTTTCTTACCCTGTCCAGCGCTCTCACCAAGCTTCGTCGTCCGTTTGTTGGCTAACCCCCTATTATTGAACGATTGAATGAATAAAAGAGTGAATGAATAATCCCAATTGTATATGAAAAGAGTCCTTTAGGTTCAATGAACACTCAGCTGCACAATGATTTTTTCTTTCTCGTCAGAGTGTGCTTTCTTACCCCGCTTTTTTCTGACGAATCGCCCTTTTGTGTCCCCTACGGTTTGCGCGCCCTCCTCTTTTTCACTTTTTATGTTTTTCATGTTACGAACGGGGTTCGATTTTCATTTCCCTTTTGGCCGCATCTCCCTCATATTTGGTGCAAGTCTGAGGTCTTACGCTCTCTCTTCTCTTCATTGTCTGCCCGTGTTTGTTTACCTTCCTCCTATCTATCGGCGTTACTTGTCCGTACAACTAACATTTCTCTCGAGCTGAACTTGCAACCGCTTCTTTGTTTTACTCAGGCTGGACATCAATGGTCATGGAAACAACAATTCGGATAGTCAAAACACACACACAAACAGAGTACGAGCAAGTACTGACAAAATGAAGCCGAAGAAGAAGAAGGGACATTTGCAAGAATTGCTCCATGAACTGGGATTGTGGGGTAATCGTTCAATTGCTGCGATGTGGATGGTTGGGCATGGGATTTGAGGGCAAGCAGGATGGTCGCTCGGAGAAGGGGCACATGTATCGACGCTATCATCATTGTTTTAAGCGCCTGGATAGACGGATGGAATGATGGGGGAAGGGGTAATATACAAGCTCGTCAAATAATGAAACTACCAAACTAACAACAAACAAAAAAAAAAAAAAACAAGAGCATTGTTATTGTCCACTTGGTGGTTGGTTATTCTACAACAACATTACCCATTGCATTCGTCTATCCGACGAAAGGAAGGTAGGTATGGCCATCGTACCCTATGTCTATTCAAACGAGCATAAAACAACAACAGCGTAGAAATATGAATTGAAATTGTGGGGGGTTGGGGTTTTGATTAACTGCTGTTGGCGCCTGCTGTACCTGCTTGATCTCGATTTTTTTCACACATACCGGCCTGCAAATGCGAACCCGAGATGGCGGCGAATGACAGGGTTTGAGGCCAAAGAGTTGCGAAATATATAACCTTGTCTTCTTGGATTCGCCCGGTTGTTGCAACAACAAAAAATAGGGGGAAGTCATCTGAAAGGAATAGAAGAGAAAGAAAAGGTGGACAAGGAGGAGGAAGAGGCGGGAAAGTAGGGGTAGGTTGCAATGCCCAAAAAAAAAAAAGCGGCTGCAGAGAGTCATGATCATGAGAGAGGGGGTTGGATGGAGTCGAAGAAAAGGAGCGAGATTTGTCAACAAAATCAACATTAGGATAAGGGCGGCCGTTTCGAAGGAGGAAAGGAGAGGAAGGAGCGGAAGTCGATTTGTTCAAGAGATATGAAAAGTTCAATTCCTCAATTCAATCAGGGGACAGAGTTTTATTCATTCGGGTGTGAGCCCCATGTTAGCAACAGGAAGGGACCCTACTCTCTTTTTTGTATCACCAGCAGCATTTCGCTTATTATCCGCCCCTCTTCCCTATTTCTCTCCTCTTCTCTTCTCTTTCCTCTTTTCCTCTTCTTCACCCCAACTCCTCCCTTCGTCCTTTCTTCATCATTAATCCCATCCTCGCTTGCCTTACATATACCTTTTTATCCTCTTCTTTCCCTTCTTCTCCACTCCTCCCTTCTCTGCTCATTATTACCCCTCTTTGATTATTCCTTTCCTTTTCCTCTTTCGCCGTTCTACCCGTTGACTCTCCTTTCCTCCTTCCATTGTTACTACTAATCTGCACACTAGACACGCACTCTCTCCTCTCCTTCCCCTTCCTTTCCCCTTTTCGCCAATCCTTCCATCCTTCCGTCGTCATCCTCGCATACACTAAACCCCTTCCTTCTTAAAACATTCATCAGGCATACTTCTTCTTGCACTCCAATTCCTCTTAAAAGCGTATCATCCATCCTCTGTCTTGAGAGACAATTGAACATCCTTCCCCAAACCCGCCACCATTCAGCCCTCCACCATTCCTTCTTCACTCCCATCCCCTCCCTCAAGTGGGAAGATACACTATCCTCCTACCCCTCCAGCTCGCCATCCCGGACACACCTCCCTCACCCCCTCACAGCCACAGCACTACTCTCGGCAACAACAACAACCCGCCTCCCTCGATTTTCCCAACCTTCCAATGCAGCACCAACAGTACTCTCACCACCAGGACATGAACGGCAATGGTCTCCCCCGTCGTCTGGATTCTGCCTCATACTCCCATAACCAGCCTCAATACCCATCCCGCAACCAGAGCCAGCATTATCAATCGGTTAATGCTCAGGCATATAGTCTCCATCAGCAACAGCACCAACAGCACCAACAGCAGCAGCAGCAGCAGCAACACTCGCTGCACGGTATGACCGAGGAGGAGTTCGAGGAAATGGAAGACCGCCGTCGGATGCAGCAGCAAATTCTGCGCGATAAGTTGGCCGTGGCCGATTCCAAGCGTCAGCCGGACCCCAACATGACTGTGAAGATGACGACGAGCACGGGCTTTGCGCTCGGAGCGTTTGACATGTCCGAGTCGCTTGCTATTGTTGAGGATCTGCTTGACTACTTTGGCGAGGACGACCTCAATGAGTTTGAAGACGGAGGAGGTGAGTTCCCTCTCTTTTTTTTTCTTCTCATAATCAGCATTTGAATAGGCGTCAGGACATGTTTGTGTACATCCAACCAAGAAGAGGACAAAATGAAAAAAGTCTAATTCCAATGACCATTACTTATTTGTGCAATTCCTTGCAGAACGATACAACGAGTCGCAGGTCATCGAGGCAGAGCGCACTCACCAACAGCGTGAATCCCTCGTGCGCCATCTGTACGACTCGGAGGAAGACTACGTCCGTTCGCTACAGGACATTTATTCCTGCTACAAGAAGCCCCTCCTCGCCAACCTCAACGCCGCAGAGTCCTCTCGAAAGACGGGCATCCTCGGCACCTCCTCGGGTGTCAAGGCTGTCGCTTCCAAGGAAGAGATCGATGCCCTCTTTGGAAACCTCGACCAGTTGATCGAGTTTCACGAGAATATTCGCTCCCTACTGGAGGGGCGATCCAAGATCTGGGGCCCTACTCAAATCATGAGCGACCTCCTCCTCACCGTCGTAAGTCCACCTGCCTTGTCTTATTTCTCGCTATTTATCCTCTCTTGTATCTGTGTGTCTAGCAACAGATCTTGCGCTCCTGGATTTTGAGTCCAGCGGACTCTTGGATTTTCTCTCCGTCTCACAATTGCCTTTTTCTGTCAATACTATATCAGATTCCTCGGTTCAAAATGTACAGCAAATACTATACCAACTTCAACGCCGCCTTAACCGTCCTCGACCGCATCTCTAGGGCAGCACACTGGAAAAAGTTCATCGACGTAAGTACTCTTTTTCTCGTCCAGTGAGTATGAAAAGTGATACCACGGACATAGACCTAACCGCGTCCAAAAAACCCCCACCATTGTTCTATTGCCTTTAATGTAGCAATGCGCGGTAGAGAACCCTCCAGGAACACCCAGCCTTCACCTCATGCTCACTTACCCTCTTAAGCGCCTCTCCATTTACCGTGATCTCGTCAACGCCATCTGCCAATCGACTCAGGCAACCCATCCCGACCATGCCAACTTGACGCGTGCCATGGACATGATCAACTTGATCGCGAGTGAGCTCAAGAACGAGCGCTTGATGGCACAGGACCAATTGGCGCTTTGGGACATCCAGTCGAGCATGGTTGGATTGCCCGAGCCCATTATGATCCCATCAAGACGTTTGCTCCTCAGAGCAGACATGCACAAGTGCGACTCTGCTCTTGCCCTTGAACCTAGGACATACTACCTCATGAACGATGTCCTCCTGTATTCACGCTTTGACCCCAAGAAGAACATTCACACCTTCAAGGTACATATGAGCTTTTTGTGGCAGTGCGGTTTATTTATTATTCTCCTACGTGTTCATTTTAACTAACTTACGCATGCTCATGTTCAATAGGGAATGTTTGACTTAGCAAGGACGCAGATTAACAACCCAGAGGACAATGTCACTCTGCCTCAGTTGCCCAACTGTGTTCAGATCGCTAATTCAGGACGCACGCAGATGATGCGGTGTCGAAGCCGTGAGGAGCGCAACTACTGGATGGAGACCATGCGACAGGCAGCAGATATTGTGACCAGGAGCTTGGACGATCCCTCGACTCCACTCGGAGATGTTCTCCCCTTGCGCAAGTATGCCAACTCAATTGCCTCGGACTCTTCGTCTTCGCTGGGCAACCATACCGGCATGACCTCGGGATCGATTAATAGTGCCAACCGGCCCTTTACCGATTCGCGGTCGATCAACTCCAAGTCGAGCACAGAGTCGTCGACTTCCAAGCCTAGACGGCCCAACCCTCAGGCGGACTTTTATGGATGCTCATTTGGTGTTGATGTGACCCCTCCTTCGACCGAGGATAACTACAGGCCTAGCCCATTGGCATTGAATTCGGCCATGTCCAAGAACTCTTCGTCCTCGTCGGTCTCGACTGGTGCCACTTCCCACTCCAACTCGACCGCGACCTCCAAGCCCACTCTAGGTGCCGTCCTAGCCGCCATCCCTGTCGAGCAATTGACACCGAAGCAGGCCAAGGCCAAGGCAGCATTGGCGGCGGCGGTTGAGGCAAGAAGACAAGCACGTTTGAAACAGGAGGCCAAGAACGGTGGACCGGCCAAGTCTGAGATGAACAAGAACATCAGCTTGGACTTTTCTAGCAGTTTCATCCCTGCCAAGGAGCGCATTGCCAAGTTTGGCGCATAAGTTCCTACTTTTTTCCTTTAGACACACACTCTTCAACTTTTTCTTGTCCATTTCCTTGTATACTTTTCATCCACCACTTAATTATCCCAGCATCTCATAGTAACATACACGAAAACCCCCTCCTAGCATTGTACATATTTACCATAAAGAAAACAATAACAATATCAATTACTCTTCTATTTCTGAATTCTGTTGACAATGCTTCCTTGAGATTCGATACACGCACTGCATCCCAAACAACGGCAGGTGGAGTTGGGTCGTGATGAAGTTCTTTATGATCGGTCGGTGGATTGGATAGATTGAGGCACTATTCGTCTTGTTCGCCAATAGAGAATCCATACATCGTGTGCATGACCCACTCCCCCCCTTTTTTTCGATCCCCATGCCCTTGCCACGCCCATGCCCTTGTCTATGCCCTGTCATTGGCCTGATCCCGATCAAAAACACTAAAGCGTGGAGGGAAAGGCAGGACAAAACAGAGGAAGACGGAGACGGAGTGAGTTTTTCCTTTCCTAAAATCCGGTCAGTTTTTTTTTGTGCTTTTGGGCTGTTGTTTGTTTTCTAACTTCTCGAGTGAAGCGGAAAATGTGAACAAGGAGCGGAATATGCCAGTGAAGAAAACGGAAGAGCCTTTCTCTGTGTAGCAATTTCTTTCCCCTCTCTCCCACCTAAAAAAAGGCTTTTGCCTTTTTTTTTTTTACGACACTGCCCACCACCCTCAAAGGGATGGACTAAAAACGAGGCTGAGCAAGGATAGGCCCATGTTGATCCGTTAGTTAGTCCGGAAGGGCGAATATTATTTTATTTTGCACTTTTGAAAAAAATCTTCATCCTTGGAACTACTGAACCAATCTTTTCGTATTGGTGCTCTGCTCTGCTTTTGCCATTTGCACCCAAATGTTTGATACATAATGCAAACCCTTGTGGGCGGCGCGGCCACTTTTGTGCGACTAGGACGGAAGAGTTCTCCGAGGAGTGGGCGCGGTATGATGCGCTTGTTTCTCATTCCTTTATCTATGTCCATGTACCCTTTCCTTTTCTTCTAGCTCCCAAGACCGTCTGAAAAGTTTATTTGCTGCTGTTTTTAGGAGGAGGAGGAAGATGATGATGATGCTGAGAATGGATGAGAAAAAAAAAAAGAGGTATCAAAGAGGAAGTAAAAGTAATGATGAAGCAAGACTGAGATAAGCTATTACTACAAAACTCCACGAATAGAGCAGAGAAGAGGAAGAACTATCTACAGGTGGAGTAGGAAGTGGAAGGGGATTAACGAACCCCTCCCCACATTTGCGAGAGACCTGGGTCAACAAGAATCGGACCCAAGCGACCACATAGGGGTCCAGACTAAGCTGATGAACCGAGACGTACTGCTCCAACGGGTTGAGCATTGATTGCGTACAGGGAGTACAGAGCAAGGACGACGGCACCGAGTCAACCCACTGCTGCATCTGCGTCCCGTTCAAAAACATATCCCAACTAAACTTCTTCCCAGGGTTCTTCTTGTTCGAATAAGAAACCAGGTTCTCTGTCAAGGTCGTCACACAGAAGGTTCCATTCGTTGGACTGACCGTCTGGCACATCCCTTCCTTCAAGGGGATATACAATGACGAAACGCCAAACAACCAATTGGCACCCGCCTGCTCTTCAGGATCGGTAGAGTTGATACAGTTTTGGTTGAAGGTGTTTTCGATGAGGGCGACGGCTGGTGGGGGACAGATGGGGCGTGGGCAGATATCGGCGGCGGTGTTATTGATGAGTTTTGGGGTGATGGTATCGGCATCGACGAAATCTAACCAGACTTTTGTGGGGAAGCAGGTGTTGATGCTGTAGTCGCTTCCAAGGGAGGTCAATGCCATGGCGCATTGGTCCAGGAGGAAGGCTTCTGTGGTTAGTGGTGTTGTTGTTGCCACGAGGAGGAGGAATGGTAGGAGGAGCGAGAGCGAGGAAGTGGAGGAGGAGGAGGAGGAGGAGGAGGACGTTAAGGACGAAGGAAAGAATATCGACCTCATGATTGTGAATGTGTGCTTGTGCCCTTATTCGTTATGGTTAGGGGGAATGTGGATCCAAAGACTAGTGGTGATAAGATTATTGAGGTTAAAAAAAGGAGAGTTGAAGACAATGGCGAAGTTGGATGTGAAGTTGAAGTTGAATGAGGTTGAGAATGAAGAGAAGAGGAATGAGAAAGCGAATGAAGGAATGAATGAGGGTATGCAGGCGAAGATAAGTTAGAGACAAGAGGAGTATGTGTGTGAGAGAGAAAGAGAGAAGGAGAGGGCGGTAAAAGAGAGGGTGAAAAAATAGAATTGCTGCTGGTGGGTGCTCAGTTCAGGGGTTGTGTGTGGAGTTCGATATGTTGTTTGTTGCTCTTGTTTCTAGTTTGTAAGAAAGGAAGATCGACGTGGAGGTATCGAGAATGACCTGGATATCACAATGGGGGATGGGCAACAATGCTGGAATGGGAAAGGACAGCGCGGTAAGAAGAGCTCAAGAATGGTTCCTCAAACAGGAACAATGAGCTTTTGCGTCTGTGTCACCCCACATGGTGGATTCACTCCTCGATTCGATCAAAGAAAAAGATAGTGGCGTCTCATTAATTTGAATCACATGAGTAATATTTACGACAAATATATCTTCTATTACCAGTCCCTCTTCACTCGAGCTGGACTGTCTCTGTGCAGTCTCCATTCGCGCACGTATGTCCAGAACGCGTCAACGCCTCTTTACTCGACCCTGAGAACACACCTTCCCTCGCTTTCACTTTGTCCCATACTCTCTTTCTCTCTTGCTCTCCTTCTTTCACACGCACCTGATCTCGTCTACTTTTTACTCAACTCCGAGCCAACCCCCAAGAAACACTCAACACTCAAATATCCAACTAGTCGTGACATACAGCTGCACATTCATCCGCAATGGCCGACCGATACTCATTCTCCCTCACCACCTTCTCGCCCTCTGGAAAGCTCGTTCAGATTGAATACGCCCTCTCTGCCGTCAACTCTGGAGTCACGTCCATCGGCATCAAAGGTAACACCTAGTGCCCCTTCAACAGCACCGTCGTATTTGTCACTTGTCTGTCCAAGCTATGCATACTCGTGAGAGGAATATCAAGAACCGAACAAAGGGCAACCGAGGAAGCAATATCACAACTCTAACACGAAGGATTAGGAGACGAACAAGAAGGATAGCGACGATAGCCACCATTCACATCCACTGCTTCAATTGCCATCGCTCACGCCCAAGATATATCTCGGGCACGAAGAAAGAAAACGACAAACAACCATACACATCAACCATATCCCTGTTATTAACACACGGCTGTTTCTTCTCTACAACAAAATAGCGACGAACGGAATTGTGATTGCGACGGAAAAGAAGGCAGTATCGACGTTGATTGACGATTCGTCGCTGGAAAAGGTCGCCATTATCTGCTCCAACATCGGCATGGTTTACTCGGGCATGGGCCCCGACTACCGTGTCCTCGTCAACAAGGCACGGAAGGCCGCCCAGGCATACAAGAGAGTCTACATGGAAGAACCACCAACCGCCATCCTCGTCAAGGAAATCGCCGGCGTTATGCAGGAGTTTACACAGTCTGGGTAAGCATTTTGCTTTTGCTTTTCAAAGGCGATCTTATTATCACAGAGGCATGGGATGTGGATGAAGATGAGAGGAAGGAGGAGGAGGAGAAGGAAGAGGAGGAAAGAATGATGAAAAAGAAGATAAAATTACCAGGAAGGAGAATGACCCACGAGAGACAAAGAGGATGAAAGGAGTGAAGAGGAGAAGAATAAGAGAGGAAAAGGAGAAAGCGGTTCGATGATGATCAATCGATCGTCTTTTAAGATCATTTATGCTAGTCTCTCGGCTCAAGCCGTTGCATCGGAGAGGCACGAATTCGAACGGGGCATGAAATCAAGTTAGGACTAAGAAACTAACCACTCCTACTTGTTCCAATGTCCCTCAAAAAATAGTGGTGTGCGTCCATTTGGAGTGTCATTGTTGATTGCAGGATTTGACGAAAAGGGACCTATGTTGTACCAGGTCGACCCCTCTGGCTCGTACTGGCCCTGGAAGGCGACCGCAATCGGCAAGAACATGGTCAACGCAAAGACGTTCTTGGAGAAGCGATACAACGAGGACATTGAGCTCGAGGACGCCGTCCACACCGCCATCTTGACACTCAAGGAAGGATTCGAGGGCCAGATGACAGAGAACACCATCGAGATCGGTATCATTACAGGAGTTGTCTCGACCAAGGACGACGGTGCCGTCGTTCTCCCAGAGTTCAGGAAATTGTCCCCTAGCGAGGTCAAGGACTACCTTGCCAACATTGCTTAAGTATCATTTCATGTCTGAGCCCAAAAACATGACAAGACAACAACCATCCATGTATGCCTGTTTTTTTACAACAAGAATAAAACAAAAACAAAAAAAAACTGCGAAGATTCTTGTCCTTCCTGATGTCTGATATTACACAAGGAGCACGGTTGTATATCATAGTAATACAACCTGACAAGATGGGGATACCCGTGTGAAGAAGAATCCTCTCAGTCATCATCACCATGCAACAAAGAACTGTTTTCAAAAAATATTTACTAAAATGCAATGTCTCTATGGTATTATCCGTCAATGGTGATCGAATTTAAAGGCGCTCGATGACCATGGCGGAGGCAGCACCACCACCGTTGCAAATGGCAGCACCACCCTTCTGACCCTTCTTCAACAAGTGGGTGAGGGTGACGAGGATGCGGGAGCCAGAGGAACCGATGGGGTGACCGAGACCAACAGCTCCACCGGCAATGTTGACCTTCTTGGGGTCCAAGCCCAAAAGCTGGTTGTTAGCAAGGGCAACGACAGAGAAGGCCTCGTTGAACTCAAAAAGATCAATGTCCTCGATCTTCAAGTTGGCCTTCTCGAGGGCCTTGGGGAAGGCAGAAGCGGGGGCAATGGGGAAATCGACGGGAGCAATAGCGGCATCGGCGAAGGACAAGATGCGGGCGAGGGGCTTCAAGCCGAGCTCATCAGCCTTGGCGCGGGTCATAAGGACAAGGGCCGAGGCGCCATCGTTCAAGGACGAGGCGTTGGCGGCAGTGACGGTACCCTTCTCCTTCTGGAAGACGGTCTTCAAGCTGGGGATCTTGTCAAACTTGACGTTCTTGTATTCCTCATCCTCGGCAAAGGTCTTGTCTCCCCTCTTGTCCTTGATGGTGACGGGGATGATCTCGTTGGCGAAAACGCCATCCTTCCAGGCCTTGGCAGCACGGGTGTAGGACTCGACAGCGTGGGCATCCTGCTGCTCACGGGTAATCTTGAGCTTGTCGGCAGTGTTTTCAGCGCAGTTACCCATGCTATTTAGAATAAATTCAAGATCGTAGAGCGACGGTTAGAGTCATAGTTTGAAGAAAGACAGCGGTTTCGATCTGAGTTGTGATTTGTCAAGAACGGAACTGTGACAATTGACAAAAAGACGGACACGGAGCTTGCAAAAAGAAAAAAGAAAAAAAGCTTACTGGAATTGGTTGTAGACATCCCAAAGACCATCCTTGATGATACCGTCAGTAAGGACCTGGTGTCCGTAGCCAGCGTTGCGGGGCGAGTAGAATCTATTCGGGGTGACAAGCAGCACCGGGAAGGCCAAATAAAGAAGTTGTTTGCTCAGTCACATGTCAGATCGACATTTTCTTTTCGTTCTTGCAGTTGCACGAACACAAAGAAAACAACAAACAATGATGACTCCCACAATGGTGAAATAGATGAGAATGAAGAGATAACTTACGGAACGTTGGACATGGACTCCATGCCTCCAGCGACCATGATATCACGGGCACCGGTCTGGAGGTTCTGAGCAGCGAGCATGACGGCCTTCATGCCAGAAGCGCAAACCTTGTTGATGGTGGTGGCCTCGGTGGTGAGAGGGCATCCAGCGCCCAAGGCAGCTTGGCGGGCGGGGGACTGACCAACGCTGGCCTGGAGAACGTTGCCCATGTAGACCTCCTCGACCTGATCGGCCTTGATGCCTAAGAGAATGGGAATAATTTGTGTGAGTGTGTGAAAATTAAGGTGCTTAGTTACAATTCTCATTCTTTTTTTGCTCACTGTCCGTGGGATGGTGACAAAAGGGCCAAAACGAATGTGGGGAAACGAAAAGGGGGTATCCGGGTGCAGTCCAATAGGGTGTCGTGTTCCAGACTCCAAAAGGTCAGGAAGGAGAAACATACCGGCCTTCTCAATGGCACCGCGGATGGCGATGGAACCGAGCTGAGGAGCAGAGAAGCTCTTCAAGGCACCGTTGAAGCAGGCAACGGGGGTGCGGACAGCACTGACAATGACAACCTCCTATTATTTTTTGTGCCGGCAATGAGTTCATGAATTTAAAAAATCGAAGTAGAGAGAGTGGTGGATGGGTGTTGATGTTAGTGAACGCACTCCCTTTAACTTATGTCCTTTGTCGGCGAGTGAGTTCAAAGATGTGTATCAGGAACCTGAGGGAACCCGGGGGTCCCTTGTTCCTTCCCCCTGATTTTTCCCACGCTTACGTTGAGGCCCTTGACGGTGCTGTATGAGCGAATCTATATTTTTGAGCAACAAACAATAATACAGCTATTTGTTAGCGAGGTGGCGAAGTGTCGATTGTCTGAGGGAGCAAGAGGAGAGAAGTCGTTGCATGCAAACAGGGGTGTGCATGTACCTGGTTGAAGAGAGGGGTAGTCTTGGTGGCGAACATGGCGAGGAGGTGTGATGGATGGATGAGTGGAGAGAAGTAAAGATCAGAGAGAAAAAATGCGGAGGGCATCTTTATATTTGACAGACATCACGTGCCTCGGCGCACGAGAATAAAGGCCCCATTTGGGTCAGCCGTGGGCCATCTCAAGCTATCGCCCTTTTGCCAGCAAGTATTACGCATTACACGGCAACACAAGAGATCGTTTGTTCATTTTGAGAATGCTTGTATCGATAGTTGACGATGCGACTCGTTGCTTACCGTTGGGTGCTCGTTATTGTTATTCCTGTCAGTCCAAAAGTGCGGGGAACGGTTTCCCGAAGGTAAGCAACTACAACTATGCAGCAAGGGAGAATAAGGGACATAATTGATGCTAGCATCACATTGGAGAGGTAACAGATGCAACTTTGCTGTTTATTCTCGAGTGCCTTGACAGGATGGCTGCTAGGGAGTTTCTTTTCTAGAAACGCAGATAATGCAGGGCTACTACGTGGAATGAACTGTGGAGTCAAGGATAAAAGGTAAAAATGCGGGGTAGAGTGACAGGGTGAAGCCCCACTCTATGGTTGATGAGTGTGAGTCGAGGTGGAGCAAAGGGACGCAAAGCAGCAACCAACAGACTAATTGGTCGTCGCTCTTTCTTCCTTTCTGCAGGGGCAGGGGCGTGGCCGTTGCTCGTCTTTTCTCCCTCTACCACTTCTTTTTCTTTTCTTTTTCTTGTCTGCACTTCGCACCCTCATTCCTCCGTCCTTTCTCCCAGTTCATTGGCATTTTGCCGTAAACCATCTCATTTCCCCTCTGAGCAGCTGTTACCATCCACTGCACCGTAGCACCGCCCAACCCAACCCCGCCAAAGCCAAGGTTTCACTCCCATCCAGCCCCATCTTCAGCACAAACAAACAGCATCCTCGAAATCAACGCCCACACCAACAAACAAACAAAACAAACCTCTCTAATGACCGACAACCACTTACAACTGGCTCATGTGCCTGTCCAGCAAGGCCCCTCCGTGCCCCCTTTTGAGTTTGTCTACCAGCTCATCCTCGAACAGTTCTGGGGCGACGGTGTCTCCAAACGCGAGATCCGCTCCGTCTACACCACCGCCAACGACGCCAACGCCTCCTGCCACGATTACCTCCTCAGGACCTGGCCTCGGGATCAATTCACTCTCTACGAAATCGGAGCCTCGCCACAACGTCCCGAGCTCGCCAAGGTCTCCGCTCAGATCAATGGCGACCGATTCCACGTCTGGATTGAGCGACACACATGGGAGGGCATCCTCGACTTTACCTCCAAGGCCATCGCCAAGCGAGCCGGAAAGGGTCCTAACGCCTATATTCTCCAGAGGACCATCAAGGACGCCTCGGGAGGCAAGCGACGCTCGACGACACGGGGAATCTATGCGACGAGGCAATTGGCCAAGCAGGCCCTGGCCCAGGATGAACCGCCCTCGGAATGGTCGTCGAGCCAAGGATATGTTTTGGAGCCAGGCGGGGAGTACGCCCACGCATTGTCGCCCTCAGGAAAGACGGCATGGCTTTTTATCGAGGTCAGGCCTCTCTACATGAACTATGCCCGTTTGGACCAGGAGGAGCACCACCATCACAACCAGGGCGGAACAGGAGCAGCTCCGGACGGGGAACCTTCGTCTAGCCACGTCGGTAACTCGGCCATGAACCCTATTAGTCTGGACCATCCAGAGGAGGGCGCATCGTCCTCCGCTCCTCCCTCTCCCTCGACTCTTTTGCACCCCAACCATCTCGGTCGATTTTCGCTCGACAATCCCTTCTCACCCATATCCTTGAACCCAGACGAGGCTGGCGCTTTTGTCTATCTGGTTCTCCAGCTCAAGACCATCCCCTACACTCCACCAATCCTGACGGTCGAAGCCGTCGCGTACGAGATGGAGGTCGCCAATCGCTTCGGTATCGCGCTCTTGGAGGGGTTCAATGGAACTGATATTCTACTGACACCCACTTTCCGCGACGACGGATGTCTCCAGGTCAGTACAGAGCAACGATCCAGGGACGAGGGTTTGACGGTTTGGGTCGAGAAGCGCGCGGTTGTTTTGGGCGACGAGGCCATCGACTTTGACTTGATCTCGGAGCATGGGTCTATTCAGTCCAACCGAGTGGAGCACGAGGGGGATGGCGCTTCACCTTATATCTCAGGACACATCACCGCAACAGCACCGGCACACAGCAGCAATGGCAAAGGAAGAGCTCAGAAGCGAGAGGAACCAGATGATGGATTCGTGGCTGCGGGACGGCCAGCAACAATACAAACAGCACACCCATCTAAAGCTGCACGAGTATCACCATCTGTCGCCGCCACCGAGGAGCATACAAGAAAAGAAGTTGTTGTCACTGGGCGGTATAAGGTCGTTGTAGCAATAACATCACTCGTGTCGACGACAACTCCTGGATCGTGCGTGGCCTCTTCGGATGAGTTGGCGACTGCCATTGTCGCGGCCAGGATGAAGTTCTACTGCGAACTGGCGCTGCTCGATATAGTGTCGCTGGAGATCCAAGACAAGCTCGACGCCGAGGACGACCGGTCGATCCAAGCGCGTTCTCTAACCCACACGTCGTCTGTATTGCTGGAAATGAGGGTTGAAGACAGTCAGACATGACACCACTCAGGGTGATCACAAAACCAGTTTTACTATCCTCACTGCCAGGATGACCGCCTCCAGTATCCTATTATATTCAAGAATAAAAGGGCACATGAACATGAAGGTGCTGGACCATCATAGTGATGCTCTTTGTAGGTCATTATGATATAGGGATAGGGTATGACCCTGGCTCAATTTGGTTTAGTCCGTCCTCCATTCATTGGAAGCAGACCCGGTCTAGGATGGTCTAGTCTCTCATCCGCTGGAAATGTGTAATATCCGCGTCACTTCCACACTGGCTAAATGTGCGTATAAAAGAGGTCGCCGCGAATCTCATTTTTATCTTTAACTCACACAACTACACCTACAACACCAACACACACAAACACAAACTCACACCTATCCAACATGACCAGCAAGATCACCAGCACCTACAACGAGACCATGGGAGGCGCCAAGGAGAAGCTCGGCCACGCCACCCACAACCAGCACTTGGCCGGATCCGGAGCCGCCCAGAAGGCCGAGGGCCAAGTCCAGCAGCAGAACCATAAGGCCCAGACCCACGGACTCGGACACAACGTCCAAGGCGGTACTCAGATGGCCCCCGGTACTCAGATGGCTTCCGGTAATCAGACGGCTCCTGGTACTCATATGGCTCCTGGTACTCAAATGGCTTCCGGTAATCAGACGGCTCATGGTACTCAGATGGCTCCTGGTACTCAGATGGCTCCCGGTACCGGCATCAACGACCAGTCCCTCAACGCCCGCGGACACGGACACGGCAACAATCCCCTCAGTGACGTCCAGCGCAACTACTAAGCTGGGGGACTCGTTACTTGCTTCGGTCCTTCCCGTCTATTTTGATGTGGTTTCTTTCAGCATGATTTTTTTCTGAACTTGCAGGTTCTTTTTCCGACCTTGCATTGTCATACCTCTATCGTGAGCATTGGTCCGCACCCTTTCTTCCCCTTCTTCCCCTTTTCCCTTTTCTTCTCTACTCGCACAACCCGTGTATCTCTGCGTGGGAATTTGTAAATAAAAAAGACATAACCAGTTGCAATATGTTCATCGTCCATCCCTGACCCTGTAAGCACGAGAGGAAGAAGAAAGGAAGGAGAGGAGGAAGGTTAAAAAAGGATTTGCACCAAGAAAACTTCCGAGGGCTAGGAAGGCAAACGTGCATCTTCAAGTCTCGACCACAAAAAAGAGAGCCGGAGGACGCAGATGTTTTGTGTGAGCAAAGTCGCATAAAAGAATAACACGGGCTTTCTTTTCTACTTTCTCTTCTTGTTCTTTCACCTTCCCTTCCTCTCTTTCTTCACTACTTTCCCCCTTCACAATTACCCTCCGTCGATCACCCTTTCTTCCGTTCCTCCCATAATGGACCACATCACCCACCTGTTCACGAGCGGTCCCTCGGCACTCTGGTCAACCCTCCAGGACACTCCACCTTCAATCGTCGTCCCCCTCATAACCATCACTGCCGCCGTACCCATCGTCCTCTTCTCGCTCTACCAAACCTACGCCGTCTCACCCGTCATCCTGATCCACAACAAGAGTCCCGTATCAATCACCATCTACGACTCCAAGACCGATACCACAAAACGCGAAGATCTGGTCGAATACATCAAGAAGAAATGCCCCTCGCTGTTTGGACCTGGAGCGGTGTTCAGACCTACACCCTGGTTGGCGAATGGACATTTACAGACTGCTTGTTCGGCGATGAAAGGATTTGAGGATCTTTATCAGATTGACTATCATCGGTAAGTGTTTCTAGTGTTCTGGTGGGGGAGGAGGGCTTTTTCATTTTGTGGATGAGCATTGAGAAGGGATTTTCCGCCCTTTCTTTTGGTGATTGCTGGACAGTTGAGAGGAGGATGGGTGAGTGGTCGGGACGAAAAGAAAGGAGGAACCCAAAGACGATTCCTTCATGAAAACGGTGTGAGTGAGAGAAAAAGCGGTTATGGAAGGATGAAGATGCACCCATTTCCACCGAGAGGGTATGAATGGTAAGTGGTCGGGCGAGAAAAGAAGGAATAAAAAAATGGATGATGGCGCTTCCCTCTCTCATCCGACCATGGACCACAACTATTGGTTGCTTTTCACTCTCCCAGTCGCTCCTTTTCCATTTCCAATATCCGCTTTCTTTCTTTAAAAAAAAAAGAGTTTTGCTTTTCTACAATTCTGTCCAACTGCTTGTTTGTTACCTTTGTCTGTGCACGCCGTTTCTGGGATGGATCTTTTTTTTACTTTTGTTGTCGCGTATGCGACATGAGCCCGTCCCCTGTCGCTTTTTTGATTTTGCAATGCAGACCAGACTAAACAAGCTTACGATACGATACGATCTTTCATAAGCAGAAACGTAGGCCTTCCCTTTTCTCCCCATACAAAAGAAAAGAACACTAACCCACTTCCTGTACATTCGCGCACCCTTGTGTGCCTTACTTAGTGAGCTGCTATCGACTCCCGACGGTGGAACGGTCTCAATCGACTGGGCACCCTCCCTCGAACAACTTCCCGCAGACAGCACTCCCACCTTAGTCCTCCTCCATGGATTGACCGGCGGCAGTTACGAATCCTACATCCGCGCCCTCGTCGATCACGTCACCAAGGTCTACGGTTACCGCTGTGTTGTTTTCAATGCCCGTGGATGTGCCAACACCCAGGTCACATCGCCTCAGCTCTTTTCTGGTGGTTACACGGAGGATATCAGGATGGTTGTCAAGCACTTGAGAAAGACGCTGCCAGAGTCCAAGATGATGGGTGTTGGGTTCAGTTTGGGATCGAATATCTTGATGAATTACATGGGCGAAGAGGGTGACCGGTGCGAATTCTTGGCTGCTATGTCTGTCGGCAATCCCTTTGATATGCTCGGGTAAGTACATCTTTCATCTTTTTTTCTTTTCTTTTGATGCTGCATTTAATGTCGGTTCGCTTGCTTTTTCCACATGCTAACCGCCTATGTACCATATCTTTGGTTTGCTATCATCAAATAGATCATGCCTGGCGATTGAGCGCGGCTGGTTCACTCGGACGGTTTATGCCCCAGCAATGGGCGGCAACCTCAAAAAAGTCCTCCTCGACAACGCCGAAGCCTTCAAGAACAGCACCGTCATCAACCTTGACACCGTTCGCTCCGAAGTCGTCCGTATGCGCCAATTCGACGACCAAGTCACCCGAAAAGTCTACGGCTATGAAACTGTCTCCCAATACTACCGTGCTGCATCCTCCGCCACGCGGATTTTGGCCATCAAGAGACCGTTCTTGTGTTTGAACGCCCGGGATGATCCGATTGCTGTCGATGAGATTTTGCCGAGGGATGAGGTCCGCGTCAACCCGTATGGATTGATGGCGACTACGGCGCATGGCGGGCATTTGGGATGGTTTGAAGGGATGAGTAACCCGACAAGGTGGTGCACCAAGCCGCTTGCAGAGTACTGTGCGGCTATCTTTGAGGCTGATCGGAGGCCAATTTCTGAGACCCCTTCAACAGGTCGTTATTTCGCTGATAAAGAGTAAGGATGGGGTTTCTGTCGAAGCATTAGTCTGGTCGAGTGTTGTTGATGATGCACGGGCCAAGTTCTCTCGGTTGAAAAAAAAAATAATAAAGTCATCGGTTGTTTACACCAATCAATCAATCATTGATCGACCGTAGTTATCGACAAAATCAAGTTGCAATTATTTTGGTGAGGGTCAAAAGGGCAAAAAAAAACTAATATCACAGGTAAGCGACGAAGAAAGGTAGGCGTGTCAGTTTAATAAAGAAGTAAGCTTTTCTAAAGCTAAATAACATATTTGCAGCGCCTCGAAGACTCACAATGTTAAGTAACAAGGACATGTCCTTGCTCAGCAGCCAGTTCATACCAGTACATGACTTCATGAAGGTCCTGATATTACCATGGCCATTGCGATAAAAAAACCCCATGCTCTACTGCGCGTCGGCATGTCCTTGGTTGGTCGCCTTGAGGTACTATTCTATGGCTTCGTTGTAGTCCTGAGGCGCCCCTTGACCGCTCTCGTACAACACACCGATATGGAGTTGGGCGGGGACGCGATCTTGGATGGCGCGGCTTTGAGGAATCAACTTGCGGCGAGCGACGTGTCCTGTAAAACCCCTCCTCGACACTTGAGAAAAAGATGACCAACGCTAAAGACTGCGTTGGTGGGACCTTGACAGAGGTGTCTAAGGTACCACTCCAGCGCCGTGGGAAAGCCCTGCGGAGGGCAATCCCCTTTGTCATGTAGGGGGCTCTCAAATCGACATGGGCCGTAGCCATTCCTCATGGCTTCATTGGCATCTTCGAGAGCACGCTGTTTGGCGATCAATTGAGGAGCATATACAGCAGTGGACATGGATGGGTGGCAGTTTTTGAGGGTGCGGTCGAAATTGTTTCCTGATTTAGTATGAGAGGCGACAATTAGGGGTGGAGTGCGAGGTGGTGGGCGAGAGGGTAGTATTGCCAGTGCGTTGTATTTCGGGTGCTGAGCTGCTTGTAGCTAATTCCGCCCGAGTACCGACGGTTGTGTGTAGGAAACCTCTGTTGGGCTCGCTCCCCCGCTCACTGAGACGCCCAAGATAACGTCTGGCATGACCACAATTCGAAACGGCTTCAAACTATCACACACAATAACACAAAACGTAAGGCTAATAGCGTTCGGAGTAAGCAACTAACAATATCCTTTCAGCGAGAAAACTGTGAATACATAATTCATCTATACACACAGATTGAGGTCCCGTCCCTTCAAAAGAGTACTCTGGCTTTATACCGGACATGGAGAGCATCAACATCTGCCAGATACCGTCCCAGAGAACAAACAGCTTCCTGGTGTCTGAGTTCTTGTAGACATTGACATAGTTAACGTCGGCTGGGCCTAGTGTTGCGACTGTACTGCTAATAGACCCTATGCCTGAAGCTGTTCATGAGGGGGGTCTTCTTGTTGTATGATTGGAGAGGGCGAATGTGGTGAGTGTGTGTTGAGAGGAAAGAGCAACACGTCGAGATGGTGGGATGTAGAAGGGAGGTTAGGTGTGAGTGAAAGTATGAACAATGGGAGAATGGAAGAGCGAAAAGGATGAGCAAAATGAGGGTGCGGCGTTTGCGACCTTTGCATAGGGTTGTGACATGCCAAAGTTTGGCTGGGTGCAGGTCGGTATTCAGGGACGATCAATAGAGATATATGATCGTTTTATCAGTTATTAGAAGTGGTACAGGCACATTGGACGCGTTCGTTTGTTTCATAAGCACAACGTCAATCGCGCCCCAAGGCATCACTGGTGATGTGAAACATTTAGGCCAGGGTATTGATTATCTCCTCGGCCTTCTTTTGATGGTGTAAGTCGGAAAAAAAAGTTGGAAATTTGTAGCCTGAGCGCACTCTTGCTCTTCCTCCACAAGCCCTGCTGTTTATAGTTCACTCATTTGTTTCCTTTTCTTTTCTCTTTTCCTCCTTTCTTTTCTCCTTTCTTTATCCACCACGACCAGCAAACCCGCCACACCACCAACGAACTTGCCCACCATGTCCCATTCCAAGCTCCTCGACCTCAAGTACCAGATGCTGCAATACGCATCCCACCACGACCACCCCGTAAACGTCGGCATCCACTTAACCTGCATCCCTCTCATCGTATGGTCCGCTCTCGTCTGGGGCGCCAACACCGGTCCTCTTATTGCCTCCCCCTCCGCAGCAGCAGTCGCCTCGGGTGCCACTATCCCCGTGGCTCTCTCAAAGCTGTTCAAGTTTGCGGTCCCCAACCTCTCCATGATCATGATGACTGGATACGTTACCTACTTCACAGCCCTCGACCGACCAACAGGATTACTGAGTGTCCCTATCTTCCTGGGCGCGGCCAAGCATGCGACCCATTTCCTTGCTACCAACCCCAAGGCCAACAAAATCGCGGCCTATGTCCACATCTTGTCCTGGCTTGCCCAGTTCGTCGGTCACGGAGTCTTTGAGAAGCGCGCACCCAAGTTGACTGAGAGCGTCGTCCAGGCTGCTGTCCTTGGACCTTATTTTGTTCTATGGGAGCTCCTTTTCTTCCTCGGTTACCGTCCTCAGTTGAAGAAGGAGCTCGATGTCCTTGTCAAGGCGGACATTGCTGCTTTCCGTGCCAGGAAAGCCCTCGAAAACAAGATGAAGCATCAGTAATACCCACGCCGAAGGGCTTGATACCCACCAAGAGTTGCCCTTTCTTTTCTTTTTTTTCCTTTGACTGGTTAATTTTGAGTTTGGCAGTAATCATAATGTGAAGAATAAAGTGATCGAACAAGTGAGCAAAGGAAGACGACCGTGTGACCTCCCTTATCCATTCTCTGTGTGAAATAACAATAAAGACGCTTGACACAAAACTATCCTCCAATGTCAACGCTAAACGTGCATAACGCTCAAGAGAGAACGGACACCTTGTGTCCCCGTATTTTCAAGTCGATCTTTGGTAGCCTGTTAGTTTGTTTGTTTGTCTGCAGAGACATTGGTCAATGATAGCTCATGAATGACTGAAACGCGATTGTTCATATCAAATGCTTCATTCGCCTGATGGATTGCAAGATTGGGACCTTGGCCACTTCGCCACATATCGCACAGCCACTAATCATCATTCATAGGTGATCACGATCTGATCGCTGACACCCTTTTTTTTCCATGTTTCACCTTCCGTGACATGGCGAAAATTTATTCCGCCTCTTATTTCACTTCTTTTTTTCTTTTTCGCTGTCTTCACTACTTTTTTTCTCTCTTCCTTTTTACCAACTAGCCCTTTCTTATTCGACAATGGATACAAAGAATGACGGAAGTGTGTCAACACTTGCAGCTCAACTCGAAAAGACCGACATTATCATGAACGATCCCAACAACATCGACACCCAAGGCTCCACTGTGCCCATCCGCAACAATTCAAGCAGTAGCAGTAGTACGCTCCTCTATGCCATCAATGACAAGATGAGGGCCACAGCAGCAACAACATCACCTTCAACAACAACCGATGAAGAGGGTGGCGATGGTGTCGAATTCACACTCCCCCCCGAGATAACCATCACCGTCTTTGGTCATCTCTCGATCCAAACTCTCCTCGTCTGCCAACGGGTCTCGCGCCACTTTCGAGTCTTTGCACGGACTGTCATGCTCGACAAACTTAGTGGCCAGGCCATGGACTGTCAACGACAGCAGTGTCCGCTGTGCCGTCGAAACCAGCAACAGCCACTTTTGCAACGATCTTCGGGAGGTTCTTCTACCTCAGGAGCAGGACAACACGGTTCGAGTGGTCTTCCACCGTTGCCCTATCATCACCTCATCAACAACCCCAACACCCTCCTCCCGACAACAGTGTCCCCCGTGAGCCATCACAACTCGTACCTCCAACCGCAGAATCCTCCACTACACCAGCTCCACCATCATCTGTACCAGCATCAGTCGACTGAGGACATGTCCCAGTACCACCAGACAGACCTCCACATCCACCACCAATCTCACAGCTACCATGACCAACCATCTCGACCAGTACCAACCTCTCAGCAATCCGATTCATCAGCATACCACCGCCAGTACCATGTGCCTTCTTCAACACCGCAATATCACCATACCGCAAGTTATGTCGCCCCCGGGAACATTGCTCTCTTCTTATTCCCTTACAACGACCACACCCCAACCAGTTGGCAAGACCGCCAGTCTGTCCATTTGGTATGCACAGGGATAGATCGTCGCAAGGAGCAACTCGTCTTCTCGCCCATTTACCCTGAAGTTGGGGATTGTCTGAAGTTCAACACCAATTCTTGGAATCTCCCGTCGACATTTGCTTCCTCGAGCTCCTTTGGAGACGGATTTGCTACTTCTTTCAGCACCCCATCAGCATTGTCTGGTGGTCAGGATGCGAGGGCTCTTAACAACAATATCAACACCAATGATCCCCGGAGTACCAATAGATTCGCTACCACAGGTGCAACAACCGCCGGTTCAGAGACTACCTACTCAACAAGACTAGACCTCTTCGACTACGCAACAGGCCGCCCTCGGTTCCCAGGCTCCGGACAAGCCAACAACGATAGTCTAAACAGCACTAGCTACTCCTTCGCCAACCAGTTCAACAGACCTCACTCGCGTTCCCCCTCCCTCGCTTCCATCTCGTCTTCCTTCTCTTCTTCATCCTCATTCTCGTCAACACCATCCTCCCCTCCAAGACAATCGCAATCCCCTCCAACCCCATCCTGGGCAAACGTCAGCGGCAACGGCGGAGAACATTATAGCGTCATCGGGATCAAACACGGCGACTGGCCCGAAGATCGACAGGCTGCTGGACGATGGTGGGGTGGTGGGTTACATTCTAGTATGACCCAGGAGTCGATGGTTTATATGCCATGGGCCGGTGCCTCTAGCGCCTTCGACTTCCATCAGGGTTCTTCCTCCTCCTCCTCCTCCTCCAACGCCTCCAATGGCAGAACTCTGAACAATAGCAACTCGACCATGGATGCCAAAATGGAGAACGTGTCACCAGCCTCTAGTAAAAATGGCAGGAATGTGGATGAGGGGTGTACAAAGATCCACAAACATCATATGTACCTGCCTTCGACAAGAGCTCACAACCCTCCAGGGCATCATCATCGGTTCATGTGTTTGCACCATGATCAGCTCATGACCGATATCGCCGCTTCCTCTTCTTCCTCCTCCTCCTCCTCCTCTTCCGATTCCAAATCTGTAAGCCGTTGAAGATCCTCTTCCGCTGGTCATTGCGCATTCAATGGTACAAGCATTACTGACATCCCTCACAACCCCTCTCAAAAAATAATAATAATAGAAGAACCCAACAAGTTCAAGAGCAACCAAGACGCCATTAACAACCGCAGGATCAACTCACCTCGAAGTCGACTACAGCGCCCGAGTCACAGAAAGCAAACGCTGCTTGTTCTGCCTCTCGACCCCTTGTAAAGCCAACCTCGAGATCCAGGTCAAGTTTGACCAGCTCCGCGTCTCGCTCGACTGGATTCTCTCTGGCTTTGGACCCGATCAAACGACGGCGACATCGTCCGCGCCTCGTAGCAATAGTGGATCTGCGATCGCGGATGCGCTTGCCATGGGCTCCGTACGACAGGGTCAAGTACCCTCATAGATTTTGTTTACATAAACAGGCACAGACAAAGATTGCACAAAAGACCTAGTTTTTTTTTTATTACAGCTTGTAAAGATACAAAAATATTGGATATGGTGGGTGGGTGGTTTACTCGACGTCACAAAGGGTAGTACCTGCCTCGATCATATCACCCTCTCCAACGTTGAGCTTCAAGGTACCGTCGTGGCGGGCATATAGACGGACTTCAGTCTTCATCGACTCCATGGTCAAGATGGCCTGGTTCTTCTTGATAACCGTGCCCGAGGGGACCAAGATCTTGAGGATTTTGCAGGGCATGGGTGCAGTGTAGGGCGAGAAGACGTCGTCTTCTCCTTCGGCCGCGCTCTTCAACTTGTCCTTGCGAACAAACAGAATCTGCTTGCCGCCGAAATCCTTTGTGTGCACATAGACCTCGGTATTGTTGACCTCGATCGAGCCGTTGGCAATGTTGTAGTCGCGCGTAACACCATCTAATTGGGAGGAGACATAACGTAGCACGGTTAGACGCCATTCACTCAACAAAAAATCTAATGTTCTCACTTGGAACAAACGACAAGTTAAATTACCGATGGTGCAGCGAAGCACTCCGCTGCGCTCGCCGAGATCATCCTCCTCGACGGCGACCTTGCCCAAACCAACCTTGGCATTGCGCCATGGACCAGGCTCCTCGCCAGCAACAACTGCTCTGTACAGGACATCAAACTTCTTCTCGGCCAACTTCTGGTTAGGGGGTACCCATCCGCCAGGCTTGACAACATGTTCGTACTGGAGCTCAATCGTCCGCTCAGCAACCTCGCCTGCATATCCATCCTGCTGCTTCTTGTGCTTGACATATCTCCATCCGCTTGGGATGTACTTAAGCTCTGTGCGGGCTTGCTCGCGCAAGTGCCAACCCCAGAGCATGGGCACGATCGCCAAACGATCCTCGTCAGGATGAGGAGCGTTGTTCTTCTTGTGGATGGCCTCCTCGTCAATAAACCGGGTCGAGAGGCGACCAGACTGGAAACGAGGGTGCTGCAGGACCTGGATCAAGAACTTGCGGTTGGTAGTCAGACCCAAGGCGACAGTCTCACGGAGAGCCAAGGACATCTTCTGGATAGCCTGATCGCGAGTGGGAGCCCAGACAGAGATCTTGGAGATCATGGGGTCGTAAAAGATACTGATCTCCGATCCAGTCTCGATACCACTGTCGTAACGAACGTTATCGGCCGTGCTCTGCTTCCAGCGTCTGATCTTGCCAGTGCAAGGCAAAAAATCGTTCTCGGGATCCTCAGCGTACAAACGACACTCAATCGACGAGCCCTATATGTGTGAAGAACAAAAGGTGAAGCACGACTATGGTCAGTTTCGGTTCATTTGTCTTGTAAAGTGACTTTACTAAACGCATTGATCACTTACGTTCAACTTGAGGTTGGGGAGCTGAGTCTTGGAAAGGTCAAAGCCCTGGGCGACAAGGATCTGGAGTTCGACAAGATCAAGGCCAGTAACCAACTCGGTAACAGGATGCTCGACCTGGAGACGAGTGTTCATCTCCAAGAAGTAGAACTTGCGGGAGGCATCATCCTACAACATCAAAACGCGTCAATAAACTTGTCAGCATCTGTCATAGTAATTGTTAAAGGAGTCGTGAATGTCACATATGATTGACTTACGACGATGAACTCGATGGTTCCGGCACCCTCATAGCGCAACAGCTTTCCGATCTTGATGGCAGCCGAGGTCATGTCGTGGCGTAACTTGTCGTCCATCATGGGCGAAGGGGTCTCCTCGATGACCTTTTGATGTCTGCGCTGGATACTACACTCACGCTCGAAGCAGTGATAAACGTTACCGTGCTTGTCTCCCATGATTTGGATCTCAATGTGGCGGGCGTTGGAGAAGTACTTTTCGATCAAGAGGTTGTCACTTCCGAAGGAGCGGAGAGCCTCTGACTTTGCCATCTCGATCTCGTCCTTCAATGCGGATGCCTCGTGGACGATACGCATGCCCTTTCCTCCACCTCCAGCGGAAGCCTTCAAGAGGACGGGGAAGTCGATCTTAATAGCCTGCTGAATCAAGTTATCGATATTTTGGTCGGCCCCGTTGTAACCAGGGATGAGGGGAATGGAGGGCTCCTTGGCAGACAGCAAGTTCTTCGATGCGATCTAGTATAGGGCAAGTAAGACGCGTGTAAGCGAGTGTCCATCATATCAATGGGCGAATTGGAGACGCGTGTTATCGTCGAAATGTACCTTGTCTCCAATGGCAAGAATCGACTCGGGTTGAGGTCCGATAAAGTTGATACCGGCATCAGTGCAGGCCCTGGCGAAATCAGTGTTCTCGGACAAGAAGCCGTAACCTGGTCATGAACAAGATGAAGGAAGAGAGTCGCATTAGTTTATCTGTCTGTGAAAAAGTGTGAGCGACGATTTATGATGGAATGGTACCTGGGTGGACGGCATCGGCACCGGTGATCTTGCAGGCATCGATGATCTTGTCGCCACAGAGGTAGGACTCGGACGAAGGAGAAGGTCCAATGAAGACCGACTCGTCGGCCATCCTGACGGCCAAGGAGTTCTGATCGCTGTTTTTTGTCGTGCAAAAGAGTTGACCGGGTGGATCGAATAAGAAAGGGCGGAGAATTAAAGGCATACTTGATTAGCATTGTGGAGAAGATAGTTGACACGCGATTTGGTCGCCGGTTGTTGAAGGTGGGGTAAAGATGCTATTGGTAACCGGCCCTCGACCTCGGCTCAGTGTCATCTAGGCACGGTATTCTGTTGGTGATTCAATTAATGGTGGTGGGTTTTGTGTTGCAAGGAGAAGGGACTTGCCTCTCGGAGTAGACGGCAACGGTGGATATACCGAGCTTTCGGCAAGTCTTGATGACTCTGCATGCAATCTCTCCACGGTTGGCGATTAGGACCTTGCGGATGGGTTGAGCCTGGGTCATTGCAAATGTGTGCGAGGTTGGTGAGTTGAAGTTGTTGAGAGAACGAAAGGAAAGGATGGGTGGAGTTGGGGTGTCCGAGAGCAGTGAGTGAGCGAGGAAGAATGAAGAAACGGTTGAGCTCGGTCGAGAAGAGAAGAGAAGAGAAGTAGAAGAAAAGAAAGGAAAAAAGAAGCGAGGAGGACACACGTCAAGCGAAGAAAGAAAGAATGGAAGGAAGAAAGAAGTAATGAAATGGAAGGGCAGGAACACAGTGTTATAAGTGTGGATGAAGCGAATCAAGTTCAAGAAAGTGTTTGCTTTGATGAGAGGAATGGAGTGGAGGAGTGAGGTGTGAGTGCAAGTGTGAAAGTGAATGGAACGTTTGTCTCTTTCGTCTTTACCCCATTGCATCCCCTTTCACCTTGCAGGCCATAGCTAACCGAGCACTTCACTTTAGAAAGAGGCAAGAGACAAAAAATCAACTTCTTTCTCTCTCTCTCTCTCTCACTCTCTCTCTCTCTCTCTCTCTCTCTCTCTCTCTCTCTCTCTCGCAGGAGCCGTCACTTCTCCACAGGAGGGGTTTTCAGTGTGTGCAAACCCAATGCTCTTCTGCTATGTCTGTCCCATTGTGCCTTCGCTCTCTCCATTATCCACCCACGTCTCTAATCGCGGAATACTCAGTGGTCCCTGCATGCTATCTACAGCATCCTAGGATCTGGCTCCTTATGTTCAATTGCCCTTCCTTCTCTAGTTCCCAGATCGATGTGCGAACGAAGACAAGAATCCCCCACTGTCTTCTCCACAATGCTCCACCACGCAAAAGAGACAGAGGGAAATCTTGAGAGCACGTGAAACGTGCGAAAGTGTCACTTCTTCAGGGACAGACGACGCGCTCGCTTTCCAACGATCGCACTGGGCGTAGCAGCTCTTGTTGCAGGTCTCTAGGCAGGTAGCCACCACTTCGCCGTAGAAACACCTAGGTTCCTTGGAAAAAAAAAAACATCAAAGAGACGTGTTGAACGGGAAGACAGAACCGCCATGGACATATATACCTCTGACTCGATACAGGGAGTCCCTTTACCTACTTCACGCCCACTCAATTGCTCTGTTTGTTTGTGTACACGGCCAGGTTTCAACAAGGCATAATATGCGGTGACCGTGCATTGCATTGCTTGAGTGATTCACCTTCTCCCTCGTTCCTAACAAATACAGACTCAGACTTTCGTTCCTCTTTGGCTTTTGACTGACAAGGCCGGCTTTCATCAACAACGGACAAATGCTTGATGTACTCACGTTGAAACACCCCTCCTTTTCTTCTTCACCCAGAACAAATAGTTTGCATCGACAATCAGTTTGTTGTTGTCCAAAAGCCATCATCAATTAGCGATAACAATGCATGTTAAGGAAAAAGCCTTTTTTGGTTCCACAATACACGTTTGAAAAAGGGACAGGGTCTTAGATCATAGCGTTAACGGTTGACGATCCTGACAATCGGGTGAATACAGTCAACCCTTCAAGATCGCATGCCGTCTGCTCTGAAGGGAAAAAAAAGTAGAGAATCAACCAAACCCACGGTCAGAGAGAGGGTGCACACTACAAAGAAAAGTGTACAAACGTCGAAGAGCACACAAACTGGGGAACACGCATACCTCAAAGGATTGACCGAAGATTGATGGGTAAAAAACAATTATGTACAGGGGTTTATTATTGGCATTATGACTTTAAGCAGAGGTATAGGTAGTAGTGGTTGTAGTGATGTTGTACGCGGGGAGATAAGAGACAGACGAGGCAGACGAGGCGGGGTAGGAGGACGAGACATGTCTGACGGTAGCCTCCTGGCTCTTGCTGGCGTAGACTGGAAGACCAGCGCCAGAAACGCCAACCTTGTTGCTCAATTTGGCCTTCTTCTTTCTCTCCATGAACCAGAGGGCAGCGCCACCAACGGCAAAGAAGAAGACGGCACCTGATACAACCATGGCGATCAAGACATTGCGGTTGGCAGGCTGGGATGAGATCGTGGAGTCCATAAAGGTGACACCCAATTTATAGGCGTTGGTCGAGTCGATCTTGTCAAAGGACATACTCTTGACCCCCTGCATGTTGACCAAGGAACCCTCGACGGAATAAAGGTAGTTCTTGCAGGCGTCATCCTGGTAGATGGCAAAGACAGCGTCGGTGTTAAGAGCAGAGAATGCGGTGACTTGATCGGGGACTTGAGCACAGCCCTTGTAGGAGATATTGACGTCGATTATAGGGACTGCAGGGAAGATCACGGAGGCGAAGGAGACGGTGGTGGCCTCTGGGGTTTGCGCTGCTGCGAGCTGCGAGTAGAAAGTGGCAAGGAGGAATGTGGCCATCATGGCTGATGAGGAGAAAGTCATGTTGAGGAGTGTGAGAATGATGTGGAAAGGCGAAGGGGAAAGGAGTGAAGAAGGGAAAAGGAGTGAAGAAGAGGAGAAGAGGAAGAAAGAAGGTCCTTGGAGGTTAAATATAGGGAGGGGCGGGAGGGAAAAGGGCGAAGAGGCTGCTTTTGAGGGCGAAGGTGAGAGGACGAAGTGTGAAAGAAAAAGAAAAAGAAAAACAGAGACGACTCGTGGCTTAAATAGGAGACAGAGAGATGGGCGAGCTGTTTCCTTGCGCCATGGCAACCATAGAAAGCGGGCCCCTTTTAAAAGCTGGCAACTCAGACGGGCAGGAGGTGCACTTCCGAACGGTATCTGTCTGCCTCGCTGGTCAACTTCATCGATGAGACCAAGAAAGAAGAAAGGAAAAAGTAAAAAGGCAAGATTTCGTTTGAGCGTGTCTTGAATAAAGGAGCAACCACCCCCTCCCCGCACCTTTTTTCTGGAAAGCAGATGCACAGACAACCTGTTAAAAACAGGAAAAATGCACAAAGGTCAGTTGCACAACATCGCCATTGGCCATATGGGTACAAAAGGCACTACCGAGAGACACTGCCCCTCCTTGTTAGTTTGTCATTGTCTGACTTGAGCTTATTTTACTCTGCTTGTCGGTGGACAGAGACACCGGTACCTTTTTTTTCTTTTTGCCCCTGAGAGCGTACAATGCCTTCTTAGGTTTGTGTAATGTGTACAGTACATGGAGGGTACATAGCCCATCGATTCTCTATCAGCTATGCCCTTTCCACCTCTGTCCTAGGAATGTACGTCCTAGTATACGGTTCCCTCAAGGGATAGCTTTGGATATCCTTGTTTGCATTATTAATAACTCCTGAGGGTGCGTGTGGCGTGGCGTGGCGTGGCGTGGCGCAACCCAAGGGAGGACTAAAGGCGGTTATTTTTTTTTGTGCATCATAGCTGGAAATAAATGCACCTTGTTCTTGTTCTTATTCTTGTTCTTATTTCTGTGTTCTAATTTTTTTTCCGCGGAGGTAGTCGAAGAATGATTCTGAGGCATGTCTAACCCGGGGAGGGAGGCAGTGCAATGTAGACAGTCAAACTGTGTGGACCACTGAATCCAATTGCACACACACACACACACACACACATGCACATGCACACATACATGCAACCACACAACAACATAACAGATGAGCAGCATGGCGAGCTGATCTTCTGTTGACACTTCTTTCTTGTTTTTTCTATTTTCTTCTTTCTCTATGCTCACACTCTGGGCTGATTTTTTTGGTGTCCGCTGTCTTGCTGCATCCATGGCAGACCATAGCAAACCTTTGCTTTCGAATATGGCCCTTTCGTTCTTTCCGCTCTTCCCTCGTTCGAACTTCTGTGCCATTGGCTAATCATGTCATTCCGGTTGTGTTGAGCACCAGCACATCTCCTCGGGACAAATACGTAAGAAGATGATGGCGAAGAACAGTCGGTGAACATGGTTTGTCCGTCGTTTTTCCTCTTCTACTGTCCCTGTCACAAGGCGCGGCGCTTGTACTAATGGTCCGTTGGAGCCATCCGCTTTGTCCTTTCTTTTTCTCCTTGTTCCCCTTTATTTTTTTCGATTTTTTATTTCTTTCTCTTTCCTTTCTTTTCCTTTCGTCTTCCTTTCCTTTCCTTTCCTTTCCTTTCCTTCATTCCATCACCTTCATCACTCCTTTCACACCCCTCCCCTCCACCCTCTCCGAAACAACTTATAAGTCAACCAGCAATGGCCTCTGCTCGTGAGATTTTGTTTGCTGTTCTGGCTGCGGCCGGATTCCTTGGTCTGGTAAGCTTAGTTACCGCAGCCCTCCATTGCAACGCCTTCACACACTTTGTGCTTTTTCTCAAGAATGTTGGCATCGTCTAGCCGCACAGCAACTCAACTCAACACTTTCAAAACGTTTTAGGGCGCCTCCTTTATCGGTGTCAAGATCGATGACCCCCCACCACAGCACAAGTCGCCCGTCACCGGCTACCCTACATGGCATCAGGATTACGAAAGTATGTCAGCTTGAGTAAAAAGGAATATGGCAAGAAATGAAGTTAGAAGAATAATGTTGAGCTGCATAGCGAAGAATGATTTTCTCAACAACGCTCATACCAAGCCAACAGGAGCAAGAATGATGACTAACTAATTCAAATCCAATCTCTCACTGTTTTCCTCCGATACAGATGAGAACAAGGAAATCACAATGTCGTTCACCGTTTTGGCACTTATCTTCACCTTGACCGCATCCTATGTTGCCCGTCTTGCCACCCGCAAGCCCTCCCGCTCCTTAACCGGCTTTGTCACCCTCCCCTCCGGCAACGAGGAAACCTCGACCCAAATCAACGAGTTCTTTGAGCTCTACATCAATGCTACCATGCTTGCTGTTGTCGCATACCTCTTCTTTGATGTCGGAAAGATCTGGGCCGTCGTCGGAGCACTCCACAACCTCCTTGAGGTTGCTCTTTTGATTGTCTTGCAGTCCGGAGGCAGAGTTACTGGCATATCGTTTGGACTGTACATGTTCACTTATGTCGTCATCACCATTCTCCTCAGCGTCTACCTCTCCTGGCCTCTGGATGCCATCTTCTTCCGCTGGCAAGGTAAATAAGACAACCTTTACTCATGAACGCAATACCATGCAGGCTGTTGGCTATGTTGGACGATGGCAGCTGCTTCCTTCTTTCGAATTAGTGACCTCTAAGGCTCATTATGCAAGAAAAGTGATGGATATAGCCTTGGAGAGTGCGGAGGGGCTTGTTGGTTTTTTTTTCTCAGGGGCAGCACTTTGGGTCGTCCTCAGTGGCTCCTTTTTTTCCCTGGCTTTCACATTCTAAATGTGCATTTAACTAACCCATATTCATTCTACTTCTCTTTGTGTCGTCATGACCAATAGGACTCTGCTCAGACTTTGGTTTGATCGTGATGTTTGTCCGCATGCACAAGGCGACAAAGGCTCAACTGGACAGTTTTGGCGATCCCAACAAGCATGACCTTCAGCTGGCCGAAGCCCAAAGGGCCGCTGATCGTCTCGCCCAGGAGCAGGAGCAGAGCGGCTTTTTGGCTTCTTCAGAATCACTTCACACCGTCCGCCTCTCCCCCGCCAACGGAGGGGCTTCGACTTCTTCCATCTCTCTCCCCACCGCCAACCCTTCGTCGTCGAACCCATTGCACAACATTCATGCCAACTGGAAGCGCTTCGTCGCCCGTGCTCCTTCCCCCAGTGCCAGTGACAGGTCTGACCAGGAGACTCTCCTGCACCACGCTCCCCCCCAGAACGCCAATGCAACCTTGACCCCCGAGTCGACCCACACACCCCGCTTTGGAGGCGAGTCTCAAACGGTCATCCAGGTCCTCCCTGCCGGCGGCAGCCACCGGGTCTCGGTCCTCGCCCTCAACAACGACGAGTCGATTTGGGGTGTCAAGTGGAAGAACCCCGACCAGATCTGGCTCTTGGTTGCTGCCTCTGTTTTCCATGTCATTGGCAACTGTATTACGACCATCTTCATCACCAACCTCTACGCCATGGCGGCCTTCCATATCTCCTACGGACTCGCTTTCCCCCTCTATGCCTACTACCTCTATGTCGACAACCATGCCCTCCGCCAGTCAAAGATTTACATGCCCAAGTTCTCCAAGATCAAGACCTTCACCTACCTCTGTGTGTCCATGATCGGAGCCACTGCCACCGTCAGGGCTGGACTCTATGTCTCGACCTTGAATGCTGGCAAAGAATAATCAATACCTCCTTTTGCATACAATATATCCATTCACATAAAGTTCTTTATTTATTTACATGTTGGTCCGAGTGCAACTGAATATGAAGAGCGATCGAAAAAGTAAACGTGTACTACCGCAAAAAAAAAGGGGGGGGGGGAGGGGGGTACCGACGCAACACAAAAGGCCAATCATTCATCCGTTGTCGACCATTTCCTATGTGCGCCCAATCTGTCTTTACAGGTTCTCAGCAAAAAAGTAGTTGGCACCAACCAACTCAAGATGAGCCTGGGACGAGAACTGCTTGGCCTTGAACCCCTGTCGCTGAGGAGCCAAAGGAGTAGTGAGTGCCGAGATGTTGGTCGAAGGCGTCTGCTTGTAGAGGAGGAAGACATATCGATGAGGTCCTGAGCCAGCTGGGGGTGCGGGTCCCATGTAGGGCGACACGACCGCTCCTTGGGCGACGTTGGCGGGTTGAAAGTCGGATGTGCCCGAGATGTTGGCGACGACCCAGTGGCGGTATTCTCGCATCGTGGGGTCCTTTCGGCTGGGTGCGTCAGGGTCCGCCTACGATGTATGTGTTTGAGCCAAAAGTGCAATTATGGTTAGGGAGAAGAAAGTAGAAGGTGGGACAAATCCCACGCGGTTCCATTTTTGGGTTGCCAAGACAAAAAGGTAAGGAGCGGGATGCTCCAATGTCTTCTTTTGACTCATGGGTTCAAAAAACGCCTCTCTCTTTTTCAGGACGATTTGTTACTTACCATGATGAGAGTGTACTGGTCGCTGGGAGATTCCGCTTGGAAGGAGACCTGTGGAGCTTGTTGGGTTTCTACAATGGATACAATCCCATACAACGACAGAGAGACAGACACACGACAAAAAGAAGGAATGGGATTTTTTGAAAGTCAGTCGACATTGTTCAGTCCATGGTAAGAAAAAAACCATAGGAGAAAAAAAATATTGTCCCTTTTTTTCCCTTGTGGCAAAGGAAAAGGAAAACCCACAAAGAAAGAAAGGAAAAAGAGTTTTCGACGGGAACAATGAAATTGTTTGGTCATGGTGCAGCATTTTCCTCGTGCCGCTGCTGTTGGTAAGTGTTGCACTGTAAGAACCAACATAGTAAAGAAAAGTACCTTGAACGGAGAGTGTGTTGCCGAGAGCGACTTCCTTGTTGGATCCATAGCTGACCATGAGGAGGGTCTTGGAGTGGAAGGAGTCGAGCACGTCGGGGATGATGCCGTCCTGCCTCAAGGCGGCTTCTGTGGCTTGATCGCTTGTGATAAGAGGCATAGTTGTTGTTTGTGTTTGTCCAGTAAAGAGAGCTGAGTAATGATGAGTATGAAGGAAGAGAAGGGTCAGAAAAAGAAAAGAGAAGAGGAGGAAGTAGAGGAAGAAAAAGAAACAGAAGAGAGAAAAGTAAGGCAAAGGGCAGAAAAGGATAGGCGTGTGAATTCATTCATGATGATCGCATTGGGTGGGGATGGGGGATTGATAAACCCGTCACACATCATCAATGTCGCGCATTGGCATCAAAAAAAAAAAGTGGCGATGACACCTGTGTCGTGTGAAGGAAGGAGTGTGAGCTCAGAGTGAGGAAGGATCCTGCAAAACCCTGGTGCACACGTCCTTCTTTTTGTCAGAGGCATGATGACAGCAGCAAAGAGGACAGCCGGAATGATTATCCAAGACACTTACTCATCCCAAGAAGAGCATTATTAGCTTACCAGCGGGGATACGGGAAGGATGATATGATGATCAATTGAGAAAGGGAAAACCTTCTTCTCCAATTTGGCAATTCTTCCCAGCGAGACTGGCCTCCCTTACTTAAGAAGGAAGGGACGAAGGGACGGAGGCAAAGTCTGTACAAGAGGGTGGACGGGTGGCTTGTTAACTGGAGCGAGAGAGTTGATCTGATCTCGAACCAGCACTTGTCACACCATCGACTGACACCCATCCTCCCCCTCTTGTCCCGCCCCGATCTCTTCTTTCTTTCTTTCTTCTTCTCACTTCCATTCCGTCGATCGGATCATCCTTTCTTGTTCGTCTTTTTTATTTTACATTCTTCCTCTTAAGTGCCTCGTCATTCAAACCTCGTGGCCCTCTTCTGCACCCCTTTGCTTTTTTTCTTCTTTTTTCTTCCGCCCTGAGCATCCATCCTAAGTGACTCATCCATGCATTCAACCTGACGACCTTCCCCACTCTTCTTCCTGTTTCCGCTGTTTATTTATTCATTCGTCAACCTTTCAACTTGTAGTCTTTTCTTTCCTACTCGCGTGTACATTATATTCATTTGTTCTACAGTACAAGCACCTCTCCTCTCTCATATCGTTTAATTCACACCGGATCACGTCCGCGATTGCTCCCGATCGCACCCCCTTTTGACACCGTCTTTCTCAGTAGCGGTCAGACACCAACAACCCCAGAGTCGCCCGGTACTATTCCTCGCCAGGGCTATCACAGGTTCAATTGATCTCGAGGCTTCCTCCCCAAACCACACATCCGGAGGTCCTATTCAATACATAGCATGATGGCGTCCGCCGGACCTTCTAATTCCCGGAACAAACAGTCAGGAAACCAGGAACCATCCGGCTCCTCCACCTCAACGCGACCTTCCGATCAAACCGTTTCCCGATCAACGCTCGCCACTTCCCGAGCCAATGCCGCACTCTCACAGACAATCTCGGGAATTTCTGCAACTGGACGATCGATCTCCTCGTTGATGTCGTCAGGATTCGCACAGCCAAGGCATAGGATCATGGAGCTGCTTCATACTTTTGACGTTTCTGGATTGGCCTCTTCTGCTCGCCACTCTCTCACAACCACCAGCAGCATTGTCTTTTCGCCATTGACGGTCCAGGCAGTGAAGGGCGATCTGACTGGCATCGCCACGCTCACTGGACTTTCGGGTATGGCGCCGCATCTGATGGCCAGCCAGTATTTGAAACGAGCCACTGCTAACGCTCAGGCATTGGCACTGACCGGAGCCATTCAGGCGACACCTGCATCTGCTGATCAATTGCTGTCAGAAGACATTCCAGAGGCTGGAGCCCGAGTCTCACTTTTCCAAGGGTTCAAAGCATCATACCCGGGACACAAGAGCGGACGACGAGGCAAGAACCACCAGCGGAGGCGGAAGAACGGCTTCGGAGAAGTCGGCGAAGATGATCCCAACAAGCTCTTTTCGTCACTTTTGAGCGAGCGTGAACGAACAATCAAGGAGCAAGTGAAGCTTCAAACACAAAAGGTACTTTTTTTTATTACAATGAGTTAACTGTTTCTTTCATTGGAGTATGCTTTACTGACCGCTTTTATGTCTTCTAGACTGTGATTCAATCCGAGTTGGACCAAATTGCCGCTTCGATCGAAACCCTCCAGGCCAAGCAGACCAACCTCGGGTTCAAGCTGAGCAAGTTGGCTGAGCGCGAGGATGACCTTGCTGATACATGTGAGTTTTACGTACATTTATCGTCTGTGCATGAATCGGATGATATCCCTGTCAATGCTTAACCATCACATCTCTTTCTTTTCGTTAGTGGGCGACCTGAATGACAAGCTGGCTTCGATCTCTGAAGGAAACAAGACTGGGGATGGACAACGTAAGGCATCCTTGATATTATCTCCCTGCAAGTCATTCTCCTAGAAACTGATATTTAACGATATCCATTTGTTTTCTTTATGACCATGTAGCCTTGCAATTGGAGTACAGGGATGAAACCCGGGACTCAGGAACCTGCATGCACACCTTCTACGGACACGACGGGGTTGTTACCAGCCTCGATCTGAACGGCCCATACGGTACCTTGGTTACGGCTTCGCGGGACAATACAACTCGCGTCTGGGACTTGTCGACGTTCAAGTGCCTCGGTCAATTGCCCGGACACGAAGACACTGTCGAGTGCCTCCAACTGACCCAACATACGCTGGTGACTGGCTCTCGCGATAACACCATCCGGACCTGGAATATTGCAGATCTAAGCCACAACCAACATTCCCGCTCGTCTTCACCCACCCCATCGGATTCCAGCTACAGCTCCAACCACATCAACGGAAAGTTTACGGATACTGACGGCGATGACTATTCGCGGTCCTCGAGAGAGGTGGTCACTGTTCTTGATAACTGCTGGACTGGAACCCTTACTGGCCATACTGGAAATGTCACCTGTCTCTACTTTGAGGATGATAAGCTGGTACGTGTGTACTCGAAAATGAAGTATGGTAAAAAGTGGACTTTACACTGTGCAATTAGTGATCTAACTTGGCCTCCTTATTTGTTGACCATACAGCTCTCTGGATCAAATGACAAGACTATCAAGGAGTGGGATCTTGAGACTGGTCAGTGTGTCTTGACTATGGATCTGCTCTGGGCAATGGGAACCTCCAACTCGTGGTCGGATTGGATGACCGAGACAGAGGATCAGAGCTATGTCGGAGGACTTCAATTCTGGCAGTACGCTCTTTGCAGTGGAACCATTGATGGCGCCATTCGCATGTGGGATCGTAAGTCTTACTTCAACATTTGATTTGTGTATTCTTTGTTTAAGTTGTTTTCTCACGGCAAACCTGAGCCAAAGTCCTAATGCATTGGTTGCTGTTACAATTCTTTCGTTCTTTAGTTAGGACGGGTCAATCGCATAGAACTCTTGCTGGCCATACCGGACCTGTCACTACTCTGCAGTTCGATGACTATCATGTCGTCAGTGGAAGCGTTGACAGAAGCGTGCGGGTACGTGCTTTGCGACCACAATGATTTTTTCGTGACTGATGGCGAAGAGCGTTTGAAAACTAAACTGACAAACAATGATGTTTCTTTACGTTGCATCAAAATAGATATGGGATCTCAGGACTGGTGCCATTCAAGAGATCTTGCAATATGAGGATCCAGTGCGGAGCCTCCAGTTCGATACATCAAAGATCATTGTCGGATCAGGAGAGAGTGTCAAGGTAAGAAACTGTGGCATGTTTGTTCGCTGTGCTTGATTATCAATTCAACACATGTCCGACGCCCCCTGTTTGCTAATATGTTTATACGTTTTTTATCCTATACACAGATCTACGACAGGGTTTCACAACAGCACTCGTACTACACTGGACACACAAACAAAGTCGAAAGTGTCCGTTTCAATGACTCTTTACTTGTGTCAGGAGGCCAAGACTCGACGGTCAGACTCTGGAGTCGGTAATAAAACAACACTATGTTACCCAAACTGTTGATTGTGTCAAGGATTAGACATTTTTTTTATTCGACATATTTGTTATTGTTATTGTTATTGTTATTGTTACTGTTATTGTTATTGTTATTGTTATTGTTGTTGTTGTTGTTGAGCGTATAAATCAAGTATTGGCACTACGAAACGTTCTTTGTACAAGAGGGGGAAGAGAAGGTAGCATAATTAAGGCGGTACTATGTACAAGAAGATATGGACAGGCTTAGGTTTGGGTACCATTGGTCTGGGTGTCATTGCCAGCGGGGATGGTGCCGTTGTTGAAGAAGAGGGCGGGACCAGCAAGGACATTAGAGTCCCTGGTCAAGCTGACGGGGATCCTGTTCTTAGTGACGAGGACAAAGACATACCCAGTGGCGTTCGCGGGGAGGTCACACTCGGTGCGGGGGCTGACGGTGACATTGTTGCCGAACAAGAACTGGCAGAAGGTCGTGTTCATATTGGTATCGCCACCCTCGAAGGATGTGGTGACCATGGTTGAGTTGGAACCGGGGGCAGGGAAAGTGGCATTCAATTGGTTGAAGGGCTTGATAGTCATGTTGTAAGGGCAGGAAGAGACAAAGTTAGTCGCGAGGGTGGCGACTTCGCGGCGTCCGAGGGCGGTATCGAAGGCATAGGGGATGCCGGATTCACCCAAGAGTTCATTCACGTATGAGGCGTGGCGGCCTTCGACGGTTGCGATCGACGCCATGGTGGACAAGTAGCTGCCTCTGAGACTAGAAGCGGCACCGAGGTAGGCCGAGACACCCGTATTCTCAATGGCTTGAGCGGCGCTGAGGAACTGGGTCAAGTTGTCCATAGGGAAGGTGTAGTTACAGGCGGGGACAGCGGTACCATTCATGGACGTGATGGCCGAGGTTAAGATCGAGACGTGCTCGCTCTCGTGGTCGCCAATTTGGACGAAGCGATTGCGGACATTATCGTGAAAACCGCCGTTGGTGAAGTCGCTTGCGTTGAATTTCGCGAGGCCCTGTTTGTAGAATTCGGCTCCGAGGTGCTCGAGGGACAGGGCGTAGTTGAGGGCGGTCAGGGTCTGGTTGCTAGCCGGCGTCATGGTTGAGGTGGGCGTGGGAGTTGTGGTGGATGTGGTGGTTCTGGTGGTTCTGGTGGTCTTGGTGGTTGTGGCGGTTGGGGCGGCGGCTGTGATGGTCGCGGTGGCGATGGCGGCCATGCCGACAAAGACGGCGGAGAAACGCATTTTTGGGCTTGGGTGTGGGAGGTAGAGAGAAGAGAGTGAGGTAGGTATGCCTTCTTGGTTGACTTGGGATGTTGGGTTGTGAAGAAGTTAAGGATGCGTTTTTGAGGAGGAGATTGCTGACTACTTATACCCTACGGACGATCCTCTTCACGAGACTCGTTACTCTGGCTGTTGTCGCAACTAGGGTAGGGCATAGTATACGATCGAGAGAGGGTGAGGGTAAATCGGTCCTCCTCTTCAACATTTACCACAGCATTATTGCCTTCCAAGTTGCGAGAAGTAGAATGAGACTTTGTTAACAAACGATGACATCGACGATCGCCTTATATGTTCAACGAGATTGGCCGTAGCCAATGGACAGTGGTAGGAGTGGTCATAGAGAGAAGTGGAGGGAAGGTTTGTGGTTCGTAGGGCAAGAGGGAGTGACAGGGATTTGGTGTGTTCTGTCCGTCGGGAATAGGATGATCAAAAGAAGGGCTGTAGGAAAGATATCCAAGACCGCAAAAGTAGCTTTGACTGGTCGATCCGTCCAAAAAAAAAGAAAAAAAAATATAAACGCGTTTTTTTGGAGTGTAGGTCTATATTTTCCACGGCGGATAAAAACAAATTACGCATAAAAGAAGTGGGAAATAGGCGAGCCTATGGTGGAAGAGCATGGTCAGTAGCACTCTTAACTGTGTCATCATTGTGTACCGTACAGGGCTAACATTGATTGAACATCTTTCGCCTTCGGGAGCTATTGGCGCTCTTCTGCCAGTCGACGAATACCCCCGAAGGGACAATCGTTGGCTGTCATGCATGACTTGCAAGAGAGAGAGAAGCGAGTGGATTACATTACACTACTGTAGGCACGACAGCAGCTACAGTCTCAACTGTACCGGATTGGAAAAAAAAAGAGAATTTGCCGTTGCGCACATCTTTCCCTCTCCGCAAAATAACAGAGAGAAAAAAGCCTTGTGCTTGCCTAGAAGGTCATTCCCTTTGACGACTCCACATTGTTATGTAATAATCGCGTGTAGAATGAAGTCATAGAGGAAGGAACAAGATGCAATCGCGCCTAGCTAGGACCCAGGGGAGGAAAGGCATCAGAAACACAAAAACGTGTTCGCTCGTTCACTTCCCTATCCTCAGTTGTCTCTTTTTTTGGTGGCTGAATGAATCCTCTACTCAAATCCAAAAGCCTCCTGTGTTGTTTGTCAGAGAAATAAAAATGCGTGCAAAAAAAACCAGCTCCTTCCCGCGCAAACAAGAGCCTGAAAAGGGTGTAAAAGGAAGAAAAAAAAAAGCATGCCAAGTTGTGTTTCTTGTCCTGTCTGCGCATAGTCATCCCTCCCCTGCCCCTTGAGCCGAAGCGTGTTGGTCAGTTTGGAGTCATCCTCCATGCGAAATGACTTATTTCGTTTTCTTGATCGGATAGCGCCTTTTGGATCGATCTGATACATCTCGTCCTTTTCAGTTGACATGCGCCCTATTTTATTCTTTTTGTACCCCTTTTTACTCCTCTCTTTCTTTCCTCTTTCTCTCTCTCTTTCACTTTCTCCCACGCCCACTCGATTCAATTGACCCCGCATACCAACTCCTCTCTCCACTCTTCAGCCTCGAACAAGAAAATGGTTCAGTTTTTCGACAATATCAGCGACGACCATGCCGAGTGGATCAGGAAGCAAAAGATCTTTTTCGTCGGGACGGCACCATTGGACGGCAGAGGGACAGTCAACAACTCGCCCAAGGGATACGACTGTCTGCGTGTCCTCAATCCCAACCAAGTCTGCTATCTCGAGATGTCAGGCATGTTGTTTTATTTTCCTTCTCTTCGAGATAGTGTTTCCTCTAGATGGCGTTGTGAGCGAGTCGCTAGAACTTACTTCTCTACTCTTACTTTAGGCTCTGGAATTGAAACGCAGAGTCACTTGGAAGAGAACGGGAGGATCACAATCATGCTGACAGCATTCGAGGGCGGACCCCGTATCATGCGACTGATGGGCACCGGCAGAGTTATCCGCGTTGACACTCCCGAATTCAACACACTCATGGAAACCCACTACGAGGGATCAGAACTGGCTCGTGCCGCAGGAAAGCGAGCCATCATCCTGATCGATGTCCGAAAAGTCTCGACCAGTTGCGGGTATGGAGTTCCTTACTTTGACTACAAGGGGTCCCGAAAGACGTTAATTGACACATGGGCCAAGCGGGATGAGGATAAGGTCAAGGAGTACTGGAAGACGATCAATAAGTCTAGTCTGGATGGACTCCCCGGGATGCGACATGAGCTGTTGGGACCAGATTTTGTTGGAAGGAATAGGGGTGCTGGCGAGGAAATTGTGTTGCCTGGGGAGGAGCCGTGGGGTGCGCTTTTGACGGGTTGGGTGAAGGCCAGTCCTGCTCCTGTGAATGCTGCCTACGTGGTCGCCGGTGCTGTCATTGGCGGCGCCATCTCTCACCTTTACTCCCGAAGGCGATAAAGCAGCACGCACCATGGACATACCGGAGTAAAATATATCTTTTATAGAAACGACACAGTTTGCTCAGAAAACATGTCCACTGTGAGACTGGTTCTAACATTAATAAAGCGTTTGGATTCAGCTAAGATGACCAGGGACTCTGCAGGGTAATTTGACAAGGCATTAACATTGCCGTGGCAGGTTCCTCTAACCTCTTGTCAAGCCACAAGGTCACCCTCGCCCCCTTTCGAACTTTTCGACTTTCAACCATAGCTCCAGCCACCATAGTGGTTCCCCTGTGAGTATAGTTCATTTTAGCTACGTCATTACGAGTTTAAGAAGATAATGCTTTCCAAAATTAATAGAGACTATTATAGTCGTCATGTCTCTTCAACACCTCTAGTGCAGCCTCGCGGTGTTCGCCTCCAACATTGTCATAGTAGATGTCAGCCCTTCGGAACAGGCCTCACGGAAGGATTCGATAATGGGGTTTCCTGACTTGTAGTTGAGGCGACATCGAACTTGAATTTCTCGAGGAGCATCTTGACCTTCTTCATCGGACCCCGCAGACCCAACGATGCGGAGTCCCTGACGTTTGACCATTTGACCGACAAGGTGGCCCATTGCTCCCATGGCGGCAGAGAGAAAGATGGTCTCGCCCTGTTTGAGGGTTCCGTACAGTTTGGACGATCCGTAGGTAGTGAGTCCAGTCATGCACAGGGCACCCATGTACCAGGATAGGAGGACCTTGGAGTCTCGTACGGTGACAGAGATAATAATGAGGTTATTGAGGGCTGGAAGGATGTGAGATACGTGTCCCTACGCGATGACGCCAAAGACGAGGGAGCCGACTGGGTACTTTGGGCTCTTGGACTGGATGACCTTACCCATTCCGTAGCCGTCGATGGGTTTTCCGAGGGAGCGAGCGTATCCGCCTTCGACTCAATCCACTCTTCCTCGGAGAACTATTCGTGATGTTATACGTTGAGGACGCAGCAATTCAATGACAATAGGAGTGTAGTGAGACATGGGAAACATGGGAAACAAAGAAACTTTAAAGGGGTCCAAGGAGAGGTGAGAGAATGTCGCCATCTTCCAGGTTTGGGCAATTTCGGTGTGTTGAAGAACAAAGGTAATCCTCCGGTGTTGACCATTGTGTGTGTGTTGTGGAAACAAAAGAGAGGGTGTAAAAGAAGAGTGAAGGATTTTTTTTTGTGGTCGGTGAATTGATTTGCACGGGCCCATACTAAAGGACAAGGCCCATTTCCACAATCATGCAAAAAAAAAAAAAAAAAAAAAGCAATACATAATTGTTATTTGCAATAATCCTTTTTGTTTATTTTTTTACACTATACATTGTCCAGACCATCGATGTAGCTCTAGAGGTCAGCAACTTGGACAACCTGCTTTCCAAAGTTCTTTCCATTCAACAAGCCAACAAAGGCCTCGGGTGCAGCAGCAACGCCCTTGGCCTCATCAACACGGTAGACAATCTTCTTGTTGACCAGCAATTCCTTGACGTCGCGGAAGAAATCCTCAAAGTACTGCTCGTGGAAGTCAGAAACAATGAAGCCTCGGATGGTGAGTCTCTTGCTGACAACGTTCATGAGGTTCTTGATCCCGTAGGGTTGACGGGTGTTGTATTGAGAGATCATTCCACAGGCGATGACTCTTCCGTGGTTGTTGAGGTGGTCCAATGCGGCCTCCAGGGTCTCGCCTCCGACGTTCTCAAAGTAGATGTCAATACCCTTGGGCGCAAATTCCTTGAGTGCTTCGTGGGCGGTGCGCTTCTTGTAGTTGAATGCGAAGTCGAATCCGACTTCCTTGAGAAGGTAGTCGACCTTTTCGTCCGATCCAGCTATTGTTATCAGTGTATAATAAATCGTATGGTAAGCTCGCATGCATACACACAGAGTGGAAGGATGAAGAGACGCCGTCATTGCAGGGGTGCGTGCGTACCTGATCCAATGGTGGTGAGACCCCAGGCCTTGGCCAATTGACCGGCAAGTTGACCTATGAAACATAAGTACAAAATGGTACGCGTTAGACCGTCATTCATCTTGATCAATAGGGATCACGCATCAAGCAGCATTGGACTTACCAACGGCTCCAGAGGCAGCAGAAATGAAGATGGTCTCGCCGGCCTTGGGCTTTCCAATGTCCTTCAACGAGGAGTATGCGGTCAGACCTGCCAAGTTCATGATTAAGGAGAAATTATGAATGCGAACGTGCGTGTTAACAAGAGCGCGTCATTATTCTCGACATTTTTTTACCCACGCGTATTTGTAATGAAACAACAAACATTGAAAAATTGTGACAAACGTGGGAAGAGTTCCAGGTTCAAGAAACAAAAGAACTCACCAGGCATGCCAAGGACACCGACGTAGGAGGACAACGGCAGCTTGGACTCTCTTGCCTCGGGGATGATTCTGGTAGTGGGGAGATCAGGCAAGACGGTGTACTCTTCCCAGCCGACAAAGGCATGGATGATCGATCCGACAGGATACTTTGGGTTCTTGGACTCGACCACCTCGGCGACTCCTCGAGCGTCCAAGGGCTTGCCGATCTCAAAGGCGGCGCTGTATGATGCCTTGCCGGCATCTCTCATCTTTCCGCGCATGTCTATTTTGAATTGGAATGAGGTAATCGTTGACAACGAAAACACGATGAGTTTACTTTATCATTAAAATGAGCAACAGTTCATGAGGGGATGCCCAAAAAAAAAAAAAAAAGAAAAGAGAAATGCTTACAGGGATCGAGGGAGAAGACCAGGTTTCTAGCAAGGACCTCGCCATCTTTGAGGACAGGGTTGAAGTCCTTGTTGGTCTTGACCGCGAGATGTTCGCCAACAACTGGGAACTCGTGAGGGTGAGCGAGGTAGATAACCGAGGTGTTGGAAGGCATGGCTGAATGAAAAAGTTTTTCTTAAAAGTGAAGAGTGGAGAGGAGTGGAGAGAAAATGGAGCGAAATGGGTTGCGGGAAAAGACAAGCACGGAACGGGGACCCTTTTTATAGTGGTTTTTGCTCAGGCGGGGAAGATGTGTTTGTGCGCTTTTTTTTTACTGGGAATTACTAAGCGTGTTAAAAAGACGCCATTGGCAGCTACGATCCTGTGGTCGGGGAGCTGTGAAGACGAACTTTTGGGTACGAAAGCAATGATTAGTCAACCTAGGAAAGCAAAACACAAACGAAAAGAGGTAGCTGCTTTGTCGCGTCTTCAATTGTTTTGTTTTGTCCCAGTTCCCAATACCATTTGGGAAGAAATGTGTCGTGAAGTGGATCCCACTCAGAGCATCGCCACATGAACACTTAGGTATATGTAGTTGCCAACGTGGCCAATTGGGATCACGCGATCTGAGCTGTTCCTCTTCCTTATATTCCGTAGAAGGAAGACATGGCTGTTGGATGCTGGCTGTTTGGATGACATATAGAGCGAAGGTAGACAAAGCCATGGCGGGGCTTGTCAAGAGACATACATACACACACCCATACATTGCAGCGATACATTTCCAGGGTTCACTTGACCAGAGAAAAGAAAAGCTCAAGTCAACAGTCAATTTTGGATTTTGTCGTTTCTTCTTGCACTTCCATCTCTCTCTCTCTCTCTCTCTGTCTCTCTTTCCCTTTCTCTCCCTTCCTTTCTTTCTTCTCCAGTTACTTTTGACTCTTTTTGTACGCTTGCATCCCCCCCTACTTTCCTCTTTCCCCTTTGCCAACCCTTTTCTGCCTTCCTTTCCCTTCCCTATCTCCCTTCAAAAAGGGTCCTGCATTCATAGCCTCATTGACACAGACAAATACACACCCAGCTCTCCTTCACTCTCTCTAACACACGCACTCCATCAACAGAACAGCAGTCAGCCATGACAAGTCAAGGCTACTCGCCCTACGCTTACCTCTCAGGGTCACAGAGCCAGCAACAGTTACCCGCCCCACGTCCATCCTCTACTTCTACCTCTGCCTCATCCTCAACCTATGAAAGCCAAGGAAACCACCTGGTAATAATAACACACGACCTCTTGAACACCCTCACAGACAAACACACACACAGCGCAACTCTCCTCAGGGCAATCATAGCCTAGTCAGTAAACTACCGAGTACTAAAACATACGCAATGAATATTCTTGCATCGCTCTAATAGATCATTGGCAAGTGCATGTTCTGCAAGAGGTAGGAGAAAGGCTCTGGAATAGAGCTTGCTCGCTTCTGCATTCGCCATTTCTACGGAACACAAACAACGAATGAGACACTGATAGAAGGTTGACAAACATTCCATTCACTTCTAGCCAACTTTGCTACCCCCAGGCGGTCAAGGTGTTTCAATGTGTCACTTGCGACACCATCAACGACCTGATTCCAGCGTCAGGTGTTGGTATGTTTTCTTCGACAGCAGTGTACTCTGTGATTCATGTCCTGCATCGTCCATGGCTGGGTGGTGGAAATAGCTCAGCAGAACGCATTTTTTTTTATTATTTTTAAACTGCCAAGTCCTGGCGGACTCTTCAGACGCCCATCCTGACATATTAACCGGTCCTTGGTCAATATGCTTTGTAATATCGCCAATAGCACCCCAAGAACCGCTTTCATTGGCACAAATCCAGCAGGCATTGGAGCGAGCAGAGGAAAAAAGGACCGAAACTGGAGGCGAACTGGACTACACTGAACTCGGGACACTTTTGCGAGAGAAGTTGCGAAAGCTTGCCGCTTTCAACTCCATTTTCAGCAGCGTAAGGCCACACCCAGAGGATCGTTTCCCTTATTTCTGATGGTTTGTCTCGTGCCTAATTGCTGACCCTTTTGTGTGCTCTCCAATGCTGTTGATCCTATAGGGGCGTCCGATTACGTATGAACACTGCGGGGTGAATCTCGAGGAAGCCCGCCAAGCTTTCTCTCTGTTGGTGGCTATGGTAAGTTGAGCCCTCGCCACATATTTGCTGCTGAGACATTCCATCGGCTCTATCTTTATCACGTACCTTTTCTTGTCTGTCTAAAAGCCCTTTTGTTGCCCATTTGAACATTAGCCCAACTCGATTGCTCTGGCTGTCATGACATCGGTGGAGGCGATATTGAAGCGTCCTGGAAAGTATGTGCACCGCAAGACAAACTTCATTCATGGATTGTAAACGACACAGCACGAATGTGAGACTCTTCAGGAACTGTTTCTAACAACATCATTTTTCGTTACTGTATTGTATCTCACCTTTTCTCAGGGAAATCAAGGACAAGGAGGATCTCAAGTTCATCATGCTGATGTTTGAGGTACATTACTTGGATATTACTGTTGTTTTGGCTATATATTTTGATGATAAAAGAGTCTCATTGACTAACTAGGAGAGGATCAATTGTTGAACACTTTTTTTTTTTTTGGTTCATAGTGCCCGTGGCTTACTCGACACAGGACACCGCAGGAGTCAGAATACCACCACAACATCACGAAGCGACTCTTCACCATTATCAGCAACTTGCCAAGCGACTTGCACAAATACCTGTCGAGCTGGTTCACAAAGTAAGCCCACACAGGACATCACGCACGTATTGCTCGCATGTTCGTCATTCAATAATGGCACTGATCAATTATCTGTTGCATCTCAATGTAGCTGTCTGTCGACCCAGATTTTCCACAACCGGATCAACTTTGTCAACAAGTTTATTACACAGCGACTCTCGAACCAGCAAAAGTCAACAGATCGCAACCAGCACATTATTTACCAGAGCGACCCCAGGATTCAGGCAGCAGCAAGAGTGATGCACCTCTTTTTCAAGGCGAATCAACCCAACGAAAAGGACTTGCCGGAGTTCGGAGGCAAGAACCGTTCTGGAGATGACTTTGTGATCGTCCCCTTCTCCAAGGACTCAGCGACGAAATCCCAAAAAATTCCCATTGACGAATACTACAACATGATTGTCGATCTGATCGAACTTCCGGTTGACTTTTGCGCCTGGGAATCACGCTCAACGTAAGTATTAATATCCGATTAGGATGTGCATGTGGCATCTACTCTGAAAACGCCTGTTTGCTAACCCTACCTTTTATTTTATCTCTAGTATGTTCACGTTCTGCCAGTACCCATTCTTGATTTCAATGGGAGCCAAGATGCAAATCATGGCATGGGACGCAAAGAGACAGATGGAGATCAAGATGCAAAAGACGATCGAGGCGTTGGTGATGCAGAAGCGACTTCGTGCCAGCGAGAATGGAGGAGATGCGACTGGGATTACATTGTTGACTCAGGCGGAACTCCAGCAGGCACCCTTGTTGATCTTGAAGGTCCACCGCAACAACTTGATCGAGGAGTCATTGACGCAGGTACGGGATGTCCTTTTGGATTGTTGTCAAGGAAGATGTCAAGGGATAAAACTACATGGAAACTAACTAGAACCCTGTTCTTGATGCAATTGTCTCTTAGCTTTCCCGCAACGAGATGGATTTGAAGAAGTCCTTGCGTATCGAGTTTGTTGGAGAGGATGGCGTTGATGCAGGAGGATTGAGGAAAGAGTGGTTCCTGCTCCTTGTGCGGCAGCTATTTGACCCGCAATATGGTAAGCGCGCTAGGATGTCGTCTGTTCAGCGCAGTCGAACCAAAGGTGTAAGACACGTTGTCTAGGCATAATTTTTGACACCGTTTTTCGTTCATTGTGCATCCATCGACTAGGCATGTTCATTTACGATGACCAATCGCAGTACTGCTGGTTCAACCCAGCCTCGTTCGAGTCCCTTGACCAGTTCTACTTGGTCGGAGTCGTTATTGGTTTGGCCATTTATAATTCGACGATTCTAGACCTGCCTCTGCCCCTCGCCGTGTACAAGAAGCTGCTCAATATACCTGTTGCCTTGGAGGACCTGGCAACATTCCGTCCTGTGAGTGCTCACACACTTGGCGACTCGAGAATCTACTATTAGCTGCGCCTCTTCTGTGCTTTTTTTCTTTTTGTACTGACATGATCACCCTCGCTTCACTCTTTTCAACTTGCGCCTAGGACTTGGCAAAAGGATTCGACCAGCTTTTGAACTACGAGGAGGAGGATGTCGAGGATGTGTTTTGTCTCAACTTTGTGGGATCGTACGAAGCATATGGCGAGAACGTGGAAGTTCCACTGATACCTAACGGCGACGATATCCCTGTTACCAACCTCAACAAGCGACAATATGTGGAGCGTTATGCCAACTTCATCATGAACAAGAGCATTTCTGACGTATGTTCATGTTGCACGTTCCTTGTTTGAGAAGGATGGTTTGCCTTTAATGTCCGCAGGCGAAATTACCTGATTCTTGTTCTGCATACCTCCTAACTGCTCATTTCTTTCTTCGTTCTTTCCTTCTTTCTTTTGTACCTTGGACTTCGTAAATAGCAATTTGAATCGTTCCGTCGTGGATTCTACTTGGTCTGTGGAGGGCATGCACTGTCTCTCTTCCGACCCGAAGAGATTGAGTTCTTGGTCCGGGGTAGCGCAGAACCTTTGGACATTGACCAACTGCGCTCAGTAACGGTCTATGAGGGATTTAACGATGACCACGAAGTGATCAAGTAAGTCCCTAGTCGACTAGTTTTTGCTGTTGAACTGAATCGGACTTTGGAAACTACAGTGCAGGAGAAGATGCCGACATGCATATCAGATGCTGTTCAGCTCCGCTTTTCACACCTCTCATTTTACTTACTTCATCCCACTCTGCACACTTTCTCATTTCACCAGGAACTTTTGGTCTATTTTCAAAGAGTTTGAAGACAAGAATCAGCGGCGACTCTTGCAATTCATCACGGCATCGGATCGTTATCCGGCGACGGGCATTGCGAACTTGACCTTCAAGATCACTTGTATGGGCAGTCATGACTCGAACCATTATCCTACGACACACACCTGTTTCAACCAACTGTGTCTCTACAATTACCGGGGACGGGACAAACTAAAGAACATGCTGATTCGGGCCATGAATGAGTCGGAGGGCTTTGGCGTCAAATAGCGCCATCATCTGTCCTACAGACCCGCTTGCATATTTATTATTTGTGTCTTCTTTTCTTTTTTTCTTTATTCTGATTGCGGGGATGAAGAAGCAATAATTGTTGCGCCCAATGAAAGAGCATGGAGAGGCAGTGCGGAAGAGGATAGGCGCACAGGAGGTCGTTCTTTCGTCTTTCTCTTTTTGTTTTGATCATGCAAGACCAACAAATGAACATGAAATAAAGGACACATCCCCTTTTCTCAGTTATTTTCGATTCTTGGCTCGACATGTACTGCTGCAGTCATGAAAAATAGACGCCGCCGTTGGTCATTGTCGGTGTTCATTGGGCCTACTTGCCGCCTTTCTTGCGTCGAGTACTCAATCTTTACTATCCTTCCTTGGATAAGTGCTGTACTTGCGCCCATACATGCACTTGTGATCATTCGTTTTTCATTGTGCCCACACCCTCGGATTACTTCCCCATTTAGATTAGGCAGCCTTGCCACGGCTTTTGACTTTCGACGGAGCGAACGAAAGAGCGAGCGGAAGCACGAGGTAAAGAACAAAAGAAGGATCTGAGGAAAAATGGGACCTCGCCGGGTATAAAGACCACCGATTATTCCCAAGTGTTTTTTTTCTTCATACCCAACAACAACAACAACAACAACAACAAACTCGCCTCAATACCACAACCACAATGATTGCTGCCAAGGCCCTCCAGATCCTTTTCTTCTTCCTCGCTGTCTTTGTCATGCTCGGAACCTCCATCGATGCTGCCCCCGCCACCACCAAGGGTATGTTTTCCCAGCGATAGATGTTCAGATAAAGAGTTCAAGAACTTTCTTTTTCACGTCTGTGCATTGTTTGTTTGTTTCTGTCGTACGGTGGGGTAGGTGGTCAAACCTTCTCGGACCAAAGAAAAAAAATTCGCCCAACTAACAAACAATTTTGTTTTCTTTTTCTTGCATGGTTGAAGAAGGTTGCATTCAATGCTTCGCTCCCCCTACCTGCCCTCCTTGCGCCAAGCATCAAGTCTGCAAGATTACCCCAGCATCGTGCCATAGCTGTGGCTCAGGAAAGTGCATTCCTCGGCGAAGGAGCTAAACCGGTCCTCCATGTGTTATACAGGTCGCGCAAGCTACCAATTTGTGAATAAAACGTGCTCGAAGATACATGTGGAGTGACTGTCTTTCGCTTGAGTAAGGTGTTGGCGGTCGAGTTATGGGGTTGTGTTTGGACTGGACTGCAGCTGTTCTTCCCCTCTCTCCCCCCAAAACCCCAGCTGTAGTTGCTGTTGTGGCAAGAGGGAAGTAATATAATAAAGTAGTGGTGTTGGTGTAGAAAGGATGTGTATCAAGGAGGTGAGCGGGATAGAAACATATCTCTTTATTTTGGTGTCTGTCTTTCTTAAATAACCCTCTTATCACGTGAGTAAGCATGCACCTACTGCGACTAGCAGATGCTAAACATCTCACACATGCTGTGCACGTACACGACAGTTGCCTCTTCTTCACTTATGACACCCTCCTCAGCCCCAGCTGCCTTTGCGTCTCTCTTAAAGGCTGCTAAGGCTGTTCCTGCCTCTTTCAGCACAAAGGGCAGAAAGGCAGCACGCCCCCCTACTTCTGGCGTGGCGCCTCTTTTCACGAAAGACGGGGTCGACTTCCACCGCCTCTCCTCCGTTCCAATCTCCAAGAATTATCTCCTACGGTGTTGTCCTTGGTTAGCTCCCCTGGATTCATACCAGGGACTCCTGAAAATGAGTTGTTCGATGCTTTTAATGAATCTCAGGTTGAGGAGTTGGCTCTGACTGATTTTACAAGGAAACAAAAAGGGGAAAGAAGTGTCCACCTACAATGACCAATATTTTTTTTGCAGAGAGCAGGCAACAACATTCTGAACAAAATACTCGGCAAAATCAAGGCAGGGATCAACATGCATTCAGCTCGTTCCCTTTCAGTCCTAGGACGCGCTACCATCGTCAATGCCCTTATCTTCTCCCGCCTTTGGCACCTCGCGTGGGTTACCCCATTCCCCACCTCCTTCCTATCCAAAGTCAGACAGGCCATCACACGATATGTTTGCCCCTTCAAACCCACAGCATCATGGAAAGTCATCACCGCCCCTCGACACAACGGCGGTCTTGGGGTTATTGATCCGGCCAAGCAGCAGCAGACGTTCCTCATCAAGCACCTTCGCAACACCACAACTACGTCAGTGTCCTGGGGAAAGACATTGTACTGGATCTTATTCTCTGGAAGACGAAGTCCATCCACCGCCTATCCTTTATGCTGAACCCCCAGGAGAACCAACTCCACCAACAACTTAAACATTTCCCCCACCTTCTGCAACTAGTCAAAGCGGCCAGCACACTCCCCCCGCTCAAGACACCCACCATGCATGCAGGACTTCCAGATTCGACCACTTTTCTGGAGAGCCCGCTGGAATGGTGGTTCCCTTCGACGGATGACAACAACACCACCCTCACCACACGGATTGGAGACCTGTTCGCGCTGGAGATAGAGGAGAACAACAAGTTCAAGGTGGCATACAAGCGCCGACTCTCCAGTAAATCGAGGCGTGTAAGAGACGACCTTCTCACACAACTTACAAGGACCAATACCCGACGGATGTCACAAGTATATCTGGACTCGATACAGACACCACATGTTGGGGTCGTCGGAGACCGCCTGGCTCAGATGATACGCTCACTCATCCTCCTCGACAACGGCAAGACAAAGGTGACTTTAGGGACTGCCTCCACCAGACAGATCCGACAGTACCTCTGCCTCTCCTCGACTCCCGAACCCGAACCGCCCCCGACCCACTCGTCGATGCACCCTGAATCTGGCACCAAGTCCCAATGGCGCAAGTTTTGGAAGACCAAGGTTCCTCACAGAGCCCGCACTTTCTGGTGGCGATACAAGCGTGACATTATCCCATGTGTCACGCTTTGGGCCCACCAGTGGAAACAGGACGCTCAATGTGACGCTCAGGGATGCAAGGAAAGAAAGGCGGACAAGAACCACCATGTCTTCGGATGCAAGGACAAGTACCTAGCATGGCAGTTCGTTTTGAGAGAATACACGGACAAGCCCACATGGTCCGACGAGGATCTCCATACTTTGCTCTCCATTAATCCCAAATACAACATCACCCCCCCCCCCCCACACACACACACACAACTGCTGGCGTGCTGCCTCATAGGTATAAACATAGCAAACATCATCCTCTTCCTTCACAAACTCACACAGTCTTCGGAGGAAACCTCTGACTGTATCTCCATAGAAATTAAGAAGCCACAAATATAATCTTAGAAAAGCCAAAAAAAAAAAAGTGTTTGGGCTGGCAAAAGTAAAGAAGGATTGACATTTGGCCCTGGATGGTCTCTAACGGGTATAGAGAAAAAGGACAAAAGGGAAAGAGTTCACCCAGATCCCTTCCCACGCTGTATTAAGGAAAAAGAAACAAGACACTCCATGACTTTATTTTACGAACCTCTTAATGCCCTTGAAAACTAAGAAAGGGAAGAGTGAATTGTATTGACAACTAGAGGAGTCTGCGAGCAAGTTCTGTCGGATTTGAGGACTAATATACAAAGAAAGTCGGGAAAGAGTGGGGTTTTATACGTGTCCGTCCTGGTGAGTAACAATGAGTTGCCACCATATCTTTGATCATTGAAAAACGCGTTTGTCTTGGATGTTCGCGTCAAAGGGATCCAAGCAGTTTCCCCTTGCCTCAATCAGAACGCGTCCCATCCTGTCTATCAGTCGCGTAACATCGTATGCAATCAAGTGTTACTCATCTTTAATTGAACAACATGAAAACTGACACACACACTACACACAGACACACATTTCCAAGTACCAACACAATAAACACGATAACAAAAAAATCATAATGTATTAGGAGAAAAGGAAGACACAACACCATGTATTTGATTTGCGCTCCCCCACAAACCCTTTTTTAGCGCTCACCATGACAACCGATGTTCCTATCGTTTCTGCTCACGTCCTTTATGGCAGCGTCGCCGTGGCGGCATAGGCCAATAATACCTTGATAACCTCGAGACGAGAGGACGATGTTGATATCTCAGATAGCCCATTCAGAGATTGAAGAATCTACTACAATATTTACGATCGATCTGATTGATTCTTTTTTCTTGCGCTCTGCTGGCATGCAGCAACAACCAGTACCTTTTTGCTTCTCCAATAAGCTTCCAGTCCGCATGTTTCACAATAACTCAACTAACAATACGACAGGCTCACGGGTCGTATCTCGCGTTTCGCCATGCAATCGGATCCTGGAATCCTTGACACTCCTTCTGGGGGATATGGTGGGAGTTGATCCGATAACCGTTGCCGACGATTATGTTGTAGAAAGACTTTGTTTGCCAGAGTTTGTTGATATGAAAATATCTTGCCGTGGATAATCCATCCTAGCAGCAAAGCCTGTTTTCCGCTGTCCTATTGCATTACATGGACCATTTTTGCTCCTGCCAGTAACGGAGGTGTTTGGCGGTTAAAAATTGTAATTTATTTATTGTAAACAAAGTAGCTTCTTACCATTTTGCTCAAATCTTAGAGTAGCCGTGTGATGAGACTTGTGAGTCCGTTGTAATTGCGACCACAGTATGACGAATGAAAGAAATGCGCTAGAAATGACATTATGCTGGAACTCAAAGGCGAAGATACAGGTAAGAGGCAGATCCATTCGGACATGTGCTCGAATACTTTTATAAGTCTCGGGCGGTGATTACGAGTATACTGCGAGCCAGGGCTGTCGCGAAACTCTTTGCAAATGGTGGATTCGCCGGTGTGCATTCTCTTGAGATGTTTTGGCCCAGTCCCCGCATGCTCGATACGATTTGGACAGCTTTTCACCCTTCATCCATTTGACCATTGAGAAGGATCATACGCTGTTTGTCAATCCTGATTCTTGATTGTTGACCTGTCGATAAAGCCCCCCTCCCCTGCAGCACGAATACATCGAATTGATAACCGTCCTAGAGGTGTTTGTTTGAATGTATCGGCAACACGGATAAGTGATTTTGAAAACCTCGGTCTCGTTTGTGCACTCATACTTGTGGAGATGTCGATGGCGTCAAGCCACATGTGTCGTTTGATTTTTCGCCGCGCCAAATGCGATCAGACTTCCGTCATCCTACAGAAGAAGGACACTGTGTCCCTCCGGATAACGAGTCTAGTGCTGCTGTGAACCTTTGATAGCGGCGGTCGAATAGAGGTGGTGGATGTCTTTGGTCGATGCCGAAAAACTGCGCCGCCAGGTTTGTTCATCGTTTGGCGTTCTGGACGATGTCGACGTTCGTGTTGCTGAGTCGGGCTACTTTTTTTTTCTGCTTGTGAACCGGTGATCACACCCGGAGACATCACATTGGCGCTTTTGGAGTGGTTGGTCGTACAAGAAGGGCGGATATATCAAATGGCTTTGTGAGTCTACTGTTTTGCTGACCAAGACGATATATCTTTTTGTTGGTATGTTGAAACGACTTTGGCATGTTGAGAACTAAGAAGGTGAAAAGGTCACAGGTCAGGACAGCGATTTTGAATGAATGACAGGAATACCGAACGCAATTGAAGAAAAAAATGACGAAGAAAAGCCATCGACATGGATGAGTACTCACCCTGTACGTCGGATAGTGCGAACTGTTCTTTGGATTTTGCCGTTGGCGGATATGAACGACTACTAGATCGATACGACCATGTATTCGTAATGTTGGCAGGAAACGGACGATGGGTGGATGTGGTGCTCAGGAGGTTAGAAATGGGCAAAAGGAAGGCCAATGCGTTGAATACGCAAGAAAAAGGAAGGCAAAGAAGGCAAGAAAAAAATCTCTCCCCTTCCCTTTGTTTTGACCTGCATGCATGCATGCATGGAAGAGCCTGTATCATTGTGTGCGATAGATGGACCGCCGACAGATGCAAGTGACTATGGGTCATGAGGGTCAGGGCAGATCGACCGTCCAAAAACACTGATCCTACTTAAAAGGCATGCACGCCTTTTCTCGGCTCCTTTCCTTTGGACCAATAATCAAAAGCGAATACCACTTCTGTGAACTCAATGTAGCCCCTTGAAGATGTATTACTCAGAGAAAGATAGTCGATGTTCTCCCTTCATATCCTTAAATGTAGAGAATGAACCGTGGTCCTCTCCTTTTTGTTGCTGTTGCAAATCGCAGACTCTTTCTGGCGCTATTACACGAGAACCACATTTCACGATGTTTGTTATTTCGATAACCCTGGGTATGATGTTTATTTTTTTTTCCTCGTCCAAAGTCAGAACAGAATATAATACTAAACAGCTGTTGAATTGAATTGAAAGAAAAGTGGGAAGGAGCGAATGATGGAAGAGTGAAGTGTGCGAGATGAGCCGTGTATAGATGCTGATGCTGTTGCTGTTGCGAAGTCGAAACGGCTTCTCTACTGTTGCTGTTGTGGCGATTCCACTAGATCGAGTTCCTCTACTGCCTCAGTAACCTCCTCCAGAACAGAGAGAATGTTTTTGGGTGGCTCAAAATCCTCCTGGTCAGCCTCTGAGTAGATGACGCTGGCTTCGATGTCCTCCTCTCTTTTCTCTTGGATCGATGTATCAAACGACATCTCGCTTGACTGGTAAAACTGCACAATGTTGATCTCCTTGGCAATCTTTGACTACAGTCAGGAAACAAAGAAAATGAAAGTAAAGAGAGTATCAATTAGAGACAGACGCAGGCGTAATATCACGTAACATGAGATTGTGCTCTCAAGGCAAAAAAAGTCATTGCGCATCAGTTCACATCCAGTCATCCACGATTGTAATTGGAGTGGGAAAAAACACACGCACCCACACCCGCACCCACATCCCCAATTGGAAAACCACATATTACAAAATGAATGAGCATTACATAATGGTCCAGACACACCATCCATCCCGACTTACCTGCGCCTGTTCCCGGAAACTCAGCTTTTCGCTAAAGACCTTGAGATTGCCACCTTGGGGCGAATGGTTGATGTACTCCATACTGCCGACCTTGGACTGCACCTTGGGGGCATTCAACTTCTCGTTAAAGATCTTGAGGTTGCCGCCCTGGGGTGTGTGGCTGATGTTTTCCATACTACCAACCTTGGAGGTGACCTTGGAATAGTCGACCTTCTTGGAAGCAGGGATCTTGAAAGACGATCGTCGTCCGGTACTGCTGGTGGGACTGGTGGGTGCTGCGCTTGTTGAGGATGTGGACGACATGGCACTGGGTGAGCGAGAACGACCATTGCCCTCATCGGCACTAGAATCGCGGCTATTGGGTCGTCCTCGAGCAGCATAGTTGACGTTCTCGAAGGTACCGACCTTGGATTTCACATGATCGTATGAGGTCTTTTGGGTTGGGATAATATGTTTTGAGAGTCGGCGAGTTGGGCTGGTGGGGGACATGGGGGAACTCGTCACGGGCACCGAAGATGTGGAGCTTCGTCGAGAGTGTGGGGGAGAACGCGGTGTGCCTACCGTGGCCGCTTGTGTGGCAGCGCTAATGGCCGACGAGGCCGCTGTCCTGATTGAGGTAATTGTGGCGGAAGAGCGACGTGAAGAAGGAGGCGAGAGTGCTCGTTGCGGCTGCGAACTGGAGTGGGTAGTGGCGGTTGACTGACTTGCCCTTGACGAAGGGGTATGCGAGAACCCAGTGGTGATAACAGTTGGTCGTTTGGTTGTAGGAACTGCAACTCCGGGAGAGGGAAGTGTAGGGGCATCCGTATTGGCAGGTGCCTCAGGGGTGGGTACGGCCATTTTGGCGTCGACCTTGCTCTTTACGTGTGAGAAGTCGGACTTGAACGACTGGATCTTTTTCTCGGAGGGTTTTGGTCTGTAGTTGATGGCGTCCATGGATCCTACCTTGGATTGGACACCTGAAAAGCGCCGGTTGGGGACCGGTTTCTGAGTGGGCGAGGTTGGAGAGACAATGTTTGTGGTGGTGCGAAACGAGTCGCGTGTGGCTCTTCGCTCAACTTTGACATGAGGAGCTGCAGGGACGGACTGAGGGGATGTCGAGACTGAAGTCATTACTGAGGTGTCGATTTGTTGAGAAGTAATGAGAAAAAGAATAGGAGAGTGGGGTGGGGTGAAGTGGGGAAAGAAAGAAAAAGAGGAAAAGAAGAGCGAAGAGCGAAGAGAAGAGAGGAATTGAGAGAACTAACAGGGTAGACAGGGTAGGGGGCTCTTTTTGGTGCGTGGTGGTTGCAAAAGAAATAACAAAATAATGAGAGGCTGAGAGCGACGACGAATAAGGGTGGGGAAGTTCAGGCCAAGGCAATTGACAGACAATTGGGACAAGGAAGAGGGTGGAAGAGATGAGAAAGGTAAGGGTGGTTCAGACAGGCAGACAGGCAGACAGGCTGGGCATGGAATTGGAAAAGGGGTGGAAGTGGCAAGGGACCGAGCGGGTTTTTCATTCCTCCTATTTCCAGTTGTCACTTGTGATGGAAGAAAGATAGAGGCACGCTGCAGGTGGAAATAGCCATGCTGCAGGGAGGATAGCATGTGGGAAAAACATTAAAGGGAGGGCAAAGCAAGATGGGTGATGTTGTTGAGGGGTAGAGAAGGGATTGGAGGATAGGAAGAGATGAGACAGAGAGAACAGGGAGAAAGAGGGGAAGGAGTAGGAAGGTAGAAAAGGAGAGACGCGCATCAGTCATCATCATTTGGGTGGGGACATGTTCTTGTTGTTGCCTTCCTGTCCCTGCATGTGTTAACAAGTAGGACCTTCCTACCCCTTGACCCTTGCTTGACAGATGGGAATAAGAAGGGAGAAAGAAAAATGAAATTGGCCCAAGCCATGTCATCCCAGCTTAGTTATGAACAGACCAATCGAATCGATCGAAATCTGCCCATGGCCAGCCACCTTCAGCATGCAAAATACATTGGAGTATTCTCCTCGGAGAAGAGAAAGAAGGAAAAGCACACGCCGGGTAATCTGCGATGGCCTGGTTGCTATCACTAATGCACCATACATGAACATCGATATTACATACCCATTTTTATTCCTGCTTGCTTCCTAGGAGGCAAGAAAGAAGAAAAGGGCGCCTTCGGAAAGTGAGAGTAAGCAATGGTGTCCGGACAAGGGGCCTTTGACTTTCGTTGTGTTTATCAATTTTTTGGCATAAGCCCGTTGGGATGATGTCCACAAGCGTACAAGAGGAAATCGATTTTGGAATTGCGATAGCATGGCTCATATAAAAACATAAACAAAAGGCTGAATGACAGACGCGAAGACGGTCCGCGGAAGAAATCTTAAATCATAAAAACAATAGCCGATGCATGTACTTTGTTCCTTGTTTGTGTGCAAAAGATAACTATGCCACACCACTCATCGACCGAGGAAATGCAGCATTCGATGGACTTCCGCGCTGTTTATCGTCTTTGCACCTTGTTCCCTGTTTAATATTGTTGTCTTTGCTGACGCTACTTCGCCGGCTGGGTTCTTTCGTTCATTCGCTTTATTCCCAGGTCTCTGATCCCGCTGGCCCATCCTCCTTCCTATCTTGGTCTTTATTAGGTTCTCCTGGTGAAGAGAAAGTAAAAAAAGGCATAAATACACCTCTTTTTCAGTCCTCGCCATTTACTTTGCTTTTCTTTCTTTCTTTCTTCTGGCTTTGAACTGTCCTTCCTTCTCTCTATTTTCATCTCGTGTTCGACTTCTTTTATTCTCTTTTACTTCTTCGTATCGATAACCTCCTCTCATTTCACTCTTACTCTTCGTTACTACATCCACAACAGGCAATCCTATCCTCCACCTTCTACTAATCGACATACCCAATTGCAACCATCCCAAATTTTTACTATCACATCCACTTCGTCGAGGCATCTTTCGTTCTTGCATAGTCTATCTATCCCTTCACACGCGCGCACTCTCTGGCCTTATCATCCTTACTTCTCTCGCTCTCTCTACTACCACTCTATTCGCACCTAATCATCCTCTTGCACCAATATATATTTTTGTTACTCTTTCACCAACAATTCTTGTACATCAAAACGCCAAAGGCATGAGCTACCGTCAACACTACAACTCCACCGCCACGACCAACAACACTAGCAACAGCAACAGCACTTGCGGCAATTACTCCACACCATCCAGTTGCAGGACACAATACGGAACACCTTACCAGGTAGTCGACCTCGCCACCCCTTCCTCTCCTATTCAGCGAACGCCTTCTCTCTCCTCCTGGACATTCAGCGACAATAGCTTCTCCAGTCCCACCCCCTCATTCTCTCGATCTCCCACTATGCCCGCCCTTCCCACCCCAACTCTGTCGACGAGCTATCGGGACCCTCTTCGGTCAGTCCATGGAAGTCCCAGAGTGGCCAAAATCGATCACCGTCCTCTGCACTACCAGCAACACCACACCCACCAGCAACATGAGAGCTCTTCTGAAACAGCCATTCCATACAACCGTCGACGATCATCTTCATCGAGTCTTCAGCAACAACCCCTTTACGATACCACAAACACGAATAATACCAATGTCAACACAATCTATGAAGATCCGTTAGCAAATAACCATCGCTGGCAATCGAGTCCATCACCTCCTTCGTCACCAAGAGGGCGTTACGGCAAAAACAGCGCTGCTTCCCCTCGAAGAATCTCTCTTGCAACTTCTCCGCGGAGCAACGGTCGTTTGCCCTCCCTATTTGACCGAATCAAAGCTGCACTGGAGGCGCCTAAACGCCCAACCATCAATACTTCCCCTCTCCCACCTATAAAAACGAACCTTAACCTGGCGCAATCGAGTGAGCAAGACGGCCTCGCAGGATGCTCCTTGCCAACCACAACAACTACCATGACCACCATGCCCTCTTCTCATCTGCACTCGAATTTCACGGACGGCGACCTGTTAGATGAAACAAATGACTTGCTTTCATTTTGGTGTCCTTCAGTGGTGACAAAGCCTACGCTGTTTGGCATCCCCTGCACAGAGGCCAGCCAGAAAGCATACTCGAGACACTCGTCTGATGTGAAGACGAGTTTCCAGAGACTCCAATTGGAGGACTGCGGCGCGGTCGAGAACAGGACAATAGGTAATTTCAAAAGCCAAGTAATTATGATTTGCACAGATCTGGCCCAATGTTCCATTAGAGGCGAGAGAAGGGGGGAGAAAAGAATAAGAGGTGGTGAATTATTGACGGGGAAGACGGGACGCGAGGTGAGGGGGATGCGATGCTTCTTTTTCGGCGCAGAGCGGGCTAGTCTGTGGCACGTGTGCATTCATCGATGCAGATGGTGCTTCTCTTGCTTGACTCCCCTGCACCCTTTTTCAATTATTAATATTTACTATTTCTCGGTCGTTGCAGGTTTGTCCATATCATTTGTTTTGTTATTTGTTTGCCTCATCCTCCTTCTTTCCTTTTCTTCTGTGGCATCCTTTGTGAAAAAAAAAGGATTCCTGCATTTGCAGAAAGGGACAAGTGAAGATTGAGCATTTTTTTTTGTTTATTTACGCCTGCACCTCAGCCCTGGAAGGCTTGTTTATTTGGTCCACTGTCCACCATGCGCTTCCTGTTCGCACCATTCGTTATTTCTATTTTGGATGGAGTAGGAGCGTGTCGTGGATGCGTTTGTGTGGGTATGCGTGCATATGCGTGAGTGAGTAAGGAGTGTGGGCGGGGTGCATCTGACTATCGACGTGCATCCTATCCCATCAAGATCCATATAGAGGCTGGGCTGTGCTCTCTTTTCTTTTTCTTTCTTTGCCACAACACAACAACCCCATCAAATATGATTTTTTTTGGTCCATTGCCCCTCGGACCTTTCATTCCCCCCTTCGCCACCCTTTGTACGCTCATTGTTTGCGCGCTTTGTACCTGTCATTTTTCTTGGCCCTGCAGGGAAAGGAAGGCAAAGGAATGAACAATGACGAGGAGACGCATGTTTTTGTTTACTGTCTAATGCATACAAGAGGTCCAAAAGAGTTGGAGATCCATCCATCCGACAGACAAAGTTAAAGAATAGAATAACTTACTCTTTTTTTCTTTTTATTCTGTCTATTGATAGCCTTTTCTACGCACCTGACGATCTCGCGTTGGGAACCCATGCCCCCCTCCACTACAACCAACACTGCAGCCACAACCTCAATCAAAACTACAATTGTCCCTTCTACCTCGCCATCGACCACCTCCTCTTCTTCCTCCGCGTCGACTCTTCCCAATTCTGCCGAGGAGAACACCTTGGGTTCCGGATCGACTTCAGAGCAACAACAAACACAAGCACAAGCACAGACAATACATGGATCACACAGCGCAGTATCAGCGCCCCTTGAACAGACCCCCCTTCAGCCTGAGAGGGACAACCCAGTCTACGCAGCCCGACTCATCTCCCTGGCTAATTATATCCGCCACATCATCTCCCTCAGTTCGGGAAACTCTCCGTTGCACTCGCAGTCGACTCTTGTCCAGCAGCGACTCATATTTGCCCAACGTCAACAGCAGCAACTTCTTCAACAGCAGAGGCAACAACAAAAGCTCCAGGAGAGTCGACCCCCTTGGACAACAGCCAACAGACCCCAACAGGACTCGGTCTCGCTCCCTTCCCCGCTCTCTGCTGGGTCTGGACCTATGAAGAACAACTCACTTTCTACGCGGAAACATCGTCAAACGTCGGAGTACCACAACCACGCCGCACGCAGACAACTTCACCATCAGCAACAAGTTCAATCTTCTGCTTCAACTCAGGATGCACAAAATTTCCTTCAGCGCCCAGACTCTATAGAGGCCTTGCCAAGCCCGACTTCGCCCATCTTGCAAGTCGGTCGTCGATCATCCCAACCACAACAACAACAGTCGCATAATTCAGGAAACGAGCAGTCGGCCGCAGCAACAGCAGTGTCATCATCGTCAGGAGGATCGAAATTGGTTTTCACTTTGCCAAAGGTGTCCTTTCCCAACCTGACCCTGACCTTGGCTCTCATTTATGTGGACCGACTCAAAGAAGTAAGTGATCGATGCGCAAAAGCGCCTCTTTTTTGTATTTATGGACCACTTTTGTGGTCCACAGAGGTACATGTGTGGTCAGTACATGAAGTGTTGTACATATGACAGACAGACTGACCAATTTTCGTTATTTTTACTATTAGAAAAACCCCGCGGCAAAGGGCGAGCCAGGATGTTCACACAGGCTATTTTTGGTGGCGTACATCATTGCGGCGAAATACAGATGCTGTGTCGAGCTTGCAAGTCTCCTCCAGGAACAGTACCAATCGGATGTCTCTACACCAACAACAAACACAACATCGACCCTTGTCAATGAAACCTACGATCAAGGCGAGAAGGGCGATAGTGATGACAACAAGGATGTGATCGATGGAGAGAAAAAGTCGATCGATCAGAGGATCTGCGAAGCGCGATCGCGTGCTGAGGTGATCCTGTCCAACCAAGCATGGGTTCAGCTGCTGAGCCTGGGCTCGTTCATGCGACCAACTCCTCCTTCGACTTCATCGACAACGACGGTGACAGCGAGGACTTCGCCCAGCCAACCCATGAACCGATCGATTGTTTCAAATACCACGGGAACACTCGAGTCAGGCACTGGAGTCGAGGCTAAACCATTGCCCATTCAATCAACTCCTCTTTCAGCGAACGATGGCGCTAGTGTCACTCAGACTCAAACACCCCCTCCCTCAAACTCGACTTCACCCTCAACCCCTTTGCCTCCATCGCCACCATCGTCCATCCTCCAAGTTGAAGATCTGAACCGGATGGAGTCAGAATTTTTGACCTTCCTCGATTATGATTTGGCCGCGAGGAGTCAAGATCTCGATACCTGCTGGGGCCTCCTCGTCGGAAACAAGGAGATCTAAAACCAGACACACCGCATTCACTCATACCCCTCTCCACTCCTCTTTTCCCCCCTCCACTCCCATTTGCCCCATTACTTAATTCTTCCTTCCCCTCTTCAAGTCAAGAGCGTTTTGCTTGCTTGAAATGACTCTCATCTCCATGTATCTACCTTTCTTTTGTAAATGACCGTTCTTCACCCTTGTATGTCTAATAAACCCGCCCTTCCTCTTCACTAGTCACATTTGTACATGTTCCCTTGCCTCACCTTGTGATACCACCCACTGCTCCAAGAGAATAATAAAATAAAATGAGAGAGCAATCTCATATAGAAATCAATTGCTTATTTGAGCCCTAATTCTTTTTTCTTTCTTTCTCTCTGTTTCTCGTCTTCCTCTGTATGATATGTTTGTGTCCATGTCCGTGTGTTTGCATTCCTCCCTATCTGCCCCCTACATCTGCTGCTGTGGGACACAATTGACTGTACTTTGGTCCATCTCTTTTGCACTCCCTCGCCCAATTGAGATTTTGGACTTTGGAGCATGCATGAGGGACATGAAGAGATTGATGTTATTTTAGATATGTTAGATAATCGATAGTCGAAATCAACAAAAAATAAGTTGTGTAAATAATTTCGCTCAATGTTTACCACATCCTGTACCATATACGAAGGTATGATAGTAAGCACATAGAAAGTAGTAATTTGTGGGTGTTTTTGTTTCTTTTTCTTTTCCCAAGATCTCCGCGTTAGTTTTCTCGTGTTGAGGTTGTTCTATCCCACTTGATCTTTTTTCTCTTTTTTTTTGTTCTCGGTCCATTGGTTGTTTGTGAGTAGGATCGATATTTTTCCGACCATTCATGTTTTGGCCACTTCATGCTTGATCATTCTTTTCTTATGCGTGTTTTGTTTTTATGTTTGCTTTGTTGCTGTCCAGCAGAGTTACGCCCAAAACACGACACGCGCGCAGCAAGACAAAACAAAAGGTAGCCTAGGAAGCGGCCACAATTCTACGCCTCGACATGTTTCGCCTTTAGCACCGCCTACGAGTCGTCCACCCCTTCCCCTCCCCATCCCATCCGCGGAGAAGCATGCCCAAATAAAACAAAAAAAGTTGAGTATGTATGCGTACGGTTGTATTGTTTTTTTTTCTCAGCCCCTTCTCTTTTTCCTTGCTCACACCTTGCTTAGAGTTCATGCCGCCTTGGCTGAGTATGCATCTATGTCACTTTTTCTTCCTTCCCTGGGTGTTGTTTTTGACTTCTTCCCGTGGGGTGGAGGGATGAGATGGTCTGATGGGTCACAATCCCACTCTTTTGTTTTTGTTCTATGCCACCCTCCTCCTTTTGTTTATGCATTCTTTGACCCTTGGGAAGAAAGAAAAACGAAAGAATAAGTTCCGATCATATCCTGGTTTTTTCTTTTGTGCATGAATAGAACGTCTCACAACGCACTGAACACCGACTTAGCCTAGTTTTCCGTGGAGCCATTAGAATAACCTTTTTTTTGCCGTTTTTCCTCCTCGCACGATCGCGAAAGGAGTGAATTAGAGAGTTTTGTAGGTAATGACTTTTTTTGATTATTGTTACAGATGTGTTGGGTAAAGAAACAGAAAAAAGAAAGAAAAGACGCGAAGAAAGAAAAAAAAAAAAAAAAAAAAAGACTAATGGTATCGTAGTGTACATAATAAAAACTAAATAAAAGAAAAACACTTTTTGAGCTGGGACGTTGTCGGTTTTGTTGGATGTTGTTGGATGTTTTGTTGTTCTTGTTGATTGCTGGTTGACGTGTTTCGTGTCACGCCCTTCAAAAAGGGGTCAAAGGGTACAAAATCACTTAGGGTCGACGACGATCCGCTGAAGGGCTGAAAAATCCAGCTCCTGCATGACACCGAATCGGCCCAAATCAAGATGCTCCTCGCCACCACCTCTACCATCCTTCTCATCCTGACCAGCAGCATCGTCTACACAAACATTCAAACCTTCCAGACCGGGAACATCAGACCCTCCCAGGTACGCAAACTGACCATGGATGTACGAAGCCTGAGGCGGTGGAGGCGAAGGGACATAGCTCTTCATAGCGAATTCTTTCCCTTCCTCGCCCTCAGAACCACGGCGCCCCTCCTCGCTTTCCTGATGAGCCAGCTCATGAAGATCTCTTCGGCTATGATATCCAAAAATCCCACCCATCCGTCCATCAAAGATCCCGTCCTCCTGATCCTCAGGTCCCTTGCCAAAGAACGCCTTCCACGTCCGCTTGAACTTGCCCGGAAACCCCTGTGGCTGGCGCTGGATCGACTGAATAAACCGAGGCCAGACATTCGAATAAACAAGCTCCTGGACCTCCCGGACTATAGGCTCATACATCTCCAAATAGCACTCGTTGCTGGCAAACAATCGTTTGATCTCGCTCACATGGGACTCACTCAAGTTCAGCTCCAGGATCGAGTTCGCCATGATGAACGTCTGGTAGATCTCCCAGAACGCCGCCATGAGCGCCTTGGGAACTGGAGTCCTCCCGTTGGGCGTCGGCATCACGACATCGGTATGAAAGTCGGACCGAGAACTGAGGTCTAATCGCTGGTGTTGGTGGTGATGGTGATGTTGGTGAGGGCGTTGGGATCGGGCAGACGTTTTGGCCACTGAGCTTGATATCGATGGAGTCAACTGTGACAAATGTTGCATGCGAGGCGAGGTCGCTCCCAGTACAGGTGATGTCGCAGCCTTTGTGATAGGAAGTTGTTGTTGTTGTGTCGACAATGGGCTCAGTGGACCGGTCGAAGAGTTGGCTGAGGAAGAACTGTTCTGCTGCAGACGGTAGTCCTCTGCGGTCAAAATAGTCCTGGCTGAGACAGATCGCGGGATCAACCCTTGAGTTGTGCGGATGGTATTGGGGCTGTGGAGCTGAGGTTGGGACGGAAGTCGTGGTGTGAAAGGGGCCGAGACTGATGAGCTGGGCGAATGGAACGGACTCTGGCTGAAAGACTGGTTCAGACGACCTTGCTGCTGCTGCTTCATCGTCGAGTAGGCCGCTATGCCATCCCGGTTGCCGTCGCCTATCAAAAAGCCCATAGGCGAGCTCTCAGCCGAATGATGGACATGGTGTCGAGAGCTAGTTGGTGACTGGATGGTGCTGCGCGAAGAGGGTGCACTGGCAGAGCGGACGAACCCCTGTGACGATTTAGTTGATCCTGTCGCACTCTTGGATGGAATCGGAATAGGACAAGGACATCCACTCGTCTGCGTGGGGCCTTCGCACCTTGGCTGGTGCTCCCCTGGAGATGTCGCGTTGATGCTGACGGAAATCGATCCAATATCGTCGCTGCCACCACGTTGATACCCTGTCATCGAATCCGTATCGCCGTTTCCTCCAAAATATACATTATTATATCCAAAGGTCTCCGATGCAGTATCCTGGTAGCTGCTGAGCTCGCTCGGAGTTACATCTTGGTAGCTCAAAGCTGATCCAGACTTTCCACGGCCATACCAACTGAACGAGGACCTGTCGCTCTCGTTTCCACCGATGCCATTTCTGGATTCTGTCGCGTCGCCCACACTGCTGATGGTGAAATCACTAGCTTTGTGCCTGTGGGAGGACTCTGATGGCGCCCTGGGTGGAGAGAATGGTGCAGCGTACGGGATCGAACGCTTCTCGGCTGTGATTTGAGACGCAGTATCATCAACAAGTGATCCTTGAGGCGAAGACTGAGAGGTACTGGACTGTCGGAGAGAGGACTGCAACGACAGACGCCAGAGGTTTCCGCGGAGATCTTGTCGGTGCTTTCCGAACGGTTTGGTGGCGTTTGGTCCTGCAGGTCGTCGAGGGGTACTAGATCCAGGATCCCCATCCCGGATGATCGACCCGTCCTCTGGTGCAGAGACGTCGGATACCGAACTGGCTTTGGCGTTATTATCGACACTACTGGATGCATATTTTGAGAGTTTGCTGTGGATCGACGATGCAACGCTTCCGAGAATGGACGACTTCGTCTTGAGCGACCTCGGCCGTCGATCAGACCCCCGGACAGATCCATCCTCCGTCTGCGTCCTGGCGGATCTGGCAACGTCAGACAGTTGATGACTGTGCTTGCTTGCTCCATGTGACTTCCCTTGGGTGATCAGACGGTAGTACTCCCGGACTTGCCGACGCAGTCCCTCGTACTCCTGCAGGAACTTTGCATTCTCGGCACTGAAGACTGTGACCGAAAACTTGACCAGCTCGGCCAACATCTCCTGATCCTGAAGGGCGTACTCGAATGCACGCGGGTTCATCTGCGAGAGGGGTATTATGTTGCCGTATACATCCTTGCCGTACTTCAACCAAAAGCCCTTCATGCCTCGACGTCGATGGCGGTTCTCCAGACCTTGTCCTGTCGTCGTCACGCTTTGGTTGACCAGAATCGAACTGTCCCCAAACCCGTCGTTGAGGAACCCACTGATGTTTTCAGACGGGGATATGACACTCTGGTGACTGACGGACTGACGCTCAAAGATGCTAAAGTCGTAGTGTTCGATTTGCGGAGAGAGCACCTGAGACGACGAACGGGAGTGGAAGTGAAACGACGATGTGTCGCTGTTCATATCCAAGGTCGGTGTTCCTGGGTAGGACTTTGACGAGTCCCATCGGAAGATTCCTGTGAAGGGGTTCTTTCCTGTCCGTTGCTTAGGTCGCTGTCTCAAAAAGAACTGGATCAGAGGCAGGACGACTGAGTTGACCTGCGCCAAAAAGATTGTGAGGATCAGCCAGTTGACGTGATTCCAGTGTCCGGTGTCGAGCTTTTTGAGGTAGATGGGCGAGAGAAAATAGAGGGCGAAACCTGGGAGACCGATTGTCATGGTAATCAAGAGCTCGTTCCTGATCCCAAAGCCATCCTTGATCCACCACAACTTGTACGTCAATATAGGACAGCCGATCGCCAAGAACGCCAACATGAACCCATAGATTGGATAAAACTATGCAGTATGCAACATAGGTAACACAAAGGAAATGGTTAGTAAAAGTGGACGCAAATAAATTAGCAGTACAGTTTTCACTCCGTTCTGGTTGATGACAACTTACCACCGGACCTTCACCGCACTTGTAGCTGACGGGGTTGATCTGGACAGGGGATGGCTTGATGAATTGCATGCCCAAGCAAAGAAAAAGAGGGATGACCATAAATATGAGCAAGAATATGGTCAATCTGCCGTCGGTAGCCTGGTTGAAGGGAAGGTAGCGACTGCATGATCGACCGTCGTTGACTGCCTCATCGTCAATGCTGACTGATAAGGCCCTGGAGGGAGCGTGATCGTTAATCGCGCCCGCACCCTTGATCGCCCCTGCATGGAACAAACGATTATAGTTGTGCTCTGTTTGAACAGAGCGTGGCGAGGTAATGTCCGACGTCGAGGTGGCGTTCGACCCACGAGCATTCACCATGATTGCTGTGGCTATTGAGGTGGGTGAGCCAGCAAGTGGTGATGGTGGTGCGATGGAAACGACGAGTTGGTGACATATTGGCGATGTTTCAGTTGATGGCTGAGGTAGTGTCCTTGGGATGGGAGGAAGCGGCGCTTCCAATCGTTGTCTAATAGGGGTGTCGACTCTCGTCATAACAGCCTTCGTTGCTCCTCCACGTCGTCCTCCTCCTACTCCTGCGCACGTTCCTCCTTTTGTAGGTGTGGCATCCCCTGCTGATTCATGCTTGGTTGACCCTGCGACACCTTTTTCCAGCAAATCTGCCTGAGAGGATGATCCATCTACTGCATCCTCTTCTCCCTGACCTTCTGTAAGGTGGTCTAGGCCCTCCATTTCCTGTTCGACCACAGTTATTTTCCGACCCTCGACCCCTGTTCTTGCGACTGTTCCTGCTGCATCGTCGTTGTCGTCGACGACTAGATTATTAGAGCCCTCATTCGGACAATTATTACTGTTGTGATGCAAGATGTTTAGCTCGGCCGCACTCTTTTGCAAAATGGTCCGTCCAAAATCAACTTGCTGGTTATAGATGAAGACTAGACGCCAACCCCTCGCCAGGTAGGTTAGGAGCCAAGGCACAATGCATAGGTAGCATGCTATTACGAAAGACACATTCGGTCACAAAGGCAAGGAGAAGAAAAGCAAAGTAGATGTATCATGTCAGCCAGTTGTTCTTTCATTTGAATCTTACTGCTCACAATTGCAAAGGAGGACATCGTAGTAAAGCGCAGCTGACCCAAGATCATCATGATCTTTCCCCCTTCATACATCCAGTCTCGAAGAGGGGAGGTGAGGCGAGGAAAGAAGTAAAAGTGGAAGAGGAAGTGGAGTAAGATTAAGAAGGGGTGTTACTTACTCCAAAGAAGGATATAGCAGGGAAAGTCTCCTACAAAGGCGTTGAGCATGAGATAGATAGTAACAACGCCAGTCGCGGAGACGCCGTTCCAGAAGACGAGGTAACGGCCACGCTGCTTGAGGTCGTTGTGCGTCTTGGCGAGTATGAAGGTCATGACAGTCGAGATCAAGCAGATGGATCCCATGATGACGCCGGCGGTGAAGTAGGCATATCGATGACCCATGCCCAAGATTGGGCCATACGGACCCAAAGGTCCACTCATGATTGTGCCTGCAATCGATCAACGACACACGCGAGAGAGGGATCGATAGTTATGGTGGTAGTGACGGTAGTGACGGTAGTGCAAGATATAGAAGACGATGGTGAATGGGCGAGTAGAGAGAACCTAATAGTGATTGTCGGGTGGATATGGTCTGTGGTTTGTGGGTCGGCTGTTGGTGGTTGGTGGTGGTTTCCTGTTGATCCCTGACACTATGATGCGAATGGCAAGTGTGCAAGGCGTGGCGAGCATAGGATGTTAGGACAAGGCACCAAGAGACTGGATGATGGACAAATTGTGATAAGAGGAAGGAGCTGTGTGGTTTTGTGTATGTATGCGCATGCGTATGCGTGTATGTGTATGTGCGCTGTCGGTGAGAGGAGTGGGGGTGGTGAAAGAGGGTGAGAGGGAGCAGGGGTGGGATAGAGGGCGAAGGTGGAAAAGGAAAAGAAAAGTAATAAAGAGTTGTTGCGTCAAGCCAGCTGCGATGAAAAAAAGAGTGATGTGAAAAGGGTGGCTGTGTGGCTGTTGTGTGATGCTGGAAGAAGGAGGTTGAAGGTAAACAAAAAAGTGGTTGACAACAAAAACATGGCGGCACTCTTCAATTAATGTCGGACAGACACCACTGCCAGGAGAGTGGGTTGTGTGCGACCACGATTGTTTTCTTCGTTGCTATTATTGCCACTGTTGTTTTTGTTCAGAGCAGCAAAGATGCTGGAAAGACGCAAATTTAGTGATTCAAAAGGCACAAGGTGCAATCTTGGATACAGGCGAACAGAATTGGAAGGATGGAAGAGTGAGAGGAAGAGAATTGGTCGAAGGGAAGGTGAGAGAGGGAGAGAGAGGGAGAGAGGGAGGGAGGGAGAGGAAGAAGGAGGGAGGGAGGGAGAGAGAGAGATAGTCGCACCTTGCCGATTCTGTTTGCTGTTGTTCTTGTTGGTGATGGTGAAAAGCAGTTTGAGAGTGAATGGGTAAACTGAGGCGAAATAAGGTCAAGGAGGAACGACGAGTGATAATGAATGAATGTCTATCTGGTGCGAATGGGAAGTTGAAGAGGAAAATACAAGAAAGTGGAAGATGAAAGAAGGGAGGAGAGGACTATGGGAAAGAAGGGAGGAGAGGAAGAGGAAGAGGAGGAAAAATAGAAAAGTGGACGAGCCGAGAACAATGCTTACAAAAAAAAGGGCGGGAGATGGGAGGAAGGAGGGATGGAGGGAGGGAGGGGTGGAGAGAAGAGAGAAGGAGAGAAAGGAGGAAAACAAAAAAAAAAAAGACGAAATGAACCCTTCCACCTTTTTTTTTGTTTCTGAGCTTCAAACGATAAATAAACAAGACAGTGTTTATCGGACATGGAAAACCACATAACACCCACATCCATACTCACTGCTGTCAGTAATGGTGAGAGCACTCATGAATGACCTGGATGGGGTTGCGGTAGCCTAGTACAACAACATGCGACATGAAATTAAGATGCGACAAGAATAAAGAGAACACTGACCAAAAAGAATGGAAAGAAGTTATCTGGGAAGGAATGCTCGGCTGTGATACGCTCGGTGTCGGACAAAAAAGCATTGAAACATAAGATTCCGGCACGCTGCCTCGCCCAGGGGTCAAGGGTCCAACACCATCCCCTCATCGTTTTTGTTAAAGGATGCACCATAACTAAACACTAGGCTAAGACCCATTCTCACCTTCCTACAAGACCTTCTATTCAGCCTGTAAAGAGACTCAATCCATTCCCAACGCTCGAGATAAACACATGCGTACTTTCTATGCCGTTTTTTGTGGAACCACACATAGGAAACCGTTTGACTGGATTAATGGTCCGTGTCCAACATCCTGTCCTCGCCTTTTCTCACATTAGTTGCAGTTCTCTATTACTACTCTGTTCTAGCGCATCCAGTCAAATCTACATATCCTTGTGTCAACGACCGGATTGAAGGATTCAGCCAGATACACGTGACGTGACCGTAAAAACTAAACTTTTTCGTTGCCACCAATCTTCAATTGAAATTGACCCTATCCTAGTTTGCCTTCCACACTCATGCATCTCGAACATCATTCTTTGTCATGTTACCTCATTAGCTTCATTCAGACTCCAAAAACACCAACACACGACGCGTCTCAAAACACAAGCAAAGCAGTAAACAAGTAACAAACGTTAACGCCAGCAGAAAGAATAGAAAAACGATGGCGCCCAAAAAACCAACCTCGTCCGTTGCTGCTGCTGCTTCTCCAGCCTCAGCAGCCGACTTTTTTACGCGTGGCAAGAAACCTACCACCACCGACAGAGTCATCAACGTCAAGAAGACAACAACAGCCACTGTGTTCAAGCACACCCCTGCACTCAAAAGCAGCAGCACCAACAACAAGCCCAGGGCACAGAGTCAACAAATAAAACAGGATCAAAACAAGCCCCATGACATTATTGTGATCTCGGACAGCGAGGACGATGAGAAAGCAAGCAGCATCTCTCGCGATGAAGTAAATAACGACGATGATGCAGCTTGGGGTTTTGGAGAAGATCTTGGGCCTCTGGACGACTTTCTCTTTGACGACGCCATCGAACCCCAGGAGCCCCAAAACAAGCCCTTGCCTCAGACAAAGCTGAAGAAGGATATCGCCGAACCCTTGATCACGCCAGTTATGTCCAGATCCTCGTCTGCCAAGCGATCTCGCTCTCATCTTGTATCGACTCGTTCAGTCAATATCCAGCAAGGAAGTATGATCTACATCCAAGCCTTATGCACGTGAGAAAATTGATGACGCGATGTGATTGCTCATGCCTGTATTCTCGTTTTGTCAACACATAGTTCACCAGGAAGACATCTCGGAGCATGAAAAGATTCTTCGCCAGTTCGATCTAGCGTCCAAATACGGTCCTTGCCTCGGCATGACCCGTCTCGAGCGATGGGAGCGAGCTTCTCTGCTGGTAAGCTCATCCAGCAAAAAAGGCGTTCGTGAATACAACTTCTATCATTTCTAAACGACATTTTAACTGTATGTTTTTATTTTACCATTCACTTTTTGTAGGGTCTCTCGCCACCTGTAGGTGTAAAGGATCTGGCAGTGAAGAACACGACCCTGAACACACCTATTTACGCAGGCCGGGTTTAGATTCGAGTCAGCGCGCTTTCATTGGTGCTTGACATGGTCATCTGACTCCCCAAGGTGTCCCTCCTTTCTTCTATTTCTTGCTCACAAAAAACCTTTGGATGTAGCACACAATCATGGGAACTTCAACGAGTAGTTCGTGATCGGAGGATGAGGGGAATATTCTATTATTGTTACACGGATGTGTCTCTATGGAGGTGATTGGATGAAATAAATACTCAAAAAGAAAGAACTCGCGGACTTAATTCCTGCGATGGACATTGACCAACAAAGGATTTTTCATTGGCAAAGTCAATGAAGGAACAGGCTCAGGCTTATCTTGACCAGGAACTAGCTCAAACTTGAACTTGGACGAGATCATCATAATAACTGTCATAGCCTCGAGAGTAGCAAACGTCTGGCCTACGCAGATACGAGGACCAGCATTGAAGCTAGAGAACTTGAAGGTGGACTCCTTGCGGACCTTAGGCCATGTATGACCCTCTGCTTCAAAAGGTGTGCTGTTCTTCAAGGTACCCTTCTCGATCTTGGGATTGTTCTCCTCGAACCAACGCTCGGGCAAGAACTCGCGTGCTTGGGGGCCCCAGACCTTCTTATTACGACCGATGGAGTAGGTCGAGAACATGATGCGATCTCCGCCTTGGACCTTGACACCGCAGGGGAGGACGTCGTCAGTAACTGCGGTCTTGAGGTTACGTGGGACTGGTGGGTACAAACGAAGGGCTTCGAGGAAGACGGCGTTGGAGTAGCGCATTTCCTTGGTCAACATCTCGTAAGTGGGTTTCTCGTCCAGTTTGTCGACCTCCTGCCAGATATTCTTCTCTACCGTGGGGTTCATCATCACCTCGTAGTACATCCAGCTGAGTGCCTGAGCAGTTGTGTCTCGTCCGGCACTATTGAAGGAGAAGATGACATGCGAAATAAGTGCCAAAGATACTTGTACAAAGCTGTCACGTTACATGCATATAATAAGAAAACACAATAGAAACAGATAATGATACTCACATGATAAAGTTGATAAAGACATCTCTCAACTCAACATCAGCAAGAGCACGGCCATCCTCATCCCTCCATTTCATGAACAAATCCAACAGATCCTCACGTCGAGATGGTCCCTGTCGGATCTGAGCTTGAGCCGCTGTCTCACTGCGTCGTCCCTTGATAGCATTGTAGGCATAGGAATCAACAACTTGGATAGCCTTCTTCATGTCGGAGGCCTTTCCCGTAAGGTGCTCGGTGATTCTCCAAAGGGGGTTCATGAAACGCTCGTCGGTCGCGACGACAGCATAGTCGAATGACGAGCCAAAGGTATCTTGGCCCTCCTTGCCCAATGAATCAATATCGAGTCCGAACGAAAGCTTTGCAAAGGCGTCCAGAGTCAGGCGCAAGAACAACGCTTGAAGATCCACGGGTTTTCCTGCTTGGGCAGCGCGGTCCAGGACAGCGCAGAGTTGGAGAGAGTGGTCTGTGAAGGCGCCGTCGATCAGAGCGCGATAGATCTTTGTTGAGAAAACGTGGGATGCCGTCTTCCTGTGCATCTTCCACAAGCTGCCATCGGAATTGAAAATGCCTTTTGGTTAAAGGATAAGAAAGGAAAGGTTAGTATATTGTTGGGATGGAGAGCAACACTGGGCCAAGACATGATATCCTGTAGTGATGCGTACCGTTTCCGAGGACTTGTGACATGGTCGAGTTGAGGATATAGCCCTTCTCGTAGTTCTCAAAATTGGTCTTCATGATGTGCTCGAGGTTGACGGGATCGTTGATTGCAATGACTCTGCCCAATCCAAGCACCGTCGTCGACCTATACCATAGTCAATTGTGAGAAGCATTAGTCAATGCCGACCAATCAGGATGGGTGTGATGGCAAAGAAAATACGACCATAGGAGACTCTTACATGACGTCGCTATCGAGCTTTTCAAAGTTCTCGATAATACTTTGCAAGAAGTTGTTGCGGTTCTTGATAATGGTATAAGTGTTGCCGATGATGGGCATCCCGCTCCAAGAAATGCCATCAAGATCTGGGCGGGCACGGGTGCCGATAGCTCGGTTGGGGTACTTGACGACGAGGAACAAAAATGAGAGAAGGGCAAAGAGACCGGCCTTCTGAGACTTTGTCTTGGATCCCTTCAGGATCCTGTCCTTGAGGACGAGCAAAAGTGTTGCCAGTGTTGAAGTGCTCATGGTCGAATGTAGGTAGTTGTGTTTGTCGATGAGTGACGAGGATAAGAAGAATGCAGAAAAAAAAATGAATTAGGCGAGAGTTGCTGAGACTAGTGAGAGCGAGGAAAAGGTACAACGGAGGGGAGAGTGGAGGTTCGGAGGAGGAAGAAGGGCTGAGACTTTTTGAAAACGGAGAAATGGGAATAGACTTTTGCTCTGTCTTTTAAATAATTTTCTTCCACATGCGAACGTTCGCTCAAAGAATGAACTCTAAAAATTTCGGCCGAGAAGCCCCTATTCGTTTCCCCCCCTCTCCCGCCTCGGCTCGCTTCATCCAGACTACTAGCGCCCCTTTCGGTATCCATTGACTACAGTACAGTAGTCCATGCGACTGAATTTGCTCTTAACGCCTTGGCATTTCTCAAGTTCCTCCGCTTCGGTTACCGAGTGCTACGGAAACGAAAATGACCCAAGTCATCGCGCTTCAAGCAACCTATCATGTCACCCTCCCTTTAGCCTCTTTGTTTCTTTGGTATTGATGAGTTTTTATTTGCAGAAAATGAACAAAATGACAAAATGAGGGAGAGAGGGGTGTGTTTGGATGTGAAAAAATAATTATGGCTGCGGCTGTCAAGAAGAAAAAGAAGGCATTCCTCTCGATCCGATATCTCTAGACGGGACAATGTAGGACAAGGGGTGAGGACGAGAAATGCATTTAAAGCTCAGAAATGATGGCATTGGTGAACTCAGTGTTGGTGGAGCGACCGCCAAGATCGCCAGTCAAGACCTTGCCGTCAGCAATGACCTTCAAGGTAGCCTTCTCGATCTGGTCGGCAAAGTTGTTGAGGTTCATGTGTCTCAACATGAGGACCGAGGAGAACAAGAGAGCAGTGGGGTTAGCCTTGTCCTGGCCAGCGATATCAGGAGCGGTACCGTGGACGGCCTCGAAGATGGAGGCATCACGACCAATGTTGCCGGAGGGAGTCAAACCGAGACCACCGATGAGACCGGCGCTCATATCGGAAAGAATATCTCCGTACAAGTTGGGCATGACCATGACGGTGTCGGCGTAGATGCTGGGGTCCTGGACAATCTGCAAGCAGGCGCGGTCCAAAAGCAAGTCGTCGAACTTGACCTCGGGGAACTCACGGGCAACCTCCTGGCAAGAGGACAAGAAGAGACCATCGGACAACTTCATGATGTTGGCCTTGTGGACGGCGGTGACACGGTTGCGACCGGTCTCCTTGGCGTAGTGGAAGGCGTAGCGAGCGCAACGGTCGGAGGCATCCTTGGTGATCAACTTGATGGACTGGACAACACCATCGACGACCTCGTGCTCAATGCCAGAGTACTCTCCCTCGGTGTTCTCACGGATGAGGACGGTGTCAACGTTGTCGTAGGGGGTCTTGAATCCAACAACAGACTTGCAGGGGCGGACGTTGGCGTACAAGTTGAAGGTACTAGAGAATTAGCCCAAAAATAATATCGTGAGAGGTGAGTATTCTGCTTCAGTTGAAAAGGCTTTCCTTTGTGGGAACATCTTATAGGTTCTTCCCACGCTACATGACTGGACGAACAAAGACAAGTGCGCCATGTTCTTCCCAGCCAAGTCCGCATGTAGAGATAAATAATAGACTTACCGACGGAGGGTCAAGTTCAAGGAAACGTGGCCCTTTCCGATGGGGGTGGCCAAAGGTCCCTTAAGAGCGACGGTGTTCTTCTTGACGGAGTGGAGGGCCTCATCGGGGATGGCGACCTTTCCGTTCTTGAGGACGGGGGTGACGCTGACGGGCTCCCACTCGATGGGGACCTATATCATTCAAACGATAACAATGACGAGTGAGTGCCTTTGACTTTTTTTTGCTTCCTAGGTGACATTCGCGACTGGCAAGAACGCCTAAATGAACAATTGACTGCAGACTTACACCGGCGGCCTTGTAAATCTTGACGACGGACTCAGAGATCTCAGGTCCGATACCGTCACCAGGGATGAGGGTGACAGTGTAGTTGCCCTAAAGGTTTGAAGGAGCGGAAGCGACATATGGTTAGATTCCAATTCAGGTGTTAAGATTAGAAATGATCCCACGGTTGTTCCTCGCCTTGTTCCAGTCGCCTAACAGTGAATGGGTACCGCCATCCCACGCTCCAATGCACACGACTGTAAATTGTATACACCTCTTTGTCCGTCATCCTCGACTCCTCTTCATTGTTCTCCTTGCATGGGCAAGAGATCCATTGACGGCCTGTGGCACAGAAACTCTCCTGTCTGGATATCATTTGGACTCCAGTATGGCTGAGAAGGTTTGCAGCCCTTCATCAAATTTGCGGATGTTTCACGCAGGCCGACGATGGCACCATCCTGTGTTCGATCCAAATGATAAGTGGATTCCCTTATTCCTTCGATAGGAAAAAAAACGTTCTCATCCACCCTCCAGAGAATATGGTTCCCAGAGCCGACACAAACAAAACGAAGCTTTGAATTGACGGGTGTCCTTACGTTGGCGTTCTTCTTGGCGTTGAAAGCACCGGGCATGGAGGTGGCAGCCTGGGAGGCCATGGAGCGCATGGCGGTCTAAAAAGAGTCAAGACAAGGTGTCAGAAGGTCAGCTGCATTGCGAGAAAAGGGTGAGAAAAAAAGGGGAGTGTGAAGAGTGCATGGAGGGAATGAATCGTATTTTTTGCATTGATCATAGGAAGAATAGAAAGTGAGAATGAAGGGGTGGGAAAGTGAGAGTGAAGGTGAGAAGGAGAGGAGAAGGGAGAGGAGGGGTACCTTGGCAGAGAGAGCCTTGAGGCCCTTGAAGGCAACGGCGGTACGCTGGGTGGCAAACATGGTCGGGATGAGGGGGGTGAGGGGAGAGGAATGGGTGAAGGTGGGGAGAAGAAGATCAAAACGAAAAGGGAAACAGACGCTCTAGATAAAAGGGAGAGGGTGTGAAAAACAATCAACACACACAACAGAGAAGACGACGTCACAGAGAGAGCGCTGTTTGCTGAGTGCTCTCAACTCAGAATTGATTCTGAATAGATAACAGGAGGAGTTTGCCTCAAAAGGGAATCCCGTCTTCACTTCCCTCCCCGCACTCGAGCAATGTGCCAGTGCGCTCGCACATGGCCGCCGCTGTCCTCTCTTCATCATATCTCCTTGCCCAATCTCCTCAGAATCTCATTTTTTTTATTTTATTATATTTTATTTCACTCTCTCTGCTCTTCACTTCCCTTGTGTTTCCCTTTCTTCTAGATATCAGAGATTTGTTAAAGTCAACTTCATCTCTGTCTTTTCTATCATATCATCCGTCCAAATGACGCCGTTCCCTTTGTTCAATTTCAAGCTGGCAACAACCCGTTGTCCAGTGTGAAGACACAAAAAAAAAAAAAAAAAAATCGAATGAACCCCCCCTCCCCACCTGTGCTTACACGACAGTTCACAGGAGCTCGACTCCACTGAGCTCAGGAACAGAAGAATGAAAGAGACGGGTGTGAAATTTAGCCAGGCAGTCACTTGTGGCTTATATTTGTTTACGATTCCCCATTTGTTTTTCTGCTTCTTTTTTTTTTTTTTTCTTTCCACATACATTTTGCTGCACTAAACCGCTGTAAACCAAAGGCAAGAGTCAGCCAAAGTGTGAGCTTCTCTTTTTTAAAAAAAGTCCAAAAAACTTCCACTATTGTTCACCCCCCCTCTTTGACGTTCCTTTGCGTGTGAAGATCCCCTTCTTCGCCCATTCCATTACATTAATATCCCTTTCACACCTCTCCAACTACTCACCTTTCATCAACACACACACACAAACACACATCATATACATCACACACATCACACCTCATGTCTGATCCCTTCTTCGCTCCAGTGAGAAAATCTGGTGGCGATGGTCCCAGCCGAGGCGGTTCTAGCCGTGGACGTGGCGATCGTGGAGGCGGTCGTGGAGGCAGCCGTGGAGGCAGTCGTGGAGGCAGTCGTGGAGGCAGTCGTGGAGGCAGTCGTGGCGGCAGTCGTGGCGGCGGCCGTGGAGGCAAATCAGGAGACTCCCGGGCAATTAACCCAGCGCCCAAGAAGGATACCGGCAAAAAGAGCAGGACCACAACCTCGATGGCCGGCAAGCGGAAGCACCGTGGCGATTCTTCGGACGACGAGGCCGGCAGTCGTAAAAAGGGAGTCGTTGAGGATGACGATGAGGGTGGGGATGAGGTTGGTGCAGGTGGAATCGATGATATGGATCTGGACTATGGCGAGTCGGAGGATGATGAGGACGACGAGGACCTGATGAACGAGACTGCTGCCCAGAAGCGTCTGAGATTGGCCAAGAACTACATCGACACGTTGCAGCATGCCGGAGGTATGGAGTCCTTGAAGAACGAACCGATCATCGCCAATGCGGCATTGGAGAACATGGTTGCCTCTTGATCTACCCTTCGAATCACTAATGCAACTATGCTTAATGCTTATTTCAATAGAGGATGAGCTCGGATACGACGCAGAGGACATTGATCGGGACAACATTGCAGCTCGCTTGAAGCAGGATGCTGTAAGTTTCTCGAATACTTTCAGTTATTGTCAAAGTCAACTCATTTCTCAACATGCAAAACTGACAATTGATATTTCCTATCTGAAAATGATATAGCTTGAGATCCAGGGACGTCTTCACCGTCACCTTGCTGATACATTCCAGTTCCCCGTCAACGCAGAAACCGCCATCACAACGTGCAGAGGACACCAAAAGACAGCAACTTCGATTGCAGCGACAGAGAACGGATTGTACGCCTACTCTGGTTCAAAGGACGGATCGATCATCAAATGGGACCTGAAGACCGGCAAGAAGATCTTTTCCTTCCCCGGAGCACAGAAGGGCGTTGCTGATTTCCAGGGCCACACCGACCATGTAACATGTATGGCTGTCAGTTCCGATAACCAGTTTTTGGCATCAGGAGGCAAGGACAAGAAGATCATTATCTGGTCGGTGCAGGAGAACAAGTTTTTGCATTGCTTCAAGCAACAGCACAAGGATACCATCACGGGCATGTCCTTCCGTAAAGGCCATAACCAGCTCTATACTGTCTCAGGCGACCGTACCGTCAAGCTTTGGAACGTGGACGAACTCAGCTATATCGAGACCTTGTTTGGTCATCAGGACAGCATCACGTCTGTCGATAGTTTGGCCAAGGAGCACTGTGTTTCGACCGGAGGCAGGGATCGCACAGTCCGTCTGTGGAAGATTGTTGAGGAGTCACAGTTGGTCTTCCGTGGAGGCGGTTTCATCCGTCCCAAGAAGCTCAACAAGGACCTGCCCGACGAGCCTAAGGTGGATGCTACACCAGGACCCGACGGCGGAGTGATCATGAAGGAGAAGAAGACCCCCTCGTTCTTGGAGGGCTCGATGGACTGTCTGGCCATGATTGACGAGGAGAACTTTTTGACCGGTGGCGACAGCGGGACGATCTCGTTATGGAACCTCAACAAGAAGAAGGCCGTCTTCTCGATGCCCCTCGCCCATGGCTTCCACACTCAACCTCTGGACTACTCTAACGGCGAGGCTGTCCCAAGTGGTGGTGTCGAGTCCCCATACTGGATTACATCGCTCGCCTCGTTGAGGTACTCGGATATGTTTGTCAGTGGATCGTGGGATGGCACCATTCGTGTCTGGCAGATTGGCAAGAACATGAAGAACTTTTCCCTCCTCAGCACAATCCCCATGGTAAGCTTTGCCGTTTTATAATTACCCACTATGTGTAGATGCAGGATCACAAACTATACCTGATACTAATTACTTGTACGCTTTTTTTTCACTTTATTTAGGTCGGCGTTGTGAATGATCTTCAGTTGTACCAGCCAACGCTCTCGAAAAAGACACTACTGGTCGCCGCCGTCGGTCAGGAGCACAAGTTGGGTCGGTGGTTGAGGATAAAAGAGGGTCGTAACGGAATGAGGGTTGTGGAGTTGACCGCAAAATCAAAAGACTCTGACGATGCCAGCCAGGACGACGAGCAGTCCGATAACTAGACTCTCTCTCTTTTTTTTCCCCCTTATTTCATTCAACCATTCTCCTTCTCGTTTTACCATTTGAGTTCCCCCCCCTCTAAAACAGCATTCAATACATTCACAATCATCAGCATAGATCATTTTCTTTAAAATCTATTGCCATTGGGTGTCTATCAACGTCGTACAAGATAAATGCCATTCTACCGTCATCGACATCCTCATCGCCTTTGAGGCGATGGGCTGCGTCTATCGCCAGACGACAGGAAGTTCTCGTACTCCTCATCGTCGTCACTGTCACGAATCCCGCCTTCCACCACAAGCTCGTCCCTATTCAAAGGAAAAGAAAAATGATCAGTAACCAGGGCAATCCAACTGACAATAGCGGTCGATTCTCATGCGAACGAGGGAAGAAGAGGAACTTACAGCTCGTCGACAGGGGCATGGCGGCGGTCACGTCCCATGCCTTGGTTGTTACCGTTGTTGTTACTGAGAGGGAACCATTGGACACCATCATGGCCACCGCCCAGCTTTTTCTGGCGCTGGTTTTTCCGCACGATCACAAAGATCGCCACTCCAATCACCATCACCACAAACAACAATGCCGCCGATCCACTACAAGTTCATAGAAAACAAAACAAAAAAGACAAACCATTAGTGAACGCCAACCTACACCGACCCCCTCTCCCCCCCATGAACAAGGAAAAAAAAGTACAAGACCAAACTTACTTGGTAGAGATGTTGGATTCAGGCTGACTAATATCCACTTTCTCGCCGCCCGAGGGGACGGCATTACCGGTATCAGACTCCAAGCTGGAGGTGAAGGTTTGCAGCTTAGTGTCCAGACCCATGAACCGGTTTATCATATCCAAAGCCACCAGGGGCACATCGTAGGGCACCATATGCGACGAATTGTAGATCAACACGTAGGTCAGGTTCTTGGCCTGCATCCATTCTCCTGCGGGTTTCTCTTCAACCTTCCATCCGATCGACCGAGTGTCCTATTTTTGCGATGTTAAGAATGATTAGAGCACGTCATTTTCATACCAAGGTCAATAAGAACATATCGCGCAGAAAAGTAAAAAATCAATACCTGGAACCCTCGGGATCCCTGCCAAGTCATGTTGGAAATGAGATACTCTGTTCCGATATGATTGCAGATCAGGTCTTGCTGGCCGCTATGTTGTGAATCAAGCAAACAAAAAAAAGAAAAAAGTCAATTTCACATTTGGGGTGCTATTTAGCTTAGGTAGAAGTGTGCTCAGCAGGTAGACTTTTGACCGATATAACATACCTAAAAAGCATGATCCTGGTCTTTTCCAAAATGCCGGGAAGGAGCTATGAAACAAGGCAAGAAAGAACCAAATAGCGTTGTTGAGCTCGAGTACGTCTTCATATGTAACCTATGAGTGTCCTGAAGCATTTGAAAACAACTGCCATATCTTTTTCGCAAGAGCCAGTATGAAGCTTTCAGCTTACCGCAATAGAGGGGGTCGAGTCGTCCTGTCGCAAAGCGCTGCCGACACGGGTGTTGCACTCGCTCCAGTATGTGTCTCCTGCCGTGGCATGAAGAGCCGCCTTAACATCTGGCCGCTACATACAGCAATGAATACACCAAACGAGATTAGGATGCGACAGAAGACCAAGAGAGAAGAAGGGGAGAAAGTGCCTCGATTATACTTACGTTCAGGTAATTGCCCATTAATGGCAGCTCATAGGGCCATTTCAGACCGCAGTATGGATACTCATCAGTCAAGCGAATGTCGTACTGGTTGACACACTGGGTCCTATAAAGTTGTAATAGAAGAGGGTGATAGAAGTACGCGTTTGGTCAGCTCTTATACCCTCTAGAAGACGTAACAGTAACAGGGCACCAAGTTATATCAAACATGACTTACGTCTCGTTGTTTGATTGCAAGATAAGAGATACAAGTCCCTCGCATATGTTTTGAGTGATAAGGTTCTGTCGCCGGATAGCATCCAAACAATCGTTCTGCAGAGCGCTCATGCTCGTCTAAGTAACGATAATAAATTCGTGGATCAAGTGTTTGCGTTAGATGTTTGCATACCATACCCTGTCCAGACAGAAATAATCGCCTCCTCGTACAGATCCAAGATTGCATAGTTACCAGTAAGGTGGGTGTCATAAGACCGTACTTCTCTGCGAAAGGGATAAAGGAAGTGTACTACAAATCAAGAGTGAACATACATGGTTGTTAGAATAGCCTTACACCAGATATGGATATGGATTACGAGAAACCACACAATTGTATCTGCGTGTTGAATGTACCTGGTGAAGTGGATCGATCCAGCCGTTACCGATGGCCAATCCTTGAAGGTTGTAGAATATCTCTCCTGCAGGGATGTTTTCGTTGTGTTCCAAGATTCCCTGGCCAAAATAGGGTATATACGTGCCTGCAAAACTCTCTCCCGCAAGGTACAACTATGCAAGTAGAAATTCAAAGAGTTAGCGATTGTGAATCTTGCATTTATGACGACAATAAGCTCAGTCAAAAGCACGAACGCTGGTGGCCTCAATATGTACTTCAACAGTAGCTCATACATCATGCTGGGCACGGTCGGGGAATATGGCAAAAAACGCCTTCAGGAATGCCATGAAATGTGTTGTGATCTAAAAGAAAGGTCGATAGTCAGTGTTAGACACAGCTTACTTCACATTACCCTCCAACAACAAAGAGTACAGCCGTCTATTCTCATTCTCGGGCACATACCTCCTTCATTGTTCCGAGGTATGGCTGTTTGGTGTAGCTTAGTCCTGTTCCGACGGGCTGGTCCACTATTTAATTAGAGAATGCATTATCAGACATTAGTGAGGCGACCCTTTAAAACCAAAACATGGGCAGTCGATGATACACTTGAGACCTTTGCAAAAGGTCATCCTTACAAAATACTACATCGGCAAACTCATGCCAACCGCCCTTGTTGATAGTGAGCTTCTGGTTCACGAATCGGAGAGGTCCAGTTTCTAAAAAATATCCATCAGCGCTCGAGCTATTGAACAAATGTGAAAAAAGTACGCCAGGCGATTAGAGGCGTCTTTCTGTAAACATATCATGATCGATTCTTTGAAAGAGACGCCTGAGGCAATGTGCAATCGTAGAGTCGTTTTACCATCCTGGCCCTGAAGGTTTGCAATGAGCAAAGGAGGAAAAGGCGATAATATGAAGAAAAAAACGGTCGTTGGTCAGTCTGCACGATATCATGTCCGTTCCTGTTAGAGTCCAGAACTGTCAATTAACCCGCGACTCGTTACCTCCGTTCAGCCAGATCACCTATAGGTACACAGAATGCGAACGATATGAGTACAACGCTCTCAGCGGTAGATAATACCTTGGAGAATTCTCTGACAATGAGCAATAACGACGCCTGTCGCTCGCGCGCACTTACCAGCTTCTGATTCTTTTGAGGCCGTCTACTTGTGACCAACCAAAAAAACAAGTTGGACTCCTGCTCCGGATCCAAAGCCATGTGTCTAATAAGCATTGAGATAACAAACATTTGAGCCGATAATTAGCCTCAAGGCCGCACGCCATTGCCACCAAATGTTCCTGTGTCCGTGTACATATAATGTGTCTCTTGTCTTTCTCTGCTTCGCTTTGCTTTTGCTTGCGTTCCTGCTCCTGTTCCTGCTCGTGTTCCTGCTTTACTTTGGTCTGGGCATGGGGGTGTCTTACCCTGCATATTGCTTAATCTGAGCTGATTCCTCTGCAGACAGGTCTGGGAGATTGGTTACGAGGTAGTCATCTGCCACTATTGAATCGAAAACCATGAATAAGGATGAGGATGAGGTGAGCTGATGAATGACCTTCAGGGACACCTTTGCAATTAGTTTTGCCGGGTGCTGAAAATGTGAGTTTTTGTCCTGCTTTGTGTAGTTCCGCACCTTTCTGTTGAGCTTGAACGATGGTGAGGGATGAGAGCTGGGCGATAGCGCCGACGGCCAACCAAGCCAGTTGAGACGCACGCATGAAAGAAAACGAGACGGGAGAGAAGTAAGACTGAGACCGAAGGGCGAATGTGTTTTATTCCTGATGAACGTGGGCGAGAATAAGAAAGATGAAGGAGCAAGAAAGTAACACAGTAAAAGGTGTGAAAAAAGTACAAAGTGATTTTAGACAACAGGGAAAACTTTGAAGGACAAATTGGGCAAAGAAGGGGGCAGTGAGGGGGCGAACGAAAGAGGTTCAAGGAGGCGATGATTATTATTGCTATTGTTGAGGATGGTCCCCTCTTGCGCAACCCTTTCGAGTGACGACCATTTGACTCGACTATGATCTTTGTTCAGATCTTATCACCAGCTTGCTGGCTGCCAGGCACAGTAGAATAGTCGCAATTGAACAACAATCATGTGCGTTCTGGACCCTGGACAAGCCATGAAGGACACACTCAGTATATTTGATCATCAACCAATCACCGCTCAAAGTATCACCATCAGAGATTATTTATTTTGGTGGCAATGCATTAACCAACAGGAATCCCTCCAGCCAGGCACTACTTTATTTTTCTATCTCGATCTTTAACATACATACATGCACACAAGCGCTGTGCCAAAGGATAGCGATGGAAAGGGGGTCTCCCTGGTTCGTTGTTTATAAAGAAAAAGTCAACCCCAGACATCAGACACCAAACCACAAACCTTTCTCTTCTGGAATATCGCAAATGTCGTACATTCACATACTCAATTCAGGAACCATGACAAGAAACGACACCAATCCAATGCACTGGGATATGAAGCCATTGTTTCGGCATGGAGTACGAAAAGAAAAGACGGAGGAAGTGAAAGTAAAGCAAGGTAAAGACTACACAAACAAAGATAAAGCCACAAGGGTCTGAGCGGGAATGAAAAGACATGAAGAAAAAGGAATGGTGCGAGAAAGAACAAGAGAGACCATAATATGTCTGACATCATGAAAGTCATACTTTGTCGCCTGTTTTCACCCTCACAAAATCTTACTTCATCTACTGTTCTTGATTTCAGACAACGAGATGCATAATAATGACTGAGTAAGATGGACCTAGATGGTGAACCAGAGACATAGGTGGTTTCCTACTCTTCCCTTATTGTTCCCTTTATCCCTTCCACATGTGTGCGTGCAAAAGACAGTAAGCAATGACCAAGGGAATGAAAGGAAGGAATGAGGACTGAGGGAAGGTCTTGAAGACGTTCAGGAGCTGGACCTTAATCGATGTCTCTGGTCGGAGATGAGTGAGTGAGCACGTAATGGATTTAAGCAGCTGTTCATCGAAAAATAGGAAAAGGGAGGGAGGACTGTTGATCTGAAATGACCAACAGATCTATCTTCCGGTCCATGCACGGTACCGTAAGCAGCAAAGCCAGCAATTAACGGGATGGAAAGGAACCAGATGAATGAATGAATGAATGAATGAAAAAAATACAAGATATTATTTATTATTTACAACAAGATAAAAAGAAAAGAAAAAAGGATTGTCTAAGCACTTGGACAATTCAATGGTATATGGTGAAGTCGACATTAATGAAGGGGAATGAGTGACGGAAAAGAAGGGAAAATGGTGAATAAAGGATGGTATATGATAGAAACAGAAGGGCTGAAAAAGATTACACAGATCGAAGGATGCTGGCACGAAGGCGCTGCTCTTCCTTCACTGTTGCATTCCACTCGCCCTCCCAGCATGCTGCAGCGCGAGTGGCACCCCAGCGATCGGTCATCTCTGTCCGGATCATGCGCTCGACCATCACGATCTCCTTCTCGTAGATATCCCGGATGAGGCCTAGGAAGTGGTGGTCATAGGTGAAAAAGTTGGTGGTGAACTTGAACGACTCAAGGTTGGGGAAGAGCTTGAGCAATGCACCAAAGCCAGGGAGTGTGAGAGGAGTCGAGGTATACTTGGTGATGGTCAAGTGGCGAACCGATGAGCCGGGGAGAGGGGAGGAGGGGGTGGTGGGTGGTGCTGTGGCAAAGTAGGAGTGGTGATGGGCGAAGGGATGGCTCAGAGGCGAGCTGGCAACGCGCTCAAAGCTGGTGGCCTGTAGCTTCTTGACACGCTCCATCATCGTCCTGACATTGTCGTTAGAGATGCATTCCAGATCGAGCAACTCGAGTGACTCGACCTTCCCGCACTCGAGTAACGACCAGAGACCCTCCATGCTGACTTCCTTGGTGCCGACAGAAGGAACCTGGTAAGGAGCCAGGGTGATCGACTTCAGCTCCTCCCAACCGCTCATCATGCGACGGAGGACGGTATCAGAGATGGCGTGCTGGCCCTGGAAGCTCTTGATGTTGGGGCAGGCAGCGGTGATGGCGCTGACGATCTCGGGGGCAATGAAGCCACCATCCCGGTTGCCGTTGTAAAGGAGGTGTTCAAGGTGGCGACCGTAGCGGACGATGCAGAAGACGAGTTCTGTCATTTCGAGGTCAAGAAAGTTGTCCTGGATATCGAGAGACTTGAGCGACTCGTGGCTCTGCTCCATGAGGATGGCAAGGGCATGGGAAAAGTCCTGGTGGAGGGTGAAACCAAGCTTGCGGTATTCCTCGCGGCGACGCGGGAGGGTGAAGGAGGTTATGTGGGTGTGCAAGGTATGCATGCCTTGATGCTGTGGGAAGTGGTGCATGATCGAGGTGTTTTGGATGGGGACGGTGGTTTTGGAGATAAAAGAGGAGTGGCAGTTGGCGATGCGAAGGGAGCGAATCCTGGGGGCAAGGCGGCAAAGCTGTTGCATACAGAGGACGAGGGTGTCGAACTCCATGTAGTCGAGGGAGATATGGGTGTAGAGAGAGGGGTCCGCGAGAATGCGGTGCCAGGTGCGGCAAGTGCTAATAGAAGGGGGAAAGAACCGAGCGAGCAATGGAGCCAACGGGGGCGTGAAAGAGAGAACAGAGCGGGGAGAGAAGTGGGAGGAGGAGGGATAAACAGATTAGGATAACTGGAAAGAGCAGAGCAAGAGCACCCGGGGGTGGAAGAAAGTGGGCGCAGGGTTGATTCAGCCAGGGCCAAATAAGAAAAAGACGGTCAATTGCACTTGCACGAGGCCGGGAGAGAGGAGTGAACTTACCCAGCAGTGGTGAACTTTTCTTTGAGGGAGAGATAGCTGAAGACATCGAGCCAGATATTCTCAGGCATGTCAATAAGGGAGAGGGAACTCCGGGGGATGATATCGATATCCATGCTGTTGGCAAGGCAGAAAGTCATTATCGTTGAAGGGGAAGTGCGATTGTGAGTGAGTGTGAGTGTTGAGCGCAGTATGAGTGAATGAATGAGAGAGAAGAGAGTAAGAGTGCAAGTGGGAGTGGGGTTGAATGCAAATAAAGAGAGTGTAGGATGATAGAAAGCAAATAAGTAAATAAGCAAAATAAGCAAATGAGTGTAGCGGAGAGGAAGAGGAGGGGAAGGAAGAGGGCGAAAAGAAGAAGAAGAAGAGTAGCGAGAAAGAGAGAAAGAGAGAAAATGAGAAAGAGGAGGTGGGAAGAGGAGGAGGAGCGATGGGTTATCAAAAAAAAGGGGGAGAAAAGAGAACCATCAGTAGAGTATTTATATGAGCGGCGGCCAGAGACGAGAAGAGAAGGGGATGAAGAGAGGGGGAGGAGGCGATTCAATTGCACCTGGCAAACTGACACCAAGGACTGACATGGATTGAATGAATAGGCAGCAACACACATAGAGTAACGATCCACGAGTTGCAATAAATTAGAAGAGAAAGGCGGGCGAATGGGGTGTCAGCAAAGAAAAAGAGTCCTGGCTGCCTGACTCTCTGCCTCCCTGGAGCAGGTCGACTCAATGAATAAGGTTGCTCAGGCTGAGTGGACCCGTTGCTAAAATACTTCTTGCAGTTGCAAGACATCCGCAACCATAACACCCTGGGCATCACTTGCTCTCTCTCTCTCTCTCTCGCTCTCTTTTTTGCTCCTTCAACCAGGACAGACACAAGCATAGTCTTGCTTGGTTATTCGCCCCTCCTTTTACTCACTCGTCCCTTGTAAAATAAACCGCTATTCCCATCGCCCAAAACACCAACACGAACGAACAAAGACAAAAACTCTATTTTGCTTTATGTCTGGCTCTCCTGGTCGTCTCTATCTGTTATAATGGAGATTATTATTATTATTATGGTGCTCCTCCCCCTTCCTTCTTCCCTTTCGTCTCACCACATTCACTTGGTGCAAACAAAAAAAACACACACACACTCAAAAGTGAGAACTGGGAGCGAAAAGGGGGAAGGGGTCGTAGAGGGGCGTCGGTAACTTCTGCAGTAACGCTTGTTTTTTTCCTCCTTTTTTCAAAAAAGAGAGACAACAGAAACGCTGGAACTCTCCCTTGAGATTACACATACAAACAAGCCTCCTGCACATACAAGACATACACACACAGACAGCAGACGGGAAACTAGAAGAACAGTAATGCAAAGAAAAAGAAGAAACAAAGACAAGAAGACAAGCACTGCATTGAGAAGGAGATAGCGAGTGAAAAGAAAGGGCGATATATCGAGAGTTGTGTGGTGTCCCGTAGAAAAAAAAGTGAATGCGCAATTTTCTAGGAAAGAACAAAAAATATCCTTTTTCGCCAGACACCCTCAGGGCGCATGCAGCAGAAGCGTGCTGACCAAAGAAGGCAAGGGGAGCGAAGCACATTCGAGTGCTTCTATCGGAGATCGCCGTAGCATTAGACATGCTGCTAATCTAGTAGTAGTGGATGTACTATGGAGAAAGAGAAAGAGGGGGTCACATTCGATAAGATGTAACGTACTTGGCCCTCGCCTTGGCTGTCCGTCTGTCTGTCTGTCTGCCTGTCTGTCCGTCTGTCTGTCTGTCTGTCTGTCCATCTGTGCTACGTAAGATAACAAATGAAAGACCCCTTTCCATAATGTGGTTTCGCTGTCTTTGTCATTGTTTGTTTTGTCATCGCATAGCATCGCGACTTTTTACTCTTTTCCCTTCCCTTCCCTTCCCTTCCCATCCCTTCCTTTTTCCTTTCCCTTTCCCATCCCTTTCCCTTACCTTCGATTGATCGCAGGACAACCATTATGAGAAAATTAATGAAGGAGTGGATCCCCTGTTTGCAATTCCAATATCCCTGTTACCCCCCGCCCCCGTCTCGCCCCCCTTTTTTCTCTATGACCGAGTCGCCACAGCGGATGCAATTTGGGCATTGCACGCGCCTTCCACCCCTCCTTCTTTGCCGGCGCACATGTCGGATAAGTCACAATGATACCAAAGAAGCGAAAACGCAGACACAGTACCCAGACGAGGGGTACTGACACGCAACCCTTCCCAAGTCAGCCTTCATTTTTTGTCGTTTTCAGTTAGGCTGGTTTCTTTTTCCTCTTCATGTTCTTCTACTGACCTCTTTGACTCTCGTTTCTGTGGGCAGAGGCGCCCAAAACATAACAATTCAAGACGACTGCACATGATATGTCTCCACCCCCTACTTCCCTCCCGTCTTCTTCTTTCACCCCCCCTTGTGTCTCTCCTAGGCGATGTTTCTGCCGTCCAGAACACAACACAACAGACACACTGTCCACGTAACACACTCACCATGCGCTAGATGCTTTATCACGCTGCCTCTATCTCCTTCGATCGAGACGAGAATGTCCTCCCCCGTTTTTTTTTGTCTTATGAGGTATTCTCATTCGTCTTTCTCGGTGTGAAATTGGGACTCATTTCAGGTCACTCACTTCTTACTCACGCGTCCTTTCTTTTGTTCACTTTCGCGTAGTTGACTCCTTCTTCTCCGGTCTCAAAAGAAAGAAAAAAAAAGGGAAAGACCACAAAAGTGCAATTTACTAAGCCTAGACAAGGTCTCTCCACAGCTTGTCCCTTTTTTTTCATTTTTTCTTACGAGTTTCCTACGGCAACCACTTCTTCCATCAAACAATCTTCAAATTGGCCTTCTTATTGTTTTGTCCTTTTCAACGCCCCTCTTTTTGTTTAATAAGGAGCGGATTTTGTGGCTTTCGCATGAAGAGAGAACAAAAATAGGGATTGTGGTCGTTTGTTCGGCCTGTTAGGCTAAACAAGGGGGGGGGGAAGGGGATGAGAAGGCACTCTGACGAAGCATCATCATTTTAGCTCGTCATTTTCTTTTTTTTATCCTTGCTTCCTTTTGTTACGCACTCCGCGGAATGTCGAACACCTCTCTCTCTCACCTAATCAACGACGCATTGCGCTAAGCTTCTGACCAGCGGTGCAGTTTTTACCATTGTTTATTTATTTTTGTATAAGTGTGCGCTTCTGTTGTCGTCCAACAAATGTCTCTCGATCGTCTCGTTCGTCCTTGTCTTTCTTATTTTGCCACTCCTTCTCTGTTCGTCCATTTGTCTCCTTCGTTTTGTTTTTGACTTTAAAACATACTGAACCCAAAACATACTCCACTCCACATGCCATCCATCCTTTAAAACCCATCAACTGGCCCTCAAACCTCAAACCTCCATCCAAAAGTTAAGTTGTCCCCCATTCAGGTGAACCCTGTCAAATGGAGGGGGAGCTAGAGAGTCTACTGGGCCATACGGGATCGATCAAGAAAAACTGCGATCGAACACCCCTCTTTTCCTTCTTCCTCCAGCATGTTCAGTTCTTCCCGCCTGGCTAGCAAAAAATAGCAAGGTCCAAGACATGTCGACCCCGGTGGACAGCAGGCCAGCATCCAATTGGTACTTGTTTTCTTTTTGCTTCGGTCGGCTCCTTGCTGCCGGATTCAGAGCAAAATACCAAAAATATATAAAAAATAAAAAAATAAAAATGCTCAAATCAAAGAGGAAAGATCAAGTGTGTGAACGGGAAGGGAGAGAGGAGTCAAAACCAAGCACCTTGACGTTTCACATCTCAAACCGATAGGGAAAAACGCGATCATCTTCCCCCTTTCTTTTCTCGTTACCTCTGGCCTGGTTATGTGTTGGCTGGGCTGGGCGGAGGAGTTGAATCGAAAAGAAATTGGATGGAGGGGATGGCTGACAAAACGAAATAGAATGAACCACCGCCAAACAACAACATGGAGATGGAGTGTGACAAGAAACAAAAACAAACAAACAAACAAACAAACAAACAAACAAAAAAAACGTGCTAGATGCACTCATCCCATGGCTCTCTCTCTCTCTCTCTCTCTTTCTCTTTTCTTTTCGTTGGCCTGTGTTTCTCGTTCTCATTATCTGGCTCTCAACCTTGTTTTGTTGACTCTTGGGTGCAGTACTGTAGAACTTCCATCCCTTCCGTTTTTATTGTTTTTTTTGCTGAGCTTCACTGGGCTGGGCTGGGCATTGCTTACCTGCTTCTTTGTTTACCTTCCCGTCTGTCGTTATGTCGCGTTTGTTTTTTTACCTTCTTCGCCTTCACTTCTGATCACTTGGCGGGTCGTCCCTGACTTCAAAAAACCCCTGATCTATCATTCCCCTTTCAATTTCAAAAGTCTTGGATCGGAGGTTGACTGATAAACGGGATACCTTGCAGCAAAAAAAACAAAAACAAATCGAAAACAACTTCAAAAGAGAGACATGCATTCAACACCAACTACGCCCAATCCCAGCAGAAGCTGACTTCGCAAAAAAAAAATGTTTCTTTGCAGCTGTTGTTTCACGATCAGCCTTCCCGGAGAACCATGGTAAACATCCAAAAAAAAAATCCAGGGGCAATATCCGCATTTCCGATATCAGGGAAAGGAAAAAGAATGGAAGCTGAATCAGCAAAGTAGGAACTGATCCATCATCATCATCATCATCAGGACTCAAAAATGGTCGTCTGTTTTTTTTTTTTTTTCTTTTTTTCTTTTTTTCCTTGTCCTCACTGTAAGCTCTGCCCTTCTCTCCCCGCATCTCTCTCCAGAAGCACCCCGATTACCCCGATGCAAAGAGTCACCCATCCAGGGCAAACAAGGTTCATTAGCCCTTAAAGAACTATCTCTCCAAACTTGTCGTCATAGGTTATCCCGCAGGGAATACAGCAGACCGGATCGAAAAGAGAAGAAATACTTCCCGCCCCGCGATGTTTTGTTTTGATTCGAATCGAACAGAAACGGTAGATCCGAATCTTGGGGTAAAAGTGGGTAAGGAAAAACGCTCTCTGCTATTACTTATTTATTTTTTTCGATGACGCAAAAACGGGATAGGTAGGCAGATGAGGGGTCTCACTCGCTTCATAAAGTGTGATCCATCCAATTCGGTCCACATCATGGTCCCTTTCTCTTTTTTTTATATTTTCGATTGCCCAATGAAACTGACTAAGGACTAAGGACTAAGAAGGGGACCCCAACTTCATCGCAGAAATGTGCGCTAGAGAGAAAGTGCGCGAGTTCGCCTTCGCAGGGCCTTTGACTTTATGAGACCATAGGCGATGGTCTCACGATAATTGCGTTGTTGGAGGTGATGTTGTTGCTGTTGAAGTTGCAACTGCTGTTGTTGTTGTAATTGGATACATTGCTGCTGTTGTTGCTGTTGCACCATCGAGATCTCCCTAGACCGGCTTTGGTCGACAATGATCGATGATAGGCCAGATCCATTCTCAACTTGGCCCCTTATTCCTCGTCCTGCTACTAGTCCGCCTATCCGACTGGTCATTCCCACGAGTGATGTTGCTGCCGCGTGCGAGGATGAAGACGAAGGCGGCGAATCATGATGATGGGTCCCAGACCGGGCCCGGGTCGTCATTGTTGTTGTCGCCGTCGTTGTTGTTGTTGTTGTCGATGCTATCGCCTGAGACCCCTCTGGACGGGGGCTCCAATTGAACGTCGTCGTCTGTGGTTGATGATGTCTACCACCAAAATACCCCTCACCTCCAGAGTCGCCACCCGACGGGTCCTCTTCCTCCGTGATTGGAGTCACACCTAGTGTAGAAGTGGTGGGTGTCGATGTCATTGTAGATGTCATACTCGCCATCGCCGAAGCCTTCCCACCACTCGCCTTCCGTCGCTGTTCCTCTCCTTCAGCCTGAGCACGACACTGGACCGAACAGGCAACCCACTCCAGCGGCACGATCCGCTCATCCATCACTCCGACGCCCTTCCATCGCAAACCGGGGAAATAAAGTCGCTTCTGGCAAACCGAACAAAACTCACATCCCATCTCCTTCTCAACCAACGTCAATGACATCGAAATAGTCGGATCCTTGAGTGATCGACGACGGCCCCGACGATGAAGAAGAGGAAGACCGGAAAGGCTATTCTGAGAACTGCCCTGCACTCCTGCCTCTGTATCCCGGTCTTGGTATGAATCCGGATATATATCCTCATGGCCATCCCATTCGTCCAAATGTGACTGCTGTTCGTCTTCACTATTGAACAGATCAAGAGCCCTTCGCATCTCGGCAAGTCGGTGCAGGCCCAGCTGCTCTATCATCCACTCTGGGATCATGGTCGCCATACACTCGCCCATCTTGTCCATCTCCGAGTACGCCGCCGCCGCCACCAATGGGTCTGTATTATGAGTTGTTGTTGTTGTTGTTGTGGATGGTAGTAGAGTCCCAGGAGGAGATGTAGGAGGTCCGGCCTTCCTGTTAGATTTCCTGGCTGCCTTGTGCGGACATGACCTAGTATGGCAAAAATAGTGAGGATCCTGGTTCAACTTTTCTCCAACAATCTGTGAGCAGATATCGGCAAGACTGAGAGTCCATGAGCAAGAAGTGTAGCTGTCCTTGGAGTAGCCACGCTGGTCGACCGGATGAGCTGGGTAATGCGATGTCTCTTGGTGCGAATGGTTGTGTGAACGGTGGCTGTGGTTGTGGGTGTTGTTTTGGTTGTGATACGTCGGCGAGGTTGGGGTTGAATCTAAATGTCCCGAGTTGGCCCTGATAGGCGTAGCGGGCAATGGTGGTGATGGTGACAGTAACGAGGGGCCAAGAGGTTGGAAGGGTAATGCCGAAAACGACGCCCCTGCATTGAGAAAGGCCGTGGGAGGGGTCAAAACAGCCTCAGCGGGTCGAGTTGCAGATGTTGCCCATGAAGGTCCTCCTTGTGATGGGACGGTTCCTGATGGTGATTGAGGCGCTGTAAACCGAGGAGCGCCCACTTGCCAGAACCGGTTTCCACGAGCCCAACACTTCATGCCTTGACGTATCTGAACATAATCATCATCATCATGACCCCCCTCCTCGTTCGATCCGGCATTAAAATGTCCGGCTCCTCCTTGTCCATGCAAAGCAACTGGCGAATCCAGCGGTGTCGGTGGTGCAGAAGACCCTTCGCCACGACTATCGATCCCGCCCTGGCTCGCTCTCCGCAGCATCCGCTCCGACATCAGAGACTCTGACACCAGCCGCTGAACCTCGACAGGGATACATCCCAATTGATTGTCCGCAATGTCTAAAAGCCTCAGCCGAGTCAACCGGCCGAGTTGCTGAGGTAAAGACTGGAGTTGGTTCGACTGTAAAAAGAGTTCTTCCAGCGTCAGTCCAAGCATCCCGATAAGTCCAGAGATCTCTGTCAGTCGGTTTTGAGAAACATCCAGTTCGCGCAGGGAAGGTAGCCGGAAGATCTGATCCGGGAGGTCCGTGAGTCGGTTTCCTTGGAGTCGAAGTGATACGAGATGGGACAGATAGGTAATCGATGATGTCGCCACAATCTATCCAATGATCGAATAATTGCTCAATCCGTCAGTCATTGCTAACAGTATAGCGCCAATACAAATCCCTCCGGCATATTTTTTGCCTCATTCACAATAACATATGCATCCAGCTGTTGGTTTTACCATGGATGAGATGTGAAGTCTTGCAAGATGGACAATTCCACGGTCCGACTCGGAGACCCGCGTTAAATGACATATCCTGCGACGCCTCTGATACTTCGCATGCGCATCTCTGGTATCTCCATTGGTATCGACCTGATGGCCGGAACCAGCGGTGGTAGTGGTTGCCGTTGCAATGTCATAAGGAGAGTTGCTGTTGTGAGTAGCAGCAGGATGTGTGCGAGTGTCGTTCCGGACAAGAGTATGGGTAGTAGTGAAGCCGTTGGTTCCAGGAGTTGGCAAAAAGTAGAGTCGAACGACGTGTTGGTCACACTCTCGTGCAAGATCGAGAATCGTGTTTACGGATGGCTGGATGGTGCTAGTTGTGGTTGATGTGGTTGACGTGGTTGTGTTTCCGCTGGTTCTTCCAGCGACGCCGTGGATGCACGAGGTGTTCGAGTAGGGCAGCACGGCCATGGGTGCAAGTCAGATGGTCATGAGAGCAAAGGATGAGTCGGTGAAAAAAATAACCGTTTTGCAAAAAATGTGATTGAAATGATGTGACCGGCGTTTATTAAGTTGTCTATGCAGGTGGGATTAAGGTCGAGTTGGAGTAGAGATTGGAGGCGTCGCTTCTCCTGTCGGCCGTGCTTCTACGACTCTGCTCAATGATACCCAAAGACTCCTCGGTATCACCCTCTCGCGAAATCAACGTTGCAGCTGTAATGCCGCTACGGTTCTTTTTGTCGAGCCAAGTCTTGAAGCCGGTCCGCGAATGTTCCTCCGAGAAGGTGTCACACTGAGCACTACCACTGGCAGCTCCTGCACTCGGCTCGACCGATGGGGTTGCCGCCGATCTCGTGGAAGCCGCCTTGGAGAGTGACGACTTTGGTGACCTGACTGAATGCGCGGGAGACGGACCTGTGGCCTGACGCGACAGCTGATGATGATCAAAGGGCAGGAAGACAGTCGTCCGACTACCCATGCTTGTCGTTCCAAACTTGTCCGTTGGCTGGTACTCTGGCTCATCTGGCTCGAACGCCAGCAGACCACGGGAGGATGACACGAACTTGGGCCAAACATCGCGGAAGAGGAGTTCCTGGACCTCAAAGGTCGCGCCGTCAAACATGCCAGAGCCCCATTCGCGCTTCTTAGCCCTTTGGTGGATCTCCTGTACAGTCTCGTGAGAGAGGTTGAGCTCCAAACGCGCTCCTGAGGCAATGAAAGTGTTATACACGTACTCGAACTGGATCAGCAAGGTAGGTGGCATGGGCAGTGGAGCAAAGGGAGTGTTGGGCATGTTGATAATGTCGAGATGGATAGGCACGGTAGGGTTGCCGGCTTCTTGGTTTTCCGAGATGCCTTCCTCGAGGTCTGGAAGCGCAGTTGAGCTACCTCCGTACCGTTTGAATGTGGAGTGGGACGAGGAACCTAAGGGCGATGATGGCTCGGATTCGTCAAAGAGCGAGGAGGAAGAACGGCGCGATCCTAGCATGGGCATTGTCGATGAAACGGACGAGACAGAGACAATCTTCTTGATCCGCTGAGAGCCCTTCCCGTCGTCCAGCTGAAGTCGATGTGCTGATCCAAAGTGGGTGGGAAGAGGTCCAAGAGTCGACTCACGCGCACCGACGTTCGACCCCTTCTCGACCTCCTCCTCCTCTTGTTGTGCCAGTGTCGACAGATCCGTTGTGCTGCCGACCGGCTCGACAGCATCCTGAGAACCCGACGTCAACTCTCGAAGCCTCTCATACTGCGTTGCTCTCTTCTCCAGACGCGCGACCTCGTACAGAAACCGGGTGTTTTCTGCACAAAACTCGGCAACCGTGAAGGCACTGATATGGTCAAACATCCTCCTGTCCTCCAATGCCTTGATAAACTCATCCCAGTCCGTCTTTATGTGTCTGATAGTCTCTGCATGCTCGGACGAACCGAAACCGAATCGATGGCGTTGCTGATTCCGGATAATGTTCTTAATGCCGGCGTTGAAGCCACTGGTGTTGTTCTCCTGTTGGTTGGTGTGCTGGGTATGGAGGGGAAGTTGATCGCGTTCGCCTTGTTGGTTGCACTTGGTCTCGACAGGGGGTGAAAGTTGTCCGTTGCTGCCGTTAAACCACTGCTGCCTTGCGAACGGCTGGGTCGATCCTTCTTCCAATGGCACGTTGTTGGCGCTCGTCACGACTATCCGGCCTCGACCATGGTCTCTATCCGTGTGCGTGGCGCCAGTTCCTCCATTACCCTTTGCTGCGTGTTCCTTCCTGTTCCGGCAGCGGCACCGGTAGGGATTGGCCCTGTAATGACGGATGAGAGGCATGATGATACTCGGTATATGTGCAGCAACGAGGATAAGTCCCATGAAGTACACCTCATCAACGACATCCGTGATGGGCTTGGCGATTCTTGGGAGGGCAAAAAACAGGGAGATACATGGGAGGGAGAACAGCGAGATCCAGATGAGCTCCTTGCGAATACCGTAGCCGTCGTTGACTCCGTTGAGCTGGTAGATCATAGTCGGCGACAGGATGAACAAGAAGATGAAATACGTAATATAAGGGAACAGATACTGTACCATTGCAAAGGAAGAAAAAAATGTGTGTTAGGAGACTACAAACAGAATTGCAAGAGCGGCTGCGATGTGAGAAGCGGGCAATGTCATCCAGAATACCGTACCGGCAGAAACTCGACGGGACAAGAACCCTCTCCATGGTCAATCGTCAACATCACTGGTCTTGTCGCGATCATGAATACTACGTCGATGATGACACTTATAGTCATGTAGGTTACGCCTGTGATGACCATTTGGCGGTCAGTGGCCTTCTTGTATCGGTTGTACCATTTGTTGGAACGGGCGATATCCTTCTGGGACTTTTCGGTCAACTCGAAGACACGGTCGTGTTGGTCAATGGTGTCCTGCTGAGGCCGAGACTGTGACGATTGTTGTCTGAGCGAGGTCAGGTTGACGAGAGAGGGGCTCAGACGACTGCTGGAGTGACCACGAGCGGGAAGCAGTGTCCTCTCCTTGGACTTGTTGCCTTGTGTTGAAGCCGCCCTTGTCAACTCGGCGAGATCTGTAGGGTCGGCGAACCTGGTTTGGTAAATGTCTTGGTTGCGCTGGATACGAGTGATAAGACGCCACGCTCTGCCCGTCAAGACAAGCACGAAGGGGACCAGGACGAGATAACTCGCTATATTGAACGAGGTAAACATTTTGGTTTGGTTGGTACGCCGAAATAAAGTAATCGGGGCAAAGAAGTCAACTCAAACGATGATAAGCAAGTAGGCTACAAAAAAAACATGGTCAATTAGAGCGTGTGCATACCATGGAAGATAATGAAACAAGGTATTGTAGCTGAAAATGCTGAGTTGTAGAGCATGACTGTGAGGAATATCGTCTCGGAGTATCCCTGAATAGTGACCAGGTACCGCCCACGCTGGCGAAGGTCATTATCCTTCTTGGAGATTTGTTGGAAGAGAAACGTCGTAACAAGCCCGGTTAAGGAAAAAATTATGCCGAGGACGATGAAGGCAGTCTTCTGGGCCTCAGATGGTAGTTGTTTTCCCATGGTGTATGATTAAGGATATGTAGGAAGGAAGGGAATGCCAAGGTCTATGTCGTGAGTATGTACAGGGTGGTGGTCGCCGTGGATAGGTGGCGAGAGGTATAGGTGTGTTGCTGTATGAGATGGTGATGCAGGTATTATTATGATAGGCGGTGGTGGAGTTGGTGGAGGAGTGGAACACAATGTACAGGCATAGGTGCGAGGACTTGACAGGTTTTAGTGTGCGAGTGAAGGTGTCAATGAAGATAAAGTGAAAGGGAAACAAAAACAAGGGGGAGCGAGAATCGATAGGGTAAGTGCTCGTGTTGACGAGGTGTGTTTTCGTTAGGCCAGCTCTCTGGTTGAGAGTGGCAGGAAGAAGGAGTGGGGATTGGAGTAGAAGGAGGAGGGGGGGTGGAGTGGAGGAAGGAGGGAGGGAAGGAATGTAGAAGGAGGATGGAGGATAGTAGTATGGAAGGGTGTAGAGAGAGGAAGGGGAGATGATGATAATGGTAATGATAATGAAAGGAGAGAAAGAGGAAAGAAGTGAAGAGTGAAGAGAGAAGAGAGAAAAGAGACGGTGAGGACGCAATCAATTCAAAATCCAATTGGCATCCGACTGTTGGTGGTGAGATTGAGATGAGCAACAACAGCACAACAGCAGACAAAGGGGAGTCTAACAGACAGACAGGGGAAGGGGCACCATTGAGAGCGCATGTCCCACTTAATATTTGGTGAACACTCTTCTTTGTACGCCAAAAACCTACTGTGTTGAGGGGAGAGGAAAAAGAAAATAAAACACAAACAAAAAAAAAATTGCTCTCAACCGTTGGTTTGTTTTCCTCCTCTTCTCTTCTCTTTGTATCTCCACCTCTACCGTGCTTTGTTTTTTACCTTCTTCGGTGAGGCTCTCATCTGTCCCGCCTTCCCACTTTCACTTCCCTCCCTCCTCCCTATTTCATTTTCCTGAAGTGGCTGTGGAAAACATCAACATACAACTAGCTCACCATGCCTGTCTTTAGCGGCGGTCAGGTACCAGTTCGTGGGTAGCCATTAACAACCAAGTGAGTTCTCTCCTCAAAGGCGAATCTATCAACATCCATCGCAATAGTGTAACAACGGTGTCCCTCAAATACAAAAATACACAAGCGATCAAGCTCTCGGCTTACGCAGTTGTGCTGCTTGTGCGACATAACCGTGAAGGAGGGGATGAACACTAGAAAGTCGAAAGTGGTCCAGAACTCTATAGTTGTCATGCGCAGGCTATTGTATCCAGTGTCTAGAGCGAAAGGAACGGATCGTAGTACAAGCGCCAAAACACGAAAAGAGACGGGCACCACTCCGAGGAAGTTCTTCTCCTCCCTTTCTTTCTTCCCAAGTCGCGCTGTAAATCATTATGGCGCTTATGTGTTTGAGTGTGTGCCAGTCAGGTTCCAAGATTTAGGCATGCTGGCATCCTTAAAGTTTTGGCGCTGCGCCTGTTGCCATCCTGTTCCTGTCCTTTGAGCTAATCCTCATTTCCCCTTAAAAATCCTTTATTTTCTGGTTCCTATTGTGATCTGCTTGAAAGAGTCCTGTCCTTGGGTGCCAGCACTGGCTTCCTGGTGCCAATCCGTACTTTCTCCTTTTGATTGTCTTTGCCACCCAGCATCATCCTGATAGGATCCGAGTCGCCTATTTCCTTCGGAAACATAGATGAATCATTAACATTCTTATTTAGTATTGATCATTGGAAGCATCCTTTATTACCTCGCTCACTTTCGTCTGCTGTTTCGCCTCTTCTCTTCCCCTCCACCCAAAGCTATCAAACACACCCAACACGCATACTCTCCCTCTCTCGCCCACACACTCACACATACAACCTCCCCTTACGGTTCCATTATGACGCACCCTGTAGTGAACGTGTGTTTTCACTCACTCGCTTCGCTGGGCTATATTCCTTTTGCCCTTACCTCCGTTCTCATGGCTTCCTCGACCCCATTTCTCTCCATATCGCCTGTCGGGATTATCCTATTGGCACTTGTTCCTCCCCTAACTCTTTTTCCTCTCCTTTGCCTATCCTACCGGAGACTGGAGCGATTCGACGCCATCTCGCTGACAGTGCAACGAGCTCGGATTTACATTATGGTCGCGGGGTCTGGGCTGTGTGTCTTGGTTGCAGCCCACTTGATCATGGTCCATGTCGTCGACAATTCACACTACACCACCTACAACAGGACGACACTACTGTATCCTCCATCTCCCATGCAAGTCCGAGAACTGGCCACCTGGACAGCAGACAGCAACAACAACAACACCACCAACAACAGCAACAGTTGGTCAGGCATTGCTTCAACAACAGCAACTCTGGATGTGTCACCAATGGACGTGCTGGTCCTTGATCAATCAATCAAGGTCACAGCTGAGACTGATAAAGTATTTCAGAGCATCCCCTTCACCACCACCGCCACTACAATAACAACATCGTCAACAATTCATCCCGAACCTGTGTCGAGCGACATTCATTCGGATCAGATCCAAGCAGGAGCATCAGAGGCAACAAACACATCAACCACGGCATCGATAGCAGTAGCTGCAAGAGAAGAATCGGCAACGACAGCTCCAACTGGGACTGCGACAGTTCCAACTCCAGCAGGGCCGAAAACAGGGAGCGAGAGCACGGATTCTCTTTCACCGCTCGTCTATCTCGAATCTCGGAATTATCCCAGCCCAGGATACCACCAAGCAGGCATCCATCTCCTACTTTTCCTCGCTGCTCAGACAGCGCTGCTGGTGCTATTGACAACTCTGTTCCTCGGCGTGTTGATCATGACCGAGTTTGTACTGGACAGGGAGGACGAGAACGAGGATGTAACTAAGGCGCGGTGGTACTTTTGGGGACGAGTTCTCGGAGTCATCACAGCAACGGTTGCTAGCGCGGTCCATGGGTCGTTCTTGAGCGCGTATGTTCTTCTGGATGGCCAGTCGGATTGCGTAGCGAAGGCCGTCGTCGGGAGCATTCTCTTTTACTGGATTGGAATGATCGCGGTGATGAACCGAACCACAGGTCCCTTGCCCTATTAGTGTAGTAGACAGATAAAAGATATCATTCAACGGTCGTCGTGAACCAAGCGTTGGTCAAGTTGTATACATACACATCCAAGGGTCCGAATTCCTCTGTGAGCATGATGTCAATGAGGGGTCAAAGTTTGACGCATTTCCGCATTTGGACTTTCCGTTTATTTTATGTATTTACGCGGGTTTACTTTCGACCTGACAATTGGTCAATTGTGTGTGTACTTCCCACGCATGTCCTCACGTTCAGCTGCGCTTTATTTGTCCTTAAAAAGCTGTTGCATTCGCTTTCATTCGCCATTCACAACAAACAGGCAGACACACAATAACCACTCCTCCAACAAATAACAACCACCATGGCCACCTTCTCAAGCAAGTCCTTCAACAGCGCCCTTTACCAGTCCTTCCGCCCTAGTTACAACAGCAACTTTTTCAAGATGATCTACAACTACCATGCGAAACACAATGGTCATTTCGACACCGTTGTTGACGTTGGCACAGGTATGCAACTCAGACTTCTTTGTTTTCCGAGCTTCAAACTCCTACCATGCATCATTCAATTGACCAGAGACACGCTATTTACCTTTCTTTTTTCTTTATTTTCTCCTACGCACAAACAGGCACAGGTCAGGTAGCGGTCGTCCTCGCAGAAAAGTTCAAGCAAGTCCATGGTGTCGACGCCTCAGCCACCATGCTCTCGAACGCGATCCAAAAGCCCAACATCACCTACCATGTCACCAAGAGTGAAGACCTCAGTGTGATTCCAACCTCGAGCGTCGATGCCTTGACTGTCGCCCAGGCCATGCACTGGTTCCACCACCCAACCTTCTTTTCCGAAGTCAAGCGTGTCCTCAAGCCCCATGGCACATTTGCAGCCGTCGGTTACTCCTTTGTCATCTTTGAGGACCACCCTAGAGCCACCAAGAAGATCTATGAGCTGGGTGACCAACCAGACCAGCTCGGCACCATGTGGGACAGTGGTCGATTGATCCTCGACAACCTGTACAAGAGCATCGATGTCCCTCTCCAAAACGTCGAGCGCCACTACTTCCCCAGTAGTATCAAGTCTCAGTTCCATACACAGACTGTAGACGACGTTACTGCTGCTGTAGGTACCGAGGCGTCGCTGCCTCCAGTAATGACAGGAAGAGTAACGATGAAGCATTTCCGAAACTACATCAAGACCTGGTCATCGTACAAGAACTACTGTGAAAAGTACCCCTCTCGTCCAGACATTGTTGATTTGACCATTGACGCGATTCTGCAGGAGGAGAACTTGAAGGAGGAGGACGAGGTCAACATTACCTGGCCAACCGTTGTCATCCTTGGCGAGAACGACGCGTAGAATATCTACTCTGTTATTAAAACATCATCCATTCTAAACAAAAAAATAAATGAGAAAGAAGGTGTAAGGCATTGAAATCAGAATATTTTCCAGAAGGACCAAAAAAAATGAACATTGTTGAAATTGGCAAAATGTAACTGAAAGAGTAGCTCCTTGAGGAACAAGGAGTCACTTTTCAATCAAAGTAACGCATGCTGCTCTCTGTGAGGATCGAACTCACGACCTTCAGATTATGAGACTGACGCTCTGCCGGCTGAGCTAAGAAAGCATGTGGTACTTGTTGTTCGTGTTTCTCGGGGTTTCTGATGATTGTTTTAGATTCATAACCTTTCATCGGCATAGATTAACGTGAATCACGTGATTGATCCAACACGTGACGTCTATTTTTGCCCCCCCAAACCCTTTGGTTGGCCTTGGCTCGTGGACGCGGAGGAAGGGAAAAAATATCTTTTTTCTTTAACTTTTAACTTGTAAGTCCCTGTCTGCAGGATGAGGAAAGAGGCGGAGGAGAAGGAGCAGCAGCAGCAGCACCAACAACAGCTTGCATCAGGAGATGCCGTGGCGCGACCATCTCGCGTAAACCTGATCCTTATTGGATGTTGACAATTTGTTTTTATTTTTACCTTCTCCTTCGTTCTCTCTTTTCAAGCAACGCAAAACCCTTTCTCTTCCACCGCCGGCCGGCCACCTCCACTCACCACACCACACTACCACTTACCTTCACTTCAGCAACCCTCACAACCAACCAACCTACCAACCTACAGCAACGAAAGCAAGGAATAAAGGCGCGACAAGAACCTCTTCTCAACTCTCGATTCAATGTCCTCGATATCCCCTATTAATGGCGTCAAGATAAGCGGTAAGTACAAGCGAAAACCTTGTCTACCACTCAATAACTCTGATATGTCCGGGGTTTATCGAATTCGTCAGCCTTTTTTCGTTGCGAACATCCGATTGACAAAGCTGATGAGTAGAACAAATAAAAGCTAACGGCTTGCTGGTTTTGGGTGTACCAATGCACACACCTTCAAAACTTTTTTTTTTGTTAATGTAGGCGAGTCGGATCCTTCGAAAATCGTCAAGGTGATGGCGAATGAGGGCAAGTCTGGAGAGCCGTTTGAATTTGCCTACACCAACTGCAAGGTGATTGGCAACGGATCCTTTGGAGTCGTGTTCCAGGCAAGGTTTGTCAGCAACGGTGATGATGCTGCCATCAAGAAAGTTCTTCAGGATAAGCGCTTCAAGGTACAGTTCGACAAAATCCTTTTTTTTTTATCCCTCCCCAAACCCAACAACAACTACGGCAACATCAACAACAAATAGACCCACAATCGAACACCCCCAACTATGAGCCAAGAAGAAGGGCGAGAAAAGAAAATAATAGGGCGTGCATGACAAGGAGAGAGTCTATCTTGTTTTGTGTGTTTTTGGCTTCACGACACTAACTTGTCAGCAATGGACACACCCCCTGGGTCCGATATTTTTCTCACTTTCGTTTTTTTTTCCCGCGCGAAATAGAATCGCGAACTGCAGATTATGAGACTGGTCTCTCACCCCAACATCGTCGATTTGAAGGCGTTTTTCTATTCGAACGGGGATAAAGTAAGTCGTCCGTCCCAGTCCTCCCAACGGTCGCAAAACTATATATTACATTTGTGCGGAGGATAATTATTTTTTTATTTGCTGCTGTTCTTGTCCCTACAGGGTTGCAACGATCGAACAAACCATGCTACTGCTCCATCGTCTCACTCACACGAACTAACAATAACAACACTTTGTTCATTTTTTACACAGAAGGATGAAGTTTTCCTCAACCTCGTGCTCGAATATATCCCCGAGACCGTCTACCGTGCCTCTCGACACTATGCCAGGATCAAGCAGACGATGCCCATGTTGCAGATCAAGTTGTACATGTACCAGTTGTTCCGAAGCTTGGCCTACATCCACGCAGTCGGCATCTGTCACCGCGACATCAAGCCTCAGAACTTGCTCTTGAACCCTGTCACCGGCATCTTGAAGCTTTGTGATTTCGGAAGGTACATTGAGCAAGGAAGCCTTTTTTTTTGTTCTCAGGACTCATGGAGGAATGTGCGCGTCCATGAGGATATATTATTCACTTGATTTTCATTGATCGCGTTACCTTTGATTCAATAGCGCCAAGGTCCTTATTGCAGGAGAGCCCAACGTTTCGTACATTTGCTCGCGTTACTACCGGGCACCCGAGCTTATCTTTGGCGCCACCAACTACACCACCAACATCGGTAAGTTTACTCTTATTTGCTGCCCGGGATCGTTTCGCGGGCTTTTCTACGCCTCTTTCAACTTCGTCGCTCAATGTTATTACCCAAGCGATGGAGCCAGAAAAACTAACACCAAGCAATCATATGTTGAACGATAATAGATGTTTGGTCAACGGGATGCGTTATGGCAGAGTTGATGTTGGGTCAGCCTTTGTTCCCAGGAGAGAGTGGAATCGACCAGTTGGTTGAGATCATCAAGGTCCTTGGCACGCCAACTCGGGAACAGATCAAGACGATGAACCCCAACTACATGGAGCACAAGTTCCCTCAGATCAAGCCCCACCCCTTCAACAAGGTACTGCTTTCTGGGCTTATTTTGGGATCTTTAAATAGGATGAGTCAGGATCATTTCTACGAGGGATAATGGGTTGGCCGTCTATCATGTTGTATTGTCGCTTCGCGAGGATATTCCGCTCGTCACAAGTCTGTAGCTAACTATCGCATCTTTATGGAATTGAATGTTGTAGATCTTCCGCTCAAGGACACCCCCAGAGGCGTTGGATTTGATTGCCCGCCTTTTGGAATACACTCCTTCAAGACGATTCACGCCCATTGAAGCCATGGTCCACCCCTTCTTCGATGAGATCCGTAACCCCGAGACCAAACTGCCCAACGGCAAGGACCTTCCTCCTCTGTTCAACTTTACTGCCCTCGGTAAGCAAAAGGAGTTGCTGATGAACCAGGGATCTAAAAACTGTTGTTCACTACTGTTTGAAAGCCTAACATGCCCACTTTCTTTTACTTGGCCACTAAATGTTAATAGAGCTGTCGATCCGCCCTGAGTTGATTCCCATGTTGGTGCCTCGTCATGCGGAGCCCGAGCTCCAGTCGCGTGGAATTGACATCCACAATTTCGTCCCCGTCCCCCGAAGTGCTACACGGATCTCACTGGACTGAAAAGAAAAATATGATTAGGAAAACAAAAAAAAAAAAAATAGGAAACAGATCGGGAAAAAAAAAATCACTAAATCCGTGTCAATGGTGGTCGTAGATAAAACAGGAGTATGATCGCTCGCTTACCAGTGGCGTGCACCACTGTTTCGACAACTTTTTTTTTTTTACTGCTACAACTAGTGACAAGAAAACAATAACGAGTATAACAAAACAAAATATGTAAGAATTAATTACGATGGCCCTTTTTTTCTCTCTTTGCTCAAAGTCCTGGGACTCGTGTCACCATGCGTGATAGAAGATGAGAGTGTGTCTGCATGTATGACATTCAGTTTTCGCGGTTTGGGCGAACTCGCGATGCTTCAAGAGGCGTGTTCTTAAATCCAAGGAGAGTGGTAAAAAAAAGAAACGACACTGAGATGTTAAAACCAGGCCGAGCAGTAATTCTCGAGAAAAAAAAAAAAAAAAAACACGAGAGAGCATTTGCTTAGGCAGTGGGGATGGTGGAGAGGGGGAAACCAAAAAGAAAAAAGCCTACCCGCTCCGTTTCAGCAGTAACAGCCAAAGAAATCAAGGAGACATGGGTCGGATGGAATATACATGGATGTGAATAAAAAAGGGCAGAGCATATTTGAGCATGGGGCACACCCCTTTTCTCGCCCCACCTAGTTCGGCCAAATTCACACCGCGGTGAGTAAGGCACTGTTTGAAAAATGGGAATGAAAGACGGGGTGCGCAAAGAAGATGCATAAGGGGGTTTGAAAGAAGAAGAAAAAAAAAGGGGGAGGGTCCCGGTCTGGTTCTCCTGTTATCCCTTGGACGTGTCAATTGCTATATTTTTCGCATTTGCCAACAACGTCATCATCTGTGCGATTCCTTTCATCACCCCTCTCCTTTTTTCTGGGCATAAGTAGCCATGCACTTTGCCAAGATATGTACACCACCCCCATTTCGGCATCTCCTTGTTTTTTTCCGTCCTCTATGGTTATAGCGCCGGTGCTGGGTAATTGACGGTGTTCATCCGGGGGGGTTGTCAATGAAATTGGCGCCATTTTTTGGGCTGTCTCCTTGATGTTGTGCGTGTGTGTGTGTGTGTGAGAATACAAGGGGTATCGCCCTTTTCGGTGAAATATGTAAGCATGCCATGCTCGCGCACTTCAAACATGAGCCTTTCACGGCCTATGTTAAAGTCAAGGACGGAGAGGGTGAAAACAAGTAGGACAGGTTGCGAAAGTAGCGTGCTGTCATTGTAATGAGCGCTTGGATTCTTGGCTGCAAAACAATGACGGGCGACGGGGGAAGGGTAACAAGAAAGAGCTAATTTGTGAAGGAGGTGAAAAGATATATAGTCTGAGATCGGAACCTTGTGCTTGGAGTGTGTGATGCACCATGGCATAAAGTCTGGGACATATCAGCAAGCGCCATTTGTGCATAAAAGGCATAGACACACACATTTGTGAGAGTGCGAAAACAATAACGCGAAAGGAGGACAGCAGCACACAATTGGTCCGTGAGGAAACAGCACAGCGCGATAATGTTTAGAGAGATTTCACGTCATTCAGTGGGTCGGAACACAGTCCATGTGCGCGTAAGGGTCCGACCGTTGCGTTGGCGCCTTGTTTTTTTCTTCATCCCATTCTGTCACTCTCACTCTCTTGAATGCCTATTCTCTTTCGTTTTCTTACTCTCACTATTAAATGCGAATGCTTTCTATTATTGAGGAGCTTTTTTTTCTCTCCCCTTTTTTTCAGCCCTTCCCTTCTCCTCCAGTCCAGTGGGAGTGAACAAGAATATAATGCCTCCAATCCAGTTGACAAAAGGAAAAACGTCGTCAGTAAATAAAGAAGGGGAGGAAGGAGGAGGGAAAGGATGAAAAGAATGTTGCATGTCAAGTCGCCAAAAAAAGGGGGTAGGGTGGGATGGTTGGTGTTCATTTGCATTTGTTTTTGTTTGTGTATGTAGTGGATTGCACAACCTTGCACCTGCGACCAAATGCATGGTTCTTGACAAACAACAAACACCACACACCGCTTTCTGTATGCAACCTTTGATGCCGCTGTACCGCAGTCTTCAGAGGAAATGAGGATCCATTCGCATATGTCGTGTTTGCCGAACATGAGTCGATTCAGGCAAAAGAATATGCAGAAGATAAGAAAAAAGTAGGAAGAATGGGAGGACGGGAGGAAAAGAATAAAAGCAATGAATTACAAAGGGCAAGGAGAAAAGAGACACGGTGGTGTTCTAGTTGAACGTGTTCGTTCGCGTTGTTGCCGGTGTCAGTGCTGGTGTTGATGGTGAGAAGGTGTGTTGGTCAACCTTGGTGTATTATCTCTTTCTCTCCAGTCCCTTTCTCGCGTTTTCCTCTGTGCGTGCGTAGAATGTGGTGTCTCTATCCTTCTCATCTTCTCTCTCTGTCTATGTCTGTGTTTCCCTTCTCTTTATATCTCCTGGTTCGTCGTTACTGCTGTCGTTGAGAGTCCATACCATCCTAACCCATCCCTTCCCCTCGCTCGCTCACACTCACCCCTCGCGACCTATTCTCCTTCTTCTTCGTCTTCCCTCTTACCTCCTCCTCCTTCTACTTCACCAACGCGACAACCATCACTACCAACATCACCACCACCGTCCGTCCGTGCCCCTTTCCCTCCCTTTCTTCTTTCCTCTCTCTCCATCCCTTCCCCTTGTCTCCTCCTTTTTCGATTCGTCTGTATTTTTTTTTGTCCTCTCTATTTTCCGCCAATGTGTTGTGTCGAACTTAACCTTCCTCCTCGCCCCCCCCCTCCTCGCTCCTCCTATGTTGTTTTCGATGGATGTCTGGACTTGATATTGCAATTGCTCCGTATGCACCTTTGAGTTAATAAGGAGTTACGGAGAGACAAAGTGAAGGGTCTGGAGACATAGGATCGACACAGGAATGCACAATAAGAACAAAGGAAACAGCAAAAAAGTAAAAGACCCTTGACACACGAAGTACGAGAATCGATTTCATCATCCGAACTATAGGCACGTTAGTAATATATATCAAGGGAGTGTCTAATGACATATGAGAGAAAGAATAGAAGAAGACTGGGGCCCAGGAATGGGGTCCCGGACACACAGACACAGGGAAGTAGAGAGTGGAGTTTTAATTGGAAGGAGCATGATTAGACAAAGTGCATACATGTGGAGAGGAAGCAATTGGCATGTTGTTGACTCTTGTGAAAGAGAAAGGGTGGGGTTACAGCAAGACAGAGTAATCCGTTTAGCACTGCCGACAAGGACATGTTTATGCGCTGTTTGTTGTGCTTTGTGTTCCCAGCCTTAGTCATGGATTCGCGAATGACCGAGCGGGATACCTCCTCCGTTCTTGTATGGTTTTTTTGTTGCGCTTTTTGTACCTTATCCCCTCGTGCAGATGAGGTTATATTTGTTCATCCAACAGAGAAGAAAAAAAAGTGGGCTCGCAGGGAACACAAACCCATTTCTCCTTGGTGCTTGTCCTTGGAGTAGGGTGAGGCACATGCGGGGGGTGCTGGGACCACAGAGGGAACGGACCGTCGGCCTTCCCATCCCATCCATCCCGTCCTCTTTTTCGTTTGTTTTGTTTGTTCTAGTCCTCTGGTGGAGAAGTACAGTACAGTGCGCCTTGTGTCGTCTGAAAAGCGGAATGCAAGCTTTTCACATACATGCACAAAATCAAAAATACCCTCTCCCACTGGACAAATAACACGCTCACGGTCCACCTTTCAAAGAATCGAGTAAAAAGATATCGCTCATTATTGCATCCAGTCCCGCCCAACAGTGGTGCGTGCTAAAAAAACTAAACAGTATATGCGCACACTCGCATGCACAAAGACACACTTCCACGAACAAACAATAACACACACAACAGCACAAAGCATCATGAATATGGCTCCTGTAAAACCATGACCAGTATTCTCGCTGAACCCTTTCTTTCCTCCTCACCATTATTAATATGTCACCAACCATTATGCTTATTTGCTGGCTTCTTCTCTCACAATCTTACAATGCTCGCCTTGCCTTTTTGCGTGCGCCTCTGTGCCTTTGACTGACCTTTTTTTTTCTTTCTTTCTTGGCCATTGTATGGCGGTGGTGTATCATTCTCTGCTGCTCTCACGGATGAGTTGTTGGGATCCATCACCAACCATCCTCCTCCTCATGTTCATGCTCAGTTGGCATGCTCATGCTCAGCTCAGCGCCTCGTAATGATATGAATTTGTTTTTTTTTGTTTTTTTTTTTCTGAGCGAGCGGACATCAATGCGTGTGCTCGTTAAATGAAACCTTCACTTGTTTACATTTGTGCTCTCTTTCCTGGGATCTGATCCAATGGTTCAATGGTTAATATTGTTGATCCCATCGTATCATCTCTCTATCTATCTATCTTTTGTGTACAGTACTCTATTTGTTTTATTCCTCATCTTTCAAACGGACTTTTCAGAGCCAGAGCCAAGAATCGGTCTCCATTTTCTACTTTTTGTTTTTTTTGTTTCCTCGTGCTATTTTGACCTGCTTCATGCCGCCTATTTCCAGAGGAGTAGCATGCAAAGTGCAAACAAAAAGGGTTGCTTTGCCAAGGAGAGAGAGAGAAGAGACAAGAGAGAAAAGAGAAGAGAGGGAGTGCTGACAGACGTGGCACAACATGGCATCGCATTGCATGGCATTAACATTAACATTGACCTTGGCATTGGCATTGGTATTCGTGTTGACCTTGGCCATACCAATCATCAATAATGAGCAATGCAATGGTTTTATTAAGTCTTGCACAGATGGCCAAGAAAAATAAAGCGGTGTCGTCGGACTTTTTTTTCCAATACCACAAGAAAAAAAGAGTTGCGTTCATTTCATTTTGAGGACATCCATCCATTTCCTCTTTGTCAGTTTCCTCCGAGAACGAGGAGCCAAACGGGTATCCCGATCTCCTCCTCCTCTCCATCTATTTTGTTCATTTAGTTTTTTCAGCATGTTCATTTGCCATGCGCCGTCTCTTTCTTGAATAAAGAAACTTGAACAACCCAAAACAATAAAAGAACGCAACATCATCATCAACTGCCACAACAACACAAACGGACCATCCACGACTAAAGAAAGTTGGGTCACTACATCATCCACGCACCCAAGCTACTGTACTCATCGCCAGGTATTTTCCACGTACAACGATTTTTTTTGATCCATCGGACTAAGAATGAATAGCGTGCGCTTTTTTTTTTTGTTTGATATCCGCGTGGGGCGATGTCTTTGAAATGGATGACCACAAGACACACACTCTCTCATTCTTGGCCAACTCAAACGGGACCTGACTCGATGTTCTTTTCATTTTATTCGCCCTTCTAGCAAAGCAACAACGCAGCAGGATAATACTCTCACACCCACTCACTCACTCACTCATAGTCACTCACTCCCACACCTACTCACTCACTCACTCACTCACTCCCACACTCACTCACTCCACCACCGCCACGACTATTACCATCACCGCATACACACATTGACAACAGTACACCAGTCCCAACAAATGAAAAGAAGTGAACGAGACATCACCATCATCATCATATTTCATCCGCTATCTCTCTCGTTCGTCTTCGTGCCTTCGTTTTCATCTCTCACTCGTCCGTCCATCCTCGTGTTTTCGATCAATTTTTTTTCTACAAAAAATACGGCCGCCCGAGTGGTTCTCTCTTATAGTGTGAACTTCGTCTGACTTGTTCTTTCGCCTTAGATCGACTCGTTGCCTGACCGACTGACTGCCAGGCTGTCTGACTGGTTGCCCGATTCTTTGGACTTACTTTTTTTTTTTTTTTCTCCACGGAGAACAAAAAAGAGAGACAAGCTACTCATTCCTTTGGTTTCGGTGATCAGTTTGTAGTTGTTCATTTCATTTCATTCCTTGAATCAGCAGCCATCAACAACAAGTAGCGGAAGACAAGAGGAAGAAAAAAAAGACGCGATTGTTTGAGTTATGAGAAATCGTTGGTTACGCTTGCAAGAACAAGACAACAAGAACATATCATCGCAGGTATGACGAGCTTGTTTTTCGATAGGTTGTTCTTCATATCCTTTTTCCCCCACACAGCATAGTCATTTTTCGTTTTCAATTGATTCATTTTATTTTATTTTTTTGATTCTTTCCATTGCTGCTGCTCTTTTCCTGCTCCCTGCTCTCCCTCTGTCCTCTTCTTTCACTTCTTTTTAATCTTCTCTCTCTTCTTCACCTCCTCTATTTTCTCCTCCTACTTACTCCTGCTGCTGCTGCTCCCTCGGTTGCCTGCTGCCTCTTATTCATTTCTTTTTTTACACACTTTCTTACTTCTTGTTCTCACTTCTCTTCTCTTTTTTCACTCTCTCTCTCTCTCTCTCTCTCTCTCTCTCTCTCTCTCTCTCTCTCTCTCACCACTCTCTCTTTTTCCATATTATTATCCCTCCTTCCTTCCTACCACACTTTTCTCACACTTCTTCTTCCCTTCCCTCACCTAGTCTCGCGTATTCCCATTCCCTGGTCCTTGTCTCTGACCCTTTGACCCTTTGACCCTTTGACCCTTTTCATTCCCACTCACTCCCACTCCCATTCCCTCTCTCACTCCCTCATTCCTTCCTCACTCAGACTCACACTCATTCCCCCAACCTTGCCCTGCCCCTGTCTTGCCCTTCCTTGCTCTGTCTTTCACTCGTGTACCACCTTCCCTTCCCTAATCCCTTCTCCCTTCTCCCTTCCCCTGTTCCACACCTCACACTTCCCAGTCTGCACGAATGGGCAACTTGCCTTCCTCCACATCCACAGAGCCCCTGGCTCCTGGCAAGCACCGCAACCTCTCTACAATCTCCCTTCCTCCCACCATCCCCCGTCGCCACAACATGAAGGACGCCGAGCGCAAAGAAATCTTCCCCATCTCTGACGAAGGTGCGCCGCCACTGCCCGGCCGCCGGGGCTCGATAGGCTTCTTCCGGGGCAAACGAGCCAGGGCACCAATGACCCTGGATCACAACCAGCTCTTCCAGAACCTCCAAAACCTCCAGAACCTCCAGAACCTCGATTTGACCCATTGTTCCTGGCAAAACTACCACTATCTTTCCGACTCTTCTAATCCTAATTCCAATCTCAACTCGCTCTCGACCACGCCCACAACTGCTGCCACCACCCCCGCCCTTACCGCCGCTGCAACCCCCACCACCCCCGTCGGCCCCCAATACTACTCCCTTCAATACCAGCAATCACGGTCGCCACAACCAGCAAGCCCTGTTGCAGTCTCAATACAGGACTACCATCCAAAACAGGAGCAGAAGCTCGCCACGTTTATGAAGCGTAACCTTCTCCCTCCACACACCCTTCTCACCCCGACCAGCCTCTGGTCGTTATCGTCTGTTCCCAACTCTGCCTCTTCCTCACCGACTGTCGATTGCTGCTCCAATACCTGTCTTCAGATCATACCAGAACAGCAACAACCACAGCAGCAGCCACCTCCACCACAGCAACAGACATATGATGATCAACGGCTACCGCAATCGTACCATCAGTCTCACTTCAACCACCAAAATAGCCACAGCAGTGCCTGTGATCACCGCCCAGCAATGGAACACCACTCGAGTTTGGATTCTATACCCTCGACTCACGATGTTCCAACTCTGTCCGTGTCTGACTGGGGCAACCAAGGCCGCTGGGCAGGGGAGCAAGACTGGTCAGAAGAGCTGCCTGAAGGACTGGAACACGACGGTGGTCCTTGGGACACCATGGACAGGCAAGTTTGCTTTGTGTTGCTCTCTTTTTTAATTCCCTTTTATTTTGTGCCGATATCAATTGTTTGCGGTGCCCACCCTCTGTGTCTCTGTTGGACTTTGCTTGTCCACCTTCGCACTTTGTTTTTTTCATTCTCTCCTTTTGTTCCTCCCTTGTCAAGGCCAGGCCAGGTCAGCTCTGGTCTGGTCTGGTTGGGATATCACAATGAGATGAAACATGGATGTTCCTTTCACTCTCTTCATCCTCGCGCGTTTTTCATCCTTTTTTTATATTTTCCATTGGCTATTCGGGATAAACCCCCGTTCTTGAACACACGCCCAACACAAACAACGCAAACCTGCATCTGTGTGCCGAAAACGATTTGCAAAGAGTGGCGACACAAAAGACACAAAGAGAGATACAAGGACACAAAGTCGGCCTTGAACCTGTTTGCGTAAGGATCAACTTTATTAAAACCACGTTTCTTGTCCTCTTCTTCATTTTCTTCATTTTCACGACATCGTTACTACCCGACTATCACGCAACAATTTTAATAGTTACACGGTCGAGCAACACATCACCCGCGCGCTCTGCAAAGGCCAAAACTACTCTGCACCCCTCGACTTTTCCAAGCAAGCGTCGCATGCAGCTCTGCAAGGACAGACATATAATGACTTCGAGCCCAACGACACGGAGACTGCCACGTGCAACCGCGATCTCGTCTCCAGTGATATGCACGACACCCACCCCGTCCGACCCTCGTCCTCCGTCTCCTCTATGGCCACGCTCGATCCACAAACAGCCGCCTCCGTTTTGGACAAGGGCAACGAACGGTCGCTTGTGATCCTCTCCGTTGGTTGCGGAAACACCCAATGGGCTACAGAGATGGCGCTGGCCCACCCACACTCCGCCATCCATGCGATTAATGTCAGCCAGATCTCGACTCTCCCTGCAGTCCCAGAAACTACACCCAGCTTTGACCTCGATAACTTGTTCTTTTACAACCTCGACGACAACTCGCTCCGTGTTCCCTTTGTTTCCAACTCGGTTGATTATATCCACGTGCGCCGGTTTTTGCCCAATGTCAGCAAGGCAAAGTACTTGGCCTTCTTGCGCGAGTTGGTCAGAGTGTTGAAGGTGGACGGGTACCTGGAGCTGGTTGAGCTGGATTTGCGCCTCCGAGACTCTGGTGTTGACAGCTGCTGGCCTAGTTACTGGACCCTAATCGGGTTCGACAAGATGGGGATCGATGCCTCGCTTGCTCTGAACCTGGCCGGGATCATGAGGACAATGCCCGGAATGGAAGTGAGCCACAAGTCGTGTGTGCATATGCCAGTGGGCATTCATGGTGGTCGAATTGGACTGACGGCCGAATTGCTGTGCTGGCGGTTTGCGTTGACGGTGCGCCCTTGGCTGATGCGACAGGCGATGCTGTCGGGGGCTGAATTTGACGATCTGCTGGAGCGTGCTCGTCAGGAGACCCGTACCCTGAAGAGCTACCAAGCCTTCCATATTGCCGTTGGGCGCAAGACCGCAGCGGGTGGAGTACGCGCTTCTGCCTGCACAAATGCCATTGGTCTCGTTCAAGACGAATCGGCCTCGTCCTTTGATCCTTGAACCAATAGCGATCGTTTTGTGTTTTGGTTGAACGATTCTTTCTTTACTTTTCGATACCCAGTTCTCCTGCCTCTTTTTTTTTATCCTTTCCTTACACGTGTATTATTTCTTTTTGTTGTTTTCATACGTTTCTCTGTCGCAATTTCTTTCGTCTCCCATCATACCCACTCAATCGCACTTTTCGTCTCTATCTCTCTTTCTCTTGCTTTTTCTGCTCTAATTTATCATCAAACATCCCAAAAAAAAAACAACGACAAAAAAAACCACCAACACTCCTACAACCAAAAAACAAAAAAACAACTCCAGCTTACCAAATGTCCTCCGTTCTCATTTCAAGCTTCTTTTTGCGAGAGTTTTTACCCCGTGCACTTGTACAATAAAACAGTTTCCCTTTTTTTTATTTTATTTTATACATGAAACGGAGGCTCTGCCTGATGTATGTTGTACTTTATTAGTGTAAACGGAGTTGCTGTTGATAATATGGCGCTTAACTCATTTACCCTACACGGACGACGAGCATATCATCGTCTTCGACCTCCGTATTGCCGATGACGGTAGTGGGATCGAGCGCCTCGTCGTCAAACTCGAGTCTGACCACCGTCGATGTCGGGATCCCCTTGATGGACTTGTAATGTGTGATAATTGCATGTACCGTTGTCGTCTGTGAGAGTATAGGAAAGAAAAGAGTAGAAGGGAGAAGGGAAGGATGTGTTTGTATTTAAAATGGACGGTTAGCAAACTGGTAATTCAACATGGTGCGGACAAAACTATTGAGTGCATGCTACCAATCCCTTGTTCTTAGGACGTCTTTTTGATACATAAAAACGGGGGAAGGAGGGGCCATAGTTACCTTTTTGACCTGGATCTTATGATCGGCGGTATCCTTGCCTCTCAGTTTGATAAATATACGCTCTTCAGATGTATCTCCTTCAGCATCGTTATGTTGATTGCCGCTCTCGCCGCCACTGTCATCTTTCTGTCGCTGAAGTTCATAAGCAGCTGCGGCTGCAGCTTCAGCGGCCTGTCTCTCCATCTCGGCCAATTTCCGACTACGTTCCAAGTTCTCCTGTTCCTTGATGTACTTGAAGGCCTCCTGGCTGTAGACATCGATGATGACTCGGGCGGGGAAGTCGAGTGCCGCAGGGGTCGAACTAGGCATGAGTCGCATCCCGAGGTATGTGAATACTGTGGACGCATAGTTGACCCCCTTCTGGTTGCAGTAGAACGTCATCATTTCCCTGAACGGGTTGTTCTACAAGTAACGAAAAGAGGGCACGAAAGGATTTATTTTCGTGATTAATATACATCTTGGGTTTGATTGACCCGCGGGAAGAATACAAGAAGGTAGCAATAATGCACGCTAGAAGCAACTTACGGATCGGACGGTGACTTGGACGGTTCGCTCCAGTATCTTTTGGGCTTCAACCGCCTCCGGTGGTATAATGAGCAAAGGATGCCGGTTCATCCTTATCACCAGCAAGACGGTATTGTAATCAGAAGGAGAAGACGGCTGATGCAGAGATCCTGTTGCTCCTGCTGATGCTGCTCCTGCGTTGGCACTATTACCACTGCCATGTGATGACGTTGATGCCGTGGCTGCATCGGGTATACTGGGTGACGGTTGCGAAGGCTGAGAAGATTGTGATTGCGACAGTGTAGAGTTGGCAAGGGGTTGCGAGAGTGACGATGGGGAGAGTGGTGAAGCGCCCTCCATGGATTGTTGTGAAGCAATGGTATTGAGCTTTGCGGCTATCGAGGCCAGTTCTGGGTCCAATTCGTCCATCTTTTCGAAATCGTCATCGTCCAGGTCAATCGCAATTGTCGTCGCCGCCGTAGAAGGTCTACTCACAGGCCTATCAAACGAAAGATGATATGTTACATGGGAGTTCTGCGATCGACAAGGAAGCAAAAGATACAGAGACGGACGAAAATGAAACGGGACGAGATGGACTATGTACTTACGGTATGTGGGTAGGGTAGCGCCGGATAAGGTGTTCCGGTGGTGGAGTCAATGACACTTCCCGTTTCCGCTTCGTCTCCGGTGTTGCCGCCTTCTTTTGCGCCTCGGCTTTGGTCTTTTCAGTGTCCCTAAGGAATGGATAAGTATTCATGGCGCAATGGCGGCCTTGGTTAGTGGCCAAGGTCATCAATCGATATCTCTTCCCAATATTCCGAACTGCCTGACATGTTCGTTCTTATATTGCTGATGAATCTTACTCCAGGTCGTCGTCAAGGTCCAGAATAGGTAGTGCGTCCGAGGAGGACGGAGCCTTCAGATCCAGAATATCCAGTTCGTTTTCCTGTCTCGTCAACTCTTCATTGACCCTTGACTCTATCGTTACGTGAGCGAGAGAGATATATTGTTAGGTTGTTAGGTAGTTATATTCCCAACTGTTCAATTGTCAAGTCCTTTAACGCGAGAGAGCGAAGGAGAAAGAAAGGTGTGCGCTTCAGGTAAAAAAATCTTAGCGCCCTTCTGCACGATTGTCGTACAAGTACCTTGGATCTTGTGTATCTCACGGAAGCTGACGCTAGCTCTGTTGAAAAAGTCATCCTCGACTCGTTCGCTGTAGTTGTCTGCAAGGGTACCACTACTCCTGTTGTTGGCGCCACTAGAGTTTGCCCGAGGGGAGAATGTAGAGTTGGGCGAAGAGGTTGAGGCTGAATTTGGGGCTACTTTGCTTCGTTTTGCGCGTGGTCTGGGTTGTGGTCTCTTTTGGACTGGTTTATTGTCATCCGAGTCTGACATGTGTTGGCTGTTGCTGGGGTTTGGTGTTGGTTGTTGGTGTTGTGAGTGTGATGAGTAAGGGATGTGTTCTGAGACAAAGAGTGGGAGAAAGTGAAGAAGAGGAATAGAAAACAATTTTCTCATACCCTGGCAAAGGATAGGGCGTAAAAACGATAATTCGAGGCGAGGAACCTGTGGCTTGGTCCTTTTGATCATCCACTCTTTTGGAGGACTGAAAGCTTCTTCTCTTAGGCGAATAACTTTCTTCACACACATACACAAGCACACACACACCCATCAATTTACCTCTCACACGACTCACGTACTACTCTACCCACCACCACCGCCAGACCCTACCTCACAGACCATGGACAGACTGACACAGCTGCAGGATGCAATCGACAAGATGGCGTTGCTCTTTGTCTCCTCCCTCGACCATCTCACCAAGATTGCTCCCCTCGTACCTCTTGACCCCAACGTCCCCGTCGTCAGCACAGGTACCATTCACTTGCTGCTTCTTCCTCTTTTCGAGCAGTTTGTTCAGCATTCTTGAACAACGGCGATTAACACGGTTCGCCTTTGCCCTTGTTCAAATAGATCACGGCATGCCTCAGGATCAGCTTCAGAGTAAATGCCGCCACTTCTTTTTTTTATTCTTCTACCTCGTCCTTCGCTGTCACATCTCCCACTTTTGTCTCAAATAATTTCGTGATCAATGCCCCTCCTCACAATCTTTTTCTTTTTGGTGGCAAACTAAACAACATAAATAGACTCTGCACAAGAACTGGCACTCGATATCAGTCGCCAGGCAAAAGAACTCGAAGCCCTAATCGACAACCTGCCCGGGATCTCTCAAACCCCCGAAGCTCAAATCCATGACCTCGAGAACCTTGCCCAACAGAACGCCGACGCCACAGTAGAATACGAAATGGCCGTCCAGGAGGCCAAGGAGCTCCTGCAGGACGTCACTTTTGCACTTCGACGCATTGCCGAAGACCAAAGCATCCGTTCCTAAAAAAAAAAAAAATCGTCCTTTTATCCGTTTTCTATCTTCTCTTGTTTTTTTTTTCTCTTCCCCCCCCCCCTCTTCTACTGCTTGTTCGTCTCTACGACTACTTTCTTCGTGCGGCAAAGACACTTACGCGTTCGAACCCATTTATAAACAGTGTCAACGCGATTTGTATTTTACACTTCCCTTCCACCTCCTTACTTCTCCTTCAACCTAGACCCTTCCTACGCGTCTTTCTTTTTCCAGCCACCATGTACATTACCCATCTTTCTTCCCACTCACCAACTTTGCAATAAACGCGGAAGCCCTAATTGGTTTCAGAGCACTTGTAGTTTTTTTTTTTCCTTTCATAGGCGTTCGTTCGTTTGTTTGATATTTTATTTTGAGATTATGATGTACCACGTCGACCATAGGTCAAAGTATGAGAAATGGGGAGTGAAGGGAGGAAGGAAGCAGGACAGATGAAGAACGGACAACGTTAAATGAAGCAATAACAGGAAACAGAGCAGAAGGGGTGTCAAAGGGAAGAAAGCAAAAAGATCTAAAGAGATCGAGGTATATGTGTAGAAGGGTGGGTAGGTTGAGAGTGAAAGGAAGGAGAAGGAGAAAGGATGGTCGAAAAGGAGGGGTAAAATGGGAGATGGAGATATATAGAAAGGGAAGAGAAAAGAGACCGGCGAGGTCCGATAAGGATAGGGAGGAGGTTGGTCGGGGAGACGTTTATTCCATAATCTTGCCGACGTACTTGTAGGCACCAGCAAGACCGGAGATAAAGCCAGTGACAGCTTGGAATCCGTCGGAGAAGGAGCAGTGGAGGTTGTCATATCCTATAATTGGCACGGAAAAAAGGATGGGGAAGAAGAAAAAGAAAATATAAACTCATGTCAATGATCTGGTAAACTATACTTTTGTTTTCTGTTGTCATCGACGTGTTCGAAAGGAATGAAAGAAGAAAGCTTACCACAGAATAAAAAGTCGCCACCGAGCTTGACGGTGGTGACCTTGAGCCAGTGAAGCTTGGTCGTCAGCTTGACATGTTGTGCCTGGCGGGATTTTTCCTGCTCAACATCTTGATCTCCTTCAATGGCCATCTGCACCTCCAAGGCTGTGATTTGTTTCCGGACATCCCGGATGGTTTGTAGGTTCTCGTGAAGATCGATCGACACGCCAACCATCCAAAGCCGGTTCGACCAGGGCTCAGCCTTGTCTGAAAAGTTCCTGTCCAAGACACCAATGACTCCTAGACAGTAGATGTCATCCGAGATGTCCTGCACGAAACCCAAAACCGTGTTCAAGTATCCAAGTCGATCCCGGAGAGTGTTGCCCCACTTTTGGCTAGGTGCCTTATCGAGTGTCTGGCGAAGACCCTGCTTTCGAAGATTAGATCTCAATGCGACGGCCAGCGTCAGCACCGAGGCCATGGGGTCGATGAAATGGCCGAGTCGAAGGACCTTGCGGGTGGTTGAAAACTGTTTGGCGAGGGCCTTGAGGCGGGTTGCCAGGATGGCATACTGTTTTGGGTCGGAAAGGAAGAGCCAGAGGAAAACTTTGGCAAAGTACTGGATGACCTTGATAGTCTTGTCCCGTCCGTCAACCACATCGGAGATTTCGCGGATGACTTGGCCGACAGACTTTGACGTGCAGTGATATGGTGCTCGTGTTGTTATTGTCTTCTTGAGGGCGGTTGTTGTCGTGGTGGTTGAGGTTGTGATTGTTGTTGTTGCTGTTGAGAGCAAGGTAGCAGGTTTGCCCTTCAGGGTAGGATATGACTCTGAAGAAGGAGAGGTGGCATGGCTGCTGGGAGGGGTGTCGATCAAGAAGAGCCTTGAGGCTTCTTCAGTCTCGAGTGGTTCAATGGATAAGGAGGAGGATTTGTTTTGATGGGGTAAGGAGACGGATGATAAGGAGGTGGAGGAGGAGTTTGCAGAGAGTGAGGAATAGGACGAAGAAGGCGTGGACGAAACGGCGGAGGATGAACCCGTCGAATGAGAAAATAAAATAGCAGTAGATACGGGCTCAAGTGTACAGAGGAGGTTGCTATTGCTGTTGCTGACATGAAGACTGCCTGTTCGGGAGAGGCGTCGTGCAACGTGTGCTGTTGTCGATTGGCTGTCGCTATGACTATGGAAATAGTGAGAGTTGGGATGGGTATGGGTATCATTGTCGTATCCGAGGAGATGACTTATGGTGTTGAAGGACGAGTTGGACTCCTGGAGGGGTTCAAGGAAGTCGTCGGTCTGGGATCCGAGGGTGGCGTGTTGTTTGGGTGAGATGGGTGGGGATATCTCTGTCTCTGCGGCGACCTTGGCCCGCTCTGTTGACCAAGGGTGGAGGTGGAATGGGTTTGCAGCTGTTGGTGTTGGTGTTGTTGAGTCGTCGAATTGAAGAGGGGTTTCGGAGGAAGGGGGGGAGTGGACGATGGCGGCAGCTGCAGAGACGGAGGCGGTTCTTGCCCGTGTCCGCTCCTGCGACGAGTGCTGTTCCATAATAGGAGTAATAGTTTGAGGTGTATTTACGAGTGAAGAGTGAAGGTGGATTGGTAGAGCGGAGGAGATATGAGAATAGGAAGAGAAGGGCGGTTGAGAAGAGAGATGAGGCAGTAAGAAGAGTTAGTCGGGATGGAGTGAGAGGGAGAATGAGAGATGAGGTGTGGTGTGGACACTTGTTTGCTTGAAGGGGAAAGAGAAAGAGAAGAGGGAGAAAAAGAAAGAGAGAAAGAGAGAAAGAGAGAAAAGGAGAGAGAAAGCAGGGAGGAGAAAAACAAACAAACAGATAGAGATAGAGACTGCCCACGGAGCAGAGGAATACGAGTGCAGAATCGATGGGAAGGAAGACCAATAGCAGTGTGACAAAAATAGAAAGGAACATGACCCACGGATACAAAATTGTCTGCTCTTGTTCATCCACTAACACAAACAAGGTTCTCTTCTCTTCTCTTTTTAATTCATCTTCATTGCTCTCTCTTCCCGAGGGTCCTCTCTCTTCAAAGCCCTTATTTCATTACTTGAACAAACTCTTCGCCCCCTTCCTCGAAGTCCTGTTTTATTTTCTACTCTTTCACTTTCAAACTTGCTGTTGTTTCGTCTTGCATTACTACGGCCAGTCAGGCAGTTTGTCAGTTTGTCCAGTCCTTACCAGCTGCCCAATGCAACGAGGTATTTGGCATTCATCATCTAAACACCTAAAAAAACCACAATCAAGCAATTGAGTCTGGATGATTCACTTTAGGGATCGTTTCTCTTCAATTCTGCCGCATCCCAACGGTAAAACATGTTTTGTTCAAACTCACACCTTCTAGAGAAAGAAAGGCCTCCGCCAATGAGTGCAACGATGGATAGGAGCTGAATGGGATGCCAACGCAAAATATAGGCATCCGAATGCAAGGCAAACAAGGCTGATAAAAAGTCCCCATTTATTCTTGGTCAGAGCATCGGAATGCTTGAAAGGATGGCGTGGGTTTATGGCGTTGGACAAACATGATCAAACAAGGATAAAAATATGCCCAAGAAGCATGCTTATCAACTGGTCAATAAGCAGGTGTTTTGTCAGAAAGGAGCGACTACGATTAGAGGGGCTGTCATTGACTCTTGTGCAGTCGAAAAATAGCCTGTGGTGAAGGGGGCTAAATAGACCTTTGGTGCATCGCGACATACGCAAATATGATAGGCAGACGTTAACACATCCTGTCACACATCTACGAAGCTATAAATTGGAGCGACCTGTGCGTAAATGAGGCTCAAGAGTGTTTTTTTTTGCTGGCTGTGAGATGAAAGACGTTGAGGGTGAACGCCTTGAATAATGGGACGCTTGGGGCTTCTTTCAGGTGTGACCCTTTTTGGGTGCGATGAAGATGGATGGGTGACAAGGTTCAGATGACTGTTCTTAAGAAGTATTGTTCCAACAGAACAATTCTAATCGTTGACAAAAAGAGTCTGCATCCATGGATCAATTGCTCAGGGCGTACAATCATTCTTCTTTTTCTGTCGCCAAAGTTATCGTCACGACGACCACAGCACTCACAAGTAGGTCAGCATCTCAATGAGGTTGAGTTTCGAGTGTAATTGAATTATGACAGAATCCAAGAGGAGCCAGCAGTGTAGAACGGCGCACGAGTGGGGGATTGTTTTGTGGAGCAGGAGGTATCGTTAGAATGGTATGTGTAGGTACGCACAAGATATGCACCTGGGTGTTGTAAACGCGTCGCGTGTGGGTAGAAAACAAGGATTGCCATTTTTCTAGACAATTGAACCCGACTAGTAGATTTAAAAAAGGAAAAGGCTCTTGGCGATAAAAATGAATCGGGAGCGCATGTTCTTCATAAGGCGCCACGTCCCGTTGAGTCTATGATAATAGCCTTTGAAGCACCTAGCCCGCAACACTACGGTGAATGGCAGGAGTGAGAAAGTGTTGTTACGCGATGCGTTCTTGCAAAAGCGATGCCAAAGGGGGCAATAGGATTGGTAAGGCGGCATCCCGATTTGTGAGTGAACCAAACGTCTGGTGCTTTTTTTTTTCTTCTTGAACCCTTTTCGTCCTCTGAGTCTTCAGTGTGTGCGAGAGCCCTAACTGTCTGTGAAAGTAAAGTGGAGAGAAGTGAGTGACCACACCGTATCACATAATAATGTTTTATTCATCCATCGATGGATTGTCAAGCTCACACATGCCCTGGAAGTAGAGAAGTCGGTTCATCTCGTTTCTAATCCGAGCCGGTGAAAAAGACAGAAGTGAGAGCAATTGAGCATGTGTGTTGTGTTTGGAAACATAAGGTGATGTTTTCAATCCCTTTGTCCGACAAGGGCGCAAGGTCCTCTTCCTGGCAGATGAGGGAGCCCCTTGCAGCATAGGAGTGAATAGGAGGCAGCAAACATGCCAAAGGGCGTACAGTACAGTAGTACAGTATGCCAACTCATAGCAAGGCATTGCCTTGTTTTGCAGGGACAGTTCGACAGTGTGGAGTCAAAGACTTCGTCGGTTAAAAGACATACTTTCTCAATTAGGCAATTGCGCTTACAAAATGCTCGAGAAGCAGCAACCTTCGTTCGTTCTTCGGTGGTCAGAGTGTCGTTCAAGAAAAACATATAAAACCTCTGGCTGAACCTGAACAAAGATCATCACCAACACCACCAACCCCTCCTCTTCCCTTCCTCATTCCTTCTCGTCTTCTCCCTTCGACTCGACCCTAACGACATTCGACCTCACAGGAATCAACATTAACAACAGAGATGACAGCCATCAAGATCGCCGAGTCCCTCGGACGAATGTTCTACCTGGTCTCGCCCAGTCGTCACTTCTTTGTCACCGAGGGTGAGGTGGAGCCCTACGTCTCCGATGCGACCATCTGGTTCCTGTTCTTTATCGCCGCCGAATTGATCTATTTCACCATCGCCGACAAGCGCAAAGGATTGAAGCGCCACGATGGCAAGTGGGACCAGGGCAAATACCGTATGAACGACATGATCGGATCTCTCGGGGCCGGATCCGTCCAACAAATGTCGCGCTTTTTCCTCGGAAGCTTGCAGATGGTCACCTACAACTACATCTGGGATAACTACAGGGTGCCTGGGATTGCCTTCGAGACGTTCCATCTCCCCACTTGGATCGGATGCTTCTTGGCGACCGACTTTATGTACTACTGGGTAAGTATTTGCAAGTGTATTATTTTTTCTCGGGATTTCGAGAGTGGCGAAGGGGTTGCATTGTACCTAACAACTTGTTTCGTGCTACCATTGCACTTGTCTAGTTCCACCGCGCTGCTCACGAGGTTAACATCTTTTGGGCTGGACATTCCGTTCATCACAGCAGGTACTAACCATGTCGAGACTTCTTCGCAAAGATATGAATGACCTGGGCCATCGATTAGTTGCCAATACAATACTGATTCCTCTTACGCCTTATCCTAGTGAATACTACAACGCCACCACGGCATTGAGACAGTCATTGGCCCAGACCTACACCTCCTTCTTCTTCAACTTACCCTTAGCCTTGGTCTTCTCGCCCGCTCAGTTCGCCGTCCACACCCAGCTGAACTTGCTCTTCCAGTTCTGGATCCATACCGGTAAGTCGAGCGTTGAATGTAATAGGCGTTTTTGCAAAGGCCAATACAAAGTGCAAACCCACTGCTGTACTCCAATGCTGACTCCTTATCATCGTTCACGTATCTAGAAATTATCCCAAGAATGGGTTGGCTCGAGTACATCATCAACACGCCCAGTGCCCATCGTGTCCACCACGGCCGCAACCCTTACTGCATCGACAAGAACTACGCCGGCACCCTCATTATCTGGGACCGCATGTTTGGAACCTATGCCGATGAGCGCATCTACCCCGATGTTGTCGCCACCAAGGAAGAAGAAGAGCCAGTCGCCTACGGACTTACCCACCCTATCAACACCTTTGACCCCGTCGCCGTCCAGCTTGGCCACTTCAAGCATATCTGGAACATGCTCTGGATCACCCCCGGTCTTGTCAACAAGTTCAAGGTCGTCTTTTATGGCCCTGGCTGGCACTCTGGCACTCCTCGCACCGGTCTGTTGTCCGAAATCCCCGACGTCGATCTGAAGAATCCTCCCAAGAAGTATGATCCCGTTCTTCCCAGAAAGTTCAACTACTACATCGCCGCCCATTTCGCGATCGTGATGGTTGTTGGAAGTGCATTGCTCGGCGAGCTCTACAAGATCCTGCCCCTTCATTACACTCAAGCCATTTGTGTCGCATTCCTGGTCTCGTTGGTTTCGTTGGCCAAGATCATGGACGCCAAGGAGTACGGACTCAAGGTCGAATTGGCAAGGTGCTTGACCTTCTTCCTGTTAGCCGAGTTTGTGGCGCGCTCGGGATTTTATGAGCAGACATACTGGCAGAGGCGTGGCACGTTGTGTGTTGCAGACACGTTCTTTGTCAGCAGTTTGTTCATTAGCTGGAACATTTACAAGCTTGGATCGGACTGGGCTACCATCGTGCCTGACACTCCCAAGAAGGGACAGAGTATTAAGGACAAGATCAAGACCAACTAAGATAGCTCTTCAATATGTATACCACCATGCGGAACTAATTGCACAAATCATTAAAACATTTCGTTTGAAAAGTAGCTTTTATGGTTGTTTTTGGGTGTCTATGCATGGTAAGTTGTTGCTGGGTCTGGAGGAGGAAAATCACGATCCCTCGACATAGTCCTTGAGCTCGTTCTGCAACTCCTTCTCCCAGTCAGTCACATCAACATCTGCGTCGTCTCCGTCTCCAATGGACACTCCCGAGGCGAGTTGCTTTTCAAGCCATGCGTCTAGTGCCGACAGAAGGGTAAATAATTCTCGTGAGCATCGTGCACGTGTGCTCTCAATAGGAGTAAAAAGGTGAGAAAATGGTGTATGCATGTGGCGCTATTGGGACGACGCCTGTTCTTACCTGGATCTTCCTCATGGTCTGGCATCTCGGCTTCAAACAGCACCTCAGGCTTCTTCTCGACCGCCTTTTTGACTGCAGTTTTGCCAGACTCCTTTGTAGTGGTTGTTGTTGTCGTCGTAGTTGTCGTAGTTGTCGATGGAGAACTGGAATCCTTGACGATTGTAGAAACGGGTCTGGATCGACTAGGAGGCCCCTCAACGTCATCCTTGCCAAAGTAGATGTTATACCCCAGTACAGACGACGACAAGGTCCGACCATGCCTGGGGCTGTTGCTCCCACCACCTTCCGCGCCACCGCTGCCTTCTGATGCTGAATCTGAAATTCCTTCCGAGAAGGAGTCCAACCCGGCGGTCGAGAGGGCGACCTGCTTGAGGAGAGTGACCCTGTAAAAATAATTCCGCCAAAAGACGAGTTCCTCGATTTCCTTGGGGACGAGGTAAAAGCGCATCTTGTTCAGGTTGGGGTCTTCCTTCAGGGTCGCCATTGCTGTTGAGGAGTAGACCTTCATGTCGAAGACAAAGTCTGTTCCTGGGGGTGGTGGCAGCAAAAAGTTGCGCTTGTCCTTGGATAGACTGAGGATGCGCGATTTGAACTGGTCCTCGTCCGGTAATCCTGCCCATGCCGGCACCGCCTCTATTTCATGCACAAAAGATATGAATATCAATCAGTCATCCCATGTCGATTATTGATCAGACCAACAAAAAATAAAATGAAGTGATGGTTGTACCTGTGCCTTGCTTGGGCGCCGCATTCTCCAATTTTTTCTGTTTAACAAATTCCTCATGCTCCTTTTGGATGCCCTGGGTGACGTTGACGCCCACACGCTGGGCCGCACTGCTGAGTGACTTGAAGGCTGAGACACCCCAGTCCTTGGTCGTGTTGGCAAGTTGCTCCGTGCTCGCCTGCAAGTTCTTTATGTCGACCTGAGGCGGGACCAACGAAGCAGGCGATTTGGTGCTGGAGAGTGTCGACCGCATTGACGAAAAAAAGGACGAGGTGTTGATCTTGGGCGCGTTAAAACCTCCTGAGAAGACAGCTGAGGTGAACGCCTGTAATGATTGGGGCGCTCCTCCCTCTGTCTTATCTTGTTCATTGCTGGCTTTAGTGGTTGATGTTGAGGAAGGGTTGTTGTCGGTCTTTGGGGAGGGGTCGTTGTTGGTGGAAGTGACCTGTACTGACTCTGTGTCAACTGTTTCTCCCAAAGTGGTATCGACAGCGGCTGTAGTGGTCTCGCCCTTCTCGGTTGTTGTGGATGCCATTTGATTGTTTACGTTGATGCAGGATTCGAATGCGGAAGGTCGTTGCGAAGGATGATGAGGACTAGTGGTGTTGAGAGAGAAAGTTGCGACATGGCAACACTAAACTCTCTTTTAGTGTCTCTCTCTTTCTTGTGCTCGTGGCTGTGGCTTACAGGTGATCCTGTGCGGTGGGCATACACTTTTACGCCATATGCCTTTGGCTTCTTTTTCTGTTCACTGATGCTTCGTGTATGTGTGCCTGTCAAGACAAAGAAGCGAGCAATCTTGGATCCATTGTCTGTTGTTAAACGGTTCCATTGAACCTCTACCGTTGGTCCCCGCAAGGTGCTCGGGTCGGTCTTCACCTTGTTCACTCTTTACACACGCACATACTCCTTCGTTCACCCTGAAGTGGTCGTTTTAATTAGTAGACGCAGAATGAAAAAAGGAGAACGCATTTTGTTTTTTGTTTGCCCCCTTTTGTTCACTTTTCTCAACCTTCCTTTTCTCTCTTCTCTCCTTCTCTTCTCGCCCTTTCCCCTCCTTCATTTCATTCCCTCATCCTTCACTCATTCAGCACGTCGTCACTCTCACACACCCCTCCCCACACAACAGCATAACCAGCTCGACACAAAAGACTCTCTCATTCATTGACTCACATTGCCCCAGGTGGCCTTCCACTTCAGCTGATTGGTGAAACCTCCTCTTCCCCTTCACCTCTACGTCAATGCAGTACGAATACCTGCCCCCACAGTCGTCTGCCCAGCAGCAACAGCAACCACCCTCCCCGTCCCAAGCCTGGCAGCAACAACAACAGCAGCAACAACAGCAGGGAGGACTTGCCCCTCCGAGCCATATGCCCTACAGTGGAGGACTGACCGCGGCCGCGACAGGAAGTTCCGAGAACCTCTTTGAACGCTCGACCGAAGGCTTTCCCAAGTCTGCGATTGACCAGTCGGCCGCAGCAAAGTACCGATTGGAGCACCACTACAGTCTTTCGTTGGAGCAGGCCATTGAACGAAGCGAAAGGTATATTTTTTTATTCATATGCACTGTTGAATGGCGTTGCATACGATCAAGGAGAGATAAGGAAGAGGAGTGCGCCATTTCGCGTAAGAGTAGAGTGGCTGTATTGACCTCAGTATTTCAAGCGAGAAGAGAAGAGAGAATCACGATCCCCATTGTGGCTCAAATCATTCTCTCGTCGGCACAGTCGAATGTAGTATTTTACCTTCTCTAACAAACATCCCACAAAAGAAAACCAAAGTCTAAAAGAGCCCCGGAGAATAGTGTTTCGGCGTGGGGAAAGAGAGTGAAATGGCTGGTTGAGCACATAAGGATGCAATGCTATCGCGGCGTGTGCGTTAATGGAAGCAGAAAGGGGAGAGTGCTTTGAACAACGGAGGCGGAAAGAATTCATATCGCGCTTGCAGAATACAAAAAAGACACCTTCTAACCACTCGGTCCTAACTCTCTTCTCTACTTGGCCTTATGCCTCGCTTTCCCCCCGTTTGCTCTTTTACCTCCCTCCCCCTTGATCCCTTCACCCCTTCACCTTCTCATTTGCCCCTGACAACTTCCACTGGCCTCCTCACTGCAATTGTTGGGTTCGTGCTCTGAATGCATGTGCTTCTCATTTTAACCCTGTTCTCTTCAATACCTGGCCTCCGCCTTGTTTTTGTTTTGCTCTCTCTCCTGTACATGCATTCTATCACTTCTACTATATGTCCTCTCCCCTCTCCCACCACCCCCTGAATTGTTACAGACGAGCTGAACTCGAGACGCGACTAGAAACCGAGCCAGGAAGCGAAGAGCGTAAGCAGCGTCAACTGGCTGCTCTTGGTCGTAAAGAATCGCAGTTTCTGAGACTTCGTCGTACGCGTCTAGGTCTGGATGACTTTGTCACCGTGAAGGTGATCGGAAAGGGTGCCTTTGGAGAGGTCCGTCTTGTCCAGAAGCTGGACTCTGGCAAGATTTATGCTATGAAGACCCTCCGTAAGGCCGACATGTTCAAGAAGGACCAGGTACGTTTTTGCTTTCTTTCTGTTGTAATCTCCTTTACGTATGCAAGGAATACAATTAGGCGTAATATTCATTTTGCTCTCTACTTTCTATGTGAATAGTTGGCACACGTCAAAGCCGAGAGAGATGTGTTGGCTGAATCGGAATCACCCTGGGTGGTTCAGCTCTACTACTCTTTCCAAGACCCACAGTACCTGTATCTCATCATGGAGTTCTTGCCAGGAGGAGACTTGATGACCATGTTGATCAAGTACGACACCTTTTCCGAGGACGTCACTCGATTCTACATTGCAGAGTGCGTTCTTGCCATTGAGGATATTCACAAGATGGGCTTCATTCATAGGTATGAAACGCTATGGAAAGAGGAGAAAAGAACAGTAGCACAATCTCCTTTTCTGTCTGCATCATTTGATGGAATGCATGCACGTCATTGCTAATATTGCAAACTAACAGAAAAACGCTCTCCTGGGTTCTCTTTCTTGGTTTCATTGGGTAATGCAGAGATATCAAGCCCGATAACATCTTGATTGACCGCGACGGGCACATCAAACTGTCAGATTTCGGATTGTCGACTGGATTCCACAAGACGCACGATTCGCAGTTCTATCAGCGGCTTTTGGAAGGGCAGGTCAAAGGCAATGCTGGAAGCAGCAACACCCATGATGGAGTGACGACATTGAGCGCAGGCATGGATTCCATCAACTTGACCTTTTCCAGCAAGGATAAGCTCGCCACATGGAAAAAGAACCGCCGCACCCTTGTAAATTGCAGGGAGCTTGACTCTTTTTGTCTTTTTTGTTTATTGGTTTTCTTCATACGTTTATAAGTTTATGCAGTTCTCTAGCTGACATTTTCTTTGATATTTCCTCGCTCCTTAGGCCTACTCGACGGTCGGTACGCCCGATTATATTGCGCCAGAGATCTTTTTGCAGCAGGGTTATGGCCAGGAGTGCGACTGGTGGTCCTTGGGAGCGATCATGTTTGAGTGCCTTGTTGGATACCCACCCTTCTGCAGTGAGAACGCCCACGAAACCTACCGCAAGATTATGAACTGGCGTGAGCAGCTCTACTTCCCCGAGGACGTCCATCTCACCCCTGACGCCGAAGATTTGATCCGCAGGTAATGATTTGCACGTTGTCGCGTCTACCACTTACGCGTTTTTGCTTTGTTGTGAGTTGTAGTTTATTTATGGACATGTCATTAACGCTCGTATCTCTTTTTTTCCTTTGCCCTGACTTGTTACAACAGACTGATTTGTTCGCCAGAGATGCGATTGGGCCGCCACAGTGTACACGAGATCATGGGCCATCCGTTCTTCAACGGAGTCGACTGGGCCAACATCCGTCGGATGGACTCGCCGTTTGTTCCTATCCTCACGTCGATCACAGATACCAGCTACTTCCCGACTGAGGATTTGGAGAAGGTGCCGGAACATCCTGAGCAGCACGATTACCAAGTCGCCGATGACTCGAAGCAGAAGGATCTGGCCTTTGTGGGTTACACCTTTAAACGGTTTGAGTCCTTGACTAAGCGCAATGCTTTGTAAAAGTGTTCAGTTTTTTTTAATGTTATATTTATTATTATGATTGGTAATAGCGAGCGGGTTTTGAGGGTGTCGGGTCGGTCTGCAATAATGAAGACACAAAACGAATAAAAAAACACTCCCCCCCAAAAAAACACAACACAACAAAGAATGCTTGGTGTATCAATGGGTTTCGTTTTTTGTATTAATGTTGAAGTATCTTTTTTCAAATATGAAGAAAATGGCATGGGTTGGGGAGAGGAAGAGTGAAAAAGAGATGGTTAGGGAAAGAAGAGTTACAAGGGGTTTTAGAACTTGTCGTTGGAGAACTCGGAGTGGTCGGGGTAGTTCTCATAGGGACGTTGGGCCTGCTGGGCACGGACAGTGGGCGACTGAGCAGTGTGAGCTCCATTGTTGGCTCCCTGCTCACTACGAGACTGTGACCGGTTACGACGGCTCTGCGAGGGCGAGCGACCGCCCACCTTAGCGGCCTCACCCCTGGGTGACGAAACAGCCGTCAAGGTGGGTGAGCCATAAAAGTCATCCTGCTGCTGCTGCTGGTTGTTGTTGGAGGTCTGGAACTGCTGGTGGTGGAAGGGCAAGGGCTGATCGGGGTAGACGCTCTCGAATCCACTCATCAGCTGACGCTGCTGCTCCTCGACATACCGCTTGCGTTCTGCGACGCTGCCGGGTTCATAGCGGTGACCGCTGGTATCTGTCAACTCGTACTCGATCACGGCAGGTTCGCCGCCATATCCGCCAGCGGAGCGATCGTTGTGCTTGTTGTTATATCCACCGTCATCATAGGGGCGCGCATGCTTCAAGTCCTGAACCGAGTTATCGTCAACATAGGCAGGGGCAGGTTGACGGATCGTGAAAGATCGTCCAAGCTTCGACTTGTCACCATCCTGCAAATTCAAACTGCTTCGTCCTGCGCCACCAATCTGTCCCGAGGCCGAGGCTGAATGCTTCGAGTAAGGACCCGCGGCAATAGACCCGCCGCTGCTGTGACGATTGGATTGACGCCTTCGGTAAAAGATGAATCCTGCGACGAGGATCAAGACGGCCGCGACTCCTCCGATGGCACCTCCAATCGCGGCGCCTTTACCGGATTTGCCTTCTTCGCCAGAGTCGTTGCCGGGGTGTTGGAAGTTGGGGTCATTGGGGTTGTTGCTGATACCTAATGGAGAAATTAGGGGAGCGTTTGTTGTTCCAAATCATTGTTAGGGTTTTGTCGTTAGGTGACAAGAGACTATGTTTTGTCGCGTGAAATACTTGTTTCTTTTTTTTTTTTTTAAAAAAGGTCAAGCAAATGATTTCATGTGTTGTATTTTGTTATCGTTTTTCATACCAGTGCCCTTGTTGGGAGACTCGGTGGCGACAGTGACGGCTGGGGGATTAGCGGCGGTGATCCAAGTGTTGGTGAGAGTGTTGAAAAATGAGAAGGTGCTCACTGCTGATTCTGGGCCAGCACCAGCCTGGCCTGTAAGGAACCCCCCAAAAAAAAAAACGATAATAAATAATAGAACAAAAAATATGTCAGGAACGAATCGTGGTGGTTCATTCGTCATGCAGTATTTGTAACGAAAACAATAATCAACATAGTTTACCAAAGGTGTGCAAGATGGAGCTGTCGTTCAAGAGGACAGAGGCGTGGAAGGCACGAGGTTCAGCTGCGGGGACGTTGATCTTCTTCCAGGCCCAAGTAGCGGCGGTGGTGTTGAGGAGGTAGATATCGCTGAGGGGTACCGTTCCGGCCGCGGTCTGGCCACCATAGATATAAATGTTTCCCTGCCCGTCCTCGACAGCTGTATGTCCGAATCGAGCAGAGACGGCATCTCCTGCGATGGGTCTGTAGTCATTGGTGGACAAAACAATGTGGTTGTCGTAAGGAGGAAGAAGAAGCGCAAGGTTAAATTGGATTGTTACCGAGCGTCAACAAACGTTTTAACGAGACAAACACAAACAAAAAGGGTAACAAAGAGTGAAAGACGCTCGTGACAATTTGTCAAACAAACAAAAAAAAAAAAACCACAAAGTGAGCTCTTTACCTAGTGCCCCAGGTAACGCCACTAAAGGTGGAGGCTACGTTCATGGCGACAGCAGTTCCAGCTTGGATCTGGCCACCCAGGATAACAAAACTCTTGAGAGAATCGATCCAAGTGGCAGTGTGGTAACGTGTGGCGGCGGGCATAGCGGTACCTGAACGCCATCCCATTGCAGAATCCAACTTCAACATATCCACTTCGTTTGAGAAGCCACCATCAGCTCCAATGGCAGATGTGAGTGAACCCCCAAAGTGGTAAGCCATGGTGGACGTAGGGTCTATGCTGACCGCCATACCTCCTCTGGAGCTGACGTTGGGTACCGTCATATTCATTTTGGTGCTGGTGTACTTGATAGAGTTGAATATGTCACAGGACATCTTGTGGGTGGTCGCGCCGGCCGCGTCGAATCCACCGCAGTTGATCATCAATCCTTGGGAGGACTCGACGGAGGAATGGAAGCCGCGAGCGGAGAAGCCTGCCAGCTGTGTGATGTCGAGCAAGGTCGAGCCCGTGTAGGCACCGTCTTGACCAAGTCGGAGAGAGTAGGCTGCATTGGTGGGGTTGCCGTCGGCGCCCAAACCTCCCTGGATAAAGACGGTGGAATCAAGCAGGGTAGCCGAGTGACCGGCAGTGGGCTTGATACTCTGGGCGTTGACCAGCATCGATGAGGATGAGGCACAGACCGCAATGGCCATCATTATCGAGATGCTCGACTTCATTATGTGATATGTATAAGGGCCGTTGGAAGTAAGGAGAGTTGAGTGCGGGGGGTAGAGGAGGTTGAAAAAAACAATAAGGGGAGGGTTTGAGTCGAGTGGGCCGAAGGTGAATCGGAGGAATGAGTCGGATGAGATGGAGTTCCAAGGAGGGTGGTCGCCGAGATGAAGAGAAGGAGAGGGAGGAAGTGGGTGGTGAAATGAAGGAGGGAAGCGAGGGAAGGGAGGAAGTGGGTGGCGAGAAGAAGGAGGGAAGGTGCGAGAGAAAAGAAGAGAGGTGAAAAAACAAGAGAGGAGGGAAATGAAAAAAGTACCAGGGAACAGTGGTGCCTGAGAGTGCTAATTGAACGGGTGAAACCCCGCACCCAAAAAAAAAGGAAGACAACTGGGGGTTTACGCCGGTACACTGGCTTCTGTTCGTTCTTCTTCACTGCCACAACGACTGCAGACCTCAAAAAAAATATGCAGACTTGACAGGGATGAATACCCGAGTAAGCATGGAAAGTAAGCAGGTAAGCGAAGACGAGGAAAAACCGAGCACTCAAAGCAAGCAGGAGAAGAGACGAGAAATGAGAGCGTAGCGACATCTGAGAGCAAACAACAAAAACAACAAAGAAAAGAGGAAGACGCAACATATATCGCAACAAAAGAAATCTCGGAACGTTGTTCGTTATTCTACGTTTGCCCCGCCATACGAAACGAATGTTTAATTTCAGGAACACTGATGGTATCTAATTATGGAACCTGGTCAATCATCACCGAGATACCTTCACGTCGTCGCAAGAGAAAAGACTGCAACAAAAAAAAAAAAAACATGACGTCCCAGCATGCGCATTCAATCATGGCTCTCCTCTTATTCATCCGTGTAAAGCGAGATAGGATAAACAACACAATTCATTACAGTGGGACAAGATCATAGTCTATTACAATAAGCAATTATGGATGGGCTGGCATTTCTTTGTGCCTTGGCCCCTCTTTCTAACACACACACGAGTCGACAAAAAGATTCCACACTAAGCATAAGGACTAGGCCTCTTTTTGGGCTCACAACCAGGTATGAGAGCACCTTTTTTTTTTTATTCTTCCTCTGTCTCTGCCCTTTGCCTCTCTTTTCGGTGGTCTATTTTTCTTGGTCACCACATATAAACAGCCCTATTCACTACTGTTACACACACCTCTGCCAACGACCAAAAAAAAAAGGCGCAACCAACATCTAATCCGAGTTCTAGAGCCACATCTATTTTACCTTTCTCTTCTTTATCTGATGGCAGGATTTGCAGGACTATTATATTCATCTCGTTCAAGCTGCAAATGGAACCTGAGAGCCTTCAGCTCCCCCACAGCCGCGTGCACACACCCATGCAAGACGCTGTTTCAGGTTTTCGTTGATATCTTGAACGCCTCCCAAGAAAGTGTCCCAATCGTAGAACAATCATTCGCCTTGGATAACATCTCCTCCTTGAACAAATACGCATGCACATCTAATTTCTCATGAGCCGCGCATTATCTATGCTGCAATAGGAACAAAGATGGAGGACAAAAAAAAATGGGCTGGCAGACATAGCCAACGCTCGGTGCGTTGAAACATGCTGATCTGCATCAACGTCGCACGAAAAGTCTTGCCGTCGAAACACCTTTAGGGCCAGAGGCCTTTGGAGCCTTTGGAGCTGCAAATTAGCTGTCTTGGACACATAAATATGAAAAACGCGTGTAATGTTTGTTTTCTGTTCTTTACATTTATTCATTTTGCCATCATGTCTGTCCAGTCCTTTAACGACGCTTGACAACTTGAATCTAATGGCATTTAACGAATAAAAAGATCCAGAAGGAAATGATTAGTTCACACGACTTTGTTCTCTACTTCAGCGCCCCATGCCCTATCAACCCATAGGACTAGAAAACGATTGATAAGTATACGTACAACGTCATCGTTGTCCACTAAGTGAGAGAGACCCACACGCTGAGGGTTGTGCTTTGCAGAACGACCCCAAACAAGCGCGTACTTGAATTCTGCAACCAACGATCTGTGAATAGCGTGACACTAGATAAAGGAAATAAAAACGCGGCAAGTCAGCAGAGGCAAAAAATAAATAAATAAAACCATTGATACATTTAAAAAACCAAAGCAAAAAATTGCAACTAAAGAACGGGCGAAGAGGACAATACGTACCACATGCTCGATGGTGGATCCGGCACGGATAATCAAGCCACCCTCGAAATCGGGGTACTCGCCTCTCTTTTTCGTATAAACGCGCAGCAGGTTCAAGTTCTTCCAGATCGTCTCCACCAGGAAATCCAAGTTCAGATCCATCTCACAACTCATCACAACAGTCCTGGGTGTACGGGCCAACTCGTCAATCTGCTCGATCGTAATCGAGTCAATCTTGTTGTAGCACTATGCATCATAAGTGGACGTGGAAACTGACGAGTTAAAATACGATGCTCTTGAATATACATATGTATGTGGCAAGGTACAGTTCTGTGCGATGGGAAAGTTACTTACGTAGATGGCATCAATGTATTTGCGGTTGCCGAGGACGACATCGATGAACTCGTCAACGGTGATATCCTCACGGATCAAGACCTCGGCATTGAAAATTTCTATTTCCAAGATGCATAAAGGGTGACCAGAGTCGATTAGCATTCCTTCCTAGTTACCAACCTGTTCATCGCCAAAAATTATGTTCGGTTTCTGCCAAAGAAGAACGTACTGTAGTCGTGAAGGATATGGTAGACCATTTTTTCCGTCAAGGTGGTGAGCTTGCATGTGGCGTTGAAACTAATTCCGCCTCCAGTCTTGATCTATAGTTGACGTGCGATAGTAGAAAGAGAAAAAAAAATTACATTAGATCAATAAATGTGTCAAGCAATTAGTGCTTCGTTGACGAGAACACCTCCCCATCCATCATGCTGCATGGTCCACTGCGCGTGTGATGTTCCTCTCGTACCTTGAAGTAGACGTTGGGCCGTTGCGTGTTCAGACGGATACCGACGGCTTCCAATTCAGCCTCCAGGAGTTCCTTCTGAGAAGCAGATTTGGTGGCATCCAACATGATCATGATCAAATCTGCCGTTCTGGCGACAGCGATAACCTATTTTCATCCGCAAGGACAAGTATCAGTAAACTGTATGTACAAGTCAAGAATTCCTTCCTCGTATCCAGTATCCAGTCCTCTGCCATAAGTTATCCTGCGCATTACCTGACGACCACGTCCTTTGCCCTGGGCGGCTCCTTCGATAATACCGGGAAGATCCAGAAGCTGGATGTTGGCTCCGTTGTACTCAATCTTTCCGGGGATACAGGTCAACGTTGTGAACTCGTAGGCGCAGGCTTCCGAATGGGTGTTGGTCAATTTGTTGAGGAGCGTAGACTTTCCGACCGAGGGGAATCCAATGAGCGCCACTCGAGCATCTCCCGATTTCATGACATCGAATCCCTCTCCCTATTCCAGTTGAACGTAAGAGGATAACAAGCAGTGAGTTATGGTGTCAATTGATATCGCCATTGGGTATCTCTTTGTGGAATTGAATGTACTCAATGCCTACCTTGACGGCAGCCTTGCCGGGATCCAAGAGCTGGACACGGTATTTGGCCAACTTGGCCTTCAACAGACCCAAGTGATACTCCGTAGCTATGTGTGCGAAAATTGTTGTGGCGTATCCTGTCAGCTTGCTTGTCGCAACAAAGGGTTACATCCTGTTTCCATGCGGCTTGTTAAGAAAGACTAACGTGTGTGTCATTTCCTTCCTTGACCCCTCGCTTACCCTTGTTCTTTTGAGTCTTCGAGATCTCCTTCTCAATATCGGCGATCTTTTCCAGAATACCCTAAAAAATGATCAATGAATCCAACAACGAGGGCAAAGACAAAGGTGTTCAGTCATGCTTGTTCCTCTGCAGTCGTAGTATTTTTCCTCCTCATCGTAGTCTCTTTTTGTCGTGCTGCATTGCTGTTTCCTGGCTTCTCACCATGATGACAGTGAACTTGTGCTGGTGTAAGAAAGTGAATGAACCCATTGGAGCTGCAACCTGCCAGCTTATTTTGCGGCAGGGCCTTAAGGGCTTCAGGATCATCCACCTGAACTAGATGATTATTCTGCCTATCTACATGGAGAGGTAGAGCACTGCGTAACTCGCTCCTCAACCATACGACGAAGATGCCGCCAGGTCCGGTGATTCTTCTATTATCGGTGTCGAGTTCCTGGGGATGCATGTGTACAAGAACCTTTGTCCTAAATGATAACAAGACGCCAAACCAGACCAGGCAAACCTTCGTTCGTATCCATGTATCCTTGAGTAGTCCTATCATTCCGTAGTCCGGTTCATGCTCCTGTTCACCACTGGGTCATCATAATAGTCAACGTGCTCCACTACGTGCTCTGGAATGGCGTGTACCTTTGCGTTTGTGATAATAAAGGCATGGCATGAGGAGTCAAAGAGAAGGGTGAACTAAGAGCAAGACAGCCATCGGGACTATGGAAAGCAAAAACTATTACTTTTATGTAAAATGGACCTTGCAAAAATTTAAATGTGTATTCTCTTTCATTCTTCCTCCTTCCTTTAGAAGGTCTCGTCAGGGTATTCTTCGGCTTCCGCAGCATGCTCCTCGAGTGGAATCTCGAAACCCTCCTACAAAGACAAATATAGTGATATGTGATTAATGTAGATCCGTATGTGAAGATGAACTTTTGCGCAAAGCGAAAAGAAAGAAAAGGTAAACAAAGTAAAAAAAAATCGAGATTGAGAGCACATTCCATCTAATTTACCTCTGTGCTGTAAAGGACGGCCTGAATCTCCTTCAACAAGGGGATCTCGGCGGTGTCAGGGTTTCTCTCGGACTCCTGCTGGATCAAGACCTCGATATCTCTGAGCTTGCCAAAGTAAAAGTCGCGTTCCTTCTCAAGAGCAGCAACAGTGGTGCGCTCCTCCTGAAGCTCCGTCTGCAACGCCAAAATAACAGAGTGGTCGGGGCTTGGTCCACGGAGCGATCTGTTGGGAGCAGAAAGATGGTCGCCCGAGCCACGTCCAGACATTGAGCGGTTGGCTATTACCACGGTAATAAAGGACGGCCAGGGTTAATGAACTCTGTAGGCTTCGCCATCGCCATCGTTGTGATAAATTAAATGCGCGAGACTGATGATACTAGACGTAAATACTGACCTCCGTTGTTGTTCATGACTCTCCTGGCGGGTGAGCTAGTGGATCTGTTGGCAGCAGCCAAGGGCTCGTTGGCGGCGCCACGGCGAGCAGCGGCATCGTAGTGGTCGCCGGGGAAGTTGCGCTCCCAGAACTTCTTGAGCCACTGCAAGAACTCGAGGTTGTCCTGCATCTTGCACTTCATGAGGCGCTCAGTAGGGATAGCCTGTCATAAAGAAAGAACATCCATTGTCAGAGATTCAGAAAAAAAAAAGCCGAGTGGAGTGTCCAGCGACCTCTGAAAAAGATCACTTCTACTGTTGGTCATCCTGTCCATGCTTCCTTGATTCCTGTTACGCGGACTCTACCTTGTCGATCTTGCGGTTGGTGAAGCAGGTCTGGAGGACCTTGTAGTTGCCGAGATATTCATACTCGTGCTTGGTTGCAAACTTGACACGCTGCATGGGAAGGTTACCTACACGTGAAAAACAATGATGACACCAAATATATGGCGAGGTCAGATAACAAGGCACAGTTTGAGTGATGCAACATCTCGATATCCCTGCCCATTCTATCTTAAATCATGTACCATAGATGGAGTCCATAATCTGGGCATAAGCGGCACCTATCGTCAATGAACACCAAAATAAAAAGAGCGTTAGCAAACAAAGGCATGCGAGTTTGTCGACTCCTTTTAGGAGCGCTCCCTTACTCTCCTGAAAACGAGACACAGCGAGGGAATGCAGTTTCCCATGAGCGGTGCTGTGTTGAGAGAGCTGTACTTCTAGGCGTTTCCATCTACGTTCTCGTCGTTTGTTGATGACACGGGGGTCGGCCGCTCGTGATCCGCAAGCCAGTGTGTTCCACGTTCTCTTTAGTGTACAAAAGAAGGAAGCCGGTGGAGTTTCCCGTGAAGTGCAGTAAAGATGTTGAGAATGAGTGTGGCTGAGAGGAAAAAGAAGGTGAAGAAGAAGAAGGGTACCTGTTCCCAGCTGCTCGACCTTGGTGTAGTTGAGCTGGAGCAGCTCGTTGACCCAGGCGATAAGTTCTCCTCTGCTCTCAGACATGATGATGTTGGCGGTTGGTTGATGGTGGGGGTTGGTGATGAAAAGAAACACCTTCTGCCCCTGGTGACCGACTTTTGTGCCTTTTTCTGTCCTCCCGACCAACGATGACACGTCCCCTTAATCGATTAAGCAGAAAGAGAAGGAGAAAAAAAGAGAAAAAAAAACATAATCTGTCGTCGCACAGCTCGCTCACCGAAGGGGAGCATCCAAGACTAACGAAGAGCACGAGCTCATCTTGCTTCCATAGGTTTGAGTAATGATTTTTATTCGCGATGAATATTACAGAGGTAGTTTACAAAAAGCAATTGAGAAAAGAAGACGCCATGGGGATGAACATGGAGGTAACAACGGAAACAGAGAAAAAGAACAAAAACGAGATATTAAGCTTCCAAATAGGCAACAAATCCTAGGCGACCAAACTTCAAGTGGAGATGGAAAGGGCAGAAGGTGAGAACGCAAAGAATAAAGAAAGGAGAGAAAAAAATGTTGTCGAAAATATGGTGCACCGGGAAGGAGTCATCAAGGTCCGCTATGAGTTCCGATCCTGTCGGGTTTTTCACTCAAATCCTGCAATGCTCTTCCCACCACGACAACGGAGGAGACCATGACCGTCATTCGCTGACTTAGGCCTTGGGGGCAGGGGCGGCCTTCTTGGGGGCCTTGGCCTTCTTCTCCTTGGAGGCAGCAGCCTTCTTCTCCTTGGGCTTCTTGGCCTCGGCCTTCTTAACGGCCTTCTTGACAGCGGTGGCCTTCTTGGGGGCAGCCTTCTATAAAGTTGATAAGAAAATGTCGAATCGATGTGAATAACCTGATTGTGTACGTCGATAAAAAAAAAAAGTGGGCACACCATTGATGATAGAAAGTCGAATGATTCGACGATTGCATCCTGCATCAAATTCACTTTCGATAGTGCGCCAACATATCGAAATGCACCATCAGTCGACAATGCTTACCTTAGTGGCGTCCTTCTTGGCGACATCCTTCTTGGCAGCGGGCTTCTTGGGGGCAGCCTTCTTGGCAACGGGCTTCTTGGCCTTCTTCTCCTTGGTCTCCTTCTTCTCCTTGACGACCTTCTTCTTGGGCTCCTTCTTGGCGAGCTTGACGGGGCCAGATTGACCCTTGGGCTGGGTGAAGTCACCGGCCTCGACACCGCGCTTGACGGCAGCGTTGAAGTGCTGATCCGAGTTTTCGCCAACCTTGTAGTTGCCGAGAATGTACTTCTTCAAGGCCTGGCGGGAGGAGCCGTTGCGCTCCTTGAGGTGGACGAGGGCGGCAATGATCATCTCCTAAAGACACACAGAAACCGCCAGAGGGTGAGACAGGGAAGCGTGATTGTTAGCATGGTTGTCATGTATCAGAGAAGTAGAAGGAGATGGGTAATAGCAGGCGAGTCCGAGTTCCGAACACTCTGTTTTTCTCATGGCATGATTCCATGCTCAAAAAAAATATCGAACCCAAGTCAGATTTTTTTTTGTTAACCACCATATGGTGACGGAGTCCAGAGAGAAAGAGAGAGGGGGAAATAATAAAAACGTCTTTCATCCGAATGCGAGTGCCGGTAAGGCGATATCGACAACGATAACACTTTTGTAAACAGCTCCTGGCGCCTGTGGATGCCATCCTTCTCTCGAGTCAATAAGAGGCCGACTGTGGTATGTCTTTTCGTCAACTTTGGCTATACTGCTGTTTTTGCCTCCTTGGTCCTGAGCCAACTTTTTTTTTATCCCAAAAAAAAAATGTGGGCATGACCCTCCCGCTTTTTTTGGTGCGTATCAAAAGGACAAAAAAAAGAGGGGCAACCTCAGGGCGATGATGGTGTTGAGAAGCGTCGGATGAGGACGAGTCGAACTAGGTCGAGCCAAGGGTGGTTCGGTATGGTACCTTGTAGGTAGGGTGCTCGGAGTCCTTCTTGGCGCCAGGAGCGGCCTTGGCCTTCTTGACGGGAGCGGCTTTGACGGGGGCAGCGACGACGGGGGTGGCGGCAGCGTGGGCAGCGGCGTCAGCGTCGGCCTTCTTGGTGCGAGCGGTGGTCATTTCTGTAGTTGTAGGATGGGTGGGTAGGTGAGTGGGAGCGAGTGTGTGTGTGTTGAGAAAAAAAGTGATGAGAAAAAAAAGAAGAGAGAAAAATGAAAACAGCGATGGGAGTGGTCCTTTAGAGCGAAAAAATGAAAAAAAGGGAGCGCGCGCTCCTGGGCGAACCAAACTTTTTTTTTTTCCCCAAAAATCAAAAAAAAGACATTTGCCTTTCACTCGATTTTTTTTATTTTTTTTGACGCGAGGGGGGTTCGCGCACCTACGATCGCAAATGCTGCATTGCTCGTAGGAACGCCAGTCACTTTGGTACACTAATCTCGCTTCTTAGTGCTCAGCTTCCATCCTCACACACATACATCTCCCCAAACACGATATACTGTCGTCAAGTAAGAGAATAAAGAGTCTTTCTGTACAGTCCAAATGGCCCAATGGTGCAAGCCTGCTCCTCACCAGGGCCGCAACCTGCCTGGAACGAGACCTGGTCAATCGACACCAACGTGCAAAAATTGAGTACCAGCGTCGAGTCTCTTGAGAGTGACTCGCCACGGTGGAGGCCTGCCAACATGACGACTGGCCTCACTCTGGGAGGTGGGAGGTGGGAGAGGGGACGAACGAGGGCTTTCAAGTCGGCGGTCTTCCTTTGTTATTTGTTTTTCTGCTCTCTCTTCTTCTTTTTCTTCCCTTTTTCACTTTCTCTCCTCCATCCTCTTCCTCCATCCAGATCAACAGGACTCCCATTCAGGACAAAGGACAAAGACAGGAGACACCACACCCCTTCCAATTGCATTCTTGCATTCCACTACTTTCCCTTCCCTTCGATCCCAACCAACTCTGTTTGCTGAACACCCACTGCGAACCTTCGATCGCCAATCAGACCGTACCCTTTTCATCTCAACCAGGCAGACTCACAAAACAGCTCCATGCCGCTTTTGAAACGAAAGGCGATCAAGCCAGTGCCGACTCCCAATGTCAATGACTTTGAGGAAAACACTCCAGTGTACATGATGCGGTTCACCAACGAGATCTTTACAACCTACGAGTAAGTGATCATGCCCTCACCTTCGACCATCAGTCTGCAAGACATGTGCCACTCAACTCTTCTAGCACCTCGCAGCGCTTACTAGTTTTGCTGAAACTTGGTTCACCTTGGCCATAAACCGCTGCGAGGACACCAGCAAAGTGCAATGCATCATATCCTTGACCTTTCCGATCTAACGGCTATCTGATGTATCTGCCATGCACACTGTGTTCTCTTTTTTGCCCACTTGATTAGGGACTACATCAATCGATACTTCTTCTACAAACAAAAGAACTGGCAGTGCGAGACAACAGGAAAGTCAGGATTGACCTTCGAAGAGGCACTCGAGTCTGAGCACAAGGAAAAGTCTATGGTCGCCAACAACTTTCCTGCCCAGCTTCGAAAGCCATTGCTGGAGTTTGTTCAATTCCGTACGTCTCTTTGACATTAACGTGTTGTTGTATCGGATCGCGTACTTGACTATAATGGCAAGGGTTAAACGACGTGTACTATTCACTAACGGATACACTCACTGTGTGTGTTCAACTTTATAGAAACTGCCAGGATCGATGCAGTCGTAGATGACGCTTTTGCAAAGTTCAAGAACGTGTACTTTTTGAACGAACTTGTCACTGTGACTTGGGATGGAACAAGGTAGCGTCTGAGGGACCTCCGGACATGGGCTTGTGTTAGTAGTCGATAAGGAAACGTGGCATTGGAATCTTTCACTGACATTGTGTCATTTGACATGCATTCGCCTGAATAGTTACAGCGCTGTGATCCGGAAGGTTTTGCCAGAGGACGAGTGGACGACTGTTAAGAATGGCGCTTCCGAACCTGAAGAACTAGGACAGTACCTCGTCAGAGTTGTGGACAAGCGCGGTCGAGGCATCGAGGATATGGAACGCGTTGTTGATTGCTCCCTGCTGAGGTATGTGGCATTGGAGTACACTTGGATCAGGACAGTAGTAGCTTTTAGGGTATCGACCCACTGGCACTGACATTTATGCTTGAATCTCTACCTTCATGATTTCATCATAGTCGCGAGCGTCTTGCATTCAACAAGAACATCATCCGCAAGTACGTCCGAGAGTGTTCGGCAAAGGAGAACTATATCGGAGCACCCTGGATGGTTAAGGTACGACATTGTTTCCTATTAATGTGGGGTCCAATGTGAGCTATGTTGCAAACTAGATATTGGAAAAGTTCTAACGCAAACCTGTTGATACTATCCTTATAGACATCGTTGGCCAAAAAGTACGGAATCGAAACGAAACTTCCAGCAGACCTTCAGGCGGCAAGAGAGTCAGCATTCGCGAAGCTGAAGAAGCGAAAGGTACTTGGCGCGCGATGCGGACGAATTTATGCCAAGCGCAAGGAGAGCAACGCTTCTAGACACTAACACTATTTGTGAATACGGTCAAAACGCTTGTGTCATCACTAGGGAGGTGTCGATCCAGCACCAGCACTTGCAGCCGCTAAGAAGGCCAAAAAGGAGGCGGCAGAGAGACCCACCAAAGAAGTTCTTGCCGAGGTATCATTGCCTGTGGAAGTGAAACCAGTGATCAAGTACCCGATCGAGGACCTGGAATTGGACGCTGGAAGCATTAAGCAGGACGAGGATAGACTTTTGGCGCGCCCATTACCAGTCAAGGATCGCTCCGTGCCTCAAGATTCCTTTGAGGCCCTCGTCATGTCTTGGCAGTTTATGAACTCGTTCAGGTACGAAGGTAGACATGAAGCCTTTTCTCGCACAAAAAGTGAATGTAAGAGCTTTACTGACATCATTTCCTGGTTCTTCATCTCACCTCCAGTACTCCATTGAAGCTCTCGCCTTTTGGGATGAATGATTTTGAAGACTCTTTGGCTCACACAGATATTGAGCATCCTAGTGTCATGGTTGCTGAGTATCACTCTACGCTCATGAACGCCATTATTCAGGATCGACTCAAAGGAATCGCTAGGCCCATTTTGGCTGTTCCTGGAAGTGCTGTCCCCAGCCCTTCGCATCCACGCGAAGAACGAGAGCACAGCGTGATGACGGATGACGACGACAGTATCGCTGACGATGGTGACTTGTCTGTGGGAGGCCATGATGAGTATCTTCAGCGTCGCAAGCTTGCTCATAGACCCATCAACGAGCGGGTTGTCATCGTTGGCCAGGGCTGGGATGAGAAGGTGGTTCCCGCGTCTAGACAAGGCTGGGAGGCTGTCCTTGTTGGGCTTATCAACGAGGTATGTTCATAGCCTCCATGCATTATGACGCGCCGCATTCAGACAGCGGAGCGTGTTTTACTTACATGCGTTTTTTTTTTTTTTAATATTAGCTGGGCTCTTTTGAGGCGATCCCTAATGTCGACAGAATTTTGAACCACCTGGTCCCCAACGGAACAACCTTGAAGGAAGACGTCGAGCAATTGTACCCATCATTGCCTTATGAAGATAAAGTCAGCATCTTGGTGTTCTTGGTCGAGACCGCTGCAGGCACCAGTGCCGTCAGGTACATTGGAAACCAATACTTACGCCATTTTTGAATCATTGTTCAGTGATCAGAGAGCGTTTTTAAAGGCATGGGCTAATATTTCCAATGTCACTTTGCTTTTCATAGACACTACATGGAAGAGTGCCGCCAAAACCTCAAAGAACTTCGATTGCAAAAGTTTGATATCAACAAGGACAGAAGGCAACTGTAAGTCAAATCGGAGCAAAGGTAAAGATGAGGGTGTGCAGAATGACTTATAGTTACTAACCGTTACTGTGATTCGTATTTGATAGGCAATCGGAGTGGGCCGAGTTTGAGCGCATGGAGGCAATCGATAACAAGAATGCAGTTTTAGAGAAGGCGGCAGAGGAGCAACGTAGCGCTGCATCGACACCCGAGCCATCACAAGATGATGACAGCGACAGCCAGTATGAGTTACTTCCTAAGTCATGAAATTTGCACATTGTCACTTCATTTACAGCGCTATCATCCTGACACTTCATTCATCCTTAATCTTCATAGTGCGACGAACGGGGACCTTTCACGAACAGAATCCCGGCAGGAAAAGCTGAAGCGCCAGCAGATGGAACGTGAACAGCAGGAGAACCGACGCAACCAAGACCTTCTCCGTCAACGCGTTTTGATGAAGGCCAAGTCTGCAGAGCAAAAGTTGCGTTATGATGCCCGCAAGAAGCTTACAGATAGAGAGGCTGCTCTGAACCGGAAAGATGAGCAGATCGATCGGGATTCGCGCCGGTACGGGATTGCACGGGTCCGGCCATTGGGCAAGGATCGGTTCTATAACCGGTACTGGTACTTTGACGGGATCACGATGGATCATGGCACGGATCGACTCTATGTCCAGTCGCCGTCGTTTTTGGATCTGGAGGTGATGCGGACGAGTGGCGACAAGAACAAGATTTTGGAGCGACAGAAGGTAGAAGACCCCGTTGGCGGATTAGACGAGCTGATGCGGTTGCACGACCAGGAGATTGCGAATGGTCTTGTGTTAGAAAAGGCTGCGAGAGAGAGGAAGTTGATGCAGGAGAAGGAGCGTGCTCTTGACACGGATGACGAAGATGATAAGGATCCTAAGGTCCGCGGTGGTGTTACCAATGGTCACAGCCCCCACGAAGATCAGGTCGACGAGTCTTTGCTTGTCCAGCACATCCCAACTCACTGGTCTTTCTATGATGAGCCCGAACAGGTATGTCTTTCTGTTACAGTTTGATCTCGTGTGTCATCCTAGTAACTATGGCTCGATTGTTGACGTGTTCTTGATTATAATGCTTTATCATAGATCGATAACTTGCTGAGATGGCTTAATAGCAAGGGTATCCGTGAGAGGGCGCTGCAGACGGCGATCAACAACAACTACGACTTGATTGTTGGAGGCATGCAACGTCGGCATCACGATCTGGTCAGTCTTCTTCAGAAGGAGCAGAACCGTCGCAGTACGCGTACCAAGACTGTCATGGCATCTGAAGGCTACCTCGGCTACCTCAACCGCTTTAACAAGTGAAGCGATATGTCCTACTCTTTTTTTTTCTCACAACAAACATCCCTTCCCCACTTTGCAAATGTTTTTTCTTTATCTTAATAGTATTTTGTTGTTTCTTCTCGGTTTTTATTCCATGCTATGTCGTATGTACAATGCTTGAGAAGTGATGCTGTTGGCTGTGGGTTGCACAGCCGATGTTTTAGGGGGTGTGTGGATATAGGGGGAGGGGGGTGCGTCTGGTTCTTTACTTGACCTCGAGGATGGTCTATTTGAAAAGAGATGTACCGGTGCATACAAAGCAAGGAGGAACCATGGTAAATCTTTTGCGCCCTCGTTTTCGATTATGTTTCAGAGTCTGACTGCATACAGGTACCCACAATCAAATCAATCACAAATTATTAATAATGAGTCGGAAATTACCTCTTTCATGGTTTTCAACACGCGCTTGTTGACATGAGAGACCAACTTGTACACACCGCCAAACACAAGAAAGAGTCTAATTTTTTTTTTTTGGGGGGGGGGTTATGCATCCATCAAGATCAAAAGAAAAGAAAGAAGGAAGAGAAGGGAAGGAAGGAAGGGAAGGAAAACGTTAATGATTTGTTTGTGTAATCAAGGAAAAATCGACAATTGTTTCAAGAAAACAGGGCGAAAGACGGCGTAGAAGAAGCAAAAGAAGAACAAGGAAAGAAGGACGTACCCGACCAAGACGATGCCAACAAGGACCATTACAATCATAAACTCGCCTCCACCTCCACCTCCACAATCACCACAATAACAACCACAGTACCCCCAACCACACGACTGATCAAAGCATCCACCCGTATTCTCTTCGCCGTCCTCGTTCTCATTATCACTGCAGCAGCACGACAACGACATGACCATCCCAACCAGCAACCCGATAATCACAATCACGAACCCGGCCCCCGTCGTGAACAGCACACCCCAAATGACGTCCATCCAATCCAATCCCAACACTGTGTTCAGCGGAAAGTCGCCGTCAGGCATGAACTGCCTTTTCCAGTGCCAGGCGCCCTTCGAGTCAATCGCACGACCGATCCAGGCAAAGGCGTAAGCGAGCAAGATGACAATCAGGACGGTGGTGACACGGAGGAACCACTTGCTGCCGAGGATGGAAGCAGCCCAAGGACGACGGAAGGAGTACTTGTAATGACAAATCTCGCAGCGATAAAAGTTCTCGCGATGGGAGGAAGTGGTCCGCCATTGTTCGAGGCAACCCAGGTGGATGTATCGGGTCGACCCTTTGCAGAGGCAGGGGGAGATCAAACGATTCTTCGCGGACTCTTCATCCTCTTCATCGCTGTGGTTGTGGCGGTGATGACGGTGGCTGCGGTCCTGGTTGGTACTCTTAATAGAATCGTCATCCTCGCCTTCAAGACAGATCCTACAACGGCGCTCATCTATATCATAGTTATGGGTATTGTTGAGAATACTGCTGCTAGTGTTGATGTTGTTGTTGTTGGGGTCGATGATTATGGGTCCTGTAGAAAGCATGCTTGCACGGTAACCAGGCGGGGGCTGCGACATCGTGCTCATGTTCAGAACAACTTGTCCATCACCTCCCTTCCTATCACCTCCTGTCGCCCCTGGGCCTGTAGACTGGAAGGGGTCGACATCGTGATCATAGTCTGAGCGTGGAGAAGAGTCGGTTGAGCTAAGGAGTCTGCGGGTCGAGGACGAGAGTGACCCCGAGTCGTTTTGGTACTGGTCCTGCGCTCCTCCATCTCCAACATAAGAGGTCACACGCTGGCCTGGTGGTGGCGGTGGGATGTACCCCGAGTTTCTGTTGGCGGTGACTGTGGGAGCAGTTGTGCTGATAATTGATCCGCGCTGCTGTTGCTGTTGCTGTTGTTGTTGTTGTTGTTGTTGTTGTTGTTGTTGTTGTTGTTCTTGTTGTTGTTGGTGTTGTTGTTGCTGCTGCTGGGAATATCGGTGTTGTGGAGCGGACTGTCGCTTTGGTTGTTCGTCTACAAATGTCATTATTGTTGTCTGTCGATCTTCTTGTTTCAAACGGAGGAAAGCAAGGGTTGGTGAAGGTGGTGGCAGGGGTATATGGAGGGGAGAGTGTGAAGGAGCAGGAGAGAGGACAGGTGAGAGGACAAGGGTGGAGAGGAAACAGAGGAGAGAGAGGAGAGAGAGGAGAGAAAGGATGCAAGATGGAGGGATAGATAACTAAACCAAGCAAGAAAAAGGTAAAAAGAGGAAAGATGGTTAACGCCATCTTAAAATTGGTAAAACATGCATGCCCTGCTCTTTCTCCGTCGCTCTGAACAACAACACCCAACCCTCCCAACCCCCTGCTGCATCAGTTGACTCTGTTTTTCTTTCGCAGGTTTTGTCTTGCTGTTTGTTGTTGATATGCAGGCACCCAATCTGGCACCGCCTCTTCATGGAACAAGTTGGCGCAAAAACGTACAGCACGCCAACTGCGACAAACAACACTCCCAAACGCACTTTTTTTTTTCTTCCTCTCCCACTGCCTCTCTTCACCTTCGCCCTCTCTTTCTCTTTCTCGAATTAAGAAGAAACCTGTCTAATTTTACCAAGAAAGAAGCACTCCTGAAATAAACAACAGAAAAAAAAATGAATGCGAAACGAAGAGTATGCAATTTCCACTCGACGAGATGATCCCATCTCACATCTGCAGTCCAGGACCCATGTACCTGACGCCCATGTATGAAAAAAAAATTAAGAGTGAAAGTCGACAAACGTTATTGAACCTGAGTTTGCATTCAGGTCCGGGTGCTCGTTGTTTTGCTTGCTTGACGCCGCATCTTCTGCTGGACAGTATTTTTCTTCTTTTGTTTCACGGGAAAACCTCCCCTCTGTTCATACATCAGAGCCTCATTTTCTCAATTGCTTCATTCTTGTCTGTCTTCCTGTTTCTTGTAGAAGCAAGTTGACAAGGAGAGTTCAAGCTACAAAGTGACATGCTCATAGAGTGTTGTTATTTTGTGTCACACACAATAGGTCGTGCCTCTCGGCTAATAATAGGCTCCCTGTTAGTTAGTCTTCTTTGTTCATTTCATTGTCAGCGTTCCCTTTGCTCGTTTCATTGTGGGCGTTCATCATTTAGACCTGTGCTTGGTTGTTTGTATGTATGTTTTGTTGTTGTTTTTTGGGTTTATTATGTTACAAGGGGAAGAAGAAAAAAAAGAAAAAACAGCAAGATAGCAAAGAAAGCAAAAGGGATTCCTTCGTCAGGGACTCTTCTTGACGAGGCTTGTCAACGGCGGCATCGGCGTTACTTGGACGTGGGGATATCGAGTTTTTTTTGGACTTTAGTGTTGTTGTTGTGTTGTCGTCGTTGATTTGTGTAGCTTTTTTTTTGTTTAAGCATCAACCTGCATGTAGTCGGTCATCTCGGCGTCCAACTGATCGGCAGTCTTGGGCGCCTTCTTCTCGCCTTGACGTCCACCACGACCACGACCACGACCACGACCAGCGCGGTCACCGCCACGAGCAGCTCCCTGTCCACGCTGAGGCTGTCTCTGGTTGTTGTTGTTGTTGTTGTTGTTGCCAGCGGCTCTTGGTGCCCTGTAAGAGAAAGATGAGCGAAAGTGACAAGGTTAACAAAGGATCGTCATTATGGACATTCCAAATTGAGGTTCAGTCTCACAGGGAGAACAAGAACGTCTCAGTCCCTCATTTCCCGTTTCGCTTTTGTTCATGAGGGTCAAATTTACCTTGGCGTGTTGGCAGCGGGGAGTGCGGCCTGAACGGCGCCGGGGGCAATAATCAACTCGATCCTCATGGGCTTGCCTGCAGACATGCATCAAACAAAAAGAAGATAGATAATTGTTAAGTAAGCCAAGAAATATATAAATACTATACTTGCATCAACAATTGGCAAGTATGACAACATACCATCAAGAGGAACTCCGTTGAACTTCTGCATGGCAATCGCAGCATCACCAACACGGCTAAAGTGGACGAGGGCGGTGCCGGTCGACTTGCCCTTCTGGTCGTACATGAGGGTGCACTTCTTGAGGGGTCCAACGCGGGAAGTGAAGACGAGCTAGTAGACAGCCGGCCGAAAGAGACAGGTTGAGTTCGAGAATGAGGCGAGGGAGGGAGGAAGGCGAGGGTGAGCAGAAAGTTGAATGACAAGGCGTGTGAAGTATAAGGTAAAAAAAGTGTTTTGGATGATGTTGTATGATTCTGTGTGCAATAGACAAAGAGGTGGGTGGTGCTTGTGATTTCTTCCTCCTGTTCGACCATCCTGAATTCAGGGGTGGGGTGTTCCCCCATTCACTCCCCTATCATCGATCAACTCAAACTCGAGGAGAAACGAGAGAGAGCGGTCAAGGAGAGCCAAGGACAGCACAAAGAGGGGTCGAATATCCAGCAGCCACAGAAAATCGAACTTCCACCACCAAAACCACCATCGACAGCGCAAAAGAACACTGCAGCAACAAGAGTCGTCCGAGCGGCATCCATCTCCTAGCCACCCACATTCGTCGAAAAAGGGACAGGCTCGGGCGACCACTCCATCGTCTTAAGTAGCGCTCCACTGCAATGAACCACGACGACGGACCAATGAGGCGATAGGAAATAAGTTCCAGCTGACACTGATTACGCCCTTCTCCTTTTTTTTGTTGCTGCGTGTGTGTGTGTGTGCTCTCCGTCCAGATTACTGTTGTCCGTCGAATGACCCAGAGAGTAAATTGAAGGAGACGGAACGAGAGCGACTTCTTGAAATGGGCGGTGAACTCGAAGAGACCCCGCTCAAAAATAGAGTCATACACAATCAACCAAAAGGTGATGTGGCCCACACGACAGGAGGAAGAAGATCCATCGTCTTTGATCGAACTGCCGCCCTTGTAGGTCGTGCCAGTGCTGGGCTATTGCTATTGCAGCTGGTTCAGGTGGTCTTTCTCATCGAAGAGAGTCAATTCCGGCGCAAGTCGGAGAGGCCATAGACGGTGTGTTGCAGGAGGAAGGGACAGCCTGCCGTGCTCCAACGAAGGAGAGAGAAGGAGCGAAAACAGACGCCGACGGAGAAAAGACAGGAGGGAGGTCTCTCTGCTTCAAATTACCTTCAGGTCCTCAGCAGAGACACGAGCGTCGAGGTTAGAGACGTTCATCTTGGAGCCGTCGGGGGCGCTCTGGCGGATGACGGAGGTATGAAGGGGGGCGACGGGGGTGGCCTTGTACTGCTGGGCACCGGCAGTGTAAGGTTTCTTGTCACGGGTCTGACGACCAGTGCGGGTGGGGCCAGAAGCACGGCCAGAGGCGCGGGGAGCAGTGCGACCGCCAGTGCGACCACCAGTGCGGGTACCGCGGGCAGCACCCGTGCGAGCAGGGCGCTCGGCCTTCTGGGTCTTGATGATGTCAGCGAGGGACATGTCGAGGGCGGAAGTCATTGTGATGGTTGGGTTGTTTGGAGGGTGAGGGTTTTGTTGGAAGCTGTTATGTTGATGAGCCAAAGACGAGGGATGGATGAGTATGTTATGTTCTTCAAAGTGGTTGACTGAACAGACAGGAAGACAGAGTCAAGCGATGGCAAGTACAAGAGAGATAGTTGTTCTTTTTACCTTGGGGGGTGGGTGTTTGGTGGAGTGGTGGAGTGGTTGGGGTTGGTGGAGGAGGAACAAGAAGAAGGAGGAAAGGAGGAAGAAGAAAAAAGAAGGAAGGGGAAGAGTGGCAAAAGAGTCAAAAAATAGCTCTTTTCGATTGCTCATTTGGGAGGCCAAGCAGAAAGGGAGCAATCACACCAATAGAAGGGCACCCCCTTGCGCCACTCCGTCATTGAGCCAGACAACACTGTCAGCACGCAGGTATATTATTCCATCGCACGGCCTTCTCAACCCCCTCCCCCCTCCTGTTCTTCGCCATCATCTCGTTTTATGTCATCGCCAGCCTCCACGTTCAAGAGCCAACCTCATCCAACACCCCCCAACGAACAGGACGAGCCAGACAACCAAAGATGTCAGCACAGATCAACCCAGACGACGCTCTCTACGTCGACATGTTCATCGCCAAGAACGCCCAGACAATGAACTTTATCCGCTCCTCCTACTCGGCCGTCCTTGGCCTGGCCGCAGGAACCCTGGGACTCACCAACCTCTCGGGCTTTATCTTCTACTTGCTCGGATCCACCTTCCTCTCCGTATTGATCTTTGTCCTCAAAACCAAGGGCCAGTCCGGGCTTTACTTCCGTAAATCTCTCGATGTCTTTACCGAGGGCGTCACTGGCGGCCTCTTCAGTTATATCCTCTTCTGGACCTTGCTCTACGGAATCATTCACGTCTACGATTAAAAGGCAGCAGTTGACTGCAAGGCACTTCCTTTTTTTTTGCGCGACTCCCTTCTCTTCAACTCTCCTCGCCTCATACCGTCAAACTGGGAAACAAACACCCACACAGGCAGGATAACAAAGATGGGCGAACATGGGTCACAAGGGATCGAAACCCCTGATCGGACGCCTACCAACACAGCACACATTCTCTTTCTCCACGCGACATCTTCATCGCCAATAAATTGTACCACTACCACTACCACTACCACTACCACTATCATCAAACAAATCGCAGAAAGGAAACGCAGAAACAAATGCGCATGTTTTATTCTTCAAGAGGTCTTCTGTCGCCTCGCCATTCACGAGTGACAACCGTCAAATATTGATTGCTCGTTCTCAACACAACTCCTAATTATTCCAAGTCAGTTGGTGCAACGTCAGCATCATCGCTGTAGATGTTGCTAGCCTGGAAACGGAACGAGCAACGAGAACAGGAAGAATGGTTAGTTAGTCTCCGTGCGAGAGAACGTGAACATTACGACGCTTAGCGGTCATTAAAGAAGTAACTTACCATTTGCCAGACTTGGCAGATGTTGTCCTCGGCCGTACTAGCAATGACCCAAGGCTCATTCAAGTTCCATGAAAAGTCTGACACCTTGTTAGTATGACCGCCATGGACAAACTAAACAAGAAGGCGAGCACAGCAAAGCAAAGGAAAGGGGCGTGTGTTAGTGAATGAACTGCAGCTTTGTAGGAAAGGAGCGGCGGATCGCGAACAAACGCGGTTTTCAACGCGATCTGTCAACCTACCAAGAGCTCTGGAGGACCATCCTCGGCATCCTCCGAGGTCTGCTCCTCTCCAATCCTGCTCAGATCCCAAATGTTGATGCGACGATCGCCACCAGCAGATGCCAAAATGGTCTCGTTATGGGGCGACCAGGCCAGCTGGAGAATTTCATCCTGATGCGATTCGAACGAGTGCAACTTCGACTTCAAGTTGCGAAGATCCCAGAGAGCGACAGTGCGATCACCCGAACCAGTGGCAAGGATGAACTCGCTGGCTGGGCTGAAGGCAACACAGTTGACCTCTGCTGCGTGAGCGTGAATGTTGTGAACAGGCTTGTCAGACGAAGTCGAACGGGTATCCCAGCTAATTAAATGGAGGCGCATTGTCAAGAATAGGATGTCGTTAGGAATAGTCTCCTACAACCAAATGCGACCTTATGGCGAGCCCATTGACGCATTGTGTCCTGGTAGTTTGCTGACTTACATGAGCATGCGCTGGTCATCACCGACAGAGGCAAACAAACTGTCGTGAAGCTCATGCCAGGCGACATCCTCGACGACCGCAGTATGACCCCTGTAGATTCTAAAGGCATCCAGAACCTTCCTGTCCTTGGTTGTCGCATTGATATCCCAGTGGCAAACTGTGGTGTCCTCCGATGCACTGATCAAATGGCCCTGCACTGAAGGGTTCCATGACAATCCGTATCTATGATAACGCAAAGAATAGTGTTAAGCACTGTCTCAACTCAAACAGCTGCCTCGAATCGGCTCTTAACCGCTGCATTCCTCGAAGCAAAGGAGACGCGATGACGTACCCTTCTTTAGTGTGACCCTTGAGACGAATCTCTGGTGAGCAAACGCCACCTGCAGCGGGTTGTGAAGGATGGCGAGTGCGGTCGAAAATAAAAAGGTCGCCCGTAACAGTCTTGGTTGCAATGATGTCGGGGTTCTGCTTCATGTATCTTGCTCTGTTGACTTCTCCCTCGTGGTTGATCCTCTGAGTAACACTGATCTTGCACTCGGTGCCTCCAAAACCGCCGACCTCTAAAAAAGTGTGCACGTAATTGGTTGATAATGTTGTTAGTCCTTCGTTCGAAATCAAGCATTATGTTCTCTGAAATATCAACACCACGAACAAAGCTTTGTCCTTACCGCCACGCTCGTCGTCGAACTTGCGGGTATCAATTGGCGTCGAGTCAGAAGGAAGTTGAACCTGGGCGATCTGAAGGTAGTTCTGGTCGTTATCCGATGTGTGCGTTCCGATCAACATGCGCTGAACTGTGTAATCCTTGCCCTCGGGTCTATAAAACCAAAAAGGTATTGGTGAGTCGTACTGTCCGGAGGCTGAATACATGAGAGTGGCTGGAGTCGCTTGATAAGCTCCAAGCCTTTTCGGTGCTGTTGTTTGTTATTGTTTTTGTTCATGAGTTTGTTGTTTTGGTTGCGTACCTCTCGATATCGGGGAGCCACTGGCAGGTCAGAGTTGGCCACTCCAAGGCGTGTGTGACGACAAGATCGTAGAGGAAAGGTGAGTTCTTCTTCCAGATCTTGTATTCCTCGTTGATAAGCTTCTCCTCGGTGATGGCGTTCGCCTCCAAGCCGCCATCTAATGACAATCGAAAAGAAAAAGCGCGAGAAAACTTCATCAGCAAAACAGTAGGAAGAGCGGTGATTACAAAGCGCCAGAGTAGCCGGGTAATGTCCAGAGAGTGCGCATGCTGATGTCAGTGAAGGCGAGTAGACTTGCCCAGCTCATTCGGGGATCCTGATCGCGCCATGGTTGTGTTGATGGTGTAAAGGGTCAAAAGAAGAGAAGAACAAAAGTCAAGCCGACCTTTTTCCCTAAAAATGAAGTCATGCTGACGTCACGTGCACAAGAAAGGGTCTTTATTTTATTTGACAGCGCGCTATGCACGGAAGACATGAAGTAGCTTGACCACGTACTCTCGGCAGATAGGACACATTCTTGAACCCTCCATGATCAGCTTTCCACTAAGCAATGGTATAAAATAAAGTCAATATGTTAGGAAATGACTGACTGCTGCGTTGTTCAAACGATAGCAAGAGGACAAAAAACAGCAATAGAACCTACCAATCCATACACGTCGACATGTGGTTGCAGTTCAACATGACACAGTTCAAAGCAGCATCGCAACAGATTTTGCAGATGTTGTCGTCGTCTGCCAGGTTTCCTGATGACGACTTTTTGGCAGAGGCGTCGGACGATTTCGACTCTGTTTCCTGTTCCTGGACCATAGCCTGTTCAGCCTTGGTGTTGTCGATCAGCTTTTGAAGACGTTCGACAAGATCCCGCTTTTCGACGACTCCCACGTATGTGACACAGCTCTGGTCTAGTATCGTCTTGATTGCTTTGATCGAAAGAGTTGAGGGATCGGTGTTTGCAGTCATCACTTGATCCAATGTAATCGATGGCGGCTGGGAAGGTCGAGAAGGTTGAGGAGGTGCGGCAGTAGAGGCTGGTTGTGGTCGCGATGTCGGTTGTCGTGGTGCCTGTTGGTAACCAGTTTGTGATCTAGGCTGGGATGATTGTGACTGTGCGCCTGGAGCTCGACTTTGTTGGCTGTTGAATGTTGGCGGATTCCCAGGTGGCGGCCTGTATTGCGTAGGATTAGGTCGATAGCTTCCATTTGTACCTGGGCCGCCTGGCGGCCAGTAGGCAGATCCTTGAGATGGTGGTTGCCGTGCTTGAGATTGCGTAGGCTGAGACTGCGATTGCTGTGATTGAGACTGTGAGCGAGCAGGTCGGGTTTGAGCAGCAGGTGGGTCGTCAGAGCTGAAGAGCTTCGAAAAGAACTTATCCAGATCCCACGACCAGCCATCGCTCGAAGATGATCCCTGCGAAGACCCTGAAGGCGACTCTGATCGACCAAGATTCGTCAGCTCATCGAACATTGATGAAGACTTTTCTGGAGTTTTGGGCAGATGTTGGCGGAAGTAGACCTCTGATGCTTCAGGAATGGGTCGATAGCTCTGAATGGCCCTGATCAAGTCTAGAAAGTGCCGTTGAATGGGGTAGGTGAGTCCAAGTATTCCGTGCGATTTCAACTGTGTTGTCTTTTGATGTAAAAGGTTGATGCGACAAACCTTGCTTCTCCAGCATGCCCTGTGTTGAAATGTTGTAAGAAACAAGGTATCCTCGTAAGGTCTTGATGTTGAGGCTCGAGAGCCCAGCATAATCCATCTTGTACACTATCAAGTGAATATGAGATGTCATAATTCCGTTAAGTTCATCATTCCTTCAATGACATCGTTTTCCCCTGAAGCTGAAAGAAATCGGCATGTACCGTGCAAGAAATGGGCGCAGTATGAGCAACATCTGACTTCACTAAAGTAATCAATGGGTGTAATGATACGTTTGGTTGTTAGTGAATAAAAAGAGTCGACAATGCAATTGGTCATGGCTCCTGCTGACGTTCGCACTTACGCTGAGTATCCAAATTGAGGGAGTTTGACTCGAAAATTGCTACAGCTCTCGCAGACAACATCTCCTATGAGCACAAGAATAAAGCTGTCGTTAGAAACCAGGAGTCCAAAAATAACCATTGAAAGAGTGCCAAGCAAAACAATAGCGGTGGATGCTAAAACGCCATTCGTTGTTGAGGGTTCATTCAGTCCCGCGAGCCATACCACAGTTGTGGCAGTTCTTCTTGGAACGGAAGAGGTGAAAGTCCTTGCCACAGCGAGTACAGCTCTTGGCACCGGTCTTGAAGGCAGGGATGGAGTGAGCGAGTCCTGGGTTGTGGGTCGCCATTGATGTTAATGAGCAAGTTGGGTATATTCGATGCGGTTGGTTCACGGTTGTTGTTTTTATTTTACAATATCTCCTGCCTGCTGGAGACCTGGCAATAAGAGAAGGGTGGTGGTGTATAGATGTGAAGTGGATGGTGACCGAAGAATGGAAGGGTAAAGAAGGAGTGGAGAAGAAGCATCTTCGACCACTTCTCCGCTCAACAATTGTGAAGGGGCAACGAAACGAGTCACGCTAGCCAATGGAAAATGAGTGTGGCGAGTGAACCTAACGACCAAAGCCCAAGAAGACCCACAGCTTCTTGGCAACGTCTCGAAAAAAGTCATCGAGCCAGGAAAGGTCCATGCCCTCGGGTCCTGCAGGCTCAATCCAGATGCACCCTTGGTTAGGCTTGTTGGGCGTCGCCTTGATGTGGAACTCGTTCACCAATTCAGTCACTGCAGGCTTGATTTTAGCCACACCGTTGATGGAGTTCTTCCCCCGACCGACAATTATCATCAGGTTCGGCTCTCTGTTCTTGACAAACTTGGTCAGTCGCTCTCGAGTGATATCTAAAGCCTCTCGGACTTTAAGGCCATGCAAATCCAGTTCATTCGAGGGTCTATTCGTATTGTTCACTGTACGTGAACGAGAAGATAAATAAAAGTGAATACGCAAGCAAGCGGGAAAGCTGGAAACAATAGCACAAACCATACATAGGGCCTATCAATTACTCATTCCTACATTTGAAGACCATGTCTCTTGCCATATTGTTATAGCGGTCCATCTCTCGTCCATACTCCTTGGCCTTCAACGAGAGTTCTACAGTCAAAAAGAAAAGAGGATAGGGAGTTGCATTAGCTACATCAAGCATTTTTGTGAAATAGCGGTACCAAAAAACAATCAATGCTTGAACACCGTTCTTACCTTTTGCCTTTGCGCCATTGCCAGACTTGTATGCTATCTGCGACTGCTGGCTGTATTGTTGTCGTAGCAAAGAGTTCTTTGTTGCTTCCTACAAACAGAAAGATAGCATCGGAGTGAGCTTGAATGAACAACTCGAGAACAGCAGAACGTTGTTTCTAGTGGTTAGAACCAAACTTACAGAGCGATAGTGTTCGTGGTCCTGAAACCCCGCGCCAATGCTCAATGCGGATCCCATATTCTCAGCTGGGTGTTTGCTTTGTTGTCGCTGTTGTCGTTGTTGCTGTTACTGTTGTGGATGTGGAAGGAGATGAAAGTGAAATGAGAACCAAGAATGAATGTATTTCTGAATGACTCTTGATGAGACCTCACCTCACCAGTCCGGCACGTGGTCCACCTTCGCCATTGCATCCTTTTTTCTATTAGTTGTGTCAGGGTGGATACTTATGCCTCCCTGCATGCTTATTACGCCTTTTCTTTTTTATCAAACAGTTTTTTTGTTAAGAGAACGCACTTATTGCGTTTGGGGTGAAGAGGGAAGGAAAGAAAATAGAGTCCCCTTGGTAAACGAGCGTTTGGGCTCTTCCTTTAAAAGAAGCATAGATCGACGCGTGTTTGTCCTAGCGTCGGTTGAATGAGACCATCTCGTGCGAGTGGTTGATCGTGATGGCCCGGGTCACGGCACTCTAGCCTCTTTGTTCAATGACGATCGATCGTGTTCGGACGACCGCGCACTAACAACTGACAGTCAAACCGACCAGGGCAACTCCATGAACGCGTTTGTTGAAGGGCATACGCGCAACAAGAAAGAAGCGGAGTAGGCGATTGATTTCGATGTGTGTGTCTCGCATTAATAGTTGAGGGTGGGTTTGGCTTGATTACCCAACTCAACACGCTTTTGTTTTTCCGGTGAAAAGGACAAGTCTGCCATGAACAAAGATGACCCCAGCTTAGCGAAGCCCTCATTGTTTTGTTCCTGAGCGATAGCCAGAGTGCAAGGGCTCCTATCAGGCGTCTAGTCAACACTAGATCTGCACATCCATAAGGTTCCTCAATTTGCTTGTCTCGCAGCAATCGAACTTTTTTCTCTTTGCAAGGTAGTTCATTTGTTCCGCTCTCTCTCTCTTTTCGTTCGTTGTTCTTCTTCTTCGTTTCTGTACCTTCTATTTTCCTTGTTCTTGTTCCTTGTCCTTTGTTCCATTCTTTTTTCCTGGCCCTCCATTTTCTTCTGTCTCTCCCTCGCGTGCTTTGAGTTTAAAGCAGAAACAAAGACATTTTTCATTTCCCGCATCACTTTCCAGGTACAGTAGTCTGTTTTTTTTTTTCATCATCAGTCACTCATTCCCCGGAACTGCTGCACCGTATTCAACCTGGATCTTTCTGTCTGCCCCCTCATCATCCCACAGAAGGGATCGTCATTCCGGCGGCTGTGTTTATGCTCGCTCACTCACTCATCCTGCGTAATCATACTGACGATACATCTGGCTCTCAACAAGAGGAAGAAAAACAACTGGGCTATGAGGACAAAGGTGAGCGTGTCAGCATACTTCATACACTGCTTACGGTTGAGTTTTACTACACACGTTCAATCGATAAACAAAACATATTTATTCAGCCGCCACCCGCCACAATACCTCCTCATTGATGTTGTTGTTGTTGTTGTTGTTGTTATTTTCTGAGTCGTCGTCAAGAAGGAGATTGAATCGCTTACTTCGTCAGCACCAGGTCCCTAGGTCCCTGGCGTTTCTCTTGAAGTAAGCTTGAGCTCCCCTGACCAAGTTGATGGCGTACCTCGAGCGCCCAGTGTCAGAGTAGGCCAGGGTACCTCTCGCAGACCAGACCAACCACCCTCGACTACAATTATAAAATGTCGGCAATCTCCCTCCATTTTCATATCCACAACCTCAGTCCAACGTCCTCATCCTCTCCCCTCTTTACACACATCAAGAATGGCTCGCTTCACTGCCCTCCTCCTTATTGCCGCGTCCCTTATGGGGGTCATGTCTGCTCCCGCCTCACCCTCCTCCAGCAAGGGTATGGCCAAGTTGAACACCCCGTACAAGGGTTACGCCACCACCTTTGACGGCAAGCGCAACGCCTGCCATGGTATCAAGTACTCCCTCAACGAGCCCGTCGCCGCCATCAACACCGCCTTGTTCAGCAACAAGAAGGGGGCCAACGTATGCGGCAAGTACGTCAAGGTCAGCCTCCGCAACAAGCCCTCCAAGTCCTACACCTACAGGGTCGTCGACGTCTGCCGCGGCTGCGACAAAAACTCGATCAATCTCTCCAAGGTCGGAATGAGACAGTTCTCCAAGAAGAGCATCGAGGCCATCAACTGGGAGTTGGTCAATTCTTCTGACAAATCGTGCCAGAAGCCCAAGCCCAAGCCTACCAAGACCACCGCCGTTGCCAAGCCCGCCAAGACCTCCTCCAAGCCCTCTACCAATCACACCAGCAAGGTCTACAGCGGTCGCGGTACCTGGTTCAGCGATACCACCGGATCCTGCGGTGTCCGTTTCTCTCAGGACGACATGATCGTTGCCTTGAACCAGGACCAGATGGGCGCCTACTCTGGTTCTCGCTCGAAATGCGGTGACAAGATCCGCGTCAAGGCCAAGGGTTCCTCTGCCAGCGTCATTGTCCGTGTTGTTGATACCTGCCCCAGCCGTTACTGCAGCCATGGTGCCTTGGATTTGTCCCGCGCCGCCTTCAAGAAGTTCGCTCCCATGTCCAAGGGTGTCCTTGAGCTCGAGTGGTCCTTTGTCTAAATCCGCCTCTCTCTTCCAACACGGGCTATCATGCCGTTGTACGTTTCAAACCTCCTGCATTCTGCATACAAGCATCTTCACTGTAAATTACTCATCATCGAATAAAAACATCACGTATTAACAATACCTGAAAACGTTCCTCGTTCGTGCTTGGTCTCCTATTAAAGTCTCTATAACTTGAAGTCGTGCTTTCAGCCTTTTTTTTGCCTCAACGATGCTTCGTTTCTATTGGTGCAGTCTTCTTGACAGCGTGTCGTAGTTCCAGTTGATTTTGTCCCTTTGAATACTGAATTGTGTCCACATTACTAACAGCCAGCCATGCAAGATCTGACTTTGGGGATTTTTTTCGGTGTTTTTTTATTGTTTTGTTTTGTTGTTGTCCGTGTAGTGCAATCTGGGTCCACAGAAAAAAAAACGTATCCTTGCTGTTGCTGTTTCGGAGCAGTATGCCGTTCCATGATTGATGTACAAAAGTTGTTCAGTCCTGACTCTACACGCCCTTTGCGGTCGAAATGTACAAGACTATAAAAGATTGATCAACTCAGAGAAAACAGTTAGTTCCATGTCCATCGCAGACAAAAAGGTCAACAGTATAGCCTCAAATTTTTGTTGGACTCTGTGGATATCGTTCCTTTATCCAGAGTAAAAAAGCAAAACGGCGTATAGTTATTTACCGTTGTTTCCACGAATGAAGGTGTCGCCGTACTTGTTCTTGAGCTGTCCGTTGACGTACTCCTCAGTCTGCTCCAAGGCAATGTTCATGTATCCGTCCAAGCAGGCGAGGATTCCTAGTATATCAAGTCAAACACAACCCAGATGTCAGTAAACATGCGTGATATGGATTGAGTTGAGAACGACCGCGTAAACATATCGTTGTAGCTCAGAGAGTCCGTCCCCATCGCACGACAGACAAGGGATTTGCAAGTGCGTCCTTCTCCTAATGTCCTTGCGCCGTTTATCTCCTCATGTACCTCTATAGTCGACGCCAGAGTTGAGCTTGACGATGACGGGTCGTCCGATGAGGAAGCTTGTAAAGTCCTGTGTGGGTTCCATTGCTGTAGTTGCTTGTGTGTGTGGTGGTCGTCGTGTTTGTGATGTACAAGGAAGACAGGGCGATGCCTCCTCCTGATCGCCTCCAAGTCTTCCACTGTGAGGCAACACATGCATTATTTTCATCTTCTTTCATGTGACCACTACAGCCACAGATAAAAACGTGGAGTCAGGGATTGTCGATTCTCTTCACATTTTCCCCTTCTCTCCTCCTCTCCCTGTCCGACCTACTCCACCTCTCCCAACAACGACCTAATCCCCCTCACAATGCAGTACAAGTCCACCCGCGGCAAAGCCAACAACTACACCTTCGAGCAGGCCGTCCTCGCCGGTCTCTCACCCGATGGCGGTCTCTTCATTCCCCAGTCGATCCCCCAGGCACCCGCCGACTTTTTGACAAAGTGGGCCTCCTTATCTTTCCAGGAGTTGGCCCTCGAGGTCCTCTCGCTCTATATCGACCAGACCGAGATCCCAAGACAGGACCTCAAGGAGCTAGTCGACCGCTCTTACTCGACTTTCCGCCACAAGGACATCACACCCCTGCACCAGGTCAAGGACGGTCTCTATATCCTCGAGCTCTTCCATGGACCTACTTTTGCCTTTAAGGACGTTGCCCTCCAGTTTGTCGGTAACTTGTTCGAGTACTTCTTGAAGCGCAAGAACGCTGGTATTGAGAACAAGGCTGATCGCCACAAGATCACTGTCGTTGGTGCCACCAGCGGTGACACTGGAAGGTAATTATCTTTGTGGGGCGGTTTATTTTTCTTTATCTTCATTCCCTCTCGTTCGTTACTTCCGTTGCACTTAATTCCCGGATCTGTATGGTCTGTTCATTTTTTTTTTGGGAATCGATGACTCTTTTGAAGCTGAACATATGTGACTAATAACCTTAATCAATTTTCTTTCTTCCACGTTAAATATTCGCCGTACAAATCATATCGTCAACCAACAAATCAACCAACCAACCAATCCATACAACAATCAACAACGAAATTAGTGCTGCTATCTATGGACTCCGCAACAAGCAGGATCTCGACGTCTTCATCCTCTTCCCCACAGGAAGAGTCAGTCCCATCCAGGAGGCTCAGATGACCACCGTCCTCGACGCCAACGTCCACAACGTCTCCGTCAAGGGCACTTTCGACGACTGCCAGGACATTGTCAAGGGTCTCTTTGCCAACAAGGACTTTATGAGCAAGTACAACCTCGGTGCCGTCAACTCCATCAACTGGGCCCGCATCCTCGCCCAGACCGTCTACTACTTCCACTCTTACTTCTCTCTCCTTCGCTCACTCAACATCACACCCGGATCAGAGGAGGCAAAGAAGATTCACATCACCTACTCGGTCCCCACCGGCAACTTTGGCGACATCCTCGCCGGATACTATGCTCACCAGATGGGTCTCCCTACCGCCAAGCTCCTGGTCGCCACCAACGCCAACGACATTCTCTACCGCTTCTTCTGCTCCGGTGTTTGCGAAAAGAACGTGGGCGAGGACGGTGGTGTCCATGAGACTCTCAGCCCTGCTATGGATATTGTTGTCAGCTCCAACTTTGAGCGTCTGCTCTTCTATCTCGCTCGCGATGCGGCTGTCGACGCCCAAGTGCCCGAGTCGGAGAAGGACGTCAAGGCTGGAGAGATTGTCAACAGCTGGATGGTCGACTTGAAGCAGAAGGGTCGCTTCGACACTGGTGCCCAGGTTCTTGCCGAGGCCAAGAGAATCTTTGACGCCGGCCACGTTTCTGATCAGGAGACCTGTGATACCATCCGCTCTTACATCCACCCCGAGAACTCGTCTCAAGCTCCCTATGTCATGGACCCTCACACTGCCGTCGGTGTCAAGGCCGCCGAGACCGCCATCCCCAAGATCGATTCCCAGAACATTGTCATCTCACTCTCAACAGCTCACCCTGCAAAGTTTTCAGATGCTGTCGAGAGGGCATTAAAGGACCAGGAGGGCGTCGTGTTCGAGGAGGTCTTCAAGGCTGTCTTGCCCAAGGAGTTTGATGGTTTGATGACTGCCGAGCGCAGAGTCACTCACATCCCAAGGGCTGATGAGGCCTTGGTCATTGAGGTCATTGACAAGGAACTTTCCAAGTAATCGCTCTCTCTGTTGCTTGCCCTTTCCGTTTTCTTCAATTCATAGAGTACTTTTACATTAAACAACATCACAACATCATCTTCATGTACAAAAACGAAAAACGGGAACAGTAGGGTATATATTCAATGTGATAGTACAAGAGAAATGGTGTTGTTTTTCTTAGTGTTCATGAGAGGATATGTATGTACAGTACTTTTTTGTGAGAAGGTTGGTTGATAACACGGAAAGAACAAGCAAGAAGCAAAACGACAAGAAACAAAGTTGGAATGGAACGGAAAGGATAAACAACGAAAAACAAAGAAGAAATAGAAAAAAAAAGTGGCGTTGCCCCGCCAAAATCTCGCACTCTTAACTAATGGTAGTCTTTTTGTCAAGGGTCGACGGTGGTGGCAAGGGTGGTGTTGGGGAGACACAAGTGAAAGCTCGCATCTTTAGCATCTGTTGTTCCTGAAGCAGTTCCTGTCGGACACTCCGTTGGTGGCGCTGACGCTTCGCCTCGATCTTTTCTGGATGGATCGACGACTTTAGTGTCACAAACGCGACCTGTTGAAAAACAACGAGGGAGTGGGTGTTAGAGAGGTGGGGGGGGGGGTTGTGTGGAAAAAGATACACATTTACTTGGGTAGAGCGTTGCTTTTGTTTTCCTTTGCTTACCTTCATGAGCTTATCGGCTTGGTGCATGACAAGCGTCATCTGCTTCATATAACAATACACCGCCGCCCCATTGCGACACTTCAGGATCTCCTTCTCGTTCATCCACAGGATCGCAACCGCAATCTTGAAGACGACCATCATACCTTCAACAAAGAACACATCCCAGACTCGGAGGAGCGTCTCAACTGGCAGACAGTCTGTGAACAGGGTCAGGAACCAGCTGAAGGTCACCGCGGTCAGGTCGACATGCATCTCCTGGAAATGTAGGCTGAGTCGGGGCATGATCTCTTGGACGAGCTCTTTGAGGACGCGTTGGTCTGCCTGTGGGGAGAGGAGCTGTTGAGTGAAGTAGTCTTCGGGCATACGGCGACCCAGCATGGAGACCAGGATCCAGAAGGACTCTTCTTCGGTGTTGTTGGTTAATAGAAGGGTTCCTGCGAGGAGGTTCATTCCTTGACAGTATCCCACCAATGGGTTGTGACTAGAACATAAAAGTGGCAAGTTTAAGTGAATATCATAGCTTAAAAAAACACGCCGCGTTTGAGCTTCAAGCACGAGAGACGAACATACATGCTGTAGGCGAGAAGGATATTCTTGAGCTTCTCGATTCCGTGGCCGCCGGGGCTAAAGAGGATGTTCGTTGGGAACGTGCGGTGCAAGTCCTATTTAAACAATAACAATTACTTTCATTAGACGTCTTGTCTTTTTCGTACACCAATGCGCGCTGCAATTCATTGACAAGAGTAAAATGATAATTACCAACTCGATATCTCCCCAGCACTGGCATTCCTCTGGAGGTTGTCGTGAAAGCAGCTCTCTGTAATATCCAGGCTGGCGCATATCATATGCTCCTGATGCCTCCTGCCAGATCTTGTTTCTATAATGCCATCGCAATGAACAGAACGGGAAGTGTTACTTGCTGAAGCTCATCTAATATACACACAGTCTTACTGAGAAAAAGGGATTGAAAAAGCCTTACCGGTACATGACGGGAATGCCACCGCGAACAAGTTCGCGCAACTCTTCCCAGTCAGCACCTTGTCCAATAGTCGCCATGCCAATGATACAGACACTCGTCCAGTACATCCGATCGTCCTCGTCCTGCTCGTGCTCTTCCAGCGACAGCATCAAGTTTCCAAAGATCAGTGGCGACCCCAAATTGCTGCTCGACATATTGGCCAAAGCGCCTCCGTTCGTCTCGCCCATGTGCACACGTCTCCGCCTCTTCCTTAAGAACGCGTCCCATTTCTCCTTCTGTGTCATCTGGACATTGTCGTGTAGGACCTTGATCTGCGAAAGGAGTGCGGTGACATTCGATGAGGAGGATGTTGGTGGTGACAAGGTCGAAGTCGGTCGAGTGCCCATCGAGAGGATAGGAGACGTGACACTCATCGGAAGTGAGGTGGCTGATGTCGTTGCATTCCCGGTGACTGAGGTGACTCCCGATCCTGGCTGCGTATGACCAAAATAAAAGGACGAGACCACTGGTGGTGGCGACGACGACCGCTCCAACTCCTCTGAAGATGTCTGCAGATACTCAAATTTGCCACCGTCGCTGCTGGTATCGCGACGCAAAGCACCCACGGTCCTGTAAAAACTCGGTGAATCCATATCGTCCCCCGCATAGGTCTCGTTCAGCTTCATCAACCCCTGCTGTACCGCCATGGGCCTCGCGTTCATCAAGAACCCGTACCGATCCGTGAGAGGTTTTCCAGGCTCGCCCAAGCCCAAATAAGAAGTAGTTGGCGACATCGATAAAGGTGGAGAGCTTATATCTGACAACTCAACGACGTTGCGACTCGAAATCATAGTTTGTTGCTGGTAACCGAGTGTGGAAGACGAGTGCGGATAAGACGAACTGGATAGGCTCGGCACCATCGCATGACTCTTGAAGGAGAGCGCTTTGGGCAGCTCTGTTGGGTTGAGTGTTCCTGAACGGCGGTCAAAGCTCGATACCATCTCCAGTCCACAACTCTCGCTTGTCGAATCGTCCATGCTTCCGTTCTGTCCATCGAAATGAGAGTGGCCCTGTAAGTCTTCCTGCTCTGACGATAGAGATTCCCGGATTATGGGGAACGAACTCTGGTGTGGTCGTGTCGGTTTACTGTTCATGATCAAGCCCAGCGTCCACTTGGCAATCATGGTCTGCGTCCGTCGAGCGTAGAGTCGGGCTGGAGTAATGGCGCCGGTGTCGATAAGGTTGGCGGCCATGGAGATGGCCCTGTAGTGCAAGGGTGAGGGGCTGTACGTGTTGGGCTGCATGAGGTAGTCGTGGATGCGTGAGATGGGCGGTCGAGGAATGTCCCGAGCCATCGTCAAGGCAGGATACTTGGAAGGCGAGCCCAGACCACCCACTTCCGACATGGGTCTTATTGGCGGTAGCGAGTGGCTCATGTGCTTGCTTTTGGTGCTGGCTTTCTTGTTGGTGGGTGACACAATGCTGCTCCAGATATCCCGCTCCCTGTCCATAATCCCCTCGTCATCCCGCTCCCTGTCCTTGTCGTCCTTGGCCCTCCTCTCTGACAAGGGTGCCACATTGTCTGTCCAAGGCGAAGGCAAGCAAGTCTCGACAAGGGCAGGCTTCTTGTCGTTCATGATACCCTCGTTCCTGATAAACAATCCACTGGGACTGGTCACAATGCTGCTGCTCCGGCTGTGGCTGTTGCTCTGCTCTGATTTTGGTTTATTCCATGTCAGTACTCCTGACGCCAACGCCCATTTCTCACGCAGGGTCTTCATCCCCAACGTGCCCGCGGCCAGGGATTCGACAAGGAAGGACGGCATTGGGTTTTGACTCCCTCCAGCGCTGTAACCTTTGGCCTCGGCTGGACGAGCTGCAGTTGGGAAAAGGGATGAGGCGGGTCTGGGTGGTTGGTCCGCTGACTTGTATGGTAAGGTAGACGAAGAATACACGGGGTGGGAGGCAGTTGAGATATCGCTTGGGGTGGGTGAAAAGGGGCGTGGTGGACGGGAACGACGCCTTGATGTCGGGAAGGCGGACGGTCCTTTGGAGGGAGTGGGAGGGGAAGGAGAATCAGAGTGTTTTTGTCGTTTAGGTTGCTGCTGTTGTTCTGGTTGTGGTTGTGGTTCCATGGTGCCAATGATATGTTGACAGAGGTCAGACTTGGTCAATTGGGTCGTACAGCTGGATTGGAGGGAGAGGGACCCTGAACTGGACATGAACTCGGACGGGTCCTCACCCTCTTCATCCTCTTCCTCCTCCACTTCCTCGCCTTCTCGAAAGATGACACTGCTACTGCAGTCTTCCTCGTCGTCGTCCCCAAATAGACCACCCCCTACACCCATAAGAGGATCCTCGTCGTTCTCACACCCAACAACACCACTACGCCTGCCACATCCACTCAGACCAACACCTGTATCACTATGATTAGCAGAAGCAGCAACAACACCCCTGGATACCCCTCCTCCTCTCCGACGAGCAGTAATGCTTAACTGCTCCACATGGTGTTCATCGCTCGTGACCGAAAGTTGGTGGTCACCAAACAGGGGGTTCAACTTTGCTTCCTCTGTCTCCTCCTGCTCAACCACGACTGCCAGATTGTTTTCGACCTCGGTGGGGGACACGCCTGCATCTTGCAGCATCTCAGTCAATCTCCTGATCTTAGCGTCATAGAGCTCCTTCATCGTCTGCAGTTCGGCTTCACGCTGCCAGAGCCGCGTCGTCAGATCACGAGCAAGGGATAGTTGTTGAGGTTGTTGATGTTGTTGGGCGTTCAGGGCCTTGGAAGAAAATGTGCCTGCACCGCTGCTGTTACTGCCTCCACCGACGCCTCCGACAGTCGTTGTCGCTGCTGTTGTCGCTGACGACGAAGACGAGGGTGATGGTGGTCCTATGGACAGCGGGTTCGAGTGCTGTTGATAGTGGTGCAAGCGAGTATTCTGGCGATTAGAGGTGGACGACTGTGAGGATGATTTCACTGCTCCAAAGAGCGGGGATCCTGGAGGAGAGAGGGAGTAAGGTAGTGAGGTCGGTGTCGGTGGTACCTGGTGCTGCTGCTGTTGTTGTTGTTGTTGTTGTTGTTGGATCGTGGAGGAGCCCTGTTGCCGTTGTCGAGGTAAAGTAGTAGGGATGGCGACAGGAGGGTCCTTGGGGTTCGCGAGAGGGTGTTGAAGTAAAAAGACTGTGTTGATAGGCTTGACCTCCTCCATAGTTTTTTTCTCCGAGGGAAGAGTTGAGAAGAGAGAAAAAGGTTGCGACTTTGTTCACTCGAAATGGGAGCGCTTGTCTCAGCGGGGTTGCCGGTCGTTTGCTAGCGCGCTCGCTTCACTTGTTTTCTCTTTCTTCTTCTTCGTCTTCTTCCACCTCCTCTGCCGTGCGACAGTGTAGGGGTGGTGGTCAGGAGGATGCAGTTTCGTTGTCAGGACAAGGTCGCGCGATCGAGGTAGGGCACGAAGAAGAACGACGTATGGATTGTCGAGAAAAATAGCGAAGGGTTGAGGGGAAGGGGAAGGAGGAAGATAAAATATGAATTGAGGAAATAGAAAAGATGGGCGATGAGAGTCTAATTAGATAACGTAAAAGAGTAGGGAGTAAGAGAGGAGGGGATGATGGTACAAGGGAAAGGAAGGGAAGGATAGGAAAGGCGGTGGTCAGGGAAGGAGAAAAGAGAAAGAGAGAAAAAGGCGACGAAGAGAAAGTGAGAGAGAAAAATGAGAGACAAAAAAAAAGAGGGGGTGGATGGTGATGATGACAATGATGTCGATGTTTATGTTACAAATATTTGTGTGTGTGTGTGTGTGTGTGTGTGTGTGTGTGTGTGTGTGTGTGTGTTTGTGTGGGTTGTATCCTCTTGCACACAGGCCACCTCCCGCCCGTCCAGTTGGGGATGAACAGCAGCAGCGCGAACGAGACGAATGTATGAGCGAAATGGCGGGTGAGAGTCGTACGAACCCGCCAACCAAGTTCAGCCAACTCAACAGAGATAGGTGAAAGTGGTATGAACAACAACAAACAAAGGGATGGAGAGAGGCAAAGATCGAGAAAACAATGTATGCATGCACACGGCACACAGTTCACTTCAAAAGGACAAAAAATAGAAAAGGGAGAGGGGGTGGAAAACATAACAGGGGGGACAGAAAGGGACAGAAGAGTCGGATGTGGATGAAGATGGACGACGATGATGAAGTAAGTAGCAAAATAATAAAAAGGCGAATGCCCTTCTATTCCTCAACCCCTTTCTTACCTACTTTTGTCCTTCACCACTTCACTCACTCACTCACTCCCAATGCAAAATCTACTGCTGCGATCCAGCCTTGTCTGATGGCGATGCAAGGACGATGGAGAAGAGACCCCCTCCCCGACCCTACCGATCGATGCCGCCGCTGAGGGGAGAATATCGAAAATGGCGCATATTCACTCCTTACTTTTGGTCTAACTTTCACTAACCATGAGCGCGCATAGATCATGCAAATGGCTACATTTTGTCGCGGCAAAGATCAAGGTGGTTCTTGAAATGCGGCTTTTTTCTCTTTTTTTTTTCCATCATTTTCTTTCTTCTTGTGAAATGGTGGTACAGAGTAAAGTATATTAGGAGTACATGTACAATTGTGGAAATGTAGTAGATGAAAAAATGAAAGAATGAATGAATAGGCAAGATGTGGCTCTAGCTTGGAGGTTCCTGGTCGACCTTGGCAACCTGTGGAGGCTCGACCTTGGTATCTCGTGGGGGTTCGATCTTGGCATCGCGTAATGCCAGCTTGAGCTTCTCGATCACAGACAGGTACAGGAACAACTGTCCCTCCTGCCGAATGACCAGCTGACGCTTCATCACCAACTCCTGTCGAAGCGTCGCCACCCTCCCCTCGTACTTGTCACGGAGTGTCCGGCCAGCCTCTGTCAAGTCAGAAACTGATTCTTCCAGAGACTTGATACTGTCCAGCAATTGAGCTTTCTCCTGCTCCAGAATCGAGACCTTGTCGAACAAAGCGCGCACTTGACCATCGTCGTGAAGAGGAGTGGACAGCTGTCGAGACGCTGACGTTGACGCGCGCCCATTCATGGGAACATTCCTTGAAGACCTCATAGTGTCCTTCTTCTCCTGCAACGACTGTCGGAGGCGCTGGTTATCTTCCTGTGCGATGGCGAAATCCTCTTGAAGGCGAATATGTTGGTCCTCAAGCTCCAGTCGGTCCTGCTCCAGTCTCAGCAGCTGCTCGTGTTGCGACTCGATCTCAGCCTCACATTCATCCAACTGCTCGCGCTGCTCAGCCAGCTTGTTTTCTAGTTGACCCTTCTCCATCACGAGGTCGAGTTGCTGCTGCTTCTGTTCTCGGATCTTATCCTGAATAACGACATATAACTGGCTGACAGTCCGGCGACCTTCCCCGCTTTCAACATCCAAGCTACCGTCGAGTTGTTGAGAGTCGATCCTAAAGTCCGGGTCAAGCTCGTCCAGCACACGCTCCAGCATTTGCCGCTCCAGCTCGATACCATGTGACACCTCATCGTCTCTATCTTCCATACCTTGCTGACGAGCCAACTTCACCATGTCGATCAGCTCAGCCCGCTCTTGCTCGAGACTCCGCAGATCTTGCTCCATGTCTGCAACCACCGTGTGATGCCTCTGTTGGGCCTCCTTGAGCTCCTGCTCCAATTCCTCAATCCGGCCCTCCTTCTCCAGCAGGATCTGTTCTTGCTCCTCCACCATGCGCTGCTGAAGTTCGATTGTCCCCAAATGTCCCTTGGCCTTCTTGATCGCGTTCGTGGCAGTCGACTTTGACAGAGACAGCTGTGAGTTCCGTTGGACAAGCTCCTCCTGCAAATCCCGGATCTTACCCTCGAGCAGCTGTGTTGTTTCCTGATGCGACGCCAGCAACAGCTCGATCCTCTTTTGATGCTCATGACTCGCCTCCTTCTCCTGCGCAAGATCTCGTTTCAACTCGCGGATATCGGCCTGTCGCCGCTTCTGCTCCTTCTTGTGTTGGTCCTGTGTGAGCTGAAGGTCGTTTGTGTGGTTGACTTGATGGTCCTGAAGTTGATCTTGAAGGGACTGCACCAACTCCATAGCTTCGTTCAGCTCACTCTGTCGGCTCTGAAGCAGGTCATCGTATTCAGCCAACATGGCCCGAAGGTCTTGGACGTCCTGCTCCTTCTCCTCAACTTCCTCAATGAGGTCATCCATCCGATTCTCCTGGTCGTTAGTCTGGCAGTTTCGCTCCTGCTCGAGTTGACGCTCCAATTCCTGGCTTCGCTCCTTGTGCTTTCGGGTCTGATCCTCCTGTTGGTCAAGCTTGGATTGAGCCTTGGACTCGTTTCGATGCATCCGGTCCGTGAGCTCCTCGAGCTCCCGATTCAAGGAGGCAACCTGTGCCGCCAGCGCCTGGTTTTCGTGCCCATTCATCAGACGCTCCTTGACCGATGTCTCCGCAAGCTGTCGGTCCTTGACTGCCAACTCAGCTTCCATGGTCATCTGGAACTCCTCCCGTTTTTGTTTTTCCTGACGAAGGAGCTCCTCCCACTGTTCTCGATCCTTGACGGCCTGCTCGTGAACCAGATCGATCTCCTTGGCCTGTGCCATATCCATCTCCAGTACGCCCTTCACTTGATGCGACATTCCCTCGATCCTTGACTCTAGTTCCTTGTTCCTTGACCGCTCTTGAGCCAATTGCTCATCCAGTACCTGCTGCTTGACCAAGCTCTTCTCCAGTAGGGCCTTTGTTTCCTCCAGCTGCAGTCTCTCTTCAGCCCTCTCGCTCGACTCAATCCTCAATTGCTCCTCCTCCTCGTCTTCGTCATCGTAGTAGACCTCATCATATTCACTGTCTTCATCGTTCTCATGTTGTATGGTTCGGATGGTCAACGCTCTCCCTTGATCCTCCACCAGAGACTTGAGTGCCTGAAGTCGCTGGTTATTCACCTGAACGGTCTGGATTCGCGCGTCCAACTGAGCCTCGTAAAGTCGCAGCTGTTCCTGTGAGTGTCTAAAGAGCTGGTCTTTGGAGACGACCTGGGACTCGGTTTGGGATTTAGTGCGAGGAGTTGTCGAGTTGAAAGGCTTGCGAACCAGTTCCATGGATGCATCGGGCGACGGCGTTGGTGCAATACCACGAGGGTTGGGAATGAAAATAGGTCCAGATAATACCCGATGCAGCTGTCGCGATGAGGATGACCTATGACTTGCGTTGACCGACTGGCTGTGGCGATTGCTTGCTGGGGTCGATCCTGAGCGTTCATGCTGGCCTTGCTCCTGCTGAAAGGAAGTGGTGGGTGATGTTGAATCCAGAAAAGATATACTCCGATTCAAACTTGACGGCTGCCGATATTTTGAAGCCCTGCCTTTGATGTCGGTAGTTTCTGCCTCCATGTTCCTGCTCGCCTCGCCTTCATCCGGCTGGGAATCCTGCACTGGTTTGCAGCCCTCCAAAGTCGGCCGTGAGGACGACTCCACGATGTCATCCGCAAAAGGTCGTTGTTGCGTCGACGGGGCGGCCATATCACGTTGAATTTCCAATAGGTGCTGGCGCATTTTCCGGTCAGAGGCGCGACGTGTACGGGAAAGAATGGAGTTTGACATTGAACTGGCACTCGTATCGAGCAAGGTCAGCGAGGTCCTCATGGGTGCCCTGGGAGCTGTTGTTTGGATGGTTACTGCTCGGAAAGATCCGTCTTGTGGAGCCTCCGCGAACGAGTTGGATCCCTTCCTAGACTCCGATTGTTGATGTACTTGTTGTACTGTCCTGCTTGGTTTACTCTGCTCATTCAACCCTATTCAGAATATAATACGGAATGGTTTAGTCGCGATGGCTCCTGCTCGTGTCTATTTACATGTTATTGCAGATTGAAGGTAGATGCATAGCATACCCTTGATAGAACTGGAATCATCCTTGACGCTCGAGAAAGATTGATATCGATGGCCTGATGCCGAGGAGGAGGAATATGTGGTATTATGAGACGGTCCCTTCGTGCTTGGGGCCGAGGTGGCGTCTCCATTTTGGGGTTTTCGGCCCATTGTTGATGGTTCTGAGGTGGCTGTCCGTGGATGTGACGGAGTCTGTCCCAATTGAGACTTTACCCGTGCCAGCATGGCGGTGCTATCTGTCTTTTCGGCCAGTGTTGGAAGAAAGCTTGTCGTGCAGGTGTGTGTTGAGATGTGGTTGGAGAGGAAGAAGGGATCAGCAAAGTGGCGCGCTTAAGTGTGGAAGGGACAGAACGGGTAGTGTGAGCTATGAGAAGGCAAGGAGAAGATAGGGAAGTCGCAAGGTTGTGGGTGTTGAGAAGGTGATTAGGGGAAAGGAATTGGTGAGAGAGAGATGAGTGTTTGCCTGAGAGGACTTTGATTGAGTGAGGAGGAGGAGCAAGAGACGAGGACGAGAAATAGAGAAAAAAAAATTAAGCCATCCAGGGCCAATCAAAAGCCACATTCACATTGAGCGCGTTTTTTTGTGGTCTTTTTTTCTGTCAACGAACGCTTGAATGTGTTAAGGTCAGTCCAAGAGATGCATGATAGACCGCTGCAGTCCTTGTTGTGGGTTTATTATTATTAATGGATACAAGATAAGAAAAACAACGCAAAACAAAACGTAACATTATATTCATCCTCCTCCTCCCTCAGAGGATACTGTCCATTTTGGTAAATACGTTCAGCACTGCAGCTACGATCTCCATCTGCAAGTCCCGGCCAACAATCTCGTCCTTGCTCGCGTTTGAGCCAAAGGGATAGTCGCTGTAGTCGCCCAACAGTTCCTCAACCTTGTTGAATGCCCGCTCCCGCATCTCGTGGTTCAAATACATCAGCGCGTTCTCGAGAACATTGGCAGCATAAGCTGCACAGACCATAGCGACGGTTCGGAGCTGCTGGTACTGGATGGGCGAGTTCTTCTCTGCCAGCGTGGGTGATGATCCAGTCGACCGTGAGATCAGTGTTGTGCATGCTCTCTTGACAACCTCCTCCTTGACTGCCGAGTCAGTGACGGGGTGTGTTGCCATGTCAAATATCAAAAAGTTGCGCTTCTCGGTCCTGAGTACGCCCTTGTCCACCAAGCCCTTCGCAAGTCGCTCGCGCACCTGCTTCAATTGGAATCCAATCTTCATCACGTTCCATGTCTCACCTATATTGCATCAAACATATTACCAATGGTTCAATTAGTCTGCATGCTCTTCAAAAGAATAAAACAGTGGGAATGTAATGTCACACCAAAAGAAAGGTGCGAGATAAGCACTCAAAGCTTACCACTCATAAGATCGATCCATTGTCCAACGCTCATTCTCTCCTCTGTCGAGCTGATCATCTTGAGCGCCTCATCTAAGAGAACCTCTCCAGTCAGCTTCTCGCTGATAGCTTCAATGTAGCGGTCTGCGAGCGGGTATTTGCGTCTGTTGGGGTCCTTGACCATGGCGATACGGTTACGGAAGGCGAGCTCCATCAAAATGCAGCCTCGAAGGGTATAAGAGATGTTGTCGTTCCAGAATGAAAGATATCCCTAATTGACCAGAAAACAGAAGAGAGCAACAATACCAGATCCTGGACGGTCAGCCAACGAACAGCCTTGTCAAGCATTGTACTTTTGCGATCCCGTTGCTCCAATTGATTGATAAAAGGAAGAGGCATCTGGTATGTAGAAGAAAAAAAAGGCTGGGCACAATACACTTCGAACAACGCCCATCCCAATACGCAGACTGGCTAAAAATAAATTAAGGTCATTGAGACTGCTCAAGTGAGCGCCCACTGACTGTCCTGTCGTTTGTCCTGCTGAGATGATGGAGTTGGTTGTTCATCTGTGTGCACTCCCTCATCACGAGCGTTGCACTCTTCACAGACTAGCCATAGCGGGTCAATTGAAATACGGAACAGAATGGAAAGAGTAGTCGTCGCTGTCGTCCTTCCTTGTTGTTATATCTCAACACGCCCTTGTTCGTCAGTGCACCCAAGAACGAAGGCGCATCCTTGCGCCTTTTTTCTGGGCAAAAATGAAGGTAAGCCAAGAGGAGAGGGGAGGTGTCGACGATGATGGCGGCGGTGAGGTGAAGGACGGGGTTGTTACCTGCTTGTCCTTGAGTCCTAAAAGCAAGACTTCTTCCATTAAAGTCAGCTTGGGCTGAGTCTTATTCTCGTCCTCCATCTGCAAATCCCTGGGATCAGATGCCACTTTGCTGTCTGTGTTGCGTCTACCGCCTGCTGAGAGTGGGGCTGATGAGGAGTGTGTTGAACCGATGCCACCATCTTCTGTGGCGGCTCCGCCAGCTCCGCGGCGTCTTGAGAGTCCTCCTGTTGAAGCCATGATGTGAGAGTGGGGTTGAGTGAGAAGTGGATGGAAAAAATAAGAGGAGGAACCTTACCTTGCTCGTTGGGTGGAGAGTGCAAAGAGTCTAGACGATCCTTGTTCGACAATTTGCGATTCTACGATCTGCTGCTACGTCATAATCGCCGTGGTTTCAGCCGTTTCAGGTACACAAAGTGGCCACTGAAGGAGTCTTGATCAGCCTGTTCGTTGTATCATACCCAAGCCCTAGGACTACTATAAGAGCCTCTTGCACTGGCGAGAAAGTGGCGCCATGCCCTTTCAAGACTAGGATTGATTCTTAGGTCGTGATCTTCTGCCTTACAACCTACCGCAGCGGACTTTTGACGCGCTCTAGAGAAAGGAAGCAATAGTAATCTTGACTTTTCTTCAGCTGAAAACAGTGGCAAAAATGAGTCGACGCTATTGTCAAGAAGAAGACGGCGTCGCTTCCTCTTTTTTGTTAACTTTCTATTAAAGGAGCTGAACACTATCTCTGCGCTGACTACGCCTCCATCTACAATATAGAGTGACAATGACCAGCAGCTACCAGGTAAATGGACGAACAAACACGGCAGACATTTTTTTTGTCCTCAAACGATAAAGACAATCTTTTTGGACGCGAAGGGGGAAAAAAGAAACGCCAAGAACAGCGTAGTCAAGACACGCCGGCGAGTACAACTCGAAAGCTTCCTTAACCATACGCTTGACACAAAAAATAAAGCGCGTCGACTTTTAGTTAGTTGAGGTGCTCCAATTGGAAAAGCCGATGGTGGCAAACAAACACAATACACACCGCCTCTTTGCTTTTGTTTTTGTTGTTGAGAGGTATTTTAGATTCATTGGCTGTGGCTAGCGTTAACAACGGGTCTCGGCGCCGCTTCCGTTCGCCCACAATGCTAGATTTTTTTCTTTTCAGCTCATCTGTTTTCGTTGAAAACCATTCAGCCAGAACTGAATTGTAAACAAACAAGGAATAAAAAGAAGATAAAAACATGGCGTTGTGTGGATATAAGCTACTGGCAAAGGAGTACTGTATGGTGCAGAGCCTGTCTATTGTTCGAGTATGTGTGTGCTAGTTCAATTGGACAGGATGCTAAATGCCCGCCTGCTACGTTGCGCAGAACACAAAGAAAGAAATAGAAGAGGAGCTTATTATAAAAAAAAGGCGATGTACAAAAGGAATAAACTCCTCTTAGATCTCAGCTTGACGATAACGTGGACAATAGTGAATAGAGTCGGACCCTTATTGTGCTTTCGATGAATCAACAAAGGGAGCGAAATGAGTTTGGGCTGACAAGTTTACCCTTTGCCAGCCAGTGAAGCCGCAAGAATGAACAAAAGAGTCCTTCGGAACAAAATAATGATGGAGAGGAGTAAGGATAAACAGAGGTGACCCAAATAACAACTGCCCTTGGCCTCAGCTCACTTTTTTTTATCTCTTCCTCGTTGTTGATGTCCGTCTCCTCTTATTTTCGACTCTTATGTCGGGCTGTGGTGGTGTCGATTTAAGAACCTTCTTAAATGCCGAGCACATTCAAATGTAAAGAGGGTGAAGCCTAGAAGTCAAAAAGGGCAGCTATCATTGGGGTTTTCGTGGGCTGAAGGGGCAGGTCCTCATAGTTTTGCATGAGTGGGCCGGAAAGTGCAACGAAACGTTTTTCCTCGGGTTCCTTTTTCCCATACAACGATCTTCTAGATAGTGAGTGGACTTTTGGACTATTGCGACAAATTCACTGCCTCCTGCTCTCTTTCTTCCCCTGTCTTGCACATCAGCCTTTGACGACCTTTTGTTTATTGCTATTGTCTTGCGCCAGATATCCTATTTCTGTCACTCTTATTGTCTGTAAGGGCTGTTGTATTTGTCACCTTGTCAGATATTCGTGCAACAACGAAAACCCGCTTGCACGAAGGTTTTTTTGACAACCTGAACATGTATGCCTATGCTTCCAGCCGTCTGTGCTGTCCGGATAATATATTAAGTGCCCTTGTCATTCTCAGACCAATCAATACCCAAACCTTGGTTCGGTTTCCAGGATGTAGAAGGAAAAAAAAGATGTTTTTGGACGACACTTATTGCCTTCCACTTTCCTACGACTGACTTGCTACAAAACCTGGCGAGCCTGGCAGGCGACCGATGGCAAAGTATGTGTAGAAAACGTTTTGACCTTTGTTTTTTCTTCCTTCCGGTTGCATAAACCGGAAGCAAAGAGAACGGAAGGACTCCTCAAAGCACAAAAAGCGCGCTATCTTGAAACGTAGAACAACCAGAAAGTTACAATGGCGAAACGAACAAAAAATGAAAAAAACCCAAAGGGAAGGGGTAATCGCTCATCAGTGAAGGGTTCATGGTCAACGCACAGAAAAACCCTTTCATTTCCCTGCCTTTCTTTCCATTGTTTTTGCAAGTAATTAAGATGCTTCTATCCATCAATCCAACTGAATTTTACTCGTTCAAGGACTCATTTTTGAATTTTTTAAAACGGTGGGTGGGGGTAAAACACGACATATAATCCTTTCCTTTCTTTCTTTCTCTCTTTCCTAATATCCGGATCATAGAGTTTCGATGGAAGGGGGACATTGTAGGCGCCAAGGAGTGTATAAAGAGGAGGAGGAGTCTGAATGATGACCGTTCATCGGACTGAACGGAACTGGTAGAAAATACATAAAGTCCCGCTCCACGTTGCCTGTAAACAAAAGATCTCAGGGACAGTCCTCGCACACAGACACAAAACACAACGCTCTCCAAGAATAAACGCCGATTGGTGCTGCCTGCTTACTAAAAGAAGGTGTTTACAACTGGGGCATCGGGTCTGGGGAGGGGACTGGAGTAATTCGCATAACGATGATTATGATGATAAGCATTGACCAAGGATACAACACTTGCACAGCACTGCATCACACGCACTGCCATGTCTCCGGGTCATATCAGTGAATCCATGATCTCGCTTTATGATCTGCGTATTGTCCTTGTCCCAATCCATCTAATCTAGATGTTGTTGTCATTGTCGTCATGGGTATGATTATGTTTCTGTTCGTAACCAAGTTGCATCTCCGGCGTTGCCGTTTTCCCCTCCTATCCCTCTTTCTTTCATCGTTTCTTGTTAAGCCAATGCCTCTGACTTTTTTGCCCTCAGTTGAACAAATGGACCAAGACCCACAACGGCGAGACACTCAGCATTGATCAAAAATAAAAATGAACCCGGGAACTGAAAGCGAGTGATGTAATTAGTGTCCGCAATCACTTTGAGACCTCTGAGAGAGATGTGTAGTTTTTGCAAGCGACAGAAAATGAAATGGTTCAAACGAACATACTTCTTCTTCGATAAAAATAACCATCTTTCTTTCTTCTTTCTTGAGCTTCTATGTTTTCGATATGCTTTAATTGAACTGCAGTCAGTCGCAATGCAACGGACTAAAAAAAAAAAAAGATAAAAGAGACCGGGATGCCTTCTGAGAGGAGCTCACTAGTTGAGTATGTTCAATTTCGCACGGCAGAACCTGATCCATTTCTCCATTCAGTAGAGCATTAACATTGAAGAGTTTGACCAATGATAAAAATCAAGTCAGGCAAGCCAAGAGTAATGAGATGAGAAAAAATAAGCTATAGTTGTCCATTCTGCAAAGTTCCCTTTTTCCTTGATGTGGAGTATTCGTGAAACGCTAAAATGTTTTTATATTCTCCTGTATTGTTGCATGGGTTGAGCTGGACTGCGGTTATTATGTTCATTCTATCGGGGGCAAAAAGATCAACAGGAACTGAGTAAGAAAAAAAAAACTTTGTAGAGACTAAACAGAAAATAACTGAGTGCAGCAAGGGAGAATTGGGTAAATAGGATAATTGAAGGACCTTTTACTTCGTTCCCATTCGTTTTCTCATCCTTATTTTTTTCCACGGCTCCTTTATCGTTTGGGCTGCTGTACTAATTTTGCTCGAGATTGCATGTCCTTTTTTCTATTTTTTCTTTTTTTACTTCATGCCTGATATCTGCCAGGAACGCTTGGCGAACAAACTATAGATAAAACAAATGAACGACGATCCGGAGGAAAGGGAGAACAGGAAGGTACATTAAAAAAAGGCAATTGGTGGATGAAAGGAATAGAAAACGAAATGACGGCAAGGATAAGAAAGAAGGTGGAGATGTGAAGTGTGAGTGAGAGAAAGAAAGGGATCGAGCCACGTACATGTATAGGTTCTCTGTTTACCGACGAAGGGATGCTGTACATATTTGGAACGGAGCAAGAACATCAAAGAAGGAAAAAGGGACTTGAACTGTGGCAAGCAACAAAAAAGCCTAATTCATCAGCAGCAAAGAAGGGAAGGATAAACGCAGAGCCGGGGGGGAGGGAGGGAGGCGCAAAAAATAAACAAACAACACTCCATTATCTGGAACAGTTTGACGAGAGCCAAATGCTTATTTTTTTTGGAACAGTCGTTGAGAAGATTGGCTGAAGAGAATCAACGATTGAATGAGTGTGCTCAACAACTGGAGAGTTATCTTCAGAAAGGGAAAAATATTGCGAGGATGTGTCGAGATGGATCCATGGATCGTAATGTACAATGTAATTGAATAGCAAACATAGATAATATTAATGAGCGAGAGCGACAAATGGGAATAAATAAGCTCAAATGGGCAAACAGGTATCTGGCTTTTGGCTGGGCATCAGCGAAGGACAAAAAGGAAGAAAAACGAACAACAACATAAAAAATAAGAATACGCAGCACAGTGAGTGTAAACAGAAGGAACAGGAGTCGTCCAACCTTACTTTGTTGGGTTCGGATAAGCAAAGCTGCAGGGATGACAGAATGACGCTATGGGTTTGTCTCGATTCCATTATCCATTCCTCTCTCCCTTTCTCTTTTCTCTCCTTCTTCCTTGCCCAGCCAGACACAAACGCCTATGGGCGACTCTTCATGAACGAACAATGAGATAAAGCCAAAGAAACAAAGCTACACATCAAGACAATCCATCCACATCCTCATCCTCGCATACAGATAGAGACACAGACACAAGCATACTTTGTTGGTCTTACTTACTATTGCTGTTGCGTCTTCCTTTTTTTTTCTTGTGCTATAAATCAGTTCCGGGAAACACTTTAAATACAGCGACGCCCATTGTTCCATGTAGAAGGAAAGAAGGCTGGTCATGAATGTGGGCGTATACTATCATGCATCGCCGTCAGTGTGAGTTTGTCTCTGTGTGTATGTGAATGTGTGTACGTGAGGATGTCTACGAGTCTAGTTTGTTCTCCACTCCATCACCAAGACAAAGAACCCAAATCCAAGACAGATTCGCTTTTCTCTGATTAGACACACATCAGTTCTCATTCTTTTTGCCTATAAATAAGATCATCCAATTCTTTTTTCTTTGTTTCTTTCTCTTTCTCTTTCTTTCACCTCCACTCTTCCTCCGTTCCCGTACTACGTTTCACTTTTTCACTCGCTCCCCCCCCTCTTCTCACTCACTGCCATATCCACTCTCCCAAACACAAACTTCCTCTTTCCCTCTGTTTCCCACCCTCTACCCCCGCCACACTCACACTCACTCAACTTCCAAACTGCATTCTCAACATTCCCTTAGTTTTTTCTTGTTCCATTCCAAACAAGAATAAAAAAACATCAAAACCCTCTCCCAAACGAACTCTTGCCCACCACGACGCTCAACACGTTGCCACCACTACCTCCTCCCCTCCAACCCCACCATATATCCATGGATCACAACTCTATGGAGACCTTCTTTGGTCTCATCAAGACTCCAATCGATGCTCTTATAATCTTTGAAGGCAAGTCTCCCTTTCTCCTTATTTCTTCTTCCTTCTTCCTCCAACCCACCCTCTTCTCTGACTCGCCTCCTCCCCCTATCCCCTTTGGACTCGTCAGTTTTCGTAAAGAAGGGTAGCATATTATATTTCATATATTTCGGTCAGCCTTGGACACATTTTGCATCAGCAGCAACATCGACAGTAGCTTATTTTTAAGCAACGAAGGAAGCATAAAAACAACAAACCGATAACACCAAAAACGACCGACAGAAACATGCATACATCCATAAAATAGGCTGTGAATACATCCATTCAGACACATACTCAATTGCATATAGGGTCCAGCTCTAGTCTAGTCACTGTTCAGCCCATCGTCTTCACCATTTGCACCTCTATCCACTCACCCAGCCCAACCTTCCCTTTCCACCCTCCTCCTCTTGTTCCCACCCACCTTCATACCCCTCTTCAGGCACTCTCCAATCTTGCCTTGAAACATCTTTGACCTAACTGGTTTTCTCTTTGTTCAATGTGGTCCTTTTTCTCGTATCTTGCACCTCAACACAGCCTGCCGCCAAGGTCTTGCCGCTAGAGTTCACCGTCGCCTCTCTGACATTGAGCGCCAATCAGTCCGATCTGGCTCGGTCTACTGCTTTGATGAGCGTGAGGCGGGCATGCGCCGCTGGACCGACGGCAAGAGCTGGAGTCCCAGTCGAGTTACCGGCAGCTTCCTTACCTACCGCGAGCTCGACGAGGCCCAAGGCAGCTACAACGGCAAATACTCCTACCGCCAGAACGGACTCTTGAAGCAATCGTTTAGTATTACCACTGTCGACAATCAAAAGCTCCATCTTATCTCGTACTACACGTCCGACGACGTCAGTTCCGAGCGCCTTCGCAACACTCCTTCCTCAGACCCCCAATTATCCAAAATTGTCATTCCCAAGGGCCTCTATCCCGAGACTGCAGTCAACAACGAGCAGCCCGTCCCCATCATCCAGGCGAGCCCTTCGCCCCCCATGTCCCACTCTCTCCGGCAACGCCCTGCTGTCGCTCGTCCCATGCAACAGCAGAGCGAGGAAGAATCTCGAATCCCCAAAGTCCTTACCCACCCACAGCCACATCACCACCATCGTCGCAACGATTCTGCCTCGTCCTCGCACTCGCACTCCTCGGGTCACCGTCGAACAAACTCAGGGTCACTGAGTCTGAAGGATCACCGTTACTCACCGATCCAAATCCCTGATGGAAAGCACTTGGGTGCCCGATCTCGATCCAATAGTAACCTTGCTGTTTACTCTTCCATGAGCCCAAATGGCAATCTTCAAGAGCTACGCGATCGTCGCTACAAATCATCAAGTCCAGCGGCAATGACCTTGTTTCCCACACCACCGTCCAATGCCTATTCGCCTGCAGCTTCGTGGGCCTCGGACGATGATCATCCCATGACGGAGGACCGTGCAAACGATGCTCCTGGCATCACTTCCAAGGCAGTTCCTCTGCGCGAGCTCCCTCCAATCCACCAAGGCATTAAGGATCAGGCGATGGAGGGTAGCGAGCAAGATTCTCTTTCTGTCCTGGCAAACCTTGCCACCCACACCATGCTCCTCCCCAAGTTGGAGCCTAAAGAGGTCTCGCGGGAAAGAGTCCGATGGGTCGAAGACGACCGTCAATTGCGTGCTCTTTCATCTATGCTCCGCCTCTAAACAACATCACACCAAGGTTCACCATCCCCTCCCCTTCCGGGACACATTTGCAAGCCCCACCTTTGGCAATGCCTCAAGCGTTGATCGCTTGTCTGTTGCTTTTTTTTTTTCCGTAGGGAGTACCTTTGTTTGTACTTTTACCATTCTCCTCGTCTCTTTTTTTTCTTTTTCTTGCACGTTTCCATTTTCCTTTGCTTGCTTTTTCCCTCGCTTTCTTTGCCACCCCTTTGCCTTTGCCATCATGTACCATCATAGACTCCATCGTTTCTTTTCCTAGGAAACGAAACTCACTGTCGATCACTCAGTCATTTGTATCATATCCCTCTTGCCGTTTTTTTTTGTTTTTCTTTTTTTTTTCTCGCATTTTTTTTACCTTTTTCCATCTTCATTCGACTGCACATCTCCAAATGAACCAATAAAACTGGTCTAAAGAATGACCATTGAAGGACATCCTTTCTCTCATCATGCCATGTGCCAATGCGATATATAAATGCCTACTCCAATGTCATATATTATGCCTTGGATGCTTGAGTGAATAAAGCAGTTGTAATGCATTGTGGCACAGCCTGTCCTGGACCAACTATTGACATGTCCTGGAGAGAAGGAAAGCGGAGACAGAGAGGTGCGTTGAATCTACGTGTGCGCGGAGAGATTTTCCCTTGTCCTCGTCCTTGTCTTTTGATTTGTGTGTTTTGGAGTTTCGTAAGCATGAGCTGCATTTTTTCCACTCCAGACATACTTTATCAAGAAAAAGACTAAACGACGTCAAACCTTGTCAGGGACAATAATGGATTGGTCCCGCGGGGGGGATCGTCATGCAAAACAAGATGCGAGAAGGAATCTGTGGGACGTGTACGATCTTCTCACAAGCGCATGCTCACCATTTTTTTTTCCTTCTTGGTAGTCTACACTAAGTCGTACAGGATATTTTTCTTTGAAGTTTGGAGAGGAAAGGGACGCAGTCGGCAATGTGGGGATTGAGGTTTTTTTTTCTTTCTTCTTCTTCTTTCTTGGACGTACGTGTGTGGAAAATGGAGGTGTGGATTTTCCGTCTGCGGATTTTTATTTCGCGAAGAAACACGAGTGTTTTTGTTTTGCTTTATCTTTTTCACCCACCTTGTTTCGATTTGGCTCGGCTCTTCCTTCTCTATCGTTTTCCGCTCTCCTCGGCTTGTGAAACAACACGCAAAATTTTGACCATGTTCAGGCCACCGGCAAGGCTCACGCCATGTACACGTAATTGCAGTTGAAGTGGGTGTAATGCCATTTGGAGCGTGCAACGAAAGAACAGCAGCCAAAAAAGTACCTCATTATCTTGCCGTACTTGTTCTTATTGCGTTTTGCTTTGCCAAGATTTCACATATGTTAAAGGGACAAAAACGTCGCTTATCTGATACTTTTTATGGTAATGTAAATAGAGCTGGTATTGTGCAAAAGCAAGGGAATGGAAAAACGTGAACAAACCTCAAAGAGCACTCCTCACCATGAATGAGCTTAGTAAGGTGTGATTTGTGCCTGTACTGAGTGTAGAGATCAAGATGCTCGGTAAGGATTGAAGGGTGTGGGGGAGGAGCTAGTTCTTGTGGTGTCGGAAGCATCCTGTAGTGTGTTGAATCCCATCTTGCTCAATCCCGGCTGCTTGCAAATACGCGTACATAATTGTCGAGCCTATTTCCCAATGCCGAAAAACAATAACGAATACATTTGTCAATATAGGACCTCTCTCACCTTACGCAAAAAAAAAAACCAACAAAACGAAAAGGATCAAGATACGTACCAACAAACTTGAAGCCACGCTTTTTGAGATCTTCGCTCAGCCGATCAGATTCCGCGCTGCGGGTCAAGTACTCTGTCGGATCTCTCTTACTCTTGCTCGCCTTCTTTTTGTAATTCTGCAAGAACATCCAGAACCCCTTCTCGTCATCCAATCCAGTCTGGTCCGGGTATAGCTCCTCCAACAGCTCACAGAACGCCTTTGCGTTCACCATTGATGCCTGGACCTTGAGCCTGTTCTTCACAATGTTGGTCTGCAACAGTCGATCGTTATCCGCAGGGGATTTGTAGCTAGTTGCGATGCGGTGGTAGTCGAACTGGTGGTAGGCTTCGCGGTATGCCTCACGCTTGTGGAGGACGGTGGACCAAGAGAGTCCTGCCTGCGCTCCTTCGAGGATGAGGAGCTCAAAGAGGTATCGGTTGGTGTGGTTGAACCCCTCGGGGTGGTTCCATTCCTCGTCATGGTAGGCTTGCAGGAGAGGGTACCGGGGATTGTCAGCCCAGATACAGCGGGTCTTGCCGTCGCCCAGGAGAGGGGGTTTCGGTTCCTTGATGGTGGCAGCGACCTTGCGTTTCTTTTTGGGTGCTGCTTCTGCTGTTGTGCTGTCGTCGTTGTTTTCTTTGTCGTCAGCATTCTTGGACGCTCTTCCTGCCTTGGTGGTCTTGGTCGCTTTGTTGGCGGTGGTAGCGACAGCACTGATGATGGCTGTGGCGCCGATAGGAGCAGAGGATGCCAAGATGGCGGTGGCTGATACGCGACAATTTGGTGGAGGTTATGACGCGCGTTAGTTTATGTTGAGCGCTGTCCATGTAAACCAGTGAGAGAGACACTATCTTGTTTCGTTAGAAATGAGTTCTTGCCACCTTTACCGATGCGATTTGAACGGCGTGACATATTGCGTTGTGTCTGAGTCTGTGTCTTATTCTGGGAAGAGGGAGTGAATGAGTTGAACTTGAAGGGGAATGGAGAGATGGAGGAGGGTCATGTTTGACAAATAATAAGTTGGTTAGTTGCATGTGTTTGGTGGCGCCTGATGGAGACTGAGCCTATTCATTTGACTCTCACTTCAATCAAAATGACGACAAGGGGTAGCGATGATAATCGCAACTGCTGCATCTGAGAAACAAACTTCAGGTCCAGGAACAAAGCTACTTTTTTGAGTGGATACCGGCAAATCTGGCCCCGGTGGATAAAAATAATGAGATCGATCAAGTGGTGCCCTGTCTGCCAACTGCCCGCTTAGATTTTATCTCGCTCATGAAGGGAAAGGGGAACCAACCAGAACCACCGATCCCGTCATCATCATCCTCATCGTTATTCTTCTTTCTTGACGGTCCTAATTTATTGTATAATAAGATCGAATAACGTGAAAAAAAGAAAGCAACGTCGTTCAGTCTCAAACCCAGAACGATATCTACTGTCTAACAAAAGAACGGTGTGACGAGATCGACTCCCACGTTGGCCGGAGGAAGGATTGCAAGTGAAACGACATAAAAAAGATATGAAAAAAAAAACGACCTGCATCGAATGGCCATTCTTCCCTCTTGCAGAGTACGCTTTCCAAGTGCTTCATATGGGTTATTGTAGAGCCTTATTCTGGTAAATCCAAAAAGAACACGACAGAACAAAGTAAACTTTTTTTCCTTCTCATTAAACAAGAATTTCTTTGGGGGAAGGACAAAGAGAGGGGGAAAAATTTGGCTCTCTTCTCCATCCACTTTTCCGTTTACCGTTTGATGCTTTGATATCGAACGGGTAATACGTCTTTCCGTTGAAAAAAAAAACGGAAGAAAGAAACAGCACGATGTCGTAGTCCAGACTAGGCGAACTAAACCCATGTAATTGTGTTTATTGTTGTTTTTGTGCATGTGCGTTTGTGCTCTTGTTTATTTACACCCACTTATCACACATTTTTATCTACAGTATCACACCATATTGAACCGTCAAACACCTTGTAAAGAGTACCCCTCTACACAACGACGTGAATGACGGGCAGTTAAACACGTAGCTGATGCTTGCGAAAAGTAGGAGGGAGAAAGCGAGAAGGACGAGAAATGAGAGGAGAGGTGGGAGTGATGAATCGAAAAAAAGAAAAGTGATGGCAAAGATGGCAAAGCGAGAAAGGGATGACTTTCCTGTAGTTTGCTCGGGTGTTATCGATTCTAGGAAGTGTTCTACAATGGCTGTGTTGTGAAGGGTGACCAAAAAAAGAAGAACAAGGATAGTTGCAAGAGACAAGGAACACGTTGTCAAGAAAGAGTGGAAGAGTGTGGATTATGGATAGACGGCTGAATGGTTGGGGCAAAAAGTAGCTAAACCCGATTAGAAAAGCTACCAGAAAGTGAGGGGAAGAAGATAGCGCAGAGGGATAATTGAACCGAGGTTTGGAGATGGAGATGGATGAACTGGAGTTGGAAGGTCATACGAAGTGCGTGTGCTAATTGAATGCGTGCGCGTGTTTGTGATCGGGGAACTGTCCTCACACACACACACTCAGGTACAAGTACAGCAGGGAACAGTTCATGGAAGTTGAGTGAGAAGAGAAGAATGGGACTAAAACCAACATACCAGTGGATGAAAAAAATGTTGTCTTCGCAATTCCTTCGTCGTCAGGCACAAGAGAAGAAAAGAGCTCAGCTAAAAAGTATTCCCGCCGGCCACCCACCTTCTAGAGCTAGGCCCAGTTTTCCAGTTTGCTACTGTACCAAAAAGAAAAGGAAAGAGAAATGAGCGGGAAATGGATTTTTGGGTTCTGTCGACAGGGGATGGAGGACAGCCAAGGGCGCACGAGGGATGGGATTGGCCTATTGGCTCTCCATAGAGGGTTCTTAGACCTTTTTTTTTTTTGCGTGAAAGTGAGGAGGAGAACGAAAACATGAGGAGAGACGATGATGGGGTTGAGGGTGGGGAAGGGAAGAGGAGAGCGGGGAAAAGATGGTCGAAAAGGAGAGATCGAACACATCGCTACCATCGATAATGAAAATGAATAACTGAACACTTCAAAGAAAAGACATTGATCATGAACAGCGACGATATCGATGAACAATTCGTTATCTTTGAGCGTTCAAATCGGATCGAGCCGCGAGCGAGATTGTTATCATATGGGAAGTAAAAGAGATGAGATGAGTCTTGCCCTTCACGAGATGATGAGATGATGAGATGATGAACCACCAGAAGGTATAAAACCCAGCTCCTTCTTTCCCTCTTTTTCGATTTTCTTTTCTTTTCTCTTCTTCCTCCTTCAACTCAACACTCTCAACAGACCCAACCCTAAACCTCTTACCCAAACCCCCAACCCCCAGAAACCCACTCACAAAAACCTTTGTCGGCTACCACTATCTTTGGCAGCCAACCCCCGAGTCTAGCAACAACGTTTTCCAACCAACTTGCCAGTCTCCACAACCCCCACCGCGGAAGAAAGAGAACGAGTCCCAAGCCTAAAGCATCCAAGTAACGACTCTTCCAGCCCCCAGACGACTCTTCCGATTTACCAGTACCCCACGCACCCAAAAAACCCACAACCACCCAACTACCAACTACCAAAAATGCCTCCATTCGCCGCTGAATCTTCCCCCGCCGCTGCCGCCCCCTTGGCCTTCAAGGTCAACAGCAAGAACGTCCAGTACACCGACTCCCACATCGTCGCTGACTACCACTACGAGAACGCCACCGTTACCAAGGGCGTTGACGGTTCCTACAACGTCAACCCCACTTCGATCAAGTACCAGTTCAAGACCGAAGCCAAGGTTCCCCGTGTCGGGTAAGTTTTTCTTTTGTTTATCTGTCTGTTCAACTTGCCCTGGAATGTGTGTGTTTTTTGTTGTCATCCTCGTTGCGGCCAGTCCTCTCGCTCGTTCCCCCCCCCTTTTTGTTCGATAATAACAACCACAAAAAACTACGCAAGAGGGCTAAACTAGAACAAGAAAAGAAGATGGATCCCAGGGATGGGGGTGATCTGATCCCCTCCCTTCCAATGCAGACAAAGGCGACAAAGCCATCATATCCTCCGCATCCTATTTTTGTGGGATTCAGTTTATTCGTTCTCTTTTCTTCCCTCACGATTTTTGTGTATTCATATATTCCCCACAAATGAAATCGAATGACAAAGACACAAGAATCTAACGCGTCCCTGCTTTTGATTTGCAACTCCTACTTATTAGTCTCATGATGGTCGGCTGGGGCGGAAACAACGGATCGACCCTGACCGCTTCCATCATCGCCAACCGCCGCAAGTTGACCTGGAACACCAAGGAGGGTGTCCAGGTGCCCAACTACTTTGGCTCCGTCGTCCAGGCTTCGACCTTGAAGCTCGGAGTCGATGCCAAGGGCAACGACGTCTACATTCCCTTCAACGACATCCTCCCCATGGTTCACCCCAACGACCTCGTCCTCGGCGGTTGGGATATCTCTGGCTTCAACCTCGCTGACTCTATGACTCGCGCCAAGGTCCTCGATTACGACCTCCAGCGCCAGGTCAAGGCCGAGATGGAGACCCTCAAGCCCCTCGCCTCCGTCTACTACCCCGACTTTATCGCCGCCAACCAGTCCGACCGCGCCGATAACGTCATCCCCGGCTCTGACAAGCAGGCCCACGTCGACCACATCCGTGCCGATATCCGTAACTTCAAGGCCGCCAACCACCTCGACAAGGTCATCGTCATCTGGACCGCCAACACCGAGCGTTTCTCTTCGCTCATCAATGGCATTAACGACACCGCCGACAACTTGCTCAAGGCCGTCAAGGATTCCCACGAGGAGGTCTCGCCCTCGACCGTCTTTGCCATCGCTTCGATCCTCGAGAACACCCCCTTCATCAACGGTTCCCCTCAGAACACCTTTGTCCCTGGATGCGTCGAGCTCGCTGAGCGCCACGCCGTCTACATTGGAGGTGATGACTTCAAGTCTGGTCAAACCAAGGTCAAGTCCGTCATTGTCGACTTCCTCGTCAACGCTGGTATCAAGCCCGTCTCCATTGCCTCGTACAATCATCTCGGTAACAACGATGGCAAGAACTTGTCCGCTCCCCAGCAGTTCCGCTCCAAGGAGATCTCCAAGTCCAACGTTGTCGACGACATGGTCGCTGCCAACCACCTCCTCTACAAGAAGGATGAGCATCCCGATCACTTGGTTGTCATCAAGTACGTCCCCGCCGTCGGTGACTCCAAGCGTGCCTTGGACGAGTACGTCTCTGAGATCTTCATGGGTGGTCGTAACACCATCTCGATGTACAACACCTGCGAGGACTCTCTCTTGGCCTCGCCCTTGATCTTGGACTTGGTCATCTTGACCGAGCTCATGACCCGTATTGAGTACAAGACCGAGGACATGGCCGAGTATGCCCCCTTCAACTCTGTCCTCTCCATCCTCTCCTACATGCTCAAGGCCCCCATGGTCCCCCACGGCACCCAGGTCATCAACGCCCTCTCCAAGCAGCGCACTGCCATGGAGAACATCTTCCGTGCCTGTGTCGGTCTCCCTCCCCAGAACGACATGTTGCTCGAGGCCAAGACCCAGGCTAACCGCCAGTAAATACATTCTCTTGCTTGCCTGCTCAAGGATGATTGAGCCTCTACTAAGCTCTCTCACTTTCTTCGCATAAAAAAACAACCACGAACAAGGGTGCTGTTTTTGTTTTCTTTTTTCTTTTTCTTTTTTTTTCTGAGTTCGTAAATAAATATTTCCGTTTGTTTCTGGCCCATACCTCATTTGTCTCTCCATTCAGAGTTTTGTGCTCTCTATCTCATGCTATCTCTGCCACAATACTTTTGGATCTGGTAGGATCTTTCTTGCGATTTGCAAATAACATGATCTGACGCGACGACGCGACTTGTGCTTGAAACCTTTGCATACTATTTTCACACCGTCATCCATCCGTTGATTGCTTTTGCTCCGCATGTCACCTGACCCATTGCACCCCCTTCACCCAAAAAAAAAAAAAAGAAAGCGAGCAACGCAACCACTCGTTTTTCTCACACCTTTCACCACACCCTTTTTTTCATACAACAAGAAGCGATGCCAACCAACTGGGCAGACGAAGTCGATGGAGTTGAGGCGCCTCAGACGTTCACGGACGCAAATGGAATCACGACTCATATTGAGTTCCGAATCAATGACGATGGCAAGAAAGTCAAGGTAATGTGGAGAAAAGAAAAAAACGATAGGCTAAAAAGTCAGAAAAAGTGTGAATGCAAGTGTGCGTATGGGGGCGGATATAGAGGTTAGGTTGCAAAAGTGCCTAGTACTTTGAGAAAAGGGCATGGTGGTGGGATATGGGTTGTAACAACAAGACCTCTACTGTTGTGCATGAGTGGGACCAAAGGTCTATGTTCCTTGACATAAGCTTGTTTTATCAGGCGAACCGAATAGATTATGAGAAAACTATTTTTTGCAAATGAAAAAACTTGGAGCGATAACAGCATTGGAGTAAAGGCGGCAATGGTGGTGGTTTTGGTGGCGGCAGCACCACGTTTTTTCGTTCGGAGACCGAAAAAGAAGGGTGCGGAACCACCATGTTATTAATGTTTTTTGGCCGCTTGGTCGAATCTCCCATAGATTACTCGTCGTACTCGCAATAAGTTGATCCACGACAAGGTCAACAAGGCCGTCGCCGCACGCAAGGTAACCAAAGGGTTCTTATTTTAGCTGGACCTTCGTTGTTTCTTTTCTTTTCTTTTCGCCGCAGTCGATTTTAATAAGCTCGCGTGATCATAATCAAGGTATCAGCCCAGCTTACTCACTCTCCTTACTACGATAAAATAACAAAACACTTAGAAATGGCCAAAGTTCGGAAAGGAGAGAGGAAACAAACCAGGTCCAGATCCAGCAACGACCAATGTGGGCGACAACATCAAGCTGAAGCTCTCGTCGACAGGACAGGTTGTACAGGATGTGGATGAGAAGCATGAGGCGATGAAGGCTCAGTTGCAGAACAAGAAGATTCTTTGCCGTATCTGTAAGGGGGACCATTTCACGACCAAGTGCCCCTACAAGGATTCCTTGGGCATGGAGGATGCCGCCGCCACGCTTACCCCTGCCGAGGAACCTGGTAAGTTTTTAGTTGATGTTGGAAAAGCAAATAGAGAAACCAAGAAAGAGAGTGAAAAAAGTGGCATATTTTTTGATATTAGGCCTGCGTGACATGGAGTGTGATGGTGAAACGCTAACAAAGACATGCATTTCACAATGGTATTATTACCAAATATAGCTGCCGAGGAGCAACAGAGTGGATCAAAGTATATTGCGCCACACATGCGTGCAGGCGCATCCTCGGGAGGCTCAGGCAGTGCTGGTCCTGATTCTCGAGAGAAGCGCGACGAGCAGCCTACGCTCCGTGTCACCAACCTGTCTGAAGATGTCACTGAGGCCGATGTGTCCGAACTGTTCAAGCGGTTCGGTCATATCTCGCGTGTCTTCTTGGCGCGTGACCGTGAGACGGGTGCCTGCAAGGGGTTTGCGTTTGTCTCGTTCACGATGCGTGAGGATGCTCTTAGGGCGTTGGAGGCTATTGATGGTCGTGGATACGATAACCTGATTCTCAGAGTCGAATGGGCGAAATCGTCGGCGTAAAGCGCGCATTGGGCTGAAGCTCTGGAGCTGACAAGAATGGAGTGGACGGTACACGATTGCACGTAGTCCGACATTTGAGGGATTTTGTACCTGTTTTGACTGTAGCTGGGAAGTCGTCATGTACTGGCGCCCAGGTTGCCATTTTTCTGTGAATAAATGAAATCGTTGTACATATCCAGGCTATGGCCATACCTTTGTTCTTCATTAATTAATCGTTCTGGCTATCCTTGTCGTTTCATGCGTACTTCCAATGATATATACATCAATTGCAAACGCCACGCAGTGTGCATAGTCGGCTGTTCGGATCAAACTTGTTGCCAATGGCTCTACTCGTCTCACATCCACAACCCAAGAGGATTCGCCACGTCCTCACTCACTAATACACGAAAAGAGCACAATTGTCTCTTTCCTTTTGATTGCCCTCTTTTCTTTTGTTTCTTGGTCGATAAAAATAAGCATTTCACATCATCCCATCAATACAGCCCAGTCTCCTCTCCACCCGCCTCCTGGATTAGTTTTGTCCACAGGCACAAGCATGTATCGATTCGGGTTCAAATTTGTTCCCAAGTTGTCCCTGAATGATGGGATTAGTGAGCCCACTCTGACTCTTCGTTATTCCCTCGTCCTTGTATTACTGCGTGTTTTGTAGATCCAAGAATATCGAAATTGGATCAAAGGGATAAGGAACAAAGAAAGGGATAAGGAACAAAGAAAGGAATACACATAGCACACGATACATGCAATAATCACTCTTTGATTGTTTTATTTGATGTCCTTTTTTTCAGTCTCAGTATGGTTGTGAAGTTCCAGTTCAAGAGCCTTCAACAAAGAAAACGGAATGAAGGGAGAACAGAAAGAAAACGAAATGGAGCGAGTTTGGGTGAGAAGGGATTAGTGGTGATGGGGACGGTGCTTGTCCTCGGTGAATTTCTCAAACAGTTTCTTGGTTCCAGCCAAGGCGATGCCTCCTGCAGCCATGCCTCCTGCCAACTTCATCCAGTCGGTTCCTTGCTTGCCCCCGGCTGGTGCTGCTTCATGTCCTGAGGAGGGAGAAGGTGTCTGGTACATGGACTGTTGCTGCTGAGGGTATCCGTAAGGTGATTGGCTCTGGTCTGGGTATTGCTGTTGCTGTTGCTGGTATGGGTAGGGTGATTGACCGGGGCCGGGGTATTGCTGCTGCGCAACAGCTCCAGGGTATCCTGTAGCCGCCGAAGAAGACGAGGAAGAAGAGGAAGGAACGGGAGGCTTCTGCTTGTCGCCGGGATGATAGTTGATATGGTAGTACCACGTCTGGATCTGGTCCGGCGTCGCGGCTTGAGGAGGCATCTCAGGGCGTGGATACGCGCGCATCCAGAAATCGAGATCATGCACCTGAGATCCGGCAGGGGCGCCGCCGCCAGGTGCGTTACTGTTGTGGTGGCCACTGAAAAATCCTCGCTCAGCTTCACTACTTGGAGTTGAAGTGGGTGGGTAGCCGTAAGGAGTCTGCTGCTGTTGGGGAGGCGAGGGGCTAACCGCGGCCGCGGGTGCAGGAGGGTATCCAGAATCCTTGCTCGGCTCCTGGTACGCGTTATAAGGCTGCTGCTCCTGGTGAGACTGAGGGGGAGGGTATCCTGCAGGTGGGCCTTGATGCTCTTGGTGGGACTGAGGAGGAGGGTAGGCTGAATCAACCTTCTGGTCATAACTGGAGGGAGGGTATCCTGCAGGTGGGCCCTGGTAATGTGGAGGCGCCGCAGGGCTGGGGTATCCAGTCGACGACGCGGGAGGAGGATAAGCACCCTGCTGTTGCTGCTGGTAGTAGTCTTGAGCCTGAGCCTGAGGAGGGTAAGTGTCTTGACGTTGAGGAGGGTAGGCGGGAGGGTATCCGCTTGTTGGCTGAGGAGGGTAGGGCGATTGAGCTGGTGGGTAGCCGCCTTGTTGGGGTTGAGGTGGGTAGCCGTAGCCTGGTTGGGGTTGGGGGAAGTATCCAGACATACTTTATGGATTTTTTTTTGGGAAGGCTGAGGGAAAGGTGGAAGTGAAGGAAAAGAAGGAGGAAGGAAGAAGGAAGAAGGAAGAAGCGAAGAAGCGAAGAAAGAGAAAAGGACTATTTATGGTGAGTAGGACAAGACGTTGTTAGGAGTCTCACAAGTAATTCGCCAAGCTATTCTTGTCAAGTAGGCACTTGGTACTCATACTGCTTTGAAGGTGCGCAGGCTGTGGTGGTGGTGACTGTCACTCCGTTTGCTCCTTTCCAGGACCATTCATGCTACCATCAAATCAGATCGATGGGTATCTCTCTACAATCAAGCAGAGGAAAAATGCCGGGGGAGAGAAATGAAAAAAGGGCGGAATAAAAGAATATAAGGTGCGGATAGAGGTATGTATGTCTGTGTGTACGGATGAAAATAGAGCATGAAAGACAAGGACGACGAGTCGTGCATAGCACTTCCCCCCCCCCCCCGGCATCTACAATACATGCAGTACGCGCTTGTCGTCTTCTGCAGTACATTTATTTCTTTATGTTTTTTGTCCAGGCGGATCGATGTTCTTCCTCTATCGGAACAGAACCTTTTTTAGATTTCTGTTTTTCTTTCAAACGGATCGTGTTCTACTCCCGACACCCTTGTCTGCTCTGCGAGCTAGAAAACGAAGGAGAAAAGGAGGAGTTTGGACGTCTTGTATTGTTGTTTGTTCCTAAACATCATCATAAGCAAAACTACGTAATGAAATCATGGTGGGACAAGGAATACAAAGGAAGTAAGGGGACGAAGTAGAAGCCGGCGAACAATGCGCTTGGGAACTTTTTTTCGTCTTTTGCGATGTGGGAAACATGGGATGGGGTGGGGCTTCTTTCTTGTCTTTTTTCAGCCTGGTGTGCTTTCTACTCCCTCTTTGCTACGAAGACAGTAACAAGAGAAACAGTAAGGGAAACAGTGCAACAATCGGAGTCAATAAAAAGTGGGGCGAAAGAAAATGTCGAGTAAGAATTCATGCAAAAACATTTTATTAGGGTAAGGAAAAAAAAAGGCACACCAATGACTGTGTCATCTATCCGTCAAAATATGAGAAAGGAAGGCTTAAAGGAGGGCAGCGACGACCATCAAGAGGGCGGTGGCAACACCGGCAACGGGCTTCAAGGAGCCAGCAGCATTAGGCGCGGTGGTGCCAGTAGGGCCGGCACCGGTGCCGGAGGTGGGGAGGGCAGTGACGGGGACGGTGGCGGTCGAAGTGGGAGCGTTGGGGACGGTAACGTTCAAGGTACCCTCGGGCCAGGCCTGGACGAGCTTGGTCTTGCAGGCATCGTTGTAGGCGACGACGAGCTTGGTCCAGTACTGAACAAACTCGGGGGTGTAGAAGGGGGTGATAGCGGGCATCTTGGTCTTGGACAGGTAATCAACAGTCGAGGACATGGCAAGCTGGGAGCAGGCGGAGCAGAGCTCAGTGGGATCAATGTGGCTGGTGTTGAAGAAGGGAGCCTGGTTGGAGCGGATGGTACCCGAGGTCAAGTAGATGGCCAACTGGGAGACAAAGCGACCCGAGGGGTTGGTGGTGTTCGAGGACAAGCAGTACTGGGGAGGGGTGACCTGGGGGGCGGGGAGGGGGACGGCATTGGGGTCGAGCGCACAGTAGGCGGCGCGGATGGGGGTGGCAAAGAAGACATCAAGGGCAGACTTTCCGAGCTGGAGGATGTTGCCGTTTTGGGACTCGACGGCGAGCGAAGCATTGCAGGCAGCGAGGTACTTTGTCTCGGCAGCGTCGAGGGTGCTGGACGAGCAGGCGGACTTGGAGCAGACGCCTTCGATCAAGGCCTTGAAGTCTGGGGTGGGACCAGCATTGACGAGAGCGGTGTTGTAGACCTGGTTGGTGAAGCACTTTTGGTAGGCACCGGACGAGGTAGGAGCGTAGTCGTTGAGGACAGCAGTGCAGTTGGAGTCCTGAGCGTTGGTGAAGGAGGCAACCGACAAGAGGACGGCGGCAGCGGCAGCAATTGTGTAGCGCATTGTTGTTGTTATGTGAATGTGTATGGAGAGAAGGATAAGGACAGAGGGAAGGAGAAGAAAAGAAAGAGAGGAAGAAAGTGAAGAAACAAGAAAGAAAAGAGAAACAAAGAAAACGACAACGGGTTTATGCAGGGAGGGAAGAGGGAAGAGGCAAAAATAGAAAAGTGGCCTTGTGAGAAGTGAGGTCAGTTGTAGGGGAGAGAAGGGTGAGGTATGTGGTGTAGTATGGCGTGTGTGTGAGGTGGAGGAGGAAGAATGAAAAATCCAAGGTGTGGGATCAACGGAAGGGGTCGTAGGTGATGGAGGGAGGGATGATGGAAGAGATGAGAGAAAGAAAGAGAGATGAACAGGGGATGTACTCGTAGTTATATTGTCTCCACCACCGCCACCACCGCTTTTTGGCCACCACTACCAATGCCAACGTTACCACTATCGCCGGCCATTGTTGTTATTGTCCTTTTCCATGTCCACACCATCGCAATAAAAAAATCCAATATCCGTTTGAGAGCCCCTGTCTGGCGACTCGCTCACTTTCTTTTTCCTTTTGCTGCTGTCCAATCCATCCACCATCTGGTTTTCGTTAGCCTTTTAGTGCGACTTGCCTGCCTGCTGATTTATTATAAAATGTTGTGTGCCTGAATGGATGAGAGCAAACAACAAACTCAACCAAACCAGCTTGGCTCTCTCTCTCTCTCTCTCTCTCTCTCTCTCTCTCTCTCTCTCTCTCTCTCTCTCTCTCTCTCTCTCTCTCTCTCTCTCTCGCGTTGTTCACTCACCTAATACAACCTTCTTTCGTCTCAAACATATCTTAACAAACCCCCCTGCCAGCTTCGTCTGTCTTCCTTACATTCCTCCTGCTCCTTACTTCTGCAGTTTCTAGACTCCCAACAAAAAATAAAGCAAAAAAGGAGAGCAACAGCCAAACTAGTCTTCCAAGACCAATGCGAATGACATCTCCCCTCCTCCTCGCGTGCAATGGTCATCCTGGCCATGACTCGTCAATGGACAGGCAGGGGGATGAGAAGATGTGCGCATATATGTGGTGCAACGAAGGACAAGGTCAATATCATCCCGCCATGTTGTTTTTTTGTTCTTATTTTTAATGGATTCTGTGCCTGAAATGAGTTTGCTCTCAACCTTTTTTTTTTCTGCTCTCTTGCCTCCCTCATCATCAGCTCTGATTGCTGTTTGCGAATCATCTCTTTTCGTTTTCGATGATACAGGCACATAACGAAAGTTCTCGGGTCTGACCTTGTCCGTTGGGTCAAGGGGTGGGGAACAGGGGAGTAGTGAGGAGAAACAACAATAGCAAAAGAAAAAAAAAAAAAAGAGCGCGGGAGAGAAAGAACGCCAGGAGGCTAGATGTTTTAGAGAAAAGAGATAGAGCAAGGAGAGGTCCGTCCATGTTTGCCTTTTGCTTTGTTGCTTTGTCGGTCGATCGATGTCGTGCGAAGCAAAGCCGCGGATAAAAATATGTTTTCAGTTTCTGATTGTTTGATTTTTTTTTTGACGCACTTGACTCGTCTCCACTCCCAAACCTCTGCTCATTTGTCTGACTAGTGGTGCCTGAAGGATAGCAACATTACCATTCACCACACTTCATACAATTTCAGGAACAGGCTCGAACTAGGCCCATCCGCTCATTCGACCTCGGAGCGAGGTATGTGCTTGTAACCACTATCACACACAAAATCTCGCTTTGGTGCTTTGCGCAATCACTTCTCTTTGCCAACGGTGGGTGACCACAAACAAGTGCAACTGCCGAACAAAACAATTGACAAAACAGCGCAAACATAACAAGACTCAAAATAGTTTAGTACAGTGTGTGATATGATCTCCCGTTTTTTATTAGTGTTCCATGTTTTGTTGTTGTCGCACAAGGTCGCATAAATAATAAAAAGCGTAGCGAGAGAGAGTGAGAGAGGGAGAGAAACAAGGGTAAACGGTCCTTCCAGACCCTTCTTCTTCCTCACCTATCCTCTCTTCTGTATCTTCTGTCTCTTTCTCATTCATGTACCCTAACTTTCATGGATAAGAGAGTTGGAGGAACCACATGTCTGAAGTAGCCCCCAGAATCTATGCATCCCACCTCCACTTCCGGAACAAGAAAAGAAACAAATACCCCAAAAAAAAAAAACGCGTTGGTGTAGTGACGATGAGTAATAGGATCGATATGCATTGCTCTTGGATCCCCACTCTTTCTGTCTCTCTCTCTCTCTCTCTCTCTCTCTCTCTCGAGCTTTTCTTTTTTCCGCCCTTAGTTTCTCCTTCCTCTCATCTCAGAGACAGAGAGAGAGGAGAGAATAGATGCCCGATGACGAACATGGTAACCTCCAGAACCGTAAATCAAAAAGCTTGATACAAGGTTGGCCTGGTTTCTTATTATTTTTGTCTCGCTAGAAACTCGCCCCTTTCCAACAAGTCTCATAACCACATCTCGCTGCCCTTTTTTTTTTTTTTTTTTTTTTTTTTCGCTCACTCCGGATTTGCCACTAACGCCAAAAAAAACTCCGCAATTAGGAGAGCATACAACGACAGAGAGAGCAAAGAGCTGCCGCCACTTTTCAAGGATATTATTACCGGCAAATACCCTCTCTTGCGTTCTTTCAGGTTTGTTTCGTTTTGATGTGAATGAATGAGTGTGGGAAGGAATGCTTTATGCGAAAATGATATGTGAGTGAGTGAGTGAGTGAGTGAATGTGGGTGTGGGTGTGTGAACGGGATAGTGAGCAAAAAAAAACAAGTCCAAGCCAGTCAGACATGCAAAAGCAAACTAATATAAAATAAAAAGACTATTCGTTCTCATTGAGACTCAGTCCCTCAAAGATCTTGGTCGTCATCGCCTCGTCCTTAAACTGCAACATATAAATAATGCTCATCTTCTCCTGTGGGTTCTGCAGCGTAATCGCCAACTTCTTGGGCCCGACCAACTCTAGACAGTCGCATTGCACAATCACACTGTCCAGCACCCGCTTGTTGCCCGAGACCAGTCCAACAAACAACCGAACATGGCCAGACGGTCTCTCCATCTTGATCTCCACACGCGCCGCTCCCAAACTGATCCATTGGCCGTGGTCTCCTGCCTGCAGTAGCAGTTTGCACTCGGATGGTGGGTACATCGTGTTCAGTGTCTGCTTCACTGGTTTCTCGCGCGCAGACTGCTGTGTCACAGTCGATGCCAACGAATCACCACGAGACAGGACCGGGGAAGAGCTCGACTTTTGCAAACTGGGGTCATACATCGCTCGGTCCTTTGTCCGCTGGAACGACATACAGAACTCTTCTGCCTCCCGTGCAGAGTTGAGCGCCACAAGGAACCATTGCACACTAGCACCCATATCCATCGACACACTGATGTCCGTCTCCGATGCTCGCCGGAAGGTGGTCGATCCGACGATCCATGCGTTCAGAACCAACTGTCCTTGGTCAGCCGTAATCACCGCCATCACCAAGCGATTCGACATTGTCAGTCGGAGCTCCACAAAACAATCGTCTTCTTCCACCAGGGGTTCCCACATATCGTCACGCCACTGAAACACATCGCACGGCTTGCTCTTGTACATCACCTCTTTGGGCGCCGCCACATCTCCCTTCTGGAGGATACGGCCTCGAGGTCCTCCCATGGTGTTTGCTCGCCGCATACTCTACGATATCAAAAGGAAGGTAATTATGTTAGGTCATGTGCAAGCACTTGCCAGTGGACAAATACTAGGAACGACAAGACCGCTGTAGAACTTACCATTCCGCGTTGCATTGGACGAGGGCGTCCGTGCATCGATCCTCCTCCGTAATGGTGCAGCATACCAGGCCGTCCAGGGGCCATTTGAGGGCGGAATCCAGGTGAGTGCATCGGTCCTCCCATCGACCCTCCCATGGGCCCACCCATTGGCCCACCCATAGACCCACCCATAGGACCTCCCATAGGGGGCCTGCCACCCATAGATGGCCTAGGACGGAGCATAGGACTGCCAGGTCCTCCAGGGTGTCCTTGAAATGCCGGCGAGAGAGGTCCATTAGGTCGTCCTGGCATAGGCGGTGAAAGAGGACCGTTGTTGAAGTGTTGAGGAGGTGGGCCACCTTGGAACGTTGGTGAGAGAGGCGATCCAGGTCCCATTGGTCGCATAGGTCGAGTCTGTGTGAAATTGCGGTTGAGATGACCTCCTTGCTGTTGCTGCTGTTGCTGTTGGACCGTCTTGGAAGAATCAAACTGCTGAGCGCTGTTGATCTCATGAATCCATGCGGCCTTGAGGCGATCCTCCAGAATCCATATCCGTGTCTTGACCCGGTTCACAATGGTCAACTCGATCACTGGCACTATATTTTTTATGCGGCAGCAAATGTAAGACGATGTTAGCGCATCATTTCGAAACGTGGTTTCATCCATAGCCCTGGTAGCATATCTGAATGTTGTTTTTACCTTGGTCTGCCTGAGTAACGTCAGTGGCAATGACATGGCGGACGGCCAGTGGTGGGAAAAGAAGCCAGTGGGTCGAGATGTTACCATCGACATTGCGACTGATCTCATCCTGCGTCTTTGTCCTGCAAATCAACAAGAGGTCCGACAATAGCAACAAATGTCCATCCTCGAATCTATCTTCGGCATTGTCGTCCGTTGACACCGTGAAGCAATAGTCTCCGCGAATAATGACCGAACGTTCAACCGAGCCCAAAGAAAGCGCGCAAGCCTTTGGTTGCATCGTGAACAGATCGAAAACTTTGGTAGTGTCTAATGTCCGCTCAAGTTCCATCATGGCGTCCAGAGAGTTGTTGTTTGGCTGTTGGCGTTGGCGAGGGCTCATCCCTGGTGACATGGGCGATGGAGGCAATGCGGGCGACATCATTGGTTGGTTCTGAGGTGGAAAGTTGGGCGAGTGGTTTGTTGGGTCTGAAATGGGAGGCGACGGGAGAGCATGGCGAAGGGCAGACATGCTGGATATGCCTGACAATGCTGGCGAAGCTGGGTGGCGAGATGTTCCTGGCACATCAACAGTAACAAGGCGCAAGATGGAGTCGATTCGAAGGAAAGCCGCCTCCAGAGCCTCAAAGTCGGGGTTTCCTCGATCCGATGAATCCAAGAGGCGCTGTTTGTGTTTCAGAGCATAATTGGGTAACGATATAGTAGGTTGTTAGAGAACCGTGATGATATACGGTTGTTTTTGGAGATCTGGGATATATGAACTTAACACACAAATATCCCTTCAACACTTACCATGTACAGTCTCCGATAGTAGTGTAACCGGTCAATTGGTTTCATCAAAAAAGAATCTAGAGTAACATGCTGAACCTGTTCAGCAGCGATTGCCTAGAAACGCCAAAAAAGGTCATAGTGAGATGACGTGAAAAGTTGTGTCGATGGTCGTATCTTGCACAAGATGACTTGAGCCAATATCTTTGGTTGCTTTGTTCCCACACTTACAGTCAAGATGTTTTGAAGTCTGGAGTTGTTGATGATTTCAGGCCAATTGTCGAGGAGAGGCACATGGGTCCTGCAGTAGTTGGAATAGGGAGCCTCGATAATGTCCACAAACCAAATAAGAGCAAGGGCCAGTTCTACATCATGATCTTGGCTTTCCGCGACTTCGTCGAGCCTCCTCATCAGTTTTCGATTGGTGGCGTGTATTTCCTCGATATTCCTGAGCATCTCATCAACCTCCTTTGGTGGGAAATCGTCCTGTGTCCATCCCGCTGATACGCGCTATTTTGTGCCAGAAGCAAAGTTGGGCGGTACAAACGGGAAAGAGGCTGTTGTGTGAGCGCCGAGCTTGTTTTTCTTTCTTCTTGGGACCTTCTTCTTTTGGATCACAGGCACTACGTTTTCTTATTTTGACCATGGAAAAGAAAAGAACATATTATTTTTTTACCTGAAGTAGAATCTTAAGGTCTGAGAGGTATTCCTTTTCAGACTCGGTCAAGTCATCGAGAGGGTTGGCCTGTCTGGGTTGTCCTTGCATTGGTTGGTCCATGGGCGGGCGTTGTAACTATATATTCAGAGGAATTGATACGGGTCAGTCAATGTCTATGGTACAGAGGAGAGAGTACCTAGTCAAAATAGGATTGATTGAACCCATCAAGAATCTGTCAGACTTGATATGTGTCAAAGTATACCAGCCAGTAGGGACCATGAACAAGTTGCAGAAAGGACAAGGAAAAGAACCTACATGAGGAGGGATAGGTCGCAAGGGAAGTTGGTTCCCAAATCCTGGGCTTGGCCTAGCACCATCCATTGGCCCCGAATAGAAAGGCTAGTACATAGCGGTTGTAAAGCGATTAAAGGACGAGAGGTTGGGTTTAGCTCGATGTTGTGTTTATCCGTTGGAATTGGTTGCAGTGAGAGACGGAAGAAGAGGTTCTACGGGTGTCTCTAAGCCTTGGAGAAGCGAGTCTGAGGATCATCGCAATGGTTGTTTGTTGCTGTTGTTTATTTTACCTTTTGAGGCATTCCGGACATGGGAGGGGAAGGCAGGGGCTTTGACATCATAGGGCCGGGATTCATTGTGGATCAGCGAGTGTGAGTATTGAGATTAGTTGGAGGGGGTATGTGGCACACAGGTGAAGGAATGGAGAAGGATGAGTGAGGTGAGTAGGTTGAAAGTAAGGTAGGAATTAGGAGAGGGTGGACAGCCCAATCGCATCGAGAGTGTGAAGAATGAGGAGTGGGAATGTGAGGGCCGAAGGAGGAGGAGAAGTAAAGGAAGAGAAGGGAGAAGGAATGGAAAGGAAAGGAAAGGAAAGGAAGGGGAGGGAAAGGAGTGGTGGCAAAAGTTGTTATGGAGTGGGAGTGGAGTGGGAGTGGAGCGGGAGTGGAGTGGGCGGTGGAGGAGTGGGAAGGGAAGGAGGAAAATGAAGAAAACCGAATTAGTGAGAAGGTGGATTGAGAACTGGGGGTGGGTGACGGCGTGTTGAGGTAGGGGCGGAGCAGGATACAATTGAAATGAAATGCACTCTTCGTTCTAAGTGTGGTTGATTGGGTTGGTTATGTTGGGCTGGCCCCCCTTCGCATTCTTTTTTTTGCTTTCCTTTTTTTGTTCCTTTTGCGTTTTGCACTTTGGTGTCTACGCATCTCTTCATATTTTCCTTCTTTTTCTTTTCCTGCTCATATCATTTAACAGACACAGAAGGGCTCTCTTCTCTCTTTCTTCTGTCTTGAGTTTTTCATTTCATTTTCTTCATCTCATGGATTTGGATATGCCGTTCTTTCCTTTGGCATTTTGTGTAGTGGTGGCAAACGACAGAGGAGATATTAGGGGTGACAGGATATTGGGGGAGCTGCGTCGACAGATTGGAATGAGTGAAATCTTCGAAAGTCGAAATATATCTAAAAAGTACAAAACCACCTCCTCAAATGCCTTCTCCTCGAACATTCAAGCGATCCAATCGGGATAAATTACTTCTCCTTTCTGTCTATCTTGTACCTGAAAGAAAAAAAACAAAGAATCACCACAAGCAAGCAAAGCCAACAAGCAAACCAAACACCAATAGTCAAGCAAGTTATTTCTGAACCTGAGCAAAAACGCTATGTTGGTGCTTGGTCCACCTTCCCACATGGGCCTCATCTCTCCCTTTCTTTTGGCTTCCCGGTCTAGAGTTCTTTTGGGTTTGGTTTGGCGTCTTTACCCGGGGACCCACACCACCCCTCGTCTCTAGTTCTTCTACATCCGGTAATTAGGTCTCATCTGAATGGACGATATTCCTCTATTTCACTTGCGCTCGCACTCTCCAAAAAAATAATGAAAGAAAAAGAAGAGCTTACCATAATTGTTGCTGAAAAGGGCTCTTGTTGCTGTTGAGCGCAAAGAGAGTTTTGTCGCTGAAGCTGTAAATAGTTTCCTTGCTTCAGATGCTGCTGCTGCTGTTGTTGTTGCTGGTGGTGATGATGGTGGTAGTTATTCATTTGAGGCGGATGTTGGTCCGGTCTTGGGCTTGGACCGGGAGCAATAGGGTATGATGATGGTGGTGGTAGTGGATGTAGAGGTGGGGTAGTACTGAATGACCTCAATGGTGGCGTCACACATTGGCGCTGCTGCTGATGATGCTGCTGGTACTGTTGTACGTGGTGCTGTTGCGGCAAATGAGAAGGAAGAGATGGCTGTCGGCTGAGGTGCGGCTTTGAGGGCGGAGGAGAGGAGGGGGGGCAAAGGGTCGGCTGCAAAAATGGCGTGTCGTCGTCCCAGAGTTGTAAATTCAGCTGCAGTTGCGGCGGAGGTTGCTGAGAATAGTTCATGGTTTGGTCGTTTGTGCTGAAGGCGAGGATTAGCTGAAATGAAATTAAAAAAATACCAGGGCTCGGTCCGGTGGTTGATCACTTTTTGTGCTCAGTTGCTGCTGCGGCTGTTAGATTCTTCTCCACGCGCTAGAACACACAGAGGTGCTGAAATATGGTGCTAAGGAAAAAAAGGAAGGGGTGGTCAGACATTCGCCATGTGCAATGTCAATGACAACGACGATGGTAATTGCGATGAGGAAGAAGGAGAGAAGAACAAGAAGAACGAGAAGAAGAACAAGAAGAAGAAAGGAAGCAACGATAATATAATAATAACAAAGAAAAAGGAGGGAACAATGGAGCGAAGAATAGGAGCGCGCGAATATGCCATTACTATCGCTTCTGATTGCTATCGGTAATATTAGCCTAGGAGGACGAGGAGAAGGAGTGGATGCAATGCACGGCCTCCTTTTCTCCGTTGTCCTCTATGAACTCCTGGGCAGCAACGAAAACAATAAAATGCAACCGCATTGGATGTCTGAAGGATCTCCTCTTTTCTCTCTCGTCTCTTGTCTCGAATCTGAGTGCTGATAAACTATTGAAAATTTGAAACGATCAGTGGCGTGTGTGTGAAAGGATGTGTGCCTGGTGCCTGAGTGATCGAATGTTTCTGCTCCTTTTTAGACTCTTGAGCACAAATACTACACACTTGTTTCTCTCAGCGCTCATCCTTTTCTTCTCCTCTTATTCCTGGTTCATGGTCGATGTGTTTTTTATAGTGTCGGCGCCTAGTTCAGTGACTTGAGTGGGAGGGATGCCATGTGAATATGCTCTCACATCCCCGCCAGCCAAGCTGGAATGCGAGCATGGGCGCTACGGTCCAATGATATGGATGTATTTCTATTTGTGTGCGACAGCGGGGAAAGAATGAATGAGTAATGGACATTCCTCAACCCATAACTCAGCAAACCTGAAAGGCAGTAACGACATTAGGGGAGCCACTGAAAACAAGGGTGGGTATGCTCGTTCACCACCCATGTGTTTGTTTGTTGTAGGTCGATGAAAAATCAATTTTGCACAGACGCCTACATTACGAGCAAATTATTATGACCAACAATCATCTCGGCGAAGCACAACAAAGGCCCACTTTACGTGGAAGCTGAGCATGACATGTTGATGTTCTGTACTGTTATGTGTTTGCCGCCGTCAAGGCCTCCAAGTCCTAGTTTCGCTTGACCAATTTGAGTTGCTGCGTTGGCCTTGGCGTTGTCGTTCTTGTCGTTTTTTAACAAACCCCCTGTTTTAGTGTCAGTTCATTGTTGTAGTAAGTACATGCATGAGGGGCGGAAAGTGAGTGATAGGGGAAGCAAGCGGTTCTTGTTTTGTATCAATCATCGCATTAGTCGATGGTTGGGTGCTTGGGGGGGAAGGAAGCACATGCCGTGGTTGTCTCTACTTTAGGTGTCCGATGCGATGTGATGCGCACTATTGTTTTGTTGTTAATTGCCGGGACAACTCGTTTCCTTTGCTCGTTCTTTGTTCGCCTTGGACCGATTGAATTGTGCGTGTCCTTGGAGGGACGCGATACCTATAAAAAAACAAAGACCTTCCAAATGCAGATTACCAATAATACATCGCAGTGAAGAACGACAAGCGAAAAATGAACGAACGGAGAGTGACAGTCACTCGGACATAGCCTTCCGTGTCGTTCCTCTCCAATAAGTTGCCCTTTGACTAACACACGCTCGCCTGCTTCGTTTCCTTGACTTCCCTTCCTTCCGTTCTTTCCACGAATCCTTCCTCTACTCCTTTCCTTCCTTCCTCTCTTCCACCCTTCCTCCCTTCCTCTCTTCCTCCTTTCATCCATCACACAACTCATCCCAACTCACACGCACGCTGACAACATCCCGCATGGACCGTGTCTCAGCCTGTCTTCTCCTTTTGACCCCCCGCCAGTGTTAAGATCCCCACACAGAGTCCGACAACTCCTTTCTCTATTCAATGCCCATCCACCTTCCCCACCGCCCCGCCATGGAGCCAGCTCTTCTTCCTACAGACGCACGCAAAGCCAGTCTGGCACACCGTCCACCAACACCTATCTCTGCAACGACTCCATCAGTCGCGACAGCAGTACTAGCTACGACAACGACAACGACCCCAACTGCATCCACCACGCCCTTAGTCTCGGCCTCAGCCTCAGCCCCTGCACCAGCAGCCACAGCTTCAGTGTTAGCAAGGACATCAACGGGACGTTCCGGTGCTGCCACGTCGCCCTCCATCTCAATCAACACCCATGCCACCACCACATCCTCATCCCAAGAGGCGATTCGCACTCACACCTACTGGTCCGGATTCTACAAAAAGACCATCAAGGAGCGTCGAACTCAACTAGGCCTTGCTTTTCCGCACCTGACTCGCCCTTCGTCTCTTGACTCCTTTGCGTCCACCCAAACCTCAGCCAAGACCTCTGGACAGTCCACGCCTAACTTTGGCCCTACCCGGTCCTTGACCATGACCAGTATCGTCGTCCCTACTACCACCTTGGCGCCTTCTTCTTCCTCGTCGGGAGTGTCATCATTGCTGGCTTCGACTGTACCACTAGTGGCACCACAGCCGATATCAATGGTCCGATCCACATCATCAATTCACCACCACCATCATCATCATAGTCATCTCAGCAATAACAACACAGCCGTGGCCCTTAATGTCAGCCCTTCAGACTTGGCCTCCAACGTAAGCACGCCTGACTCTTCTGCCTCCCGGGACGTATCGTCACTTCTGAACTACACAGACGATGGTCAGATCGCGCTTCATCGAGCCAATGGACATCGCCTTGAGCACGACCAGCAAGAGCAGGACCACATCATGGGGTCCAGCAGCCAAGCTCAGGAGGATGAAGATCAGGACAGCGAACGCCGTGCGCTGGCTCTTGAGCTTGCACAAGGACAAGAGGACGAAGCCATGACGGAAGAGGAGCGCCGGGATCAACTAGAAAAAGACCGCAAGGCAACAGTGATCTCGAACCTGGCTGAGCAACGCAAGATGATCGGGTCTCCGAATGGACATCTATTGGAGGGAGATCTATCATTAGACGCACGCCTGGATGCTATTATTGCTACCGAACAGGATGGCACTCCGTTCCCTGTCTACGGTCTTGACGAGCAGATCGCCAACAATATGATCGAAAACTGTATCGGGTAAGCTTATAGGCCCTTGCCGCTCTGATATTTCTATCAAGCCATTTTAGCTGTGCATCTTTCATCGTTCCACATGCAGATGAAAAAATATCGCGTCGATCAAGAGCCTGAGAAAACTTATCACGCACACTGCTTTTCTTTTGTTCTCTAAGGACGTTGGGACTGCCCATGGGTTTGGCTTTCAATTTCACGATCAACGGTAACCCGGTGGTCATCCCCATGGCGATCGAGGAGCCCTCCGTCATTGCTGCAGTGTCGAGTGCAGCCAAGACTATTTCAACCTACCAGGGCTTCCAGGCCACCGCACCGGAGCGCAACATGATCATTGCACAAGTGCAACTGTTGGACATCAAGGATACAGACATGGATAGAGTCATGGCCAAGATGCAGGAACAGGAAACGGCGATCCAGGAGGAGGCGAATGAGTACTGCACCAACATGGTCATGCGTGGTGGTGGAGTTCAAAGAGTTTCGTTCCACCGTGTCCGAAGGCATGTCAGTCGGGAGAGCTTCAAGGGACAGGATTTGTTGGTCAAGTACGGAGTCATTACTCCTCAGAATGTGCCATCCAGGACGCAATTTGGATTGTCATCTCAGGGACGGTGCTCCGAGTGGCTGGTTGTGCACCTGCATATTGATGTAGGTCATGCTATGGGTGCCAATTGTGCCAACACTGTGGCGGAGGGAATAGCGCCCTTCTTGGCCAAGATGAGCGGCGGTCGTACTGGAGTGCGCATTTTGAGCAACCTGAACGTCGATCGCATAGCCAAGGTATGTTTATATTGCTTGATTATTAATATTATGTTGCTTGCATGAATGACATGGCATATATCGTTTTAACGCAAGATCTGGCACATAACTCCCATCCTTGGGGTTCTTTCGAAAATAGTCGACGTTCCGTTTGCCATTCTCGTATATGGGTTACAAGTCCTTGCCGGGCAAGGATGTGGCGGTCCGACTCTTGGAGGCCTATGAGTGGGCAGATTTGGACCCTTACCGCGCTGCAACACACAACAAGGGGATCATGAATGGTATTGATGCCGTTGCCCTGGCCACAGGGCAGGACTGGAGAGCGATCGAGGCTGGAGCACATGCTTGGGCCAGTGGGGCTGGCTCCTACTCGGACCGATCCAGCGAACACTCTAGACTGAATGCAAAGGAATCTGGGCAGTGTGGATCAGAGCAGCAGCAACAGAATGGATCAAAGAGGAAATTCGGACAAGATACCCCTGGAGATTGCGGGGCCAAGATCTCGCGAGGAGACGCGTACAAGCCCTTGACGCGGTACTGGATTGAGGAGGATGAAGGGCGTCTGGCACAAGGATTCAAGGGTCAGGACGCTCTTGTGTTCTGTGGCGAGCTCGAGATGCCCATTATGGTTGGAACCAAGGGCGGAGTCCTCAGCACCAACCCCGTCCACGCTTTTACCCTCGGAGTCATGCGCTATCCTGACTCTAAGCAACTTGCCATGGTAATTTTCCTTTGATTCTTTCTCTTTCTTTGTCTTTTAATTACCTCTTTTACGCTCTTCATGAAGCCCTCCTATATTGACCCATACAGCGGCCATTCTTCATTTACAAATTAACAACAGGCTATGGTGACGGTGGGGTTGGCCCAAAACTTTGCAGCACTACGAGCACTGGTGACTGAAGGAATTCAGCGTGGACACATGGCGTTGCACGCCCGCAACATTGCCATCTCTGCAGGCACACCCCCAGCCTCGGTGGACGAGGTGACCGCCCATATGATCGATACTGGCAGGATTCGCCTTGGTGCTGCACGATCTTATATCGAGAAGCGTGGTCTGGGACTCTACAGCGCCGGGATGAGCGCCAACAGTAGTAATATCAGCGTCGCGAGTTCTTCTGTGCATCTTCACAACAACAACAACAACAACAACAACAACAACAATAGCAGCAACAGCATCAATGGCGGTCCCGGTCGGCCATAAAAACTTATTAAAATACATAAACGACTTTTTAGAGTATTATTTTTGTTATATTTTTGAAGTAGTGATTTAGAGTATTATTCACGACGAGGGAGAGGATAGGACATGTGGGTGTGGTGGTTGGAAAGTGGTGGTGGTGGGGGGATGGATGCATTGGTATGACCATACGTATCACGCGGCGATGGCCCAGAGCCAGCTGAAGAAAGTGGTGGACCTGATGCACTTCCCGAGCTGACTACTGATCCTGCCGTCGCAGTAATAGACACTGCACCACCACCATTACCTGGAGCTCCTCTTTCGTCTCCAGAAGCACTCAATGCCATTAGACTAGCTAGCGCAGAGCTAGTCTTCACATCCGTTGGCAATGCGCCCAAGGCTGCAAGCGCTGCCAAAGGGTTTGTTTTCGCGTCTGCCTCGCCTCCTGCGCCGCCACTAGCATTGTTGGGCCCTAATGCTTGGTCTAGTCCATTCAACACGGCGGCTGCACGGCCCAGAAGCATTGACAGATGCGACACCTCTCTCTGCAGATCCTCTCGAGTCTGCTGCAAGACTTCCGTGTTGGGAAGGCCACCAGAAGGCGCAGCCGCCGAAGACGTTGGAGGCGGTGGTGGTGACGAGTGTCGTGGGGGCTGCTGCTGCTGCTGTTGTTGTTGTTGTTGCGAGTACGAAGAATAATGATGCGAGTGGTGAGGTCCAGAAGACTCTTGACGCTGGTGCAAAATCTCGGACGCTCTAGGAAGCAGCTGGTGCTGAGTGTTGGACGAGGGCATCGAAATAGGTGGCAAATGGGCTGATCCGTCTTCGTTATCGCTCTCTCGAGAGTTGTTGCCGCGCATAGGGTTTAAAATCGATGACAGCCCGTGGTGATATGAGCTACCATACCCACTTCTGCCATCCCGACCACCGGAAGTTCCTGAAGAGCTTGATCCATAAGAGTCAAGACCCAGTGGCCGCATCGACTGGGAATGCGCATAAGGGCTGGTGGGCTCCTGTCGTGGATATCCTGGAGGGGAGTTGGGGCTTGGTCCCGACGAGTGCACAATACCGATCGACGAGAGGCGAGTGCTGAAGGTGTTCGAGGACACTGTGGCATATCCAGGCAAACGGTGGTTCCAACCAGACGAAGGAGCAGAGTACTGGGAAGAGTGCATAGAATCGTCCATGTGACCACTTCGAGGCCCGTGCAGTCCCTGGTAGCCCTGCATGGTGATGTCGTCCGGATGATGCTGCTCGTGCTGGTAATGATTTTGCGAATGCTGGTGGTGTTGAGGATGCTGTTGTGGTGGAGGAGGCAAATGCTGACCGTGGTGAGGAGAGTGTGAAGAATGAGGCGGTGACTGACGTTGGCTTCTTGATGGGGGAGGAGGAGGCAGCGAGTGCATGGGATAACGCGACATAGTCATCGACTGTGACGACTGATACTGCCCGTTTCCTTGGTGCACATTGTAAAGATATCGCGAAGGCTGCTGTGAATGTCCTGGAGACGATGACGACGGCCGCTGCTGAGAGGATTGGTCGTGGCTCGATCCATTCTGCTCCTGCGGACGCGACAAGGGCGGCACCTGGCTGTACGACGAGCTGTGACTGTAATGATGGCCATGTTCATCACTTTGTCCTCTTCCAATGTTCTCGATAGGTGAAACGCTGCGGTGTGCTTCCGCAACACCAGGGTCCTGACGAAGCCACTCTGTCTGTCCATTGGCCGATCGATTGGGCTGGATAAAGTCCTCGATCGCCGGGACCCCACGGGGCGCAATCGAACTTTGAACTTTCCGGCGTTTGGTGGCGGCGCGACCTTGCTTCTGTTCTTGAGGGTCATTGTCGTTGGGTTCAAGGTCAGATGCAGTTGGCGGTGCAGAAGGTTCAGATGTCGTCTTGGGTTGCTTGGTCTTTGGAGGACGTTGAAGAGGCTTTGGTGTCGACTGCTGTTGTGCTCCCTGTCCTTGGGCTGGTGCCTGTGAGTCTTGTTCTGATTTCTGCGTTTCGGGAACAGTAGCGACAAGCGGGGGCGAGTTGGCCAGGAGGTTGACACGCTTCCTTCGCTTGATGACGGCTCTCTTCATCGTCACGGGTCGATGAACGTTGTGCAGCTTGAAGTACAATCCACAGGCGTTACAGATGGTATTGCCACTACTGTCGCGGCGCCAGAGTGGAGTTGTGGTGGTTCGACAGTTGGCGCAAACCAAATGCTGGCGGCTCGCTTGATGTTGGTTATACGAAGGGCAACCGGCACAAGACTCTGCTCCGCCTGCTCCGTTACAGTTGCCATCTCCTGGACAAGATCCCGCACATTCGCTGTCGTGCACATGTCCAGGCATCCCTGGAGCCGCTCCCGCCGTTGTTGCTGTATGTGCAGGCTTGTCAGGTTCTGGTCCCTCATCAGCAATCTCTGGTGTGGTCGAAGGAGCTCCTGATTCAGCTCCCGAACCCTTAGCACCTCCCCGACCGTCGGCCTCGTCTGCCTCATCACCAGTTACGTCACCCTTCTTGGCGCCAGTGTTGCGTTTAAGCCAGGTTGGTCGCGTCAGATTCCTAGCCTTGAAATAAAGACCTGAATGAGAAATATGAAAAAGTCATGATGATTAGTGTTTTACGCTTTGTTTGTATTCTATTCTCCACACGAGCCCCTTTATTCGGACGTATGCCATGCGTGGATCGCCTTGCCCAAAGCCATTCTCCGTTATAAATGTCGTGTGATGGCGTTAAATATAAAAACAAAAGATCATCTCGCCCAAGAACAAGAGCAATGCGAGCACAAGTAACAACAAATAAACGTGGCTCTTATCGCCCTCTTGGTAAAAATGATAAAAGTATACATACCACAAGCATTGCAGATTGTCTGCCCGTTGCCGGCGCGTCTCCAGAGCGGCGTGGTAGTCGTACCGCAATTGGCACAGCTGGTTGCAGTGACACCGACCTTGTGTTCCTTTTTGGCTCCACCGATAGAGTTCTTTCGTGAACGGGATGAGCTTGATGCTCCAGGGCTTCCTGATGTCCGAGGTGGCAATCTAGGGGAGGGGGTCATAGAGTATTCAACAGGGGTCGCGGTATCTCTGCCAGGAGTCGACCTAGGGGAGTTGGGAGAAGCAAGACGCTTGCGAGCTCTAGGCACTTTGAGACCAGCTCCAGTCGATATGTCCGTCATATCTTCATCCGTATCTTCACGTTCACGCTGCTGATGCTGATGGTAAGAGCCGAGATGGTGCGAATTGTGATAAGGATGACTCCGATGTGATTGGCCATCATGGTTCTCTTTTTCATGCTGTCTAGATTGATCCGGGCCACTGTGGCCCATCTCCTCATCCTCCGAGCCTCGGCTTGACTGCCACCATTGGTGCTGGGTGCTATGTTGTTGGTTGTTTTGGTGGTGCTGGCTGTAATGTTGTGGTTGCTGTTGGTGTTCCCAGCTCGAGCGACTTTGGGATGCGTAGAGGTGGGTATTGTGGTTCTCTGGGGAGCGAGGTCTGACCCTGGTCGATTCTACATCCTCCGACTTGATGTGCACGTTCTTAGCTGTATGGTTTGAAGCATCTGAATGGACGCCTTTGGATCCCGATAGCATCAGCAGAGAACTGGTGGCAGCAGAGAGTGAAGCTGAAGAGGCGGCGGCAGTGGAGTGGTCGTAGGCAGTGTAAGGTTTTGGACTGATGATGCTGGTGGGAGTTGTGGAGGAGAGGGACGATAGCGAGGCAGAGGAAGAGATCCGGGATTTGAGAGAGGATGCCAGGGCATTGGATGTTGGGATCGAGCCAGAGGTGTTGTCGCTGGTTGGCGGTAAAGGTTGTGGTGAGGATCGGGTTGCATCTGTTGAGGAGATAGAGGCAGGTGGATGATATGAAGAGGGGGATGCTGGGGGAGCGGAAGCTGGTGAAGGGGTGCTTGGAGTGCCTGGGGCGGAGCGAGGATGATCCTGAGAATCGGGTGCGGCAGTCGACGATATGGGTGCGATCAAGGACTCCTTGTCGGCTGTCGATGCGGATGCCTCGGCAAGGGACATTTGGGATTATGGATTATTATTATGTCTTATTGTCAAAAGGAGGAAAAGAGTAAGAAAGAGTCAGGGATAAGGATGATGAAGAGGCGAGGCCTGGCCAGACCAGACCAAAGCCAAGCAGGGGGCGGGGGAGAGAGAAGAGACGGAAAGGCTTGAGTGGCGAGGAAGGGGGATGAAGGGCGAAAAAAGGAAGGGAAAGGCCAAGAATGAACGGAAAGTATTGGTGTGTGTGCGTGAGAGAGATATGCAAGTGAAAGTGAGTTAGAGTGTGAGGTGAGTGCAAGTGAGTGAGAGTGTGAGGTGAGTGCAAGTGAGTGAATGAGTGAGGAGAGTGAGGTGACAAGCGCAGTTGTTGATTATTTGTGCGAGTGTGTGTGTATGTTTGATGATGCCGGTTGTGAGGGTGGTGATGAAAGTGCGAGAGAAAGAGAGAGAGTGAGATGAGGAACAGAATAAGGAAATAAAAAGAAGAGAAGGGGCGGGAGGTGGAAAGAAAGGTGAAGAGGGTAGGAGAGGGGTGAAGAGGGTAGGAGAGGAGTGAAGAGTGAGAGTGAGAGAAAGAGAGAGAGGGAAAGGGAAGAGGGAAAGAGGGGGACACAAGACAAAATGTCTTGCTTCTCGGACATACCTTGTTTGTGGGGGAACAGGGAGCAGAGGGAGCAGGGAACAGGGAATGGAGGGCGGGAGGAATGGCGCAGAGGTAAGCAGAGGTTGAGTGTATGGAAGAGGAGGTGTAAAGTAGTCAATGGAGGGAGACTGGTGGAGGAGGAAGTGAGATGGAGTTGGGCGTGATGGAGAAGAAGCGAATCGGGAAGAAAGAACAGCAGCAGCAGAAAGCAACAACAACAACAACAACAACAATAAACAAAAAGAAAAGAGAGTAGTGAATGTGCTGCGTGTGCGTGTGTGCACATGAATAAAGGGATACCCTTCTTACGTTCTGGGCACAAAAAGTCCGAAAGTCTAAGAAAAAAAGAGCTTACTTTTTTGTTTATTGATACTTTGATCAACAGGTTCTTCGTCCATCCGGACTCGCTCGTTATCTCTCTTTGCTCTGATCTTTTCTCACACACCCGACACCCTCTTTTTTGTTGTCTTTTCTTTGCATGTGTTCCCTCAATGCTTCCATCTCTTTTTATTCATGTTCGACAAGTACATATACCATTTACTACGTTCAATGCACTCGTCCTCTTACTCGTTCTCTCTTTTTCCGCCCTCGGAGATTCTTTTTCGAACGAGTCGACTGATAAAAAATAACTAATCAAAAGGCAAAATCAGTTAGCGAATTACGATTGGCTACGGGAAGCTTGATAAGGGGATCTCTTCTTTTCTCTTTGATCTGTCATCAGTACTTTATTAAGGGTCGCTCCCTGATCTTTTTTATCTCCCTCATGCGATGCCCCTTGGCTGTATGTGGCTCGAGGAACGCCACATCTTTTTTTTTTCTTTCATTTTATTGCCAGCGACCATGGCGACCATGGTGGGTCGTGGTCGGGACAAAGTTCAAGACCGAGACCGAGACCGCCGTCTACTACTACGGTCTAATCGCTCAGATCGCCCAGATCGCGAACGGTCCTTCCGTCCATTATCTCCTTCCTCGTCGCTGTCTTCGCTGTCGCCATATCTGGACCTGCGCTGCTTCTATTTTTTCGAACAAAAAAAGGGAGGAGATATGAGAAAAATAGAATTAACGATTGTGATCCTTTGATCTTCATAGAACGAGCAGCTTGATATTATTTCATACGCAACAAGCTGTGTTAGTTTTTCACTCGCTTGTTTTACTCTACCTTATGAGCCCGCATAACAGCAAGTGCATCCTGTAGGCTCTCTACTTTTGATCCACGAGGTTCATCCGATCGCCTCCTTGGACTTGCACTATTATGGTATTGACCGATCAGAAAAAAGCATCGCATGTGTCAGTGCTGGAAACTTTCATCAGCAGCTCGACAATCTTTTCGTTCGTTCTTTTGGTGCAACCTGTTTTTACCTTCGGGATCGATCGTGTCTCTTTTCTTTACGACGACTCGAAGACTCTTTCTTGTCCTTGTGATCACGTCGACTGCTACTCTCTCGATGGCGATCATGATCCCGACCCTTGTCACGACTCTTGCCCTCGTCCCTATGAGACCGATCTTTGTGCGATTTCTTCTTCTCTCTCTCTTTCCCTTGCCCTGCACCACCACCATATGCAACATCGCCACCATAATCATCATCGTCCTCAAGAAGCTCAAACTTTTCACCCGCAGAAAAACACTCTGTCGCCAAATGTCCTGTAGCCCCACACTTGCTACACACAGTCTTCAACAACACCCCTCCTTGCTCAATCGAGATCGGCGCCTTATCCACAAATCCAGCATGTGTCCGTCTCTTGTCCTCTGCTCCAGTCAACTGAACAAGGTTTGGATCTATACCGCAAAAAAATTAACCCATTGGATGAAAACGAGCGGAGGAAAGGGCAAAGAGGATCAAGGAAAGTAAGAGGTTATTATTCATGGTTTACATCCCCTTTTTACACATTGAGCAATTGATCGGGAAATCGATTTGTTTCTAGAAACCTCAGAAAGTGTTCATCGCTTCTTACCGAGATCCTCGCCATTGCCTTGGCTGACATACTTCATTGACAGGGCGATCTTGTCGTCCTGCAAACTTGTCACCTTGACCTATTTTAGTGTAGCCATGGAGGTTATTGTTTGTCGGAAGACGAATTAAAAGTACATGATCAGACCATCCCGTATTTTTTTTACTTTCTCCTCCTGTAGTCATCAACTCTCCGTTACTGACATGAACAGAAGCAAATAAGAAACGAGAAGAGGGTTGAATTTACCCACACTTGGTCGCCAACGGCAACAACGTCTGAGATCTTTTCCGTGAAATGCTTGCTGGCCTGGGTCTTATGGACCAATCCGTGTCTCCTAAACCCTGGAATCTGAACAAACGCACCAAAGTCTAGAAAGAGAGAGAGAGAGAGTTGAATTATACTTATGTCAGCTGCATTGACCCAATAGCATTTGTCTTCGTAATACTTCTTCGCCACCCAGCTCAGAGGACGCCTTCGAAGGCTATGCTGGCAGCTACCTTCAACTCGAACAACTTTGCCATTGTGGATGGAATAAAGGTCTGGCATGGGTCCATCATCGCCACGACGATTCGAAGACATTCCTTCTGATGAGCGTCCTCCGCGTCCAGTTCCCGATGTCTTGAACTTTTCGAAAGCTGCCTGCTGTGAATCCATGGTGGAGAGTAGAAGTGAGGATGTTGAAAAAGGGACATACGTTCCACACAGATACACTGTGGAAAAAAAATGTGACTAGATATTTATTTAGCATTAATTAGCACCGTCATTATTTCTTCTGACGTTGTGCCGCTCGAGCAGCGGTAGAGAGGACTGGACCTCGGGCCTTGGTCACTGTTGCTGTCGAGGGTGCGGTAGATGTGGAGGCTCCAAAGTTGGGCGCAGGGACAGGCGCGACATTCGACAGAGCCGCAGTTGAGGCGGGAGTATTGATCTTTTTCGGCGTTGCAAGGCGATTGATAGTTTCAGCCGATACTGGCTTGGAAGCCTTCTTGGGCGTGGCCCCAGCCGTTGATGCCAATATTGCGGGAGTTGATCCTGGAGATGTCTTGTCTGTAGTAACATTTGCCGAGTCTGAAGCCGCCCTTCGTTTCACACCAACTGTTCCTGACCCTGAACGAAAAGCGCTGTTGCCCATCGCGTAAAGACTACTCCCAGACCGAGTGCTTGACACGGGGATTTTGACAACACGCTTGAATTTGGGAATAGATGGGAAGGAGCTGCCGCTGCTACTGCTGCCCGGACCAGGTGAGCTCTTGGGAGTGGGCAGATCGACCCTTCGCTTCTTGCCGACAGGGGAGCTTGGTGCGTCGATGGACGATCCCGCAAACCTGCCAATAAGTTTTCTCACCGTTCCAGAAGGTGGCGTTGGGCTGCTGTTGTCTTCCATTGAGACATCCATGTCGTCTTCGCCATCCGCAGTCCTCCTTCTCTTCTGAACCTGTGGCGTTGTCGTGGTAGAATTCGCTCTAATGCAAGTAATTAAAATTAGCCATCGAGTTAAGTTCCTGGTCGAGGTACTTCTGAACACCCATCGCCAAAGCAGATAATTCACCCCAGAAATAGACTCACCTCCTGGTCGCGACATTTGTGAACTGATTGTTGATGCGAGCCTTGCTCAGAGGAAGACCGGACCGCTGCTGGGAGGGCGCCGCCGCTCTAGCCTCCCATAGCTGTCGACGTTGTGCGATAGGAACAGGCGAGTCCTCCTTCTTGACATCGTCGCCTGGACTCTTATCATCGACCTTTTCTTGTTTAATGGTGACAATAGTCTCCTCTTCTTTCTCCTGTTTGATCGTGATAGTGTTGCCGCTGCTGGTATCCTTTTCCTGCTTGATGACAACTTTGGTCTCGTCCTTCTCGGTCTTGACTTCAACCAACATGGGGTCGTGGAAAGGTAAGGACTCCTGAACATCCTCATCCATGGCCTCCTGCTTGATCGACATTTCATCCACTGCCATCTCTTCATGCTGTGCTTCGGCTTCCTCTGCTATGTCCTGCTCCTGCTGCTGTTGCTCTTGCTCCTCCTCCTCCTGCTCAGACTCCACCTTGATAGTTGCAACAACAGACTCTTCAGTCTTGACCTCAAGCGCATCCTCCATAGCAACGTCTGTGTCGCCAGCTGGCAGGTGTGCTACACTGTCCTGTTCGGTCTCTTCTGTGGTAATAGTAGTGGTGATGCTGGTGGTTGTGGTGATTGTGGCAGGCGAAGAATGAGCGTGCGATTGCATGTAGCCTTCGTGCTCTCTCAGTTGTTTCCGCAGCAATTCGTTCTATGAGAGAAGAATCAAGAGTCGGTGAGCGAGTGAGTTTAATGCCTGGAGAGAAGGATGTGGGAAATTATTTGTCGCGATTGTGGTAGCCATGCAGTACTTCAGGGGTGGAATCCAATCCGAGCTTGACGCAGGCAGCCTGGAGCTGCAGTCTGTTCATGCTAGCGAGTGAGGTGGCGGCAGGTACAAGAGCGTCGTCCAGTGTCATGTTGTTAGTTGAGTATGGAGCGAATGTGTTGTTAAAAGGAGTAAAAGGACGAAAAGGAATGTGTGAAAAGTAAACAAAAAGTAAACGAGTGACTGATGAACGCGATTTGCCACCAAAATGTAAGTAGTTCAAAAGAACGACCTAAATCATTAGGGAACATGCACGGAGAGTAGAAAGGGTATTATTTATTGTTGTTTCTGGGGGTATCAAAGTTGCCTCCTCTCGGCGCGCTTGAACATGATCCACACAATCAAGCCCGCAAGGACTGACAGACAAGAACACACGCTGGACATGATAAATATGGCCGGGGGCATGGAGATCGATGTCTTTGAAAAGACCCAACCGTAAAGTAGGGCCGAAAGAGACATCACCATTGTATCTGCCACAGCCACGCCACCGAGCGCCTTGCCTGTTTGATGTGTGGGGATATATGAGGTGAGAAGTGATGTGAAGGATGGGAGTGCAACCGAAGCCAATGCTCGAAGTGCACATGCTACCAAAGAAAAGGAAAGAAAGGAGGAAGAGGGTGAGTCTCGCAGACAACAAAAATAGCACGCCACTTGAAAATCAATGAACCTGAAAACGATCAGGATAATGGGATGTTCCCTTACACAAGTACAAAGCTGCCTCAGTTTTGAAGATAGGCACAAGTAGGTATGCAACTGCATACACGGCGCTGCCAAAGATAAAAAACGCCAAATCGTTCCCTGTGGCTGGATTGGTCGTCACTTTGGCAGAAGCTGTGGAACTAGAGTTATCGTCCGCGGAGTATGCGGGGTGGTCATCGGTGAGAGTGCCGGCTTTGGAGGCTTTCTTGGCATCATAGACTCTCGCGTAGAGTTTTTGGAGTAGTGGAAAGATACCTACGTAAACAATAAATGTCGAAGCTCCGTTCAAAGCAAGGTAGTAGCCATCCTGCTCGACCTCCCAACGGAACACAAGATTCTATTGATGGTAGAAAAAGTAGCAAGCATGGCACATTGTTAGTCACGCAGTCGAGTTGGACGTTTGGAAAAGTCAATGCATCCCGAAGCTCGTCGCCTTCAACGTACGGTGTATGGGATAAGGATGATCGAGATGCCTAGATGAGAAGCGGAGGATGAGCAAAATGCAGTATGAGTAACTGTGGAGGGCACCCCTTACACGGCTTTGCACCGCCAAAAGACCCTTTTACATCTCGCTTACCGTTGGATGCAAACTGAAGAAAGCCATAGCCGACAAGAAGAACAAGAAGCATGTATGGTGACGGCGGGACGTTGACATCAGGCGTAGGCTCAATTTTTCCAGGAAGAAACAACAGCACAGGCTTGACAATGGTTATCATCCAATCTTTCATCCTCGCCAACGGCGATGGATACCTCTTTGCGGGGATGACCACAGGAGACGAGGAAGACACAGGGACACCCAAGGCCGTCTCATTATCGTCCACAACCGACTTTGCACGCAAATGCTTGGGAAGCGACTCGGGCATGAAGGCCGAATAGATCATCATGAAGCTCAAGGTACAGGCAGAGACAAGAACCGCACTACTAGAGTCTTTCAGATAACGTGGAATAAGAGGTCCAACTGTCATGCCGACAGATAACGAGACCATCACATATCCAATCGATATACTTCTGCCCAGACGAGGTGTACAGTCCGCTATTTGTTGCACCGCAAAAGAAAACGGTCAATTGGAGGAGGAGGAACGAGCTGCAATCATCACCATCTGGCCAATAGATATTCGTACAACCAACAAAAAAAATTACATTTCTTACCAACATATGCATTCAGACATGGCTCCAGAAGGATGCCTGCACCCATGATGCCCATGAAGAGTCCATCGGCATAGAGGACACCGACGCCGAGATTGGATGTAGGACGGGCCATGTACAAGATCAGCAGCTGAGTCAGTACTCCAGGCACCAGTGTGAGGTATATTAAGGCCTTGCGTCCATACTTGTCCGACAAAGATGTAAGAAATCCGATCGTGAACATCCCTAGTTGTTCACACAGAGAAGGGGAAAAAAGGGTGAGATTTGTGTGATCGAAGTGACTACGCGTCCTTGGAGAGTGAAGCCCTGCAAGATGACACCGTCCCTATTTTTGATTTTGTCCGTACCTGAGGTGTACTTGAGCGCTCGAACCCGTCCCAGCACAACAGCAGCAAGTGCTAACACTTCTTGCGTGCCACAAGGGTTTTCAGGAACTCCATTCGGACCAAGAAGCGCCGTCATCATCGTGCCTCCCTCCGACCGGGTTTCCCGCCCTTTGAGATGATCTTTACATATGATTTCAATGATCAACTGCTCTTGAGGTGCCTGACTGATCCCCATCACAAGCACGAGGAAGAACACAAATGGCAGCAACCAGCTAATGCTCGGCCGCCGGTACCACGGTAATGCCTGAATTGCTGCTAGCCGACTACTCTCGTCCTCTCCCTGCTGCTGAGGTGTGACATTGTGTGTGTTGGTCGCCGCTGGTCCATTCTCTTCATCTTGACTCTGTGGTATCCGTGTGTATCTGTCGCGAGGGTCAATCAATGGTTGCCGTTCCGCAGCCTCAGTATGTCGATCTGTCATGGCTATGATCAAGGGGAGGGGAGATTGAAGAAAAGGAGAATAGGGGTTCTGGAAAAAAACAACGGCGATCGACAGGCCACCGGTTCTTTTATGTAAATTCCATTGAGCAAAAAGGTGGATTGTGCCAAGCACTGATGTTGATTTCCAATTGCACTTTCGCTTCCAAATCGAGATAGGATCCAAACCCGCTCCTCCGCCAAGAAACACATAATTATTTCTTTTTGTTACCGCCGTGTCCGTGTGTGTGGTCAGGTCTAAAGCAGACAAGCAAAATAGGGGTGGTTATGCTCACAAAAAAAAGAGTTTTCTGGTTTATTTCCTTCGGTGATACGATCTACCAAGGCTAGAGTGAAAAGGCCAGCAGAGAGGAAGTAGTACAGTACAGCAAGGGACGAATTCTCAAAGTACGTGAGGATAAGGGTCCATAGATAAGATCGGTTGCAATTCCGGCCAGAACATCGCTGACACTTAGAGCGCCTACCGCTGACCCTGTTAAGCGCTGAGGTATCATGGAGGTCATGAGAGAGATGACCGATATCAATGCAATAACACCAAACGCCTCGAGTGCACCCGCTAATAAACCATGAGAAGAATCAAAGAGTTGCATGGGTGAGTAGCAATTCGTGAAAAGGAAACGTATCTTTGATAGTCAAAAACCCAAGCAATAGCGACACATTCCCCAAAAAAAAAAAAAAAAAAAAAAAAAAAGATGTCTATTTTGAGTAGGCATTGCTAGGTTACCAATGTAAATCCCTTGAACGGAGGCAAAGGTAGTAACGAGGAGATAACTGAGGATTAATGCACAAACCCCTACGAGGGAGAAGAAGACGTTCATCTTGATCGAGTCCATGGCTGGAAATATCCCGCATGGCTCGAGCGACAGGGATACGTCCGTCTCTTCGCTGTCATCTTGGTTGAACACGATCGCCTTATAGAAAGATTGCAAGGGGGGTAGGATGCCCATGTGGATGACAAATAAACACAACGATGAAAAGGTCATGTAGACATAATCGTCGTAGGCAGTCCAATGGAAGAGCAGACTTGTCATCGTTACGAATAAACTGTTGGCATCTAGAAGAGACATAATGATCGAGAGCCCTTAGTAATCTCGACTTGCGCTAGACTTCTCCCAGTCCTTGGTACAACATCAGCAATCAGCAACAAAAAAATCCAATAGAAAAGCAATGCCGTTAGCAACTTGTCCGATCCAATTGCCTCCTTTTTTTCTTCAAACTGACGTGAGTAACGATGTATCCACCACAGTGCGCAAAAACGGCCGTATTGACGAGCTACCCCAAAGGCATAAAACCGGCCACGATTGCCTCCAGGTAATAAACGTTGGACTCAAAAACATTGAACCGAGTGACACCAAATTTGTTTATTGAGATGTACAAGGCGATACATGCCATTCCAGCCTGGAAGAGGAACTTTCGGCCATAGACATCACTGAGAGAGCACCACTTGGCAAGTGTCAATATTACTACAACATAAAACAACAAAATTAAATAAGAAATGTGAGCTTACTGTGGCGCTTGGGTGTTGGTGGGAATACCGCCAATGAGGTAGCAAAAGCACAGTAACATAAGTGCACGGTTCAATTGTAAACATACCACAAACGCCTGTAATGGTACGAATCTGGTTCTGAAGGAGGCTTACAATGCTGATGACCGCTTATGTCTTGCACTCGTTCACCCCTGCCAGCAGGGAGCTAAAGTTGCATTTTCCTCCTCCAATGAAAACCATCCTGCCGTGAAGCACTTCGCTGCAGATAACCATTATTTTAAGTTATTTTAGAGGCCTGTCGCACATCGCAGAGTTGATGCCGTGCATGACCACCTAGGGCACCAACCACGATATGCTCGGCCGCCGTCGCCATGGCCGACATCTCAATTCCGCGAACTATCGTGCTTCCTCCCGGTCATCGGTCACTGTGTTGAATGGCTGGTTCTGTCTCCTGGACTCCATGCCTGTGCTGTTGCTGCTGTCTGTGAATGTCGATCGGTGAGCATCATGGTGAATCGAGTTGGCGAGCAGAGGTTCTCGTTCCTGTATAGGGCAAGCGTGCTGCCATTGCTGAGGTTGTACTATGGGTACTAGTTGAGCACAGACGGTGTGTGAACAAAGTTAGTGTCCAACCTCGATGCCATATATTCCTGACAGGCCTTGTCCATCAGGATATAATGCAACACTTGCAATTACATGTGAAAAGAGAAGAATTGAGTACGTTTGATGAAGATAAGAGTTCGTTTGTTACTCTGTTGTTAAGCAATGAAAACTAATAGAAAGTGCAAATCACACAAAAAACCAACTCGTCCATTGGGCGAGTTCGCGTTTTCCTTTCTATTTCTTGCGGTAAGACGACCAATTGACCAGCTGCGCTAAAAGGGCGATTGTGCATAGACCCGCGGAAACATAATAATAAAAGAGAGGCGAGGCCTTCATCGTCTTCACAAACAACGATCCAAAAGTAAAGTCGGCAATAACCAATCCGAGACTCTCAGACACGCTGTAGGCCCCATAGGCTGCACCTATCATGTTCGAGGGAACAATGGACGACATCACTGCAACGCACGACACCGAAGATATTACGCCAAGGCAGTTTATCGCTCCCGCTATTTACAAATGACAATGCGATCCAAAAAAAAAAAAAAAAAAAAAAAAAAAAAAAGGATGGAGGTGGTTAGGAAATATGATCGGTAATCCTTGCATAGTGATGTGTTCCTTGCATTTGATCGACCAGGTCTGCAAGCTTACCGAGATAAAGAACAGGAATACAAGGAAATATGGGCACGATGAGAAAACTTACAACCATGATACAAAGGCCAACGATGATAAAGAACATGTCCATCTTGACTGCGCCGATCCCTGTCAACGCCTGGTCCGAGCTGTGGTACAAGAGCGTTTCCTGTGACCAACTAGAGCTGTTCGATTCATGCGGCTCATCTGTCTCGTCACTGTCCACAACAACAAACTTGTATATCGAAAGTAGTGCTGGAAAGATGCCGAAAAACGTGATGAACATGCACAGCTGTACGAACGCAGGATAATGGCCATCTTCGTATACGTTCCAGTGAAACGCCAGTTTAGCCATCGTGGAGAGTAGACTGTTTGCACCTATAGAAACATAGAAGCAGAGAACCAACGCGTAGAAGATCAGTAAACCGCTGTCAGTTGCCCATTCATGTCAAACTCCAAGTCATGACGGCGAACAGAGACGTACCATAGTTGGCGATGACGGTCAGTACGTGAACAGACAGGATGATCGCCGGTGCCGCACTCATGGTCATGTATGCCGATTTAGGGATACGTCCTGGAAGAATGAACAGGACTGGGTCGAATATCATGCATGTCGCCTCCTTGGCCAAGTTGAAAAAACTCAAGATAGCCCAGGGAGATGTCGCGGTCGAGTCGGGTAGTCTGCGATCGCTGGCGTCGCCAATGCTGGCGGAAATCCAGGGCAAGGGTGCTGGGGTATATCTGAGAGACTCTGGTAGTATCGATAGATAGGCCGCAAGGAGAGCGATCAAGATGAGAGTTATCCTGAGTGGCGCTGTAAGATCTCCTGTCGCTGTCGATATATATGTGCTTATGGTGGATCCGATGAGCCCTCCTAGCGCCATGCTCGTAACTAAGTATCCATTCATGAGACTGCGGTTCTGCTTTTCCGTAACATCCGCTACAAATGAAAGGAAAAAAAGGGCTCCAAGTTAGAAAATGAGCGGAGGAACCAAGCGTGCCTCAAAGTAATGCCCGGCGCGTATCTCTTACCGGTATATGCAAAGATTGCTGTGTTTATGACCTGTCCTGCTGGCATCAAGGTAAGGGCGACCACCTCGAGGTAGTAAACGTTGGATCCGAATTTATTGTACCGACTCGCCGCAAACCATCCTATCATGACACATGTGGCGATCCCCCCCAGTCCAACGTGGAGCAGAAGTTTGCGACCATAAACATCACTTGTCGAACACCACTTTGCTAGCGACAATAGAACTTGAGGTTGCGAAATAAGACGCTGTTAGTCCAGTTGTGAAGGGTGTGCCAGATGTAAATGAAAAGGCGCGAAACAATTGAAGGTAACACATAGATTGACTTACTGCCAATGCCTGCCATGGTGTGTATTCGACCCTCCAGAAGGTGTATGACGGCAAGAACGGTTTCTGTGTGACACGGGTCTCCTCCTCCATTTACAGCCAGATTATCAAGGTTGCCCTGTCCCAGATACAATCCGTTGTTTGGATCAGACAATATGTCCGCGCATATCACTTCCGCTTTCAACCTTTCGAGTGGCACCGAACACATCCCCAGTATCAGTCCAAACAGCATCAACCAAGGCCCGATCCACAAGTTGCTCGGACGATTCCGCCATGGTCGCCTTTTCAACTCTGCGTACCACCTTGCCTCCTTTTCCTCGTCCAGCTTGTCCGCCTGTATACATGCTGCTATTTCCTCGAATGATGCGTTGCATTGATCCAGTCCCAGGGTGTTTATTGCGATTGACCAGGTGCTCAGTGTCCGTGATGGGAGTAGTGGTCGCCTTTCGTTTGTGTCGTCGTTACCGGGTCGTTGTTGAGCGTGTCGCATTCTCTATGTGCGGCAGTGATTGTATGCCTGGGTATATGTTGGATATGGATGATGATCGTATGAGAGTGAGTGAGAGTCGATGTATGCAAAGGCGAGAAAAAAAGTGTGAAAGTGAGAGTAGGAGTGACGGGGACTGCAAAGGAAGGAGGGTATGATACACGGTATGGATACACGGTATGGATACGAGGTGTGGCAGTGAGAAAAAAAAACGAAAATGGAGAAGAGGGAAGAAAAAAGAAGAGAACAAACAAAAGGCGGAAAGAATGAAGAGTTGATGTCTTTTAGGTTAGATGGGTGTGTTGGATGTTGGTGTGTCCGGACAGGTCCGGACATGGTGCAACTCAATTTTTCCCCTTGAGTGAGCAAATTGGGTTGGCGGACCAACAATCAGAGTACATCTATTGGCCGTTACTTAAACCTTCCGATGCATGGTCCTCCTCTCCCTTCTTGCCCCTACTTCCTGCCTACAAAGTAAACAATAGCACCCTTGTACTTTTTCTTTGCTTTATTGGTTGCAATTTTTTTCTCTGCCATTCGAGCTGTAAGCAAATAGAGTAAAAAGAGTGAGAGTGGTTGCTGCCTGAGATATTTTACTAATTTTCTACTATGACAACCGTTTTTTATATTTGGTGACGGTACAGATATCGATGCCAGTTTTCTTTTTTATAACCCGCGAAATAGTGGAAAGAAACAAAATATGGACAAAATATGCGCTATCAACCTAATTGTTGTACAGCCATCATCATTGTCCACTTGAGTGTTTTTTTTTCTTTCTGTTAAAAAATGAAGAAAAAAAGGGGACGATTTCATTCTTTAACAGTGCAACTGAACCAGGTGGGCTTTGCCGCTGGAAAGAACCTAAGATTTGACACGTTCGAACTGACCACCCTTTCAGTCCGAACTACAATGCAGAACAATTCGGAGGCTATCCACGTACGTCGTAGTACACACAAGCCTGGACAACTCTTATAATACATCCATGTCATACCCGCGCGTTCACATTTTACAGGTAAGAAGATCGAGTGGTATTTATTTTTTATGATACAAAATCCAGTTGAACGTCTGCACAAGCAAACCTAAAGTAGCCAACCCTGCAGAGACATAGAAATAGAGCAAGGGCAAAGTCGCCTTGGTCTTCACGTACAAGAACTCATAAGTCAGACTAAACACAATGTTGGCCAATTCTTCGCAGATGCTATAGGCACCAAAAACGGCCCCTACGAGGTGGTTGGGAACGACCGAGGACAACAATGAAATCACGGCGACGAAAGAAATCGCGCCGATCGTTTTCAAACCTCCCGCTAGTAACATGACAACAAGATCAAGAAAACGTAGCGCGGGTGAGTGAGGAAGGGCAGAACTTCGAAATGTAATTAATTAATGCGAGTAAAAGTTATTTGTTACGGTTACTTACCAAAATAGAGGATTGTAGGCGTAGGAAATAACGGGATGAGAATATAGCCCACGATGACGAAAGGTAGACTGCAGATGGAGAAGAACAAATCCATTTTGATCGCCTCAAGGTCGGACAGAGGGCGAGTTGGAGTAGGTTGAGGAGAGTGCTGGATCCAGTCATGATGGGCCGCAGGTTGCATTCGATCGTCAGTGTCGTCGATAACAAATGCTTTGTAGGCCGCATTCCAGAGCGGCAAGAGTCCTAGAAGCACGACTGTCGTGGCCAACGAGGTGAAGGTTTGGTACCGCTTAGTGTCGTTAAGATCCCAGTGAAAGACCAAGCCTGTCATCGAGACTACCAGATTGATTTCGCCTAATAGGTTGGGGGAAAATGAGAAGAAAAAAACTTGGCGTCAGAACGAGTAGGCCAGGCAAATACTGCAAATACTAGCGGACGAAAATAATATGTTGTCAGTTACCGTAGCTTCCAAGGCCCACGAGAAAGTGCGCAAGCAGTATGAGTAATAGTGTCGCGCTTGAGGCCATGTTAGCTGATTTGGGGATTCTTCCAGGGAGTATCGCCAGCATTGGGTCAAAGATCATCGATGTGCCCTCATTGAAAAAGCCGACAATAGTCCAGAAATATGAGCGGGGTGGCAGTGAGGCGGTGTCCTCTGTTCCATGCTCACTTTCGTCTTGATGAGGCACCAAATATGGTAGCGGGATGGGTTTCCTTCTCAAGGACTCGGGCACAAAAGTCATGTAGATGGCCATGAGCGCGATGACAATAAGTGCGATCCTGAGTATCAGTGTAAAGTCTCCTGTCGTTTCTTCGATGTGCGTCATAAGGGCGGCTCCAGCCATGTTTCCAATAGCCAGTGTGACGATGAGGTATCCCATTGTTAGCGCCCTTCGACTTTTCTGCGTGCAGTCGGCTAAGAAAATAAAACAAAGAAAGTGTATTGGTAAACAGACCATTGATACCTTCACTCATGTATCGTTCAATCCATCTCACAACTTGTCAAACTTACCGCAGTAGGCAAAGATGGCAGGATTGAGAACCGCCGCGGCAGGGATCATGGCAAAGCTGACCGCCTCAAGGTAGAACACATAGTATCCAAGAAAATTGTAGCGACTGGCAGCGAACCAATTGAGACAGATGAAGATTGCTGTTCCTACCAGGCCAATGTGAAAGAGCAACTTGCGGCCATAGACATCACTCAAAGAGCACCACTTGGAGAGCGTCAGCAAGACTAGCAAGTTGAGGTAAGGAAGAATAACGGTCAGGATTTATCCATTCACGTTGAAATGTAGCGTTATTTTGTTTGGTCGACTTGATACTTACGACTGACACTGGAAATGGTGATGATTCGTGATTCCACCTGCTGCACCATGCCAATCATGGTTGGAGTCATGCATTCATCGAGTGGTACCAATTGGTTTACTCCCTCGGACAACAAGTCAGACCATCCTGGATGTGTATGAATGGTTGAATATCTGAGAAGATGATGGCAGATGGTACGGTTTCGAAGTTGCCACAGGGTCGTGGTACAGAGCCCTGCGACTACGCCACAGAGAGCACTCCATGGTATAAGCCAATATGCGCTGGGTCGTTGAAGCCATGGCCTCCGCCGCAGTTCTGCGAACCATTGTGCCTCCTCTTCTTCCTCCTTTTTGGTCATGGCTTCTTGGATATCGGTGTCCACTTGATCGGCCTCCAACCTAGCTGTTGTCCATGACACTGTCCTCTCTATCGTTCTTGCAAGAAGTGGCCGCCGCTCTCCTGTGCTGGCTATATCCGTCTGCCGTTCCTGTTGCTGTTGAGAGTCGCTCATGGCATGAGGGGGTGATTTGCGAGCTGCAAATAATTGATGACAGAAGGGAAGAAGGGAAGAAAGGAAGAAGGGAAGAAAGGAGTACAAAGGCAAGACGAAAAAATAAATAAAGAAAAAACATTACAGGCTCTTTATTCGAAGTGATTGGTGGACAGGTGCCAAGCTGTGGATCGATTCCAATTTCAGACAAACTCTATTTCTTTCTTGCCAAGAACCGTTGATAGACACCTGAAAGAGGGCAATCTAGTATATTGTTGTTTTCCTCCTGTGCGCCCATCTTCCATTGCCTCCCTGTCTCTCTACTTTCTTTCTACCCCTATTCCCATCTTGAGAGAGTACTGTAGACCACTTCCCTGTTTGTTCGTCTTTCCTTTTTGTTTATCTTCATTCGGGCCGCAAGGTGAGTGAAAGAGAGTGGTGAAGTGTTCTTTTTATTTTCCCCTCCCTCTTCGACACGGTTTGTTATGTTTGATCAAAATTTTAACACCGTAGTGAGACAGATAAAGGCATCAGTGATGGTACCTGGATATGGATCTACCATCCATTGACCGATGGTCAATGCTGAAAGAAGGAACGCCATTATCTGTAAAGTGCCCCAACTCTTCTGGACTGCCTTCTTATTTTTTCAATACACCTCCCTCCCTCTGTCTCCTTCTATCTCCTTAAAAATGATTGACCAGGAAAAAATGTATGGTTACGTTGCAATGCTAGGCGGCTCAGTATCATTTTTTTTTCTACTCACAACTGGACTGTCATTCAACAAGGCACACGCCCGCACACAGAGGGAATCGTGTTGCAAGGCCAACTTTATTTCCAGCGGTACGTCCACCAGTTAACTGTTGCAAATGCCAGGGCAAGCGCGCAAAGACCTGACGAGACGTAGTAGTAGAACATGGGCGAGGTATCCACAGTGTTTTTGAACAATCGACCGTATGAAAAGACAGCAATGATGATACTCAAGGAGTCCACAACACTCAAGGCACCGATAACTGCACCAGTCAAATGAGTAGGCATGACGGTCGAAAGCAATGAGATGCATGCGACAATTGAAGTCTGGCCCAGCGATAACAATGCTCGCGCTAGAAACGGGAGAAAGCGAACGCGAATGAATGTTAACTTAGGTGGCTCATTCCTCAAGGCGACAGCTGGAGTGTTCTTGTTACTGGCATTTGAAAGCAGCGATGTTACTTACTGAAATAGAGAGCAAATTCGGTGGCAATGAGAGGAATAAGAAGGTAGGCAAACACCAGCAAAGCCAGCCCGCCAACCGCAAAGACAAGGTCCATTTTCATGGCTTCCATACTGCTCAGGTCGCTTTCGGTACTCTTGGGCAAAGATTCCTGAGCTTCATCCGAATCCTGCACCAATGGCTGCGCCGCAGCTTCCTCGTCGTCGCTCGCTTGAAAACTTGAAACGACTCGCTTGTAAAGTACTTGTAATGCAGGAAAGATCGCAAGATACGTAATAAAGTCGCACATGGACCCGAAGGACAAGTAGAAATAATCTTCTTTGGCACGCCAATTAAAGACCAGGTTCGTCATTGGGACGAAGAGTCCAGACGCACCTGAAACGAGTTGAATAAACAGCAAGAGAAAGATAAAAATGTCAACTCCAGCGTCTTTCAAATAAGAGTCATGCGTTGGCTTTTCTCTCAAGCAACTTGTATCTTACCAGCAAGACCAATCATCGAGAAAAACTTTGCGAACACGATCAAAGCAGGGGTATAACGCGTGGCCATTTTCTCCGACTTGGGGACATGTCCAGGAACAAAGAGCAATAATGGGTCAAAAATGGTTAACAAGTTTGCCTTGGCCAGGTAAAAGACCCGTTTGAGGGTCTGCACAAAAGACGTTGCCTCTTTTGCTTGAGTGGAGATGGTAGCGTTGGTCGTTTGGTGATGTCCTCCAGTCTGGCTTGTCATCCATTGGGTCAACGAGGCTGGCTTTGTTTTAAGAGACTCGGGCAATGCGGACAGGTAGACGGCCAGAAAGGCAGTGCAAACTAGCGAGATCTTCACAACCACTGTCAGATCTTCCGTGGCTTTGGAAATGGAGCCACCCAAAGCAGACCCGACGATGTTACCGAGGGCGAAGCTGGTGCCCAAGTATCCGAGCGTACGGCTTCTATTGCTGCCCGTGGTGCAGTCGACTATTTTGGAACGGGGAGCGAGAGAGCGAGAACGAGCTGTCAGACGTTTGCCATCGACATGGGTCCATGTCATGTCTAGATGAATCAGATGCCTTACCTGTGTAAGAGTACACAGCGGGGTTGATAAGCGCACCAGCAGGAATCAGGCCGAGGAGGACAGCTTCGACATAGTAAATGTGGTACCCCATGAAGTTGAACTGGCTGGCAGCAAACCAGTTGAGCAGGAACAACACGGCAATACCAAACATGCCGATATGTAGCAGAAACTTTCTACCGAACACATCACTCAAAGAGGTCCATTTAGCGAGTGTCAGCAAGGCTAAAGGAATAAAAAGTAAAAGCGTAACGTACTGTATTAGTAAAGTGAATGCAGTACTAGTATAACATGCCATTGTAGCTGAGCTAAGGCCCGTCGACATTGACACTCACTAAAGACGCCATTAATGGCTCCGATATTCCCATCTAACTGACCCACAAAACCGAGGACCTCTTTTGATCCACATGGATCGACGGGGTCGAATGCTCGCACATCTCCGATAGCCGATGTAAAGTTCCTAGGTATAGCACCGCCATCCTCAAGTCCCAGCAGATGAGCGCATACGGTTTTTATCTTTAGCTGCTGGATCGAACTACTGCTGAAACTCATCGTGATGCCTACAACAACTAGCCATGGCAACAGCCAGTAATGGCTAGGGCGATTGTACCACGGTTTCCGTTGAAGCTCTGCTAACCATCTTGCCTCGGTATCGTCATCGTCGTGCTGGTCGTTTGTTGCGAATGATGTGGTTGTCTGTCGATCTAACTCGGTATTATTCTCCATTGATGGTTGGATATTTGTTGTGAGTAGTGGTTGCCTTTCGTTGATGTCGGTAGATAGTTGACTAAGTGTCATAGTTATATGAAGATGAGGAGAACAGTATGTACAGAGCAGAGAGCGTGACGAAGCGAGGGTATATGAACAGGGGGGAGAGGAAGGAACAAGAGGATGAAGCGTGAGCGAGATGTTGCGCGTGTAGCGTAGTCAGGAAGGTGAATGTTTGTTATACAAAGGTGTGTGTGGTGTGAAGATTTGTATACACCAGCGGAGAGAGGTAAGAAGCTTTTTGCTGTGTGGGGAGTTTATTTCAGCAAGAGGGGGCATCGTTGTCTTTTTATTTGTGCTTCAAAACAGAATATTCTCTTCAAAGTGGGCGTTGCGTGCGTTGTGTGTTTGCCAAGATTCACAATTGCAAACCTTCTTTCCTTTCTCTCTTGAAGGCACTTGCCAAGAAATGGCTAAATTAGAAGGGAAGGATATGCAACGTGGCACGACATCTTGTAGGCGAAAGATATCTCTGAAGTGCCATCCCACAACCGTTGCTTACCAAAAATGGTAGTTGACGCCTCTAGATAACGTGGTCGGTCTACTTTGCTAGTCACCTCGACGGGCAATTGAGCGATCAACCATCCTTTTGCTGCCATCGATCCTACCTCTTTTGCTGATTCGTCTTTGACGACGATCGACCTGTGTCTCTCTTTTCGTGTTCAGCTGACCCAGTCTTTGCTCGACCAGAGTGTGTTTTGTTTTTGTGCTTTGCCGATCTCCGTGATATGGATTGGTGGCGTGGATGCAAATGGCAAAGAGAAGGGTCCTTACTTGCTGACTTTCAGGGCGGCGCGATCCAGGTTCAACCTCTGACGGAGGATATGTTGACCGCAAAAAAATCCGAGAGGCAACAAGCTGAAAAGTGTCACCTGATGTGCTTAAGGGCATCTCTGGCCGCTGTCTTTTTCGCGCGCGGGCAAGATCGTGTCCTGAGGAGAAAGGAGGACGCACAAGCGGGGATTCCCGCTTAACACAGGTTCAGGACAAGGGGAACAGCATCGCTGTTGAAGAGAGGGTGGTGTGGGTAAGAACAAGCGTCTCTCTTTCATTTCTTGGTGTGGATGGTTATTAAGACACATAACATCATAAATATCACGGACGTGGTTTCTGATCTAGTACACATCTCGCCGTTGCTATTGTTGCTGGTGCAGGTGCAGATATAAAGGGTAAACATTAGCAAAACGAAGATATTGCAAATGGTGGGGATGTATATATAAGTGTGTGTGTGTATGTGTGTGTGTGAGATGCGGTTTGCTCCTTGTTGTTCCGAAGAAATGCTGCATGTTGTGGGTTCGTTGTGTGCCCGGCTCTTTGCCGTCTAAGGCTGGCCGTATTATTTGAATTGGGTGGTGGTGAGCCATGATGAGGTTGTGGAGAAAAGGGCAAGAGATAAACGTAAAAAAAGAAGGGCAACCTTGTTGCTGTATGTAGATAGAACGGACAGAGGACTGGGCAAGATGGGCAGCACGATAACCCGCCAACTCCGCCGATGAGAACAACGGATAGGGACTTGAAACTTGATATGGCGGGTTGTGCAGTATCTGCACACACGTTTGCTGCTGTTTGTTTTTATTATTGTTGTGTTTTGTCTGGCGGTGTTCGTTTTATTTTCCTCGTCCTCCGTTCCTCCTTCCCCCCTACTTTTCTCTCTTCTTTTCTTCTCTTCTCCTCTTTGTCTCTATTCCCACTCACCCCTCTCCACACACACACATCACCATGTCCCCCATGCTCAAGAAGGCTATCACCGTCTCCATCCCCTCTGTCCGCCAGGCACTCGCCCGCTCCAACCCCGTCCTGGCCAATGCCCTTCTCGCCAAGCGCACCTACAACAGCAAGGGAGGCGTCGAGGTAATCACCAACACCCGCCTTCTTGCAAAATCAACAAAACAAAAAAAAATAATCCCGGGACACTTTTTGAATCTTCTTCTCAGTGTTCACGATTGAGATTGCAGGAGATCGCCTCTTTTTATTTCCCTTCAGCAATGGACCTTATCGTTGAGTGTCCGTCCACCCAACAATATTTGAGACGCAGACAACAACAACAACCATAAAAAAAAATACAGCAAACCCAACAAATTACAGCGGATTTCTTCGACAGACCAGGACGTGGATAAGCGCAACAACATCTACATCCACGACGCTATCCTTTAGAAAAGGGAAGGCGGCAGTTGACCTCGAGGGCAACGTGGATCAGCCTTTTATCTCATTAACGTTCACAACAACGTCTTGGGAAGTGCGGGAAGAGGGTATTTGGCGTCTCGTTTGTTGGTTCTGCTCTCAATTATTTGTGTTGATATCGGATATTCGACAGATCGAAAAAAAAAGAAAACACAAAATCGCCTGCTCGTCCCCAGAAGATTCAATAACTCCCACGGTGGATGCCGGCAAAGCAAGAGAAAAGAACTTGTCCATTGTGGGTGGTATCGGCCATGGCGTTGTCGATGTCGGGCGGGCGATTCGCTTTGTCGAAACGAATAACACTGACCAGATTCTTTTTACCTCTTCGTACCTGTATTGAACTCGCATTCTAGATGACTGTCCGTGATGCTTTGAACTCTGCTTTGGAGGAAGAGATGACCGCTGACGAGAAGGTTTACCTCTTGGGTGAGGAAGTCGGTCAGTACAACGGTGCCTACAAGGTAATTATTCGCCCAAGCCAGGACAACTTGCAAAAATATTACAATGCAATGCGGACAGAGTACCCAACCGAGAGTCTCTCACCAGGGCAAAAGCTGGAGGAACGTCAAAAATAATGATGCCAAAAAAGAAAGGGAGACTCGCGCGCTCCCGCCCCGTATACTCATCGGCCATAAGGAAGAGCGGAACGTCGCCTCGATCTACCTGCTTCCGCATTCACGCGATATGCGAGAAAACAAACAGGAAAGTGCCCCCCTCGACAAAACAACAAAGAAATACCCCCGATACTAACTACGCGCTCTTGTCTGTCGATTCCAATCAAAAAATAGGTCTCCAAGGGTCTTTTGGACAAGTTCGGCCCCAAGCGTGTCATTGATACCCCCATTACCGAGTCTGGATTCTGTGGTCTCGCTGTCGGGTCTGCTTTCGCTGGATTGAAGCCCGTCTGCGAGTTCATGACCTGGAACTTTGCCATGCAGGCCATTGACCAGATTGTCAACTCTGCCGCCAAGACCCACTACATGTCCGGTGGTAACGTCAACTGCCCCATCACTTTCCGTGGCCCCAACGGTGCCGCTGCTGGTGTTGCTGCCCAGCACTCCCAGTGCTTCGCTGCCTGGTACGGATCCGTCCCTGGTCTCAAGGTCGTCTCCCCCTGGAACTCTGAGGATGCCAAGGGCTTGTTGAAGGTATGCACTTTCTATTACCTCTTGCTATTATTGTGCATGACTTCACGCTGACAAGGAAAAGATGTAACGATGGAATTTGAACTAACCGCATTTTTCTTGATAATATAATGACTGCATTAGGCTGCTATCCGTGACCCCAACCCCGTTGTTGTCCTCGAGAACGAGCTCATGTACGGTATCTCATTCCCCATGTCTGAGGCTGCTTTGTCTAAAGACTTTGTTATCGAGATCGGCAAGGCCAAGATTGAGAAGGAGGGAACCGATGTCACCATTGTTGCCCACTCCCGCTCTGTCGGTTTTGCTTTGGAGGCAGCCATGCTCTTGGAGAAGGAGGGTATCTGCAGCGCTGAGGTCATTAACTTGCGTTCGATCCGCCCCTTGGATACCGAGACCATCATCAAGTCCGTCAAGAAGACCAACCGCCTTGTCACCGTTGAGGGAGGCTGGCCCCAGTACGGAGTTGGATCTGAGATCTGCGCCCAGATCATGGAGTCTGAGGCCTTTGACCACTTGGATGCCCCCGTTGTCCGTGTTACTGGTGCTGATGTCCCCACCCCATATGCCCAGAACCTCGAGGCCTTTGCCTTCCCCGACACCGACGTCATTGCTCGCGTCGTGAAGCGCACCCTCAACAAGAAGATTGGTGCTTAAATCATCCTTTTAGTCTTTTCTTGCATCCATTTTCCTTTTTTTTGCTTGTCCTTTTTTTCCTTTCTCTTACCCTGTAAATTCTTGTAGCACGACCAACACCATACACTTTGTGCCTTCACTCCACCCCATCCCAATAAAAATCATCTCAATAATGAAAGCTATGGCATTCAACCCCGAGTGAATGGGTGTGAATCTCTTTTCTGAGAGAAATGGTGGCGCTCCATTTCTGTCGACGGACAGTCACCATTAATTAATATTTGTGATAAGGATGCATTCATCGAGAACCTGTGTTCCTCAACCCTTGTCTCAACAATGCTGTCGTCGCTCTCCGTCCACATCACACAGCGCTATCACGGGCCATTAAGCAGGACGCTATCGTCGGTTACTTTCCGCCGGACGTCGTCGCCACTCTGGGGACAAGGAGTGGCAGGAACAGGATTCGCCAACGCCATTCGAGTCGGGATCCAGACAAGTCGATCTGCCCATGGAGCAACAACAGCTGCAACATCCGATGCAACGGCTGCATTCATGTCGAAGCATCCTGCATTACCCACAGCAACCCTTCCAAAGCGAGGACTTGTGCTCTCGAAACTGGGCTTTGGCGCCTACCGCGTTAATTCTTCACAGTCGGCGCATAAGGCGGCTCTTGTCAAGGCTGTTCAGGCTGGTGTTAATGTCATCGATACAAGTTCGCACTTTGGACATGGTAAACGACATTTTGCTAGGATTTCATTCAAGAAAAGGCATTTGAATGGAAGGGATTTTTGCCATTATACTGATTGCAATACTGTGTTTACTGGATGTTGTAGGTGCTTCCGAAAAGTTCATTGGCGAGGCATTGGGTGATCTGTTCAAGCAGGACGCGATCAAGCGCGAGGTATGGAAAGGAGCCGTACAGTGCACGTATTAGGAGGTGTCAATCTTATGTGAACCAAATAATAACCCCCCCGTTCAATTCTGGAATTGAAATAGCAAGTGGTAGTGGTATCCAAGGCAGGATTCATCTTGCCTCCAACAACAGAGTTCCCCACACAGGATCTCGAAAACGTCCCTTCCTACGCCGCCATCTCCTCGACATCCTACCATTCCATCCACCCAAACTACCTCAAAGCCCAGATCTCCCAATCCCTGGATCGACTCAAAATGGAAAAACTCGACATTTTCATGCTCAACAACCCCGAACGCATGTTGGGCGACCGGATGTTGCCCGGCGGGTTTAGCAAGTCGAGGCTGTATAAGGAGATCGCAGAGGCGTTCGCCTACCTGGATACGGAGGTTGAGACTGGACGGATTGGCGGGTATGGGATCTGTTCAAACGCGTTGCATATCCCGACGACGGAGGATCATTTGTCGCTGAAGGCGATCTTGAAGACAAGGCAGGACTTTGGGTGGAAGTTGGAGAATTTTGTGGCTGTTCAGGCGCCGTTGAACTTGTTTGAGCGCGATCTTGTCACTGATGCCGAGTCCACAAAGTCACTCGCCGCCGAAGCCAAGGTATGGGTTTAACCGATGATAGCAACGTATTTTCCAAAGGCAAAGAGCAAGTTGTGGCACTGCGAAAGGAGAGAAATTAATCTGAATTCGTGGGCAACTCTGGTAGGAAAACGATATTTTCGTCTTTACGAACCGGCCTTTGAACGCGATCGCTGCGGGACAAATTGTTACATTGGAAAACAAGGGTCAGCACAGCCGTCAAGGTATGTCAATCTGGGATGATGCATGTGCGTTTTGACGAATGTATCACAGGGAATGTTGAGCTGGATACTAATGTAGCACCCTGGTTCTTTGGTCTGAGTAGAGAATTCGGTCAAGTTGCTGGAGACGTTGGACTTGGGCTTTTCATCTCTTGCTAACATGGAGCTGGACATCAAGGATATGAGTGAGTTTTTCGCCTTTCTACCTGGAAGTACAAGTTGCTACTCAATGGGCTACATCTATACTCACTAACAACATTGTACTTTCTGCTCTATGTTGTAGTTGAAGAGGAGTCTCTCGCCCTGAAATTTGTCTGGAGCGAGGTAAGCCTTCAACCAATGAAGTCCTCCGACTCTTTATGTTCCAAAAACTAACTGCCCTCTGTCGTTGTAAACTCTATTATGGTCACGAAATGTAGGTCCTCTCAGAGAACCTCACACGACTGTCGTCTAATTACTTTGCCGCAAAACACTTTTTGGAGCGCGAAGTCCTTCCAGCGATCGACCGGGACTTGAAGATCCTCGAGGATAGTACCCAAAGCGAACCGGATCTGGAAGATAAAGATGCCATTCTTACTTGGATCCATCGATACCGTCGGGTAAGAAGAGTTCTCATCACAACAGCATGGAACAATTAGCTTTGGTGGCAACGAAAAGACTGATACTTTTTTTTTTTTGGGCTTTAATTAATGTGTGCAATAGGAAGCACAATCGTTAACAAAGGATATTGGATTGTTCTGTCAACTGGACTCGGACAAGCGGAATGACGAGCTCAACCTGGTCCTGGGACTGATCTGCCGTGAGTTTGTGTCGGATGTCGGCGAAAACAAGGTCGACGACATTGGGTCCCCCCTCTCGACAAAGTCGATCCAGTACTGTATCGCGCACGAGAATGTTGGGTGCACACTTGTGGGGATGCGGACACCGGATTATGTCCATGATGCTGTTGCGGCTGCAGAGGCCAGTCGACGATTGACGAAGCGCGATCTTGGGCTTATTGAACAATGTCCTCTTCTCTTGAACACTACGTCCGAGTAAGGATTGAACATCTTCATAAATAATTATCCACTACATGCATGTGTTATTCGCAAAAGGTGTATTTTTTTTTAATTCAATGAATGCTTTAGGCATTACTTTCCGAAGCGCTGTTCACATTTGGCATAACGATGGAGTGCCTGAAGGAACATGGTATAAACGGGGATGACAGCCTGATCAGGATGATGAAAAATCTCTGTCAGACGGATATGCCAGGGAGGATAACTACTCAAATCCAAATCATCCTTCAGAATAATTAACAGCTCTGGTTCGGACAAGTCCGCCGACAACTGCGTATCCATGAACTTTGTCGTGATCTGGTCGCTCGTGATCTGTTGACGCAAGGCGGCTTTTCCAAGAAGACGAATGTTCCCGGCAAGACGGTCGTGGCCGTCCTCGGGGGAGAGGATCACAATATCCAAATCAAATGCGCGTCCACCGTGGGGTCGAAGGTCCCGCTGGATGGTCGGTTGGCTGTTGTTGTTGTTGTTGCTATTGTTTTGTTGAAAGACGAGGCTTAGGCTTTCTTCGACGGGGCGAAGGGTCCTGACCAAGGCGATGGGAACCCGCCTTTCCTCCTTGTAGAAATCCTTCATTGTGTGGTCGATCCTGTCCTGAAGCGCCTCCAAGTCCTCTGGGTCCAATGCTATGAGAGACATGAGTATAAAAATGGCTCATTTAGCATGCGATGCGAGAAAATGAAAGAGTGGTTTTGGTCTCCGAATCACATGAAAGAAAGGGCGGACATAACACAACCCTAAATTATCTCTCCTGCATGTGCAGAGGAGAAGAGAGCCCCTCCCAACTTCATCCACGTCCTACTCCTCGATCCTCCATCCGCTCACTTCCACGTCGCTGTAACCTCGCCTTACTGGAACACATACAAAAGTGACCACAAAACGATCATAACCGAACCATTACAGCCCCCCACCCAACCAACAAAAACCAGCAAATATCCAAGAAGCACCAAAAAATGACAAAACAAAAAACGACACTTACGAGAATTCCGCATGATGGACAAGGTCTTGATCCCCACAGCGCTCGACCACTGCGCCAACTGAGCAACTTTCGCATGCCACTCATTCTCCTCCGTCTCATCCACCTCGCCCGTCAACGTAATTCCAGATTTTTCAGTAATCACCGCCAAATGTGTCGGTTTCTTGACCACATCTTCTCCAACATCCTTCCTGACGATCCGGACCAACTCAGGAGCGACGGGGAAGAGGTGGGGGAGGAAGAAAACTTGGAAGAGGGTCTTCATGGTCCGGGCGCTGATGACGAGTTCATGGCCGAGGTGGAGGATTACAAAGATGAGGAAGTAGAAGGGTTTCAGGAGGATGTGGAGGATCCTGCTGGCGATTGAAGAGGATGAGGTTGTTGTGGTCGTTGTTCTTGTGAATAATGTTCCTGAGGTTTCTTCTTCGGTTGCTTGTGTTGAAGATGAGAATGATGTTTCTGTTTCTTGAGAGTCTGGGATAACGGGCTTGATGGCTGGGTGGTCTGCAATAAGGTCTGCTGCTGTCCGCAAGGTCTTGAGAGATTGTTGTTCCTGTTTGACGGTCAACTCATTTGTAGGAGTGTCTCTGGATGGCGAGCCGCCTCTTCGGCGCAATGTCGCTGTCGGACTTGGAGATGGCATGTTCTGTCTTGAGTCAGGATGAGGAGTTGGATGGGTGAGATGTTGAAAGAAAAAAGAAAAAAGAAAGGAAAGAAAAAGTAGCTTTCTTTTGTTCCCTGTCGAACCTCTCCTTTCTCCCTCGTCCCTCGGCGGGCGGGCTTTGACAACGTTCAAATTCAAGTGGCTTGAAGCGAAAGTTAAGAAAAGCACGCCAGCGGTGTCGCTGAATGGTGCCATAACTGAAATCGGAAAATAAACCGAGATCTTGTTGGTGCTCTCCTGTATCTTCGCCCCGCACGCCATTGAACCTTTCAAGAAGGCAATTGGAAGCTGCCAATACCCGTTATTAAACATCAAACAAGATGAGATCCATGAATCTTCTCCATTTTCTCGATCGATAGAGCATCCGCTTACGTGTTGTGTATGTATTATGTTGATAATATGGTATGATATGAGGTGCTATGAATGAACGAATCGAACAAACAAGAACGAGAACGAGCTACTTTTAATATCCAGGTCCTCCTCCGCCACCGCGGTAGACATTCCTGTTGGCGTTGGGGGCTGTGTCCTGTCGCCTTGGATTGGTTGGCTGATATTCATTTCCGTAACTTGCACTGGTAGCACCTTGTCCTGCATATCGAGCATTACCATAACCACCAGGACCAGGACCAGGGCCAGGACCAGGACCATATCCACCTCCCTGGACCCTACTCACAGGTCCATAACCACCACCACCGCCACCAGTATGTCCTCCCACGACTGATCCTCCATGATGGCTATCCAGATCCGATCCTCCATGCTGTGACTGGATGGGCGAAGCCGATCTCTCAGGGATGTAGTCGTCGTATCTCCTACCTCGTGGTGGTGGTGGCGCCTGTCCTGCATATGGCGGGCTACCAGTCTTGCTGCTACTGTTGCCACTGTAATACGTAACCGGCGAGCCCACTCCTCCTGCATTCGAGTACCCGTCGTGCCCTTGACTCTGACTCTGTGGTGACATGTACGCCTGGCCTTGGTCTCGATTGTAAACTCCACCGTAGACATCATCGCTTGTGAATGCAGACTCGGCATATGGATCGAACGACTCCCTGGGGTTACCTGGTATAGAAACCATGCCAGCGCCTGGGGGCGGTGATTTTGCCGACTGATAGTAGTCGTATCCGTATTGATTCTGTGGAGGAGGCGGTCCTCCTCCATGATTGTTGGAATTGCTGACATTGCTGTGGTTGTTGTGCACATAAGGCGCGGCAGGTGGTAGTGGTTGCAGCTGGATATAGTTGTGGCCGATCTTGGGCGTCTGCATGCCAAAAGGCAAGGGTGACTTTTGAGCATAGGCTGTCCTGGGTGTGCCAACTGTCGGTAACGACGGCTCCAAAAGGTCGTCGACGTTGGGGAGGGTTGGTTGCTGCATGTTGGCCATTGTTGGATTCCTGCCTGCCTTTTCTGCCTCGTCTGCTGCTCGTGTCTTTGACTTTTTGCGAATCAATTCGTCGATTCTATCCATTTTTTTGTGCATAGTAAAAAGTACTTATTAGTACATTGAACACGCGCCATGATGTCTCTTATACAATTAGGGGGGAGATATATGTACACACCGCTTGTCGATCTTGTGACAACAAAACTCTTTGAGGTTGCCTTGGATATGACTGACAAGGGGGATGTACATGATGACGGCGCTGATGAGCATGATCAACGACAACGCAAACATAAACACGGTGAACATCATGGCCCCCAAAGAGATCTTTTTGTAGATATAGTTGTTCCCCGAGCCCACAATGTGGTCCCAGTCAAAGAAGGACGAGTCCAGGTGGTTGTGGAAGGTTTGGTATAGAATCGTCGCGTTAATGATCTGGCGGGGCGCGTCTGCAAGGATCAACCGCTTCCAGTCTGGCAGGGAAGAGGAGGACGAGGAGAAATGGAACGTATAAGAAAGACAAAAAAAAAGGAGGCGTGAGCGATCGATCAGGATAGCAAAGAGCGAAAGAAGGGGATTAGAGTGCATTTTGGATGACCCAAAGAGACTGTGAAGACATCAAAACAAAACAAAAAGACATTGCCACACAAGTGACCTTTCTCACCACGGGACTTACTTCGAAAGGTAAAGAAGCAAAAGAAGGCGACCTCGTCGACGGTCTTCTTGGAGTTGTTGATCTGGGCAAAGAAGCAGTAATGCGGGTACGACCGCACGGTATAGTACCGACATGCAATCATCGATGTGAACGCATACGAAATGTCCCTCGAGGCGATGATCGCCTTTGCCCGTCGGATCTCCCATCCAAGAAGAGCAAAGCCTAGGAGAATACAGCCCGAGAAGAGCCACTTGTAGACCTCAAACGGCAGCTTCCCAAAGACCGTCAGCTGGACACCCTGAGCCGGCACAAACGAGTTCGCGTCCCTGTTGGCCAACAAGTTGGCGGCTGTGAAGATGTCGGAGCAGTAGACGAGGATCCCTCGAATGATTGCCGCAAAGACCAGCGAGTAGGTAAACTGTCGCCAGTAAGAGTTGTCGATAAAGTCATCCACGTTGATGAAATCAAACTTGTGGTCCTGCACAAACTCGCGCTTCCACTGTGCGCCCATCGTTCCTGAATTGGATTGTTTTCAGATCTGAATCCCACTGGATTGGTGGGTGCAACTGTAGTACTATGTTGGTGTCTATTTAGTAGTTTGTGTAGGTGTAGGCATGCAAGGATTAAGGATATGACGAAGCAAAAAGATGCGAGAGAAACAAGATAAAAAGAGCCTGAAGGTTAATACATGCAACTTTTTCGTCCATGTCTTCCTTTGCCTTTTGTTCTTAATATTCTTTTCAAAAACTATGCAACGTGGAAAAGTAACTTTAAGTCTGTGCAGGAGTAACAGAAAAGGTCGTGCATACATGCTACAACCTGACAGAGAGGTGGGGACGACCGGAGCTTTTTATCTTTCTTTCTGTCAGCTTGTTGTTGTTGAATTTTTGGTTGTCGAGCTGAGAGTTATGGTTGAATGCCACCTCAGTAATAGACGGATAGAGAGTGAGAGAGAGAGCAAGTAGAGTGGAAGTGAGAAAGGGTTTTGTGGCGGAGAGGGGGTGACACAGTGGAGGTTGGGGTGCGAGAGTAAAGGAAGGAGGAAAGGGAGAGTCGAAAAGATAGAGTGTGAGAAGGAGGAGGGGAAGGGAGGAGAGAGAGAAGAGGGGTAAGTGCCAACGAAACGATGTGAAAAGAAGAAAAGGAGGGGAATAGGATGGATATCAATCAAAGAAAGAGAAAGTTAACAACAACAACAACATCAATGACGTGGAGGGGACAGGGGGAGAAGAGTTATTGTTGTTGTTGCTGTCGGATAGATGATGAGTGCGTTGATGGATGAGCGGCACCCGGGCATAGAGAACGGAAGAGAAGAATAGAAGAGGAGAGGATGGAAGAGGAAGGGGAGTGAATGGGAAAGCAGGAAGTAAGTTGAAAGAAGGAAGGGAAAAAAAAAATTGAAAAGGTACGCTAACGAAGAAAGATGAAGAAGAACAGAGAGGAATGGACCATGTGCATGTTCGTGTGAGGTTGCAATGTGTGTGGATGGAAAATATAAAAACGAGGGCGCCACATAAAATAAAAGCTGTTGGCGCCTCATCAGGGCTGCTTCTTTTTCACGGAGCTCAAAGTACCGACACACACACGTCGCCTCCTTTTTTTCTTTTGGTTGAGAGCGGCGACATCCATACGTCGTTGATCACGAATATGTTCGTTACTCGTAGTTTGCTGTATGCTACTCAACATCCTTACACACACCCAAGGAAAAAGAGGCGGAGACATGCATTGGCAAAGCAAGGCAGAGCAAGGCGGGAAGCAAGATCTTGTAATTTTTTTCGTGGCCCCCTTGCTCTTCCTCCTCCGCAACACCGAGGTTCTCAATGGTTAAAAAATGCAAGATGTGTGTTGTTACAAGAAGGTCTAAGCTAGGGGCAAACCATGACATATGATTCTATCAAGGGAAGGGAGGAAAGGATGACATCCATGGTCGAGTTCTAACCTCATTAAGGTTATTGTTTGTCAATCCAATTTTTGGACTCAACGACCACTCCTTCTTCTTCTTGGGCGCTGAACCTCGGTCTGATCTTCCTCCTCCTCAAACACCTTCTCCCCTGCATTGGTTTCGCCATTGATCGAGTCGCTCTTTGCTTTATCTTCCTCCCGTTGTTGTTTTTTCTTCAGGCGTTCGTTATTGGCCTGCTCCAACGCCTTCTCGATCAAAGTCTCACACTGGACCTTACGCCTGGCTGCATCGCATTCGAGCCCTCCTTGGAACACATCTCCAAATCGTTGACTGCATTTGTTCAGATAATAAAAGAAGGGGGGTGAGGGTCAAAACACAGACAACAGACAATTTGAGCATCGATTAACGATCAAAGCGAGCACATAGAATGAAAATGCTTCTCGTACCTGAGCCAGAGATAGAGCATGACGATGCGGTGGGATGACTCCAACTTGCGCAAGTCCAATTTGGCCTTTGTCTCAAGAATCGACAGAGGCGGTAGCTCGACAGCCTCATCAATCGCCAATGGCTTGCCGCTGCTCACAGATCGGGCCATCTTCACCGCGGCTTCAACCACCGTAGGGTCACGGACCTGGATTGGGGCAGAGATGAATGTTATCCGCTCGCGGACAGGCATCTCGATCTTGTCCAGAATTTCAGCAGCAGCCTAGTACCAAAAAAGATGTCAGTGAGAGTTCAAGGGAATAAAGAATAAGCAACTCGACTGGCTATGCTATTACGACATGTGGGGTCATGTCCAGACATGGAATAAGGTTCATCGTCATGAAAAATGTCCAGGTCCGGTACCGACCGAGTAGTACGTACAATCATGCCACGGAAGAGTCCCAGGAAGAACAGGCCAGAGTTGCGCGACATCATCTCAAATGTTTTGAGGACATAGGAAAAGGGCGCTCCAGGCATCTGAATCGAGAACTGCTGGAGCATATCTGCCGTAGGTTGAATACCTGCACGCTAATGCAATATGATATTCGAAATGTAAAATGATCGTTAGCGGGGCCGTATGATGTAAGAACACAAAGTCATATGAAGTGGGTGAACATTCCTCAAGGATAGTTTACCGTGATGTCGATCATGGGCGCTGCCATTGCGCGTTTGAGCGTGGGGATATCGCGTTGAAGGAGCGTTGTTACCAAACCAACGGCATACTCTGTCCCGAATCGACCTGCTCGTCCACCGATCTGCTTCAGCTGTGTAAGACTCAATGTCCGCACGACCGAGCCATCAAACTTCTCTGTCGCCTCAAAGATAATACGGCGGATGTTCCTAAATAGCCACGACAAAACAAAGTTTAGCACATGAACACAGGATGATGCCAGGGTTGAGATGACACAGACAGCACGATTTAAGAATGTTACGTACAGGTTGAGACCCATGCCAATGGCATCACTAGCCACGAGAACATCATATCCGCTGTTGGGGTCGTTGAACAGCTTTGCCTGGGTCGATCTACTCTCTGGAGGCAAACTTCCATAGGCAACTGCACATCGGAGACCCGTAGAAGCCTCAATGTGCCTCTTCAACAAAAAGATGTTCTTGCGCGAAAAGGTCACAACACAGTCGCCCTTCTGGATTTTGTCTAATTGTCCGTACAGGCTTTCATCCATGACCTCCATCTTGCTCAACCGATCGTATCGATGCACCTCGACCTCCTCGTTCGTCAGCGCGCAAATGTTCTTGACAAGGTCAACCACAGTAGGTTCACCACAGAGGTGAATCTCCTTTGCTGGCAGACTGAGTAGCGCGTGTGTCCATGCCCAGCCACGATCCGGATCAGCAAGCATTTGAATCTCGTCCACAACAGCGACCTCGATCTTGCGGTTCAGATCCACCATCTCTACCGTACATGAGACACATTTGGCGGCCCTGGGATCAGGGTTGCCTTCAGAGTCTGTGACAGCATATCGCCTCTCTTCTCCTGTGATAAGGTTGCATGGTGTTCCTGCATCGTTCATCCTCTCAAAGACCTCATGAGCCAAAAGTCGCAAGGGCGAAAGATATGCTCCTGATTCTGCCGCCTGAAGTCTCTGTAGCGCACTGTATGTCTTTCCAGAGTTGGTTGGCCCCACGTGCATAATGATCTTTCTATATAATTGGTCAAGTCACGCCAGAAAAGACGAGTTAATAAACTTTGTCATCACATACAACTAACTTGCGCCACCATTTTTGTTTAGCATTTACCTCTTCATCAGACGCGCGGCAGGGTTCCACTCTGCTGGATACCGCAAATCAGAGATCTCCCTGAGCCTTGTCAGTCGGAATAGGGTATCGGATGGGAACATATTTTCGCAGTGTGTAAAGAAAGCGTCCCAAATGATCTTGTCCAATTTGCTGGCAATAGCCTCTTCCCGGGTGACGCCCATCGCCTGAAATGTCATGCCGACCTCCAACGACTGATCTGCCAGAGTTCCGATCGCCTTCTTGTTGACCTCTGGTACTTTTCCTTGAAGCGCGCGTCGAGAAAACGTCTTGATCAAATCGACAGCCGTCTCTTGAGGTGTGCCCATTGCCTCCAGATATTGTTGCATCCCGCTTGGGAACTTGAACCGCTCGATCGCATTCTTCAATGCTAAGATAAATGGACCATCGGTTTAGACAGAGCATTAGTCTCCTGATCAAAATGACTTCTTCACGAATCAGAACTGCCTGTATTCTTTTTTCTTTTGAAGAATGCTACTCTGAGAATCAGGTAGAGACGTACCTGCGGTCTCCCATGGTCCTTGAAACTCCAATCCTCCGAATACGCTTCCGTCGGCTCTCCGTGGCCGAAAGGATCCTTCTGAATCTCTGGACGATGGCGACGACCTGCGACTTGATCCATGGCCACCAAACTCCTTGAATCGGCTAGCTGACTCTGTGTATCTAAACCGGCAGAATACTGTCCGTGGTGCTGTGCTGGCTGTGAGAGCGGTTCTCGTTCTTGATGAGCCAGCCAGCAAGTATGCTCTGCAGGGTGTTGCCAAAAGTCCACCTCCTGTAGTTGTGGAAAGACGTGGTGTTGTCGTTGCAGTTGACAAGTGTCTTCCAGTGGCGGTGGCGATCCATGTTCCTGTACATGAGCTAGTTGCCCTCCTGGTCGCGGTGAAGGACAGCATTCCTGGCAATGAAGAGATGTTCGTTCGGAACGAAGAGCGAATGGAGGCGAGCGGGAAAGGTGATCAGCTTAGGTTGTTTTTGCATTTTCACCTTTTAGAGCACTTTTTTCTTTACTTTGCATTTAGCCGTCACATTCATGGACTGGGGATGGGCTTGGGTCAAGTCAAGGCTTTACTGAGAATCTCCGGTCGGGGACTGATTAAGTTTACACTTGCACTGTCATCATCACGTACGCGTGCCTTGCGGTGTCAGTGATGGATGCAAGGGTATCCAAGTTGGCGATCTTGATCATATCGCCGCAACGTACTTGTTCCGATCATTGCTTCGCGCGAGGCTTGACGAATACGCATTATCAGCATGACTAACGCTGATCATTTAAAAAAAAAAAAAGAAACTTTATGCTAACAACCTACTCACGGAAAAATGCGCTAAAAAAGATCGAGCAAAGAGACAAGCGCCGTTGTCCCTCCCGTTTTCTGTTCCTTTCTTTTCTTTATTTTTCTTCTTCCTTTCTTTCCCACACAAATCCTCCTCTCCCCTTCCTCAACCCCTTCTACGACACGAGAATGACAACCCCAGAATCCGCCAAGGAACTTCTCGCTTTCCACAAGGGCCTCGTCTCCATCTCTTGCATCACCGAGAACGAATCGCCATGCACCCAATTCCTCCAAGCCCACCTTACAAACCTCGGCTACACCGTCGAGCTCCAGACCGTCGCCCCCGGTCGTGAGAACGTCCTGGCCTACCTCGGCAAAGGACGTAACCCTCGGGTTCTCTTCAACACCCATATCGATGTCGTGCCGCCCTATATCGAGTACCGTGAGGACGAGGAGAATGTCTATGGACGTGGATCGAGTGATGCCAAAGGCTGTATGGCGGCTCAGGTCCAGGCTGTTGAGGAATTGAGAAAGGAGGGCAAGGTCAAGGAGGGTGATATTGGGTTCTTGTTTGTTGTTGGTGAGGAGGTTGATCATATTGGCATGGTGGTAAGTTGAGTTTTTTGTTCGTTGTTTGAGGAGCGTGTCAGTTGTGCCTGTTTTTTATTCCCAAAGGAGAGGTTTGCGCTAGGGATGATGGATGAATGGTTGTTGAGCGTGTGAACAAAACTTCACTCTGTGCCTTCATTTTCTAACAATGTTTTGCGTCATGTTTAACTGTGCGTAGAAAGCAAACGATCTCGGTTTGACCCCTGACTACTTGATTGTCGGAGAACCAACAGAGTCCAGGCTGGCTCTGGGACACAAGGGTGTCTTGCGTCTTAACATCAGCATCGAGGGCAAAGCAGGTACGGATCTATTTCTGACTCATACGAGTGGGACGCATAACAAAGGCCATGAATGACACGGGTGACTGACACTTCTTAACCTTGGCTCTGATATGTAATAGCTCACAGCGGATACCCAGAGTTGGGTGTCAGCGCCAACGACAAGATGATTGACCTCTTGCACAGGCTCATGTCGATTGTAAGTGACTTTTGACAACACGTCAGGAAGATACCGCAAAACAGGGACCAAACGAAAGAACAAAAAATACACAAAGCTAACGTGAGCATCCTTCGTATTGTAGAAACTCCCCGAGGACCCCTACTTTGGAAAGACGACAATGAACATTGGAACCATCCAAGGAGGACTCGCCGCCAACATTGTCCCCGCTCTCTCAAAGGCAGGTATCTCCTTCCGCATCGCGACCTCGACCCAAGAAGTCCTGGACCTCGTCGAGCAGGTCCTCCCCGCTGAACAGCAACTCAAGGACAAGATCTCCATCGAACGTCTGACCTGCTGGGAACCTGTTCGTTGCCACTCTGTCCCTGGATTCGAAACTTTTGTTGCCAACTACTTTACCGACATTCCTTCGTTCACTACTGCGAAGCATTCGTTGCTATATGGACCTGGAAGCATTCTTTGCGCCCATGCCCCCCACGAGTACATCAACAAGAAGGAGCTGATTGCTGCAGTTGGAAGCTACAAGGATATTGTCCTGAAACTGTTCGCCGAATCTCAGTAAATAGCTATACCATCATAGACATAGAGAAGAAATACAGCGTGTGTATGTGATGAAAATGGTTGTTATTATGAAATGGGAATAGTTTTTGTGTGCAATGCGATGATGGTCTAGATCTGGGTTGCCTGTTCACTCTCACCACCGTGTGACTCCTCCCCTTCCTCCTGTTGCTGCTGCTCATCCTCTTGTTCTTCCTCGTCGTCGGCCTCACCAACTCCTGTGATCTCGACAATGGACTCATCCATGGGTCCTATTGACGACTCCATAAACGACATGAACGAATCGGATCCAGATGCAAAGACAGAGGCGCTGAGTGAGAAGGGAGAAACATGCTCGGATGATGCTGACGCGGAAAACTCTTCGGCCAGCGAGAGATATTGTTGTTGTTGCGCTGTTCCTGACCTGGACTGGCCAACCTGTTCCTCTGCCTTCTCTGCCACCGCCTTGGCCAGTTGTTCAGCCAACGATCCTGCGCCGACCAAAGAGTAGCCTAGATCCTCGACCTCTGCCTGGTCCCCCTGTTTCCGTGAAGAAGTTGACGATGCGGTAGCGGGTATACTTGACGATCCAGAAACAGGCTCGGTATCGTCGTCGTTCTCACGGAGATGACGGCGACGTCCCAAAACATCCTTCAGCTCATGCACCATCTTGGAGTTATCATAGACACGCTCCTTCTTGGCGTCCTCCTGTTCCCGCAACAGCTTCTGATGTGCTATCCTCTCAGCGCGCGTCATCTTGGCCATTGCAGATCCATCGGCAGAAAATCCAAGTCTCCGCGGCAATGAAGGCCCAGACTCTGTAGAAGCCTCCCAGGTCTCTTCCCGCTTGGCCGCCAAAGCCATAAGACGCTGTTGATCCTCCAAGGTCTCCATCGAGTCCACTACTGGTCCATCATGTCCTGCCGATTCTCCCAATGTATCCAGTCCAAGTCCGTGTCCCACGCCTTGTGAATCGCTCAGTGCAGATGGTGAATCTGATCCTTGAGCGGGAAGAGTCTGGGGGGGTTCAAAAACGTGGTTGAGAGCCGTTTTTCCGAGTTGCCATTCCGATGCCATCATGCCGATATCCTGACTAATTGAGTCGTATTGTAGTTCCAGTAATCGCCGTTTTTCAGTGTCCACAGGGTCTATTGTTCAAGTAGCAACAGGAGAGGGAGGGGGGATTATTTAGTATCCTGCTGCATATGTATCGTCATATTTGACGAGAAAGGTGCCCACAGGTGCAATATTTTACCTTGACGACCGGTTTCCTTGATGTCCTCATTGCAGATGTACAGTTTTGCCTGGACGCCACGAACGTGTTGTTCCAGGAGCGCGAGTCGTTGAACAAAGGGTTGCAGTTGCTTATCCCGAGGCGAGCTATTGTTGCCGTGGGTATCAATCCGAGGCAGGGTATCTAAATAGACCAAAGAAAAAAAAACAGTTGCGTCAGATCGCGTGCCACAATTCATCCTGACATCAACTGCGACACAGAGGCATGTTTTCTAGACCCGATAGTGAGGTTGCTCCTAACTTACATAATTCGGTATCCAGCACTTTGCTCAGTTCAGCAACCACATATTCAATTCCTTGGAGGCCCTCTTGGAGGACATCATGTACAACAGTCCAGTTCCGGTCATAGTCCTTGAGAGCATGGTGAAGTCCCTGACGTCCTTTCCTGCTCTTACGGCGAATCGATAACAGTTCACAGAGAAACTCCCGTCGGAATCCATGCATCTTTTGAAAGTTCTTTCGCAAGCGTTCCAGTGAAGTCATTTCGGGAGAAGAAGCCGTCGGAGAAGAGCCACCGGCATCGGCGTTCGAGTATATGCTAGATCGAGGTGAAACCATGGAGAGCGATCCCGAATCCGAGTCCTCTCCTTCAGAAGCAGACCAAGAGGTGTGATGGCGTCGAGCGGGCCGTCTTCCAAAGGCCAAAAATCGTTGTTGTTCGGCATTAATCAATGGGCTGTTGAGGCTGGGTTCGTGATAGCTTGAAGGTCGGCTCCGGTTTGATCCTCCTGTCAAGGTGCGGCTACGGCGTTTCGAGGTCGAGTGCTGTCGGGCGTGATGAGTGTAGTGCGAGGGCAGAGGCATATGGGCATCCGAGGTGGGCGAGGCAGTCAGGGTCAGAGAATCGTTGGCAAGGTGGTTGTTGTTGGCAGATTGGGTCTGGATAGTCAAATTGGCGAGGCGGTTGTCAGGCGTGCTGGGTGAAGCAAAGGTTCCAGTAATATGGGCTCCTCCACCTCCAGTCGCGTCCAGGTAACCGGGAGAGTTGGGTCGAGATGAGGGCGTAATGTTGTACATGTCCAACAAGGTGCTCAGGCGTTTATGGTCGATATGGGATTGCAAGGTTTCGGTCGATTTCTGGAACAGTGCGCCGCTCTTGAGAAGAGTAGCAACCAACTGCGCCCGGACCATGTTACAGCGTCGCGTCTTTGAAGCCTGCTCGATCCGGGAGATGGGCGCAAGTGGGGTCGATAGACGATAGCCTCTGGATACCAGCTCGATTTCCTGAATGACCATGATTGCTCGATTGACTTTGACGTCGAGGGACTGGCATTCATTGACAAGCAATTGGAGCGATCGAAGGGCCTGGTTCTGGGTAGTTTGGAGCTTACGGCGGTGCTATTATGCAAATATCGATCGAGAAACGCCATTCGTTAGTCCATCGTCACGACGCAGGCGTAGAGCAGGCAAAAAAAGAAAACAAAAAGAATAAAGGATTGTCAAAGGTGTTGTTGCGGAGGAACTTGAATAGACAATTTAGACTTACAATGATACGGAGCATCCATGCGGAGGATATAACAGTGAGGGTGATGGCAGCTGCGCGGCTCAAGAGAGTTTTGAGGATAGGCATTCGACCGACCCGTGTACGTGCCAGGGCCGATCGGGCAATGAGCGTTGCAAGCGTGCCGAATCCGAGGAGGTAGCCGAATCGACCAGGACTGAAATTGGCGGCGTATTCGATCGTGATGGGGGTGTCTGTGCGACGACCACGCTCGTGCGTGTGCAAGGTCGCAGCCTTGTTGAGGAAAGGGGATGTACAAATAAAGTACTTGAAACGTTCCTCAAACTCGGCATCCTCTGCGTCTGAAGCCGAAGGTGAGAACGTATGCTAATAGCCATGATTTGAGCAAGGGACAGGTAATCGGACAGGTGTGAGCAACGATACTTGGTAAAAAAACAAAACAAACAAAGGTCAAGAGGGCACATGAAAAAGGAGCTAAGGGCAACTGAGCTGAGGGAAGGGAACAAACAACAACCACGGGAGCAGGTGGGTTATGCAGGAAATAAACGGATCCGCGACATACCGTCAAGTACTCGATCAGATGGGTCAGCATGCCGACAGTGTTGTTGGCCATCCGCTTGCCGACTGAGTCAGGTTTCGGACCTGGCTCGCGAACAGGAACTGGTGAATGTTGTAGGTCAGGCCCATGCTGTTCCTCTTGAATGTCTATAGAAAGGTTGCGTGTTTCGGTACAAAAAGAGGGAAGAGAGGTCGAGGTTGAGTTTCAGGGAGGGGCGAATGGAATGACTTCGGAGATCCCGTTTTGGCGGTGGCACGAGGTAGGGTGCAGGTACCTTGCATATACTGGGCTAGAGGCGAGTCCTCGTAGACCACAATGTCTGCCATTGGTTGAAGAGGGTCAAAAGGTGATTTGTTCTTCTGGTGGCGGAAGGGCCCAGTCGAGGTAGGAAGGTGAGCAGCCCTTCAGTAGCTAGCGGGCCGAATCAACGCCGGTGGGAGGAGGAGCTGAATGGAGAGAGGGAGAGTATGAATTGTGGTCCGAATGAAAAGAGGCTTTTGGTTTTGGTGATGGCTAAGGTCCAGAGAGAGGTATAGTGTGAGTGGTGAACTGGAGGAGGTTGGTGTTGGAATTGCTGGTATGGTTGGTATGGAGCGAGCTGTCGCTGGAAGTAAAAAAATAAAGGGGGAGAGGGTGTACAAGGGCAACGTCTACCGACACGATCGAAGAAAGGAAAAAGGAGCAATGTAACGAAATGGGGAAATGTAAAAAGGGAAAGGCGGATGGTTGGGGGAGTGTTGATGCCAAGAGGTAAGTGAATGAGTGCGCGGTTGGTAAAAGGTGATGTGAAGTGGAGAAGAGTGAGAGGAGGGAGAGGTGGGTAAAGTCAAGAAGGGAGAGGAATCAGTCGTGTATGAATGAGGGGGTGTGTGAGTGGGGAATCGAGAATCGAGAATCGAGAATGGGACGAGAGAAGAGGGCTGAAGGGAAAGGAGGGGGATGTTGGACGGTGAAAAGGAATATAAAAAAAAGTAACATAAAGAACCATTGGGTCTGATGGGATACTGGAATGACAAGCAAAGAAGTACCGATAGGCCAAGAAAAAGAAAAAAAAAAGTCTCTGTCTCTCTCTCTCTCTCTCGTCTTCTCTATTCTCTTCCCTTCCTCTCGTGTTCCCTCCCTGGGATCCATCGTACCCTATTCTCTTCTTTCTTTCTCTCCTCTTTCTCTCCTCTTTCTCTCTTGGACGCTGCTATGCGAGACTATTGGACGAGACTACTGATCAACTGATGGGATAAGTCGAATGGCACACACCCTCTTCGTCTCACCCACTCACTGATCGCTGCTTGTGCCTGAAATTCTTTTTCTGGCAGGCAATCGCCAAGGGGACTCACGATCGACGAACAGAAGGACCCAAAAATACAAAGTATGACATCCGGCATTAATATCATTATTTTCACGCCCCTCCTTCAATTGAGAGCATTCATCTGTCCAGTTCTTTCTTGTACATATATGTTCTCTTGGTATCTGCGACAGTCGTTGGAGCATGCGCCTGCAGTTACTGCAATGGATCTGTTGCCTTCAAAATAAAAAAGAAAGAAATCCTCGCCACGGTCGTGTCTTTTCGAAAAAGGGTTGAGAACAGCTCGGCGTTAACAGAGTTCACTTTGTGGCATTCAAGTCAACAATAACGTTCTGTTATTATCCAAACACCGTCTACAAATGGAGTTTTAACCCCACATAAAATAACCTGCTGCCTGCTTCACCGGAAATAAGATAAAAAGCACGGCTCATCGCCTCATTTATGCGGGGGATACAAAGTGAGTAAGTCGATATCCTGGCCCCCCTCATTCACTCTCTATCTCACTGGGGCCATGGTCTTGGCGATACAATATTCTCAATTGCTTCTTGGCTGACTGTACTGCTGACACACTATTCACTTTAACAGAACGGTTTGTTATCCTACCGCATTTCGACTAGCGTTGACTAAACGCAAACACAAGAAAAACACCATTGTGCTCAAGTTCAGAGAATGGGTCGGTGAAGTTGTTGTGTGGCACATGCCAGAGGGACCCAGGGAAATCGAGCCAAAGGTGGAAAAAAATGAAGGGCACGATCCTTAGATATTTTATTTTATTTTAAGGTGAGAGAAGGTCCTCACCCTCTACAAAAATCAAAGCACATGGAATGGTTGCACACGCACCCTTTTCAGTTAGTTCCTCCCTATTTTGCTCAACAGCATTGGTGAAATAAACATGAGAGCATTTTATCAGTTCTCTTCATTGCGGTCCAAACCATGAAGCATCGTTGCGCATCAAGCAGGGTCGACGTTATCCCCTCATAATCAACATGCACACTTGCCCAATGGTTAATTATTAATATTCAGCTGACGAATATGTGCATACGCGACTCTTGATATCCTCAACAAGAATGACGTGGATGGATGAAGGTGACGGACTCTATCAATTGCCAAGAAAGAGTGAAAGAAGAAAAAACAAATGTCCGTGATGTGATCGAAAGCAAAGACCCTTCCCTTGAGCAGACAGAACTCTGAACAGAATAAAAAATTGCAATCACCGGCAAAGCTCCTGACTGGACCAGCTCGAAGGTCACATCATTGAGCAATTAGTATATGGATCATAGACGTTCTTTTTATGTCAGCTCCATTGTGGAGGTACACCCCAAAGATACAATGTGGGACGTGGAGTGTAATAGAAGAATCAAAAGCTGCCTCAAACAATACGCATATGTTATGTGGAGAATTGAGGGCTTATTCAGCGTGGCTGTGCTAAGTCCCAAAAGCGCTAAATCCACTCAGCACAGGAGACATCCTGCAAGAAACTACCTATCCGGCAGACCGACATACATACATACAGAATACCCATGCTAACGCATCAACCTACATAAGAAAGGACCCCGAATGAATCCATCCATCAGCACTCGTGTGCAGTCTACAAAAAAAATGGTTTCGCTTCTTTGTCTATTGTTTTTTGTTTTGTTTGGGATCTTCTTGTTGCAGCCACGCGTCATGAACACGGAGAGCGACAAAGCAATAATCGCCTCACTCCCAAACGCTGATGTAGTAAACAAGGGTCCACTAATGACATGTCATCCAAGAGTCTCCTCCCCCTTCCCTCATTCATTCCTCTCGCTCCCCCTTCATTTTCTCTCTCCCTTTTCACACACGCCTTCACTTCCCTCCACTTGTAGCCTCTCACTTGTATTCTATTCTCACTCTCCCTCACTTACTATCTTTCTCTCTCCCGCTTTTTCCATATTATCAAGGGTCGCAGAGTAGCCAGTCAGCACTGACAGAGCTAAAATGGGTCGTCAGAACATGGGTCTGGTATTAAAAAGGGTAATAGTCTCGCATGCTTCTTCGCCTTGTGTCCCCCGCCTCCCTTTTTCTGGGCAGGGACATCAACAACAAAAGCAAATACTAAGCCCACCTCATGGCACATTTGTTTGCCTGCCTACGCACCCTCAGTCTATCTCATCTATTACATGCCTCTCCTTGTATCTCTCTCTCTCTCTCTCTCCTCCCATCTCTCTGTTCCTCCCGCGCGCGCCCTCTCTTCTTCACTGTCGTGGCCCAAGTGCCACGCCAAACCCTTGCTCTCAATTGACAACTCGCTCTTATTTCTCCACATACCTCAATCACCCCCTTACATCATGACATCGACTCACTCTCTTATCATACCACCAATTCTCTCTCTCTCTCTCTCTCACTCACTCACTCCATAGCTCTTGTTTGACCCCTGAGTCTCCCTGTAATGCCTATCCGCACCCTCTTCCTTTTTTTGTTTGCTTTGCCATTGTCTTCAAATATGTGCATGTGCTGCCCCCTTCTCGCCCTACACCATGTTGAAGGCCTGATGATAGGAGTTCATTTTCCCCATTGGCATGAAGTGAAATAAGTAGTCAATGAATGTTCTTTATGGCTAGCTCCTTAGGAGGAGTGCACCTTCTTCTTTCTTCTCCTGCGTCTCTCCCCTTCTGTCTCCTCTTTGTCTGACTGTGCGTTATGAACCTTGGTTCTGTTCTTTAGGAATAAGTAACTAAAAGCAGGCAGCAAAGAGGAAAAGTGGAAGAGATGAAATGCTTAAGGGAGGACACTATCTTTCTACTGTGGAGGAATGATCTCCTCTACTCTGCACCACAAGGATGATGATTATCGCCTCCTTTCCTGCCTATTTCTTCCTCCTCCCTTGAGTTGTGTCTCTCCCTTCTCCCCTTTTGCCCAATGCACCCTTACACATACAAACAACGGGAGCAGAAAGAAAGGACCAAAGTTTCCTCTGTCTCCTGTCAAAGTTCCACCCTCCATCTCCAGAGAAACCAAAAAAAAAAAAAAAAATGTTCGTCAGGAGGCAGGAGGAGATACAGGCAGAGGAGGAAGAAAGTATACACTTGCAGCCCTCCTTTCTTCTTGATCTCAGGCTATTGTTGATGTTGAAGTGGGACCATGTTTTCAGAGAGAGAGAGAGAGAGAAAGAAAGAAACAAGAGCGGGAGACAGAACAAAAAGATACAAGGGTGATGGAACATTAATAGTGAGAGTGAGAGAATAAAAGAAAAGAAGAGGAGGCGATGATGCCCCATTCCATTCTTTCCCAGGAACACGCAGGGCAGCCTTGTGGCCTGCCGACCGCCTCCCCGAATGGGCCATGCGAAGAACCTTTCTCTTTCCTCCGGTCCCTTTTTTTTTCTTTTTTTTTGTGCCATTACTTTTTTTTTCTATGGCCCTTTGTCATTTTGCATCCCCTTTGTCCGTCAGTGACCCTTCTGCAAGAGAGTGTTGGTCCTCTGCTCTCTGCCACGACACACATACATGGACACGCCTTTTTCCGCCTTCTCTTCCTCTTCGTCTTGTTTTTCCTTCCCCTTTTGTCCACACCACATCAATCTCACTCCTCTTCTTCTTTGCCTTCCCCCTTCACCTCTATGCCTTTTTTTCTCTTCCTTTTTCTACAACTCAATTCATTCTTTTCTTTCTTCCACTTTGGCCTATCTCGCGCGTTCTTCATCATTTTCCCACCATTTCCCGCTGTTGTTGTTTTGTTTTCATTGTTATAGTAGCTGTTAATAGTGTTGTTGCAAACATTTCCACAACGGAACCAAACAACACTTGAAACGACAAACAGTAACAGACCAGCCAGAAACAAAAGTGAAAAGAAAGACGATTCATTTTGTGGCCCGCATCCTTTTTTCTTTGTGATAAATACTGGACCCTTTTTTTCCTTCTTCCCTTCTTTTCTACGTTCACCGCCTTCTTGGACAGAAGCCAGCTCAGCTCCATCCTCGCTCCTTTTTTCCTCTCCTCCTACCGCCTCTTCCTCCCTCACTCTCTGTCCTACTCATTCATCACAGGACTTTCAGTTCAATCAACTACAACCGCCATCGCCAACCTCTTACCGTCATCTTCACTTCTCAACTCTTGCTTTTGTTTCTTTCTTTCCTCTTCCTCTCTCTCTTCTTCCAACCTTTTTTCTTCTTCCTCTTTACCTCTTTCCTTCCTCCCCTCAACTAATCAACCATGAAGACTCGCGCAGCGCTGCCCCCGCTGAACACCTGTCACCACTCCATGGAGCACTCCATGGAGAGGATGACCTTCAACTCGCCCAACCCTTCGTCAGCCGCATCTTCCGTCTCCATGGCTTCCATCCATGGTAACAATTATCCTCACCACCACCACCCTTTTGCCTTCACCTCTGCCGCCATGCACTCTCACCCCCAACTCAACTACAACGACGGTCCCTGGCAGCGCCATGAGGTAAGAAAAACAGTAACAGCAGACTGCTGCAGCAGCAGTAGCAACAAACAAACAGGAATAACCAATCCATCTCAAACAATATTCCTCTGCATGTTATTTTTTGGCCTTCCCGCCACCTACCCTTCACCCAGAGCTTTCTTTTCCTTGGCCCATCACCCACTCCCTTTCTCTCCATCCATCTATATCTCCCTTTTTCTTTCTCCTATCTTTTTTCCTTCCTCTATGTTCTCCTGGGAACGTGCTATTTTGTGTGTGCGTGTGTGTGTTTCTTACTCCCTACCTTACACCAAGGGAATGACACACTAACCGCCTCCATAGGCGCGCGTGTGCGGTAATCGCTTCCTCTTCCTCTAACCCATAACCCCAAGCTGCCCTGAAAAATTGACGTGCGGTGCAATGGTGTTCTCTTTTCCTCCTCCCTCCCCTCCCTTTCCCCACTTTTCCACATTCTCTTTGGGCTAATTTAAAGGGGGCGATCCCCTTTTTCTCATCCCGCGGAAAAAATATAGTTTTGTCACTAATGGACGCAAGACGAACACCGTGAACTGATCATACCCTCAAACGCACGGTCCAACGCGTTTCGCGATTATTATTTCAATTGCTTCTTGATGTGATAGGACCATTTGTTGAACGAGGCTGTCAACACTTATGGCACAAAGTCATGGAAGTCCGTCGCTGACTATGCCTTCCCGGACGGATCCAGAGACCGCAACGAATGCATGCATCGATGGAGGGCCCTTTCCTCTATTCGGCCCCGTCAGGTCAAAGGTCCCTGGACTGATGAGGTAACCTTACACACTCATACATACACTCTACCCTTCTTCATCTCCTCATCTCGCATGTCGATTATCTCACCTACAGTAGTACACAGTGGCAGTTACAGGGACAAGGGGGACAAGGAGGCCAAGAATGTTAACCAGGTGTTATTTTTATCTTTTTCTTTGTATGACTATATAGGAGGACAGAAAGCTCCGTGAGCTCGTGAACGAGTACGGCCCTGAGAAGTGGGTCTTCATTGCCTCCAGGATCGGATCTCGAACCGGAAAGCAATGCCGCGAGAGATGGCATAACCACCTCGACCCTCTGAGTAAGCCATCCATCTCACTATGTGGTTGCGTGTTTGTTTTGTTTTCTTCGTCTCCCCTTTTCTTTTTTTGCAGAAAATGAATGACAAAAAAAACTCGTTGGGTCCTTGTCATTAACATGCATGATCTCACTTTTCCCCCCCTCCCTCCCTTCCTTCCCTTCCTTTCCCTCCCTCCCTGGCTACCTCCCTCTCTCTCCCTCTCTTTCTTTCCCTCGTTTTCACATTTCTCTATCTTTTCACTCGCTTACGTGTTAAACAAATCCTCCTCCATCTAACGTGTATCCACACACAGTCAACAAAGCCCCTTTCACTCATGAAGAAGACCTGCGTATCTTGGAGCTCTACAACCAGCTCGGATCCAAGTGGGCCGAGATGGCCAAACATATGCCCGGGCGCCCGGATAATGCAATCAAGAACCATTTCAACACGACCATGCAACGCAAGAAGCGTCGTATGTCCATGCCTATTATCCATTCCGATTACCCCTATCGTCATAACCAGATCCACCCTGCTCTTCGTCATCACAGCAATAGTGGCAACAACCATAACGGTCAACAGCAGTTCTTGCCTGCATCTTCTGGATTCAGAGCCGGTCCTGGTCTTGCCGCTGTTGTTGGTGGTAATGATGCTCCTCAACCCACATCAGCAACTACCTCGCCTTCATCGACATCCTCAACTTCGCCCCTGGGACCCGGCATGTCGATGCCTGACGGAGGAAACGGACCCTTCCATATGCCCAATGCGATGGCCCGCTTCATGCCTTACGAACGTCGTCACTCCCTGCCCATCTCCAGCATCTTGGCCCCTTCTTCATCCAACTCCCTCCCCTCCCCTCCATCATCGTCCCACAACAGCACCAACAACAGCGGCAGTTTGATTCTCCCCTCGCCCCCCAAAACCCCCGATGTCAACCGTCGCAAGAGCACACTCTCGTCCTGGTGCATCACCCCACCTCCTGGTCGGACCCAATTCGGAAGCAATGCCATGCAGACCCCTTACACCTTCTCAGCCTCTTCGTCCTCCATCTTCTCTGCATCGTCATCATCACCCTCGTTGGGCGGCTCTCCTATCTCCAACAATAGCATAACCCTGCCTGGAATTGCATCCTTCGCGCATGCTTCCGAACACAACCAACAACAACAATCACCCACACCGTCGTTGCCCTTGTTCAGACATAGAAATGGCTCCCTCCCTTCCCTTCATCACCCCTTGGATCCCCCCAACCCTATCATGAAGAGGAGCGCGTCCAACCCCACGACCTCTATCCATTATCACCAATCCTCCTTCGGTGGTAATTTCACGCCCTCAAACTCTGCCTCATCCTTGGCGACCTCCCCTCCTTCCCTGCTGTCCAGCTCGTTTTCCTCGCAGCAAAAGATGCCTCCTTCTTCGTCCATCATTCCTTCAGTCCGACATATCCAGGCAGTCGTCGTCGAGAATGACTGTGGCCGCGCCCTGAAACGCGAACCTAGCCAAGAGCGCTTCCAGCACCACCAAAACCATGGCCACATCGAGTACCGCCAACGTCATTACAATCATACCGACGAAGAGGACGAAGATATGCTCTCCTCCGACCAAGAGTCGATCGGTCTGACTGAGGATGAGGACCTTGACGAAAAGGATCATGATGACCTTGATGAGGATGACAAGGATGATGGCCCTGATGAGGACGAAGAAGAGGAAGAAGAGATGGCCTCTGGAATTGTCCATCACCCCGGTCGTCGGATCTACAGCCACTCGGGCGTCAATGTCATGTCGATCGAAAACCTTGTTGGACCCTCTGCCTAGAAACGCGCCCCTCATTATTTTTTATTTCATGTGATAATGTGCTGTTTTCTTTTACTTTTCTTTTCTATGAGTGATGTTTTCCCCCTTCCTTTCTCTTCTGTACATTCTTCGCACCGCCTTAACGTATACCCCTCCTCCAAATCATTCATCTTCCTCATGTATCTCACTCGTACCTCACCTCCCTTTTCTTCAGTACATATCAAGCATCCTCCCATCTTCCCTCATTTCTTTTTTTGTTCCAATTACTTTCTGTTCTACTATTTGCCCTCTTCATTCATTTCTTTAATTCATGAGCATTTTTTTTATGTATTTCCATCACCATAACCCCTCCTCCTGCACTGTAGAATCTTCCCCAGTCACGCCAAGCATCAGACTTTCATGTACATGCACACTGCATGCACACTACATGCACACTCACATCCATTACAATTATCATGCACCAAAAAAGAACGGGCCTCAACATTGTAGCGCACGTTTTCCCCCCCCCCCCCTTCTTTCATATTCTGTACGATACCCCCATTGCCATGCATCCATTAAAGACGACCCTTTTTTCTATATCTCGTGTCCCCTGTTGAGAACAGCAATGGTATATTTTGAAGGCAAGTTGAGCGTGTGAAGAGTAAGTAAGTTTGAATGAGTGAGCGAGGATGAGATTATTAATTGGGTGAAAAGAGTGGAAACGTGTAAAAAGAAAAAAGCAGAACGCGAAGGAAAGGGGAATAGTCATTGAAAAGTAACATAAAAGCAAAACAGTACACTAACAAAATAGTAGAGAAAATAACGAAAACGGCGCAAAATAAAAGAATACGAAAAAAGAGAGAGAAGAAAAAAGTAGAAAAGAGTAAAGAAAAGAGTGGATAACTCCAATGGACAAAGAAATGACTTCTCATCATCCGGCAATCTTCCACAGCTTGAGGTTGCCATCCTTGCCGGCACTCGCACTCGCCAACACAAGCACATTCTCGCCATCCAGATGACTCGACGTGCAGGCCAGCGCCGTCACCGCTGCTCCCGGATGCGCCTGAGGCTCCGTCACAGGTCCTGTGCCCATAAACCGGCCAGATCCAAACGCCCACGTCCATATCTTCTCATACTCGCCATAAACAAGACGCGTCGACTGTGTCGAAGCAACAGTGCTCGCCCCTCCTGCCGCACCACCGTATGTCTTTACGAATGCACAGCTGCTGATTTTCTGCAACTGCTGAGATGCCAGCACGCGCCATTGGGCTGTTTGCGTTGTATCCCAAACACACACCTGGTCCTCCGACGCCGTCGCCAAATGATGTCCCTGCATCGACCAGTCCAGCGTCAAAATGTTCTTCTTATGGGTCGTATCGATCGCGCGAGGTTGAGAGTTCGGGTCATTGATGTTGACCACATAGAGCGACTTGCCCAACGCAACGGCAATAATGTTGGGGTTCTGAGGGTGATACCGAACGGGCTTTGATGAATACACTTGCTTCTCCAACTAAATAGAATCAAGGACGATGGTTGATGTTATTAGCGCAAGGTGTCAGATACAATATTGCTGTGATATGAAATGCGACAATTGCAACAGGATACATACCATCTTGTTGATAACCCGTTCGCAGTCGCCGGTAATAAAATTCCAGATACGCAGCTCGCCGTCAAAGTCACAGGACACACAACGATTGCTTCCGACCATCGGACAAAAGTCCACCGCCGTCACCGTCATCTTGTGACCTTTGAGAACACTAATCGACCTCGCCGTCATTGATGCTCCCTGCGCCAACGGCGTCAAGTCCCAGATCCGTACTGTGTTATCATGTGATGTCGTACCCAGAATAAGTCGATCGTCCGAACAGAACCGTGCGTTCGTCACCTGCCCTGTATGCCCCTCTGGTCCATCAATCGTGCACTTGAGCTCCTTGGTGGCCACGGACCAAATCAACACTTTCTTATCTACTCCTGCACTCGCCAACCACTGCCCATCAGACGAGAATGCGCATGTGCTCACTTTCTGTCCATGCCCAGCCATATTTGCAAATAACTGCAATTGCGAATCATGAGGCGATGTTGTCTGCATGTCTATTGTATCAAATAAGAAAAAGGCAATTCGAGTTTCCGTGTGAGTAGATCATGTTGTTTTTTTTTCCTCAACGCATGCTTAAACCAAGAGAGCGGGAGCAAAAGCAAGAGATGCGAAAAAGAAAAAAAATATCAAAGGATGCCATACACCACTTTATACTCTTCACAAACCTTCGTTCCTGATATTCAGCAAATTGACGTTCCCAAACGCGTCAACACCCTCATCGTCCATCTGAAGGCCATCGCTCTCGATATTCTCAAACTCCCCATTGTCCGTCAACAGATTCTGGATCCTACCGATCTCATCCACGCCCCCAGAGTTCATCGTCATGTTCTCCAGTCCTGTTGAAACGGGCGAGATGATGGCTCCAGGGTTGCCACCTTGACTACCTGCGGCCCCTGCAAAGTCCTACGACGCGTTAAAATAAGCTCGACGTAAGATTTCCGTTCAGAAAAGAGTATGCAGTACTCAGAATGTATCAGCATATCATCTTTCTCATACCGTCTGCTGCTGAGACATCATAGAGGGTTGTCTCTGGAGTGCTTGCTGCTGACGCCCCCATAGCATTTGCTGCTTCTTTTGCGCTTCCTGCTGAGCATGCAACTGCTGCTGCTGGGTCATGCGAGCGCGGTTAGTGGGCGATCCGATGCTCATGGGAGTTCCAGGATGAGTGTTTCCGCCTGGTGATTGCATCGAGTTAATTCTTTCTCGCATCGCTTGGTTGGTAGGTGAAGAAACATGCTGGGGATTCGGATCCTGGCCAGGTGTAGCGCCAGGAACACCTGCTAATGAATCATTCGGTCCGTGCAGTCCATTCGGTACGCTGCTCTGGGGGATAGGGCTGTGGCCGGCCTTGATCTGAGAAGAGTCTTGTGGTGTTTGTGGTCCCGGAGTTCCCTGCTGCTGGAGATACATTTGTTGCTGCTGCTGCTGCTGTTGTTGTTGTTGTTGCTGCTGCTGTTGTTGCTGCTGCTGCAGGTGCATATGTTGCATTTGCAATTGTTGCTGCAGTCGCTGTTGGTTAGCTTGCTGGTTGGCTTGCTGGATTTGCTGAGCTTGTCGTGCCTGGAGTTGCGTTTGAGTCATCATGGCAGGCGACATTTGAGGGTTGCCGGTGGGCGGTTGAATGGGCACTGCAGCTGCTGATCCAATAGTGGGACTCATTCCAGGCCGAACGGGAGACCCAGCCATCATGGGTCGGATGTGAGGGTTCATCCCGCTCATGGCCGCCATCTGCTGTTGTTGCTGCTGCTGCTGCTGTGCTCTTTGGATCTGCATCTGCATCTGCAGCTGTTGCTGTTGCTGGACTTGCTGAAGGTTGTGCTGTTGAATTTGCTGCTGGTTAAGCTGTTGCTGCTGGACTTGTTGTTGCTGCTGCTGTTGCAATTGTTGCTGCTGTTGCATTTGTTGCTGATGCTGCATCTGAGGGGTCATTTGTTGTCCTGGCGGTGGGGGGTGGGACTGGTTCTGATGAGCTGGCTGACCTCCTTGACCATGAAGCTGATGAATGTGCGAGACGTTGGGACTCGCAAATCCATTAGCGGGGGTGGCGCCTGGGGTGGCAGGCATCGCGAACTGACCAGGCGTATTTACCACAACAGCTGCTTGTACAGCCGGAGATGCCATCTCTGCCACAGTAGGATCCGCAGATGGCTCCTTCTTTACCGCCTTTTTCCGCCTGTTCCCCTTTGTAGTTGTCTCGGGCACGGTAGCTGGCTGAGCGCTTGGTGTCGTCGGGGATCCAACCATGTTGGGAGAATTTGTATTGGCTGCCATCAATGCGCTGTTGTGCTGGAGAGGCGTCGCATGTCCTGCTTGACCGATAACAGGAGAAAACGCGCCCGCAGAGTTGTTCCGAACACGCTTTCTATCCTGTGGCGAGTCCATCTGAGGATCCATCCCGTTTGGCCCAGGTGACGCATGGTCGACTCCCTATTTGATATAGAGTAGCAAAAACGAAGTATGGTTGTTAGGTTTTAATTCTGAGACATGCAAAGGAAACAAAAAAACTAAAATAGCATGCCCTGAGTTAATCTTATATTGGGATGCCTACAGGAATACCGCCCGCTGCTCTAGCAGCAGCCATTTGCTGCATCTGTTGGAGTTGCAGTGGCAGCTTCTGCTGTCCTGGCTGGGTTTGCTGCTGCTGAATTTGTTGGTGCTGAAGATGCTGTTGCATCTGCTGCAGCTGAATCTGTTGTCCCTGTTGCTGTTGCTGTTGCTGGAGCTGGTGCAACTGCTGCAATTGTTGTTGTTGCTGTTGCTGCTGTTGTTGTTGCTGTTGCTGCTGCTGTTGGTGTTGCTGATTTTGCTGCTGTTGCTGATTTTGCTGCTGAAGCATTTGCTGCTGTTGAATAAGCTGCTGCTGCTGATGTTGCTGCTGCTGCTTTATCAACATATTCTTGTGCGCCGGACTCATCATCACCCTAAAGACAATAAACAATACGGAATACCAGAATGACAAGCAGGTTAGTACCCAGATCGAACTCGATATCTTTCTTTCTAGACTCATCGCGGCATTCCAGGCTTACGGTGGACGAATCGGTTGTCCCTGTGTAGGTTTCTGGCCCATCTAGATAAGACAAAACACAAGATCCACACATGAGTGATTTTTTTCTTTGTTGACCCCTCAATTGTTTTCTGCTTTAAACAGTTGCTATTACTTCGCTTACAGGATCCGTTGGTCCTCCTTGAGACGTTGCCTGGGCGGAGGCAAACTGTGGAGATGCGTTGACTGTTACTACTCCGGTCTGTTGTGGTTGCTGATGCTGAGGGTGCGGTGATTGCATGTGAACTGTGTGGGGAGACTGAATAGTATTGGGTGTCATCCCTGGTGTCATACTTGGATGTTGGTTTGGAATCCCCATCTGCATCGGTTGACCCTGCTGACCCTGTTGTGCCTGCGCCTGCTGTGCCTGCTGTGCTTGCTGTGCCTGAAGCTGTTGCTTCTGGTGGAGCTGAAGTTGGTGTTGCTGCTGGAGATGTTGCTGCTGATGGAGATGTTGAAGTTGCTGCTGCTGAGTGGGCGCTAGTTGTTGACCTTGCATTGGTCCCCTGAGCTGGAATGGAATCTGACCCTGCCGAGCCCACTGCCGTGCCAACGGATTAATCTAAACATTCAAACATGAAGTCGTTAGATCTCTATAGGATGCGCCTGATATCGGCTCCATTGAATGCGAAATGCAAGAAACATTGCTACTCCTGACGCAATTACCTCCATGTATGACACTGCATCCTTGCTTGCTAAACTGCTTTGCTGAGGCTGGCTAGCATTCCAGCAATCCCAGAATACATTGAACCACTCGTAGAGAAATCCTTCTGGACTGTCGTAAGGTACTTTAACGTCAGGCCCGACCTGGGCCTCGGATGCGAATGCTGCTGCTGCCGCCTGGAAGTTGCGCTTGACACAATAATCGTAGATATAGAGACTATTGACGAGATAAAGGCAAACACACAAACATGCAAACAAAAAAAAGCCTGGGTTAATAAACGAACATGACGTTTGGTGAAAGGCTCTGGCTGACTTTTTTTTCTTTTTTCTTTTTTCTTTTTTTTTGGTTTCCCTTGGAGAACAATGATCATTGAGAGCCCTCTTTGTGGACAGAGGATAATATTGTGCTCAGACAAAGGGCAATTGATGGTCAGGCACCCTCCTCTCCTCCTCTTCTTTTCTCCTCTCCTTCGTGGTCTGGCAACCCAGCAAGCTTCCTGGCTGGCTCACTGGTGGTCCTTCTTGGTCACCCCCAAGTCCGTTCCCGTCTTGGATCGACCCCCGAAATGAAAAGCTCCGCTCCAACGTCCATGTAACAGTAAAGTGGGTGCTGTTCGCCCTCTCCTGAGAAAGTTGTTGGATCATCTGCCCACCCTCACTCCCTTTTCCTCAGAGTGGTTGTGGCAAGTCAGATCTTTCTGGCTCCCAGTGCCCCTGGTACAGAACACATGTTTGGATATGAATGAATAAAACATCAATGGGCGAGACACTATATTCATCAACAGTGTCCTGTCCTCCTGATTTAAAAAAGAAAGTCCCTGTTGTCCAGACAGCCCAAAGGTACAATAGCTGTGTAGCCAACAACCGAAACGACGCGCTCCACGTTGTCGTTTTGACCTTATTGCTGATCTCGTTTGTTGTCGGTCGTTGCTGTTTCTTCTTCGCTGTTGATGCAAAAGAGTTTTTCTCTATCGTTAAACGTGTGTGCGACCCACTTGGTCCCCTTTGTTGTTGCTGTTGTTGTTGTTGTTGCTGTTGTTCATTATGTTACTTTTGGTGTTGTGTACATTCGATCGCCAAGAGGAAAAAAAAAACAATATAAAAAAGGAGTTCACGATCCCAGCCAAGATTCACCTTCACCCCTTTTCCCCTCTTCATGAACGACAATTGTGTTACGCGCTCGACATTCGTAACTATTGCCTCAAGGGAACAGAAAAAAAAATGTTGGACTGATTTGACTCGGTGTAGTTTTGATTCACCATTCAAAAACCCTCATAAACACAACGCAATTCCCAAATACTGTAACACGGGTCTGCCAAAGAGGGAGGTGTGAGAGACAAAGGCACACAAGGTGATGAACAAGAAACGGAAAAAAGGGAAGGGGAGGGGGGGAGGAAGAGGGAATAAAAAATATGCAGAGACGACTAAGCGAGGGTATGTAGCGGAAAGGGAGAGTAAGGTGGTAGGGTGGTGTGTGAGTGTGAGTGTGGTGAGTATGAGCGCGAGTGTGAATGTGAGGCATACTTTATCATACGATCGCTGTCCCAGCTTCCTGGCTTCCGTTGCTGGGACTGTGCCATGGAGGAGAGTGGGAGCGAAGACAGAATCCTGATTGGACGATGGTTGCAATCGCGGCCTGTAGAAAAGGATTGGGGTCGGAGGAAAGACTCTTGCTATGATTGCCAGGTGATGCTGGTTGTTGACGAAGAGCGCTTGTTGTATGAGGTCAAGAGGACGGTGTGAGAGAGTGGGAAAGAGAGACAAGAGGATAAGTCGGTAAAAGGGCAAGAAGAGTATATGAGTGAGGGTGTGAGCGTGGTGATACGACAGAAGGAGCAGTCAAGGTTAGGTCGAGTCGAGTTAGAAGGAAGTAAAGAGAAGAGAAAGGACAAAAAGGGAGGGAAGAAGGGAAAAGGAGAGAGAGACAGAGAGACAGAGAAGGGAAAGAAGGAAAATGAAGCAAAGAAGGAAAGAAGGAAAGAAGGAAAGTGGGAGATGGGAAGGGGAAGGGGAGGGGAAGGGAGAGACAGAGAAGAAGAGCACTAAGAATAAGAAAGAGAACAAGAGAGACAGAAGGAACACGACCAAGAAGAAAATAAGGGTGATTAAAAATTGATAAAAGAATCGTTCATTTCCACTTGCTTCTTTCGAGAATAAAAGTACACGATTCATTTGCTCGCTTGGCAGTAATCACAAAGAGAACTGGCGACAGTGATGGTGATGATGATGATGGTGATGATGATGGTGATGCTTGATGCTTGATGCTTGTTGTTTGACGTTTGATGTTTGGTGATAACTGATAATTGATCATTGATATACTGATTCCTGGCGGCTGGATCGAATTACAAGCAACCATCCCACCCAGGGGTCAACAAGGGGGAGGGACAGGTAAGGAGAAACGGGAGACAGAGGAAAAGGAATGAAAGAAAAGGCGAAAAAGGAGGCGAAAAAAAGATGCCGGTCAGTAACCGCAAGGGAAATAGAAAACAGAACGGAAACGGAATGGGGGTAGAGGAGCAGCAACGACGACAAGGGGGGTAAAGGAGGAGTGAGAGTGATAGGTGATGACTGGTGGAACGAATGATCAGAGTGATGGAAGTCTGTCTTACTTTTGTGAATTTGGCTCTCTCTCTTTCTCTCTCTCTCTCTCTCTCTTTTTTTTTTGTCTCTTTCTTTCTTTCTTTCTCGCTGTTGGTGGTCGCACACACTCTCACAATTGTAGAAGATATCAAGACAAAGACATCGACACAAAAATGCTCAGAGAGAGGCATGACGAAAGAACAAATGGCAGTGTTGGCTCTTCTTCTCCCACAAGGCACAGTGGGGCGGGGAAATCGCTTATCGACGGGAAGGTTGAGTGGCACTTGCTCTTGCTGACGACAGCAGGACCAGCATCGATTGATCCTTCTTTCGGTTGCTATTATTGCCAAATGGACAATTAGAAGGAAAGATGGCAAGGGTGGGTGAATGCTCCCTTCGTCCTTTACATTCGTGTCGTCATCACTTACATTCCTGCAATGGGTTCGATTGAGCAAATGGAACACAGGGCCCCAGGCTAGGCAAATAAGAGCAGCGACGCTCGTTAGTCTTATCACCCTCGTTGAGAGAATAGGATATGACTTGACATGTAGGAGCTCATGCTCAAAACACCTGATCTGTGCCTTAACAAAGGAACGAAAAAGGCAGAAAGGAATGAAGATGTCGCACAAGTATCTAAACCATTGTCTGATTTATTTTTGACGATCCGCCTCCTCCTTCCGCTGCATATTACAAAATGAAGAGAAAGTAGCCTTAACCTATGCCTTTTCTTTTGTTCTAAATGCCCCTTCCTTACCTTTCTTTATCTTTGTACGAGACCAATTACCAATTAGTGCGACGGCAAGATATTGGCCTAAAGGCGATGCATCCAACATGCGACCATGCAACGGTCTTTTTTTATTCTGCCCAGTAAGCATAGCCCTGCTCTCTTTGTCTGGGTTATTTTTGACGTGGTAAGAAGTATATCTAACCGCCGCTAATTCATCTCTTTAATAGCTAGCCCCATCTCTGTCTCGAGAGAAAGTGATCTCGGCGGTGAGTAACCCATTCACGCCGCCAAGGGAAACACAGCACGCTCGCGTGGCAAAGGCGGCGAATTGAATCGCAGCTTGCGAGATCGACCGTTCAAGGGGACAGACCATGACTCAATGTCTGCGCAACTACCTTTACTTGATCACAGCACGCCCTCGGCTGCATTGCGCCGGCTGCACTTCCCTTGGAGTGACTGGACCAAACTATGTGGGGACATGGGAGTATTCATAAATCAATATGCGTGTGAAAAAGGAATTATTGCGAGAAATGACCCCTGCCGCGTTGATAAAGAAAGGAGCCAAAAGGCGAATGAAATCCATCTCGACGCGTCAGAACGGTATTCTTCCATCCAGAAACCGCATTGCCCTCCCACTAATGCGCATTCAAACCCACCCAATTCCACCTTGCGCGACTCTTACTACACCTAGGAGATCGACATAGGTTGAAGGCGTCCCCATATCCCCACAACCTAACTAAAGAGTCTTGAGCGCATCCGAATGAAACCTATTGCCCCGGTTTACTCTAAGGTAGGCCCTTGGAGGAGGAACCTTCGTCCTGACTAACTTTTAAACCAATTGACGCTGTGTGCTCCTCCTTCCCCCTTCTATGAGGTGACGGCTAGACCGAAGCCAAGCACGAAAAGAGAAAGAGAAAGTAAGAGGGAGAAGTGAAGGCCCAAACGCACAGTTATCGATGTGTTCTTTTTTTCTCATCGGCTCCACTTTTAGCGAAATGTACCTCCAATTGTTTGTTAGTCACACAGGACGCTCACTCTGGGTAAACGACAGTCAGCCATCTCCACCAAACAGAGGCAACATTTTCGACCCAAACTCAAACGAAAGACGAGCATTTAGGCTTTCTCGAACTCTGAACGCGGAAGGGTTCAAGAGTGGAAAAAAGAAAAAAAAAAGAGTGCATGGAGTAGAACGGCGAACAACCCATTTCCTGGCTAAACTTGAAAAGAACAAACGGAATGCACCCAAGTCGATCGCGTGTCACCAAACACCCCTCCCACCAACCACATATAAGGTCGAAAGCATAACGTCTCTTTTTCTTCCTCTTTTTTTCTCACTCGCCTCAACTTTCCTCTTCTCCCACACTTCTCCCAAAACCTTCCCACACATCCTTTCACACTTTCCTGTCTCCTCCATGACCAACACCATTTCCGCCGGAGATCCCAAGATTGCCAACGATGTCAAGCAAGCCATTGACAGCGAGACTGCCACCCTCCGTGAAGTCAGCTTGCAGGTACGCAAAATACATGTTTTTTCTCGCCACTTCTTTCCCCCTATGTCGCATGCCATCCTGATTCTCATCTCCCTCCATCCCATTTTTCAATTAACGACATAGATTCACAGCAACCCCGAGCTGGGATACGAGGAGGTCTTTGCGCACAAGATCCTGACCGATTACATCGAGGAGCGAGGATTTACCGTGACCCGGCATGCTTACGACCTCAAGACCGCCTTTGTTGCCGAGTACGTATCGCCTGCTGCTAAGGCATTGATCGCCGATGGACACGGTGATAAGGTCCGAACCATCGGTTTCATCAGTGAGGTAAGAATGAAAAACAAGGAACATTTTCTGGCGCTCTCTATGGTTCCTCTACTCATTTTTCGACGAACTTCATTCAAAATACTCACAAACTATTCGTTTTTCCTTCATTTACCATGCTCCCTTCGGCTTTTGCAGATGGACGCCCTTCCCTTCGGTGATGCAAAAGGGCACGCTTGCGGACATAACCTGATTGCAATCGGTACAAGAATCATTGAGCATGCAATCCCCGTTTTTTCCGCTTTCTTCCCTTTTCCTCATCTTTGCGCGTGAAACTTACCTTTTTTTTTTCTCATTTTCTCTCATGGATAGTCGGGCTGGCCTCTGCCGTAGGTACCAAGGTTGCTCTTGAGAAGAACAACCTCATCGGACGCATCAAGTTGTTTGGAACCCCAGCTGAGGAGACCACTGGAGGCAAGATCGATATGATCAACAAGGGCGCTTTCGAAGGATTGGATGCCTGCATGATGTCCCATCCTGCTCCTGCTGATGTCGTCTACTGCACCATCCTGTCGGTTGGAGGCATGACCGTCGAGTACTTTGGAAAGGCTTCCCACGCCTCTGCATCGCCCTGGGAAGGTAAAATAAGAAAATTGAAGATTGGATGCTTTTGTTGTTCGCGCTGCTTATTCAACTGAACAAAATTTTTCATTTTTTTCTGTGCCATGTTTTGACAACAAACAAATAGGCGTCAATGCATTGGATGCTATGGTCCACGCCTACAACGGACTCGCCCTTGTTCGTCAACAAACCGCTCCCACAAGCCGCATCCACTGTGTCATCACTAACGGAGGCGCCGCCGCCAACAGTAAGCAAATCCTTTTTTTCTGGCACACTGGCGACCGTTATCAACTGATGGATACTGATCAACTGATGTATGCTGATATGCTGATATACATGGACTGATAATCAACCTGGACTATTCCTCTTTTACCTTTACCATTGTACACTAGTTATTCCTGACTACGCCTCTGGAAAGATCATGTACCGTGCAACCAGCGCTGACGATCACGCCAAGGTCTACGATGCCGTCATGAAGGTCGTCAACGCCGCTGCTGACGCAACAGGATGCACCGTCAAGATCACCAAGGAGATGGAGTACCAGCCCGTGCCCATCAATGAACACCTCGCCAGCAGATACGCCTCCTACACCGCCGGCCTCGGAGTCAAGTACCTCCCTCGTGCTGTCCAGGAGTCTCTCCCATCTGGCTCGACCGATATGGGTAACGTCGCTCACGTCGTCCCTGGAATCCACCCCGTCTTCAACATTGTTGGTCTCAACGGCGAGATCGACCGCTCCGTTTCGAACCATTCGTTCGGGTTTGTGGCGCAGGCAAAGGCTGAGGTTGCTCATGAGGCCAGCTTGCGCTCAGCCAAGGGTTTGGCTCTCACTGGCTTGGATGTCTTGATCGAAGAAGGTTTCGCCGCCTCCATCAAGGATTCATTTGAGAGGCAGGTCCCCAAGGGAAGCTCAGGATTGTCGTCTCTTGAGCAGAAGTTCAAGGCTATGGCTGGCATTGGAGCAGGATGCGGATGCCACTAAAGTGTTGGAAAAAATACCCAGTGTCAGTACCAGTGCGGAACAAAATAAAATATTGAACAACTCCACCCTTCCATCTCACATATACTCGTATACCACTATACCACTATACCACTATACCATAATGCAGTTGTTTTTCGTCCTTGTCACCGAGCCTTGTCCCTTGTTTGCGGTGTGCCTGTTTTTTTCGCTTTCAGTTTTTTTCTTTGTATTATTTCTCTAACAAACAGGACAAAGGCGGTATTTGGAAGTAACGGAGATCCTTCCCATCCTCTCCTTCATTGACAATCTCCTCCTTCCTAACAAACTCTCCAACAACCGCTCGTCAGCAGCGCGTGGATCCTTGGTCGCTCCAGGGCGTCTTCCTTCATCATGTGTGACTAGCGAAGCGCCACACGGGCAGAAACCATCACGGGTGATGTAACAGTATCCTTGACTCCAGTCACCTTGGGGACCTGTGCACTTGGATGTCATGTCCTTGGCAGATATGCTGGGGTCTGACTTCCATTTAATATTATTTTTTCAATAGCTTTCATTTTGATTATTTTATTGGCAGATTCATTTTATTGAGGGTATGCCAAAAAAATTTGGGATAATTCATATTACGAAGGTAATATGGGTCGAGAGTACAAAAATGACAGAAAATATCAAATTTCAACAAACCAACAGATGATTGGCTGTCGCTTAGCTTTGGCTTAGTACGGCTCGCTTAGCTTAGTCGGTAGAGCGTTGTGCTAATAACGCAAAGGCCGCAGGTTCGATCCCTGCAGTGAGCATCATCAGATCTTTCGAGATTCTCTTTTTGCAGGGCTGCTCGGCCCGATTCTCTTTTTGCTGGACGTTCTAGGATCACGCGAATGGTGCTGCTGGCCTTTCTTTTTTGGATTGACACGTTCTGTGGACGTGTCTGTTATCTCTCGATTGGCACTGTTGTGTGGGAGTAACGACGAAAAGTTTGCGGCTCCATCTTATCTTCTATTTTGCTGAATGGCTTTACAAATGCCAATGAAAAAAAGTCGGATCCATGGTGCCACAGCATATCTGATGATTATGGATGAAAAAGAAGCCGATGTGCTTATCAATGATGTTTTGCCCGAATAAGGCATTCAATGGTAAAATGACAAACGATATTTTGCGACAGGCTGAGCCGTCGTAAAAAACACCCCCTGGATTCAGAAAGACAGGAGAGAAGGAAGGCTGGGACACAAGACCACGCATGAATAGGAAAAAGAGACAGAAAGTTCGATCATATATCTTGTAAAATGTGCAGATAAAGGAGCCGAGTGTAACTGAGTGGCGAACCGAGGGTATGTCTCAAGCGGAAAGTAAGGACCTCTCTAATTTAATAGAGCTGCTTGAGCTGGGACAAACCAAATCAGATTAAATTAGAAAGGTTATTAATTTAGAGGGGATCGGGACCGAAGCTTTGTTAAATAAGAGAGGTTTAACTTAGAGGTTATTAAATTAGAGAGGTCCGATTGTACGGTACAATTTGTTTGCTCCACTTGTCAGTTCGGGTGACGACCTTGCGTTCTCATTCTTTCTCGGCTCTCAGTTTCTTATTTATTCACACGCGGGTCCTCCTTTTTCTCCACTTTTCTTTCTTTCCTCACACTTCTTTCCTCTTCCTTCCTTCAACCGACTCATTCATCTCCGCCAAACCCCTCCGTCACTCCATTCATTCCCAACAGGAATCGCACTTTTTTTTCCCATGCCTAAACTCAGTAAACCTGCCATCGGAGCCGCTGTGTTGGGGGGTGCCGCTGGTGCCCTCTACTTGAACAAGAAGCGCAACGAGGATCCTACCCGCAAGCCATGGGACACGAAGACTGACTATCAGATGCATTACGACTACATCGTTCTTGGAGGTAAACACAGCAGGTTTTGAAAACAATTCGCGTCATGTATTTCTCACGGGAAACTCACAAACTATTTTTTGTACGTGTCCTGTTGTAGGCGGTACCGCTGGGTGCGTGTTGGCGAGTCGACTGGCAGAGGATCCAAACATCAACGTCCTCGTTCTTGAAGCCGGCTACTGTATGAATCAACATAGATAATGTTTGCTGCTTAATGCTGACTGCTAAAGGCGATTTGAGTTTTTCCCTCGCTTCCTAAACCTCATGCAAAATGATACCCAACATTTTTGTTTTACTGCTCAACAGCGGACGATATCTCTGCGAGTATGAAGCCTGCACTGATGTCGACCCTCTGGTTTTCGGATGTGTCCTGGAACTTGACTTCTGTCCCCCAAGTGCACGCCTATGGCAGAGTCATGAACCAACCCCGTGGCAAGCTTCTTGGAGGATCCAGGTGAGTTGCATGCAAGGGGACTGCTCTGGCTACTTACTGTTCCTAGGGGAAAAGAGGAGAGCATTCAATCTAAACTAAGCCTAATTGATTTCAAACACTAATAGTTCGATTAACGCGATGATGTACCATCGCGGTCCACCATCCGACTTTGACGAATGGGGTACTCTTGGAAACGAAGGATGGAACTATCAGGAGTGTCTTCGCTACTTTAAGAAATCGGAGGGCTTTAATGACCCGAACCTGCCTGTGGGCCATCCTAAAGGCCCCCTGACAAACAGAATCCGCAAGCCTCAGTACGAAGGATTCGAACCCGAGTACCACGGCACCGAAGGTCCTTGGCAAATCACCTATCACCATCTCTGGGGCGCCGCCGAGGGCTTCATTCGAGGCAACATCGCCGAGGGTGTCCCCTTCAACAAGGACTTAAACGGATCCGGCACCTTGGGTGTGAACCGTGTGCAGACGTTCATTCAGCGGGATGTCATTCGGAGCAGTGCTGCCCGCGCCTACCTCGGGCCCGATAGACTCTTGAAGGATGGCAAGCCAAGGGCTGACAGGGGCAACATCCGCATCGTATATGACGCCCACATTGTCCGAATCGTGGTCCAGAACCGTCGAGGCACTAAAGTCGCTATCGGCGCTGAGTTCCTGGACTCCAACCACGGTAAGTTACGTTTTCAATGGATGATGGGCGCAGCAATTTGCAAAAGATATCAATAAGACTGGAGACTCATCTCTGCTGCAACATGTACTATGTGCTACTATTAGAGATGCAGCGAGTCATGGCTGTCAAGGAGGTGCTTCTTTCTGCGGGAGCATTCGGTTCTCCCCACATCCTGCTGGCTTCAGGAATCGGGCCCTCTCCTCACCCCACCATCCCCCACATTCACACTTTGCCCGGAGTTGGACAGAACCTCGCGGATCATTTAGGTGTCCCCATCAACTTCCGCTGCCCACCCACCGCACAAGTTTTCGACGCTCCTCGAATCTGGAGCATCCCTAAGGTGCTTTTCGAATACGGATTCCGTGGAACAGGGCCACTGTCATCCCAGGGTGCAGAGGCAGCATGCTTTGTCCGCCTGGAGGATATTGCACCCGATTTCGTCGCTCGTGAGAAGGCTAACGGCACCTGGCAGGATCGCTCGAGTGGGCCAAAGGCGCCCCACGCAGAAGTCATCTTTGCACCCTCTTACTTTCGTCATCACTTGAAGGATGCGAAGGATCAGAACCCAGATGGCGAAAAGTACTATACTTTGATCGGTCTGTTGCTTAACCCCGTCTCGAGCGGCACCGTCAAGATCTCGGAAGTCAAGAACGGCAAGATCGAGACCCTGATTGACCCCAACTTTTTCGAGGACGAGTTCGACACGCGTGTCATGGTGGAAATTTTGCGATTCATCCGTCGCATCGGAGAAAAGATGCGTCTGGACCCTACCTGCGCCGGTGTCGAGGTCAACCCTGGTGTGAAGAACGTACCAAATGACGATGATGCCAAGCTGCAAGAGTATATCAAGATGCACAGTTCGGTCTACTACCACCCCACTTCGACCTGTCGTATGGGTCCCTCAAGTGATCCCTTGGCTGTAGTTGATGCGCGCTTGAATGTCTATGGAATCGAGCGTCTGCGTGTGGTCGATGCGAGCGTGATGCCCAAGCTGCCTGCTGCTCACACTTGCGCCCCTACTATTATGATTGCCGAGAAGGCTTCAGACATGATCAAGGAGGACTGGGCTGAAGAAACGTCCCGCGTCGGAGATGTTCCTTTGCAGTCGAAGTTGTAGGATAATGGATACCCCAGTTAGGATACATGCACTCGTCCTTTTTCCCTGAACAGGTGAATAAAAAACAACAGCGTAAAGCATGGTATGATCTTTGGACGTATGACAGGCACCTAACCCGAATCCGTTGAGCGGACCCTTGAATCTTCTCTCCTCATCTTCTTTTTCTTCTTTTTTTTTCTCTCATTCTCCTTTGCTCTTCTCTTTGTCAACCTCATTCCTCATTCCTCATTCTACCCCCTCATCCCTTCAACTCACTTTCACCTTTCGACCCTACTGTTCTCCTTTCAACCCTACTGTTCTCCTTTCAACCCTACTGTTCACCTTTTCACTCCAGTCAATGATCCATGATACTTTCCAAACCATCACAACTGCCACCATTGGCCTTGGTCTGGCTGCCATAGCCTACCGAAGCACAAAGCTCCCAAAGATGCTCGGAAGAGCCACCTGGGACGAAGACAAGGACGTCAAGGACTTTGATTACGTCGTCCTGGGAGGTAAGCTTTATTCCCATTAGCTGGAGCGCTATAAAGAGCTGCACAGACAACCATAACAACCGATCAATGATGACTTATCATTGGATCACTGTTCTTTTTCGTTTTTTTTTTGTTTCTGGCAATTGAGACAATTAGGTGGCACTGCGGGCTGCGTGCTTGCCTCAAGACTGTCCGAGGACCCCAGTGTCAGTGTCCTTGTCATCGAGGCGGGCGAGGACATGGACAACAATATCCAGACAAAACTCCCCATCGGGTACCCCAAGCTCTTCCAGACCAAGCACGACTGGCAATTCAAGACCATCCCCCAGACCCACGCTGAGGGACGAGAGATGGACCAGGTCAGAGGCAAGATGCTTGGTGGCTGCAGGTAAAGTTGAATGTATAAAAAAGAGCAATATTTCTAAGCACATCCACGTTGAAAGAGTGTGAGAGCAAAATGCACTTTGCATGAAATGGACGGGGCAGGTGGTTAAGGGCATTGGCACTGCCGTCTGAGCAGGCTGTGTTGACCCTCTTTCCCTCTATTCTCCACCGCTTTGTTTCCTTTGTAGCTCTATTAATGCGATGCAGTACACTCGCGGGCCACACTCTGATTATGATGCCTGGGAGAGCGAGTTCGGGAATGAAGGTTGGAATTACAAGAGCGTCTTGCCTTACTTCAAAAAAGCCGAAGGTTTCCATGACCCAAGCCTCGATAAAAGTCATCCGATGGGTCCTCGGTCCTCTCGAGTGCACGATCCCGAATATGACACCTTCGAACCCGAGTATCATGGAACGGAAGGTCCTTGGCACCAATCGTACCACCATTTCAGCCCCACCACTAAGGCTTTCATCCAAACAGGTGTTGCCATGGGCCTCCCCCACACGCCTGACCCCAACGGAAAGTCTGAGCTTGGTGTCGCGCGCATGCAGACTTCTATGAACGCCAACGCTACTCGCTGCAGCACCTCGAGTGCCTATCTTCGACCTGATATTGTCCCTGGCGGTGGAACACGAGGTCATGTCCGTGTTGTGCTGAAGGCCCATGTGGAGCGAATTCTGTTTGAGATTCAGGACGGTGTTCCCACAGCCGTTGGAGCCGAGTTCAGGGACGATAAAGATGGTATGATTGTGAATCATTCGATAATCTGGTGGTGGTATCTGGGAAGATGTTCTATATACTTCCCGAAACACAATTTCTTGTGTTCATGCCATTAACTAACACGGGCAACTGTATGCATGCGGGGTTTTTTTATTCTTTGATATTTCAAAGTCCTTCGTAGAGTCTACGCAAGACGCGAGGTACTTCTTTCCGCAGGAGTCTTTTGCTCACCCGCCCTCCTCCTCGCCTCAGGTATTGGATACCGTATCCATGATTCGATCCCATTGTTGCACCCTCTCCCCGGTGTTGGCGAAAACCTGTCAGATCATGTTGGCATGTCGGTCGTCTATGCTTGTCCTCCTACCACACAGACCATGCACACCGCCTTTACGCCCTCCAAGCTCCCCAAGGCACTCTACCAGTACTTTGTCCACGGTACCGGACCTCTGACCAGTCAGGTCATGGAGGCCGCATGCTTTGTCCGATTGGAGGATATCGCGCCCGAGTTTGTCGCCCGCGAGAAGGCCAATGGCACTTACCAGGAGCGCGCCAGTGGACCCAATGCGCCTCATATCGAGATTCTCTTCCCGGCTTGCTTTGTCGACAATGAGGATTTCACCCGCATGGATGATACTCGTAAGAACTTTTATACCCTCTTGGTCGTCTTGCTCAACCCTGCCTCTCGAGGACGAACCAGTGCCCGATTGACCGAAGTCGTTGTCGACCAGAAGAAGATGCCAACAAAGAAGAGTGATAAAGAAGGAGAAGCAGAGAAGCGATTCAAGGTCGAGCCTTTGATCGACTCCAACTTCTTGGCGGACGAGTTCGACGTCAGGGTTCTGAGGGAGGGAATGCGGTTCGCTCGACGCCTCGGAAAAAAGATGCAACAGGATCCTGCTCTGGCCGGATTTGAGTACGTCCCTGGTGAGGCGTCTGTCCCCTCTGAGGATGATGAGGCCATGGATCGATACATCCGACAAAAGTGCACTACTTTCTTGCACTCTGTTGGCACTTGTTCAGTAAGGAGTGGCCTGATGTTCAAATTACTTGTTTTTGCTATTTGTGTGAACGTGAATGTTAGTGCACGAAATGATGTGTTGTGTAACCCACCTTTTTCATTTTTTTTTTTTTTTTTTTTTGGTGGTTCGTTCATGTAGATGGGCCCAGCAACCAACCCCAAGGCTGTGGTGGATGAACGTCTTAAGGTCCATGGTGTCAATCGGCTTCGTGTTATCGACGCTAGTGTCATGCCCAAGGTCATCGCAGGTATGTCGAAGGAGCATTGGGGCAAAAGGAAATATCAACAAGTGATGCGCCATGCCGAGAGATTTTTTGTTAGTATTGTAGATCCGAATCCGACCAATAGCAAGCCAGACTCACATACGCATTCCTCTCTTTTTATCGTGTTTAGGTCACACGGCCGCAGGAACGGTGATGCTTGCTGAGAGAGCTGCCGATCTGATCAAGGATGATTGGGCTGGCAAGGATGTCTCTGCGTCGTGAAGTGTCGAAGATACCATTATTACTACTCCTCCATATGATACCAAATAGCAGCAACAAAAAAAACAAGCAGACAAATATATATCAAAGACGTTTATATTCGGAAAAAATACAATGCCATGAATGAAAATAGCGATATTGTACAAGAGAAATGAAGAACGAGATAGTTATGAGAGAATTGTTGCTATGGTATATGTGGTGTGTTGGAGGAGAGCTGTTGTTTGGTCACTTTAGGCCTTATGAGGGGAGTTGATGATCAAGGCAAAGAGGAGACCTGAGACAGCTCCTGAAGCGGGGAGAGTGAAGATCCAGGATGAGGCAATGAGACCGAGAACCTTCCAGTTGACGGACTTGATACCACCTCCAGAGACGAGACCGACGGAGGTGGTGGCACCAGTGATACAGTGAGTGGTCGAGACAGGAAGACCGAGCTTGGAGCATGTCAAGACGGTGAGGGAGGTACCAAGGGAGAGTGAGAATCCGCGAGAAGGCGAGACGAAGCAGATGTTGTTACCCAAGGTGGCCATAACTCTGTAACCGAAGGTAAGGAGACCAATATCAATAGCGATACCACCGTAGGCGAGGATCCAAGCGGGGATGGGGGCAGAGCCGGAGATGTCAACCATGCCGTGCTTCCAGACGTAGTAGATGGTGGTCAGAGGACCGATGGCGTTGGCGACATCATTGGAACCGTGGGCAAACGACGCGAAACAGGCAGTGAGGACCTGGAGGGTGCAGAAGAGCTGCTCGGTCTTGGGCTCGTAGCGAGTGGCCTTGTCGTGGAGGTTGTCGACCTCCTCGGTGGTGGTGGTGATGTCCTGGTTCAGACCATGGAAGGCCTTCTTCTTGAGCTTCTGGAGGAATGTGAGGGGCTTGTCCTCGAGGGCAGCAAGACCGCTATTGACAGAGCCATCAGACTCGATGCCGGTTTCGGTGACGAGCTTGCCGTCCTTGTCGGTGGCAGAGACGTCCTCGAGGTCGGTGGGGTGGGTGCGGGTGGAGACGAAGCGGACGTAGAAGGCGTGGTACCACTTGAGAGGCTCCTCATCCTCAAGCTTCCGGCGGAGGTAGACCTTGAGGAAGAAGTTGCACCAGAGGAAGACGAGGAGAGCGATACCAAAGGAGATCCCGATGATGCCTCCGATGGGCAACTTGGAGATGCTGAGACCGGGGGAGCCCTTAAAGATGATGTAGAAAACGTTGATGGCGATAGTGACGGCAAAGTAGTAGGGGAGAGCGGTCAGACCACGGTCGAGAGAGTTCTTGTGCTTGAGGATAATGAACCGGGTGAAGAGGAAGATGATGGCAGTGACGGCACCGGCAATGAGGGGGGAGATCAACCAGGAGATGACAATGGTTCCAACACCACCCCACTTGACAGCGCCGAGACCAAAGCCAGCAATACCGGCACCAGTGATGGCACCGACGATGGCGTGGGTGGTGGAGACAGGAAGACCGCGGGAGGAGGCAAAGAGGACCCAGGTGGAGGAACCGACGAGGGAGCAGACCATGGCGAGCATGAGCAACTCGGGCTGATCCTTGAAGAGAGCGACGTCGATCAGACCGCCCTTGATGGTGTCGGCGGTAGAGGAACCCATGAGAAAGGCACCCAGGAACTCGCAGATCGAGGCAATGAAGACGGCTTGCTTGAGGTTCAGGGCGCCAGAGCCGACAGCGGCACCGAACGAGTTACTGACGTCGTTAGCTCCGATACCGAAACTGTCCATGAAGGCGAAGATCATGCCGAGGGCAAAGAGGAAGGTGTAATCACCAGGGAGCATTTTAGAGAAGAGTGTGGAGGATGATTAAAGAAAGAGGAAAGGGTGGTGGTAGCTGGTGATAATGGTTGAGGATGAGTGAGGAGGAAGGAAGGAGGAGTGGTGGTTTGGAGAGATTGACTTTGACAATGTAGAAACAACAACAAAAAACAGGGGGAGACACCAGTCTACTTATGTGATTGAGAGATAGGCAGGGAAGGAGGGCAGAAGTAGAGAGGAGCGGTACCCAGTAATAGTAGTGTTTGTATAGTTCAGCAGGACGTAATGCAGGATAGAATAAGAAAAGGTACAAGGAAAGAAAAAGAAAAGAAACGGACCTCGAAAAGGAGCTCACGCTACTCAGCAAAACCTGGCGAAGCATCCTTTGATGGGTGGATGGATTGGCTCGGTCCAACAGGGGAGAGTCGGTAACATTGCCTAGCGTGCAACTCAAGTCAGAAATCTGGGTGAGGCAAAGAAGGCTGGGAAACAGACACAAACATGGACAAAAAAACATAGTCCGCTAGGAAACAAACCTTTTTCCATATCGTTTTCTAAACCTTTGACCCTTCGGGTTGTTTTCGCTTGTCTTATTGACAAGATGGGCCTCTGTCAATTGGAAGAAGGCCGACTATGTCTAGCCAATCGTTGGTGCACATGGGCAAGGAGGTGCATTCCAGACGGAGGAAAGGAGAAACCAGGAACATATCTCATTGGATTCCGAACTACTGGGTTGGGGTCCCAAACGTCTTGGACGTAAACTTAAGCTCACGTACACACACCTCTAAACAGCCTTGCAAGCTGAAACTAACTGGAAATTCCAAGGTCAACAACAAGAAGAAAAGAATAGCTTAGAAAACTGAGCTTCTTTTTTTATTGTTTGTGTTAGACAATCCAGATTCTCAAGATAAAAACAACAATATAACAGGGTGTCTTCCTGGGGGCACATGGGGTCAACCTTGCACTTTTGTTGGAAGATAGGTTGGTCCCTTTTTTTTTTGTTTTCTCCAATGCTCAGGTTTGAAAAGCAAATTGATCAACGATCAGAGAGTCAGGGCACCTGAGGCAAAGTGGTCTCGTTAAAAGGGTGTCAGCATCCTGAAAATGGATATTTTTGGTCACTTTTTGCGCTGTTGGCTGCTGCCATGGCTGGCTGAAAGCTTCATCTGATACAAAACGATCGTGTGCTCTCACCTCACACCAGGCCAGCAGTGCACACAATACTCTCTTTTCGTCCTTTTTGTCTGGAAACGGATCGGGGCATTGTGTTAGTAACAAATAATGCGACGGCGTGTGTGATCGAAAAAAAAGAAAGGGAGCCAGCATTTTTAGGATGAGAAGGAACTTTGAGGGTACTCGCAGTTGCAGGACAGGAGCTGCAACCCCGAAAATAGACATTCAGTCATTTCATTTCATGATTCTCGTCGATCCTAGGTTGAGTATCAGCGAGACTTGAAAAGGGAAGAACGGCCAGCAGAAAAGGATACCTGGAACTGAATCAGGTTCACCTCTCCAAAAAAAAAAAAACTCCCCTCCAAGAGAGGCATGTCAGTGAAGGCAAACCCTGCGAAAACCCCACATCCACATTCACAAAGAGCATCAGCTACCCCACATATTGATCTATATTTTTTCCCCCTTTGGATGCCTATGGCAAATGTACCAGGCAAACAGAGTGTAATCCGACGCGACTGACAGGCATTCTGACTCGCATGTTCCTCGATGCACACTGATCCCTATTCTTTTATTCACTATAAAAGTCTTCGCTGTCAACCATGATTTCGCACTCATCTCTTCTCATATATCCTCACTCTTCACCCACACAACACAAAGTACAATGAAGATCTCCTATTTCCTCTCCATCCCGGCCATCATAGCCTTCGCGGCTGCCGAGACAATGGTCCTGCCCGCGCATGATCTGAACGTTGCTAGCGTCCCCATCGTATCCAACATCGTCCCCGTCGCCGCCGCCGTTATCTCCGCCGAGGACGCCCAGGCTGAAATCGCTCACGACCATGGTCGCCCATCAAGCTCAGGCTTCACTGCCTGGTCCTCACCCGGACTGAAAGGTCACAAGCAGAGGACCAAAAATACCCCTGGCTGCTACAAACTCGATGGTGGGGCTGTCGGCAGTTTCGAGGGAGATTCCAACACCCAATATGCCTTCTATGGAGACCTTCGCTGCAGCCAGAAGATGTTGTTTGCCTCCAACACCGCCCCTGTCCGCCGCATTGATCCCATTATCTACCCCCGCTCGGTTAAGATGCTCAAGAGCGGTGGTGGCGATGGCAACGTGAACAGATATTCCCTCATTACCTGGTCTCGTCCCGACTTTGCTGGTGACAACGAGAAGTATAGAGGTATGGGTTGCATCAACTTGGACGGAAGCGTCGTTATGTCCTTCCAGGGTGATCTCCACTACCGCTTCTACCCTGGTCCTCACTGCCAGGGTCCAATGATCCTCGAGTCCAGCGGTGGTATGAGCTCACACAAGAGAATGTACCCTCGTTCGGCTTTCATCACCAGGTAGACTTTTTCGCCTACCTTTCATAGTATGCTTCAATATTCATGCATCTTATCTTATCTACTTTGTATATACTCTCAGCCATTACCCTCCCAGGCTAAATAAACAGATCTTTGATGCTTCTTTTGCTATCTTCTCGTCTCTTCTTTCTCTGCCACGTTTCGCTCGGTCCTTTCAGCGACAATGCCAAGTGAACAAAAAAAAAGACGTCACATAGTTGGGGAGCTTTTTTCTTTTTGTTAGCTTCACTTTGCTTGGCACGCCCTCTTCTCGAAACATCATCACAACGTCGACAACACCCACACACCCATCCGCCATCAGACACAAAGGAAACCAAATAGACAGCATGCGCGGGAACAAGGTTGAAAAGTGCTTCTCGCTGAAGGAACTCAACGACAGAGCAAAGGTCGCCTCAGTCGAAACCACCCCCATTCGATTCTACATTCGCTCTGCCGAACAACTCTTCAAACAGGTGCACTTCAACTCTGCTTTATTCGTTTTCTTCAGTCGAGCAGCGCCTTCTCACAGCGTTACTGCCATTTGAAGCACTGACTAGAAAACGAAACTCACTCGAAGAGATATTTCGTTTTCGTTTTTATAGGCAAAGATCTATCAGCAGGAGGGCGACCTACAGACATCCTACATTCTCTACATGCGGTTCTGCAAGTATGTAGTTTTGGGTGGCCGAACTATGCGCGACGATGATCATGGACGGAGAACCGAAAGCAGCCGAATAGTCAACTGACCTCTCTCCTCCTCCAGTCTTGTCGTCAATGAGCTCAGTAAACACGTAGAGTATGGTCAGCCGGCGTACAAGACCTCCGTGCTCAGTCTTAAAAAGGTACAGACACATTGTCCACGCCCTTTCGCATTTCTGCTTTCTTCAGTATTTAGTGATCTCCAATAGGTAGTAGCGATTCACTAATAACCGTTCGCTTTTCACTACACTTTAGAGCGCCTTGGTTGCGATGACAGAGATTGAGGCATTAAAGCCAGCGCTGGACAAGAAATATCAGCAGTACCAGCAATACATCAAGCAGCGGGAGGAGACGCAGCAGGCGCAAATACAGGCGGCGCAGGGTGTGGATATGCATCGCCAACATAGCGATTCGCACCATCGACATGAAGCCGACAGGACTGCCAGGGAAAGACATGAACAGGAATGGGCAAGCGTACAACCAGCCCCGGGATGGACTCTTGCAAAAGCGTTGGAGGGAGTGCCGGGAGTCAACGCAACACAGACGACTCAACATCGGCATACTTATCAGCAGGACTATAACGGCGCAGATGGACTAATCGAGGTAACACTGACTTCCTTGGCGTGACAATGACCTTAATTCCGAGTTTGTATCAGGCATGGAATTAGCACTGACAACACTGTCCTGTAAACATGTTTAGATCCAATATCCAGAGTACAAGCGTCAACACCATCCAAGGTAGGGATAAATGTTTCTTTGGCTTCTTTGGGCACTGGCAAACACTCGCTAACGTTTGCAAATACTAACCTTGCACCTCATCCCTTACTGCTACACTTCATGTGGACAGACCTGATGTATCAGCATCTACTGTTACTCGACAACAGTCGTTTGTACCTGCTCCAACCGGACCACCGCCTGCACTGCCAAGGAAGCCAGTCGCTCAGAGTAATGCGCCAAAGCTCCCACCAAAGATCCAAATCGAGGAGGATGTTCATGGTACGTTCAAGACAAGTTGACATTGGAGGATATTGTCCCGTCTAATGATACATACAGCACACGTCTGATTATTTCTGTTCATGTTTTTGCACCGCTCATAGAATTTTCCCAGGGACTGAGAACATTGATCGTCCCTGTGCGACTACTTGACAGATTCTTGAACATTGTCCGACCCAACACGAACAGGAAGCTGGAGACATGTGGTATTCTTGCAGGAGTGCTGGTATGCATCGCTCATTATATTGCGGATCAAATTTGTACACTTATCCGACACTCTCCTTTTTCACGGTTTCTTTCAAGTACTAATCGCATTCATTTCATTTATTATTGTCTGATAGTCCCGCAACAAACTAACTGTCACCACGCTGATTATCCCCAAGCAGACAGCAACCTCGGACACATGCTCGACAACAAACGAGGACGAGCTCTTTGAATATCAGAGTGAACGGGACCTCATGACCCTGGGATGGATCCATGTACGTGTTTCGTGCGCATGTGCTGTCTCGTATCATGTTGGTGGATGTCTCCATGAATTGAAACTAACGCTCTGACATTGTTGCGTCTGTGCTCACGATAGACGCACCCAACGCAAACCTGCTTCATGAGTTCTGTCGACCTTCATACCCACTGCTCATACCAACTGATGCTCCCAGAAGCCATTGCGATCGTTTGTGCCCCTAGCCATGAGAAAGAGTAAGCAAAACAGGACCAAGCGCGTGGTTTAGGAAACAGAACAAGGGCAACAACTGCCACAGTTTCAGATGTTAATCGTGCAGCGCTTATATTTTCTCATCAACCCTTCTAGTTATGGTGTGTTCAGACTGACGGATCCTCCGGGACTGCAGGTCATTACCAATTGCCGTCAGAAACCACTCTTTCACCAACATCCAGGGGAGGACGATATTTACACCGTAAGGCAGACCTACAATTTTATCCCCAGCTGTTGATTAACACGTCGATCGCTAGCCTTTTGGCGAAGAAAACGAGAAAGAGCTGAACTGACTCTGTTTCCTCCGAATGTTCTTAGGATGCGTGCGATCAAGGACATGTGCAGCTAATTGACTTGGATCTGGATATCGTCGACCTCAGGGGAAGTAAGAAATAAACACACTGGATCCCAATTTGCACACCATATCAATTGGAATCGGATTTTGAGAATAGCCAAGACAGCAACGACTTTACTTGGCGAGAAAAGAAAGGAAATGAGGCGTTGTACAGCTAAAAACTATAAGAGTTTGGGCTCGTAAGCAATACTACAACAAAAAGGTCGTAAGGCGGTCGTTGGATGGTCAAGGCCGGGATGATCACAAGTTTAGGTAGTTTGGTTATTCCCATCGTTGCTTGAATGCACTCCACGGATGGCTCAATCGACTTGACAATCTCTGGGTTAGAGAGTCCTCATGGGCTCCTTCCTCTCGGCGCGGCGTGTCGTCTCGACCTCCTCCCATTCCAGCCCCATCATCGAAAACTCGCGGATCTTGAGAGTCTTGGTGCTCTCATCGAAGAATATGACTCTTCCCTCCTCTGCATGGTCCCTTCCTGGCGTTCTCTGAATCGTGCCAAGAGCTTCTAAAGATGAAAGATCATGGCGAAGGACTCCGTGGCTTGCGTAATCGAAGGGGAGATCTCGGAGTTTTGTGGAGAAGGCTAATGAAGGGACTTTTCTACATTATGTGCTGCTGTTGCTTGGTTGAAGAATGAGGGTAAGAGAGTAAGGATGAACAAAGCGAGAGTAAGAATAAGGGGTGGATGATCTTTTAGTGTCATTGAAGAGTGACCCTGGAAGCAAAAGTAGAAAAGCGTATGAGGGGACCATCCTTATTGCATTTACTTTCCTTGCTTGTAAGAACAAAGAAGGAACGTACCTTCGACTGCCAAGATGATGTAGGCTCTGTCAGCTTAGACAGAGAAGTGACAGGCAAAGGAACGGAGAGCGATGAGATGTCGAGGTGATGAAGCAAGGCACCATTTGCCCCATTGCTGGGATTGAAATGAGGACTAGGGGCACAACCATAAAAAGGGCGGAATGGCCTGCAGCACTGTGGAAGTGGTCGAATCAGAGTGAGCAGAAGGAGCGAGTCCTTCTTGGGGAAGTGGGGTAATAGTTCTCTCATTTTTTTTCCCACGGGGACACAACTCACAACGCCCTGCCCACCCGTGTGCTTTTTTCGTATATTTTCACCAGTACCCTCTCCCTTTTTATTCATTCTTCTCCTCTTCTTCACCCTTCTCTCTCTCCTCTCCTCTCCACTCCACTCCCCACTCCCATACAAGTCATCATGCTGTCCTACTCTGCTATGCGCCGGGTCACGGCCTCGCCTGCCTTCAAGCGTGCCCTCTCCACCTCGAGACCCGCCCTCTATGCCGCCCAGGCCGCCATCCCCCGCACAAAGCTCTTCATCAACGGCGAGTTCATCGACTCAAAGACCGACAAGTGGATCGAGCTCCGCAACCCTGTAAATCTCATCTCATCTCATCTCATCTCATTGTTCATCTCGCTCCCTGACTGGAGTTCATCATCTCTTGTAATCATGACTAACATCACAGAAAATGGTGTATATGAAAATGGTCAAATAGGCCACCCAGGAGATTGTTACTTTGGTCCCCGAGGCTACCCCTGAGGAGCTCAAGTACGCCGCCGACTCTGCTGCGGAGGCCTTCAAGACCTGGAAGAAAACCTCGATCCTCCACCGTCAGCGCAAGATGCTCGACCTCCAGCTCTTGATCCGTGACAACATGGACAGAATCGCCCACTCGATCACCTTGGAGCAGGGCAAGACCTTGGCCGATGCCCGCGGGGATGTTCTCCGTGGTCTCCAGGTCGTCGAGTCGGCTTGCGCCATCCCTCACTTGCTCATGGGTGACAACTTGGAGGTCGCCACCGACATGGACACCTACACCATCCGTGAGCCCCTCGGTGTCGTTGCCGGTATCACCCCCTTCAACTTCCCCGCTATGATCCCCCTCTGGATGTTCCCCCTTGCCAACGTCATCGGAAACACTTGCATCATCAAGCCCTCTGAGAAGGACCCCGGCGCAACTATGATTCTTGCCGAGCTCGCCCAAAAGGCTGGCATCCCCGCCGGTGTTTTGAACATTGTCCACGGTGCCAAGGACACTGTCAACTTTATCTGCGACAACGAGCACATCAAGGCCATCTCCTTCGTCGGAAGTGACCAGGCTGGTCACTACATCCACGACCGTGGTTCCCGCAACGGAAAGCGTGTCCAGGTACTATATCTGTTGTTTGGTTTTTCTTCCTTTTGCTCATTTGCTCGGTCATCGAGTGGTTTGTCTCTGTGTTTAGTCTTTCCGCCTGACCCCAAATCTAACCTGATTTGAATCCTCTTTTGTTCTCATAATAGGCCAACTTGGGCGCCAAGAACCACGGAATCATCATGCCTGACGCCAACAAGAACCACACCTTGAACCAGCTTACCGGTGCCGCCTTTGGTGCTGCTGGTCAGCGCTGTATGGCTCTCTCGACCGCTGTCTTTGTCGGCAAGGCCCAGGAGTGGCTCCCCGAGCTTGTTGAGCGCGCCAAGAAGCTCAAGGTCTCGTCTGGTTTCGAGGCCGATGCTGACCTCGGTCCTTTGATCTCGCCCGAGTCCCTTGCCCGTGTTGAACGTCTCATTGAGTCTGGTGTCAAGGAGGGCGCCGACTTGATCTTGGACGGCCGTGGCCTCAAGGTTCAGAAGTACGAGAAGGGCAACTTTATCGGACCTTCCATCTTGACCAACGTCAAGACCGATATGGAGTGCTACCGCGAGGAGATCTTTGGACCCGTCCTTGTCTGCTTGAACGCCGATACTTTGGACGAGGCCATTGACATCATCAACAAGAACCAGTACGGAAACGGAACCGCCATCTTCACCCAGAGCGGAGCCACTGCCAGAAAGTTCGCCAACGAGGTTGATGCTGGCCAGGTCGGTATCAATGTCCCTATCCCCGTCCCATTGCCTATGTTCTCCTTCACCGGATCCCGTGGCTCCATCCGTGGAGACGTCAACTTCTACGGCAAGTCTGGAATCAGCTTCTACACCTCGACCAAGACCGTCACTGCCCTCTGGCGCCACGAGGATGCCGATGCTAACGCATCTGCCGTCAACATGCCCACCATGAAGTAAACAGCTATTCTTGCTGGCATATAGCATCATTTCCCAACATCCATGCTCAACCCTGTAACATATTAGAGAGAAATAAAAATGAAAACAAAATCGCTTTGCGCTGTTTTCGGTTGTGGAGAATTTTCACTTTAGAACGCTCTTGCTCTCGTCCGAGACGAGCCGGGCGGGCCAAGAGTCCAAACAACGACGCGCTCAAGAAAAAGGTACAGGAAGGACAACCCCACGTTGATTCGACAAAGAAACGTCTCTCTTCCTCCTTCTTTGTCATTCCTCATCACTCCCGGCTCTTCTTCGCCATCCTCATTTCTCATTCGCTCCTCATTTACCACCCTCACGACCCAGCTGAAAGTCAATTATGTTTGCTCCCCGTCCTGGTCTTCTCAAGACCGGCCTGGCTGGCCTCAATAAAGTTGCCTACTTGACCAATCTGCCAGAGGAGGGCAAGGGGACTTGGAACCATGTCAAGGATAGCCAAGAACTCTACGACTACATTATCCTAGGTGGTACGTGTCCCTGTATACTTGTCAGCCATCAGTGCAGTTGATGACATGAAAAAATCAAACACAATAAACATCTAATCGACTGTAACTTGTTCTTTATGCAGGCGGTAGTGCTGGCTGTGTCTTGGCTGCTCGCTTGGCCGAAGACCCCAAGGTCAAGGTCCTTGTGCTCGAGGCGGGATACACCGACGACATCCCAACTTCCAAGATGCCGGCCGTCTACCTCCTCACCGTCGACTCGCCCACAGACTGGCAGTTTGTCACCACGCCTCAAGTGCACGCCGGCAACCGTGTCATGAAGCAGCCTCGTGGCAAGGCACTTGGTGGCACTAGTGCCATGAACGCCATGATCTACCACCGTGGACCCGCCTCTGACTTTGATGAATGGGCAAATCTCGGTAACCCTGGCTGGTCCTACGAGGACGTCCTTCCTTACTTCAAAAAGTCGGAAGGTTTCAACGATCCTGACCTGCCGTCGTCTCACCCTCGAGGACCTCAGACCAGCCGTGTCCGAAAGCCTGTATATGAGACCCATGATCCCAAGTACCACAATACCGAGGGACCTTGGCAGGTCAGCTACCACCATCTGTTTGGTTCGTCCGAAGGCTTTATTCGGGCTAATATCGCTGAGGGCATTCTCTTGAACAAGGACTTCAACGGAGAATCAACGCTGGGTGTCAACCGGTTCCAGACGTTCATCCAGCGCGATGCTGTTCGTAGCTCGTTGGCCAGAGCCTTCTTGAAGCCCAAGGGTGTCGTTCCTGGTGGTGGACCCCGCGGTATCATTCGTGTGGTGTATGGAGCCAACATCCAGCGAATCTTGACCCAGACCAGGAAGGGTGCAAAGATGGCCTATGGTGCTGAGTTTCTGGATGACAAGAACGGTAAGCTCATTATTTTTCCGCCTGCTGCAATTTGAAAATGTGCTTGTGGGGCATGAACAGTAATCAAGTGTTTGTATTTGTTTTTTCTTCTTCGCCAGTGTTGAGACGTGTGGCGGCTCAAAGGGAGGTGCTGGTCTGCTCTGGCGCATTTGGATCTCCTCACTTGCTCCTCGCTTCTGGAATCGGCCCTTCACCTCTACCTTCAATCCCTCACATCCATGCACTCAGGGGAGTGGGCGCTAACCTCGCAGATCATTTGGGTGTCGGCGTCGTCTTCAGAGCACGCGACCGTTGCCACACCGTTCAGCAGGATCTAGCCTACCGTCGCGTCTTGACATCTCTCCTCAACTATGGTGTCCGTGGAGTAGGAGGGCTCACCAGTCAGATCGGAGAGAGTGCCAATTTTGTCCGATTGGAGGATTTCGCACCCGAATTTGTTGCCCGTGAGAAGGCAAATGGTACCTACCAGGAGCGATCCAGTGGACCGGATGCACCTCATATCGAGGTGATCTTTGCTCCGTTCTATGTCCGAAAGCACGGCACTGTCATGGCACCCGACGGCAAGATGTACTACACCTTGCTTGCTCTCCTCCTCAACCCTTGCTCTACAGGAACCATCACCATCCAGCCCAAGAAGACTGGAAAGAAGAACAGCAGCAAATCTCCTACGGCCGATGGAGAAAGGAACAACACAATCCCGGAGATGGAGACAGTCATCAACCCCAACTACTTTTCAGACTCTTTTGACGCCAGGGTGATGGCCGAGTCTATCAAGTTTATGAGAAAGCTAGGTCGTCGGATGAACGAGGATCCTGAGATGGGCGGTCGTGAGGTCTTCCCTGGCGAGAAACAAGTTCCTAGCGATGACGACAAGGCTCTAGAGAAGTATGTTCGAGAGGCTGCCGAGACGTACTATCACCCTACATCAACCTGTCGTATGGGTCCTGCGTCTGACCCCCTATCTGTGGTGGATTCGCGTTTGAATGTCTATGGCATTGATCGTCTCCGGGTGGTAGATGCGAGTGTGATGCCCAAGATCCCTGCCGGACACACCTGTTCGCCTTCGGTTATGATTGCTGAGAAGGCTGCTGACATGATCAGGCAGGACTGGGCCGAGTCCATTTCGGCCGTTTCTTCTAAGCTGTAGATCCTTACTCCTAAGACAGTCTAATAAATTTATCATATTCGTGTTTTGCAATGCGCCTTCTTGCTGCAACAAAGGTAAAGTAAAGGTGAACCACCTTTTTTTTTTTTCTGAAGATATTTGGTGGCACTTTTACTCAGGTGACAGAGAAAGCAGAGACAAATAATAACAACAGAGCATTGATCGCAGCATCTTCCATCCTTACCCTTTTTTTCTGTCTCTGGTTCTAGGCCGGTACCCGTAAAGGGCTACTTGCCTGGACGTGTTCATCCATAGTCTTTTGCCACTCTTCCTTTTTCCCCATTGTCCATTTATCCCTGTCATTCGTTTTCCCATTTGCCTTTCTCCATTCCTCAATCAGCAACGGTCAGCCACCAATCTCTTCCCTTCACTTTTCCCTCTCTTTCCATCTAATGAAAGACAACCACGAATGAGGTTCCGCCCCTAAAGTATCCTTTGCTGAAGTCACCAGTAAAACTTTTAAAAACCAAGGCGAATATCAGATCCGCCCGGCCTTCCATTAATACGTCAACGCCAATCACACCAATGTACGTATCGCCGCCATTCCATATCAGCCCAAGGTTCACCTCATCAACGACGTGATCCCCCGCCATCGTCGACGCCTTTCCCTACGCCACGAGGATTATTTCTCCACTTCCGGCGTCGTCATCATCGCCTTCCATACCGCCAAAGAACTTACTTCCGCCATGAGCACCACTGTGGACTGTCTTCCATCTTTCCTCGCAGTCCTTCCGACCATGTACTCCACTGGCACAAGGCTCAAGATCCGCGCCGAGTATACTCCTCTGCAATCTGATGATGGCAGCACCTTTCCTTCTTATCACTGTTTTACACAAAATTTTGGTCCCGTATTCTTTTACCTTATATACAACCTCAAATCGCTACGGCCAGACTTCTAAAGGCCTCTACACTCCTCACCTATCTCTCCCCTCTCTTTCCATCTAATGGGAAAAGAACCGACGCTCCCTCCGTCCTCCTCATCTCTCCCTCCGTCCTCCTCATCTCTCACGAATGAGGTTGATGGAGGCTCCATTCCCCCCCTTTTGGCCATTGCCTCGCAGCCAAAAGTTTCAACTCCCGCCGCCACCAAAATTTCTTTTGCTGAAGCCACCAGAAAAGGAACACCCCTCAACAACAAAGCAGCATGGCACTCCCACGGCCAGGAACAGGCGGATCCAGTGTGGTTCACCCTCCATAACCACCCCCACAGTCTTGCTGTCCCTTACAGTGCCAAGACACACTCTGTCTCCGATGTGGTCGAAGCCGCTGTCAAGGCCTTTCCGAACGCCAAACGCATCGACTTTTTAACCAATCGCGGCGCCGTCCTCCTCAGCTTTGGCTCCGCTGAGGAGATGACTGCTTATTCGAGCAAGACAGTGGACTGTCTTCCATCCCCCTCCTAGTCCTCCCAACGATGTACTCCGCTGGGACCAGACTCAAGATCCGCGCTGAGTATACCCCTCTGCAATCTGATGATGGGGCAAAGACTGCACAGGATGTGTTTGGATCCTACGGCAAGATCATTCTTGTTAACCACCATTATATGACTGGAACGTCGATCCAGTCCTTGTCATTTGACTTTGTGCTGGAGATCCCACACTCCTCCCCCAACGACCTTGAGATCCCCAGGGTGGCCCTCGTCGACACCATGAATGTCCTTTTTTCATGGAGTGGGTCTAAATTTTGTTACAGATGTGGTAAGGGGTCTCATACCAAGATCCAGTGTCCTAATGATGAAATAGTTTTTATTTGACGAAGAATTCTCTATAAATTAGTGTGCTCAATAAACGGGTCAACGACCACCTTCTTTCTCGTCTTCAGTTTTCCCTCATAATTTTGACTGAAAGAGTGGGACCTGGCGCCATACATCACAATGTCCAAGGCTGGTATGACCTTTGGAGAGATGTGGAACACACTGCCTAAGGGCGCTGGTGGTGCGGAGATGACGAGGAGGATAAAGTATCTTTTTCTTTTCTTTTCTCTTGTCCTCTCTTTACTTTTTTTTTTTTTTTTTTTTTTTTTACACACAATTTTATATCTCTAACAAGCAGCATAGAGAAGTTATTTGGAAGTAAAAAAAGGGACTAAAGACCAAACTCTTCAGTGCACTATCCACCAGTTGCAGTCTGGTCCGGAACCTGGCTCTGCACAACAATTGTCGCTGCTCTTCACAGCTTAAACGGAAGAAAATAAAACTAGATACGAATGAAGGGGATTCTTCCCATCCTCTCCATCATTGACAATCTCCTCCTTCCTAATAAACTCTCCAACAACCGCCCTTCAGCAGCGCGTGGGTCCTTGGTCGCTCTTGGGCACCTTCCTTCATCATGTGTGGCTAGCGAAGCGTCATACGGGCAAAAACCATCGTGGGTGATGTAACCGTATCCTTGACTCCAGTCACCTCGGGGGCCTGTGTATTTGGATGTCTTGTCCTTGGCGTCTGACCTTCATTTTAATATTATTTTTTCGATAGCTTTCATTTTAAATTATTAATATTATTATTGACAATTTTCATTTTATTGAGGGTGGGCCAAAAAAAAAAGATGAAATAATTCATATTAAGAAGGTATTACGAGTCGAGAGTACAAAAATGTCAGAAAATGTCAATTTTCAACAAACCAACAGATGATTGGCTGTCGCTTAGCTTTGGCTTAGTACGGCTCGCTTAGCTTAGTCGGTAGAGCGTTGTGCTAATAACGCAAAGGCCGCAGGTTCGATCCCTGCAGTGAGCATCATCAGATCTTTCGAGATTCTCTTTTTTACAGAACTGTTCGGTCCGATTATCTTTTTGCTGGAGATGTTTTGTAACTATAGGTGCCTCTCTATTTGGAAGTGTGAAGACACTGTTTTTTTTTTATTTTTCGTATGTGTGAAGAAACTGACAGTCTATTCATCAGAAGGTGATTTATCTGTCGTCCAGTGTGATCTCTTTTGATGAATTGAATAGGCATCTTTCTTTTCGCTCGAAGTCCATGCGCGATGCCGTTTTTACACCTCTCTTGTAAAAGGCAACGAGGAAGAGACCCAAAGCAAGATCCAAGTCGGGAGAGATAGATCATTAGATCTTTGAGGAGGATGCGGGTTTGCTAAGCAGCTTGGGTTAAACTCAAATCGTGCTACATTCTTGAGGGTCTGGGCGAAGTAAAAATGTTGTCAAAGAGCACAACCAGCTGGTTGTGGGTGTGAGCCCATTGTAACGGTCATTATCTTGGTTCATCCGTTCTTCATATCTTACTGATGTTTGTCCTTTTTTCGACCATCAATGGAGTAGGCATCACACCGGTTCCCTTTTTCCTTTGAACTTTGGTTCCATCAGACTTTTGATTTTTGTGTGCACTTAGAGAAATGAATCTACGAGGGATAAAATAGCGAGGTTGCCCTTTACAAAAGAGAAAAAAAAAAGTGGCAGGACGAGATACCGAGGTGGCGGTGGTGGAAGGCGCGTCTCTTTCTCTCTCTGTTCTACCTTATTTGTTTATCATACCGGGCGGGATACCATCTAACCAACTCTATCTTGCTCGGGTGACATCCCACAGCTCCTCAATTCCCTTCTGGCGTCCACCTTCTCACCAGGAACGGAGGAGTGAGGGACAAGGATTAAGACGAACCTGTGCGGCTTAGATGATAACGCCTTGTATTGGTAATGAGGCGAGTTCATGGGCGATGGAGATGACGACGAGGCACCGAGGGGAGGGGTTCGGATGATGATAAAGAGAGAAGCAGACGAGGGATAAAGTACACACCGGATGTTAAAATGAAAGTGCCGAGGCGAATAAGGAAGGATCTTGTTTTCCATGATCTATTTGCTGGCACTTTTTGGTGGCATCTCTCTTCTCAAGCAAAAGAGTACAACAACGCAGATCAGTCGTTTGGTGTAGCAAAAAGTGCCTAACTTCCGCAAAAAAAACTGTTGTTCTGGAATACAAACAGGAGAAAAAAAAGGCATTCGCATCTACCACCGGACCATCGAACACCGTGTTCGTATCCAGTTTTCAGCTTTGCCGCGGAGAATGACAAACACCATGTGTGAAAAAGGGGGGAAATGAAAAAAGGAACGGAGGGTGTCAAGTATGACAAACTGAGCCTCTGTGAGCGGCAAAGATAGCTCAAGGAGGATGCGGAAGAGGTGGAAGGGAGGTCCGACTCGTATTATTTTCAATAATTTAAGAAAAAAAGGAATACGGCTTTCTCATGACTTCTGGACCTCGGTACATGGCATTGCATCGCATAGGATGAGGAGGAATGTATGTATGGAAAGTGAAATGAAGGGTCGCATACAAACAGCATTCAGGAAAAAGGCACGGGTTGTCCCCGTTTTTTGACGCTTGATGCCTGACTAGTTGCTTTTTATTTTTTGCTTGATGGATATTTGTAGTCAGTCAAGAGCTGGATGAAAAAAAAGAACAATACTTGACGTGAAAGAATATTCAACTGGGGGTTTGTGGTATCTATGCCCATCGCCTTTCGGGTAAAAGGAAAAGTACTCATTATCACTCACAAAAGAAGAGAACATTGAAAACCAGATAAGAGGGAAAAGGTGGGAGGGAGATAGAAGGGAAAAGGGTGTGTGGGTACAAGCCAATGGCGAGTCAATCCAAAGTAAAAAGACAAGGTAACTCCTGGTACGTGAAGGATCTTGCTCTTCTATGTCTGAAGTTTTGATCTACCTTGCTGGTTCGAGAAAGGCTATAGCTTCGAGTAGAAAAGAGCAGAGTAATGAAAAATGAAATGAAACGAGATGGCTCAAGAGAGATGAAAAAGGGGAGGAGGAGGGATAAGCAACTCGTATAATCAAAACCGGTGTTGTCCATGTGTCCATCTGTGGAAGGTTGTGCGTTTTTGTTTGCTGCGAGGTGTCCACTGTTTGCTGTTTTCATCTGTTTTCTTCTTGGCTTCAACCCCTTGCTCTCTTCTCTCTCTCGTTACTTCAGTGACACATTCGGAGCTTTGCTTGAACAGCAACAATGACAAACGGACAGCAGTTGGTGGAGTTGAATTAACAAAAGGTGAAAAAGAAGGGGAAGGGGTTTTGTGACGGGGGTGAGTGAACTCGCTCAAGAAAAGACACAGCATGCAATCCAACGATGAATATTGAACGGGTGAGTATGCGAATTCCCCCCTTTGCTTCTGCTCCCTGCTCCTGGTTCTTGCTCCTTGCTCTTTGTGCATTGGGTGCATTGTTCGTTGCCCTGTGGTTTTTTCTTTCCTTTCTCTAGTCGATTTGCACGGTGCAAGCAAGCAAGGTGTCCCACCTAACCAACACTACGTCTTTTAGGGGGCAAAATGTTCTCTCAATGCTACTTTCCTTTTCTTTACAACTGATGACCACAATCCTTGAGTACGGACGAATAAAGGGCAGTTGGATTTCGTGGTTCACAAGAATCCTTTTTACTTCCTTCTCATCTTTTCATTTCCTTCTTTCTCTTTTCTTTCTTTTCTCTCTTTTCTCTCTTTTCTTTTTCCCTTCTCTCTTCCAACTCTCACTCTTTCCCTACCCCGCGCTTATTATCCGCTTCAAATATTCACACGACAGCTCACTTACTCACACCCCCACTTTCCCTTCCACCCACACTTACAAAGCATCCATCCCAAACCCACAGCCACCATGACTCCTGCACCCACAACCGCAGAGACCGTCGCCTACTTAAAGTCGCTGCCCGCCGTCCGCGAAAGAGCCGAGCTCGTCTACGCCAAGGCCCAAGGTCGCCAGCTCAAGCACTTTGACGTCGACTTTTCAAAACTCGGCGATGTCGCCAAATTCGTCGTCTCATTGATTAAGCGCGACTATGACGCCAAGGATATCCCAAACATCCCACCTCACACCCGTCTCCGCCATTTCGACGTTGGCCAAAAGGACCGCATCCAACAGTTGTGCGAGAGCTGGAAGGGCCGTATCGATAACCTCGAGACCGTCCGTCGACTTGTCGATCTGATTGTCGTCTCTGTCCTCCTTGATGCCGGTGCTGGAGACAGATGGACGTTCGAGGTTAAGCCAGATAACATCCAGAAGGTTGCTCGATCTTACTCTCGGTCGGAAGGTCTTGCTCTGGCCTCGCTCGCCATGTTCAAGGAGGGTCGCTTCTCTGGCGATATCCATCGCGCTCATCAAGTCGATGGTACGTAATCGCCTGCGATACTTTCTGTACAACAATCATGGCATTGAATGGGTCCACCTGGATAACGATCAATTGTGTTCACACCTTGGACTGGGAGTGATACTCTAGATGGGGTTGCTGGTCGAGCAGGCCTCAGGCCTTCTTTTCTGGAGGTGTTATTTGTTTAACTGCGCGGTACACACACACCAACAACCTTGTGTGTGTTCTTTTCAGTGTGCCCCTTTTCTGTTACCTTTCATTTGCCTCATTGCTACATGCGAAAGAAGGTCATAGTTGTTGCGCTATTTTGCCGTCCGTGTGGAGTGTGTGGTGTATATATATGTGTGTGTGTGTGTGTGTGTGTGTGTGTGTGTGTGTGTGTGTGTGTGTGTGTGTTGAATTCTGTGTAATTGCGTGCATCCTTGACCCTTTAGCTGGGTCCGACTCTCCTGGTCTCCCCCATGCCTCTTTTCTCCTTGTTCTCTATTACTCCTTGTCCGCCTTTTCCCACATCACCGCAACACTACATGACAAAAGGGGTAACATTTTGCATTGTGCGCCTTTCGTTTTGTCAGGTTCAGTTGTCCTGGGTACCTATGTGTTACTAGCGTGTGTATGTGTGCTTCGTGTTTACCATGGTTGGACAAAGGATCCATTTTGTTCATGTCTGTCAGTCGCAATCGCACCCCTCGCATCACTTCTTTTTTATCTCCTTATTTCGTTCTTCCTATCCATGTCTTTTTTTTCTCATACTTCCTTGACGTTCTCGCGTTCTTTTTTTATTTTCTGCCTTTTCTTCCTTATTGTCCTTGACCTTCTTAACCTCCCCTTGAGAAAGGAGGAGGAAAGAAGGATCATGAGGAAGATCAGGGGCAAAGAGAGGAGAGAGGTGGCCGTGCTAATATTGAGATGCGGTGCCCGTGAAGAAGGCATGCCCTTGGATGTAAATTGGGGAGGATCCCTAATGGTGTTTGAAAGCATGCAGGCTCACCCTTTCTTTGCTCCTGCTGCTGTGTTTGTTACTGTTGTGGTTGGTAACAACAAGAACAAACCAATTGGGAAGTACCACAAGATAGGCATGTGTATGGGTATCGATTCATCCAGCGTGATCTTTCTTCACACCCGCAGCCTGTACCCCCTGTTTGCTGGGGTGGAGAAGAAGAGGACGAAGAAGAAGCGTACGGAAGGGTGACCCTTTTTTCATTCATTCATTTGTCTCTCTCGGCCAGTGACATTGTCCCAACGAAATTTAAATCTGGACAAGTGACCACAATACAGTTCCTTCATTGACAGCTCTTGTACTTGTTTCTTCTCATAGCCGATGGACTCTGCAGCTTGACACTCGAGAGCCTCAGGGAAGGATTCCAGGTTGACGAGCAGAAGAACCCTCTGCTCGGTCTCGAAGGTCGATGGGAGCTACTCCGTCGACTCGGCAAGGCCCTCAAGCTTCATCCTGAATACTTTGCCAGCTCCGAGAACGCCGTATGTGTGTGTTTTTTTTTGGTTACTTCCCACGCATGTCATTACCAACGATAATGGATAGGCTAGTAACTAACCTCGTTCTTTTTCAATTGCGTGTCTGTGCTTTTAGCCTCTTCGTCCTGGAAACATGGTTGGTATGTACCTCTAATGCAATCATTTCATGCAGTTCAGGGATGACCACCGACAATGCGAAGGACGGACAGACAACACGCCCTATGTCGAACGAACGCCAACCTCATATGCAAGATGACAACGATGGAAGAAAAAGAGCGCAAAGGGGATCGTCATGCTCCCTCTCTTCAAGCCCATCACACAGGTCGCACATAGTCCTTTCCTTCTGTCGTGTGGTGTACCAACAAACACTTTTTTAAACTTGTCATTTGTAGATTACTTGTTCAAGGAGGGATCGGACAGACCACGCCGCAAGGACAAGTATGTGGTTCGCACGGAGTCGTTGTTCAAGGTTGTGATTGACGGGTTCGCAGAGATCTGGCCACCATCGCGTACAACTGTCGGAGATGTTTCCTTAGGCGATGTTTGGCCCTGCGATGCCCTCAAGACGTCGTCGACCCCAGCGGACTCGACTGACCACTTTGTGGTCTTCCACAAGCTGTCGCAGTGGATGACCTATTCGATCATGGAACCCCTCGAGACCATGCTCAACATTGAGTGGGAACATGCTAACCTCCTCACCGGACTCCCCGAGTATCGCAATGGTAATGTCCGCTATTCATTCTTTTTATCGGTCCTTATCGCATACGAGATTTTTTCTCATGCAACGAAATCTGAGGGATACTAACACGGGTTTCTTCTTTCCCTCGACTCTACCCCCAATAGGTGGACTGTTGATTGATTTGGGATTCATGACACTGAAGCCCAAGGAGGAGGAGCGCGGCTTGGTCAACTACAAGCACAATGCTCTCAAGCCAGGTCAACCCGCAGTCGAGGTCGTGCCGACATTTGAGCCCAGCGATCCCGTCATCATCGAGTGGCGCGCCATGACCGTCGCCGCACTCGATCGGATTGCCGTCGAAGTCCGCAAGCAGCTCAACTTGCCCAACCTCACCCTTGCCCAAGTCCTCCAAGGCGGCACCTGGAACGTAAGTTCACATTCGCACTTTCCCCCCTCTTTTTCTTGTTCTTTATTCCTTTGCTGCTCGCTTTTGTTCATGTCGCAGGCTAAGTACTGTCTCTGCCAAACTAACGTGACCTTCGCATTGATTATTACTCTCTACGTCGTAGGCTGGGCGAGAGATTGCTTCGGTATCACGACCCAACACCAAGGGACCACCTATCGCCATCTTGAGCGACGGCACCTTGTTCTAAGTGGATTGATCTTACGAATTCTTCCTGCTATCCTCCCTTTCTCTCTTTTTTGCACGATATTTTTTCCTTTCGATGATATATAATTCCTGGCGCGCAGCCTCTTTTTTCTCGCAAAGTTGATGAGGACTGGTTACATACACAAGAAAAACAAACAGAAATAAAAAAAAATGCTTTATGGATATCAAGTAGTAATGGAAACAGAAAAAAAATGTACGAAAAGAAGTGGAAGAACGAAGCAAGGGAGGAAAGGATGGAGTGCAGACAGTAGGTTGAGTAATGTGAGATGATGTTGTCAGAGTGGAAAATGGGCTTGATGAAAGAGAGAGCTTATTGGGGAAAAGCTTGCTGAAAAGAGCTTGCTGGTGCGATGTACATAGGGCCTACCCAGTTCAAATCGATCCAGCTAGTTTCCTGTTCTCCTCGATATCCAATATTTTCGGTCCTTTGCCACCTCTCGACGCCATATCCTTTCACTCAGAGTGCTGTGTGCTCCTGTCCAAGTCTTCCTCAATCGCTTCCCTGTATGTGTTGTATGTTGTTGACAATTTCTCCTGAGAGGCATTTAGATGACCTTGGGAGCCAAGCTCAACAACTTCATCCAGCGCTTCTGCCTCAACTCTCCCGAGACGACACCGAGGACACGAGTACCCAAAGGCTCACCCTGCTTGTTCAAGAGTACACAGGCGTTGTCATCAAAACGAACATAGCGACCATCAGGACGGAGGGTCTCCTTGCGGGCGCGGACTACAAGCGCATGGCGGACATCACCCTTCTTCACCTTGGGCACACCCGATGCCGTTGCCACGGCGTTTGCCTTGGCCTTGTTCACAACCACCACAATCTCATCACCTAGTTTATACAGTATCAGGGGAAAAGGGGGAAATGGGTTAGTCGGAAGTGCTTGAAGCAAATATTCTTCACTTCTGGCGTTCAAAGGGGTGATGGAAGCGAGAAAGTGGCGTGAGTTCCCGAGATGCTATTCGGCCGCGCTTGTCGATTTGCTTTTTTCTGAGTCGTCCGTTTCCTTGGGCCGCTGCATTCCATGTTGTACATCAGCGCTGTAGGCCTTGGGTGCTGCCCTGCTCCGTTCAAAATGGAAGAGGCGCCTTTTCCGGGCCGAGCTTCATCCTCAACAGTGTCCCTGACCAAGTCCACTTGACTTTCTCCGTCTCTTCAAGATCGATAGCCTTGACTACAATCAAGGCCGGAGGGAGAAGAGCCGCTCCTTTTCCGAATCATGCTTCCGTTGCTCTCTATGCGTCTGTGGTTCTGCTCTTTTCTTCGTTGAGAAGTCCTGGTTCCGGTTCGGAGTGTTGTTGTTGCTGTTGGTTCCTGCTTGCTGACTTTGCTCTGGAAGCTCGACTTGTCTATTACCTATCCTGGCGTATTTGCCTCCGTGCAAGACGCGGATACACTCTGCCCAAACGGCTCCCGAGTTGTCGATGACGTTGATGATGGACTTTAACTGAAGCATCCTCGGTTATGTATGAATTGTGAATGAGTGAAAGAAAAAAGTGAAGGTGAAGGTGGAATGGAGCGACGGAAAAGTTGATCAGGGGGTGTAAAGCCCTGACAATGCAGTTCGGGGGCCTGTTTATTTCAAAAAGACAGTCTCAAGTCCTGCACGTGATAAGATCTGGGGCAGTAGAGAACTTGCTCCATTGCCACTCGATATCATTTTAAAGCGTTTGACCCCCGCATCGTCCTTGCTGCTGTAGACCTGGCGATCACCCAAGCCCGTGCTCAGCTGGCAGAGAAGAAGCGCCAGAGCGAGGAACGCCAACCCCCTCCCCCGGTCGAGCCGCCCCCGACCGACACCAACCATCCTACCTAACATTTGTACTCTATTTTCTCTGTATTTTATTTACCCTGCCTTTTTCAGGTTCTCTGTTTATCGATTTCTCCCAGTTTAGATGTAGTTTGTGTGCTTTCTTGGAAAATATTTTTTGATTTGGCGGTGACTTGAAGCTAACGAGTATCAGTTTTCTGCACGCACTCCCACGACGCAAAAAAATGTTCCCATTGCCACCAAAATAATGGATGAGACTGCCTTGACACTGGACACGTTGGCCCTTTTGTGCTCTTTTTTTTTTTTTTTTTTTTTCTTTCTCTAAAGACCTGATTCGGGCTTTGCAAGGGATACCTTGTACGAGTGTACACAACAATACGTAGGGAGAAACAGTTTGGCATGTGGGCATGTGGGCATGCAGTTGTCTGCCTTCCCGTCGGTTTTTTGTGCTTTGCTTTATCTTTATCAAATGCCACAATGCCACAATGCCACAAGTTCACACACATGCATTGACGCAAACAATGCAAAGTGAGCAAAGCAAAGCCTTTTTTTTTTTGTGTATTCCTCGGGGGAAAAAGAAAACTGTGTATTAATGGTTTGTTTGTTTGAATTGTACTAGTATTAAGTGAATGAATGTAATTAAGTGAACAACGAACAGCAATGAACAACTAACAAAAACGAAGCAAGAAGAGAAGCAGAGTATGATGGATATGTACAAGAGTCGGCCTGGAGAAAAGTCGACAATGAAGAAGAGAAAGGATGTACAAGAAGAATGAGGTATATGTGTATGATACAAGACGAAAGACTCTCCCTAAAAAAAAATAAGGAAACAATTGACTCTTCGCCTCATCCGTCTCCAAGAGCCAGCCAAGAGAGATGTTTGTGTGTGGATGAGGGAAAGGGAGAGGAAAGGACCAAAAGGAGGAATGCGATCCTTCTGAACCTATTTCTGTCACAATTGTTTCCATTCCGTTCGTCACACCTTACCGCGCCGCACAGGGCACGGCCACAGGCAAGAAGGCAGGATAAAAAAGGCTGGGCAGGGTAACAACACCCTGTCCCAAAGAAGAGAAACAAAGGATGAGAGAGAAAGGAAAAGATGCAAAAGGGAGACTAATTGAAAAAGAAAGAGAGGGGTGTTGAAGCCAAGCGAGAGAATGAGGAATGGCAAGTCTTCTCTTTGTGTTCCCATCGAAGGAAGGGAGATTGAGAGCGGACAAATAGATTCTGCTCCTCTTTTCCTTGGACCCAAGGGTGGTTGTCGAAACAATAGGGAGGTGAGAAACATTTTAGAGAAAAGAGGGGGAAGAAAAAAGAAAAGGGGTAAAGCGCAACAACAACAAAAACCTCCGCTGGCTGGGATAATGGAAGAGGAAGAGTCGACGAGGAGCAAGAGACCGTGCTGGGCTGGATTGAGTGGACTGGACTGGGCTTTGGGCTGATGGCCTGCGTTCCCTTTCCTTCCGCCCCTTTTCCGCCACCTCCTCCTCGGATGTTTTTTTTGTTACGTATGTCCGCCGTCAAAGGGAGGGTGGGAACCCTTTTGTTTTTTAGACCGCCTGACTGAGCATGCTCAACACCAAGGCTGCCTCCTCGACCTTGCGGCGGAGACGGTACTTGCGAGCCCAGAGACGCTTGCTCTTGCGGGTACGCTCCTTGCGGTCCTTATCGTCCTTGACACGGCCATCGGGCAACGAGTCCCACTTGCACTTGCGAGGGTGCATCGTTGGGGACATGTTGTGAACATTCTTGAGGTGGCGGCGCAAGTTGCAGTTTTGGTTCTTGCTGGGCTTGAAGGCGCGACTGCAGACAGGGCAGAGCAACAACTGGGTTGTGGTGGGGACAGGGGTCATCGACGATGAGGAAGAGGTCGAGGCCAAAGAAGTCATCGAAGTTGATGCCTCAGACATGGAGTCAAAGCGATCCTCAGCAGGCGAAGGGGAAGAATCCATCGAGAACTCGGAACCATCGGGTGACAGCGAGCGAGAGTCAGACATCGAGGTGGTATATTCATATGCGTCTTCTTCTTCATAATCATCCTCATCCTCGGCGAAGGAGGGACTGCGACGAAGAGATTCTCTTTCTTCCTCCTTTGGGGCCGCCATTAAAGGATGGATCGATTGGTAAGCGTATGAAGCCGAGGGAGAGGTCGAGGCGGTTGACATGGGTGGGCGCGATTGGAAGTAGTCGTTGACAAAACCAAAGGAAGAACGCTGTTGCTGTTGTTGAACTTGCTCGGTGGGCTGACGAAGATGGTGATCAATATGATCGCGAGGAGAGGGATGGGACGAGTACATATCTCTGGGCGAGGAAGGGCTGGGGAGAGGACGAGAGGCCAGAGAAGGGGAAGAGGTAGAGAAGTGAGGAGGAGGGAGGGTGCGTCCCTGATAGATGGATGGAGAAAAAGGCTTGAGTTCTTGTTGCTTGCTGGATGAAGAGTAGGGATGGTGGCGAGGGGAATGAGAATAAGATGGAGAAGGATAAAAGAGAGGAGAAGAAGGAGAGAAAGGAGCAAAGTGCCTCAATTGAAGAGAAGGGAGGGTGGGCTTGTAGGACGACTCCTGAGAGAGCGAAGGGGATCTGCTCATTCCATCGCATGGGGTGGCTGGGCCAGGTGACACAGACTGAGAGCGGTCAGTGGACGTGCTGTAGGCAGAGAGGAGCGACGAGGTCGACGAGGTCGAGTACGATCGGCTTTGAAACGTCATGGGAGGCGAAGGAGAACCAGGGGAGGCAGAGCGATAAGGACGCGATGAAGAGTTGGGCGATGTGGAAGAGGTGTAGGGAACAAAGCTGGTGTGAATAGATGGAAGGTCAATAGACGACATTGGTGCGAGTTGTCTATTTATGTCTGGGAGAAGGAAGGAAAGAAGTGAAAGGGAAAACGGGCGTTGGAGATTTGGAAGGGGAGGGAGGGAAAGAGAGAAAGCACAAAAGGGGTGAAATGGAAAGAAAGAAAGGGACAGGGGGAGGAAGAAAAGATAATTGATTGTTCTACTGTCACAGCACTTGTTATGCAATGCTGATGACGATGTGTGGATGAGAATACTACCGAGTTGGACAATGGTTGGATGGAGTATAGTAAGGCAGGGGAATGAGTAGATAAAAAAAGAGACGCGAAGAAAAAAAGATGCAGGATGTGGGAAGGGCTGATTTGGCAATTATTTATGCTGCTTGATCTTGTTGCTGGGATGGGAAGAATAGCGCAATAGACAGGGCGAGTCGGAGGCAGAGTGTGTAGATGAGAGGAGAAGGAAGAGGTGGATGGTGATATCTGTTCATCATTGTTTGCACAACAAGTAATCAAGAAGGAGAAACGAAAAAGAGAGGGATGTTTGTCAGTTAACCATGGTAGTAATCAAAATAAACCATTGGACATATCATCAATTGTGGATAATTAGCAACGCATTTGAAAGACCACAATCATTTACCGAAGAGAAAGTTTGTCTGGAAGGAGAATAAGATAAAGAGATGATAGAAAGTGGTCGTGAAGTTGAGAGAAAAAGAAGAGGACAGGGTATTTATGTATCTGTGAATTGAGAGGAACAAAAGAAGGGTTCAAGGGGTGAAGAGGTGTATGTGATGCGAGTATGAAGATGTGGAGTATTTGAAATGTAATGAGGGAGGGTACGAGAGGAAGGATAAGGTAAGCGAAGCGAGAAGAGAGACTGACCAGCCGGTGGTGGGAATGGGAAGGATGATGGATGGGGACACAAAGAAGAGAAGACAGCGGAAGAAAAAATAGAAAATAGAAAAAAAAAAAACACAAGGGATTTAGGTCTTTTTATCCTTGAGTTTTTCAGGATGGAAAGAAGACTAAGGAAAACCAGAAACAAGGGATGAGATGGGATGGGCGCACACACTTAGTCACCTTACATTTTCGTACAATGAGAGCTGGGTAGACGAGAGTACAGAGCCAAGTGGGAGAAAAGGAGGAGGAGAGAATGCGTGATTGAGTGATGGAAAAGGGAGTGAGTTGACAAGGGTCAAAGGAAAGAAGCGTACACAACTAACAATCTAACAACGCGTTGAAGACAATTGACTGGGAAAGATTGAATAGACACGAAGGAAAAAAAGAGACCTGCAGCCATACAAATCAACAAGGGGCAAGGACGTCTGAATTGAAAATAAGTAATTGAATTGAGATAGATTACAAAGAAGAGTAAGAGGGAAAGAAGGGAAAAAAAGGGAGAGAAGGTTAATGCGAGAGCATTATGAAGACAGGAGGACAGACGAAGAAAGAAGAACAAAGACACAAGAAAGGAAGAGAAGGATGTGAACTGTGAAAAGGAGGATGTTGAATCGATTTGTTGTTTTTTAGCAAAGAGTACAACACGACACAGAAGGTAGATGTGAGCAAATAGGAGAAAAAAAAAGAGTGGGAGAAAGGGGGCAGTGGTGCATATAGAAAAAGGAACTCAAAGAGGGGAGGATGGTCAATTCAAACAAGCCCAAAACGCGGTTTGGTTTAGTTCGTTTGGGCGTGTATATAAAATAAAACCAATTCAAAAAAAAAAGACAAGGGGGACGAAGGTGAGTGTTTGAGCCAAGGATAATAATGGATGAGCGTACGGATAGATAGAGTCATTTCAAAGAGCCATAGGAACAAAAAGAAAAGGGGGTTCAACAATTCGACGAAAATGAACCTTTTTTTTGTTCTTGTTTCTTTTCTTTCATTCACTGAGTGCACATGAACAACAATAACAGCAACAGCGATGAAGACAAAGAAAACAATCCAGTGAAGAGATCACAAAGAGAAAGAACAAGGACTTCTAGAGCTACAAATGTAAGAAAGGGGGAGGCCAGAAGGAAATACCATGGCGACTTTCATTCATTGCTATCCCTCCTTTACTCCCCTCTCTGCCTCCCTCTGACTGGCTCCATTTTCCTTGCTCACGAACCAGCCAACCAGCGCTCGTTTTGATCAAATATAGCCAGTGGTTTTTTTTATCCCTTATCGTTGAAGGGGACGAAGGGACGCGTTTTTTTTTCCTCCGAATCCGAGATGATGACGATTGTCTCGGATGTAAATGTTTGTCATGGCTCTTTCTGTTTGATCCTTGTTTAAAACGTCTTTTATTACACGAGCGTGGATTCTCTACCTTTGCCTTTTGCTTCTTATCTTCAGAAGACGACTCGACTCTTACTATTCTCTACTCTCTACCTCCGCGTTATCTTCTCTGATCGAGCCTTTCGACGTTGTTTGCATCATGTTCTACGTCCTTGTCGTCGATGATTAAAAAGAGAGAGAAAAGAATGAAAGAAAGGCTCGCGTTGCACAGTTTAAATAGAATTAGATTGCTCAAATCTCGAGCACTGCGTGAGCACCGACCAAGACAAGGCAAGGCTCGACCGTTCAGGTGTTCGTTACAAGTGTTGCTGTGTCAAGTGACAAAAGATAGACATTCTAGGAACTCACAGACCATATCCACATTCACCCCAAACCACGAGCGAGCACGTCTACTGTTTCTTTTCCCTACCGTACCGCTTCGTGGAAAACGGCACTGAAAAATCGGGTCTATCGTATGCAGAACACAGGTTCCCTTTTTGTTCCACAAAGGCCTCATCATAGAATGTGAAATCTTCCCCCTCTATCGCTTTAAGTTTTGCTTATGGTAATGGGTTGTGTGATTTAAGGTCTTGATACCATTATCTAACCCATCAGATCTAGGGTTACTGAAAGGAGAGGAACACGACGACGAAGACGACGTCGAGGATGAAAAGGAGGATGCCTAAAACGGGATGCAATAGAACGAGGAATTGGAGTGAGGGAGAGAAAAGAGAGGAGAACGTAAGACGCGACATGGCCACAATGGCGGTCAGTACATGTAATACCTGCCAGGAGGGAAGGAAAAGCGTGTCAGTCGTTAGTGCGCGCTATCTAACAGCACCCAAACACCCATCCATCATATTTCCTGAGGGGGGAAAGAACGAGAGGGGACGTCAAAGAGGGAAAGGAGGAAGTCAGGACGGCGGGAAGGGGAGGGGAGCAAGAAAAAGGCTTTCGGCAGTTACATGAGATAGGCCGAGTGGAGCAAATCGAAAGGAAAATAAAAGTATAGAGGGGGGAGAGAGGCTGAAATGGGACGTGGGGCGGGGGAAGGAAAGCATGGCTAGGTGGCCTGGGTGAGGGAAGGAGTGAATGAAGGGTAGCACAATGAGGGGGCATGAGGGAACGAGAAAGAAGAGGGTGAATGGGGGGGAGGTCAATGCCATTGTGTGTCTGGGTTGGATGGTGTTCGTGTTCGTTTTGCTAGAAATAGAAGCAGGGTAAAACGAGCACAGAAAGAGAAAACCTCGGGAGTGGACGGGAATAGAACGGAGGATAAGGGGTGAGAGGAGAAGAAGAAAGGGATGAGGATGAAAGGAGGAAGATGAGAATGAGGCGAGACGAACAAACGTCTTACGTGTATTTTCTTCATCCGTCGATTTCTATGCTCCTCAACTTCTTGATCCTTCTCTTTTAGACAGGGGGCAGACTGTACTCTTGCTTACCCTGCTTTTGTTATGTTCTCTACTCCCCTCTCATGGACCCAAGACGATTCCAGGAGGAGGAGGAGGAGGAGGAGGAGGAGGAGGAGGAGGAGGAGGAGGAGGTAGGACAAAACGTAGAAGCAAATAAAGAAACGGAAGAAAAAAAAGTGGTTCTGTGGTTTTCCTGGATCCCCCTCAGATTTTTCGTCCTACCGCGTCCCACATATTTTTTCTCTTTACCAGAGAATAAATAATTCTCGCCTTCTTCAGCATTGACCAACAACAACAACTAAAATAAACAAACATCCCTATAACTCGTCGTACAGCCTCAAATCTCTCACAAAGGCTCAATGTTTGCGTTTCAATGTTGTTGCATGTTGCTATGTAACCTTTTTTGGTCCGAGGCACCCACGGTAAACATGTAACCTGCCTGTACCCCCCTCCTCCCCGCAGGACAAGGCATATTTTTGTATTTTGCATCCATTGGTGCATCCATTTTTTGTACTTCAAAGACCTTTGTATTTCTATGTACACCTTCAAGCTCGCGGTAAAAAAATAGAAAACAAAGCGCGCAGCTCCTCCTGCTCTCTTTTGGCTCTCTTTTGTTGTACCATTCTTCAAAAAATGACAATGACAGATGCATTGGCCAAAGCGAATGAGATGTCGGGCTGAAGGGAGAGGAGGGGGGGGGGGGTCGACCTGGGTCTCTCATTCATTCATTCCCCTCACCCCTCAACCCCCTGAAAATGGTAAAAGCCCAGCTAGGGCAGAGGAATAGGAAAAAAAAAGGTAATTCGTGCCGAAGAGCCTACAGGGGTGTGTGGCGAAGGAATTGAGCTCATTTTTTTTCTTAATTTTGAACCAAGCTCCTGCACAGAGCGATTCTGTGACGATAGTACTGAATTGGACGCGTGTGAGTGTTTGGAGACAGTTGAATAACTGACCACTGGAAGAGCACGCATAAGTGCATGGTGGAACGTGGAAGTAAGTGTAGTATAAAACACGCGTTGCATTTCACCTTATTCACCCTTCTCTGCTGACCATAGGAAAATTTGATCGATCTTCGCCCAAAAGGAGAGGGAGAGAAGGAGGATAAAAAAAGTCCCCTAAAAAGTTTCCACAAAGTGCCCAGTTCATTGTGTTGTCCATTCAAGGGGGAGGAGGACAACAAAGAGTCTGAGGGGAGGGAGCAATTAGTGGGAGAGCGAGAGAGAGACAGGAGGGTTGACGGAAAGAGACCCCTTCTTTGGGAGGATGGGAAGAGACGGATGGACATTCATTTTTCAGGGGCAGGGGAGGGATGAAAGGGAAGATGAGAAACAGCAAAAAAAAAACCAGCAAAAAGAAGGGGTGCCATGGGGGAAGAACATCAGAAGAGGGAATAGGGAATGAAAAAAAGGAGCGCCAATCCCAGACACTGGCGCCACAAGGAGGAAAAAAAAAGAAAATAAAGGGGGATGGAGCATCGACCTTTCGTGTCTTGGATCGTAAGTCTTGTACCCCTCTGCTTGTGTTTGTATTCTCTGGGGGTTTTTTTTTGGTTGGTGTCAGTGAGGGTATTCACCGTCTCAATGCAAAAAAGCATTGATCACCACTAACGACAACAACAAAACAAACAACCAACAATCAAAGACAAAACAGGTAGCGGACAAGCTGACAGAGAAGGAAAGATAAGCAACTGTGCACCTGGCTGGTGCATCGTCGTCGACTCTTCCATTCTTTGACTAATTTACATTCTTCTGAGCACATCCCCCAAGTACTCATTCGCCTTTTGCCACTTTGCATTTGATGAAAAATAAACACGAACAGCCAACAACAAGAGTATCTACTCTAGTCAACTCGCAAAGAATACAATCAGCTTAGTATTGATAATGAGGAGACTACGCCGAACTTATGGTTTCATGAAATGGGCGAGGAGTAATGCTATATATGAACAAGAACGCTAAAGTGCTCAAGACTCAAGCGAGAGTGACTGAAGAGTAGAGTGACTGGAGAGTAGAGTGAGGGGAGAGAGAGAGAGAGAGAGGGAGTAATAGATGCCCCGTAGACTCACACTCCGGTAGTAGAAAAAATTCGGGAGCTCAGCCGAAGAGGGATCGACTCTCCTACAATTTCTCTTGTGAAGCGTGGACAAGTAAATCGCTCTTGTTCATTTCTTTTTTGTCCCCTCCATTTCTTAATGCGAGTGACTTTAACTCCATACTCTCACAACCCAAAATGAAAAAAGGACTTGGATAGATGTGTGCCATAGCAACAAATACGAGAACTACAAAGTTTACCTCCCGAAAGTGTTTCATGATTTAGACTGAGGGATGGGCTTGCTCATTCATCTTCATTTGAGGTGAGTATTCTCACTTTTTTCGTGGGACCTCTTCTGTCGTTACCCCTGAGAAAATCAAATGCATCATCAACAAACGAGAAATCATTCAAGGGAGTGAAAGAGAGAAGAGAGAGAGGGATGAGACAAAAAAAAGACATCCGGTGGTCAATTGGACGACGATAATTGAGAGTCTATGTGCATGTTCATGTCGTATGAACCTAATACCCAAACATCCACCAGTGGGGGACTTTAGGGGGTTGAGGGAGGCGAAAAGAGGAGGAGAGGAGAGGGAGAGGGAGAGGGAGGGAGAGAGTGGGTGGGCGTCATTGACGAGGATAAGCTGCTTTGAACTGACGCGTTTGATCAGCTCTGCGCATCCGAAAAATGTGGCTCGAGCCATGAAACTACACGTTTCGTTATTCATTTTGGATCCCACGATGGATCCTTGTTCTCCTTTCTTTCTCTCCTCCCCTCTTTTCTTACGACACCGGCCTATTGTGAGAGTGGATGAGAAGAGGCCAAAATGAAAGGCACCGCACCGAAAAAAGGGGCGAAGAGTCGGAAGAAGGAATCTCACTTCACGTTCTCTCGTTCTCTCTCTCTCTCTCTCATTCTGTGTATGGTCTCCCCTGCGCTATGCTACGTAGTAGCCATGCAATGCCTATCCATTGATGCAAGTTACAATAAGCCAACATAACAACACCGTGGCCTCCTCTCTTGCTCTCCCCTTCTCGTTTCCGTCATCCCCACCCCCGTGTCCTTTCCTCACATCGCTTCACATTCATCTTTTACCTTATCACCCTTTGCCAATTCCAAAAATAACCCAGCTTCTCTCTTCCAACCCTTCATTTCATTTCCTCTCGTTCTAGAAGGAGACGAAGAAGGAGGAAGTAAGGAGGGGTTGCTCCCCTCTGTCAATGTAGGGCCAAAGCCCAGTCGCCATCATTGTCTACCCCAAACTCCAGCCCAGTCCAGCTCAGCTCTTGAGTCCGCTCCTTCCTTTGACGTTTCTTTTCCTTGGTCTTTTGTTTCATTACTTCTCCCTCATCCATACACCATCCACACACCATCCACCACTTATCCCCTCGCGTTCTTGACTAATTGCTCTCTCATACTCTCGCATACACGCGCATCTTCTAATTCACCAATGCATTAATGGCCAGTGGTTCGATTTGTTCATGCAAGATGGATTTGCAGTGGCACAATCTTTTGATTTCTCAGTGTTTTTACTCTTACTCTCTTTTGATCGTTCTAGATCACTCAATCTTCCACTGAGCCCAGCCAGGTGTTCTACGGCATTCAAATATCTAACGGTCTTGCTCTCATTCTTTGACCTGCATGCTCCCCCCTCCCCTTCCTCCCAATAGTCAAACGGCCGCCTAGGCCTCTCAGTGACAATTAACCCCCCCCCTTCTCATGCAAGCCATGCATATGTCTCATGGTCCTACCACAGGATTTTTTTTTTTTGCATGAAGCAATTTAGAACCTGCATAACAAACAGATGCCAATTGTTCACCCCCCTGATAAGGTACCTGGCTTGACATACAGGCCATTCTCTTTGTCTTACGCCACAAAACAAATATTTGTCGACGCCCAACACACGATGAAGTGTTCATGTTCACCATTGAAAAGATTTCGATCACGTTTTTTTTGTTACATTTTTCTCCACATCAACCAAACAAAGAACCACCCCCTTACTTTTTTGTTGTTGGTTGATGCTTTTTAGAGCAAACCCAGGATGGAGATGGCAGATGGCTCCAAATACCATTGTGTAGCGCCCATTGTTTTTGAAAGCGGAGAAAGTTGTTTCAAGTTTGATTTTTTTTTTTTTTTTTTTTTTTGGGGGGGGGGGGGGGGGGGGCCGGGTTAGCACAAGGGGGAGAGGGATACAAAAGTCTAGATTTTCTGAAGCATACAGGGGCTATGACGGCGCAAGAATAGAGGTAACTAGCTGGTGGCGGCAGTGTCCATCGGCGTGCATCAAGCAAAGAAAGTGAATGTCGACCTTTTGATTGGAACGCTCAAGGTCAAGACATGTACGAGAGGGTGGCAATAATAGTTTAACATTACTAACGATGCTATGATACAGTTGATGGAAAAGAGGAGGGGTATGTATGGCGACCAAAAAAAGATGGAGATGTTGTGGGTCTAGAAGATGTACATGGATTGGGCAAGGGGCAAGGAGTCGGCAGGCTTAACCATATCACTGATCATGACTCCTTCCACGCTGACCTCGAACGACTCTGGATCGACCTCGACCACCGGGCAGACATCGTTCAGTTTCATGTCCGCCTTGGAGATATCCCTGCACTTGCGGATCGCCTCAACTCGCTTCTTCAGTCCGTACTCCGCGCCTCGGTTCAATTCGACCGCAGCCTGGGACATAAAGATAATCGAGTTTGCGGCGGCCGCACTGCCGATGGCACCAAACATTGGTCGCAGGATGATCGGCTGGGTTGAAGGGATACTGCCGTTGGCCAGACCCATTGCCGAGAAGGTCACCACGCCAGACTTGAGGACATGGGTGGGTTTGGACCCAAAGCTGGCTGGTCCGTACATCACCAAATCTGCCACCTTGCCTACCTCAATCGAACCCACCAGATGCGAGATTCCATGAGCCACAGCACTAATAATAAGGAGAGGTCATCGTGTTAGAAAGCGCAGTAAAGATGAACAAGTCATACTCCTTATTGTTCTTGGTAATAGTGACTTACGGGTTGATGGTGTACTTAGCAACATAGCGCTTGACACGGAAGTTGTCAGCCGTGGTTTTGAAGGCATCCTGGCCCTCGTCATCGATATGTCCACGAACCTGCTTCATCCGGTCAGCAAGCATCCAAGTGCGTCCAACAACCTCCCCAATGCGTCCCATGGCCTGTGCATCACTGCTGATCATACTGATTGCTCCCATGTCGTGCAGACAGCCCTCGGCAGCAATAGTCTCGCCACGGATACGACTCTCGGCGAAATGAACGTCCTCCGGCAGGTTCTTGTCCAAGTGGTGACAGACCATCAACATGTCTATGTGTTCGTCCAAAGTGTTCTTGGTGAATGGGATGGTTGGGGTGGTACTTGAGGGAAGAACATTGGGCTGACCGCAGACAGTAATGATGTCGGGGGCGTGCCCTCCTCCAGCTCCTTCGGTGTGGTAGGTGTGGATGGTGCGTCCCTTGATTGCACCGACAGTCGACTGGACGAATCCTGCCTCGTTCAGTGTGTCAGTATGGATTGTCGCCTATAGAAAGAACCAAACGACAAAACGATTGACGCATTTTTTTTCGTTAGTGAAGTGAAAGATTCCTGAGCATTTTCGTTTACTTTACTGCCATTCAGTGTAAAGGCACTCGCTCTCTTGTTTTTTTTCGGTATTACTCAATCTTACCTGGACATCATACATATCGCAAGCAGTCAAGCAGGTATCGATCGCAGCAGGGGTTGTGCCCCAATCCTCGTGGAGCTTCAGTCCGATGACTCCAGCCTTGACCTGGTCATGAATGCCATTCAAATGCGCCGTGTTGCCCTTGCCAGTGATGCCAATGTTGATGGGCGAAGCGTCGGTGGCCTGCATCATCATCTTGATGAATTCAGCAGCGGGTGTACAGGTCGTAGCGTTGGATCCTGTGTTAGGTCCAGTTCCTCCACCAATTAAGGTCGTCAAACCCGACGTCAGTGCCTCCTCAATGAGCTGTGGGCAGATGTAGTGGACGTGCGTATCGATGCCTCCGGCGACGACGATTTGGTGCTCTCCTGCCATGACCTCTGTTGAAACACCCACGATCATGTTTGGCATCACTCCCTCCATGACATCCGGGTTTCCTGCCTTTCCGATTCCCGAAATAACACCATTCTTGACTCCAATATCAGCCTGTTGTCATCGTCCATCGGTTCCAATGAAGAAAGGAGAGACATGTTAGCAGAAGCAATATGCAAAGATCATCCCTTGAAAATGCATAAAAAGATGACAAAGGATCAAAACAAAGTCATGCCACATCTTGGGAGTCTCCCTTTTCTTATTCGCATTGGCCTGTGTCGCACATCGCATGTTGCAGGTCGCGGGATGCATGTTGCTTGTTTGTTTACCTTGTAAATTCCAGTATAGTCGAGAATAATGCAGTTTGTGATAACAAGGTCCAACGCTTCGCTGTCAGGAATCCCATTAGCCTGGCCCATTCCCTCTCGCAAGACCTTGCCTCCTCCAAACTTGCACTCGTCGCCATAGTGGGCGAAGTCCTTCTCAATCTCAATCCATAGGTCAGTGTCGCCCAGTCGGACTCGATCGCCTGTAGTGGGTCCATAGAAGGACTGGTAGACCTCTCTTGGGATTTGATACTCCGGACGCTCCCTGACATTCAAGGCGGGGGATTGTTCCATATGCACAAAGTTCTTAGCGACCAAGTTGGCCATGATCTCGCTCAGTCTCTCAGGGTTGACTGTTCCTGACGCAAGGTTGTTGCCTCCAGAGATTCTCTTGTTGCCCCCAATGCTGACGATTGTCACTGTGTTCTTCTCACCGGGTTCAAATCTGATGGCGTTTCCTGCAGGAATGTCCAATCGATGACCATACGCCAGAGCACGATCCATTTTGAGCGCGCTGTTAGCCTCAATGAGATGGAAATGAGAACCAACCTAGAATGCAGTAAAAGTAAGCAAGTTGAGTTGTGTAAATGGGGTGCATTCTTTCACGTTTTCTTAGCTCCGCTTTGGGGAGTTTTTTTTCCGAGAGTGCATTCTGTAAGTACATAAGCGAGGAGACTTGTCGGTGACACGAAGAGTTCAGAAATAAACACGAGGAGCGCATGCATGGCTTTTGCCTATCAAAGGCACAAGGAGAGGCCCACATGAGATAGGTCCGATAGGAGAGGAGAAAGAGAGTCGGAGGTTTGCCAATTGACGAATCAAAGGGGCGACAGAAATAAGATTACCGCACCCTTTTTCCATCGCCAACATATCCCAACCTCACTCATTCGCTTATTGGCAGCAAAACAGGTGGGCAGTCGACACCATCCCTTTGAAAAGTGTTGAGAATAATGGAAGAGAAAGAAATGATGCATGCCTCCACTTTCACTTGCTAGCGTCCATTTTCCACACCATTCACAAAAAAAGAGGCGGCAACCTCATATCGTAACCGTGGGCAAAACAATGAAAACAAACCAATTGATAGTGCCCTCGTGTTTAGCGATGAAGTAAAAGGGGAAGTTACGGAAGGGCTTCTCTTTTCGTTATCCCCCATGCGAGTCGATCATTGCCTCGATTGGATTGCACTTGCCGTTTTGTCATATGAAAAGAAAATAAAAAATTCAAAACCATAACCCAGTTTGTCCAGCTCATTCCAGCCCTTTTGTTATCGCTGATGTCAACAAGAGGGAAGACATTAACTGTAGTAACAACCCTTTGCGAGCAGCAAAAGTTAACATGGAGATAGAAAATGGTCGCGCGCAGTATGATAGACAGAATGATGCATCCAGATCGCCGCTGAACAAATATAGATAGCTGAAAAAAAGAATAGCACTCACCAGGATAGGTCGGTCGCCTGTGTTGGTGATCTCCAGACGGAGTCGCTTACGACCCTTGTTGAGGGTAAGTGTGCCCGGTGCGGTGATAATGGCTCCTGGAGGGTGAACAAAGGTCGCCTCCTCGACTTCTGTGATCGGAGGGAAGTACCGGTCGACGTCTGGGATGGGCAAGAAGGATCCATGGAGGGCGAGTTCGAGGTTTCCGCTCTCGTTACTGATGGGGTCATGGACAGTGACCAGCTTGGTGCCGTCGGGGAAGGTGCCCTCAATTTGGACTTCATGCAATATCTCTGCGACACCCGGCATGACCTGTCGTCGTCCTAGAAGCTGCTTGCCCAGATCCATGAGGTCTGCGACGGAATGGCGGCCGTCGCGGATGAACTCTGCGAGCTGGCTGGCAATTAGGGCGACGGTCTCTGTGTGGTTGAGTCGCAGACCTCTTGCTAGTCGCTTCTGTGCGAGAAATCCGACCTGGTGAAGGACCAGCTTGTCAAGTTCGCGGGGGACCAGCTTCATCTTGCGTAATGTGAGGTTTGAGGGAGTTGTGTGTATGTGTTTGTGAGGGAGGCGAGCTCGGATATTAAGCAGATATGGCGGACTAAAAAAGAAAGAGGAAAACGCTTAGTGAAGACAGCGTATCGGCTTTGATGAGGATTTTTTTTGAGGGGGGGAAGAGACAAAGATGGGAGAGGGAGAGGAGGGAAGCGAGGACGATGAAGGCAAAGAAGGAGAAGCAAGAAAGTGAAAAGAGAAAAATAATGTTGGGAGGTGGGAATTTATTTTGAGGGTCAAGGGACGACAATTGCTATCAAACAGATGTTTTGATATGGCTGGAGTAGTAGACATGACTCCTCGCTCACTCCTCACTCCTCGGACAAACAAGCACAAACTCCCACTAATACCTTTTCTTTTCGTTTTTTGCTACCTCCTCTCCCCTGACTTGCGTTTGTAAGTACCGCATCCCTTCTCGACTGGTTCTTCATATTCAAGCAGTTGACGAAACAACCTTGCCGAACAAGGGAAATGGACTCCTTACATGAACATTTTGGCTGGGAGGTTCTGCTGTAGTCTTTCTCACCCATGCCGAGCAAGAAAAAAAAAGAAGTGAGCTGAGGAATCACGCAATCAACCCATTCAGGCTGGAGGGATGGTCCTACATCCGAAAGAAGATATGGCTTGCCACCATGTCATCTTTCGGGTAGCAAAGGTTTGCAATTGGGGTTCATCCGGAAAAGAGGAAAAGAGGAAAAGAGGAAAAGAGGAAAAGAGGAAAAGAGGAAAAGAAGAAAAGAAGAAAAAAAAAGCGCGCTAATGAAATGTACGCCTTGATTATGATGCATATTCCGCCGTCGAAAATGTTCAAAAGAGGAAATGTGTGTGCATTTGTTTGCCCGTCTTGCTTCGTTTGGTTAAGGGACGACAGTAAATGAAGAGCCCTTCGGAAGTATTATCCGCAGAAACATACAACCTAATTCCTCCTCTCTCTTTTCTCTTCGCACCCAACGTTGTTATATGGTGAATGAGGGGAAAGGCACAGCATATATATCATATATCCAATTATTGACAAAAAAAAATCAATGCCTCCTGCTCTGCTCTGCCCTGCACTCAGAACCCATTTCAACGAGAGACATTTGGGAAAGTATCCAAGATTGAAGAAAACCAACAACGTTAACCAATCGGGTAATGACTTAAAGCGCTTTCTTTTCTTGCTTCTTAGAACAATTCTTTTCTTTCAAAACTCCTCCCCTCATCCTTTCCCTCTTCAGGAATGATGGGGCTCGTCTTCTTGGGTTCACTCACAAGTCCATCCCTGGGGTTTATTAGCCAAAACATATCCACTCGCAATTTCTTGTTGAAAATTGTTCTGGTGGGAAATCATCGCTTGAGTTGGCGCTCCTCCTTTTCTTTTCAAGGCGACACCATCTCTGCTACCTTCTCCTGTGCAATGCTACGACTTGTAAAGCGTCTTTATTTGTCGACAGTTGGTTCCTTTGCGAGATTCTGGGGATTGCTTGAACAATGTGAACACTCTCCTCCTCTCCTCGCCATGAAATAAACCATGATGGCGATTTTCTCTTCGCCTTGATGTCCTGTACATGAACATGATGTTATTGTCGTCCCTTTGTTTCTACCTGTTTCGCGTCCCACAGTGACCACATCTTTTCCCCTTGCATGCGCACTGGTATGTGCTAATGGCATGAAGGCGTGTGTGTATCTGAGTTTTTGTGCACGGAGAGCGCCCACGTATGAACGCTTGTTCACGTACACTATGAACCCTAATCAAAAGGGTTCCTGCACTTATCGTTCACCCCTTTTTCTCGTCTTCTCCCACTCCTCTTTACCTCACTTCTTTCTTTCCCTTCCTTTTCTTTTTCATTCTTCACCCACTCATCACCAGCAACAAACAACAGTTACAACAACCAAAAATGTCTTGCCGCTTCGAAAAACACGGTTCAACAGCCTCAGGAGCCTCCGGCGGCCACGACCACGAACACGATGGAAGCCATTCTCATTCACACGACCATGCCTCTCATGACCACTCGGGCGCTGCTCATTCCCACAGCCATGACGCCCCCAAGTTGACCTCCAGCGAAAAGTACAACCTCACAAAGTATGACGACTGGACCCAAGCCGATATCGATCACGGCCACCGTCATGAGCAGATCGATACTGCTGGCAAGTTTGTCGAGCGCTCCTTGCCCGTCTACGATAACCGCGATTGGGAGGAGCGTACGTTCACTGTTGGTATTGGCGGGTAAGTGTCTCTTTCCGTCGTGTCGCCTTACTTTTTTTTCTCTTTCTTATCCTGGCGTTCTTGTCAGAGTGTGTCTGTTCATCATGTCGAAAGGATGGCGTTTGGCGTTTGGCGTTGTTCGGTGAGAGCAATTAGGAGCTGTAAGTCGCCGGGATGTGGGAATCGAAATTTCCTTGTGCAGCACATGGTCTTTTTCTTTTCACTTTGTCAGAATGTATCTGATTGTGATACGAGTGAGAGGTTTGTTCGGTGGGTTACGGGGAACTATCTTTCTTCTTGCTCCCTTCCGGCATGGTTCTTGGGAAAAGGAAAAAAAAACTGGAGTCCAGTCCTTTGCATGTGCATGTGATTCGCGATTCAACAAATCATATTCCATCAAACCATACCTCAGTCGTACTTTACTCATCCTTATCTGCCTTCTTATTTCCTTCTCGTTCCTAGTCCTGTCGGATCGGGCAAGACGGCATTGATGCTGGAGCTTTGCAGGAGACTGTCCAAGGACTACAGCCTAGCCTGTGTCACCAACGACATCTTCACCACCGAGGACACCGATTTCTTGGTCAGGAACAAGGCCCTCGAGGATCCCGAGAGAATTGTGGCCATTGAGACCGGTGGATGTCCCCACGCTGCCATTCGTGAGGATATTTCGGCTAACTTGGCGGCGTTGGAGCAGTTGCAGGCAAAGTTCAACCCAGAGTTGTTACTCATCGAGAGTGGTGGCGATAACTTGGCCGCCAACTATTCACGCGAGTTGGCTGATTATATTATCTATGGTACATTTCTTTCTTTCTTTCTTTCTTTCTTTCTCACTGTCATATGTTGGGATGTTATCAATGTTCTGGGAAAGATGAAAAAGGATTCTAACTTTTCTGTGATTCCTTCGTTTGACTATGTTGTTAGTTATTGATGTTGCTGGAGGTGACAAGGTTCCTCGCAAGGGCGGCCCAGGAACAAGCCAGTCGGACTTGCTGGTCATCAACAAGGTACAAATTGCTACGATCTGCCAAACTTCGGTCCAATTTCTGTACTGTTAACCTCTTGTCATTCTTCACTCTCGATACTAACCCTTCCATGGCGCGCAATTTCTCACTCATGACTAAAAAAAAAAAAAAAAGACCGATTTGGCAGAGATTGTGGGTGCCAACTTGGATGTGATGGCCAGGGATTCGGCCAAGATGCGTGGACCCGGACCCACAGTGTTTGCCCAGGTCAAGAACGGCGTCGGTTTGGACTCTATCATTGAACACATCCTCGGTGCCTACAACGAGAGTGGTGCTCGCAAGTAGAGTATTCGTAACTGTTAATTAAAGCAATGCAAAAATGGCAAGCACATGGGCATCATGGAATATTGTGTGTGTGTCCTGTTGACACTCTTTATGGATTTCTTGCTTGCATTACTCATGTCGTCTACTCCTATCGCCCTTTCATATCCTCGCAAACTTGGTATACTAAATCTAAGAAGTGCCAGCAACCACCAACCTGGAAAAGAGGAAGGAAAAACAAGAAACCAAGTGGTTAATCATAAAGCCAGTTCAAAGAGAATAAAAGGACAAACACAGCAAAAAAGAAACAAAAGCAAGGGACAAACTTACTTCTTGAGGTACTCCATGAAGACCTGGAGTGAAACATCATCGGTAAAGATGGCCTGACCAGCAGGTGGGCCACCATACTGTCCTCCAGAGACATGGGTGGTCGAGGGGTTCAACTTGGACAACAAGAAACGGGCCTGGGATCCGTTCTGGTCACAGACAATATAACGGGGAATGGGGAATCTTTCTGTCAACAACTCCTGAGAACTGACCACTGGCGCCTCCAGGAGCTCCTTGAAATTCTCATATCCGGGCTGGTCCTGGTATCCTGCCTTTCTCCAGGCGGCAATGGTCTCTCCGTGGAAGATCAAGATGTAGAAGAAGGTGTCCAAGAGCAAGATTGAGTCGGGTTTGACAGAAACACTGTCCAACAAAACGGGCTGGGGCTCGCCATCGAAGCCGTACGACATGAGCGTAGGCTGGATCATGATCAGCGAATTGTTGACGTCCTCGCGGTTCAAGATGTGACGGTTGTAGGCAGTCTCGTCAGGAGAGTTGTTGAAGACCTGCAAGAACTGGGAGCGACGGAGATGGAACATGAACTGGGGGTAGATCGAGAAGTTCTCAGTGAGGCGGAAAGACTGAGGTTCGTCCTTGCGGTAGTCGGCAAACTTTTGGCAGAGACGAATCAACATCCTGTCCAACCAGCGCAAAACATCGGGACCATCGTCAATCTCGGCCTTGAAAACGGCAATACGGGCCATCAGAACAGCGGCAGTCTCTTGGTCAAACGACTGACCGATAATGGGGCTGTTACCCTCAGCCCAGCTAATTACATTGAAGCGTAATCGAAGTGGCGATTGTAAATACCGTGTTCGCGATCCTAATTCGGTTGTCGATCAATAGCTGCAGATAGAACATAAAAGACCTGGTAACTTACCTGCGAGCAACGGTGGTGACGCGGAGCTTGAAGTGGCCGCTGGAGTGCTGGTAGTGGGTGACAAACTGGATAAGGCCACGAGAGCCGGGTTGAAGAGACTGGCCCTGCTGGTTGACAACCTCGAAGTAGATACCGTTTGTCGTCTTTGGAGTAACACTGCACATCTTCCATGCCGACGTGTTGCCGATTCCGATCTCCGTCTCTCCAACAGAGGCAGTCTTCTTGTTCGCCGACACTGCGTGTCCAATCAGTCCGCAAATCTTCAACTCCTTCGTGGTCTATTGGTGGAAAGATGGGATGAAATTAGCATTGGTAAAGAGGGGTTGGGAATAAAAATACATGCCGACAACAACGTGAACGTTCCCCCGTGAATATCATACCTGAACGGCCAAGGTGGCGTTGAAGCCCATCTTGAGGTTGCCCTCAGCGTCCTTCTCAAACATCTTTTGGAAACTCTGCTTGAAAATCAAAGTGGTGAAGGAATCTGACAAGATCATAAATCCGCCCGTTGAGTTGACCATGGACTTCATCTCTAAGAGTCCGACCTGATCCAAGCATCCTGCAAAAATATCAATGACGTGTCCATTCGTAGAGGCACGCTTGGCCAATCCTTCGTAGAACTATCAAGCACCAAATAAAGAAGTTGTCAATATCCGAGATAGGCAGTAAAGCTTCAAAAGTTTAGACGCGCACTCAAAGTTCCAATCAAAACGTGGTACCTTGGAGGCCTTCTTGTAGTGCTTGACGTTCTCCTTCTCAATGTCGTGATGGGAGCGAAGGGGCTCCTTAAGATCGGTTCCGACGACCATTCCAGGGCCTTCAGTAGCAGCACCCCCGACAAAGAGCATAACGCGTCCACCGTTGTTCTGGTAGGTGGCCTCCAAAAGTCCGACAGCAACACTCATGGCAACACCTGTGCAGCGCTGAGGACGCTTATCGGTAGCAACGGGCCAGGGGTCACGCTGAAGCTGCTCCAAGATAGATGAGAGAGTGTATTCGCATTGCTGGACGGGGAGCAAGAAGCGAGAGTTGCCGCTGGGAACGAAGGGTGCAGGCTGTCCAGGGTGAACGGGTTGTTGGGGTCGAGCAGCCTGGGCAGAGAGTCCAAGCATGTCCTGAATCTGCTTGCTGGTATAATCCTTGTTTCCACGGAAGACATACGACTTGGGGCATTCGCTGTAACCCAACTCGTGGACTTGTGTCTATTTGCCACGATGAAGGAAATCATTATAAAATGTTAATTTTTGGGGATAATAAAAGGGATCAGATCGGATATTTGCCCTTCTTCAAGCGCGTAGAGACAGACAGCTTGTCTGCTCCGATTGCATACCATGGTGCCGTAGGTGATCAAACCAACGAGAGCGTGCGGAGGGAGCAAACTCAGGGAGACAACAAGCGAGTCCTTCAGTGCCTTGAGATCATCCTCGTCAACGCAGGTGTCGACGACATACAAGAAGATTGGAGGGACCTGGGCGCTTCTGGCCAAAGTGTACTCGATGGTTGTGTGTTTGGCGAGCAACTCTGCAGGGAGGTTGGTGTTGGAGATGTCGCGGTAGTGAGCAGGGAACTGGTTGCGGTGCAAGCAGAACGGGCAAATCCAGAGCTTTCCACGAGGATCGATTTGACTATTAAACAAGCAAGCAGAAGCAAAAAGCATATCGTGCAAAAGAGCGCCAGTTAGATGATGATGATGAAAAGTAGTTGATGTCGCCAAAGCGATGGTGAGGCGATTGTTGATGTAGTTCTTGTTGGTGTGAGACTACGCACCAGTAAGGGTTGAGGATGGCACCGCAGGTGTGCTGTTTGCAGGTGACGGGCTCGTAGTAAATCAAGGGTAGGTCCTCGCGTTCTTTGAGAGGGGTGTAGAGTGCGGCGATGGGGACGACGGTGCGGGTGGCCTCGATGCGCGAGGCTGGCCAGGCGTTGAAGGAGAAGCGGATTCCATCCTGGTCCTCGATTTCCTCGAAGTTCATAGCGATTTAAATGTTGTTGGTGGGGGGGAAGTGGATGATGGGAAAGAAGGAGTAAAAGGGAACAATGGTGTGAATAAAGATTAAGATGATGTGTGTCTCCCATGCGACGACCAGTCAGGGACCTCCGTCTGGTCGCTTGTCCGTCCACGAAGGAAAAGCCACGCCACGGACTTGTAGCTTGAATGCAGCCAATCAGAGGCCATGATATGTCTCTTGCAGGTGACTGTTCCTCACTCATCCTTCGGTGGGTCTCTTGAGGCGGTGTGCGCGTACACTTGGAGGCAGAGGCAATAGGACGAAAAGTGGACGGACCTTCTTCCACGCTTCTTTTTTTTTACTTCTTCTCACACACACACCCTGCCCACCAACCAAACACATCAACAACTACAACACTCACACAATGGCCTGGCAACTCTCAGCTATCCTCGCAGGACACAAGGGCGATGTAAGCACCACTCCTTACACTCTCTTGACACCTTTGCACCCGCGCATTTGTTTTTGTCCATGACATGACACCGCTCCTTGCAGGCACAACCGTTAACAAATTAACTTACGTCTTGTTACTTGAACTGTCAAAAGGTCAAGGCTCTCATTGCCCCAACAGACGACCTGATTGCGTCCGTTTCCCGCGACAAGTCGCTTATTACCTGGAAGAGAGAATCCAACAACAAATATACACAGGACAAGACCTTCAACGGACACACCAATTACGTCAACTCCGTCGCCTTTATCGGCGCATCGGAGGCCAACCCACATGGTAACAAAGCAAGCCTACTTTTTTCGACAGGGGGCATCCTTCATCGCTTCCCCTAAGAAAGCACGTCTGACACATCGATGTTGCTCCTTTCTGTATCCCTAGGACTAATTGTTACTGGTGGAAGTGACAGATTGATCAACGTTTGGGACCCCGAGGATTCCAGCTCGCCAGTTTATACTCTTGTCGGACACACCGACAATGTTTGCTCGCTTTTCGCCGACACAGATGGGCACATTGTTTCTGGTTCTTGGGACAAGTACGCCAAAAATTGCTGTTTTAGTTTATCACACTGCATTGCGTGATCGGTTTCTTCAGGAGCTGTTGGTTAACCAGAACATCCTTTTCTGGGAACAATAGGACCGCCAAGATCTGGAGGAACTGGCAATGCGTCTACACACTCGAGGGTCACACTCAAGCCATTTGGGGAGTTCTGGAGCTCGAGCACGAGATCATTGTGACAGGTATGCATATGCAGCTGATCGATACAGGCACACGGAGCAAAATAACCATCCTGCAACCAAATGACTGATTCAAATACAACATTTCCGCGTTTATGAAATGCCCTTCTCGCAGCATCTGCCGACAAGACGATAGCCATGTGGAAGGACGGCAAGAAGATCAAGACTATCACTGGCCATGAGGACTGTGTAAGATCGTTGGCTCTTTTGCCCGGCATTGGATTTGTATCTTGTGGAAACGATGGCGCAGTTATTGTCTGGTCAAACAACGGCGATCCTGTCCAGGCTCTCGACGGACACACGTCATTCGTCTACTCCCTGGCAACACTTCCTACTGGAGAAATATTTTCAAGTGGCGAAGATCGTACAGTTCGTGTCTGGGAGCGTAAGTCCACTTGACAGATATGTAATAAGGTAGAACACTGTCGTACTTGGCCTTCAAGACACGCGGAAGCTGATACTCTTTACCTCCATCTGAATAGATGGCAAGTGCACGCAAACTATTATTCATCCATGTGTCTCTGTTTGGTGTGTTGCTGCTCTTCCCAATGGTGATATTGTCAGCGGAGGCTCAGATGGATTTGTCCGCGTTTTCACAAGGACCGCAGAGCGTGTCGCTGATTCCGATACTTTGAAGGCATACGACGAAGAAAATGCCGCAACGGCCATTCCCTCGTAAGTCATTTGTGCCAGAGTTTATCTGCAAGCTTTATTTCATGTATGGCCCTGAACGCAATGACCAACCTCGTTCGTTTATACTTGGAACGAAAATAGTAACCAAGTTGGTGATATCAAGAAGGATGATCTCCCCGGCCCCGAGGCATTGGGGCAACCAGGAAAGAAGGACCAGGAAGTGAAGATGGTTCGCGTTGGAAACACAGTCGAGGCGCATATGGTAAGTTGGGGTTCTCATTCAGACAGTTCTTTGAATACTATGTTAATACTACCACTACGCATAGTAATCATGTCTACATTCAAATTTTACAGTGGTCTAACGCAGGACAAGAGTGGTCCAAGATCGGCGAAGTTGTTGATGCTGTTGGCCAAAACAGAAAACAACTCTATGGTGGCATCGAGTACGATCATGTGTTTGACATCGACGTTGGTGAAGGAGTCCCTGCACTCAAGCTGCCATTCAATGTCACCGAGAATCCTTACACTGCAGCTCAGGAGTTCTTGACAAGGCACGACCTTCCTCAGGTGTACCTGGATCAAGTTGCGGACTTTATCACCAAGAATGCTCGCGCTGTTTCACAAGGAGCCGCTGCTGCGACTGGCGACCCCCTCACTGGTAAGCTAATGTCAAAGTTTCAAGGCAGCTGCTATCTTTTTCTAGAAGAAAGAAATGGAAGTGCTTACAATTTTTTCGCTGTTATATCCCTAGGTGGATCTCGATACACTCCTTCTCAGAATACTTCCTCAGGATTCGGATCTGTAAGCCATCAATGTGAGCCGCCTCCTCAGAGACATTTGACTCAAAATTGTCTTCGACTCTAACCAGAAAGGGGGGGGTTTTATTTTTATTTTTAATAGTACAACCCCTGGGGGAATGACACACCCAAACCCCAGCCCGCCGTCAAGCGACTGATCCCTCAGGTATGTAGAGATGGCAATGTCATGTAAACAACGATCACACCAGATCGTAGAAGATATGTATTGACCACGACTCTCTTGCGGCCACCCCGTTTGCGTAATAGTTACTTAACGTGCCTTTCAAGGATGCCAATCTGCCTGCCATCCAGAAAAAGTTGCTTCAGTTGAACACAGAGTTAGCCCCCTCGGGCGTTGCACTTGACAGCGCAGAGTTAGTTCAGCTGGACAGTCTCTTCAAGTTTTTGGGAGCTCCTCCCAAGCAACCAGTGGCCCAGCCTCAGTACTTGGCACTTTTGCTCAAGATTTTCAACACATGGCCCGAGACTTCTCGATTCCCAGCTCTGGACTTGCTTCGTCTGCTGGCCTTGTACTCCAAGGACCCAATCGAGAGTCCCGATCTCCTCAAGACTCTCTTGACAGCTTCACGCACACATGAGGCAAGCTTGATGTTGGTCGCCCGCCTTGTTGTCAACTTTTGCGAGACGGAGGAAGGCCGCGAGGTTGCGATCAACGAGATCTCGACCGTTTTGGAATTCATGAAAGACGACGCTGTCTGGCAGAGCACTAACAAGAACCTTAAGCTGGCCGTTGCCACTGTCTACATGTCCTATTCGACCCTGCTTTTGAAGCGCCACGACGATGATGCTCTGGCTATTCAGTATGTTGGAGTGATTACCAAGATCTTGGCGAAGGAGCGCGACCAGCAAGTCCAGTACCGCCTCCTTATAGCCCTGGGCAATCTGATCTTTGCCCACGAGAGTGCCAAGGAGTCTGCAGCTATTTTTGAGGTTGGGAAGGTTGTCCAAGCTGCTGTTCTTTCACGACCTACCTCGGAGAAAATCACCACCGCACCTGTTGCAAGTAAGTTTATACGTAAAAAAAAAGGAGTGACGTGTTATGTGGAATACTGTGGAGTACTGTAGAGTGTTGAGGAGTGTTGTGGAGTCTTTTTCCACCTGCCATGTCTAGGACTCGTACACGCTAACTCGCCGTTTTTTGTGGTTGTATAGACGAACTCGTCAAGCTGCTTTGAAGTCAGCACTCGAAAATGGTGGCGTTTCATGTCAAATAAAAAAATATATGTTCCTTTGTTTATGAATTTTTCCTTCTTTCTTTCTTCCCCTCGCCACGCGTCTTCACCCACCATCTTACCCATACACATACAATCTCATCCATGGAGGACGCTGTCGATGTTGATGCCTTGAAGGCGAGGCTCACTGTTTGCCGGAACCAACTCGAAAGCAACTCACTCATCAACACCCCCACACGGAAGGACGTTCTCCGGAAGGAAATCGACAGCATAGAAATGAAGCTCGCCCAGGCACTTGGAATCAAAGACGACGAAGACGACGATTCCGAAGAGCCAATCAATCGCCAGCCCGCAACCTCCAACATCAAGAACGAGATATCAACAAGCTCCAACATCAATAGCGAAGCCGATGCTGCTACGCCAGAATCTACTCATCGACCTCACATCAACAGTCTCAGTGACACCCCATCACCTTCCTCTCAGACTGGTGCCAGTAGCTCTGGCTCTAACACGGCCTCCTTGTGCAGCGGTGAAGCTGAGAGCATCAGGTCGGCTCTTATGGATGCTGGTGAGGGCGACATGGACCTGGAGACTTTGCTCAAGGAGCAAGCCATGATGGAAAAGCGACTGGCTGACCTCAAGCGCAGAAGAGAGGAGGAGGACGAGGCGTTTGCTCGGTCCCTTCAAGAAGAAGAGAATCAAGCCGCCCGCCAGCCCCAGGCCTCCTTTCAGCGCCCTACGCAACCCGCCACCACAGCACCCTCGTATTCATTATCGTCATCATCCCAGACCAACCCGTGGAGCTTCAGTCAGTCAAAAACTGCGAAATCTCATCAGGAACGCATGGACGAAGAGATGGCGAAGCTCCTGGCAGAGTCCGAGGATAGTGTGTTTGACCTCGCACAATCTCCTAAAAAGGCTCTGCAACCACAGAGCGACGCCAACCTGCCCACGCAGCCCCATTCTACTTTTGCGATTTTCGAGAAGAAGTTGAGAACCGATCCGCCCTCGGCATCATCAACCGTCGGAAGCACTTCATCAGGTTCCAGCAGTATTCTATCGGTCGGAGCAGCGCTTGGATCGAATGGAACCGCCAATACCCTCCTCGCAAACGGAGTGTCCACTCAAACCACACCCTCTCAAAGTCTTCAGAACTACGCAAGGTCTATTCTGAGTGCGTCCACTTTGATCTTGTTTCTTTGATTGCATGTGATATATTTTGGATGTCGTATTGTTGACAGCTTTTGTAACATCTCTTTGTTGGTATCTTTCATTTGCATAATTTAGCGTCAGCAGCAAATTCCACCGCCAAGAAGGCGTCGGCTATCGACCTTACAAAGACTTCGATCGACTTGACCAAGAAGGTGTATGATGTGTTAAGTTCTGAGGACGAGGGGTTTGGCTATAGCTCGGCATACCAATACGCCTGGAGCCGTCCCAACTTTGGCGGATATGGCAGCTTTGACGAGGACGAGGACGATGAGGATGACGATAGTGACGAACACCTCTTTGGCGAGGACGATGTCGAGATGCCAGGATTCTCGGAATGGGTTTTGAGGCAATCCAAAATGTGGAGCCAGCGACAGCTCGACTACGACGGTTACAGTAGCCACAGCAACATTTACGGCGTTAATGACTACAGCCGCAACCTGAGTGCAGCCGAGTCAGAGAAGGAGCTTAGGGATCTGCTCGCCAACATTCAGGCTGCTGAGGAGGAGATTGCACCACAGGACCGAACTGGAACTCCGGAGGGTATGGCGGCTAGCATTGTATTGCTGGAGCATCAAAAGATTGGTCTGACGTGGCTACAGAAGATGGAGGAGGGCACCAACCGCGGTGGTATCCTTGGGGACGACATGGTATGTGTAGCTGTTATTATGTCGTGTGTTTGCTGTTGTTGTAATAATATATTTAATGCATTCTCTCTCTTCATATAGGGTCTCGGCAAGACGATCCAGTCCATTGCGCTCATTGTGTCAAAGCCAACTGAACCAATTGACGACGCTGTCTTCTGGGACAACAAGGAAACCTACTATCATGCCCCACCTCCTGAAAAACTCGTTAAGACAAAGGCTACTCTTGTCGTTGCCCCGGTCGCGTTGATGTACCAGTGGGCGGAGGAAATTCGAACAAAGACACAGCCTGGTCTCCTCAAGGTTCATATCCACCACGGATCATCCAAAATTACCGACCCGGAGATGTTGAGACGCTACGATGGTGAGTAAACTTTTCTGGCTGAGTGACCGTCCACATTTTTGCCTTCGACATACTGACATAGAACTGCGTTATCTCGTCAATCAACCTTTAGTGATTATTACGTCCAGCATGACCCTTTCAGGAGAAGCTGGAGACAACAGCCCCAGGAAAAAGAAACCTATCGGTGCACTGTTCAAGGCTCACTTTCACCGCATTATCTTGGACGAGGCGCACATCATCAAGAACAAGAGCACCAAGGCCTCTCTGGCTTGTGCTGCGCTCGCCTCCACATACAGGTGGTGTTTGACAGGTAAACACACGCGTTCGGCAGCGGCACCATGGACACGGACTGGCATATCGAACTTGTTTCTCACACATATTCGTATACATATGTTGATGGTCATAGGTACACCTATCCAAAACAGTGTCAACGAGCTTTACTCTCTCATCCGCTTCCTCAGAATCCGACCTTACTGTGATTGGGACGAGTTCAGGAACAAGATTTCGAACCCGATGAAGAAGCAAGGGCAGTATGGTACAGCTATGCAGCGTGTTCAAGCCTTGCTTAAGGCCGTTTGTCTCAGAAGGACTAAAACCTCCACAGTGGACGGCAAGCCTATCTTGAACCTCCCAGACCGTAATGTCGAAATCGTCCACGCTCCATTCTCGCATGACGAAAGCGCCTTCTACCATGCTTTGGAAAACAGGATTCGCGAACGCTTCAATGCCTATGTCAAGGCAGGCACCGTTATGAAAAACTACTCCAACGTAGGGACACGTTAAATGTTACTCCTATATCGAATGCCTATTGCCGATAGTCTCTCCAAGATGTGATTCCATATTAATCCATTCCATATTACTATTTCGGCCGCTACATAGATTCTGGTGTTGCTCCTGCGACTGCGACAGGCTTGTTGCCACCCACATCTGATCAAGGATTTTGATAAGGTAACGGAAGAGAACGCGCCGCAAGGTCAGAAGGCGCATGTCGAGGTGTTGCTGGACAACTTGCTGGCGGATATCATTCGTCGACTGGTTGAACGCGAAGACGATATTCGGGAGTGTCCTATCTGCATGGATATCGGCGAGGAGAGTGTCATACTGAGCGCCTGTGGACACATCTATTGTCGTGCTTGCATCACTGGTAAGTTGCTTTGAATGTTACACTTTCCCCCTCATTTTTTTTCAGCCCAAGGATCGGCAACTCACGTCAATGTTACTTGTTATTTTGATAGATTTCTTGACCCGTCAGGAAGAAGAGGATCGCAAGTGCCCTGAATGCCGTCGTCCTGCCAACCTCCAGAACTGCATTCCTGTCACAGACTTCAACGCTCGATACAACAAGCCTCCAGAGGCCGATCCCAAAGGCAAAGGACGAGCAGATGAAGATGTGGTCGAGGATATTCTCAATGCGCCGTTGGATATTGCAGTGCCAGGGGAGCTAGATGACTGGATCAGCAGCAGCAAGATTGACAAGATGTTTGATGTTGTACGAGATGTAACTGGCAGACGAGAGAAGATTATTATCTTTTCTCAGTTTACCAGTCTGCTCAAGCTGATTGAGAAGCCATTGAACCAGGAGGGCATCAAGTACCTGATGGTAAGCGATGCGTTATCGGCAAGAGGTATATATATGTAAATTCACACGCTATGATATCTTCTAACTTGTTCCATCTTTTGTGTTGCATATCATAAAAAGTACGACGGTAGCATGTCGGCACTGGAAAGAAACGAGGCGGTTCAGAGAATGACACATGACCCAAGCTATGGAGTGATGCTCATCAGTCTCAAGTGTGGATCGCTTGGACTCAACTTGACTGTCGCCAACCAGTAAGTACCGTTAATTTTGCTGTGTCTCTAGCTTGGTTAATTATGAACGATGAAGACGGTTGACTGATACATTTCATTGCTTGTCTCATTATAGTGTGGTGATTATGGATCCATGGTGGAATCCCGCACTTGAAAACCAGGCAATTGACCGCGTGCATCGAATCGGGCAGCGCAAAGATGTGTTTGTGCACAGACTTTGCATTCCTGACTCAGTCGAAGATCGAATCCTGGAACTGCAGGCAAAGAAGAAGTCGTTGGCGGACGGAGCTCTTGGCGAAGGAGATGTTCCTAAGCTTGCCAAGCTCGGAGTAAGCATTGCGTGTGATTCATAACTCATTTTTGATGAAAGAGATATGGTGGACACGATGCACTGCATCGTGTGCATAGAAAGCCTGACCTGTTATTTAATTTTCATTTTTTTCTGCTTCTTCTCTGCTTTTTTAGATGCAAGAACTCATGTTCTTGTTCCGAAGCGGTTAAAAAAAACGATTTTTACAACGCCATACAACCACAATAACAACCACAACCACAACAACGCCCTTGTACACTATCCAACAATCAAAGACCCATTGAAACACCAACCATCGCAACACCAACCATCGCTGTATATCTTTTTGTAGTTCTTGCATAGCACATTAAAGCCCAACGCTTATTACTCTGAATACTTGAAAAAGGGAACAAGCGACATTGTTGGGAACTCGATCAAGGTCAGGAAGTTGTCCTTTTTGCCAGCTGAAAATTGAATGGCAACGAAGAAAACATGGTACTGACCATCGACAAGGGTCAGTTTGCTTTGGACAAGGTTTTGGTGCGAAGCGAGATAACCAGTGTAGAAGGGGGACCGAGGGGAGACTGATAATCAGGTTCGCGTGATTTTGATGTAGAAGGCAACGTAGAGAAGGAGAGAGCGACGAGTCCGCCCAAGTTGGCATGTTTTCGTCACATTTTCCCTTCTGTCTCTCTCTGTTGTCATAACATCTTTTCCTCCTGGCTTCTTGATCACTCTATCTTCGAATGGCCCCCTCTCCTGGGAAACGACAACAAACCACATGCCACGATCAGGTTGCAGTTCGACGCGCCCGAAAAATGGGTCAAAGAACTCAACTGGCGTAACAAGCGGATCCACACGCGTCAACCCAGTCACACGTTCGCACATTTTCCCTCTTTCTTTCTCTCTTTCTCACTCTCTCACTCTCTCTCTCTCTCTCTCTCTCTCCATATAAACACACATCGTTTCCTCGTCCAGCTGGCATGCATGTTCCTCTAATGCGCACGGTGCATATACAGTATGGGAGAGAGAAGGAAGGAGACAGTGGGACAGAGTAAAACGACCACATTTCTTGCATCTATCAAAAGAGACCTTCCCTTCCGTCCGTCCGTTCGTCCGCAATAGTAGCAACCTTCTTTCCGTCTTTTTTTTTCTGTTGCTACGTCTCCTCGTTTAGCGTTCGAACGTCCATGCAAGGATGCAACAAGAAAAAAAAAGCTGTTGAGGGCGAAGAATGGACGTGGTTTCCGATGTGGTTACCCCTCAGCGTGTATTTTTTTAACAGGGCAGGTAGGTCGAAGACAGAGAGGGAGAAGGAGGGTAAGGAGGGGACAAACTTTAACGGTCGTTGTGCTTCTGCATGTTTGTCTTTTTTAACCCATCTGGCTTTTTTGATTGTATCCACATGGTAGAAAGCCGAGGCTTTTGAATGCCTGGTCTAATAAACGTCCCACACGGTCTTACCTCACCTCTTTCCCTCGCTCTATCTCTCTCATCCCTTGTTTGGTACGAGCCATGTCTGCTGTACAAAGGCTTGTTCACGTTCACATCGGCGAACCCATTTTATACAACCGCGGGGAAGAAGGACATAAAAGAAAAAAAACGTACATGAGCCTTTAGTCGACAGAACATTGACTCAAGAAAATTGAATGTTCTAGGAGATAGAACTATCCGCGCGAGTGCCAGTCGGCCAAATGTCATGAAGGGGGGGGGGGGAAACGGTGTTGAAATGTGGGCCTAACTCCAAGCAAGGGACAGACCTGACTTGACGGTAGGTGGAATGGAATGAAGTAATGGAAAGAGAAAGCCGTTGTTATCTCATTCCTTTTGGTGAAGCGGGAAAGAAAAAGATCCCATATCTCATTTCCAACGCACATAACCAAGGACAGGACATGCAACACCGAGTGGGGTTTAGATTTTCTTTTGACTCCATGTATTCTCTCCCATTTACGCTCTTACTCTATGCTCAACGCGTACCATGTGCAACTCTATTTTTTCTCAGACTGATATTCTTCCAGGGCTGGAGAGCGAACGCATGGGTGCTTGACTGGAAATGGCGACACCTAATCCAAAATGACCTTGCTATCCCATGTCTGCTCTGTATCCCTTCTTTGAACTCGATCCGATCCAAGATTTTCGTCATGCTGTTCGAGATCGTCGTTTGAGCTAGAAATCTTTCTTTACAAGTACTCCAACGCGTGTGCCAGGAGAACAAACTAGATGGAAAAATGGTGCCCCAGAGAAAATTTGAAATGAGAGTTGGAGAAACCCCAATCTCGATGGCGACTGAGGATATTAGTATTGGGATTCCATCCCTTGAATATAATGTGCTTGCGTAATACGAGCCGAGTGGTCATAACGAAGTTCAAGGCTAAGCGAGGCTTCCTTGTTAGTTGTTGTAAAGTCATTTATTATTTTCTTGATGATCTCTCTTGATCACTGTCACCGAGATGGCTTTCTCTCTCTCTCTTTTCAATGGGAAGAGGAATGAAGGAGAAACTAACATTGAACCCCTCACCCTTTCCTTTCCTCTCCCCCTCGTCTTTCCCTCTCTCTTCCCCCGTCCCCTTCCTTTCTTCCTTCCCTCCCCAAGTGTGAAAAAAGTCCATCTGGGTTATTTTCTTGTGTGTTCTTATTGAAGGGCACGGAGACAGGGAGAGTGCGACACGGCCTTCTATCGTCATCAACAAAGCATCATTGCCGCCACAAAATACTTACCAGAAATGTAGCTAACTCCATCTAATATCATGTGGAGTGACGAGACAAACAAAGAGTTCATTTCTTTCATCTCTGAAGCGCCCTCCTTTCTATCGAGCCATCACCCAACTTTGTATTTTCTTCTTTGTTCAAGCGAGTGACTCCATTCGTAATCCTCAGGTTAATTTTCTACCTTCGTGTGTCGTTGGTAACCCCCCTCTCCTTCCTTCCTCCTTTTCCTTCCTTATTGGCCCCCTTTTTTTTACCTCTTCCTTCATCCTCCCCTTGCTTTTTTTTCTAAGACATTTCTTTTCATTCTTGTTCAACTGTTTCTCAACCTAATATCCTTTTTGTCGAGACGAAGAGTAGGACAAGTATAGGAAGAGTTAGTAATTAAAAAAGCGGTACATAGGTTGACTGGATGGGTGAGTGAGGAATGCCCACTCCTTTTTTCGCTCACGAATAAAGATATCTCCCATTTCACTTTCTGCGAGTAAAACGGAACTGATAGATTTTATGCGTACTGTTTTTGTTAGAGAGATATACCATTGAGATTTGACTGAGCACAGGCCAGTCCGCACAAGTTGCAAAAAATAATTTGAGAGCGTTCTTCGTTAGGTTCGAGAGCGGAAACAAGCTATGTGTCCCCGCATGCCTGTTGATATCGAGTGGCGAGAACAAAAGAGCCAGCTCAATGGCAATAGCGAAATGAGACATGGCATGGGCAAGCGATGTATGAAAGCGAGTTAAACAAACAAAAATGGCATAGGAATTGATGTTTTGTTGTTGGATAGGGTGGGAACAATTCACTGGTAGTGAATCGGAACTGTGAGAACGGATAGAGTTGTGCTACAGAGTTGATCGACCAGTGATCGACCAGTGATCAACCTTGTTTTGGTTCAATGATAAAACCAAAGGTGTATCAACTTGAAACTGACGAGGCGTTCGAGTGAGACATGTCGCGTCAGGCTGGTACCTTTTTTTTTTCTTGCAGCAGGTTTCGAAAAAAAATATCAAATGGTTGGCATTGACTGAACGGATGGGGTGCATTGGGCTGCTCATGTAGCTCCTGTTACATTTTCCTTATGCCTTTTTTTTTTTGTTTCGCCAGGCTCGTTCTCTGCATGATGCGGTTGAGATTAAGCCTTTCTCCCCCTCTTTTGGTGTGCTTCCTTTCGCCGGTAATGTGGTCTTCATGTTTACCTTGACGAATACAAGGGTAATACGCTTAATGCGGACACAAGGAATGGGAGAAATGATGGACCTTGGTCTTTTCTTTGCCACTAAATCAACCAAGTCTCACATTTACAACGTCTATCATTAATACTCCTTCTCTTTTCTTTGCTTTAGTTTTCCGCTCGTTCTTTTTCTCCAGAGATAGTATTTCGCATGTGTGCGTGCGCGTGTGCATCAGTCAAGAAAAGATATGAAAATAACCCGACGAATGAACCATTGCACTCAAGATTAAGAGCGCATTTGAGTTCTGTGCATGCATCATCCTGCGTCTTTGTGGCCGTGTTTATTTTTTTTCTTTCTCTATCATATTCTACCCTTCCTTGTTTCCTTCCTTTTGTTCTTCCTCTTCCTCCTCACCCTTTTTAACCTGTCTCCGTGGAAGCAAGTGTGAGTATGAATGTATGTATGTATGAATGTATGTGTGATGTGAATGTAAGTGTATGTCTCTTTCTCTTACTCTCTCTCTCTCCCCCTCTCCCTCTCCTTCTTATTCTCTTTCTCTCTTTCTCTCTTTCCTCGCTCTCTTTTCTCTGGTCGTCTCCCTCTTTGTCCTGGGCTTTTTCTATTCTATTGTTGTGTGTAGTTGGTTTGCTGATTAGCGAGTATGTGTGTTATCGCTCTCCTATTCTTTCCTCTTCATAGTTTGCCTCTGCTTTCTTGACGGACGGCTATATTCATATTCCCACTCATATCAGTCGCGCTCTCCTGTACTCTATAGTATCTTGTCATCTATCCGACTCATTCATTCACTTCATTCTCCATGCATATTCACGCCTTTTTTCTTCTTGTCTCTCTTGTCTCTCTTTCATTTTTCTTTTTCTTTTCTCTCTTTCTCTCTTACTTTTCCTCCTCCTCCTTTCCCTTTGTGCCACTAACTCTCTCGCTCTGGCTCCCTCTTTTGGTAATATATACAAACCATGCTCTACACACACATCCTACATGAAATGTCCTCTTTGAGCGTTCTTTTCTTGCGCCTCTTTTTTCTCTCTCTTTCCACTCTCTCTTTTTCTTTCTTGAACCCCACTTTTTTTGTCCTTTGGTTGTGCTCCCTTTACCCTTCCCTCGCTCGCTTCGCTTCCCTCCTTTCCATTCATCCCTCCTGTCCTTTTCTCGCTCCTCTCATCGTATCGTATCTTTGATTTATCCATTTTATTTCCCTCGTCTTTTCTTTCTACACCTTTCCCTTGACCTAGATCCCCCTCACCCATCCCTTCCCATCCTTTGTTCAACACCAATTCGCAGTAGCCCTCCTTCTTCTCCTTCCTTTCTGCTCACAACTCCGTCAGTCCTTTTTCCTGCCCCAAAGGCTCATTCATCATCTTCCCCTCCAGGACAACCAACACCACGCAGAACGCACCCCGATCTCTTTCTCCTTCTCTTTCTCTTTCTCTTTCACTTCTCCTTTTTCTTCCGCCGCCACTTGAACCCTATACCACATCCTTCCTTCGTTCTTTCCTCATACCCTCGTTTATTTCTCTACTTACTTCTTCCTCATTCCTTGCATTCAACCACACCTGATTCACTAAATCCCATTCCATTCTACCCAGCACACCCTCTTCTCTCCTCATTTCGTTCTCTCTGACCTGACAGCCCTTTTGTTTTTTTTACGCTCCTTGTTTCTTTGTCCTTCGAACACACCAACCCTCCTACCCTTTTTTCTCCAATATCTCAGTTTTCACCCAGCACCGCTAGTTTTCCCTGTCTCTTTCAACGAGCTTAGTCAACTGAGCCCTTGGACTGCGAGCGCCATCGGATTCCTTTTAACTGTTCACAGAGGCAAGTTGATCGGATGGTCGGTGTTACACACGCGAGCGAACTCTGGGTTCTGTTCAACCTTGTTTTTCACACACCAATGGGCCGATTAATTGACTAGCAGCGCAATAACGTTTAAAAAAGAGTTGACCAACTTCTGGCTCCTTAATGTGAAGGTGTAAGGAGTGTTCAACGCTGTCAATGCGTGTCAATCATTCGCCTCCCCTTTCCCGCAGCTCTCAATTCACCTCTCCTTGCACCTTGCTGATCAGCAACGGTTTTTTACATTGCAATGAACTTTTTTTGCGTCATTCATGACACCAGTATAGATAACGTGATGGTGCTGGTTGATCTTTGTTTTATAATAATGAAGACAGAATAGTTGATTTTATTTCAAGCTGTCTGTCGATCTCTTTCATACCATACCCGGGAACACGGGCCATGGCCCCTTCAAAACCTTCTGCCCTTTTTTTTAGGCGTACTAGTATGCACACATAACTTTTTCACAAGGATGACGCACACGACACGAGTACTACATAGCAATACACACACACGCACACACTCAGAGAGAGGAGAGATAGATGATGCGCTTCGCGATTGTCTCTATGTCCAAAATAACTGACACTCTTTTCGATTTTTATCTATCTATCTATCTATCTACCTATCTACCACTACCCTCTCCCTCAAAAATGTTGCCTACCCACCTGGTTGCTCACCTCTTAGGCGTTCGACAAAGATAGGGTCTCGATTCTCCACTGCGCCATCTCCTCCATTAAGCACAGCACATTCTTACGACTCACAAAACCCCCTCTCCTCTCACCATGCTCACCATCATGAGCCAGAACGCTGTCCGGCCCGAAGACTACAAGTCCGACACTGCCGCTGTGAGCGACACACCTCTTACGTCAATGGATTCCCACCACTTGCGCAACCACAGCAGTGGGAATGGCAGGATTTTCAAGGACTCCACAATCGCATCCGACTCGTCGCAATTGGCGACAATGACGGCAGTAACGCCGCCATCGAAAGCGCCCCATAGCGCGCCCTCTTTGGGGTCTAGGCACCACGCAAAAACACGCCCATTAGCCATCCAAACAACTTCCCTCCATACCATCGGCAAATCCAGCGATAACAATAACAATAACAACAACAGCAACAACAGCATCAACAGTAACAGCCATCCTAATACTGCCAATACAGAATCAACTCCATCGTCTGCCACTGCCACCCCTTCCTCCAGCACCACTTCTCCTTCCAGCAACACATCTTCTACCTCTTCCACAACCAGTTCACCCATGAGCCATATTCGCCGATGGACTTCCAGCCTCTCCTCCTCCTCAAAGTCAAACTCCAAGAGCACCGCAAAAGTGAGGACAATTGGTCCCATTAGTGCTCCTCAGCCCCTCACCACCCCCGTTCCTTATGCCTGCACTCCCCTTCCTTATTCCGACCTCCCGACTCCCGACCATTTCCTCGTTTCTGTTTCAGCTGGGCAGCAATATAGCCCGAGGAGCTCTCCTCATTCCGATTCAACTGTCCCTCGATCGCCCGCCAAACCTGCGACCTCCTGCCCTGACCTCCCTGTAGGTTCACAAGCCTCTGAGTACTATTTGAACGTGTTGGCTCCCATCGGTACATATTCCAGCCTCAACAAGAATCAGCGCACAAGCTGGAAGGACCGGCTGTTCACCTCTAATCCCAAGAAACAGGACAGGCGCGCCAGCACCAACTCGAATGTTGACGATGATTATGAGTGGTCATCAAATCAAGAGGCGGACACCAGCAGTAATTCGGCGACAACAGCAACAACAGCACCTTATTCTTCATCAACCACACCAGCTGCAGTCGCCACAGCGTCGACAGAAAAGCAGGCAACACGGCCGAGAATGCGCATCTCGCCTCCACTGACGCAACCCGTGCTCCCTGCTAATCAAAAGACGGTCCCCATCATGAAAAACCCCCTGATGAGTCCCACAGATGACCTCTTTGGCCCAGATACATTCGACCCCTTCAAAATTGCACCCAAGAGTAAAGCTGCTGCATCTAGCCCCGTGTCGATGATGATGATGATGACTGCTCCTGCAGATGAAGTCGTGCTTCCGTCAGCATGCCCCTCCTTTGCTCCCTCTACCCCCTATCTCTCTCTCTCTGAGCGGAGCGGCCGACCGACTGTCGATACCAAAATCAAGGCCCCTGTTGCCCCTGTCCACCAACTATTGACGCCACCCTCGTCGCACGCATCTGAAGATTCCTTCCCCTTTGCTTCGCCCACTTCTTCATCAACTGAAGATGAGGATAATGACGAGGCCACAGCAGCACCGTCGGAAACGAACGGAGGCAAGACATCAAATAAGCCTGAGGCTGCAGTGATCGACTTTGCTGCTAGCCTATGTGAGGGCTTGGTGTCAGACTTTGTGATGCCACCGTCGTACTTTGACCAGCACAACCTGAGCCTTGCCTTTGAGGATGCCTACCCACGCGCCGACCCCGACATGATGCCCAAGGTCGTCACCGCCTCCTCGTCGCCTTCGTCTCCTCCCTCCCCTCCCTCCCCTCGCTCTCCTGTGTCGTCTAATTCATCACGAAGCAAGTTCAGCCGGAAGGACCGCTCCTTGAAGTCGACCTCGACGTACTCGACCGATTCGGACTCGTCAACGTCGTCGATCGAATCAGAGGAAGAGTCATCCGACGAAGACTCGTCGCTCTCGCCCGTCAGCGGAGCATCGTTCTTCTCCACTATGCCCCCAACGACTGGACCTGCCTTCAAGCCATATCGGTCGCCCGCGCTCATGAAGTCCGGTGGGATCAAGATCCCCAGTAGCCTGATGACACTCTTGCCCACTGGCTCCTCAAGCAAGTCCAAGACTACTGCTGTGTCTCCACCGACCACGCCTCCAGTGAGCCCACCCTTGGCCTATGCCGAGATAGTCTCAAGCCAGATGGCCAATCTTCCTCCTGGTGCTGTTGGTCAGGCCGCTCCTGGAATGATCATGGCTCTGGCAGACCCGAGGGCAATGATGCTCAAGCGATTGGCCTACATCCATACCCTGCGCAAGCTCCGCGAGCGGGAGAGACGGCCATTCCGTCATGCGGTGTCGTTGCACTTGATCCTTTTGAAGCTTCGCCGTGGCATCACAAACAGGCATTGCAGCGAGATTGCAGAGTTCTATGTGGCCATGTCAGCCGCTCAGTTCCCTTCTCGACTCGACATTGCCAACACGATGATCATGACTCAACAGCAACGGAGCAAACTCCAACAGCAGCAGCAGCTCCTATCACAACAATCGTCCTTGTCGCAGATCCCTGTTCTCGCGTCCCCAATCGAGTCTGTCCAAGAGTCTATGATCCCTGTGCGCTCATCCTCCAAGGCCGCCTCCAGTTCAACATCGACTTCCGGAGACAAGGAATCCAGGTCGAAGCGGTCGCTTGTGTTTTCACTTCAGAGTCGCAGCCAGGCCAACAAGAACAGCAGTAACAATAACGGCGGCGAATCAGGGTGGTCATTCAACTCAGCCACAACCCCCGCTGCGGCGACCCCAGCATCCTCCCAAATCTCGGTCCTCAAGGAGCGACTTCCCCTTCTGCGGATCCCAACCTATCCGCTTATCAACCTAGAGAAGAATTCTAACAACAGCAACACCACCCTGACACCTTCCACAGCCCGCAAGAATCTGGCTGCCGCCGCGATCGATTCCGCCTCTGAGGACGACCAACAAAGAAGCGAGGAGAGCAATATTGACTTTCAACATGGATTGGTACAGCAGGTGCCAACTGTTATCCTCCCCAAGAGAACGACGGGACGTAAGGGATTGCTCTATCAGCAGCAGCTTCAGCTCCGGATGAGACAACAGATGCCGATGATGATTGGCGGTAACGGCGGCACAGACCAAGCGACTGAGGTCTCGGAGCAGGATCAAGTTTGGTTGCAGTCCCAGCTTGTGGGAACGCGTCCTCGCTTTGCTACTTCGACGCTCACGACAGTTCGGTCTGGTCGTTCCGAAGTTGTCACTCGCCCTTTGGTCCCTCTGGCAACTGTGAAGACGCCTCCTGCTACCTCGGAGAGTTCTTCAGCATGGAGCTCCTTCCCTTTTGCACCCTTTGGTCATCGTGGTCAGGCTGCTGCCTCAACATCTACCTCTACCACGGCATCGACTACATCAACAGGGGCAATAACGTCTGCATCTCAGGATGGCAATGGCTCACTTCCCGCTGGACTCCTCACTCCCCCACTCTCGCCTCTCTTCCGCAACCCCTTCTCAGCGGCCACCTTCACCTCCACTGCGATCCCCGTGGCCTCTACAGGATCTGTCAACACAACGAACATTAACAGTAATATTAATACCAGTACACCACCACCCTTGCCACCAACTACCATTCCTACAACAAAAAACAGCAGCAACAAGCGATCGTCCTACACTGCGCAAGGCCATCATTCGCTACCTTCTTCTTCTCCCGCCGCGACCTTCCCCTCCCACCATACCCGTGTCGTGTCTGCAGGATCAGTCTCCTCCTATACACTGCCCCACATCCAGAGCTCTCATCATACGATCAGCTATCTGGAATACCAGGCAGTCCATGGGCGCAATCGGTCCAGTCTTGACGGCAACTCTTCTGGTCGCGGGTCCCCACCTCCTCTGGCCCCTTCGTCTGCGTCATCCTTGTCCCGTAAGCAACAGCAACAGCGTGGATTGCCCTCTCCTCCCTTGTCGCCTACTCCTGATGCTGACGGTAACGTTGCAGCGATGCTTCCGGTTGTCACCGCGTCAATGAACCCGAGCGTCCAGTCTGTGAAGAGGCCATACCTGCCTCAGCGGTCCCTCTCTAGTGGCGAGTATCATGTTCAGCAGCTTGACATGATGATGAGTGGCGGTAACAACGGTGGTGCAGCTGCTGGCGGAGTCGTCGGAGGTCGATCGGAGAACATTACTTGGATCATGCGGGCACCTTCCCCTGTCAACCAGCACAACCTCCAGACGAGACATAGTATGGAAGATATCAGGAACCGTCGCCACTGGAAGGCCTCCTCTTCTTCTGCACCTGCTGTCACTTCTTCGCCTGCTGTCGTTTCGGCCTCCGCGACTGCTGCTTCAACAACTGTCGTGGCTGTTGGTGGACACACAAGCAAGAAGTCGTTGAAGAAGTCGGCCAAGGGAGGAGTCTTTTCACCGGAGGAGTCTGAGGAGGATGAGGATGTTCCACTGGCGTTTGTGCAGCGGAGGATCTCGAGTGATACCCTTCAATGTATGGCATGATAGAGTCATCGTCCTTTTTTTTTATTTTATTTTTTTCTTTCTTTCTTTCTTTCTTTTTCTCCTTTTATTTCTTGTTTCTTGTTTCTTGTTTCTTTTCGTGTCTTGTGTTTATAGAACAAAAAAACCATCTAATTTCTAATCATTAATAACAACCATACAGCCTTTACTTGGCCCCCCTCCCCCCCAAAAAAACTCCCGATCCCAGTTCAAGATGTATGTGCAAAATGTTTAATATAAATAATGTAAAAGGGTTGCTAGATAGGCTGGGCTTCACGCTGCAACCACCTCATCCCCAGACTACCCTCCTGCAAAAACGGCGTCACTTTCTCAAGGCACTCCGCATGGTACCGATTAATCCACTCAACCTCCCTCTTTGACAAAAGGTCCATGTCCATCATCTTCGTCTGGATCGGCACAAACGTAACATGTTCAAACCCCAGGTACTGTTTCCCTCCAAACCGATGAAGCGTCTCGACAGGTCGGACCAGAAGCACATTCTCGATCCGGATCCCAAACTCTCCATCTTCATAGTACCCGGGCTCGTTGGTTAGAGTCATCCCTGGTTTGAGTGGGATTTCGTTATATGCCGGACGGGCTCCACAACCGTGTGGGCCCTCATGAACATTCAAAAACGCGCCGACCCCGTGTCCCGTCCCGTGTCGGAAGTCCAACCCGTCTGACCACAACGCCTGGCGAGAGAGGATATCCAACAAATAACCCGTTGTCCCTTCAGGGAAGACAATCGAGTCAATAGCAATATGACCCTGAAGAACTCTTGTAAAACATCGTTTCTGGTGAGGGGTGGGGTGTGAAAAATGAAGGGTGCGGGTGATATCGGTGGTGCCGTCTCGGTATTGTCCACCAGAGTCGCAGAGGTAAACTTGATCTGCATGGATCTGAGATGCAGTTGGGTTTTCTGGTTTGTAGTGGATGATGGCTCCGCTGGGTCCTGAAGATGAAATCGTATCGAATGATAGTCCCACATATCCCTTCTGCTCACTAGATGTAATAAAAAGAAGCATTTGTGAGTTCTATTGGCCTTCTGTTATCGATCCATTTCTTTTCATCCATTTTTGGTGGATACGTACGCTCTGAATTCCTGAAGGCGTTGAGCACCGTCAGCCTCATCAAGGACAGCCTTTTTGTTCAGAAGCTGATCCTCCAGCCAAGCAAAGTAGCTGATCACAGCAGCCGCATCCCGAAGGTGGCACTGTCGAATCCCAAAAAGCTCCGTGTCGTTCTTGATCGCCTTGGCGTCGATCACGGGCGACCGCGCCTCAACAGTATTGCCCTTCCCCAACGCAACAGCCATCGCCAAGTTGGTCCGACTTCCCAACAACCACATTTCCTTCTTGGCCTTCAACTCTCCTGCCTTTGCCTTGAGGTCATCAAAAATAGTCTCATAATCCTTGATATCCACCGTGGGTCCCAGATGAGTCCTGACCTCGTCCGAGAGAGCCTCCTTCTGTAAATAAAGCGCAACCTTGTCCTTCGTTACGATAGCATACGCGAAAAAGACCGGGTTACAATGCACGTCCGATCCGCGCATATTAAACAACCACGCAATCTCGTCCAGCCCCGAGACCACACACCCCGTGACGCCCTTCAGTGCGAGATCCGTACGGAGTTGTTGGATTTTGTCGAGGTGTGTGCGTCCTGTGGTTACGGTTGTGAGCGTCATTAGTGGGCGTACCGGGCGGCGAGGGCGGGGGTCGTTGACGTGTTGTTGCTCCCAGACCATGTCGACTAGGTTGGGGACGGGGACCAGGGAGGATCCGACTTTTGCGAGTTCTGACTCCAGCTTGACCGCGTCCGCTATATATTGACAAAAAGGCGAGGAGAGCGACCTTTAATTATTTGGATCGCGGATTTCTTTGGTGAAACAAGCTTGAAACAAATAGTTCTGGTCCTTGTGCTGTAAGAATGAAAAACGTGTGACTTACTGGCGGTAAAGACGAGGGGATCAATGCCAATCCTTGATCCTGCTGGCAAGTTCTAGATAGCGATAAATCCAGAAAGAAGCACGTTAGATCGGGCTCTCCAAAACATTGCCTATGCTTCACCACATAGGCACGCCTGTAGCGAAACTCTCTGTACCTTGACGAGGTATTCCTGCCATGTGGGGACATCGGGAAGTCCAGACTTCATCAGCGTCCAATTCGAGTCCAACTGTTGAGAAGCCTGCAAGAAGTATCGTCCGTCGGTGAATAGTGCTGCAGAGTCTAATGAAACGACTGCCAGTCCTGCTGATCCTGTGAATCCTGAGATGAAGCTTCGTCTCTCATCACATTCTGCAACATATTCGCTCTAACATTATGCAGGAAATTTGAGGTTAATGTTGATCCGCGAGAAGGGGGGGGTGTCTGAATAGAATTGAACAAGAAAATGAGGTAGGACGTACTTGGTGGGCGTCTTCAGATGGAATAACACTAACGTGATGGATAATATGTTAGAAAAAGATCTACTACTTAGTTCAAGCGGGGCATTGAGTACCCTGGGACTTACAAGGCGGTAACATTGTACTCAGGATCCTTCATCAATTCGCGCAACTTTTGGACGCGTTCTGTCGTATCGACCGCCGTAGTGGCTGTGGCAGACGCGAAATAGCGCACATTGGGCTGTGCCCAGAGACTCGTAGCAGATTGATTGGAAAGTAAGACCGAGGCTCTTGTTGGTGCCAGGACGAGGCGCGGCTGGCGACACGCGGCTTGGGTGAGGAGGGAGAGTGGCCGCGTTGGTTGGAAGGCGGATCTCGGTGTCTTGATTCGGGCTGTTATTGGTGATGCGACATTCAATGGAGAGGAGAGGCTTCTTTGGAATGTCGGTAGCCGGAAGGCAGGCGGACGAATGAACGGCATCGGGATCAGGAGTGAGAGATGTGGTGATGAACAGAAGAGAGTGAAAAAAGGGACAGTAGCAGTAGGAGTAGGCATACTGTACGTCACCGTGAGCCTTTGCCTTGTAAATTGTCAACCCAAAAAGGAATGTTTTTATCATAACTGCTGATGTGTGACAGATCAGACGATGGATCCGATTCAGGTACCAGTGTCTGCAAGTGTAACGAGGCTGTGGTGGCCACCAAACGTGGGCAACCGGCAAGCTGCATGGTCGGTATATAGAGAATAACTATCTGTATGTCGCCAGAAGCAAGGTATATTGCGCAAGGTTTGTCCCACCCACGCGAGTATCACCTTCCTTCTTCCTTCGGCTGGTTGAAGAGACAATGATAAAAAATCGATCGACCCACCCCACTCTGTTCTCCACTCCACGAATCCATCGACCCCTGTCCGATCGGACTCCGCGGCTGCTCTTCGGAGGCGGCTAATTTCAATCCACAGGCAAGATTGTACACACAAACATACCTTGCTTGTTTACCTTGGTAAGCTTTGCTCCTCTCCTCTTGTCTCTTTTTGTTGTTAACAGTTTACAATAATTGTCATGCTTCGTTCAACATCTTCTCTCCGTCTCTCTCATCTCACCCCTCCTCGCTCACTTCTACGCAAGCGATCGCACCCTCCCAAGTCCACTTCTCCCTACTTCGCCCTCTCCACTCTTGCCTTTTCTTCACCTCTCTCTCCACCCCAAAGCAACAGTATCAACCGCACCAACCGATCACCCACCCAACGTCTCCCCCACTTAAACATACACCAAACAACCGCAACCGCAACCATGAGCACAACATCCACCGCCTCGGCTACCATTTCCCAACACAACGCTGCCCTTGTGCCAGAGGAACGCTCATTCCAGCTCCGGAATGGACTTGTCATTAGAGCAAAGCACTGGCGGTCTGCAGCACCTGAAGCCACCCCAAGGGACTGCCGTCGCTTCATTGCTTTCCATGGCTACCTCGACAATGCCGGCTCATTCGATCCGTAAGGCTACAAATAAATAAGTTGAATGGCGCAACATGGCACAAGTACCACATTCGTCTCTGAAGTACTGCACTAATTCACTCTGCTATATATTCCCTCTGTGAACTACGTTTTTTCTTCGATATGCTTTAGTCTTGCTCCGTAAGTGCCAATGGTCCCACTGCCATAAAAGCGCCTTCTTGCATACAGTGCGGCAACCTTCTAATCCTATTCCCATGCATGACTGACTCACTAAATTCGACTCCTTTTTCTATGCACACCCCACAGAATCCTGCTGGAACAATTGGGCCCTGAGCCAGTAGAAATCCTAGCCCTGGATTTGGCTGGACACGGCACATCGGATCATAGAACCAGCGAGGACTATGCACTGTGGAGATACATTGAGGATGCCGACCAGATTGTCGAGCAGCTCGGTTGGCAGAGACATGCCATCATTGGCCATTCCATGGGAGGCGCCATCTCTACTCTCTATGCCGGTCTCTTTGTGTCAAGGTAACCCTTAGTTTTCAATTACCACCAAAACTCGTAGGTTCTAAATGTCATATTTCAAACAAGTGTTAACTTTGGACCCTGTATACCTTTTTCCCTTTCTCACGCCTTTTAGAGTCACGTTGTGTGTGTTGCTGGACAACCTGGGGCCATTGAGCCGCTCAGTTGAAGATCAGCCCCAGCACCTGCTGGAACACATTGCCGACAAGAAGAATCTCCTCACCAAGCGATCGGCCTTCCACCCAACCATCGACTCAGCCTGCCAGGCAAGAAGTCAAGGAGGCGCCTATGGAATTGCGCCCGAGTATGCAGCACTCTTGATGCCTAGAGGATTACGCCCTGCCGAGAAGACCCTCGAGGAGAATGGCAACACGGCAGTGATTCAGGGCTGGACATGGTCGACAGACCGCCTACTGACGATCCGTAGCGCCCAATCTATGTCTGAGGATTATGCCAAGGCCTTCATGACCCGCATCACCTGCCCTGTCTTTGCAATTATGGCCGAGGAGGGATTATTCCATCTCCAAGACCGTAAGAGCAATAAAAAGGGGAGACGGGGGGAGAAGAAGAGTGGGATAGATAGCATGTTCCTTTTCTGCGTGTTCTTGCATATATGTCCCGCCAATGCTAATGCAATCAACCCATGTACATGTTCGACTGCACTTTTGTATCATCTCCTTATTCCGTCTTTCTCACTCGCTCTATCATTTTAATTGCTGCCATTTCATAGTGTTGACCCATAGAGCCGACTGGATTCACAAGGGCAAGCTGGATGTGACTTCTGTCCCCGGAAAACACTCTGTCCACATGGAGAACGCGCCTCTGGTCGCAAGCAAGATTATCCCATGGATCTTGGCCCAGGATGTCGGGGAGGTAGCAAAGCTTTAGAAAAGCGCGAGAACACATCGAATAGACTAAATATAATAGAAAACACCATGTTTGTTATTTTACCATTTCAATGCGTTAGCCCTCAGATATTATGCCATGACTATTTATTTATTTTTCTCCTGGAAATCATGCATCACGAACCCCCGATGGGGTAGGTTGGATGGTTTGGTTAGTCGAGAAATGGGGTGTGTGTTGGCAAGGTAGATAGGGCTAGTTTGCACGCCAGCTGACTATTGTTGTGTATGCGTAGTAGAGGATTTTGAATGAATGCATTGGTGAGAGAGGGAACGAAACCACCTTTGTGAAGGGTCGACGGACAGTCATGACTAGCTCAATATCGGATGAGCCTGCTGGTCTGTCGAAAAGGCACGTTCCCTTTTTCTTTGCTCAACGTGTCCATTTTTTCTCTCGCCTTCCCTCTCGTCCTTCTTCTCCACACACACACACATACAGTCTCTTGGGTCATCTGTTTCTTCAATCGGCATTGAGAGAGCATGCGCGCTGAAAAAAGAGCGAAGAGACAAACGAGAATGGGTCATGAACACAAAGGGTACACAGACGTGAACACACACCAGACACAGCAGCAAAAAAAAGAAAGGTGTGGAGAGCCGTACAAGTTGAAAAGCAAAGCTCCTTTTTTTCCCTCTGTGCAAAGGAAAGTCTCTGTGCAAATCCGTCCGTCTATTGCCCCCACCGCATAAATAAAGAATGCATTCAATCACCATTATTAGACCATGCTCTCCGGCGATTCTGTCCTTTTCATGCTCTCCTTCACCCTCTCATCAGCACGTCCTTGTTCACACAACTCGTCTCTCACTTTTCTTCATTCCTTCTTCTTTCTTTCCTTAACTTTCCTCCCATCCTTTGTCCTCTACTTTTGCATTCGAACTCTCTCCTCCCCTTTTATTTCCCCTCTTTGCCTTTCTCTTTCCACCGCAAATCACACACACATCCACACAAACATTCGCCAACGATGCACGCTGCCAAGACACTGTTCCTTTCGTTGGCACCACTCATGGTGACAGAGTCCCTCCCACTGATTCTGGTCACAGCCCTCTACGAGCTCGATATCATTCGCTACCTCTTCTTTGGACACCCCACAAGACCAGTCCCGCCTTCTCGCCGCAAGCTCGACTACATCGGGTTCCTGCCCATCCCTGAGAAGGCAAAGTCCTGGCAGGGTTCTCTGGTCGCCGTCCTCTGTGGCCTGGTCTGGTTCTTTTCCGAGTTCACTCTTGACATCATTCTCATCATCCTCGGCGTCGATTCTGCAACCGATCTGAAGAAGCAAATCCAGCAACACCAGGAGCAACTCCAGCACGACGAAGATAACGATACAGCAGTGGTCCAGGACTCGTCACCGGAAGAGGATAGGGCGAGAGTGAAGGCGAATAAGATGCATAATCTTCAGCATCAGCATCACAATCACCGTGATATCTACGACAACTCGGAGGAGTTCTTTGCAGATCATCAACCTCAGCAGCAACATCACGGAGGACGGCGCGAGAGGAGAGAGTTCCAGAGGGAGGCCAAGAGCTCGTACGATGCTAGTGAGGAGGGCGGTGATGTCGTTGAGCAGCTGGATCTGCAGGACGAGTTTTTGGTTTGGAATTCGATGGAACGGAGTGTGGAGTGCAGGGATGAAGAGGATGTTTTGTTGGCGGTCAGTGCTGCCCTCAGTCGGAATTTGACACTCGGAGCCGATGCCAAAGAGAGAGAAGAGAGTAAGGCTGTGTTCTGCAGCACCGCGTTTGATGTTGTTGCTACAGCTGTTGATATCGAGGGAGAATGGGAGGCGGACTTGCAGGAGAATAACGAGCGGACTCCTGCGGCCGAAATTAGACTCTTGCCTGCACACGATCTCGAGCACAACGTCGATGTCCGCTCTGGCCCCGATACAGATTCTGACGCCGACGTTGATGTTGATGCTGAGGCCGCAGACAACCCTGGGCCTGTCTCTTCATCCCCATTCTCGTCGACTTCGACCTCACGCACCGACCTTCACGAGACCGAGCACAACGACGAAAACGAGAAGGCTCACCCCAAGGGCGATTTTAAAGAAAACACCAAGGCCTGGGACCAGCTTTCCATGCCGACCAAGACTACAGAGGCACCTACCCTGGACGACTGCCGCACAACAGACTTCATCCAGCAACACGGTGACGATCAAGAGTCGGCAGCAGGTGTTCATGAGCACCCCGCAGAGCAGCAGAGTCAGGATCAATGGTCAGAATGGGGACCGCACCAGCTCTCTCGGGCAATCAAGACGGTCCAGTCAATACAGAGGCTGAAGCAGGGGCGCGTTGTGGCCAGTCCTTCGAGCCACCGGCACATGGCTTTGTTCCCTCCCCTGAGACCCCTTGCGGCAGAGTCGACCGCCGAGTCGTTGTCGGATGATGACCGGATTAGGGATGAAAAGAAGAAGATGTTGAGGTATGCCAAGAAGAAGAAGGCAGCGAAGGCGAAGAAGGCATCTGGTATGCCTTTGTCCCCCGTTTCCTGCTGAGGATGACCGCTTGTCGGCATAGGCACTCTACTTTTTTTGTTTTTCTCCTTTCCTCTCACTGCATCCTCCTCGTCATTCATGGGCTCGTTCAAATTCAACTCAAAAATAAAGAGAGTTTCGTCTGCCTTTTTTTCCCTCCTATCTTTCTTTCTCAGAACAGCTCGTTCGCGCATTGTTCCTCCTCTACCATCCTTTTTCTCTCCTTTCAACTTCCGGTCCCCCACCCACCCTTTTTTTTGTTCAGTTAAAGAGCTTCAAGTTTGCATCACTATGCTGCAGCATTGCTTGAAACGGTAATAATAAGAACTCTCTCCCACTTTTACTCATTCTTGCTCTTGGCATGTCCAAACAACCGTTAGTCGATCATCATGAAGAACCACCTGTTAGAGCCTTCTTCTCGTCTTGTAAGGAAGATAAAGGAAGGACAAGAGTCGAGGATCAAAGACAAAGAAGGTTGGAATCAGGCCACGCACTCGTAACCCAGGCCTCAGAATAAAATAAAATATTCACATAAAATTTTACATGTCGTCGTTCTGTTCTCTTCACTTTTTTTTTCTCTTCTTCATTCATCCCCGTCAACTTTGTCCTCAAACGGTTTGTCAAACGAAACTAGGGTCGAGTTGGAGAGCTGCTATCGACGGCGATAGACCTGGCGCTGATTTTTTTTCTTGACAAGGTCACATAGGGAATTTGACCCTTTGTCCTACTTTAAGCACCGTGGAGCCATGTCTGCAATCAAGATCGACTGGCTTATGAATTGTCAGACTGGATCAAGTATTTCTCTGCCTCGGACCGACAGGTACATCGCGATATCTCAGCTCGTCTCAAGTCGTACAGCAAAAAAGCAATATCGAATTTCTGGACTGTGACCAGCTTGCGTGAGACTCGGGAACGACAGGAACAAGAGCGTGAAGCTCAGGAACGAGAACGTGTCAAGCTGATGGAAGAACGAAGGATCGATCTACGGACACAGGATGTCATGCAACTTCGCATGGACGATGATGCCATGACGAAAGAGTTGGAGGCGGCCTATAGTACGTTCTATGGCTCTTGTGGCTGTTTGCCAACAGTTTTTCCCTTTTGCCTTGTTCTGCTTGAATACTCATCAATATATTACGGCCCATAGGTAGCGAATCATCATTGGATCCCTCCGATGAAGTTCTGCTAGTTTCAGAGCCAGGTCATAGAGTGTCACTGGCAAGAGAGAGAATACCCTAAATACAACGTCTAGGTTGCTGGATGACTAATTGGTTGAACGACGTATTCAGGTCACTCTCGCCTGTTGTTACGATATGTTATCCGATTGAATAGTGATAATGACTTGACATCTGTTCTTTCTAGGGTCGCCATGTCATGTACTTTAAACACTATGTCGACGAGCAGCTGCGACTATTTCCAGGAACGTTTAAAGGACGTCTTCTCTAAGGCATCAGCTTTGTGCGAAATCAAGGACTTTGATAAGCATGAGTGTTTAAAGTTCCTCCAAAAGTATAACACGCCGCTGCAGAGTAATGAGGCGGTGGTGACTTTGCGCAAAAGTGTGCTTCGAGACCGAGCCAATCTGCTTGATGCCGACTCGTGTCCGGAAGTCGTGCTTCTAGGGAAGACGTTGCGTATTCTGGAGCACCTGTAAGTATTAATTAATTTCTGTCAGACATTGTGGAATATGTGTATATGATTCTAACATATCATTTTTTGCGCTAGGTGCGAGCTTGTTCTTCATAAACCGTACAGAACTCAGAAACCGTCTGAGCACGACTGCCTCAACGTTTGGGCAACGATCTTTGGAGTGTTGACGGAGCTTGTAACATTTCACGCGTAAATTGGTCCCGTGGATCAGACTCTGTCATCCATTTTAGGTTTGCTCGTAAATGGAGTATTAACCAAGCTTCTTTTACTTTACCATCTAGAGGCGAGAAGGCTCAGGAAGCTTCAAAGATGAGACGAATGCAGCGGGAAGAGTACGGGGAGCCCTCGGATGCCAGGCGGAAGGTTGACTGCGTTTTTATGTTCGATGGCATCGAGCTCTCAAACACTGAACTGAAGTCCCAGATCGCTAGTCCAAGAGACGTCTCTGTCCAGTTGCGCAAGAGCATTCGTCTTGCACGCTGTATCCAGGAGCTTCACCTCTCGTTCGGTATGAACAAAGCACCTGTTGTCATGGGCGATGTCCAAAGTAGGGCCTTCTCTTCTTTTTTTTTTTTTGAAAATATTTGTTCCAAAACGAGTCCAGCCACGTCTCTGTGTTATGAAATGACATCTAGGGTTCGTTGGGACATTTTATCGTGTGGTGCAAATGGACGACATTTCTGTCGCTAGCGAGGTCACCTCCGCTGTCGTTTGCCTTCCTGAAACAGCCCTGGGTCTGGAGGCTTTCTTGCAGGATGAGTCTCTCGCGTTGATCTACAATTTCATTGTAAGTGCGATTTTGTGATGTTCTCTTCTGACATGTTCGGGTGGTGCGGCCAGCTTTGCGGATTTCATTGCCCGAATTCTAGGGATCATTGGAAGCACAGAGACCAGTTGTGAAAACAGCCAAGGATCGGCAGGCACTCGGTTTACAGAAAGAAAAGTTCAGAAGCGGTCTCAGAGCGTCACCGGGACCCCAGAGAGCTCGCGAACGCAAGTTTGTGAACGTGGTCACTCTGTCTCCAGCCAAAAAGAGGGATTGGACTGCTATGGAATCCGACATCGCATTGATCGCTCTGCTCTGGAAATAAAGAAACACTTCTTCCACTCGCTCACTACTTGACCTATTTCACCACTGACACCTGCAAGACACTTCACTGCTTCAAGTGACCAGTCCGAGTGGCGACGATCCGGCTAGCAATCCCGGAAGAAGTGAAGGGATAGATTGCTATCCGAAGAGGCCTAACATGAAGGATAACTATTTGAATTGGGGCGCCAGACATAACGTAGGAGGCATCGATCCTGGAGGAGGATAACTCATGACCCAGCTTCATGTAAGGAAACAAGGTCAGAGAGAGGTGTGGATGCAAGGTAGAAAGAATATATATTTATTGTTGTCTGGTGTGAAGTACTGTGTAACCATGGCCTCCATTTTATAGGTGAGTGTGACTAAGGCCGGAAACTGGTATTTGGAAACGAACAGAGACAGCGTCAGGAACTGGGCAGGGAACAGGGCAAAAAAATTTATCTTTGGGAGATATCTATTTACACTCCATTTTGTTTTTCTCATTCCTCTGACTTTTCTCCATCCTCTCTCTTCAGTCCTCACAACCCTCGTCACTCCTTCCTGCTCACTCACACGCCTCCTCCTGTTCATCGCTACAACCGCCACGACAAAAAACATAATGAACGATACCCCTTACCCGGCCGAGATTCGAGAGTACCTCTACAAGATTCTCGTCATTGGCGATGTCGGTACCGGAAAGACATCCATCATCAAGCGCTATGTCCACAACATCTTTTCCATGAACTACAAGTCCACCGTAAGAGCCCCCCTTCTCTTATCTCCCTCCTGTTCTCGCTCTCCCCTCCCCAGCAGGTTTTTTTTATTGTGTCTTTGTGAGTTTTGCAGTTCAACAACAGGTTGAGTGACAAAAGAAGACTAGCCCCGGATGGACGAGGTCAACGAACAATCAATGGACAGACAATAATAATAATAATTACAGTCAGGGCCCCAGGAGAAGCAATCTAAGCGGACGACTAAAAGGAAGCGAAGAAGAAGGCAGTAATCATTGGCATGTGGTTCTTTGTGAATGACGATCATTTCGGATAAAGTTGGCCTTCGTTGTCTGCTGCTCTCTCTCTCTTTCTATCTCGCTCTTTCTCTCTTTCTTGCTGCCCGCCAAAAATATTTCCATATTCCCCAAAAGAACAAAAGAATGTCCGCATGGTCTGCCCAATCGATTTGCTAATCTGTCCTAACCTGTCTCCCTGGGAGGGACACCACAGCAACGAAAAATGAGGGCAATGTAAAAGAGTCAGGGCCAATATTAATGACATGATGTTCTGACCCAGCTTACCACCACCACAACCACCGCAACCACCTCCATCATCCACTCTCTTCTCCAACCCTTTTTTATTATTTGTTTCATTGGTCATTCGGTCGTTTATATGTTGCTAATCGTACCTTTATTGCGTCGTCTAGATCGGAGTCGATTTCGCACTCAAGGTCATCCAATGGTCGCCTGATACCGTCGTCCGTCTGCAGTTGTGGGACATCGCTGGTCAGGAAAGAGCCAGCATGGCACGAGTAAGAAGACATGAAAAAGCGATCTGCTGTTAGGAATAAGACCTCGTATCTATCGCCTGATACCAAGTAACCCCTTTCTACGTCGATCATTTACTCAACCTCCTTTGTGTTTTTTTCTCGATTGCTGTTAGGTTTATTACAAGGAAGCAGTTGCAGCATTGATTGTGTACGATGTGACACGGCCAAAGACATTCGAGGCCGTTAAACGGTGGAAGGCCGATCTAGACTCTAAAGTAACCCTGCCTGGCACCGACGAACCCATTCACGCCATCTTACTTGCTAACAAGGTAACCTTTCGTCATTTGGTGTTTTATTCTTGTTGTAGCTCTCTTAATTGAATGGATCCCCTGGAATAAGACACTGATGCATCTTTTCTTTCCTCGTGCCGTTAGACTGATCTGCAGGAGAATGAGTTGAATTCAGAGGAACTAGACGAGTTCTGCGAGGAGCATGGGTTTCTCAAATGGTACGCATATATAGCACCGATGGCTAGGCGATTTTGCGTTCTAATGGACTGTTTGCTGACAGGATGTGGCTAATTAACTAGTTTAACTAACACAATTGCCTTTTAATTTTCGCATTGAACGAATAGGTTTGGGACATCGGCCAAAGATAACAGGAACATTGAGGATGCGACACAGTTTTTGCTGGAGAAGATTCTAGCGAGCGAGGAGGAGCGGGCGCAGAGGCAGGTGGATGATAGTGCAATGCTTGACCGTGTGCACCTTTCCCAGAGCAAAGCCAAGGAAGGCTGTTGCTAGTTTGTCTTTTTTTTCTGCTTGTATAAAATAATTAATATCACTATGTCGATGTAAATTGGTGGCGCGAATGAAGTGACGCTTTTGCGATCATCCGTTTGAATCGTGACGGCGATGGAGCACCCCTTGCTGGTGGACGCGAGACATGACTGACCGACAGGGAGCACTTTTTATCAGCCTACTTTTTACTTGTCTGGACTTCCTTGTTCTTCTTTCTTCTCACACTCCACACCGATTTTTCCTAACACCCTTCGCTTCATACATCCCACCTCTAACTACTTTCATTCGACCCGTTCATCAAGCAGAACACAATCCCATTCCACAACCCACGCACACACGCAAGTCAACCCCTCGTTATCGACACGAACAAACACACAACGGATAGATAATGAGTCTCCAGGTCAACTTTACAACCTACGGTCACGAACTGAAGGCCGCCTACGAGGACATCCTTCGTCCCGTCAACCCCCAAGGCGGAAACAACTGGGCTCTCTTTGGATACGACAAGGGCACCAACGATCTCAAGGTCCTCGGTCAGGGCAGCGGCGGACTCGAGGAGCTCGAGGATGAGTTTGCCGACGGCAAGATCCAATATGCCTTTGTCCGTACTGTCGACCCATATTCGCAATTGAACAAGTTTGTCCTTATTGCCTGGGTATGTTCAAAAGCGAGAATCTTTTCTGCGTTTTCTGTTTTGTGTTTGGGTGTTCTTGGCGAATTTCGATGACGATAATTACAACCTGGGCTGTGGGAATTGTGTCATTGATCTTTTTATGGTTGTGATGCTTGACTGGGTAGACGATGTCCGGTCCAGCCTCCAGCAGGGCTGAAGGGTGAAAAGGCGAAAGTTTTTCTCTTGGCATGCAATGGCACCACCGGAGCGTTCTAGAAAAGCAATTGGTATCTACGCGGACACTTCAATTGCATTCGAAAACGACACACTGACATTTTTATTTTTTTCTTTGTGTATTGTCAATCAATAGTGCGGCGATGGTGTTCCAGAGTCCAAGAAGGGTCTTTTCAACTCGCATCTGACCGATGTTTCGCAGTTCCTCAAGGTAAAGCCCAAAACAGACAAGGCATTCAGTTCTATCTATGCGCAGTCCGACGACCAAACACACAACGACAAGGCGATAGGCGTGTGTCATGGTGACCCAGTGCTCATACCTCTGTCCTTTTTTTTCCATTTCTTTTTTTCTTCTGGATGACAAACAACAATCACATAGGGTTACCACTTGCAGATCAATGCCCGTAACGAGGCCGACGTCACGCCAGCACAGATTATGAAGCGTTTGGATGAAGGCTCTGGCTCAAAGTACTCAACTCACAAGGAGAGCTATGAAGCTGAGCGTATCCGCCCTCTGCAGTCTGCGTACAAAAAGACAGAGATCCCAGACATCGCTGCCTTGCAGCGCAACCCTACCAAGCCCGAACCTGCTCCCAAGGTAATTTAAACGACTCAAGGACTATCGCGTCAGCACATGTTATGGGTGTGTGTGTGAAAATGTCAGGATGCGTCTGGGTGTTACGTGTTTGCGTGCTGCTTTGTGAATGTCGATTTCTAATTTGTGATGTGATCAATTTTTTGGTGTATCGAACAGTACAACATTGGCACCAAGCCTGTCGGTTATTCCAGCTCTGCCTCATCAGCTGCTACACCCGCCAAACTGGAGGATCGCGTCTGGCCTCCTCCCTCCTCCACTTCATCTTCATCCCCTGCCTCGCCTCCGGTTTCAACTGAACGATCATGGAAGACATCTGTGGGCGGTGCTGGCTCTTACACCTCCTCGACCCCTTCCAACAAGGTTGTTCCTCCAGCCTCCCTGTCATCTTTTGGTGGAGGAGCATCATCCGCTCCAGAACCTGCGGTCAACAAGGCCCATCAGATCCGTCTGGAGCGTGAGGCACGCGAGAAGGAGGAGCGTGAGAGAATCAAGCGTGAGATTGAGGCAAGCGAGGCCCGCCAGCGACAGTCTGCTTCCTCTGGCGCTGGTGGTCCTACCTCGACTGCTCAACGCTTGGCTGAGGAGAGAAAGCTCCAGGCACAGAAGGAGGCAGAGCGTGAGAAGGAACAGCAGCAGGCCAGCAGCAGAGGAGGCGCAGGATTCAGCGACAGTCCTTCCGGTTTGAGTAACACCCCGAACCGCATTCGTGAGGAGCGTTTGGCCCGTGAGAAGGAGGAACGCGAGAGGGCTCAGGCCGAGGATTCTGCTCGATCTGCTCGCGAGGCTTTCAAGACTCGTGAGGTAGACAGTCTTCGTGAACAGACGAGTGCCAGGGAGGATGATTTGAAGCGTCAGAAGGAACATGATCAGAGAAAGCAGCGTGAGGCACGGGAAGCGGAGGAGCGTCATGCACAGGAGCAGTCCAGTCTGCAGAGGCAGCAACAGGAGGAAGAAGAAGAGGAGGCCGCTCGTCAAAGACAACAACAGGAGGAGGAGGAGGAGGAAGAACGGAGGGCACAGCAGCAGCGTCAACGTCAGAAGGATGAGGATGAGGCCAAGCAGCGTCGCCAACGTGAGCAGCAGGAGGCCGATGACCGTAAGCGCCGTCAAGCCGAAGAGGATGCAGCAGAGGAGGAGAGACAGCGTCGCCAGGCTGAGGAAGAGGAGGAGAGAGAGCACGAGAGACATATGCAGGAGGAGGTCAACGCTGCGGCCACTCAGTCTGTTAATCTGGGCGCTGATGCCCTTTTGGCCTCGACTGAGCACCCTGAGCTCACCGTGAGCGGATCTGTCTCGGCCATCGTCTTGTATTCGTACGAGAAGGCCGAGGAGAACGAGATGTCGTTGCTCGAGGGGGAGATCATCCGGAACGTCACTGAGCTCGATGTCGGTTGGTGGAGCGGCGAGAGTGAGGATGGTACCCGGTCCGGTCTGTTCCCTGCCAACTATGTCGAGGTCATTGAGCATGCTCAGGAGCAGGAGCAGCATCACGATGCCCATGACGATCATCATGCTGCTGCTGCCGCACACGACCAGCACCAGGACCATGAGGCTGAACATGAAGCGTACTCTGCTCAGCATGCACCTGCCGCCCCGGCTGCTGCTGCTGGCGGAGAGAAGAAGCCCACGGCTGTTGCACTGTACGATTATCAGGCAGGCGAGCCCAACGAGCTTTCCTTCAACGAAGGCGAAACCATTACCGAGATTGATGTAAGTTTGGTCAATTGATGCCCTCTTTCTGTTACCGTTGTATATTTGTTCACCACTCTAATGCATTGTCGATTTTATTACTGATAGTTTGTAACGGAGGATTGGTGGAGCGGCAAGTCTGATGCTGGCGCGAGTGGACTGTTCCCAGGTAAGGATCGAGGTGTACAATGGTCGTCGCCAGGATGTCTGTGCTTTTGTTTGTTTCGGAGTGTGCGGGTCAAATTAATTAACACTTTATTTGTTTTTGGCTCCATCATTCTAAATAGCCAACTATGTCGAGATCATCCAATAGTCTTCACATTTCATAGCATAGCTTGTGGTCATAAAAACATGAATGTGTTTTTTCGCACTGAGAAAAAAAAGGCATGCCCAATGTCAACATGTGCATCATGTGGCCTTTCCCATGGCATACCAAAATGGGTGTGACTGCCCCTGAAACGTTATTTTTTCCCGTGTGAACAGGGGTTGACGCTGAGAGTCTTTTCGATATCACATCACCCCCTCTAGCCCATCTGCCGCCGGACGCCTCAAGCAAGACATGGATCCCTTAACAACAGGAAGTCCCTTCGATATCCCAGAACTTAGACACCAACTCAGCCGATTTGTCTCTGTCAGGACTGCATGGTCCTGCGTCCGAGTCTCCAAAGTGTGGGCAACGACCTTCATCCCCGTTATCTGGTTCGAGGTCGATTTCGCAATCCACCCTCGATTCGCCGAACTTCCGCCGCTAACCATCAGGAAGCATGGACGCCTTATCCATATCGTCAAGAATGCAACCTCGCTCGCCCACGTCTCTGTCCTCACCAATATCAGGGTCGACCAACTGACAAGCCTCCACGTCGAAACGACCGCGTCTGTCCTGCAGTATGCGTATGCGTATGAGGTTGTCTCGCGGAACAGTGCCAGTCTACAGAATATCCATCTCTATGCAGCGACCGTCCCTGCCAACAAGCGCAGTTCCTTGGCCCATTTCGTGTCTGTCCCGGCATTGATTCCTTTCTCGGCCGCTTCGCTCGAGGTGACTAAGAGCTCGTCTGTCCTCAGGTCGTTGACGTTGTCCGGCCTCTGCTTGACAGGAAGCGGGTTCATGTCGATCCTTTTGGCGTCCCCTCTATTGTCGGAACTGCGGTTGCTGAGCACGGATGTTGTGGGGATCTCGAACTGGACATTCCGACACGCAGGCATCAAGGTGTTTGTTTCGTGGCTCAAGAATATCATCCGGTCTGAGGCAGTGAGAAGTGTCGATGGGGTTTCTCTCCTAGCATATTTCCCTGCGCTCGAGGTCTTGCATGTCAACGATCAAGAGGGCCAGTTGACGGCTCTCTCTGCAAACAAGATCAAGCGAGATCTCACACGTTATTGCCCAAAGTTGACTGTCTTTCACCTGCAGGACAATACCGGCGCGATCATCCCCAAGTTCTGTTACAACGCGCCCAGTAACCTGACCGAGATTGTCTACTTGTACGAGCACACGTCCCCAGAGGTGCTGACTTCGATTCTCTTGCACCAGCAATCGCTCAAGTCGGTTTCGGTCTTTTGTTCGGACAATATCTTTACTGCCAGCCGCCACGAAGTCGTCCCGGTCAGCGACCATTTTGAGGCATCGGGGCGTCTGTTGCAGCTGATTCCGCGGGGGTGTCCGCAGCTGGAGGTCTTGTCGTTGCACCTGCATGAGATGGACATGGACGAGGTCGAGAGGGGCGAGTGGGCGTGCAAGAATTTGAAGACGCTGAGGGTTAGGATCAAGGGGTTGGATACGAAGAAGGCGATCTCCAAGACTTTATCGCAATGGTATGCGGGGCTGGTGACGACGTCTAAAGCGAGTTGGTCCGTGGCTACAACGGCCACGACCACTACCAATAGCACTGGTGCTGAAGATTCACAGGATGCCGATGAGCATTGCGGTACTGCTGAAGGAGGTGGTAGTATTGGTGATGGTGGCAGTAGTAGTAGTAGTAGTAGTAGTAGTAGTAGTAGTAGTAGTAGTGATGGTGGTGGTGGTGGTCTGGATATATTAGACACATCTCTTGAGGCGCGGGTTGCCCGGCACCTTTTGAAGTTTGAAAAGTTGGAAACCGTCTGGCTGGGTTACCAGACTTGGTCCTTGACTTGAGGATCCTTCTCCTCCCTTTACTTTTATTTTTCATTTCTCTCGTAGCCTCGTATACTCTTCTCTCTTTCTTTCTTTCTTTCTTTCTTTGATATCCATTACATTTTTCATTTGCTCCAGTCCATTGTAAATAAATATAATTATTTACATGATGTCATTTCTTTGTGTAGATCGTGCTCTGTTTGTTGTTCGCAAGCGCGTCTCATTCGTGACACCACTACAGCAACATGGAGATCGCCACCCTGTGAAGGAGCCCCCTCGATCTCCCCAAGCTGAGGCGTAGGATCGGCCGATTCGTTAACCTTAAGGATGTACTCTCATGCGTTCTCATCTCAGGACCGGACAAGTTACTTTGTATCCATCATTTGGTTCAAGGTCTAGTTTGACGTCCATCCTCGTTTCGCCAACGTGTCCCAGGACATTGTCGCCAAGCATGGATGCCGTTGATCAGTGCGATATAACAACCTATGGATCCTTGTCTGAGATATCCTCTGCTGTTCCCATGGCCTCTTTCATTTGATCAGTTCGTCCTCAACTTCATTCTTCTTCCTTTAACTCTCTCCTTCTCTTATTCCTTCTTGCTCATCCTCCACTCTTTCAGAACCTTCTCCTTTTCCTGCTTTCAACAAATCGTATTTCTTCTTCGCCATGTCGAACCGACCCTCGTACACTCCATTGACCGCGGAGCGCGCGAGACAGATGGCCGCAAGATCTTCCTCCTCCTCCTCCACTAACAACATCAACAACAACTCAACTGCCGCCGACCCCGCGACCAACCCTGCCTCCAATCCTGCTCCTGTATCGACCAAAATCGACCCCGACCATGTAGGCCACGTTGGCAAGACCGTTGACCAAGACTGGACGCACCTGTACAAACCCTTCAACATTTCCAAGGACCGTAAGTACTTCACATAGTTTACAACGGACCTTTATACTACCGTTCATCGACATGATTCAAATCTCAAATACTAAGAAACCGACTTTGTTGTTTTTTGTTTTTGCCTTGTTCTCTTATCTTTCAATTTTTGTTAACAACGCTTGTACTATCGCCAGCAATAGCAACAGACACAGCAAAAGGCTCGACAGTGGCAGCAGCAACAAACTCAGCAGTGGTTGCAACAGAACCTACTGCACCCACCGCCGTTGCCTCCTTTCTATCCACCACCGGCAACTCCTCCTCCTCCTCCAACTCCAACTCTGCCCTTTCCTTATCACCAGGGACAGAGCCAAGAGCAACAGCATCTGCTGGGCTCGGCGCAGTGGTAGCAATGAATGCGAACCCTGCAGTATTACCAGCAACATTAGCAGCAGCCTCTTCGCTCCCACCCACAGCATCAGCATCCTGATCACCATCATCACCAACAGCATCAACAGCAGCAGCACCCTTATCCGGGTTATCCCCACCATCCTCACCACCACCAGCAGCAATAGGCGTGTTGTCCTGTTCCGGCGATGAAAGTAGCGAATACACCGACTACCGCCTTTATTGCACAGACCAGCGCGACGTTAACGCCATCTTCGCGGAGACACTCCCAACCTGCAGAGCAACAGTAGCAGCAGCGGAGGGATCGGATGGAGGACAAGTAATAGATAATATTGCTGTTGAATAAAACTAGCGCAAAGAATATGTATTGCCGCGTTTATGCCTGTCATGTTTGTTTAGTGCGAGCGTGTGGCGCAAGCTGTCGTTTGGTGGAGATCTGAACACGTCCATCGGGCGAGAAATAAGAACGTGGCTCTCCACATGTTATGGGCATGGTCAATTAGGAAGGGTTCATTCGCCTTGCCGCATAATTGACTTTCAAATCAAGATCACCTTTTCGTTCTCCATCGCCACCAAAACAGCATTCAACTTACTTCTTTACTCATGCCATTGCTCAAGGACTACCTCGACAGAGATCTGTCGCCAAGGGACAGGGCCATCCTCACCGACATCCTCAACCAAGGAATAAAAACAGGTGTGCACAGTGTGCCATTCACCTCAACACCATTTGCCTTCGTTGTATTCGGCATTCACAAAGGCAACTTTCGTTGACTTTTATGTCTTATTTTGATGTCTCTCTTTGGACGCACAGATGCAAGCCTGCTGTTGGACCCGAACGCTGTTACTACGAAAACAAACGATCGTATTCAAAGAATGGTAGGAAAAAGTTCAACGGCAGCATGCAGGGCTTTACTTTTCTCCACGCGCGTGGTTTCCGACTCCTTTGTACTTTGCAGAAATCTCACCTATACATTTTTTTTTGCTTGTACTTGCAGGTTACTGAGAGTCTACTCGATCGAGTCCTATTGCCGTCGATGCTGAGCAACATCCCTCAACCCTTGAGAGCTAGCGAAATGCTTCAAGGGCGATCATCCAGATATACACCCACATACCTGGCCTCTGGGTGGAAGTTGTAGGTGGATATGTTACGTCCATTATACATGGCAAGAAAGGTTATCGTCTACACAAGCATGTTGATTGATCCCATTCGTTTTATACGATGTTGGTCTAATAGAGTCGACCAGCTTCTTGGGGGGCGAGGATGGATCTCTGGAGAGGTCAGCGAGATATGTGGCGTTGCCGGTATAGGGAAAACAATGATGTGTCTCAACTCTATGATCGCCATGCTTGTTCAAGACGAGTCATCACAAGCCGTCTGGATCGAGACCGTGGACTACGAGTTCTCTGCACAGCGGGCATCTGACACTGCTAAGGCATTCATACTCAGTCGAAAAGACCAGCAACAAGAACCGCAAGAGTCGGGCGAAGGAGGCCTTGTCCTAGAGGTAAGCTTCAATGTGGTTCTGCTTTGTTTGTGTCGATGCATCTTAATCGCTGCCACTAACATGAGCTATGTAGGCCCATGTGAAGAACGTACTCTCTAGGATCCAAGTTTACAGCTGTCAAGATGTCTACGATGTGCTGAATGCCATTGAAATGTTTCGCTCAACACAACGGCGTCCTGATCCTCCCAGAAGTCATCGACTGTCGCCTAGACTTTTTGTGGTGGATTCCTTGAGTGCAGTATTGACAAATCTACTCCGGATGGGCGACGGTGTAGGTCATGCGACCATGATGCATCTCTCACGAGAGCTCCGACAAGTCGCATCTGACTTTGATCTTGTAGTTCTGGTAAGTGACTGAGATCTTGCTGTTAGCGTTGACAAGAGCTAGGGTGCAGTCTATGAAACTGACACCTTGTATTTTGTCAACTTTTGGTTGTAGGTGACAACGCTGCCTGTCCAGATTTCATTTTCAGAAGAGAAGGCACCGTCGATCTTGATGACGAGTAATGTGAAGCCTGGCTTAGGGTCGAGCTGGAAATACGCGACCGATTTGCAGGTCTTTCTCTCTCGATTTGAAATGACTGATGGCGGTGGCAATGGGACTATCAAGCCCAGTAGAGACGGCTATTCTCGACACCCGTCAAGAAATGAGGTGGACGTGGATATGAGTGCAGAGATATCTGCCGATGAGACTATGGATGTGAACGCAGAGACACGAATTGTAGAAGTGATAAAGTCCAAACGTCTGGTAAGCCCAATTGGTTATGGTTGAGTGTGTATCGACATGGTTGTTGCAAGTAATTGGATGGGGTAAGTCGCTCACCATTATTTGTAATTTTCTTCTCACGGTCTGGTCGGACTTGATTTGTGTAGACAACAGGCGAATGGTGCCTCTTCCAGCTCAAGGACTAGCTTGATGTATCCCTTTGGCGAGTCGGCACTCTTAGTTGATCTCTTCATGCCAAGTTCTTGGACACCTCTCAGAAGGCGAAAAGAGACTGATCAACACGGGCCTTCCAAAAAAAAAAAAGTGATACAAGAAACCGCCCTGGCCCTAATTTTTCTCTCCTCCTCCCTTTCACACCCAATCCAGTTGTTGTTTGTTTCTTTGTGTCTCTTTCTCCCTTCACTCTCCTCCTCCTATTTGCGAACCGAAATATCGACACTTTCGATGTTTAGACTGGCCCTGACAACCACCACCCGAGCTCACTTTGCATCCTCTGTTGCATCCGCCTCTCGCCCTCATCGCTCATCTCCACTCTCCACATTCGCCTCCGTCTCTTCTTCTTTCTCTTCTTTCTCTTCTTTTACCTCTCCTCCTAACCATCACCACCACAAAACACATCAGGCTGCTACAACAACCGGCCGCAACTCGACTGTCCCTTCTCCTCACACCATTACCAACCGTCCACAACTCGCACGCTTCGGAACAATTGGTGAGTTTTTCCTCCAGTCGACACACACACATTTGCACTCGGATACGTCCTCTTGTTTATCCGCCCTCTTTGGACCCCGAGGTTGAAATAAGATACAAGGTGGAATCATATCTGACTGACACTTTCTTCTCACTTTCTATTTTTTCCCTCCCTTCCTTCTCTGTCCTTTGCTACCCGACAAAACCAGCACAAATGACCCCTGAAGAAAAGGCTGCTTTGAGGGATTCGTCCACCCTTATCATTGCCGCACCCATCTCAAAGTCCAAGGTTCAACCCGGCGAAGCCAATTACAAGCTCCTCCTTCTCCAACGCAGTCGTCTCGGAACCTCTGCCAGCGCCCACGTCTTTCCAGGTCCGCCACCGCTCTTTTCTTGCAAGATCGTGAGTTCCAGTCAGTCTTGCAACTTTTGCCAACACTAACCCTTTCGCCCCCTCCTTTGGATGGATTGAATAAATAGGTGGCAATGTTGACAAGGCCGATCATGACCCCCGTTGGGCTACTTTGTTGAACTACAAGCCCAAAGGTCCCAACGACCCCCCACTTCACAATGCCATCTGTGCAATCCGTGAGGCATTCGAAGAGTCTGGAGTATTGGTCTGCGATCCCCCCACCGAGCTGTCGAACGACGAAATCCGAGTCTGGCGCGAAAAGGTTCACAACGACGGCAGGGAATTCTACAACCTCTGCACATCCCACAACCTCAAACCCTCCGTCGATCGTCTGACTCATTTCTCGTCCTGGATCACCCCACCCGTCGAGCCCAAGCGGTTCCATACTCAGTTCTATCTGACCGTTTTGCCCTGGTCCCGCGACTCGTTCTCGGACTCGCGTGTGTTTGCTGATGGCAAGGAGACGACCCGTTTAGATTGGTTCACGCCCGCGGAGGCTTTGGAAGCTTACCGCCAGCAGTCGATCCAGACATTCATGCCCCCACAGTTTGTCTCGATTGCTCACCTGTTGCCGTTCAAGAAGCATGAGGATTTGCAGCAGCATTTTAGCACCCGTGAGATTATGACCATCATGCCCGAGTTCCAGATGGTGTCCCAGGACGACGATGGTCTCCATCTTATCGGTGTCCTCCCCGGCGACGAGGAGCACTCTGTGGATATCAGGAAGGGCCATCGCCACCGTGTCCATATCACCAAGAACAAGAAAGGCATGAATGTCAAGTCTTATATCCATGGCCCCACCGAGATCAAGGCCAGACTCTAGATCACTCCCTCTTTTACATTATTCAGCTTAAAATAATATGTGTTGTTACATTAAAATGTTTCTAGCATCGTTCAAAGACTTTGTAAAGGTCCTTGACTTGAGCAACCTGGACCACCATGCCGGACTTCTCGATCAGAGCCTTGGGCGGGATAAAGTGTTTTTTAAAGGCAGGGAAGATCAAGGACGAGATCATGTGTTGGAATTGAGCATCCTGGACCTCTTGGGGTGTCTTCTTGTCATGGTCTACCTCGCCGCTACTCTCGCCCTGGGTCTGTTCGTCCTCGAAAGGATCCTCGACCCGCTCTGGCTGCGTGCTGTAAAATAAGGCCAATTCGCGGGCGAGTGTCTGGAAACAAGCCTTCTCAGATGTCCAGTCGATCTAGTTACACGAAGAAGAAAAAAAAAGGAGGCAGTGAAACGGCAAACAAAAATTGTTTAGCGATCAATGACAACACTGCGGACCAAATTACCATCAAGCCTTTTTCAATCGAGTTCTTTGCTTACTTCTGATCCAAGTCTCCAGAGAAAGTCCGAGAGCTTTTCTAGGTTGGGGACATATCCTCTGATCATCATTGGAATCGCCGAAAGCTTTCCGTCGTCCGTGATGCAGATCGAAAAGTATTCCTTCAACATCTCCTTCCGAGACACTAACGTGTTCGCTACCGTCTATTACCAGTGGTTTAACAGAGGAGCGTGTTAGTATTGGCAATGATAACGCGATATTAAGAACACAAGAAGGCTGGAGAGAATCGTAAAAACGAACCTGCGCGATTTCATCTTTGGGCTTTAATTCCTCCGGCCATTTATCTTTCTCCATCAACTCCTGCTCATCATCAAGCGCCATCCGGACCATATCCTTGATCGACACCGGGCTCGACAACCGAATGAACCCAAAGTTGGAGAAATCTCTTAAACATATTTGATAAAAGAGCTCCTCGCTGATAGCTTCATAGTTGACCAGGTACAACACAAGCTCGTTTTGAATCAAGCCTCGCTGGTTGTCCAGGATCCCAACAAAGGTGTGGTTCGCAAAGATGGGTGTTAATATGGAGTGTCCTTGCTTCTTGACCTCATCCCGAAGCTGGAGGACACTGGTCAGCTTGACTTCGACACGCGGTGCCTTGGCTCTGAGACCACCCGAGAGGCGCGTTTGGCTTCCTGTTCGTGGTGATCCAGATCCATTCGACGACGATCGCCCTTGACTCTGGGTCCTGCTATTATCACTACCAGACTTCATGAGCGGATCTCGCTTGAATTGCCCGATCTTGTTGAGTAGCGATCCCGGTGTTCCTCCTTCTGTGCTCTCATCATCACCAACAAAGTCGTTTCGGTCACTATGTTCAGCGTCGCTGTCAACGTCCATCTCTTGATCGCCATCAATGTCCTCAGATGGATCCACGCCAACTTTGACGCGCTTGTATGACGATGAGTTTGATATCGTGTAGGGTGAAGCCGACACCAAAAAAGAATCTAGTGTCTGAGCTCTACTGTCGGTCCGCACTTGGTTGTATTCATACACCTTTGGAGCTGAAAGAAAAAGCGAAAGTATAAAAAATTAAATTAGCACTAGAATGTTGAGTGGCGTTAAAGGCCAGGTCGGGTGGAGCAAATCAATGAGAAAAGATAGATACCTGGCTTCTTGGATCCATCCTCTGCGCGAATCTTTGCGCTCACTTGAGGGAGCAAGGTCTGCGTCAAAAAGTTCCTTGATACATTGGCATCGCCCAGTCGATCCTGAATGGCCTCGCATATGGTCGCAATCACCTCCTCCTCGTTCATAAAGTGAACCTCCCGCTTTGTCGGATGAACATTCACATCCACGTTCCTTGGGTCCATTTCCAGAGACAGGTAGACCCAGGGATGAGTATTCTTGGGTAGATATGTTGTATATACAGCTTCAATGGCCTTGCGAATAGCGGGTGATTCCACAGAGCGATCTATTGCGAAATAATAAGCATCAATATTAAATAGGTGTCTAATTCATTCAAATGTCTCAATTTGAAGTGAGCGTAATTGAAGTGTCGACCTACGATTGATAAAAAGTAGCATGACAAACTTCTTGACGTTGTAGTTTGCATTTGAGATCCATCCTTTGATCTTGAGGGGATAGACAGGGTAACTTTTCTCCAGTGACAGTAGTTCATTGGCGACCGCTGATCCATAGATATGCCGAATGTTGTCCACTACTGTCGCAGATGTCGTCGTATGCACGTCTGGAGTATTAGACCCCACCTAATTGTCCAGTGTATAGTAATGCACGGGTCCGTTAGTATACACTTCAATCGTCGCGCGACAACAACTTGTCCAAGAGCAAATGGTATGGTTTACAAACTTACTTTTCGACAAGTAAAGCTGACTCCTTCGTTATGGATCGCATATCGATTGACAACATCCAAGATCCTGTTATATTCCTCTGTCGCATTCTTGAGCGCTTTCCGCCTCGTCGGCACGTTGTAGAACAGATCTTCAGCCTATAGACGTTTACAACAACGTGTTATTAGTTTCACATTTTCTTGTGAGACAAACTTCCCTTCCCGATTTAACTGACATAAGTGGCATGATGACGATGATGACGATGATGATACCGAAATCTGGGTGCCATTGTTTCCTGCGCATGGTTTAGGCTCTGCGGCTCCTCCTGGTTTGGCGGGTATAATTGCTCCATCTGAATATGACGCTCTAAATGATGGACACAATGGTTGGGTCAACGAATTAGGTCACGTTGTTTCATCTGCACATAGCAAAAAATGATCCATGGTCCAAAAGGGTCGTCCCGAATGCATAGCATGAAAGAAGGGAATTTACTTGTAAGCGCAGTTGGAATCCTTGGTCTTTGTAGTGATGGCGACATGCGCAATATGACTGACACTTGCCAAGGCTTCGCCTCGGAAGCCATATGTAGACATGGTCGACAGATCATCAAACGTCCGCAGCTTACTGGTAGTGAATCGTTCGCAGACGATAGCCAAGTCTCCAAACTGCAGGTGAAGGGTGTTTAATAAAGCTCGTACTTCGTTAGATTTCACGTCAAGCTTCAAAAAAAAATATTCAGATTAAATTGGTGGCGCAAGGAGTCTAGCACTTACACGAATACCATGGCCATTGTCCTGGATTTGGAGCAGCTTCAGCCCCCCGTCCTTGATAGAGACTTGAATAGAGGTTGATCCAGCATCGAGCGAGTTTTCAATGAGTTCTTTCAGAGCATTGGCAGGTCTGTGGATAATCTATATCCGGTGGTACGTAGGGAAAGACCGACGCCAAGAGAGATCAGAGAGGTCATTAGTCATGAGTTTCTCTTGTTGATTTCGTTGGCACGTGAAGGGTGAATTGAATGGTGAGAGGAAGGGTGATGGCATGGCGGGTACCTCTCCGGCAGCGATTCTGTTGACGACTGCTTCGTCTAGTCTCTTGATGGTTGGTGCGAGGGTGCTGTCTGGTGGTAGCTGTGCTGATGAGGACATCGTTGGCGGAGGTGGGCGACAAAAAGACAAAGTAAAAAGAGAAACAAGCGCTTGAACACCACTTTTGCCACTAACTCGCACCTTTCCGTGACCGTTTTGTGGCATTTTCGTCGTGGCCTTTCGGATATGAGAGAGTGTATTGGTGGAAGAGTGGAGTAACTGACATAAGAACCTCCACAAGGCAGGTGTTTCTTTGATGATCGCGTCGCGTTCGAAGGAGGAAGAAGGAGGAATATTCTGCTTACCGTGATTTAATGCTTTGTCCACGTCTTTTTTTTCTCGTTGGGTATCAATATCACTCAAGAGAGCAAGATGGATTGGGTCTCTCTCTCCCCATGTTCAGGCTATCAGAAGTAATTTTTGATACGTATCAAAAGAAAAGAAAAAAAGTCTCGGGCAGCAACCACTCACTTTCTCTCCAATAGCGGCTTGAACGGTGAAATAAGGCAGGGGGAAGGAGGAGAGAGAATTGAAAATGGACGAGAGACGATTGAGGGATGGGATTGGAACAGCTTTGGTGGGTACAAACCCTTGGGCTTTTTTATCACTACTATTAGATCCGTTTCAAGCTCTCGTTTTTCTTCTTCCTCTTCCTTTTCTTTTTTTATTGTTCCTTCTTCTTCTCTTCAATTGCTCCTACCATTTTAATACCCATTCCCCCACAACATATACATACACACACACTTCATTCACCGCCATTTCTTCTCACTTCCAACTGTATCATAGCACCAGCACTCCTCTTCTTCCTCTTTGTCCTTTGTCTCCTCTCACTCTCACTCTCACTATCTTCACGCTTATTCTCTCATACCCCCTCCCCTCCTCCCCTCCTCCCCTCCTCTCGCTTCTCCTTTTCATTCTCCATTCCCGAACTCCAGCCTTCAGCCAACGTCCTTTCTTCCACTCCGTCCCTTTCATTACCTTCCCCTACCTTTTCTTTTGTTTTCCTTCGTCTCTCCCATCGAATACATGCAAGTCTCGACACCCGTACCACACATCAACCAAGTAGGCAACTGGGACTGCGGACTAGCATGCGTGGCCATGGTGGCCAACGCTCTTGGCTCTCGCCTTTCGTTGGCTGAAGTGACTCTCCATTGCTCAGGTAGGAAACATCATGTACCTTCCAATAACCACCACAAAGCAAATGACTTTGTTGCAAAAAAAATGAAGCGCCAAGCCCGCACTAGCACACGGCCTAGTCCCTGGCTATGCCTCTGCCACGTTTGCGCCTACCCAACAACAATAGCACTGTATAAGCCATGTTACACTCCCCACCTGGCACCAAATGCTTTTTGGTCCGTGCATCCGGGCACCCTTGAACCATGCCACTCTCAATCACCCACTCTGACCTCTACTCTCTATCATTATCAATTGAATACATGGATGACAATTCCACAGTCGAATCTGTTTGGACCATCGACCTGGTATATATCCTGCGAAGGCTCTCCAACGACCAAGCCAGCCTACCGACCATCCAATTCTCAAAACGATCCCCATCCCATTACCACGTCCCCAATCTATCGCCAGGCCGTGGGGAGGGCTGGGACTTTACGTACTACACAAGCACGATTGGAGTCGACGCAGCCCATTCCAAGGAAAAGTTTTATCGCAAGGTCAGTCTAACCTTTGTCATTTTCTTTCTTCCCGTCAAAATGGTCCCATGGCCTACCTACTTCCCGTCCAAAGTCTCGCTGCTGTTGTTTTTGCTGTGTGCTTTGAAATTAGTTTTTTTAGAGTTGCACCCCTCTCTTTCCCTACATTCGGTTGAACTGGAACCAGCAAAGGCAAAGCCCTTTTCTGTCCACTTCCTTTTCCGATGTTCGTTATTGATGCTGTTCAGTCTCTACCGCATCCTCTTGGCTGACTGGCTGTCCTTGACTGCACTAACATTTATATTTTCTCCTCTGCGAAATCATTTACCCTCTCTGCTTGCGCAACCCCAACGCACCACCTTTAGTCATTCGACGACGATCAGAAGCGAGTGAATGCGCTCTTTGAGAATGCAGACGCGGCCAATGTCAGGGTGATCGAACTGTACGAGAAAAAAAAATGGAGGAATAAAAAATAGGGGAGACTGAGTCGCGTGGCATGGCTTATGGCTTGTTGAAACTGACCAGGCATATGATCCCACCATGGATCATCAACCTCCCTCTCCTTTTTTTGATGTTGTTGTGCCCCATCATCTCGACCATTGCATCTAGAACCCTTCCACTGGACGACTTCAAGCGCTTTCTCTATTGCAGAAAATACGCCATCATCACTCTGGTCAACCAACGACTGCTCAAGTGTCCGCAATGCCTCGTAAGTCTCAAGTTGTCTCAAAGACTATACTACACGCAAAGACGGCGTACAATTTAATGTTTGACCTCGATCCATCGATTCTTTGCTGTGCTAATTGTAGGAAAAGACAAACTTTTGCAGTTGCAATGCTGGGCCACTCGGATCGATCGTGCAAAGGATGAAGGGCTTTCGGTACATCGGTGAGTTGTATTGACTAGAGCGCAGCAATCTGTATTAAGACCTGTTACACATATTTGTGTGCAACACACAGCGATGCTGACACTTTTTTTTTTTTTTTTGTCTTGACGGAACAGGCCACTTTATTGTCTTGGTGGCGTATGATGCAAATGAGGACATGTTTTATTATCGAGGTAAATTGCTGCACGTGTGCCTGTATGTTATGGTTGGACTCTTTTGGTGGCTCTTGTTAACATTCGCCCTGTCCCTTTTTTTTATCCATACTTCGATCATGCGATATCTGAACGAATAGATCCCGCAGTGAACGACGAACTTTGCAGTGTTGCAGCTGCGGACCTGGAGCGTGCCAGGAACTCTATCGGGACAGATCACGACTGGTGAGTGGGAGCAGGATGGGCTTGTTCAGTGGCTAGCTTGCATGATTTACTTGTACCTGCGCAAATTGATATTTTCTTGTGAGATTACCAAGGACTAAGCATTACAATTACTTGATTCCCACAGCATTATCGTCAAGGTTGAATGAACAAAGGACCTTTCAAGGACATTGCAAGCAAGCATGGACCATTGAATCCATTGGACAACAGGATCTCTCCCTTCCGTTGACATACCGCCAATATCATACCGCACGCACATATTCGCGACCTCTTTTTTCTCTTGTAAATAAATAAACAAACACCTGTATCTAGTATGACAAGAGCCCCTGCTGATTGACGCGTTTGCTGTTCGTCTATTGTTACTCTTCTATGAGTCAAAAATGAGAGGTCCTCTTGTGTGAACCAATATTCAAAGCCAGCGTAAAGGTACAGTAAAAAAAAAAAGACAGTCATTCTAAAAGCCCTTAATCAGCGAAAACAAACAAGCATTTTTTTTGTTGACTGCCTATATATACCAGGCGACTTGTGGTTTCTCATTTTTGTTTGGGTTTTCTTTTTCTTTTTTCTTTCTGGTTGGGAATCTTTCTTCTTGTTCTTCACACCTTCACACTTCCCCTCCTCCTCCCATCCATACCACCACACACACCTTCCACAATGGCCGACGCTGCTCAAGTCCACGAGATGTTCGACACCATCCTCATTCTCGACTTTGGTTCCCAGTACTCCCACCTGATCACCCGTCGCATTCGTGAGTTCGGTGTCTACTGCGAGCTCTTGCCATGCACCCAAAAGATCTCGGAGCTCTCCTGGAAGCCTACCGGTATGTCACCCCTCTCTTCGCTTATTCTTCTTCTTCATGCTTGTTCACTGCTGTACGTACTCTCTGTTTGTCTGTCACCACCAAGAAGAAGCTGTATGACTGACACTCTCGAACATGTTACTTCATATAGGTGTCATTCTCTCGGGAAGCCCTTACTCCGTCTACGATCACGATGCTCCCCGCGTCGACCCCGGTGTCTTTGACCTTGGTGTTCCCGTTCTCGGAATCTGCTACGGTCTCCAGGTATGAACCATGTCCATCGAGGAGGCACCATGCGCAAAAAAAATTCACTCATTTTCTTCAGGAGGAACTATGCCCAAAAAAAGAAAGCAATGCGGATCAAGTGGCTAATGCAAATCATTCCATGGAACGTTACAACATCAATAGGAAATGAGCACTTACTTTGGAGGCAAGGTCGATCCCTGCGACCACCGCGAGTACGGACCCGCCACCTTGAACATCTTGGCCGCTGCCGCCTCCGATGCCCAGTCCTCCATGCTCTTCGAGGAGTTGAGCTCTGAGTCCCAGGTCTGGATGTCCCACGGTGACCAGGTCACTGCCCCCCCAAAGGATTTCCGCGTCATTGCCTCGACCAACACCGCCCCCTTCGCCGCCATTCGCCACAACGAGAAGCCTCTCTTCGGTATCCAGTTCCACCCTGAGGTTACCCACTCTGTCGATGGAAAGCAGATCCTCAAGAACTTTGTCCTCAAGGTCTGCAAGGCTTCCCAGAACTGGACTATGTCCGAGTTCATCGGCAAGGAGATCGAGCGCATTCGCCAGATTGTCGGTGAGAAGGGACAGGTCATTGGAGCTGTCAGCGGTGGTGTCGATTCGTCTGTTGCCGCCAAGTTGATGCACATGGCCATTGGCGACCGCTTCCACGGAATCTTGGTCGACAACGGTGTCATGCGTCACAACGAGTGCGCCCAGGCCAAGAAGATGTTGGTCGACAAGATGGGCATCAACCTCAAGATTGCTGATGCCTCGGATCGTTTCTTGGACAACCTCAAGGGCAAGACTGACCCCGAGGAGAAGCGCAAGATCATCGGTAACACCTTCATCGATGTCTTTGAGGAAGAGGCCAAGGCCATTGATGACGCTTGCTCTGCCACTGGTGCCGCCCCCGTCGAGTTCTTGCTCCAGGGTACCCTCTACCCCGATGTCATCGAGTCGATCTCGTTCAAGGGACCAAGTGCCACCATCAAGACCCACCACAACGTCGGTGGTTTGAAGGAGAACATGAAGTTGAAGTTGATTGAGCCCCTCCGTGAGCTCTTCAAGGACGAGGTCCGTGAATTGGGAAGGCTTTTGGGCATGGACGACGAGCTCGTCTGGCGTCACCCCTTCCCCGGTCCCGGTATTGCCATCCGTATCCTCGGTGAGGTCACCAGGGAGCAGGTCGCCATTGCCCGCAAGGCCGATTACATTTACATTGAGGAAATCAAGAAGGCCGGTCTTTACCGCCAGATTGCCCAGGCCTATGCTGCTTTGTTGCCCGTTAAGGCCGTCGGTGTCAAGGGAGACAAGCGTACCTACGAGCAGATGATTTGCTTGCGTGCCGTCGAGACCTCTGACTTTATGACTGCCGACTGGTTCCCCTTTCCCCACGATGTCCTCAAGAGGATCTCTTCCCGCATCTGTAACGAGGTCGAGGGAGTCAACCGTGTCGTCTACGATGTCTCTTCCAAGCCCCCAGCAACCATTGAGCTCGAGTAATATACTCGAGTAACCTCTTGTAGTTTTTATTATTATTGTTATTATTTGTTCCCCCCACACACTCGCATAAACCCATTCAAGCATTAAAAGCAACTTCACAGCATTATTCCCCGTTTGCTTCTTCTCATTCATATCACGCGAATTCAGTCGGTGTTTGTATTCATGGTCTTCTTTTTCTGCCTTCGGATGTACCTTGAGTACGATGTATGTACACCTTGTGCACCTTGTACACTGAGCAAAGTTAGAAAAAAGACAAGGTATGTATGCACGTTGTGTGGGGGTTTGCTTTTTTTTTTTTTTTTTTTTTTTTTTTTTGCTTGATGGCATGCATTAGCCTAAGCAGAAGTGCGCACGTTTTTTTTTCTCGATCGGATTTGTTTTCGTTCCCCTGGGTTGACCAGTAGCCAATAACGGTCCCTTGAAAAAAATCGACAGTATATAAATTTCCTTGGTTTGCGCATTCCTTTTTCGCTTTTTTTCATTCGAACACTTTCCTCATTCCACACTCCTCCCTACCTACTACCAACCAACCCTTTCCTCTCCCTCTCTCCTTCTTTTCTCCTTCCAAAAGAAAAAAACGCAACAATGGCTATCCAAAGCTTCCCCATCACCCCCTCGACTTCGGGCAAGTCCCCCCGCTGGACCCAGCCTGTGTCGTTTTACGGCCAGTCGGTCTTCAGCAAGTACTATGCCCACTCAATCTGCGTCTTCTTGCTCCTCGTCCCCTTCCTCATCTCCCCCGCGGCCGCTCAGGGTCAGGGTGCCATAGGTGGGCAGAATTGCGTTACCAACTACAACGCCGCCGATAACGTCGACTACTTCCCCAGCAAGATCAGCGGTAAGCTAAACGAGGCGAACAGCAGGAGTAGCAAAGGAATCGGTTTTTGGGTATTGTTGAGTGGAACTGAAGGAAAGAGAAACTTTAATCGGATGAAGGCTTTTGTGCATGCATCAAGGAGGAAATAATGCAAGAGTTAGGAGGGAAGAGGGATGAAGAGGGAGTACAAAAGTGAGGATGAAGCGAACGAGGAAGAATCCTTGGTCACGGAAGGAGAGAAAAGGGAACTTGTCCCTGGAAGGAGAAAAGAAAAACGGTGTGAGTCTAGATTTTCTTTCTTCGGATCTTGGATCTCGGAATATCATGATAGAATAGACCCGGGTTCAGACCAGGAGAGAGTCGGTGGTGCCTGACCAAGGCTTTCTCTGCATCTCCATTTTTTTCTCTTTGTATCCTCCTTTTCTTGTTGGTTGATTTTTTGAATGTTCGGCTGGTGTGTGTGGGTCGTGGGAGTAACGGTTGGGCGTGCTCGCCACACTCAAAGCGACAGCATCCATGTCATCAACAACAAACAAGAAACCACTCACCCTCCTCTCCTTTCCCCTCGGTGGCCCAGAATGGTCCTTTTTGCCCGGGCAACATCTCACAGGGGGGTGCATGCCCCTTTGGTCATTTTTTTTTGCTCTCATCATTTTTTTTCCTTGGTATTGGATATCCGACCTCTCGTTGGTGGAGGTTTTCTGGTCTCTTGTTATGGATTATGAGCTTTTTCTTGGACAAAGAGAAGGACGGAGAGACTTGCGATGGCGAGAACTCTGGCTATGAATCCTTTCCTGTCACTTTAAACCCCTAAAAAGTCCTTTCCAAGTGGCCAGTATCATTTCATTGGGGCGGAGAGGGTCTTTCCAGAAGAGTGGAACCTGGATCTTTTGCAGGAGACCGGAAGAAAGAAAGTGGCACTACTCCGAATGCAAGACTCTAGCATTGAAAGGCATATTACGTGAGAAAAAGAAGAAGAGGGTTGGGAAGAAGAAAAGGAACAAAGAGGAGCACCTCGAGTTGAGAGCACCACTTGAACCACCCATACAAAGAGCTCAGTCATGCAAAGGAAAGAAAAAAAACAAGATTCATTTGGCGATCTTGCATAGTCCTCTTTCTCGCCCGGTCTTTTTTTCTTGAAAGCTCTTATTATTTTTCTTTTCTGTTGGCCGACGCAGGGAGGCAGACGGCACTTGAATGACTAAGATGAACAGCGGAGAGGACATGCAACGGATAGATGAGATGAGATGAAAAAAAAGCGAAAGACGCGCATTATTACACTGCTGCTGAAGAAACGGAAAATGAAGGCATTCGCCTGAACTGAACATCACCCTCATGTTATTAACTCTTGCATTTTTCACTCTACATTCATAGTCGACAATGCTGCCCTTTTCAAGGTCCGTTACGCCAACAACTACAAGGTCGTAACGAACACCGCCGGGAAGAAGGACTATGTCCTTTACCAGTGCGGAACGACCGCCCCAGCAGCCTCAGAGTTTGCCAACGGCACCATCTTCATCTCGGTCCCCGTCACGGCGGCCGCGGCGTTGACGACCACCTCCGTTGCCTTCATTGAGATGTTGGGTAAGCGTTCCGCCCTCAAGGTGGTTGACACTGAAGGGCTGGTGAGCTCACCCTGTGTCCAGCTTGGTCTGGAGAAGGGAGAGATTGTGGGCCTCGAGGACGCCAACAAGACCCTCCGTGCTGAGCAGTTCAAGGGAGCCGACGTCATCTTTGGCGACGGCTTCAGTGTTGAGAACGGCACCGAGTCCAAGACTGTTGGTACCTCTGAGGTTTCGGATCCCGGCCCATTGAACGTAGGTCTTCATCTTTTTGTTTGATGCTCTTGATGCTTGTTTGCATTTGTGTTTGTTTGTGGTTGTTGGATATGGTTCGATTTTTCCTTTCCGCTAGTGCAAAAGAAAAGGATAATTTGAGAGGAATGACAATCCCTCTTTTTTTCGTGGAAATAAGAATATTCCTTTCAAGGGCGTGTCGCCGTGAAACTCGACGCCCTGAAACCCAGCGACAAACAGGAAGCCCCAGGATGAAGACAATGACTCTTTTATCCAACCATTCAATCACCCGACTGACCGTCATCCTTCTTCTGACGCCTTCATGGAAATAGCGCGCTGAGTGGCTCGAGTTCTACTCGACCTTCTTCAACTTGGAGGAGTCCGCCCAGAAGTTGACCGGCTCGATCAACAACAACTACAACTGCTTCAAGGCCGCCGCTAACGCCAAGGCCACCAAGCCCATCGTCGCCTGGTCGTCCTACGTCGCCCCCTCGTCCTACAACAACAACACCGCCTCCTGGACCCTTTCCGGCGCCGATTACAAGAAGATCCTCACCGTCGATGCCGGTGCGGCCTTCTACAACGGTACCGACAAGAACACCTTCACCACCTCTGCCGAGTTCTTGGCCTCCATCAAGGATGTCGATGTCATCATTGACGAGACCTTTGCTGGTTCTGACTTGACCGCCTTCCTCACCTCCTACGGCTTGACCACCGCCGACACTGCCAACTACAAGTTCCTTGCCAACAAGGCTGTCTTCCGTGAGGATGGTTTGGTCAACCCCAACGACGGTCGTGACTGGTTCAGCGGTGCCGTTGCCATGGGTGATGCTGTTCTCCAGGATGTTATCCGTGCCGTCCACCCCGACGCCCTCCCCAAGGACGTCAAGTACAACTGGCTCCGCAACATTGTCAACGGCGAGCCCAAGCAGGTGTTGACCAGCTCCAACTGCACTGCCACCGACGCTAGCACCCCCGTCCCCGACCGTGCCATCGTCTGCTCCACCATGAAGCTCGATGGCAGCAGCGGTAGCGCTGCCAACAAGGCCGTTGCTGGATCTGCCTTGACCGCCTTTGTCGGTCTCTTGGCTGCCGCCCTCCTCTTCTAAATACACTTTTTTAGATTTCATTTTCTTGGTGGGGGGGTTGTTTTGAAGTAGTCCTCTGACTTGTGTTCCCGTCAAGGATTTTGGATACGCCATTGCCCCCCCCCCCTCCTCTCTTTCTCTCGCCTCGCCCTATCTTCCCTATAAACATAATAAAAACTCCCGACTTTCGTCTACCAAAAGAATCCGTAAGCTAAATATTTCGCAGGTCATGATATACAAGACAGATGATGTTAATGTCTATTAATTGTACACGTTTGCAGGCGCAAGTTCAAAGGCAAAAAGGAAGACTGCAATGAGTCCCGCTACCCTGTTCATCCTGCTTGCTTCGAATTGTTGTTGTCCGGTGTATTACTTTATTGTTTGTTGTTTTGACAAGAGGTAGGGGTAAAAGAAAAGGGCGAAGAAGGGAAAAGGCGAAAAAGAGGGGAAAAGGAAAGGTAAAAGAAAGCAGTTAGAAATTGAGCGAGGAAAAAGAAACAAAGGTGCCGTGTGCTGTTGACCACCATCATCCCCTCCATCATCCATCGTCCATCGTCCACCGTCATCCTCGATTGTGTATTGTTGTATCTGACTCCTCCTGCACTCGACTCGGAAACTGCAGAATTTGTCGTCCTTGGATACTGAAAGTGCGCGTGCTTTGCCTGGTTTTTAAGCCTCCATGTCCTCCCACTCGCCGCTCTCCATGAGCTGTGCCTTCTGGGCCGCCTCAATCTCCTGAACTTGCTCCTCCGTCTGCAATGGTGGCTGCTCCTCAACCATAGGGTTGTCCCTATAAGTTTTGCGGTAACAAAAAGATGGAGTGAAAATATTTAAAACATGAATTATGATGTTTTCACGCCCGCCCACCCATACGCGATCCTGGACTGTCCTCAGTAACAACAACAACCTTCCAAAATCCTTACCAGTTGATGGGGAAGCGGGTGACGCGAGGCTTCTCGGCCAAGATGGAACGGAAGAGCTTGTCGTAGGCAATCTGCTCTGGGGGGTTCTCGCGCAATTCTTGGTCCAGATAGTCGTTGTTGACATAGTATCCGATCCGGACAAACTCCTTGTCCTGGTACGAGCATGTAATCAAAATCACCGTCACTCCCACAATATCGTTATGTGGGATCAGCTCTGGCTTGGGGGCATCCGCCTAAGTGGGTTGTGTTGTCAAGAAGAAAAAGAAGAGTTTATCAGTAATTGGAGAGTGTATTGTCATTGATAGTGACAATGCGGTATGAAAGACGGTTCGCAAACGTTTTTTGTTTTCTTGGTCTCTCGTAAGCAAGAGCCTCAAAAAGATAAAAGAAAAAAGGAAAAGAAAACAAGAGTACGTGTCGGCGGTATGCTGTACCTGGAAAACGAACTTGTTCACACCGACGGGGATAGGTCCGACCATAATAGACTCCAGCACCTGGTCATGGGCGTTACTGTCCGCTGAGCCAACGTAAATGATCTTCCATTCGAGGTCTACACGTCCACGGGAGCAAAAGTCAAGAGAGATGTCAGAACTTCTCATCCATAACAATAGACGATGATGCGAAAAAAGAAACAACAAGTCCAGCCAGAGTAGTAGCCCTATTTTTTTTCCGGGCTTTCCCACCAACTTGCATAGGCAACAGAAAAAAACAACAATAAAAAAAAACACATCCTGTGAGACGAGATCAACTCGCTTGCAGTTCATAGTTCCTGAATGATGCCGCCCCCTTTTTGTCGAATCCTTCCTCCCGCAGGTGTGCTTGGTTGATGATCCCTAGAAAACGATGATAGGCCAAGTGAGAAAGTAACAACAAGGGTTTGTTATGTAATTGTTTACCTGCAACGAGGGGAGCGATGCACTCGAACGTAATCTCGAATTGGTAGGGGTTGGCAAAGTGTGTGGGGTTATCCAGCACGTTGACCTGGGTGATGCTCACAATAGACATGGCGGGTTTTTGTGTAGGTGGAGTGAGATTGGTATGGAACGAAAGAAGAGGAAAAGGACAAAAAGAAAAATAGCTTCTGGTTGGGGGAAGTGGCAAATGGTGGCGTTCAGGCCCAGTCTCGTCCATTTTGCCGCAAAAGGGAATAGCCGCGTTCAATTAGAAAAATAAACAAGAAAAAAATTGCACGACGCGTTTTCTTCATCTTGTCAAGCACGGACACGTAGAAGGGACGAGACACACGCGTTAGACTATCCTTTTTTTTAGTTTATTTTGACATTGCGCACGGCAACCGGGCGACAAAAGAGAACTGCGTTACAGAGTCATGGGCAACCAAAAATCATCCAGACATGACCCAGAGGAGGGAAAAAGGCGCGTTTTTTTTTACTTCTTCGACAGCTTCATCCACTTTGGCAATCCTCCTCCACTGCCAGCAGCAGGCTTGTCCGTGCTCATCGCTGCGCTCATCCGGCGATCCTCTTTAGACAGCATTGGAATAGTCCCTGTATGGCTCAACGTACGACCGCCCTCCAAAGGTGTGTGCGTGGCATTGTTCGGCTCTGGCTCCTGGCCAGGAATAGGAAGGTCCTGCAACAGCATCATGTGCTCCCCATTCAGGAACGGTGGCGAAAGGTTGAGCTTCGAGTCCACCCATGTAAAGTAAACAACGCTCTGAGGCGCCAATCCTGCCTGATAAAGCGTCTGCTTGTTATCAGCCAGCACCTTCTTGGGCGGCGTCGTATCTGTAGTTGTATTCAATCGGGATAAGTAAATGTTACTTGTCAATAGGCCTCTTTTACAAAGCCGATAACTCAGCACAATGATTTCAAGCGGGACATGGCCATTACTTACACAAGTCAAACTTCTCGCCTTGCCCAACGCAAGCCTTGGACACCCAGTTCCTGAGGTCACCCACAGTTTCCTGACTACGGAATGTCGCCTGGAGCTGAATTCGGTCAGGGAACCGTATACGGATAATGGTCTTGGGGTAACGACGCTCCCTGGCCTTTTCTTCCTCTGCCCTGGCCGCCGCCGTCTTGAAGCCTCTGTTCTCCTCTTCTTGGCGCCTTGCCTTTTGGCTGTTCATCAGCTTCATCATATCCTGCGATGTCAAGTCGTAAAAGTCGTCCGGCAATTCAACTATTGACGTAAGATCAATACAATCATAGGTATTAGAGGTGCTCAATGGCCAGCTTGATAGCAATGCGATTGCATATAAACGCAATGTAAACTTACTTTGGTTAGAAAGTGGCGTAGCGTCGTCAGCCGGAGGGCGGAACACCTTGACTTGACGGTTGAAGGATTCCTCAGCCATCGTTGCCTGTCTTGACTGAGGCGTCACAGGACGAACGGGGCTCCCGCTCTCTTCGAAAGCCTTGTTCACCGAGTTTTGACGACTTCCAGTAGGGGTAGTAGGCAAGACTCCAGCCTTCTGCTCCTTCTCGATCTCCCGAGCAATCAAAGAATGGTAGTCCATAGTCGAGTCTCCGCGCTTCTGGGCATCCCGAAGATGCTGGCTGACGCGGTGGGCGATCTGACGGACGACTTCTTGCTCATGGTTGGGGAGCGACGAATTGGGCGATTCCGAGCGAGGTTGAGGAATGTCTACATCCATAAAGCCTTCCGGTTCTTCTGTAAACGCCTCGGGAGTGGGCGATCCTGGCGGAAGACTGCGGACAAAGCGGTCCCTGTCTGAGCTATCCGAGGCTTTGGAAAGTCGCTTTACGCGGTCGGTGAGGGCAGCCTGTGTCTGCTGTTCCTGATGCCGGCGGATGCCCTGGTTAATTTCAACCATGTTGGAGGTCATGTCCTGAGCCGGCGTCTGGCGCTGCATATTCAAATCGCCACTACCTCCTTCGATTTGGACACTAGTTTCACGGTTCGAAGCCTCGACGTCTCCAGCGCGCGGTGTAAGGCCAATTGGTGGGCTACTTCCTCCTCCTCCTCCTTGGTATGCCTCGTGTGCGACCAGATACTGGCCTCCCTCTCCCGCAGTTTTATCGGTTGTGAACTTTCGTGTTGGAGTGACAGGTTTAAGAGTCGACTGTCGCTCAGGCACAGCTCGCTGAGACTGAGGACGGGACTGTGATACGGGAGGTGAGTCAGTGACGGGAATGGCAGGTGCAGTGGTCGCGATTGAGGTGGATGTGGCGGTGGGTGCAGCAGCGGTTGCTGTTGATTGTGAATAGTCCCGTTCAATGTCCTCCAAAAAGTCTTCGATTCCTGCATCCGTGTATCGCATCAGAACGCGGAACGCAGAGTTTCCTCGAACAAGACCGGCAAGCTGCAGTGTCGTAGTCTTCAATGTCTGGATCGAAACGTACTATTCAAAAAAATGCCCCAAAATGGTAGAGCTGATGAGTTATTACACAACGATCGATCGTAAGCATAGCTGTCATCTGCCTGGTGTCAGAAACGTGGACGACATGTTACCTCGCGCTCCAAAAGAATGACAATGGGGAGGAGGTAGACCTCCGTTGCAGGTTTGACTGCCTTTTTGATCCTCTGAAGCGAAAATATGTTCTTGGAGGTCGACTGTGGGACGGCGGTGCGGCGTGTCAAGTTGAGGGTTCTGGAAATGCATGGGAAGTGTTTTGACATGGTATCGCCATCGGGGTTTGCAAATAACGAAGTACGCCCAAAAAAAAAAAAAAAAAAAAAAGGTAACAAGTAAGAGACAGGAGAAAAATAATAACGGGAAAACATTCGGTTAGACATTGTTGCTGCTGTTGTCGTTGCTGCTCGGTCCTTTGATTCTTCCTTGACGTTGGCGCAGACCCTGCGGCTATTGCTGACTTCCTGATGATTCTTTCCCGATAGTAATAAAACAACAATATTAAGAATACAACAGCCTTCCCTTACCCATTTGACGCCCTCTCAAATCCAAGAAGAACATCCCAGAGTGTTGTTGTAATTGCAAAGGACTGAACCGATCCTCCGCCTTCTTCTAGTCTCAAGGCAAGATCCACATGCGTCGGTGCTAATTGGATATTATCGAATATGGTTCAGGTCAGCAAACAGGTACATAAGAAGAAACAGAAAATGCATCAATAACACACATCCATGGCCGATATTTGATCCTCCTCCAACTCCATTGCCAGTAACTGTTTTCTTTTGTATCTACCTGCATCCCAAGGAAAAAAAGAAAAAAACATAAACACCAAAGCAAGCAAAGAACCAAAACATAGCAGCCCAAAATTAAGATCGTGGAACACGAGTGACAGCAGAGTAAGCAAAAAAAAAAAAAAAAAAAAAAAAACAACCCGGGGAAAGCAATCAACACACAAAACAAGTACGAATAAAGACATGTGGGTGAACGGGCTAAGGCTTGGTTGGGTATAAGGAAAGTAGATGGAAGGGGCGAAAGAAAAAAGGTGGAGTACGTGTGTGTATATGTGTGTGTTGTATGTGGATTTGTCAGAGTTGGTCTTACCTGACCTATCCTTGGGAATCTTGGCCAGCTCCAGCTTTGCCCCCGCCGCAATGTTGGCATGTCGGATAGACAATGAAAGGTCCAGAAAGTTCTTCCCGCTCCTAAAAGCCAAAAGAGTGAGTGGGAAAAAGAAAAGATGTGAGCCTTCCGTTAATAAGGGGCGGTGTCAAGAGGAACCAGCGATATGCGTACATGGGCTGGAGAGTGCCCGCGGGTAAGCGGGACCAAAAAAAAAAAAAAAAAAAAAAAAAAAAAAAAAGAGTGGGCTGATTCGTTTTGCATGGCGGCGGTTGTCATGGCAACAGAGCATGGAGAAGACGTTGTTTGTTTGTTTGTTCGTACTTGAGTCCGTATATTTCTGGCTCAGGGTAGTTCTGCTTTTCACAGACGGTGTTGACGACTTGACGGAGACTCATGGCGGGAGTTGTTTTGATGAGCTGCTTCTTGCCGCCTCCGAGGTTGACGGTGAGGTTTGATGCCATGGCGCAGTTGGTGGCGAGTGCAAGGTCGAGAGTGTGTGTGTGTGTGTGTGGGTTGAGTTGGGTGTGGTTAATGTGAGTGAGAGAGTGTGAAAGTGGAGACGCAAAGAAAACAAAAAAGAACAAGAAAGAAGAGAGGAGGGAGAGGATGAAATAAAGGAAGAGTTGTGTCTGCGTGTATGCGCGTTTGCTGCTGCTCACTGACTTTTTATTTCCTGTCTTTCTTTCTTATCCTACACCAGGACCCCCTAATCAAACTCGCCTTTGTCCAATCATCGGTCGTATTCGAACAGCGCTCCATGGTCGCACACGAGAGACAAAGGGGGTTCCTCTCCTGCTCTCCTTCTTTCCCCTCTCGACGGTTCTTTGGTTCTTTAGTCAGCATTGGCTACAACTCTCCCTTTTCTCTTCCTTGGTACCCACCACCAGCCACTTCTGGCGCCCCTTGTCTTACGCATCACCACCATTTAAATTTGGTCGCATGGACAATTGCCTTTTTTTTTGTTTGTGCTTTGTTTGTTTTCATGCACGTTTGTTTTTCTATGATGTTCTATTTTGTTCAGGGGCATGCACACTGACATATATGTGTTGGGGGGAAAAGAATCTAATCATGAAGAAAATGTTCTTCGAAAGTCTATTTTACAAAAGCAGCTTCAAGGGCTCCTCAAGGTAACCCTTGAAGGCCTTCAAGAACTGCGCGGACACAGCACCATCAACAGTGCGGTGGTCAGAGCTCAAGGTCACAGCCATCACGGAGGCTGTGCGGAACTCGCCCTCTTCACCGGCACGTGCTGGGAGGACGCGCTTCTCTGTCGATCCAACAGCGAGGATGCATGACTGGGGAGGGTTAATGATGGCAGTGAAATGCTTGATACCAAACATTCCCATGTTCGAGATGGTAAAGGTGCCGCCCTGGTACTCATGAGGGGCGAGCTTGTTGGAACGAGCACGCGAGGCCAAGTCCTTGACCTGGTTTGAGATGACCGACAAGCCCTTCTTATCGGCGTTGGCAACAATAGGCGTGATCAATCCAGTAGGGGTCGAAGTAGCAACACAGATGTCAGAAGAGTGGTACCTATGAAAAAAACAATAGAGCGAGTAGCATGTGCGTTAGTTATATACATATAGCGGCAAAGGGGAGGATTTACAACAAGGAGTGCAAACAATCGCGCAAGAATTGCTTACTGGCGGATAGAGTCGTTCATCCAGGCGCTGTTGGCTTCAGGGACTGCCCTAAGAGCCAGAGCCGAAGCCTTAACAATAAAGTCATTGACAGAGAGCTTGTACTTGTCTTCCGAGGCCTTGTTGAGAACCTCGCGAAGCTTCAAAACCTTGTCCATTTCGCACTCAACAGTAACATAGTAATGAGGAACAGTTTGCTTGGACTCTGAGAGACGCTGGGCAATGATCTTGCGCATGTTGGTGACAGGGATGTCGGTGTAAGTAGCAGAGGCAGGGGCGGCAGGGGTAGGGGCGGCAGCCTTTGGTGCTGGGGCAGAGGCTGCTTTCTTGGCTACTTTTCACAACCAACAATAGTTAATGAAACATTAGTGTCTCCCAATGGATTGCATTAACATCTTCAAAAGCGTGTCGATTTCAATGCTTACCAGCCTCGGGCTTGGGAGCCTCAGCGGACTTGGGGGTCTCAACAAGCTTGGGAGCCTCCTTCTTCTCAGGTGCAGGAGCGGCAGCAGCAGGAGCAGCGGCGGCGGAGTCGACAGTAAAATCAGCAAATTTCTCAATATCCTCCTTGTTCTCAACAAGGATGGCGATGGGCTTGCTGATGTTGACCTCCTTGGTGTTGGAGTCGACCAAGATCTTGGCGATATAACCCTCCTCCTGGCACTCAAAGTCCATCTGAGCCTTGTCGGTCTCGATCTCGACAAGGACATCTCCTGCAGCAACAGCGTCGCCGACCTTCTTTTGCCACGTTCCAATGTTACCCATGGTCATGGTAGGCGATAAGGCGGGCATGTTGATGACAAGGTGGGAAGGGTATGCTGTAGTAATTGGCCAAGTAAATAATCTCTGTCAGCGACTTGTTCTTTTCCCACGAACGATAAATAACAGTGGAAGCGGCGTGCTGCAATGAGTAGTTCTTACACTTGGCACTGTAGTAGCGAACCGTATTAGCCTTTGCCATAGTAGACGAGGCAAACAAGATGTGACGAGGAGCACTAGATAATGAGAGAAAAAGCAAGCGTATTGTCAGCATGCAAGTTTGACAGATCAATGCGTGCCCTTCTTAGTGTGGAGCCTCTTGCCTATTTTCTCTCTTGCTCGCTTCCATGATCCGTTGGAGAGCACATGCAGATCATGTAATACCCCCGTCTCAATGAAGATATCGATATGTATTGTGCAATTTCTGCCTCTCCTTGTTGACGTTTATGTTTCCCGACGTCTTCTCTGCGCCACGTCGGCAGCGTTTTTGTCCACTGGGCAAGAATGAGGCGAGTTACGTCAAGTACCTTGAAGTGGAGGTGAAGGAACGGGTGGTGGCATTGTGTGTGGCCACAGCTCTGGCCAAGGGGACAAGAGCAGCGGCACGCCGGACGGAGCGACGACCGGTGGTAAAGGCCAGACGAGAGATGGATGCAGAGGACAACATGGCGGGATGTGTGAAGGGGAATGTGAATAAAGGAATGGGAGGTGAATGACCAACAAAAACAAGAAAAAAGAAAGTAAAGGGATATGCTTAGTGTTTGTCACCCACAAAAAATTAATTTTGGTTGCCCGCTCTGACCTTCGAATCTTTTTTTTTTTCTTTATCTTTGCCGATTGCTTGATTCACTTGCATCGAAAACGACCATGGAGCATCCGTGAGGGTCTTCTTCCCTTCCAGCAAGAGTACTCTTACAAAACCTGCCTTCTCCATCTTTTTGTTTTTCTCATCGGTTATTTACAACAGGAGATCAAGCACTCCTTGGATCGAGAATCAAACATCCAGATTGGCACTCTTGTTGTCTTATCAGTGATCACGAATGATAAACGCTCCCTCCCGGAGTTTTGGGGATGGCTGTGGAACGGACAACCAAATGATCTCTCATCTTGGCCGAATTCTTCCGTGGTTCCTGAACCTTCCCCTTCTTCATACATCTGACCTCTGTCAGTTGGACATCCTTGTAGTTATTTATTTCCCTTTCTTGCCGCCCTTCTTCTTATTCTTCTTCTTTGGCTTCTTCTTCTCCGTGTCGCCTCCTTCCGGCCGTCTTTCTTCTACAGAGGCTGTCATCGTCGTTGGCGTCGTTGTTGTTCCTGTCGACCTCGGACTAGATCCGTCCTCATACTCGTTCTCGTTCTCGTTCTCGTTCTCGTCCTCCTCACGGTCAGCCCCACTGCTCTCGATCTGGATAGTCAACGAGGGATTTGGCTCCTCCAAAAGCGCGTCCACCTTAATTACCGACGACACATCCGTCTTGACCTCGATACTCTTCTTCCCGCTCTCCACTCCAACGACACCATTCGCTCCAGTCTCAGGAACTACGGACGCGCTCTCGCTCTTGTCCTCGGCAGGCTCGACGCGACCTTCACTGGGACGTCTGTCATCGTTGGAACGAAGTGGAACCCCACCCAGGAGGTTGCCCGTACTACCCCAGGGGTTGTCGCTGCGATCGTCTATAATCTCTTCGTAACCCGAAAGCGCCCCTGCGCTGACGGGGAGATCGAGACCATTGACCGGCAGATGGTCCTGCTGCTCGAATCCGGAGGGCTCCTGCTCATAATACATGGCTGAAGCCACTGGGAATTCCGTCTGACTCTCGACATCAGAATCCCGGCGGAGGCTATAGTTGAATGGCGGCGTGCTCTCCGTAGTCGAATGGTCACTGTCGTTGCCACTATCATCGCCATTGTCGACTGGCTCAAAGTCATTTTCGATATCTGCAAGCTCTTCGACATGAACTTCTTCCGTTTCTTTTATCATATAGCGACTCTGAAGCTCCCTCTCGACTTGACCAGGAGTCCAGACAGGTGACTGGGCTTGGTGCGAAATAGTATCGGTTAACTCATCCCTCGATCTGTCGCCGATGTCTTCATCTCGTGTGACCATGGGGTTGATATCTTGCTCATATGCATCTTCCTGTCCTTCTTCAATTGGTTGAATAGGATGTGCGGAAGAAAGATCTCCTTTGCTGTTGGCACTGGCTGATCCAGAGTTCAAGTCGATGTTTTGAAAGAATTCGTCCTCGAGCTTTCCTGAACTGAAGTCGAAGAGAACAGCTGGTGTTTGTGCAGAGACCGGTGTCGGGCTGAGGATGTCGACATTGGTGTGGTCGTTCCGTGTTTTCCTGGCTGGTGATGTAGGTGAGGTGGTTTGTGGGAGTGTTTTGAGCTCTGTGGTCTGAATAGGGAGGAGGAATGGTGGCGCCTTTTTTGACGATGTTGGTGCTGGAGCCTTCTCCTTCTGTACTGATCGCCGTGATGTTGCATCCTCTGCGTGCCTGTCTAAAACCTGCAGCAGCTCCCCGATCTCCAACGTCTTTTGATCGTACTGCTTCCTGTGTGTTTCCCTCTACGATATATGAATTCAGTTAAAAAGAAGAGTCCGAGTGAGAATACTGGTGCCATTGCAAACACGCTAAAGTAGGCGCACTGACTTATAGCAAGCAAAAAAATTAACTTACCAAAACATTCAAGAATGCGATACCAAAGCTCTCGTGAATCTCCTTCAGCCCAAGTCCCGTTTTCATACTGGAATCCAGATGCCTGATCAAGTTGGCAGGAGCACAGTGGTGCTTGTAACGGATATCATTGTGTTCCTTCATCAATGCTTCCACGCGGCCGTTCGAAACAACGGGTCTGGGATTGCTGTCATCTGTGAAATTGCTCTGAGACAAGGAATATAAGGCGATACATGTGGCGTCAGTGACATGTGTATTCCTGAAAAACAAGACACTTGATGCCATCCTGCAACATCGTATCGACATACCAGAAGCAGAACAGGGATATTGGTAGGAACATCGGCGAGTGTTTTTGCAGCGTAGTCGAATGTCCATGGTTTCGAGATATCGTAGAGAAGAATGACTCCGTCGGTATTACGGTACACGTCGATTGTTGATGCATCGAGAGCAAAAGCAGCATGAGGAGCCGAGTCTATGTCGGGGGCCGGATTAGATTTGGAGGGGGATGCAACTAGAAGCAATTGAACAAGTAGGCCAAATTTAGTTGTGCGCGAAACATTTCAGAGCCAGGCGTCCGTCAGAAGAAATAGAATTGGCCACTGACAACTTACGAGTGTTGTTCTCGATCTTGAGTGCACTATCGCTACTTGGTCCTTTGAGGTCTCCTGTCTGGACACCCTTATCAACAACATCCCAGACCTCGACCTTGATGATGTCCTTTGTATCTACCATGTTGCATGTTTGTTGGTCAATTGGTCAATAGGTGTAGGATATAGAGCGATCCAGCCCCCTGATCCTCAGATAAAAAAAATCAACGATTCTCTGAACACCACAGTTCCCAGACCAAGGTTGACCAAGCGGACAGACGGGGTCTGTCGTCATGGTTCACGTCCGTGATGAACCTTATCCTTTGCTAGTCGTCAGCCCTTGATCTGTCCCTGTCCGAGCGATTGACATCATGACCCTGTGCTTTCTCCTTGCACAATCCAATAGACAAAGCGCTTGGACTTACGTGCGTATTGCCAAGGGATATTGGCGACTTGGATTTGCGCGGTTGTCCTGTAATTGTGCTCGTTTGGGAAAGGATGACCCTGTAGGCGTTCGACTATGAGGCAATAGATGAAATTATATCGACGATGATGTCAATTCACTAGAATAAAACAGGTTCCGTTTGTATCCTTTTTCCTTTGCATCAGGCTTCCTACTGAGAGGGGAATCTCACTTACAGAGCGACGTCTTTCCTGTCCTGATGTCTCCACGGATAACAATCTTCACTGCATGGTGAAAAAGAAGGAGGAAGCAAAAACCAGAGGTTGGTTAGATCACGGTGACACTTGCGCTGTCTTTCTGCGCCGGGTCTGTCAGTCGCAAACGGCTTGCTGCTTACTGTTGAGAGGGATACCCCTGTTGAAGGACGCATGGATAGGCTTAACTTTTGTCGATACGCCATGGTCCTGGGGCTCAATGGTGTGTGTTGCTCCGTTCTGTGATGAACTGTTGAACGGCCACAGTTTCTGGAACTAGAAGTAAAGTTGTAGTTGTTGGTGGCAAACGCGAATATAAGTTTGACAGAAAGAAAGAAAAGATTGTTCCTTGCAGGGCCAATGTTGCATGGCGAAGCAGTAGAAAAGCAGAGTGAGGTTTACCATGGTGGCAGTTGCAGAGGGAATGAATAAGAGAAAGGAAGAGGGGATGGGCGGAAAGGGAATGAATGAATGAAAGAAGAAAGGAAAAAGGAAAAAGGAAAAAGAAAAGGATCGGGAGACAAAAGAACGGCACACGGCCTTGTTTCATTTTTAGGAGAGGACGGGACTGTGTGTATGAATGTGTGCCTGTGTCTGGGGACCCTGTCCTTTGTTTTCTTTGGATCACCCCTTTGACCACGCAAGAGACCGTGGGATGTTTTGATGGCAAAAGATAACTTGTACACATATTTGCGCTCCTTCCTTGCTCTTTCAATCGCCTCTCTTTGATGGTGCACCGTCAATGTTCTCACGGGGGGAAGACAAGGCACCATTATCTCTGGTGTCCACACCTTCGTTATTATTTTCTCCATCCTCCGGGCAGGGCTGATGAGTAAAAATAGAAGCGCAAGGATAAGCACATCGAACATCCTTGGAAATAAAAAAGAATCCACTATTCGTCTGCGTTTGTCACTGGTACACGACAAAAGAGACCCAGTTCATGGCTGTATGTTGGCTTTGAGTGATATCGATACAAAGCGAGAACAAAGTGGTGAACAAGCATCGACGCATCAATCACCTTGAACAGAAAACTCTTCTTTTTTTTATTCCCCCTTCGAACGCGTCGCGATCTTCAAAGGAACACCACGTGTGATGGGGGTTCTTATTTTACTTCAACCCTACCGCCAAATGAACTCCTACATCCTTTGTGTACACTTGGCGAACTGTCTCGAGACGGCTAGTGATGATATTGGAGGCAGAACCGTCTTGTGCGTCAACAAGGGATGAAAGAGCAAGGAAGGGCCAGACATATTGCTGGCCCTCGTTGGCAAGCCAGAAGGATGCCATGGGAGAATTAAAAAGCAGTCATCAGAGCGACTTTCGCTCCTCTTCCATTTGCCACGAACTGTCGAACACGCGCCCAACATTCACACATTTACTCGTACCCTCTTCTCTCTCTCTTTCTCTTTCTATCTCTCTCTCACAAATACATCTCCCCTGTCCCATGGACGAACGACAATTGGCACTTGAGAAGGTGCCACACCCCATCCACATCAACTTCAAATACCCGCCATACCCAGGAGCAGACCTCAAGACAATCGAACTCGACCTCCCTGAAGGTGCTCTCCTTCTCGACGCCATCAGACAGTGCCGCATTCAGCATCATGTCCCCGTCTACCTCGAGCACTCATTCCTTTCAACCGCACAAAGTCTTATCGAATCCACACGGAGGGCTCGTGTCGACCAGGAAACAGCACGGGTCAACACAGCTATGTTCTCTCATAGCAGCACCACAGAAAACGACAGCGCAGAGTCAGGCACCAATACCGTGAATAACACCCTTGAGGAAGACAATTCTGCTGAGGCCGAACTTCAAAGAGCTATGATCGAGAATTACAGGAACCATACCAGTCAGTTTTACACTCAACCAGAGGAGGTACTTACACGTCAACATCATATCCTCAAGACTTGAGATCCATGCAATTGAACCAACACGAGACGCACGCTTACATAACCTGTCTTCATTTTCATAGAACATGTTCCCAGAGGCGTACCATACACTAGTTCACTCGCCAATACCCTCGCTATTCGACTCGATTCTGGATCTGGAGCGTGAATACGCTGGAGAGGTCGACGCGTTGCTGAGTGCTCGGGACGCCGAACTCAACGACATACAAACAAGGTATTCAGAGAGGCATTGAGCAGGAACCATAGCCGACTTTAAGAGGTCGCCACGAGAAACGGCATTAACTTGGCGGTATATTTTTCAATTGAATCGTAGGCATAACAATATCCTTGCCGCCGAAGCACCCCAGCGCAACTTGACACAGCTCATGACAAGGCACATCGAGGTGAGAAGGCAACTGTGTTGTTGTATCTTCAAGGGCGGCGAAATTTACGCACTTAATTAATTCACGGATGCGTTTTTTTTTTTGCACTTTTAGACAATGGAGGTGTCGCTAGCAACATGGAACAGCCAGCTGGATGACTTGCAGTCTATGCAACGGTCAAAGTATCAGGAGTTCATTCTTGAACTCTATGCGATCTACAAGCGTCAGCAATTGCACCTTCTGCACAAGGATACACCAAACGGGAGCGCCAATGGGCTTGCTGCTCTAGATGGCAAAGAGATGGTTGCAGAGGCAATGCGTACAATTGGAGCAAGGCAATCGAACGTCCACGGAACACCCTCGGACCGGGCACGACAGTCCCCTAACAGCTCATCGAATTACAAGGATTTGCCAGCAGTACCGCCGACGGCAGAATCCCAGCCCGACACCCCAGGTGCAGAGGAAGAAGCTTCTCAATCTCCACCAGAGACGGCACCTGATACATCTGCAACAGACGCACCTCAGGAAACAGTTGCCGTCGACTCCCCTCCTCCGCCTCCACCCAAATCGGAAGATCCTGAGCTGGAACAAATGATCAAGTCGATCTTGGAAATGGGATTCGATGTCGAACAGGCCAAGGGAGCGTTACTCATCTCCAACCGCGACATGGTTCGTACTTGAATGGACTTGATGCTTGGTCAAGGACAAGGAATTCTTCATGACATGAACTTAATGGTTGTGTTTTGCCTTTCTATTATTGCTAGGATCATGCCATCAACCTTCTTTTGGAACAACCGGATAGTATTCCACGCCTCGTCGCTGCAAAACAAAAGGTGGAGGCAGCGATGAAGGAGAGCAGCGCAAGGAGACAGAACCGCGCGCAATCATCACCTCAGCAACCCTTGCCGTCCTTGGCAGGATCCCCTGCCTCCAACTCATCTCAACCTCACACTGCGCAGGATCCCAGAGTGCAAAATGTCAATCGTCCTATTGACCGATCTGCTTCCGTTTCTTACCCACGACCTCACATCCCAGGACAAAACCAAGGATCGTCCGGAGGAGCAGCAAGTCAAAAACCATGGTCCCCATTGCCATTCTTTCAGCAACAAAGGAACGCGCTCTTGACCAACAACAGCAACCCTTCCGTCAAGAAGTTTGGTGGCTGGCTCAACAAGGCCATAGAGAACCTTGGACTAGATGATGACTTTGAGTAAGTAGTGTGGCGGCTTCAAGGAGATTACATCAAAAGAAAATTGACGTTTTACTAACATTTGCAGTCTTTCTATTATTGTAGAGATCAAAACGGATTTAACAGGAACGGAGGAACATCAGGCGCTGCACAGTCATCTCACCAACAACCTTCCAACCTTGCCGAGTCCTTTACCGTCGTCTTGGGTAGCAGCCACTCCAAGGTGACGCACAACTTGCGACTGGTAGTATCGGACCCTGCAGAAGTGTTCCCTAGCAACCGCAACAAGTCTGAACGCGATGCTGCCATTCAAGCCCAAACAGCATCGTCACTTTACGGCAAGAACTTGACAGGTCTCGTCCAACTCGTGAATATCCGGGACTGGGCAAAATACAAAGGAGGCCAAGTCTGTCACCAAGGTAACACAAAGTTGAATATGTACGTAAAGCCAAAAAAGATATGCAGACCGAATCGATGCTCATGTTGCTTGCGCCTGCTTCACAAAACCCTACTAGAGTTATTCAAGGCCTGCCAGACCAGCACAGAGCTCCACTTTGACAGCATCGAAAAACAGCTGGAGGCACTCGAAGATGAAATCCCACTTGACGGATCGACTCTACAAGAAGGCGACTTTGTGTTGACGAGACACTCTAACCTGCCCATGATCCATGTCGTCTTCCACCTCTTCTATGGCAGCGCTTCCGACTCGACCGCAGCAGAAACTGTGGGAACTGGAGCTGGATCACCCAACTTGTTCAATCAGTCATCGGACTTTATTCCCAAACCCGACTTTTTGGCAGGCCTTCGCAACATTTTGCGGACAGCTCATCGACACGAAATTACGATGCTCTCTTTGCCGTTCCTGATGATGCCTACATTGTTTGAAAGCCAGCTCGTGGCGGCATCAGAGGCGACACCATCAACAAGACACCATCGGCCGGGATCACAGTACGGATCGCCATCTCTTTCTACAATATCGACAGGGGCCTCTGGAGTCGGTTCAGCGGCATCCTCTCCTTCGGTGTCGTCTTTGGCATCGTTCAATGCTGGACCAAACCAGCAGCGGCCTCAGGTCAACTACCACATCACTGACCAGACGCGTCGGGATCTGCAGAAGCGGACAGAAACAACCTTGCGGCACCTAAAGTCGTACCTGATGGAGAATGCACGACAGGTCAAGCAGGTCGGAAATCAAGGGAGCGAGGCAGAAAAGTTCCGAGCCTCGCAGGGCGGGGATGTCATGGTGGTCCAGTTCCTGTTGCCGAAAGGAACGAGCGATGAGATGTTCCGGTCATTTAGAGGTATTCTTGTCAATGTCTTTGGAGGTGTGTGATAAGAATAAAAAAAAACGACAACGGAAAGGTGCATTTTTTTTTTTGCATAGACCAAGGGAAGGGATACCAAACACTTTATGCGTGATACTTTTTGGTTCTTTAGGCTTGACCTTCTTAACGTGCATCATGTCCCACATAATAGATTATAATCGTGCACGCGAATTTATTTTTATTTTGCGAGCTCAATCCATAAAGGCTATCACAGCTACACTGAGTGGACATGATAGCCCATAATTGCGAAGAAGAAAAAAAGAGCTCGGCAACGATTTATGTTCTCTGTTCTCAGACAAAATCAAGTAGAAGCGAGCTTGGAACGATAGTTGAGTGAGAGGGTAAGTTGCTATGCGTGGTTGATCCGCATCCTGCACTAGGTGGACTTCCAAGTATGGTTCCCGCGCCAGACAGACACCAGCTTGTCGAACTTGAGGAGATGGCGCGCTACTCGGCCGTCAATTGAGAGATCGCCTCGATGTGTAGCTCCTTCAGTCTGCTGATGACTGCATTGACGGGGACGGTGACTTTGCGGAGATATTGGGCGTTCAAGACGATCCGGATGTGTTATCCAAGTTTGATGACGATGTCTGCTGGAGGACTGGCGAACCGATGCTGGTGGTAGAAGTCGACCTTGAACTAGACCACGGAAGTGAACGCAGTTGACTAGGCGTTGGACACTGAAACGCAGGCGATAGAATCCTTGATATTGGTGAAGCGACTGCGTTTTTGTGAATGAGCTCGGGGAGGTCGAGGGGGGGGGGGGGGGGGGGTTGCTGTTTGTCGTGGTAGCAGCTATGGATTCTTTGTGTGGTGTGTGGAGTGAAAAATAGCAAATGAGTGGAAAACGAAAACAAGAGTGCGTTTCTCTCCCTTCTATCTCTTTCGTTTAATAGTTGATTCTTTGATGGCATTCAAAGTGAACGTTTGCGGCTTTTACAGACCCATAAATGGCGAAGCGATCAAGCACTGTTCTTACCATTTGCGTTTCTCTCTTTCTCAAGTAAAAAAAGCAGCAATTTTTCGCTTCTTGCCGTGTTTGCTCATCCTTATTCATGGATCTCTTCGCAATCCAAAAAAAAATGAACAGACAAGCAAAAAAAAAGGGACAGCGGTACAATTAAAAACTGCATACACGTAGCAGCCCGTTATCCACAACACCTTTCTCCGGTCTACCAGCTTGATCTTTTTTTTTTGTATTGTTGGCGAAGACACGAAAGCTTATGAAGAAAATAAAAGGAACACGTCTCTTTTAAGGGGGAAAATGGCCAGCTGAAATTCATGGTCGTTCGGTGTTCTTAAACTAGAACGGCCTCCACGTCTGGCATCCGAGCCAAACCAACCGCAAATTTTCAAGCTTGAGGAGATGACGTGCGACTCGTGCTTCGATCGAGATATCCATTTGATCATATTGCTCCTCCTCCGATGTCATTAAGGCCCCGGCTTCCTCCTGTCGCCGCCTCCAGCATCCCTTGCGCCACAAGGCGATTGCTTCAAGGATCCTCTCCTTCGTATCAAGACCCTTGATTCTGATTCGAAGCACCACAAGACCCTTGCAAGCCCACTCCCCCAACTCCACCTCATTCATATCCATCTCAAGAAGATGCAGATCCAAGTGTTTCAACTGAGAGCAACCTCTTGGAATCAGCTGAAAGAACTGACTGAATTCTTCAATCGCTTCCGAAACCTCCTCCACCTCATCCTCCTCAAAACTTGCGCCTGAACGCTCACTGAAAACGATTAAACTTTTCAGCGATGCTTGGTGCAAGAGGATATCCATGATGGTTTCGCCCGGAATGCGTGAAAACTCATACATCAGCGCGGAGACGTTTCTACCAACATGGGCGAGGAGTTGGTGGACGAGGTTGCGACTTCCCTGGACTTCGTATCGCGTCAGAAGAGGGCAATACCGGGCCACGTCCTCTTTGATCTTGGCCGTAGGTATAGGGATCTGTGGATGTTCCTGCCAGGTACACAGACGAGTAAGATTCGGAAAGAATGACAACAGCGATGGATCGGCAGGGTCCCCGAGAAAGAGACACTCGATGCCGGCAGCGAGGGTCTCGACGCCTGGATGCTGGATCGTTTGTCTGGCGCTCCCAACGATGACGGTGCAAACCAATTTGAGATCGTTTAACGCCGGGCTAGCTTTCAGGATAGACACTAGGCCCTCGAGAGTCAAGTACAAGCGATCAATTCTCAGAGACGTCAGAAAGGAAGCGACTCCGAGTAAAGGCGACGAAAATGGAATAAGAGACGATGCAGAGACAAAGTGGGTCAGCGAGGCTTCTCCATTGACGGATTTAGAGGCCGCAGAGAGACGGAGTGACTCAAGACTGGGAATGCTCCTGGAGACAATCTCGTAGGTGCGGATGTGGTGCATAACGGAGGCAGCCGCTTCGATTCGAAGCGATGTCAGGTTCGTTACAGCCTCGTTGGCAACGGCAGTGACTTCGTGAATAGACTTGGCGTTCATGATGATACGGATGTGTTGTCCATGCTTGGAGATGATGTCTGGCGAGAGATCGGCAAAACGGGGCTGGAAGGAAAAGTTGACCTCGTACCAGACGACAGGAATGAAGGTTTCCGACCATTCCTTGGAGACTTGAGCGCAGGCGATGGCATCCGTGAGGGAGACGAATCGACTGATCCTGTGCATCAGTTCAGGAAGCTGGAAGGGGGTGATCTTAGTTGTAGGCGATGGTGATGGGGTAGTTTCTTCCATGGTGGATTCAAGTGAGGAAGGAGAGATGAGAAAGAAAGTGAAGCAATAAAGAAAGAGCTTCATTTTATTCTCTGCCTTAGTTCTTCTGACGTCGCTGACCGATTGACGCGTAACTGAAGATTGTTCGCTTTGTGACAAAAAAAAGGCTGCATTCAAAGTCATTGGGATCAAGAAGATGGTACTGATTACAGATACAGGGCGCGCCAAAGGCAAGGTCAATCAATCTTTCACTTGATTCTCTTTTCCGTTAACCATCAAAAAGAATCAATTAGAAAGTAAGGGCGTGGGCGAAGCTCTGTGCGCTAGAAAATAAGGCCAATTGAAGCTGAGTTCCTGTTTGATCTATGTTTAGACCAGCGTTCATAACTGACATCCAAGCAAGACTTCTCCAACTTGTCAAAATTAAGATGACGCGCGACGCGTGCTTCAATCGAGAGATCGATCTCACCATGCTTCTCCATTGCCGCTGAGGCTCCAGCCTTCTCTCGCCGCCGTCTCCAGCACCCCTTGCGACAAAGAGCGACAACCCTAAGGATCTCTTGCCCTTGGTGTCGAGACCCTTAATCCTAACACGAAGTATCTTCAAATCCTTGCAGATCCACTCGCCCATGTCGACCACATCCATGTTAATCATTTCGGTAGAAACGTCTAAGGTCTCCAACCCAAGGAATGAGCATAACGGATCGACCAACATTGAATTCTGTATTGTCATTGTCGACTGGGTAAATCTCCTCGAGCTCTATCTAGGGCATTCAAGACCATGTCTACCAGGAAGTCATTGTCATGGAAGGTCTCCAAGATATTTAACTTGTGCACGTTTGGAAGGTGTCTTAGCAAGGACTGACCTGAGAGATGGTCGAAGCCGTCATGCCGCGTGAGGTATGGAAAGGTGCAACCGAGGAGCGTGACGCCTGGATGTTGGAAGATGTCACCAGTTAGCTGCCCGATAATAACTGCGTCTTCTACACGAAGTTCCGACAGCAGAGGACATCCTCGAAGGACGGTCAAGAAGCCTTCATCTAAAAGGCTTATGTTGGCGAAAGACTGCTGCTGGATCACCAATGCTTGAGGGGGGAGCGATCCAGACTCAGACGTCGGTACTAGTGCCGCTGAGGGAATGCAATGCCGCGACGACTGCATTCTTTCATCCCTTGTTCCCAGGAATAGGAACAACTTTCTCGGTGTTGACCTGTTCCTGGCGATGATTTCGAAGCAGTGGCTATGATGACGATCCGATGCTGCGGGGTTGGTATTTGAGAGCTACCGCAGCCTGTCGACACTTGTGTTTGCGAGAGAGGTAGCTTGGTTGTAAAGTCCATGCGGCGAACGACACGGATGTGCCGACTGTGCTTAGCGATTATATCTGGCGAAAAGTGACGATAAGATGAACAGTCGACCTTGAACCAGATGACTGGCACAAAGGTAACCGCTCACGCCTTTGACACTTGAACATACGACAGCGCGTTCTTGACAGAAACGAAGCGACTGACTACGTGTAGTAACTGTGGAGCGCTGAGAGGGTTGTTGATCTTTGACGAGTCCATGATCGGAGGCGTGCTGGTGAAGCCAATGTACTTGTGTGGGCGTTCGTTGGTGATGTGTGTACATTTTTTGGTTTCGGTGCTTCTTATACTTCTCACAAGGCTTCCTTTTTTCGTGCGAGGTGATACCAAGGAGTTTTTGACCCTGAAGGGACTAAGGCCGCAAGCACACTCAAGCCAGCTCTGCATGACGCGAGTACGTGCACAGAAAGGATCAAGGCCAGGCCGATCTGAAAATAGTGCTTCGCCCATCTCACCACTCTTCGTGAATCAATCTGAACATGGCATTCTTCGAAAGGAACCACACGCAGGCAAGCAAGCAAACAAAAATTGGGGGGGAATAATGTTTTTTTTTGGTTCCAACAAAAGGAAATGTAGGAATCACATCCTCGAAAGGTTGCTTTCTTGACCTTTCTTTTTCACAAGTTTATTATAGGGAAAAAACGAGTGTTCAGGCGAGGGAGGCATTTAATCGAAAAGACCGAATCCCATATCGTCATCAGACTCCTCCTTCTCCTCAACCTTCTCCTCAACCTTGGCGGCGGAGGTGGTGGCAGCGGCAACGGGGGCAGCGACGGCGAAGGCGGTGGGGTCAGCGAGGTAGGCCTTGATCTGTTGTACGCGTTGCAAAAAGTGAAAAGCGTTCATTTTTGATTAGTTTTTGTTTTTCGTTGATGTCGACGTTGTTGTTGGCAGCAACAAAAAAGAAAAATGGGAACCATCAGGAAAAAATTAGAGTGTTTGTTATCTCGTCATTGCCCCGAAGGGCTACAATGAGTTTTTCATCACACGGCTCGCACATAAGGAAAAGGGGAATCAAAGAGGGGCAGGAAACGACCATGCAAAATAGACATCAAACCAAGGAGATCAATAATTACCTTCTCAGATCCAGGGAAGTTGTACTCGGTGGCAACGGAAACGGCCAACAAGTTCTTGTAAGAGTTGATGATCGAGTGGGGGACCGAAGCGACGGTGGGGTAACCGATCTGGAGGGAGATGGCGGCAATGTTCTTGATACCGGCAACGAAGTGACCGATAAGAGAATCCTCCTCAATGTCCAAGACGGAGGGGTGGAAGACGGTACCCTGGTCGTAGACCTGGACAACGGTCAAACCGTAGGTGAAGGGAGAGATGTTCAACATGTTCAAGAGAGCAGCCTCGGAAGCACCGACACGGAAATCCTTCTTGATCAAATGGACATCGTTGATGATCTCAATGGTACCACGGGCAATCTTGGTGGGGACACCCAAAGCCTGGAAGAAAGAGGTCTTACCGGGCTCCATACCGGTGTTACCGGCAGGGATGTACACATCAATGGGAGCCAAAGCACCAGCCTTGGCGGGGGCCTTGACACGGTTGGTGAGAACCTTGTCACGGATGGTCTTCAAGTCAGCGTTGGTGAAGACGAAACCGATGTTGCCGCGGACCGAGGGCATAAGCTTCTCGTAGTCGGGGTTCTCGGTCTGGAGGATACGGATGGCACGACGGACCATGGTGTTCTTGCCCATAAGGATCTTGGCATCACCACGGAGAGCCTTACGGATCTCGTGCATCTGGTTGGAACCGACATTGTCGACGTTGACAATGAAGATGGAGTTGAACTCCTCCAAGTAAGACTTGAGCTTTTCGAAGTATTCTTGCTTCTTGCCTGCCTTCGACATGATGATAGTAGTTCGAGGGATTTAAAGGTCTATTCAAGATTGAGGTACAACGATCGTCCTTCGGTCAGTTTCTTGTTGACAAGTATGGTTTTTGGATTGCTCCTTTCTGCGAAGTAGCAATCATCGCTCCTATCGCTGTCTGTCCTTGTGGTCCTGTTGTCTCCTACGTCGACTGACTGCGGTGGTGCTTTAATGTGAAAGGTGAGAGGTTCCCAGCCGGCAAGGGGAAAGTCGAGCGTTGTGTGAAACGTGCCCATGGTGCCAATTCAGAAAATGAACGGCATTGATGGTGAGTGTCGACACTCTTTGGAGTAGTTGGATGTCGAGAGAGCAAGGAGCGAAGGGTTGGATGTGTTGATCGATGGGTCGATGGGCATCGATGGTACCGATGGATGGATATGTAGTCGATAGTCGATCCTGTAGGGAGGTACGGCAACAACACATACCAAAGTTGAGAGGATTCAACAAACGAATTGCAAACTTACTCTTTCCTTTTATTCAAATCTCCTAAGCCACTCTTTTGAAGGAAAGTTGGTGGCGGGACCCTTGGGTCACTCGAAAGGGAGGCGAGTCGGTCCTTTACCTATCGGCAAACCACTCTCTTTACAGCCTCACTCCCAGGCTTACCTGAATCACCCATTCCTACACAACAACAATAAATAGGAAACGACATTCAGAATGAGTCGTGAGCTGGATGTGAGCGACATGGTAGAGATTGGCAGGCAGGCAGCGTGGTCAGTCTCTAGCGCTAAAACAGGACACGGTCTCGAGCTACTCCGCGACAACGACCTCGACACATACTGGCAGTGCGTTTTGTGCTCCTCTTGACACAATGGATCAATTCAATCAATGTCTGTAGCTGTCCTATCGAGAGAGAGAGGAACCCCCACGCCCTCACTCACACTTTTCCCCTGTTTCTTTCTCCTTGATAGGTCGGACGGTCCGTCGCCTCATGTTGTCAACATGCAATTTGAGAAAAGGACGTCTATTCGCCAAGTGTCCTTCTTCCGCGACAAGCAAGACGAGAGTTACACGCCGTTAAGGGTCAGTATCCGAGGTGGAACCAACCATCAGGATCTCAAGGAGCTCTATAGTTTGGATGTCGAGGAAGCGACTGGCTGGGTGAACATCAACCTCGCCAACATCTCTAGCAGGTAAAAAGGCCTTCCCAGTTATGTATGATCAATTGAGTGAGCACGATGACGACTAAACTCACTTCCATTCATGTTTCTTGTTCAATGATTTGATAGTGGTCGGCCTCCCAGGGTGTTCTTGTTACAGCTAGCCGTCCTTTCGAACCACCACGGAGGACGAGACACCCACGTTCGTCAATTGAAGCTCTTCTCGACCAGAGAGTAAGTTCACAGCTTACATAGCATCTCAGGGTGTTTTCCATGCCCGAGGTTCAAGGAACTCACCTCTTTATTGTTCAATTCTACCCTCTTCTAGATCTCTTATGTCTCTTGACGAAGAAGTCCCCTTCACCGCACAAGAGTGTCTCCAGTTCTCCACTATCAGATGAACATACTAGCCCCTTTCTCTGTTGTTGCCTTGTATCAATATGTAAAATAAAAAAAAAGTGAAAGGAATGTACGATCCGCATCTGTCCCGGCGAGGCCAGTACTTGGGCACCGAGTCATTAAAGACCGACGTTGATCTATTCTCTCCTCGAATGAATGTCAATCTCTCGAGACTCGCATTGAACTTTTCACTCCCCCCACACCATCAACTTGATCACCTCACTCTCTTTATTCTCTTTTTGCCGAAAAAAAAGTGATCTAGCTGTTTTACACTTTTGAGGAAAAAAGTCAAAACTCGCCAGGTCGTATCGACAAAAAGGAAGTGAAGGAGATGAGGACGGAAGCTGAAGGGTAGAGGAATTACAATGGTCAAGAGAGAGAGATCCCTCTTCAGCCCCTGGGCCATGGTGGTGTGAAGGCGCAGAGGTTGAGGGGAGGGGAGAAGGATAAAGAGTGAGAAGAGAGCAGTCGAACGATTCCAAATTTATTACTGGCTCAAGAAGGAGAGAAGGAGGGCGAAAAGGGTCTACATGATTAGGCATTTGGCGTCTTTGCCTTTGCTTGGAATAATAGCAACGGCATTCACTTTCATCTTCTCGAGGACGGACGGTTGGGGGCGGATCGGGTGCTTGCACTTTGCAATACCAACACGTTCCTGACCAAGATCGAAAATACACTACAATGGAGTAAGAAAGAGAAAGTCAACGTCAGAACGATCAACGAAAAACAAATTGGAGTAAAGGAAGTCCATGCTGCCTGATACCTACATAGTTCTGCTTGATGAATACGTCTCCGAGGATCCACGCCGTCTATTGTACCAGGTATCAAAGTATCTGCGTTAGTAGCAGGTTCAATCGACCAACACCTCACTGTGGTTCAGGCATACACACAAAAGCATCGACACCACTTACAATCCTATCACTGCTGGCGATGCCGGAGAAGACGAACCCCTCCTTGCCTTCCACGTCCTCTCGCATAAGATCCTTCATAATCACATTAAACTTTGTCCCATTGAGCAAAAGCTGAAATCCTGGCAAGTTGGCGACCTCAGGAGTGTTGGGGACAATCCAGCCATTATTATCGTCATAGTAGGAGCCGGGAATTTGGCTGTGAATCGCCTTTGCGACATCTGTAGGGAGGATCACCAGTGTCGTGCCTGGAGTTGGGTATAGCCAGATAGTTGTTAGAGGGACGGCCTCGATGAAATCTAGCGCAATGCATGACACACAAGAAAGAAGTAAGAGAAGTAATGACTTACCAGTGTCTACGATCACGTCTGAGGTCAGCTGGAGATCCACATCTCCAAAGAAAAGTCCATCGCACTTGATCTGCCAGTACCTCTTGACAGTGACAGGACACCATATCAGTTCACCATCGATTCTTTCCGGGTCGTAGCTTCCAAATCGATATTCTATTAGGACGAGCAATATTGGGCTGGTATATGAGTATTTGGTTGGCAATGGTGTTCAGTTGCGAATACAACAAGGAACAAGCGGCCTTACCTCCTCCACCTCCTTCAGTACTTCGTCCTAGCCAAACACTAAACGCCATCAAAAAACGATATCAGCATACATTGTTTCAATGTAGGGTCAATGCAGGATGCAACTACAAGCGTGTGTAGTACCTGAAAATAGGCGACTGGATTAAGTTCTGTTTGATCATATTGTCCATGGGTGTCAGCGTCCCAGGCATGCTGCTGATAGAGTTAAAGCCCAAGCCCAAGATCCCGTCAATGACATCATTGCTGAACGACATGGACTGCGCTGTTGCCAATCCAATGACCTGATCCTCAATCACCAACCCACCAAGGTTGACGCGATCCTGTCCGAGGAATCCCTTCACCGCCGAGCCATCTCCATAACTGTGCGGTGAGTTTGTGTGCAGTTGCAAGAGAAAGGAGGTAGAGAGATCGTGAACGAAAGGAGAGAAGAACGAAAAGAGCAGAAACAGGAAGAAGTGTGGTAGGAGACATTATTAATAGTTAGTTATCGTTTCCCCCGATTGAAAGAGAGAGGAGTAACGGCGCCCAATAGTAACATTGAGCAAGGACACAAAGAAAAAAAAAAGCGTAAAGAAAGCCCCTCCTCTCCTACGTACGAGATTTGGAATTTGCCAGCGACGGGTTTGTATGTGGTCGAGTTTGCCTTGACGAACCGGCGACGACGGGTCCTGCAGGTAATATCTGCCACCCACAGGTCACTGCTTCCAGTATCGAGGTCTAGTCGGAACTTTTGCATGTTGGACCCAATCTCGACTACATTGTGTTGGAAAGGTGTGTGTCAGCACAAGAGCAACACTACCACAAAGTCTCGATGTCCTGCACTGGCTGCAACCAAGAAACTCACCCTCAGCATAGTACTGCACATCGCGAGCGACGTCTGTCAGGGCTTCATAGTAAAGTGGAGTGTTGGCAGCCGAGGTCTTTGGGTCGAGTTCTTTCAATCGACTGAGGAATCCCTTTTTTGCTTTTGGTTTTGGTTCTTCATGCTTTGCTGTGGCGTGCTTGACCGATTCTGGTGTCCTGACTGTAAAGTTGGGGTTGTATGTCAACTGAAACCTATCGAGTTTGATTGGGAGACAGAGATCAGATTAAGTCTGCATGTATTTCGTTCTCCTGAAAGACATATTCGTGGCGATGTAGCCGCTGGGGTCCTTACGAGAGAACCTTCTCCTGCTCTTCAGACATTCTGGGTTTGATGGCGAGTACAAGGAGTGGCGGGTATATCGATGGGAATGAAAAAAAGAAGCTGTCGTTTAGGGAAGCGAGAGAGAAAGTGAGGAAGTGGAGAAGAGGCAAAAAGAAAAGAAAGTAGAAAAGACTAAAAAATCGGACATGATCAGGAATTAAACATTTTTGACAGGGGCTTCGCGCAGGTGCGCGTGGGGGTCAAACAATTGCTGTCAGGTCATATTTCACACGACAGCGAAATAGGAGGCATCACAGTCCACATGATGGCACAACGTCCTTGACTCTCTCCTTTACCCACAATCACTAGCCACCGCTTGTCGAGAATAACTAAGGGGTGGGGGTAGAAGGGATATGCAAGCATGATCAAAGCAAGGCGCACTACACTAAAAAAAAGGTACAAGTATGCTTCTCGATCGTGTTAAATGCATGCGTGTGTTATTGGGTGGCAAGCTCTCCTGTTATAGAAGAACTCGTAATATGATGAAAAAAAAGTGAAACGAGAAAGAAAATAGGAAAAAATGCTCTAGACTAAAGTCTTTGTTGGTGTTTATGCCTCAGCACGCTCAGTCATATCCTGGACTTTGTGAATCTTCATCTGATTATCTTCACCACCCGACAAGAGAATATCGTTGCTCCAGTCAATGCTAAAGACCTTCTTGGAGGCCTTTCCGTGAGACAAGGTATAAAGGGCACCCTTGGCACGGATATCCCACACCTTGATCAAACCATCGTAGGATCCACTTGCCAACATGTACGACGACGAAGGCGACCACGAAACAGAGGTCACCCAGTTCTGGTGTCCGCTCAGAGTCTGCTTCACAACCGACGAATCTTCCGAGCGAGGGTCCCAAAGGCGAATAACGGGGTCGGCATGACCAGAGGCCAAAAGTCCAGAATGCTGAGAGTAGTCCAGAGCGTGAACAACCTTTTCGCAGTTCTAATGGTAAAAATGAACACATATTGGGCGAGTGAGTCTGAAGTTCCAGCATTCTTTTCGTCCACGAATGAGCTTGAGTTAATTTCGTCCAACAGGTATAGTCCGTACCTTGGTAGTGATGTTGACGCTGTTCTCAATATCCCAGACGCGAACAGAGTGGTCCCATCCACCACTGTAAAGGGTATCTGCTGATGTGGGACTGAAGGTGACTGCCGAAACGGGTCCAGTATGTGCGTTGAGAGAAGAGATAGGTGCCTAGTAGATGTAATAACGGACAGGTTAGCAACCAACTACTCAGAACAAAACGCCAGCCTTGCCTCTTGCATCATTTGGGTCGCTTGCCTTCAAGACTCTGTCTTCCTTGACGGTTTTCCTCTTCTTGCGGGTCTCAGTGACATCCTCGATATGGTCGCTGACAGTGGGGATGATGGTGGTCCAGATCTTGATAGTGGCATCTGTTGATCCAGAAGCAAACTTGTCTCCAGTAGCGTTCAAAGAGATGCTCTCGACTCCTCCAGTGTGTCCTCTGCACTCGTACAAAACCGAGTGGCTGTTATCGGAGTGGCTGTACTCCCATGCCAAAATAGATCTGTCCAATGCTCCCGAAAGCAAAGTGCCGTTATCGCCTAAGTTTGTGGAAGCGGTAGGGTCCTGGTTAGACGCAACGTTATGTGTGATCAATACAACTGATCTCATGTTGTTCATAGTACATGATAAAGGACCAAATGTGATTACCATCGGACGTGAGCCATTGAACGGCCTTGACGGCTCCGTTGTGTCCTGTCAAGATCTGGGTGCACTCTGCCTGCTTGTTCCAGAGACGAACGTGGTTGTCGTACGATCCAGTCAAGAATCCTCCAAGGCGGTGTGCCTGAACAGCGCTGACCCAGTCGTCGTGCTCGTACGAAGACAGAGGGGTAGGGGGGAGCATGGACTCGACGTACTCGACCGTCAAAACGTTCTCAGTCGACATGTTCTTCTCCTCCAGGTACTCTGCCAATGAGGTCCTCAAGAACTCGCCCTCAATCAAAAAGTCAAAAGGCCTCTGCTTCTCTAGAAAGTTGTCAGGTATAAGAGGGATCAATTGTTAGTCTTTCCTGTTCGGTAAAGCGACTGTACATCATCATCGCAGACTGGGAACTTGGTCCTCCTTGGCGAGGGCCGAGGGGATGAGTGGGATAGACGCACCTCCTTCGTTCTGGAGAACAAGGTTGATAATTTGCGAGAGTCCATAGCGTCTGAGACGAGCGGGAGTCTGAATGGCGGTTTCGGGGATGGCGAACTGTCTCTGCTGAGTGATGAATTTGACCTGGACCTGAGGTCCTTCTGCGATGGCGTCCATGGTTGGTTATGTAGATTAAGAGGGTAGTTGTAGTAAGGGATGTAAAGGAATTGTCAAACAGTCGCTTGATGCCGTGTTATTGTCGAACAGTCTGTCAATAGGGTCAAAAAAAAAAAAAAAAAAAAGAAAGTTGCTTGCATGACTGCTTTATGGGGAAAAGCCACAAAGACAACAAAATTATGCTAATTGACTTCTAGGCCTTGCACCGCTCCAGAACGCGTTCGATCCGGTCAACCACACACTTGCGACCTAGCGTAGACAGGGTCTCCGGAACTCCAGCGCCGACCTAAGAGGAAAAATATTAGTTACGACAGTTAGAGACAGATGATTCCGTGCTGTAGATTGGGAATAATAGGGGACTTCATGTGGGGCAAGGCTAACCTTAACACCTGAGACAGTGTATCTGAGGGCGTTCATGACAACAGGCAGTTTCAACTTGTGTTCGTCCGCAGTGTCCTTGAGGATCTGCTTGGCCTCCTCCTTCTCTAATGGCATATCGCTCTTAGACTTGAGCTCAGACAACGCCTTGGGAAGCACTTTCAAGAGCGTGTCAGTCCCGACCTTAGATAAGTAAGCAACAGATTCTTCGGAGGTGTATGTTGGGTTCTTGAAGTAGTATCCGCACAATGTAGGAACGTCGTAGACATTCTTGATCCGCTCTTTCAAAGTATCAATGACTTGTCCAATATACTCGTCAGTGTGCTCCTTCTCCAATGGTCCTAGATCGGCCTCAATCTTGGGGCGAACCATAGCTGCCATGTCCAGCAGTCCCTCCTTAGTCTCTGCTCTCCGATTAAGATGCATTTTGTTGATCCAATCCAGCTTTTCCCGCAACACCACAGCGTTCGACTGCTGAATGTTCTTTAGCGAGAACTACAACGAAAGAATATAGATTGTGGGGAAGTGGTTAGAGATGCGGATCAAATTAACACTGCCAGTGATCAACAGGTCGGCGAGGGTTAATTTACAGCTTTCGTCAACCCATCCAAGTCGAAGATCTCCTCAGTCGAGCCCGGGTGCCAGCCGAGAAGCGCGACAAAGTTAACGACCGCCTCAGGGAAGTAACCCTTGTCCTACAAGTTCAAAAGGCGTTTGGCATCGTTAGTGCGTGTTCCTTGTCTCGGCAATCGAATGCCCAATACAAACTAAGAGAAGTACCCTGTAGTCCTCGACGTTGACATCTCCTGATCGCTTCGACAACTTGGACTTGTCCGGGTTGAGCAATAAGGGCACATGGGCGAACGAGGGTTCCTTCCATCCGAACATGTTGTACAGAATAACGTGCTTCGGTGCTGACGGGAGCCATTCCTATAAGGTAGTTGTGACACAGATTGCGAATGTTGAGTTACTTGTTCAATGGTAGAGTCAATTGTTCATGTGTCCGTGCATCCCGTCAACTTACTTGGCCGCGGATGACATGTGTGATGCCCATGAGATGGTCGTCTACCACATTGGCGAGGTGATAAGTCGGGAAGCCATCGCTTTTCATCAAAACCGAGTCGTCAACCTCCTTGTTCATGAACTCGACTTTCCCATGAACCTTGTCGTGAACAACCGTCTTTCCATCCGGGATCTATCCACGGCAGACTGTGCATTAGCCATTGTATAATAGGAGTAAAGATTCCGCAGATACGCTACAACGAACCTTACTGCCATACCTTCATCCTGATGACATATGATTCTCCCTTTTCTGCACGTTCCTGTGATTCCTGTTTGCTTAGGTTAGAGCACTTGCGGTCGTAGGACGCCGTTCTTCCCGACTTTTGTGCCTCAAGGCGAACCAAGGAGAGGCGTTCCGGCGAACAAAAGCAGCGATAAGCATGATCGTGTTCGACAAGGGTTTCTGCGTGTTTCTTATACAGTTCAAGGCGTTTGGACTATTAAGGTGAAAAAAGAAGGTAACTTTTGCGTAAGGTCTTCCATGTCATGTGGATCCACGTCGCGATCAATTGTCGGCGCCAATTGGTTTACTTACTTGTTGATATGGCTCGTGAGGCCCTCCAATACCAGGACCTTCATCAAACTTGACGCCAGCCCAATCCAGTGCCCTGATAAGACTCTCTGTTGCTCCGGGGACATATCGCGTCTAGAATGGGAAGTTCTTCGGTCAGATTAAACGTCAATGAATGAAAGAAACACATGGTGATATGAATGAAATAAAGATTATGTACCTGATCGGTATCCTCAATACGAAGAATGCATTTTCCACCATCCTGGCGAGCAAGCAATGAGTTGTAGAGTGCTGTGCGAAGACCTCCGAGGTGAAGGTATCCTGTAGGCGAGGGTGCAAAGCGGACGCGGGTTGTCGGGGAGGCTTCGCCCAGGGTAGTTGTTGGTGGCGAACTTTGTTGAGTAGTAAACCGACAATTGCGGCAGACGGCATTCGCATTCCATCTCAATGGCTGCCCCGCTGGCCGAGAAAGGAGAGCATGTCCTGTCCGTGTGAAGAGTCGGTACCGTTGAGCGAGCATGGACTGAATGAGAGATGTAGGAGGGAATGAGGTGTGAATTCCAGGCACGATTCTGTCCTTTTCTTATTTTTTTACTTGTTCGGTTCCGAACAAAAGCAGTCATTTAGGCTTCCTAGCAGTGCCTGAAATCGTGCTGGTTCATGCTAATACACATCCAACATTTTTCCTTTGCACACACAAATACACGCACTAATGCCTCGTATTCCTCTGAACGTTGCTTCTTCATTGCCTCGCACGCTAGGAAAGCCTCCAAAGTCAATACCTTTAGACTTTAGCCCAACAGATGCTGACGCTCGTTCTCTCTTTCGAACACTCTGGCGGGTAGGGAGTCTCTCGGTGATGTATACAAACCCTGGGCGGGATGTCATTCGGCAAAAGATACGCGAAGGGTTTGAGGAGTCTCGTCGACAACCTGCGACAAGTGAGGACGATATCAGGCAGCAATGGGAGCGAGGTATGTCGAACTTGCCAATTCGCACTGAAGAGTTACCGCCGAGAGCGACTGTTTGCTGAAATTGGCTCTACTTGCTCACCCTCTTTACCACTTAAGCGTTGAACACTCGGTATTTCTTTGAGATTGCAACGACGCGGTTTGGGGTCGAGCACTCCGTGATAAGTAACCTGACCAGAATCGCCGCAGAGAACAGCCAAGGGTATGTTATTAAAGGGGGATGGGGGATTATTATATGATAGCGAACCCTTTGATGTCACTCTGGCACTCTGGCTTCATAATCTAACCATTGTGACATATAAATCCTTTTTCTTGATATCCCATAGAACATCGCGTGTCATGAAGCCCCAGATGCGCAAACTCAAGCAAGAGACGCTGGCTGAATACAGGAGCATCGTGCACTCCATGAATGAATCCCTTGGGTTGAGCCTTCGCTGTTGATTTAGTGGCTTGAATTAGAAGCAGTCACTCGCCTCAAAAAAAAAAAAAGAAAGAGAGCAACAAATAAACTTACACCCAGCTAAAGTATTGAATCAGTTTCTCACCCTCAGTCCGACTTTTTACTCATCAACAAACATCATGGCCAAAGGAAAGGGACAAAGCAAGAAGCGCCCTGCCGTCGAAAAGAAGTACGATGGCGGAGGAAGCAGAGTGAACGCCGCAAAAACCTGGGACGACATGGAGCACGATTCCGAGGATGACTGTAAGTTCCCTACTGTTCATATTGTTTGTCACGTTATTTTCTCTACTTTGCTTTGTATAACATTACCTGACACAATGTCCCTCGACTTGGCGAACACTCACAGTCCATGATAGCCGAGGCTCCGTGCTTTTGGATCACGAGAAGGACCTTGAGCGCCGTCAACTTGATGAATACGAGGACAGCGAGGAGGAAGTCTTTGGTCTGGAGGACGGCGAGGACGAGGAGGAGGACGAGGACGACCTGGGTGATCTCGACGACGACTTTGGAGGCACCAAAGACGAGGACGACGAATTGGATCTCGACAGTAAGTCAGCATGCTCTTACGGCTGCAGCCTGCTTTGTATTCAGAAGATTTTAGTTCTAATCCTTTTTGTTTGACGATGTATCATTCCGATTTGAATAGAGACATCCTGGGGTAAGAGCAAGCGCAGTTACTATAATGCAGAGGAGGTCGAGTCGGACGAGGAGACTGCCAAGGCCGAGGAGGAGGAAGCCCTGAGATTGCAAAAGAAGCGTCTGGCCGACATGTCTGAGGAGGATTTCGCACCCGAGGAGGATGAGACTGCCTGGGGTGCCGCTGCTGGACGGGGTATTTTGGGCGACAAGGACGCTGATCGTGCTCTTGTCGAGGGCTTTGAGAAGGAGCTCCAGGGAATCGACCTGTTGAAGGCCAAGCAGGGAGGAGTCATTGTTGAGAAGATTGCCAAGGCAGGAATCAGCAAATTGTCCAAGCAGGAGATTCTGAAGGTGCTCCAGAACCAGAGCCCCGAGTTGCTGGATTTGGTCGAGGAGTTCAAGGAGAAAGTCGAGATTTTGCAGGCCATCGCTGAGCTTCTGCAGTTAACCAGTGCATTGCCCAAGCCCGTTCCTGAGGACCAGCCACCCATGCCATTCCTTCGTCTGAAGTACCAGACTCTTATCAACTACCTCACCAACATCGCCTTTTACATCACTCTCAAGACTTCGCCCGACTCTGGCGCTACCGACCTCACCAACCACCCTGTTATTGACGCTCTTTACGAATTGAAGAAGTCGATCGCCAAGCTGGAGAAGATGGAGAAGAAGAAGGCTGTTAGCGAAAGCATGGAGGATCTTCTGGAGTTCTTGGAGGCTGGTGGCGAATCAGACGGCGACGAGCAGGATGAGGACGAGGAGGAGGAGGAGGAAAGACTCCGTTTGGAGCAGGAGGCAAAGGCCGCTAAGAAGGCGGCCAAGAATGCCGGTAAGAGCAAGAAGGAGAAGGCTGTCAAGGAGTCAGCCAAGTCGAAGAAGGCATTCGAGTATGATGTCGAGCTCGAGGACGAATTCGTGTCGCATAACAAAAAGTCAAAGAAGAGCGCAAAGTCAATATCGACGGACAAGAAGCGTGCTCGCTTGGAAAGTGACTACGGTGATCTGGACGAGTTGTTGGATGTCGACTTGGAGGACAAGGCACAGAAGAAGAGGTCGCTCCGTGATTATATTTCCAAGATTGACCAGAGCGCTAACAAGCGGTCCAAGATTCTTCGTGGCTCTGGTGATACCGATATTCCATACCGCGAGAAGTTCAAGGAGCGTCAGGAGCAACTCAAGAGACAGGCCGTCAAGAGTGCACCTGCTCCCGAGAACGTTGAGCTGGATGACTTGGAGTGGTCTGCCAAAGATTTGGCTGACGCCCGCCGCGTTGATGGAGATAACGACGACGATGTCTTTAGCGGAGACGAAAACGCAGGAGCAAGAGGACGCGGCGGTAAGGGATCGGAGGCTGAAGACTTTTACCAGGAAGTTATCGATGCCAAGGAAGCCAAGAAGGCCGCCCGCAGAGCCCTTAACGAGAACCTCGAGCAAAGGTGGGTTTCCTTTTGGTATTGTCAATTCGGTATTTTGATTTCATTGCTGAGGATTGTCATAAGTGCTAACGCTTTAAATTGCCCGTTTTATGTTTATGTTTTTAATAGCACGTCATTCGAAGATACCAGCATGGACCCCAACGACAAGCGTTCGATTTCGTGGCAGATTCTCAAGAACAAGGGTCTTACGCCTCATCGCAAGAAGGAGCAGCGCAACCCAAGAGTCAAGCACAGGAACAAGTACGAGGCGGCCAAGAAGAAGATCAAGTCTGTCAAGCGGGTGTTTACCCGTCTCGAGGGAGCGTACGGAGGCGAGAAGACTGGTATCAAGACAGGTCTTGCTCGCAGTGTCAAGTTCAACTAGGACTAGAAAAGATATTCACTACTACCACCCATGCATTATCATTCATAAAAACCTGCATCTTACACATCATCACGTGCGATTCTTTCCACTCATTCCCCCCATCTCGATCTCAGGTCTCAGGGCCTCAGGGCAGACCGGCCAACCAAGGTGTCTCACCAAAACTTCCTTTTTGTGCAATATGCCAGAACAGGCAAAAAAAACATGGCCTTTGTGTGTTTGTGGTTCTCCGCCCGACTCTTTTTTTTTCCTGTTCTTTTTTTTCTTTCTATCCCTTCTCCCTTCTCCCTTCTCCCTTCTTCCTTCTTCCTTCTTCCCTCTCCCTTCGTCCTTCGCCCTCTCCCTACTCTTCTTTCTTTTTATCATATCACCACGACGAGGAAGCAAGCCGCATACACACACTCTCTCTCTTCGACAGTTCACCTGTAAGCTCACCCTCCGATCCAGGGACACTTTTTTTTGACTCAAGTGCAAGGACTGGCTCATGGTCTGAATGACTCAAACCCGCATGGAAAAAAAAATAATATACAAAAACCAACACAGACAGAGGAGCTCGTTGACCCTTGTCTCTTTCCTTAATCGCTGGCTCTGTGTCATAATCGAATCTCTCTCGGGATCACCATTACACACTCGATCCACCCCCCTCACTCCACTTTCCTGCTACTGTCCCTGCTTCACAGCTCACATAGACCTTCAGCTCCGGAATCTGATTCTTTAAGACCGCCATGAACGACCTTATTCCTCTCGTCAACAAGCTCCAGGATGTCTTCAACACCATCGGAAGCGACCAGATCGACTTGCCTCAGATCGTCGTCGTTGGATCCCAGTCCTCTGGAAAGTCGTCTGTCCTGGAGACCATTGTTCAAAAGGACTTTCTCCCCAGAGGCAATGGTGTCGTCACTCGCCGCCCTCTCGTCCTCCAACTCGTCAACACTCATCTCGGATCGATGGGACATTCGTCGGTCTCGTCTGACGGTACCCCGAACGAGGCCCCCGACCGTGCAGAGTTCCTTCACTTGCCCAACAAGCAATTTTTTGACTTTGAGGAGGTCCGGAAGGAGATTGAGGCTGAAACGGCGCGTGTGGCTGGCCAGAACAAGGCCATATCCAGGACACCTATCCACCTGAAGATCTTTTCGAAGAATGTCCTCAACCTGACCCTTGTTGACTTGCCAGGAGTGACCAAGGTACGAGAATGCCGTGTTTTCTATACTTTTCGGGGTTCCCTTTTGAGCCTTGCCCTCTCACCTTCTTGTATTCATGGACCCTTGATGAGTATGAGTGACATGGTTTGCTGACAATGTCCTCTTTTTTCTATGACCTCCTTTTAGATTCCCGTTGGTATGTCGGACATGCTGCAATCGAAACAGATTGATATTCTCTCTCTATCTTTTTTTTTGTTGTTGCTTGTGCATGGTGCTTGCCCATGAAATCTCTCTGGCTAACAGAGTGACTGACTGATGGACTGACTGTATTATCATGGACTGTTGTTTGGAAACGGAATACATAGGCGATCAACCCACCGACATCGAAAAGCAGACACGCAACCTGATTCTGGACTACATTCTCAAACCCAACAGGTAAACCTCACACCTCTGGAGACACAGTACTTGGTACACAGCAAGGACCGGTGACAACAATATGATTCTAACCTTAAGACAACCTAATGACAATCCCTCAACCATTGTATAGTGTCATTCTTGCCGTGTCACCAGCTAACGTCGATCTCGCCAACTCAGACAGTCTTAAACTTGCTCGTCAGGTCGATCCCGAGGCAAAGCGCACCATCGGTGTCTTGACAAAGCTGGATCTTATGGACGCAGGAACCAACTCACTCGACATTCTCTCCGGAAGAGCCTACCCTCTCAGGCTCGGATTTATCGGAGTTGTCAACAGAAGTCAGGCCGATATTCAAGTCAACAAGCCCATGGCCGATGCCTTCAAGAGCGAAACGGAGTTCTTCCAGAACCACCCAGCCTACCGCGCCATTGCCCACCGCTGCGGTACCAACTTTTTAGCCAAGACTCTGAACACGGTACGTTGGTCAACAAAAAAGTACCCTGCTCGTATGTACCCATTGCCTTGAAAGAGCGACTTGTCAATTAGTTCTGCAATTGCTCACGCGCGCTTATTATATTTGATTTTCATGGCTCTAGATTTTGATGAACCACATTCGCGACAAGCTCCCCGATATTAAGGCCAAGCTGAACTCGTTGATCGGGCAGACTCAGCAAGAATTGACTTCCTATGGTGACCCAACCTTCACCGGCAAAGCTCACAGAGTACGTTTGGCAGAAGAATGTGCTTTCCATTTGATACAGAAAGTAGTGCTTGAAAAATATTGGTTTCTTACTTTTCTCCCTTTGAATGTAATAGGGTTCGTTGATCTTGCAACTGTTGACCAAATTCGCCAGCGACTTTGTTGCTGCCATTGACGGAACATCGGCCGAAATCTCTACAAAGGAGTTGTGCGGAGGCGCCAGGATCTACTACATCTTCAACAACGTCTTTGGCGCTGCCTTGGACTCTGTGAACCCTTGCGAGAACTTGAGCGTTCAGGATATTCGTACTGCTATCCGTAACTCGACCGGTCCCCGCCCCTCTCTCTTTGTCCCCGAGATCGCCTTTGATCTCTTGGTCAAGCCCCAGATCAAGCTACTCGAGCCCCCAAGTTTGCGATGCGTTGAGCTCGCATATGAGGAGCTTGTCAAGATCTGCCACAACTGCGGAGGAAAGGTAATATTACAAGGAAGATTTGACTGTATTCATATCCACATTGGCCGTAGAATTTGTTGGCAACATGCTGACGATGCACATTTTCATACGTATTAGGACCTTTCGCGATTCCCCAGATTCCACGCCAAGTTGATTGAGGTTGTCTCCGATCTTCTCCGAGAGCGTTTGGGACCTACATCCGACTATGTTGAGAGCTTGATCAGCATTCAGAGATCCTACATCAACACCAATCACCCCGACTTTATTGGCGGCGGTGGCGCCATGTCTGCCCTCGAGAGAGCCTCCCAGAAGAAGAAGAAGGATGTCGACAGGACCCGGAGGTTGAGCGCCGTCAACATGGCTCTTGCAGGAAATGGTAGCGACTCGCCTGCTAGGGAGGAGAACCCTGAGAAGCCATTGTCGAGCGCTATGGCCAACTTGAGCGTTCACCAGGCTGCCGAGCGTGCTGACCGTGAGCGTGAGCGTGAGAGACTCAACCATGTCAGCCAGCACGGAGGGCCCAACAACATCTCTACTTCATCTGTGAACGGATCTCCTCATGGACCTAATAGTGGAAGTAAGGACACTTTCATGAACTACTTCTTCGGAGGCCAGCAGCAGCGCAACGACCGCCCTATCCTTCAGGAGAGTACTCACCGGTCGGGCAACGTTCACAATGTTGCCAAGGAGATGGTCATGCCCAAGACTGTCTTGGATGGCGAGCCACTCGTCTTTGACAAGAAGATGGACTATATGACCGATTCTGAAGAGTTCTCTGGTCTTAACGAGCGCGAGGACATGGAGACCCAGCTCATTCGTAAGTGCTATCATTCAGCTTTCAGGTTATATGTTATCGGATGATACATTCTCATAAATACTAACATACATGCTTATCCATGTTTCATTTAGGCTCGTTGATCACATCGTACTTCAACATCACCCGTAAATCGATCCAGGACTTGGTCCCTAAGGCGGTTATGCATTTGCTTGTCAACTACTCTCGCGAGGCTGTCCAGAACCGTCTCGTTGCCACTCTTTACAAGGAGGAGCTGTTTAACGATCTGCTCCAGGAGGACGATAACCTCTGTGCGGAGCGCGCAAAGTGCAAGGCGATGCTCGATGTCTTTAAGAACGCCTTTACGATCATTAATGAGGCCATGTAGAGAGCAGGGGACACCTACATCCATCCTGCCTTGCCTATTTTTTTTTCTTCAATTCCTTTTGCTTGCTTGTTTTCCCTCTCCTTGTCATTCATCACATAAACATACACATAAAGTTCATTCATTCTTCAAAGCAGTACTGTTATTTCTGATTGCTATGGTCTGATATGGTGTCACCGTGTATGTTGAAGGACTCTAGTGAAGCGTCGCCTCTGACCCAGTTCTGAAAAACTCCAGCAAACAACAATTGTTTGGCTTTAGTGAAATCTGTATCCAGTCTCTTCCATTCATGATAGGTAATACTCGTTGGTCCTGGCTCGTCTGATGAACTAGCGTCTGTTTTCGACATCATAGACTGGACAAGCGGAGGCTGCGGTGAAATAGACCTCCACAAGGCGACGCTGCTTTCAAACATGTTGATCTTGCAGAGTCGACTCCTTGACTTTGGCTGGATTTGCTTTTTGACAGACGCGCCGGCTTTGCAGCCATTGATGAGGACCTCTGTCAACTGAGGCTCTGAAGCTACCCATGACAAACCTACAGTTCAACAAGGAAGGCCAGTCAGATTTGATGGATGGCCACTTCTTGATATGATATAATGGTCAATCAGTAGACAGTTACGGGGATTTAATACGTACTGGAGGCGCATGCAACTGGTGCAGAGGTGATGCCTTCTTGTTCGCTTTGCTTTGAGACGGCCTCTTTACCGAATTCGAATGCGATCTCGCTCTTGTGCACGCTGATTTCGCGTGGGTGGATTGTTGCAGAGGTGGTCGATAGTTCATCAGTTCTTGAGTCGGTGATGTGGTCCGTGCGCCGCCGACAATCCTGAATCCTCCTAAACAAGGCTCTTTCCAGCGCCTCCGCATCGAACAGCTCCTTCGTGACAACGGACTCGAGATAGATGGGCTTCTTCAGAAACGGCATCACCAAGGCAGAGCTGAGTCCCAGAATGTTCCAGCGCGTAATCTTGTCGCTACAGGACATGGAGAGCGTCGGTTCCGAGTCAACTCTGCCAGGTTTTGTTCGTAACACGCCAACAGAGTCGTAATCGATTCGGCCACGTCGGAAACCGAGAACTTGATCGCTGCATACCAGCTGCTGATCCTTCTGCACCCCGGACTTGTTCGTTGTATGGCTTTTGGCTGCAGCAGTGGTGCTGGTGCTATCACGCTTTTGCAGTTTTGTAGAAGGTGCAGCAGTCTCAGTTGGTTCGACCAGTGCTTCCGATTCCCGCCTGCGTTTTGATCCGGTGACTGGTGAAGCCCTCAGATCCTGATCTCCTGCTGCTGTAGGTTCCTGCGCAGCTGACTTTGGTCGCCTCTGCTGCCCTGCCATGAATGCGTTCCTGGATTCTTCGCTCTGTGTCAGCGCCAAGCTAGCAGTCGTAGCATCTCCACCTTAACGTACGAGGCGATGATAGAACAGTTAGTTGAGAACGCCTCTAGTGCAAGAGGTGATCATTGCGCGTCGCGTGTTGGGCTATGCCTTACATGGTGCTTGGCTGACGTAAAGATGGAATTGAGTTCCCGCGTGGGTTAATTCGAAGAGAGGCGAGTTCTCCTGTTGCACGTCATGGCTACGGGCACCCAGATACTTGAAATTTTTCTTGAAGTTATTAAATTCCTGTACACTCCTCTGCATCTCGTGCAAGCACCACCTATCAAAGAGATATTGGTAGTTAAGAGTTAGAGTCAAAAGCAGATAGTCACCAACAACGACAAAGTATAAGAATTGAAAAAGTACTTGTTGAATCCTCGACGAGCTAGGACTTCGGCGTGGCAGTCATTGAGCAAGTCGCCTCGGGGACTCTGTTTCCCTTGCGGCAAGCATTTACTTCCTGTCCTATGAAATGTTCATAATTTCCGTTAGACGCGTTCAAATGGCGAAGTGACCGCATACGTGATGGCTTCTCATAAATAAGTAAAACCAACTTTTTCAACAAACACGACCTACGCCAATGATATGCATTCAATCTCCCAGAGCGCATCCGTTTGGAGGCTCTCTTTGTTATTCTCTGTGCCAGTTGTAGTAGTGGTGTGCTGATCTTTGACAGGAGTAGCCATGACTATGCCTGCGAGAATTGTCCATTCAGCTTGGCCATTGTTTCTGTTGGCTGGTTTCCCATTCTTGGGTAGCTTGCCGAACTGGGCGTGACATTCCCGGACGATGTTGTCAGCCAGGTCGTAAGTTGTAGAGGTTCGCATGGTGAAGAAGAAGGAGGGGGTGAGGTTTAAGTCCAGCAGAAAAGTGCCTGAAAAGAAACTTGATCAGGTGCACGTGACTATTCCACCCTCCAAGAAAAAGCCACTCCTTCTCTCAGGGACAGACAAAAAAAAGAGGGCGATCAACGAAACGACGACAAAGAAAAAATAAAGTCAATTGTTTTTGGGTTCTCCCTCAACAACGTTCTGTTCACAACTCCTCCATCCTTCTTTTGTTTGCTGCCCTTCTTGCAATCACAATCGGATCAGGAAGAAAGAAAAAAAAAAGATGCCCGAATCACACGCAACCCCTTCGACGACAGCGCCTCCCGCAGCAGCAGATGCTACTGAGACCAAGAGTCTCTGGACCGAGTACACTCATCAGGATGGTCGCAAGTACTATTACCACACAGTCACCAAACAGACCGTCTGGCAGAAGCCCGATGAGCTGAAGACACCCAAGGAGGTACCGTCGCCATACGAATAACGTTGGATAAAGGGAGGGAATTTTGCTGGTTGATAACACAGTTGTTGTACCGATCCACTAACAGGCCCTCTCCTTTGAACAATAGCTGGCTCTGGAGGCGTGTGTCTGGAAGGAGTACTCGACCCCCGAAGGCAAAAAGTACTATCACAATGCGAAATCCTCAGAGACTGTTTGGACTGCACCCGAGGAATACAAGACCCTCTTTGATGAACTCGCGGAAGAAACAAAGGCAAAGGAGAAGGCAGCGGCAGCGGCTACACCTGCTGCATCAGGAGCTGCCACAACATCGACGGCGACTTCGGCTTCGGCAACAGCAACTGCAGCTCCAACAACCGCATCAGTGGTGACACCGGCACCTGTGACAACACAAATGTCATCTCTCCCAGTTAGACCCATGACGCCCAACTCCTCTTCGACCGTCTCGATCCCCTCACCCCTGCGACACCAGGCGATCCCACCAGCATCTCACCAACACCAACACCAACAATCATCCCTCCCACCCCGCGATCTGAATGGACCTCCGTCGTTTATGCCGCATCAGAACCCCTCGTTCCGTCAACCTGCCTTTCATCACCAGCAAGGAGCACGTCCACCTCGTTTTCAGCAGTCGTTTGTCCCTCAGGAAAGCACCACGACTCGCGTCAGCGTTCGGGAAAGTGAAGTTAGCCAGACCCCAGAGTTTGCGACCAGACACGAAGCTGAAGAGGCATTTAAGGGACTGCTCAAGGAAACGGTATGTTGCCATGCCGCTAAATGATACCTTTTGCTATTTTGGTTGTTGCCTGTTGCCCACCGACTGACAATTTTTGTCAATGGATCGACTTGTCAACATATAGGGAGTGACATCAACATGGACATGGGAGCAGACAATGCGTGCAGTGGTCACCAACCCAATGTACCGAGCCCTGAAGACAACTGCAGAGCGCAAGACAGCCTTTCAGGAGTATGTCGACGATTGCCGGGTACAGGAGAGAAAGGAGGAGAAGGAACGCCAACAGAAGCAAAAGCAGGATTTGTTGGATCTTCTGAAATCGAGCGACAAGGTGACACATGCCAGTCGCTACACCACTATCTCTCGACTGTTTGCAGAGGAAGCGGCATTCAAGGCGATCGAGGACGACCGGCTTCGTTTCTCTATCTTTGACAGCTATGTTAGCGACTTGATCAGGCAGGAGAAGGAGGAGGCTCGCCAGAGGCGCAAGTCTGGCATGTCTGCTCTGCTATCGCTTTACCAATCCATGGAGGGGATCACGCTCTTGACGAGGTGGTCGCAGGCTCAGGAGATGTTGCAGGAGAATAGCGAGTTCAAGAATACTGAAGTTATGAGCGGACTCAACAAGGTCGACCAGCTCGCTGTTTTCGAGGATCATATCAAGCAACTCGAGAAGGAATATGATCAAAACCGAATTAAGGAACGTGTCTTGAGGAAGCGAACTGAGCGGAAGCGGCGAGAGGGATTCAAGGAACTCTTGTCAGAACTCAGGACCAGTGGACAGCTCAATGCCAAGAGCTGCTGGATGCAGATCCACCCCTTGATCAAGGATGATGCACGGTACACTAGCATATTGGGACAACCCGGATCAACACCCATGGAGCTGTTTTGGGATCTCATCGAGGATCTGGACGAGAGGTTATACCAGGATCGTAAAATGGTCCAGAACCTGCTGAGTGTATGTCTCCTTAATTGCTGTGCTGCTGTGAAATTGCTTGATACACCATGGACTTCTTAACCTGACTGATGATCATTTAATCTATTGACAACCGTAGAACATGGATTACCAAGTTCAGCCAGAGACTACCTTTGACGAGTTCCAGGCAGCGGTTTCAAAACAGGAGAAGGCCGCAGACATTCTGGCTGAGGATCTCAGGTTGATCTTTGAGCAGCTCTTGGGCAAGGCGATCCACCACAATAAGGAGGAGAAGCGGCGACAGGAGAAACTTGCGCGCAAGAAGGCCGAGTCGTTCAGGTTCATGCTCAAGAGCTTGGATCCTGCAGTCACTGTTGATTCTACCTGGGATGATGTGAAGGTCAAAGCCGAGTCGACATCTGAGTACACTGCACTTGAGACGGATGAGAAGAGGAAAGAGATCTTCGACCGGTACATCGAGCGCCTAAAGGTAAACAGCGGCGCCCTGGCTTAGAGGACATTGTATATATTTTTTGGATTGTTGGGCACTTTGTTTGAAAACATGAGCTCACCAAACGTCACTTCTAATAGGAGCGAGTTTCAAAGACGCACGACAGCGATGACGAAGACGGCTCGATTCTTGAAGATGATGCAGACTTGCAAAGTAGGCGATCTGGAGCCAGTGGAGCAAGTTCTGCAAGAGGAGGAACCTCAACCAGCAATAGCAACAAACTTCACCAAAGCGGCATCAGCAGTAGCAGTCGGAACTCCCATAACAACCATCACAACAACAACAGCAGCAGCAGTAGCAATCACCACGGCGATGGCTCGCGGAGGTCGAACCAGAGTTCACGCGATGTTGCATCGTCAGGATCTAAGCGGCCGCACCAAGGCGAAAAAGGATCTCGGAGTGGAGAACGAGGTGCAGTGGGATCAGGATCAGAGGATGAGTCTGAGAACCATGATCACCCATCCAAGGTACGAGTAGCCACATATATTCTTTTCTCACTTCTTCGAAAACGCATTTGCAACTTGCTCCGATTCAAATTACTGACATTCCATTTGTATCTTATGCGTGTTCTCCTTGTGGTCTAAAAAAAAAAAAAAAAATTACAGAAATCAAAACCTGGTGTCGAGGATAGTACGGAGGCTACTGAAAATGAGTCGACCAAAGATGTACCAATGAAGGACGCCAATGGTGAAGGCGAGGAAGCAAAAGAGACCACTTCTGCCAACTAATATGGAAGCTACTTCGCTCCTGACAAGAGAAAATAAAAAATAAAAAATAAAAAATCGAAAAGGGCATCACGCTCTCTTTCCCACCAAACAAAACTTCCTGTCCAAGCAAAACGAGGCGACATGTAAACGGTGGGAATTCAATTTTTTGAGATTTTTAATCGTTAATGTATGGTTAACTGGACAAAAAGAATGGGGAGGGTTTGTTCGGTTTCGGCGGACGAATGATTTTGAGATGAAAAGGGGGCGAAGTGGGGAGATGTAGTAAGAGAAAAACAAAAATGACAAAAAAAAACACAATAAGAAAAGAAACTGCAATGTTTTTCTGTCAGATTTAGGCCTTGTTGGAGGCAATCTTCTCGACCTGGCTGATGGACTCTTCGAGAATCTTGGCCTGGAGCTTGGGGTCCAAGAGATCGGCCTTGATCTTCTCGATCATGTAGGCGGCCAACTTGGACTGCTCGCGCTCACGGACGGAGGTCTCGTAGCGGACCCAGGAGTCGAGGACAGACTTGACCTCGGCGGTCATGGAGGTCTTCTGCTTGAGCTCAAAGGCCTCAGCCTCGAGCTTGGCGGTCTCCTTGGAAAGAGCGTAGAGAGCCTTAGTGACCTCGACAACATCCTTCATCTGACCGACCTGGTCAATGCGGTCCTCAACGGCGGCCTTGTGGTCGACGCGAGCCTTCTCGAGGACGGTGCGGATCTTGTTGATGTGGACATCAGCCCACTCGTTGAAGGGCTCGCGGGCAGCCTTGACGATACCGCCGAAGGTGGCAGCGAAGGCCATGAGGACCAAGGACTCCTCGTTGAAGACGTAGATCTCCTTGGAGATCAAGTAAGTGGCGGCACCAGCAATGGCGGTGACGTATCCAGTCTTGGAGATCAAAGAGTTGCCGGGGAGGGAGTCGATGATGCTCTGGGCCTTGGACTCGGGGGAGACCTGCTTCTCTGTTTTTGTTTTTGTTTGTTTGTTGGACGGAGATTGGTGGTTGGGAAGATGTGCATAGAAAGGGGAGAAGATATCGAAAACGACTCTTGTCAATATCCAAATTGATCAATTGAAAATTATTCAATGGTAACTATCCAGGTTGGTGGCGATATATCATCTCCAGTTCTCCAGATTTCAGGTACGGCACTCGTCCTCATACCAACCCGTTTTGTCGATATATGTTTGTTGGTCGATAAAGGGAGTATTGTCGATATTGGTACATGCATGGTTTCCTGAAGTCGCGATCCATAACTCCTGATATCTCCAAATCCAGGCTGTAACAGGTGAAAGGACGACGAAAGGGTGAAGCTGCTTGCTAACCTTCAGAGGAGGTGGCCATGTGGCGGATGCTGTTGATATGGATATGAACGAGAAACGAGGACTCGGTTAGCAAATTGACGTCACCATCAAAATACATACAGCGAACTGATCACGCTACTACAAGTTGACTGGAAAGCGATGAAAGAGGCTACATACGCAACGGAGGCAGTGGAGCGCTGGGCAGCGAGCATGGGGCGCACGGCGGCGACTATTGCAGGAAGAATGGGATCGAAAAGTCATCCGGTTAGCGCGAAGTTGATTGAAAAGTACGGGAATGTGTCTGAGCGCGATGGAAGGTTGATCGTGAAGGGGCGATGTAGGTGAATCGTGATCGTGATCGAGGTTCGATTGAACAGGAGGAGTGAACGTGGTTGTATGTATGCAGGAGTATGTAGTGCTGTGAGGGTTTGGAGGGTGTTGAAGCTAGGTTAAAGGTATAATGGCTTGCTGGAGGGAGGATGAGTGTGCGATGGTGATTGGATGGAGGTGGAGTGAATTGAAGCCGAATCGACCCGTTGTGTTGGCTTTGAGAAGAGAGTGAGAGGCGGTGGATCGTGCGAGTTGTTGAGTTGTGAGTGTGTTGAGTGCAGAGAGAGTGTCGATCGAAGGGGTGAAAGTAAGGTGGTGACAGTGTTTTACCCGAGGAGCTCTTGGTCAAAAGTCTAAGGGCCATGGCGAAAGGGGGAGGATGTGTGATGGGGGGAGTGAGTGGAGAGAAGGAGAGGGAGAGAAGAGTGTCAAGGACTATTCAGGGCGGGAAGGGAAGGGTCGCTTTGCTTGGTGGGAGTGGCTGGCAGAGTACAGAAAACTGGCACATGGGAATAGCACGCCTCTTCGGAACAGATCCATCAACACAAACAAAAATTAAATCGTCATCACCGATTTATTTCGTTTCGCAATTGCTGCAATGACATCCGAGCCCACTGTTCCCTGAATCAGCAGTCACCATGCCACCAAGGAAATCGTAAACACATAATAGTTCCCTCGGACTAGAGCTGCACTCACCTTTCCCTGTCAGGAACCTCCGCTTTGCCTCACTCTCCAGCAACAGGTCGCATTCACCCTCACTTTCTCTCTCTCTTTCTCGGGATACCCTCCATCGGATTCACCTGCAGGACACTTTCACGACCCGCGCCACTCCCTACTCCCTCGCTTCTCCTCACATACAAACACACATACACCTCATTCACAGGATGGCACACAGATTCCTTGCATCAACACCCCTCCTCTCCAGGACCTCGCTCTCCTTGACGGCACGTGCCAGGGCTGCTGTCCCAGCTCAGTATGCCAACTATGTCACCGCCTCCGCCGTTGTCATGGCTGGTGGCAAGGCCAAAAAAGGTAGCCTATCGGTCTCATAACTGCGTAGGATAAGGGGCATTGGATCACAGCTTCTCGACTGACCTCAGTACTGACCCAATTGGATCCGATCTGTAATTTGTATCAATTAGCCACACCCAAGATCAAGGCACAATCCAACTCGTTCCGCAAAAAGAAGGCCTCCGATGATGACAAAGGCGAGGTATAGTTCTTAATCCGAAAGCAGGACGCGACAGTCATTTTGAGCAGGGAGGCAGTCAATCACCCGATCCAGGAACATAGCGACGCGCCGAAAATCTAACTTTCACGATACATTCGGTCCTATATCTCGTATCTTTTTTGAACCACTACTAGTCTGGATCAGGAGGCGCTACTCGTTTGAACGAGAAGTACTACAAGCCCTCGGTTCCCGTCAAGGTCGAGGAGTTCCTTCCCGTAAGTCAATCTTCAGACGTTCTTGTGGTTGAGGCTTGTCGTTGATCATGATGACAGGAACATATACTAATATGTGTCTCATCTCCCTATAGTCGACCGCTACCAAGGAGCACGTTGGACAGGTCCTCGGATTCCCCTCCACTGTCATCCCCGCATTGGCACAGACCGCTTACCCTACTCTCTTGAACGAGCAGGTATAACACACTGGAAACAACGATTGAACTGGACACGGATCTGATCAGGTGTCACCTCGACCTCGACACAGAGATCGTCAACTCACTCGTTCCATACATTACATTTCATTGTCAAACTAGTTCGAGTTGATCAAGCCCGCTGCTTTGGTCGTTCGTGAGTCGACTGTCAGCTTCTTGGAGAAGGTCGACAAGGCCATGAAGACCCCATCATCACAGAGCAGGATCGTCCTTACTGGAGAGGCTGGGTCTGGAAAGAGTGCTCTGCTTTTGCAGACTGTCAGCCACTGCCTTTCTGCTGGATGGATCGTTATCTACGTTCCCAAGGGTATGTTCTGGAGGCATCTGGATCAATTGCAGGAACGAGATACATAAAGGGTGGGAAGGAAACTGCATTGTCACTAACGTCGTACATATCATCTAACAACCCTTGTCACCCGTAGCTACCACATGGATGAACAGCTCTTTCGCATACAACAAGGTCGCCAACACAACCTCCTTTGTCCAGCCTTTGCTCGCCTCCAACCTTGTCGGACAAATTCAGAACGTCAACAAGTCCGTTTTGGATAAGATCACCACCTCAGAGACCGCCATGGTTGGTCGTCACGAGGTTGAGAAGGGCACCAAGTTGAGCGCACTTCTCGAGGTTGGAGTCAAGGATCAGTTCGCTGCTCAGGATGTCATGGAGGTTTTCATGAAGGAGATTGGCGCCCAGAACGGGTACGTCTATCGCGCTTAATCTCATGTTTTCAGCTTCTGGATGAGCTTGCGTCGTGATACGTCGATCTGAGGTTTATTAATCGTACCTTTTATTTATGTAATAGTATCCCTACTTTGGTCGCAGTAGACGAAGTCAACAGCTTCTTCCGCCCCACACAATACTTGAGCCAGGACGGCAAGGAGCTCGACCCTGAGCACTTGAAGTTGTCCAAGCTCTTCTTGAACTATATCTCTGGCAAGAGCACCTTCAAGCACGGAGCCGTTGTCGCCGCCACGAGCAACACCCTTTTGGCCAACAAGAGCGAGGTCCTGGATGTCACTCTTGGCGTCAAGGAGGTTTCCCCTTACAAGCGTCTGTCCCAGACCATCCTGCCCTGGACCCAGGGTCTGACCTCTGTCGAGGTACCGAACTACACGCGGGAGGAGGCCAAGGGTGTCTTTGATTACTACAAGAAGGCCAACATCTTCTTCGATGGTACGTCCTCTTTTCTTGTTTCCTGCATCATATTGTTTTGTTGATGTTGCTAAAATTTCTAATGGGTGATGTTCTTTGACTAACCAATGGTGCTTGTTTTTCGTTGATGTTCCTATTTTACAGCTGCATCAGAACCCTTTTTCCTCAACAAGTTCATCACCTCGAACGGCAACCCCCGTAAATTCTTCACTTCCTGCGCAAAGGGCATCTAAGTAATGGCATTTCACGAGATAGAGTAGAGAGGGAGAGATGGATGAAGCAGATATATGTACACATAGAGTCGAATCATTAGCATTGGTTAATAACACATAAAAATATTAGTTCCAACATACAACTCCAGGAGCTTTTGTTCGCGCATGGGCATCATCAAAATGAACATCGGAGACATTTTTGTTGGTTTCTGGGAGACTATTTTTTTTTTTTTTTTTTAATTCACATGCCGCACAAAAAGAGGGGAAAGGGGAAAGAATTCTCCAGGCCGTCCAACCCGACCGGTCCGTACTGTTACTACAAGTCGAAAGCAAGATCCGGCCGCATCTTCTTGATAAACCCATGAATGTTTTGTGTCTGGTTCCGACGATCGTTCGTTTGGCGGATAGTTAGTCTTTCCAGGCGAGGCCATCGAACTGGATTGTTGACGGGCTCCATTCGGCCGCTGTAGCTGCGTGATCGACTGTGGTGGTGGTAGCTGCTCCTGTTGCTTGATCTTGAGCCGTTTGAAAGGGTTCTTTGGTGATGTTGGTGTTGACTCTGGTTCTGGTTCTGGGTCGGGTTGGCTGCAGGTCGGGAAGCGGCGGGGGTGTTCAAAGATGTAGTAGAGGGAGATGATAGAGTGGATGGAGAAGGGATCAGGCCCAGGAGCTCTAGGCGCTGCTGATCGACATGCCTGCAATCCCTGCAACCGAGCCATTCATAGCGAGACCGGAAACTCCTCTGGACACGCGAGTCGTTCAAAGACAACTTGTCGACGAGGCGTTGCAAGACTGTCGGTTCGTTGTCCATCCATCCAAAGTCCCAGAGGTTCAGGATGGTCAAGGTCGTGGTCTTGATTTCCAGTGTCCTGAGATCGTCTAGCTCACTAAGGAGACAGAGCCCGCCATCCAACGAACAGTCAATGGCATCTCGACAGATCTTGAGGTGCTGAAGTCGTGGGCAGACTTGGGAAAGATATCCGAAAATGATCCTTGAGGACTCGGCAAGGTTGCGGGCCGCATTGTTCTGGGTGTCGAAGGAGATGTTCAGCGAGATGAGGTCACGGCAGGCCCAAATTTTGTCGGGGGTAAACGTTGTCGTCGGGAGGGGGGGATTGATAGCCGTAAGGGGAGTGACGGGCATCGGGGGAATGGTGACTTTGAGGTTCAAGAGCCGATCGTCCAGGTTGACATAGGGTGCGTCCAATTGCTTCAGGTTCTGTGCTGCAGCGCTGCAGAGATACCGATGGAGACTCTCGGAAAGCCCCGCGTTGTTATCGGAAACTCCCTCGATTGTCAACGATGTCAGCATACTGGTGTAGCCCTGGATGATGGTGACGAGCTCGGGGCAGATGGTTTGTGCTGGGAGGCCCAAGGATCGTAGGTTGGTGAAGAGTGACATTGGCGAGACCATGGCTCGGTGTCCTTGATTGGCCGAGCAGTGAAAGTGTCTGAGGTTCGGGCATGACTCGCCAATGGTTGTTATCAGTCGCTCCTTGTCAGACCTTGCTACTGCTGTTAACGTCGTTGTCGTTGTCAGTTCTGTTGATGATGCTGTTGTCGTATTAGATCCAGGGATGGGCAGCGGCGGATCAATGAGGTCGATGAGCGATAGGGACTTAAGTGCAGGACAGTTGGCGACGGTGGTTTCGATTGAATTCTGAGCAATGCACACCATGTAGATTGACAGCGTGTTGAGCTTGTATGGACCTTGCAGCTCGCCAGCTTCCAGTACTTGAACTCGTCGAGGACGCAGTGACGACCCTGAATGGATATCGAGGGTCCGTAATTGAGGGCAGTTATCGAGAAGGAGGGTAATAGTGTAACTTGAAGGACCGACAGACTGCAGGTGGAGGGCGGTCAAGGATGCCATGTAAGGGAGCAATGGTGCAATCCGCATCTGTATGTTGACAGGTCCGCTGATCGTCAAAGATTGAAGACACGCCGTCTGTCCGGTCTCGACACGGTCTTTGAGCCGACTCCACGCAACCTGAACGTTGGGCGTATTATCATAGTCCCTCTGCCTCAACGAATAGGTCAACGAATCGATCCCACCAAGACCTCGAAGGACATGGTACTGATTAGCTGGGACAGGGTTCTCCTGCCAGACCGTCTGAACTCTAAGGAGTCGCCTGCTAGCCGCATACCACTGTTTGCAGACAAGTCGCGTTGAGAGCTTGTCCTGTAGGTTTAGGAATGTTAGAACCCGTTCCAGGACCTCGGGGACATCGAGCATCGAAGTATGTCGGGAAGATAGTCCGCCGGGGGAAAGGAGAGCCATTTGTGGGGGTTTTTGAGGGAGTTGGTTTTGGAAGGGAGGGTAACAGTGGTTCTGGAAGCCGTTGTAGAGCCTGGGGGCCGAGTATGGGTGGTCGAGAGCTGTTGTCCAGGAACGGGAATGGGTTGTGTCGCCGTGGGACTTTGAGAGGGCGTGAATGAGCCAAGGCATGGTGGTCGAAAAACTTGAAGACGAGAAATGGAGGGGGGGGGTGTGAATGGAGGACGAATGTTAATGAGCCTCCAGACGTGGGAAAGGAGGAGGAGGACGGGAGTGAAGAAAAGGAAGGGAGAGGGGCAGAGACAGTGAATAAACAAACAAAGACAAAGAAGAAAAAGGGCGCATCGATCGATGACATATAACAACTGCAGCAGGCAAAAAAAGGTACGAGGGGAGGAGGGCGTTGACTCTTCATTTTTTCTCAATTCTGCACGGTGCCCTTGCCCACGGATGCAAAGTACGAAAAAGGGCGAAAGGGGTGGTCACTTGCAGTCACTCTTTTTTGTTTTGTCGCCTTTCGCTTCTGTTCCATGTAAGAATGGAGTGGACCGGGCACTGCACTGTAATTGTGGAACGGCCCATAGTTTTGCCCCACGACGCCCGTTTTTGATGGACAAGGTTCAATGTGCGCCGTTTCGTTCTCTTTTGCTTGTCTCTTTCAGAAGGGAAGGACCCAGATGAAGAGAAAATATGACGACATTCGACCAAGTGGGGTTGATATATAGCTTAGTAGCACCATTTCTATGTGACCGGGGGTCCCAGCCTGGTGTCGGACCCCAAGCAACTACCAACTTAGCACAGCTCAGTACAGTATCTCTATTCTTCGCGGTTTTTCTTTTCTAACCTTCCTAGACGTTCTTTATCTTAGGTCGATACTCATTCCCCTTCAAGGTCACAAGTAATCTCTACAAATATTCATCAGTGATGATTCTGAGACCAAGAAGCTTTGATCTTTGGGCTGCATAAAACAAGAGCCGTCCCAATCGGTTGTTCATTATCCTTTGTTCTTTTTTTCATCAATCGTCAAGAAACGGCAGGTATACCTAATTCACTGTGTCAACTAACCACCTCCGTAGATTTTCAGGGGTAAAATCGTTTTGTCCCCTCTCGCACAGACCCAACCACATTACATCCATTCCAATTGTACACAATTCTATTTCTCTGACAAACAGCACATACAAAGCATTTGGAAGTAAAAATTGACTACACACCAAACTCTTCAATTCCCCTCCACCAGTTACAGTTCGGTCCGGAACCTGGCTCTGCACAACAATTGTCGCTGCTCTTCACAGCTTAAACGGAAGAAACTAAAACTAGATACGAATGAAGGTGATTCTTCCCATCCTCTCCATCATTGACAACCTCCTCCTTCCTAACAAACTCTCCAACAACCGCTCGTCAGCAGCGCGTGGGTCCTTGATAGCTCCAGGGCACCTTCCTTCGTCATGTGTGGCTAGCGAAGCGCCACAGGGCAGAAACCATCACGGGTGATGTAACCGTATCCTCGACTCCAGTCACCTCAGGGGCCTGTGTACTTGGATGTCTCGCCCTTGGCAAAGATGCCCTGAGTCTGTTCCCACACGGCTCCAACTATCGGCTTTTCGTTTCATTGGAAAGGGATGAGTCGCGAGCTCGTTACAAGTCATTATCCCTTGTTTATGCATCAGTCAAAAATCGATATAACATTAACGCAAAACACCCAAGCCCAGCCGCCTTCACTAGGTTTTGTGCTTCACAAGTGAGGGGAAAAACGAAGGTTGGTTGTTGCGTTTGTAAACAAAACAGTTGGTCCCACGGAAAAGCTCGACACAAGCAAGCAACGACTGGCAACAAGGATAAAATATGACTCGGGGTTGTGTCTTGCATGGTGAGCTGTCCAGTCAGTCACAATAATAGTCTGTTTTGTGTGACGCAAAAGGAGGTTAGAGTAGAATGGCGCCCTCTAGAGGAAGGTTCAAAGAAAGAAAGAACGATGCGTTAGGAGACGCTCTCATGTGCATCTGTCAGCCCCATTGACACTTTTTCCTTTTGATAGTGACGGAGAGAAGGAATAAAAAAAAACAAGCACATAAAGGGGACACAAACAAATAAAATCATAAAACAAACACACGACAACAACAAAAGGCAAGGAAAAAATGCAGCGAGGTGTGCGCCGCCCATTGGCGAATTATCGTTTGTCTTAAGTTTATGAAGTGTTTAGGCATGAACATGCTTCTCCAGAGTGGTACTTTATCCAAGATAAAAAACGACGTAGTGAGCGAGATGCATGAAAATAAAGGCATGAGCCGAGCATGAATGGGGTGTTGATGTACCATAACATCCATTGCCACGAGCCAACCAGGCTGGATGTCTTTCGGCCTTTGTATCTTCATTCCTTCATCCCTTCCTTTCCTCCTTCTTCCATAACTGTGTTGCTGTCTTTTGATAGCTTGTGTTTGTTAGGAGAAAGAGTGCCCGCCTGCTAGCCAGTCAATGAGCCGTGGATGAACTTGGAGAGAGGGTATGTAGACTAGAATAAGGTTGGACAATAATACCAGTTCCAAGACCAGTGCTCTCAGTGCTCCTCCCTGTAGAGCAGAGCGGGCCATTCAAACTCATCGAAAGAAGAGTAAGAAGAAAAGAAGGAAAGCAAAAAAAGAACAAGGCATATTTATGTTCTGTAGTGTTGGGTCGCCAGGTTTGAGCAGTAACGATAATAACAATTAGGAGCAGAGACAGACACGGCAACCAGGAGGAGTGAGCAATCAGCCAGCCAGCCAGTCAGGAGAAATAGATTGTCATCTCAACTTTCCCTCCCTTCTTCCTCTTCCTCTCCCCTTGGCTGGCCGCTCATATTATTATTTTCTCACCCCACTCCACTCCTTTTCTTTTCTTTCTTCTTTCCCCCCTCCTTTTGGTTCCTGTTGCCCTTTTGCCCCTTCCATCCCGCTCTCGACTTTCACCCACACCCGATCTCCCATCAACCTTCCTTCCGACCCTTCTCATTCCACTCATTCCATCACTACAGCCTACACCTTCCCTTCCTTCTCCATCACCCGCCACTCCATCTCTCCCCTCTCCGCTCCCCTCCCGTTGAAAGTACCCTCAAACTGGAAATAGACCCTTACTTAGTCGCACCACACACCGAATGACACCGGCACCTTCTTCGTCAAGGAACAGGAGGTCTGTTACTCTGGCCAACATTCCCACTCCCGCAGGGCCTCCTCCGCCACCTCCTGGTGGACATCCAGGAGCCTACACTCATGAAACCCTCGGCCGTAGTCAGACTGTCAGCAACCACTCGCCCCATTCCTCATTCTCATCTCACTCTGGTCCCATCAACAACAACTACTCGACGGCACCTTCGTCCTACGCCCCACCCCGGGCATCCTTTTCTTCTTCGTCCCGTGCGAGCCCTGTGGGTGTCCCTCCCGGACGTTCGGGTCGGGAAAGAGAACAGGAGGCATGGAACGATAGCGCATGGAGGAGTATCTTCGATGCGGCGCTTGTCAAGGCCCAGCAGGCGGTTCAGCTGGACGAGCTTCAAGAGACGACGTTGGCGGCAAACCTTTATGCACAGGCAGCTAATGATCTCGGTCGGGTCATCCCCATGTGTTCGAGTGAGAAGAAGAAGCAATCCATGCTTGCTATCGTAAGTTTATTTTTCTTCCATATTCTTATTTTTTTTTTATTCTTATTTTTTTTTTTTTTTGCCGGATCAATTCCTTACAACAAATTCAAGGCGCGTGTACGACTGAAACAACACCACTCATTACCAAAGATCGAAATTCGCCCGACTCTTAAACAATCACTGTTGGTGCCTGAATCATTCTCACAATCACATACTTTTACATATCACTCAACACGTTTTCATTGCTCTACCATTGGATTTTCTAGCAAGCCATCTATCTCGACAGAGTCAATCAGCTGAGAGAGTCTGCCCTGGCGAAAAACGGTGGATCTCATCCAGGAGCATCTCCAGCCCATTCTGCAGCTACCAGCGAAAGCAACGACGGCTCCAGCAACTACCGCTATTCCGTCAGCAACCGCAACATGGGCTATGCCGACGATCAATACCAACCCCAGCAGTATCAGTCCCAGCAGTATCAACCTCATGTCCAGCAACAGCAGCAATATCAACAACAGCAACACCCCTACCAATCGCCAGTCCTGTCGCCTGTTCAGCACTACCAAGCACCACAGCTCCAACAAATGCAGCACCAGGAACCACCGCCACAATTGCAACAGAAAAGCTCAGGGCTTCGACTCTTTGTCAAGAGGCGGTCCAAAACGCAATCCTCTGTATCACAATCTCCTCCAGAATTCGCCCAACAATTTCAGAATCAGGGCCAGGACTTCAACAACTTCAATAACCACAACAATAATTTCAACAACCATAATTTCAACAACAACAATAACCACCCCAATGGCCACGGATACGGAGACTATTCTCAACCTGTCGACAACTACACAGTTCCACTTGTAGTTCCTCCAAGAACTCCCAGCCCACCACCTGTCGCAGTGCCCTCAATTTTCATGGCCCAACCGCCTACATCATCAAGCAAGAACCAACAAAATGAAGCCGCTGCTGCCGCCCCAGTGACGCCGCAGGAACAACCCACCAAATCTTCCAAGTGGAGGCCTTTCGGCAAAAAGAAATCCAAATCGCTTTCCCATCCCGAAACCTCGACAGCCTTTACTCCTCCTCCAGAAATGGCACCAGCAGTCCATGTATTCACGCCGCACATTGACCCAGAACCAGTACCAGCGCAGTACTTGCAGCAACAACATATTTTTCATGAACAACAACAGGTCCAGCAGCAGCAGTACAACGAGCAGCAACTGCTCCTTGAACGGAAGCATCAGCAACAAGAAGTGGGGCAGCAACAGCAGCAGAATGAGGAGGCTGTCGAGACACAAGAAGAGTTCAAGAACCCAGCACAGGGCGATTGGTACGTCGGAACTGCCACCCCGGAGAAGGACTCTTACGAGTACGATGAGTTCGAAAACCCTGCCCATTACTTTGACGAAGAGGACGAGGATGTCGATCCTTATTACATTGCCGATACCAAAGGTCGTGCTAAAGCCTTTGAAGGCCAGGTAAGGCTACATTTTCATTCCATATCGCGTCAATACCAGGAAGATGTTTACAAAGTGTAATGCTAAATCGCTCGTTGTTGAATGCAATAGAACACCGGAGCTGCGAATAAAGGCAAGGGGAATGCATCCAAAGACGCCGTGGTCGACACCGAGCCCAAAACTCGCAAGCCCTTGATCCACAACTCTTCATCGTACTCCCAGGAACAGAGCTTCTCGCCCAAGTTCGACTTTTCTCAGGAACAACCAACCACTGAAATGCAGGCGCAACTTGCCAGCCAGGAGCCTCTTACTGAGGACCGCGAAGACAACAGCCACTTGGCTAACGGCTCTCATCAACATATCCAAGGACAACACTACCAGGAAACGAGCGAATCTATTGCTACCAGTCACCTCGAGGATGATGAGATGGCCAAGTCGACACTGGAGTCCGTCGGAATGGACGCCGAAGTCGAACCCGCAGCTGCCGGCGATACTGTCGGCGATGCTGCCGTTGAAAAACAAAAGACCAAACGCACCTGGTACGGCAAGAAGAAGAAGGAGAAGGACCCCGAGAAGGAGAAGGAAAAGAAGCGACAGAGGGAACAGGACCGTCTGGATACGGTCGCCCGACTTATGGACGATGCTCTCTTTGGCGCCCCAACCAAGTCAAAGCTCGAGAAGGACACGTTGAAGGAGAAGTCAAGTGTTGTTTCGCTGGAAAAAACCGTCTCCCATCATTCCAATGACCACCATGCCGATCGCTCCCAGCAGAACGTCGAGTCTGCCGCGCCCATCCTTCCAGAGGTCGACTTTCCTATGACTCATATCTCCTCGCAGCAAGGCAATGACAAAGCTGACACGGTGGAGAAGGATGAGTCCAACATCGAGGAGCCTTATATTCTCCCCGAAGTTACCGAGCCCTCCGAGCCTTATATTCTTCCCGAGATTTCCGACCCTGCCAACAGCGAGTCCAGCATTACCACCACAACAACAGGTCAGGACGCGCCCTCCATTGTTTCTAACACCCCCAAGCGCTCAAAGTCGAGGCACCTCAGCATCTTCAAGTCCAAGAAGAACAAAGATCTGGAGACCCAACCACAGATCTTGGAGAGCTCGCCCTTGTCCCCGACCGTCACCAACGACGACTCAAAGTCGATTCATAGTCAACATACCCGCAAGAGCTCCTTCAGCACAGACCGTAACGTTGAGCCACCAACTCCAGTAGTCGTGCGCCCCAAGGAGAAACATGTCAAGAAGAGGGACAGCGACGAGTACGTCCCTTATGAGTACCAGGAAGAAGTCGAGGGGCCACTTATGGAGCGTGTCGAAGTGCCCGAAAACCGTGAAATCATCGGCTTTGTTTTGGTAAGTTTTATTATTCACAAAGCAATTGTAAACAAGTCTTGAGGTTCAACCGCCGATAGTTGCCGTTAGTTAACAAACACTTCCTTACTTTCTTTCAATCCTTCTAGCCTGTTGAGGAGATCGTCGACTACACCTTGGAGGGCAACGAGGAGGCAGCTCTTGAGAACTGGGACTCTTGGGTGAGCCAGCTGGAGTCATTCGAGAAGGTCCTGTCCAGCAAGGGTCTTAAGAAGGAGAAGGCCAAGAAGGCGAAGAAGGTCAAGGAGGTTCCTCCACCAAACGAGGATCTATCTCTTGGACCGATGAGCTCGACCAAGGCCAACCGCTCCAGCATCTTTGGCTCGCTCGGACGATCCGACACCCTGAGGTCCCGCAACAACACCGCCTTGGATTTGAACGCACACGCCCTGGATAACCGTCCTCTAAGCATGAGCACCACGCTCTTGGACGACTTCTCGACTCGCCCCTCATTTCAGTCTTCCCGATCTGGTGAATCTGAGGCCCCCTCTCAGTTCTTGGTCGCCCCTCAGATCAAGAAGCGTTGGTGGAAGCGTAAGGAGACCAATTCTTTTTACCGCGCCTCTCACGCTCTTTCGACTGCTGATCTTGAACAGGATCAGCATTTGTCGGCTCTTTTGCGATCCCAGTCTGAGGTCCGGTCAAGCGACAACTTGCCTATGGACCATGGCATGATGTCGATGCCCATTTCCTTTGCGGAGCCAGTGTCTCCCGTCCAAGAAGTTAGCAAGGAAGCGCCTGCCGCTATGGAGTCTGTTCCCGCACCCGCACCCCCACCAGAAGTCAAGGAGCAGGTACAGGAGCAGGTACAGGAACAGGAGCAAGAGCAAGAGAAGGTGGGGAAGAAGGTCGAAGAAACTCCCGTTGAGACCAAAAAGGACGAGGAGGAAGAGGAGGCCGAAATTGAGGTTGCTATTTCTCCGATGCCCAAGCCCAAGCCTAAGAGCAACAAGCCCAAGCTCCTGCCCATTTCGACTCCCTTGGCACAACTTCTCAAGATCCGGAACCCCGAGGAGCTTTGGCAGTATGTCCAGCAGGCCAAGACCTATGCTACCAGTCGTATGAACAAGGGCGACAAGCGATCAGCCGCAATCGCCCTGAAGCGTGGCCAGGCTCTTGAGGCTCGTTGGCAGGAAATCTTGTTGGAGATGGCTTCCAGTGGCGAGGACACTGATGAGATTCTGGAGGAGGATGACGAGGAGAGTTCTGAGAGTGGCGAGGAGGCTCCTGCTCCTGTGGTTGTGGCCCCACAACCCAAGAAGAAGAAAGCTAAGAAGGTCGTTGTTCAAGCACCTATTGAAAACGACGAGGGAGAGGTTACTGCCCCCGTCCACGCCCCAGTGGCGGCTCCAACTCCTGCTCCCGCTCCCGTGGCAGCTACCAAACCAATCTCGACCGTTGTTGCCCCAGTCGAGGAGGAAAATGATGACGATGAGGAGATTGAGAACTACGCCGCCCACCGCCGGAGGAACACCATCAGCCGGAGCAGCAGCACCCCAGACAAATACTCGAAGTACAAGAACGCCAACAAGACAGCAGCGACAGGGGCGTCTCCCAACATCACTAACGTCGCTTCGTCGCAGGCGACCCCCGCGACCGAAGATAACGCAGACGCCAAGAGTGTGTCGTCCGTCAAGACTACCGCCACCACGACCTCCGAAAGTGGCGCCGACACTACTGGCCGTCTTGGACCCGAAGCGACTCTGGAACAGATGCTCGAGTCCAAGAACGTGGATCATGTCAAGTACTATATCCAGCGGATGAAGACCGACACTGTCACCAAGGCGCGTAATGGTAGCAAGTTTGCTGCGTTGGAGGGTATGAAGAATGTCAAGGTTCTTCAACAGCATCTTGCTGACCTTTTGAATCCCAAGAGCGAGGACGAGGCGGAGGAGGAAGAGAAGGATGTCGAAACAATGCCCTCGGCGCCATCACCGAGTGAGGAGAGGATGATTACTATCCAGCCTACTATCCAGGAAGAGGACGAGGAAGAGGATGAGGAGGATCAGAAGGAGACTCAAGCACCAACAACAACGGAGACCAAGGAGGAAACCAAAGCACCCATTGAGAAGGAAGAGTAGGCCAATACCCCCACCCTAACCTACATCATCTTTCCTAACGAAAACCAACATGCCACACACACACACCCTTACCAAATAATACCGGCTCGCTCATAATGCAATTACCCCCCACCCTAGAGATAAAGCCCTCACGTTTTTTCATGACCTTACACTTCTGTGCAGCACATGTGTTTCTGTATGTTGATTTTTGTCATCGTTGTTCATGCTTCTAAGCTGGGTGTGGCTGCTCCTGAAGGCAGTGGCGAGTCCGAGGGCGTATCAAGAGAAAGGGACGTGTCTACAGGGCCGTCGACCCCATCCTCTGCTGATTCATCAGTTCTGACAGTTGTCTCTGACGGAACTCCTGGCGCCTGTCCCGCCAGCGGTTTTCTGAATTTGCCCTGCAACCAAACACGATACATTTTGACCTTTCGCAGTCTGTTAACAATCAACCGCCGATCAACTGCATTCTGCTCAATCGTAAACCGCGACCCAAACAATTTTACAATTTCGTCCGACTCGAAAAAGTAGACCCTCGTTCCATCTCCGCGGACATAAAAGTTATCCGACAAGAGTCGGTTTTTCTTAAACCGCAGCTGGGCCATATCGTACCGTCCATAGTCCCGGAACACGATCAATCCACCCGGTTTGAGGAGCTTGTACAAGTTATTCATGGCGTGTTCCCAGCGGTCGGGGTGGAGCGCGGAGAGAACAAAGATCAGGACTAGGACGTCCATGGATTCGGGTTCGACTTCGGGAGGGATATCATCGCCCCCCAGGTCCCAAACAAAAGCCTTTCCGCGTTTGGGGTCATATTCGGAGTTGTTCTTGACGACGTCGACGGCGGTGGATGAAAAGTCGCAGGCGTAGACAAAGAGCTTTGGGTTCTTGGACTCGATTATAAGTGGGAACATTGTGTTTCCTGCGCCGCATCCAATCTCCATCACGTTCTTCTCTCCTGCCTATTCCATCATGTACAATCAACAACAGCTTTCCGTTAGTTGCCGGTGAAAGACTCTTTTCCTTTTGAATATACTTGACGTATGTGCAAAGTCGTCTCAAGTTTACCTCGGCTTCGATCATGTCAAAGAGTTCTGGGAACTCAATCCGGAGCCAATGGCGATCCTTGAAGAACTTGTTCTCGTTCTTTGTATAAAACTTGTTCCAGTTCTCGGCCGCCTCTGCGTGATAGGTCTCAACGAGTTCCTGGGGGACGGGGTTGAGGTTCTGACGCGCGATTTCGTTCCTTGCGTGTTGTTCCTGTTCCTCGCCCCATGGCGCGTGATCCCTATTGTGTTTCGTCGAATGTGTATTAATGCGACGTGTTAATCAATTGGTTGTTTGGTGCGGGGCACTAGCTGTACTTTTTTTTAGGAGGCGTATCTCGTATTGAATCGTTGCAGCTAGACGTTCGTACCAGGCGTTTTGTTCAAAGACTGTAGACTCGTCAACTAGGAGTCGTCCGCCAAAGGGTGCACTGGAGGGCGAGTTGACGTCCCGTGAACTCGACTCCCGCTTCTTGATGTCTTCTGTTGTCCTTGGTGTTGCTGCTGGCTCCATTGTGAGTCTTGATGACTTTTCGTGTTGATGAAAGAAGAAAAATAAATGAGTGCGGTTCGTCGTTGAAGACGACTTCGCCATTTTTTTCTTTTTCTTTCAAGTAACCAGTCACTATTGATTTTTGCAAGGAGGCAAAAGTATTTCTTTACCCTTTTTTCTTTTCCTTGCTACCATCCCTCTTCCTCCATCCCTTCACACTCTTCACACCCTACCGCCCCCTCCTTCTTCCATATACCTCCATCCAACATGGCCGCCCCTACTCAAGACTGGACCACCGAGCAGCTCCTCTCGGACGCTGTCAGCAAGAAGGACATTGTCACTTTTCTCCACCTCAGCGCCTCGCATGACTTTTTGGTCGAGTTCAAGTTGACCGGAAAGCTCCCCACCGTCGTCAAGAACGGTACGTTTCTTTCTCTTTTGTTTTTTGCGAAACCGTTCTTCCAATGTCACTCTTCCTACTCGGTTGTTTTCGTCACTTGATGGAAGCGTCATGGAGAATACCTCCATTCATTACACGCAGTATCCTTCCACGCCAAGACCACAGGTTGCATCTTGTACAGATACTAACGTACCTACTCGTTCACCAATTGACACACAAAACCCAATAGCCAAGAAGGATTCGCTGTTGGAGGCATACAACTCGCTCTTCACCCGCAAGGCTTTCCGCGGTGCTGACGAGCCCTCGGAAGAGGAAATCTTGGCTGCCAAGAGCACCACCCCCACCGAGACCAAGGTCGAGGCCGCTGTTGAGTCTGGCCCCCCAAAGTTCACCAAGACCGTCCTCAAGAAGGGTGACAAGATCGGTTTCCCCAGAAAGGGCAGCAATGGTAACCTATCGGCCCTTTTTGTTTTCTTTTTTCTTTGACTTGGATGCAACAGGAATGCTTGACTATAATGGATTGAGTAATATCATTAACCCGTTGTTCACGCATTCTAATTATCACAACAAATAATAGTCGCAGTGTTCTACACAGGATACTTTGACGACGGAACCATGTTCGACACGAACGACAACACAAAGAAGAAGAGCAACCCCCTCCGCTTCAGGGTCGGTGCTGGACGTGTGATCCCTGGATGGGACGATGCCATGTTGAGCATGTCCCGTGGTGAGAAGGCCAAGATTATCGTCGAGGCCGAGCACGCCTACGGCAAGAAGGGTCTCTCAGATGTCAAAGTCCCTATTCCCCCCAACACCCGTCTTACCTTTGAGGTCGAGTTGGTTTCCTTCGACTAAATCCATCTATCTGCATTTCTTCACTTTTCCTTTGTTACATTAAATAAAAAAATCGTGTATTCTTATGAAATACTCTGCTTCTTCTTGTTCCTTCATGGTGTTGGTGCCAGGGATGTGATGAAGATCATGCAATTGATACATGCACAAATAGGTCTGCAAAGGCGACCTCATGTTGGCACGCATTGAAAAATGAAAACTCACCTTGGATGTTTGGCCCTGAAATTTGACAAGTCCAACACGTGACACTTCTCGAAAACCAATAAAAAGGCGACTGGTTTACTTCATGATTTCGCCACTTTCTCAATTTTCATCTTTCCAAGGAACAAGGATGGCCGCCTCCGCTTCCACCACCAACGCCGTGGCTGCAAGGACCTGGACCAGGACAGCTGACAACAGTACCAACACCAACAACAACAATACCAACCCATTCACTCTCCCGGAACTAATCCACCGCCTCTCCCGCTTCACGACCCTCGCCGACTCCCTCTCCTGCGTCCTCGTCTCCCGCGCCTTCTCAGAAATATTCATCCCCGTCATCTGGTTCTCTATCGATTTCGACTCCCAACCCAGCTTCGCCAGCCTGCCTCCCTCAACCATTACAAGATATGGGCACCACATCCGAATCGCCGAGAATATCCAATCCTGTGCCGAGATCAGGGTCCTGGCGAACCCGCAGGTGCAGAGGTTGAGGGAGATCAGGTATATGAATCCCACGGGGTCGAATCTGCAGCATATCTTAGGGTTTGAGATCGTTGCCAGGAACTGTAGTAGTTTGGTCAGGTTGGATTTGCTACCGGATGATCCGGTGCCTCTGGGGGAGGAGAATCGATTGGCGAACTATATCCCTGTTACGGCGTTGATCCCCCCGTTCGGGGCGATGCAGGAGTCGAGGTTGTATCGGTTATGTATCATGGATATGTATTTGACGTTTGAGGGGCTGATGACGATCTTTCGGGGTTGTTCGCAGTTGACGAAACTGGGGCTCGTCAACGTAACTATCCTGGGCAAACCAACAAATCCAGGGCACCTCTACCAACATCCGAATATCAGCTTCTTATCCTGCCACCACCAAGCACTCTTCAGGACCGACCCCCTCGACGGCCACCACCCCGCCCCGTCCCTCCTCCTCCATTTGCCGCACCTAAAAATCATCGAACTCTGCGACCACGAGGTCGAAAACAATCCCTCCCCTTCCAACACCCTCAACACCATTCCTCCCCGAATCATCCTCACAGAGCTCTCCCGCTACTGCAAAAACCTCACCGGCATACGAGTTCAAGGCCTCCGGGACTGCACCGATCTCGTCTCCGCCTTTTGCTCAACACCGGCAACCCGCAAAGTCTCAGAACTCGCTTTTGATTATGACCAAATCTCCCTCGGCATCATCACCTCCCTCCTGCTCCACCCACAAACCCTCACCAGCGTGAAAATCTATCGCAGCGTAGATTTTATCCTCGACCGAGACTCGGTACCAGCGGTGGAGGACCATTTCTGGGCGCATGGACAGTTCTTGCAGCTTATACCTCGAACTTGTAAGGGGCTCAGGATCTTGGATATTCATTTGCACGAGATGGATATGGATGTGGTCGAGATGTGGGAGTGGGTTTGTAAGGATTTGAGGAAGTTGAGGGTTAGAGTCAAGGGTCTGGATACGAGGGATAGGATTCTGGAGACGATTGGGCTTTGGAGGAGGGAGTGGAGGGCTCGACGAAATAATCTGCCATCTTCCCTCGATGTTTCTGACAGCAACAGTAGTAACCATGTCAACAGCGGACAACAAAACAGCCTGTCGATCGAGGAACGCGTCGTCCGTCACCTCCTCAAACTGGAGAAACTCGAGACTGTTTGGCTAGGTTGCCAGGACTGGTCTCCCTTCTAATTTACTTTTTCGCATGCGGGCCAAATTACCTCTGCAACACGGCCGCATCCCATTAAACCGGCTCTTTGCCACCAACAAAAATACTTCTGTAAAAACATTTTATTGTATTGGCATTTTCTTACTTCATCCAAGTTCACGTTCCTCCATTCTTGCTCCGCTCAATTTACGGGATGTTCTTTTCATTTTGTAAAACGTCAAACTACACTCGAACTCCAACTATAAATAAATATGCATGTTATTATTATTATATGTTCTACTTTCTGGTCTTCAGCTCCTCACGATCTTTCATTTGCTCTGTACACAGCTCCGTGGCAAGGCTGCAGGAGTAGTTCCCATCTCTGGATCTGAGCTTGACCAAACCATCACTCCCTTTGAATACTGTCAAGAGTGCCTCGTCCTTGGAAAGGGCATCATCATGCATGAGACGTTCCTGGATAAGATCCACCTCGTTTGCTATTATCCTGATGTTGCTGATATGCCTCTCCGTATCGTCCGCTTGCCGTTGTGGTAACTTGACTCTGCTCTTGGACTCGCCGTCTGTAGGTCCCAACGTCGCCTCTAACTCGCTCTCATACCGACGAAACTCCTCGTATATACTCTTGGTCGATTTATGATGTTTGTCCAATGTTTTTTGTTTGTAAGAAATTTATACTCCTCACTTACAGTAGTCACCACCGTTCAAAAGATATAAAAATAAATACTTTCGAAAAAAAGTACAAAGGTTACATCAATTGACAGGATCGGAGGAGGGCTGTGACGGAATAGTTATAGTGTCTTATCCAAATGAACCAGTCATCCCGTAGTGGGTCACGCAAACGCTCTCGACTTGTCGATTGTCCTACTGCAGGCTCCGGTGGATGTGTTTCTGACGGTCGAGAGTCCTTAGGTTGATTTCTCAGTAGGAGCTCCAACTCGGAAGGATGATGTTGAATCGACGGTGGTACTGCAGTTGAAGATCCTGAATATCAGAGCCTGGATGACCCTTGGAAGCGCTGCTGCCGCGCCATAGAGTTCATTGCTCGTTGCATGGACTGGATACATGCCGGTTGGACTCGAAGCTGCCCTTGTTGTTTTAGAAAATCTCCCCCGACATACGAGCATATTATTCGCCCACACGCTTTGGCTGGACTGCTGGGCAATGTTATCATGAGCTGCACTCAAGCGCTTCGTTAACACCTGCATGGCGTTCGCCTGGCTCTGACTCGATGCCTCCAAGGCGCGCAACATATTGTCGGGGATGTTTCGTGGCACCTCAACTCTTTGTACCATCACCGCTGCGATACCATCCTTCTGGAGCGACAGAAACTCGGAGCTGCTGAACACACTGCCTGTTATTTCCAACAGTGGGGATCGAAACCTTGTTTTTTTCCAAGATACAATAACACCGCGGCATCCTGAAGCAAGACTCGGCGAAAGCGTACATCAAGCGCAAGACATACGTGACATTGGAATGTCCTCGATATACGGTCGGGCGACGGGCTGCCTCGGACTTGGGGAGAGATATCAGCGGCTCTGGAAATACGGTCTCGAGCTCCTTGGTGTTGTTGGGGTTGAATTGGTCCATCTCCATGATGCACTCCTTTCGCCAATCTCTATTCTTCTTGGATCCGGGGCCTCCGATTAGTATCTCGATAAACGGGAAAATCATACCCTGAAGCGCGTGTGTAGGGTTGGCTTCATTCCGTGCAAGATGAAACGGCTTGTCCCAAAATCCTGCAATCGCGGGTGCCCACTGTGTCAGTTTCTTCTGCAATTAAAACAGCTGCATCTTGCCCATGTTCTGGATTCGCCGCCCACCCGTCCTGATATCCTCCTCCAGAATATTGAGTCGCCACGCCTTCTCTTGCTCCGCTATGCCGTCCTGAATGTGTGATGTTGGATTAGGTAATATTGTTGAATATATCTATAGTCGGGAGCCCGGTTTGCTGAATAGGATATCTCGCCGTATTTGTCTGACCCGGCACCGCTGGTCAAAAGTTTGACGCCAGTCCATGCTGCGTCATTCATACTTGGCCAAGTCTCCCTCCTCTCTTACAAGCCGCCGTAATAGCATTTTCGCTCCAGTTCATTGTTCCATCAGTCCGCATAAATTTTCCTTCCTTTTCATTTTTATCTTTTCTTCTTTCTTCGCCAACTTCCTTCTCTCACTCCACCTCTCCTAGACATCCTTTCCTTACTGTAACGCACCTCCATCATACACAAGGAAGAGGATGGCAACCATCAGCCCTGGCGCATCAGAGGTGCACCAAAACTTCAACGACGTTGTTCAGAACGCGTTGGTTGTTTTCCATCAGCAGAAAGTCGATCCCAGACTCACAATCAAGTCTCTCCTACCATTACTCCATATGAATCATTGCTTTGCTAGGATGCAATCGACAAGGAGACAGAGATGAGGTCAAGAAACGAATCAAAGCTGAAAGGCGCAGAGGAACTCTTTGAGGTATTGGAGGGTTTCAAACCTTGACATGCTCACATCCAAATCGAAGAGTAGTTTGAAATTCATCAACCTTGAGGAAACGTATTTCCACTGCAGATTTCCTTGATGGCGCATTTGGTTACATGCCGTCAAATGTCAAGGTTTGAAACCCCCTATTAAATATTTTATGCTTTCTTCTCTTTCGTAGCACCTGTTGGGCGTTGTACTCCTTCCTTTTTCCATTTTGATTTTTTTTGGTGGCGCTGAATAGGCTCCACAATCTGCCAGGACAAATCAAGTATCGTATTCTTAGAACTTGGGACCCGTTTTCAAGCTTGCTTTCCTGCAGCCCAAAACTCGCGGCTACTTCCGGCACTCAAGATCATCGCCCATCTTCCCGATATCGACACGTCCTACAACGAGAATATCAAGCAGGCCGGGAGAGCATTGCGTGCCAAGGGGCTACTAGTCGACAACGACGGCTACGGTGTCATGGGATCGAAAACTGGCACATCGCCCTGGATGTAAGTGACCCATCATATCAAGGATACGTATTTGGAACCGGAGAAGCGACAGGAGTCAATTCCTCTCAGGCTAGTTCTGGATCAACCCGAAGACGCCAGTGCCGACGATCACCTCCAATTGGATCCTTTGCCTCGAACCTCGCTGTCATCTTGAGCGTACAATTATGGTATTCTCCCCGAGAGCAAGACCATGCATTTAAATTTAGGTCATTATCAAATTTAATGAGATATGGTACAGGTTGGAAGGCCATGAAGAAGAAAAGGACAGAAAACTATGTGCACAAACAAAGAGAACTTTGGAAGGGATCGCGTGTGAGATAGGGAAGCAGATTCCACTAAGTAAACTGCGTCCCGCCGTGTTCGCGACAAGATGTATAGATTAAAACTATTTCGGTTTTTCTCGGGCTTGAGGACAAAAAAGACGACACGTCTTATGCTTTCCGAGCTTTCTTTGTGGCTGGGCCGGCATCGCCACCATCGTTGCCGTCGCTGGAGGAAGATCTGGACCGAGCAGTGTTAGCGTCCGGAGATCCATCTCCTGATCCAGTGTTGTTGGTCGAAGGTGAGGAAGACGAAGCCGGGGTCAAGATAGGTGTCGATGTAATGCGCAAGTTCGATCCCTTAGTTGTTGCAGTTCCTGAACCCGTTGTCGAAGAACCTTCTCCCGATGTCGAAGTCGGACCCGAAGCCACGGTCACGTTGTTACCCTTGGCCAATGGACTGGGTTGGTGAACACGGGAAAGCTCACGCTCCCTAGGCACTGGCCAGTTGAATGCTGAACTGGCTTGCGCACTCGTAGGAGTTTGTCCAAACACAATAGGGCTCAGCTCTGCTTGAGAAGCATAGAACTCTGGATAAAATGTCGAGGGAGATGGCAAGTTTTTAGCGAACTGCGAAGGGAGTGTTGAGGACATGGGCGCAGACTCAAGGGGTCGCTTTTGGATCTACAAATAAAACAAATGAAAAAGTTGTATGAGCACATTTATGAGCAAGGAAAATCAGATGCATCCAATCTCGTTAGCATTTTGTATCTCGGAAGAGAAAGTTCCGATGCTAGTAACTTACAGGTGGCAGCTCGCTCGACTCTTCTTCCTTGATCATCGCTCCAGCAAGAGTGCTGTTCTCTTTGGCCTCTGTTGGAATTTGAACTCGCAATCCCAGCTTGGGCTTTTTGATGACTCCGTTGGTAGGACTGAGCACAGGCGAGGTTGCTCCTGTTGAGGCGCCTGGTGGTGTCGAAGTCATAATGGACGAACCGTCACTCATGAGCGATTCTCCGTTCATGGGCGATTGACCAGTCTTCATGGCGCTATGATGGCTCAAGACAGGGGAAGCGGATTGCGAGAGAGGCTGTTGCTGCATAGGGATCGACATGGGCGTCGACATGGGCGTGCTGGTCATAGGGAGCTGAAGTTCCTGTCCATTTGGAGGCTGCGACATGGGGCGGTTCAAAAATGGTGCGACAGGGGTCTGAAATTGAGGCTGGAATGGGCGCGACTGGGATGCCATCTGGTCGTGCTGTTGCATTGTTTGCATTGGCTGAGGCTGCTGTTGATACGGTAATTGTTGGCGAGGGGGCTGAGGAGATGAATGTTGCTGTTGTGAAGGCAGCGTTTGGAGGTGTTGCTGCTGCTGCTGCTGCTGTTGTTGTTGTTGTTGCTGTTGTTGCTGCTGTTGTTGCTGCTGTTGTTGTTGCTGTTGATACTGCTGTTGTTGCTGGTACTGCTGCTGTTGCTGCTGCTGCTGCAAAAAGAGCTGCTGCTGCTGCTGTTGATGCTGCTGCTGCTGCTGTTGTTGTTGTTGTTGTTGTTGATGTTGTTGCTGTTGTTGATATTGCTGGTGGGCTAGGTGTTGAGGGTGTTGTGCGTACTGCTGTTGAGGGCGGTATTGTGGGTCCAGATGCTGTTGCTGCTGTGGATGTTGCTGGTACTGCATTGAATCATACTGCTGAGGGTGCACGACAACTGTAGGCGGGATCTGGAAGGGGCTGCGAGGCATGTGCGAAGGGACCGAAGGAGGTGTCTGTTGCATGGCTTGCTGGTGTGGAGGAGGGGGTGTTTGCATATGTCCTTGAGCAGGGGTATTGTGGGACTGAGGTGTCACTGACTGGGGCTGCGGTGTAACTGAGAGTTTACTCCTGTCGTCGCCTACTACGGACAATGCATCGTCTTCGTCGTCCTCGTCCTTGTTGCCGCTGTCTGCTGGGTTGAGGAATTCTTTGTTGGTGTAGGTCTCGCAAGAATCGTTGTACTATCGAGCAAAGAAAAAAGACCAAATATGTGCGCATTAGCAATCGTCTTTTTTGGTCATATCGTCATCCGTCCGTTCTTCCTTCAATTCTTCCAAATAACAGCCCAGACTTGTTCTTCTCCTGTTCAAGGGAGTGAGAGAGGGAGAAAAAGGGCAGGGCAGGAGAGGAAAAGAAGGGTGTCATGCGCCGTGACAGGTAGATAGAATAGCTCTTTCTCTCTCTCTTTTTGATCCCCTATTGGACATTCGCACATGCTGTATATGTAACGCTGTTGCTGGTCGTGATGGTCGAGGGTGGTGGTGGTTATGTCTTATGCCGGCCAGTCTAAGGGTTGCTGCTTTTGTGCTTCCGTACTGTCCGTTATTTACCTCGGTGTATCGGAGAAGGATTTGGTCGATATCATGCGACGAGTACTGGACAAGCTTGTTGTTGGAGTTGAAGATAATAAGGCCTATCTGACAGTCGCAAAGGACACTCAACTCCATCGCCTTCTTCATCAGTCCGAATCGTCGCTTCTGAAAGGTGACCTATGAACCAGAGAATACATCAAAAAACTGTCAGTCTTATGCGATAAAAAAATGCTCCGATTCCGCGAACGTGCCACCCCCTCAGCGCAACCTTGACTGAGTGAGGCTATTGCACAACCGTCCTGGCTTCGTCCACTCTGGGAATCTAATCTCTATTTATAACCGCACCCAACAAGTTGAAACCGAACGGGTAGATGTTGTTTACTTGAAAGAGGAAAACAGAATGGGCAAAGCAACAAGAAACGAGACTGTCTGTGTGTGTTTGTTGGATCCATGAGAAGTGTCAGGAGAGAACGACTGGTCTGCAGACGACTTGTCGTGAAGGTGGTGGTAGGCGGCATCAGATAGGGTGCAAGGAGACACGCCAGTTGAATGAAGGCGAGATGTTGTTCAAGGAACACACCCCCAGGGACCAGGGGAGATATCCTGCGAGAGTGCTGGTGAGTAAGTATGGTGTTATTAAATTACCTGTCGGTTGCGCTCGTCGGTGATGGTTTTGATTTGGATCTTCTTTCGTCCCATGGTTGTGTAAAGTGTGATGTGTGTAAGATGTGTGTGTAGTGTTTAGTTGTTGAATGTGTCCTGGTGTGTGTTAGAGAGTGTGTGTGAGTGGTGCGAGAGTGACGGTTTTTGTCTGAGAGGGTTGGTTGTCAAAGGTGCGAGGGAGAGAGGAAGGGCAAAGGGCAATAGGGAATACAAAAGAGGACGCAAAGTTGTGAGAAGAGGAAGAAGAAGAAGAAGAGACGGGAATTGAGATCATCGCTTCCCTAAAGCAAAGCAAAGGACACACATACCCACACACAGACACACATACACCACTGCCGTGTCTCTCCTTTGTGTTCTTCTTGCTGGTCTGTTTGCCGTCTCTTTATCCGCTCCTTTCTCCACACACGCAAACAAGGCACTTTTTTTTTTTCGCAGAACAAGGCCGACCCTCGCGACGTCACGTGTATCTAAAAATAACTTTTGTTCAAGTTCTTTTTCGCCACCAATTTTTGTTCCTTCCCGTCATCTGCTGCAAGGAGGACCTTCTCGCCTTTGTTGTCTCAGATTAGATTCGCTTGTTGGTCAAGGCGCTATCGCCTCAAAGTCCATTGGACCGCAGCAAAGATGAGGAAACAGAAAAACATAGAACAAAGAGTACAAAAGGCTTGAATCGATTGACATGGTTGCCTTTCATTCGTGTGGTATTTGGCATCTATAAAAACAAAGGCAATGGGCAGCACTATTGTCGTTCTGGGTGGGTGTACACTTCTCCAGGAGGTTGCATCGGCTGCTCTTGGTATGGCTGCTCTTGGTATGGCTGCTCTTCGACTATCTGGGTCCTGCCCTGATCGTCCCCTTGTTGGTTGTTGTAGGTGGTTTGGTTGCTTGCCGGTTGTGCTGAATTAGTGTAGTAGACCTGGCTATTTGATGGTTGTCCTGTCTCGGTGCAGACTGGCTGCATCTGAACCTCCCCTGTCTGATACGCTGACGCAGGATGGTGTCCTGCCATTGCCGCCTTTTCCGCATCCGTAGGCACCCGGAGTTGTCGTTTTTGCTCGCGTTCTTGGGCATGAGGTCTTGGGTCAGGCCCATTTCCCCAGGGGTGTGTAAGGTCCATAAGTCGTCCCTTCTCCTCGATGTAGCGGTCAAAGATGTAGGTCCAGATGTAAAAGTTGCCTCCAGCGACATAGAACGCTACCAGGACATCGACTGTGTAGTGGGCGCGATTGGCAATCACAATAATAGCTGATCCAAAGGTCAATGCCCACACAAAGATAATGCAGATCCAAGCCAGCCATTTGTATCTTTTGGGGAAACGGTGGTAGCCATGACTTGTCCAGACGAGTGCCGAGATCACAAAGATGACGGTGTGTCCACTGAACATGCAGTCACCACACCGGTGCAGCAGGAAAGTGGTGAAGAATTCGCCAACAGAGTGCATGCAACCATCGCGTGGATCGGGGAAGGATGTGATGGCGACAGTCGTGATACGCATTAGGTTGCAGAGGGCCCAGGTCAACAAGACCTTACATAAGAGGTAGAGAGGTCGATAGTGGGTGAGGACAAGAATGACGGTAGGTACAAACAGGAGGGCGTCTGCGAGGTCGGTGAGCCAGAGGAGTTGGATTGAAGGAATGACTTCGAAGAGTCGATCGGACAGCTTGGGTACCTTGGTGTTGTCGGGCGATAGATACGACGCGACATTGGCCATGACATTCTATGTTATTGTTATTGGAGAAGGGAGAAGGATGAGGCTCAATTGAAAGAACAGTTGACAGGTGGACATACTCGCACGAAGCACAAGCAACGTTTTCGATTGGATTGGACATGGCTGGTCTGTGCCACAAATACTATTAACGAAGCGGGGGTTTTTTTACCATAAAGTAAAGTGTCAGGGCAAAGACGACGATGCAGAAGAGGGTCCAAAAGATGCTCTGTCGGGTAAACTTGTACCTCTGAAAGAACCAGCGCTTAAAGCGCTCCCATAGTCGTCCCATATGGTTGCCGGGTGGTGTATCTGCTGAGTGGTGTGTCGAAAGAAGAAGAGGCTCGACAAAAAAGTATGTTTACTGAACGAAAACGCGAGACAAAAACAAATGGGCAATTGGGTGAAAGCTGAAAGTGGTGAGAAGGAGAGACAAGAAGGTGAGTTGTTGGGTGTCAAGAAGTGTGAATGATAATGAATGAGAGTGAATGAGTGTGAATGAGTGTGAGCGAGTAAGTGGAATGAGTGAGTGACAAAGAGCTTGAAAGGAAAAAGTGTTATGTATATGAGGAATTAAGAGAGAAGAAAGAGGAATATGAGTGGATGGGATGAGAGAGGAAGAAGAGAAGGATCTGATCCACGCTGACAAGGAAAGGCACTATCCATGGGGACGAGGGTCCATTGGGGGAAGTGTGGATAGAAAAGAAGATCGCGCGATATAAGAGACATTGTTACATCTCGGTCAGATATGGAATCACTGTCATCATCCTACTCCACTGCAGGCATGCTACTATGGGCATGTTATGCCAATATGAAAAAAGGGTTCCAGGATTGTACAAGATATTGGCCCCCTTCCTTTTCATTTTTGTAGATGGCGAACCAGGTTGCCGTCTCTTGTTTACCTAGTGCCATTTCATTGCGCACTGGATATGCGCCATTTCTTATCCCTTTGAGTAAACAGTCGAACTTCCATTCCAATGCACCTTTTCACTTTCTTTTCGCTCTCACCCACTTGTTTGTCTCCCTCCCCTGAAAGGGTCGCCCGTCGCCACGTGGGGCTGGTGTGGACACAGCGTGGACTCAGCGTGGACTCAGGGCCACCGCCACGACGCGAACTGATTGGCTCGCGGCAGAATAAGCACCACTGAGCTGGTTCCTGGCATTGTTTGTTTTGAGCAATCGACAAAACGAAAAAAAAAAAAAAAAAAAAAAAAAAGAGAACCGTTGTGAGAAAAACAAGCGAAAACAAATAAAAAGAGGAGAGTGCGTCTTTTCTATCTTTCTTCTTTCTTTTCCTACTGTACATCCTCTCCTCCACTCTATCCCACGTCCTTATATCGGAGGATTGATTTCCCACTGTTTGTTTTTTCCTTGTTCTGGCCCTGAGTCCCGATTCCTGACCCTGCCCCCCTGTCTTCTAGTGCATACACTAAGTAACTCTCCTTGTCAAGTGGAACCCAAGTGCAGTGCGCATGCAGTGGGTTGAATCAATCCTGTCACCCGACATCCATCCCATCCATCCCCCTTTCGTCCCGAGAATACAATACCAAAAAGTGCTCGATATAAAGCGGTGAGCATTTACAAGTAGTAGAAATTTGCATTGCAAGGCAGCCAGATGGTCCTTTGTCCAACTACAACCCGTCGACTTGCTTGGTGTTCCAACCCCTATTCTTTCTCCTTCTCTCCCTCTCCAGCCAACACCCCTTTTTTCTTGGCCATAAATGGTTGCTCACACGACAAAAACTTTTGGCACTCCACTGTTCCGATATCCTATGCCATCATAGCTGTCATCATTCCAACTGCACTCACGCGAGCAGCAACTCGTATTTTTTATTTTATTTACTTTGTTTTTCGATTTGGCCATCAAAGCAAACAAAGTATTTATCTTATTATTTTTTTGTCTCTCGTTTTTAAAACTCATTTTATCTTTCTTTCTCCACTTCCCTCCTCTTCCTCTTCCTCCCTCCTTCTTCATTCCCTCCTCTCCCCCTCTCTCACTTGCATCGATATTCCCCCCCCACCTTTACATCCATAAACACACACAGCATAGACAATCATGAAATTTGCGAAATATCTTCAGGAAGAGGTCGTGCCTGAATGGAGAAAGGCCTACATTAACTACAAGCAGGGCAAGAAACACCTCAAGGCCATCGAGCGTGTCCTCGACGAACTCGACCTCGAAGCTGCTCAGGCACTCGAGGCACATGAAGCACACGAGGCCCTCCAAGACACCCTCTCCCCTCTCCCCACATTCACCCACCTTCCTCATCCTGGTTCTCTCCCTCCAACGACAACATCAGCAACAACAACAACAGAACCAGATTCAACAGCATCAACGCCCATCATGTCGAGGAGGCGCGGGAATGGTCGAAATTACTCCTCGATCAATTTTCTCCCTCCACTCGGCACCTCGACCACCAACACAAACACAACCAGCTCTCGTGGACCCTTGGCGGAAGAGGATGAGGATCGTTCAGCGTTGGGAGGCCGGACCTTGAGTGGAGAGGGAGATGATGGTGACGAGGAATCGGCAAGGACGGTTCGTCCAAAGAAGGAGTTTGATGGTCTGCGACAGTCGTTGGGGTCGACGGCCTTCCAGTTTGGCCAAACGGCCCGATCTCAGAGCTCACAGCTACTGAAGAATCTATCCAGGCGGTTTACCATTATCGGCACCTCCGAGATTCCAGTTCGTGTCCGATCCATTCAGAGTACGTACTGTACAGCTTTTCTTCTTCTACGTTCGTCCTTTTCTTGATCGTTTACTACTGCAATCTTTTTTTCTGTTGGTGCTCGCCCTGTTTTATTGTTGTTCCTGTTTGGAGATGGTTTGTTTGTTTATTTGTGTGTATGGATGCACAAGCCCATGCATAGTCCTCTTTCGTTTTTACTCGTGTGATCAAAAACAGCGCACCATTTTTTTCTGAGTTGGGCGGAGTGTAGTATGGTGTAATCATCTTCTGTTTCCTAACCTTATGGCGATGTACTAAAACCCAATGCATGCACATCTCTTTTTCTCTCTCCCTCGGTTTTATGCTCTTCTTCCTGAAGTTGATGACAACTCAATAGATAGCATCCTTGACCAGCTCCTTCCTGAAGAACAGATCTTCTTCAAGTTCCTCGACTCGCAGCTCGAACTCGTCAACTGCTTCTATCAAGGTATTGAATAGGCACGATCAATGCGGTTACGGTTTTTTTGTCGATCATTCAACCTCCCCCCTCCAAACTCCACTACAAAATGCAACAGAATAGAGATCATGCCCTATCCAGAGATGCAGCGACAATATTTTTTCATCCCTCCTCTACCGTCACTTTCCTTTTTTTTCCCTCCCTCACACTCCCACTCCTTGCTGATTCCAAATTGCTGATTCCTCAACCCTTCTTCTTCTTCTTCTTCTTCTTCTTCTTCTGAATAACTGTAGAAAAGGAGCTCGAGGCAGTAACAAAGCTCAAGGTCATCCAACAACAGCTCTTTGTCGCCAGTCAATGGAAGCGCCGCTATGACGACCACATGGTAAAGGGATTATCCGTCTCGGCCAAGGAATACTCCTCTCTTGTCCGCTCTGTCCTTTGCTAGCTGTCTCATCATTGCCCCTCCAATTTCTCTTATATTTCACTTTTACTAGGCAAGAGCAAAGGCGGAACATGGATGGTACGCGGCCGAATGGTCGCGTGTCAGGAAGGGGTTCGACAACCTCATCAGGGTCGACACTGCTGTCACAGAGGACGTGACCCTGGGCTCTAAAAGGTCGGGCCTAACACCCGTCGGTACCTTCAACGGAGGACAAGGTGGAAAATTGGATTCTGAGCGTATTCTCCATCATCGCGGTCTGGGAAGTACTGTCGACAACCGATTCGGGATTAATCGCAAGGCCGGCCTGGATGCCCATGCATTGGCGTATCAGGAAGAACTCGAGCTCCAGGAAGAGGAGGACCGGCGGCAATACTTGAATCACAAGGTGGCACGGACCAGGATCAAGGCTGCGCTGTATGAGTTCTACCGGAGTCTGGAGATGATCAAGAACTACAAGGTCCTCAACCACACTGGATTCGCCAAGATCTTGAAAAAGTTTGACAAGACTGCTGGCTGGAAGGGGTCCAAGCCCTACATCAACTCGCGACTGAAGCCGGCCTACTTCATGACCTCGGGCGTGATCGAGGATCTCATCAAGGAGACAGAGGATTTGTTTATTGAGACCTTTGAGAAGGGCCATCGACGACGGGGTATGGCCAAACTTAGGATACCCGACTCCAAGAATCAAGTAAGGGCTCATGCCTCGTATATTTGTTTTTTTCCAGAACACAGTGATAATGGCTCAACATGAGAAACTCATGATGTCTTTTGTGTTTTTCCTTGTCGGTAAAACTCATAGACGCATCATTTTACAACAACAAGAATCGGGATGTACATGGGACTGGCGGCACCATTGATGTTTCAGGCACTCCAGGCTGCGTTCTCGAGCGAGACTCCCACCGAAGTTCCCTACTGGGATGGTTTACTGCTTGTGTATGGAGGACTCTTTCTCACGTTCCTCTTTGCATGCCTGTTTGGCATCAACATGTATGTTTGGGCCAAGGCGAGGATCAACTACAAGTTCATCTTTGAGTTTGACCCAAGAGACAACCTCGACTATCATGAATACTTTGAGGTGAGTGAATACAAAAAAAACAGGCAGCTTTCAGATGCGGATCAAACTCAGGAAGCTGTACTCATTCCTGTATCACTCTCTGCCTTTCACTTTTGCTGCGTAGCTACCGATCCTACTGATTCTGTTGTTGACGCTGGCGGTTTACCTCGACTTTGAATCCAAGCTCACGCAGCATGTGGCGACAGCATACTGGCCTCTTATCCTTATGTCGATCACAACGGCAATCATTTTCTGTCCTCTCCCGATCGCCCATTTCACGGCACGTCGCTGGTTCATCTCGAGTATCGGACGTATTCTTGCGAGTGGCTACTATCGAGTCGAGTTTAGAGATTTCTTCTTGGCGGATGAAATGAACTCGCTCTCGTACTCGATTGAGCAGTTCGAGTTTGCTATGTGCGCCTATTCTGAGGAATGGGAGGACCTTGGTACGTCCCCATAACATCTTTCATTTCCTCTTTCTTATGAATAATTGTTTTGCGCATGATGTACTCGTGCTAACCTTTTGACTTGTGTACTTTTGCCAAACAACTCAATATAGCCAACCAATGCTCGACAAGCCACATGTGGATAACACCATTTCTGACAGCCCTACCAGCCTGGTTCCGCTTCCTCCAATGCCTCCGCCGATACCGCGACACGCTCGAATGGTTCCCCCACCTGGTCAACGCCGGGAAATACTCTGCCAGTCTCATCAACCTTTTTGTCTACTTTTCCTTCCGACACTATGGCGGCGCTCAACTGAAAACCGCCTGGATCTTTGTCTCGACCGTCACCAGCTTCTATACCTTTGCTTGGGATATTTATATGGATTGGGGGTTGTTCCGGTTTGGCAAGAATGGCGGGGGTGCGAATGGACATCCGTTCCTGAGACAGGAGTTGGTTTATTCGAGGACCTGGGTTTATTATATGGCGATTATTTTGGACTTTGTGGGGCGGTTTTCGTGGACAGTGAGGCTGATCCCAATGAATGTCAATGTCATGGTTCTTTCATTTGCTTTGGCATTTCTGGAGGTTCTCAGGTACGTTGTCTTCATCGGGGGTTTTTTTGTTCGTTGTTGACATTTGTAAATACGCCTCAGTGCTAACAGCAGTTTTTTTCCTTATCGTGTGTTGATGAATGTAATAGGCGGTGGCAGTGGAACTTTTTCCGTCTAGAGAACGAGCACCTGAACAATTGTGGTCAATTCCGCGCAATCAAGGATATCCCCCTCCCATTCCACATCCGCGTCCAGGGCGAATCCGACGAGGAGGAGGAGGAGGAGGACGAAGACGATAACAGCGATCATAACAGAAGTAGCAACCAACAATACCCACATGAGGACCCGGATTTTGTTGTCCACCAGGAGGGAGTCTTCCACCTCCACGACGACGATCAAGAGCTGGAAGATCTCGATCAGGATGGTCATTTTGCGGATCGGGACTCGATCATCCCACAGATGTCTATGGCTTCTTCCCCGCGCCGGTCAGGGTTTGGGGCTGGTGGCGGTGGAGGAGGAGGTCTGGTCCGATCGTCGAGCTCGCAGAGCAGTTTCTTTGGCGCGTTCAGTAACGGCAGCCATGCCCATGGGTTGTCGAACCTGGGATCCAGTGTTGGTGCTGGAATTGGTACCGGCGGCAGTGGTGGTGGTGGTGCTGGTGCAGGAGAAGGTGGAGTAGCAGGACAAAACCGTGAGGCCAGCAAGAGTCGAACCTCGATCCATTCAGCAACCTCGCTTCCTCAACCCCGACAACCCTACGGCGGCATGGCCCAACGATCCTTCAGTCACAGCAGTACGACCCAAGGCATCGCCGGCGGAGGAGGTGGAGATATGACATCCTTGAAAACGAAACAGAGTATGTCTTCCTTGAGGACGAAACGGAGCAGGGCCAGCCTCCGCGACTCTGTGAAGGCGGGAACGGCAGCCAGCAACACGAGTCTCCATCATCCGTTCAGTACTTCGCGCAGCAACTCGTTCGTCGACACTGCAGTCGCCGAAGCCGGATTCACGGGTTCCCAACGAGAGATCTTGGAGTCAGAGACGGCCAGCAGCAAAAAGTTTTATGACCGCCGCGATTTCGATTCCAAGATCATCGAGGTTGAAAGGAGTAGTGACCTTTGGAGGCGACAACCACGCGCTCCAAAAGAGAGGGCTATGACTGGTGGGGCGACTTCTTTGCATGGATTGCAGGCTCTAAGCGCTGATAGTGTCTTAGGTGGAGGTGGAGGAGGAGGGTTGGATGAGAGGATTATGGACTCGGAGAGACGGGCGAGGTCGCAGGTGGTGGTTCCGAGACGCAAGATGAGTATGGGAACGAGGATGCGGAATAGTATCTTTGGGCGGGGGCTGAGTAGTGATTCTGACGATGATGAGGAAGCTGATACCGAGTAGGGGTTTTTAGATGACCTTTGATGATAATGATATTCAATTTTTTTTATTTTCAGAACTTAATGATATTAAACGATTCACCAACCTTACTCCGTCCTTCAAAAATGATGACCACTAAGTAACAAGCCTTGTCCATTGAACAGATACAGTCGTCCTCAAAGACGGTGTTACGCGAATAATGACCCAGCGGCGACCCATTGAGCAGAAGACCGAGCGAGCGGCAGGACCAACCCAAAGAACAGACAGACCAACGACAGCACCAAGATCTGACCCCGGGTGTACTGCCACAGTAGCATGATCTTCGATTGTGTCTGCAGGGCTTGCGCTTCTGACAGCCCCAGCTTCTCCAGAACATTCCTCCCAACCATCGCCGCTGTTTCTGTAGACGATGATGACGATGATGGCGGTGTGGACATAGGCGGTAATGTTGTTCCGGGCGACGACAACGATGACGACGACAACGGCGACTTGTTTTCGTTGGAGTAGTAGGTGGATGATTCCATACTGACGGGCTCTTCAACAATAGTCGTCGTGATGAGATTAGGGCTACTCTGAAAATTCGAAGAGCTCAACGAGATCGAGTTCCGTTTCGACGATCGACCACTGCTACTCCCATGCCCACTCTCCGAGGCTGTAGGACTGGCTGGGAAGTAATAATCCATCGAACCCCTTGGCGTACTAATGGGTGTAAACAGCGTCGGATAAATCCCCGGAGACGTGGACGCAGCCGAAGACGTGCTAGTCGTAGAACTATTTGATAGCCGACGTCCAACACCACCGATCGACACGACGGTCGGGCGCATGGATTCAGAGTATTGCCAGCGTTCAAAGACCTGTTGACGGGACCGTTGTGGTGGCATACGGGAGAGGTCGATGGCTTGAAGAGGTGGGGAGATGGTGGTGGTGGTCGAGGAGGATGTGGCAGAGGAAGAGGAGAGAGATCCAGCGTCGTCTTCGGGATCTCGTATTGAGAGTGGCGAGACGGAGACGCAGGGGATGTAGCATTCTATGAACCTTTTTGGATCCAGCGACTTCCACTATATGATGGATCAGAGTGCGAGATGTTGTTACGATGAGAGATACGCAGGAGAAACGACGGTTAGGATGAGGACTGTGCGTAGAGAGGGAAGACAAACTTACGCTGCGAGAATTTATCAACTGGGCTTCCTCATTGTCTTTCAGGACAATGGTCTGAAGCAAGAATCTGTCTTGTGGGCTGATCCAATTGTCACAGCGAACTATTTGTCCGAGCGAACAACAGCATTAAGAAACAAGAAGGATTTGCAACATGTGAGAGAGATGGACGAGATCGATCTGCACGCAACACGTTTTTTCCTTCCTGTCAATCATGCCTCGCCTGGCATATATGCCTGCAAGTATGTGTAAAAAAGCCGTTTCTTTACCAAAGATTTTGACGGATTCATCTGGGGCCAATACACCTAGCACGGGCTTGACAGAGTACTTCATGGGCGCATTCGTCTTGAACTTGTATCCCACTGGCGATGACGACAGGTTCTTGAGTTTGACCTTTGAGACCTGACCTGGCGAGACCCTCGACGCTATTTCGGTGGGTGGCAAATGAGTCGAAAGTTAGAAAAGAGTAAAAAAGTTAGTAGTGAATGAAATGGACGCGTCCATGACATATAAGGACATTTTGTGGCCAATCAGAGTCCTCGATTGTGCCCTGCTGCATCGTTCTTGGTTATGCTCAATTCCGAGTTGACCCTACCAATGGCCTCCTAGAGCCAACGGCTCAAATACCCTCTTTTTCATGCTATTTCAAGTCGTACACCCAACTCAGTCAGCCAGCCAAGATGGAGCTTTCCACCTTGTGCATTGCTAGCTTCTGTGTGTTTATTCATCCCCTTATCAAACAATGAGCAGAGGGCCATATTACTCACTGATTGTCAACCCTCCTCGTCTTTGTCTGTCATCGAATTCGACACCTGCTGTTCAGCAAGCGATAAGAGCGGCCATGTCCACCATCCATACTGTACTCACTCACAAAAGAAAAAAATATGCTTGGACCAATCTGTGTTCCGTATCCAATGCGCGTGCAAAAAAGACCAATACCACAATCCACTTTCAGTTGGCGCAACCTTTTTTTCCCCTTTGTTGGAGCCAACCAACCGTGCACGATGTTATTATTTTTGTGTTCTTCCACTGAAATTGTTGGTTGGTTGGGTGCACAAGTTCACTGCCCACTGTAGGGTCATCCACTCATCTTTCCTTTTTCTCTTCTCAACCACAACCACTCCCTTCCTCCGTTTGAAAATCCAGCATGACCAGCAAAAGACGTGGTGCTTAGAATATGACGAGAGTGAATAAGGGTACTGCGGTATTGACGAGAGGAAAAGAGAAAAGGGGGAAAGAGAAAAGGGGGAAAGAGAAAGTCGAGGTGATTCGGGAGAAGTAGCGGGTGCTGGAATAAATGTTCGAGCCCTGTTTTATGTTTTGTGAAGAACCAAGCTAGAAGTTGCCGTTGTTTTCTGCTTCGATTAAGTCAAGAGCAAGCTCTTGGTGACGAAAGAGTGCTCCTTGTTTTGCCGACAAAAATAAGGATGTACCTGTGAAGTGGAACTGTTGAGGCGATATCCGGAGGACTTCGTTGGAAGGGGAAGAGACGCCTCCTTGTTGTGAGTCTGGTTGTTGTTGCAGTGAGGCTGTTGACATTGTGATATAAAGTAAAGTTGAGGGTTGAGTTGGGGAGAGAGTGAAGAGTGGAGAGTGGAGAGTGGAGAAGGTAACGAAGGGGAGTAGTAACGGCGGTAGAAGGGAAGGTTGAGAAAGTACAGTTGAACAGTCGAAGTAAGAAACCGTGAGAAGAGAAAAAAAAGTTCAGATTGGCCGCCCTTTTTATTTCTGCTGTCTTTTTGTGATCACTTGTTCCGAACAGGCAGAAGCGCATTTGAGAGAAGCTTGCTTCCAACTGGTAGCCAGCTTTCCTAGCCAGTCCTTGTTGCGCATGCATGAATGTGGTCCATCCACCTTTTGCTTTGAAGTTTGAACCTTTCTTCAATAAGAATCGGACCTCGAATTGGCTCCAGGAAACCTACTCCGGGTGCGCCACCAAAGTGACCGACCAAGCGCCTCGCAGAACATGCGACCCGATTATTTCTAACAGTAATCGTCCCTGCCGCCACAACAAACAATAAAACTATGCGACAAATTTTTTTCATCTCTTTTTTCTTTAACCCTCTCCTTCATAATCACCTCCGTCTTGCTCATCCATCAGAGTCGCGAGTTAAACGATCGGAGAAAGACACAATCAGCCTGCAATCCATCCTTCCACAAAAACGCACCTCCTTCTTTTCACTCTTTCCTTCCACATATACCCTCTTCTCACAAAGGTCATCTTCTTATTACTTGTTTACTCACGTTTACTCGAAACGGAAGAAAGACTTTTGCCGAGAAGGAGGTATGGAAGGATAGAGAAGGATTGTTGGAGCGTGTTATTATTGTGGTCTGGAAAGGATCCAGGTATGCCATCGCTGCAGATCACCCTGGAACCCCTTGTTGGGTCGGGACTCTGGGGACTTTTAACCATGGCCCCGGATCAGCCCATTACCTTTGGCGATTTGAGTGAGCGGCACATCTCATTTTTTATTTTTATTTTTTATATTAATTCAAGAACAATAATCGAATATCAGTGCATGCAAGTCGAGGATGTCATGAAGAGGTGTGGATTGGATGAGCAACGATCATCACGAAGCAAGAAGAGGATGGATGAGAAGAGGGATATAGAGCTGCGAGAGGAGATTCATATCATAGATGAGTTGTCAAGATCAAAGAGAAAAACGATGGATGGAAGATCGATTGAACTGTACGAGGAGATACATATCATGAAAAAAGAAGGCGGTCGAAGGGTATCGTCAACAGCAAAACGATCAGAAAAGGACCAGTTGGTCGTTGGTGGAGTAAAGAAGAGGTTTATGGTACTAATAGTCGGCCGCTTCGGGTGCCCAGAGCTTGAATGTTCTATCAAACCCACTGGAGCCAATGTAGCGACCATCGTTGGAGATATCGACGCCAGTGACCTTGCCCGTATGTCCCACCAAACTCTTCTGAAGCTTCCAGTCATCGGCACTCCAGATCTTGATCGTGCCGTCGAAACTGCCACTTCCGAGGTATAGTCCGCTCTTACTCGGCCGTGGCTCCTCTCCCTCAACATGCATCCTTGCGTCAGGGTCATTTTCATACGGCGATCCAGCAAAGAACTTGATATCCGAGACGAGGTTGGTATGGGCAGGGATGGAGTGGATCGACCGGAGTGCCCTCAAGTCCCAGATCCGGATAGTATTGTCTGCACTTCCAGTGGCGATCTGGTATCCGTTAGGTGAAAAGTCAATGCCCAGAATATCAGACACATGTCCCTCCATCGTCAACGCTGACCGTCCTGTCCTCAGATCCCATACTCTTCCGATAGCATCCAGACCTCCCGTTGCAACCAACGATCCATCGCATTGGAATCCAATCGCGTACACCTCTCGAGAATGTCCACGTTGTGTCAATACCTCTGTTCCAGCCTCAATATCCCACAGTCTCCATGTTCCGTCGAATCCTGCGCTGCCCAAAAAGCGACCCATTGGGTGGAATCCAATACGAGCAACTCTGGCCTCATGGCCCTTCAACGACTGGATCGGCGTGTCACTGTGAAGTTGAAAAAAAATGCAGATAATTACAGAGTCAATACGACATGCCAATGTGGGTTGAAACATCACAAACTATACCTCGGAGCGACATATATCGCAGGCATACCTTTCGAGTGACCACAGGTTCACGATGCCGTCTCCTCCTCCTGAGGCGAGGTTCACTGCTCCGCGGTCCTGACTGATATGTGCCTTTGGGTGCCACTTGAGCCCTCCAATTTTGTCCGTATGACCTATCAGCAACATGAAATTTGCGATCAATATACGCTTGTAACCATAGAGATCTCATGTTGCCTAATTGTCACGTCTGGTTGCAACAGTTACCTCTTAATGTATGTGAGAGTTTTGAGTTGGCAACACTCCAGATCTTGCAGAGCCCTCCAAACGAGCCTGTTGCCAAATATTGACTGTCGGGTGAAAATGCACATTGAGAAAGCGGCCTGTCATCACCGATCTGCGAAGAGTGGTTCGCGTATGTCTATGGGAAAAAGAATAGAATGTATCATGGGGTTAGTATCCGTTTTCACCAAAGTTATCTGTTTCAATGTCGTTCGCAACAGAAATGGCAAAGACCATTACCATCAGTTTTCCAAACTCCTCTGAGCGCATTGCTTTAAACACTCCAATCGGGATATCAGTTTCTGCGTTCTGCCTCTTGACTCTCTCAGCCGCCCTAATAGCCAAAAGAAATAGAAGTAGTTACACCACCGTTAGTCGTTGAATCTCCTTGCCGATCCACGCTAGCATAAATGGGTGTCGAATTAATTGGTAATCCTTACTTGGGCAGAGAGTAGTGGGCAATGTCCCGTCTTGCTTTCAATAGACTGTCTGTTCCTGGAGTGTATACTTCCTAATGTGGAAAATAAGATGTATGTCAATACTTTTCCATGGAAGGTCCGGTTGATTGCAATGCACTTATGTCGACTAAAAGTACAGGACAATACCTCCTCATCATCTGAGCCACTTTCATCTTCTTCGTCTCCTGAAGCCATCTTTTCATCGCCTCCTTCAATAACGGCATCCTTTGCCAACAAGTGCCTGAGACGTGCTCGTCGATCCATATTCTATAGCGAGTTTGAATATAAGTTGATCAATTAATGTTTCGTTGTTGTAAAATGACCCCCGCTTGACAAGAACCTCATCACGAATGGTGGAAGGCAGCAAGCAGGATCCTGATACATACATCTTCAGCGAAGAGACAGACGGGTTCATCGAGTTCCCGAAGCTTCTCTCTGACTTTCTTGTCGTCTGTTGGAACGACGACTGTCCTTGCACGCTTCTTTCGCTCGAACATCTCCATGACTTCCATGTGTTGGTCTCTTGCGCGCTTGGACGAGTCTGCAAGGTCATACTTGTCATCCACCTCTATTATACGTCAATTAAAATCGTAGCGTAAAGGTGAATTACTTTCCTCTCGTATTGCTTTCGTTATCTCCTGAACAAAAAGAATCCTCGAGAATGCTTACTGAGGTTGTCGAGGGTGGTTCCTTTGGGTTGTGATGAGGCAGGGACGGGATCAGCAGCAGCAGCTGCGGCGGCTGCGGCCTGACGGTTCCTTGCCTCGACGTCCTCGAGCGAGCCAAAGTAAATGCGGCCTGCAGGTGGTTTTCCGTTTGAGCCGTCCATTATGCTTGGTTGTGAGTGTGGGTGGCGATGTAGAAAAGGCAAAGATGTGTGAATGAGTTGCAGACAGGTTGAGTCGCGTAGGGGCAATAAAAAAAAGATTCGTAGTGGCTTAGCAACCTTGGAGACAATGCTTGATCCCCTTTCTTCAAGTATCTTGGATGCTGTTGGAAGAAAATACCCCGCAGCTGGTTGTCTGGATATACACACTGTCATCATTTGTTGTTGGCGTGGTGGAAGGAAGGTTGAGGGGGTTGGAAAGAACATCCAGTTACGAACGTTTGTTGTAGTGGCAAACTTAAGTGAGTGTATGCACATTAAAACAATGTGTGATGGCGACAAAGAACGCGAGGAAGGTGGCGGAGGTCAGTGGGTTCGGTCGGGTGATGAAGACAAAGTTTTTCTATAGAAGTATATACAAGCGAATAAAAGAAAGCGAAGTGATTGTGCAACCAAGAGAAGAACCATTGGTCCGGAGCTGATTGCTCACCGGCCTTGGGTCTTGTAAAGGAGGAGGAGTGAACCGAAGCCGATGGGTCGGAACCGAGGACTTTTCTGTGAAGCGAATTTGTGTCAGCCAAGGCTCGGCAATTAGAGGGTTAGAGTCGTGGCTGAGATAAATCCTATTTGCTTCTCCTCCACATCAATCCAGGTACGGCTCAGGGCCATTTGACGGGTGTAATAGAAAAAAAACAGTGCAGCCGTCGGACTGGGCGGGACTAGACCAGACTGGACTTTCCTTCACAAAAAAAAAAAGAGTACAAAAAAGGAACCAAGCTCTACTTTCTTATTCCCCTTTTACTTTTATTTTATTCGTTGTCTCCATTCTCCATCTTTTATTTCATTCATTCACTCATTCTCACGCACCTTTGCCCATCATCACCGTTATCCCAACGTCAGTGTTACACTCGGACCCCTCACCTCACCTTCCTTCGGTAGAACCAACTACCGGACTTCTTTTCCTCCATAAAAACTAGGGGGAAACCTTCCTCTTTCTTTCTCTTCTTCTTCTTCTTCCCAGACCTACTCCTTCTCCTTAAGTACCATGCCTGCACCCAAACCCAGATTGACAGACGACCAAATCAAGGTCGCCTACGCTATTATCGACACCTTCATCCCTGAACTCACCGGTCAGGAACTCGAGGACTTTGTTCGCCAACACTCCAATGGCACCAACGACGACATCCTCCGTGCCTTTGGAAAGTCTGGCATCATAAACGAGGACCTCGGACGCCTCGTCATCGACAAGTTGCACTCTCTTCCCGCGGAAAAGATTGACGAACTCGGCACAGTCTTCAAAGTCCTTAACACCAAGTAAGAAATCGAGATCTCCTTTTCCCTCTCCTTCGATTTTTCCTTTCATGCATTATGCATTATGCTTTCTACCTTCCTTCCGTTCTCTCTTTACTCACTAACCAATTGTACGTGAAGGGTGGGAACATTGGCTCTTGGAGGAACCTACGGCGAGTTTGCCTCGCTCTCTCGCGAGCAGCGCACCCAGATCGTTATTGGATGGTCCAACAGCATGATTAGCAAGCTCCGTATCTTTTCCCGTGCCATGTTGACCTTGGCCGCTATCAGCTACTTTTCTCACCCTGTTGAGTCTGCCCAACGCGCCATGGAGTACCCTGGAGCTGACCCCGAGATGCACTCTGACCGCTTCACTGCAAAGTCTTTCCCCGTATACGACTTTATTCAGGTCCCTCCTCAGGGCCTTGAGCAGTCGTATGATGTGGTGATTGTTGGATCGGGTGCTGGAGGCGGAGTGATGGCAGCCGAGCTTTCCAAGGCTGGGAAGCGTGTTCTTGTGATTGAGAAGGGCCACCATTACCAGCAGAGCGAGTTGACTCTAGTCCAGTCTGATGGCTTCACCAACCTCTATGAGAACGGTAAGGGCAGAACCAGAACAGGATTCTTTTTAAGCATTACGATGAAGTGTGGGTTGTGGTTGACAACGGACATTGTTCACTTTGGATGGAGAAGCAAACCTAAATTTTGAGTTTTGTCACGCAAATGGATGAGCAGCCGATTTTTTGACCTCTTGCTCGCTCACTTTACATGAGAGTAACTTGCTCACCCCTTGCTCGCTGCACTGCCGCCACTCTGCAGCCCCCTCTCTCGGAGAGGGGAGAGGAGAAATGTAGATGTCTCACAATCTTCCACCACAGACTGTAAACAAGAGAACGAGCGAGAGAGCGAAAGAGAAAACGAAGACATCAAACATTGACAACGCCAACGGGATGCACTGACAAATTGACAACAAAAAGGAGCACTAGCATGTGCGTGTGCTAAAATAATGTACTAAACACTCCTTGCCGTGTGCTCCCATTATTGGTTGTGCCGTTCGTTAGGCGGATCATTAACCAACACGGACGGAACTGTGACTATTCTTGCTGGTGGCACCTGGGGCGGTGGAACCACCGTCAACTGGTGCGCGTCCCTCCAGGTAACTATCCAGCCTTTGCTTTGCAATGGTCGTTGGGACCCACGGTCACCTTCCTGACCTTTGACTCAACAAACCAATTCTCCTACGCCTTTTGTGCTCACTGCAACAAGTTGGCTCACAACCTTTTCCTTCGATTCATTTTTTTAGCTCCCCCACTATGTTCGTGAGGAGTGGGCCAAGCAGGGACTTCCTTACTTCAACACCCCCGCCTACCAAGAGTCTATTGACGCCATTACCACCCGCCTCAACATCTCGGACAAGTACATCAAGCATAATAACGCCAACTTGCTCTTGTTGGAGGGCTGCCGCAAGCTCGGATACCCCACCAAGAACATCCCCCAGAATACGGGCGGTCAGGAGCACTCTTGCGGCTGGTGCGGATTCGGCTGCCGATTCGGAGAAAAGCAAGGAACAATGATGACCTTCTTGGCAGACGCAAAGGACCATGGAGCCAAGTTCATGCAGGATTCCTTTGTCGATCGCGTCTTGATCGAGAAGGGCAAGGCTGTCGGAGTTATTGGTACTCAGAATGGACGCAAGTTCACCATCCGGGCTTCCAAGGTTGTTGTCTCTTCGGGGTCGATCCACACGCCTTCGCTCTTGAGACGCAGTGGACTGAAGAACAAGAACATTGGAAAGAACTTGCACCTTCACCCTGTCTCGTATGTCTTTGGCGAGTTTGACCAGCGCATCGACTGTTATCAGGGCTCTATCATGACCGCTGTAAGTTTCAGATTTGTTGTCGAATTTGACAAGAAGTCCGTCCATGTTCACTTTGAAGTCTTTTTTTTGTTCACTTTGCTAACTTTCTTTTTTCTGGGGGACGAACTTTTGTTGACATATGATACACCTATTAGGTGACGACGGTTGCAGAAAACACTGATGGACACGGCTACGGATCTAAGATCGAGGTCCCTTCGCACCACCCGGGAATCAACTCCATCTTTCCCAAGTGGGAGAACGCGGCCGGGTATAAGGGAGCCATGTTGAGCCTCAACCACATCGTCCCCCTCATTGTTCTCAGTCGCGACCGTGATGGCGGATCGATCGTGAACGGAGCCGATGGCCTGCCTCGTATCAACTACACGGTCTCTAAACACGATACCCTGTCACTGGAAGAGGGCATTGAGCGGTCCTTGAGCATCTTGGTCGCTGCTGGTGCCAAGAAGGTCTGGACCTGCCAACGTTTCATTCCTGAATTCGCGGTCAAATCGGATCTCGGAGTTGAAGATCCCGAGTTTAAGAAGTACCTCAAGGCCGTAGTACGCGAATCCATCAAGCCCGGCTCGGCTACCATCGGAAGTGCCCACCAAATGGGATCCTGGTACGTTCTTCTTTTGTTGCCTTGCCTCTTTTCTTTTGCCTTAACGTGACAACAACAACTAAAACTGACGTCGTTTTCTTTTCCTTTTTTTTTTTTCTTTAGCCGCATGGGTAACAACCCCAAGACGTCTGCTGTCAAGCCTACGGGAGAGACCTGGGAGGTCAAGGGTCTGTACGTTGCCGATGCCTCAGTCTTCCCTACTGCCAGCGGTGTCAACCCCATGTTAACCACCTACTCTATTGCCCACTCCATTGCCCAATTCATCAAGAAGGCCGATAACTCCTCCAAGCTTTAAGTAGCTGAAGAAACACAAAACAAAAAGTAACCACAACGTCCAAAAGACTTTGATGATTGTCATGATACCAAAACAAAAGAAGTAATAAAATACAAAAGTGCTTTTCCATCGCCATCTGCGCGATTGTACATACTCAAACATGTCAACACGTTTTCGTTCTTGTTTTATATGTTTTTAATTGTCGTTTTTACATGTTTTTGTTCTTATCATACAGTTGTCGATCAAATGGATCCAACGATTTCCTCGCCGCCATCGTCTTCGACGATTTCTTCCTGTGGCACCATTTCCTCATCTGCAAAATCATCGCCATATTCGTCCTCAAAGGCTGGGTCAAACAGTGGTTCCTCCCCGTCCTCTTCTGGCTTCTTGACAAGTCCGAGCTCGTCCACTTCTGGGAACTCTGTGTTTGTCATCTGAGAATAAGACTCCAGATCTATAACATATATCAATTACAGACAAAAAAAGGAGGGAGATGTTAGTATCTGAAGTCTGGTTCCCTTCCTCTTGTTAAGTACTCCAAGAACTTTCGTGATGTTTACCAATAGGGGTTTTCTTGTTTAATGCCTGCTCGACTCGTGCATGGTTGATACGGTCCTCGCGCTTGAACTTGTTCCTGATAGCAATACGCGACTTCTTGGGGAATATCTTGCAAATGATTCCAAAGTCTGTTCCCCACTGTGACAATGCCTATTAATGAGATCGATAAAACGCACAAGTCTGTCAGAACCACTATCCTTCATATCATCCCATTGAGAAGTAACATGGCGCGGATGAAAATAAAAACAAGAGGCAGCTTACCTCGAAGAAGAGTTCTGTATCTTCCTCGGACCATTTCTCAGACCTGTTCTTTTTCGAATAACTGGCACTGTTGGTGAAGCGTGTCGCTGCGGATTCATCGACATACTCCAAGGGTTCCAAGTGATCCGCAGCATCCACAACGGCGTGGTCGACTGTCAAAGAATCCATGTCTAGCTCAATGCGTCCATCAACAACTCGTACCTGCGGAGCGAATCTAATATTGTATAAATAAATTGTTAATTCTCCATCACTATGCGAACCTATGAGCAATGTCAACAATGATTTCTTTGCAACTTACGTTTTCACGGGCGCAGTCTTTGGTGTTATGGTCTCTGATTTGGCGCGCTGCTTGTCCTTCTCGTCCTTCTTGACAGAAGTGTAATCATCCTCACCCTCAGGATAGTCTTCCTCCTCCTCGCCTTCGGGAGCCGGTGTCTCTGAAGCCTCCCGTCCCTCCGCAATCCGCACCTCACGGTTAATCTTCTCCAGCCGCTTGACTCGTCTCTTCTCGTCCATAATCTTTTGGTGCTCCAAGAAAATCTTTGATCTCCGTCCTGTGCCCATATCCTTGACAAACTCGTACATGGGCGTATCCGAGTAGTCGGGCACAATCTCCTCGCCATCCTCCGTCAGCTGAGACTCCTCTGCTGCTCCAACTCCAAAGCGGTTGTTCTTGGGCCGGATATATTTGGCCTTTGTCTTTTTCTTGGGTGGAGTAAAGCCGTCGTTGTCGTCCTCATCGTCTTCTCCAGAGATATCTTCAGATTCGGCGCGGCCCCTTGTTGATGGGAGTGAGATGACAGAAGCTCCTCCCTTGACGGCGGGTGGCTTTGCAACTAACGAAGAAGATCCTGGGATAATGGCGACTGCTGCTGGTTTGGGCGTATGCGAAGAGGAGGAGGCGGAGGCGGAGGCGGAGGAGGAAAGAGTTTGGATCTCCTGAGCAGGTTTTGACACCACTTTTGTGGGCGAGAAGACGGGTGATTTTGGTGTGCCCATGACACGGATATTAGAGGGAGGTGGGGACATGGGTGTGGCGGTCGAAAGTCTCCTTGAGGTTGTTTCAACTGCCGATTTCTCTGGTACTGTAGACAACGTGGGGTTGCTGGTATTGTTGTTGCTAGTGCTTCCTGCGTCGGACTCTGTCAAGGATGCGCCAAAGGATCCGGTGTCACTGCCGTCGATTGAGGGTGTTGTTGCGGGGGTTCCATCTTCCGAGGCGGTTGCGGCCTTGCTGCGGTTGGGCCGTGCTTTGAGCTTTGGAGCGAACCTGGTTGTGCCCTTGTCTATCCATTGGGATTGTTTTTTATTTTGGAAGCGCGTTAGTGATGACTTTGTGCGGTAGGAGGTGTAGTTGTTGTTGGAGAAGAACAGTGAAGTGTTGCTTGTGTTGATGGATGTGCTTTACCGATGCGAGTGCTGATGCCCGACATTGCAAGTTTGTTGGTAGGGTTTTAGTGCTAGGGGTAAGTCGAGAGGTTGAGATAGCCAGCAGCTTCTATTCTTTAGTCTAGGCCAAAAAAACAAATTTGACGGTGGCTTGTCTCATATTTTTTGCCACCAACTTGGCGCTGAAAATGAATTGCTGGCAAGGAGAGTGACAACTGCGGTTGGTGTTTACGAAGGGGCTGCTGTTGTCGCAGCTGTGAATAAAGATGGCACTGAGATAGACTCATCGTTATCAAACAGAAGAGAGAGGTAGACTGCAAGTAATGACAGGAGCTGTAGCTGCAAGCGGTTCAACAAGTTACCTTCTGCATCACAAAGCGGTCACTCTGCCACCAATTTTTTTTTTAACTCAAGTTGATCACTTGGTTTAAGAAGAGATCATTTACCTTTTGTCTTTGCACAATCATTTTTCACATTCCACCATGCTGCCCACTCCTGACCTCTCACATCTCAAACGCAAGGACTATGAGTTCGTCTACGAGCCAGCCGGTAATCAGAACTTTTGCATACCTGCGCTTTGAATGGCCGGAACACTGCTCTTCATGCAAACCCATTGACACCTTCCTTCAAACAACACACTATACTTTCTTAGAGGATACATTTCTGTTCTTGGACGCGTTTGAGGACGAGGTTTACTTTTTGAAGGAGCTCCAACCGGCCATCTCACTGGAGATCGGGTAAAGGCTTGATACGCTTGTTAAACTGTGTCCATGAGTGGCGATACATTGAACCCTCAATTGACCAATGTATTTTTTCATCCCCTAGATCTGGATCTGGCTGTGTCACTGCTTTTGTGGGCAAAATCCTCGGAGAATCGAGCTGCTGTAAGATCCTGTCGATGCTTTTTGTACTACTTGCAGTTGACTCAAGAATTAAGTTGACTGACATACCATCTCTCCGTTTGCAACATGTAGTGAAGTACTGCACTGATATCAATCCCAAGGCAGCAAGAGCAACACAAGGCACCGCAAAGCAAAATAAGGTACATACTCGCCGCTAAAGTCCTACAAAGTCTGCCTGAACATGAGTCTCCAGGGCCGTCTTATTCAACACTTTTGCTTGTGGCCTTCTTTTATCATAGGTCTCAGTTGATATCATCGAGACTCATCTTGTGAGCGGGCTGCTTCCTCGTCTCGAGGGACAGATCGACCTGATGTACTTCAACCCACCCTATGTACTGACCCCTTCCGAGGAAGTTGGATCACACTCTGTCGAGGCAGCCTGGGCAGGCGGAATTGATGGTCGCGAAGTGATTGACGAGTTCTTGCCATACATCAAGGTAAGCTTAGTTCGATTGTCTTTTTATCGAATGATTGTTGGATGATATTAGTCGCTGACACAATCAATTGGGGTTTAAAATCCTTCTAGCGGTTGCTCTCGGTAAAGGGAGCGTTCTATATGGTTGTGGTGAACGAGAACAAGCCTGACGAGATCCGCGAGATCATGAAGAACGACGGTTTCGATTCAAGCGTAAGTTTTTATAGTTATCGGTCGATTGTTTGTGTTAAAAGTGAGTGGTGAACAACGTTTCATACTTTGCTAACTTCTCTTTCTTTAACACACACTAGGTTGTAAAGACTCGCCTTGCAGGAAGAGAAAAGTTGTTCATTTTGAAGTTTGTTAGGACGGCAGCCTGAAAAATAAAATAATTCGTTTTTGATATCACTGTGGACGCGTCTCCATTTGTGCAGAGACCCTTTGACTAAAAGAGCAAAGCCACCGAATATTCTTTTTTTCCTAACAGTTGATGTGTGCTGGAACGATTGGCAGCCTCCATCCTTTTTCCTTTTCTTTGTTCCTCCAGCGCTCAATCACACCTTCAACCAATGGGTAAATCTCGTCGCCCCCACGGGGGCACAGTCTCAACACTCGATCTCATTCCTTCCAACTATCTACTCTGCAACTGTCAACCAGCCTCAACATGCGTAACAACAACAGACAGCAAATATTCAACAAACAGCAACGAAACACCATTCAACAACCACCCTCATGGTGGACGCCGACGATAGTCTCGAGTTTAACTACTGACATACAGCTTGCTTCTTCACCTCTCACTATTTAGAACACCCAAATAACTCCCAGGGCGAACCACTCTCAGGAAGAGCTTCCGAGTTGGCCAACTCGTTCCTGACCGAGCTCACTACTGAACTGTCGACACCACCTATGGGTTCCTCTGCCAAACGTAAGCTTAATCAGGAGTATGTATTAAACACAACGGTCCTATGTTCAAGTACAGGATGTCGCTAACAAATAATACGGATCTTTTGATCTTTTGTTTTTTTATTTACTAAATAGGCGAGTTCAGCGGACAAGAGGAACCGGATCGCAGAAGCACTCGCCATAGAGGAGAACGGGGCGAATCCAGGGACGGGGACAGGGACAGAGAAAGGGAGCGAGACAGAGACAGACATCGTTCTTCCAGCTCACGACACGAACGCGGCGACCGTGAGCGCAGCGAGAGGGGCGAAAGACATCGCAGCGAAAGAGGCGAGAGGGGCGAGCGTGCCTTTGATGAACGCGAGCGGGGTGATCGTGAGAGGCGCGGAGGCGAGCGGGAGCACAAGGACCGTAGCGAGCGCGGTGAACGCGACCGGGGCGACAGGGACCGTGGCGACCGTGATCGCCGAGACAGAGATCGCGACTATGAGAGATATGAGAGAGACCGTCGTGACCGTGACCGTAGCCGTGAGAGACGCTCTGGACGGGACGATCGCCACCGTGACAGCAGATATGGCGGCAGGAGATCGAGCAGGAGCCGCAGCCCTCCCCGCGACATGTCGCCCATGCTGGACGAGCACAACATTCTGCCTATCAACAAGCGTGTCCGAAAGCTCAAGAACTGGGATCTTCCTCCTCCTGGATATGAAGACAAGACTGTGCAGGAAGTCAAGGCGTTGGGTAAGGGGTGATTTTTATTACAAAAACACAGGAGGCGCTCTACCGTTGGGAGCATTTTTATATTCGCAAATGACTAATAGCCTGATCATTCCTTGAACAATAATAGGAATTTTCCCTCCCCCTGGACAGCCCGCTGTTCTTCGATCAGAGATTCTTCAAGGAATGGACCCTGAGCGTGCAGCCCAGTTGGTGCACGAGTTGCCGCCTCGCCCTCTACGTATGAACTACCCTCCTATGGGCGGACCAGGTGGCATGGGCGGGCATTTCAACAACATGGGCTTTGGAGGATTCCGCAACAATCACCACAATAACAACGGCGGCCCCCCAGGTCCTAATGGCGTAGATCACACAGTCGGAAGGCAGCAGCGGAGACTTTACTGTGGAAACCTTCCTGCTGGTATCAACGAGGTAACACACCCGCAGGATTTTTTCCTGGCTTGTACTTCGTCTGTGTCAACACTCGGGATTGCTACTAACTAATTTGCTATGGATGTTATTGGCATTCATCCTTGTATTCGCTTTCTTTAGGAATCGTTGGCGGACTTTTTCAACCAGACTATGATGAGCATGAACCTTACAACAGCGTCGGGAGCACCCGTCGTGTCTGTCCATATCAATTTCGACAAGAACTATGCCTTCGTCGAGGTACGTAAGGTTGCTTCCTAAGCAACAAGTGTGCACGCAGGACATATTACATACTTTGTGATACTAATTGACGGTTGTTATTCACAAACGTATTTAGTTCCGCACGCCTGAGGAGGCCACCGCTGCGATGGCATTTGACGGTATTGTTTTCCAAGCCCAGACGCTCAAGATCCGTCGCCCCAAAGATTACCAGCCCCCAGAGGGAACAATCCAGGAGGTTCCTCAGATCCATGTTCCAGGAGTTATCTCGACAAATGTTCCGGACAGCGAAAACAAGATTTTCATTGGAGGTCTCCCTCTCTACCTGAACGACGAGCAGGTTATCGAGTTGCTCACTGCATTCGGAGAATTGAAGGCGTTCAACCTGGTCAAGGAAAACAATATTGGACCTTCCAAGGTATATATATCATTGCTCGATTTATTTTGTTTCAGAGATGGCGTTTGAAATTAGAAATTAACGCCCTGTGCCTTTATATATTGTTCCTTAGGGATTTGCCTTCTGCGAGTATCTTGATCCTAACTTGACGGATATCGCATGCCAGGGTCTCAACAACATGATGCTGGGAGAGAAGAAGCTGGTGGTGCAGCGTGCCAGCGTTGGATCGTCCAGGAACAACCAGAACCCCGCGGGAGGCGCCAATGCGATCGCATTACATCCCAACTTGATGCTCCCTGGTGCAGGACCTACTGAAGTTGTTCCCACCGACGTCTTGCAGCTGTTGAACATGGTCAGCCCCGAGGAGCTTGAAGACGATCAAGAATACGAAGGTACATTCCAGAATGTTGGTTGATTTTTATGTGTGCTCCCTTATTTATGTTGGCAACTGTTATTGATACCACTACCGCCATTACTGCCTTTTGTAGATATTATTGAGGATATTCGGGACGAGTGCTCCAAGTTTGGGCGGGTTCTTGAGGTCAAGATTCCTCGGCCGGTTGCGGGACATGCGGTGCCTGGAGTGGGCAAGATCTTTGTGAAGTTTGCCAGTGCCGAGGAGACGACGGTAGCGTTGAGCGCGTTGTCGGGACGTAAATTCGCGGACCGCACTGTGTTGACATCATTCTACGACCCTGAGAGGTTTGCTGCGAACGAGTTTTAAAATGCCGATGTAGCCATATTGAAAGGAAACACAACAAGAAACACAAACAAACAATGACAGATATCATAAACCTACAAGCGACATACAGCATGCGTTTTGCCCCGGAGAGAATGACGATGAAGGCCTCTTTTTCTATCTGCTAAACATGTATGTGTCGTTGAAATGTACATATATGCACCATGGTACGGTATTCGGTTAGGCTGCTTTCTCTGAAAGAAAAGAAAGAAAAGAAAGGAAATTGATAGAGCTGGAAAAAAGAACGCATGCAGAGGGGAAATATCCCGTTGATGCAATGGACGGCGGAATGGAAAATAAGAACAAAAGAGAACAGACAGAGAGACGCGTCCTTGGTTTAGGCAACAGGGAGGCGAGAGGGAGTGAGAGAAGGAGAGATAAAGCTAAATTTTACTGTACTATTGTTGGAGGATGAAAAAACGAGGGAGTAGAGCATGGATGGGTGACCATTGGTCGATAGTTTATTGTTCTGATGGCCGTTTTTTGATGCTCCCGAGCAAAAGGGAGAGGGTCAAGAAAAATAAAAAAAGGAGCTGATATCTCTACAAGGTTTCTTTCGCCACAAGATGAAGGACCCATCACTTTCCAGAAAAATTACAAAGTGATACTCCTCCACATAGCACCCACAGCGAGCCCTGTCCATTTTGTATATTATTTACCTCATTGCCCATGGCATGGCTCATTATTTTTTATTTATGTGGTTTCCCCATGCTTTCCCTTTGCTCTCATTTGTTTTTGTTCCTTCCTCTCCTTTCTCTTTTTCTCCTTTCTCTTTTTTGTTTTGTTCTTTGGTCTCGTCCACCCTCCTTCCTTTACCACGTCTTTAACCCATACTCTCAGTCCCTGTACCCTTTCTCACGTCCAATTCTCCTCTTCTCACGTCCCTCGCTCCCTTTCTTCGCATTCACTCTCAAACTCATCACCGCCGAAACAATCTGCCATCCTACATTGCCCTTCCTATTCTTTGACGCCCATTTACGCCCTTCCTCGGACCCACCCTTGCTCGCTCTTGTCCGCCACAACAACTCGCCACCCGACAAAAACGACACGGACGTCGGACCCCGACACACACAGACACGACCTTTTGCACCTTCTCTCTATTGTTTTCTATTTCTTCGCTTCGAGCTCACTTTATTCTCTTCTGGGCTAGACCAACGACGACCCTCTGTTTTTTTTTGTTTTTTTTTCAAAGTGAGTTTATTACTGTTTGCCAAACGCAGTTATTATTAGTGATAGTACAATGGCTAGCTTCATTTATTATTATTTTTCGTGCTTTTTTGGTAAATCCATGCACTAACTTGGCACCTTATGGCGATCACTTTGTTGTTGCCATGGATGATTTCGCGATGGGTAAAAGGAAGTGTTTTGTTGAGCGAAATAAGTGTAAAAAGTGAGAGAGAGAGAGAGGAGAGGGAGAGAGAGGGGAGATATTGTCATTCGCGTGCCAGCATATTCCCGTCCGCTCCTCCTCCAACACAGAAGATGACGAAGAGTCCTTCTTTCTTCCCTTCCACTTCCCTCACCCACAAAAAGATCAGTCAGGGACCATCACCACTTGGTTATTAGTTTGTTTTTTGATCAGTGTCCAATGAGCGGACTTGACTCTCAACAACTATGTGTTTCTCATTTTTTTCAGGCACAGGTTTTTAAATGTTTGATTTACTGATTGATGAGATTCTTTTTATTTCTGAATTGTTCCTGAAAACCACCTTCGGACTCGCTGATCAGTTCGAGACGATCACTTCTACCTCTCCCTCTTTCCCTTGCTCGCTCGTTAGCCTTTTTACTCCTTGGTTCTCTTTTCTTCTGGTGATTGACCCTCGTTTGGAAGCAATGTGTGCATGTCTATACGAGAGTGTGTTTGTTGTTGTTCTTGTCGACTGGAAGGAAAGAAATGAAGAAAAACAACCCTTTCGTAACAAAAGAATATTGGCCTGGGGACTGGGCTACTGCAACAACTGCAACAACAATTGCAACAACAACAACCACAACAATATTGTTTAAACAAAAACAACAGCTCAACGTGTCTCTCTTTCTTCTTTTCGTCGTCTTCGTCTTTGCCTGTGGCTCTTCGTCGCCTCTAATTCTCGTTACATCTATTTGTATTCTATTACTTGTTGTTGGCACCACCCTTTTTGTCTTTCACAACAATAGCTGGTTCTTGTATTCTTGTCCCCGCTACTTCTCTTTTGTTCTCTGCCTCTTCTCTCACTCTCTCTCTCTCTTTCTCTTTCTCTTTCTTTTCTATCTCTCCATCTCTCTCTCTCTCTCTCTCTCTCTCTCTCTCTGCCTCTTCTCTCTCTCTCTCTCTCTCTCTCTCTCTCTCTCTCTCTCTCTCTCTCTCTCTCTCTCTCTCTCTCTCTTTCTCTTTCTCTTTCTTTTCTATCTCTCCCTCTCTCTCTCTATTACACTTTTTTTCTATTATATTTCCTCTCCGCTCCCACGTTTTTTTTATTTCTCCTTTTCCTCTTTCTTCACTTCAATCGTCTGTTACATTCATCCGTTACTAACTAAATTAACCTCTCTTCTTCCACTCTCTCTCTCTCTCTTCCTCCTTCACTTCTTCCTTCTCACTCAACTTCTCTCACTCTTTTCATCACTTTGCATCTCTCAACATTCATCCCATTCCTCATCCTTCCCTTCACCGATCACTCTCACTCACATTCAATCGCTCCTTCCATCCAACAATAACTCACTGGACCTGATATTCATTCATTCATTCATTCAATCATTCATTCGACAACAACAACAAAGAGTAACGACCCACCCTTTATCTCATCTCTCACCGTCTTTTCTTCCTTCTCGCCCCTTTTCACGCTCCCTCACGCCGACACATTTTTTTTTGCCGCCCTTTTTTTTTCCTTTCACTCTTCGCTCGCACACTTTCTTCTTCCCTCTCTCTCTTTCGCTAGTCCCTAGTCCCTCGCTCGCCTCCACCAACATACTGGACGCACCCATACCCCTTCCTTCTCCTTCTCTTCCTCCACCTCAGCAACTGTCGCCACTCCCTCTCTCCCGGGCCCTCCACCCTCTCAAACTGGCTCTGATATGAGTGAACAACGCCACTCTGTCATGCCTCATCAACTTCCACAGGAGCCTGCCACTCACCATCAGCAACAATACCATCGACAGCAACACCATCAGCAACATCATCAGCAACAACAAAGTAGATCCTCTAGAGACATGGCCGCCCAAAACTTCCCTCAACAAACAAACCAAACGCGCCTTCAGAGTCAACCCGTACAAACCACCCCTGCCCCGGAGCTGGCTCCTGCTGTGCAAAAGTGTGGAAAGTGCGAGCTGCAGATGAAGGGTTCATTCGTGCGTGCCCTCGGCAGCACCTATCATCTCGACTGCTTCAAGTGCTTGGTAAGGCTCCACCTCCTTTACCTCCTCAGTTCATGAGAAACATCTCACCTTCTCTCCGACACAGAAATCCAACAACCACAACTAAGACACAGGACAAATAATGAATGCCATCGTCAAAACACACAATTCAACTACTTTTTCATCCAACTCTCGACTCATCTCACTCACTCATTCATACCTTCCTCCCTTTCTCATCACTTTTTCTCAGGACTGTGGCGACATTGTGGCCTCCAAGTTTTTCCCCTTCACAGAGCCCAATGGGACGCAGTATCCACTCTGTGAGCGCGACTATTTCCGGCGCCTCAACCTTGTGTGCCAATCCTGTGGAGGAGCTCTTCGAGGCTCCTACATCACGGCACTCGACTACAAATATCATATTGAGCACTTCACATGCTCTGTCTGCCCAACGGTTTTTGGTCCCCAGGACTCGTACTACGAGCACGATGGTATGGTTTACTGCCACTACCACTACTCGCTCTGCTACGCTGCAAAGTGCGCTGGATGTCGTACCGCGATCCTGAAGCAATTCGTCGAGATCAACCGCAACAGTCAGGACGAGCACTGGCATCCAGAGTGCTACATGATCCACAAGGTAAGAAAAAGAACATGCATCGATTGAGCTCCTGGCAGCACGCTCCTTTTCCTCCCGGCTAAATGATTGCAGGTAGCCATCATTATTTTATTTACCAGGCGAAAACAACAACGAAGTTGATAATGGAAGAGAAAAAGAGAAAAACGCTGTGCATTGAATGGTCTCCCTTGAACGGGCGGCGAGCAAAATAAAATGAAAGTGGACAGTGGATAATGAACCATATCGTGAGCATCTCGACATTTCGACACCAATCCATGTGGAGACACCAATAACTCAATTATTATTCTCTTCTCTCACTCTAAACATTTATAGTTCTGGAACGTCAAATTGTCCTTCTCACAACAGAGCGATGACCCAGTCGACAACAATAACAGGAATAACGCTGCCCCCACCGACCCAGTCTCACCAACAGGAGGAGATGGCAGCGGAGAATTGCAGATGTTGACTATCGTGGATGGACCGACAAATGGCGGGAGTTCTGCCCCACTCTCGCCAGTGGATGCGTCACGCTCAAACACTGCACTGGAAATCAAATCGCCCGCCGATTTGAAGTTGGTCCAACAGCAGATGGAGGAAAAGGTGTATCAAATCTGGACGGTTCTCTCGGCCTTTGAGGAGTCCTCGGCTGGTTGTATCTCTGAGATGTTGCTTCACGTCTCAAACGGGGCTTATTACGACGGCGTGCAGATGGCAGGCAGGTTTATCCTCCATGTCGACATTCTTTTTAGTGCCATTGATGACCTCGAGGCCCAAATGAAGGAGGTCGGCGATCAAAGCGGTACGCAAGTGTTTGCAAACAAACAAGCAACGACAACAACAACAAACGAGACAAGGGGACTGATTCTGTCTACGCGTGATGTAATGTGATGTGGAGGGGGGTGGTTGGAGATGCAGCATCGACTGACCGACAATTGTTTCCCCCTTTCTTTCTTCCTTTCCTTTGCCCCTCTTTTTTTCTGATCCTTGACGCTTTGACCAGATATGGCGCATGGACGGGAAGCAAAGATGCTTTGCAAAAAGATTGTCAACTTCTTTTCGCTCCTGTCTCATACGCAAGAGAGCGGGGTGCGCCGGTTAGGAATGACACAGGAGCTGCTTTCGCTTGTCACTGGACTGGCTCATTACCTCAAGATCCTGATTCGCATCGCCCTCACTTGTGCGCTTAAGCTGGTAAGCGCCTTTGCGCCGACTCTTGTTTTTTGAGTTGTGAATGTATGGATAAACATATTACTAATACTATTCCCTCTTTTCTTATTTACCGACACTAAAAATACGACTGGTCACTCTCTCTCTGGATATATAAAATGACGGCATAACTTGGATAACGTTGCACTCAACCGCATGCATCGACCAACCGACCCACTAAAATTCACGCCGTGCAATGTTAAACTATCCAGGAACGGCAGTACAACTCGACTTCGGTTATTGCTCGATTCCTCAACAAATTAGTCGAGCTCGCTAACAGGGACAAGTTCCAGAGCGAGGTTCAAGAAAAGCCGACGGTCGATGCCGAGGTGACCTCTGACTTATGTTCTGCGTGCAGAGTGACGATTGAGGACGAGTGCTTTACATCCAACAACCACCATCGCTGGCACCCCAAGTGTCTGATCTGTGCCAAGTGTGCCAAACCGCAAGCGGCAGTCTACTACGATGCACTTTTTGACGCTGACCGCGGGACGGTTCTGTGTCAACAGTGCAAGACACCCGAATCGCAAACGGGATTCTCGCATGTCACTAAGCTGGAGCAATATACCTTTTTACTACGCGTCGCTCTTATCCGCCTGGAGAACCTTCTTCACCTCAAAGGTATGCCTGCTTATATCCCAACTATCACTGCGCCTCCCACCTTGTTCGCGCCTAGGACGAAATTATTGATCAAACCATGTTATATTTGAAACATGCTATTTTAGGTGATGATCAGGGAGCTGTTGATCAGCGGTCGCGTTCAATGGCCACTTCTCCAACGTTGAACCCGCTTTCGCCGCCAGGATTGAGGAACGATTCTCGGTCGAAATCTTACTCATCGGACGACAACCGGCAGTACGAACCTATTCATCTGGGCGATATCAAGCGCGTCAAGTCGACTCACTTGGACCGCAAGTTGTCAAACTCGGCTCGAATTCCCAGGCGGCAGACTGTGATTGAGCGCCATCGGAGGCAGCCTCGGGCGATCGACGCAACACTGAGCGACCACCTTTCCAGCGAGAATACGAATTCCAAAATCGGACCTACAGGATCTTTGGCAGAGGGTGCTGAGCCAGCAACATTGGAAATTGAGATTGTTGATGAGAGACCAGAGCCAGGACTCTTGTCCGAAGATGATGAGGATATCGATGGACCCAGTCCGGATGCACCTGCGACCCTTTCGGATTTGACAGAGCGCCTTCGTATCAACACCGCGATCAATGTGTCATCCTCATCGTCGCCGCGCAGTGCTCGTCCAGGACATGTCTCCCTGCATGGATCTACTGGTTCAGGCCATCCTTCACGCCATCCCAAGAGACAATACTTGAACGAGCTGTCGGCACTGGAGTTGTTCATCGTTAAACATTTGGCCGTTCTGACATTGGCGCCGATTGTTTCGGAGTACTTTACTCTGGAAGAGCTCTTGGACTTGATTGGACATCGGAAGCAGACTCTCTGGGGTAGACTTGTCAAAGGACTTAAGACTGACAAGAAAAAGCCCAAAGGTACAACTTATTATCCCGCTATTTTTAATGTCATATTGGAAGGAGCAATTTGTAAGAAATATGCTAACCATTCTTTCGCTTGCTTTTCAAATAGTTGAAGGCACCTTCAATGTCCCCTTGGAGGTTTTGGTAGAAAGAAATGGCGTGGACTCGGCACTGGGAGCAGGACCAGGCAGAATCAGAATTCCAAGTTTTGTGGACGACAGTATCTCGGCGATGCGCAACATGGGTACGTCCCTCATACCAAAGCGACGCTGCTCTTGTTTTGCAATTTGTAATATATTAGTTCTAACCTCGCTCGTGTTATTGTTTGCCTCTGAAATAGATATGTCTGTTGAGGGCGTTTTCAGGAAGAACGGCAACATTAGGCGCCTAAAGGAGCTCAGTGAGTCGATTGACAAGGATCCGTCCGCGGTCAACCTGAGCGAAGACAACCCCGTCCAGGTCGCTGCCCTTCTGAAAAAATTCCTCCGCGATCTTCCCGATCCACTGTTGACGTTCAAACTCCACCGTCTCTTTGTCGTTTCTCAGAGTAAGTGTCTCCCGTGCGTTGCTCTTCTTTGATACCTTTTTTCGCGTATCCGTGTGGTTGTACAATACGGGATGCTCATGCTGACCGTACGCTCTCATCATCCCATGGTTTGGTTGATAATAGAAGTGGAAGAGGAGTCGGCCAGAAAGACGATTTTGCACTTGAGTTGCTGTCTGTTGCCAAAGGCCAACCGCGACAGTATGGAGGCGATCTGCCTGTTCTTGCGGTGGGTTGCATCATTCTCGCATGTGGATGAAGAGACAGGAAGCAAGATGGATCTTCACAACTTGGCGACTGTGATCACCCCCAACATCCTCTACTCGAAATCCAAGGATCCCACTAAGGATGAGAGTTTCCTTGCCATAGAAGCTGTCATGGGTCTCTTGGAATACCAAGACGACTTTTGCGTGGTAAGTCATCCCTTTTTGTGCAATATGCAATATGTTCCCTGCCACAATTTTCTACTTTCATCTTCATTGAGACTGATCCTTTGACATATGTTGAATATGATAGGTACCAATGGATTTGTCGTCAATCTTGAGTGACCAGGATCTTGTCGAGTCTTCAACGGATCTCTCATCGAAGGATATTCTCAAACGGTGTGAGAATCTTGTCCGATCCAAGGTCAAGAAGTCTCATTCCTTGGGCGACCTCTACGCGGATACCAACAATAGCAACGGACACCACTCCAACCATAACAACAACAACCACCACCACAACCAGCACCATCACCAAGGTGGCCAAGGGCAAAGTGTCACAGGAGCCGGTGATATAGTTGGCAGTGGCACTGTCAATGGCAGTCATGGCGAGAATGGTCACCATCAATATCACCATACCAACAACAACGGCCATCAGCATGGCCATCATCAGCAACACCAACAGGCACAGGCGCAGGCCTCGAACGGACATGCCTCGACAGGTGCGATCCGGATCCCTGAGCGGCCACGACCATACCACCACTCGCACTCCTCGCATGCTGTTACAGTTGGAGGCGGTGCCTCCAGAGAGCGAGGAGCGACGCCCATGTCTCTCTAACGAATGTCAAGAAGAAGAAGAAAAAAGAGCAAAACTGTAAACTGTTACAAGTAAACAACAAAAAACATTTACCATTCTTCTTCATATTTCTCCTTGACCCCATGTGGCGAAGTTTGCCTAGACTTTTTAACACATCTGCCGAGCATATGTCACGTGCAAAGAACCAAACACAGCGAAAACTAAGTTGACTCTCGTTGTCTCTTTTTAAACTTTTTGACCCTTTTCCTCTTTTTCCTTTTCTCTTTTCTCCCCTCTTCTTTACTCTTCACCTTCCCTCCTTCTTGGCCGTCTGAGCGACCTCTTTCCTTCCTCCTCATTTACATCTACCAAAGCACCCCTTCATATACCCACGCCATCATGTTTGAACGGATGGGAGACTGGCTTCTGAATGTCGCCGCTGAGATGCCCTTCGAGACCGACTGGGACACATCCCTCAACGGATCCTGGTAACCCTCTTCTCCTCTTCCTGTCCACTCATCAGCGTACACAAAAAAACAGCAACAACCACAACAGCAACGACAACCAGCCCTCTCCCAAAATGCTGGAATACTTGTTATCTCTCCGAAAGACAAAAACTGACACTTCCTTCCTCTGATCAATTCGTGTATCCTTGTTCCTTCTCGCCCTAACTTGATTCATCTTTCCAACTTGTTGTATGTTTTCTAGGTACCTCTCACCTCGTCGTCACACTGTCGAATTCGTTATCTATAATGCATTGTTCCTCTACACCGTCCGCTATTTTTATATGCGCGCTCTCTATCCTGGGTAAATATTGGCCACTTTTTTTTTCAGCGATCTGCGATTTTCGGAGATATCATACGACCCTCATGGAACAAGTGGTTCAGGGAAGGAAGTAGGAGAAGGAGAAGGAGAAAGGAAATGATTCAGAGCACGAGGGGCCGGAGCGAATTACAACAAAATAAGCATTGAGATCCAACAAATCAACAACAGCAAGCAACCGATATTAAATTGGGACATTTGGGATAATGGGAAGTAAATCTTATTATCAATCACCATCGTGCCAGGGCTACCCAGTCAAGGATCGGTGTCAGGGACCACACACAACACCTACTATGCGACGGCAATTTACTTCTTGGGAGAACAGGAACCAAGGAACTCCGCCTGGGTCTTGCTTGTCTGTCCAGACCGAGTCTCTTTGTACTTGCCAAACTATCGCGAATGTTATCGTGGATTAAGTACACACAACAAGAAGTAAAAATGCGACAGCATGCATACCGAGAAAGGGAGCCCAACTTTTCCGTACTGTATTCTATTTTTTCCCATCTCTTCCTTTCCTCCTTCCTCCCTTCCTTCGACAGGAGCATTTCTGGAGAATCATCGCCAACCTCTTTTCTCTTCGCCGGATCTTCTAGAGATGGAACACGGGAAGGGAACAGTAAAAGGATCAGGATAGCATGAACGGGAACAAGAGGAGAGAGAGAAAAGGATTGTTCCAACAGAGACAAAAGAATGCGAACAAAACAGCGAACGCGACAAAACGGAGATCATGACCACCACAGCTGCTAACCATTCCAATTACTCATATACCCGATTCTTTGCATGTTCTCATGGATAATAGATCACCTATCTCTAACCTCTTTGCGGCGTATGTTCCTCCAGCAAAAAAGTCCAAGATTGAGATCTCGGTGTTGGTGATCTTGACGGCTTCATTGTCGATCACAGTCTACCAGAAGTGGACCCGAGGTGGACTCTTGTACCTGCTGCAGCCCTGCCACATGTCGGCCATGCTCCTGATCTCGATCTTGGCTGGTCCCAAGGATAAGAAGTGGCCTCATCTCTTGCTCAACATTTACTTTCACATTATGTGGGGAACGTAAGTTGCATCGGAAGAGAAAGTAACAGCCGAAGAAAATGACCGAGGCAATATCGCAACCCACCTTCCCTTTTTCTATCTCATTCGCCCTCATTCATGCATCCCTTTTCCTTTCCAGTTACCCCTTGTCCACTTTTTTCTGCGTTTTCGATTGGATGTGCTAAGCTGCATGGAGATTCTGTCTTGACATTGGCATTGGTCCACCCTGAGTTTGGGTGTGTAACAATGCTTGTACTCATTGAGATTGCAGACATTTTGACTAACATGATATTTTTGTTCATCCTATGGATACCTTCACGTGGTAGCATGCTGGCCTTGTTGTCCCCCGACTTGCGCGACTATAATCGCTTCTTTGAGGTCGAGAACTTTTTCATCGGTAGGTTCAAGCTTTGAACAAGAAAAGAAAGTGAGGCGGACAAACATTTTGTGTTTGGTGAAAGAGGAAAAACTTAATTGAGTTTTACTAGATTATGATATGAGTTTGTTCTCTCGCTTACTGAACTCAAATTCTCCCAATCTTTTTTTATTCTTAGAACACTACCTATTGCTGTTGGCGCCTGTGTACATGATTTGGTCGAACCGTTATGTGATCTGGCCCCTCTCGATGGATGTCGCCCTCATGTCATTCTCGCTTTTTGCGCTCTACCATTCGTTCGTCCTCAGTGCCATGGCCTTGATCAAGGGACAGAACTTGAACTACCTCCTTATGCCTCCACCAGGTAATTGCTTGTAGTCATCTTTCGCGTTTTGTTTTCTTTATGAAGCTGTTTTATCAGACCATTGTTGATGTTCATATTTCGTCTTTGTTAGGATCAATTTCTGGGTATTGTGAATCCTAAATTAACATACGCATGTTCGACACGCACATCCTTCTTTCATTGATGTAACATTAGGTCCTTTGCAGGCATTCGGAAAGTGGTACCGCCCGGTGATGTACCTGTTCTGTGTGCTGTTGACGATGACGCGTTATATTCTGGTCGAGGTCGTCATCCAGCTCTTGCCTCGTCGCAAGATCGTCCCTTCCGTGCGCGAGGCTGAAACTGGAGATACCAAGCGCAAGATTCTCTAAATCTTTTTGCCTTTGATAGACAAAAAGTAAAGCGAGCTGCCCTCTTTTCTCGTACTTTTCCTCGTTGCTTGGGACGCTGGGCGTTCAAGGTTGCACCTTCAAAATTGGGGGGGAGGGGGAGGGTCAACAATGAAATATTCATTGGTGGTTTTTTTTTTTGCGTAGATCACGAATATACTTCAGCATTGAAAGAAAACAGTTGTGGTTATTGGATGGTTTTTATGGTTTTTTTTTGTAAGATATTAGGTTATTAGATGTCTACATGAAAAATGCAAGAAAGAGGAAAACGTCAAAGGAATTGAACTACAGAAACACCAACAAAAATGGCAAAAACAAGAAGATCTACTGACCCCATTGTTGCTGTTGTTGAGAATACGACCGCGAAGTGGAGGAAGGAAGAGAATCCACCACCTCACGTTCGCGATGCATCATGAGTGGAGAAGGAGAGTTGGAGGGGGAGTAAGGGGTAGGGGACATGGAAACTCGGATGACTCCATCGTCTTCACGGCGGCCTTGGATGTTTCCATTCCCGTTGCCAGTCAAGCGGATTACGCTCATCTTCTTCTTCATCACGCGTTTTGAGCGCATGGACCGGTCGCTGCCAGTTCCTGTGCCAGTGCCAGTTCCGCCGTCGTCTGAGGGGCCGAGGTCAAAGGCAACTGAACTCCGTTGAGGAGGCGCGAGTTGTTGTGACGACGAAGGAGGGAATTGACGGTTGGCTTTGGAGGCAGAGTTGGTGATCTTTAGGGGCTGGATCGGCGAGAATGTCGGTGACGAGGAAAATGGCTGAGAAGTCGAAGAAGATGAGGAGGAAGCAGGGAGAGGAGGAGGAGGAGGAGGAAGGGACTCAAATACGGGAGGGATGGTCGGTCGACCAGAGACCTTCTTCTGAAGCTTGAGATCATCCCACCCCTTCTGATGCTCCCTTTCTGCAGTCGTCAACAGGGCTTCAAAGTCCAAAGATTTCAGATCTGCAGGTGTGGTCGGTGGAAAGTCCTCGGAGGGGTCAAACTCCTCCACCTCCATGGTCGGGATCCCACGACGCAGTTGCTGGCCGTACCCTGAAAGTGTGCGTCCAGAGTATCCCGAACCCGTAGACATATTAGATCCGTTCTTGAGATGACTAGGGATCAGAGTGTCGGCAGAGGGATGGTTCGAGTGCTGACGGTAAGACGACGAGGATGACGAGAACTGTTGATGGTGGTGAATATCACGGTCCAAGGACTCGTAGGAGGGGGAGAGGGATCTTGGGGATTGAGACAACAAAGCCGCAGAGTGGGGCGTCCGCGAAGAAGGCACCAAAGTCGTCGAAGACGAGAGTCCGCTTCCCCGAGTAGGCTTCAATGGTTTGGTATCCAGAGCCGGGACAAACGGGCGAGCGTGCTGCTGTTGTTGATGAGGGTACATATTCCTAGGCTTCCAAGAGACAACATCCTCCATCGACATAGGAGCAATTCCACGTGGTGACTTCGCAGCAGGGGCGGGAGAATCCGAGGCCGAGGATCCACCTTCAGCAACGCTGTTGAGAGTCACCATGCCACGACTGGTCTTGCGCTGGAATGCAGGAGACATGGCACCACCTGCGCGTCTAGGTGACCGAGGACTGGGTGCATCAGCAGCATTGCCTTGCTGGTCATAGTCCATCTCGAACGAAGATCCCGATACCGGTCTGGGCTTGATCGAGTACCCACCACCACTGCTCCTATTCAGATCACGGGTCCGGATCATGAGCGAGGGCAGCTCCGAGACAGTATCCGAGTCACCGTCTACGCTCGAGATCTTCCTCCTTGGGAACATGTCTGTAGGCACAGCGTTGGATTCACGAGTACGCGTCTTGAAGAGACTAGGACTAGGTCTAGGTGTCGTGGGAGTCTTGGGCCGGACATGGATCTCCTCCATCGAGATATCAGCATCACCAGTGTACCCACTAATGGCATCCCCATCAGAGTCGAATCCCCGGAAGTCCTGGTCGGTATCGATGTCCATGCCAACATGAGAAGACACTGTGAGTCTGGACTGACGTCTCTTGAAGTTGAACAGTCCGGGGGTAGCCGAGTTGTTGACGATCTCATGGGCATACATGTCTGCAAGCTCCAGGGTGAAACTCGTGAACGTATGGGTGACATTAGTGGTCGAGTAGTTATCGAGGCTGAAAAAGTCGGATGACCTAGGCAAGAGTGGAGAGATGTCGGCGTCGCCGATGTTGGTCCGAGCGACACTGCTCTGGCGACGACGACGCATCGCCATCTCAAGCGTCTCGCGACGAAGACCTGGGGTTCGAGGCTTGGCAATTGTTGTTGCCAGGAGAGCCGGGTGGGTCGAGGTCGTCAGGGATCGAGACCGGATCGAGGCAACACTGTCAGATCTTGAATGTCGCGTGGGTTCGACGACAGCATCGGTCTCGACAGCAGTGCCTAAACCTTGGGTGCTTTCAGGGACGGTGTCAAGTGATGCATCAGCAGCTGCGATAGACTTGGACCCTTGCTGGTTCTTGCCGATGTGGAAAGACTTCATGATCGACCGTCTCCATTCCGAGGCCTGTTGTCCTGTCCTCTTGGCCATAGATCCCCTGGTCTCCGTCGAGGATGGAGGTCGCTTCTTGCTGTTGCCTGGAGTACCCAGATCGCGCTCAGTCACGACTTCCGTCGCGTCACCGCCCGCCGTCGTCGTCGTCGTTGAAGTGTCCTTCCGCTGCAGAGTCAAGAACCTCTTCATAGTATCAGCACCAACGCGGACCGAACTATCGCGCTTGCTTAGTTGCTCACCATTGGCGGCCGCCGCAGCAGCAGCAGCGAGGGACCGCTCTAGTTTTTTCCGCTTCTTGAGAGGCAGTTCGGCAAACTGGGTATAGTCTTCATAATCGCCAGGTAGGATAATGTCGAGGGAATGATCCGAGTCTAACTCTTCGACTTTCAGCTCCTCCAACTGCTCATGCAGCGATGTCGCTCCATCCTCTGCAGGCCCAGTCTCTGTCGAGCGCATGGTCACGTCCTCCATAACCAAGTCGCCTTGTACTAGGGTCGATGCTTTTGCTGCTGCTGCTGCTGTTGATGCTGCAGCGAGGGTATCGAACGAGTTTGGCTGGCGCTTGGACCCTTGACTCGATTCGAGACGAACACGTGGGAAGGTCCAAAAGGTCTTGGACTGACGATTCTTGCCCGAACCTGATGTCGTACTAGAACTAACATTAGAGCTGGTCCCTTGCTGTTGCTGTTGCTGGTGTTGAAGCCCCTCTGTGGATGGAGAAAAGGTGACAACGGCTGACTGGCGCCGCTCATCGGATTGGGACGCGGTGTTGTCGCTGGCCGAGGACTGTTGTTGTGCTTTAGCCTTGTCGCGAAGGTTGGAAGACGACTTCATGGAAGCTAAGGTGCTGCTCATCCGATTCTTGAGTTTGATACGCAAAGAAGATGTGCCTTCCAAGGTCAGTTCCTCAGAGATTGGAACACCCTCAACCTGGAGCTGAGGACCTTGAGCAGGCGCGTCTGGCGAAGTGGAGGAGGATTCGAGGATGTTCGATATCGGCTTGTCGTTCTCTTGCTCATTGAACTGGATTGGTGGGATGATATAGGATGCCCGTCGGTCAGAAAGAGATAGCGGTGTGTCGATGGCCACGATCACAGGAGGGGCACTCGATCTAAATGAATTTTTGTTTTTTTGTGCGACAGCAAAGAGAATGGCGTGGTGACACGAGAGAGAAAAGAAGGAAAGAAACGACGAGGTTTTAGCATTGGAATGAAATAATTAGTAGAGTAACCCACTCCATGCTCACGCAAACAAGAGTCGAGGACCCAATGGACCACGGCCGGGTCAGCTCTCACAATGATTCGGGTCCCCGTGGGTGAATGTTTTTGCTGTTTCGTTCCGACGACTGTGTTTACCTTTTCTGTTGGAGGTGCTTGTTCTTGAACTTCCCGAGGGCCTTCAAGAAACTAGACCTTGCCGAAGGCGCTACTAGCGCATTGGACACATCCTGAACTTTTGACCCTGATGGCGTAGTGGATGTTGTTGTTGTTGCTATTGTTTTTGTGCCGTTGGTCTTCTTTTGAGGACCTCCTGCAGACGGGGGGTTATTATTTTTGGGCGAGGATGTGGGTGGCGGTGTAATTACGGTAGGGGATGCAGATGATGAAGGAGAAGAAGGGGTATTATCGGTTGTGCTGCTGTTTGAAGATTGGTGTTGTCCCTTCAATACATGCGACGCCTGTTGAGGTGGTGATGATGTTACTGAGGAGGAGAAAGCGGAAGGGAGAGTGGAGAGGGGGTGCATGCCAGATGCTCCTGTATGGACACCTGGTCCTGGGCCAAGAATAATGGAAGCCCTCCCTCCTGCTCCACCTCCACGCCCACCTCCTCCACCACCAGCCGCCGCAGCAGCAGTAGCCGATGCTACCCGTCTTCCTCCTCCTTCTCCTGCAGCCTCCTCTGCTTTTTTGAGCCGAGCCAGGGTGCGACGGTCGACTTTGAGGTCAATGTCCCAGTCACCAAAGATGGCACTAGAGGTTGTGGCGACGAACTGCCTTGAGGGCCGGTCGTGGTGGTGGTGGTTCTGACGATGCTGAAACCGGGAGTGGCGAGATTGTTGTGTAGTTTTAAAAAGTTTTGAAAGTCTAGCGTTTGGGGAGGACCGTTGGTGTCGATGTGAATGATGGTGGCTATGGTGGTGTTGACTGTTGTTGTATTCTCCTGATATTGAAAGCCATGCGGCGTCGGAGAGGAGGAGGGTGGATGGGATAAGGTTGCTGTAGCCGTTTGAGGAGACTCCTGGTGCCTGACATACCGAGGGGGCCGGAGTCAACATGCAGGTTCAATTGGGGGAGGGGGTATCGAAACAGGAAAGCCGGGAGTTGTTTGTTGGTGTGTGTTGATGTTGTTGTTATTGTTTTAAGGGTCGATTGTCGAAGGCAAGGATGTCTTGTTTTTTGTTCTGCTTTTTGTTTTGATGTTGAGTGGTGTTGGTATGTGGTGCAAAAAAGGGGTGATGTGAATGCTATGAGAGTTCAGGAACAAGCGAAAAAGGAAGCAGGTGGTGTGAATAATAGGTCTTGTGTGATCGCGGTTTCGGGTGTGGAAGGGGAGGGGGGAGGTGATGGGTGAGTTGAACGCGTCTGGACTCACTCAAGGTGGGATCGGCAAGAGGAGAGTGGTGAGTTGAATGAGGGGAGAGACGAAGAGGGCGATGAGGGGTGAAAACGAGGAGGTGCAGGCAGTGATGAAGATGATGACTGGGGTAAGGATGATGAACGAGGAAGAGAGAGAGAGAGAGAGAGAAGAGACTGAGAGTGAAGCGAGAGGTGAGAGCAAAGAAAAAAAAAGAAAAAGAGATAATAATTGACATGCAGCGAGTACAAAGTGGCCATTAAAATAGGCAAAATGCTCTTGTGTCCAAATTAAAAGTTTAAAAAAAAAATCGGCTGCCACCCACTGCAAGCTCATTGGAACCAGTCAGGCACCCGTCAGCAGCCATCAGGCACCAGGCACAACAGATATATGTACTTCTTTGACACCGGTCACCTCTACTCCAGTGAGTGAAAAAAGAGGATCCTCGGGGGAGGAAGGAGAGTGGGCGGTGACCCCATGGACCATAATGGCAATAAATAGCCTGGGCCGATTGACCGAACAAGCGAACAAAGGAGAAAGGAGACAAGAGATATTATTGAAGGGGCGAGTGAGGAGAGTCCAATGGACAGCCATCGCATGGCAATCGAACCGTCCTCCTAACAGTCATATCACTAACTAACGAGTAAGCCATTCGCATTCCCCATCCTTCTTTCTATCTCCTTGAAATGAACACAGAGGTACAGCAGCATGTTTCCTTGTTTTCTTTGTTGTCTATAACATGGTTTGCAAATGACGGTTATGTGCGATTTATGGTTCATTGCCCGCCCCTCTTTTTCTACAAGGATATACCACCTTATACACATCGCATTGCGACAAAAAAAAAAGGGTGGCAGCCATTTTCGCAGGGAGAGAAATTTATGGCAGGTTGAAATGAATAGAAAAGGGCACTTCGAGAAGCACGGTTCACGAAAAAATATGCATTTTCGACTTCCTCTTCTCACTTCACCCCGAAGAGAGACAGACAACAAAAAAAAAAAGGGGGAAAGCAATGATCCGAAAAGGGCGCCGGCACCGTTTCTGCTCCCTTTTTCATTTTCTTAACAAAGCAATAGGGGCGGTTGCATGCATCTTATGTTAGAATGCGAGACACAGTGCCCAAACTAGCTGGTGCTGGTTGCCATAAAAAGGACGTAACAAGTCAGAGGCTATCTGCGTTGTCTTACCTCGGGGTATATGGAGTTGAAAAGTCGGGATAGGAGATAGGAAGGGAATTGTCGTGGAAGAGTTGTTGATGTGCTGTTGTTGTGTTGTTGTTGTCGTTGGCTAGCTACGAAAATAGCATACCGAGGCGGAGGTTGTGTTGAATTAGGATAGGGTGGCGAGGAGGTGGTTAAAGAGGATGAGATGAGGTGGTGAATGCCGGAAGAGATTGTCGTGCAGGAAATAAATGAAAAAGAAAGAACGAAAAAAAGAAAGTTGACGGTGGGTCGTTGTGTCGGGTCGTTAAAGAGTCGTAACAGTTTGGAACCAAAGTCAACTCCAGGGACAGGGGGGACAGGTGCAAGGAGGACGGGGGATAGGGGCAGGGGGAGAATGGAACGAAGAAAAAGGGAAAGAAAGAGAAGGAAAAAGAGAAGTGAGAAAGTAAGGGAAACAAAAGAAAAGCTGGGCCTTCATAAAGTTCAAACAGGGGTTGTTTATTTCTCGCTCGGTCGACCATTCCTCCATACCCGCCCAAACACTCTTCTCCACCTCCTTTTCCCTCCTTCCTTCTCTCACCCAGACCCCAAACAAACCACCTCGAAAAGAACAATAACTGATCTCCTACACTTTTTCCACTAACGGTTGCTCACCGCTCACTAAATTGCTATGAGATGGTAGGAGGATAACAATGGAAAAGAAAAAAAGAGCCAGTCATATCTAATTTGGCGGCAGCTTCTAGCCAGCTAGTCTCCGAGGACCACAGCAAGATACAGCTGTCTCCTTCCTCGCTGTTCTCCTTTCTGCCTTGATACCCTCCGTATGATCGATACCGGTGCCTGAAGAGCGAGAACTTGATAAATGACAATTTTATGATTCAGCTCATCAAAACTTATTGATCCAGAGCAAAATCGAGTCACCGAGTTGGACACCTTGGATTTCGATCTTATTGTTGGGCGCCTTCAATTGCTCTTTGTGACACTGACAACTATTCTTGTACAGAATAGCAGGGGTTTCCTATGAATATCGTCGAAGACAGAGCCACCTCTTTCTAATGCAGCCTGTCACTGGAGGCAAGCCACTATTCCGCGGATTGTCACCAAGGCACGAAGAAAGGATGGGCGGAACAGGAATAAGTTTCTATTGGCAAGTGACAAGGAGAACGAAGAGGGAGTGACCGACACGAGGTAAGAATAAACCTGAGAATGGGCTCGAAGGGGTGTCGGAATCGTCAACAAGAGCAATCAACAATAGCTTTGTCAGAAACATCCTCCTGTAGAAGCAAGGAAAAAGGGGAGGGGCTCACACGTTCAGGTCCTGTAACAAAACGAATGTTGACAGGATCTGAGGCACGTTTCGAGAGGTTTCCTCCTGGAAAAAAAAGAAAGTGATCAAACAGCGACGCGTCGATCAGCGATCGTCCCAGTCCCTTCCTCATTTACAATTTCAGGACAAGCAAAATTGAAGAATGTTTTGAGCATATCATTTACTTGGCTTTTCCATTGTTCGCCTTGGCTATGCACATAAATCAAACACCGACATCGCATTACATAAACATTATCATTGCCACCATCCTTGTTATTTGTCAAGGGAAACGCGTCAATGTCTCCATGTGCTGATTGAGGTAGATGGTATCTTTTCTCATATTGCTTCAGCATCATTTAAGAACAAAATATATCAATGGTGAAGCCTCACCGTGTAGACAGCAACAACTAACACATTCATCAAGATCCAAGACTCATATTATATTATATTTATTGCTATAGTTGGTATTTTACAAAGGAGGAAGGATGCATGCGCATGTGATCAGTGGACAGAGACCAGTTCAAAGTCATGGTCAATGGCGTCCGAGGGCCTTGCGAGATCCAATGCTGCGTCAATGATCAAGTCAAGAGCGTCAAATACGGGCGCCTCGTCCTCCTCGTTGTCACTCTCCTGCTCAGATTCTTCTCCGGACTCGTTCTCGTGCTCGAGTGCGGCAGACTCGGAAACCGGCGTCTCGGTGGATGAAGACTCGACGACTGTATCATTGGCCTCTACAGGAGTGGTCTCGTCAGCGGTGTCGTCGGTGTGGTCAGCCTCGGCATCGGGAAGGGACTCGACATCGGAAAAAGTATCGAGCAGCTCGGTTTCCTCGGTCTCCTCGTGTTCCTCATCGGTCTCCTCGTGTTCTTCATCGGTCTCCTCGTGTTCTTCATCGGTAGAATCAGTAGTGACAGTGGTCTCAACGGCAGGGACCTCGGTAGACTCAGTCTCTGGGGTTGCTTCAGGAGCAGACTCTGTCATCTCGGCATCGTTCTCGACAGCTGGGGTTGCTTCAGTCTCAGCGGTAGCGGTGACATTAGGCGTGGCATCAGATGTGGTACCGCGGGTCTTGAACTCATCGACAACATCGAGAAGGGTCTGGCTCTTCTTGATCAACTCCTTTCTGCGGTGGCGGACACTGACCTCACCATCGCTCTCAACAGAGTCAATGCGGAACATGGCCTTGGTCAAGTTCTCCTCGGTCTGAAGGATCTGCTTCTTGTTCTCCATACGACCGGCAACGATACCGTCCAACTCACGAGAGAGATCGTCAAGGGCGGCGTCGATCTGGTTCAGAGTCATGTGCTTCTCCTCGACCGAAATGTCGTGCTCGCGTTGGCGGTGCTGGCGTTGCTGGAGGATGTCGGCGGCGCGGAGCTCAGGAGATGAGTGGGTCGAGGATGGAGTTGATGCAGTCTTGGCCTCGACAGTTGGCTTGGACTCGGCGACCTTGGTAGGAGTGGGAGTAGAGGCGGTAGACTTGGTGGGGGTGGCGGGCTTCTTGGCGGAAACCTCGACCTTGGCACCGAGAGCAGCCTCAACCATGGACTTGATGTCAGGGAAGGTCAAAAAGTAGTTGCCAATGACATCCTCATCGTCCGACTCGGAAGCACGCTGCTGCTTCTTGGCCTCGGCGGCGGCCTTGGCCTGTTCAATTTGCTTCTGCTTCTTGGCTTGCTCCTCGGCAGCGGCCTGCTTCTGCTTCTCGAGCTCATGGTTGTGGCGCTTGAGTTGGTGCTGGGGGAAGAAGATGGCGTTCAAGAGTTGACTAAGGACATCATTCTCCTCATTCTCACTCTCCTCCTGCTCGTCTTCAGATGACTCGGATGACTCGGCGGCGGCAGTCTCGAGAGCGAGCTGGAGCCTTCTCTGCTGCTCCAACTGTTGCTGCTGTTGCTGCTTCTTGGCTTCAGCAACTGCCTTAGCCTTCGCGGCCTTGGCTGCTTCCTCCTGTCGCTTGATCTGCTCGATCTGCTTGATCTGCTGCTGCTCCTGGAGGTGATGGAAGAGAAGTTGTTCAAGAGTAACAACAGGCTGCTGCTGGCGACGACGCTGGCGTTCCTGTTGCTCATGGATCTGTTGCTGTTGCTGTTGCTTCAAGATCTGCTGTTGCTTCTTGTACTGGCGAATAGCCTCCTGCTCGGCTTCGTACTTGACCTGAGCGATAGCACGAGCCTTGGCCTCAGCCTTGACCTTAGCCTCAGCCTGAGCCTGTGCAAGAGCTTGGTGACGACGGTACTCCTGTTCGATCCACTGCTGCTCGAGAGCCTGTTGATGCTGCTGCTGTTGGATGTATTGATGGCGGGCGAGTTTCTGTTGGCGTTTGCGTTCGAGGGCGGCGAGGAGGAGTTGTTCCTCTTCATCGGTTTCGTCGTCGGCAGAGTTGTAGGAGTATGTGTGAGTGGGTGTGTAAGGGTTGTAGGAGTAGGATGCGGGGTAGGAGGTGCGTTGGCGACGAGAGGTTGTCGCGGGGTGAGAGAAGAGAGAGTACATGTTGTGTGGGAGTGTTCTAATGCTCGTTTGAATAGAGGAGTTGCTGGTGGTAATAGTGGGTACGGGTTTGAGTGAGAGAAAGAGTGAACGAAAAAGAAAAGAGAGAGAGAGAGAGAAGTGCTGGTAGTTGCTGTTGCTGGTGGTGAGCTGTGCCTGTGCCTGAGCTTTTTTGTTGGATGATGGTTGGAATGTGGTCCGAGAATGGCCCTTTTATCATATTCGAGATGGTATTCTAGAGGCGCGTGGAATGTTCGCTGACAAAAGGTGGAGGCGGAGGCTGCAATTACTTATCATCAACGAGAGCCTTCTGGGCGATTCTTTTCAAATGACGCAGTTCACGTGACCTTTTTCGGGTTGTTTTGCTCATCAGGCACCAACTTGCCCATGCTGGTTGTTCATCTCTCGCTTCCCTTTTTTTTTGTTTCGCGTACGCGTGCTACCGACAAACACGCAAACTCAGCCCTCCTAGCAATATTCAACTTGACTGCCAACAGCACCTAGGACACATCCCTCTTTCGACACTTCATACTCTTACATTCACTCATGGCCACCCTGCGTCTTCTGCCTGGATTCCAAACAGTCCGAGTGGGAAGACACTCACTCCTCTCCAGGACACCCCTCGTCTCGGTCTCGGGTGTTCAGGCACGCCCCCTCTTGGCCCGATCTCCCCCTCCTATCAATAAATCAATCACACAAAGATCCTACTCCACCTCATTACCACCAGGATCATCAACAGTAGCAACCACTACCACTACCACCACCAATACCACAGCAGTCTCCGAGATACCCAAGAAACTGAGCAAGTTCCGCCAGTACGCCGAGCAGTTCAAGAACAAACCCGCAAGTCATCTCATTTCCTTTGGCATCCTACACGAGATCACCGCAATTGTGCCCCTGCCAATCGTATACTTTGCACTGGTCGAGACAGGTATCAAGATACCATTCCCGGAACAAGCGATCGAGGAAGGGAACCGGTTCGTAGGCCGTGTTGTCAAGTATTATGGATGGGATTTGGAAGGTACTGATGGGGCTAGGACTATGCTCAACATGGCTACCAGTTATGCCGTTGTCAAGGTAACAGACATTCACATGTGTGCATGAGGAGAAGAATGTTCAATTGCTCATGGAGGGGTATCTAACGATGTATCTAATCTTGTCTGACACTAGGCGTTGATACCACTGAGATTGGCGCTGTGTGTGTGGATGACACCTTGGACAGCCACCAGGATCATCTCGCCCGCGATGAACTTTTGGCGACGATTCAAGAAATAAAAAAGGGAATTTCATGCGTTACTCACCTTTATGCCTCTTGCAGAGATATGTGTCAGTGTTTGTTCTTTCTGGTTCCATTCCAATTGACAATGTAACCGACGCCATGCCTTTTTTTTTCATGCAGTACCGGTACTCTCCCCTCCCACGTTTTTTTCCCACTCTTTGATATGTGCGCAGCATAGTATTGAGATTGACAGCATGGTAGAAGGGCGTGGAAAAGCAAAAAGAAAAAGGTTCGTTTCCGGTTCTGGTCACGATACGGATAAAAGATACAAGGATGTGGATTCAGGGACTTTTTTTTGCTCCATCCCTCCAAGTATGTGGGGGTGCAACAAATCAGAGGAGACCCAAAAAGGCCGTTTTGACTCATTCTCATTGGAGTCTTCCTTTGAGTAATCTCGAGATATTTCAAAAGGGGAACAAAAACATGGATAATAACAACAACGAAGGACGGTTTTGGTCCATCAGACTCTTCTCCCTTCCATCCAATCCTCCCCTCAAGACTCCCCTTTGTTAGCACTTTAAAAACTGTCGACCGGAGACTTTTTTTTTTCTTCTTCCTTTTTCTTCATCTTGTTATCCTCAATTGACCCGACCGTACTGTCGCACCAAGCCAAATTAGCCGATAATTCATACCCGCACTCCTTGTATTCAAGTTCAAGTTCAAGTTTCCCTTTATCCTATGACCGTCATGCCTGCTCCTATCTCAGCAACCACTCCCGCCACCATCTTGGTCAATGTCCCCTCGAGACCCTCGATCCGTTCAGGATCTCCACTCTCCTCGGTTAGCTCGGCAGATACCGTCTCCTCCACCACAACCACCCCTGCCAATGAAGTCGTCTTCCGCCACGGCAGGGTCGAGGATGCCACCTTGATGACTGAGATGCAGTTTTCCAACTACCAGCACCACTACCGCAAGATCCTCCCCAGCTCCTTCCTTGATAACCTGAACCACGAGGCTATGACTGACTTTCATGCCAAGAGAATGACCCGTATGTTGACTTTTGATTGACTATTTTGGCTGAGTGTGTGAAAAGGGCGGTGGCGGTGAAAAAGAACGCTTGGTCCCTCTCTTTTTGACAGAGATAACGCATGCTCACATGCACAAGTCGGAACGGCATCCCCAATCCTAACCAATCCTCTTTTTCTTTCTCCTTACGATATGCAGCTCCGGTCGACGAGCGAGAGATGGCCTACGTGATCGCCGAGAGACGAAACGCCGAGACAGGAGTTCTCGAACCCATCGGCATGTCGCAATCCATGGTCCCTTGGTGGGACCGCGCCTACAACCATCGCTGGAATGAGGGCTGGTCTCAGGAGAGCTTTGACTGCGAGATCGACACTCTTTATGTCAAGATAGGTATTCAAGGTGGCGGAATCGGTCGGAAGCTGGTCTTGGGCGCCTTACAGGAAGCCTATGATCGCTTCAACATGAGAAAAGGGGTTATTATCTGGACCCTTGTTGCAAACACTCAGGCGAGGGACTTCTATATGCGCATTGGGTGTGAGGAGGCTGGGTTCCGGACTCTGGATCTGATCGATTACCCTGCCGAGTGTGTTGGGTATGCCTTCCGATCTGTTGGTGAGGCCATTGGCAAGTGAAGACACATCGACTTGTGGACGTCTCACCTACGAGACACCTCCTCAACACCTGCAGCAAACCCGGCCCTGTCGATAACTGCTCTCCTCCAAAAAGGCCAACCCGTCGCCTCCCTTCCTCCGTCCTTCCCTTCTCCTTTGCTCTTGCGCCTCTGTCCCATAATCGCCCGAGTCAATCGTTCAACCGCTCTACACACATGTAGGACTTTATAACACGTAGTCGCCTACTCCTCCCATCCCCATCCTGGATACATGTCCGATCCATGTTGTTGTGCGTGAAGATGATAATAATAATACTCTTGTTTTATTTGTATATGTCGTGTTCCTGAACAAAATTGTCGCTTCGTCCAGTGGTTCTACCAAAATTATGTTACATGGGAAGACCGGCTCCAGACATCTGCTGAAGCTTGGTGCCGACAGACTTGTTGACCTCGAAGAACTTGGAGACGCAACGATCGATGCAGACAGCCTCGCCCTTGTTGAGTTCGCCCTCGATGTAGGTCTTGGGGATGCACTTCTGATGGCAAGAGCTGACAATGCTGTTTTTTTTTGTTGATTTGTCCCGTTTGGATAAGTTGGAGTGTCGATTGGTGGTATTGATATCATTGACATGGGTCCGAGGTGAATCCAGATAGGTTTGCGAGTTGCCAATGATCCAGTATAACGATTTGGTGTTTTTGACGTCCAGAAAGTTGTTATTTTTGTTGTTGTTGTAAGTGATGGTGACGATGAATTGAGCGGTTTGTCGTGGTCGGAAAAGACAAGGCGAGAGCAGAAGTCGATCCGTTATGAGAGTCAGCGGCGTAGAAAGTATGAAGGAGAAAAAGAGACAGAGTTATTAGTAGCTATAATTGATAGGTAAGTCCAGTTTCCGGTATCCAATTGATCCAGATATTCGGGAAAGCCTCTCCATGAAGGTCGGCATCAATATCTCCAGGCGTGTATGAAGCTGACGACAGTCCTCCCGCACGGCACGGAAGTAACGGCGAAAGCGGAACGTGAAGCAATGACAGCAATGTAAATAACGATCAGCGTACCGGTTAAACAAGTCGGAGACCATCTCGAGCTCCTGCTCGGCCATGGCCATGTTCTGCATGTTGACCGACTGGTTGGCGGCGTTGTTCATAAAGAAGGACATGGCGGAAGTGTGTTGATGTTCTTGAAGGAAGTGAAGAAGTGATTAAAGCAAAAGTTGCTCGCTTCGCTTTCTTTTTCTTGTGCGCCTGCTGCACTCGCTTGCTTGCCACAGGCGGTGTTACGAAGGTGGCTTGGGTCAATCGAAAGACTGCCTTTTTTTTTTTTATTTCCATTCTCCGGGATGGGAAGGAAATCAGGTCGTAGTTGTAACCATCGAAAGAGGCAAGAAGAGCGTGCCACCATCCGACCAACCAGCAGACGGCTTCACTGGCTCGATCTGATTGGTCAATTATTAAGTCTGCCTTCACCAATTCTCTTGTGCTCTCACACTCCTTTATTCTGTGGCCTTCATCTCAAAAGATCTTTATCCTTTCCCACTCCCCTCTTTCTTCTCTTCTCTTCACACCCACCCCTTCTCCCTCCACCCACCTCCCACACACACATACCATAATGGACAACGAATTCGCTCAGACCGCCGTCGAAGGCCCCAAGCAGTTTATCAAGGACGGTATCGCCTTCATCAACCGGTGCGCAAAGCCTGATCGCAAAGGTACACATCATCTCACTTTTTATTACTCACGTCGCACCTGATGGCGACCAGAGGAGTAAGCAAGGACAAAGCGAACCAAGGACAAGCTGGAATCGTACATTTTACAAGGAATAACGACCAGCCACTAAAGAACAGAGAGTCTGCCCGAGTTGACTGTCGGTCTGGCCAACTCTGCGCTGAGCACAGAAAAGGATGACGCGTGCCCGCCATCATCTTTTCAGGAGAAGGCGCCATCTGGTTCACCTGATGACTCTTCTGTCAGTCTGGACCATCTGGATCAGCCAACTAGCAGACACCAAACGCAACACTCGAGTTGATACCCGGCCTGCTGCATAGATCGGATAACTCCTACTGCTTGCACTCGATACTCTTTTGAGGACTCTATCATTACTCCTTGTCCACGATCTTTTTTTCACTTACAACGCTTTCGTCTCCTGGCATGATTTTCTAGAGTTCATGCAGATCACCCAAGCAGTGTCTATGGGCTTCTTCGTCATGGGAGTTATCGGCTTTGTCGTCAAGCTGATTCACATCCCCATCAACAACATCCTTGTGTAAGTCGACAGGTCCTTCTTTTGTTGCTCCTTCGAATCTGGATTGGTTGGTTGATCAGCTGCAAAGGCAGCACTTGTTACATGCTCCATATACTAATCATCTGCTTCTTTTTTCTCTCTTTCTTTACAGCGGTGGTGCTTAAACGCTTTGTACACTATCTTCGCACTCTGTTATTTTATCTACCCTTTTGTTTTTAATAAACCAACCCACAAAACAAACAAAAACAACCAAATCAACTTTTCCTTTGCGCGTGTCTTTAGGAAGAAACTGGCATGGATACCATGGATAGCAACCACCAGCTGTGGTAACTGGCTCAGCCCACAGCACACATAGGAGTTGGATCCAACTTAATGCGCCTTCATCTTCCTCCGAGAACCTAGATAACGATGGACACCACGTTTTGTGGCACCTGGTTAGAGGTACGGAATTACGAGCAGAATCCTGCTTGTTAGTCCTTCATCATCGTTTCCGAGCTTATGGATTGTCTTTCTTCCCTCCCTCTTTGTCTCCCCACCCCTCTTTTCTTCGATGGCGCTCGAGGTCCAGGTTGTGGTTGGTGAGCATGGTTTACAATTGGTTTGACAGGGGTGGGATTTCTTTCCTTGTCCTTGCTCGCTCCTGTCCTTCTTGCCAGCGAATTTGACATCGTGTCATTTCAGAGAGTGGTGGCTTGGGTGCAGTGTCAATTACGAGACCAACGACCGTTTGATCAGTTGTTGCCACTAATTTCGACGCGTTTTTGTGCTAGAGAACCTGAGGAAGGTATCTTGGTTACTGCCTTAAATACCAAACATGCCTTCCCCTGCCTATTCTTTTTCTTGTGCTCTTCACCTTCACTCTCCTTTCCTCCACTCTTCTACACACTCAACAAGACCATTCAACCTATATCCTTCCAACCTCATTCCTTACTCGGCTAATCTTCGTTTCTACAATGATCCGCTCCCGAAACCCACCCATCTTCACCAGCAACGGCTACCAACCCTCCATCCTCATGGGCACCTCTCAAAAGACCCGTGCATCGACCAGGCAGTGTCGTTTCATTCCTCAAGCTCAACCCGCTGCCTCTATCTCTACTACAGAAGCACCTGGCATGTCCCAGTCACCTCCTCCTCCACGTTCCAGCGCTGACTACATCCCGATCTGGCTGTACGCCGAAGTTCCTCCTCAAGCCTTTACTTTCACCCCGCCTCCCATGCAAATTCAAGTCCCAGACTTTATGAACGACTTGTCGATGATTACGGTCTCACCTCAAGAATGCTTTCAGCCAGCTACTACGCCAGCTCCGTCCGAGCTCTCGATGGATATTGATGCTATGGACTGGGTCACCTGCCCTTCCTCGCCAATGTCAGCGATGTCGCGTGTTGTTCCTGACCTGAACTGGAGGTCGGCGCCGCCTTCTCCTTCCCCCTCACCACCAGCAGTGCCGATGGTCGTGGCTCCAGCCTCAATGGCCTTTCAACAGCACTCCATGCTGCCAGAGCTTCCTTTCCAAGGCCGAAGCCGCAGCATCTTTTTGAGCGACCGATTGGCGGGCAGCAGTGGTGTTAACTCTCGGGTACGAGACCTTCTCCACAACACGGCGGTACAGCGGATCCGGACCTGGCTCCGCAAGACGATCGAGCCTAATGCTATGACGCAGTGGGCGAACCGGTCGCTCTTTGACCAAATGTCGCGTCAGGCCGGTGCAGTCCCTGTCGGATCCACCATCATGGACCACAACACTACCGTAACCAAGGAGTGTCCGATCTGCTACCAGGTTGAAGATGTAGTCAAGATCATATTTGGATGCAACCACGAGATTTGCTGGAAGTGCGAGGCCGACCTGGATCGATTTGGGAATATTTCTTGCCCGCTGTGCCGAGGCCTGCGACTGACGACCAGTTACAGTAGCCCAGAGGACCTCTTTGCGACGACGATTGGTATCCAACCAAGCGATTATACCCATCGTCTTTGTCCCCAGCCTTCAAGTACACCTGAGAGGCGGCCTCTTTTCAGCCTTTCGCAGTCCTGGTTCGGGGATGATAACCGAGAGGAGCGCGATGCAAGGATCGAGCACGAACTGTCCGATCGATACCTTTGGGAGCCGAGCAACTCGTTCCTGGAACACCTCGCGTCGAAGAAGGATCACTCTGCCAACCAGTATTTCCAGCTCCACGCCGCTCAGGATCTCTGCCTCAAGTCATCGAATGACGATCATTTCCGCGAGTACAACGACCGGATCCCTCTTAACCCACCCACCTCGGGCTTGGTTCTCCCTCCGCATCGACTCTACATTGCCCTGATCCACTTTTCCCTCGACATGTTGACACTCCCTAACCCGGCGCGGTTCCAGAACCAGCGCAAGTTCAAGGCCGAGCTAATGCTCCTGGAGTTGGTTACACTGTTCTTGGTCCCCACAGACGAATTTTCACCACGGCTCCCTGACCGGATCTACAATGCAGCCGCATGGATTGAGCAAGGGGAATTTATCTTGTCCAGAATCCGTCGATTCATGCGAGCGAAAATTGCGCAACACAAGGCCGAGACCGAGGATGGGGGGAATGAATTGGGAGTGCCGTCAACGCCGATCTCACGAGAGATTTTGTACCTGGGCGTGGCGCGGTGGAGTTGGATCGCGCAGTCACTTACTATCCTGCTGAAGTGGATCCAGCTGGCGGACTCGAATCCGTCGATGGTCCCTCCTGTCATGCATTCCCATCTGGGCAAGCATCATGAGCCGTACTCGGACATTGATCCTCGTGTCACAAAGCGACTGCGCCATCATCGACGCTGGATGACCAACTAATGTTTTGTCTGTAGTAGTATCTGTCTTTACCACTTGTCCTTGTTTCCATTAATAACAACCATGATTCTTCCAAAAAAAAATGCCAAACAAAAGTAAGAGTGAACAAAGGCAAAAAAAGTCTTGCTTTTATTGCGATGCTGCACTCTGTCCAGACTTTGAGCTCACTTCCTGGAGTATCTGGTTGTAGTCTGCCATGTCCTCTGGGAATGCGTCGCCCAAGTTCTGTGCCAACGCCGCTTCGAAGCTCTATTATTTGACATGTTTTAATCAAAGGTGACGACACTGTTAGCTTTATATGCTCCGTCCGCAAAAAATGGTTCCTGAACGCATGATGGACAAAAAATACAAGCGAAGAGAGACTTGCCTTCATGGATGTGACTTTTCCGTTGGTGAACTGGTTCTCTCCCGCGACGGCCTCCACAAACGTCTTTGAAAACAGATCCGGGTTCTTTCCATCCTCAATGTAGCTATCATGATTGACAAGTATAGTACCAAATGTTGTTAGAAAATCGACTGGGACGAAAAACTATTGAGGTATGGATCGCCGATAACAGGACAAATCCCATGTTTGCTGTTTGTTGTAGATTACCTCAAGACCTCCCAAGGCACCATTACATCCAGCTGATCCTTGAATGCCTCAATCTCGCCCAACTGCTTCGTAAGTTCCTGACTAATTATCCCGTAAAATAATATAAAAAAGAATCAGGGTTAGAGAACCATACTCGCTCTATTCATTGTGTCTGCCAATTGACCATGATTGCTCGTCAGACTTTGATTATGTTGCCTACATTTTCTGGTGAACAAGAGAGTTACTCTCAGCCTGGAAATCGTAGACGGTGATACTGAGCTCCAACAGACTCTGAATCAACTCCTGCAGCTTCTTCTCCAAAGCCTCCCGATGTCTTTCCGTCTCTGCAGCTGCCAACTCTGTAGGATCCGGTTGTGCACTTCCACCACCACCTACTGCTGCTGCTGCTGTTGACAGCGCAGACGTTGATGTTGATGATGATGGTGGCTCTTGTGTGGTTGTGGTTCCTGGCGCGATACCGGTGGCACCTACTAGCCCCCCTGCGCCCTGTGCTGATGGTATTGTGGATGGGCTAGTCTGTGATGATGTTGGCATGTTCTGGATGGAGGATTGGGAGTCGTTGTATACAGATGCCATTCGATCGATTATGTTTGTGTTTTGTGTTGTTGTTGTTGGTGTGGTTTTGTCTGTCTTTGTGTGCCCTTGTTTGTCCTTTGTAAATGTCGTTCCTGATTGCGCTTGTTTGCTTTGTTGTCTGTAAGTGAAGAACAAAGGAGGTGCAAAGACACAAGCTTGCTTTGTATTTTTCCGTCCCTTGGTTCCCTTGCGTGACGTGCAAAAATTGGAAGTAAGGGAGAGAAGTGGAAAGAGCACAAGATATTTGAAACACGCGTATGCACCATGTAGATAGCACTCGTTGGCGTCTACGAACTAGGATACTGGGTGAGGGCGTGTTCATGTTTACGATAGGTGGGCGTTACCTTAGAGTGTCCAGCCTGGAGGCGTATGCAAGGAACCAGATAGAAGAATTGGGGCTGACAAAGGGACGGTTGGTAGAAGGTTCAAGAAGTGATTGGTCACGGATGATTCGAGAAGAATCTCGATGGATCTGACAAATTTATAGTGACAAATGAACATTTACGTCATATGAAACGATGCGTGGGCGGAGCACAAAGGGAAAGAAAAAAGAAATAAAAAGGACCACTCTCAGACCACATTCCAACCATCATCCAACAAAAAAGCTCAGGCACAGGCACAGCTCACCACCAGCAACAGCAACTACCAGCACTTCTCTCTCTCTCTCTCTCTTTTCTTTTTCATTCACTCTTTCTCTCACTCAAACCCGTACCCACTATTACCGCCAGCAACTCCTCTATTCAAACGAGCATTAGAACACTCCCACACAACATGTACTCTCTCTTCTCTCACCCCGCGACAACCTCTCGTCGCCAACGCACCTCCTACCCCTCCTACAACCCTTACACACCCACTCACACATACTCCTACAACTCTGCCGACGACGAAACCGATGAAGAGGAACAACTCCTCCTCGCCGCCCTCGAACGCAAACGCCAACAGAAACTCGCCCGCCATCAATACATCCAACAGCAGCAGCATCAACAGGCTCTCGAGCAGCAGTGGATCGAACAGGAGTACCGTCGTCACCAAGCTCTTGCACAGGCTCAGGCTGAGGCTAAGGTCAAGGCTGAGGCCAAGGCTCGTGCTATCGCTCAGGTCAAGTACGAAGCCGAGCAGGAGGCTATTCGCCAGTACAAGAAGCAACAGCAGATCTTGAAGCAACAGCAACAGCAACAGATCCATGAGCAACAGGAACGCCAGCGTCGTCGCCAGCAGCAGCCTGTTGTTACTCTTGAACAACTTCTCTTCCATCACCTCCAGGAGCAGCAGCAGATCAAGCAGATCGAGCAGATCAAGCGACAGGAGGAAGCAGCCAAGGCCGCGAAGGCTAAGGCAGTTGCTGAAGCCAAGAAGCAGCAACAGCAGCAACAGTTGGAGCAGCAGAGAAGGCTCCAGCTCGCTCTCGAGACTGCCGCCGCCGAGTCATCCGAGTCATCTGAGGACGAGCAGGAGGAGAGTGAGAATGAGGAGAATGATGTCCTTAGTCAACTCTTGAACGCCATCTTCTTCCCCCAGCACCAACTCAAGCGCCACAACCATGAGCTCGAGAAGCAGAAGCAGGCCGCTGCCGAGGAGCAAGCCAAGAAGCAGAAGCAAATTGAACAGGCCAAGGCCGCCGCCGAGGCCAAGAAGCAGCAGCGTGCTTCCGAGTCGGACGATGAGGATGTCATTGGCAACTACTTTTTGACCTTCCCTGACATCAAGTCCATGGTTGAGGCTGCTCTCGGTGCCAAGGTCGAGGTTTCCGCCAAGAAGCCCGCCACCCCCACCAAGTCTACCGCCTCTACTCCCACTCCTACCAAGGTCGCCGAGTCCAAGCCAACTGTCGAGGCCAAGACTGCATCAACTCCATCCTCGACCCACTCATCTCCTGAGCTCCGCGCCGCCGACATCCTCCAGCAACGCCAGCACCGCCAACGCGAGCACGACATTTCGTTCGAGGAGAAGCACATGACTCTGAACCAGATCGACGCCGCCCTTGACGATCTCTCTCGTGAGTTGGACGGTATCGTTGCCGGTCGTATGGAGAACAAGAAGCAGATCCTTCAGACCGAGGAGAACTTGACCAAGGCCATGTTCCGCATTGACTCTGTTGAGAGCGATGGTGAGGTCAGTGTCCGCCACCGCAGAAAGGAGTTGATCAAGAAGAGCCAGACCCTTCTCGATGTTGTCGATGAGTTCAAGACCCGCGGTACCACATCTGATGCCACGCCTAATGTCACCGCTACCGCTGAGACTGAAGCAACCCCAGCTGTCGAGAACGATGCCGAGATGACAGAGTCTGCTCCTGAAGCAACCCCAGAGACTGAGTCTACCGAGGTCCCTGCCGTTGAGACCACTGTCACTACTGATTCTACCGATGAAGAACACGAGGAGACCGATGAGGAACACGAGGAGACCGAGGAAACCGAGCTGCTCGATACTTTTTCCGATGTCGAGTCCCTTCCCGATGCCGAGGCTGACCACACCGACGACGCCGCTGACGAGACCACTCCTGTAGAGGCCAATGATACAGTCGTCGAGTCTTCATCCACCGAGACGCCGGTTTCCGAGTCTGCCGCACTCGAGCACGAGAACGAGTCCGGAGAAGAATCTGAGCAGGAGAGTGACAACGAGGAGGACGAGGCGCCCGTATTTGACGCTCTTGACTTGATCATTGACGCAGCATTGGATCTCGCAAGGCCCTCGGACGCCATTGACCATGACTTTGAACTGGTCTCTGTCCACTGATCACATGCGCATACATCCTTCCTCCTTTGTAAAATACCAACTATAGCAATAAACATAATATATGAATCGCAGCCATCTCTTCTTCGCATCTTAATGCATATCTTACTCGTACAAATGGATTAACAACAGAAACTAAAGAAAAACGCGTCGAAAAAAACAAAACAAAAAAATTGCTCAGCCTTGGCCCTGATCATGATTCTTTCAACATATCGCATCAACAATGCCTTCAATTGTGATGTACTCATAGTTGAACGTCAGCTCTGGAGATGTTTCGTCCCAATGTGCATGCAAAAGCAAGAAATAAGGGCGCGCCCGACTGTTGCGCAATGAGTCGAGGGGCATATCCGATCGATGTCGTCCTGCGAAGTGTTCAAATTCGACAAATTCGAGAAAGTGGGGACTGACCAGATAGACTTGAGATATACATTCAACGCCTACATAAAAGTGTTTGACACCTAACTGAGGTAAAGGCTATGTTGTACTTTCAACAAATTCAGTACAGTACTCAAGGATGCTATTGAACTTCACGAAAAAAAAAAAATTCAATCTGTTGACTGTTGCAAACAAGCGTGTTATTTGGAAGCGACATCTACGGGCGTATCTACAGAAAAAATGCGGGTGGTGAATTGGTGGTAGTGCTGGTGTTGCTGGCGTTATTGGTAGTGGGGTAGAGAGACGGAAGCTGGATCGGATGGGCGAATACTCTCCTGGTTGTCTTTAGGCACTAGCCTCGACCTCAGCAGCAGCAGCGGGAGCGGGGGCATCAGCCACCGACTCCTTGGCGGCAGCAGCAGCAGCAGGAGCGGCGGTTCCCTCCTTCTTCTCCTTCAAGGCTTTCTTCTCCTTGCGCTGATCCCTCACGGCCTGCTTGCGAGCCTCCTCCTCCCTCCTGAGTGCCAACTCCTTTTGCATCTGCTTGGTCTTCTCGTGCATCACCTATTTTATCACAATCAAATCATACGCATGATGTTAGTTCTTGCTTGTCGTTTCAAGATAAAAAAACAAAAGGAGGTTAAGGGGGTACGGAAGGGTGTGTCTTTCAGCAACAATATCAAGGATCCTTACCATCTCACTGGCAGTCTGAAGAATGGACTGACCCCAGTTCTCTTTGAATGTGTTGGCCTCCTCGACAATAGCCATGATTTCGGCCTCGAGCTCCTTCTCCGAAAGAGTAAACTGGGTCCAGATATCATCACCAACGGTGCCTTGCTTGACCAAATTGGCCAGAACCTGCTTATCCTCGCGCATCGACAAAACACGGACAACGCCTTCCATGGCGCGGCGGAGAAGTGCTGCTGTCAATTGGGTCTCGGTAGCCTCGGGCTCGTCCTGCTGGAGGAGGGCGATATACTGGCTGCGTGCAATGTTCTCGCCGAACCAGGGCTCAGCATCGTTGATTGCTAAACAATATAACAAAAAGGAAGATTGAGCATCAGTTTACCTGATCTATTTTTCTTTCTGTCTGTTTTGAGGTTGATGAACTTTGGCTGCCTCTTCTCTTTTCTTCGGGTTTAGGACACTGAGGTGTGAAATACAGCGCAGACTGACTTCACTCCTGTATACCAACTGGTGCTGGTATCCCTGTGCGCTGTCCATCCTTTCCATCCTGTGGCTTCATGGGCATATCGTCCAGATAAAACAATAAACTAGTAGCCGCTTCACTCGATAATAAGAATAGAGGACCATCCTGTAGCAGGGTGTCGTTTAGGCTGCTGCAGTGATCCGGTAAGAGTGAAGAATGAGTAAAGCTACTCACCGAGCTTCCTGTTCTTCCAGAAGTAGCCAAAGATTCTCATCGAGAGGATCCAGCCTCCGATGTAGATGATTGCGAGCCAGACAGATCCCATCCTGTTTAGTGGTTGTTGTGTATAAGTTGGTTGGCGGTGTGAAAGGTGGGAGGTGCGTTAAAGAAAAGAGAGGAGGAAGAAGGAGGAGGTTGTGTTTGATGGGAAGTGGATGAACAAGAAATAGAAGCGAAAAGAAACGAAGGAAAGGGGTATCAGTGTTCACAGGCAGCCAGTCAATCAGCCCCTTCTCACTGGTGCATTGTCCGCATTTGATTGGCTACTGATCAAATTTATTCTTATTACACTCTCTGGCTCGTCCTTGGGTGCTTGGATGGATCTGGACATGAGCCAGGCACCGCCCCTGTCACGTACTACTACTAACCGCTACTGCTACTGCTGCCATCGCTGCCTGCTGCGAACAAAGCTTAGGCTTTGACAGCCTTGAAACGGAGACGCTGGTACATAATGTGCCAAACACCATCATCTGCCGAGAACGGCAAGTTCGCCTGCACCTCCTCAATCACCTTTCTTCTCTCTTCCGCATCCCCCTCAAAAGGTCTCAAGAACGAGAACCCAAAGGTATCAATCCACCCCGCAACATCCGTGTTCAACTTTGTCAATCTCGGGATCAACTCGATCGATTCCACACGGAAGCCTTGTTCCTCCAACATCTTGCGGTAGGTTTGAACGCCGGGGAAGAACCAGGGGTCGTACTCGTCAGGGTTGTAGCCGCGATTGCGGAGGGCCCAGTGGAGGCCCGTTCGGACTTCTGCGACGTTCATGTAGCCACCGCATTCAGCTACGAACCGGCCGCCGGGCTTGAGGCATTTATGGACACCTTGGATGACTCGTACTGGATCCTTCTTCATCCAGTGGAGCGCTGTTTTGTTATTTCGACAAGTTTGAAAAAATAAGGGCAAAGGGGATAATATCAGTTCACAACTGCATCCCCACGCCAAAGCGCGCTTTGCATAGACCTAAACACCAAAAAAGCATGTACCTGCACTAGAAAAGACGGCATCAAACTGCTCGTTGGCAAGCTCCTTATGGTCGACAAGATCATAGCCATCAACAACCTGGGCATCGCGACATCCGTTCTTGCGCGCAGCCTCAATCATATCAGCACTGGAATCAATCGCAACCACAGACTGGCACTGCTTCTCGAGATCGAGAGTCAAGACACCATCGCCTGCACCGAGATCCAAGATCCGCTCATGGGGTTGAGGAGCCAGCAACTGGACGACGGGGGCGCCGAGAGCTGGGACGAAGGAGGCGTGCTTGGAGTACATCTGGGACGACCATTTGTCGTCGCTGGCGGCGGGGGTGGTGGTTGGGACGGAGGCAGCTGTGTCGCTCATTTTTGTAAGACTTAACGTATCAAGGAAGAGGGGGTATATGCTATTTTGTTTTGTATGCTTGTCGGATATGCTCCAAAAGAGAAAGTGTAGAAAGGTGTAAAAGGAGTTTGTAGAAGAGAAAAGGAGTTCAAGTGGCGGTCGGTTGTGTTATTGTCAGAGATGACTGAGAATGGATGTGGAGTTTAATGGTGTTGTTGGGAAGTAAAAAATGAGTGTTCGCATTGCCCTTTTTAAGGCTTTTTTCTGTGCCCCATATATGACTCAGGTCTGTCAAAATTATTCGACATTCTTTTTTGTTGATGTTGTGTCTGTGTGGACGTATGGTGCTAATATCGTTAACATGGGGCATCAAGGAACGAGAAAAGAAAAGAAGGTCTAGCCTCAAGTTTATCCGTTTATCCATGACAGACTTTTGTCGTTCTGGCGAAGCCGGGTAATAGCGTGAAAGATAAGAAACGACTCCTCCCAATGGGTCATCCTTGTCACTTTGTTGACAAGCAAAAGAGAATGATTGCGGTTGCCCGGCTAATCGGATAATCTAGTCTTGTTCCTGAACGACTGGCAGGTGCATTCTCTATCGCAATCATGCTTGATGTATTATATTGGAAGAGATGGAGCCTTCGTCTAGGCTGCCTTGTAGGTCTGATAGAATCAACCGAAGGAACTGACGCGTCTTATGTGTTGGTGCTTGCACTTCTAATAACCATTAAAACCATAGATATGACTGCTAATGAGTCTTTTGAAAAGAACACCTCAGAGACTGCGGTGAGGACTAAAGGGTGAGGCCATTGGGTCAAAAAGTCGAGCAATTGGAAAAGTAATAAAGAAGGTCGTTTGGCTGTAGGACCATGCCTGCTCGGGCTGTCTGCCTATCTCAGAAGAGAGATGCGCCGTTTTGCTGACCAATTGGCCAATTGGGGCCTCAAGGTGGAAAGGAAAAAGCAAAAGAAGAAAAAGCGAAGTCGTTTAGGGACATACGACCAGTAAAGTATCTTGATCAGAGAGGGTGCGCCTGCTGAAAGTCAATTTCCCTCTCTTGATCGCATGCAGTGTGAATCAGCGAGCTTATTTTTCGCACGATCCCGTGCCCCTGGTGCAAAGTGTCGATTTCAGGGCCGAACCTTTTCTATTTCCTACAAAAGAGATCTTCCTCATTCCCTTTCTTCTTTCATCTCTTTTCTTTCATTTTTCTCTCCCATTCACTCAACGCACTCCCACTCCTCTCCTAAACAAACAACAGTAACCTTTGATAAAGAATGACGAACGTCCATCTCCCCACTGCCGCCAACCCCGGACCCTTTGGCCACCAACAGCGCAAGAACTTCTTGTTCCCCGAAAACTACACTCAGTTCAACCACGGCTCCTTCGGTATGTCTCTATCCTCCTCTTCTTCCTTGAATCTTTCATTGCCACGGCTGCCCCGCTCATCCACTTTCGAGTCTCCCTTCGAGCTGCGTATTTTGTTTCTGCTCTGCGAATAGTCGGCATGCGATTCTACATACCCTTTGTTCAACCCATGTTGTCTTCGACTGAGCACTGACCTACATCCATTCATCTCTTTAGGCACATTCCCCAAGGTCGTCCAGGATGACATGCGTGCCTGGCATGACCGCGCTGAACAAAATCCAGGTACCGTCCAGTTCTATTCACCCACGATGCATACCGAAGAGACAATTACAACCAGTTTCGATCACCCTCATTCTCAGAGCCTCGTGTTTAATCATCTCCTGGTCCCGCCGCACAAAAGGAAGAGGCCTCTTTGCTAACAATCTTGTGTACTTTCTTTGCTCACCGTGACTCACTGAACCGTTTCCCGTGTAGACCTCTGGATGCGCCGCGACTTGTACGTGGCCCTGAACGACATCCGCGCCCAGCTCGCAGAATTCGTCAACTGCGACAAGGAAGAACTCGCCCTCGTCACCAACACCACCGTCGGCGTCAACACCGTCCTCCGCTCCCTTCCCTTTGTCCCCGGTGATCGCATCCTCGTCCTCTCGACCGGTTACGTCTCTGTCAACCAGACTGTCCGTTATATCTGTGATACCCACCAGGACGTTAAAGTTATCGAGGTCCCTGTTACCTTCCCTATTAGCGACAAGGATTTGTTGGCCAAGGTTGAAGATACGTTGAAGGCACATCAGGAGTTGAAGGATGGATCGAGGATCAAGTTGGGAATTGTGGATTGGATCTCGAGTGTGCCGTCGGTTGTGCATCCTGTCAAGGAATTGGTCGAGCTTTTGCACAGTTATGGCGCCTTGGTCTATGTCGATGGCGCACATTCAATTGGTCAGGTCCCTGTCGATTTGAGCCATCTTCGTCCCGACTTTTACATCGCCAACTGCCACAAGGTACATCCAGGACTTCTTTTAAATGGTGCTTCACTGACTTGTTCTTCGAGTATTGTGAATGATGTGCTCACCATACTCAACTTCTCCTTATCAACAGTGGCTGTACAGTGTCCGTGGATCAGCTTTGTTATATGTTGCCAAGCGCCACCAACATCTAATCCACCCAACGTCCATCACCGGAGACTACACCTCAGGCTTCGAAAAGGAATTTGGCTGGGCTGGCACCCAGGACTACTCCTCCCTCATGTCCATCCTCTCCGCTTTAAAGTTCCGTAAACAATTCGGAGAAGATGCCATCATCTCCTACACCCACTCGTTGGCCCTCGAGGGTGGAAAGGCCATGGCCAAGATCCTTGGCACCCATTGCCTCACCCCCGACGACCACCAGGTCGGCAACATGGTGAATATTGCTCTCCCTATCAAGGATTTGAATCACCTCAAGGCCAACACCAAGGACTTCATGGAGATCTTGATGGACAAGTATAATGTCTACACGCCTGCTTTCCGTCATGGAGACCATTTCTATACCCGTGTCTCGGCCCAGATCTATCTTGAGCTTGAGGATTTTATCCGCCTGGCTAACATCTGGAAGGAAGTCATTGACGACCTCAACGCCTCTTCTTAACTATCACCAGTCACCAATACTCATCATCATCAACACACATGCAAAAAGGAACGAGTAAATGTACAAAAATAAATGATTTTAATTGTATATAATGAAATGAACAATTAATAGATACGCTCCATGATAGTATCGAGGGAAACACGCTCCTCCGGGTTGATGGTCATCATATCACGCAACAACTTGGCAATCGAACCCGAGGGGTCCAAAGTCTGACTCCTCTCGTACGGCGAATTCGTCTCAGACTCATTAGTCGGTGGTGCGACACCCTCAGCAGAAGGCGAAGGTGGGTAAGGGGCATGGAAGGTCTTGGACGACCAGGGTCCCGTCTGCTCCCATCCTCCCACCAGACCCCAGGCCTCAGTCTCCGTCGGGAAGAGCGGGTGTCCAGTCAAGATCTCATAGTAGAGACAGCCCAGAGACCACGTGTCCATGTTGGCCTCGACCGGGAAGTTGATATTGTCCGCGCGCCAGGCTTCGAGCAACTCGGGGGCAGTGTACGCCGCAGGGAGAGGATTGCCACCGATGCGATCCATTTGACGATCATGCTGCTGCTGATCCATGTAAGGGAACGAGTCGGGGTTGGATGGGTTGGTAGGGGGGTGGTACTGCGATGGTGTCGCTGTCTCGCCACTGCCGCCAAAGGGTCCAATCCGCTCACCTATATACCGGGCGCATGTGAAATCCCACAGCTTCCAAGAAGCATCCTCAGTCCTGGGGTCGATGTCATCCTCCAGGAAGAAACTGCCAGGCTGGATGTTAAGATGAACGACTCCGTGACGATGGCACCACTCAACAGCGGCAGAGATCGACCGGAGGATAGCTCGGGTATGATGAGCAGACTTGACGGGACTGAGATCCGAAAGAAGACTGGTCCGCCCACCCATAGCGTTGACAAAGGGGTAGGTGAAGGCGCGGTTCTGAAGGGCGGGGATACAATATGACTCTAGCAACTCCATCACAAAGATTGGACTCTTGAGACGCTTCAACAGTGCCGCCTCGCGCTTCCAGTGGAGCTCGGTCATATACCACTTCAACGTCGCTCCTTCAAACGTGTGCTGGTTCTCGGCGTCGGTCAAGAGCATCGAACTCTCCTCGGCCATTTCAACAAGGGGCGAGTTGCGTCCTGAAATCATTGATGAACGGCTCTTTTTCACCACAACTGTTCCTGAACGCGCCAGACCCTGATTGTTCTTGCTCTGAGGTTTGAGCGACCGTGCGCTCTTGGGATCCGAGATGATGTGGTAGGTGCCAAGGACCAAGCGTCCGATCGTGCCGTGGGGGGCCATCAAGTGAGCATCCGGAACCTCGTATCGAATGACCTGGAGCTGAATCTTTTCCTCAAACAACTTGCCGCTCTTGGCACTGTGTCGGGGGAACCTGGAGGTGACAGAACTGACAGAGATCGAGTGGCTAAGTCCCTGTGGAGTATGTTTGTCGTGACGGTGATGGGTGAGTGCGGCTTCGACGGGTATGGTCTCGTCTATGGATGGCTGAGTGCTGCTCCGGTGTAGATGATGGCTCAAGAACGCTGTTCGCTCGGGAACATCTGCCGAACGCATTCCTCGATGTGACATGTATCCCATCCGTTCCAGATCGTCGTCCTGATGGGGTGAGGGCGGGAGACCGCGTTCCTGGTTGTAGAGGCCGAGAGGTACAAGAGTGTCGTCTGCCTTGGATGGGAAGAGATCCTGTTGCTTTTTGCTGAAAAGTGAACGACTTGTGTTGTTGTTACCGCCTCTCCGTGTCTTTTTCCGACGAATGATCAGGAATGCAACGATGGCGGCCAATGCCAATGCGCCTACAACGCCTCCAATGATGGCCGGTAAATGGTTGGCGGCAGGCTTGGAATTTGGGTCCGAGTTTGGGGGTGCTGGTGTTGCAAGGGGTGATCCAGGTGGATCTGTTTGCCTGCCGCCTTCCGATGTAGGTGGAGGCATAAGGCCGTCTTTGGTGACAAGGTGGATATTGTTCTGGTCCAGAATAAATAGATCGTCAGGGATGGAACCATTTCTTGAGGAGAGTGGGTAATTGGCTTGACGAGGGGTCATGTTGTCGCTATAATATGTCACTTGGGCGCTGCCGGGGGGACTTGTCTAGCAGAGCAAAGAAAGGAAACATGCATTGGTTTTTGTTAACACATGTGTTATTGTCAATACCACAGATATGCACAAGATCCTTATCCTCCACAACTCACCAGGTTGACTAGAGCTACGCCACCGCCTGACACTGGCACAAGCTTCATGCCTTGACCGACGACGATCGGGGCTGTGGTTTGCTTGCCTTGCGACTGAATGTTGACTTGGGCAAGTCGTTGATTTGATGCGTCAACGTTGTAGTGGATAAAGAGGTTGTCTCCTGACAAAGCCACGCCAATGATGGCAGTTTTTTTAAGAACAGGGCCGTTGCTGATTCCAGTCAGACTAAGTATTTAAATAGGACAAAAGGAAGCTTAGTACTTTGCGAACGATGTCCGTTTCCTGATGGCCTGGTGTTTTGCTTTGGGTATCAAGGGACGAGAGAAAATCTTACTCGGCTAGGTTGGCCACGCCAGTGTAACCTTGTGCGCCGGGATTCCAAAAAGTAATGCTCTTCTCGGTGACGGCGACACAGTTGATGGCGAGTCCGGTAGTTCCGATGGTAGTTGTTTCTTTTGTGAAGTCTTTTTGAATGATAGGATTTCCGTTTTTGTCTCCTGTACCTGTTGATGGGAAGTTATCGTCGCTCCAGTCGTACACTCCGTTTTTGCGGGTGAGGTTTCCTGTGGCGTAATCGGATATGAAGTAGAGTACGCCGCCGGACTCCAAACAATGACCTCCACTGAACCCTTTAAAGGTGCGGTTACTAACAAAAGACTCATCTCCATTGGTGTTGACAAACGTAAGGAGACCACTTGTTTGATTGACGCCGACTGTCCATGCGCCTGTTGCGCTCGCACATGTGGTGAACGTATTTGGCATCATAGCGAGGGCATCTCCGGGAGCGGCGGACACCGACATGACCAAGGTAGATACGACGGAAAGGAACAAGCAGATATGCCTGGCCGACTGGCTGGCGCCCATCCTTGGAAGCAGCATTGCGGGAAGGGCGTGTATGTGTATGTGATGTGTGCGACTCTTATCGATCAAGAATGAAAATGGGCTGTGTTGATATGGTCTGGAGTTGAGAGCGACGGTTGCGATGAGAGTTTTTTGATCTTTGTTGGTGTATGCAATTGAGAGTGAATGAGAAGGAAGGGAGGAAAGAAAAGAGAAGTGAAGGATGAGTAATGCGAGTGGAGTGGACTGGAGCAGAAAGAAGGAGTAAGGCTGTGCTAGCGCCGGGTGAAGGCAGGGCGACTGATAGTCGACTTTTCGGTGAGCAAGGAAGGAGAAGTGAAGAAAAGAAAAGAAGGGGAACAAAGAAAACGTAAAAAAGCAAGAAAGGAGAAAGAAAAGGGCGTTGATGGTGCCTGGAACGAGGGATCACTCCATCAGCCATCACCATATCCATATCAATCAAATCAGAACAATAACAATCATGTAGAACCATGTCCACTATTCTTCGATAAAAAAGAAGACGACGCTATCAATAGATATTACAAGGACCGGGTGCCAGACCCTCTCTCAGTGTGTGTGTGTGTGTAAAATCATCATCATCATCATCATGATTGTCCCTTCAGCCCAGCTGAGAAGAAAAACTCTGACGGATTTTTTGTTGGAAATGGATGTGCTATTCGGCTGTGCCAGGAGCACAAGAATATGGCGGGGGGCAGGAGGGGAGTGTGTTTGCAAGATAATAAAAAAGGGCACACCACGCACGAACAGTCAGCATACATTACATATGGAAGTATGGCTCTTCCTGTTGTTGCCTCGTGCACATCATCATCACTCACAAATGTTTGTATGCTGTGGGTCGATTATATAGGGGGTAGACGAGCATGCCAGCTTTAGTTCTTCCGTCTCGTTTTTTCTTGGCAACAGCAAGGAAGGATGATGATGATGATGTCTTCTTCTTCTTCTTCTTTTCCTTCTCTTTCCCTCTCTCTTCTTACACATCATCGTCCTTTCTTCCCTCGTTCTTCTTTTTTCTTTCAACAAACACACGGCGACTAAAAGTCTTTTTTTGACCAACCTTCCTCTTCCTCTCCCTTGCGCTCATTTTACAGAAAAATATTTTCTGGTTGTTGTTGCTCACTTTTCTCCCTCACCCCCCCTCATCGCCACCTTTCCTTCCTTTTCACTCACGCGCCATCCAGCACACACAACAAATACCACCAAACACCACCAAACACCAACAAAGCAACAACACGATGTCTTTCATGGACAAGTTCAGACTCGCCGCCCAGGGTACTGCCACAAAAACAACTCTCACACTCTCGCTCATTGAACAAAAAGAGAAACCCTTGGCAGAATTACCAACTATGAAGAAATGAATTACACAGGAAAAAAGGAAAAACTGAAACATACCTGGCGTGTGTGCGATTACGATTATGTTGTTACAGAGCAAAAAAGAACGAGGCAGGGCTGGAGGCGACAATGCAAATAGGAAAGAGAGGGAAGGAGGAAAGGAAGGAAAGCAAAAGGTGAGCCGTGGGAGAAGAGGCGAGGATATGACAAAGAGAGAAGAAGAGGTTGAGGGTGAGGGGTATTATGAAGGGACACCTGCCAGTGGAAAGGACAGGAGGGTGCGGTGGCCGTTTCAGGAGGGAGGTGTATGTGTTGTGAACGTAAGGTGTGCGAAGAAGGGAGGGCTGGGCAAGAAGGAAAGCAAAGGCGAAGAAGAATACAAGACGGATTATTTTGTTGGTTTGTCGCTGTCGACGTTGTTGGTGAGAGCCAAGGCGAGGTAGAAGGGGGGCAAAATAATAAGCTTTTCGGTCAAGAAAAGCGAGAGAGAAAACGAATGGGGATATACAAGGAAAAAGAAAGGGAAGAAGAAAAGAACGAAGGAGAGATTGGTTGATGGGGGTGTAAGTGGATGAATGAAAAGAATCCTTGTCGATCGCAGACAATGGGCGGGATGCAACAGAAGAGTCAGTCTTATATTTAGAACCGAGGGTTCTTCTCTAATGGCTGGCTGGTTGGCTAGCAAACTGGCGTACACTTGTTGTAGTCGATGACTGTTGACTGTCGACAATGATATCCGCCCCCTTTTTCACTCTCACTCTCTCCCTCTCTCGACTCTCATTTTACAACACGCTATTTGCGTTTGCACAGCCGACCTTTGTTTTACTTTCTCTCTCTCTTTCTCCTTCGCCGTTGTTCTAAGATCGGACATCATGTATTCTCTCTTTTGCTCACCGAGGTGCAGCAGAGTGCTTTGCCTTCCGCCCCCTTGTCAACCATTGATAAAATACATTAACAACTCCAACCAATGTTCAATAGAGGCAGGCAAGAAAGCTACAGAGGCTGGAAAGCGTTTCCAGGAGACCGCTACCGTCGCCACCCGCCAGATGCAAGAGTCCGCAAAGAATGCCAACATTTCCTCCCCTATCCCCGACACCAATGCTGCGGAGGACCTGAAGAAGGCCGCTCACCTCCTCAGCGGGTTTGTCGACAAGGAAGAGAACGAGGCCGGATTCGACAACATCATCCCTCCCGAGATCCTTCGCAAGGCCCGTGGCTTGGCTATCTACACCGTCGTCAAAGCCGTAAGTGAATTCTATTCTCAAAGGAAAGGAAAGGAAAGGAAGGTGTCTTTTTCGATTTATTTACGGCACAGAGGGTGTTTATGTTTGTGCTCAATAATGGATGTCGAAGGACACGGCGTGGCAGTGACAGTGGCGTATTATTTTTTCTATTTGTGCTGCAATGTACCTCTACGGCCATAGTCCAAACCATCCAGACAGGGATGGCTTGTACTAATATGCTTTCACATCCTGCATATGAGATACACGAGAGTAACGCGAGTGGCGTTCACGATCAATCCCTTTTTCGTGTTTTATCTTATCCGATTTAACAGTACATCTACCAACTCGAATGACAGCTAACCATACCGACAACGTACTTCTGAACATAATCATAATAGGGCTTTATTGTTAGCGCGCGTGGAGGCAGTGGTGTGGTCGTTGTCAGGAACCAGGATAACCAATGGTCTGCACCCAGCTTCATTGCCACAGGAGGCGTTGGCTTTGGTGCCTTGGCTGGAGCAGATATCACCGACATTGTCCTGGTCCTCATGACGGACGAGGCTGTCGAGACTACGTTTGTCCAGGGCGGCAGTGTGACCCTCGGCGGTGGATTGTCTGTCAGCGCTGGCCCTGTCGGTGTCGGCGGCGAGGTTGGAATGTCAGCCAACACTCAGACCACGAGCACGTCGTCGATCTACTCGTACACAAAGTCCAAGGGTCTCTTTGCCGGAGTCTCGATCGAGGGCACTGTGCTGTTGGAGCGCAAGGAGGCCAATGCCGCCTTCTACGGACGCGCCATCTCTGCCGCCGAGATTCTCCGTACCATTCCCCAGCCTCCCGAGGCCCTGGAGCTCTACACTGTGATCGAGAAGGGACTCAGCCGCGAGCTCTAGGGACATCATCCTGTACCAGAGCAACTTTCCCATGTACTCCACTCCAGTTCACTCTGATGTTTTATCTGTCGTATATTTGGTCGTACTTGGCTACCATGCACACATTCGCACGCGCACGCGAACGCACGTTGTTGTTCAAGGAATAAAAAAAACACGAAGGAAAAACGCGCTTGTTAGTAAATGTGTGCTCATGCGTAATGCGCGATTTGTTGCTCCACAGGGTTGTGTCCTTTTGCTTATCCGCTTATCCAACCATCCTCGATGCCCTTTCCCTCACTGTCTCCCTTTCCCCGTCTGCTTGAAATCGGACTCCTCTCACTTCTTTTATTTTTTTCTTTTTCCTTTCCCTTTTCTTGATATTGCTCCCCATTCCATCCGCTTCCACTACTCATTCATCACCTACTGTTGGAACACTGCCATTCACTCTCACCCTCCACAAGGACTCAACCACAAAGGGACTTAACCAACAAACAACAACTAGAAATAAAGAGGAAGACTAACCATGGCCACCTTCCGATTCTTCGACATCTACTCGTCCACCGTCCAGGCCCATGTCAAGACCGACAAGGACATCTCCGAGGACCTGTATAAACACACCAACCCCAGAACCCTCGACGTCTACGCAGACCTTGTCCTCGTCTTCAAGTACAAGCAACCCAGCCTCAAGGAGGCCACTGTCTCTAAGCCAGAGTACGAGCAAAAGACCCTTGCTGCTTATCAGGAAGTGCTGATCAGCCTTACACGCGTTGGACTCCAATACGAGACTCGGCCCAGTGGAAGCGACACTCTTTTCATCTTTATCCTCTGCCCGTGGGCTGTTCTGAAACGCGAGGCCACTCGTGCCAGGTAAACCGGAGTGTGCGCCTTTTTCTTCTCACCCCATGTGCTGGGTTATGTCAGTAATGCCATACCAGAGATTGGACCAGTTCGATTGACGTGGATTCCTTTTGTTTTTCCTTGTAATAGCATCAATGACTGGCTGGCTGGAGTCAAAGTCGCCGATACGAGCGAGACAGAGCAGTTGCTTCAGCCGGCAAAGGAGCGCGACCAGTCGCTGGATGAACTCTCAGAGTCGGATCGCCTTCGCTTAATCTCGGACCTTATCACCAATTTGCATAGCGAGGGAGGCGCTGGTATCCATCCTAGCCATCACGATTATGTCGATAGCATCCTCCCTTTGCATGACAAGGCTTTCAACAAGGTACGATTGCAGGAAACCAAGCGGGGACACAATTGACGGGTGAATGACGATGTGTTACCTCAGATTTCTCTTTTTTTTGGACCTTTGGATCTCGTCCAGTCAGTTTCGTTGCTACTCACGTCACCATCGATTTATTTATCTGACCCGCCTCTTCAACTCCTTACAACGAACAGTCGTGGCTCAAGTCGTGGTCAAAGAAGGTGATTGTGAACGAGCAGGATCTGTCGCGTGTCCGGGATCACTTTGGCGAAAAGGTCGCTTATTACTTTGAGTTCCTCCAGTACTACTTCCAATGGCTCACTGTCCCCACCGCCCTCGGAATCCTCGTCCACTTCTTCGGAACCTCCTTCTCAATCTTCTACGGAGTCTTTGTTATCATCTGGGCCGCCTTCTTCACCGAAACCTGGAAGCGTCGCGAAAAGGAATTGGCGCTCTTGTGGAAGGTCCAAAATGTCTCCAAGACCGAGCAGAGACGACCTTCGTTCAAGGGAACCATGGCAACAGATCCCGTCACTGGAGAGATGGTCCCCTTCTTTTCTCCCTGGAAGCGATGGACCCGCAAGTTGCTCGGTATCCCCGTTGTCCTCGGAGGCGCCCTTGCTTTGACTACCGTAATCAGCGCTGTCTTTGGAATTGAGGTCTTCTTGACCAACTATTACGACGGCTACTTGAAGGAGTATTTGGTGCGTTTATTTGTCTGTGTTGTTGTTGCCGCTGTCGGTATATTTGAATGCTATTACTTCACCGTTGGAGTCATTAACGCATTTTATACAAACTTTATAGATATATGCACCCATGGTCTTATATTCTCTTGCTATCCCTAACGTTGCAGCGATCTGCAAGTCTGTTTCGTACCGCCTGACCGAGTACGAGAACTACGAGACTCGTGGCAGCCACGAGTACCACCTTATGCAGAAGGTGTTCATTTTCAACGCCCTGACCAGCTACATGTCGATCCTGTTGACGGCCTATGTCTATATCCCCTACGGCCCTCAAGTCATCTCAACTTTCCAGGCTCATGGAATTTCCTTCTCTTCAGCCACAATCGACCCTCACATGCTCCAGACCCGGTTGAAGGCCTTTATGATCACCACTCAGGCCATTAGCTTTGCGACCGAGACCATCGTTCCTTGGTTGACTAGACGTGCCAAGGTCGGGGCTGTCAAGATCCAGAAGGAGGTGGCAGAAAAGTTGCATCGCGATACACATGAGGATGGTTCCTTGACCGTCCTCGAGGATTCCGAAGATGCCAAGAAGTTTTTGAAGCGTGTCCAGAAGCAGGCTGACTTGCCCGAGTACGACATCAATGAGGACTATGCCGAGATGGTTTTACAGGTAAGAAAGGCGTCCTTTGTCACAGGATGGTTGCGGACTTTATTATAATTTTGCACCCCACCCGCCATTTTTGCTTACCATTATTCATTCGCATTATTTTTAGTTTGGATATGTATCGTTGTTCAGTGTTATTTGGCCATTGACGGGTCTCTGCGCTCTTGTCAACAACTGGGTCGAGTTGAGATCAGATGCTGCCAAGATCAGCTACAACGCCCGTCGTCCCATCCCCTCCCGTACCGACACCATTGGGCCTTGGTTGGATAACCTCCAGCACATTGCCTGGTTCTCGTCCTTGACCAACGCCTCGATCCTTTACTTGTTCCATGGCACCATCGACTCTGCTGACAACCATGGACCTCGTTTGGGACTCGGTATGCTTCTATTCACGCTTTTGGTCTCGGAGCACGCTTACCTCGCGTTGAGGATGGTTGTTGGATTGGTTTTGGACAGTATCCCTACTGAGGCTGAGCTCGATGTTCGTCGGAGGGAGTTTGGTGTTAAGCGCAGCTGGTTGTCGCGTCTTGGTGATGCGATTGGGATCAACTCTGTGGGTGGTGTCAGTGGGTTGGCGAAGCGGGCGGACGAGACTGTTGATCTGAGCGCGCAGTTGGAGAATGATTTTGGTGTTCAGGCCATCCGCTCCAACCTCAAGACAAATTAAATGTCATTGACATGGGCCACTGGAGGCACGAACGTGCGAGAGTCTGAATCTGAATAAACATATATGTATCTTAACGATGCATTAAATTTGATAATGATCTAGCTAAAATGAACTAGACCCACTGGGGAGGTGCAGAGGGTAGAAAGAATGATCCAGCCGATTTGCTGCAGTTTTTATGTTGTTGTTGTTGTTGTTGTTGTTGTTGTTGTTGTTGTTGGGTGAAAGTCGATAGGGTCGAAAGGGGGCGAGGGTGATCTTTTGGCTTGACAGGATGTTAGAGGAACCTGCCACGGCGATGTTCACGGCGGCGTTGGAGTCACGACCCTGCGTGGCCTTCTTGGCCTTGAACCGTGGACAGTCCCAGTTTCGGCATACAACAGCTCCATGAAGGCGGACTTGTTTGGTCTCTCCATTCTGAGCTCGAGTTGCTCGAGCCAATTCCACAGGTTGGAAACAGGCTGAGCTTACCTGGCTGGTCCTGTGCTCGTTCGTGTGGGCGACCACACCATATTGGCGGTGCTGATGACATAACTTTCCGCCACCGCGTTTGGAATGACCCTTCAGACGTGAGCCAACGCATGATCCACCCGTCCCATGTAAGATAATGGGAAGGATCTGGACTTTCTCAGGGTCTATCACGTAAGGAAATGAAATAATAAAGCACCAAAAAATGTTGGAATGTGCTCCTTAACCATAATAAAGCAGCAGAACATGTCAGATGCTTTCTCAAGTTACCAGTATCCTTCTTGTCATCAGTTGTTGTCGCCTCCTCCTCCATTTCGCTCAACCCCTCGTCTGTCTCGATGGTCTTGGCCTTGAGCATCCGCCGGATCTCCTTGTGAACTTCCGTCTTGATACCCCGCCTTTGCACTGCAGCCAGAGTGGCGTATGTTCGCCTTGTCCTCAAGCGCTGGGGTTTTGCCTGGCGTCGTCTCTTGTTTGATGAGAAAAACGTGCGTGAATCCCGCCTGGCTTGTCTTCGGACCTCTTGGGCAGTATTAATCTCGTCAAGTGTGGTTGCGGTCGAGATAGGAGTGTCGGAAAGACGCTGAACAGCGGCCCGAGCCGCTTTGGAGACATCACAATCTGCCGCCAAATCCCGCTCACGGCTCCTTGCATGCTTCCGACTAAAAGAAAGGTCGTCCAACAAAGGCGCCATTATCCTGCTGACCGGTGGTAGATCCACAACTGCCTCCGCCAGTGACTCTGATTCATCCTCTGTCTTCAGCATGTCGTAGTCTGGCACAGCCATTCCAAGTAAAAACGTGCCGCAATGAGAACGACGAAAAAAAAACTCTCATACAAGAGCCCATAAACAACCGAATTATCTTGCCGTTTAAATTACCTGCGAGCGCACCAAATGGATTAAGAGTTTCAAAGTACTGACGAATGTACTGTGACACTTGCCCATGCGTGAGTGTCGCCGAGACCTGCATAACTGACAGTCCAGGGTCGTCTGAGCTGAATCCGAACACCTTGTTAGAGTCTGCTCCAGCCGATTCGAAAATGCTGTTCAGATGAAGTGATTCCGTCCGATCCTCCAAAGCGGGCTGCTCCCAAGTAATGATGGTCCTGCGTGGAGGTGCTGCTGGTTCGATGCTAGGTTTAGTTGTGCTCACTTTGTTAAAGGCGTACACCTCAGAGCGTGTAGACTTCAACTCGAACTGGTGCTGAGCCCAATCGTTCCAGGCTTTGCTTGCAACGCGGCGGTTCTTGTACAGCTTTTCGTATGCCTCATGCCGGGCTTGGTCTTGTTGAGCCGGGTCCACTGAATCATCTACTCCCTCTGACAATGCCTTGACAATCCTGGAGGCATCCAGTCTCTCGTTCTCCGCTTGGAGATATGTCTTCGAACGGTTCTTTTGATCTGCCTCCAAAGTGGAAAGACGTTCCTGAGCCTGCTTGGCCTTTTCCTTGGCAATTTCCCGGGTTACTCCAATGCGCTCGCCCTCCCTAGGCCAATCAGTGCCTCCGCGTGTCCGTTTCGAGCCTTTCTTCTTCCGCTCTTCCACCAGCTCGCTGCGCACAGGCGCGCCGGATCCCCGTTCTTGACCCGCCGGTACGACGTCGCCAAGGACATGGATCGTGTGTCTGTCGACGTATGTGAAGCTATGGTGCACAAATAACCAATTCATTAGTGACCTTTCATCTACTGACAAAAAAAGGCATAGAAAGAGAACCATAACACCTCATATCAATAGGAAACCTTACCTTTCGGCAAAGACTAGGGCTCTTCTGTCGCACATGTCGCGAACAAGATTCATGTTAAAAAAACATTCGAAAAGGGTGTGGGCATGGATCCCAGCCTTGGGAATGGACGTCACAATCGTATTTTGGGCTACGTGTGGGTCAGAGTGTCTGTTGGTAGATGCGCACAATGCTTCGTAGAGGCCGGCAGCTCCAAAAGGAATAGCATAAAGAGATCCGACGCTCGGCGACGGGGAGATCTTTCGGGTGAAGGCCGGATATCCCCCGATACGTAGCAGCTGGTTTGCAATCAAGACAATACCGATTCCGGTGGCGATATGGGGCGTAGGCGACGTCGTTCCGCCCGTCGTCTTGGATCGTCTTGTCGGGACATAATCACGCAGTACTTCGACGGTGTCAATAACCGCCTCACACTCTGTGTCCGTCACTGCATCAGGTCGATGGAAACAATCCCTGACTCGCTCAACTGTCAGTGCACCCTGAATCGATGGGGACTCCAATAACATCTTTGTTACGGCTTGTATGGCCTTCAGGTGAGCTCGCGAGGGTTCCTTCACATGAACAGTAGGGTCTAAGTGACATACATTGAAAAAACGAATGTAAGGATTCGCATGCAAAAAAAAACCAACCAACATCACTTTTCAGCAATCATCTAGGTGAAATGCAATGACCGTCTTACCAGAACTAGATTGTTGCTCCTCTTGCTCCTGCTCTGCCTGGTCACTTGCCTCATCAAGATCTTCATGGGGTGCTGGGGTGGTCGTATCACGTGAACACTGCTGTCTAGTTAAGCGGCCCTGGAATGATAGGTTGCCGTTGACCCGTTCTGGTTCCGACTTGGCATGGCGGCGTTGAAGCGACAGTAGGTGTTGGAAACGATTCAGATCCATGTATCCAGATTGTGCCTGTTGGAGCTCCCTGCCAAGAATGTTCTGAGAGCGCTCCACATCATCCTTCCACGCCTTGCGAGAATACCGAGTGGTGGGTTGGTTCAACTTCTCCGAGTTCTTTTCACCAGCGGCATGGGTTGATGTGAAGTACTTGTCCTCGCGCAATGGTGCCAAGCGAAATCTGAGCGAGAAGCGAAGGAGATAGTCCATCGCCGTACTGATCAATGAGCCCGTCCAAAGATTCTCAATCGCGGTAGCCATTTGATGCCGGATGTCACAAACCAAGTTCGAAAGGCCGAGTAAAGGATGGTCACCGGCCGCCGTTGTTCGTCCTTGAGGGTATATACGAGTGACCCCATCCTGTTCCACCATAACATCTGCCAAATGAGTCCACAAAGGGTGCTGTTCCCGTGAACTTGCCGGTGGACCGTCAGGCCCCAGAAATCGTGCATACAGGTATCCTAAGTGCTCGTAGTTCAACAAGCTCTGGAGGTCGTCCACCCATAGGTTTTTAGTCTCGTTAGGCTGAGATACCAGCCTCTCCTGTAATCCAGCGGGTAGAGGTGACACCAAAAGTGTAGGTGAAACAGGACTCCGGGGTTCGAAACTTATTGGCAGAAGGTGCATGACGTCAAATGTCGGACTGGATGGGGTTATCGTAGAAGACGAAGATGGTTGAACCGTGTGCTGTTGGGCCACCTATTAAAAAACATATATTCATCTAGTCAGTTTTTGGCAGCTCACACCAAAACAAATACGAACATGGTGAATAGGCGACTACTGTATTTACCAACAAAGTCGTCTTCATAGCCAGGGCATAGAGTTCATCGGCCATGTCCGTGAGGGCCACTTGATTCGACTCGAACAAGTCTGCGACAATGTCGGCGTGCTCAGTCAGTGACAGTGACAGGAGGTTGTTGAGCGATACCGGGAATGTGTAACATCGGCGTTTTTCGCGATCCTTTGCCTCTTGCTGAACTGCAGATTCCTCCTCGGGGGTCAGAGAAGCTGCATCACCGTCCTCGTCCTGAACAAGACCGAGGACCTTTGTTTGCTCCATATCCATCGGAGCTGACGACGAGCCTTCGCCGCCATCAGACTGCTCTCCCGCTCTGGATACCGGCGCCCCGTATTTATCACGACATAACGAGACTGCCCTCATCCAGGACGTTTCGTATACGCTTCCGAGTGTTGAATTGTACTCCAGCTTGCAGAATCCTGTCCCCTGCCGATGCCGGACATCCTGTTTAGTGAGGTGACTCAGTCCTGGACGGGCAATGGCTCGCGCATATCCCCGATCACACAGTCCAAGAGGTGCTCGCGCGTTTGCGGTGATATCGCCTAGAATCTGCACCTTGACTTTGTCCGACATACATTCATCGAGACTCGCTGCCTTTCGCTTCTTACTCAATTCCACTTTCTTGTGAAGCTTCTCAGCAACCTTCTCCTCGATATACTCGACACCATATCGTAAGAACAAAAAAGGCATAATACGACTGGAATGTTAATTTCGATTCGAATCAACGGAATGCCAATGACAATGCACAGAGTTCATAAAATGATGCCTCTTACCAAGCGACATGGAAGTCCTCTTTGCATGCATCTCGCGCTTCTGTTGTAATCGTCTGGGGAGCTCGTTGTACCCATTCTCTTTTCTCGTGTCGATAGGACGCAAACGGGATGAATCCGTCCGGTGTAAAAGGAGGAAAGGGGTCAAGAGTGCGAGATGTGGAGGTGGTGGAGAGTAAAAAACGGAGTGGAAGAAAAGTAAGAAAAGAGGAGAAAGGATATCAAAGGGGACAGGTGACAAAGACTTGACTGATGGATACGTACCGCGACTTGACCAATCACAACACAGCGACGATGCCGACAAAAGGGCAGAGTAACCACACGCGCACAATTCATGGGAGCGTACAATCATAGCAGCAGGTAGTTCCTAAGTACATAGCTCCCACATTCAATAAAACAACAGTCTCCAAACACACTCGCCCAACCTTGTTACATGATGACTGAGAACTGTGTGATAGCGAAGGGGAGGGGCGGAGAGGATCATCTTGCTTGTATGTATTATGTGTGCTTATTTCGCGCGCGCTGCGCGCGCCTCTTTTTATTTAATAACATGTCACTTTTTCGATTAATTTCTGATTTTCTACGTTTTTCCATTTTTTTTCCATGCAAGAGTATCACCACCACTGGTTAGGTCTCACTGGACCCTTTTTTCCAAATCAAGGAGGGAAATGCAGTGAACCTCTTTTATCCCTTAATCCGTAGAAGGGGATAATGTAAACTATAGTTTCTATCTATAGAGGTTAGGTTTGTTTGGGGGGTCTTGCAAGGGGCTCGGGCCGTCCTAGAGACTTGAGGTACTGTTCTCCGATCAAAGCGATGTTGTGCGCCCCCACTCCATCTCGGTGAATCCACCGAGTGCACTCAACACAGGCGCATGTCCTCATCGACGGCTTGGCGAGGCGGGTGGCTCGGTTCTCAACCACACATGTTGGACACATGGTGGAAGTAAGATACTCGTCGACCAGGGCAGCCTTGTATCCGAGCGCAGCACTCTATCGGTGCAGGAATAATAAAATTGTGTTCCATAGATTTGCCATGGCATCATGAGTGCACACAATCAAGACAAAAAGATACAACCATGCCTTTCACAATTTTTTTTTGCCTTTCGTACCTGCTGTAAAAGACGTCTGAGAAACGTGGTGTGCACCGAAGAGAGATTAAAGCCAGACCGGAAGGTTCCATTCCCCAGGGCAAAAAAAACTTTTCTTTGGTGGACGGGTACGCCCTCACATGCCTCATCCACCATCCGCAAAACGCCAGCGACGGCCAGATCCAACTCCGACATTTTCGCCATTCTGTGCTCGTGAACCGCTACCTTCCATTCTCTTGACGCGTAAATCCCGTGGATCAGCGGTTCCTGCTCGTAGTACTTCTTGTGAGCTGCCGTCAAAGCATCCAACGAGGTGTCGTAGTTCGTTGAGGGGAGAGAATTCTCTAGGTCGTGGACAGACGGGAGAGTGGTGAGCTTGTCCAGGTCGGTAATCCGTGTCCAAAGGGATGAGTCGACAACATCGCCTGGACCAGCTGTTGGGTGTCGCCTTTTCCAATGCTGTTCCCAATCTCGGAAGGCCAGAGTAGGCTGGTATAGGGAGGCCCTCTTGATCAGCAGATTGATGACTTTTCCACCGGGAAGTGTCAAACAAAATGCACCACTCACTACCTCTCCGGGATCAATACCGACGACAATGACTGAATCCAGGTCGTCGCCAAACGCGTCGATAAGATGCTGCCGCGTTGGATAAAGCTTCTCGATCCTAGAAAGAAACTCACTGTAATTTGGGGATTGGCGGGGTTTTGTAAGGTCATACGCGAGAATCTGCAGCTGGTGGCCATCCGTCCTGATATAGTTGTTGAGGGCGTAGCGGTAAGAACGCGGCTGCTGACGTGGGGTGGGAAGAGGCGGTGGGGTGGAGGTCGTCGATGACGATGGCGTTGATGATGGCAACGGTGGTGTCGGGGCCGTGAGGGAGGCGTTGTGCCGTTCTCGGAAAAAATTGACCTTATTCGTCAAATACCGTGCGAGCTCTAACTGTCCGTAGATGTGTGGATGGGCCTCCTCACGCTCAGCCATGGTTGTTGTCCTCTTCCCGTATGTCGTCTGCTGCTTATTCCTGGCTTCCTTGATGACATCTCGGTCACCGATGAATAGTTCTTTGATCACCTCTCCGTACGAAGAACGCTGTTTTGCCGCTGCCCAGTTGTGAGTGTAGCGGGTGTCCTCCCATACGTTGTCCAACTGAACTGCCTTCTCTCCCCAGAGAAGCGCAACCAACGCTTCCTCGTTGATGTCGATGAAGGAATCGCTCATTTTGGCCTGGGTGCAGAACCGGGGCCGCTTGGATGATGGTAAGAGGAGGAAATATCGCCAGCAGAGTTGAATATGACCCGGCTTGAAAATGATCTTCTTGGATCGCTTGAGGGCGTCGTCGTCGTCCACACCCTCGTTAACGTCAGCAGCCCCGGCATCACCACCAGCGTCGGTGCCATCTTGATCTATTTCAGGAAGACCATCGCAATCAATGGACAGCTTGGAGAGCTGGCATTGCATAAACAAAAGGAGTGTTAAAATATGTTTTACACCCCATTGAAAATATTTGACAAACTGAATGGATATGGATAGATGGTACCTTTGTTCTAAGAGTCTCCGGTATTCTCCTGTAATGCAGTTTCTGATCTAGGCAGATCTTGGGTGCAAGTTCCGCGATGATATTACTCAAAGCCAGATCCGTTGAGTTGAGGGCTTTGAACCCTGGGCACAGCGTCTTCTTGAACTCGTTAAACGTCGAGATTGCTTCAGCGACAGCATCCTTGCTCTTGTCCGACGCGGGTGGACGTCCTTGGGGGACAATGGAATTCCTCAAGACGAAGGACAGTAGGTTTTGGACAAACCTTTCCGCCCAATCGGAATCCAGGATCTTCTCTAGGAAGCTCTCGTCCGGTCCATCCTCTGCCTGGTTCAGTCCAGTCTCGATCAGCGGCTGTAGAATGCGCATCTCGATAAGCTTGTACACAATGTGTTTGGCGCTATTGACGGTAGAGACTGCCGAACTCACGTGTTGGGTTAGCTGCGCAACCTCTGCTTTCGACAGATTGGTTGATCTTCCTAGGCAGCCTTGCAGGGATCCAGTCGTGAGCGTGACCGTTGCGAAAACAGACTGGAACGCTCTCTTCAAGGCCTTGGGTCCGGCTATTCCTTTAGGTTCGCCAAGGAGTTTTTTCTTTTTCTTCTTGGCAGCGGGGGCAGGCACTTGGTCGATACGGGGGGATTGCTCCTTGGGCTTTGAAGGACGGGGGGTCGACGGCTTCAATCCTGAAAGTTCCACGACATCAACAGGGCTGGCCTTTTCTAGGAAAACAGTGTCCGGCACATAGCGATCTTGCACGTCTGTGCGCGAGCGGAATCTAGATGCGATTTTGCAATGAGTTGTGTTAAGGTGGAAATATATGTATATAGCTGGACAAGGCGGAGAAAAATACCAGGAGAAAAGACATACCTGGAACGACGCCACTTCTGTCGTCGCCGCTGGAGGGCACGTGAACCATGTCGGCGTTGTTTTTTAATCTTTTGCTTGTGCGATGGTGGATGTTCGGCTGGGCCATGCGTCTGCCTGATGGAAGGTGATCCCGCTGATGTAGCTTGCGGATATGGTGCTGATCCTGCCTTGGGTGCCGTTGGGAGTGGTGGTGGCGTTGCCTCTGCGTCTGTCGCCGCCCCCTGAGAAGCTGGATCTACTAGCAGCCCAGGCGGCAACGATCCCGTCCGACTCGCGGAAAAGCGACGCCAATCATTGTAGGCTTTGTTGAATTATGTTTCCTTAATTATGGCCATCAGTCGTGTGTGTGTATCGGCCGCCGGGCTGATCCTGTTGTTGTCCAGAGTGGTTTCCTCGCAAAGCACGAATGTCTTGAGAGCATGGCCGAATTCTGTCACATCTACACGCAGCTGTCGATCGGCCGTTTCGATCCTCCTCAGATCCTTGTCGTGTGCCTTCACCGTTGGGTTAGGATTGCATCGCAGTCGACGACGTGCGCTTTGGGTGGCTGAGTCCTTGATTGTACGGGCCTTTTGGTGTATTATGTCAAGGTAGCGCCTAACATAGATCCGAACCACCTCCACTCGATCTTGGCCAACCGTTCCATCAAGACCTGTCATCTTGAACTGACGGACCGTATCGACATTGGATGTCAAGCCATAGGAAAAAACTCCGTTGGTGTAGTCGTTGTTCGATACCAGAGCGGCAAGCGTTAGATGTACAGGGGTCGGAAGGCCATGCTCGTTCAGAAGCTCATCTTTGTGGAAAGTAGTCCAAGTGTTCTTGACTGGCATGGTGACGGACATGATTGACTCGAATGCCATGAGATCGGAGTCCTTGGTGATAACTCGGATATCTCCGGGTACGGCAGCGTTGTTGACTGTCCGCGCAATGCACGTGTCGCTTTGGTTGAGACATTGGCAAATCGTCCATCCACTCTGACGCAGTACTTCCGAAACGGCGCGCAATGCCTCCGGTGGTGCTCGGTACGACGCCTTCAGGCGTTTGTATAGCTGTCTTTTGTTGTGCAGCTTGCCCTCCGTGTAATCTCGTTCAAGTGTTTCCAACTGCTTGGACAGCGCCTGATCTCGTTTGCCGTGCGCCCATTCCTTCTCCATTGATCGTAGACCATCCATATGGAGCATTGTGATGTCCTTAGACAATCGTGAGGAGAGAATCTTCTCAATTGCGGCTCCGACAGATCGAAAATCCTATTGGAAACAGCGAATTATTATTTTGGTCACAGCAATTTAGCTTTTCTCCAGATAGCATGAATCATTTAACTTTTTTCCAGATCAGTACAATCCATTTAGCTTTTCTCCAGATGGTATGATTTATGGTACTTACAATGACCTTTTCCTGGGCGCAGATTGTGGTCAGAGCGCCGCTCTCGTCGAACCGAATCTGGGATGACTGTGTTGCCAGCAATCGCTGCATGTCTTCAACGAGAGTCGACGACCCGGAGCTGATTTGGAGGGGTCGGAGGCGTTTGTTAGAGGAAGCAGTGTCGGCGGTGTCCGCATCGTCGACGTCGGCTGCTCGTTTTGGGCTGGATGAAGCCTGCCGTGTAGATGTTGTTGTGTGAGTAGACATGCCCGCGCCATCGACGTCGGCTGCTCGCTCTGGGCCGGATGAAGCCTGCTGTGTCGATGTTGTTGTGTGAGTAGATAATTGACATCGGGCGGACTTTGCAGCGAACTGCACTGTTTTATGGAAACTCAGCGAGTTCACCAACGCAAAAAACATCGACGCAAAATCTACTTCACATCTCTTCTTGGTTAGATCTTCCTCCACTCCGTCTGTCGCCTTGATCCACCCGGTGAGATTTGTGATGCCCATTGCTGTAATTCTAAGTAATTCACAATTGAAGGTTGATGGTTAGCGCGAGTCTGATTTCATAGATTCTCTCAATAGCACGGGTCGCAATCACTTTCAACATCGGCCTTACATAGGTCTGTTGAAGCTCAATTGAGAAGGGGGGCAGTTTAGGAGAAGGGGGAGAAGGGGGCAGTTTAAAAGAAAGGGACACGAGGCGATGCAGAACGGTGAAAAAGAAGCTGGTGGTCTTCATTCACTCAGCCTCAGCCGCTCACTCAGTCACCGTGAACGTCAGAGCTATGAGCTAGGGGTGAGCGAATTAAGGGGTAGGATGGTTCTTTCTCACCAATCCCATGCATTTCAGCCTCAGTGGACAGACACTGAGATGCAACGCTATCGGCGCGGGCACAGGACCCTTTCTAAAACTCAGGGCGCGTATGATACTCCTAAATCATTCTTGGTGCAAAGAAGACCTTGCAGAGAGAGCAGATTCGCTGGGTGGGTTGAGGATATGCTTGTGTTATGCCTTCTCGTTTATTTTATCTGCACAGGATGCAGCCAGTCATGAGTAGTTCAGTAATTCATCGTTTGGTCCCTTGAATTTTTTCGAGACATAAGGGGATACTTAGGTAGGGGTGTCGCGACATTTGGCGGACACTATCAGATCCTTAGCCAGGAACTATCGGAACTCCCTTTGATGCATGGAAGAGCCGAAGAGTTTGTTGATAAGGTACGCATTGATGATTGTTGTATCCAGTAATCAGAAGAAGATCGGAGCCCATGCGCGATAAGTCCTGAGCTGAGTCGAATAGTAGCTGCATAACTGGTCGGCAATGTCGACTCCGTTCATGTGGTGGTTGTTGTCATCGATGATTTTGGGATGGGAAGTAACGCCATGGAACGTCCTTTATGAGCAGCCCGCACTGACTTTGCGCTGGCGCTTGTCTCTCGAGGGCGTCTGCGATCGTGGACAACGGATCAGTCGTTGTCGCCGAGGCTGAGGGCATGGACGGTGAAGAGTATGGAGACAGGTCTATTGTCCATCCAGAACACGGTAAGAACCTGAAGTGGGTCTGGCGATTGTCGCGGTTAGCTTTTATAGCCTAGCAGAGGGCAAGAGTGGTAACTCTCTTCGTTAAATAAAAGAAAAGGAAGCGAAGCACCTATCTATCACAGGCTCTACTTTTGAGAACCAATGTTGCTCAGGCTCGTTGGGGTTGGAGACATGAAAAAAACGCTTCAGTTGTTCGAAGCGGACGAGGGACATGAAGGTAGTGATGTTGTGTTGAGGACATTCAGGGAAGGTTGACCAATACTCAGAGACAGAGTTCTGCCTGAACACGCCCATGTAGACAATGATGCCGAGGAATGTGCGCAGTTCGTCAGGTGTGGTCTTTACCCATTGGCGCGATCCCTCTCCTGTGCCGGCTCCTTTTGATGCTGCATATGCGTTAGTGTTGTCTGCCAAATCCGTCAATACTGGGTCGGAGAAGATTTTCTTTGTCGGTGGAGCTGAAGCATCTATCACCCCTTCATCTCCTGCCTTCTCCTCCTCCTCGTCCCCAGAGCTATCTGTACCAGGCGTTGGTCGAGTACGACAACGGACCGAAAACAACAACTCCTCCTCCTCCTGTGCCTCGTCAACCTCCTCCGCAGATGCTACTACGGTGCCTTGAGAGTCAGAAACGTCAAAGGAACCGAGGAACTCGAGACTGGAGTCCATGAGTGAGTAGGGTGAAGTCGATGTGTGAGAAAAAAAAGGTAATGGGTTGCGGGATGATGATGAGAAAAAAAGAGCTGAATTCGAGAGTGATGAATGTAATGTGACGAAGACGACAAGGACACTCCCACGACGTAGTCTTCTAACCCGTTTTATTGGAAACCTGGATAAATCGAAAAAAATGTGGTGCAAATTTGCACCACAAACAAACTAGGGGATAATGATGCAACAAAACCGGATGGCACTATAATTTACAATTTACATGGCACGTCCAGACTCGCGACGCTCCTGTTGAGCCTTCTTCTGCCAGAACTCGGCATCGGACTCTGCAGCCTCCTGACCCATCTCCTTCAACTTCTCGCCAGTCTTGTTCAGACCAGAATGCAACTCTGACTCCAACCCATGGACCTTGCGTTCGGCGTCCTTGGTCCTGTGACCCCACCAACCCTTGGCGTCCATAGCAGCCTTTTCGACAGTTGGCTTGGCTTCATTGGCGGAAGGAGAGGAGGAAGAAGAAGGAGTGAAGCGAGTCTCCTTGACGGACTCCTTGGTATTGGCGCTGGACTTGGGGATGCCGCTGAGAACAGAGTCCTTCAAGTGGTGGAGGCCGTCAGAGATGTCGTCCTTGGTCTGCTTGATGTCCTCGACAATGTGCTCCAACAGGTGTGGGGTGCTGTCGAAGCCGCCCTCACCGCTCTCGTGGTCGTGGGTGTGCTTGGCTTCCTTGGTAGACACCTTCTCGGTCAAGACCTCGGTGCCGTGGGGCTTGGACGACCATGGCCAGCTCCATCCAGAGCCAGAGGAAGAGGAGGCAGTTGTGGTAGTTGGGTAGACGGTAGAGTCGGCAAGGTCCTTGGCAGGCCGCCCAGCAGCACGTCTGGTTTCGGCCAACAGGGCCTCGGCACGGCTCTTGGCCGCCAAAGCAGCAGCCTCCGCCTTCTCGAACGACAACCTCTGTTCCACCTCATTGGATACGCGATCGACAATCGGCCTCTTCTCCCTCAGCAGAGCTTCAGCGCGGTCATGGGCTTCACGGGCAGCTGCTTCGGCTCTCTCAATCTCCTTCATGTACTCCAACTCCTTGGCTGCCAACTCTGCATGATGTCTCTTCTCCAGACCTGCAGCCTCTGCAAGGCGCTTGGCCTCCAAAGCATCTGCCTGCGCCCTCTCCACCAATGCCTCTTCCTTCTCGCGCTTGATACGCATCTCGAGCTCGCGTGCGGCCTTTTCGACATCCATCTTCTTCTTTTGAACAAAGTCCTGGGCTGCCTTCTCGGCAGCACGCTTCTTGGCCAGCAACTCAGCCTCCATACGGATCCTGGCCTCCTCCGCCGCCTTCTGAGCCCGTTCAAGCGACAGTCTCTCCTCCCACTCGCGTGCAGCATTCTCCATCTTGATCTTCTCCTCTCTAGCCAAAGCCTCGGCGCGGGCACGAAGGTTGGCCTGGGTCTCTTCTTCCTTGATCTTCTCAAGACGAATCCTCTCCTGGATCTCGCGGGCAGTCTGCTCAACCTTGAGCTTTTCCTGCTGGATCTTGAGCTCCAGAGCTGCCTTGGCCTCGCGTGCGGCCCTCTCGGCAGCAGCGGTCTCGTGGACCACACGGTCATGAATCTCCTTGGCGGCCGCCTCGGCCCTTTCCTTTTGTTCTTGCGCCCAAGCTTCCGCACGGGCCTTGAGACGGGCAGCGGATTCCTCAGCGGCAAGCTTCTCGCGCAAGACACGGTCCTGGACATCCTTTGCAGACTGTTCAGCCCACTGACGCTGCTCAAGCTCCCAGGCTTGGGCCTTGGCCTTGGTCTCGGCCGCTGAACGTTCTGCAGCCTCCTTCTCCATCGCGAACCGGGTCTCCATCTCCTTGGCCGCACGGTCAATAGCTGCCTGACGGTCGCGGAGCAAAGCCTCGCTCTGGGCCTTGGCAAGACGAGCAGCTTCCTCTGCACGAGCACGAGTAGCAGCCGCAGATTTCTCCAACATCGCCGTCTCGGCCGCCAACTTGTTGGCCATATCCAACGCGGCGTGTTCAGCGGCCTGCTTGGTCTCCCAGATGATGGCCTCAGCCTTGTCACGTAGATTGTTCATCTCACTGTCGTGGTCAATCTCAGCACGACGGGCGCTCCACCAGGAGGTGCGACCGATGGAACTGCCAGCAAAGGAACCAGGGTAGTTATAGTAGGTCGAGTCGCGGACGCTGGCCGAGGACATTTCTTCACCGTTGGACCAGTACTCGGATTCGCGGGGACGGAAACCGTAAAGTTCATAATCGTTGCCGCCGGCGATGTTGCTGGTGCCGTAGGTGTGGTAGGAGGTTGGGGAGGTACCCTCGAGGCGGGAGGAGCCAATTTCTTCTTTGGTCGAAGTCCAATGGTCGACCTCATTGTCGTCCAAGAGGCCATCCATGTAGCTGTCGCTGCTAGTGTAGGCCGATGTTGTGGAGGCGGCGCTATGGAAGGGACCGGGGTTGCGGTAACGGTGATCGAAATCGTTCTCGTGAATCTTTGCAGATCCCATCTCCTCGCCGGTACTCCAGCGCTCCGTCGAATCCAAATCAGGTCCGACGGCAGAGCGAGTGCGACGACTTGAGAACCAATGCTTCTCTGCATCTTTCTTCTCCTTCGCCAACCGCTCCTTTAGCTTCTTCTCCTCCACCTCCGCATGAGCCTTCCACCACTCCTCATCCTTCTTGGCAGTCTCCTCCAACTTCTTGTCAATCGTCGCCGTCGTCTCGTCCACCAGAGCCTTGGCCTTGTGAGCCACATCCTCAGCCTTGTGAGCCACATCCTCGGCAACCTTCTCGGCTTCGTGCGCTTTCTCTTCAATCCAGTTCTTGGCATCTTTGGACTTGTCCTTCAGGTCAAGCAAAGTATCCTTGGACTTGTCCGCAGCGGTGACGATCGTGGCCGAGGCTTGTTTAGAGACGTCCTTAGCCTTGGCAGTGGCTTCCTGGATCTTTTCTTCGACCTCCGGAGCATGCTTGTTCCACCAGTGCTTGACCTCCTTGGTCGCATCCTTAGCCTTGGCCTCAGCCTCATGCAACTTGTCCTCGACTTCAGGAGCATGCTTGTTCCACCAGTGCTTGGCCTCCTTGGTTGCATCCTTGGCCTTATCCGCAACCTCCTTCGCCTTGTCCTCAACCTCTTGCACTTTCTCTTCCACATCCGAAGAATGCCTGTTCCACCAATGCTCAGCATCCTTGGACATCTCCTTCGCCTTATCCCCAACTTCATGGGCCTTCTCCTCCACATCCGAGGACCGGCTGAACCACCAGCTCTTGGCCTCTTTCGATACCTCCTTGGCCTTTCCCTCAGCGTCATGGAGCTTGCTTTCAGCCTCGGAGTATTTCTCGTCACCCCAGCGCTTGGCGTCACGTTGAGCGTTGCGGGCTCTACCCTTGACGTCGCCGATAGCCTCCTCGGCTTCAGAGTACTTCTCATCACCCCATCGCTGGGCGTCACGTTGGGCGGTACGGGCTCGACCCTTGGCATTCTCGGCCGCGTCCTCGGCCTCTGAAGATTTTGAGTTCAACCAATAACGAGTCTTCCTGGCGGCCTTGTCGGCCTCATCGTCATCAGTGCGATGGAACCATCTCGAATCTGAATCAGAAACCGTACGACGATGGCCACCACCACCAACACCATCATGGTCCAAATAGTTCTCGACACCTTCCTGAGCATCTCTGAGACGCCGCCCCGCAGAATCCCTCACATCCTCCATCGCATCCCTAGCATCCCCAGACCGCTCGCCCCACCAACGCTTCGCCCTCTCCGCGCCCTCTTCCAAACCCTCACGCGCAGAGTCGACAGCACCCTCGGGATGCCATGCATCCCTTGCACGCGACGACAACTCGCTCTTGCCGCCCATAGCTTTCTCTCCGACCGCGCCCGTCACTGGAGAGTGCGATGATGAAGAAGTAGGGTGGGCCCAACCGGGCTTCGAGAACCCATCCGGGTGCTGGGGACAAGGAGCCGACATGGGCCCACCGATGGAATCAATGATTGTGTGGGTTGTGTTTGGGAGGACATATGCGCCCGCGGCGGCTGCGAAAGCCAATGGTGAGAACATCCTGAACAAGATGTTTCCTATTAACATCCACGAAAAAAAAACGCGCCCAAACCAAAATAACAGAATTTTTTAATTATTGCGTAAGACAAAAAAAAAATTGGTCAGAGCGGTGGTGCATGAATGAATTTTAAAAAAAAAAAATGCGAAACATAAGGCAAATTTTTTAGCTCAACGATGAGAAACGAGAGAGAGGAGGGCAAACTTACTCTGACGAGCAACAAGAGATCCAGAGAGACCAGCAAGGGCGACGTAGAGTAGGCCTGGGAGGAGCTCTTCCTCGTTCGCGACGAGGGAATGGCGGTTCGAGATGCGATGGTGCTCGGCGGGGGTGGGACGGTACCGCATGACGCGAGTGTCTTCGTCGTCGTTGTCGTAGGGGCCGCCGTGGTGTTGGCGACGGTCATGCTCACGTTCGTCATTTCGCTGTTTCCGAAATCAAATAGGCCTTGTTAATTCTGTACTGGTACAACAAGAAGGATATGAGCTTATGATATTTTTTCTCACGGTCAAAAGAAACGTACGTTGTACTCGTCTGCGTAGACGGTGGTGTAGGATGTAAAGGCACCGCCGGCAACAAGGCCTGTTGCGACAGCGATACTCATGGGCTAAATAACAATGAAATGTTAATGCAAGCGCTTAATTTCTCGGCTTTCCATCGTTGAGAGGATTGTGTGTAGCGTACCCGTACTCGGAGAAGTGGTGCGACCATAGTGGATAATCAACGATGCGCAGAAAAAAAAAAAGAGGTGGACGGTATGAGGTACGAGGAGCTCAGTAGTAAGAGTTTATAAGTAAGCGTGTATAGCGAGAGCGGGGGTGAAAGGTGAACGTGGATCGAGTGAATATGTGGCGCGATAGGTGGCGGCGATGTGTGAGGTAGAGTAAACACCCGTGGAGTGGAGAAGATGACGATGTGTGGAGATGTGTGCGTGTTTAATAGTAGATGATAGTAGTGGTGGAAGGGATGGGAAGGGTAGGTAGGGGATAAAAAAAACGAACAGAAAAGAAAAAAGGTGAGATGTGGCAAATCGATCGAACGCGTTTGGTTTTGATCAGTACCGTGTTGCTGGGGTGAGAGACACGAAAGGATTTTTTTTTAGAAACCGCGTCAGTTGATTTCACACACATGCATGCTATCTTGTCTTGCACCTATCCTTGCAGTTTCACTTCTCTCGGAACAATGACAACAGCAATGACCACAACAAACAAACCCTGCATATCTCATAGCCAATTGCATTGCATCTGCTCAATGAATTAACCATGCTCACAGTCAATGCATAGAAAAAACGCTCGAGCAAAAGTGGCTGGGACTTTTACATGCTTCATCGTAGGAATGCATGACCTTGACAGAAGACAGTAAGAAAACAGGCGGATGTCCTGCAAACTAGGCCGGGATAATGCCACACTTGGTCCCTTATCCACATAGTATGTTTAATTCACTCATCCATACCCTGACCCTCCCTATCTTTTTCTTCCTTTCCTACGCGAAATAACACTATGGAGTCGTAATAAGTGCTGATGGGAGGAGGAAGAGAACAGTAGAGACATTAGACAATCATCCTTTCTCGCACAGGAACAACGCGATCGTCTCCTGGCGCTTACTTTTCTTCATCCTCACCCTGAAATTTGTACCCTCATTCACAGCTCGCTTTCTTGCCTTTTGTTTAGTCCACTGCCTTGCAATGACGAACCTTTCTAGAGCAGATACGGCCAATCCATAGAAACAAACTGGGATAAATGATCTCAGTGGGAGAGTGAACGGAAAAAATGAGTGAAAGCGAGGATCGCCTCCAGACAGCTTTCTAGCTCACACTCTACACACATTTAAAATCAACTATGCTCCAAAGGCAACAAACACATCATTGTGTTCAATTGCTGTCGATTGTTCACATTTTCTTGTATTCTTCCTTGCAAATCAACCTTGGACCCACGGTTTTCCTGCTGTGAGATTAATGTCACCCTTGTTTGTTCCCCCGCTCCTTGAATTCATCATAGGTTCTTTTACTCCGTCTCCTAGACTTCGCTCCTTCCTCTTTCCCCCTTAAGAGAGAACTGAAAGAACAAAACCCCCGTTCACCTTCTCCTTTATCTTCTTCTTTCTCCTCCTCCTTCTCTCAGTCGTTCTCTCTCTCTCCTCCCTCTTTCTTCCTCTCCCTCAGAGTCTAGCAATTCCCTCTAGTGAGAATTGGCTTTATCACTTTCTACGATTTCTGTTTCTATGGTGTCTTTTCACTCACTGCTCCTTTGGTGCTCCTGACCAAAGGTCTAGTCCTTTCTCTCTCCGCTCTTGATTTCTCTAGTTGTGTCTTGTCTTTATAGTCTCTCAACAAAGCTCTCGACCACAGCAACAAAATGATAATGTGAAGAAAACAATGCGAGTGTGAGAGAGAGGAAGAACCCAAATGTTTATTGTATCGACACGATCTTCTTATCTCTGATCCCATTGCCTTGTATACCCTTGACAAGAGGGATTGCCGATGTACATCTGTCTGTACGTTCATGTCCAAAAAAAAAAGCAAAAACTTAGACTGCGCGTTCGTCTTCGTTACTTGTAAACACACCGTGCCCCTCTTTTGATAATGGTAAACATTGGATGTCAACAAACCGGTGTCGGTGGTAGTAGGGAGAATCACACATGAGGGCCTGCAAGACATGAGAAAGAACGAAAGGGAGCAAGACGGGACGATCTGTCTATTACCTGTCAAGGAAATGATTGATTGGATGGGACGCGCTGGTGATGATTCTGAAACAGTAACCTTTGACGCGTCTTAGTTTGGGGGCAAGGAAAGGAAAACAAGGTCCGGCATGTAACAAGAGGGGAAGAATGGCAAGGCATCCCTGGACTAGGGTGGTTGAATTGAAGGGATGACTGGCTAGTGCTATGATCATTTTACTATTCATCTCTCCTTCAAAGAATTGCAATGGAGGGGGAGAAGGAGAGAAAAAATAACAAAGATGAACGATTGAGCGAGAGACTGTGAGAGTGTGAGAGAGGGAATGAGCCAGAAAGAAAGAGGGGCAGAGCGAGAATGAAAGTGATACTTTAGAAGCGAGACAGAGAAGGAGGAGCGAGTAAGTAAAGAAAAAAAAGATAGAAGGGAGCCGATACCCAAGGTAGCTCGCTCTTACTTTATTATTTGACATGGTCACTTCCTACTCTCCTATGTTTGTTTGTTGCTATTGTTGTCGCTCTTTTGCCTTCGTAGTTTTTTTTTCACACTTGAAGCTCTTTCTCTTCACTTCCTTTTTTTTCTCTCTCTCTCTCTTTATCCACAAAAGATATTCTCCGGAGGGTAGAACGCCAACGCATTTGCACTCATTCAACAATAACGACACATCCTGTCCTTCTCAATTTTGCATTTCTGAATCACACAAATTTCTACTTTCCTTTCTCTTCAACACGAAACACCTTGTGGGCTCATTACAGTCTTGTTCGTCCCTCATGGCACCTCAAACACCTTCGTCTTCTTCAGTCCCAGTCCCAGGGTCCAACCCACCACCTGCGGCACCCTTGATGACAGAACTCTATACGTTCGATACCTTGCTGCTGACATTCCTTGGAAGAAAAGCCGCCTTGCCACCAACACCACCGACACCAACAATAACACAAACAACTCCGCAGGACAGCAGCAACGGAGCATCCAATGCAAATGCATATGCAGATACAGATGCAGCGAATGCAGCAGCACAGAGGGACCAGAAAACCACATCCACCTCTTCCTCTCCTTCTTCAACGTCAATACCTTCGCCTCCACCAACTTCGCCCAGTCTGATCGATGAAGCTCCCAAGGTTTTGCTCTCCAAAGAAGCGATTTCTTCCCTTCCAACCGGCGCGATTCCGAGTTCTGGGGACAACAACAGCAGCACCGGCCCCAGTCCCAACTTGACATCCTGGCTCGAACTCCTATCCTCTCCCTCTTCCTCCGGTGCTTCTTCCCGTTCTTCGACATCTCCGTCGGGTTCAGGGAAGTCCAGCACCAGCAGCAACGATTTCGTTGGAGGCAAATCGACTATGGTGCATGGAGCTGTAGCTGGATCGACAGGAGGTGGAGGAAGGGGTGCAGGAGGGGCGAGGGTTAGAGGCGGGATCACGCTCGCTTACCAGGCCTGTCAAATGCTTCCAGAACCGATCCATCTCCGTCATGTTAACACCACCTTACTACCACTCACCATCAATGAACCTCCCAGCAATGGCACCAGTACCAGCAATGGCGATGCGAATCAGGATTCGTACGCGATAGAGTACTTTGCGGACCAAGGGTGCACTCAGTTTGTGATGGCGACTGCAGGAACGAGGGTGAATGTTTGGCAGGCAGAGTTAGATCTTGTCGAGAGTAATTCTGAGAAGGAAAGAGAGGATGGGGCGGGGAGATATGACAGTAGTAGAGGTGGTGGGAGCGGGACTACGCGTAAGAGAGATGATGACGGTGGTTTTCTTCGGATCGCCAGACGACAATCTTCTTCACCCCCAGCAGCAATCTTTTCGCCACCCTCACCATCAAGTACCTACACACTATGGACACCACCTCCGACAACAAAGCAAGAACTAAAGGGTCTCGATATGGTGGTCAGTGTTCGGTGGGTCGGGATCTTAGGACCGACAGAGTTCAAGGTGTCCAAAGCTTTGATTGCGAGCCGTCGACCTCCGAATCAGAACAGGCTCCTTGTCGACCCGTTGCTAGAGCGCAGAAGCGACGTCAATGACAACGATATTGGCAATGATGGTAGTGACGGCCATGGGGACGACAACAACACCGACACCCCTTCTTTTCCAGAGACTGTCACGGAAATAGATGAGAGGAAGGGTGAGGGTTCAAAGAAAGGAGCTATAGGCGACGGGACAGGCATTCCAACAACGCCGCTATCATTACTTGTACCACTAATGCAGCGCGGGAAGGTTGATGGTGGTGATGGTGTGGTAGGGTTCGTGAATTGGACACCGTTCAACGAGACAACACAACTACAAGCACCGACTCGACGAGATATCGGATCGTTCCCGTTGGACGACATGGTCTTCAATCTAGCACTACGAGGGAAAATCAATTCGCTCAATGGGCCAAGAAACTCGACATCGACGGCAGCAGCAGCAGGAGGTGGAGGCGGGCATGTAGGGATGGCGCATATGACTTCGCAGATTGTGATGGCAGGGTTGATAGCTGGCCTGTTGTTGATACTAGGGTCATTGTTGACGGCGGTTTATTATAGACAGCGGAGGAGGAAGTGGTATGAGGAAGATGGCGATGTCTAGTCCTATTGTTGTATTGTAGTTGTTGTTTGATAGACACCGAACTGAGAGAAGACAAGTTGCCTTGGGCTGAGCACAAGTACCCCTGTTTTGTTTGTTTCCCGAGGCTAGTTCAAAGCAGTATCAACTGAGGCAGTGCTTGACGACTGGGTGAATCTTCACAACAATACGACGAATTGCCCTTGGGCGGTTTTCGGATGATCGAACAAGTAACAGTAAGAGGGAAGAAAAGACAAGGCCGTAAGACCTACTAGTTTTTTTCAAGTGTGTATTAGGATGGATGGGGTGTAGCTTGCCTAAAAATACATGGCAACAGTCCATGCGGTCTCTCTCACTCTCTCACTTTGCAGGATACTGCTAATTGGACTGGGACTGTGTATGACAAACGCCCGACAAGAACTGGTCAAAGTGCTCTTTTCACTTTTCCTTCTATTCCAACCCACTTCGCACCGACTAAACGCCGAACGCCTTATGCCAAGCAAACATACAACAGTAATCACTACAAGCAGGACACCAACACAACTAATCAACCAGGAGGAATCAAGAGCAACATTCCACCTCCACTCTCTATTGCTTCACAATCACATCAACTACCGCACAGATCATCATGAAGGCCTCCATCTCAGCAACACTCATTGCTGCAGTCGCCCTCTTTGCCTTCACCTCATCAGTACAAGGACAAGGAACAGTGGCCGGACCCAGACCCGCCCCACAGCCGGGCCAAACCGTCAACATCCTCTACTCAAACTCGGAAAACAACGACACCGGCTCGGACGACGCCCTATTCAACGCCTGTTTCGCCTCCGAGACCGCCTTTAAACCCTACGTCTACCTCACTTTCGCACCCAAGAACGCCACCATCAACTTTTACAAGGACTCGAGTTGTCAAGAGTTTACGTTTGGGTTGAATGGGTATTATGGGGGTTACCCGGGCCAGGCGAGGTCTTTCCGCTGGGTTGGTTGGGCGGAGGATACGCTTGGGGAGTTGTTTTTGGAGCCCATTGCTGGGCAGGGAGAGGCTGCGGATCATCCTGGAGGACCCGCGCCTATTGTCGTTACACCACCGCCGACAGAAGGAGGTGGACATCCTAATAATCCACCGCCACCGCCATTAAAGACCCCGGATCAGGAGACTGGAGGCGGCAATGGTCCTACCAAAAGGACACCGTCCTTCTTTGGAGTTCTCTTTGTGGGCATGGTGGTGCTGTCGATTGGAGGATTGATCTATTGGAGGACGGCGGGCAAGAAGGAGACCTTGGATAAGGGCAAAGGCATCTTGCCGTCCTATGGCCGTGGAGCGACTCGGGACGAGGATGAAGACAATGATATTCTGCTGACGACACATAACAGGAGCCATGTCAACAATGACGATAACTCGTTCTCGATCGGCGAGGAGGAGGATTCGGACGACGACGAAGAGGATCGTCATCATGTCCGTCGAGACAACAACGATGTTGGCGAGGAGGACGAGGAGCATGAGGATATGCGTGAACAGAAGCCACGGGCGGAGCAGCATGACCGCTACCGTGATGATGATCGCGCATAAAAGGACAGCAGTAACTGCTTCTTTCTTTTCGTTGTACATTTCCTTACTTCCCTCCCCACTTTTGCATTTCATCCATGTTCGAAATAAACATCATTTTTTTTGTACAGTACAATCATATCCAACATTGGTCTAGGTACTAATTTTTTTCTTGGTGAATGGTCTGGTCAACCACGATCATGAGGATGGTATGGACTAGAGAAGTGTAAATGGAAGAGCACAGAGGTAAACAATTGCTGCTAACAAACAAGCCGAACACGCTTACCCGCCTATCTACCCTTTAGCTCACTTTCGTTGTTGTTCTGGGCGATGCCTCCCTTGTAACGTGTCTATTCAGAAAGTGGGCAAAATAAGGGAGCAAAAAAAAAAAGATGATAATTGCTCATCCCCTCCCCATTCACCAATGCATTGCAAAAGAACAAACGAAGAGAACAGAGAGAGGGCTCAGAAACCGACAATGGGGATCGAGTGATGAGGGAGGGATGGTGGAAAAAAAAGATAAAAAAGAAAGAGAGAGCGAGCAATCGTTTTGATTAGAGTGTGTGTAAGTGGGATAGAGTGAGACGCCCTTGCCTCATACTTGTGTAAGGTGCAATAATAATAATAGTGTTGTAGGGTGTGTTTTTCGGAGATGATTGCTTGAAATGGACTTCTGGCCGAGAGAGGTGGCAAGAAAATGCAAGACATTACCCGCCGTCTATTCCTCCTCCCGGCATTGTCGTTGAAGACTTGAGGAGGGAATGGCGTAAAGACCTGGACGACAAATGTCCGGTGTTGTTCCAGACGAAAATAAAAAAAACGAAGAGTTGATCATCAGCGAACGGCAATCAATCAGGACTGATAAACACTTGTATCTCTCAGGCACAATCAGTTATGATTGTGGCTGGTCAAAGGATACCTTGGACCTCCTCACCCTAGGTATTTGCAGGTGTTCTTCGACTTCCCAAAAGGGGTGCGATGTCCGCTGGCTGACTGTTGTTGTCGAAGTGAGTTGGCTTGGGCGGGCGGGTCTAGTACATGGCAGGGGTGATGTTTGATAAAAATAGAATATTTCAGTCGATGGACATGGGGAACTGTGCAATCTGTAAATGAATGAATGGGCGATGTGTGCCCGATACACGACAAGGGCCAGCCACAGTACCCTTTAAAAAAGGCGGAAAATAAAAAAAAAAAGTTCACACCGAACTTCACTCCTCACCTTCCTTTACTTTTCTTCTTTTTCTTACTTCTTCTTTACCTCTCACTACTTTTCTCTTCTCCTCTTCACCTCTCCTTATCCTTCTCTCTTCTCATCACAACACAACACAACACAACACAACACCCAACTCGACAGCAACCCTCTTTTTTAACGACCTTCAAAGAGGAGACACAAAAATCAAAAGCACAGCCAACGTCAACACCAACACAGAACCATCACCACTGACACAACAACAATCACACAATGGCACGATGGACAATCACCGCAGCAGCAGCAGTGCTACTCATCACCCTCACTCCAACACTAATTTCGGCCGCCGTCGAGTTGCTCCCCGACTCAGCCCCGACCATGGACTTGATCTTCGAGGCTGAGGACAAGTACCTCGTCGAGACTATCGAACTCAACAAGTGCCACAACACCTTCCCCCTTGCCGACACCTCCAAATATAACGCCATCACTGCCCAGGAGGACGATATGGGCGTCAATTTTTACATGGACGACAAGTGTGAGGAGTATGACTTTTCGATCCTCTCCCAGATCACAGAGTACCAAGGAGCTTTTGCTTCAGTGAAGTACACGGGCGAGTATAAGGATGCCAAAACCGGGTTCTATGAGAACCGAGAGTTTTCCGAGACGGTCTTCCCTGACGTTGTGGGAACCCCCGATGCTACCCCGGCGCCTGATACCACCAACCCCAACACAGGCGCAGGAAGCGGAACTGGAACCCATCCAGCGGAAGGCACGTCGACGGCTCTTGCGGGTCTTGCAGCGGATGGCAGCACAACTTTCACCAACCCAAGCGTAGGATTGGCGGTCGGTATGGGTATCATTGGCACGGTTGTTGTTGCGGGTATTGTTGCCCTCAGCGTCGTTGTCTACCGCAAATATGGTGGCAAGAAGGGTGGCGACGGACGAGCCTTTATGACGCTGTCGACGGGCCGGGATGATTATGATGAAGAGACCGGACTCGCTGGCGAGAATGGCCCTCACTCCTCTGCTCTTATGCAGTCCCGTGTCGGTGTCTCCTTTGACGACGAGCGGTACCCTCACAACTACCGCGACGAGGTAACTTTTCAAGCCTTTTTGTCTTTGTGCATTAGAGGTCCCTATCCACACACACACACACATGTAAACTTTGTTCAAACAACTAATCCTTCCTTTCTTTTAATGTGAATGTTTTAATAGGCTGAGAAGAGCGACGATGAGGATGAGGTGGGGTTGGGCGGATACCCCCAGGTCCCTGAAGGACCTATCCAATACAGCCATGAAAAAGGAACTCTCCCTCAGAACATCCGAGCGCCATAAGTTATATTTCCAATACAACAACATCTCAAATACAACCAGTTTGAGAAAAAAAAATACAATCCAAAATAAAAAAAACAATTCCACACTTGAATAACGAGCGCGACATGCTTTAGGATCTCATGTTAGCGTTACAAGTAGAGCGACTACGTTTGTATTTTTTTAAAAAAAGGAGGGGACAAGCGCAGGCACAATTCATGCGCTCGTCTTTATTTTTATTTTTCTTTACATCCAAAAAAAATAAGAACAAACGAAAAAATATCAAAAAAAAAGAGAGTGGTATGGGTTTGCACTACAAAAACAAACTGTTTTAAGCATGGGCACCGGGAACGGTGTTCTGGAGGTTGACAAGGTACTGAAACTCGCGCTTGAGGTCACGGCAGAATTCGTCCATGTGCAAATCGTTGGCGTCCTTGCCGAAGGGGTTCTCGATCTCACGACCGATACCCTCCATACCGAAGAGGGTGAAGGAGACGAGGGCCATGAGGGGGACGGTGTTCCAGCCGAGGTTCTCAATGAAGGTGAAGGGAAGGGCGAGAGTGTACAAGTACACGACCTGACGCCTAATTTTTTTTTTTTTTTTTTTTTTTTCGTTGAAGGTGATAAGTTAGGGAAAGTAGTGGTTAGAGATTTGTTGTCAATCGATTCAACGTGCTCGTAAATTGAACAGAGCCATAGCGAGAAAAGCAAGAGATAAGGACTTACAAGTGGATGGAGTAGGCGAGGGGAATGGGGGTGAAGACGATACGCTCCATGTTGGTAAAGATATCGGTCATGGTGTTGATGGATCCTAAAAGGCTTCCAATCAACGCGCCCTCAATACGACCACCACGGGCCTCACCTAGAACCCAAAGCGACAGGGCATAGGCAATCTCGAGGGGCAAGGACATCTGACCGTCATCGTTTCCAGAGCGAATGGTCCAGGGATCCTCGTTGTAGTGGCGGTGACGGTCTCCAAGAGCCTTGTCAACAATAACCTTAATCTCGACGTGGTCAGTAGCGGCGCAGGGGGAGAATCCCTCGGGGAGGAGATACTCAAGATCGAAATAGCGGACACCAAACTCCTGGCGCAAATGGTGCTTAATCGAGACGGCGTAGGCGAGGAGAAGCTTGATGACGAGGACCTTCTCGTAATCGTCGGAGTGTTGGAATTCGATCAAAGTGTTAGGGGCGGTGTTCTTGCCGTTGGTGCTGGGAGCCTTTCCAGAGCTGCGACCAAAGAGGTGGAGGCCGTTGCTGGGGGCAGCAGCAGCAGCAGTAGCAGCAGCAGGGGGGGCACCAGGGGTAGGGGCGGCAGCGGTGAGCGAGACATTGGATCCGCCAATGTGGGTCTGATGGTTGGTCTCCTTCATACCGACCCAGATCATGCGCGAAAAGTTACGCATCTGAACATCCAACGACGCCCACAACTTGCGACCCTCCCAGAAACGATCATAGGCAGTGTTGGTACGGAACGCCAAGATCAAACCGACAACGACGGACAACGCAGGAACTATTATCGAGGGTAAGGAAAGCAAGGGTGGGACGTGGTCAGTGTTTTCTTTCCTTTTACTATTTTGAGCATTGGCCTTATTTTTTTCTGCACCTTGCGGTTTTTCTCTCTCTTTTCCTTGCTAAAATTGATCCCGTTGTAGCCTTTCAATTGACCTCTTCATGTTTCCTTACCGATGACGGGGGAGAAGAAGAGGTGGAAGGGGAGGAAGCCCCGAGTCTCGACGAACTGGATGGTGGCGGTGAATCCGGTGACGATCAAGACATCAGGCAAGACGGTGGGGATAACCGATCCAGTAACACGGAGGGTATCTACATGAGGTTCGTTGTTTAATGGATAAGAAACGATCAAGTTAGTTTGTTTGATAGTTCTCGTTATTGTATCTTGACCATTGCTCCTCCTCTATGAAGAGAAGGTGGTTCCTCGACTATGTCTTCGCTAATCAACATCCTTCATCGCACTAATTGATATTGGGAAGAAAAAGTGACGAAGACAAAAGTAATAAAAGTAACGAGAAAAGTCCGCCGTGTGTGTGTGCTTCATCTTCCCGCGGGAAAAAAAGAAACAAAATGCCAGAGATTGGACCCAACCAGCCGTTGATGGGAGAGTAGGAATAGGATGGAAATGGAGATGATGATGATTGGCGAGTAAAGTTAGAAACATCAGAGACATAAAAAAATATTCAGGCACAAACAGAAGAGGAAAAAACACATGTGCACATTCCCACACAACACAAACACGCCCTTGGGGAAGGTGCCCATTGAAGTGTGCCCTGAACACTCTGAACAAAGCCAGGGGAGATGAGAAAGGGCAAGGGGGTACAAATAAGATCCGATCTACTGCCACCCTTCCATTGTTTTTTCACACACCCACGCACAGAGAGTTATGAAAGGAGCAGTAGACGAAAGGGCGAGGAAGGCTGAGAAAAAGGCAAGGAACAGGGTAGAGAATTGAATTCCTCGCTAGCCTTTCCTCTTTTCAACTGTCGAAAAGTGAATTCACGGGAAGACAACAATCGTCAAGGACAACCGCGTCTCGATCATTCTTTCATCTAAAAAAGAGTTTGTGTTCCATTGGAAAACAAAAAGAAAAAAAGGAAACGAGTCGAACGCAAGGAGTGCCAAGAATACCGAGGGAATGGTAAAAAAAAGGAAAGATAATAGCAACGACGAGAAAGGAACGGAATGGGAGAAGAAAGAATAAGGGAGGATGGGATCTGGCCATTGTGTTATGCTCCTGTACCTGGATAGGTCCACTGAGTCCTTTTGTAGTATTCTGCTGGTCTCTTGAAGTAAGACATGGCTTGTTGTTGTGGCGGTTGGTTGAACTCCTGAGGGTGGTGGTGAGAGGGGGAAAGGGTTAAAGAAAAGAAAAAGAAAAAGAAAAAAGAGAGAAAAGGAAGAGAAGAAAAAAGAAAACTGAGGGCTAGGTTAAAAGGTGGACACAAAGACACACACGACAGAATGATGACTTCAGCTGCATTCTTTCATGTCCAACTCACGGAAAGAATACACTAAACATATCGATAGGGACACTTTGTCCTTGTCATTTGTCATTGAGAGCCTTCGACCAAAAAGACGAATGGACAGCAGCAGTATGAGATTGGAGGTGTAAGAAAAGGGAAGCGGAACAGGGAAGGGAAGGGCTCTGCATTAGGTTTGGGGCATCGACCCTTCTCCTTGCTCTCTTTCCAAGGCTGGATTTTTTTTCTTGCATTGCAACGGCAAGAGCGGCTGGGCTGGCTGCTTCTATCTTCTTATGACGCTTGTGCAGGTATACTTTTCTATCTTGTTGGTCTCCGCCAAAAAAAACAAAAAAAAAGTGCGCTAACTTCTCACTACTCTGGTGTGCAAGTACATTGGCAAAGGCGAAGGAATAGACAAAGTAAAGGAAGACTAAACACCATGGTAGCCTTCCAACGATCTAAATTAATCTGCTTCTCACCCAATTGATCCGGCAATGGCTTGTTTTCATTCCAGGCCCATCCGTCCATCTCGTCAAAGTACATCTTGTCCCCTGACTCCTCTTCCTTTCATTCATTCATTCGTTCGTCAAGAGGGAACGAGTCCAATCCCTTGGCTGCGTTGGACTTGATTTGATTTCCGTTCCCTTCTCTTCTCTCTCTTTTTTTATTACTTTTTTTTGTTTGTTGTTGAGAGCCCTTCTCCTCGGAGTGAATTCTGTTGGACGAACGAACGACAAGAGAAAAGAAGGGTGGGCTGGAGAGAAATACAAACAAAGGAGACTAAAAGGGGAGGAGGTTGAGCAGATGTCAAGAGAAGAGAGGAGGCGGTGGCAGCGAACAAGAGATACTTGTAATGTGGCAGGGAAAAATATCCATCAACCATCTACTATGCATGTGCATAGTGCAGATTTTGGTTGACCATCGATAGCTCCTTTCACAACAACCGCCATGCAAAGGAAGAAGATGAATGTGCCTTTTCTTGCAAAAAATAATAATAATAATATCGATGTCGATAATTGGCGGTTCAGGGTCGAAGCAAGTTTTCCTGCCGACGATCGATGTCGAGCCAAACACGCCTGCCTTATGCATATTAGATCCTTGTCCTTGTTCCTATCACACACGATAGTGGACGGGACAAAACCAACAAAACCTAAAGCCATCCCTTCCATCCCATCATACCAACCGTTCCCTTATCACACGAGCATAATAAAAGGAACAACAAGCACAAACACAAACAAAAACAACGCTAAAATGCTGTAGACGCGTACTGGAAAATCTGACCTTTTGGTCACACCCTCCTCGCTTCTTTCTCACATCAGATCTAACCACGCCAGAATAGGAGGCACATAGATAGGCCGCGCCATGGCATAGTCGACAAAATAGATTATCATGGCTTTAGGCTGAATTCCTGCGTATCTATGGCATGGCACTGAGCAGGGGGCGACGCAGAAAGCGATATCATCACCTCCTGTTCTGTTCTGTATTGTTGCACCGGCCCACAAGCTCGATCATACATGAGACGAACATGTCCGAGGAGAGGTCACATAAACGTGGTCGTATGCATGGGAGCTCAATACTTCAAAAAAAAAACGCCACCGACTACGACACTCCATGCAACGACTACGGCACTCCACTCTCGGGTCCACTCCTGGGTCCACTCCAATGCATATTTTTTTGCTCTCACAAGATTAAAGACTTTTTTGTATCCCCTTCACAGTTTTTTATTGTTTTTTTTTGAACAGACAAAGAGTTGACATATCTCGTTTTCATATTTTTTATTTACAGATGCATGCGTTGGTGCGGTGGATAATTAAGAAAGCTGTGTTGTGTTTGGGAGTTCGATGTCCAAGTCAAAAGAGAAACGACATCATCGCGAACCTGTGAACAAAAGAACCTAAAAGTTGGGTCCCCCAGTATCTGCCCGCGACTGAAAGAGAACGAGTAAAGAGGATATTTAGGTGATGACGGTGGGCTCCTTGCGACCGGTGAACTCGGTCAGTTGGCTGAGCTTGAGGGCAACCTCGATCAAGGGACGGAGGGCCTCCTGTGTCTTGTCCTCGTACTTGGCAGGGTTCGACTCGTACTTCTCAACGTAGAGACGGACAGTGGCGCCCTGCGAGCCAGTTCCAGACAAGCGAATGATCAAGCGAGAGCCATCCTCAAAGATAATGCGAATACCCTATTTCATTGATACGCATTGATGATAAGTATGGTATGAATGAACTGCCAGCCAACTTCAAAAAGATGAGGAAAGCAGTCCCGAAAATGTCACTTGCCTGCTTCTTGGAGACACTACCGTCAATGGGGTCGGTGTACTCAAAGTCGTCGCCATCCTTCACAACAAAACCGTTGCCGAGATCCTTGCCGATCAATTGAGCGCGGTCAGTCGAAACCAAGGCACGGAGGCGATCCACCATCTTGTTGGCACCCTCAGACTCAACCTCTTCGTAATCGTATCTACCAACGAAAGAAACATAGTTTGTTAGTGTTAGTCAGTTCTATCATAGAATACCAACAAGAGTTAGACGTCACGGTTCTTACCTGGAGAAAAAGTTTCGTCCGTATTCGTTGTAATGGGCCAGAAGTATATCGTTGATGCTCGAGGGCTTGGTCTGGTTGGCAGCAGCAATAATGTTGAGCCATGCTATCATCACAGAAGAAAGGACAAAAGGAAGAAGTTAGAACATCGTTGCGTGATGCCAACCAGAACGAACAAATACACCGTCATTCTTCAATCACTTACCGACAACGGCCCAGACACCATCCTTCTCGCGAATGTGGTCCGATCCAGTTCCGAAAGACTCTTCACCGCAGATCGAGAGACGGCCAGCGTCCATCAAGTTGCCAAAGAACTTCCAGCCGGTAGGGACCTCGAAGTGCTCATAGCCCTTCTTCTTGGCAACCAGGTCCAAGGCAGTGCTGGTAGGCATACTTCTGGCCAACCCCTTGACTCCGGTGCGTCTGAAGTAAGGGATAGAATCAGCCTGGGCGGCAATAATAGCGACAGAGTCCGAGGGGGTGACAAAGGCTCCCTTGCCAATGATCATGTTGCGATCACCGTCGCCATCGGAGGCAGCACCAAAGCTGATGTTCTCCTTCTCGACGCGCTCGACCAAGTCGTGGGCATAGGTCAAGTTGGGGTCAGGATGTCCACCACCAAAGTCGGGACTGGGCTTGCAGTTCATGACGGACTTTTGGGGGAGACCGAGCTCCTCGACAAAGATACGCTGACCATAGGGGCCGGTGACACCGTGCATGCCGTCAAAGAGGACGGTGAAGCTAGGGGTCTTGTGCAAGAAGCTCTTGATGAGGTCAAAGTCAAAGATGTCCTTGAGGAGGACGACATAGTCGGCAACCGAGTCGACAATCTCAACCTCGAGGTTGCCGGCCTTCTGAGTACCAATGGCGGAGAGATCAACCTATCGATGTGAATTTCCAATGCATGTGCGACGAACGACGGAAAGTTGGGGTTGTGGGAAATAAACGGAAAAGCGAGGGTGAATGTGTAACAAATTGGGCAAAGTTAGCAATTGAGTTGTCCGCCAATCATTCAGAACACGCCATAGCCAGTCAAGGTTAGGGACGATCCAGAGAGATGGGGTAGGATACATACAGATGGCAACTGAACCTCCTTATAGGATGTCAACTTCTGGGTGATCTCGTAGATCTTTTCGGTGACGCTCTCAGGAGCGGGGCCTCCGTTGCTCATGTTGTACTTGATACCAAAGTCATTGTCGGGTCCTATTAGAGGAAGATGGAGATAGCGATGGATGGTTAGTATCTTTGATAGAGAAAAGACAAGCGCAGAAAGACAGTTTTTGTGGTTGAAACACTAAAAGTGGTGGTGTGTGGGGGCAGAGGGAGAGCGAGACTTGATAAGACTGGCTTTTTATCTCTCCGCTGGGCCCATTTTGAGTTGGGTCGTTCTTTTGTGTAGCATTGACCACCCCCAATGAGGATCACCGATGCAAGCAACAGAGAGATAAAGAGGAACTGATAATGAGTATCAGTCTCCATTCCCAACCCCAAAGCAAAAAAAATAAAGAAATGAACACAAGAAAAAGCTTTGGGCACATAGAAAAGGCGGAATGCATCCTCCGATCGGGGATTCATCTCACTATCTCCCTCTTTGCAAACATAAAAAAACTTAGCAAGGTGACCATGCAGGTGGAGTGGGAGTAATTATAGATAAGAATCGATCCATCTCGTATTGGAATATACAACAGCGAGTGAGCACTTGCCTCCAGGGTTGTGGGATGCCGTCAAGAGGATTCCACCTAAAAAGTTGAAGAAAGAAAGAGGAGTGACCGATAGTAATTAGTGACTGAATCAGATGCTGAAAACAAACCTCTTTCCCTTTTTCTGTTTCTTTGCGGTTTTGTTGGTCTGTTGGGTGTGGTGAAACAGGAACAAGAAAGCCAGAACAATGAATCTTGTTCTGTCTCTTCTGTGCTTGTTTCCTTTGGGTATGGTCCTCTCGCAAAGCCTTTTCCTTTGTCTTTGAGAGATTGTCTTTGCTGTGTCCACTCTGCGTTTACTCCATGTTCTCCCTATTTTCATCGCACTCAAGCCCAGTTTCCCGCGGATATCAGATAGCTGATTCAATTGATAAGAAAGAATCTTACCGGTAGCCTTGCGGATGCGGATGAGGTGGGAGGCAGCAGGAGTTGAGAGGATGGTGTACTGTCCGATGATAAGCTTGGCAACCTGTGTTGAAGAGAGGAAAATGACACGTACGGAGTGTGCGGTGGTTAATATTAAATTCGCATTGACGGCGATGGACATAATTCTTCACACGCCCTTTTATGCCGAAATCAGATCCATCTGCATTTTTCCAAGGAGTGTCGACTATGTATTGGATCCATTGATCACCATAGAGACATAGAGAGGAGGTGATAGGAAGTACTCGATGGTGCGATGGTGCATATGGCAGAATACACCTGAACAAGATACATATACAACATAACACGTTGATGTCGCGCTGACATCATTTTTCACAAAGACTTGCCTCGTTACCAGCGGCGATACGGATAATCATCTGGACGGCTTCGGGCGAGAAGTAGCGACCGTCGCCTCCGATGACAAGAGTGGCGCCCTTGGCTCCGGTGGGGATGGCATCGAGGGTGGCCTGGATGAAGTTTTGGGTGTAGTGCTCCTGCTGGAAGACCTTGACACGCTTGCGAAGACCGCTTGTGCCTGGACGCTGACCGTCGAAGGGCTTTGTGGGGATGGACTGAATGGAGGCCATGAGGAAGAGAGGGAGGTGGTTGTGGTTGTGTGTGGGGGAGTGGTTGGTGAAGAAGACGTAAGAGAACAAAAAAAAAAGAAAGAAAAAGAAGAAGGAGAAAGTGATGCACCCTTTTGTTCATTCCCCATGAAAGAAAAAGAAGAGAGGAAAGAAGAGAGAGTGGGGATGGATCGTTACTTCCGTGCATGGAAATGTGCAGGTGTGCAAGGAATTAGTGTTTATCCCTTCAAAACCTGATCGCCTCCCCCGCTGTTGGTCTCTCTTTTTTACCGCCACACTCGTTCTGTCTTCTCTGTCACCCTCACCCCCATCACTTTCCACTCGTTCCATCCCTCATCCTCATATTGCCAACAACAAGCACCTTTCTATTATCCGCCCTATCCACCCTATCCAAACCAAACTCTTGATTAACACAACTCCAAGCTCCTTACTCCTCGTTTTTCCGTTTACACTTCAACCCCCTCCTTGCCACCCTGCTCGTTAGCCCCCACCTCCGCCCTGCAGCCCTGCAGCTCCAACCGCCACTGTTCCCATCAACAACTACATCCAACAACTACGTCCAACACAACCGCAACCAGCTCATCACCCATAGCTGTCGGCCATGCCTCCACGGAACAGCGGGCCAACCTTGCCCCTCTTCTCAACAGCAGGTGTCTCCGCAATGGCTTCAAGGACCATTCTCCTCCCTAGATCTTGTCTCTCACCTCGCATGTTCCTCACCGTCATCATCGCCGTCTTCTGTCTCTCTTCCATCATGCTCTACTCCTACTCCAGCTTCTCGCTCCGCTTCAACCATGCAACCAGCGACACTGAAGACTGGACAATACTCGAACAGCGGCTAAATGGAGCTGCGTCCAAGACGATGCGCTGGAGAAACACCACCTTGGTCTCTCAATTCACCTGTCAGTCGAGTGCGGCTGGCCCTTCTACACACGGTCCATCCACACCATCGATTCATGGCTCAGGGTTCAACCGCGAGACTATCTGCACCGTTCAGAACCTGTGTGTCGATGCTGAGCGAGGTGAGGTTCATAAAAGGAGGTTGTCCGCGCGATTTGAATACTTCAATGGTTACGTAAAGAATTACAAGAATTATACCAAAGAAAAAAAATCCTAACAATAGCTCTCTTGTTCTGTTCAATTAACTAGGTGCATGGATCCATCCTGCAAAGGATTCAGAGGAGTTTCCTTTGATCAATGTCGTTGCGGCCGACCCTGGATCCGACTCTTACTATCGACCAGCCATTATGGAAGAGTTCCCCGCTTCGACGTATCGCTTTATGGATGAGACCATTTTCCTTTACGGAAGAGATCCGACGCATAGGCCGACATGGATCTTGAACAGCTTGCTGCCTTTGCACAGGTAAAATAGAGCAATCAATTAGACGGATGGACTGATGACTTTTATGCATGTTTCTGAACTGGACTGTGGTGGATGTGGAGAACCAATATCATCATGCTGTCTAGAGCCAGCTTTTGTTTGCGTATGAATTCCCGACATTGATCCTATGTCCGTTTGAGAACCTTTTTTGTTTATTTTTTGTGCAACCCTCGTTCTACCCACCATTCGTCCGTTCATATGACAATCCCAATCAGCACCACTAGGAATAACTTTTTTGCTTCTTCCTTTGGGTGTGCATGCTCTCTATGTACCACCGATGACTAACTACATATCAACTTTTAATCCAACCTAGTGTCATGTCGAGCTTCGGTGGATCGCGCACGTCGTGGTTTATGCGTGTCACTGGACAGGAAAAGAAGGACAGTGAGCGCAAGAAGCAGTTCCGGACTCAGGACAACAGCGATTTGGACCTCGACACATATCTCCTCGCACCCTTCGGACGGGAAATCATTCTGGATCCCAAAAAGAACAGGCCATTGACAGGACACCAGATCAACGCTCCATCAAAGTCATACCCTACTTGTTTCGCCAAGGCCATCATCGGACTTCAGTCAAGATGCAGCCGTCCCTACTGCGAGAATACAATCGGAGGAAACGACCTTATCAGCGCACTCAGGACCAAAGTACTAGGCACACTCTCCACTTCCATGATCCGATTCCAAAAGACCGACCCCAACATTGTCCATCCACTCACAGGAGAGACTGTCCCCGTCGTTTCGAACACCAACTTGACGGTCGTGGGCGGAGAGTCGGCACCGCGATCCAAGATCAATGTCGCCCTTTTGGGTCGATACGGCAACACCAGCATTCCCAACGCTAACACCCTTGAGCTGTCTCTGCTGGCCAGAGGGTTTTCAGTTCAGACCATTCACCTCGACTACCCTGACCAGATCAGTGCTGCCCATGCTGCTCAACTTTTCGCCAATCAGAGCATTTTGGTCGCACCACAAGGAGAGGCGTTGGGATACTCTACATGGATGCGCCAGGGTACTGTCGTGATTTCGATCCTACCACGGTTCACGAGGTCAAGCAAGATTTACACGGATCGGATGATGGCATTCGGAAAGCGGTTCTTTGCATGGGACTGTCAGGATGAGAGTTGCGTCCAGCCCGATCGTGATCTTGCCCACGAGTGTATCGAGGCTATTCAGGATTCATATGAGCGGGAGCAAGGGATCACAGCGGCCGAGTTTGAGCAGTTTGCGAACATGAACCAGGACTTTAGGCAGCGGTCAGTGACCTGGAAGGCGATTGCGGATTGCTACACCAAGGAGGTCAGCAGGAGATTGAATGCCGAGGAGCTCACTGTGTTGATCGAGACCCTGGCCAAGGACTTTACATTTGGAGATGTCAAGCCGGTCGAGACTACAGAGCCCGTCACCAAGAGGTCCCTGATCCGCCGTGGAATTGATGAGGATGACGATGAGGGTTCAGAGGACGATGAAGAGGAGCTGGACACTGAGCAGTCTGGAGAGAATCCAGGCGAACAGGATGAGGTCGATGAAGGAATCACCACCACAGGCTCTCACGGTAGTGCAGAAGAAGAGAGCTTGGACGAGGAAGGCACTGTGCGGATACAGGGTGAGAAGAAGCCAAACCAAGATGATGAGCAAGGAGGAAGCAACGACGATCAGGAGGAGGAAGAGGAGGATGTCAACGTCCACGAGTATGATGTCCAGCCTGCATCAAAACCAGACGATGAGACAACACCCGCGAAACCAGTAACACCAATACCGGAATCTGAAAAGGCACCAGCACCAGCTCTACCATTAGCTCCAATACTAGAGTCAGAACAAGGACAGCCTATGACGCAAAAGCCAAGTGCTGACACCACCAACACCAACATCAACAACGTGCAGTCGATGCACGCTCAGCCATCACTTGGATTTGCCGAGTTTTGCCAACGGGGTCACTGCTGCGGGTCGGCCAAGATCTCGGAGAAGGAGGTTATTGGATTGAACGGAGGCAAGGGTTTGACGCCCTGTGCGGCTAGCATGTCGGTGTTAGTGTTTGGGGCTAAGGGTGTTTGGGGCCAGATTGACGAGTCGACGATTAAGGAGAGCCAGAGCCTTGTCTGGCAGGTCGATCTTGGACGCCACCAACGCGTCTAAACTACACATTGCACACGCACAAACGCACACACACACTACTAGAACTAATAAACTATCTTCCACTAGACTTCAGTTCGACAGGCTGTGGTCAGTTTGGCTCGGATGCCAGACATGGACCCCGATTTGGGAAAGGACACAAGCAGAAGTTGTGTGTCATTGTTTGAATTATGTGGTTCTCCTATGAATTGGTCAGGAGAGGCATTGGTAAATATTGAGTGGGGGTCAAAGCAAAGGGAGAATCAGCAATAGACAACCTTCCTCTGCTCCGCATCCGCCATTCTCGACAGCCTAAACAGCTTACCATCGACATCTTGCCCACAGTAAACCAACCTACACACCATGACTTCGACTACGATTCATCTCTTCAGCATCCCCGAACTCATTAGCCTCATCAGTCGCTTCGTCACCCTCAAGGACGCTATCTCATGCGCACGCGTCTCCAAGACATGGACCAACTCCTTCATGTTTGCCACTTGGTACGAAATCGACTTTGACGTTCACCCCCGGTTCGCCGCGCTGCCGCCAGATATTGTCAGCAAGCATGGCCATCGTATCCGGATAGTCAGGAACGCAAGGCTGCTCTCGCATATCTCCGTCCTCGCCAATTCAAGAGTCTACCAACTGCGCAAGTTAAGTGTCGAGACAACAGCAACAGCCATGCAGAATGTGCTCGCCTGCGAGATCATTGCCAGGAACAGCTCAACCCTCAAGGAACTTTGCCTCCGTTCGTCCCCACGCCCCGTCAAAACGACCGATTCCTTGGCCCATTATGTGTCTGCGCCTGCCTTGACTCACTTCTCTGATGCCTCGCAACGGTGCGCAACGAACCTCAAGGTCCTGCAGTTCACAGGACTGTACCTGACTTACGACGGTCTCATGGCGATCCTGGAAGCAAGCCCTCTATTGTCCGAATTGGCGCTGCTAGACACGGATGTTGTCGGGACTCCAACTCGATCATTCACGCACACCGGTGTCGGGAAATTGTCTGTAAAACTACACCATCTTTTTCCAGTCGATCCAGTCGGACCTTCCCTCTTGTCCTACTTCCCAGACTTGACGATGCTGTCAATAAGGAGCCACAAAGTATCGCTCGACTTCCCAGCGGCCAAGGCCAAGGACGACATTGCCCGATACTGTCCTCTACTGACTGGACTCCACCTGTCCGGCAGATCTTCTACTCTCGTCTCTGACTTTTGTTCTCTTGTCAGCAGAAATCTCTCCATGCTTTTCTTTGAGTTCGATTACTTCTCGACCCAGAGTATCATGGCCCTTCTTCTGCATCAAGCCACGTTGAAAAATATCCAGGGCTATTCTTCAGCGAATGAACTCAATTATAAAGCGCACGAATTTCCTCCAGTGTCGACCCATCTCCAAGAATCCAGTCGGTTCCTGCAGCTCATTCCGAGAGGTTGTCCGCGATTACAGATACTGAACCTATATTCCCACGAGATGGACATGGATGAAGTCGAGATGGGAGAGTGGACTTGCAAGGATTTGGAGGTGTTGCACATCAGGATCAAGGATCTCGACACCAAGGACAAGATGCTCAGGACCATTGCACTTTGGAGAGCAGGTTGTAAGGAACAACGGCAAGAGAAAGCGGCAGAAGATATAGTGATGGCGGGGGACGAGACCAACATTTCCATCGAGGTCCGAGTCGCGCGCCACCTGCTCAAGTTTGAGAAGCTGTCATCGGTCTGGCTTGGGTATCAAGTATGGGGCTGGTCTGGAAGATCAGACAAACCCCTTTAGACTTTTGCAAGACACACATACCTTGAACAAATGGTGGTGGGTGAAAGTTTTTGATAATAAACGTATCAACATTAAAGGAACAAAAAATCGCGTTTGGTGAGAGTGCGCGTTTATGGTGAAATAAATAATTTATTTTTACATGATTCATTTTTCTGCCTCAGCTTTGCTCCCATCGCCCAAGCTCTGTGCGGATTTAGCATCTATCCAGGAACAATCAGTTCAGGAACGATCAGCTCAAGAGCGTCATCAATTCAGGAACGTGTCACGGTTACTTAAAGCTGAAGGGGGTTTACCTTCATCGTATGGAGATGGATGAGGTAGAGATAGGGCGAGTGGGTGTGTAAGGACTTGGATATGCTTCTGCGAGTCAGGGCCAAGGGGTTGGAGACCAAGAAGATACTCAAAGTGACCACAATTTGGCGCAAGGGATGTTAGAGGCGCCAGCAAAAGAACGCGGGGACATCGGTAGCGGCAGAGCACGAGGAGGATGACTGATATGTCGACCGAGGCGCGGGTTGTTCGTTATTTTCTAAAGTTTGACAAGCCGTGGTGGGTCCATCTTTGATATCAGGAATGGACCCCTATCTAGGGAGATGACAAGGATCGGTCGATCGAGGCCGAGTTGCGTGTCACCTGCTGAAGTCTGAGAAGCTGGGCGTCAATGTTTCACGGATACGATAGATAGTGCCGAGTGGAGCGTTAATTCTTCCTTGGTCGCCTTTGTTTCGTTTGCAGGCCAGCGAATAAAGAAAACCATCGGATTTTTTTTTATTTTAGAAAACCATTGGAATGTCATGGCTCTTATGGGGGTCGTTCCAGATCTTATGGGCAGCCCAGAAACGCTTGCACGGTCTGGATTCCAGAGAACCACTCGTGTGGCACTTCTTTTAAAACAACACTTGTTTTATTTGGCGACCCTGGATCGCAGCGTAGCAGCAAGTCACCTCTCGTTTTTTTATCTTGGAACCAGAAGCTTGACTACTTATAGGCGGTCTGGCTGATGGTGTTTATTAAAACAAACCTCTGCCCTTAAACAATGTTCTGGTTCTCGGTTCTCTCACGACCCATTTTTAAGAGTTGTGCCGACGAGTTGAGGAGCAACTTTCAAGGACTGCCTATCGTTTCGATTGCTGCAACAGTGACAAGCCACTGAGGTGTCCAAAAGTGCAGTCTGAGTCCATCAGAACGAGAACAACCCCCTTCTAGTTGCGTCAAGAGCTATTCTCCATGATCCTTTTGCGCCTTCTCTTATTGACTACTCCTCTATATTTGACCGGAACCATTGGAGCCAGTGCCACCAGTAAAAAGTCGAAAGTTGCGTAAAAAAAATGAGCAAAAAATACTCGGATTTTTTTTACGCGACCTGGGAGTTTTTAGTGGTGGCAAGTGGTGGCAGTGGTGATGTTCAATAAACTTCTGGTTAATAAGAGAGGGTAGAAATACTTACACACTTTCGTACAAATACCATAGATAGTGATGCTAAGGCTAATAGAGAAGACATGAGTAACGCCGAAACCAACCTCGCTTTATTGATTGAGCCACCAATTCGATTTTTTCCTCTCTCTAGAGCGACCCTGGCAAAAGTTAGCCTGTGTGCTGACTAGAGATTATCCTGAATATGGGTGCTGAAGATATTGAGGATGTACATGTACAGTACAACGACTATGACGTGAAGAAGACTAGTTTGAGCTAGACGCGCTGCATCTTGCCTGTCGGTTTAGGGTGCTTATTAAATATAGATATTTTTTTACTTTTAAAAACCACTTGCAGAAGTCATGGTACATTGCAGGCGGCTTGCAGCTGCTCTTTTGACTGGAACAAGCGGTGCAACCTCTGCAAGGGTGACAGCATGCGCGTCTCGCGCGAGAGCAATTGCGGCTGCCGATAGGGACGCGCACGGGTTTGAGGGTTTGAGGGTTTATCGTGGAGAAAATAGTAAGTTAGAAATGTCACTACAGAGAGACTTGTGAATGAAATGCTTTATTTCGAGGAGCGAAGAGCATCTTTTGCTGACGGTGTGGTGATGGTGGGGTAGAACGACTTCCTACGCCCATGATCGACTTGGCCAGCGTCCACTGCTTGCTCAATAGACGCGGACGTCTTTCTAGCAAGCTCCCTGAGCTGTAGCCAGAATGGCAAATCCTGCGATAGGAACAGCAAATCATTGACAGAGCAAGGGATTCGCCCTGTACCAATCTCCAGCATTGTATAGACGTCCTGAATTTTTTCAAGAACAAATGCCTGTAGTACTAGTCCATTGATGTTGAAGAGCAGCAACGGATTCTTCAAATCCACGAGGTTGTCCATCATGTCATGGCTGTTCTTGCCAAAGACCCCTAACCTTACGGTATCACCACCATACTTAGATGGGCTTCTTGCAGTAACGCTACTGGCCTCACCGAAGAAGGTCTCGACCCTAACCCCCTCATATGTAAAGATGCCAACCATGTCGGGCTGTTTCGATTGGCCTTGCAGCTGGTTGATGGCCTTGTTGTATCGCGAGGCCTCTGAGCTTTTGTCCGCGCTATATTTGGAATGCCAGATATACATGAGCAAGAGCTTAGCAAGAGCTTAGCAAGAGCTTAGCAGAGGCATGAATACGGAGCCAATAGCACCTCTTACCATGAGAACCTAACCAAGTCCACTTCTTGCAGGAGAGCCGCCAGCAGGTTCCGAATGAAGGAGGCGATACCATCAGCTTCTTGGAAGTCCAATGGTTGTGATGCAGATAGTCCTTGGACGCACATCACAAAATACGTGTGCATTGCAGGAAGGTCCAGATCCATCGCCTCTTTCCAATCACTCTGCAGCCGGTCCAGTGTCTCCTTTCGCTTGGTCGAGTTCTCTCTCCTATTTTCAGAAACCAAGCCGATCCACCCAACCCACTTGGATATGAGTGCCTGTTGCTTGTCTAGCAGGGTGGTATCCAGGGTGGGGATAATCGACTGCAGGAGCGATTCTCTCAAGGCTGTCAATCGTTGGACACCAAATGCCTTGTGTAGTCGAGGGGAGCGAGAGTTCTTCCTGATCAGCAGGGTTGCAGATAGTGCACTAGAAGATTGCATTAGATGGTAGTTTAGGTACAATAGCAAGCTCGCTGTTTTCCAACAATTGCAGCAACTTACAGTGCATCTTCAGGGTATACATGCTTGTAAGACTCGAGGTAACAGTCTTTGAAGTATTGAGTGAAGTGTGCGCCCACGTCGACATCCTCCAACACACAGGAGAATACATGGCCCTGCTCGACACCTAGAATCTCTCCCATTCGCTGATGAGGTAACATTTCTTGCAGTGCATCAATGATATCGCCAGGCGTCAGAACTTCCCAGGACGATTCGCTGCCTCCTGCAAAGGCCTCACGGGGACGCTTGTTAGGGAATGGAGGCGTGTACGGTGGAGAGGGCTCATCCTTGACAACAAATGGCGAGTTTTTATCATCCATGAACTTCAAGAACCGGTTGTGCTGGAACTCAACTACGACATCCTTCTCCTTGTCATTGATTTTCCCGAGTCTCTGGGACCATTCCTCCTAACGAAGGCAAGGGAGTCGTCAGAAAGACATTACAGTGTGTGCTTTTGAGAGTGTACCTGAAAAAAAAAAAAAAAAAAAAAAAAACTGTACCATCTTTCTGGCTGCTTCCGCCTGTGTAATCTCTGTCTGGCGCAGCTTCTCCCAATACTCCTTCCTCCTGTCTTTGGAATCTGCCCACCTTGTTTCCAACATGATTGCTTTTTCTTTATCAAGGCCGCGAACCGTTGTCTTCCACACTGCAGCAGCATGTCCCTCTCTGCAAGAAGGATAGCCTGCCCATTCAAAGAACGTCACGGGGTCCTGGTCTTCATCGGCCGTTTCATTCAAGAACGCCATGAAGTTGTCTTCCTTCTTGCTATCCATTACGACCTTTGGTGTGTGTGTTGTGAATGGAGAGTATGGTGTGTGTGAACGCAGAGGGTGCGGGAGAGAGTTGTAGTGTGTGTGAGAGAGAAAGTGAGTGTGTAGCGTGTGAGAGTTTTTTATCTTTGCTGCTCTTTTTTTTGGTGACGCGGCTCGAAATGCGACGTCACAATATTATTATCTCTATCGCTCCTTCCTCCTCATCCTCCATCGCTCCCTTCCTCATTGTCAAACTCAAGGACCATTTCCAGGTGCGTTGCCCTCTTGTGTACCCCCTCGTTAGTTGTGTCTCGCCTGGTCTGAGAATGTCATGACAGCACCCATTCCATGGCATATTTGGTCGTGTTCATGAATGGGTGTAGTAAGGATTGTGCAGCCCGGATGAGTCTTAAGCTGCTAGTCTTTGTCTCTTGGAGCCTGGGTCGTTTGTCAGCTCTTCACAATCTATGCGTGGTGCGTGAGAGTTGTTTACCCAGTCAGTCATCCTCATGTCACTCTTGGTTGACTATTGGAGGATGTGGGGTGATGATGTTGCCCAAGAGCAGAGGCGTATGCGACTTACTTTGGCTATTCTCTTAGCAGGAATGCATTGCGACAGCACCCATTCCATGACATACTTGGTCGTGTTCATGAGTGGGTGTAGTAAGGATTGTGCAGCCCGGATGAGTCTTAAGCTGCTAGTCTCTGTCTCCTGGAGCCTGGGTCGTTTGTCAGCTCTTCACAATCTATGCGTGGTGCGTGAGAGTTGTTTACCCAGTCAGTCATCCTCATGTCTCTCCTGGTAGACCATTGGAGGATGTGGGGTGATGATGTTGCCCAAGAGCAGAGGCGTATGCGACTTACTTCAATGCATTTCTGGCCATCGGAAGAGTTCCACTGGAGTGATAGTGTTTTGTCTTACGTCTTTTGCACCATACTAAACTTTTGACTACCTTGACTAAGCTATATACACCTAGGGACCAAGCGACGCAGTCGCCTGCTGTGAGTCTCCACTCATATCGTATGCCCGACACTCCAGGCGACAGCGTCGCCTGCTAGGGACCCAATACTATAGTGCCACGACTTCGCCATGTCTTCGGCACTCACTCACCGCGCCCACATAGCACCTCCACAATGACTCCGCCACACCACCAACAGCTTCACCATATTCATAGCACCCTATCGTAGCACTTCCTGCATTAATAGACATCCCACATTGTACATTAGATTTAGACTAAATGCCTCTTTTCTCGATAAAGAATGCGGCCCAGCAGACGCGTCAAAGCTACATGTCGTGCGTTGCATTCTGGGTCACATATGCGTTATGTCAAAAAAATTATATTATGAATTTTTTTTCCATTTGTTACCATATGTTACCACTGTTACAACTGCCATATGTTACCATTGTCACGACTTTTGTTTGGAGAGCAACCTGAATGGTAACAGCGTGACAAGATAGAGCAGAGCCCAGCTCGGTTCGTGACAGCCCCCAATCTCCGTTATCTCAGCCCCCGACAGCCGCCCAACCATCAGAGTTTCCTCCACAAGAGTCAGCTACCCCTGAGAACGAGATCGCCACCGAACCAGAGACGGTCAGTGCAAGTCTCAGCAGGATGACGCAAGAACCTCCAGGACCAGTCTCGCGAGAGTCGTTCGGTGGCTACATCATGCATCGCCTACAGTTCTACTCACTGTGCATCCAAGAGGAAAAGACTGCGACACGAAGACACTGTACTCGGCACCTCGGATTATGCCCAGTTGAGCAACAAGATAGCCAACCTGGAGTGAGCTATATCATACAAGCCACTATAGACGAAGAGTACAAAAGGACTCTTTGTCCCTGAATAAACAAGACCTCTCTCATTGTTTTGTTATTCTTTCCTCCCCTCTATCTTATCAATAACAACCCTGGTTATTATTTTCCACGGAGAATCAAGAACGCGACCTACGTCGCACTGTGGAAAACCTATTTCCTAGCCCCGCCCCCAAACTTGCGCAGTTCGCCGATCTTATCCGCCAGTATTGGCTTCGCGGTGCTCAGTCCTAGAGGGGGAGGTTGTCGCGTACCACGACCGTGCATTGACCCTTGAGCGCAGCAGAAATATAATCTACCGCGCCCCCAGCCTAGCCGCGCCTGAAAAAGAGTATATATATGTCCTCATTCCCAGAATCATAGATCTGTACCTAGTAGCTTGAATATACTCTTGCTTTCCTTGACTCCCTGCCTGCCCTTAATCCCTCCCTTACTCCACCCACGCCCTGCTTGGAAAAGGTCTTCTGCTTGACTAAGCCTGGGTTCTCGACAGGTACCTTGATTTTTCAAATTGAAAAGCGATCAGGTTACATACAGATATAAGGAAAGTATCATCTAACAAAATCACCTCTTTCTCTACTTTGAACAACTCAGCAAGCTAACAATGTCAAACTATATACCCTTTCCTTGTGAAGGCAAACGTCCATGCATCGCTGGCTGGAATGTGCTAGAAAAGCTGGTCGCGCACGATGAATCTCAGAACTACGGCATCCTATGCGGAGCTGTGAACAACCTCACGGTTATCGACTGCGACCTGATCAAGGACAAAAGAGACTCCCGACAAGTTCATGTGCGGCGTTGAAGCCTGGAACGTTCTATCAAAAGAGTACTTGAGTGACAAGACCAAAATTCCCACAGTGCAAACCAAGACCGGCGGCTTACACTTATACTTTCGCTACAACGCAGCACTTCCATCCGAGATCCAGCGCGTCAGCGGTGCGTTCTTTGGCAGTCCTGAAAAGACTGTTGAGATCGATGTCCTGTTAGACAAAAAGTGTATGATCGGGCCTGGGTCAGCTGGCTACACGTTCATCGAGGGCCGGGGCTATTTTGAGAACGCACCCGAGCTGCCTAATGAGATCATTGAAATTCTCGCCCCTGTGAAAAAGGAAAAGAAAGACTCTTCAGAACAGGTTGTCGCGGCCGAGCTAGGCGAAAGTGGTAGTAAGGCGGAAGCCACTAGCAGATTAGTCTCTCTTCAGCTGTTCAAAAGTGTTGTGGATGGTATTCCCAGCAGCTGTGCGGATAATTACCAGGGCTGGCTCAGGGTTGTGTGGGCGATTGCTGACACTGTCGCTAAAAATGGGTATGACGCGCTCGACCTTGCCGACGAGTTCTCCAAGAGATCGAAGAGTACGTACAAAGGTCGTGCCGATGTAGAGAAGGTGTACTGCCAGAGCAACGGTTCGATAACATTTGGCACACTGATGCAGCTGTCGGAACGCAAATTTGGAGGAAGCGAGGACGACGATATTGAGTCTGTCAACACGCAGGCTTATCTCTGATGTCAAGGTGTTTGAAGAGCTCGGTCATGCCACAAGTGTGAAGCGGATCGTGGAGAACAAGGACGTTAAGGTCATCTCGCTCGAGCTGGATGATGGTAGTGAAAAGAAAATTCTTGTCTACAAGAACAATCTGGCCATAGCCGGAAGTGACTTTATCGGATACATACGCGATCACGTCCCGTTGTTCGGAGACGACTTGTCAGCTATTCACCCTGAGTTTGGCAACGGCCCATCCAGATGTTTCCTTAAGGACAAAGATACAATCGAGTTTGTCTATAGGACCGAGCAGAGCGGTGAGCACCGCATCCGTGTGAAAAACCCTTGGAATTCGAAGAAAAGCTATCTCACCAAATACTCGAACAGCAAACAGGTTGGTAAACCTGTCAGCTCTAAGAAGACGCTCGAAATACTTATCGATGCACTTGAAACGGGGTGTCACTCTCTATTAAAGGAGAGATACAACATCACTATCTACAACAATGGTGGTGATGTTATAAACAACTATGGCACGGCCAGAGACGAGGAAACCCCGGTTAGATCAGAGTCTGCATTGATTCAGGCGCTCTTAGCTGGAAACCCAGGCATCGTGGACCTCTTTAAGTTCTGTGACAATGGAAAAGCCAACAACTTCGATGGTCTGTTTGTGTGCAGTTCAGTGTCTGGAGTTTGGAAGTAAACTCACAATGCTCGTGTGGAACGAATGCTGGAATCGCGGCTCAAGAAGTATGTGGTCGGGTTAACAGAGAGTGAGACGAGAATTATTGAAAGGCACTCGAACATCCAGGCGCTCCGTAAGATGTTTGTGAAGGAGATCTATGACGACGAGTTCGAAGAGAAGATCGACGAAAATCTGAACATCTTCGCGCTGCTGAACGGTGTGTATGACCTTAATCTGGGTGCGCTGCGTCGGACGAATCCCCAGGACTACGCGTTGACTTGCGCCAGCTGGAAGTATGACAAGGAACTCTCGATGAAGCATATGGACGAGGTCGTGAACTTCTTTAGGAAAATCCTACCTATCGAGGAAGAGCGGCACATTGTTCTGACATTCATCGCTTCGCTATTGCACGGCCACTGCATCGATAAGAAGTTTCTTGTTTTAACTGATAAGCGAAGCGGCAACAACGGTAAATCGACGCTGCTTGCGCTATTGAGGGTGTACTCCGGAGACTATCTCAAAAGCAGTACCAAGTTTTTCTGCAAAGGGCACTTCGATAAGGATAAAGACTCTCTTAAACAATGTTCAGGTTCTCGGTTCTCTCACGACCCATTTTTAAGAGTTGTGCCAACGAGTTGAGGAGCAACTTTCAAGGACTGCCTGTCGTTTCGATTGTTGCAACAGTGACAAGCCACTGAGGTGTCCAAAAGTGCAGTCTGAGTCCATCAGAACGAGAACAACCTCCTATGATGTGATATTCAAACATTTGGTTCTACGGCGTGATTTTTTTTTTTAGGCCTGGAATGCGTGCATTCGCCAAAGTTAAAAGTCAACCAGTGTCGACGTCAAAATAAGCGTTCGTCCAAGTGGATAGGACCCACGTTCATTTTTCCTTAATTGCACGCTGCTCAAAGGCAAAAACGAAAGTCCGCAACAGCCCCATTGACTTGTTTTGCCTACTTTTGCTTTCTCTGACATCTTTTCTTTCTTTCCTCTTCTCTCTCACTGTTCATCACTCACCTCCCACTCAGTCACCCCTCCTTATACACAACCATCATCGCCTCTCGACAATGCTGGATCTCATAGACCCCCAAGAGCCCGTTCCTTGGGACATCATCCGAGTCTCGATGGTCATCGGCCCCGTAACAGGATACTTCCACCAATACTACACAATGTACAAGATGAAGACCTCCATGGGCTTCAGTAGCGTCACCTGCGGTGTCCTCTTAGTCTCCAGGTATCTTTTACCCCTCCTGTACCTCTGTTCTTTTTGTTACTTGTGTTCATGTTCAATTGCTTTATCTTGTCAATTTACTAACCAAGGATTGTTTCTTCGTGTTCTTTTTGGCAACAAGTATATTCCGTATATTCTTCTGGTAACGGCTTGATTCTTGTTTTTTTTTGTTGAGCCAAGGAAGGGCAGGAAGGAAGGACAGGATAACCCAGACTATCACGATTCTCGATGATGCCCCCCCTTTTCCAATTGGCATTGGCAAGAATGGTTGTCCCCTTTATTTCTGACGAGACCATGTTCACCTTTCTTTTTTTCACCCTATCCCTTGTGCATGTCTTGGCATTATTTTCTGTCTGGTCATTCATGCTTATGCTTGCACTCCGCTGACGACATATCATGGACACACATTTGTTTTTGGCTTATACAGGATCGGTGAACCGTAGGTTGAACTTGACGCAGTTGATGCTATTGGAGCCATTGAAGCAAATGGACAAAACAAACTCAAAGCGCAAGCATCGGACATATTGGAACCTCTTCGTCTTAACGTCCTCCACTTTTTGCTGCTATCTACTCTTTCTAGATTCGATATCGCTTTGCTGTACCAGTCCATCCTTATGACAATCGTCCAACTGTTCCTGCTGGAGCTGTGTGTCCGATATTATCCATGGACTATCCAACTCCCTGTCCCCGTCACACACACAATCCCGTCCTCTCGACTTCACGATCGTGTCGGTTCGCCAGCGTTGGGGAACTCTTCGAACGCAGGATCAGGATCAGCACCTCTTACAGGAGCAGGAGGAGTGAATACTGTCACCAGTCGCGCGTCGAGACATGGAACTGGATGGTACAGGGAGCATGCCATCTATTGGGGGACGCATTTCTGGAACTGGCCTACTATCGGACCGTACTTTTTATTCCTGGCTGTCTTTACGCTAGTGATCGGTCTGTCGCTTCTGGTCATTGGCAATACGCCATTCTATGTTGCTCTCCTCGGTTTGGCTGTAAGTCTTCACTTATTAATTTGGGCTGTAAATATTTAAATGTTATTTTTTTTTCTTGTAATCGAGTCTGACATCAAAACACCTATTTTTGTGAATGGGGGAACATATAGGCCCTGGGAATCGAGGCAACAGTACCATTACCTCAAGCAATCCAAAACTACCGTTCAAAATCCACAGCTGGCTTCTCGCCCGCGATCCTCCTCATGTGGGTGGTTGGAGACTCGTTCAAGACTTACTACTACATCTCGACCCACGCAAAGTATCAATTCGTCGGTTGTGGTATCATCCAGCTCTGCATTGACTGTGTGATTATTCTCCAGACGGTTATTTATTCAAAGCACTGGAAGGAGGCTAGTAGGCACAAGGGCGGGATCTTTGCGGGATTGTCGGCGCAGTTTTCCAAGGGGAATGAAAGGCTTTCTTCGGATGCTGTTGGTGGAAATAGTATCGGTGTGCACAGGAATAGCTCGGAGGCCTTATTGGCTGGTGGAAATGAGGACGATGATTAGTGTAGGTGCTGCTGCAAGAAATAGTTTACACAAAATATATATACAACTTCTGCCAATTTGTAGAAATACAAGGGATGATTGGTAATTCGCATGCTGGTCTATTAAGGCAGTCTACGTAGGGGATGAGAGAGAGTTGGAGGCAAGACGTTTTGACGAACGATGGAGAATGAAACCCGGAAATCAAGAGGATGAAGAGAAGGAAGCGGCGGAACTTGGGGACAGAGTCGCAGGCTGAGAAGCGATTACAGACGTCGCTGCTCCTGCACCTCGTTGCTTGTACCGATATGACAGGACGACATCACTTCCAGTCTTCCAATAGTGAGTACGGATCGTGGCCAGAGTCATGGTCGGGGAGAGGACTTGCTCATGGCACAGAATCTCCAACCAGTTCTCGGGACGCAGAACATCCTGTCTCATGGCCTCTTCTTCTTCCTCTTGCTCTTTGGTCTTGGGTGGCGCTTGAGGCGCTTGAGGCACTTGGGCATCTCCTTCTGCCTCGGTAGAAGCCTCGGTAGCGTCCTTGTCATTGCGAGGTCCGTCATCTTCTTCCTGTACGGGTTCCAATGCCCTGCTGGTCGAATCAGCGGGTCCACTTTCATGTATGGCAGTAGTCGTGCTAGAATCACTCTCTGCAGGCTGCTGTTGTGCTGTTGTTGCAGTTGCAGAGGAAACTTCAATTCTCCTCTTCGGAGGAACAAGCGCCAACTTTTCCACAACATGTGCCAAGACCTTCCTGACCCTCAACATCCTTGGGGCGGTTAATCGCGCGTTTCCACCAGGCAATTCTCCCAGACGAGGAAGAAGCCCGCCTAACTCTCCTCCAACCGCAGCATTTCCTACAATGGCCGTCGTGGTGCCTTCCTGGTGGTGATGTGGACGGAGGACAAAGGAGACCTTGGGCGACTCCTTGGCGGGAATCGAATTCTTCAAAACAACCTCAAGCAACCAGGTTGGGATAACCTGAACCAAGGGGATATAATCCTGAGCGAGAGTTCCAACACTGCCTCTGTACAAATCCACAGTTGAAGAAGCCTCACGAGATTGCTCCGAGATGATAACGGGGATATGTGAGGGGATGATAGTCTTTGGGAAATCGAGATGAGTCGGTGGGCTGAATGGTGGATGTGGAGGGCGGACACTGAGGGTCGACGAGGGCAATTGGAGAACCGGGCTGGGTATCGAGTCGATCGAGTGCGACGATGTTGTGTCCGAGATCGACACAGAGAGGTCGTCCCCTCCTTCAGTCTTGCCTGAAAGACCCAATCCCAATCCTCCAGGTCCCTCCACAATAATTGTCCTGGGCGAAGAAGACGCCGAAGGAGGAGCTGTCGACGCAGTGTTGGTATTGTTGCCCGCAGTGGCAGCTTGATACTGTGGAGGGATCTCGGGTACCGATGGGCTATTGAGAGGCTTAAAAACTGCACTTGTCGGTGGTGCGTTTGCAACAGGGACGTTGATAGTCGAGGGGTTTACTCCTGCCTTCCTGGACGCCACTGGTCGACCGTTTTCGAACCGCTGCTCTGCACTAGGAGTCCTTGCCAGCTTCTTGACCGAATGCTTCAAACGGCCCATGAAACCGCTGTTCAAACTTGAGCTGGAACTTGTCGGCGAGAAGGACGACAAGGGAGTTGATGGAACGGAAGGCGAGGCGGTCAAGGATCCAGGCGCGTTCAGCTTTACTCCAACAGCTGAAGTGGGTGGTGGTGCTGTGACAGAAGGGCTGGTGCCGCCAGCTTGATGTGGATCTGTTGAGGGTCCTTTGAGTCCCTCAGCAGAAGTGTTGACTGTTGGACGACTACCATTCGACTGATCAGCAGCTGATGATCCTGCATCTCCGCCATTCCCATTATTCTGGCCGTTGACGACCTCATTCTTCTCGTTAGTGACCACTGTGGTCGGTACAGCGAGTTGAGCCGCGAGTTCTTCCTGATGCTGTTGGCGATAGGCTTCCTTTTCGTACGCGTCGATATGGACTGGGACATACTGCTCGAAAAGATTGTTCAGGACCCATTTTCCGATCACAACTACCAAAGAACAAACGAAAGTTAGTTAACAAAGGTAGCCTGCAATATAAAAAATGAAATGTTAGTTTTGTGTGGCCAAGAGACTTACTTCGTTGATCGTCAGGGCGTTCAGGGTCTGGAGTCTCTTCGATTTCGTCAACATAGACCTCGGCGTCGAAGCAGCGTCCTTCATCCAAGTGAACTGTCAGGGCTCCAATGCGTGTGTCGATGGTGCACCAGGATGGGACAGACTCAATGGTATTGAGCTCATTGACCACTTCCTCCATCTTGCGCCCTGTAAATGTCTCCAGTTGCACGCACTATTGTTCAATCAGAAAAGAAGAGTGAGAATGAGTTGGAATATAATCATCATTTGGTGGCGTCTTTCATTTCCATGAGTGATATTTTGTACCTTGATAAGATCCCAGAGGGCAATCTCGCCACACTTGTCCTCTGTAACAACCATGCGCCTGTTATTCAGCACAGTATGCTTGATCAGTCCATGTTCTCCCTGAATCACATTCTCAGGGTCCTCAAAGATGGGCGCAATTAGACCCTCATCGTCTTCCGAACTATGTTGACTCTGCTTGTCGCCTCGGCTGTTGACGTAGATCGATCCCAAAGATGCAGCAGAGTAGACGGTCGAGGTTGGGTAATACTGCTCAGGCGCGGATGACTCTGTAAAGCTAGACTCGTTCAGGCTCATCTTGAGCAAGTTAGCGGGCACAATGGCTGCCGCCAATTCAGTCGAGCGGCTGATACGAGGAGGAATATCGGGCCATTGATAGATACTGCTCGAGGATGTCGCTGTCCAGATACGTGCATTATCATGCGCCACCAACTATAACATATTCAACAAGGACAATGTCAGCCGATGTAAGTAACTGTGTTTGTCCTGAAATACTTGTGTATATCGCTTCGATCTTGCGAGAATATCGGCTTACCCTGGCGACGCCTGTCTCAGCCTTGCAGATGACAACGCACTGTCCCGGATCCTCGTCGTCATATCGGTTAATTTCCGTCTTTGTGACGAGACCATCCTTGCTACCTCCATAGAACGTTTCTAGCTGTGGGTGGTCAGAGTACAATGACCAGACAGAATCCGAGTGCATCGTGTATGTTGTAATGCAGCGCTGTGCCGTCAGTGACCACAACTTGATAGTTGTATCTGAAGATGCCGACAAGATCTAATCACTCACAAAAACGATTAAAATGTAAGTCCGGCGTATCTCCTCGAGAACAACGCGCCATATATCGAGCAAATTGGGAAAACGGTTGGATGTTCTTACGGTATCTCCGCTCTCGCTGATCAAGAGTGCGCGAATATTGTCAGTGTGTCCGGCAAACTTTGTTATCCGCTGTCCTGACCTTGGATCCCAGACTCTAATTATCTATGGCATCCCAGTTGATGAAGAAATGTAATCAACTGCATGAGTGATTTTACGCCTGGTAGTATTCACTTACAAAGGAGTCAAGATTTCATTCCACACTATTTTTTACCTTCTCAGGCGAACCCGTCGCCAGGACGGTTCCAGCAGGGTTACACGCTAAAGCATAGATAGAAGCCTTAGACGAGGTCTCGGGGATGCTTCCTGCGAAGTCCAGTGGAACAAAATGAGTAATATGAGTATAGGGTTAACTGATACAAGAACTAAACACGCTTTGATGACTGCATTGTTTCGTTGATGACCCAAAGTCGTTTTCCATGCATGCGTGCTGGTGATATTACCTAGTGAGCCAAATTGCCCACTCCGCCCTTCCTTGATATCCCAAAGACGCACAATCTTGTCAAGTCCGCCACTGGCAACCCATCCTGGTCCTGACGCGTACGCTAGTGTCTTGACGTAATCCTCGTGTGTTCCGATGATGTGTGCCGATGTTGGGTTGTGTGAGTGTGGTCTGACGAGCTTGACTGTCCTGTCTGACGAAGCCGACACCACTGTTCCAAGGAAGGGTAGACGTTTGGTGAGTAGAGAAGAATTAGTTATTTAAGGATTGTCGACTTTGAGTTTTAGAAGCGTGATCATAGCTAGGCTCAGATGTAAAAAAACGTTGGATAAAAGGAAGGAACACATACGACTCTCTCCGTTGTGGCAAAGGACAATATCATTCACCCAATCGGTATGATGGTTGAAGGACTGTCGAAACGTAGAGGGTGGCAGACCCTATATAAGAAAAAATAAATAGAAAAGCAACGACCGTTCAATTAGGTCCTTTGTTCTTTGTGTTTGAATATCCAGATTATGTATTGCGATGAGACTAGACATTTCCTTCTGTGATGCGTCGGAGCCATTATTTATTTTTTCGAAAGATGGATCCAAGAAGGATCGAGCCATGTTGAAATCCAAGCGGGCGTTTCCTTTTTCCTGTTGCTGTTCTGTCACCTGTCGCTGTCGATTTTCCCTTCTCTTTCAATGGGCCTGCAGATGGTATGCATCGAAAAATACGACGTGGCGTGCTATCAGTTCATGCCTGTCTTTCCTTCGTACCTTGGGGTTCTCTGGACCTTCGCCAGGTATATTTCGAGCCAAAGGCGACTGGAGGTGAAGACAAGGCGTATCAAAGCAGTTTTTGAAACAACAAAAAGGCAACAACAAAAAGATAGTGGGTCAGTTACTGTACACATGTACACACAAGGTTTTGTGTAAAAGAGGGCCGTGAGAAAGGTCGACAAAAGCCTGATGCGCAGAAGGGTGGGGTCGCATGGCAACGCAAAACTAAAACACACACCTCAAAGTGAAGGTCCCAAGCAGCAATCATGCCATCGCGTCCTCCCGTGTAAAGGATGCCACCGGGAAGTTTGTGCTTTGACGAGTGGTGGTGGTGGTGATGTTCGTGGTGGTTATGGCCTGTTGGCTCGGGAGAGGCGGTCAAGGTGGTGGTGTCGAGGGCTAGAGCGTTGACGCCGAGGAGATGGGCGTTCCTGTTTTCGTCCTTGCGGAGGACATAGGAGATTCGCTGGGTGACAGCTGGGCGTTGGTACATCAGCGCAAAGGAAGGTTGGCTCTTGGGATGAGTTATGAGGATGTAGTTGTTGCTTGTTGATGGGGAAAAGACGCAGGAGGAGCGAAAGGAAGGCTGTGGGGTAAGTGGGGTTGGATTTTTATTGCTTCGTTTCTCTGCAGAGGTATCGAAGGTGAAGATAATTAAGAGTGATACTAATAGGAAGAACTGAGAAGGAGGAGAGATAGGATGGAGAGTAGAAGGAAGGGGGAGGAAGGGGGAGGAAAGAAGGAACAGAAGGATGGAAGAGAGGGAAAGAAGCAAAAGAGCAAACGGTGCAAGGTGGGGTGGGGTTGGGAATTGGGATAGAAGGGGGCCGTTGGAAAGGAAGGCAAGGAAGAGGATGGACTGCTTTTTTGGCTCTTTTAATTCACTTCACTCACCTTTGAAGGAGTGTGCGACACAATCTTACCCACTCAAAGAGTCCAAGGAAAAAAACCAGCAAGGAAGAAATAAAAAAAGATGAATGAAAACAAGACTACGGTGCAAGCATAGTTCAGGACAGGCTGTGGATGATCAAGCACCACAAACACGGCTCCCCTCGTCTTGATTTTTCCCTTGCAGTGGGTAACAAACCCACATCCATGATAATCGACAACAATGCCATTCACAACTGCAAATCAAATGGCCACAGACGCGAAACAGGGGGCAAGATGTCTGTGAGAGATGAGAAAAAAAATGAGAGCGTGGGACTTCAAAAAGAAGGGCGCAATTTTTTTTAGTGTTCAGTAGTAGCTTCGCCAGGTGCGCACAAAGGTGAAAGCTGTTCGTACAGAGGGTGACGAGTAGTTGATGTGTGCTGGGATCTTTTCTGGAGTATGATAAGAGAAGTGGGGAAAATGATTTTTCACAACGCGTGGTGTCCCATTGACGATCGCGACGCGTTGAAGAGGATAACATCACGGTTATTGATGGTTGCCCACTTTTTATTCTCGCGTCGTATCAACATCACCTCAAGCAAGATACAGTCATAGACTAGGTCTCCCTCGCCATGTATTGCTGTTACATTGGCCAGAGGAGATGAATAGTGAAGGCATGCACCATCGCAGCTGACCAAGGGGGTGGAAGGGGGAATATAGTGTTGTTTGACAGTAAGAAAGCAAGCGGGACACTTCGAAGATAATACTGCCCCTCTCATCCCCATCCGGGCACCTCCACCATCACCCTCTATCTTTGATTGTGATATCTCAGGCACCATCACTAATCACTTCATCTGCCTCAAACAGTGATCAAAAATTTGCATCATCCTCTTGCTGCTCAAGCGCACAGCCTTGGCGAAAGGCAAGCGTGATAAAAAAAGAGAAGCATATGAATCAACAGTGAAACGGTGATCCAAAGAAAAAAGAGAGCCATCAAGGGATTGGAACAAATGTGTGCACGACCTTACATCTTTCGTATTATATATGTTATTGTTTGCCCCTCTTCTTGTCCTTACATCCTCACATCACTCTTCCCTCCCTCTACCCTTTGCACGTCCACACATCCACACATCCACACTCTCGCACAACACTCACACTCATAACAACAAAGACATCACTTCTAAACAACAACAACACCGGACATCCACATGGCATCGTCGGCATCCACAGCTGCCTTTGCTGCAGTCCCCACATCAGACCCAGCAGACAACCAGCCAATCACCACCAAACCACGGCGGAAACTCACCTTGTCAGACAAAATTGAAATCCTCATCGACCGTACCAGCTCCAAACTGGGTCCCATTCTCATCACCATCGCTTTCCTTCTCCTCTCGCTGACTATCAGCTGTTACTTTACAGTCTACATTCCTTTCCACTACCAATGGAACGAAGGTGAGGGGTTTCAGGGGAACACGGGATACATCGTGACGATGGTCTGGTCGCTGTATCTCGTCTGGGGTATCGTTGCCAACTACTACTACGCAGTGACCACATCCCCCGGCTCTGTTCTTGATGGTCTTGCAGCCGAGAATGTACGTTACTTGAACGCATAAGGGTTTGGTGGCGCACGATGGACTGGTTTTGAAAATAAGAAAGGAAGTCGAATTGGCTGACTCTGTTTGCTCTTTTATGTATGCATGGTTTGTTTCTCTTTTAGGACGGCACTCACTTCCACGACGTCTTAATGGAGATGGAGAGTACGTTGCTGTCCTTACTCGTTTCATTTACACGCGCAAGAACAAAACACGCGATCGCCAATGTCTCTGCGAACTCACCATGCTTCTCTTCTATATCTTTCACTCTCGTTCGATTTATCCCTCCTCTTTGACGTGGTGGCGTAACTAGGCTTCACAGAATTCCCTCCCACATGCAAACGATGTAAGCGAGCAACCACCATCCTTGACATATCTTCAATTAAACTACGAAAATATATGCTTGATGTCTCACTCACAACTCGTCCGCCGTTGGATCCACTGTATGTCTATAGGCCATCTCCCAAAGCCAGAGCGCACTCACCATTGCAGTGTTTGCAAAAAGTGCATCTTGAAATACGATCATGTATGTTCCTCTGTTGGACACATGTAGACAATTGCCATTGAACAGCTTTTCGCCATAAATTAACACTCTCTTCTCCAACGTCGTTACATCGTTTAGCATTGTCCCTGGATTCACAATTGCGTCGGCCACTTCAACCACCGATACTTCGTCATGTTCCTGACCTACCTCACGACCGCATGCGTGTACTTTGTGTACATGGGCATTGGACCCTTTATGCTCATGGCAGAGACTGAAGAACATCTTGTAAGTGAAGTCGTCGCTGACAACTTAGCTCCATTTATTATCTCATTTGATTACAAGTGACGGTCACTGATATTGCTGCACCTTCTCAACAACAATCAATTAGGCAACATGGCCGTATCAAATGCCTCAGGCTCTAGTTGCCTTCTCAGAGGTGTTGGCATGTGCCATTGGCCTTGCTGTGGGTGGTATGGGCTGCTGGCATTGGTATCTGGTGAGTCTTTCTTCTTTTCACTTCAGTGCGTATTCATGTCTCTCTACATCAATTGTTCACATCGAATTGTCACTTTTTGTGTCTGAGTGTAGACATTGACAGCTCAGACCACCCTGGAGCAATACAACAATAACTACATCAAGGGTATCTGCAAAAAGAGAGGAGACCGATTCTTCAACATGTACGACTTTGGGATCATCGGTAATCTCCTCGACTTTTTCAATATCGGCAGACGAGGGTAAGTGTCTTTTGGTCGCTGGATGTCTCTTTTGTTCGTTTCTTTCTGTTTGTCATTATCTGTGTACGTCCCAAGTCTGACGTTTTTTTGCATCTTTGCGCTCTCACCTTCTAGTCACTAGTAAGTTTGATATTGACTGTGTTTCTTTTGTACTGTTTGCAAATGTGTGGAATAATTCACCGAGAGAACTCTTTCGCCTGATCACGTTCGGTTCGCGCTTCTTTATCTTCACTACTCTTAACCATGCACCTTAAACAACATGTTATCAACATTCCAATAGCCCATGGTACACTGCGTTTTTGCCACTCAGGATCCCTCCGATTGGAAACGGCAAGAGATTTGAAAAGAGTGGGCAGGGCTATGTGCTCGATTTCGGACCAGACGATGAAGACGATATCGTTTGATTTTAGATACAAACCGCAAAGGGAGTTTTATTCAATTAAAACAAACAACTTTTTTTTCTCTTCCATAGTGGAATGTGGTAAGTAAAGGGATCATTCTTCCTGGTGCGTCTCGAGTCCTTGGTGTACGTTGTCCCGATGACTGTCTGTGGAACTCTCGAGGGTTGCATCGGGGTGGGATTGAGGAGTCGAGGTAGAGGAGTCTGCTGTGGTCGAGAGGCGCATCTTTTGTTCGCTCCCTTTGAGATCGAACATTGATTTGGTTCGACTTTCAGTCCTGCACTTATTCAGCAAAGGTGGTGAGGATGTTGTTGTTGGTAATGACATGGATTGCACATACGATATGGAAAGACTGCGGCCATGCTCTCGAACCGATGGTTGATATTCTTGACGGATCGACCCTTCCTCAACCTCGGATAACGCCTTGAATGAGGCAACGTTTCCCGACCAAGATCCTGGACGCTGTCGCAGACGTTGTTGCTTTATCAGCGTGGCTCGGTCCTTGGCCAGTGTCTGTTGCAGCTCCTGTTGTTGACGCAGCCTCTGTTTCGACTCCAATTGCATCTGCTCTTGGCGCTGACGGTGTTGTTGTTGCATCTGTTTGATCTTGTCGACTTGTTCCACCGTCATGGGTGGTGGGGGCGGTGGAGTTGAGCATCCGATGTCAAAGTGGGCGAGAGACGCCCAACGGACATGGCCACGTTGGCCAGCTGACGACAGTACACCGTGTTCTGATCCTCGCGGGGCGGCGGAGACAGTTCTCCGAGGTCCTGTAAGGGAGAGAGGTCTTGGGCGGCGGAGAGCGGAGAGTGAAGACATTGTTGTGATGGTGTGTTTACTGTTGGGCTATAGAGCGGTGATGAAGGTGAAGGAAGGGGAAGGAAAAGATGGTAGAGTGAGAAGAGGAATGGAAGGGGCGATATTGTTTCTGTGTTGTTCTGGTGGATAAATACTGAAGAGGGAAGAGAGAAAGTGAAGAAAGAGTCAGGCGAGGCCGAGTGTTGTGGAGAATTTCGAGTAGCGTGAGCGGATGCTTTTTTGTTTTACTTTTTTTTTTTTTTTTTTTTTTTTTTGCGCAGAAGGGCAGGTTTTTAAGAGAGTTGCGAATCTGGTGGTGGGAGAGGAAATGAGTAGAAGCAAAAAAGAGATAGACAGAGAGAGTGAGCCAAGGCGAGGCGGTTTGGAGAACCGTACGCAAGACTTGCTGGCTGAAAATAAACGAGGGGAAGGAAAGAACAAAAAAAGGAGCCAGGTGGGAATACCAAGGGAGAGAGGCATTGGCAGAAATGACTGGAAGGGAGAAAAAGTGAGCAAAGTGAGGCCAAAATCAAAGGAGAATGGATACTGATGTGGTTGCTCAACCACGGCTCTGGAATGGTTATTATTACGCACTTAACTGAATGGCCTCCTCCACCGCTCCCTTTCCTTCCGGTTTCTGCTTTGATCACCCAGGCAATAACTCCTCCTCAATAGGTTTCTTGTTACCTCAGAGACACTGGGGACCCTGAATCGCACAATGGCAGGTGATGGCTATGCAGACTCTTCTTGTTGTAGTATGTTTGAGTGTTTTGGAGAAAAAATAAGCGGAAGATATGGTGTGTTTCTCACCAACATGAACGACAAAAGGGAAACAACGGCTAACAGTAAACGGATAGAGTATTCAGGGCTGAACTGCCAAAATGCTTGTTTCGAGACATATTTCAACCCACCGCAAATCAGTAAGTCAAACATCCAGCACATGGCAGAATATGACAAAGAAGAAAAAAAACAGTTATGCCATACGATGCGATGCTATGCCGTACAATTTCCGCTCTATGCATGACTGGTTCCTGCACTTAACGAGTGACACAAAGGAACTCACGTCTATTCGACGTTAGCCTGCCTGTCTAGTCTGCCTGCAGCCTTTCAGCCTGAACTGCCTAGTTTAAGCCTGCCTCACGTTCTGATATCAAACGTGGCCTCCACATGGCATCACGACAGTCGTGAGCATGGAGCTTTTCGCTTTAAATGAGCTCTAGGAAAAAAGAGCATACAAGTCAAAACTATACTAGGGACCGGTCTTGTGAGTCCAGACCTTCACACGCTTGCTCATGTAGGTGATGCTCGTTCGTTGGAGATGCTATCCTACCCCGTCTAGCCGTCAAGGAAATCAACGGTGCCCGTGTCATAGAGCATCAAGTTTGCTCTCGACTTCTCTCATCAGCGTCACTTCATCCGTTGTTGCCAGCTCATCTTTAGAAATCGTCCAACCGCACCAACTAGAGCCTCTCCCCTTATATTTTCGATATTTTCAAGATCTATTTTAAGTCCGTGTCCAGATACACACAATAGTCGTTGATAATGGGAGTAGCTTTTGTTCCCCCTTCGAGATAACTAACAAATTCCATTTTTCGGATTGGTGTACGAAAGATGCAAGAGAGGGGGAAAAAAAGACACGTCCGTTTATGAGCAGGGCTGTTGGGAATGGTACCATTGAATGTTCCTGCTTGCTGTGAAACGTTCTGATGACTCGGTTGAAGTACGCTGCCACTTTGTTTGTGGGCGCCAGTCTGATGGTGGTGTGATGCATACCCTTCGAATAAACGCGACGGACCTTGTCGCGACGATTCGCGCGGCGCGCGTGAGTGAGTGGGACTGCTCTGTGGCTTTGGATTTTTAATTTAGGGTGTCTGTCTGGAGATAAACAAAACAAAACGCGTTCAGTCGTTGGGACAGTCTCACACACACACAACCCCTGGACTGCAGAGTATTAAAAAAACGCCATCGTTTTTCTTTTTACTCGTCTTGTCTGCACTTCATCCCTCTTGCACATACATCTCCCTTCTCCCTGAGTTTGTGCATCAGCTGAACTCGCAACTCACACTCTTCGACCACTCAAAGAATACAGAACCCCTCGACTCTCACCCTTCCCCTTCACCAGACAGACAGACGACACGATGGACTCGACCGACTTTGTCAACTCGGAGCATGACCTGACCTCTAGGATGGACGCCGCCAGTTTGGCCGACACCCCTCGCGCCCCTGCAGAGACCCCTGCTCATGTACCAAGATATACTCCCTTCGAGCCAACACGACAGGTCACCAAGGTCAGGGATGAGACTGCCGAAAAGATTCGCATGGACTTTGAAGAGTTCATCGAGCGGTAAGACATCACTGCCTTGACCATGTTTTTTACTGCCTATTGAGTCTGTGCCTGAGGCGTTATTGACACTATGAAATCAATGTGCTGACAGTACCCATTTGCATCTTGTTGATATAGGTTCGATCCCAACGCTTTCCCCGATCAGGCGAATGCAAGATCGTCGCAGACAGGATCCGCGGAGTCGCCTTACTTGCAGCAGCTCAAGATGCTCAGCAACTACGACGGTCACACTCTTTTCGTCGACTACCACGATCTCATGATGCACGACCAGGTTCTTGCAGGCGCTATCGAGGATCAATACTACCGGTAAGGACACGACAAAAAGAAGCATACACTCTCCTCCGTCATCTTGACTACCCTTTTGGTCTATTCAGATTTCTAACCAACCATCTTTTATACTGCAACTATAGTTTCTTGCCTTTCCTCCGACGCGCCGTTCAGAACTTGACATGGAAGCACAACCCTCAATACGCATTCATCAACACTACCATGGGAGAAAACAGCAACATTCGTCCTACAGGAGCCATGTCTCGAGAATTCTCGGTGGCGTTCCACAACGTGCCCTCATATGAGGGTATTCGCGACCTCAGGATGAGCAGACTCGGAAAGTTGATGACCATTTCCGGAACTGTTACTCGTACAAGTGAAGTCAGACCTGAATTGATCCAGGGAACCTTCATCTGTAAGGACTGTGGCACCAAGATGGACGATGTTGATCAGCAGTTCAAGTATACCGAGGTGAGTCACTCTCATTGGGATTATTTGGAAACAAGTTTTTCTGTGCGCAGGCAATTGTTCGATATTGGATTGTGTTTAACGTATCGCGTTCTTTCGGAACATTGCTCGATAGCCTCTCATGTGCCAAAGTCCAACATGCGGTAACCGAACCAACTGGGAGTTGAACATTGAGCAGTCCAAGTTTATGGATTGGCAACGTGTTCGCATTCAGGAGAACCCCAACGAAATCCCCACAGGAAGCATGCCAAGAACGTATGTGTTTATTTCCGGACTGGGATTGTTTCGCGTTACTAACGACGTTACTAGGATTCGCATGATGGCTAACGATGTTTGTGCTCATCTACGTATAGGATGGACGTTATCTTGCGTGGAGAGGTCGTGGAAAAGGCCAAAGCAGGAGACAAGGCTCGTTTCACAGGAATGTTAATTGTTGTGCCTGATGTGAGCCAGCTTCGCGGAGCTGGTACAAGCGTCCAGTCGGAGCGTGAGACACAGGATCGCAACCGCGGCAAGGATGGCTTCTCGAACCAAGGTATTACAGGATTGAAGGCTTTGGGTGTTGGCGATTTGACCTACAAGTTGGCATTCTTAGGTGGTATGGTTCAGATCGGAGAGGTCAAGAATGACGCCGCTTTCGACCGCGACCCCGATAACACTGAGCATGAGCGTCAAAAGTTTTTGGATTCATTGCAGCAGGAGGAAATTGATGAGCTCCGCGACATGGTCAACATGGAGGGTCAGATCTACAACAGGCTGGCCCTGAGTATCGCACCTGCTGTTTTCGGACACCACACTGTCAAACAAGGATTGCTGCTCCAGATGATGGGAGGTGTTCACAAGGTCACCCCTGAAGGTATCAACCTTCGTGGGGATATCAACGTCTGTATTGTCGGTGATCCCTCCACAAGTAAATCTCAATTCCTCAAGTAGGTGTCGCTTGTAGTCTACATTCACGGGCAAACAATTCATTCTTACCGGAAGGGTTACGGCTAGACGGTGTACTAACTCTCCTCTACTTTTCTCTTTAGGTATGTCTGCGGATTTTTGCCAAGGACAGTTTACACCTCAGGAAAGGCTTCGTCGGCTGCCGGTTTGACTGCCTCCGTTGTCAAGGATGAGGAGACTGGCGAGTTTACTATCGAGGCCGGTGCCTTGATGTTGGCTGATAACGTATGTACCTCTGCATTTTAACGAGGCTATGGTTTTTCAGTGACACATTGACTGTGGATGTTAACAAAGGGCCTCAACTGCAATTGTAAACTTTAGGGTATCTGTGCCATTGACGAGTTCGACAAGATGGATTTGAAAGATCAGGTGGCTATTCACGAAGCCATGGAACAGCAGACCATTTCTATCGCCAAGGCCGGTATTCAGGCCACCTTGAATGCCAGGACATCTATCCTAGCTGCTGCTAACCCTGTGAACGGAAGATACAACAAGAAGTTGACCCTCAGAGTAAGTGCCTTCTCAGGAGTTCACTCAGAGGATATTTCTCATTGAATCGACACCTGTATGAACTTCATCTGACCTTAGTCATTTGTCCGTTCCCTCTTTTAGCAAAACGTCGCCATGTCGCCACCAATTATGTCCCGTTTCGATCTCTTCTTCGTTGTTCTGGATGAGTGCGACGAGACCACAGATTACCAGATTGCCCGACACATTGTTAATGTCCACCGCTACCGTGACGAGGCTCTCCAGCCCCAATACAGCACCGAACAGGTCCAGCGCTACATCCAATACGCCAGAACATTCAAGCCTAAGGTACAGCAAACAACGAAGACGATATGCGGACGATGCAATTCATTGCCCCGGTTATTCGAAGATTTTACTCATATCATTCTTTTTCCTTTCATTTGCTGCAATAGTTGTCATTGGACGCTATGCGTCTGCTCTCTGAAAAGTACCGTGATTTGAGACAGATGGATTCACAGGGAAGCGGAAAGAACTCGTACAGAATCACCGTCCGTCAGCTGGAGAGTATGATTCGTCTTTCCGAGGCGTTGGCCCGTGTTCACTGCACAGACGTCGTAAGTTTTCGCAAGAATGTCGATCGCGAAGAAAAGAAAAGAAAAAAAAGTATGCTGTTCTCGCATCGAACAATTGCTCACAGTTGTGAATTGCCTATAATATTGATAGATCACGGAAGAATTTGTGAAAGAGGCCAGTCGTCTTTTACACTCGTCGATCTTGACGGTGGAGAAGGACAGAATTGACCTGGAGGATGAGACCGAGATGGATGCAGAAGGTTTGACAGCAGAAGAGGCTGCGATGATTGATGCAGAGGAATCGAACACTATGGAAAGCGACACTGCTCACCCTGACTCACAAATCGACCGCAAGCGCCGTATGGACTATGAAGAGTTTGAGCGCGCCAAGGAACTCTTGGTCAGCCGAGTTCGCCGCGCCGAGGATGGTAAGCTACTTGGAATACTTCATTTGGAAATATACCAATATGCGCGCTATGGTTATCATGCTATTTTACTAACAATCGGCGTCTTTAACACATTACCACTCGTAGGTGGAGTTACCCAGGATGACCTTGTGGTTTGGTACATTGAGACGATTGCTCAGGATATTGTTGACCAACAATTGGATCTTGACGAGGAGGAGCTGATTATCCGCAAGGTGATCCGTCGTTTAATGAGGAAGGACCAGGTCTTCTTGGCAATCGCCAGTGGAGCGTCAGAAGGAGGTGTCTCGGCAGCAGATACTCCTAACCCCTTGCTCGTCATTCACCCCAGTTACATCTCTTCTGAGGACCTCTAAATGAGCTTGCATGGATACACTTTTTCACACTACCTACTCGCTGCGCCCCTAACATAATAAACTAGCGCTTGTTTTTTTTCAGAGACATGGTATTTATTTTATGATATATCTATTATGGCCCACTGCGGCAAACCAAAAGACTGTTGTGCAAAAGAACTGAAGGAAAGAAAGGGGGGGGGGGGGGAGGGGAGAGAGTAGACGACTAGTGTTCATCACATTAGCCAGCGTCAGGAGTCTTCTTGGGCTTTTTCGTAAAAGCACTCTTCACGCGCTGCAAAAGAGTTTTCTTCTTTTTCTTTTTGCCCTTGTCGTTCTCAATCTGCGCCTGGGTATCATAGTGTCCCCCTGCAAGTTCTCCTTCGCCTTCGGCTTCTCGACTTTTGTTGTAGTGCTCATCCTCATTGACGACTTGTTCCTCGTCGATATAATAATCGTCCAGGATCTCTTGGATATGGTTGTTTTGGAGTATCTGCTTTGGGACCTTCTGAGGCCGAGAATCCCTGATCGACCTGTCCGTCTGTTCTCCACGTCGTACGTCCTCATTCTCGGTTGCAGTGCGAGGTTTCTGTGACGGACCGGGATTCAAGTTTGATGCTCTGGCATTAGCCTCCCACACCGCGTTCCTGGGCACCATAGGGAACAGCGAGGTCAGGTCCAAGATGGGGACGTCGTCGTCATCGTCTACTTTTCCCTGGGAGCCGTTGTAGGCGAGTCCATGTGAAGCGGCGGACATTACTGCATGAAGAATGGGGCTGACAGTGGCGGGTCTTGGAATGCGGTATTTCAGTGCGGGTAGGGTTACGTCTTCCAGACTGGGATTTGTCAGCCAGCTGGATTGGGGTGGTCCTGAGGAGAGGTGGGTTGTCGAGCTTTCGAGAGTGGCTCCGCCTGCAGTGCCAGTGCTGGTCCTACTACCACTATCACTGTTGCTTGGATTGGTGCTGTTGCGAATAGGGGTTGACCCTGTCTCGTTTGTGTGTGGTGGCATCTGACTCAGAGGCTGGGCGGGCGCACTGCTTCGGGATGGAGGAGGTCTGGAAGGGGCGGCGGATGCAGGAGTTGAATGTCGAGATGGTGGTCCGGTCCGTGAGGATGTGGGTTGACCGATGTTATATAGGGGTGTAAGGAATTGTGAGATCACTTGAGCGTTTGTGCGTCGGTGTCCTAGTTGCTGCCTCGCTTGCTGTTTCTTTTGTTCCATTTCTCGCTGTCGTTGCGGTGAGGAGCAAGAGAACGTCTCGGTTGGGTTGGATGTAGCGGAAGCTTGCTGCTGTCGGCTCATGGCCAAGGATGAGGGGCAGCGGATGTTGGATCCGTTGGCTGTTGCTTGAGGGACTGGCGTGTGAGGTGATGAAATGGTCGAGGTGGGTCGTAATGATGAGGTTGAGGAGGTGAGTTGTGACGGAGGGGACGCTGGTGAGTTGGACTGAAAGGAGCCGGAACCATGACCAACGCCGGCACCATTATCGTCCTGACGATGAGCGGAACTGCCCTCTGTGACATGGATGCTAATACGCGACTGTGTTGCGACTGCGCCCAATTGATAAAGTTGCGATGGCTGGGGGTAGCGAGTGCTGGTTGAGGTTGCTGGGGCTGACCGGCGTTTGTGTTTCGGTTTGAATGGCTTTGGAGAGGACGAACCGGGAGTAAGACTAAAGATAACATTCGAGGTCGAATAGCCTTGTGAGAAGGTGATAGGCAGTTGTTGGTTGGTATGGCCGATGGTGTTTGAAGAAGTCAAACCAGTGGTAGCTGCAGAGGACGACTCGGCTGCGTATGAGGAAGTCAAATCAGCAGAAATGTCTGACAAGGATGAGCACTCGGAGCTGGTCGTCTGGAAAACCAAAGACAATGGCTCGATATCTGCCCAAGGATGCTCCAGGCCTGATGCATGTGTTAGCCAATCTTCAACATCAAACCGAGACATTTCAGGGCCCTGATGATGTATGCGAAATTTATCAAAATTAAAGTCGAACATCCCCGGTGTGGGCTGAAAGTGCCGAATGGTGCGAGACTGTCGTCCACCGTCGTCGAAGGGGTTTCCTGTCATCACATAGTCGTGAGTCGTGGGGGGGAAGCGATAGAAACGATAGAACCCAGAGGCTTCATCCTTGGTGAGACTTCGCAGCGGGGATCCGGGAACTGTTTTGGATCGTTTGAGTGTTGTGACAACCCGTTGCCCCTGAAGCATCTCATCCCAGAGGAAGTAATCCTCTGCGCGGCCAGAGTTCCCGCTGTGATATTTGCGGATAGCGTCGCCCTCGAGGGTTTCCAAGATGGAGCGGCCACATGAGATGTCGGTATCGAGAGGAAAGTGTTTTTTGCGGAACCTCTTTTTGCGTCTGTGAGTGTGCGGATAGAGAGGAGGATTTTTTGTAGGGACATCCTCTTCAAAGTATCGAATGGATTCGTAGGACCGGAATCGGACATGGCGCCTGTTGTCGTGTTGGTCTTCGGATGAGGAGGAATCAAAGTCGGAGGAGGATTGAGATGCTGAATAGGCAGGGGAGGGCGTAGGTGTTGGTTCAGGACCGCTTGAAGAATCGCTCGAAGAAGAGTCGCTTGAGGATGACAATGAGAGCTTCGAGGCTCGGTGATGGACTTGATTCTGGCTATTTCCGCTCTTGTGGTTATTGGTCGTCTTATCGGAGGGGTTAGTGGGATGAGTTGGAGGTTGATTGCCAGAGACTTGATTGTTGGGGTCTTGTCCCGTCATATTGGAGTTTGACGTGATTGTTGGATCGAATAGAGGAAGGGGATGAGAGCAATAAAGCGGAGGGTTCTGCTAGGTGGTGGAAAGGGGATCAGGAGGTATGGTCTGGAGGGTCAGGAACGCGGGTATGACAAGGGAAAGAGAGTGGGTATGACGGAGTGAAGGGGTATGAGAGGGAGTGGGGAGGTAGGAGAAGTGGTCGAGAAGAGAGAACATTTGATACAGGAGCCATCGCGACGTTTTATACATCATCCGGATGATAGTGGAAAAGAAAAAGAAAAACAAAAGGAGCAGGGATCCAAAGGGGAACAGACTAAACGCTGCTTCGTCTGTAATGAAGGCGAAAGGAGTGAACAAACATGAAGCGGACGTTGAGACTGAAAGTCAGTTTTATATATGTTGTTGAAAGAAATGGTGCACATACATGACAAAGAAGTGTGTGGGTATATGAACATGGCACTGTGTTTGTCAAAGACGCGAAACAAAAAAGACGTTCGGAGGTAGATTGATTGTCGCTACCACAAAATGGTTCTTTGTTGTCCTGCAAGCAGCCTCGCCCATTATGCTAGCTTGTATTCACACACGTAACGCGTACACAAGTATGCACTCCCTGCAAGGCCCTCTGCTCTCGTCCTCACTTTCCACGTTGTCCTTCCTTCTTCTTCCACAGGGTTTCCACAACGGTTGCAATCACATAATCGGGCAGGGACCACGAAAAGTGACTGTCAAGGAAAAGTAACGTGATACGTATGTTGTCATTGAAATGGGGGCGTTTTTAAAGGCAAGCGCCCTTGTTCGCGCGCATTGCAAACAAACGATCAAACGCCCAAACCACTCTCCTGCAGGACACAGCATCAAACAAACAGCAACAGCAGGACATCTCCCTAGAAAACAAGGCGGCAAGGGCATCTCGGATCGGAACAACAACAACAGCAAAGGAACCAAGCCATAACCATCACATCCCTTCCTTCACCCCCTCTTTCGCACTCCCTACTCTTTTCACAAAAAAAAAAAAAAAACTAGGAACCATGTCTGTGAGTGTCTCCCTGCTTATGCTGCGTGACTACAGGCACATACACACACACATTGCGCGACTTCCCTTTGTCATGAACAACGGCGCCATCAACAAGAAGTCGCTGCTGCCGCCGCTGCATTACAAAATACAAACAAAAAGGACAGACGCTAATACACCCACCTTGTTCATTCCATTCGCGATCACGATAGCGCAACACCGCGGCGGAAAGCAGTGGGTCGAGCAGTACCATAGAAGCAATGCTTCAGTCCTTTCAGACACCAGATTCGATCCTAGAGCGCAAGATCACAGACAACATCGCAGGATACATCAAGGAAGGAGGACAGCCCCTGTTGCTGGTCAACGCACTTTCGAGCAGCTATGTTGGTGTCCCAGAGATGTGTAACCTCATGTCAGATTGGGCGCGCGAGTTCGATATCGACCCCGTGGACGTCATGCAGGAGGTTCTCAAGGAACAACTCATGGAACGGTTCGATCCCGAGAGTGTTGACAAGGAGTTCAAAGAAGATCAGAGAGTGTTCCTGAGCGTAACGCCATCGCAAAAGGTTAGTTGCTGTTCGTGTTCACGATTGAGGCGCTCGACAAATGCTGTTTACCATTACCACATGCCTTGAGTTCGTCGCACTGAAACTATGTACCTTGCTCTGTTTCCGTGTACTCTAGGGTCAGGACGACTGGCTTTCCATGATGATTCGACACCCCTTCTGGAGATCAGTTATCTATGAGCTTTCAGAAGAACACCAAAAGTGCGCGTTCCTCAACTTTGCCATCCAGGTAGCGCCATTTATGCCTCGACCACATGCACAACTCGGAAAGCGTTATGAGACTATGTGAGTCTTGAATTGACTACTTAACTGCGCAAACTCTTTGTTATATATAGAGAATTTCGGATGCTGGATATCAAGGAGAGATTGCAAGTGTAGCGACAGCGTCGACGTTCGTCGGTGTGTTTTCAGGAGTGCTATTGGAGTCTCTGGACAAGCTGAGAGAAGAAGACGACGTCGGCTTGCTGGACAAACTGCCTGATCTCATTGTATGTCATTGCTCTTTATTGCAGCTTTAAAACAATCCGGACTTCTTATGACATTGACCAAACTAACATGATGAATCTCACGTCGCTTATGTCAATTGTAGAAAATCTGTTGTCAGAATGAACACACCTACCTCTACACCCAGATTCTGCTGTTCCGGTTGATGAAGACAGACAGGGGACTACCATTGAAGCGGATATCAAAGGAACTGGAATCGGGCGTCTTGGAAAAGTTCAACAAGTAAGGCTGCCGACACTGGCGACGCGTTGATATACCAGCGTTGCATCGTATCAACATTGCTGAGGTATACGGTACTGACCCTCAACTCATGCTCTCGCGTATTTCTTTCATAGGCCACCACTAGTGTCGACTTTGAGGATGTTATTGTCAGGAGCCTCTCCAGCGGTAGCTAGTGCGATATCTGCTATCCTTCAGTCGCGTAGCCCTTCGCCTGGAGACGTCATGCTGGTAGGATGCAGACGGTGCATCAACTTTGAGTTGGGCGCAAGGAAACTATGGTCGTACCATAAAACCAAAAGACTGACACCCTCCCTTCTCTTTTGCCTATTTTCGTTGATGTCTGACTACTAGTTACATAGGGCGTACAGCAGCGATGATCCGCCGTCGTCGTTCTTTTTGCGTGACCCCGAGTTCTTTGGTAAGCTTCTGCGAAGATAATTGTGAATGTATGCATTTCATTCTTGTTGGCGATTGCACTTTACTAAGCGCTTTTGTTATTTGAACTGTATTCTTCCTATAGAGATCATGCTCTCCTCGATCTTCGTGCCAAGCTTCAAGGGTGGCATGGTCAAACAGGATCACAAAGAGAAATACTTATGGCTGATAGCCTATGCTGCTAGCGTGCATGAGAACGACGACATGGGTCCGGACACAACAGAGGTTCAGCCGACATACGACGCCATACTTGCGTTGGAGGACACCCTGTCAAAGAGGACGGCAGGAACGGACTTGACACCTATCCTTGCCAACCTTTTAATTGCCATTGAGTACGTTATCGTAAAAGATCAAAGACCGCATGAGCAAAACGTTGAGGTTTCTCCGTTATCGCTTCGTGTGTGTGGTTAGCATTGCAAGTACCCTAACCACCTACTTTTGATCCCTTCACGGTGTTCTGCATTTTTTTCTTTTCTTCTTAGGACGCCGGTCGCCTCAATGGCCTTGTTGTATTGGATTCAGTTTGTGATTACAGAGACGAGTTACATCGAGACATACTTTAGAAGTCATGAAGTGCCCGTTCCTTTGCTCTTGATTGAAGAGGTAGGATCGAGTCCTTGTTTGTTTGGGTGTTTTTACTCGTGTTGCTTGTTTTGTTATGCAGCTTAGAGGATCAGTTCCGGTTTTGGGAGAGAAAGGAGAAAGAGTCCTATGGGCTCTTTAGTGACAAAGGGGCGATGCGTTTTTGTTTTGTGCTTTGCTTTCATTGTTTCCTTGTTTCCTTGTTCCCTTGTTTCCTTGTTTCTTTGTTTCCTTGGTGCTGTTGTAGGCGATGATAGCCACTGACACGCGCCTGAAAAATGGTCATTGTTTACTTTTGCTAAATCATATCTGATAAAACAATAGATGGCCTACAAGCATCCACTGCAACAGACGGCAGTCTTTACCACTCTAGTCAACTTTTTCGAGGCGCCCCTGGAACTCAATCCTGAGATCATGGTAATGTTTCTTGACAGACCCCGTCCTTTTGCACTGATGCCTGTGAGGGATTTGCTTGGTTGACTTGATCACTTACGTATCGCGGGAAAAAAATGAACTATGCATGCCCCTCCTTCTCCACCACGACCTCCTATTATTCCTTCTCCACATTGGCACATTTTTACTCACTTCCTTTGGACTATTCATTTTCTTATCGCGATTACCTCAATTTGTAGATGACATATCGCAAGTCCATCTTGGAGAGGATGATTTACTTGATGCAACTGAATTTCGCAATGCCGGTCCTGGACTATATCCGAGTGAGAGCGCGCAAGATGGATCAATCGCTCTCTATGCACTTTGTGAAACGAGTGCTGGAGATGGTGAGCGGACCATACTCGAAAAAGTTCATCGAGGGCATGGGCCAAATGATTCAGGAAATCGTGGAGGTGATCAAGAAAACGGAAACTGAACCCATTGTGAGAGCGTGGATCGGTAAGCTTTTGGGGGTCGATTGTGCCTTTTGGATGCTTGTCTTGGCTGTGTTTTTGGCGAGCGACTGTTTGTTTGTTTGTTTGTTTGTTTGTTTGTTTGTTCGCTTCGCGCTCGCTTGGGGTGGCTGCTGTTTTTGTTGGTGTTGTTGATATTGTTGTGGGGGTCTGGGCTGGACCAATTGTTGATTCGTTTTCATTTTTCAGTGTGTTAATCTGTGCGATCTTGCGTCAATGCGCTTACGAAAGGTCAGAGATATTAACCAGGACTCACTTTCTTTTTGCCGTCTCTTGCCTATTTCCTTTGGTGCACATGTGCTTTGGGGGTTCGTGCATGCGTTGTTTTCTTTTGGTTGGGTCATTTCATCCCCACTTTTTGTGCACTTGCATTTTTTTTCCTGTTCCACACTACAGAGGAAGTCGTGTTGCAACCCATCGATGTGGAGATGCAGAACCCTCCGACACCCGTATCGTCGTCGTCGACACATGAGACGCCGACGTCGGCTGCTGCTGCTGCCAATGACAGTGGACTGAGTACTATCCAAGAGATCAAGAGACGCCTGGAAGAGCACCGACGCTAATGAAATAGCTCAAATGAACCAAATGTACGCTCGGAGGAATTACTGTAGCTTGTTCAATTGGTTCAGAGCCATTCAATACAATAGCACGTCTCTCACTCTACTCTTCCTCTCACACTGCGCTCAAATGCTTGCCCCGTGTCTCTGTGCGATGAGTAACATCATTTGATTTGACCCACTTATTTCATTCTTTTTCCCAGGTTCAGCAAATAGGTGTGGGAGTTTTTTGTCACAGTAGGCCTCCTTTTTTTTTTTTTTTTTTCCTTCATTTTGGTTGCTTTTCAGGTCTATCATAGTGTGATCGTCGCTATCTAACCTTTTTTTTTTTCCCTTTTTTTTCTTGTGCGACGTATTACCATCTGGATAACATCCAACAATAACATTCTTTGGTCAGTTGAGTAAGGAAAGTAAACAAGCACAGGGAGCAAAGTGAACAAAATGAGAGACAGCGAGGTATGTGGAGAAAGGACAGGTTTGGTTTATTTGTTTGACAGAGACAGTAAAGAAATGGTATATGTGTGAGTGCGGAAAAAAAGAAGAGAGGCTTGTATGTACAGCAGAGCGAATGAAGCAAACAGAGACGAGATAGAGGAAATACAGAGTAGAGAGAGAGAGACGGCTAGAGTTACAGAAGGAACACAAGAAAAGCAAAAGCGAAACTAAACGAAAAAAAATAGAAAACACAGAGGATATTTCTAGAGGGTGAGGAGCCCAGTGGAGTAGGTATCCAAGAAGGGGGTGAAGGAAGCCATGGCCTTGGAATGCTTCTCGGCAGCGCGAGCACCGGAAGTATGACGGTGGATGCGGATGTGCTGGTTCAAGTTATCGGAACGGGAGAAGCGTTTGGGGCAGTTGTTGATGGGGCACTCGAAGGGCTTCTCGAGGGTGTGGATGGAGCGGACGTGGCGCTTGAGATGCTCGGAGCGCTTGAAGATCTTGCCACAGTCATCGAAGCGGCACTTGAAGATCTTGCATCCAGAGTTATCGGGGTGGCTTGAGACGCGGCGGCCGCGGGAGCGTTTGGGTGCGCCAGTTGTGGCGGCTGTGGCAGAGATGATGGGACTTGTGGCCATGAGGAGGATGGAGGACTTGGTATCTTCGAGGCAGTTGAAGTCGTACAGGCTTGAGAGGTCGGACATTGAGGAGGAAGTCGACATTGTCTGGGAAATGGGCATGATGGAGGGCTCGCTCAGGGTCCGGGAGAGGGGGTAAGATGAGCCGGAGACGGCACCCAGGGAGTTGGTCGAGCTCGAGAGCGAAAGGGAGCCTGTCGAGAAGGTCGATCTTGGAGACATAGACGAAGAGTCGTCGGAGGAAGACAGGGTCGATAGTGAGCTGGTCGAGTAGCTATGAGAGTGGTGATGGTGCTGTTGGTAACCGGGATGGTTATGGTACTGAGTAGAGTACACGTTATGGCTGTGGTGGTTGTTATGGTTGCGGTAGTGGTAGTCATCGGCAGACTCAAAGATGGCATGGTGAGGGTAGAGCGAGGGCGAGTCGCAGAGCTCCATCTTGACGGTGGTATTGCCCGAGAGGCTGGGGCTAGAGCAGATCTCGGAGAGCTGGCTTTCAGAGAAGGAACGGGCCATCGACATCATGTATGATGGGGCCATAGTGGCAAACTGGTCGTTCGAGTACTGCTGTTGCTGTTGTTGAGAATTGCTGGAGTGTTGCATGTGCTGCTGCGAGTACATGTAATCGGTCGAAGCCTGGCAGTCCTCTGCGGCAGGTGAGGTGTAACCTTCAGACTCGCTGTGGGAGTTGTTGGAAGATGAAGAGGCACCACGGGTGAAGGCGTCGGCGGGGAGGTCGAGGAAGGAGCAGCCGACGGGGGAGGCGGGATGGTGTCCGAGGATCTGAAGGTGGTGGTGTTGCTGCTCTGAGGTGAACATTGTTGCTGTGGGGTGTTGTTGTTGTTGTTGTTGGAAGTACGAAGGAGAAGAAGAAAAAGACGACGACGAAGAAGTAGGTGGTGGTGAAGAAATAGAAGAGGATGATTGGCTGAAGTGGTGTGGCTGGAGAAAAAGGCTCTTGGTCTGTGCCTGGTGCTGAGAGTAGTTGTTATGAATTGAAGGAATGGACGAAACGGTCATTTAGGGTGGTTTGTCAAGTGAGTGAGCAGCAAAGAAAAGAGGGAACCCTTTTTTTTTTTCTTTTTATGTGAATGTCAACTGAAGCACGGGTAGAAAAGGATAAGGAAGGAGGAAAAAGTAGAAAAGGAAAGGGAAGGGGGTTGGAGGATATGTCAATGGGTAGCAAGGAAGAGGGGGATGAAAAGGGATGAAAAGAGCGAGATGAACTGTTACTCTTTGGGTATGAAGAGAGAGAGAAGGAGAGAAAGACAAGCTTTGGATGTAGAGTGAGTGAAGAATAAGAAGAAAAAAAAGGGAATCGGGCGAGGAGACTGCCCCCTTTTTGTACTCTTTTTTTCGATTGTGTGTCTTGGGATATCGTGTGTGCGCACAAAATATAATTCATGTGTGCGTACGAATGCCGTGTAAATGCATTCACCCTTCTTTGCTGTCTGTCCGTCTGGACAGAGCCCGAAGACAAAGAAATTGGTCAACGCGCGTAGAGGGATGAAAGGAAAACATGCATCCACTCACACCTTGGCGAATGAAAGGGTAATGCACAATAAAATGATTTTATTCAGTCTTATTCAATCCCGATTCAATCTGATTCATTCCAATAGAGCAGAAGATTTATTTTTATATTTTTACCCATTGTTCATTCTTTAATACAAACAACACCATTCGATTGAATAGTATAGCCATTCGTTTATTCTTAGCTATTCAGTCGCCTTCTTCATTCATACCCTCTCACTCTCTCTTTGTTCATTGTTCAGTGCGGCCAGTCCAAAGAAGGCTCATGCCATGCCGCATGCCCATCTCTACTCTCTCTGTCGGCCTGTCGGCCTGCTCATTCAGTTCGCACTCATTTTTGTGCAATGACCGACTTACTCAGCTCAGTCCATTCACTCACACGCCCTCATCACGCAGTTTACACACGCTCCCCTCCCTCACTCCTCCACTCTTTCATAGCACAAAAACCTTGCACTGCTCTCCCTCGATGTGTGTGAATCAGAGGGTGGTGTGCAATTACCAGTGTTGATATTGAGCTCTATCTCCATTGTTTTTATGTGAGTCGTGTTGTTGATGTCGATGTTGTTTATGTTTCCGTACCCTTGATTCAGTGGTGGCACATTCCTTGTCCATTTTTGCTCATATTTGCACTTGCCATCCCCTGCCCTCCTCCCTTCGCCTTCGCCTTTCCTTTACCTTCTTCCTCCACAAATAATAGTTTTTCCCTTACATGGAGTCAGCTAGCCAAGACTCGTTTTGTATTTTAGCCACAGGACAAAAAAAAAGACGCTAGCAGCTTGGAGGGTCAACCCATTGGAGACAAAAGCCATTTGGCAGGCTATTGAACAGAGGACGTAAGGCGTATTGGCAAAAACGAGATATATACAACGTTAAGTAGCGTTGATGGGCGCCTTGGAGGGGGGAAGGCAATGTGTTCGACGAAGCTGGAGGTAACTTTAGCACGTATTATTATTACTAAATTAAGAACTTGTTTGGATGAAGCCGACGACGGACGACGAAGGACGAAGGAGCATTGACTAGTTATCGCCAAATGGCGCAAGTGAACAACCTTCAGGCTGCTTTTTTGAATCCATCCGTTCGTCGTTCTGGGCGGGTTGGTAGGTAGGTATCTAGGCCGAAGGAGGAGGAGGGAAAATAATGAAAAACGACGGGAAGCAGGGTCAAGAGAAAGGGGATTGGTCGAAATGTCAAATGAACGGAGGTGAGGTAAGGGAAACGGAAGGGGGTGGACAACAGTCAACAAATGCGTAGAGAATCCCCTCCATTTTCTAGTCGTATTATTTTTTCCTTGTTGTAAGTGTGCCACCTGCGTAGGGACAAACCAAACCCCTTTAGATCAGTACGAATTTGTTGCAGCGATAGTAAAAACCCCTTTCGTTATTGTTGCTGTTTGCTGATGGCTTCTATTTCTCCATCAAATTGCGTCTTCTCTCCTCCACAAACAAAGAGCAAGTGAGCAAGTGAGAAAAGAAACGTGTAACAACAAAACAAGGAGAAGGCTGAGTGTTTGTATGCGTGTGTTAATAAAAGTGCAAAGACACCGATTGGATGAGAATGAAAACCCTAACCATTCAGCTTAGCTCCAACTTCTGTAACAACTCTCTCCCTCTCTCCCTCTCTCCCCCTTCAATCATTCAGATATCTAGCCTGCCCTTTGTCGCTTCCTCCTCGGACATCAGTCGCAGCGTTGGTTCGTTATTATTATTTTTCTGTTCCAGGTCAACGCCATTTCGTGTCAATGAGCTCCAATGAGTTGTCGTCGCGGTCTTTGAGTTGTGGGTTGTCATCACGAACCTGCAGTGGTCAGTCAAGGTTGTGGGGTTGTGTGTGTGTGAATGGCATTTGAGGGGTTTTTCGCTTTCACCCAAGCGTGGGTGTCAGCAATGGTCATTTCGTCCTTTGGATGTTGTCCTGTTCACAAAGTGTGTGTCCCCTCGTCTTTGACAACACAAACGCTCAAGTCATTGTTATCGTTTCTCCATCATCCTTTGGACAATGAAAGAGCAAAACCCTAAAATACCCTTTACCCTTTCCTTTGTTTTCCTTGTTGTCGTCCCTTCCCTTTCCTGTCCTCGCTCCTTGCTTCCTCCCTTCAACTTTCTTTCATTGTCCGACGACTGTACCGACGAAGCAAATTGTGATTGTCATCCAATCAATCGCAATTGAATCGAGTAGTGTCTCCCTTTCACCGTTGTTCTGGTCGCAGATTGTTCAAATAGCTCTCTAACTACATCATCGCCTTTCTGCTTCGAAACTACTACCATTTCTTCTCTTGTTTTTGCTCATGTCTACTCTGGTTCAAGAAAACTTCAATGGGAAGAGTTGAAGAGGGATCAGATAGAAAATTAGCTTGGCGCTTTGTTTTTTTCGCGCTCGAGGCACTCGCTGCAAGTACGGGAACACAAAACCTAAGAGCCATATTGCTTAAAAAAAAACTTCCCGAAAGTACTGCTGCCATAAAACGTAAAGTAAGGGATATGCGGGGTGTGCGGGGTTGTCACACACTTCAGCATGGGCCAGGTGAGGTACATGGGATGGCTCTCAGGGAAAAAAGGGAACGATGGTTACCCAAATAAACAAGTCAAGCAGCAACACTTGGATTATCTAAGTTGTCTCACAAGGACTCGACAACCTCCTTCACCCCAACTTCATGCTGAAAAACATTGCTTCCCTTGCTTTTTCACCCCTTCTTCTTCAATTGCCAATGCAAAATGACAAGCAAACAAGGAGAAAGGGAGTGATGTAAGAAGTGGAAGAGGCACGAGCAAGTGAATAGATCGCTCCTAGATTGTCTCTTCTCAGGTGCCCCCTCGCTCTCTTCCCCTTCCTCTTCGTTTTCAGTCATTGTTGTATTGTCTTCTACACACTCTTACTCTCAATACTCATTTTACCGCCTTTTAGCGTGTGCGTGTATGGATTTGGAAAAGAAGGGAGAAAGATGAAGGGGGCAAGTAGAACAGGCACCGAGACTCTCAATCTCTCTCTTTCACTGTCGAACCTGAAAATCTTTTTACAGAAACACAAGAGAATAGAACACCAAAAACGAACGACTGACGGACTGAGAGAACGACAACACCGCATGTCCAAAATCCACTTCCTCTCCTTGTCTCTCTGTATCTCTTAAAAAAACCATGTCATGCCATAAGAGTAGAAGAAGGGTTCAGCTCCATCTCAAAAATAAACACGGAAAAAAAAAAACATCCCTTAGCCAATTCTTCCTTTTGATCTTTTCCGGTGGTTTTTCATTACTACTTTTTTTTCGTTGTGCGTTGTTTTCGCGTCTTGATTAATGATGAATGATGAATATGAACGGTAAAAAATTCATCACCTTGTTTGTTATTGTTGTTGTTAGATGAGTGGGCAAGGGAATGAAAACACGAGGCGAGATGGAGAGAGATACAAAGAGAAAGCTAAGCAGCAAAAATGAGTAAAAGAGTGTTGTATTTTTGGGACCTGGATTACTCCTCCTTCAGTAAACGTAGTAATGATGGCAATGAAGAAAAAATAAACTCAATGGCGCCTATGCCATGCTTGAGCCAGCCCCGGCTAAAGTACTTGGTTGTTGCTCGCATGGCTATTTTCATAAAATTAAGAAGAAAGTAAAAGTGGTAGATTTTTGATCCGTGTGATATGATGACAGTAGAAAAAATATCAGCTGTTGGACCCTGCTTTGAGGCACAATGCAAGGGTTGAGTGGAGGCAACCAAGAGAAAGTGACCAAAAATGATGCACGACATAATGGGGATGGAAGAGCCAACGGCACTAATCGCTACCCGCAGGAATAGATGAGATGCTCATCCCAGGTTCCCCTCGGATGAACTCTTCTCTATTTATGTTGATTTTTTGAATGTTGAACGTCAGCGAGATTCAGGCAGCATGAATGGCGATATTGACTCAAAAACCGGTTTAGAAAAACCGCGGGTTCCATTAGCCCCTGTTTTTATTCACACTCCGAGGGTTTAGTTACCCCCTCTTTCATGTCGTCTGTCGTCCTCATGCAAAAAAGGAAAGTAACGAAATGTTCACCCTAACGACAACGAGCTACTACAGCAAACGTTCATCACGGGCTCTTACCGAATGGAAGCCAGGGAATACTGATGATGAGCAAGTCAAAAAGCAAAGGCATGCCAATAGACCTGAGGAAATAGAATTATGAAAAATGCTATCGTGTCGGTCATGTTTGAGGATGTTCTAAGTTCCTTATTCGTCTCGCTTTCTGCGTTGAGCGTCGTTTCTTAGCCAGCCAACCATTGCTGTCGCCAAGGGGACCGAAGGTGAAGTCCCATCTG